CCCTAACCCTAACCCTAACCCTAACCCTAACCCTAACCCTAACCCTAACCCTAACCCTAACCCTAACCCTAACCCTAACCCTAACCCTAACCCTAACCCTAACCCTAACCCTAACCCTAACCCTAACCCTCATTTTCATCAATTTCGGTCGTTTTGCGGGTTACAATTCAAACCCCCTTCCTGCTCGCTACGGGTTCGCCTGCGGCACTACTACACCTGCTCTAACACTCCCATGATTTTCTTAACGCCGATACGGCTTGCTAGCGCTTGCCTTGTTTTACGGGTTACGTCTCCGACAATTCCCCTGCTCGCTACGACCCCTTAGACTTACCTGGGTCACTCTCTTCGATATCGCTAGGGCTGGCTAAACACTTTTGAGCCTCTGCCACTTGCTACGGCGTCCGTACGGCTTCCCGACGCTTGCTACGCACTGCCCCGGGCCGCGACCGCGCTGCGACGGTGTCTGACGGGCTCCGGGCACACTGCGCAAACTCGTGCGTTCCTCCACGGCTACCGCAAGCTTACCGAACGGCCTAAAAACTCCGCAGAGCTTGTACTGCTCGTAGGCTGCTTGGCAGTCGTGCAAAGCTTGCCCACACCTTCTCGGGACTTTCTAAGCGCCGGCATAGCTGCTGCTTGGACTATCGTACGGGTCTCCAAAGGATTATAAATTAGTGACGAAAGCGAGCGGTTAATAGCCAGCTGTGTCTTATACAAGCGGTGCCGCAAGCGGTAGGAAGCGACTAGTGTTGCATGCAGTACAAGCGAGCGGCGGAGGCGAGCGGTGACAGCGATGTGTGGAAGAGAGCGGCGAAGGCGAGCGGCAGGAGCGACGCATAGAAGCGACTTATTGAGCGTATTGGCGGGGTGCGGGGCCTTGCTCATATGCCGCTCGTCCAGAGGTGCTAGGCTCGTCGATCATCTATGGGTTGCGCGTGATCACGATTATTATCTGGTCGGCGAAGCCGTCTTGGATGTCTGCTATATCGCCTTCTGCAGGCAGCAATTCTCACGATGCGCATGTGTTGCAGTATGAAGCTGACCTACAACTATAACAGCACTGTTCCACTTGGGAAGTTACGCCTTCTCCGGCAGCTGTGCCTTCTCTACCGCTCCGCATTCAGCCATAAAGCTTCTCCGTCACCGACCTAGATCCTAGAGGAACCCTTGCGCTGACCGCTTCTACAGCGGACGATGTCTACCATTTGGCGCAGGTTCAAGCTGGCCTCGTTGCTTAAACATATGTCGAAGCGCCTACTTCGCTTTATGCCGTGACCGGACTACCACTTGGCTCGGTGACGGCCCGAGCGGTGTCCGTACGGTGCTATATGAGCGCGACTTCGGTGACGACAACTGTCACTCGCTAATACGTCCTCGCTCTCAGACACCGGGAAGCCCGCAGCTGCGTCGGACATCCTGCTTCAAAACGTCAACAACGTTCCGGAGTAGGAGATCTGATCGTCACGATCGCGCCTGATAGGTTCTCAGAACAGCACCATCCACCAGCGCCACGCAGGCCTGTTCATGAATGAGCCTTAGGCTGGCTTGTCGAAGTCGAACTGACGGCTGGGCTTACAAGGCAGCTGGTATAAGGCTCTCAGCTTGGCTGGCCTGCAAGCCGTTGACTTCGTAATCGACTAACTGACAGGGGTAAGCAGCTCAAGCCTTCGGTCTGGGCTGCCTATCAGAAGCCGACTACTTGAATGATAGAGAGCCAATTCAGACTTCTGTTGCTTTGACTGCCAGGCGGCTTGTCTGTGGACAGGGCTGGCATTATGTCGAGGGTGTTCTACCGGATGAATGTACTAAGAGCACGCAGCTGGCCTGCACTAATAGGCTAGAAGGCTGCAATGAAAGACCGCCACATATGTCAGCAGCGCACTCCTTGTCGGGCGGTAACACCTGGTTCCTCTTGACCTGTCCCCCGTGATGCGTTCACCGCGACGCAGTACTGTGCTGAGGTAGACCTGGCTTAGCGAAGCCGTCAGGTAGCCACGACGCCAGACGGCAGTCCACCTTGATCAAGCAGGTACCGGTCTCCCCCAGCTCTGGGCTGAAGCTCAGAGACTGATGGAGGCTCTTGCTTCCTTTCGAAAGCGGGGAGGCCTCGCGCCTGTTGGGGCACATGATGTTGGTTGCACGAATTCTACTGCGTTTGCCGTAGTTCTTCGCGCAACCTCTCCAGTTGTGTACGAGCCAGCCATTCTCGTTGGAGCTCTCTAAGCTCAAGCGTTTCCGCTTCACGTCGGAGGCTTTCGACCTCCGCCGAGTAGTCGGCAATGCGCTGGCGCTCGGCAATGATGTTGGCGCGCTGTGGAGTATTCTCCAAAGCGTCACGCATCCATGCCAAGAACTGCGCACTGGTAGCCTGCAGGTTCGAAGAATTGGATGCGCCCGCCGGATGGCCATTGAACCCTTTCCCAGTCTCCACGTACGATTGCGACACGACGGAGAGTAGAATTTCAAGCAAACATCTAAGTAGCTCTTGGTAGTGATGGGAGGAGACATGCGGCCCTGTTCGGCGGGCCTGCGTCGTTGTTCGTCACAGCTTTTGATCGCACTGGTAATACGCAGACGGATGGCAGCCGGCGAGGGAGCCATCTAGGTCAGATATTAGTCTCGAAACAGGCTCGTACGCACGGGAAGCTAGCGGTCTGAATGCTCGTAATGTACGGCACGGACAGTTGCGAGTCACTGTATCATGCCTTATGCGACAGGGTGCGAATCGCTTACCGGCCTGCCAAAACTGCCGTGGCTATAGCGGCGCTCGTTATCCATGACAGTATGACACCGCTTTTGGTACTCTACGAGCGTAGGGCCGGAACGAGGTAGACGTTGGCAGCGCTTCTCCAGCACGTGTCAATGCTCGCTCGAAATCTCATGCTGTCTCCGATACGGGCCACACACTGCAAGCGTTTGCACTAATCTGTATACTTAGGAAGTCTGTGATGGCGGTGCTGTGGACTTGTCGGAATCATTGCGCCCAGTGTGTTGGCGATGCGGTCGACATGCGGGAAAGGTGGTGTCCGCGGCGATCGTACCGGGAGTGATGATCCCGACATGGAAGGCCGAGTGCGTCGCTGTACTTATTGTGAACGCCGATCGTCTTTGTGAGTACTTACATCGGAAATGATGGATGTCTTCTCCAGCATCCCGCCGGTTGCTAGCGCTCAGCACGATGCCTGATGGAAACTTACTTTTTGTTTTTGTTGAAGCCCTGTTCGGCTTGCTTCAGAAGACTGCACATGCTCAGCCTGCGTTTGCAGATTCCGAGGTCATGTCCTCGTCGACTTCCATGGGCAAGATCACCGGGCCCACGTCGTTCCCAAGAGCTTTCCACTTGGGGTCGCCGAGTTCACGAATATCCTTGACGGTGACATTGTTCCGTGCATTAGCCCGGAGCAAAGTCTCGTCGGTCTTCCAGTCAGCCATGCCAGTGATCTGTTTAAACCACAGCTCCCGGAGCGCCTTATTTTCGTCCCTGTCCGCTGCGTCCAGCTTCTCCTTACACTCGGGAATGTCTTTCCAAGTAGGCAGGTTGAAGTAAACGGAGACAACGCTAGGAGCTTTAGGCCTGGCCTCCTTTTCGCTGCCTTGCACCAGTGTGGATTTCTCTACGACTGGTTCCAGTTCAGCGCCGTCACCCTGACCAGTCATCGGACGATCTGTTTTAACAGCGCCCTTCGACTTAGCCGGCTTCTGGGGAGGGCCTAGACGGCCGGATTTGTGCAGTTGCACCAGCAGCTCGAAAGTTTGAGCTTCCTTGTCGAGAGCTTGTGCAAAGCGCGTGGCTTCATCGTCGCGGACCTGCACGCTCCGGAGCGCCTAATCCTCCTCGTCGGATCTCTCCTTCAAGGATTTTTGGTACCCCCAGTAGGCTGCAGGGCACGACTGGCCATAATGCGCACGCCCGCAGTGCTGGCAGACGTTCGCACATGACTTGTAGTCGTGCCCGAGCTGCCAGCAGGTCAAGCAAAACTTTGGTGCTGTAATGTTCGCGACTGACTTTGATGTATCCATCGAGTACTTGAGGCGCAAACAGTTGTTGCAGAAGAACACGCGCGTGAGATTCAGGTTTGGGAGGCAAGCGGCCAAGTTTGCATTACGTAACCTGACTAACGTATCACGTGTGTGAAATCCTCCGGCCGCACCACGAGAGTAAGTACCACCGTTGTGTCACCTGCGAGCTTGACCAAATCGTGATGCACAAACATTTCCAGGCGAGGCACTGAACGTTCGGCCAGAAGGAAGCGAGCAAACGGTGGCCGATGCAGTCAGTGCTCGGGTGACCCGTGACCGTATGCAAGATTGATTTGCTGTTTAGCAGCTTGCATGTTTGCAGACTTGTGTTACGCCTTCTCATCAGTTGCAAAATGTGGCATTGGCGGGGCAACATGAACTTCCCAGTACTTCATTATATCTTTGTCGATTCGCTTCTTCTGTTCGTCCGTCCTCGTATCGTTTCCATAAGATGCGTGCGTAACACCAATTTCCAGCACACCCTTCCTGCTGCCATCTTTGAGGAATGCCAGGTATTCCGTACTGACTCGGACATACTCCCTCAGGCCTTCCTTAACATTAATCGTTGCGCCTGTAGTCCAAGACAGCAACAAAGGCTCTATTAGAGGTGCATCAGTGATACTAGGATGGCTGGTCTTCAGACTCGTCATGAACCATGTCCGGCCAATTCTCACAAGAACGTCCTTTGCGATGTCACGCACGGTATCAAAGTGCGGACGTCCGTAGAAGATGGTACGGGCTTTGGACCAGGAGTCGGAATGTACGATCAGAAGCGGCACGTCAATGTCCGTGTTCAGGCGTCCAGATTCCTTTCCCGGGTCCAGTATGATGCCGCCGATAGCTGGATTGACGAAGTTAGAGTTTCCGCTGGAGGTCTTGTTGGCGCTCTTGAGTGCCTGCATTGCGCCTGTTGCGCCAAAACTGTGGCCTGCGATGACGACGTGTGACAGATCTAGTCGCTTCTTCCATGCCTTGAGCTCACTGCCCTCGTGGCGGTGATTTTTGGTAAAGACCAGATCGCCTTCACCGCGATTAAGATTCTGCAGTACGTAGATTGTCTCCTCGATCTCTGCGTCACGATATGCGAGCTTCTGGAACCTCCAGTCATCGTTCGACAGACCAGTCTCTGATGTCTCAGTTCGCAACTGGTCCGCTCTGAATAGCACAACATTCCTAGTTCCATTCGGAAGATGCACTACCGAGCCGGGGCAAGAGCCATCTCGATGTTCAATCGCCGCCACAACAATGCCGCGACTGGCAAGCTCACCGCAATAGGCTGTGTAGTCTGTTCGCGAGCTTACATCACCGTGCGACATTACGATAATGGGAAATTGGTCGGACTCGCTATCCTTTTCCGAGGGCTGCAGTAAAGGAACATCAACCTTCGCTGGAATATCGATACTTCCAGCAAGACCCCAGAGCGCAAGCGTAAAGAGCGACCGCGAAAAAGCGTTGTTGAAATGTGCTGCTGTAGCGTAGCCTTCTGCAATAAGGCTGATAGGTTTAGGGAACCATCTGTGCCTTGCTTTGTAGCTCCTCGCGCCTTTCACGGCAGGATAGTAGAGCGTGAAGAGCACTGTATCAAGCTGGAAAGCCGGTTCGCCATTCTTCAAGAAAGTAGTATCATTGATTCTCCGTGGTAGCTGAACAGGCACTTCCACATCAATAGCGCCGACTTCATGAGGACCGGTATAGCCTGGCAGCTTCGAAGCGAAAAGAGGGGACCAGACAATGTAACAGTACAGGACGTACAATGCTACTAAGGAGCAGAGCACGTAGCCAACAGTTAGGCGGGGCCGAAGTAGCACCGCCACTCGATCTAGCCAAGGTGAAGATCGGGTATGATCGAGCCATCTAGGTCGTACCGCATCCATGGACTCGTTCGCTTTCCGAAACCATTTCTTCACCCAGAGCGGTGTACTCCGTGACCACTTAGACCCAGGGTCAATGTCGTTGAAGAAGCTCCTTGAAGGGTCGCTGTCACCCAACGCCGCTGGAAGTGGCAAAGGCTGATCAGGATCTTCTGGGTTGACTAGAACGCCTTCGTCTTCTAGTGGCTCCAATTCAACGTTGTCGTGGTAGGTCGTGTATGGCTGCGACATCTCCTGTTGACCTCATGGTGACTTTACCAGGGTATGTTAAACCGCCATAAGCGCAGCTGGTGATGTCCAGAGTACGGATCGCGCTCGGAACGAGACGGGACGGGCGTCATAATCACGTGTTTATCCAGCCTTCTCACGCAACGCTTCATTCATGACCAAAAACATGCACATGCACTCACCTCCACGATCTTGGTCGATAAGATCCGGGCTACATATTACCAGTACGGTTGATCAAAGGCGCAAAAGGCGCAGATTGTCCACAACACTGTTTATCTTCCCACTAGCATACTCGCAGCCACCCAATCTTTTTCAGCTAGCTGCACAAAAGACGGACACAGCGGACGTAGAAATACATTCTGGGATACCTTTGTGCCCTTTGACTACAGGCCAACCCTAATTCCGCTCAACGTCAAACCGCTCCACGTTCCAGGGATGATAGACGGTCAATATTATGGAAAGATATACTAGCAGGATAGCACAGGTCAGCATCTGGGAGGGAGAGTCCATACGGTTTTGACCGCGACGATGGCGGTACACACACTTTAGATGGCAGTCTTAGTATTAGGATGAGAGCATGACACTAATGATATTCCTTGTGTTATCCAAGTCTACTCAACAGGCGGGGGCGCGCCTGTTCCGTTGCTGTCTTGCTAGGCGAGGACGCAGGACTTCGCCGCAATTTTCGAATCATTATTGAGAGGAAGCAGAACAACGTGCTCAGGAGATCGAACAGACGCTGTGAGCCTTCCGCCAGGGTAGGCTGACTGCGGGCTGGGGGCCTACGATACGCGCTAATAGGCAGCATCATGCGCCACCTGCGCCAGAAAGGTGCCCTGACCGCGTACAACTGGCGTTTATGAGTGACACGTAGCATGAAGATTTGCCGCGGCATGTGCAAGCGCATCGTGGCGATCATGCAGCCGGCACGGGACCAAGTCCAGCAGTATGCAGCCACGAAGGTAAAGGCAGGGAACTGTACAGCGATTCGATTGCGTGACAGTTCACAGTAGCTTCAATTGTCTTCCCAAGCATGCCGTTCCGCCCAGGAGCGCTGTCACGCCTGTAAACACAATGACAGCGCCGTACTGCGAACCGTATGCGAAGCCTGCACCTCGCCACACACCTGCCTGCAGGAGTTTCTCGCTGATAGGTCCCGTCACCACCGAGCCAATACCTTTGCCAGCGCACATCAATGAGATTACCATGCCAGTATCAAGGCTATTACTGGTAGTGCGAAGTGCATTAGCACAGCCGGCCCAATTGCCAGCAAAGCCGCCGCCTGACAAGCCCCACAGCACAGCGAAAACGTATAGCATTGGCTGTGATGTAGTGAGACCCCAGAATAGGAAAACCGCAACAACGGAGCCGGCTACTGCGACGAATATGGCGGTGGTAACGTGGTAGCGGTCGACCAGCTGTCCTTGCAGGAGATAGCCACCACAGGCGGCGATGTTGAGCAGACACAGAGCTAAGGGGCCGGAAAAGGAAGGCATACCCATGTTGCGACTGTATGAGGGGATGTACAGGTTTGGTAATGGATAGGCGAGCGACATCATGATGTTTCCGGCTTCGAAGAACCAGAACGGAGGGAGCTTCATGAAGCTCCAATCAATGGGGCGGAGTGCGTGGGTTCGTGTTACGGGCAGCCGATTCTTCATCACCAGAAGGCAGGGCAGGGCAAGTATGGCCTACATATGCCGAATATTAGCGACAAAGGCTCGATGCCGGTCGATGGGTAGCTTACCATTACAACAGCCCAAACTCGCAGTGTAGTACGGAAGCCGTAGCTGTTCAACAGCCACTGCAGTACCCATGGCAAGACCGCGCTACGGGAGCGTTAGTGCTTGCAATATCATTGCTCTTAAGAGAGCGAAGTCTCACCCAGAGAAGCCGGTACCAGTCCATACGACACCGAAGGCCAGACCTTTCCGTCGCACGAACCACTCATCGATAACATACATGGCCGGGAAGTAAAGAAATAGTCCTCCGAGTGCGAACATAACGCCCTGCGTTGCCATCAGGCCGGCGGTGGAGTTGCAGAAGGATGCTGTAATGAGCGACGCCACAGTGACGACCAGGCCCATGAGCCCGGAGAGCCGTCGGAGTCCAGGCCAGCGCTGCACGAAGAGTGCGACGAATGGAGACCCTAAGTACATAATCGCTGTCGCTGTTGTGGCGATGGATGCAATGCCAGTCGGCTTTGCCGCAAATGGCTCGTGGGTCGTATAGTACGTTTGAAAGATACCGTAGCAGACTGGGAAGCTAAAGCATGGTGAGATCGGTACGCATCTCATGAGTTACGGAACCTACCCCCAAACCAACGCCTCGAGCGTGAAGCCTCCAGCCAGGGCGAGCCAGGCATCGCGCCCACCATCGACAGGTGGCAACGCAGGAGCACCCGCGCCTTCCTCTTCGAAGCATGTATCGTGCACATTAGGTAGCATTATCGCTTCCAGGCTTTGGTCGGTAGGCATGCTGTCACCGAGTTACAAACACTGGACCGGCTGAATCGAAAGGGCAAGAGTAACATCCACGAGCTGAACGCTTAAGACTTGATAGTTGATAGAATTTGGTACACGGCATGTGTCCGTTTCTGCGAAAAGTATTGGGTGCTCGCAAAATGCAGGTACGGCTAGATCTTCCCGGTATCTTCTCAAAGAAGACACAGACGCTAGGGCTTCCTCCATGATGTCTCTTAAATCATTGTAAGCCTGCGTCAGTACTATACTTAGGAGTGATGCTCGACTGGGGCTCTACCAATACGGATGAATAGTAAGAACCGGACTTCAGAAGTTGCAGGGCTGTTAAGAGATGTCTCACGTGAACGATCTCGCATTACGTAACCGGTCGGTATTCGGCATCTGAGCTATAACGTTCACTCGCATTGAGTCTCTACGGGAACAACACTTCGGATGCCATTGCAACACCGCCGCCACTCCTGACTGCAGTAGGGGAGGTGTGGAGCACCGCGTCGTAATTAACAAATACACCGAGCTGGCGCAGATCACCTTGTACAAGTGTCTGCTACTACCGCCAACATGGCGTCCGAGCGTAAGTCACTTCCTGCTCATACCAACCGCTTCACATGTACCGCACGAGTGTTTCCAACCAGCAGGCCAAATGGCTTACTTCAAATGTACGACAGTTCCGCCAGCACAGCGAGCTTCCTACTCCGCCATCATCGACGACATCCTCTCGGCTTCCGACCTTGACACCATCTCCGCCAAGGCCATACGGAAGGGTCTCCAAGCCAAGGTCGACTATGACTTGTCCCAGCAAAAGGCACGTACTTGTCACCGGCATCTTGGCTTCGCCTCTGACTTAAAATAGGACTCCATCACCGAGCTCATTATGGAGCGCTTCAACAAAGTCCAACGTGAGCGCGAAGCCGGCGCATCCGATGGCGCAGTCGAGCCAGCACCCACTACAAATGGCACCGCACACGCCAAGCACTCCCATACTGGAACTACCAATGGCGAGGTCTCACGAGCAGTCAAGCGCAAAGTCGAAGATGTGGACGAGGACGACGACCAACCCGCCCCACGACCGATGAAAGTGAAGAAGGAACCCAAACCCGAAGCCGAGAGTGACGAACAAATCGCCCGCCGTTTGCAAGCCGAATACTCCAAAGGCGCCGGCCGCTCAACCCGAGGTGGCGGCGCTCCCTCTCAACCTTCCAAGAAGGTTCTCGGCGCGAAGAAAGAGAAGAAACCCAAGAAGAAGTCCGCAACCAAGATACACTCCGACGACGACTCCGATGTCAACACCTCCTCAGCGACAGAGAAGACAGCATCAAAAGGTGGCTTCAACAAGCTCCTTAACCTCTCCGAACCACTGCAGGCGCTGCTGGGCGAGACGCAACTGTCAAGACCGCAGACGGTGAAGCGCATATGGGCATATGTGAAAGAGCGGGAGTTGCAGGACCCAAGCGACAAGCGCGAAATACGGTGCGATGAGCTGATGAGGGGCGTGTTCAAAAGTGAGAGGGTCAACATGTTCAAGATGAACAAAGTGCTTGCGCAGCACTTCTTTCCGATAGAGGAGGCGTAGGCTGGTATTGAATGCTGGGCGTAGAACGAACGGCAGCATTGCAGTGTATGCCGCAAGGCGTTGGAAGTCCTCGAAAATCGGCACCTTTTGAGGAGAACATACTGTCAAAGTGGACCTCGCAGCAGGATTGGACACTAGAAGGAGGCGACAGCATTAATGTTGATGAGTACTCACGGACTACGAAAAAACTGCACTACTGCTGCTTAGCGAGGAGTTGGTCACGTGCGGCGAGAAGTCGTACCGGCATGCTTGGATTGTGACCAGCAGATTGGGCCACAGTCAGATACTTGCTCCGCCGCTTACGGCAGAAATCACATTACGAATCTCGACCCACGTCCTCGTGTTCTCGTCCGCTGGGACCAACATAAGCTGCCGAATACTCTCATGCTTCCTGTCTTCTGCGATTCCACAACTCACGATCCGCATCTCTTACATCAGCTTTACCGGCAGCCCTGTCTGCCTTGTCCCCTTCCCACCACTGCCTTCCCTTTCTTCGCCTCCTCCTTCACTACTTCCCTCGGCTCCACGGCGTTCCCGTTCACAGTGGCCGCGCGACCCGACACCGGTCAAAATGAAGAAGAAGAAGAACCATACTCAGCCGCCGAGGCCAAGACAGCATTTATCTCGTCCTGCGTCCAGCCGTGCTCGAGCAGGCACGTCGTAGCCACTGTGATCTCTTCCCGGCCTTCGTACATAGACACCATCTTCTGCTGGGCGCCTTGAGTTAGGTAGAGGGACCCGGCGTGATTGCGGTCAGCTGAAAGGAGTTAGTGTACCTGCTTCTGCTTACAACATGTCCGTCAACGTACCACTGCGTTGTAAGCGTCCGCTCTGATCGAAGCAATTCCCGCACGCAGTATAAGGGCAGCCAGCGGGTCCGTAGTAGATGCCGTTGGTGATGCCAGTGATGCAGTGCATGCAACGCTTGATGGAGCATTGCCTTCGCCGGGTACATATATGTCTGGGAGTGAATACGTGGCAAGTAAGGCCTGCGCTGTGCCTGCGTGAAGCGGCCGCATGAAGGCAGCACTACTTTCAGGCCATATATGTGCTTGCCTTCGGTGAAGGTGCGAGTCAGCGGTGGAGAGCGGATTGGGAGGTCGGACTCGTCAGTGAATGCTACCACTCGAGGGTGTCACACTGCACGCTTCTCTGTGTTGTCCTGGACAAAGTGGAGCGGTTCCATTGGACGTTGCGCGCCTGCCTGGGACATCAACAGCAAATGGTTCCGCCACGCCGTGATTTACTCAACACAGAAGCGCTTCGTGACAAGTGGAAGTAGCGTCGTGCGACCGAAGTAGAGCGAAGGACATATCACACGACGAAAAGATCGAGCCCGTCGCACCATTTGCTTGATAGTCAGCTATCTTTCAGCGTAATTGGCCTAGTGCACCACGACCTGCAGCAGCGTAATACATACAATCCGCAAGCCTTTTAGCGTCCGCTTCTGCTTTCGAACCGCCAACGCCGTCGCTAATGCATGCATGCACTTTCTACACCGGTAAACGCCCGTATCGTCGGCAACCTCTTCTGGGTCGTCCTTCCTGACGTCCTGGTTCACAAGACGAGTGCTCACAGTCCGTGGCTAAATGCGATTTGCCTTGGCCCGCAAAGTTTGGGTCTCGCACGGGTGACGCGACTACTTGGTTTGGTACCTATGATCGGTCCATCGTGTGTCATTTCCGACGCAGCTCTACCGGGGTGGCGGGAAGCCTCTGCCAGCGGGAGAGAAGGCAGGATTGAATCCTGCTGTGAGGGGAATTAGCTACACACAATGTATAACTGATATGATGCTTACGCGGTGGTCCACCAAAGCCGGCAGGCGGGAAGCCAGGAGCTGTGTCGCAACGTTAGTGCCATGAGTTAGACTTGAGCATAGTGGCAGAGCTTACGAGGTCCGCCTCTACCCGGAAACCCAGCAGGTGGCGCACCAGGAAAGCCCGGAAACGGCGAGGCTCCAACACCCGCCGCAGGTCCTTGCAACCCAATCCCAGCCCCTCTGCCAGCAGGTCGACTGATACCAGGACCCGCTTGCATAGTTGCAGGTGCCACACCGCCCGGCGCACTCGTACCCAGCCTAGCAGCGGGATCACTCGGCGGTGGTCCTTCAACCGAACATGAAACAACCGTCGCGCCACGAACGATGGCGAGACCAAGCGAGCGCTTCTCCTCCGTCTCCACTGTTTGCGTTGCGCCACTTGAGCCTGGGGCGCCGGCGCCTTTGGTCTTGCGTCGCACTTTGCGGAACTCATCGCAGTCTGCAAGGACGAGGTTCATGTGCTTGTCGAAGGCGAGCATCTGGCCAACGAGCTGACGTCCGTCGTTGAGGGTTGCGCGCATGCGGTAGTTGACCTGCGCACAGTAAGTATTGCAATAGCGTAGCCAAAGCGTAAATGGGTGCTTACGAAGCCTTGCTATACTCGTCATCAGCCATCTGTTCCTGTCAACGCAGGGTACTTGTCGCGATGCACTGTCTGAACTTACCATCTTGCCTTGCTTGTTGGGGACTGCCATCTTGTCAATCTTCTAGTTGAATGAACCGTCTTCGACACTATCTCAGCCAAACGCCCACACTAGGCAGAACTCGATGTGAGGTTAAAGTCACACTGGGCATGCACATTGACAATGTTGGTGTTCACGAGACCATCGCCCGAAGTTGTTGCGCGAAAGTGAAGCTTTGACTCGCAGTTTTAGAGTGCCAAGCCATGCATGAGTCAAGCGCACCGCAAATGCAGCAGCGCAACTCCGCTTTCGAGCCCAGCATTGAGCGAGCAGCGACATCGACGACTACCATCGCCAGGACGTGAGCAACCACCAACATAATGGTACGTCCCGCCATACCTCCTCTCCCACAGCGACTGCCTGGTGGCCTGCCTTGAGCGATTCTAAGCGATAAGGTGGAACACATACTGACGGCGGCGATACTTTACAGGCAAGGGGACAATCATCGACGCAACAGGCCGACGCCCAAGGGGGCGCCGGCAACCCAGAAAAGGCCAACAACCCCATGCGCGAGCTCCGTATCCAGAAGCTCGTTCTCAACATCTCCGTGGGCGAGTCTGGTGACAGGTTGACAAGAGCGGCCAAGGTGCTGGAGCAGTTGAGCGGTCAAACACCCGTCTACAGTAGGTTCTCCAAATTTTCCGCCAGTCCGCCAGATTCTGTTCTTTCGGCAGACTCCACAAGATGAGACAATACGCTGACCAGGATCGGGCATTTACAGGCAAAGCCCGCTACACCGTCCGCACATTCGGTATCCGCCGTAACGAGAAGATCGCCGTGCATGTCACGGTCCGTGGCCCCAAGGCCGAAGAAATTATTGAGCGTGGCCTCAAAGTCAAGGAGTACGAGCTACGCAAGCGCAATTTCTCGCAGACCGGCAACTTCGGCTTCGGCATCTCTGAGCATATCGACTTGGGCATCAAGTACGACCCGGCGATTGGCATCTACGGAATGGACTTCTACTGTTGCATGTAAGTTGTGGGAAGGCACGGGAAACTATGGATTCATATGGCGGACGATAAGCTGACAGAGTGTGCGACTGTAGGACACGTCCCGGCGAGCGCGTAGCCAAGCGCAGACGCTGCAAGTCTCGCATTGGCGCTTCGCACCGCATTGACCAAGCCGAGACGGTCAAGTGGTTCAAGAACAGGTTCGATGGTATTGTGCGGTAATTCGGCGCCGCGACATCTGCAGCACTAGAGTCAACTTCGGAAAGCTGCCCATGCGGCTACGGGGAAGCGGGGGAAATGCATTACTGCGCATGGCGTCAAGAGCAACGGTTGCTGTTTGGCAGATAGCAAGTTGACAGTTACAGCTGGGCCTCTCGGAGCTTCTCACTCCCAAACAAACCTTCTTCACGAGCATGAGCAAGATCACATAATGGAGGCTTCACCATTTTCGTGGATATGCCGCTTAACCATTGATCACTGTTTCGTTGCTACTGTGCGTGGCTTCTGGCCAGGGTACGCCTCTCGCGAACGTCTTGCCCGAGGACGAGCTCCTGCACTGGCATAGACCATGCCTGGGCCGTCACGCGCGCTCTCTTTTGCAAATCCTGATGTCCTGTGTGTGATGAAGTGTAGATGTACCACGTTGGAATGGCAGGGTAAGTTAACAAGGATCACAAAGTTCAGGCTGCAGGCAGGTTTTCCGCGTACAGTGCTCCATAGGGTACATTTGCGGCGATCTATGTGGCACTTCGACGTCTTTAATCACTTTGTGGAAACCTTCTTTGTCCTCATTTCTCACGGCAAAGATCAAACAGAGTCAGCAAAGGACGCCAGTGAGCATGCAGCATGTAGCATAATCTACTCTCTCCATCGCATGAGCTCAACGCCGTCATGAGTCGAAGTCCGCCCCAAAGCTCAATCACATGTACACGTGAAATGGATTTGTACTCCCTTCTCGGACACCTCCAACTCATCGCCGCAATAAAGCGACCCGTCGAGGAGCAGGCTTCCTATATCCAGGAGAAATTGGTCTACAGAGCCACGCTTTCCATGGGAAAGCTGGCAACACAGCACTCTGGCGTTTCCGTACGAACCACGAGGGTTGTGTTGGAGTGAGTGCAGGTCGTGGCTGGCTCCGTTACTTTTTGATGTCGAACAAAAGAGGAGCGTGAGGCCGAGACGGATTTTGTGCGTGAGATGGATGACTCAGCACGGCTCCAAAACGAGGATGGCTAGCGCGGCTTGGCGGAGAATGCCGACTTCGCGTTCTGTTGGCTCTCGACCCTTCTTCCAGCACACACCAGCCATGTCTGTTCCAGCATGCGCGACAGATGCATCAATGACTGCCGCTGGCATGTCTCCCTACACCTAAACTTCAGATATGCGTCAGCTTTATTTGCAAAGCTAATAATCGTGTTACAATGGTGAACAAAGGGCGACGACTACGTGGTATCTTCACGAACAAGCAGGGCAATCTATTGTCCTCTAGGGTTCTCTTAGCGAGGCTGGCAGCAATATCGTGTACTTCCTAGAAGCTGTTTCTCTCACGGTACGGTAGTTGTCTTTGCATAGTCAACTAATCATGGTTCGTTGCGTCTCTCCTCGCGCCCTGGCGGCACATCTCCTTCTGTACTTCCTTTTTCCTTCCGCAGATTTGGCACTCGCTGCAGGCATGATTGGCGAAAGATACGGCCACCATACCACATTTACCTCGACTTTAACAACGACAGTAACAACCATGACGAGCACAATTACGCTTGGTACGCCGGGACATAAAAGCACCACGACAGAAACAGCAACAAGCACCGTCACGCTGGTACCCGCGCCATCTACGAGCGCATCACTCGCCACGGAGGCCCTGAGCAGCACGAATTACTACCGAGCACAGCATCAAGCGAGGCCGCTTAGTTGGAACACCACGTTAGCCTCATACGCGCAGAATTACGCCGAAGCCTGCGTTTGGGCACACTCTGTAAGTTTCTCATCCATCCCATCGCATCGAACGTGACATGGCTGACGTATGACCCAGGCCGGTCCTTACGGCGAGAATCTCGCGTCCGGCTTCCCTAACGCCTCCGCGGGTGTCGATGCGTGGGCCAGCGAGGAGCAATTCTACAACTACGCCGAGGCAAAGTTCACCGAGCAGACTGGTCACTTCACGCAGCTGGTATGGCTGAACACGACTTCCGTCGGTTGCGGCTTCGTGCAGCAGTGCAACAATACCGCTAGTGGTGAGGGAGTGAAGGGCTCATATCTGGTGTGCGAGTACTATCCGGCCGGGAATTATGCTGGAATGTTTCGGGACATGGTGAGGAAGTCTGGTGAAGGTGTTGATGGCCGGCTGGGGTTGAGTGGTGCTGGAGCGCAATGGGCCAGTCGTGGAGATTCATTGACAGCACTGGTCGCTGCTTTTGTGCTGTTAGCGTTCGTGGCGTAAGAGAGAGAGAGAGTGAGAGTGTGTGCGAGTGTGCTGCTGGAGCACGACTTCGAGGTCCGTATGTGTAAAATTGCCTATCCGGCTACTGAACAATGCACAACAGAATTCAATCAGAGCTGTCCGTACCATGCGCCTGGAAATGAAGCCAGAACAAGCGTTCTTCAGAGATTGCTATCTTACGGCCTTCTCCACCTGGCCCATCGCCTCCTTCACCGATCCCTCGACCTTCTTGTAGCCCTGCTGCAAGCCCTTCTCCGCCTGATCAGCCGCCTGATCAAAACTCATCTTCGCCTGCTCCAGCCCTCCTTCCGCCCCCTTTAACCCCTCCTTCGCCCTCTTCTCCAGCACTTTCTGTGACCCGCCCATATAGTGATAGTTGACGTAGCGATAACCCTGCGTGCACTGTGCGGAGAAGTTCACGACGTGGCAGCCAAAAAGAAGGTAGTTTTTGGGCGTTACAGCAAGAGCGTAGCGCATGAACACGCCGGAGTAGCCAATCAGAGCGGCGGTCATGGGCCCGGAGATGATGTCGGCGTCTTTCTGGGTGTCCATTACCGCTGCTATGGGAATCTGAAGGTGTGTCAGCAGGGGTTCGAAGGGGATGGGATGGGTGAGGGTTTCGTGGCAGAGAACGTACACCGAAGTTGGAAGCGGGCCCCCAAAAGTCTGTGTTTGCATCTTTCTGTCAGCCCTGATCCATCATTGCAGCTGAAATGTATGCGACTGACGGGTCGAACAGAAGTAGTCGGTTACTGGGTTCGCTCTTATGCGCGCATTGAGCGCCCGGACCGCTGCCACCGCCATGCTGTTGTTCTAGCCGATATCTCGGAGGTTACAATGGTTGGCGCCGCTAAGCAGGAGTCTTGCCCGAGGTAAAGCGTTGTCGAGTACGGAGTATAGGACGGTAGTAAAGTACTGTGGTATGGTGATTGCTCACTAAGCTCATCGGCGTTGCTGCATCGGAGCTTCTCCTCATCGACGCCGGCGCAGCGGCTTCCGGCTCTTTCCACAAGCGGGCCGATGCCAATTCAAGCGATTGTCGCGTGCCTTCCGTTCGCCGTTCGACTCCACCAACAGTCTTCCTGACCACATGCAAATCCCCTTCGAGATCGTCATCACAGCTGGTCCAGGATGTGCCATCATCTGTCGCAGCATAAGCCTCATACTGGGTTGGTCTCCACGGATGTACACAGAATCGCACCCTTGTGCGGGCGACGACAATCTTCCTAGCCCATGTTGCCGACGCGCATTTACGTGGTACCAGATGTATACTTACACCATGACAGTAATTCAAACAATTGAAAATGAGTGACACCGCCTGGGGACGTTCCGCATTTGCCGAAAGTGGCCAATGGGGCTGCGCTTTGCACGTCGACTTACAAATGGTAGCAAAGCATACTGCCCCCGTGCAAGCTTCACATTGCTTGCGTCGCTTTTGTTAGGAAGCGCACAAGGTGCCTACCAAACCCGCAAATTCCTTCAACGGCACCACCACGCCATTACGCCGGAGACTGGTGAGCAAGAACGACTTGAGGCGCGCTATGAAGCAGCAGCAATTCGACCCTTCTTAACAGCCGGCTTCTCCACTTCAGCATCCGCCTCGGCCTCCTCATCCAACTCCCTCTTCTCGCTCACCGCGTTCAACTCCATCTCCTTCTTTGCAAACGCCTTCTTCTCCTCCTGCGTCAGCTGTAATAATGGTCGCTCCTTCTCTGCGCTCAGGTTAAAGTGGAAGTTCCGGATGATGCTATCAGCGTCGTCAATGGCGAGGGGTCGTACATCGGCCATGGCCTTGATCTTGACCGTCACGGCCTTGATCTGAGCATCAGTCATATTAAGACCCAGCTGCTCGGCTCGGGACTTGATGGCGTTCCAGCCTGTTAGTCGCGAGGCGAAGTGGACATATCGGCTCATGCCGAAGTCGCTTGGTGTGATAATCTCGTACGTGCTTGGGTTGTTTAGGATGGCCTTGGCATGGATACCGGCCTTGTGCGTGAAAGCACAGAATCCGGTGATGGGGTTGTTGAAGGGTACGTTGACCTCGACGGCTTCGGCGACCAAGTCTTCAATCTCCTTGAGCTTCTCCAGACGGTACTTGGACTTGACATAGTCGCGATCGGCGACGATCATGCGAGCCATGAGGCCACCTAGGGGTGTTATACCGTTGCGCTCGCCGATGCCAATTACGGAAGTGTCAATGTGGGTCGCGCCTGCTTCCAGAGCGCAATATGCGTTTGCGATGGCGCAGCCGGTGTCATTGTGGAAGTGAGTCTCGATGTCGCAGCTCACCACGCCGCGGAGCGTTCGGACAAGGTCGTATACTTGCCTTGGCGTGGCGCAGCTGAGAAGGTCAGCACAATGTATGACCAGCAAGGGACGAAGAAACCTACCCAACTGTGTCCGCAATGCCTACCCGATTCACGCCAATCTTGTCCACGGCGCTGTATATCGACAGCAGGTCCACCAGGTTACTCCGGAAGCTGTCCTCCGAGCTAAAACGGATCTCCTTGCCTTGGCTCTTTACGTACTCTATCACTTCCAGTGCAGTCTCCTTGATGTAGGTCATGTCCTTGCCGTGGCTGTGCTCCATCAAGTGACTTGAGGTTCCGATCACAACGTCTACACCATCGACACCCGTCGCGACAGCCATCTTGGCATCCTCCATGTTACATCGCACGTGCGTAAGCGTCTTTGCCTTCAAACCCATTTTAGCGATGGCCTCGCAGTCCTTGCGCGACTGTTCTGATGCGGCCGGAGAGGTGAGCTCAATGTAGTCCACGCCAAACTCATCCAATGCACGTGCGATCTTCATCTTGGTTTCGGTGTCGAAGAAGGCGTTCGCGAATTGTTCGCCTTCTCGCAGCGTTGACTCGATGATCTTAAAGTTGGACACATTGCTGAGGTAGTCTTGCACCGGAGCGTATGGGTTGCTTGCTTGTGGCCGGGACGCTTGATGTGTCTCTATTGCTCTATGCATGGAATAAGCGTGTGGCCGCAGTCACTGGTACAAGGTAGATACTGACCTGTATCCGCTGTGGTCACCATTGGACGTCCCATTTGAGACACCGTTCGTATGCCCGTTCGCACCATTGGTGTGACCATTGGCCTCACCGTCTGGCACCGGGCACATCTTCGCCGTAAACCACTAACAGCAAATTGATCTCTTCGGCTTGCAGTGACTGGTCCGGGATGCTGATGTGTACGCCAACTGGAGGACTTCGAGTCGTGGCCAGTCAAGAATATATGCAGATGTGAACGGCAGTGAGTCAATGGTAGAAGTCAAGCTTGGGAGAGCTTTCGTCCGGTCATCGGTCTAGACAAGTCCCGCTTCTTCACGCGGATGACGAAAAAATTCCAGCGTTTCTGCAAGGCACAGACGCAAAGTGCGCCGACTTCGCGCGGGGAAGCCGAAAAGGGAAGGTGTGGATGTGATGGCACGTTCACACATTGAGTCGACGAAGAAACAATCGATGTTTCATTGGAATCCACACCGTGGCACGGGGCTGGCAGCATGCTGCTTGCGACATGGTACCAACCCGTTGTCTGGGTCATGAGGACCAATCCTGTCAGGCTTGTGCTAGCTGCGTTGATACATACATAGGGCGGGTCACCCGACCCACTCTGTCGTTATCTACTCTTCTGCCCTATACTTATAAGAGGATAGAGACAGTCTGCATTGAGTCAACCTCAGTCATTGAACAACAAAGGCGGGTGAAATGAGGACGGTGACCTGTGCATTGTAACTCACCATATAGCGGGTTTCGGAATTTGTCCAGAGAGTCCTGTCAGCGCTCCTTCGGCTGTGCAGTATTAGTTCTGTCCAGCGAACCTAGTTTTTGTCACGCAACAAGCGTCTCTGCATTTGTTGAATTCCACTGCGGCAATGCCCTTTCGGGAAGCAACATACGCTGACCTCATACCGGCGTCACATATTTTGAGCACAGCCTTCAAGAATGACAGCTTCCAGAGCAAATACCTTCGCCCTCTGCTGTCCAAATACCCCCATGACCTAGAAAGACATCACCTTCGACAGCTGCGCATGCAATGGGCACGTCGTTCAGCTGATCACAAGCTTTTCGTCGCCTTCAAGCCGGCCGCAGACGGCAAAGGAGAAGACTGCTTGACAGGCGTGGCGAGCTGGTCCCGAAGAAGTGCAACTCCACGGCCAGCGACTTGGTCGGTGACTGCTTGGACGACAGCTGTAGGCTACTACAACCAAGCAGAAGCCTACTTTTGGCCCGACCGAGCAGCTGATCCGGAACGTGCGACCATTCTTACTCGATCGGCGCCTTACAGCAAGCATCACTGGACGGGTAGCCGAGCAGAAGTCTGGTATCTGAATATCATTGGCGTAGATCCCAGGTTCGAAGGCCAAGGCATTGGACGTGAACTTGTGGCATGGGGCTTTGAGCAGGCGAGGAAAGACGGTGTCGGTACCAGTTGCATCGCTGCTTCAGGCCGAGATCAGTTTTATTTGGCCTGCGGATTCGATGTCCAATGTGGCATTGCAGGTGATGAAGGTCCGGATGAAGCGTTGCGCGCCGAACTGCGTAGCATAGGCGGTGGGACCATACACTTCTGGGACGGTGGGAGGGAGCCGCAAGGCGTTAAGAAGTACGGTGAAGCGTGAGGTGAAAGTGAATGAAAGCAGATCCTCGTGTAAGGGTGTGATCGAGAACTTCGGCGTGTCAACCACAACCCCATGTATGGGTTTTTAATGTGGCACGACAGCCTTTGTGAGCCGGTCTCGATTGCAGCATAGGGCACCGTTAGTTGCATAGCCACTAACATCGGCTCATTACCTTCCGCCAAATAGCACCCACAGCTTCACGCCTTCACGGCGACAACCTGAGTTTATAACAGTCATAGGCCAAGCCCAATAGCAAGCCTGAATGGCAAAACCTCTGCTCGCTTGAGACGCGCCGTACGTCCACCAAACTCCTGGTGAAGCTGTTTATGGTTCACCGCACCATCATAAACACGTATCTCGCCTTGCGTCACATACGAAATGAGCCTACAATCACCCCGTTCGACGGTGTTCCTTGTGTTATCAAGCGGCTGATCAGCGTCTTGCAGCCTTGCTGGACTGTTGCCAACCTGTGATTTCATCGGATTTGGAATGTCTTGCCTACCAGATGGGAGCGATGAAGTCTTCGCCGCTCGACGAGCCTTGTCCGCTTATATAGCCTGATTCGGCTGCATCATGGCTTTGGGAGTTGGCGTGGCGACTCTTATAGTGGTTACTTTAAAAGTACGTGTGTCAACCGCTTCCCATTGAAAGCATACCCGTACCACCACTGACGATCAATCACTAAAGCACCAGCAGATCGAGTTTGAGTTGTAGCAAAGCCTCAACAGTATTGTTTCTGAAGTGATCATAAGGCACCAGCACTGCAAAATCTATGCCGAGCTCCGCTATAACGTAGCTGATGACTGCAGGAATACATCTAGGCAGGCAGCGTGGTCACTGCCAAGTGCAGTATGACTGCAGGAAAGAACCGTCTTCGCTCAATGGCCAACCGTAACGTGTCTCCCTTCCTCGGCTCCGGGAACGAAGTGAATGTTACTGTTCTGAGACAGCGGTTTGGATTTACTGCCACAGTCAGTGATGGCTGCAGATGCACTCGCAACAGCCGTCCTCCAGCATGCTGAACACGGCACGTTCCCGCAGGATGAAGCTATCATCTCCGCCCAGTTGAACTCGGACACACTTTCCGGCTTACTGCACGAGCTGATCCAAGCTCGAACCAATGCTCAGGATGACTTACGGACGCTGAGCAAGGACACTGCGCCAGATATTGATACCTGGATTACCCGTGCGAAGGATCTGCAAGCCGACATTCAGCGGTCACGGGAGACGGCGAGGCAGATAGTTGCCGAGCATGAAGCGGGCAGGGAGCTGAGAGCGAAGGCGGAAGACACTAGGAGAAAGGTCCAACTGTTGGAGAAAGAGGTTACCTTTGAAGAGACTTTGGCGGGCACGCTCGAGCACATTCGACAAGCCAATGGTCTGCTTGACGACGTACGGGAGGAAGCTGTTCGCGGCGATGTGAAGAAGGCACTCGAATACCTGGAGGAGGCCGAGTCAAGCATTGCTGGGTTGGAACCTTTGGGCGATACGAAGGCCTACGGTCTGTTGCAACACCGAGCGAAGCAACTCAAAGAAAGCTCCCGTGAAACGGCTACAGAATGCTGGAATGCGCTTGTACATGTCGATGCCGAGCAGAGATCATTACGAATTCAGAATCACGGCCTGGATGCTAATATACCGGGAGCAGCTGTGCCAGAGATTAGCATTGATGTTGTTGTGCTCGCTGCAAAAGGGTTAGGTGTATTTGATGCCCTTTTGCAGAAGCTGAGCAAAGATGTCGAGCGTATAATCATCCGACCAAGATTGATAATTCATGATGAAGAGCAAATCGCGCGAGTGCGTGTAAAAGATGAGGAGCTGTCTCTGTTTATTAAACAGGACGATATGTCCAGTGTCGCTCTCTTCGATGACTTGCAGACAGTCATCGATTTTCTTGCAGCCCGTCTGCCCCAAGAAGTCGCTCTGCCGTTGTCAGCGATCTTAATACCGTCGATGACAGCCCAGTTGGAGGAACATTGGCTCGAGCTTGCCGTGCCGTTAGACGTGGCGGATATGTCGGCATTCCAAGACTTGCTTCATTGCGTTGGACGACTCGCTGACCGTATAGAAGGACACGGCTGGCACGGCTCGAAGGCGTTGCGAGACTGGGTGCACAATGCGCCTAGAATGTGGCTTATGAAGCGAAGAGAGGCCGTGCTCGGTGGTGTCAGGAATCTTGTCTTTACCGGACTGCGAGAGACGAAGGTAGTCGAACGTATTGAGACGCAGACGTTGAGCAAGGAAGATCACGAAGCTTTTGGTGGGTCAGCCAGTGCAGAGGGCAACGATGAATGGGACGATGCATGGGAGGAGACCGAGGAAGAAGCCAAGCCAGCAGAACATGAAGCCAAGCCGGGAATAACACCTGCTGAGGATGATGATGGCAGCGCCTGGGATACCGAAGACCTGGACGAGGAAGCCAAAAGCGGCAGTAACAGGGTTGGGGAAGATAGTGATGCATGGGGATGGGGCGATGACGAACAGCAACCAACGCAAGCGCGGAATATGACACCAAAAGCGCCACCAGCATCGGCTCAAAAGGTTAACGGCGACCCTCCACCGGAGCCGTCTGAACGCCAAATCACGCTGCGAGAGCATCTCACCGTTACTGCCATTCCAGATAGCCTGCTCTCGATTCTCAAAGACATCATCTCGGATGCGCAAACCCTCGCAGGACCCACCTATACCTCCTCGCCTATTGCGCCAGCCGCAACGGGTCTGTACACCTTACCAACACTCGCCCTCGCCATCTACCGCGCCACAGCGCCGACGGCATACGCCAAGCTCCCAACCGGCAATTTACTCATTTACAATGATGCCATCCATCTCGCCTCCTCACTGCGCGACTGGCAAGCGAGCCAACCTCCTGCCTCTCGCCTGCGCCTTGATGCGGACGTAAAGAACCTGGAAACCTTCGCCAAACGGGCTTACGGCTCGGAGATGGAAAGCCAGCGCGTCGTTCTCCGCGATCTGCTGGACGGCGCGCAAGGTTTCAGTAACTGCACGAAGCCCCCCTTCAAGCAGGAATGTGAAAGCGCGGTTGAACAAACCGTTGATCGACTTCGGGAGGTGCACCGCCAGTGGAAAGGCATCCTTTCCGACGGCGCGTTGCTGCAGAGTCTTGGCTCCCTCCTCGCAGCCGTTACCAGTAAGGCGATAACCGAGATTGAAGACCTCGGTGACATAGGCGAGGAGGACAGTCACCAGCTCCGAAGATTGATGGACACTATCTCCACTGCAAAAGACATCTTCGTGCAGCAACGGGAAGGCGGCGAGTTCGCGGACATGACATTCATCTACTGCCCGAACTGGTTGAAGTTCCAATATCTGGCTGAGATTCTAGAAAGTAGTCTGGCGGATATTAAGTACCTTTGGAAGGACGGCGAGTTGAGTCTGGAGTTCGAAGCGGAGGAGGTGGTGGAGCTGATTGAGGGGTTGTTTGCTGAAAGTGATGTTCGGAGGAGGACCATAACGGAGATTAGACGATCGATCAGGCGGTAGTCACGGCATTCTGGTACACCCTTTGCTGCGATAACGCTAGGTTGATAGGCCTGTGTCGTGAAAGCCACGCCCGTTCCATTGAATGCCGTTTCGCAGTCACTTCTCATCGTCACTGGGTTATTGTGAAGCCAGAGGCCTTAGGCTGCTGTTGAAAAGGTTTCGTAAAGGTTTCGTGAGCTGGAGTGGATGAGGGTCGTTTGAATTGTAGCGGCGGCGCAGCATGCGTGGTACGACCTTTGGCACAGAGCCCACTCAATTTGACACCCTCTCTAACGCCATTTAACGCGTCTTTAACCTCACACGCGTCGCACATACACAATATGGAAATAGACAAGTGATCTGAAATCATGAAGGACGACGATCTGCTCTCAGCACCCTCGGACCAACAGTACGTAAGTCTAGAGCGGACAGCGTCAACATACACTCCGCTTGCAACGTACAATCTTCCCAAAGGCGAGAACCGTCACTATCAGCAACAATATGCCGACATGTACTTTGCACGTCTGGCGCAACTCAAGCCTGCCGTAGAGAAGCTTGCAAGCGAAGCGTGGGCCGAGTTCGAGATTGCGGGTGAGACTGCGCTACGTAAGGATCGTGTATTGGATGTACGACAAGGTGAACTCTGCTGGGTGGCAGGTACCGTCTATATGGAGATGCCGCTGAAACCAAATGTGCTCGAAGACATCGGCAAGGAACACTGGATTGCTGCCCCGCCTCCACGGATAAAGTATGATTCGGGTATTGGGCTCGGCGTGAGTGGCGAGAGGGGCGCACATAGCGATGCGCACGGCGGCATAGGCGCGCAGATCATGCTGGAAGACGAGTCTGGCCGCCTAAGGCTGACCGGTGGATTTCTGCACGAATGCCTACTCGTGACAGGTGCTATCGTGGCCGTTGTAGGCACGGAGAACAAAGATGGTGATTTCGAAGTGCTCGATCTGCGCGTACCCGACTTACCGAGGCAGCCGGTGAGATGGGAACTTGAAGACGGTAACGGAGCACTGAACGGCAAAGCGACTCAGGAGGTACGACCAACGGCCGGTAAAGTAGCCATCGTCTCCGGTCTTGCCATTTCCGGAGACGAAGGCGATACGCTTCTTCTGGACTTGTTGCTCGAGTATCTACTTGGCGAGTGTGCCGAACCATCAATGCAGGGGGATGCGGCAAAAGTATCTCGACTCATCATAGCTGGAAATAGCCTCTCGAACTCTTCCCCAATCCCAACACGCGAGGAAGTCGTAGCTGCTTCGAAAAAGAGCGGGCGAAAGATTTACGGCTACGATAGCTCGTCGTACAACGCCGCACCTACCGATCGCTTTGACCAATGGCTTGCTGCTCTTTTGCCATCGATGCCGGTCACTCTGCTTCCAGGCGAACAAGATCCGACAAGCACGAGTTTACCGCAGCCACCAATCCATGCTGCGATGTTCCCACACGCCAGAGCCTACATGAGCTTGCCACAAGCACGTGAGGATGCTAGCTGGTTTGACAGCACCACCAACCCAGCCGAGTTCAATGTCGACGGCTTTCGCTTTCTGGGCACTGGCGGACAGCCTGTGGACGACGTCTATAAATACATCTCTGACTGCGAAGAGCGGTTGGAAATGATGGAGGCGATGTTGCGATGGCGGCTGACCGCACCCACAGCGCCTGATACGCTTTGGTGCTATCCTTTCCAGGACGGCGACCAATTTGTGATGAAGGAGTGCCCGCACATATTCTTCGTGGGTAATCAGCCCAAGTTCGAGACCGCCGTCATCGAGGGACCAGTGGGCCAACAAGTGAGGCTGGTAGCGGTGCCAAAGTTCAGAGACACTGGAGAACTGGTCATTGTGGACGTCGAGACGCTGGTGCCGGAGGTGGTAAAGTTTGAGATATTCGAGGAAGGATGAACGACGGTCATGGAGGCTTGACGTTACAAGCAATAAACGCTCGATGCTGCCCACAAGTTTACGAAGAGTCGACTGTTGCACCAGGTGTCGAGGCAACTATGCGGTGCAGGCCTGGTACTTCTGCGTGCATCGACTGGCCAATTCGTGCAAACTCTCCATCGCTCTCAGCATCTCCCTCAGTTTTCCAGACAAGGTGGCTTGGTGCTCAGCTACGACCGTATCTGCACGACCTGAACACGAAGGACGTACGAAGACGCATCCACCCGGTAGCTGTACCACAGAGACCGACGAACAGAAAGCGAGCCGAGCTGCACGTGGCAGCCACTAGAGCGTGGAAACTGCAGCCGTCCAGTAGTTGCTGCACAGCAAGCATCCAAACACTTGACCGCCATGCGTCCGGTCAGGTCCATAGAGAGTCGTCGACCGGTTAATCTCACGTCACGCTATATATGAGTATAGATCGACAACTTAACGGTGTGGATGAGCATGTTGTAGGCTTACGGCTACCTGCCTAACGAAGCGCTGGCCTACTGCACAAGCGATAGCTTGCACTTAGTTACCAGAGAGCACTCCATTCGAACCAGGATCAAGTGCATGAAGCGACAGTGCATGTTCCAGATTTAATGTCTTGCAAGCATGCAGACATGCAGATGAGCGGAAACGGCGCTGCCTTTGCAACGAGGCAAAGTCCTCATCATTAATTTCAAAAGGTCAGGTAGCGGTGCAACTCCCACCACAGTGAACAGAGCAAGCATTCGACCGTCCCCTTAGCAGGTGGTTTAAACCAACTATTGAGACAACCAACCGTACTCTCACTTCTACAGCAAATATACCCAACAGCATGTACTGCACGAGGAGTAAGCAGCTTTTAGCGGTACGTCGTGAGGAACCTCTCCATGTTGCAGGCTATCTGTCTACGGCCTGCCACGGCTGCAAAGGGGTCACAGCCGGTGTACAGTTCCACTCTATGGACGGTGGACACTGCATACACCTTACTGCATAGCGTGAAACGGGACTACGCCATTTGCAGGCTTCCATTAGTCGTACGACCAGAGCTGGCCAGTCAATGCGCAGCAGATAGAACAGATTGGGAGACGTACCCTTCTTGCTGTAAACCACTGCTATGGCTCGACTACGCCTATGTGGACACGAATGTGCGAGCCTTGAGACCAGGGCATTAGCCAGCTGTGTCCTCGATTATATGGCAACCACGCCATGCATAAGTTGTACGGAGGCGGTCGTGTTGTCCGCGTTTGTGCGTTGAGTCGCAGATGCTAGAGCTGGAGCCCGATACTTGATCGGTCATTACACGGTCTAGCTGTCTCCGCGCTGGGGTGAGCGCCTTTAGTAGACATTTCGAAAGCACTCCGCCATCCTTACGCCTTGCGTGCCTACAACCCATTCCGCCATCTAGCTGGCCGTGCATCATACACCGCCAACCTACTCCACCTCCAACGCCATCATCCCACCCTGATTCCTCTGCCGCCGGTCCGGCCTGTATCCCTGCCCGCTCCTGACTTCCGGACCCGCCATCTCCGCCTCCTTCTCAGTGATGTACTCCTGCTTCTGCTGCCTGATCACGGCTAACACGTTCACCAGACTGCTCCGCCACGTCTCCAACCGACTCGCCACCTCCCTCCACTGCTTCTCGCCGAACACCCTCTGCGTAGCGCGATGAATGAGGAACTCCTGGCGCTGCTGACTAAGCTTGCCCTCGACAAGTCCGGAACGGATACAGTCGATGACCCAACTCTCCGTCTCTTCGGCCGGAATCTGCAATTGACGGGAGATGGTGGCATAGGGTAATGTGCGTGTCTCCGAGGCTTGCGCGGCGAGGGTACAGAGTGTGAGGAGGCGCATCTTGCGGTCCAGCACGTCTTCTGACAGCTTCTGCTCGGAGAGAAAGGAAGGGTTGGACTCCTTGAAGTCCATGAAGTCGTCGAAAGATTGGTCGACAAAGAGTTCGAGGAGGTCGGACCAAGTCTCGTCGGATTTGCGCAGGGCTTGGACACTGTCGAGTGAGGTGAGGTCCTGGAAGTCGAAATGCTTCTCATTCTCCAACGCGGTCTTGAGCGCTCGTATGCTTAGCTCGCGGGCTTCGGAGGATGAGGGCTCGTCTTGAGCTGTTCGTAGTGCTTTGAGGAGGTACAGGTAGCTCTCTTCAGCAGCATCGGGGCTGTTACTGGCCGCTGCCGCTTTGGAGATTTCGAGGTATAATTTCTGCGCGTCTTCGCTGTCAAAGTCTTCACTAGTAGCCTCCCACTGCTTCACCCACTCGTCGACGTCTGCGAGTTGCGGGCGGAGGTTGATGTATGTGCCGCTCCTGCCCACCACCGTCACGATTGCGAGCAGGACGTGGTAGCGGCTCACATCCTCCGGCTGGATGGTGTTGAACAGCGTTCCCAGTATGCCGAGGGCGATGCCGTTGCCCGTCTGCGGACTGCTCGCCGAGCTGATAGGGCTGGTGAGGAAGTGACATACGCGCGGCAGGAAGATTTGAGGCTTCGGTGCTTGATGTATGAGGTGGATCAGAAGGTTGTACGCCGCCTGCAGTTCCCGCTCTGGTGCGCTGTTGAGTGCGGACGAGGCAGCGACGAGCTTCTTTAGCACCGCTTCCTTGTCCGTATCTGCTGCCCGCTCCTCAGCCGGCTTCTCTGCGTCGCCGAGGTTGGGCAGGATGTCGGAGGCGAGGTTGGAGCCTTCGCCGCGGATGGAGTCGATGTATGTCGCGAGTTCTTGGGCAAGCTCTTCGAACGCCCCCTCGACGAGCGAGAGGCGCGGGAGACCCGGCATCCCGGCGATGAGTCTATACGTCTGGTACTCCTATAACACTTCCTATGAAGCTGCGCTTTCGACCCTCTTCCCAAGTGTGTCGCGCTCAGGCTTGCTATATGGTTTGGTGATTATACCGTAACTGATGAAGACCGCAGAGAGGTGCTAGGCAAGACGGGGTGCACGGAGTTGGTGCCGGAGAACTATAATGTGCTACAGTCTTGTTGAAGGAGGCGCCACGGGATCGGAATAGTGAGGTGTGCCTGCCTTTCGCGGGACACGTCGATTTCGAGGTGGGGCTGCGTGAAATCTTGGCGAGCGGCCGCGTCTCCGCTTGGTCGAACTTCACTGTCTCTTCCTCCACAGCCCTCGTCCATTCATCGCTCTGGTACTAACTACTGCACCACGGCTCGTGAAGCGTAGATGTAGTCTGGTAGAAAGAGCAAGGTTTCTTGCATTGTCACAGCACTATAACCTCTCCCACAACTCCCTGAAGTTTCCTGTCTCTCCCATCGTCTATTCCACTGCAGTCTTGCAAATCTGCGCCATGGCTTCCCACTCGACTAACCACACAGACAACCTCGGTGGCATTGATACGCATCAGATGAAGGCTCATCGTGGCACCCTTGTGAATCTGGCTTGGGTTCGTGCCTCTATAGACTGTGAAGCAGGAGGAAAAGGCAGCCATCCTAACTTTCGCCTTCCCCGTCTGTTTCCCTCGCAGATCATATACACCACCGCAAAACGTCGTACATATCGCCTCCAGACTTGCGACTCTATTAAGAATGTCCGCTTCGCCTAGACCGGATGGACATGCGTACACATTCGAGGTTCTTCCATCGGCCCTCCAAACCCTCCTAGTTTGCGCCGACCATCAGCTGGATGAGATCCACTAGCACAACCAAAATATCTTGAGCACCTCAACACTGGCGGCTTCAGCCCGACCTTGCACCCTGCCGTTGACTTGGACTCACATCGTGACGTACTACAAATCCAAAAATGATATCGAGCCTGCTGCAGGAGAGATCGACCGGCATAACGGGTACGCGACCGTGGACTGGATGAGACAACCGAAGATTTACAGTGCGCTTGCTGAGCGGCAACAGGGCTTGCGGAGCGAGACGTACTTCGACAGTCTGGGCTACCAGGCAACAAGTATCTCGTCTGCCCAGCTTGCAACCCTTCGGTCAGCTTTCGCCGTGATCTTATGTTGCAAGGCTATGCACTTTCCCGCTAGGTCTGGGAATGGCAGTGATGATTAAGGCCCCAACCAACTCCATATCACGCTCCGCTTTCGCACCTCACTAATTCTCCCTTCCGTGCAAAGTTTGCAAATCATCAACAGCCTCCCGGGTTCGGGTTGATAAGGAACATGAGGCATGGATCCATCCAGATGCCGCCTTGCTTGCCGTCGACGGAACCCTCGTTGCACCTAGGGAACCGTTAGCGTCACAACAAGTCACACAGCCGCAGAAGGACTCACTCATTCACTGGGACCCAGAAGCTGTAGAAGCAGTACATGAAGTCGACGGTGATCGTACCGCAGCTCTCGACAGGCTGAGCCAGGATCTCGAGGGCGATGGTGCCTGACTCTCCGCTGCCAGGACTCGCTTCGTACGAGCTGCCTCCCGCGTTAGCACTTACTTCCTCGAATCTGATGCGAGAGACCACTTACACGCTCCCGGTCACGGCGGCAGCCTCATGCATACTAATGCTGATGCCGTTATAGTTGTTGCAGAAGATGTTGATGGCGGCCGAGATGACGGAGTTGTTGACGCCGTAGCCGCAGTTGTAGCACCACGCTCCAGGAGGGACGTATTGGCGTGGAGTCGGAAGAGACACGGTCGGATTAGGTGCGGCGAAGGGGGTGAGGACGAACCAGGCAAGGAGGAGCAGGAGCTTGAGCATTGTCATGTTCGACTGGAAAGTGAGTAGGCCAAGCTTATTGTGGTGTTGTACGCTGATTGATGTGGCGAAAGAAAGGGCGCGGATGGAGATGCGGCAAGATCCTTATATGTGAAAGAAGCCCGGCCAATGGTTGCGGTGAACGAAGAAGTGTTGCTCGCTTCACTGATTGCCACGTGCGGTAACCTGTTTGTTCGCTTTTCAGTCACTGTCCAGGCCTCACTGAGCGACCTTATCTCGGCGTTGGGAAGGCGTACTGTTCTCTCCACCCAGGAAGGCGTACTTTCCTCTCCACCATCCGCAGATGCTGGTTAAGTTTACATTAACCCGTCCTTAGCGGACCTTGCAGATATACTCTACGTTTTGAAGGACTCCGGTATCATTCACAGAAATCACAGACATTCAAGGAATCCTACCAGAAGCTTGACTATGCCGCGACAGTTATCAGACAAGCCGGAGAATGTTACGGCTCGTGCGGAGCGTGCTGCGCTGAAAGCAGCAGCTGAAACCGACCCGGCAAAGAAGGCTGAGTACGAGGAGGTTCTTAGGAAGGCCAGGGAGAGCGGTGAGAAGCACATTCCACATCTGTACAGAGCAAATTGCAACTAACACAGCCCAGCGGCAAGGGTCAACGCGCGCAAAGTCGCCGAGCTGCTCAAGCAAGAGCGGAAGCGTGAGACCAAACGCCGGTACCGAGCCGCCAGGAAGCTTCAAGCCGCCGCTGCTCAGGGTTCACCCCAAGCTGCCAACGCCGACGTTGACCATGTGGTGCAGCAAGGGGTGGACGGCCTGCCAGCTGTTGAGCCCTATGGCAACATCGCTAAGCCTGACCTGCAAGTACCGGCCATGGATACTGCCATCGAGCCCGCAAACCACGCCGAACACACCTTGAGCCATGTGCCCGGCTTCGTCCCCCTAAAGCCAGAGGAAGTGGACTCTAACGAAATGCCTCCATTCAGCGGCACAGCTACCTGCGGGGAAACGGCGTCGGCACTGGGGCCAACCATCGATCGACACGACTCCGTTATCAACAGTGCCATGGGTGACTGCAAGGGCCGTGTTATTAGCGTCGAGGACTTTGAGCGCCTCAGGCCTGCATACAGTCACGCTGGTTACTCTGAGATTGGCCACAGCTTTCGTCGGTCTACGATGACCCAAGCGAGTGACCGAATGAAGAAGGCTGAGCTTCTGCAGCTGCAGCTCAAGGAAGCACAGGCGAAGGCGGAAGCGGCGAAGCTTGAGCGAGAGATGTGGGAGCTGGAGAATGGAGAGGACAGTTGAGGAGCAGGCTTTAGCATGCGAGAGGTACCTCAGGCCCCAAGCAGAGTCTCGATGAAGCGTTTTATGGTTGGCCGACAGATATCAACACTTTCAGAAACGTCCGGTGGCGAACCTTATTAAGTACCTCGAAATTCTTGTTCTATTGCATCTGATACCAATGCTGCTGTCCGTCCTCAAGTCTAGCTCTTCCAATTTGGTGCACGGATCACAGCCGTGTGCACGGATGAAAAGTTTTTTAGAAACGTCACGTGACCTACAAAGTGTACTTCACTCGAAGGCATCTGACGGCAGCCACATGCACCACGTGACAAGATACTGATCCATCGCCAAGGCAGGCAGACGATGATGCATGCAGAGGTTGATTTTACTTGCTACCCACATCCTACATACCCCAAGTCCATGACCGCCATAAACAGGACGCATTGCACACTGTGGTATCACAAGATTATTACAACACCATCTTCCCTCTCCCAATAGAAGCCATATCAACCTCTCCACCACTCACCAGTCATCACACCTCTTCCTTAAATCTAGTCTCCCTGACCGGACTCGAACTCTTCGCATTGCTCCCAGCCAGCCCCAAGCTCGGCGGCGGCGCCAAACCCTCGTCGAAGTGATCCCTCGCCTCCTCAAACTGCTCCTCCTCACCTTCCTCATCATCACGCATCGGCTCCTTACCCTTTCCAGAAGAGCTAAGCCCAAGCTTCTCCATCAAACCCGTTTTCGGCTTGCCAGCTCCAGCTCCGCGACCACGCTCAAAGTCCTCTTCGCCGAGGCCGGACGAGACGTCGTCGTTGTCTTCGACGTCACCGGCGCTGCCTGCGTGGCGTTGGAAGGAGGATGGGGATCCTTCGGCTGCAGCGGCGGGGTTGCTGGCGATGCCTGAGACGTGCGTGCTGTCGCCGGTGGGTGCACCAGTGCCCACGTGCTCGGCTGGCTTTTCACTCGTGGCAGCGGCGGCGGCGGAAGTAGTGGTAGCACTACTGGTCGCAGTGCTGGCGGTAGTAGCTGGTGCCACCGCCTTCTCCTTCTCCTTCTCCTCCGCCTTCTTCCCACCATGCCTGAACTTACTCAAGAACCCACGGATACCCTTCGACTCATTCTCGGCCTGCTTACCCTCCTGCTTCTCCTTCGCCTTGAGATCCTCTGGATCCTTAGGCTGCACGCGCGGGTCAACAATATTCGCTATGTCGCTCTTGTGAGGACCGATGGTGTTAGGAGCCGGTCCAGTCTCGTCTCCTTCCTTCGCATCCGTACCGGTTGCGGAGGTAGTTGCGGAAGGGTTGACAGCGCTCACGGCCTTGGCGACATCGTTGCTCGTAGGAGCTGTAGATGCCGTAGATGTAGTACCCGTCGCAACTGTAGGCTCTTCCCTTTGCAAAATCGCAATATCAGCCGCCTGACTCGAGCCAGGTCCATCCAGCACAAGTGGGATGACACTCCCTATGCGGCCGGCATCAGCATCTGGGCTACCCTTCGGCTCAGCCGCAACCTTGGGGTCAAGCCAATTCGCCGTATCAGTCTTGTGCGGGCCTTGCGTGAATAACAAAGCCCTGTCGCCTTCCTCGTCATCAGCGCAAGGATCCACTTCGGCGTGCTGGGTGCCGACGACGGGCATACTGTTAGCAGCTACGTCGGTGACGGTGGCTGCGCCTGTCTCGTGAGGGTGGGCGAAGTGCTCTCGGCCCTTCTCAGCCAGCTCCTCTTCGTTCTTCGCCTTACCTGTATCAACCACATCCTCATCCTCGTCCTCGTCATCGTCTTCCTTCTCCCACTCCTCAACCTCGTCACCCACGGTTGTGCCCGAGGGACCCGCAACATCCTTATTGTCAACGACAGGATGAAGCCCGTGCTCCGCTTCGTCCTTCTCACCTTCCACGACCGGTACACCACCCGTCGCGGCACCTGCAGCGCCGGCAAGCGCCACAGTAGGCTTAGTCTCGGTCTCCGCCTTCTCGTCTTGCTTATCGTCGCGACGCCATTTGCTCGCGAGCTTGGTAAGGGTACCAGCACGCTTATGCTTCTTCTCCTCCTCCGCGCCATCAGGTGTAAGAGTGGCGGTAGCATCCTCCCGCTTGATCTCTCTACTTTTCCGCTTCTCCTCCTCTTTGCGCGCCTTTGCTTCTTCCTTCTCATGCTGCTTGGCGACCTTCTCTTCATCTACACCAACACACAAATGTCAGTTCACGCTCACATCCCAACCACACCGTGGGAAACAGAGGGCTGGGGAGTACTCACACTTCGCCCGCCTAGCCTCCATCTTTTCCTGCGCCTTCCGCTCCTTCTCCTCCCGCTTCAACCTCTCTTCCTCCTCCTTCTGCTCCCTAATCTCCTGATCCCTCGCTCTCCTCTTCTCAGCCGTGTCATTAATCTCGTCCAAGGTCGGCTTCAAGCGCGCCGCCGCGATGGCTTCAATCTCACTCTGCGCCATGAACTTGCCACCACCAATGTTCACTTGACCCGGATGCGCAGCCCGTTCCGCCCTCTCTTCTTCCGCGCGCTTTCTCGCTTTCGCCTCCCACTCCTCCATCATTGCCGGACTGACCTTGCCCGTGTCCGCGAAGACCTTCTCGTCCATGCTATGCATCTGCGCGTGCACTTTAGCTTCCGCGGCTGCAAGCAGGCGTGCGCGGTCATCAGTGCGTTTCTTTTCGTCCACCGATTGCAGGCCGGAGTTGAGTTGCGACATCTGACTACGGATACGGCGCGCATTTGCTTCATCGTCGGAGTCGTCTGGGTCGGCCTCGGCGCTGTCGCGGTTACGTGGACGACGGCCGCCGCTCATTGATAGACGTGATGATATGGACTTGCGTGGGGCGGCGGTTTGATCTGGGTAGCCGTAGTATTCGCGGTACTGCGCCTGCTCAAAGTTCTTATCGATCTTTGCGAGACGCTCTTGCGCAAGCTTGTGCGCAGCGTCCTGAAGGTTGATGTAGCGGAGCGCTTCCTGCTTCATGTCGCGTTGTTGACCGCTTGGTGTAGCGGCGGCGAGTTCTTTGGGCGTGAGATCGGATCCGAACGCGGTGCGGTTTTGATGTTCATACATCTGCTTAGCCATGCTGACAGCGGAAGCGCGGAGGGCGGCTTGGTGCTTCGCTTCGTCGTTTCCTACGTCGACGGGTGGGTGTTCAGTGAACATCTCCGGCTTCATGTGCAGATGGGTGACACGGGCGGCTTGGTTGGCTTCGCTGTCCCACCCGTCGGGCATCAGTTTGCTGTTGGTGGTGGCGTTGCTGTTGTCTCTACGGTGGACGGAGGTTGCTGCGTTCAGCGCATTGTGGCCGGCGTTCTCCGCGTCGGGATACGATGGTGGCGCGGAAGGAGGTAGCGTGCCGCTGCGATTGATGGATAGGTTGGCGGCCTTTAGAGAGTTGGATTTGCCTTCAGGCGTATACCCGCGATCGAGCTGTGGACTCAGACCCTGCGCGCCGCGCATCGCGAGTACGGCGGCGGAATTACCGGCCTTGCTGGCGGATGGCTGCCACAGGTCGAGTTTTGGGCCTTCTTTGTGCGCGAGGAGTGCTGCGCGGGAACCGGCGGAGCTGAGTTCGGGTTGCCAGAGCTCCTGCATCTTGTAGTCTTTGGCCAGGTTGGCCGCTTTCAGTCCGGCGCCGTCGCCGACATGGCCAGTGCTGGGAAAGGAAGGTAGATCTTGTGCTCGCGCGTACTTGAGCGATGCGGCAGCGCCTATTGTATACGTGTTAGTGAAGCGCTGATGAATCTTGGCCTTCGCGGCGCAACGGACTTCTTGACGAGAGCTTGCCGTCTGCTCCAAGCGGGTCCTCCTGTTTGCGATCCGGGTGCGTCGCATAGAGCGCTGCGGTGGACGCTTGCTCGGACAGCTTGTGGTTTTGCTCATGCACTGATGGGTCCGGGCATGGCACCTCGCCGGGCTTCACGCTCGCTGGCATCGCCGCCATCGTCGCTGTTATTGCGCCGCGCGCTCAGGCGTAATGAGCCGTCGCTGTGAAGCTGTCCGATCTTGAACAGCTCTATCTTAGCAGCGTCGACAGCAAAACGTCGACCAGTTTACGGCGGTGGTAGGAGTCAGTGCAGTGCAGAATGGTAGGCTGTAAAGAAGTGTATCTCGGGAATGCCGTCACCGTCGTCGCTCTGGACACCGCAGCCACAGGAAGGCGACGTCATCCCGCCTGTGGCGTGCCACATTCCGTGTGCTCCGCGGCAAAGCAAACCCACCACCGCCCACCACCGTGCTTGTCTGAACGACACAGACCTTCCTCAAGGCCAAAGTCTATGACTACAGCTACACTACATGACCGTCCACAGCAGCTGTGATCCGATGGCCAGATGATGGCTAGATATCAGACTCTTGTTCGCATTTAACACGTTCTTGGCGCTGTCACAGATGATCTGCAGCGCCGTTGTGATCGCTGCAAGGAGAGCGGTCCGACGGCTGCCTCCGCGTTGCTCACTCCCACTTCACCTCGCTTGACCACGAGTCTGCTGGTCGATGTCCAGTCTCTTTCTTAAAATCGACTGTGCTTGTCAACATTGACTCCCCTTCCCAGTCGTTGCTCACACTCAATTATACTTGCATTTGCTTGCGTCTGCTAGCCACTGTAGTCCACTGTAGTTCTTAGGCTCTACTCTGCTTCCCACGCTCCCCTACGCTCCCTACGGAATAAGACCTTCAATGTCATACTCAAAAGTATATAATGGCCACTTCCAGGCCTGACAAAGCATTCGACAACATCATCAACTTCCGCGACCTCGGCGCTTTCGTTAGTCGAACGACAGGCCGTGAAATACTGAAGCCCGGCCTCCTCTTCCGCAGTGCTCGTCCCGATGCCGCCTCCCCCAGCGACCGGCACCGCTTGATTTCCGAATACAAAATCAAGACTGTCATCGACCTGCGCACTGAGACCGAGCGGATTGAAGCTCGACGCAAATTCGCCTCTCGTGTACCATCTGCACCAGCCGTAACTCCGTCCGATCCGACCTCCCCGCTAAAGATTCCGGGAATAACATACCGCGAAATCGACTTCAACGGTTCCGCTTATACCAACGCGTTGCTCGAAAAGCTTACGTACTACCAGACAGCCCAACTCTACGCTTTGTACATCTTGGGCTACCGTAAAGAAGCCATCTCTATCCTAGGCTCTAATGTCCTCGCAAAACGCGGGCTCATCGGTCTTGCGGAAGATAGCCTGAAGCACTGTACCGCTCAAGTCCTCGCTGTCTTCAACATCCTGTGCGACCAGGAGTCGTATCCCGTGCTCGTGCATTGTACGCAAGGCAAAGACCGTACAGGCCTGATCATCCTGCTCGTCTTGATGCTGTGTGAGGTCCCACTCGAGGTTATCGAGCAAGACTATCTGCTCAGCGAGCGCGAACTCGAGCGGGAGAAGGAGGAGAAGGTTAAGGAGATCCGGAGTATTGGGTTGCCGGACAGCTTCGCGGAGTGCCATGCTGATTGGGTCAAGAAGGTTAGAAGCTGTGTGGATGATAAGTACGGTGGGGTTGAGGTGTACCTGGAGGGTTGCGGTCTGAGCGCGAGTGCGCTACGGAAGCTCCGTGCTTTTCTTACGGCGGCATCTGAGGCCAAATAATCCGGACTTGCTTCGGCCTGTGACATTGAACATGCGCGCAATCCTCGCCGTCGCTTTGAGGAGGACTCTCCAGAAACGAGTTCAGCACGAATGCCAATGGCAGGAATGGCAAGTTACAGGCGTATGAGCTTGTACGTTGCTATATCCTGGCCACCGCCAACAGCGGCAGCAGCTCACTGTCCGCTAACCCTGAACTAAGTACGCGTTGAGCACCTAGCTGCTTGCCCTAGTCCACCGTGTTCAGCTCAGGTCATCCATTCCAGTGCCCACAAGAAAAGGCTTTGTTCGGTTCTCTTACGATCCGTGTTGAAGTTTCTTAATGCTCCCTGCCGCACAAGACTCAGTCAAAGATATGGCTGACCGTGATCGCAAAGCCAATGATCATGCGGAAGACTGTGTTCACTGTGACGACAACCATGAACACCGCCAAGGACACAGTCACGATCCCCACAGAATAAAGTACAGCGTTTATCGCGAAGGTTGCAGCACGTCCACGGCCAGCAACGCGCTGCTCCTGTCCGGGTTCAAGGCGTGCACGCCGTGAAGGTACTGGCTTTAGAGCGGCACCGGTGCGAAGAGGCGCAGTCTGCGGAGCCTGTTTGTTGCGGGCTTGAGCCTTCTGAACACGGAGGACAGCGACGCCGCCGTTGTAGCCGGCGTACCCTGCTCGTGGACGGTTGCCAAGGTGACTGGCACGGTAGTCACAGGGGCTACCACGGTCCCGCAGTTCGTACTTCCCTGTGCTAAGCTGTAGCACACCCGTCTGAGGGACGTTGTTTGCTGACAACAAGGTCAGCATTAGTCGCCGGCTGTTAGCATGGGGCCAACACTTACTGCCTGCTAGATCGGCCTTGCTCTCCAACGCAGTGTCCTCGACGGGTTTACATGTAACTAAGACAAAGTGAGCCACATGCCTTAGAACTATTGCTCCAAGCCATGGCTTACCATTCTTAGGCCTGCCTGGAGGGCGCCGGGGTGTCTGCTCTTCCTCGTCCGAGCGATCACCTGGTTTGACGGCTCTACGTGGCATCACTGCTACTAGGCGCCTTGCTAGTAATTTGATACTGTCAGCAACTTGAAGCACTTTGGGTCATTCCTTCAAGTTAACCTACCTTGGAATATTTTGGTTGCAGGAGTCTGTGTTTCGGCGAGCAGAGCACTACAACGTAGACTGGTTCAATCGAAAAGCTTGCGAAGGTGCGGGACCGGGCCGCAGCTCAGTTATCGTATGTACCTCTCATGGGGTGCATTATTTGCCAGGCTGGCTACGGGGTCGTTTGACTTAGACGGAGGAAGGCGACCAGGGAGTCGATTGGTATCCCTCTCCTGCCAGCTTTCTAGAGTATATTGAGCAATATCAGAGGCGATCATTATCAGGTGTACTCTTAATGGTTTTTTTTTTGCGCATGGCTGCTTTCAGTGGAGCCACCTGAGTAGAAGAGGATGGCCCGGAAGCTTCCGTCCAGAAATGGAAGGCACAACTCAGCAAACACAAACGAAAGGTATGCAAACTTTGACATACAGGACGGATAGGGTAGAACTATCATCTCCGGCGCTGCTTCCAAATATTGCTCAACCCTTCAGGCATTCTTGTGCTGAAGGCTCAGGCCTCGATACGATTGCGTAACAACTCTGACGGTTGTTTTAACAGCGAGCCGTCGATGCGCTCCCAACTGTCGCTACTAGGAGTACTACCCGCTTGAGGCACATTGCGTGCTTACATAGGTGCGCTGTAAAACGACTTCTCCCACACCCAGGCTGTTCAGTTGCTGGTTGACGTACTTGGGCGATGAAAACGTCGATCCCTGAGCCGAGTCGGCAAACTTGAGCCTTGTCTCCACGGCCGTAATTACGCTGCTTCGACTGAGACACTCTCGCTTGATTTGGTATGAGTACAAGAAGCGTATACCTCTGCACTGGCAGAATGGGTAAGACGTACAACTCAAACTACAGTCGAGCTGACAACGACAGAGCAGGTCGTCGTTGTCTTCATCATCGGTTCTGTCTCACTCTGGAACCTCTGGCGTGGCTATACGTAATCATAGGGCTTGATGCCACGAAGCGTCACAGTGTGATTGCTTTGAATGCATACGGTATCTGCTTCTGGCGGCAGTAGCATTCAAGGACTTCATGCCAACTGCAGCTAATGTGCTGCGACTCTTCTTGAAGAAGGGGTTGAACTAGGGTGACAGCCGCATGCGCCAATCCCACAAATTCTCGACCCATACACCGCAGCCGTTACAGATCGATATTGGTAACGTTGAGATATTCGGCACCGGAGTGGCGTACGCTGTCTCTGTTGAACCGCTCTTCCAAAGCCTGTCATCGCTGTGTGTCGTGTGAGGTCACAGCGCTGACAGGGCGTTCATGTTCGATCTCGGTCGCGCCATCTTCTGCCGTCGCCTCACGCTCGTCTTCGCCATGAGCACCTTCGGCCAGCTGCCGCCCTTCCTCATCTAGCGCGGTCATCCGAATGACAAATTCCTTCTGCAAGTCCTTCAACCACTGCTTGAGATCCTCATCGCTCATCGTTCCCTCTTTCACTTGCAGCAAGTGCTCACGAAGATTCAAGATCAGCTTTCTCTTCCTCGCGTTCAGGACCGCAAGCGAGCTTCTTTTCTTCTTTCGCGCCTGCTGCTCAAGAGCCAGCGCCACGTGCTCGGCATGTTCGATGACGTCTGCTGGTAAGGGCAGGACCCTGGCAAGCTTCAAGCCGTAGTGCTCCTCTTGCACCGTACCCACAGAGACGCGGTAAAGCATCTCAATTCTATCCTGCTCGCTAGAGTTGACGGCAAGATGCAGGTTCTGGACGCCGTTGCGCTCAGCCATAATGGTTGCGATGTCACGGAAGTGAGTTGCGAACCACACTAAAGCACGGCTTTCAACAAGCGCTTCGGCGATGGCGAGAGCGATGGCCAGACCGTCTCGGGTACCTGTGCCACGGCCAAGCTCGTCAATGACGGCCATGCTGTTGCGGTCGATATTACGGAGGATGAAGGCTGTCTCGCGCATCTCGGCGGCGAACGTAGACACATTCGCTTCGATATTGTCATCTGTTGACACGCGAGCGAACAGTTGGCGGATGATGGGAAAGGCAGCGTACTGCGCTGGTACGAAGCTCCCAATCTGCGCCATTACCGTCATGAGAGCGACGGATCGAATGTAGGTGCTTTTGCCGCTCATGTTACAACCCGTGATGATCTGAAAGCGGTTTTGTTGGGTAGTGTAGACGTCATTCGGGATGAACTTCGCCTGCTGGATCTTCTCACGCATCGGGTGGCGGCCGGCTCTAATGGCGAGTGTGCCATTGGTGATGGTAGGCCGCACATAGTCTTGGCTAGTGACAACCTGCGCGAAACTGGACAGCATATCAAGCATGGCAATGCCTTCGCAGATTTTGAACAACACAGAAATGTGCTCTCTAATGTCTTCGATTAATTGCTGAACCGACCTGTCACTCATCATCAAGACTTCTGCATGCGCATCAGCAATCTTCTGGTTAAGTTTAAGCAGGTCAAGAGTTTGGCACTCGATCAGATCTTTCTTCCGGAAGACGTTAATGAAGACAGCGGGCAGGTTGCGCTGCTCAAGCTCTTCAGCGCGAATTCGCATGTAGAAATGGCGACTGCTGTCGAACTTAGTCTGCAGTGTCAGGCTATTCTCTTCTCGAAGATCCGTGATATGCTTTATTGCATCGGACATTGCCTCCTTGTAGGTCTGACGTGCAACATCAAGCAGCCCGTTGACGCCGGACTTGACTGCATATGTGCGCTGGTTGCGCAGATCGAGCGGCTGCGTAGCGTAGGTAGTGTCTTCATTAATAGTGCTATCGATGAGCTCCTGTATACGCTCGACATTCTCGACAGCGCACAAGCGGCGGATGTGCTGGAGTAGATCACAGCGTGCGCCAGTCAAAGCTTCAAAGACGGGCTTGATGAAAATGACAGACTGCTTCAGCATTATGACGTTGTTAATGGCTTGCTCAGTATCTTTGAGCGTAGGCTGCATGGGGATGAGGATGAGCTGAGTGAGCATCTTGTCGACATCGAGGAACGGCTTCAGCGACTGCCGCACATTGAAGAACATCTCCTCCTTCGTGCTGAGTTCTTCTAAAGCATCCCAACGGCCAGTGAGTGTCTCAGGGCTGGTCAACGGCTGGAGTATATTGGTCCGCAGGAAGCGGCTACCCATCGGAGTAAGCGTCTCGTTGAGCAGACCGAACAAACAATCTTTAGATTTGGAGTGATGGAGGTTCTGCACAAGCTCGAGCGAATGGATGGTGGACAGGTCGATCATCATCGAACCTTCGGACGGCTCATATTTAATGCGCAATGAGCGGTCAGGAAATCTCTTAGTCAAGCCAAGCTCGGCATATTTCAACGCAGCTGCGAAGCAGCAAAGGGCATAGTAGTTGCCGCTGACTGCGGTCTTGATCGCTTCGACGTCCTCGGAGAAGGCGAGTCGCTGAATATACTCCACTCCCGTCGTCTCCGCCCAATATCGCCTGTCAAGGAGCGTGAGATTAGATTGGATCTCCTGCAGGCTGTCCTCGATGATGGAGAAAAGCTTCGACTTCGGAGCAGATGCAGAAGATACAATCAGGATGTTGGAAGGGTTGTATACCATGAGCTTGTGGATAGTTCGGACATATGTTTGGCTGTCGCAGATTTGACTTAGTACGGCTTCGCAGGTCTCAGTGTTCACAAAAGCTAGTCCTATTGTCGGTGATATGCCGCGGGACTCGCTGACGGCGCAAATGATTTCCTGGTTCTCGGCTCCGAGTGTGGATACACCCGTGCGTGGTCGTGCTGTGCTTGGACAAGCTGCGCTGAGACGGGCGGTCTGGGGGCGAGACAGCGTCGTGTATTCTTCTGTCGTGGTGGGGTACGGGTTATATGCGCTTGTTCGTCGATGCGAATTGTTGGTACTCTGAGGGGTCCCATACTGCGTACTGATCAGGTTACTTGTGCTGCCGGTGCTGTAGGAGCTGGAGCTTCGATTCTGTGATGCCATGTGAGCGTAGTATAGCGAGCATGTCAGTTGCTCTGAATAAAGATGCAAGGAAGGCGATCGAGGTGAGGTGAAGCGAGGACACGAGGTGCAGCGTGTGAAGGCAGAAACCTGACTCTCAGCTTTCGCGTCTCGCGCGCAGTAACCTCACTTCCTGCGCGTCTCGTCTTAGACGAAACAGTAAGTCTTAAGTTATAAATGCTATCACTGTTCATGAGCGCGCTACTACTGCAACCCGTGCGCACCAGTAAGGCTTTCCGTAACATGAACAACATGGAACCATAAGCGTTCGTACGGTCCAGCTCATCCATGACCTAGACCTGTACAGAACACGCAAAGATCGATGCAAGACCTTCGCGTGCATGCTTTCATCATCATTTTAGTCCATGTGTAATAATAAGCTGCGCTCGCCACTTTGCATACACAACACCTGTGTGGGGAAGCTGTCAACGGACACGGGAGTAAGAATGGGTTGAGCCTTCAATCGAAAGCTATTATTGGTACTTCTCGCAGCGAGCGCGTAGAGCTACCATTCAGGAGCACTGTCTTCGCACGAGATTGTTGCGAAAAGATGTGTGATGTTGAAGGATTATCGTGGACGGGTGGCCGAGCGCTTCACCGCCCGGCGCGGCAGTTTCCGCCGCCGCCACCCATGCTTTCAGATAGCCGGCAGTATCTTTGAATTTGTTACGATTTACTATCAACCGAAGGAAAAGTTCCCACTGGACTGTTTGACATCCTGAGACCAGATTGCGGGAAATGGCCACCGTACTCCCTCCGCCATCTAAGCGGCAAAAGCGGGAAGAAGTCGAACGCGCCAGTCAACAGATTGAACAACCAAACATATCAGAAGTGCGAGATATCAATGTCCAGTTCCGAGACGCAGACACCGGCGCGGCGCAAGGATCGGTCGTTCGCCTGTCACTCGCAGATCTACGACCTCAACAACTGTCACTGCTTTTGAATAGCTTACTCGAACGGGACGCATCAGAGCGACTACCATACCGTTTCTACAACCCACTCGGCGATGGCGAGTTCAGCCAGGAGCAACTCATAAAGCAGTACCTCGATGGCAGCCTTACTACCGAATTAACCCTCAACATTCCTTGTCGAGCGGAAGCCGTCTTCAAAGTCCGAGCAGTAACCCGATGTTCGGCAAGCGTAACCGGCCACGGCGAGTCGATTCTGACTGCGTCGTTCTCGCCAGCAAGCTCATCACGACTAGCTACTGGCAGCGGCGACAGAACGGCACGAATATGGGACTGCGATACCGGTACTCCGCTCCACACTCTCAAGGGACACACAGGCTGGGTCCTCGCTGTAGCCTGGTCACCCGACGATGGCGTGCTCGCGACGGGGAGTATGGACAGTACCGTACGGCTGTGGGATCCCGTGAAAGGCACCCCGCTCGGTGCACCTCTCAAAGGCCACACCAAGTGGATTACAAGCATTTGCTGGGAGCCTTACCATCTGCGCGATCCTGGCCGGCCGCGGTTAGCATCTGCATCGAAGGACTTTACGATCCGGATATGGGATGCTGTGAGCCACCATACCGACCTCGCCCTGACAGGCCACAAAGGCACCGTCTCATGCGTCAAATGGGGCGGCCAAGGCTGGATCTACTCCGCCTCTCAAGACCGCGAGGTCAAGATCTGGAACTCCGCGACCGGAACGCTCGTACACACGCTGAAAGCTCATGCACACTGGGTGAACCATCTCGCTCTATCGACCGACTTCGTCCTACGAACAGGCTTCTACGACCACAAGGGCAAGCGCGGCGACGTGCCCGACATCGTCGATGCGAGGCGGCGGAAAGCGCGCGAAAGGTACGAAGCCGCTCTTCTCCCCGCCGGTGGCATCGAGCGACTGGTAACTGCCAGTGACGACTGTACGATGTATCTGTGGGAACCTTCAAAGTCTACGAAGCCAATACAGCGGATGGTCGGGCATCAGAAGCAGGTCAACCACGTCACCTTCTCTCCGGACGGCACCCTCATCGCATCCGCTGGTTTCGACAATCACACCAAACTCTGGTCGGCAAAGGATGGAACATTCTTGTTCACGCTTCGCGGACACGTTGGGCCGGTATATCAGTGCTGCTTTTCGCCAGATAGTAGGTTACTTGTAAGCTCGAGCAAAGACACGACGCTGAAAGCATGGGATGTGCGGACTGGCAAACTGGCGGAGAATCTGCCTGGTCATCAGGACGAGGTGTTTGCCGTTGATTGGTCGCCGGACGGGGAGAGGGTGGGGAGCGGAGGGCAGGATAAGGCGGTGAGGATATGGCGGCATTAGCACTATGTCTAATTTCGAAAGGATGAACAGAGTAGATGCGTTGTAGATAGCCTTGGTACACAGCTATACATGCTGTACTCATCTCATTTCGGGAAAGCGCTCTTCTCCGCCGCTCTGCTAGCCTCGAGCGCCCCCTTCAAGCCGAACTGAGCCGGAATACCTTCGATGCGATGTGTGCTGTTGATGTTCTTGACGAGCACGATCTGGTAGCAGGTGGCGCTTCCTTGGCGCGAGATGATGGTGCTGTAGGCGAGGAAGTACTCCCATATCTGCAGCACAAGCTTGTTAGTGTCCTGTCGAGAAGCGTTTGTCGGAGGGGCAACTTACTCTGAACCATCTGTCACCGTACTTGGCGATGACTTTGTCCTTATTGGCAAGCCAGTTCCTATACCACCGCCAGATAGTTGCCGAGTAATGCACGCCAATGGTGTCGATGCCCTTAACCTCAAAGCCTGCACCCTCAAGCTTGTCTACGAACCAGCCTAGAGGCGTGCTCGCGTCAGCGCCTGGGAAGACATACTTGTTCATGAACAACCCCCAGATCAGGTCCTCGTACTGCCACGACTTTCGCACGCCCGCTATCTGCAGGAAGAAGACACCATCATCGTCTAGCATGTCGTATACTTGTCGCAAGAAGGTGCCGAAGTAGCGAACGCCGACGTGTTCAGCCATTTCAAGACAGGTGACCTTGTGGTAACCCCCCGACGGTACAGTGATATCGCGGTAGTCCATGCATAGAATACGGCTTTGATCGTCACTAATACCGGCTTTCCGTAGACCGTTGTTACCCCATGCCGTCTGGTTGCGGCCAAGTGTAACACCAGTAACGGAGGCGCCGTAGTTTGCAGAAGCGAACTTTGCAAGCGTACCCCATCCGCAGCCAATGTCCAGCATGCGTTGTCCTGGCTTGAGTCCAATCTTCTCGCAGACAATAGCGAGCTTGTTGTCCTGCAGTTGCTCGAGCGTCTCCTCGGTGTTGATGTCCGAGATTATGCCGGATGTGTAGATCATGCGCGGACCCAAGAACCAGCCGTAGAAGTCGTCGCCACGATCATAGTGGTCACGGACTTGCTCTTCGTCCTGCGAGCGGGTGTGCATGATCACTTCCGGTAGCATGCCGGTAAGGAAGTACCAGAAGAGACTGCCTGTGAATCGGAAGCTTGCCCAATCGTGCCGGTACTCCATTACCTCCAGCGCGTCGCCCTTGAAGTCTACCAGACCTGCAAAGTACATCTCATGGAATGTCTCCATAGGTATGCGGTTCCTACCCTTATACCTCAGACGGTCGCTGTCCCTCTTGAAATGGAGATAGTGCTCCACTGGTGCGCCAGGTAGGCGAGCCTTCTCGTTCAGACGTGGAGACATAGACGAAGCGACGCTCCAGAAAACGAGCAGGATTGGCAGCGTGGTGAGCAGAGCGAGGAAGAGCCATGTTAGCACACCGCCACGGACTTGCCATGCAAGGTAGCCGGGGATGAAGGCGAGGAGGAAGATGAGGAAGGTTGTGTTGAAGCTGTCGCCACCAGGCCCATCAGCCGGCAACGGAGCATTCTTGATAGCGGGATACTGAAAGAATGTCAGTCTGTGTGTCCCACATTAAGCTCATACAACTAGTCTCACCGAAGTCGTCCTCACACCATAATCCTTGGTCTCAGGTGCAGGCGATGGTGCTGCGGGAGTGTCGATGAACTCGAACGACTCCTCGGATACATCGCTCGCCATTGTCGACAGATGTGACGTCGCGGGTATGGCAGCGATTCTGGTGTTGCTTCACAGGAAGCTCGCGTGCGTGGTGCGACAAGCTCTCAAAATTTGGCCATTGGGCTGTGGGGCTCATGCAGGTACCAAAAACTTTACGTAAATCGCGAGGCGGTATACGAACCTGAGTCGCATATGCAGCATGTAAATCGCGCTCAAAGATTGTTCAGAGCTGGCAATCAGGACGGCGTAAAGGTGGAGAGTTATTGTTGGTTTGAGGCTATCCTATATCTACCTCCGCCATTATTCTTCGAAGGACGGCTTGTATCCTGGCATGACAATATGACCTCGTTCATCCCATTGCCGCTGCGCTCTCATGCCGAACAGCGTTGCGTGACAATGTCAATACTGTCAGGGTAGATAATGTCATTTGGGCTACAGCCTAGCGACAGCAGTGCTAAGAACTCGGTGATGTGCTTTGCTTTCAGTCCTATGAGGAACCTGTCTATGAACCCATACCATAAGCTTGAAGTCCAACATACGGAGTAGTATGGAAAATTCAGGATTTCATCTATAGACTCATAGTCGGGAAAGATTGTCGATCTCCTTATGCGATAAACCAGTAGGCCATAGCCCTGCTCTTGTCTTACGCTTTTTGGGGGTCCAAGGATAACTCAAGCGTCTCTGCTGTTAGCACGGATTTGTGACCATTGCTGGCCAGGCAAGGTTGCTTCCTTTCAGCAACATGTACCTGAAGTGTTGAGCAGCAGACGGAACTCCATTCTAATGAACCCCGAAATGTCGTTTTCTCAACTTTAGGGTTATTGGACGATGAGTGAGCGGTCAGGGAGAGAAGGTAGAGAAGATGTAGGAAAAAGACCTGTCGTGTTTCTCCATCGGGACGCATACACCCAATGGCTGTGTTAAACAGCCAGTACGTTCGTCAGGCGGCGAGGCAGATAGGAGCCTGTACGAACCTGAGCTGGCTTGCGTAAGGGGTGGAGTTACTCCATATCCTGTGTTCGCATTGAAAGGCTTGAGTAGATACAAGGTGGAGGAGCGCTGAAGTCGCAACAGCACCAGGCTGATTGCATAGCGGCTGATATCGTGCCATTCAATTGTTGAAGAACCAGGCTGTTACTCGAAAGATGTTGTCAGCGCGTCGGAGAATTTCTTTTGCGGTGTGATGGGGCGTTTTGATGTACGTGCTCCGTCATGGTGGATAGGCGCGGTGACCAGCCACTTGTCCTGTTGAAGCTCACCACACAAATTCGTCGTTTGTTTTACAGCTGGGTTCACCACGTATCGGTGGTCGCGTGCCTCGGTTGGTATAGCTTACAAAAACAAGAGAGTTGAGGTCCCGATCCATCTTCGCCCGAGTCCGGGTACCTGAGGGATGATGCTCTCCATGAACCCGGCGCACACGAACAACGGGCGCCAGAGCCAAGGCGTTCGCTCGGTTGTTCCAATGCACCCCACTCGCGCTTATCTGCACACGGGGCCCAAGCTTGTCGAGGGAGCTCACCGCGTCGTCATTCGGAGATATTGTGGTTGCTCCAGCAGCTCAGCAGTGATAGACCGCTGCCACGCTGAATACTACCTGCTCCTCAACAGTTCTGGTGGTACAGTGCGGCCTGCCTTGCCATTCACACATACGCGTCTTGGCAGTCCATGCTCTGAGTGAAAGGCACAACAAGCTCTGAAGCCAGGGCGGGGAAACAACATTGGAAGAAACGGCAGGGCCAGCCACATATAAGTCAACCGTTTCCCCAATCCAGTTCGGGGAGCACCGTCCGCTCCAGTGTCCAGCTGCCCAACATGACGGACATCGCAGAGTCCAACAAAATGGAAACGCAGCAGACCAACGGCGACTATGGCACCCTTGATACGCATGGCGACACTCACTCGACCGCCAATACGGTGCACCAGCGGCTGCGAGCCAACAGCTCGATCATGCAACTCAAGAAGCTGCTCGTAGCCAATCGAGGCGAGATCCCAATCCGTATCTTCCGTACCGCACACGAGCTGTCTCTCCAGACAGTAGCCATCTACAGCTATGAAGACCGTCTCTCCATGCACAGGCAGAAAGCCGATGAGGCATATGTGATTGGCAAGCGAGGCCAGTATACGCCTGTTGCTGCTTACTTGGCCATTGACGAGATCATCAAGATCGCCAAGGACCATGGTACGTCTATAAGTTAAGGCTGAATTGCTTTGGCTGACAAAGTGTCTCAAGACGTGAACATGATCCACCCCGGCTACGGTTTTCTGAGCGAAAACTACGAATTCGCGAAGAAGGTTGAGGAGGCAGGCTTGATCTGGATCGGTCCTGCACCAGAGACGATCAACAGCCTCGGTGACAAAGTGTCCGCTCGTGAGCTGGCCATGAAGTGCAAGGTGCCTTGTGTTCCTGGCACGCCAGGACCTGTAGCCAAGTTCGAAGAGGTGAAGAGCTTCACGGATGAGCACGGCTTCCCTATCATTATCAAGGCTGCCTTCGGTGGTGGTGGGCGTGGCATGCGTGTGGTATGGAAGCAGGAAGAGCTCAAAGACGCCTTCGAGCGTGCAACATCCGAAGCTAAATCCGCGTTCGGTAACGGCACGGTATTCGTCGAACGCTTCCTGTACAGGCCCAAGCACATCGAGGTGCAACTCCTCGGCGACAACCACGGCAATGTCGTGCACTTGTACGAGCGTGACTGCTCCGTACAGCGGCGACACCAGAAGGTAGTCGAGCTGGCGCCAGCAAAAGATCTGCCTGCGGAAACGCGAGACGCTATCCTCAACGACGCTGTCAAGCTCGCCAAGTCCGTTAACTACCGCAATGCGGGTACCGCAGAGTTCTTGGTCGACCAAGACAACCGCTACTACTTCATCGAAATCAACCCACGTATCCAAGTCGAGCACACCATCACCGAAGAGATCACCGGCATCGACATCGTTGCGGCGCAGATACAAATCGCAGCTGGCGCGTCACTGCAACAGCTCGGCCTCACACAGGATAGTATCTCCACGCGAGGTTTCGCTGTCCAATGTCGTATCACCACCGAAGACCCGTCGCAGGCCTTCAAGCCCGACACTGGCAAGATCGAAGTCTATCGCTCAGCTGGTGGCAACGGTGTTCGCCTGGATGGCGGTAATGGCTTTGCGGGTGCTATCATCACGCCGCACTACGACTCCATGCTGGTGAAGTGCACTTGCCACGGATCTACCTACGAAATTGCTCGCCGGAAGATGCTCCGCGCACTTGTCGAATTCCGTATCCGTGGTGTCAAGACCAACATTCCTTTCCTGGCGTCTCTGCTTACACATCAAACCTTCATTGACAGCAAGTGCTGGACAACCTTCATTGATGACACTCCGGAACTCTTCACTCTCATCGGCAGCCAGAATCGCGCGCAGAAGCTGTTGGCTTATCTCGGAGACCTTGCGGTCAATGGCAGCCAGATCAAGGGCCAGATCGGCGAATCGAAGTTCAAGGGTGATATTATTATGCCTTCTCTGGACAACTCATCGACCCACAAGCCCATCGATGTGTCAGTGCCATGCAAGGAAGGATGGAGAAACATCATTGTCGAGAAGGGTCCCGAAGCGTTTGCCAAGGCCGTAAGAGCACACAAAGGCTGTTTGATCATGGACACTACATGGCGTGACGCTCACCAGTCACTGCTTGCAACCCGAGTCCGGACTGTGGACATCTGCAACATTGCGAAAGAGACGAGCTACGCTCTCAGCAACGCTTGGGCGCTCGAGTGCTGGGGTGGAGCCACCTTTGACGTCGCGATGCGCTTTTTGTACGAGGATCCATGGGACCGACTACGGAAGATGAGGAAGCTGGTGCCCAACATCCCGTTCCAGATGCTGCTCCGGGGTGCCAACGGTGTGGCGTACTCGTCGTTGCCGGATAATGCGATTTACCATTTCTGCGACCAAGCAAAGAAGAACGGGATGGATATCTTCCGTGTTTTCGATGCGTTGAACGATATGGATCAGCTTGAGGTCGGAGTCAAGGCCGTGCTGAAGGCGGGTGGTGTCGCAGAAGGCACCATCTGCTACAGTGGTGACATGCTGAACCCGCAGAAGAAGTACAACCTGGAGTATTACATGAGCCTGGTGGAGAAGATCGTGAACATGGGCGCGCACATTCTCGGTATGTCGAATTATTCGCTCAAACCCTACTTGCTGTACAAGACCTCGCTAACGACTGTTCTCTACCATAGGCATAAAAGATATGGCCGGAGTTCTGAAGCCGCGTGCAGCCACTCTGCTGGTTGGCAACATTCGGAAGCGATACCCAGACTTACCGATACACGTTCATACGCACGACTCGGCGGGCACGGGTGTCGCATCGATGGTGGCTTGTGCGCAAGCCGGAGCGGATGCCGTCGATGCGGCGACGGACAGCATGTCCGGTATGACATCGCAGCCCAGCTTGGGCGCTATCGTGGCGTCCCTGGAGGGTAGCGAACATGATCCGGGCCTCGATGCGCACCATCTCCGCCAAATTGACGGCTACTGGGCCCAAGTCCGCCTCCTCTACTCGCCCTTCGAGGCCGGCTTAACTGGGCCTGACCCGGAAGTCTACGAGCATGAAATCCCTGGCGGGCAGCTCACCAACCTCATCTTCCAAGCTTCGCAGCAAGGTCTGGGCGCAATGTGGGCGCAGACCAAGAAAGCGTACGAGCAGGCCAACGACCTGCTTGGCGACATTGTCAAGGTCACACCCACCTCAAAGGTCGTGGGTGACTTGGCGCAGTTCATGGTTTCGAACAAGCTAAGCTATCAGGATACAATCGACAAAGCGGACCAACTCGACTTCCCATCCTCCGTGCTCGAGTTCTTCGAAGGCCTCATGGGTCAGCCTTACGGTGGCTTCCCGGAACCTTTACGCAGCAAGGCCCTCCGCGACCGACGCAAGATGGACAAGCGGCCAGGCCTCTACCTCGAGCCCATGAACTTCGACGCCATCCGCAAGAAGCTGAAGGAGCAGTATGGCGGTGCTTCCGAGACGGATGTCGCGTCCTACGCCATGTACCCGAAGGTGTTTGAGGACTACAAGAAATTTACGGAGAAGTATGGCGATCTTTCCGTGCTGCCGACAAAGTACTTCCTCAATCGGCCTGAAATTGGGGAGGAATTCAGTATTGAGCTGGAGAAGGGTAAGGTGTTGATCATGAAGATGCTTGCTATCGGTCCGCTTAGCGAGCAGACCGGGCAGAGGGAGGTCTTCTACGAGATGAATGGTGAGGTCAGACAGGTGACTGTTGATGACCAGCATGCGGCTGTGGAGAACAAGTCGCGGCCGAAGGCGGATGCGGGTGATAGCTCGCAGGTCGGCGCGCCCATGAGTGGTGTGGTTGTTGAGGTGAGAGTGAAGGATGGCGGCGAGGTCAACAAGGGTGATCCGATTGCTGTGCTTAGTGCTATGAAGATGGTAAGTCTAAATCGTACAGAGCATGGACATGAAGTGATTGCTAACGGTGTTTGTAGGAAATGGTTATCAGTGCGCCGCACTCCGGCAAGATTGGCAACTTGGGTGTCAAGGAAGGTGACTCGGTTGATAGCCAGGACTTGGTCTGCAAGATCGTGAAGTAGAGGGAGGACAGGTAGTATTTGTGAGATGGTCAGCCGGGTGTTACGCGTTAGGCCAGCGCCTTCGGGCGGCGCATCGGTACTTCCTGCAACCTTGCAGCCAATGATTGACGCATGGATACATAAACCTGTCGCAACGTGTTGTTGAGTGGTACCTGCCTATCTGTGTCTGCATTTGGACTTTGTATGATTTGTGCCCTTACGCTGTTCGCTCATCAGAGTGAATGCCAAGCCAGGCAGTTCTGTGACCTCCAAGTTGTAACCTCCACTGTACGTCCAAACGATCTAAGCCTAATTTCTTACTCACGTCGTGTGTAAAGCAATCTAGCCCAGCAATGACCCGTAAATGTATTCTATCGACATGTCAGCTAAACCAGTGGGTGCTCGACTATGACGGTAACCGCGAGCGGATCATCCAGGCCATCAAGGCAGCAAAGGCAGCCGGTGCCACTCTTATCTTGACCCCAGAACTCTGCATACCAGGCTACGGCCTGCTCGATCACTGGCTTGAGAATGATGTCTATGCCAACTCGTGGGACATCGTTGCGGAGATCATCACCAATCCGGAGTGTCAAGACATCGTTGTTGATCTAGGCCTACCCGTCCAGCACCGCAGCTGCAGCTACAATGCCCGCGCCATCGCGCTCAATGGCGAGATCCTGGCCATCCGCCCGAAGTTGGACCTCTGTAATGACGGCAATTTCCGCGAGATGCGGTACTTTACCCCCTGGCCGCGAGGGCGTGTGGAGGATTACGTGCTCCCAGACGTGATTCAAGCCCTGCCGAAGAAGCAGCGGCGGTGTCGGATTGGCGAGGTGGCGTTCGAGGCCTTAGACGGCACGTTTGCATCTGAGACTTGTGAGGAGCTCTGGACGCCGAATTCGCCGCATTCGCTGTACAGTCTCGCTGGAATCGAGATTGTGCTGAACTCGAGTGGTAGTCACCACGAGATACGGAAGCTGGACACGAGGATCAACCTTATCAAAGAAGCTACTGCGAAGACGGGAGGCGTGTACATGTACTCTAACCAGCGTGGCTGTGATGGCGATCGGCTCTATTACGATGGGTGTGCGATGATCATGAACTCCGGTCACGTGCTGGCCCAAGGCTCACAGTTCTCGCTGCGAGATGTAGAGGTAGTGACGACGATGGTAGACTTGGACGAGATTTGGCCGTTCCGGACGTCGCGGAGTAGAGGGTTGCAAGCTAATGATCCAGCGGTGCATCGTATCGAGCGGATTCAAGTCGACTTCCGGCTTTGCGGGAAAGCGTTACAGCTGAACCCGAGAGCGCAACTGACTGAATCTATGGAGCCACGATATCACCTACCCGAGGAAGAGATCGCGCTGGGTCCTGCATGCTGGATGTGGGACTATCTGCGCCGGTCACGCGCGAAAGGCTACCTCGTTCCCTTGAGCGGTGGCATAGACAGCTGTGCCACAGCAACTATAACGTACAGTATGTGCAGACTTGTTGTCGCGGAGATAGCGGCAGGGAACGCAGAGGTGATAGCGGACGCTCAGCGCCTTTGCGATGACCAAGATCCGCGAGGACTTACAGCAGAGCAATTTTGCAACAAGATCTTCACGACCGTGTACATGGGCATGAAAGAGCAATCTTCGAAAGAAACGAGGACTCGCGCCGTTGACCTCGCCGCCGCAATCGGCTCAAATCACATCGACACGAACATCGATCCCATGGTACAAGCTCTGCATGGCGTTGTGACGGACATACTGCACCCTTTCGAACCTAAATTCAAGGTGTACGGCGGCTCGCAGACGGAGAACCTCGCCTTGCAGAACTTTCAGTCCCGCTCACGCATGGTGCTGGCGTACGCTCTCGGACAGCTCGTACCCAAATCTCGAGGGAGTGAAGGCGGCCTGTTAATCTTAGGATCCGCAAACGTGGATGAGTGTTTGCGCGGGTACCTGACCAAGTACGATTGCAGCTCGGCAGATATCAATCCAATTGGTGGCATCTCGAAGACAGACTTGAAACGCTTCATCAAGTGGGCTGAGACCGACTTCGGCCTGCCAGTGCTTCGACAGTTCCTAGACGCCGTACCCACCGCAGAGCTCGAACCGATAACGAAAGACTACGTCCAGTCCGACGAAGCGGATATGGGCTTTACGTACGACGAACTTTCGGTCCTGGGCCGACTGCGCAAGTCTTTCAAGCTCGGGCTTGTGGGCATGTTCCAGCGCTTAGTCGTCGACTGGAGCGATCGAGTGAAGGCGGACGGTGAGCGCATGACGCCGACGGATGTGTACTGGAAGGTCAGAAACTTCATGTACTACTATGCGGTCAACCGGCATAAGATGACCACGATGACACCCGGACTGTATCTGGAAAGCTATACGCCGGATGACAATCGGTATGATTTGCGGCCATTTCTGTATCCGAGATTCGCGTTTGAGCATCGCAAGGTGGAGAGTATGTTGAAAGTGATGGAGGAGGGACAGGCGGGACTCGTCAATGGAGCGTGAGCTGATTCGAAAGCAAAGGGGACAAGGATATGCCGTACAGCCGCTGTGCGATAGTGATGGCTATCGTCCGTTCGACATACAACATCTGGTGCAGTACGTCTGCGGCGCCACCGAGATACCGAATTGCCACTCGCAGCTATTGCGACAATCCACGTTGCCACGCCGCGGCGCCCAGGTTTGCAGACAGACAGAATAGTGGAGGTTGTTGTAGGAACATGAGCTGTAGTGTGCGGCCTAGACCGGTTAGGTCTACACATTGAGCCGCGGGAGCTTTGGCCAATCGACGTGCATACATGGCATAGATAGCGCATGTGCATCAGATCTCATTGCTGAGTATGCTTCGGTAGGCGCCCAATGTAATACTGCGTCTTTGTTGCAGAACGCTGCGACAGTGTAATACACGTTTGACGCAAATCACTCCGCCGTTGATATCTGTTAATTAACGCTACGTCTAAGGCCGAACGTTGGAGGAGATTGCCCGTTGCTGGGAGACCTCAAGACAACTCGAATAAGGTTTAGCTTTGCGGCAACAGACAGATTTATACCGTTTTGCCGGTCACTGCTTCGCACCAAGAAGCTCTTGTACCTGCCACCTAAACCGTTCCAACTCCTTCTCTTCCCCTTTCACCCTCAGACACACGCTCCAGAAACATCATCAAGCACACGGTCAGAAGTCATTGGATCCATTGCTACAACGCTGCAACAGTAATCGCAAGGTCAGTGAATACTGGTAGCAAGCAACGAGACATCTCAACGATACAGGCGCTGACGCGGTCTGCTTGCCACTTGCAGTTCGACCACCAAACCGCACACCACCACCACCAACGAGCATCAGCATGTTCTACTCCACCCTCCTCCTCGCAGCCACGGCTCTCACCGGCCTGGTAAGCGCACAAAACTACTCCACCTCCGGCCCTCTTTACGTCGTACCGAGCAGCGTCGACTACAACCTCCGTCTCTCATGGTGCCGCGCGCAAACGAACTCTTGCCCACAGATTTGCGGTGGCCAGGCGAACCCGAACACATGTGATGCTGTAAGCATATACCGCTCAGAACCGTAGGTTAGAGTGCTAACGAATTGTCGTAGAACTCCCTGAATTACACCTGCACCTGCTCTAACGGTGCCCAACCCAACATCTCCGCCTACGACCAGACCATTCCCTCCTTCGTCTGCGGTGCATGGAGAGGTGACTGTGTTGCTGCTCATCCCATGGATTTGCCCGGCCAGACCGCCTGCTTGTCCGTGGTCTGCGGCAACCGCAACGCCTCGTCCGGCCTGTCCGCTAGCTCATCCATGTCATCCTCCGCGGTGGCTTCTAGCAGTGCCTCCGCTTCCGGCTCTGCCGCTGCTGCTCCTGCTTCGGGCTCCGCATCCGCCACTGGCAGTGCGACCCGCAGCACCAGCTCCGCCGCCGCTACTGGCTCATCAGCGGGCTCATCTTCTGCAGCTGCCGCTTCGGCTACGCCTTCCGGTGCTGCGGTCGCTATGAGCGTGGCGAAGAACTACGGCACGGGTATCCTTGCCGCTGGTCTGTTTGCCTTCTTCGGCATGGCCCTGTAAATGCTCACCCACATTGGAGAGGAGGAGGACTGAAAGGAGAGCGACATGAAACCGCTCGTGAATAGAGCAAAGGCGCTCGGCCTCATTGAGGAGCGAGATGGAGGGCAAGGTGATTGGAGGATTGCAGACCATCAACGGCGGTTACGAGATATGCATAATGCATAAGCGATTGTTTCTACAGCGTGCCTTGTCCAGCATCTTCCAGCAGCAGCATCTGTTGGAAACAGCGAGCGAGGTGAAAGGACGCAACTATTGCGCAGTAATGAGAAGGACTGTTGTTTTGAGTGCTTACTTCCATCCCTTCTTCGATTCGCCACCGTCTGCGCTGACTTTGCTCTGTTTGCCATCGGGTTGTTTCTCCACACTTTCTCCAACTCTCGGCATTGCTTCACACCGAGCAAGAAGCGGGACCTTGCATGAGACAATCTCATGCGGCTAGCCATCACCACTGACATGATCGCAGTCCTCACTCCACTTGCGTAAGTAGTTTTGCCTCCAATCACCGCGAAGCAGCCCTACTGCAGTTCAACATATACCACTGTATATATACCATCAGGTTTGCGCGCTATGGCTGCCGTCCGCCAGAGTATTGCGATTGTGACTGCGCAACCACGTCCGCGAACATGTTGTCGAGCTTCATGTATATTGCATCCTTCGCGGCGACCGCCGTAGCCCAATGGCACTGGGGTGGTCAACACGGTGGTGGAGCACCAGGAACCGTCCAAGTATCTGGTGGAAAGACCTGCATCGTCTACGCTCACGGCGGCAATGTCAGCGATGTGTCCAACATCTTGCAAGCTTTCTCTCAATGCAACGATGGTGGTACCATCATCTTCCCGCAAGGCCAGAACTACTTCATCGACTCCAAGCTCAATCCAGGTATCTCCAACGCTTCCTTCGCATACATCGTGCTAACAGTCAGCAGTCGTCAATGACATAACCATCCAATGGCAAGGCACATGGACATTCAGCCCCAACATCACCTACTGGCGCCAGCCCGCCAATCACTACCCTATCTTCTTCCAGAACCACGCAGCAAGCTTCGTCCTGACCGGCGACGGCATCCACATTGATGGCTACGGCACCGGAGGCATTTACGGCAACGGCGACGTTTGGTATACCGCAGAAGCCGGTAACACTCAGCCTGGCCGTCCTATGCCTTTCGTCTTCTGGAATGTCTCAGATGTCACGGTTTCGAATTTCTTCGTCAAAGACCCGCCGTTGTGGAGTCTGAACATCATGAACGGGACTGATATGCTGTTTACGAATATCACCTGTAACGCCACGGCTACGCAGGCACCGTACGGCAAGAACTGGGTGCAAAACACCGACGGCTTCGATACCATGGATGCCAACAACGTGCGTTTGGAGAACTTTGTGTATCAAGGTGGCGACGACTGCATCGCGCTCAAGCCGCGGAGTTACAACATCTTCGTTCAAAATGCTTCATGCCATGGCGGGAACGGGATGGCTATTGGCAGTCTGGGACAGTACCTTGAAGACTCGAGCGTGGAGAACGTGGTTGTTGACAATGTTCGGATCATCCGATACAACAACGACATGGAAACGTCGGCTTACATCAAGACCTGGGTGGGTGTCCTGGTCAATCAGTCTGGCTACGAAAGTGACTTTCAGCCGAGAGGCGGCGGGTGGGGAAGTGTTAGGAACATCTTGTTCTCCAACTTTGAGGTCATGGGTGCTGATGGGGGCCCGACCATCACCGAAGATAGCGGCGACAATGGCACCGTGCCTGGTACTAGTCTGATGGAAATCTCGAACGTTGTAAGTCCCGACTCTTGTCTTCGTGATGTCACCTGAACTCCCAACTGACCATTGGTGATTGCAGGCATTTGTCAACTTCACCGGCTACCTGAGCGGCAATGAGAGGAACGGTAATCGCACAGCCAGCGTCAGCTGCTCAAGTAAGTCTAGACTCCGCACTCCGCTCGCACAACTTTACTGACCTGGGTTCGCGACGATAGACGTGCACCCTTGCTACAATATCGCGGTAAGTTTTCTGTCCAGTTAATTGATTCCCACGCCGATACACCCGCTAACGACCATGCCGTCTAGATCGAAAACGTCACTCTCACTACAAATCAGAACACGACTGCAACTGGTACAGCAACCTGCAGCTATATCTCGCCTGGCGGTGTTCATGGCATCAGCGGAAGCGGATGCTAGAGACTGCGAGCGCATCTATGAATCACGGAGGAGCATGATCTGCTTCATGTCTACTCTAGCAGCCTATCAGTCGATTCCGCGGCTTCACTGTAACAATAACCGGCATTCCGCCCTATACTTTCCTGCCGATTGCGAGGATCGCGGTCATCTTCCCGTCCCACCTTCCATTCGGAAAGCTAGCCTGCATATACTTCAGCAATGCCGGCCCGATCTGATCCGCATACCTCTCGAATACTTGCTCCGACCACCCCTTCTTCGCCACAACCTGGACCAAGACCGCCATGGCTTCGGTGAAATCTTCAGGCTCGATCTCCGGCGTGAAGCCGAACTCAGTCACGTCCACCTCACAGAAGCCAGCCTTTTCGAGCATGGCCTTGACTGCCTCCGGATCTGACCACCCTCTTGACGGGAACAGTTTGTCGGGTGTTTGCAGTGTCGGAGCCTCGGGGATGTAATTCGCCAATGCCGGCTCAGCAATAGAGTGCCACCAAGCGATGGATTTCCAGGTTGTGAACCCGGCTACTCCGCCTTGTGTCAACGTCTGATATGTAGAGTCGAGAGCAGCGTCACTATCTGGACTGAAGAAGATGCCAAAGTTGTTGAAAATGTGCGTGAAGTAGACTTGCGGGAATTCGGACTGCAGGAATGTCTGATCAACCTTGCGTACGTCTACCACTTTCCAGTACTGAGCAGTAGGTCCCAACGATTGTACAGCGGTGTCTCGCTTGCGTCGTACGAAATCGAGCATCTCCTCATTGATGTCGCCTGCTGCTATGACCTTCAGTGGCGAAGCGAACGGTTTCTCCGCGGCAAGGTCGAATACCTTTTCCAGTAGAATGCCGCCGCCTGTTGCATTGTCGAGCAAATGGATAGACCAGTAGTCGCCGGCTTCGTATGTTTGGATTCCAGAGCGAAGTATAAGCTCGGCTGCGGCAGGTCCGGTAACGCGCTCGTTTGCGAGAAGCACGCGCTCGTTAGGCGCGGCAGTGTTGACGACTTGTGAAGAGTTTTGGGAGGCCATTATGGCAAGAAGAGAAATGAAGAGAGAATGCAGCCTTGCCTTTAGGTGCTGAGAGCCTGATATACCGCTATGGTACGCATTGTAGTGTATGCGGAACGTCCATCGGGCTTCATCGTGGCACGTACCATGAGGGCAAGGAAAGCAAAGCAATATCCTGTCCGGTTATGATCAGCACGCCAAGTAATGTGTCGCAACCTGTCGCTGGGTCGTCTCAGGTGCCACTCGAGCATGGGGAGAATGATTATGGCGAATTCAAATACCAACAGCACGTTGTACGGCTCAACTGTTAATGCAGCTGGAGACCTTGTTAGCTTCGCCGGATCGGCTGAGATGAAAGACATCTGGCCAACAGTGAGCATTAGAGTTGGCGCATTGCTCGCGACTTCGACCTTGGCAATAGCAGTCAATGCAAGACGGTTCGGAAGGCTAACACCACTATGGCTAGGAAGAGGAGAGCCCCCGCCGCATCGGAGCCTTCAAGTACTGACGCTGCTGGTGATGAGATCAACCGAGCCGTTGTAGGCGGCATGAAAGGCGACTATCGACTGAACGGACAGGAGCCAACAACATCCGAAGTCGAATCTTTTCAAGTACCCTTTAACGAGAAGTCTATAATCTGCGAACGTCGTGGCAAAGGCAAGCAGCTATCGCTCATCTTCACGCACGGCGCAGGTGGCGGAATAGCGAACCCAGCGACGAAAGAATTCGCCGAAGGCTTCGCCGAGATCTCCTCAATTGCGACGTTTCAGGGCAATATGAATCTCCAGTCCCGGGTCAAGACGTTCAACGCGGTGGCGGACCATGTCGACTTCGACAAGGCTTTGGGCGGACGAAGTATGGGCGCTCGAGCGGCGACTATTACTGCCGCGCAGGAGGGTCGCAAGACCGACGCTCTAGTGTTGGTCAGCTTTCCTCTCGTAGGCGGAAAGAAAGGCGACAGTCGAGAGCAAATTCTGCTCGATCTTCCCGAGCACGTCAAGGTACTATTCATCACTGGTGATAAGGACAGTCAGTGTGACCTCGAGCATCTGGAAAACGTAACGAAACAGATGATTGCACCCTGCTGGTCTGTGATTGTTGAAGGTGCTGACCACAGCATGAGCTGGAAATGGAAGGACTCTGTGCAAGACATGAGACGCAAGACAGGCGCTGTTGCCGCTGAATGGCTGAAGAGCCGCCAAGACATTCAGCGACGGCGGCGTATCCGATGGGACGAAGATGCTAGCGCTGTGGTGCTAGATGACAAGCAGGATGTCTCCGCAGCAGTTGAACAACGGCATGAGAACGAAGAAACGCAGCCACCGCCCAAGAAGAGGAAGAAATCTAACAAACGCAAATAAAAGGGTCTCATCGTTTCTGCTGCCTTGTTGGAACTGCCAAAGCCTCCAGATTAGGAGACTCTCCTTTCTGCTGCTTGGCATCCCGGTCCGCTCTCCTTCAACCACTATACATACAGTTCAGCGAAGGCGCCTCGTCAATATGCTCCCCAGCGATTAAGTACGTAGAGCCAGCGCAGCATTAAGCTCAAGCTTCGTAAGTTCGCATTCGACCATCTGGGCGACCCGGTATGGACTTGTCGGCTAACGAGCGTTGACCTCGACAGCATCCGCATACCTAAGGTCTAGCGGTACTGTCAAACCTGACGTGCAAATGTGCCCGTTGTTGATCGTGCTTACTCCAATGGTGATTTGGGCTTGAGCCATGCTTTCTTGGTCATCTTCAGGAGCTGTGACAGTCAGCTCTGGCACGGAATGACTACAAGCCTTCGGCTGGGTCTGAAAGCGCACCTTCTTTGGATTTCCTGGCAAGGAGAAGATGCCACACAGACTAGCCATTCTGGAGTGGTCGCCATTATCCATGTTTCTCCCACATTTTTGAACAGGATCGAAAGGTGTCGGTCTGCTCAGTCAAGGACTGAGTACACCCTAAGAAGAAGAAGAAGAAGAAGAAGAAGAAGAAGAAGAAGAAGTGGCCCAACTATTAACGCATCATGAGATGAGAATGAAACTATAGTGCTCAAGGAACAATACCTTGTTGGCAGGATCAGTGGGGGCGCTTGTTCGGCGTAGCCGAAGCGGTGTTCTTGGCCTCCCTGGGAAGCGCAAGCCTGTAGATTTGGTTGCGGATCTCACCTGGCAGCGCCGCAAGCGTACCCAATTCCCTGACGGAAGTGGCTGTGGCGTCCATCAGGTCGGCGACGAAGTTGGAACTCGCACAATCGCGGGAGGCTGTTGGAGAGTATGATCGCGAGCCGTATGTGTAACCCGCTGCTCTGCAAGTCTTCACTGCTCTCTGCCTGATCAGCGAATGCTATAGCGACTGTTTCTCCGCCGTAGATGTGACGTATCCCGGAGATGCGACTTGGTGAGCGCAAGCGCGAGATTCGACTGACAGAAAGGAAGACTGCCCCTTCTAATCATAGAAGCCTTGTAAACCTCGTTGAAGGCTACCTCGAAGCAGCAACGCCGAAACACCTCGCTAAGACCAACCAACAAAGCCCATCCCTGTAATGCTCGCTCGCTTGCTCACTCGCATCATATGCATGCAATTACTTTTTTGGACTCCAACTAGAATCGCTCCTTCATCCTGTTCGCCACCACCCTCAAATTCCCATACACTTTCCCGGGCGGACTGCCCAAAATCAAACTCACGACCGCCTCCCGCGCAACATGTATCTGCTTAAACCCACCCAAAATGTGCACCTTCTGATCCGCCAACACAATCCTTGTCCGACTCGCATTTTCAATTGCAAACTTCGTCTTCCCATCCTTCCCCGCTATCCGCCCCACCGCTCTGCTCATATGCTCCCCACTCAAATTCTTGACATCCTTCACCTCGAAACTCTGAATGTAAAGATCATCCAACCTCAACAACGCTATAGCGTCATCAAGATCAAAGCCGAGACAAAAGGCTTGGATGAAATCTGCGCCCTTCTGGATTGCGCCTGGGTCGGTGGTGTGAGATGATGTGCGCAACTCGACGGCTTTCTTGGGGAGGTTCATGCGAACTTGGAGGTGCAGGTGTTCGACTAGTGGGGGGTAGATCTTGGGCCAGGAGGCTTTGAGGGGCGTCATGCGGTGGGGAGGGACGCGGATTTTGCGCTCTTCTACACGGACGGCGAGGCTTGAGGCTTTCTCCGGGGCGAAGAGGGGGGTGGAGGTACTGTTGTCTACGTCCATCGTTTCTGGGGCTTGTTGTTCGTCTTGTGCTGGGTCTTGTGGCGCGCCTTCGGTGGGTTGGTTTGTAGAGAGAATGATGTCGTCGTCAACGGCTGACTGTGGCGCACCGTGTATCGTCTCTTCCACCGCAAGCGGCTCAGGCGCTCTTTGTAGGGCTGTCGGTGCCGGCATGTTGACTCGTCGTAAGAATGTTGCTGGAAACGAACTTTGAGCCACAAATTCTTGAGTCACCTCGAAATCTTGGCGCATGCGGAGTTTGCGGGTGTACCGAAAACGGCTGGCTCGTGCGTCATTACTACATGTGCTTGTCTCGAAACCCTGAATCTTTTGCTATCGCTCATACCAGAGCTTCCTCCCATTCTCCAACACGGTAGAAGCGTACAAAGTCTGCTTTGTGAAGATGAGCATGTCCTAATATGAGTCGCCATGTTGCGAGGGTAGCTGGAGTAACGACGTCTACCATACTGAGAGCCCAGAGCGCCACCACGGCCTCACATCACGTACTTCAACCGGCACTATTCTCTTCCCCACGAGCGCATTTGTACTCGCAAACCAGGATCGCTCGCATTGCTACGAGCGGTCTACACCACCTTCGGAATGTTTCAATCAAGGAAATCGCTTGCGGGCGCTCGGCGATACCGACAGCGATAGCGAGCAGAAATGCGCTCCAGCCATATGCATTGCTCGTAGGACGAAGATCTGTGCTACATGACCAGCCACTATTATGGCGCATCGCTCCGCAGCATAGGTTCATAAGTGGATTCAAGAGCGACCTAGCAAAGCGGGCCCGGAGAGCAGGAAAAGCAGGCGCAGAGAGTAGTCAAGGCCGCAATCTCCTGGACCGGCTCCCACACATCCACCGCCCGACGAAAGAGGAGCTCTTAGCGGCAGCAACAGGCTTCTGGCACCGTCTACAGATCCGCTTCAAATGGTTCTCAATTCGCAGTGTACGACCCTTCAATAGTGATGAGATAGGCGCCTTTTTGTCCTGGATATTCTGGGGTCACGTCATTTGGATTGTCATCGGAACGACCACTTTCGTCTCGCTGGCGATATGGGCGATCAATACCGTGTTTGCGCAGGAAACGCTGGCAGGCTGGGTGGGTAACTACCTGACCCGCTCGTCCGGTTTGAAAATCGTCTTCGAGAGCGCTATCGTACCGACGTGGAGAGACGGCGTCATCACCTTTAGTAATGTGTTCGTCTCGAGACGGCCAAGTAATGACAGCAAAAAGCAACGATCTGTCAGCAAAGGCTCTTCCATCACAGCGGCGGCCGCCGCAGCTGAAGCTGCTCTTGCTGAGAAAGACCGGGAGCCGAGCAGTGACAGTGTGGATGATGGCAACTATACGCAATTCGATGTCACCATTGATACAGTTAACGTGACTTTGTCCTTCACAAAATGGTTCAACGGCAAAGGCTTGCTAAGTAATGTAGCCATCAAAGGCGTCCGCGGCGTCGTCGATCGTAGCCATGTGCGTCCGACTGGCGAAGTCCGCGAGCCGAAGAGTTACCGCCATACTCATAAAACGGGCGACTTCGAAATCGACAACTTCAAGATGGAGGATCTACTGCTTACCATCTATCAACCCCGGAACTTCCGACCGTTCACACTGAGCGTCTTCAACTGCGAACTTCCGCGGTTGAGGAAGCAGTGGTTGTTCTACGACTTTCTGTCCGCAAACAACATGAGTGGGTCTTTCGATGACTCGCTCTTCACCATTCATCCGAGACAGATCCATGGAGTCACCGGCGTCCCACTCATCGACGGCAAGGAGCAAAGCGACGCGGCGCAATTCAAGAAGCACAGCCGCCTCCGCATCGATGGGCTGAATGTCGATCACCTCAATCGAGGCGTCGAAGGACCTTTCTCGTGGATCTATGAGGGTAACGTCGATATCGTCGCGGACATTATGATTCCCAACGATGATGACGGCGGGATTGCGAAGGTAATGTCTGGCTTGTATGAGAGGATGGAGGCGACGGTTGCTGGTGCCGCTACTACACAGCAGAGCCAGACCCACACCTCTTCAAGAAGTCCGGATGATGTGATCCGACACGACCACCAAGAGGACGCCACACAAACCCAGCCATCCCCAACAGCGCCATCGCAAGATCCACAAGACGACCGCTTCCTAATCCTAGACCTAACCGTCCACCTCAACGACGTTCGCGCCTCCGTGCCGCTCTTCAACAACAACCTCTCCTACGTTAACAACGCCCTCGTCCGGCCTATAGTAGCCTACATCAACTCCCGCCACACCTTCATCCCCATCTCTTGCCGCATTGTCAAGCGTCAGTCGGAATTCGACGGGAGTTGGACGGTTCATGATAGTGGGTTGTTGCATGATCTGAGTAGGGAGACGTATGAGGCGTTTGTGAAGGATATTAAGGATCAGCGGCGGCAAAGGAGGAGGATTAAGAAGGTCGGGGTTTGGGGGTTGCAGATTGTGGCGCAGGCGCTGTTCTTGGGGTTGGCGGGGCAGCTGGCTTGAATTGGAGTTCGGAGAGCGTGATTGGAAGTGTTGGCGAAGGTGTATGGTTATGTGTGTGTATGAGTGGGGCGTGTGGTGGATAGTTAGCGAGGCGTACGGGCGGCGTTTGATTGAAACAGTTTGGTGGGCGTCATGGGACTTATGGCAAAGATTAAGCATACAGCTGTATTGTACGATGACGGTGTGGGAGCCAACGACGCCATGCCATGCTACCGCGTGACTCTCGACGCAGCGCGAGCCATCGCATGATGCCTGCTGCAATGCGGATTATCGTACAGAAAGCTCCATTCAACCTTACACTCTCCGCCGTAATATCGTTCTCCACTCAATCCTTCTTAAGCGGGAAATACACCTCCTCGATTCCCTCCTTCGTGATAAACATCATCTGCAGCCCATCACCGACTTCAATATGCCTCTCCACCGCACTCGTAAACGCATCCCGCACCAACTCCTCCACCTGCGGTCGCTCGAGCGGTTGGGGGACAAGCTGCTTCTTGTCGAACCCTGACACCGCCGCTCCATCCGTCCCCTCCGCCGTCGCCGAACCAGGTTCGTACTGGTTCTTGAGATTCACCTGGTTGTCGAGGAACGGCATGATCAAACTCGCCGCCGCGCCCGCCGCACGACAGTACTCCCGCTCGTAGCTCCCGACGGGATCGTACGAGTACAGCGCACCTTCCCCCGTCTCCTCATCAATCCCTCCCAATATCGCCTGGACGTAGTAAGGAAAGAAGCGCTTGTTGTACAAAATATGACTCAGCCTCTGCGCGCACGCCTTGACACTAATCTCACACCCATGCTGATACCGATACATCTTCACCACCGTATCGAGCCGTTCCTGCAGCGCCCGTCCATCCGCCGCAAACCCCACCACCGACAATACAATCTTACTCCCCTTGTGCGTCGGGCCTTGGCCGCCGATGGGGTAGAGTTTGGGCGCGTAGCGGGTGTTGATGTTGTAGCCGGAGGTGCTGCGGGTGTCGCCCGCGATGACGGTGAAGGTTTTGCCGCTGATGCCGAGGGTAGAGCCGCCGTTGTCGGTGTAGGGGTAGAAGGCGTGTTGGGTGGGCTCGCCGGAGTGGTTTTGCGGGGGTGCTTGTTGGAAGGCGAAGGGGGCGGTGGAGGAGAGGTGGTGGTGGGAGAGGGCGGCCATGGTGGCCTGTTTGGTATGGAGTTTGTTTGATGGAGTTTGGTGGTATAGATTGGTGGTTTGGGTCACGATCGTGATTGACTTCTGAGCGGGATTGCTGGATCGTTGTGGAGATGGGGGTATTATTGTATGTCTTGCTCTCCTGCTCTTGAGTTCGCGAGGCTTCAATCAAGTGACGACGCGAAGCTGGAAGCTCAAGTGTTCGCGCCTCAGGCCGACGGATTGGGCGAGCTTCATCAATATATTGATTGGCTCATTCAGCAAGTAGGCTAGTATGTGTTCGCCTAAGATCCACCATGACACTCTGGTATACCTTAGACTCATACATCATTGGGTCGTGAAGTCCTTCTACCATTGATGTTCGGTACACTTCTCTCTAACACCCAACACGGAGCAAATCAACCGAACCAGTTGCTTCATACCCCCCCTGTAGTCATTGATCCAATGCCTAGCTGCACCGGCAGCAGAACAGCTGTAAGGCTGAGATGTAGCCTGACGCCTCATCGGTAGGAGCTGATCGCATTGGTCCTTGCTATGTCTTGCACTGTGTTGAGCCAAAAGAGTGTTCATGGAATAACAGTGATTACGCCGGCTTGTCCAAGCTCACCTTTTGTGCCTCCCACTAGGATTTGATATCAGTCGACCTCGTTCCACTGCGACAATGCGGCTCATCAGTACGGGAGACGTTGCGCTTGAGCGAGTTCTTACCCGGCTCGGTGCCGCCATATGCTATTCTATCGCACACCTGGGGACCTGAGGAGGTCACCTTTCAAGAAATGCAGAAAGGATCAGATGAAGAACTATCACAAAAGGCAGGTTTCAGAAAGATTAAAGGCACATGTGAGCAGGCCATGCGAGACAAGATACCCTACGCTTGGGTCGACACTTGTTGCATTGACAAGACAAGTAGCGCGGAGCTACAGGAGGCCATCAATTCCATGTGGCGTTGGTATGAAGAAGCGATGGTATGCTATGCCTACCTTTCCGATGTCGATTGCGAGGTACATGAGGACTGCATCACGACCAGGGCACAAGGTGTAGGCAGCCGAGGGACGGAGGATGTTGGACGCAGGTTGCCCGAGAGCTTTTCGAAGTCTGCCTGGTTCACTCGAGGATGGGTGAGTACGTAGAAGCGTGCGCTCTTGCTGAAGGGCTGCTACGCGCGCTGACTAGCCCTGGCAGACGCTGCAGGAGCTTCTTGCCCCTATCAATGTTGATTTCTTCGACAGGACGTGGGCTCTCCTTGGAACGAAAAAGACACTCATTCCCGACCTGTGCCGCATTACGGGAGTCGATCTCCCGGCATTAGATGGGATTGTTGAGCTCAGCTCCTTCAGTATTGCAAAGCGGATGTCCTGGGCTGCCGAGCGTAAGACTACGCGCGGAGAGGACCGGGCGTACTCCTTACTGGGACTATTTGGTGTCAGGTAGGAAGCTTGTGATCAGGACTGCTACCATAGTTCGACCGGCTTGCTGACATGCTGAATTTTTGCGTTCCCAGCATGCCGATGCTGTACGGAGAAGGCGCTGAGCGTGCCTTTGTTCGCCTGCAGGAGGAGTTGATGAAATACGTCGTCGATCATTCCATCTTCGCTTGGTTCCCTCGAACGACCCGTGGCAGCAACCTGCTGGCCCACTCGCCTGCAGACTTTGCTGGGATGGGAGACATAGTACCGTGGGGAAACCCTGAACCTTATCAGATGAGTTAGCTCAGCCTTTCCGTTTGTTCTCTCGATGCGGTCAGTGACCTACTGACGGCTGCTCGTGCCAGCTAACCGCGGTCTCCACATCAAGCTGCCTCTCTCAGACTCTTGGAAGGCGGGAGGTGAACTTCGTTACCAAGGCGCACTCAATGCTCGCCATGACCACCATCTCTCGGGCACTCTGGCACTCGAACTCGTCGGACATGTTGACCGCCCAGGAATCTACCGTATGCACGAAGACCGAGTTGGTTGGGTGAACTCAAAATGGAATGAAAGAGACATGAAGGAAATCTACATTGAGCGTGTGGCCAAGGCTGCAGGTCCAGAAGAATGCTGGTTCCACATTGAACGTATTCGATTCGCGCCTCGCCTCCAATCTGTGCACCCGAACATTCATTGGAATGAAAAAACCAACTTCATCCGTTTACCCAAATCGGGTACACTCAAATTGACGCTTTGCTTCAGCATGGACTGGTACATTGCCACAAGACTGGCGTGCGTCGAGATTGGCTATGACTTACTCGCACGTCGTCATAACATACTTGGGCTCCGCGCTTATTTTACCGATACGCCGTATCCGACCGCGCAGTCCGGTCCGGTCGCTTACGACTATTGCAATCACTCAAGCGGAGATTGCGAGAATTGGGACCGGAAGCAACAATCCGGCTGCACGCAGACACCGACTGTTGCACAGTTCGGTCGAGCGTCAGATGGAGACATGATGCGAATCGAACTCAAGGAAGTCAAGATAATGGACAAATGGCTGGTTAAGGTGTTCGCTTCGACGAGGCTCATGATGAATAGGGCTGCCGGCAAGCAAGAAAACGGCTATGCCTCGAGGCAAGGGGTACGCAATATGTTCGGCAAAAGGACGTCCATGGTTGACCAGCGTCGTGCCGCAGAGGCGCCTGAGATCATCCTGGCATCGCCTCTCAGCAACCGCGCATGGTACCATACGCCGGGTGGACTGGCGGAAGTCAAGCTTAAAGGGCCCGTCACACCTAAAGGCTGGCCCGAATCGCTGGAATTCCCAGTCTTGGAGGTTGCGGACGCCTAGTGATATTCCTGCTGCACCTCATTAGCGCATTGTACACTTCGGCTTGCGTGCCGAGGTTCTTAGTCCTGCTCGGCGTAGGTGGAAGAGGGAGATACGGGCGCAAGCACAGTAAGCTGGCCCCAGTGAGGTTCGCAAGGCAGTCATGGTCATTGGTATATTGGAAGTTATTGGCTCAAGTCCTCGGCGCGCTAGCAAAAGTTCGCCGAAGACGCACCTCAAAGCTCGCTTTTCGCGCGCTGAACATTCATCTGTTTATGCACTTACATACCACGCCTCAACCACACTACTCTTACAGTCTACGCCTGCTTACGCTTCTCGGAGTCCTGTTAGTTTCGTACTCTCGCGATACCGTGTTCCGGCAGGACTACGTGGATCTACGCTTACATGAGCAACACCGCCGCCGCAACTCTGCCTGATCGCAGGCTGACAGCAAGCAACCTTCCACCCTAACGCATCCCTTTTACCCAATACTCACCAAGTACAACGCGTCAGCATTTAGATCAACTTACCTAGTTCTATACAGGCTCAGCCCTAGGCTTCTCATGGCTGGCCATCTAGGCTCACCCGGAAACAGTAAGACGGGTCACGACGCACCATGTGAGAACGCACAGACGCTAGACCCTCCGCAGACATCAGTACGCGGTCTATCAGCCTCCACGCCTCCCCAGCGCCAATTTGCTTGAGTCGACATAAGCAAAGTCTTACATACGCCTATTTCAAGCTGGGAACCATCACTCATCAGACTCCACCACCGCCCCGCATTTAAGCCACTCTCTGGCTGTAGCACCGGCTGCGGCGAGCTCCATCTCATACGAGCTTACCGGCGACATCTTGTTCCCACTTCTTCCGCCGTAGTCTTACAACCACGTGGACAGCCTTGGATTGTAGGCACCGTAGGGTGAAGTATATAAAAGCTGTCGTCCTCTCTAATATTGTCTTCCTCTCTCCATCACACAAAAACAACAATAAAACAAAAGTAACGCCCGTTTCCTAGCTTTTTCCTTTATTATTATCTCCTTGTAACATTCACTTGTTCAATTGGTACACATAATGCACGGCAAGCTTGCATCCACCGCCCTTCTGGGCTTTTCTGCCATCGCGGCCGCCGCTCCTTGGGGTAACTCCTGGTCCACCACAGTTTCCAGCTCGTACAGCACTGCATCAGTCGCTAGCAGCACCCACAGCAGCGTTTCGGCCAGTGGCACTGCAATTCCGCCGATCAATGACCTGGACAACATCAGCGCCGCTGACCTTGCCGCGATCGAGCAGGTCGCTGGAGGCACTCTCTCCAATGCCACTGGTGGCGCTAAGCCTTCCGGTAATTCCATCACCTCAGTGGCCTTCGTCGCCTTCAACGAGCTGTTCGAAGTCGCCTTCTTCACTGAGCTCGTCTACAACATCACCAACAACGTCCACGGTTTCGACCACATCCCCAACCGCGACAGCGTCCTCAACATCCTCAAGGTCCACCTCGCTGACGAAGAACTCCACGCCATCAACGCCATCAAGGCCGTCCAAGGCGTTGCCAACACCACCATCGCCCCTTGCCAGTACACCTTCCCGGTAACCACCTTCAACGACTCCATCGCCCTCGCCTCGAAGTTCACCGACGTTGTCCTCTCCACCCTGCCGGACATTCAGACCATCTTCGCTCAGAACAACGACGCCGGCCTCATCCGTGGTGTCGGTAGCGTCATCGGCCAAGAAGGCGAGCAAGATGGCTTCTACCGCGAGCTCCTCGGCAAGGTTCCGGCTCAGCTGCCCTTCCTGACCGCCGGCGCGCGCAACTTCGCCTTCAACGCCATCAACCAGAACTTCATCGTCCCCGGCTCTTCCTGCCCCGCCCGCGATACCCTTCTTGCGGGTCTCAACGGCGGCGAAGGCCTCAAGCTCTTCGACGTCCTTAACATCGAGACCTCCGCCTCCGAGTTCACCGACGAGACCGACATCGAGGCCACCTTCTCGGTCCTAACCTCCACTCAGCAGCCAGCAGCACAGAGCTTCGCCGTGCAATCCACGCCCTCGAACTGCCTGACCTACATCAACCAGCAGAACGTCCCGCTGCAGTTCCCCGTCACGCTTGAGCTCAGCGGCAAGAACGACGGTAAGATCGAGTTCACCGCGCCGTTCCCGGGCAAGACGCACTTCCTCAACGGCTTGACCATCGCTGTTGTTACGGATAGCTGCAACTTGACGGATGTGGATCAGATCTCGGAGCACACTGTTTTCGGCCCGGCGTTGATTGAGGTCAACTAAGCGGCTGCGGGGGAAGGCTACGGGAGTGATGGTTGTTCACGAGTGCTCGCACGATGAGCGGGCGGCTGGGACCTTACGGTTGTTAGAATGGTATTCGGGATGAGGAGACGCATAGCATGATCTGTGCTGTACATTCTGCGCTGCGTATTGGTGTTTGCTTACTTGCTTCCTGTACGCTCATTCAGCCCGTAATATACTTGCTTCTTGCAAGGTCTCCATATGACTATCCCTACGCGCTGTGCATCTTTCAGGAACAACGACGTTATGCAGGCTTCTATGATTGAATATGGAGCGTGCCTCTCAAAGAACTTCAACATGATCTGTTGAGCTTGGCTTCATAGGCGTGGACTTTGCCAATATTTATCAATCACTCTGCCGCCAGTCCCCCAGACAATCTAGGACATCGTCCAAACCCGGTCACTCCAAACAGCTTCATAGGTGCTCGACTTCCGTGATAAAACGCTGGGAGAAGTGTGCAGGAATATTGACTGCAGCTTTGCTATGTTTGTGCTACAAACGGGACAATTTCGAGAACTTCGCAGTGCCTTTGTCTCACGGCGCATTATATCACCATTAACCTACTAAGCTACACTCCAGTGCTTACGTACCCTCAAACCGCAACGTACTCAGGTCAGTACATTAATGATCGCTTGCACCCTGCAAGGTCTGTTGATGTCAGACGCCATTCCCATGTCTTCGCACCAGCCCGGGTCTTTCTCCGCCCTGTCACTTCGCATCCGTCACAAGATGCCTCTTTGTATTCGAGTTCTCTCGCCACGATGGCTGTCCGGACGGTGAAACCCTCTCAAGTCTTGCTAGATTTCAAGAGCCTGCATCCACTGCACCGTTGCCTCTTCCATGCTAACCGCAGGAAGACCAGCAGCCTGCCACTGCGCCTGATGAGTCCGTGGCAACATGCTTTTCGGAAAGCGCATCTCGGTGTAGTAGGCCAGGCCATCATCGTGGCGCGCGCAAGTTTGCATGTGCCGGCAATTACACGCAAAATAATTTTCGACATCGGCATCCTCACACTCGGCGTTGCACTCGAGTATAGACATTTGGTCGTAATCGGCGTGGTATATCACCGTAGCCGCGGCGCGAAGCAAGGCACGTAGCTCATAGGCGATCACCGCGGCAGGATGATGTCCGTCATTGTTGTCCTTGTCGAGATTGAAGATCTTAGCATACTTTGCTGCGAGCCGGTGACCGATGCGCTCGAGATCGATCTTTGGGGCATCCTTTGTAAGCTTACGGTCAAGATCTGGCTGTGAGTCGTCTTTCGCATGCTCACGCTCGTCCTTTGTCGCCTCGAGTATGTTTTCGCAAGCCTTTCGCAAAGAGCCAGCTTCGACGTCTCCGTTGTGTGGCGTCGTCTTTGCGTACTTGATGTTAGACCAGTGCGCCTCACCTACAAGCTGCTGATCTAGAAACTCGCGAAAGATGGAGCGGGCCAGATATTGACACTTCTCACGAACGGTCTTCTTCCCGAATGTTGATTCAAGCCAGGTGGTCTTCACGGCGCTTGATTGCTTCCTCCATGAGCGGTCAGCGTGGGCTTGGTACTCGGTCAAGCCAAGTGAGCGCAATCCGTTGTTGATGTGTGAGACTCGCTTGTCATGGAACTCCTTAGCCTGATACATGGCGATGCAGGCTTCCAGCTGCGTAAGCACCGTGCTCAAGACAACGATCTGCAGCGGCATGCCACTGCCTATGATGTGCCGCAAGGCATCCGTAAAGAATGCTGGCGAGCGCAACTTCTTGCCCAGCGCTAAGAATAGCAGCGGGAAGCGAGCGACAGACTTCCATACTTCTGGCAAACCGAGCATGGCGACCAGGACCTTCTCCGCAACGGCGGGCAACAGATCATAGAACTCCGCAAGCGCAACAGCATCGGTAAGTTGCAGAAGACCTTCCTGGATGTCTGACGCAGTCTGGACGCCTTGCTCGTAGAGGAGGGCGAAGAGCAGCTTATCGGCCTCGATAGTGCTTTGGCGCACAACATTTACACTTGCGTAACTACCAACTTCACACGGGTTGCCTTCGTGCCATCCGCGCCTCGGGTAGCCTGAAGCAAGTCCGGAGAGATGGAATGGTCGGATCCCGGCGCCACCGTCGAACGGCCTTGTCGCAGAGGCGGACTCGCTAACGTCAGTTCCCGATGTCTTGCTCGAGTTTTAACGAACAATACTTACAGCGTCTGTGATGCTGAAAGCTTCCACGTCCTCATCGTACTGCATGCTGTAGCGGTACAACATCTTCTCCTCTCCAGTGACCGGATCTTTGACCTTGTTGTTCCCGTTCGAAGTCCAGACATTGCTGAACCGGGCCTTGAAGCGTGGCGAGCTTGCAGCAAGCACGCCGCTGTGGAGGACGAGTACGGTTCTGTTGGAGAGCTCGACCACAACGTTGCCGGACTCGAAGCGGAGATCATCATTCTGCCGCTCGAGGGTGATATTCGAAAGGACGTCTGTGAAGCCGTCCATCTTGCCCAGGTGATTCGGCGGTGCTCGTAGACAGGCGACAGGCTTACTTCGAGCCAGACGCTGGGCCCACACGATGCTAGTTGAGTGCTGCTGTGGTTAGCTATCGTGCTTGGTCGACAATGTTTTGTCGTCTCTCCTCCGATCATGAAGCGAACCGTGCAAAAGAAGTGTCAGCGATTTGGAAAAAGATTTTATATACTGTGCATCTCTGTAAGCTGTCACGAGCTTCAGGTGAAGCTGTGAAAGTATAGCGTTAGTGACTCGCGGCGACTCATGTCATTCACCACCCTCGCACAGAAGCCTTGGTACCATTCTAACCACATTGGTCCGGTGCAGGTGCATGGTGTGCGCTTCCGGAGCCGTGTTGACTGCTTATGAGAAGTTCAAGAGCGTTTGCTGCGTCGAAAGACGTCAGGTTGAAGACAAAGACTTTCTGTACAAAGCGAACCTATTCGTGTCAGCTACCACCAACCATACCAGCAACCTCCCCAGCCACACTGCCAGCACCAAGCACAGCAGCGGCAGCATCAGCGACAGCAGGAATACTCGTCTCTTGCGTCACAGCTTGCGCCGCCGTCTTCAAAGCCGATGCAACAGTTTCGACAATGGCGCTCGTCTGCTCCGCAAGCACCGTCTGTATGTGCATATCTGCAGCACTCTCCGTTGCAGCCCGTACTCCTTGCAGAGAGGTCGACGACGACACTGACGCCGTCTGAATGACCTTGCCTTCTTTGTCTCTGGGCTTGCGTTGCCAACCAGTCTTGAACAGTTTGCCCATCGGGAATCTCGGAAATGGGTGGGCTTCGGTGTTGAACACCACATCCGTGAGCGGGAGCATCTGCGGTGACGAGAACAGCAGGTAGAAGTATTTGAGCGTTTCGGCCTATCACGAAGCTGTTAGCATCCCGGTTGCCGCCTCTGCCACGATGACAAGAGGAGTCCTGGCACACATACCAGCCAGAAACTTTCCATGTTGTCCCTTAGAGGCGGTGGCAAAGCCATCACGCTGTCGATACTCGAATACCCCGTCCCATCCGGCGTGATCGTATACTTCGCAAAGCTCTCGAACATCCTCCATCCCCACTCGCGGTACTTCTCGTCGCCAGTGATGCGCCACATGTAAAACAGACTCTCCACCGTCTCTGGTCGTTGGAGGTTGTGTTGATCCGAAGTATGGATCACATAATCTTCAGTACCTACGCGCTTTGAATCGTCCATTGAAGAATCCAGACTTGCAGGGCCCTTGGGTCGATTGTCCGTGGTGAATTCCTCGTACATCAGTGGCGGGTCATGGATGTTAAAGTATGTGATCTCGCCCGCAAGACCGGTGGGTGTAACGGTGTACATACCCCAGCAGGTCTTCATCAGCTCCTCCGCAAGCCGGATGTCCTCTTCTTGCTCCTTAGTCCAAGTCACCAGCTCTCGCGCATCATCAAGTTGCATACCACCCGTTGTAGCAAGCGCAATGGTGCCAGGCATGAAGCACACCAAGTGATCCATCTTCGGCTCAATATTGCCGTCCAGGCCATTCGGTCGCTCGGCTAAGACAGTGAAGTTCGAAGGACTACTGTAAGTGAGTAGATGCTTCTTGATGCCCGCTAAGCTCTCATTCCACATGGCTTGATATACTGGTTCCTGCAGATCTGTCTGCAGATACTGCTTGATAAGATACTCATAGTAACTATCCCCGCGACTTCCTAAGCGGATGTTGTTCCCACGGAAAGTGCCTTGGTCTGCGTATATGAAGATCGGAAGCAGACCATCAGGCATGTTATTGGCGTCGACGACGTCCATCACATGCTCTGCCTTTTCCCAGTAGTGTATTTCGCCTGTCAGCTTAGCGAGGTATTTCAGCTCGAGCTGCACACTGGTCGCTTCAGCGGTGGAAGAAGCACCAGCATCGGCGTGAGAGGGTATACCTTGCATTGTGTGTAGGTTCACGCTCGCAAGAGGCACACCAGAAGCGGTCTCGAAAGCACCTAGAAGGCGGTCGGCCAGATCCGTCGCCTTCTCAATGTACATATCCGGGCTGAGATCATCCGTGACCGGAGCATAAACGTCTGGGAAGCTCGTACTGAGGTAGTGCGCAGAGAGCAGGCCACCCATCATGCGGATGGTGGTCTCAAAAGTGTTGACATCGTGATCCTGGTCGTAAGTGAGGTTATGATGAATCCATTGTCGAGCATGTTCCAGCTCCGTGGTCAGATTCATCAACATCATGGTGTCCAGAGCGTCGATAATGATCCAGCCTAGGCCGTTCTGTGTCATCTTCCTGCCGTTTTTCGCTAGCGGATGATATTCATCGTCGCCTATACAATACTTTAGCAGGTTGAAAGGTGCAAGACAAAACAGGGAGCCATACTCGGCACATACCCCAGGCATGCTTCTCGTAGCCCTCAAACGACACCTTGAAAGCTTCTTTCACCTTCTCCGCTCTGGCGTCCCAGTCTACTGTGCTTGTTTCACCGAGCCAATTCCACGACCCTTTGCCCTTTGAACTGCCCGAAGACTTCGGCTTGTGTGTCGCGAAGGACAGGGGTGAGAGTAAACCAAACCACCACGACAAGCCTGCAAGCATTACCAATACTAACGCGACAACCCTTCGCTGTAAGAACCATGGCCCTTTTCGCCGTCCAGCTGGATATTGGAATGGCTTGTCTTTGTACATTGGCAGCGAGTTCTTGCGATCGCCATTGAGCATACCACTAATCTTCTCACCGACGCTACGATCGGGCGGACCGTTCGTGGAAAAGCGAGAGTGACCTGAACTCTGCCATTGCTCCGTATGCCGTTGTGTCGGCCCAGTCCGGGAAGTGAATGCCATGGGTTAACGGTGTTCGCAGCTGTTCGCTCCTCCGACACGCTGCTCGTTTTGATTATGTGTGGGTGTGCTTCCAAACCCGACTCCGCTGGTGATCCTTGTTGCGGATGAATATTCTTGGTGCCGGCACGTTTCTCCGGACGTTGAGAGGGTCGCGATTGTTCATAGCATGTCGTCAAACGTCCATGCTACTCTCCCTCGTCTGAAAGCATTGATTTAACGCTTCTCGCTAAGACTCAATCGTTACCTCACGACGCCATCTGTCAACTTTAGGAGATGGAGCGAGCATACCTCCCAAGCCACAGCACATGGCACCTGCAGCGGATCGTCCCATTAGCGTACCGATTGCGCCACTGACGAGCTACGTCGATGAGCACATGCACTGTCATATAGCGGGAAGGCAGCGTTGGAGGGGCAAGGTGTTATATAGATTAATCCTTAACATCTCCTATCGCTCAAGCTCCAAGGCACCTTCCTCTCAGTACCTTTGTCCGTACGATCTTGGACTGTTGCCAGTCATTGAACCAGCGGCACCATAGTAGCATCGTGTTACCGACGCCACCATGCCTACTCCCATCGATCGAGCAATGCAGTCTCGTGTACGCCATGAGTTCCATTGGCCTTCCCTAAAAGCATACATACTGATTGGTTCGAAGAACCTCTTGCTTGGCTTCGCAGCTATAGTGACACTCGTCGCTGCGTGGTCGATCTGGGGCCAGAATATGTTCCCCCAGCAGGTAGACCCTAAAGGCGAGCCCGAGAATTGGAGCAAAGATGAAATGAAGCGATGGCTTAACGCTGTAAGTCTGGTCAATCCCCGAATTTGCCCGATCAAGACCGAGAAGCTGACGCTCCGACTCAGCGAGGCCTCATGGCAGGCTCAGCCGCCACGAGAGAGGAGTTACTTGCTAGAGTGATGGCCCAGATGCGCGCACCGAGCGTGTGATTCTCCGCGACTGCGCGGGATGGACGTGCTGGTTTCCTCGATCTACTCTTGGTGTTAGGCATAACCCTAATGATAGCCACTCGCTTCGACTGCGTTTGTTATCTACGTCCAATTTCTGAGTAACATCTCCACACACATACAGGTGTCATTCAAGGGTCTCTGCTTGGTCTGAACCAGCGCCTATCGGACTCTCCGTCAATCACGTTCACCATCCGCCCTGCTCCCGTTTCATGGCGTCTCTGCATATACTAGAGCCTCCTCCTCCGCCAGCATCCGCTCAAGCTCATTGAGCTCCTCGTCTTCCGCACGTAGCTGCGCCTTTAAAAGCTTCGGTGTCTTGGAGTAGCGCCGCATGGCGTTTCTTCTGCTCCAGAAAGCTTCGCCAGCGACGCTCCTTGAGCGCTTCCGATCCCGTTCGCCGCAGCTGCTTCTTAGCGGCGAGCTCCTTCCGAAGCTGGGCTGCTTCGGCAACCAGGTGGTCCATGCGGGTCTTCTCGACAGATCCGAATTTCACTGTGACAGGTAGCGTGTTTTTCGTGGGACCTTGCGAATGCCGGATAGTCGCTAAGCGCTAGTGTCAATTAAGGTCTTGAAGCATGTGCTTACAGCCATTCTCATTGACTCATGCACGTTTGCAGCGTCTGTTTTCGCGCTTGACAGGTTGGGGACCTCTTCGTTACGCTCCTTTCGCACATCAGCAGTGGTTATAACGTTATTCGCGGAGCGCTTGCCGGATCAGTTGACTTGTATCGAGTCTTGATATCGGGTGATCCCAGATCATCTACGAGTACTGCTTTGCGCTTCCGAATCTCGCCGCCTGCAACAATGCATTCGGACCACTCTTTGGCTCGCTTTGTTGGCAAGCTCGTCTTCTTCTTCTTCGATACCTGGTCTTTACACAGCAGGGTCTCAATATCATCCGCAGAGTCCTTGGGGTACCAGTGGTCCGAATGAAGCTCTGCAACTTGCAAGGTCAAATGCAGAAAACCTTCCGTCTCAAATCGAATGTCATAGTCGTAGACTTCCTCAAGTAGCAGCAAAAGTTCGAGCCAGCCGATGCCTTCTTGCGGGATATGCGCGCGTATGTCCTCCGGTGTTGCGTCCAGGGCTGGAAGTTTACCATGTCTGGAGGCACACCACGAGTGGCTGCTTTCTGTACAGGAGACGGGCTCGCATGTGGGACCACCGGCGCATGCTCTCTGTTGGAGTTGCTCGCCATTATGCAGCAAAGTGGTACATATTGCGCGGCGTTTGAGTCAGATGAAATCAGATGCTGTGACCTCAAGCTTCAGGTAGGCTAGTGGCCTCACCCGCCCCCTTCTTTTCCTCATTCAAGCGTTGAAACGTCGCACCTTCTGCATTACTCTAGCTATGCCGCATCCAGCTCACACTCAATCAGCGCTCTCGCAGCCTTTGCCTCATCCATCGCCGCCTTCTCCTCCGCTGTCAGCTGCTCAAGGTGGGCTAAGTCCTCCGACTCCTCGTCCAGCTGCGCTTGCAGCATGGCAATCTCCCGCAGCTCTGCTTCTTCCCGCAGACGCTCCTCCTCCGCACGAAGACGGCGCTGCTCCTCAAGCGCCGTCTGCTGCTCCAGCTTACGCTTGCGCTGAGCGGCAAGCTCCTCGCGCAGCTTAGTCTTCTGGCTGGCAAGCTCTTCGAAGCGGGCCTTCTTCGACGGGGTCGAATCGCACGTCACGCTTGCGGAACGTTTCGCGGCGCGGAGTGGCTGAGGCGTGAATTTCTTTGACGGATCGTCTGTCGCTGTGTTTATGCCGGGATTTGTGACTTGTGCCTCGAGACCTTTGCAGGTCACGCTGCATGCTTTGGCGCCACGATCATCGAGTGCGCTCAGAGTATCATCATCAAACAATTTCTCCGACTCGATCGCAGCTCCGTTAACGGACTCGACGGCGATCTCTACACTTGATGAAGCTTTCTGTGCGGGTCCAATCGTGGCCATGTGCGTCTGTTCCTCGGTCACTTCAGACTTTGCCGGTATCTCGTTGCTGAACTGGGATTGCTTCTGAATCTGGACTTCGGGTATGTCCGGCCCAAACGGGTTCCTCACATAGTACTTGCCATTCCTGAGTATCGCGATCTGTCCGACAAGGGCTGCAAAACGCGTACTGGTCTGGCTTGCGGCTGGCAGTTCCTGCTCGCTGAAGCTTGCCCGCAGGTCGGACAGGGTGGTGCCATTTGGCGGAATGTGAGCCCTGATATCGCAGAACTTAAGATATGAGTCGACTGCAGTAGATTCAGTAGATGGCTTTGGTGACTCGGTGCCGTGATGGTCATGTCCCGCCGAAGGTTTGGTGGGTGGCTGCGCCGAATCCTCTCTGTTGGTTTCATGTTGCGAGTGGGCTTTGTTTTGTGATCCACATGCACTCCTCTGTGCAGCGTACTTGAGATGGTACTTGCCGTCTTTGCAGAAGGCGACTTGCTTGACAAGGCGCACAAACTGCTCGGCGGCCTTGCTGTTGCTGGGGAGCCTTGCCTCGTCGAAATATGCACGGAGATCGAAAAGTGATATGCCATCTTCCGGTATGTGCTGTTTGATGTCGAAGACAGTGACGGTGCAATCCATGTTAGCGAGATCGCTAGATGAAGACGCAGGTTTAAAGGTGCGGAAGTCTGGCGTCTCCAGCCGCTTGTGCAGTCGATCGAAGGACATCGTGCATTGCGCAGAGTCAAACTGCTCTAAACCTTGTTAGACGTGGAAGCAGTGCTTGTTCACGCATAAAGCGCACGCGTACCCCCTCTACCCAGGTCGTGCCTTCCCAAAGCGACACCAGACTGGGTTCGTACTTGCCTGCACTTTACCGCGCCACATTATGCACACACAAGGGTCCAATTAGAACATTACATGTAGTGTGCATGTTGAACGGTGGGCTTGGGAGCAGTAGCGTGTGGCACAGTAATCATGATATTCCGGTGTTTGCACGGCTCTTTAGCTGCGACTTTGTAAACCGTCGCTTCAATCTGATCAGTTCTACACGACAAACCTGAACGTCTGACTCTGTATCAGCCACGGCCTCCCATGCCCACCTTTCCCCGCCGCTCTGCTCAACTCAGCATTAGGCACAAGCACAAAGCTGTCACTGAACCCTCTCAACGGCCCCTCTCTCCTCTCCCCGAGCCGCACACTCCCACTCACTTGCACAATCAAACTCATATTATGCTCCGCATCCTTCTTCGACCTGCCCGCGCCCGGCATCATAGTGGGGTTCATAACATGCACGTTCACGCTCTGCGCCTCAAAGTGAGTCCACGGCATTTGTTTCTCCCATCGCTCCTGAAAAGCAGCAGAGTCCGCGAGCAGTTCGCCGTTGTAAGAGATACTAGGGAGACCGCGGCCGTTGTCCTGGACGATGGTGGGCACGTAGTACGTTTTGATTGAGCTCCGCGAGCCGTCGAGCGCGGAGTAGTAGAGGTCTACGAAGCGCTCGGCTGCATCTGTGGAGACACGAGCGTAGTCTGTCTCTGTTAGCGTCGCCATGACCCAAGCTGTCAGATGGGAAGTTAAGGCAGAGACGCTGAGTGAAATGGTTGGAAGTGTCGCTTGCTGAACGCTCGGACCACTGCCAAGAGTTCGATGCTCCGCACTACCGATTTCACTTCGAGCGAGACATTGAAGAGAAGTAGCAGCGACAGCAGCGACGACAACATTCACTGCCAACCTCCGTCAAACCGCCGCCATGCCTCAAGAAGTCTCCGACATCAAGACCTTCATCGAGATCTGCCGCCGCAAGGATGCTTCCTGTACGTACACCCAATTCCAGAAAGAGCAAGAGTAAGCCTGTCGGGAGCACGCAAGGGGCGTCGACAGCATGCTTGGACCAAGCAAGCGCACGGATTGACAAAGATTGGATGGCTGACATGACGTTGTCAATAGCGGCACGGATAAAGAAGAACCGCGCAACGCACCAGACCAAGTTCAAGGTCCGATGCAAGCGGTACCTTTACACCCTCGTGCTCAAGGACTCGGACAAGGCTGAGAAGCTGAGGCAATCGCTACCGCCCAGTACGTGACCCCAAGATCATGGACCCCTGGAAGGTGGGAGCAGAATACTGACTGGTAGCTTGTACAGATCTTACGATCGCGGAGACGCCGAAGAAGAACGCCAAGGGCAAGCGGGTTGCGAAGACGACATGAGCATGATGAGCATTCTGCAGCGAGGTTGGCGTTATGGAGGTCCCTACTTGAGCGGAACGAGAGAGCGGTCAAAGAAAGCATCGCGGAGGATCACTTTCAGGGTCGAGCTCAGGGTCGGTCTGAGCGGCACATTACATGTTCGCGCCAGCGCGTATACCGTGCGATACCAATACAAGCGGCCTATTCTTCTCCGCGACGGCAGTGAACGTTCATCGCTTAACAGCAAACTTATACTCATCCTTCCGATCCAGATATACCACCCTATCATCCCACCCCGCACTACTGACCGCCTTCTTAAAGTCCTCCAAAGGACTCAAGAAGACATCATAATCATCGTAATGGATCGGAATCGTGACGTCCGGCTGGATGAGACTCATCAACTTGATCCCTTGCTCCGCATCCATTGTCACCATCAATAACGGCGCACTGGGGCCAGGGATCGTCGTACCGCCGAGATGAATGAGCATCAGGTCGATGTTCTGTCCCGAGTAGCGTTTGGGGATCTCTTGTAGTTCGTCGATGAATAGTGTGTCCCCGGAGATGTAAATGCGGTAGCCGGAAGTAAAGTCCGAATCTGAGGCGGACGAGGAAGGCTTGTAGCCTAATTCGATCATCCAGCCATTCGTGGGTGGAACGGCTCCTAGGAGATCATTCGCCATGCTGAGCAGGCCCGGCGGGACATGCTTGCCCGGCATACCCGTCACCTTGACAGCGGGCACTTTGCCACCGCCCGTCTGCGTCCCAGAAGTCGTAATATCAAGCATCGCATTCTCAAAGAAGTCGAGGTCATACACATTAGTAAACCGATCCTCACCCTTCTGATCATGCAAATGCGTCTTCGCATGCGGCGTAGTAACAATCGGCAGATCCCGCCTCAAGCTCTCCTCCACTTTCTCGTCGAAATGGTCGGCATGGTAATGACTCAACAACACCGCGTCAATGCGAGGTAGCTCATGCAGGTCAATAGCCGGGTTCGTCCTTCGCGTCCCCGTGACTCCGGGCCCGAGGTGGACGTGGTCGCCGGCGTGGAGGAAGTTGGGGTCGGTCATGAGGCGGATGCCTTCCCATTCCAGGATCGTGGTTGCGGTGCCGACGAAGAAGAGGCTCGCGTTTTCATTGTCGGAGGAGGCGCCTTTGGGGTGGAGTTTGGTTTCCTTGGCGGAGGGGAGAGAAGAGGCGGGTTGGGGGGTGTCGCGGGTTGCGGATTTGGAGATGGATGGGTCGAGGGTTAGGCGGTGTTTGATTGCAGTGGTTGACATGTTTTTCTCGCTGTTATGTCCGCTCTTTGTGGCAGGTACGGCGTCCATTTAACAACGAATAAGTGAAGGAAGACCTACCTACTGCTGCTAAATGGCTTCACTGCCTGCATGCTCCTTCCTATTTCGTAATGGCTTCGTCATCTCGCCTTACTCCAGTATGTCAGACATGGCTACGGGCTGTATCCCACGAGAAGGCTACTCTGCGTGGCACATGTAGGCAACATCTTCAAAAGGTTGTCATCCTTCTAGTTGTGGCCAACATCCCGAAGGAACATACTGCATGACGGTAATGGCCTGTCGTCGAGTTTCCATTTCCGTCTCCATCTCCACATCTGGCCTGGACCCTTGCAGCAGCGCAAATGGGGTCGCGAAAGTGACCAGCCAACCAGAAGTCGCGCGCACATGGCCCAGAACGCGGCGAGTGGGCTTGCGACTCGCCGGGGACGATCCTCAGCTCGCCAATTGTTCCACGGCGTCGTCGGAAGGGAAGCAATTGTCGTACAGCACAATCCTTTGGTTATTCGCACTTGACTCTTGTGATCTATCCATCCAACCTAACCTACTGTTGTTGTCATCGTCTCACCTGTTTCTGTCTCTCCTTTCCGCTTGTAAGCAGCCTTCATCTCCCGCGTCCTCCCATCCCAACACCAAGCGTCTTATCAGCGATCGAGAGACGAGCAGTCAAGCTCACCACAACCATGCGCTCCTTCCTCCTGCTTTCCGCGCTCGCGAGCGTCGCCTTCAGCGCCAGCATTCCCGGCCTGCCAGCATGCGCCGGCAGCTGCGTAGGGACCAGTTTCGGCAGCTGCTCCACCCTCGACGTCAAGTGCATCTGCTCCGACTCGTCTCTGCTCTCCGGGCTGGCGTGCTGCGTGAGCACTTCATGCAATGCCGCCGATCAAAACGGTACGCGCTCAACCACCACACCCTTACCGCCCCAACCATCACATCCCATTCCTACTAACGCGCCTTCCGCAGCCACCATCAACTTCGCCAACTCCCTCTGCCAAGGCTACGGCGTAACCAACCTCCCTCAATCCGCGACCTGCGCCTCGACCTCGTCCGGCGCCGCCGCCTCCTCCACCACCGCAGCTGCAGTTGCGGCAGCAAGCGGCAGCAGCAGCGCCAACAGCACCATCTCCATCCCCGCCTCGCTCTCCTCCGCCTTCGTGTCAGCCTCAGCCGCCGCATCCCATGCATCCAGTAGCGCCGTAGCGGCTGCCTCCTCCGCCAGCCGCGCCGCTTCCAGCACAGCAGCTTCCGCCGCGAGCCAGACCAGCTCGGGCGCGGTGGCCACGAATGTGGCGGGAGGAATGGGCGCGGGACTCGTTCTTGCGGGCTTGATCGCCGCGCTGTGAACGATTTGATCTAGACAGAGTTGGGAGAGATTGGACATCACCACCTCTGATTGAGTGAGACGTTGGACAAGTCTTTACGCAGCGTATTTCGATAAATTACCAAAAACCATCTTCCCATTTCAAAGCTCCGTGTGCCTTGACCGTGCCGCCTGTGTGCGCATTGAATCAGCAATGAGCAGTCGACCTTCACGCTCAAGGCTGCAACATGAGCCAGTTGCGGCGGAAAGGCTGCATTGTAGCCATGTATGGAACGCCTGGATTATCTGATGAGCTTCCATTCCGCGGGTCTAGGAACAAAGCCTCCCCCCAAACGCCCGCGCAAAACACAGCCATTACATCACAAGCATATCCTATCATCTAAGCTCATCCATCCATCCATGCATCCACCCATCTCATCACCACGCCAACCTACTCCACAGTAACACTCTTCGCCAAATTCCGCGGGAAATCCACATTCAGCCCCTCCGCTACGGCCAGCCAATACGCCATCAACTGCAACGGAATCACATTCAGCACCCCCTGCAAAATATCCACCGTCTTGGGCACCTCGATCTTATCCGTCTTCTCGCCGGGAAACTCCGTGTCGCCCGTATTGCAGATGACGATGGGCCGGCCCTTGCGCGCGATGACTTGCTGGTAGGCGTTGAGGGATTTGGAGAAGATGTCGTCGCGCGTGAGGATCATGACGATGGGGAGGGATTCGTCGACGAGGGCGAGGACGCCGTGTTTGAGCTCGCCGGACATGACGGCTTCGCAGTGGAGGTAGGAGATTTCTTTGATTTTGAGCGCGCCTGTACAAAATGTCTGTTAGTCTCGGTGTGTGTGGTTCGGGTGGGGAAGATGGGTGGGGTGTGTTTCGCTTTACCTTCGAGAGCAGTGGCGTGCTGTGCGCCACGGCCGAGCAGAAGCATGGACTTCTGGTCCTTGAACTTCAGGCACAGGTTCTTGATGTCTTGGTCCATCTTCAGCACCTCCTTGACCTGCTCGGAGATCTTGCCAAGACCCTCCATGATCTCCAACCGCTTCTTCTGCTTGCTCGCCCGGTCCTCGCTCAAGCTCAGCGCAAACATGATCATGCACACGAATTGACTGGTGTAGGCCTTCGTGCTCGCGACACCGATTTCGGGGCCGGCGTTGATGTGGACACCGCAGTGTGTCATGAGCGAGATCGAAGAGCCGACGACGTTAACGATACCGACGGTGAGCGCGCCGCGTTCCAAGCAGTATCGCAGAGCCATGAGCGAGTCCGCCGTCTCACCCGACTGCGAGACGAAGACGCATGTGTCGTCGCGGAAGACTGGAGCTTGGCGATCGAGGAAGTCAGAGGCGAGCTCGACGGAGATGGGGATTTCGGTCAGCTCTTCGAATGCACCACGCACGGCCATGCAGCTGTGGTAGGAGGTTCCGCACGCGATGAATATCAGTCTGCGGCAGCGGCGGATGGTGCCGATGTATTGCCTCAAGCCACCGAGCGTGACAGTCTTCTCCTCGACATTGAGACGACCACGCATAGCGTTGACGACGGACTCGGGCTGCTCGAAGATCTCCTTTTGCATGAAGTGCTCGAAGCGGCCCTTCATGATCTCCTGCAGCTCAATCTCAATGGTCTGGATGGCGCGGACGTTGGAGGTGCCGTCGTGCTCGCCCTGCTTCTTCAGACGGTGAATGTTGAGCTGGCCTTCGTGGATGTGCGCAATGTCGTCGTCTTCGAGGTAGAGGACCTTCTTGGTGTGCTCGATGATGGCAGAAGGGTCGGAGGAGAGGAAGAACTCTGCGGGTTGTGGCATGCCATCATCGGAAAGGAAGGCGCGGGATTGGGAGCGGTGGAGGAGTGACTTATCCGGTGGGGCGAGCAGACTAGCTCCGAGAGAAGCGCGCAGACCGGGCGACTTCTTGAGGGCGAGGTTCTGGCTGGCCGTCTCGGCCGGAAGGGCTTCGTTCTGGTCGGTAGTCTCCACGTCGACGAAGTCCACCTTCATCTTGCGGGCTGTGCGAACACCAACGACGAGGGGGGAACCCTTTCGCGCGGCGACGACCTCGCCGGGGAAGTGTACGCTCTTGAGCAGCAGACCAAAGGCACCTTGCAGCTCCTTGATCACGGTCTTGGCGAGTGTGGTGAAGTCGAGGTGCGGGTTGTTGTCGTAGATGTACTTGGCCAGCTTGGCAATGGCCTCGGTATCCGTCTCCGTCTCGAACTTGAAGCCCTTTTGCTCCAAAAGCGCCCGCAGCTCCTTGTAGTTGGTGATGATGCCGTTGTGCACGACCGCAAACTCCCACTTCGGGTCGGAGCGGTGAGGATGGCAGTTGAGTCTGCTGGGCGAGCCGTGAGTGGCCCATCGGGTGTGAGCGATACCGGCATGGTTGTCGAAGACCTTGGTCATGTCCGGGGCCTCATCCTCGACCAGCTTGCGGAGCTTGGCCACCTTGCCGACCTCCTTAAAAGCGAAGACCTCATTCTTCTTGTCACCGTCGATGGCGAAGCCGGCCGAATCGTAGCCGCGGTATTCAAGGCGGGCGAGGCCTAGTGGAGATCATATGTTAGTGGCGTGTTGTTCACGTGCAAGGCTGAGACGGATTGACAGCTTACCATTGACGAGTGTGTCGATGATATACCGCCTATCCTTCTCCACCAGGTAGTTGATGTACCCGAAGATACCACTGTCGTTGGATCAGTACTGCTACCGAAGGTGGTGGTGCTGCAGGCCGAGCGTACCACATGTTTGCGGGCGGTCAATGAACAGCGAGGGAAGCGATCGTTGGCCTCGTCAGCTCAATCTCCAATGTATTAGTTGATTGAAACGCAATAGTCGTGACAAACGTGGGAACGAGTGAGAAGAGGAAGGTCAATCACTTCGACTCAAATGGGAGTGATCGGGATGAGTTTTTGCTGGCAAGCAAGAAATGTTGTCAAGCAAGGCTCGTGAAGCTTATAGCTCGCTATGAACGCAGTCCGAATCCGTCGCGCAGAAGGGTCCAGCTTCGCCTCTTGCGCCTTTGCGCAGCAACACGAAACGTCTCAGCCGCAGCACACCAACGATCCGCCTGAGACGCGAGCGTCGAAACGCCCACACAGTAAGCCGCGCTCCCCTTCTCATCTCCTTCACGTCCACTCAAGTTCGAAGTATGCTTGCATCGGCATCATTATGGCTCTCTCCAGTGACATCCTCGCAAATCTGTAACTTTTGCGAGGACGTCACCTTTGCCATTCTATTTCCATCCATCACCTCGTACCGTACCCTAAGGAAAGCGTGGAGGCACGTTAGGCGGCCCAGTTTGCCTAGCCAACGCAACCCACAATGATCTACGCTCAAAGTGGTCTTAGGCGCGGCATGACATTCAGGTACCCGCGCATTCCTCCGCTTGGCAACCGGTGCTGCCCCTCTCCGATTGAGACATTGCTGACATCCTTCAGCCACAGCGTTGCCCGCATCGGTCCTGGCTGCCAACGCACATGCTTGCCGGGTGGGATGGCGCTCGCATGTGGTCGGCTTGGCTTGAAGTCGAGCGGTGTGTCTGCGTCGGCGCAAGCCTGAGCTCGATACACTTATCAGTAGGCTCTACGCGACACTGACCTGCTGCTTCTTCGACAAGTGTTGGTCACATGAAGCGTACCCGCGCATTCGTGCCGTGCAAAGTGATACACAACAAATCATTAGACGCTTCGATCATTCACGTTCCGGAGACGTCGGAAGGTTATGGAGTACTGCCGGGTCATATATAAGACAATGCGCGACGGCTCGCGACAGTTTGACAACGGTTCGCGGCAAGAATGACGATGTCGAACATTGTACGATTCCGATAAAGGTTATCGTCGCAGACTACCGGAGCAGTATGCAAGCAAGATCGAGGCTGTTGCACCATTCCGAACATGGTATCGTAAGCCACGGCTCGCCAATGAACCGTCCTTCATTTCAGTCACATCCGCTGGTTTCGTCACGCATATTGGAGCGAGGGCATGCCGTCATCGACGGACTGTCCAGCGACGTTACGCAGGTGATTGAGATCGCTCCATGGATGGCTCATGGATAGCTTACGAATGTTTCTGAGCGAATAGCGGTACGAAAGGATTGAGGATACCTTACCGTTGGTAGCTCTTGTCACGTTTTGACGCACTACGAAGTTTAAGCTCGGTCTACCGCGTCGCTGACTTGTTGAACGCGTCGGAAGCCTTCACTTCAGATTTGCGTCGGATCGTCCTCACTGTCCTTCAGCTTGGATTGCCGCCGTCATTCTCCAGTACAGCCACTTGGCCCACGGGTAGGTAACGCTCAATGGAAAGCATAAGCAACCATATGTTGAAGAGCCCTCTGCCTCCGCAAGCGGGCCGAGCGAGGCCAATAGGCCAAGGTCAGTGACCGGACCAGCGCTGTCAACACATACTCACTGAAGGTCTGCGTGTAGCAAAGCTGCTTGTCCAAGTCTTGCTGCACCTCAACATGGCTGCAAAATAGTTCGGGGCCAACAACATGTGCAACCGATGGCCGGACCGCAACCTGGAACTGTGGTGACCGCAACTCAGCAAATGGGTTTGACCCCAGCAGGCCCGCAACGGTACCTACCGACCATGCTGTTGAGGGGCAAGTCGCAGGTACAGACAGTCAGTGTCTCTGTGTTGGTGGTGAACATCTACATCGGACCGTCTGCTCCCTGTGGCATGGCCCAGCTGCATGCCATTGTTCAGCAAGTCGTTGGAAAACTAACTGGATATAGCATTCCGGCACGGGTCTTCAAGGCGGTCTTCACCTCCGCACGCTTATACACAGCAGCCGGTCCAGTAGTATGCAGGTAGATTAAACGTGTCACCGGTGGGCAACCCATTGCCACAGCACGCCGGTTCACCAGCAACACAACACACCGGTTATCCACCACAAGTGCTGCCACAACAGGCCGGTCCGTGCCTCCAGGCAAAATGGTGGTCCGCAGCATCTCGCCCAGCGCGCTCTAGGTCCGTAGTCGCATGTACCATACCTGGCGTCGTGTCACATCCGGTCACACTCGAGCGTTGAGAACGTCGCTGAGTCGATGGCTATCGAAACAGCGTCGACAAACTGTCAAAGGCCGACATGCGCGGTATGCTGAAGAGGCTGCTTCCGTTCTGCCAATCAGTCCGTGATGGTGTGGTAAGGCTGTCGCCCGTGTCTAAGCCAGACGAGATGGTGCAGTTGATAATCCGCAGCAGAGGTCAGATTGCACGGCGAGAACCGCGCGAAAGCAGAAGCAGAAACACAAAGAGAAACAGAAGCAACATGCCGAGGCAGCCTTCGGTCTCGGTGACTTGCATATCCTCCAATATGACCTCGACGGAATATGGAGTCGCTTCATCAATGATCGTGATAGTGAGGAATACACAAACAGCTCTAGTGCTTATTGTGATATCTTTGAGCTGGTCCACAGCATTGTGGAAACAGTCCAGAGTGAATCGTCCTATGTGACAAAGATCTATGCACTCCTGGCACTGACGCACATCGGCGAAGATATGATTGAAGGTCATAGTCCCTGCGAATGGAAGTGCGGAAGCACTTTGGAGGCTGTGAGACATCAGTGACGCGATGATGTACGTTTACGTTCTCGATGAGACGGACAAGGACGAGAAGCAAAGGTTGATCGTGGACGCATGGGAGGGACGGCTGGAAGGATTGTGCGATGTTTCTGCAGATGTCGCATGGATATGGCATGCGGACGGGTTTTGAGGGTAGTTCAACCGGCAGACGAAGAAGACGATGACTAGGTGAGGAAGCGGAGGGGGAAGAAGAAGCAGAGCAATAGATGCGAATTTGAACGCACTTCGGTCGCATCTCTTGCTTTTGAAGCGCATGGAATTCGTCGAAGGAAGCAACTCCGAAGTCCCTTCTTGCGAAGGACAAATACTCAAGGAGCAGTGGCAATAATGAGCACGACAATTCCGGACATACTGTCGAAAAGATGGAAGGCTTGACCGAGAAGGACAAGGAACGGTTTGGGCCGAACAACTTACTTGGCATGGAGAATAGCGCGTTGAATGCGCTGCGTTCCCTCAATGAGCGACTTGTCAACGCACCAGATAGTTGTTCGGGGAGTGGCGTGGGTGAGGCAGTGGACCTAATACAGCAGACTTTCTGTGACGGGTGTGTTCAGGGTCTCGCAGTCGTTGGATAATGCCGAGGAAGATCGAAGTTGGTGGACGAAGGGTTACTTTGCAAAGCTGACACCTTGCTGCTTCGCTCTCCCGTCTTTGATGAGAACAACATCGTCCTACTCTCCGCGCCTGACTATGGCCGCCGCCTGTGCGACTACAGGACTCTGAGCTTTCCTATCAACATCAATGATTGAGGCCGGCGTCCGCTGTCCGGGTAGAGAGCACGTTTGTCAACTACAAAGCGCTTCTCCTTCGCAACATGCCTGATTCGAACAAGCCTGAATCCCCACAACATTCCCCACCAACCACGCTTCGCGGATAAAGCTGTCTCCACACCAACTTCCTTTACCATCCAGACCGTGGCTAACAAATCAAATCGACTGCGTGACCTCGGCTACATAGCAAGGATTATGATGCCAAGCTGCGGAGGCCACGAGATGATGGAGGAGCCTTGCAGACTACAGATGCGCCGCTGATCGCGATGTAGCAGGGTATAAGTGGGTATCATATAGTCCGGCGCAGTAACTTTCATATTGTGGTTTCTTCAAGCTTTCCCATTAGAGCTCGCTCCTGTTCTCTATACACTCTCTCGAGGCGTGAACGGCACCCTCAGCACCAGCGAAGATGGAGAAGGTCAACCCAGAACACTCGCCAGACAGCGGGCCAATGACAGAAAAGGACATTGGTTATGTTTCGAAGCATGAGAACACAATGGCGGAGCTTCCGGACCCGGATGCTGGCTTGAGTGATGAGGAGCGAGCGATTATCGTGAGTAGCTTTGCGCAACGATGCAGCTTATACCTGACCGTGCCGTAGGACAAGAAGTTGGTGCGGAGACTGGACTGGATGCTCATCCCCTGGCTCACCATCCTCTATCTCGTGAGCTTCCTGGACAGAACGAACATCGGTAACGCTAAAATCGATGGACTCATCCCGGACCTGCATATGACGAACGGGCAGTACAATGCTGCGCTGTCTTTATTCTTCGTCTCGTACGCGGGCTTCGAGCCACTCACGAACATCTTACTAAAGCGTCTGCGGCCGAGCATCTTCTTGCCTATTATCATGATTCTTTGGGGCATCTGTATGACATGCATGGGTCTGGTGCACAACTTCTCCGGCTTAGCCGCGGCGCGTTTCTTCCTTGGTGTAGCTGAGGCCGGGCTGTTCCCTGGTGTCAATTACTACCTTTCTTGTAAGTGGTACGATGAGTCGCAGGTGGACGTACGCTGACTCTGCTTCAGGTTGGTACAAGCGTAGTGAGCTCGGCATCAGGGCTGCCATCTTCTTCTCAGCTGCAGCTTTGGCTGGTTCCTTTGGTGGCCTGCTCGCTGCGGCCATTGCACTGATGAAAGGCATTGGTGGGAAGCATGGCTGGGTGAGTGCTGATCAGCGGGCGGTTTGCTCTGTAGACTAATAGTCGGCTGTAGGCGTGGATCTTCATTCTTGAGGGCCTGGCCACTGTTCTTATCGGTATCGCAAGTTACTGGCTAGTACATGATTTCCCGGACGACGCCAAGTTTCTCAGCGAAGCCGACCGACTACGCGTGCTCCGGAGACTAAAGGCTGATGCGCAGAGTTCCGCCGAGCACGAAGACTTCAAGATGGCTTACTTCTGGGCTTCAGTGAAGGACTGGAAGACTTGGGCCTTCGCTACCGTGTACATGGGATGCGATGGCGCGCTGTACGCCTTCTCGCTCTTCTTACCCACTATCATCCAAGAGCTGGGCTATGCCAGCACCAAGGCGAACTTGCTTACAGTCCCGCCATATGCCGCTGCCGCTGTGCTTACGATAACGATTGGCTGGATCGCCGACAAAACGAGGCAGAGAGGATTGTGCAATATCTGCGTCTCATTGCTCGGCATTGCAGGCTTCAGCATGCTTCTCGGCAGCACCAATCCCGGTGTGAAGTACGCAGGAACGTTCTTGGGCGCTCTGGGCATCTATCCATGTGTGGCAAACACAATCTCGTGGGCTGCGAACAACGTTGAGGGTGTCTACAAGCGTGGAGTGACTCTAGGGTTTGTGATCGGCTGGGGCAACCTCAATGGTAGGAGCCGACCCATGCGTATCGGTTTCTGATTGGATCTAGCTGACACAAATCGCCAGGCATTATGAGCAGCAACGTCTACCAAGCCAAGGACAAGCCAAATTACCGCCCCGGTCATGCAGTCGTGCTCGCCTACATGGTACTCTTTCTGCTCGGAGGTAGCTTGGCCACACACTTCCTGCTCATCGATGAGAACAAGAAGCGTATTGCCGGTAAGCGCGATCACTGGATTGTGGGGAAGACGGAGAAGGAGATTGAGATGCTTGGCGACAGGCGGCCAGACTTCATATACACGGTATAAGAAGCACTTGGACCTGGGTACAAGATCGTACAATTTCCGCAACAAAAGGCTTTAGCGTTCCATATCACACTGGCTGGTCGAATAACCGAAAGGCACGCAAAGCCTCTCGTGTTCCGCCACGCCTGACAACAGAGAGCCGATTAATCCCGGCTGGCCAACAGCCTTGCGCATTCATCAATCATTCGAATCGCGTCAGGATCGGTCTCAATGTACTTTCTGGTCGTTGCCTCAAGGTCGTCCATAATGGTGTAATCAGCCATGTCCAGTATAGCTTTCCCAGTCGGACAGTCAAGACGATAGTACTTAAGATGTGAGTTCTGATCGCCTCGGTCGACCATCCGGTTAGCCAATCGTTCGAAGTCGGCATGCTTTGCCGCGGTGTTGGCCACGAACCACTGAGCGTAGTAGATGGCCATGTTCATAAGCTTGCCAATGAAGCGCGGGTGCCTCACATCTGGCCTACCGCACCCAAGCGACAGAACAATGGAGACGGCGGGCGGTGGTTGGTGGCGCTCGACCAAATCGTAGCGTGCGTTCCATAGCTGCTCAATCGGATTGTTACTGAGATTCAAGTCAGCGTCAACATCTTTCCCTCCATTTTGATCACTGGATGTATAACCTACTTTAGCACGCCACCATCCCAAAAGCTGATGGTCTGGTTGTTGTACTGCCATACTTCTTCAGGAAGATAGCCTGGCGCCGCAGACGTAGCTCGGGCAGCTGGAACGATCTTGATGCTGTTGACAAGATCATTCTCATCAACTACAGGTGAGCGTACTGGAGCTGCGCCTTCAGGCCTGGTGTAAGAGCGCAGGAGGACAGACTCGCCCTCGTCCTTGACCGTGGCACACATGAACATCATCGCGGACTTCGGGTTAACAAGGTAGTCTTTCCATTGGTCATCCCTGTCAGAGTACTTGTCGACAACCGTTCGGATGGCGTCTTCCAATGGTTTCCTGGGAAACTGCGCGCCAGAGGCGATCATATTCAGCATCAACCCACACTTTCCGAGGAGGCCGCCCATTGTCCGGAAGCCGAAGATGGTCGGTGCGAAGATCTGTGAAGCCAGGTTATGGTATTCGTCCAAGCACTGCTTGGTGTTCATCCGCAGACGGAAGAGCATAAGCGCAATAAGTCCGCCCGTACTGGTACCTGCCGCCAGGTCGAAGTAATCGCATGGTTTCCGAGGCTTTGGCGACAGGTTGATGCCCTCGTGGACTTCGATTTGCTTGACTTTCTCCATGATGGCGTCTAGAATCAGAACGGACGAAACGCCCTTGACGCCTCCACCATCGCAGGCAAGAAGGCGCGCTCCGTTTTTGCGGAGCTGGGGTAGTCGTGGGCCCGGTGGGATAACATCTGGTACTGTGTTCTTCATAGCTCAGAAATGCTGCTGTGATGGGGTTGGAAACAGAGAGTGAAAAAGCAGGCGTCCTACAACCAAAGAGCAGAGCACTTACTTCTAGCTCTACCTCTGCACTATATGTGAGGTAGCCTACCTGATCAGCTGCGCCGTGCCACGCCAATGGCACCCCAAGACAGCCAGCTAGAAGCTTGAGGTTTTACAATCCCCCGTACGAGGGGTGAAAGCACGCCGTAATTGTTGAGAGCTGCGGTAGCCATTACTATAGGCTGGCGAGGCACAGCCCCAGAAGGCATCTGAGGCAACCTTCAGCCTGGTCGAAGAAGCCGAGCATTTAAGGGCGGCATTGCGGGGCTTGTATGGATCATTCAACTACATGCAGGAGTAATTGGTGAAGGACGTAGCGTAGCCATGGCAGTTCATGCAGGATGAAGCGTCAGCCCACACGCCATTTGCGGCTGGACCGCTCGCTTGCGCAGAGGGGCGGGACGAGCAGTCAGCCCCTTGGCGAAGACAATGCGAACGTGACGTGACGCTTTGAAGGCTGGTGTAATTGACGAGACCTTGGCGGGTTTGCGACATGTTCTCCTTGTGGTCCAACAAAGATTGCAGGTTGGCGTTGCGCTACATTGACCGAAGCTGCTTGTCGCCGATCAACCACGGTTTGTGTGGCTAATCAAAGCCTTGTTTGATCGGGGAGAACCCAGAGTCGCAAGCATTTGCAGCAGTGTACGCGTCTTCGAGGATGTTGCAATGGATGAAGGTTGCTTTGACCAACGATCAAGTTCAGGGAAGCAACGGCAACTCTAAGTTGACAACATACTCACCCAAGCCAGCATTTTCACCAAACATGTACCAAAATATGATCCTGCCTCTCAGCGAACCTCTTCACTTGGTGAAGATGTGCTCTCAACCGAGTAACACTCCCAGGAGCTTCCGGTCTGAAGAAGCGAGGGTCCAATGCGCGCATATGAGGCAGACTTGCTCATTTAGCGGTACCTTGCCGTGACGTTGAGATGGCCGGAATGCTTGCTATATAATGTGGATGCACTCTTTCGTCGCTCCCATCATCGCGCACATAATGAAAGACCCATCACCAGATACCCTCCGGATCTCATGTTTCGACGAGCTGCTCGCGGATTCTCGGCCTGCGCTCTGCGGGTGGTCTCCACGCTCGAACCGACAACTGCAGCAATGAATCGCTGTACCCAAGTTAGGCGAACCACCAACTCGACCATGACACTGTTGAATGGTGAGTGTATCACGGTCATTCGCCCCTCACGTCCGTCTGGCTTGCCGGAGAGGTGGACGTCCTTCATGGTAACAGACTGAGAGGTCAGATCGGTGATTTCGGCGTTAGAAGATATTGTGAAGTGGTCAGTGAGCAGATGGCGAAGGGACTATCTCAAGGTGACGTGAACAAAGAGAAGGAGTTGACGGATATCTACGTCGTGCCTAATACGTTCAACCAGAGCATTTAGACTGCCGTGTTCGCTCGGAGCCATACTGTGCGGAGGCTTGAGTGGTACCGATATTCTTTACGATGCTGCAGCGTAGCTCCCAATTGCTTGCTTGCTAGCCAAAGCGAAACCACACGTTTCCCTCACTGTCACGGCTGCACGATGCATTGTTGTTGTCGGAAGCACTCTTAACATCGCAGTATGAGTGAGCATTTCGCCAGTGATCATGAACTGTATGTCAATGTCGTAACTTACCGTGATGGCGAGTGCGGGATTGAGAGGATCGTGAATTGACATACATGTATGTCCCCTTCTGGTTAGGGCTCGCTTGGCGCTTCCCTCGTCTTCGTCCGCGGCATCGTCGAGCTCAAGCACATCAACACCCAACCTTTACTTGCTGAAGCAACGACGACTTGCCAACAAGAACATGGCTCTGGCTGTCTGCCCACGGGCCGCTTGCGTGCGCACCGCTACCATCTTCCCGCGAGCCTTTAATCAAACTTCAATTCCGGCCATAGCAGCCCTCAGCACCAAAGCTGCGCCATTGAGACAACCCCAACAGCCTGTACAAGCTTCAGGACTGCCAGTCATCTGTCGCGCACCGTCCAGAGCGTTGTCAAAGAATACCTTACATGCCAGACACGCTTCCACAGCACCTGCAGCATCACGTGCGCCAGCATCACCACCGCCAGAGTCACCACCACCGGGCCTAACGTCACAGACGGCACCACTAACCTCCGCCACGTCAGCATCACCACCTCCAGGCCCAGCCACTGGTTCATCAGCATCCACATCGCCCAAACCGCCAGAGTCACCATCGACGGAGCCACCGCGAGATGTACTCACATGGGACCGCTTCCTCGACCTGCGAAGAAGACGGCGCTACCTCAACCTCGTCATGTCAATAGTATCCGCTGGCGGTGCGGTCGCCATACTCGGTCCGATAGTCGCACAACAAGACATTGACGCTTGGGCATCGCAACTATCAGGCCTAGACCCTTTCCTCGTGATGGGTGCCACCACCTTTGCGATTGCGGCAGGGGGGTGGCTGTGCGGACCGAGCTTTGGTAGCGGGCTGTTTGGGCTATGGGCTGCAAGGAGAGGGTGGAGTAGAGCTATGCTGGAGGTAAGACAATACACCCCGGGCTTAGCAACGTGAAGTACTGACAGTGTTGTTTCCGGTAGAAGGAGAAGGACTTTTTCCAGCGCATCAAGCGATACCGCGGCGATCCTGCGTCATCGAGCGTGCAGAATCCCGTACCAGACTACTACGGCGAGAAGATCAGCAGTGTGAAGGATTACAGGCGGTGGCTCAAGGATCAACGAGCCTTCAAGCTGAAGAAGGACAAGAACCTTCTTTAAGCGGCGCAGTATGACAAGACCCGAAGCTTGAGCAACATCTCGATCATGTCACTGCTCAACTGCGTGACGACGTCGCATGGCCTCTTGTCCTGCTCGGGATGGACCAGGACATGCGGCACGACGGCTTGGCGATACCGGGAGGATACCTTACGTGGACTGTATGATTTACCAGATCTGTGCAGGGATGGCGTTTCATCGGGCATACGGCGCATAGGAGAGGTGAAGGCGCCAGCGAGGCGTTCTCGGTGTGTCCAAGATCATGTACAAGAAGCTGCAATGGTTCCGACCCTCAGGCCGGCTGCTGTACAAGTTTTGCATAATATCGCGTAGCGTAGCATTTGCAGCTCAGAACTTCGCTCCTAGCTTCTTCTCGTCCTCAATCTGCTGCTCATCCACTATGATCACCGCTTTACCCTGGATCTTACCACCATGTACCATATCCACCAGCTCAAACACCTTATCAAGGCCGTGGAATGGTACAGTCTTGGCCGTGACACCATGCTCGGCAATCTGCTTTAGCATTCCGCTGCTCTCCTCTTGCGAGCATATCAGGCTACCCCGAATCCGAATGTCACGGAAGATGATCTCTTGGAAAGGGATCGTTACTTCATCTGGCTGCGCAATCTGCACCATTGTACCGTGCATTTTCGTTACCGCACAAGCCAGGCCAGCCGCCGTAGGATGATCTGACAAGGTGATGGTGGCATCCGCTCCCATACCGTTCGTCACAGATTGCACCTCCTTCACCGCCTCTTCCTTGCCCTTCCGTGCATCTACAACGACATCCGCGCCGTTCTCCTTCGTCAATGCCAGGCCTTCATCTCGCGCATCAACGCCAATGATCTGCAAGCCCAGACTCTTCGCGAACTGCAGTCCGAGATGCCCCAGTCCACCTCCTGAGCCAACGATACACAACCACTCGCCCTTCTTCAGCCCCGCTAACAAGACCGCCCTCCACACCGTCCGTCCAGCGCAAGCCAGCGGTGCCGCAGACAGGAAGGACACTTCATTCGGTAAAGGTGTGGTTGACCGGCAATCGGCTTTCACATACTCCGCAAAGCACCCATCCGTCATCACACCCACATGGCCTTCCAGATTCGTACAATACTGCGTCTGCGTCTCCGGACCCAAGCAATCATGACAGCTCCCACACGGATGGAGAGGGATGCCCACCATCACACGGTCGCCAACTTTGAAACCCCGCTTCTCTGCCTCTGCACCGCCGACTGCGACTACAGTTCCGGAACCTTCGTGGGAGGCAATTTGCGGGAGCGCAGTGCCGAAGACGCCTTGCTGGACCATGCTGTCGGTGTGGCAGTGAGACGCGACGGCCACTTTGACCAGGAGATCGTACTCACCCAGCTTCTTAGGAACGTCGACATCGTGGATTTCGTACGGTTTCTTGTATTCGACGACCTGGACGGCCTTCATTTTCGAGGGGATCTCTGCAGGGCTCATGGTGGCGGTGTTGGCTGTCTTGTCAGTAAGTCTTGGATTGTATGTTGATTATGAAGAATTCGAAAACAGAGAGGGCTAAGAAATGGTTGCACGTCTACTTGTCCATGTGTCCGTTCGATGAACTGGTCTAGACTCTCGTTCATTGCGTTCCCTTGGGTTGGATGCATAGAGGGCATGCCGCGGGGTAGGGGAACCAGACGTCACTTGCTCAAAATGTTTAGAGATGGAGCTCTTATTTCCGATGCATCGATCATCAAGCGATATGGTAGACTGGCAAAGAGGTGGTTAGCGGATGCTGATGAGGAGACGCGAATGGAAGACGAAAGGATCAGAAAGCCCGTGGCCGCACGAGCGATAAATCTCCGAGCACGACGACAGCCCGTAGGCGAACGGCCATCAATGTCCTGCACTACGAGTGGAACTACAGATCCGATCTCCATAACGTCCGGACAGACCGTTGAGCTTGATATCTGGCGAAATCTGACTCGGCTTACATCGAGCGATCTGCTGTGTGGCCCACTGGAAATTAAGCGCGTGACCTCCAAAACATGACAGGGGTGGCTGCTCCTTAAATGACCCACCCCTTGCGGCCGTGGCAACACACCACGAGAGACGTTTCAACCCACAATGCTCCTGTTGAACATAGATGGCTGCGGAGTATGGGATTCAGCTTGCTCGGACATCTTCATACCAGTTCGCTCGGTCGACGGCTCGTTGCTCTGGGTTCCGGTCTAGGAGTTCATCTCCGATCGATCATTCACCGCCAGCGAGGCTCTGACTCAAATCTCCTGTTGATTTGAAGGTTGCCAGGGCAACAACCACTCGCCGCGACGCCGTCGCGTGCCTTTAGCGCCGTCAGGAGCAATAAGTAAATTCTCGATTTCCAAAAACTTCTGCGTCCTTTCCTCATACTTACCTTGTTGGGAAGCGGCTGCTCACGAATAGCTTGCTTCAGTTCGGGCCTCTTGCATTGCACCGCGCTTGAGGCTTGGGCTCGAATCTCCTACGGGGGCTTCGCCGGCGCAATTTTTGCTGGTTCACACGATCACACTTTCATCAGTTGCTGGTGCTCATCGAGCCCGGCGTTGGAGAAGGATGTCCGTAACAGCGATAAGCCGTCAGGCTACGTAGGTATATACTGCTGATGAGTCGACGCAACGGTGACCGCTCGGCCTACTAATGCCACGCCTACTGATGATCACTGGCTCCTATCGTAGGCGGCCCTAGCACGGCAGCATGAAGAACTGTGGTGATGAGGCGTGTAGAGGAGACAGTTTGATGCCATCAACGACCATGTGCTGGCGGAGGATGGACGCAGTGAAAGTGCAAGAGCAGTATCTTGAATGTCAGGAACACCGATAGCTAGAACCACAATGTTATCAGGAGATGGACACACCTACGCTTGGACAGGCTGGCAGTGGTTGAAACACACGCACACTACACTAAACAGCTACGCTGACTGAGCACTCCGTAGGAGGCCTTCACAAAAAACATCACGCAAGCAAGGAACGAAGCAGAGACTGTCCGTTATTTGCCATCCCCATTGACAACACGCTACAATACCCGTCCTACCTCTGCGCCTCCGCCGCCTTACTCGCCATATACTCGCTCAGCTTCGGGAGAAGCCCTGCATTAAACGCCGTATCGACGAACTCCTCCACACGCCTCACCTTCGTCCCATCTTCGGTAAAGTAGAAAAAGAAGACATACTCGTTCTTGTAAGCGCCCACCGGCGTCTCGCCATCGCCTTTGGCGTGTGCGACGGCCATGTGCTGGTCTGGGTCGTTAAGGATTTTGAGGGTCGTCATCTACAGTGCGATTGATCAGTGAAGGAGTTGGGGGGAGCCTTGAACGCCGTGCTGGTAGGGGTTGACGGACATGTAGATGGTTAGAATTGATATTACCTTGAAATTCTTCAACACGCGTTCGAGTTGGTGGAAGAACATGGCATATTCCTCATTATTCCGGTCCGGACGTCCCATGGACGCCGGCAGCGAGACATGTACACAGTCTTCCGTGCGCACGCGGAGCAAACCTTCCACCGTGAACTCGTTGTAGCCTGGACAGCCATCAGAACCACACCGCCAAAGCCTCTGAGGATGTTGGATAACATCGTACCATCGAGGAACGCCAGCGCCGTGCGCTTCTGCGTCTCGGCTAGAGAGGTCATCTTGCTGATGCGCGAGTAGAGTCGGGAGACGTGGGAGAAGACCGTTCTGCTTCATCGACTCTTTACTCTACCTTGTGTATGCTCTTATAGCCACATGCACACACGTCAGCCTTACGCCGAACCCTACGCGGAACAACTAGGCATGCACGATTGCAAGCCTTCACGGTTACAAGCAGAAGCTACACCGCAACGGCACGCTTACATGCAACCATCTACCCACACTGTTCATCACATCGCAGCTCAACTGGAAAGGCGAGACGCTCGCGCACGAACCTTTCCCCGAACCACCGAGCAAACCGGCATTATATCTCTACGGCACAGTCAGCTAAAAGTACATCTAATAACACAAGTTCATCATCTGCCGAGCCCTTCCCAAAAGTACCGCTCAAACTGGTGGATGGAATCGATCTGCCTGCTCTCCTGCTGCTCAAGCTTCCAATCCTGATCCCAGCGAGCATGCAGCATTAAATAACACACTCTAAGTGCTAAACACTCCTTTGTGGGTGAGCAAGCAAGCCGCCGGACGAAATAGCTCGTCGCTTCGCCTTTAGGACCGCCGCCCTACCGTCCAACGCCTGTGCTGTTTGTTGGAATGAAGTTGTTCGGCTGTTCGTCGCCGGGTGCTGAATGCAGTGGGGTATCGTTGAGTGCTGAGTGGGTGGAATCACTGCTTTTGAATTAAGTTCGGTGGCTGCATCGTACGCAACAGCTTCCGAAGGTTGATGGCAGGCGACAACGCGCATGCCTAAGTCGACTTCTTCGTATGTTGTCTTTCATCGTTCCCGTGCGACAAGTGTCTTACGACCTTCCCCCAGGCATCGGAAACGCATAATCCACACTCGTCTTAACCGGCGTAGTAGCAACGTCGCTCTTACTCCGACTGTGCGAGTAGAGCCTCGGCGTTCCCACCTTCGGCGTCTCGTCACTCTTGCCCGTAGTTTCGCCAGCAGTAGCCGGCCTCTTTGCATCACCCGCCGCCGCCATATTAGAAGGACTGCGCGGAAGAGCCGTCAACCCGCCATTCGACAACTCGCGCTCGTCGACTCCAACTACTCCACTGGGCCTGTACGTCTCCGGCGTCACATTCTCGCGCCGGGACCCGCTGCCGCTGTCTTCGGAGAGGGTGGGCCTAGCATCCTCGTACTGACTTCCCGGCTTGCTCGGGCCACTGCTCTCGGTGCCGCTGCTGTGAACTGCGCGCTCGTCGATGGCGAGGTCTTGCACACCATTTTGAACGGCTAGGTTGGCGCTGCCTTGGGTTGGAAGGACAGGCACTTCGTACTCCTCGCCACGCTCGTACGCCTTCTCCGCGTCAAGGTACTGCTTCTCGGTGAAGCAGCCCTGCCAGCAGTGACGCCAGTCACCGACGAGGTAGTTGAAGAGCCAGCGCTCGAGACGCAGGCACGGGCCGATGCAGATGGAGAGGTTGTTGAGGTCCATCTTGTTCTTTTCTTTGTGTGACAGGAGCAGGCTGAGGTGGCAGGTGATGGCGAAGAGGAGGTAGTAGTTGAATGGGGGCAGCTCGGAGAGTGCATCACGCAGCTTTTGCGGCGCCGGCTGCCCCATGCGGGTGTAGTCTGGGTTCTCCTGCTCGAGCTCGATTGCGAGAGAGGCCTGCAGGCTGGCGGGCATGATTTCGGTGGGTAGATCGCGCAACCACGACTTGAGCATGCTGCCGATGTTGTTCGGGTCGTACAGCTCCTGCTCGTCGAGAAGATCGACATCGAGCTCGGTGTCGAAGCGTCTTTGCCAGTGCTTGACTTGTGGACCGCTGCCTGGCACACGGTACAAGCCTTCAGACTCGCAGTTTAGGTTCAGGTAGCTATGAAACGTTAGCGCGTGTCAACTTCGCACCGTGAAGTGAGGGTGAGCTTACTCAATGCACCGCCACGGCAAGCTCGGCATCCAGAACTCAGTCTTGTCCCTGCAGCTGGCGAGATCCTTGCTGATTCTGGTCTTGCGCGTCTGCTCGACCAGTGGCAGAATGATCATCCTGCACACGTACTCACTATCCGGGACCTCCTTCTCGTTGTTACTGCTGCTCCTGCCAATCTTGCCCAGCCTCGTAAGCAGATTGCCGCCGCCTTTTGCAGCCTTGGAGACCGCATTCCTGCTGCCTGACATAAATCCGCCCTTGTCTTTCTCCTTTTCCTTCTCGCGCTCCTTCTCCCTCTCACGCTCCTTGTCTTTCTGCCGCAGCTTCACATGCTCAGCCTGCTCCTCGGCTTCATTTTGCGGTGCGCGCTCGGCCGACTTGCCGCGCTTCTCCGTCTTCGGTTTGAGGAAGCGCATATCTTCTTGCTGTGGCCAGTCAGATTGTAGAGGTGCTGTTTTCGGTGGCTGTTCGTATGGACGCTTGGTTTCGACCTTGACGGTCTTCGATTGCGAATCTCTTCCGTTGGACTTCTGCCGTGTGAGTGGGTTGAAGCTCTTCTTCTGCCGCCTGGCGGTGATGCTGTCCTCACTTATTTGCGGAGATGGTTGCGGTCGTGGTTCAGGTGGTGCGTTGCCGTTCACTGTAGCAATCACAGTCAGCAAGCTGCACGAACAATGACTGCACCGCAAACGATGCAGTACGGTGGCTCCAGCTCCAGCACCACGACGGAAGAGGCCTCTGGCTCCAGATCCAGTGTCTGAAGGTGTTGTTGAAGGTGTCCAAGTTAATGTTGTCGGTGTTGTTCGACGTTCGAGTGCGAAGCTCGCAAGTGAAATGAAGCTCAAGCTTGACGTGAAACTCACCCTGCAGCCTAGCTGCATGATGCCATTGGTCATACCACTGCACGTGCCCCGTACCTGCCGTATAGAAAAGCTCACGCTGACTCACCATTGTCTGCTGATCTGCTCACGCTCTCCGCGCTGCCGACCAGGCTCAGCTCCGGCGTGCTGCCCGGGTTCTTCTGCAAATGATATATCTGCGACATGCTGCTCTTTGCGGGCGGCATTGCCGCGTTGTCGTCTCGCACCTGTCGTAGCCGCCCCGCCGATCGTGGTTCTCTGCTGGACTGAAGTGGGTGACGGATACTGCCGAGGAGATTCTTCGATGCACTTCGATCATGGACTGCGCGGGATGAGGCTGGCCTTCCAGGCGATGTAGGCGGCGACGAGGGTAGAGGCGGGAGAGAGGTGATGTTGTTGGTGGTGAAGTCGCCGCCAATGGATGACAAGTCGACACCCTCAACAATGATCGGGCTACTCTGCGGTCCGCTGGATGTCTGGTTGGGGATGGTGAGAGGATCCGGTTTGGATTGTCTCGGCGCCATGCTTCTAGTATGCGGAGGGGCGGAGATGGCGCCTTGCATGAGCGCCCTCCGCTCGCGGCAGCGGGCTCGCCTGGCCCGGTATTCAGGAAGCGTACCACAATCTCAGTCGCACATGGGACGGAATTGGGAGTCTACATCCGGATACATCTATTAGCACAGCCATTATCGGGCAGGCGAGGCGGGAGATTGCGCAGGGTGTGGAACAATGTGGTCTGGTGCAGGGGGAACAAAGAAGGGCGTACCTGACGGCTTTCGGCTGGACTTGCTGCGCTTGTGCAGCTGGCCTTCTACGCGCGCGAGTATGCTGCTGGACTACCTCTGCTGCTGATGATGCCGTCGCTTACTGGCGCTTGCTATGCGGCTGCTGTTGGTGGGCGCTTCTCTGCAGTCGGCGGCTATGCGGGCCACGGGATGCAGGCAGGTTGTCGCTGTTGCTTTATTTGCTCAATAGCCGATGGTGAGGGCGAGCACCGGTCATTAGCAGCAGTGGGAGGAGGGGTGGGGGATATGTGTCGTGTGCGGAGGAGGTGCAGCAGATAGACGAGGTGAAGCCAGGTGAAACGGGCGTTGCGTCGTTGTCCAAGCTTGTGCCTCTGTGCCTGAAGCGGGCGTGCGGGAGGCAGCCCTTTCACGCCCCGTTCGCTCCGTCTGTTCTAAGGCCGGCCCAATGCGTGCCAAAGGTTTGAGGCTTGCGTTGATCTCGGCTCCACGTTGTATATAGTATATCGGCTTTGTGTTCACGCAGTACTGGCATGGAAGAGTGGTTGGTAAGGTGGAGGGCGAAAGCGAGCCGCAAGTGGCATGCATACGCAGGCGCGGCTCGGAGGGTTTCCCTCATGCAAGTCATCATCCTCTGTGCGGAGCTTCACGCTACCCCTGGCACCGCCGCCGAGCACTTCCAAACCGTTGGTGGGGCCGCCAATTCTTGTCCGGTCTTAGCAGCAAAATGGTGGCCCATCAATCACAAGCTTCCGTCTGACTACACGTCTGACTGATACACCATTCCGCCGATCATTCGTCGCTGAGACATTTGAGCGGCCGGTCTATTGAGTTGAAGAGACAACTACCGAGCATCTGAATCAACAACTGTTGCCTGCTCGATCAGGAGACATATATATTCAACTAGAGTGTACATCGGCAAGACTGGAGTACCGCATAAGGGGATGTCGCTGGCTGCAGGACCCGGACGTGGCCACGTCGCCGTCGGCCAGCTACCAGAAGAGCTGAAGCTTGTAGTCGACAAGCACGTGGCCTACATACAGAGTCTGGATACTGTACGCGCAAGAACAGACTGATATTCGGACGGTTCAAGCTGACACTGACGCCCACAGTAGCGCAAGGATGAGCTGGAATACCATCTGACCGAGCATCTGCGCATCGGAGGCATCTACTGGGGTCTCACAGCGCTTCACCTGCTCGGCCATCCCGATGCCCTACCACGTGAAGGCCTGATTGACTACGTTCTTAGCTGCCTTTGCGAAAGCGGAGGCTTCGGCGCTGCACCCGGACATGATGCGCATATACTCTATACCGGCTACTCCGTGCAGATACTCACCATGATCGACGGATTCGGAGCGCTAGAAGAGCGATTACCAGACTGCAAGCAGAAAATCGCACGCTTCGTAGCGAGCCATCAACAACCAGACGGCACCTTCGCCGGCGACGAATGGGGGGAGATAGACACGCGCTTCCTATTCAGCGCCCTTTACACCCTCTCCCTACTCGGCTACCTTCCTCACCAACGACCCAGCGAACCCCCGCTTATCAATCTTCCCGCAGCAACAGCGTATATCAAAGCCTGCCAAAACTTTGACGGGGCCTTCGGCGTCTCACCAGGTGCCGAATCCCATTCCGGTCAAGTCTTCACCTGCGTGGGAGCCCTCTATATAGCCGGCGAGCTGGACTCCTACCTGGGTGAAGAAGGCAAAGACCGGCTCGGCGCATGGCTCAGCGAACGTCAACTGCCCAGTGGTGGCTTGAACGGACGTCCGGAGAAGCTCGTCGATGTTTGCTACAGCTGGTGGGTGATGAGTAGTATGGCCATGATTGGGAGGCTGCACTGGATCGACAAGGCGAAGTTGACAGCCTTTATCTTGCAGTGTCAGGACCCGGACGAAGGTGGGATGGCTGATCGTCCGGGCGATATGGTGGATGTCTTCCACACAGTCTTTGGTGTTGCTGGGCTGAGTTTGCTGGGCTATCCGGGGCTGGTGGAAGTGGATCCTGCTTAGTAAGCATGTCTTGTATGATTGTTCGAATGGATGCTGACCTGCTTTAGCTGTATGCCCAGGCATATCACTGCGCAAATATCGAAGTAGTCTGTGGTGCGACAACGTGAACTGAGCGCATAAGGTTCAGCAGATCTGCAGATCCGGACCCACAAGGCTAAGAATTGCGGCTTGCTGGGGAAGGCACGTAAGATAAGTGCTTCTGCCTATGCATACTCTGTTGACCAGGAAGCATGCATTGCTTGCATCTCTTGCCATCTAATAACCCACGTTGAGCTGGCAATGAAACTGGGCTACAATGCAAGAGCAGATTGATCACTTGAGCGCTCTGACAATTGTCCTGAGCGTTCCATAGGAGCTGCGCTGGGGATACTATGCGCCATCACATCTAACTCTCATTCGAGCGCCTTGTCGCTCACTGATGCGAGATGGGTTCAACACCATCCACGCTCAATACTGTACTCTCCATCACCATCGCGTCACCTTGTTTGTGCATGTGACAGCGCGGTGGACGCGACCGGAAGAAGCCTTGGCGGCGGAGCTAGCGAAATATGGCGCGACTGCCTCCGATGTGAAAAGCTGCTTCCAACCTCACTCGTAGCCAGCTTGCACCTTCTCCGAGCAACACGACCACCCAGATCGAACATTCACCGGCAACCACCACCACAAAGCACCCACTGCACCTCCCCTTCAACTGCACCCGGACGGGAAGGCTTGAGCGGAGCGGAGTGTCGTCTCTGTCTCGACGCTCCTCCGTCCTTGTTCACCCTTACAGTTGCTTCAACACGGCCCATTGGCCTCCTCTTCCCTCGTCCTCTTGGTTGCTTTCCCCCTTCGTTACTCCTTTTGGATCGTTTCACCTTGCCTGCACTGCTGCCTTACAGTCGACACCACCGGCAGACAGCACAGCACAGCACAGCACAGCACAGTAACACACGCTGCAGTGCTGCTTCCCACCACTTAATGCTAATTGCACCCACCCACCCCGAGCGAACCACGACAGTCACTCCTTCAGCCTGCACTCTGCAAGTCTTACTGCCAAGCTGAAACGGGAGAAGCAAAACTCACATAGAGCACCATATTCACATCAGCATTCAAGCTCACACTCCTTTGATACAGCAACAATGGCCGCTCACACACCTTCCACAAACAACATTCCTTTACAGTGCAGAATCTGCCCTAAGCGGCCCCAGTTCTCCGATGTCAGCCATCTACTCACGCATGTAGCCAGCAAGAGCCATCTCAGCAACTATTACAGGATGAAGGTGCAAGGTTCAGCTGATCCGCGGAGCAGAGACGCTGTCGATTCGTACGATCAGTGGTATGAGAGGAACGGCATCGACGAGCTAATGCGGGAGCGCATGAACCAGAAGGACAAGAAGGGCGGTAGTGGTCGTGCTGGTGCTGCTCTTGTCACGTCCCGTAGGGTGTCTGGAGGTGAGACCGATTGTTTGACTGCAGAGCACGTCTCGAAGCTCACAGTACGCACAGCCAACTCTGTCTCCGCTCGCAGCACGCCGGCATTCAATGGCCGCCGCAACACCACCAGACCGCTACGTGACAGCGTGCTTAATCCGCAGCTGGACACCAGGGTCAAGGTCGAGCCCAACTCGCGTTCAGCGACGCCGGCGTCAGTCATACCAATTGCGTCGCCCATCTTTCCGGCTTACCAGCAATACGGACAACTTCCGGCCTGGCTCAATGCATCATTCCCGGAAGAGCCGGTGAAGCAAGAGACCATCAGCAGCTCAAGGTCCGATGATGATGACGACGATAGCTTCGTACTTGATCCTCAGCCCCGGCCGAGACGTCCGGTCGCTACTCGCAACCGCCGCCACGACGATACATCCAACGACTCCATCATCTTCGACGAAGACTGGGAGTGTGGGGAGACAACCACAGAAGCCGCCAAGCTCAAAGGCGTGTTTTGGCCTGGCATGGCCATGTTCGACTCCGCCACACCGGAGATGCGGCGCAAGCGCAACCAGAAGAAAGACTATTCCGTCGTTGAGCAGCTCAAAGCCACCAGCGAGTTCGTCGAGCCGACGGAGCTGATCTTCGATGATGCTGGCAACTTGCGCAAGCAGCGCGAGATCACCGGCAACGCCGAGCTTGAGGACGACGACAGTCTACTTTCTGGCGAGATCGAGCCAGAGCCGGTGCCGGTGCCGAAGAAGCGTCTCCCACGAAAGCCACGGACGGTGCTAACTAACAAGAACACCAACACTGGCCGCTCACTTCGCCGGCGTACCGGATCTCACCATCCGCCATTCGGCAGCACCACCAGAGGTCCATACTTTGACGGCGTCACTAAGAATGACGACGACTTGACCTATGTTGCGCCACGACCGAGGAAGCGTACAGGCTTGAGCATCCATCGCGACAACACCGGTCCAGATATTACCTTCCCAGCTCAGCCGCATTCACAGCTCTCGCACAACAACGCAGCGTTCCACACCTCCATGCAGTCCTACCAGAACATGTACGGCCAAGCGCCAACGTTCTTTCCAGCGCCCAACAACATGCAGCGCAGTCACCAGCGCTTGCCGTCTTTCAGCGAGATCAACAATCTCTTCGGTGGCGGCTTCCGGCCTGCGATGGGTGGTAACATGATGATTGCGAACAGTGCCAGCTTCGGCCAGCTCAATCATCAATCGTTGTTCGCCAGCCACCTCAGCACTGCCAATGGCGGTGCTCCGGCGCTTAACTTTCCGCAGCACTTTCTCGGTAACGACCACCAGCAGCAGTTCTTCTGCAACAACACCAACGCAGGCATATTTCAAATGCCAAATGTCGGCTACAACCACGCCACCGACGCAGACATCCTCGCCGCGTTCCAGCAGACTAACGGCAATGTTGCCCCTCATAACCTGGATCAGGGTTTCCACCCGAGCGTCGAGCTGGCAAATCCGCTTTTTTTCAGCAGCAATCAGCCCACGCCACCAGATGATGATCAGGCTACCATTTCGCCGTCGGGCAGCCAGGGGGGGACTTAAGTGGTACGCTGGCTTGACTACAGACAGTAACCACGATGAACGATACGACGATATAGCGATGCGATAAGAGCTCACGACAGCATAGCGGTGTCAGAGGGCTGATGTACTTACTATGATGGCATACTGGCACGTCATGTGTCCACGAGCACTTCTCTTCAGCACATCAAAGAGCACACCGCAAGCGGCTATCTATGAGATGGTAATGTGTGCTGCATAGCGGTGGCGAAGTGCGTTCCTTGGAGCGAGACAGCGGTGGAAGATTATGGCGGAAATGGAGGGCTGGGCGGTATGAAGAGGAAGCTTCGTTATGGCGGTCGTTGTTGCTCCATCGCTTCGCGTGTCGTATGTACGTGCATGTACCTGCATGTACCACTAGCTGAGCACACTTTACACGCTTTCGTTAAAGGCTTCTTCGTACGTGTGATCAACCTCTACTAAAGCCGAGAGACGGTAAGCCGCCATCTCCACTCTGCGGCGAACACGGGCGTCATTGTGGCTGCAGTGTTATGCACCCCAGATTCTCCCCTGGCGGTTATGCATGCTTAATTTCAGTCGAACCATTCTTTCCCGCTCGCCGGCTGACTTTCATTGCCTCTCTCTCGCATACCATGTTGACTCTTTCACTCTCTGAGCTTACTGCTGCTACAACGAGAGGAAGGCCGCCGAAGAAGGATACCATGCGGACGGAGCGCTGAGCGAGCAATTGTAGAAGCTGTTTGGGAACTCTGCTTTGAGGTTGTCAGGAAACGAACAATGAACGGGACGCATACCAATGGCGTGAACGGCGTGTCGCCAAAGCTCGCGAACGGATACAGCCACGGTCATGGAAGCAAGGAGGACCACAGCATACGGATGGCACACCAGAATGGCGCCCCGACCACGAACGGACATACACCACCAAAATCCACGCGCCCCCGCCGCGAGTCGCACCCCCTCGCACCCCCTTTCATCGTCTCCGCCCCGGGCAAAACAATCGTCTACGGCGAACACGCGGTCGTGCACGGCAAGGCCGCCATCGCCGCCGCCATCTCCCTGCGCTCCTACCTTCTCTGCACCACCCTCTCCAAATCCAAACGCACCGTCACCCTGCGCTTCCCGGACATAGGACTCGACCATACCTGGCACATTGACGAACTACCGTGGGGTGCGTTTCAGCATCCGGAGAGAAGGATGAAGTATTATGATGTTGTTACCACTCTGGATGAGAAGTTAGTCGAGGCGATGGGACCGTGTATCGTTAGTGTCAGTCCCGGGGTGAAGGCTCCGGAGAGGAGGAAGATCCACCAGGCTGCCGCGAGCGCGTTTTTGTACTTGTTTCTGTCGTTGGGGAGTCAGAACTCTCCACCTTGTGTGTATGCGCTGAGGTCGGCGGTGCCGGTGGGAGTGGGGTTGGGGAGTAGTGCGAGTGTCAGCGTTTGCATCAGCACGGCGTTGCTGTTGCAGTGTCGGGCGCTGTCTGGACCACACCCGGATCAGATGAGTAGAGAGGCGGAGGAACAACTCGAGCGCATTAACCGCTGGGCTTTCGTTGGGGAGTTACTGATCCATGGGAATCCCAGTGGAGTTGACAATACCGTTTCCACTAATGGGCATGCGGTGCTGTTTCAACGGAAAGATTACAGCAAACCGCCTTCCGTCTCTATCCTGAGGGATTTCCCGGAGTTACCTTTACTACTGATCGACACGAACCAAGCCAAATCCACCGCCGCCGAGGTCGCGAAGGTGGGCGCGCTGCATAAGGCGCATCCGGGGGTGACGGGGCATATCTTCGCGGCTATGGATGCGATTACCATGTCCGCGCATGAGGTTGTGACGAGGAATGCCAAACGGGAACCTGGAAGGAAGGAGAGTGAGAGTGAGAGTGAGAGTGAGAGTGAGGAGAGTATGATTGCGCATCTGGGCGAGCTGATGACGGTGAATCATGCGCTTTTGAGTAGTCTGGGGGTGTCGCATCCACGGCTGGAGAGGTTGAGGTATTTGGTTGAGGAGGCGGGGGTGGGCTGGACGAAGTTGACGGGAGCCGGGGGTGGAGGGTGTGCAATCACGCTGCTCAAACCGTCTTCACCCTCCGAACGAAGTAGTCACTCGAACGGTGACGTTGCTCACGGTGCTGGTACTTCCACCAATTCAGACGCGTTGGAGAAGCTGGAGCGGAGGTTGGAGGAGGAGGATTTCGCGAAGTACGAGACTACGCTTGGTGGCGATGGAGTTGGGGTGTTGTATCCTGCTGTCATCGATGGGGAGGATATTGATCAGGATTTGTTTCTTGCGGTTGAGGGGAGGGAGGGGGTCGAGGCGTTGATGGCTGGGAAGGGGAAGGAGGGTGAGGGTTGGAAGTACTGGCGGCCTTGAGAGGTATGGTTTGGGTTAGTTGGGTTGGGTTGGGTTGGGATTTGCGATTCACGAATGTGGTGGGGTCGCAAGGTATGTGTCGGAGGTTAAAACAGGTAATGGTGCGTAGCATTGTAAGCTAATGATGAATGAACGCCAGCATTAGGAAGGAGATATCGTGACCAGGAAATACTGTGGCCAAGGGCAATCGCATTCGCAATCACCTCGGCCTAAATTAGTCCAGATCAGCTGACGGTCGCTTTTGAAACGCCCTCGCAAAACGCCATTTCTGGGTATCATCCAGCCAACGGCTTATCAACCCGCAAACCATACCACCGCACATTAACCATATCCACATCCACCACTTGGACTCGGCTCCTCTGGCACATCCGTCACTTCTCCTCCACAACCGCACTCCCACCCGTCTTACCCTTCGCCCCCAACCCAAGCATCCCCTTCCCCTTCTCCACAACCGCCTGAAAGCTACCCCTCCGATTATGCCCTGGGACCTCTTTATCCTTATGCGCCCCATCGCCCAGCGTCATCATATTCCCCTCCCCTCCGCGGCCCCAGTGGTACGTGGAGCCGCTGCGCGGTTCCTGCTCGAGGTGAGCGGGCGCCTCGACGTCCTGGGCCGCGCGGGCGAGGGAAGGGTTGGTGGGGTCGTTGGTTGCCATGTTGCCTGTGCAAAATAACACATAACATTAGAGAAAGTGGGAGGTGTAGTAAAAGCACATGGAGGTCCTTACCTTGCCCACCACGGCCCGTCGTGTAGGTGTCGGTCTTGATGGTTGGTGTGGAGAAGTCCTGCGCTGGTGGCACGCTGCCACTTGAGGCATCTTTGATGATGTTGCCTGCGCCGCCCCGGCCGCCGTGGCTGGTGCTGCGGTTGGCGCTTGTGTTTGGTCTGAGGGTGTCCTTCATCGCTTGCGCCATGACGTCCGAAGAGTGCTGCTGGGTGAGAAACTTGACTGTCGTAGCTGCGGCTGCGACGCACTGCTGCTTGCTGTGTATAGCAGGCAGAAAGATGGAACGAGGAGAGGTGTGGGTAAGGAAGTCCTACCGTTCGAATTGCGTGATTTACTTCCTACAGTCACCACAGTCCAAGCGGCAGGGCAAGGCTTAAGCACCTCGCGCACGCCGTTACCACGAGCGTTTTTCTGCCAGGTGGAGACGACTTTGTCTTAGCTAATGCCAATGCCAGCCAATGCTTGGACTCGACCCGTTGTGAGGCATTTTGGGGCAACATCGTGCCATTTCGGCGCACCCATATTGGACAATGTCCTCGGCCAAGACATCTCGATTCACGTGAGTTACGAGAAAGGAAGTTACGGAGTCAGGTGAGGTGAAGGGAGGGAAGACGAAGGCGTCTGATAAGAGATGTCCAGGGTGGTCGTGATTGGCTGATAGCCCGCTCGCGACGAGTTGCCCTCTGTCCTTTGACCCTTGCTCTTCTGCACCGCAGGGCACCTCAGAGCAAGCAGATATCGACTCGACCACGTATGTAGCCCTCCCATTACTGCAACACACTCCCAGCGTCACGTCACAACTCTGGCTGTTAACATGAGCATACCACGCCTTTCCGTCCGCGCTGCGACCGGTATTGCCACGCAACCATGGACAACAGCCATCGCCCGGCCCTGCCTAGCAGCACTACCATCACAACAGATACCTTCTCGGCAACGTGACCATTGTACCACCGCCACCTCAGCCTTCGCCCGCGCTCAATGGACACAACGACTCGCCCGCACCTCTCGCCAACCCTCTCCCACCGCAACATCTACTCGCCCCTTCTCCACCACCCCCATCCTGGCAAAAGACCACCACTTCGACACCCTCAAATTCGTCTCCCGCCTGCGCGAAGAAGGCTTCACCGAACCGCAAGCCGTGGCCATGATGAAAGTGCTCTCCGACATCATCGAAGAATCCATCCAAAACCTCACTCGCACCATGGTTTTGCGGGAGGACCAGGAACGCGCGACATACACGCAGAAAGTCGATTTCGCGAAACTACGCTCCGAACTGCTCTCCGCAGATAGCACGGAAAGCAGTCTCACCCGCGGGACGCACGAAAAATTGACGAACGATCTCGCCAAGTTGAACTCAAGACTAAGGGATGAAGTGCAACGTACGCAAGCGAGCGTGAGGTTGGATTTGAATCTGGAGAAGGGGAGGATTAGGGAGGAGGCGAATAGTCAGGATTTGAAGATCAAGGAGACCGAGACGCGGATTGAGCAGGAGAGTGCGGCGTTGCGGGAGCGGTTGGAGGCGGTCAAGTTCAGTACGTTGCAGTGGTTGATGGGCGTGTGTACGGGCACGGCGGCCATTATTTTGGGTGTTTGGCGGTTGTTGATGTAACAACAACTATGACAATGACATGCGTATGGAAGAACCGTGTCGGTATGTCAACAGCAAGTGGACAGTGTCAGTCACCAAGTTTGTTTGCTGATGGTTTGCAGCCTTTATTAATCCTCCCCAGCAATCACCGCCTTCCTGCGATGTTTATCCTCTATACCTCCTGCTCCAACAGACCGTATGCTATCTCTCGTGGCTCAGGCTTTCCGCCACCGATGCGTTGCTGCCAAAATCAATCTGATTCACTCTTCCTATCCAGCGAGAGGTTCTAAATTGTCTCCAGATTTACCACGTATACTTTAAGTCGCCGGAATGGATCCGGTTACCGGTGACGTATACGCATGCACGCAACAGCTTCGCGAGTATAAGAAGCGGCTGATCCGCAAGAACGCATATCTAACCCTTCTTACAAACATCTTCCTCTCTCAACCGAACCCCCAACGATAGTCCGCACCACCTCGCACCCCTTCAGGTCAGCATTGCCTCAGACTTGATCAAATCTCACGCTCGTCACGTTCTTCTACCGAAACGCAATGGCGGCTGTACTCACCATCACCTTACCTCTGAAGGTTGTCGCTGATCTTCAGAAAGACCCAAGCTTCGATGAGCTTTTCAGCGTTGTCTCAATCACCGGCTCCATCGCCGGCCGTCTCACTCGCACCGTCATGCGCAGTGTAATGGACAACATTCGCGCCATCCCCTTCGAATTCCCGGCTAAGGTCACACCGTCATCGTCTACAGAGGCTGCTCCTGCTACAGACTCGGCGGTTGCGGAGGACGTCTCTCGGTCCGGTGCCGAGTCAGACTCCTCATCTTCTGCGAAATCATCCCCCACACTCCTGCCTCAATTGTGTCGGAGACGGCCAACGTCAAGACTGACGGCGGGATGACGGAGTCCGCCGACCGTGGCGAAGCCGTTCCCGTCACTACCGCGGGTACGCCGCCACCAAGTGACCAGCGCATCACGCTGATCATCCGCTACGAGACGGAGGACACGAAGCTTATCGTCAACAAGGTGTACCAGAGATGGGATCATGTGCTTGAGGAGTACGAAGACCGCACCGGGATCAGTAGGTATACCGTCAACTCTGTACTCCTTAACGGCGGGCTATTGCCGCGAGGAGTGGCGGCGTACGACATCTCCCTTCAGGACGTAAGTTTTGTGCTGACACGCTCTACACCATGGCAAGCGAGCGAGAGATCTCACTGACGCTCTATTAGCTCGGCATCGTGGACGGCGCCATCATACTCGCCGACCCCATCTCTACCGGCGCCGAGCCAAAGAGGATCACGGTATTGTTCAGTGACTACGATGCGGAAGAAAACCTCCCCATCTACATTTCCGCGCAGGCTACGTTTTTCGATCTCTTGAAAGACTTCGGAGGCGTCAGCGCCGTCAGGAGTGTCGAGGACAACATCTACAAGTGCTACCCACCCTACAGCTCGTACATCCATAATGCAGAGGAGCCCTCCGGTCGGTTTATCATGAAAGGCACGGAGCGTGATCGGTTGGGGATGCAGCTTAACGAGGTAAGCTTCAAGCATGGTCTCTGTTGTAAACCATGCTAACGACCATAAGCTCCACACCACCGACAACATCGAGATCGTGGTCGAGCCCACCTACTACAACTTCGAAATCACCATCCGCGACACGATGAACCGTGAGGTCAACCTTACGGCGTCCAACACGACTACTTTGTTAGGTCTTGAGGACATGTATTGCGGGGAGACCGGCATAGCAGCAGGCACCGTGGAGTTCACCCTTTTCGGCAGAGCTCTCTACATAAGCGATGACAAGCTCTGCGAGGTAAGTGATTTCAACACAAGCGTCTTGTTCGCAACCGAGGCTGATAGGCATTGCAGATCACCGGCATCAAGGACCATAGCGTGCTCGAGGCTGCCCCGAAGGCCGAGCGCGGTTCTAACAGCGGCTGGGAGGTAGACCTCGCTACTGGACGGTAGTCTTATCATCATTGCATTAGCGATGCAGCGAGCAGACTCGGTTGGTACGGCATTGTCGATCACGGGCTGCTTGAAAGCGCCGCTGCGCGACATATGCGTGGCCACAGGTGTATGAAAGGTCATGGGAGCTGCACCGGCAGTCCCTGGGCGGTAACAGACTGGCGTCAACAGTGATAAACTTAGCCTACATAGGCACCACATCCGTCCTGAGGGCATGGCAGGTGCAATGGCATCCTTGTAGTAATACTTCAATTCACTAAGGTGTAATGTGGGAGTTGAGAAGAGACAAATATATGTCCGATAAGGGTCGGCCACTGTCTTCTCTGATGTTGTCATCAACGTGAATACTCTGGCCGCCCGCTGATTGAGGTTCGATAGAACGTTAGATGGAAAGGCGACGTGCGGTGATGGTGCTACGCGGCTGACTCGTTGGTGACCCACATCTTTGAGTATCGCGACTCAGATCGGCTATGTGGAGGCAACCGAACACGACGAGCACATTTTCCAAACTACCGCTGCACATTGCGCTTGATGACGGAGCTCACTATGGACGTGCCGCCACCTCCACCTCCGCCCCCTCCTCCACCGCCGAACGTCGAAGTGCCACCACCACCTCCGCCGACTGAAAACGCGGCAGCGGTCGTGGAGCCAGCAGCGAAGAAGCGAAAGCTCGGCTGGGCGGCAAAGCCTCTCAGTGTAGAAGAACTACTAGCTAAGAAGAAAGCCCAAGATGAGGCCGCAGCGAAGCCGAAGTTCTTGAGTAAGAAGGAGCGTGAGCGACTGGCACTCGAGAAGCGGGAGAAGGAAGTCGCAGAGTCTCAGCAGCGGGATGCGACCGGTCAGAATGGTGTACCCAACGGCCATACGAGCGCGCCAAATGGCCATGTGAACGGTAAATCGAACGGCTATACTAACGGCCATGGGGGTCACCATGCGCCTCCGAGCGGACCGCGGCGCGAGAGAAATGCGAATGCGCCACCGCCTACTGGTCCGGCCTCGATGCGTCAAACCCCGAATAAAGGCTACGATATGGCGCCCCCGCCTCCTCCGAAGCCTATTGCCATTGTCAACGGCGCGCAGACCGCCAAGAAGGCATCAGAGACCGACGTGGAAGCGGAGATGATTAGGCAGCGCTACATGGGCGCCGATATCAACGTCTCGTCTTTCTCCGCCAAGAAGAAACGTAAGCGAACGACGGAGAAGAAGTTCAACTTTGAGTGGAACGCTGAGGAAGACACGAGTCCTGACTACAACCCTCTGTATGCGGCGCGAACGGAGAACGATTTCTACGGAAGAGGCAGGCTGGGCGGCTTCGCGGATCACAAGACGGACGATGCTGCACGGCAATATGCTAAGGCGATTGAGGATCGCGATCCGGAGGCTGGACGTGAGCGGGCGCTGGAGCTTCTGGAAATGGAGCGGAGAAGGCGGGAGGAATCTAGCCGAACAGCGATCGACAAGCACTGGTCGGAGAAGCGGCTGGACCAGATGAGAGAGCGGGACTGGCGCATCTTCAAGGAGGACTTCAACATCAGTACCAAAGGCGGATCCATACCGAATCCGATGCGGTCATGGGCGGAGTCTGGGCTGCCGAAGCGTCTACTCGATGTTGTGGACGCGGTGGGTTACGCCGAACCCTCAGCGGTGCAACGCGCAGCTATACCCATTGCTATGCAGAGTCGAGATCTGATTGGTGTCGCTGTTACCGGTTCTGGTAAAACTGCTGCTTTCTTGCTGCCGTTGCTCGTCTACATCTCAGAACTGCCGGCGCTGAACGAAGTCACGAAGAATGACGGTCCGTACGCAATCATTCTTGCACCGACCCGTGAACTTGCGCAGCAGATCGAGCTTGAGGCGAAGAAGTTCGCTACGCCATTAGGCTTCACTTGCGTGTCACTAGTCGGTGGCCATTCGATCGAAGAGCAATCGTACAACATGCGCGACGGTGCGGAGATCATCATCGCCACGCCTGGTCGTCTCGTCGACTGCATTGAACGGAGAGTGCTGGTGCTCAGCCAGTGCTGTTACGTTATTATGGACGAGGCGGACCGCATGATCGATCTCGGCTTCGAGGAGCCCGTGAAGAAGATCCTCGACGCCCTGCCTGTCTCCAATCAAAAGCCGGACACTGATGATGCGGAGAACGCGATGGTCATGTCACAGCATCTTGGCGGGAAGGACAGGTATCGGCAGACGATGATGTACACTGCCACCATGCCCCCAGCGGTTGAGCGCATAGCCCGCAACTACCTTCGACGACCTGCAATCGTAACCATCGGGAATATTGGCGAGGCAGTCGACACGGTTGAACAGCGCGTCGAGTTCATCTCGGGCGAAGACAAGCGCAAGAAGCGCCTGAACGAAATCCTTAGCAGTCGCGAGTTCACACCACCGATCATCGTCTTTGTCAACATCAAGCGCAACTGCGACACTGTCGCTCGCGACATCCAGAAGATGGGTTACAGTTCCGTCACACTACACGGCTCCAAGACACAAGACCAGAGAGAAGCCGCCCTCGCGTCCCTACGCAACGGCACAACCGACGTCCTCGTCGCCACCGACTTAGCCGGTCGTGGTATCGACGTGCCGGATGTCTCACTCGTCGTCAACTTCAACATGGCCACCAACATCGAGTCGTACACGCACAGAATCGGTCGTACGGGTCGTGCGGGCAAGCAAGGTGTTGCCATCACTTTCCTGGGCAATGAGGACTCGGATGTACTGTATGATCTCAAGCAGATGATCTCGAAATCGAGTATCTCGAGGGTGCCGGAGGAATTGAGAAGGCATGAGGCCGCGCAGCAGAAAGCGAGGGGAAAGGGGCAGGCGCAGTTGGCGGATTCGGGCAGTCATGCTGGGAAGGGAGGGTGGGGATAGGGTCTCGTGTATGCGTAACAAGGAACGCGTAAGGATGATATTGGTTTGGTTGGTAAGCTGCTTGCATGAAGGACAGGACAACAGTGCCAGCAACGAGGAGCTTTCAACGGAAGACTCTCCCGCGTTTCCTGCGAATCACTTTCAATACCTACGTCGATGACCAAACTTGTCGAATGCTTCAGCCTTGTTCCTTCAGCAATCGCGGACCAGCAATGCCCGTTTCGAGCTAGCACGCAACCTGGCGACTATGCAGGTAAGCCTTCCGCCGGAGCACGTCAGTCAAACTTGCCTCTCGGGTTCGCTTCCTCCTCTCGCAGCAGCCCGGCAGAAAGCACCCTCCATCCTGTCACCCGTGCCGATCTCTGCATCGCGACCGTTAGCGCGGAGTGTGAAGCACACCGTCTCCCGACTCACCTGGAAGCCCGTCTTCTTCCACCGCGCGTTGAGCCAATCGGTCAGCGCGTCTGCGGAATGGTTCCAGTCGTAGGCGTCGTAGCTGTCTAGCAAGACTTTGGTGATTGGAGATGGCAGAGGTGCGTTCGGTTCGGAAGCTGCTGATGGGGTGGAGGTTGGTGGTTTGGGTTTGCGGTCTTTGGGGCAGCAGCAGAGCGGCATGGTATTCGCCCGTTGTTGTCCGCGGATTGGATTGAGGTGGATTAGTGGAAAGGGTGCACGAAGACGGACCCGGAACCTCGAAACCCGCCTGAAGTACTTGCTCGACCTGCGATCCTCCCTTCGCTTGGAACGGTGGACTCGGGGTTAAAACACCCTACGCTGTCAGGCAGCGCCAGATCTTTGGTGAGGCCAAGACGACGACGCCGAACTCTGATATTGGGTCGCGCACGGCACCATTGTCCCATTGTCAACGCAAGGCTGACGGAGGAGAAAGAAGTTCATCATTTTAAGGACGCATTGTTTACTACAAAGGCACCGGCTTTGTTGCTCTCTCACGATGCTCCTGAAGGTCTTGCACACCGCAACTGGCCGAATTGGCTCGTTGTTGACGGTCTAGTTTCAGCATGTCGTGCTAGTTCTCCACGACGCATTGTCAGATCGCCAAGGATACCATAGGAAGCTTTCTCAGACCTTGTAAGCGCGTGACAGTACTAGCCAACGTGAGCTGGATTGATCCGCGTGCACATGCTGAGGTAAGATTACGGTGTATGGTGTCATCGTGAGCTATGGCAGCTCATGCTCATGCCACAGTGAGTCATCACTTGAACGGTAGCATCTCGCTGGTCGACTGCAGCCAAACGGTGATGCGGCCAATGCTCGCCGTATCATTCTCCTGCGGATAAACTGATGGGGAAAGTAGAACTCCGCAGCCTATAAGCGGGCGGGCAAATGGAACAACCTGGGAGTTTAAGTTAACCACGTTGACTGCAACTATCCGAGCCATTGGCCCCACAGCTGTAAACGGAGCCGGGAGCGTGAAAGCGTGAGCACGCCGTCTCGGTCGGAAGCCCTTGAGCGATCCTGGTCCGGCACGTTGTTCTGGGCACCAGGGACGGGTGGGTCCATGCGAATCTGGCAGGACAGGCTATTGCTAGCGATCCCACAAGGCTTCGGCGCAACGCGATAGCAGTGTTGTCAGCAGGTAACCCTATGAGGACTACGGTGATCGGTGGTTGGTGACTCAATCCGCATAATGTGTATAGTGTGCCCATTCCGTGTTCCTCCCGTTGCCTGGCAAGTGAGCAAAGGCACGCGAAAGCGAATGCGCCCAAAGATCGCCAAGCGACTGAACCGTTCCCGCTCTGCCTAATTAAGGCAAGGCTGCTTAGACTCTGCGCTCGGGAAGGTGCACATCCGTCGCCGAATGGACAGTGACCGACTGCACCATAGCGGACTTAACAATCGCGCCGCCGGCAAGGTGTAGCGACTGCCGTAACAGCGTTGGCTTGCATGGCGACACACTAGGCGCCTTCGACTCATCACGCCGCTCCTGAACTATCGATCTTGGTATAAAGTGGTTCGCCTTCGCCACCTCACGACTCGTTTGTGTACTTTGTACGACCTCCGCCCACCCCACGAACAGTGACGAATTGTGCAGAGTCTAATTCACTACAGCGTCACAAACTCAAACTTGCGCTCGCTGGCATTTGCACTTCACTCCCTGACGTTACCACACCGACCCACCATGGGCCTCTTCAATAAGAAGAAGCCTGCGACGGCAGAGGCACAAGCGGAGACCCCCAGACCTGGATCCGATGAAACTACACCTGCGGCGAGTGGCGCGCCATCAGTAATAGGCGAGAAGAAAGTCGAAACAGACGTCGCTGTCGACTCGCGATTACACTCCCGAGATGATTCGACAGACCTGCCAGCTCTCAAAGATGGCGCAGAACCGGAGACCGCCCTAAAGCGGGAAGAGGAACAAGAGCAAGAGGCAGATGACCAGATCGAATACCCCAAGGCATGGGCACTGACGCTCATCACCATCGCTCTGTGCCTTTCCGTCTTCTGCGTCGCTCTCGACAACACCATCATTTCCACCGCCATTCCCAAGATCACCGACGAATTCAAAGCCATCGACGACGTGGGATGGTACGGCTCATCGTACCTATTGACGACCTGCGCGTTCCAGCTGTTCTTCGGCAAGCTCTACACCTTCCTCAGCGTCAAATACATCTACCTCGCCGCGCTCGTGGTCTTCGAAGTCGGCAGTGTCATTTGCGGTGCCGCACCAAACTCCAACGCACTCATTGTCGGCCGCGCCATCGCAGGCTTAGGATGCGCCGGCATCTTCAGCGGTGCCATCCTCATCGTCTCGCTTACCGTACCGCTCAAGCAACGCCCGACTTACATGGGTATGATTGGAGGCATGTACGGCATCGCCTCGGTTGCTGGACCTCTGATGGGTGGCGCCTTCACCGACAAGCTGACCTGGCGATGGTGCTTCTACATCAACCTGCCCATCGGCGCTGTCACGCTTATCTTCATCACGCTCTTCTACAAGCCAGGCAAGCGGGCGAAGCCGATGGCCTCTTCTCTCATGCAGAAGCTTGAGCAGTTTGACATCCTCGGCCTTATTGTGTTCATCCCCATGATCGTTTGCTTGCTACTGGCACTGCAGTGGGGTGGCTCAAAGTACCCCTGGCACAACGGTCGTATCATCGCGCTCCTTGTCATCTTCGCGGTCCTGGCCATCGCCTTCGTCGGCATCCAGATCTGGAAGCAAGATAACGCCACTGTCCCGCCTCGCGTTCTCAAGCAACGCTCCGTTGCCGCCGGCGCCTGGTTCTCCGCCACTCTCGGTGCGGCCTTCTTCGTCTTCGTCTACTACCTTCCTATCTGGTTCCAAGCGATCAAGGAAGTGTCGGCAGTCGGCAGTGGTATTCGCAATATCCCCATGGTCCTGTCTCTGGTTATCTTCTCGATGATCAGCGGCATTGCTGTGACTGCGCTGGGCTACTACACGCCCTTCATCATTGTTTCGAGCTTCTTCATGGCCATTGGTGCGGGTATGCTGGCGACACTCACAACGCACTCTGGCTCCGGCGCATGGATCGGGTATCAGATCCTCTTCGGTGCTGGCGTGGGTTTTGGCATGCAGAATACGCTTGTCGCCGTTCAAGCCGTCTTACCACAAGTCGACATCGCCATCGGCACCGCCATCATCATGTTCTCGCAGACGCTTGGAGGCGCACTGTTCATTTCCGTCGCGCAGAACGTGTTCACGAACCGTCTACTGTCCAACCTAAAACAAGTCGTACCCGACCTCGACCCGGCTCTCGTTCTTGCAACGGGTGCAACGTCGTTGAAGAGTGTCATTCCGGGGCAGTACTTGGGCGGCGTGCAGACCGCCTACAACTCGGCGATCATCTCGTGTTTCTACGTGGCTGTCGCCATGGCTGCGATGTCCATCTTTGGCTCCGTTTTTATGGAGTGGAAGAGTGTGAAGGGTAAGAAGATTGAGATGGCGGCCGCATAGCGGCATCTCCTTCTCTGGGTTGGATGTTTTTGGGGTATCACAGCGTGGCGTTGAGGCAAGAGCTAGAGGTACTTCTACCCTCGTGGCAGTGGCATAGATGCCGATAAAGTTTAGACGAGTGTAATACATGAGGCAGACAACATTGCAGCATCACGTGTTTCGTCCGTTTCACCATCGATAGTGCATTAATCTCAGTCAATGTCCATGCGTTGGCGCCTTCTGGCTCAACGAGCGCTGAGCTCCTTGATTGGTTCGCGAAAGCTGCGCTGGGTAGGGCAAGTGTGACACGTGACGATGTCAAGAACCGCCCACCGAAAACGCTCGCCTTGGCCAATCGGGGCTAACGGTGCTCCCCACATCCCACTACCTCAGTACTGCCCAGAGTTCGGATCAACAACAAACCCGCCAGCCTCGACACATTGAGCAAAGCACTTCAGTTCAACGACTCATCAGATCACCCCTAGAACACTCATTGTGACAGCAACAGAGCGATGGCGAACGAGGTATGTCCCACCCTATGTCCACTCCTACTTAACACAGCAATCTCGCGTTGCGCAGAGCTGTGGGAGGCATCCTCAACGAAAGCTTCAATGCTAGCTATGACTCGCTTGCAGAATGATATGCTGACTATAGTGGTTGTAGCGCGAGAGGTATGTTGTCGAAGTGGTCACGCGACCAGACCAGGGCCTTGATGACACCTAACACCAATCCCAGCAAGACCTTCCTTGCCCGGCTGTGCGAGCAGGCTGAGCGCTACGATGGTACGTCATGTGAGTGCATTGACTGGCGCGTACACATGCTGACTGTGGATTCGCAGAGATGGTGGGCTACATGAAGGTATGCATTGCATTGAGCAGTATATGTATGGACGAGGCCAATCACTAACGCTCAAGCTAGGAAGTCGCGAAGGTACGATAACGATAATCGCCGACCCCCGACGAGCACGCGATAAGCGACTACAGCATTGGCAGGACTGTATACATGCCAAATACTGACAGTAGGCCATAACAGATCGGGGGCGAGTTGACCGTGGACGAGCGCAACCTCCTCTCGGTGGCATACAAGAACGTCGTCGGCACGCGTCGCGCCTCGTGGCGCATCATCTCCAGCATCGAGCAGAAGGAGGAGGCCAAGGGTTCGGACAAGCACGTCGGCATCATCCGCGACTACCGTCAGAAGATCGAGACGGAGCTGGAGAAGGTCTGCCAAGATGTGCTGGACGTGCTCGATGAGAGCCTCATCCCCAAGGCGGAGACGGGCGAGAGCAAGGTCTTCTACCATAAGATGTAAGCTACCGTTGTCGAGTGGCAGTGTACTTCGATGATGGGTGGAAGCATTGGCTGACGGTTGGCTTGCAGGAAGGGTGACTACCACCGCTACCTGGCTGAGTTCGCATCTGGCGAGAAGCGCAAGACCGCTGCCACTGCTGCGCACGAGGCCTATAAGGTATGCTCGAGTCTTACAACCAACCTTCTTCGACCACGTAATTATTACTGATACATATTTCAGAACGCCACCGACGTCGCTCAAACCGAGCTCACCCCAACCCACCCCATCCGCCTCGGCCTGGCCCTCAACTTCTCCGTCTTCTACTATGAGATCCTCAACTCGCCCGACCGCGCTTGCCACCTCGCCAAGCAGGCCTTTGACGACGCCATCGCCGAGCTGGATTCCCTCTCCGAGGAGTCGTACCGCGACAGCACGCTTATCATGCAGCTTCTGCGTGACAACCTTACTCTCTGGACCTCGTCGGACGGTGCCGAGCCCGAGGCTGCCGCGGCCGCGGGCGAGCAGAAGGGCGAGGAGAAGGCTCCCGCCGGCACGACGGAGGAAAAGCCGGCTGCTGCTGAGACGGACGCTGCTGCGCCCGCCTCTTAAGCGCACTTCAACCTCTCCGACCAATCTAAAAGGACGCTTCTCCCTTGGCGTGCGTGGCGTGGCGTTGGCGCATGTTGCCTTGTGGCGAACGCATGCACTTTCGGTATCTCACTCACCCTATGCGGAGGATGGGCGGATGCTACCACTGCTGAGCGACGTGGTGTGAGCAGCAAGATCCAAGCAAAGCATACCTCAGTTGCGATGAATCCCTTAACACATCATCCCCACCACCACCATCATCATCATCCTCCTGCAACCTCAATTGGCGCGTGTGTTGTCTTTTTTAGCAAGTATCGGTGTTACCCTGCGATAGCGTATGTGTGTTTACCTGGTGGACCACGAGTGCGAGGCGGCTCAATCAGCCGGGACGCAGGGCGGGTCTTTTTCACCTCACGGTCTTTACTGATGGATTGGCTTGAGCGTATTGAGTCCAAAAACAAAACGTCAAAACAACCTGCTAGTCCATTTTCCGTCGCACGTGACCTTGCCGTCTAGGTCTGTTTGCACCTGATGATAGATTTACTTCTGGCGTCGCAAAATCGACGGTGAAGTGGTAGAGGCGTCGCCGCCTTTTCTACCTATTGCGCCACTAGCCACAGTCAAAGACTGCTGGGAGAGTGTTTTTTGCGCTTATAGAGTGCTCATTGTCTCAAATTTGAAAAGGCAAAGCGTGAGCTTGAGAGGCGGGAGGGACAGTCGTCACCGTTGCTGCTCGTGTTATATCGGGCTGTATGCTGGTATGGCGAGCATGCACTGAACCTTTGGGCGTATGGAGCGCTTCTAGCCGCGCTCTCAGAACTCTTCATTGCCTTGATACAGGAAAATGCAGCCATTGCTTCTGTGCCTCTGGCGCATCTCCCCTGAACTCGGGTCACTTTGAAGGGAGCCAGTACCTAACTACAGCGTAATCAGGACCTTTTCAGCCCGAATGTACGCAATGGCCACCGTCTGACTTTACTTCTGTATCGGCGAGTCCTTCGCACGCTCTTAGCGGTTCAGTGTGGCCTTTGATCCCAATCTCTTTCCACGCTCTGTTCGCGGCTCAGCATGGTTCTGGAAGTTGGTATTCCGGCATGGAAACCAGGAAAGCTCTCAGAGCAGAAGTCTCGTTGATGCCCACCTGGGTGTAAGTCAGTACATGCGAGCAGGGTACGCATGGCTACGGGTGCACTCACGTCTCGCAGCTGCTTATTACTGGTCTGTAGCGGCTCGCCGTTGAGGGTGAACCCGACCGTGGCATCACCAATGCCGGCGGCCTCAACGTACTCGAACTCCAGGTCCTCAATAGTAGCCGTGTCCCAGAGGTAGAGGTGACTCAATCGATTCATAGTATCGACGATGCAGAGTGTCATGCGCAACGCCTTACGCTTGAACCTGACAAGCGAACCCTCTTTGATGGCGAGCTGTTCAATGTTCAGTACATGCTTGTAGGCACGATTGTCGACAAAGACTTACATCCCTAATAGGCGCCTCGGCCATGTCATTGCACTCGAGGAAAGTCCTCATCGCTTCCCACGACTTGAGAACGATGTAGGTGCCATTCTCAACCTCGCTGGACTTTATGCTGCAGTACTCACCGCAACTGCTGCTGATGCTGACAGACTCGATCTTAGAAGGCCAGTAACTGTCGATGCCTAATCGATCTGCCAAGTCGTCCCAGATGGCCCTCCAGGTTGCGTTCTTATTGATGGTAATGTCCTCATCCTCGGCCCCGTTGGTGCGGAAGGTGATGCTGATCTGCTCGACTTCAACATCGGGTTCCTTGTGAGGGTAGGGTTGGGCGAGGATGACGGTACCGTCAACGATCCCGATCTGGAAAGGTCAGCAAAGACGAAACTAAGAATCTTCGTGCCTACATCATCGAAGCGGTCAAATAACGCGATGCCCGAGCCATCTTCCCTGGTATACAACAACTGATGAGCGTCCATGCGAAGGTGGGCTCCGTATGGCTCCATCACCGAGCTGAAACGGTCGCTGCATTTGGCCCTGAGCGCAACATCTCGCTTCATGAGATCGCGGATAGTGAAGTTGACGTGCTTCATGTTCAAGATTTCGAAGTTCGAGGGCGGTGAAAGATCGAACTTTTCTCGAAGATGGCGACCTAGAGAGCAGTTGCACAATGTCGCTACTGGAAGAGCCTGCATCCCATGTCATTTGATCCCTGTCACCAGCCTTCCTGTCCAGGCGCTCATGCATCTCCTCTGACAAACGGCTGTAGTAGCCAGGGGAATGGCAACGCGCCTCATTGCGCTCAGCAGGCGGTACAGGATCGCCGTACGTGGAACCAGACCACGCCACTTTCGGAGCCGGTGGGATGTCACTATCGTGGTATACCGGCAAGGCTGGAGTGTGAACCGGCGAAGCCCAAGCGGACGAGGAATCAACAACCCGATCATCTAACGAGTACTCAGACTCAACCGTAGCGTGCGGTGCCGCGGCGGTACTAGAAGCAGGAGTGGCGGTTGAGAGGACAGGATTCTTCGCCACGATTGTGCACGGCAGATCGCGGATGCTTGCTCTCACAGAACGCATGACTTCCTGGGTGATTTGGACGCTGCCGGTTGGCTTGAAGGAAAGATTGTCGAGTAGGCGGTCAAGCTCCGCATCGTGGTCTTGCTGGATGGCCGCAACTGCCTCAAAGGGAAGGTGGATGGACAGAATGGCCGCCATGGTAACTGAGTTGCTGTTTCTTTACCTAAAGCGGTGATGTTCAAGCTCTAACAAGGTGTGTAGTAATGAGTAGATGGCTCTTGTGAGAGAGGATACTGCTCGTGTGGCGCGAAATGGCTGCTTGAATATATGGCTTGCTGGCACGTGAAAGGTGTGCCGTTTGCACGTACGTCACGTACAGTGAGAGGAATACTGAGCTCGAGCGCGATGAAAGTGAGGGTGAAAGGGTCACTGGTGAGCTGTCAGCATTGAGTCGAGGCATTCACTGAGCTCTGAACGGCACGAGCGTGATCGCAGTCCGTCACAAAAGCACAGGAACGATCAGAACGAAGTGTCAGAGGACGGCACAGGAGTACTGCAAGCATCAGCCACTGAAGGTCAAATTGACGCGGTTGTGGTTTGCGTAGGTACCTACCTCCTTCGGCCCGCATCATTTTTGACCTTTACTAACTCGTCACCCAACACCGCAACCACTACCCATGGCCCAGGCGCCTTTACCGATGACTGTGATGGAGAAAGTACTGCATGGAAAGGTGACCCGCGGTCCATATTGATTGCTGGTATCGTGCTATGAAAACCCAAGCTCTGTAGACGTGCTTAGACATCTCCCAAAGAACCGCCAGATGCAAGTTCGAGACGCCTGAAGCTCCTCGCTTAGATAGCATACGCTGCTGTGCTTCCCATTACTCCTCAAGCGCCAGGCTCTGAGAGGTCGTCGTCCACTTCCAGCAGTAACCTTCGTAATTCATTAATGAAATATCGAGCCGACATTGTCAGCTCTCTGATCAAACGCTGTCGTCAAACGTGCCGCCAAGAATCGAAGACCGTCGAGCAACCGGCCAACTTCACTTAGAATGACGGCTTCTCTTCGCTCACAGCCACAGGCTGTGCCGTCTCAGTGGGTATCTTTATCGAAGCGCTATCCTCCGCAACTGCCTCAAGCTTCTCCTGCTTGATCTCCGGCTCTGCCGAAGTTGTCTCGCGTTTCGAGCTGTCATGCTCAACCTTCCTCCTCTTCCACAGATTACCGTCCGGCACGGTGTCTAGAGGCGTTCTGCAGTAAGTCACGGTCCTTGTGACGACCTGCTTGACGTACATCTTGCCAGGCTTGTTAATCACCTCAGTATCAATATCCCGAGGCGAGAAGGATGCGCTCCACGGCGCTGCGCTGAGCGGCGTGGAAGACATCAAATATGGTGAAGCTATCGACCTGGCTGACGGTAGTCCTGCTGTTGATAGAGGTGATTGTGGGATCGTGAGTTTGCGCGGAGTACGCGCTGAACCTGGTAGAGTAGGCTTTGCAAACGGTGACGGTGGGATCATTACACGCGGCGATTCGGGTCGGTGCCGCCGAGCTGTGCTCGCTGCGCTGTTCGAAGATGCCGTGCTTTGGGTGGTAGATGTTGTTGCCGTAGACGTGGTGGAGTCGTAAGAGGTGTTGCGCGAAAGCGGAGGTTGCGACATTGGACCGCTGAAGGAAGACTTGTCAGATGCCTTTTCCGAGGCTTTGTCGAAACACTTGTCGGCGTTGAAGCTGAAGCGCGTGCTGGTACCGGTTGGTGCCGGACTCATCATGGCAGGTGACATGCTTTTCAGGAAGTCCAGGTAGGCTGACGGCGGAGTGATAGGCGTCTTGAGATCGTTCTCTCTCTGCTTTTGGAAGCTTGGAGAGGCAGCCATCGGACTGCGCATCTCGGACGGAAAAGTACCAGATCCAGGAGTTTGCAGGGATGACGAGGAAGTGCTCGACCTCTTGTCGAACCCAGCAGCAGCCAAGGTAGCAGTAGCAGTGACCGAAGCAGCCATGGTGGCGTGTCGTCGCTTGAGACGGAAATGAGTGACCGAAGAATCAAATGAATGAATCGGTAGAGAACTGGACGACACCCAAGACCTGCGGTCCCTCGTAAGCAAGGAGCTCACCGGTTCGTGGCGAGAAGCAAGAAGGCGAGCCTTGTGACCGAGAGGCAAGCAGACGCAGGGCTTAAAGGGAGATTCGACTGGGCTCACCTGACAGCTCCTGGCGGTGCTTCGCCGCAGCACAGTCCTGCTGCTGCTGCTGCTCGAGGATACATGCAGCGCACAGCGCTGCACCGACCGGCGGCTCCTAGACTATTCTTGGGGCGGGCGCGTAGAGCCCGCAACGTCTGAAATCTGTCAAGCTCCCGGGCGCCGGTGTGCGATGCAGTCGACCGAAGATAAAAGACCAATGAGATGTCGACAACGGAAGCTAACCAGCACTATATTGCAATTCCGGGAGACGCGATTCGCTAGAGGCAGCCGTTAAGCGCCCAGCCAGGATGTGTCTGCGAGACTGTTTGATTGGCGAGCCTGTCGCCGCAAGACCTTTAATCCGAATCAAGTCTCGATCGTATCCTGACGTTGTGCTGCTGTGCTGTGCCTTACGGGCGTCAAAGGCAGCTCTGGGCGCTCTCGCGCTGTGTAAAGGTGATACGGTCGATGGGACCAATGAAGGCAGTGCCGAGGATGCAAGCCACAAACAATAGGCTTCTTCTGGAAGACGCGAAGAACGACTGGGTTACGTGATTTACTCTGCCTACTGCATGCGGCACACGCATCTTATATACTCCTGGCTTACATTGCAAGCGCTCATTGTAGGCGCTGTACAGATGCTGAGCGTATTCGTCAGGGTTCTTGCCTGCTCCATGAACTATGCTGAACGTTTTGGGCAGCCATTGCATTGGTGTTCGTTCACTTGCTGACGAGAAAAGCACCCTTAGACGCGCGTCAATCTACTACCCACCTTCGGCGTGACGCCTGTTGTAAAGAGGCTTGATATTGCGCTTTCATGCCATCCATTAAGCTGGCACATTGGAGTTGCACAACTGACGACATCGGAAGCGCCGACAAGATCTGTGTGCCGCACCGTGTTCGACCTCAAGGGCTGACGTTGTGGGCGCTTCTCAGGTGAGTGTTGCGTGCAACCTGTTGATTAGATCTCTTGGTATCGATCGAGCCGTGTTCGTCGGGGGAGTGAATGGTCTACGGTAATGGGGAGAAGCCCAGATACCATTCGAGCGCCGTCGCCAACACATCAGGCACCTGTTGACAAGCGCTGAATGCCCGTATTCGGATGGAAGATCAAATTATGTGTTGCACTAGCAACCTATGTACAGTACGGTGCCTGTCGCGCCCGCGCTTACTCTACCACAAGGCTAATCGGTAGACGCTCATAACACTTGATACTCTTCAAGGTAAAACCCGCATCCTTCTCTCAAACCCCATCGCTTATTGCAACTTCTGCAAAAACACTGGAACGTCGCTCAAATCAAGTCCGAAATCTTGGCTCATCTTCTTACTCTTCCTCCTTCCTCCATCACCCCCTGTACGTGTACCCGCACTCCCAACGAAGCCGGCACCCCTCTCCCAACCGTAGCCAAGCCCGCCGCTATAACGATCGCCTAGCGAGTCATTGCTCTTGTTCGACTGGTGAGTATAGGTTGTTGACTGTACCAGCGATGGCACGCTTGCACTAGCCTCGTCGTTCAGCTTGGCCAGGCTCTGAGCTCTCGAGTGCTCCGCGAGCGGTGCCTTCGATGGCGCATATGGGATGAAGTTGCCCGAAGGCGTGCGAACGTGTCCACCAGGACTGCGTGAGCGGCTGATGGTTGATGTAGTCGTCGTGACCGTCGCGTATGTTTGGGTGGAGTAAGCAGTGCTTGAGCGAGGCACATCCTGCTTGATGGGCCGTGGATCCCAAGACTTCACAGTGACGAACGTTGAGGTCGAGGCTGTGGTGACGGCGCTGTCGGTGCGCGGCACATCCTGCTTGGCAGGCCTGTTCTCCTTGTCGTCCACGATAAGGTCACGATAACCGTTGGCATGCTGTGCCGCAGCATCTGTTGGCCGGTCCCGGGCGTTCGCGCGCGCGGCGTTCTCCGCTGCCAGAGGCGTTATATAACGTGACACCACAATAGACGGAGACTTCGTAAGCTGCGTTGTATAGCACGGTACCGTCTCGGACGGCTTCCTTGAACCGGGCGGAAACTCGGCCGATATTATTGACGCTGTGTCGATGGGCTTTCCTAGAGCGGCGCCAATGGATTCGCGACGCTGGCGCCACGCCTTGGCCTGCTGTTCCCAGCCAGGCCAGCCTGGGTGCTGAGCATCATGAGTGGGAGACTGAACGACCTGAACGTCTTCTTTCTCTGCTGTAGTCGTCGAGATCGACTGCTCGGATCCGGAGCCAGAAAGTTCGCGGACCATGACACTGACTTCAGCAGCATACTTCACGCCTTCACGCTCCACGGGGTGGAGTACCTCCACACCTGCACTTTCCGGGATTATGATCTCCTGGTGGGCTTTGTACTGACTGATCCGTTTCGTCAGCTGCGGCCTCACTGGAGTCTGTTGCAAGTCCTCCGCACTGGCGTTGGCGGACCCAGAAGGTGAGGAGTTAGCGCTGTCCTTGAGCTTCTTAGCAACCATCAAATCGGCTCTCGACGCTTTCTCTGCGACATCTGCCGGCAGCTCGGGCAGAGGTGGAATGCTCTCGGCGTACATGCTGTGACGTCTGTTCAATGCCGGAGACTGCTGAGGCGTGCTTGGTTGGGAATTCGTCTTCTGCTGCCAGTCTGGGAAGCGATCCTCGACCGAGATCGACGATCGTGGGCTTGCTCTGCCTTTACTTCTGCTCCTGCCGGATGTTGGCGTTGCTACCCTGGGTCGAGCTTCGAACTGCTCTTTCTCCTGTCTGGCAATGTCTCGACTCTTCATGCGAGCCAGTTCGCTGGCAGCCTCGCTATCCATGCCCCTCACTGCCTTACCCTTGACCAGACCAGTGCTGATCATGTATGGTGACTGCAGCTGATGAGCGGCTGCGCTTGGTAGCGTTGACGTTGCACGCTGTACTTGGTTGGTGGCTATATCGTATGATCCCGAGCCCAGCGTACGAGCAACGGAGCTGAAGTCCGTCCAAGCCGGCACATTCTCATCGCCAGGACTCACATCCCCTTTGTCTCCCTTCTGCTCCACCGGCTTCCCCAGCATGACGTTCCCCAGCATGACGTCGAGACTCGACCGCTTTGACGCCTTGCTGCGTGTGCGACTTCCGCTTTTGCCACGCAGCTTCGCAATGCTCCAGCCACGTTGAGCCTCCGGAGTTTCGTCGGCGGATACATCGTGACGGATGCTGTTCTCTCTTCCTCGGCTACGGCTCCGAGACCGGCATCGTGACAACGGTAGCGACTCGACCACGGCCGCAGGAGCTTGCTCTACGGGCTCAGGAGCGCCATCGGGTGCAGACTGTGTCTCTGATTGCTGCAGAAGATCCGGCACAGGTTCCATCTCAGGCTCCGGTAAAACTTCAACTGCACTTTCAGCTGGAATGGGTGGTGCTGGCTCCGCTATCAGAATGCTATCAGCCCAGCCCAGCGGCTCGGCTCGAGCTCGAGCATCTACCGTTGGGGCACTGGCACCAAGCTCACGGTCGTCGAAGACTAGCGGCGAGGGTGGTTCAAAGGGTGGAAGCGACGGGGCGCTGAAGCTACGGGAGCTGTCACCAGAGAATTGTCGTGACTGTTGATGAGCTGCAGGGAAGCCGTCGTCACCGGCCGGAAGCTCCACGGCATGGGAAGCCTTGAGCTTCTGGCGTTGATCTCGCCGTTGCTTTTTGACTGATGCTGGCATAGGCTTCTGGAGCTTTCGATGTTGCTTAACAGTTTGCTGACCTTTCTTCGGGTCCGCAGGCGAGCTTCCCAGAGAATCCAGTTGAGGGATCACTTCGGTTGACACATAATCGGAGTTCATGACCGCTTGGAGGCTGGTGGTCCGATCAGCTTTCATCGTGTGAAGAGGCAAAGTGGACGGAGCTGCTGTTCTAAGTGATGGCCGCAGATCCGTCAGCAGACTTGGCGAGGCAAGAATGTCTTCAAAGCTGTAGAGACTCTTCGCGACGGATGCCGCAATCGATGCTGTCTCGGCTTGCTCGTCTTGCTCGTTGACTTCTGCGAGGAGGTTGCGCTTCGGTGTTCGCAAGGGGGGTGGCGAAGTGCGCTGTTCGTCGAAAGAGGTCCTGCCTTTGCGAAGTGTGACGTCCGAGCCATAACCACTATCTACCTTGTGAGGAGGGGATGGGCGCATTGGCCAAGGCAGTTGCTCGTGCTCTTCGGAGTGTATCTCTGGGATCTCTGCTGACGCTTTGGTCGTCTCAACCTTGACGTCACCCTCGCCAGTGAGCTTCGAAAGTGCCGCTGCCGGCGTGCCACGCTCCAGTCCTTCCATGTCGTCCGCATCACTGTCGTACACAGTGCTCAATCGCAAAGCGAACTCTCTTAGAGCGCTGCTCTTCTCTTCAGGTGGGATAGCGGCGGCAGCAACGACAGATTCCGGAGTAAACTCGCCCGAAAGATGCGATGCACGATGGCTTTGGCGCTGTGCCCATCTCGGCGCAGGTGCGTCGGAGGCGGGTGACACGCTGTCGCGGTCAATGCTCTGCTTGGAAACTTTCGTGTTGAGGGCAAGGCCGGTGCGAGAGACAAGTGATTCCTCTGAGAGCGCAGAGATTGTTGATACCCTCTGGGCGCGGTCTTTGCGTTGCTGCAGCGCCTTGTCGGAGCTCAGGATACGTTCACGGATGGTAATTGACTCCTGACTAGGTTTCGGCCGCACCACATCGACACTGGCGCGGACAGTGATGATCTCGTGACTGGGCTGAGCACGCACCACATCCATGCTTGCACGACCTCGAGGTAGTTCAACGCTCGGGCGACCTTCTGACGAGGTAAAGTAGCCTTCTTCTGCTTTGGCGTCCACCTCGTTACACGGGACAATGCCCATTGGCGTCCTGATGCTTGGTTCCGGAGAAGCAGCTCCATTAGTGATGCGAAGGGTTCCAGGTCTGTAAGCGCCAGCAAAAGCGTACGGCATGTCTGACGGCGTGATCACGCGGCTATGGTGATGGCTGCTGTCATCCGCCAAATCCAGTGCGGCGATACTGCTTAGTGACGTTGACTTCTGGTGAGATATAGTCGGCTGCGCCCAGGCGCTTTCTCTGTTGTTCCGGACCTTCTGCGTTTCGTTGAACGTTTGGCTAGGTTTACGAAGAATATCCTCCGTCGGGCCACCGCGTGTGGCGAACCCAGGTGGGAGTACTGATCGTCTCTGTGCCGGTGGAGGTGTAGGGAACGTCATCTGCTTGTCCGCGTCAAGAATCCTCGGGCTAGTGACCGTCTCGACATCCTTGGTTGGGAGCAATGCTCGGTGCAGGGCTACCAGCTCTTCTGGAGAAGCCGTCTTCTTAAGCTCCTGCAGCAGGGAGATGGCTTGCTCGATATCAATAGCCTGGTCCTTTTTCTCTGGCACTGCCGACAGCCGCTTCGGGCCAACACTGTCCAAGGTAGAGGAAGAGGATTGTGCACTAGCGTTGACCCCGACCTCCAGGGTAGACGAGCGTCGACGCGAGAACCGTTGGCCCAAGAGCATAGTGGTGGTCGTGACAGATTCTTGCGACTGCCCTTTGATGGTCTCCGGAAAGGTACCAAGCAGTTGCTCCCTTAACAGCTGTCGGGCCTCTGGTTGTCTGAGCTTCTCGTAGCTCGTTCGTAATGGAAGTTCGAAGCTAGGTGCTCGTGGAGACTCGGTAGGCTTTGTTAGACCACTGTCGTTGGTGCGAGGTTTCGTCAGCTTCGTCATCCTGTAGCGATCATGCGTACTGAAGGGAACATCATCAGCACTGATGCACATTGCAGGAACATCCATGCACATACGTAGCGAATAAAGGGAGTGTGAAGCGAAAGCGTTGGCTCAATACATTGGATCAGCGAGTGAATGGTCGAAAGCGGTCGGCTTTGAGAGGCCAGCAACAAGGCCAGCAGGCTCGTTAAGCAGGCTTCGCCCTTGACGGGTTATACATGCAGCTGTCCGTGATGAAGACTGGGAAGTGGGGCAGATAATAAGGTAGGGTTGGAGGCGCCGTTGCTATGGGGCCGGCACCGGGTGTCTCACAAGTGCTCAGCCATCAACGGTGACGACCACGGCGCGAAACTCGTGAATTTGACAATGTCGATGCTCCTCAGCCGACAGGAAGCAAGCGAACTATCCTCAAAACAAGGCTCTCTCGTGTTGCTTCTGGGTTAGACGCAAGCGCCTCACAGAGATACCGAAAGGTTGAAATGAAGGTGGCAGCCCAAACCTGCATTCAATCACGAGCACGAAACTTGAAACGAGGCGAGAGCCACAGGTGCTAAACCGCATCGGCTGGATCGGTGGCAGGGCTATCGAAGTCGACCAGTGAGATCAAACGCTGTGGTTGCCGCGTTCTAATCTTGAGTCGCACTAAGCTCGTGGAACGTGCTCCAACTGTGGCTGTGTGGCTGGTGTCTTCCAGCCGAGGCCAAGACCTCATGTCGTCTACACGGCGTGGCGCTTGCGACTGGAGATCGATGGGTCTGAGCGCTGCACGACTCTTTCGTTACTCGGATCATGCCAGACCTACAAAGGAGGCGGTCTTGATATCAGACCGTGGGGCCACGGTTAATGAGGCTGGTGCACGTTCGAACGAGCTGAAACGATCCGTGAAGGATCACGGCTGCATGTATAGGTAGCTGCCGGTGCTGCGCTGGGAAGTCTTGAATCCAAAAGCCACCCCCAGACGCGTAGGCGGCGCCAAACCTCAATCCGAGTTCTTCGCACCACCGAGTTGCAGGCTCTCGTGAAGCAACCAGCCTCGGCTCTTGGCTATTACCATGGTCAAACAAACTTCAGTCTTAGTCGGACAGACTCCACCCTAATCCTGTGAGTAGATACGCGTGCTTAGGATCGGCATGATCGTTGTAGGTCTATAGTCTACTCTATGCCAGCCAAAGAAACGCCACAGGTGCTTTCATTCCAACTTCGTCCTCTTCGTATCCGCCTTCGCCATGAAATAATTCCGCTCCACAAGCTTCAATACTTCATCGATCAAGATGATAGGTGCACTCCAGCCCAGCACCAACTGCCACTCGCCCCAACCTAATGGCACAATGCCGAAGATACCCTGTAGGATAGGCGTGTAGAGCAAGATGAAGTGTAGAATCATCGACAGCATGATGGCGTAGACGAGGATCATGTTGTTCCAGAGTGGTAGGGTAAGAAGCGATTCTGACGAGGAGAGAGCGTTCATGGCGTTAAGCATTTCGATTACCACCAGTATGCTAAGCGAGATGGTCGAGGCGGTTCGAGAGGCGTCGTTGCTGAACATCTCGCAGCCGATCTCTGGGAAGGTGGTCGTGCAACGGTGGAAGTGCGTCTGCGTGCTGTCAGTGTCTGCTTGGAGTCGAAGTACGCCTGTTGACTTACCAACTGCCAGAAGGTGATTTGCGGTCCACCTTCATAGAACATGAACCACCACGCATATCCGCCGACCGTCGCCAGACCAACATACGTGCCAATAACCATGTAGCGGAAAAAGAGCCATCCACCAACAAGCGGCTCGTCCCTCTTCCTCGGCGGTCGCTTCATCACATCATGATCAGGCGGGTTAAAACTGAGTGCCGTAGCAGGTAAGCCGTCCGTCACCAAGTTTACCCACAGAAGCTGGACTGGTATGAGCGCCTCAGGCATGCCGAGAGCCGCCGTCAAAAAGATCGAAACGACCTCGCCAATGTTGGATGAGATCAGGTATCGAATGAACTGCTGAGTGTTGTTGTAAATGCTCCGTCCTTCTTCCACCGCCACCTCGATGGTCGCAAAGTTGTCGTCTGCAAGCACCATGTCCGCGGCAAGCTTGGCAACGTCGGTACCCGTACCCATCGCGACTCCGATGTCGCTCTTCTTCAGTGCAGGCGCATCGTTCACGCCGTCTCCAGTCATTGCCACGACCTCGCCGGCAGACTGTAGGAGGTCGACAAGCTTCGACTTGTGCGTCGGTTCCGTACGTGAGAAGAGTGATGCGGTCTTGGCAGCCTTGAGCTTCTCGTCATCGCTAAGACTGTCGAATTGGCGCCCGGTGTAGCTTTTGCCCTTCAGGTCCTCCTGCTGACCGAACACGCCAATCTGTCGGCATATTGTCTCGGCTGTGTTCTGATTGTCGCCAGTGATGACCACCACACGTATACCGGCCTCTCGGCACTTGCGGATGCTCGCTGCCACCTCCGGACGAGGCGGATCCAGCATACCGACCAAGCCTAGGAACGTCATGCCTTGTTCAAGCTGCTCGTACTCCGTTGTCGTCTTCGCCTTGCTAGCAAGTGTAGTATCGGGACTGTCAATGCTGGCTAGCGCCATTACACGAAGCCCACGATTACCATACTCCGTCACTTCGTCGTGTAGTAATGATGCAACCTTACTCGACAGTGGTTGGCGCTTTCCGCTACTGCCAACAAGGCAGTGCGTGCAACGAGCCAGTATTGACTCCGGCGCACCCTTAACGAGGAGCCTCTTCGAGCTGCCATTACCAACGAGTACGGACATGCTCTTGCGGTCACGAGAGAACTCATAGATTGCAAGCTTCGGTGCCTTCTCCTCGTAGCGCTTGCTGACGTGATGAATCTTTGACATCGGTGTAAGACTGGAGCGCTGGGCATTGTAGGATGCGTCAGTAGTCCCGATCTTTTCTGCGAGCACTCTAAGAGCGCCTTCCGTTGGCTCGCCCACGTTGTTATACGTGCGGTGGTTGCTGTCATACGACAGTGTGGCGCCATTACACAGTGCTGCAACCTCTGTCATCTGTGCGATTGTACTCGAGGACGCAGCTGGATTCTCGATCACTTTGCCGTCCTTGGAAACAGCGCCCTCCGGAGCAAAGCTCGTGCCCTCAACACTCAGTTCCTCCAGTCCAGAGCCGTTGTCGTTGATGTATACGACGCGATTCACGCTCATTTGGTTCGTCGTAAGAGTGCCAGTCTTGTCGGAGCAGATCACACTGCAGCTTCCCAGCGTTTCCACGGAAGGCAGCGAACGAACGATGGCATTCTTAGCTGCCATTTTGCGCGTTCCCAGCGCCAAGCATGTAGTGATCACGACCGCCAGACCTTCCGGAATCGCCGCAACACCCAGTGAAACTGCAATCTTCAGGTAGTAGATCGCACCTTTCGTCCACGAGTTGCCGTGAGAAGGGTCGTTGAAATGCTGAATGTTAATCAACCACACGAGGATGCAGATACCGCTAATCACCTTGGCAAGCATGTCGCCGAAGTTGTTCAGCTTCTCCTTGAGCGGTGTAGGTTGCGAAATTTGAGCGGTGATCGATTCATGAATGTCGCCGATGGCGGTATTCGAGCCTGTCAGGACAACGATCGCATGCGCCGTACCTGTGACGACTGTCGTTCCGGAGAAAAGCATGTTGATCTGATCTTGCTTGACCGCTTGCTGATCCTTGATCGCATCCACATCCTTGCCCACGCTCTCACTCTCGCCCGTCAGGATTGATTGATCGACGCGAAAGCTGTTGCTGTGTATGCTCAGAAGCCTGCAATCTGCCGGTATCCGATCACCAACTGCAACATGCACAATGTCACCCGGTACTAGCTCTTCCGCCTTGACTTCCGACAACCGGCCATTTCTGACAACCTTCGCCTTGTTCGCGCTGTACTCCTGTAACGCAGCAATAGCCTTTTCTGCTGAGCTCTCTTGACTGACGCCAACGATCGCGTTAAGAACCAGGATCGTCAAGATGACGGCCGGATCCACGAATGCTGTCCATCCCTCTCCCTCTTCGAATAAGGCAAGCACGAACGATATTGCTGCGGAGGCAAGCAGAATAATGACTAGTTGATCCTTGAACTGCTCCAGTATAAGCTGCCAAAGCGGCGTGGGTGGCTCCTCAGGTATTGCTAGGCATGTGGTTAGTCTCACGGAGGCACGTGCTAGGAATGATGGCGCATACCATTTTTGCCATATTTCTGTACCGCAGCTTGTACACCCAGATCCGACAGGCCACCTGCTTCTGAAACGCTAAAGTGCTCTAGCACCTCTTTGGGCGCGCGAACGAAAGCGTTGTCCATCTTCACACGGCGGAGGCAGGTTGTTGCGGTATTGTCGTTGTGAAATTGCCGGATAAGTCAGGGAAATGCTCATATAGGATTTGAACGCGGAAGAGACATGGTTCGGATTACCAATTTGTAGGGACAGCTGTTCATGTTGGAGGTTGCAATATCCATAATGTGGACAGAAAGTGGCATATTTCTTAGACCCCGCCGCATCACTTCTCGCCAGCTGGCCTGCCCGCGCCGAAATCTTCGAGAAGCGTGCCTGCAGCGATCGGCAAGCCACAATCCGCTGCCGAGATCTGCGGCATATGCCGATGAACCCTTGCTGCAATGAAGATGGAGATGACAAGGTTGGACGTATGGTATGGTAGACATTATGGCCATAGGGTGTCCTCAAGCGTGAAGTGATCAACGCAGTGATCGTACATAATTTGTATGAAGTCTTACATGGAGCAAAACGTCGCCTGGCAGCGAGTTGGCATCTTCTGTGCGGTCGCCGCGCGTTGCTCCGCGTTCCACTCCGCCTTCGTCGCCTTCGTTTACCGGTTGACAACCTCGTAAACATTGTCAGTGGACTTGACACGGTCTGAGATTTCGCGCCAGGTGGGTCAACGGTGGATGCCCTGAAAAGTTCACCACACCCATCAGTGTTGTATCATGCAAGTTGTGGTCAACAGGAAGATGCGTGTAACAGTGTCGTCAAGTCTCCCGTGTTGCTGGGGCTGACTTGGAATGACGTCTGCTGCCAAGTACTTGGACAACGTTGCCCGTCTTCCGGGAGGAGCTTGAGAGCTTTCAGCTGCTGCAGGTGTTTGGGTAGCTTCAAGGCACAGAGACCCGCGTCTTATTCTGTTAAAGGTCCTAATATACCAGCCTCTTCTACTGCTGTTGCACACCGCCTTTCCTTTGGTTGCAGGGCGATCTTGGTGCTCCGGTTTGGCAGCCTCACTTCACTCTGTCTCAGATTGCAACACTGTACCCAGCTTTGTACCGTCACTTTAATGGCCGCAGTCTGCTAGAGGTTCAACTTGGAATTCTGCGATGCGAGACTGGCACAATGCAATGAGTATCGCAATCACAGACAACATGGCTGTTTCGAACCATCTGTTACCTCGAGATGGCGGGAGTCATCGCGATTCTGGATCCACTTCTGGGACCGCTATATTGGCGGCCTTCATCCCTACCTTCGTCACGGCTCTGATCTATGTTGCCGTCTTCGTGGCCATCCGAAACAACTACCGGAAGATATACGCTCCACGGACGTTCCTTGGCAACATTCCCGAGAAGGATCGTACGCCGCAGGAACGGGCATCCGGTAGCAGCTGGTTCCACGTCTTCCGTACGCTCGAGGATCGCTTTATCCTGCAACATAACTCCTTAGATGCTTACCTCTACCTGCGCTTCCTCAAGATCATCATTGGCATCTCCACTGTCGGCTGCATTCTGATATGGCCAGTACTCTTTCCCATCAATGCAAATGGTGGAGGTGGCGCGACTCAGCTAGACCGGCTTACATTCAGCAACATCGACAGGAATGACTTTCTGTGGGCTCATGTCGCAGTAGCTTGGGTCTTCTTTCTTGGCATACTGGTCTTCATTGCCTGGGAGAGACTTCGTCTGATTGGAGTAAGGCAAGCTTACTATCTTAGCGATGAATACGCTTCACGCCTTTCCTCCCGGACGGTGCTCTTCCTGAATGCGCCACGTGAGGCAACGCAACCAGAGAAGGTGAAAGACTACTTCGGGGAGAATGCTGTCAAGGTCTGGCCTGTGCGAGACACTGGAGATCTGGAACAGCTCGTTCAGCAACGAAACGACACTGCGTACGCGCTCGAGCGGGCCGAGGTTGACTTAGTCATGACTGCGGTTAAGCTGCGCAAACACCAGACGAACGGCGCCAACGGTGCAGGTTCGGTCGAGAGTCAGAATGCTGTACCTCTATCAAAGCGGCCCACTCACAGAAGCCCACCTTTAGTTGGCTCGAAGAACGACACCCTTGACACCACACGTAACAATGTCCAAGACCTGGCGAAGCGCATTGAAGCTCATCGGTCCGCCCCAAGCCGGAACGTGCCTGAGCAGTCTGCAGTATTCGTGTCGTTCGACAGCCAACCCGCGGCTCACAGAGCCTTCCAGATGATCACATTCCAGCCTCGAGTCCCGATACAGGATCGCTATCTTGCAGTGCAGCCGAAGGAAGTACTCTGGACGAACCTTGCCAAACCAGTCACGGAACGCATGTCAAAGGCGTCTCTTGCGCTGGTCTTCATCATAGTTTTCACCATCTTCTTCTCGATACCAGTTGGCCTGATTGGAACTCTTAGCAACGTCAAGAACCTGGCTGATAAGTATAGCTGGCTGTCGTGGATCAAGAATCTACCACCCGTCTTGCTCGGCCTCCTTACTGGCCTCCTACCGCCGATCTTAGTCAGCTCCTTCGTTAGCTACGTACCCAAGCTCTTCCGCCACATCGCAAAGCTCTCTGGAGAACCAACGATACCTCAAGCAGAACTGAAAGCGCAGGCTTGGTATTTCGTCTTCGTAAGTTGACCGTCTGTACCTGGGACAACCTCTGAATGCTGACTACACGCTCCGTCTATAGCAAGTCTTCCAAATTTTCCTCGTCACCACTACAGCCTCAGGAGCTGCAGCAGTGACCCAGCAAATTGCACAGAACCCAGCCTCAGCTACCGAATTGCTTGCTGAGAGCTTACCAAAAGCGAGCAACTTCTACATCACATACTTCATCTTGCAAGGTACAGCCAGTGCAGCTTCGAACCTCTTAAACTATTCCGACTTGTTTGAGTACCTTTTCTACGAATATTACTGGGACAAGACTCCGCGCGAGAAGTTCAACACCTTTGCGCAGATGAAGGGTACTCCGTGGTGCTCATGGTACCCGAAGTTTACCAACCTGCTTGTAATCGCCATTGCTTACTCTTGTATTGCTCCGCTCGTCTTGGGCTTTGCTGCAATCGGCATTCTCTTCTACTATCTCAGCTACCGCTATAACATGCTCTACGTCATTCAGACAAAGATCGATACCAAGGGCGAATCTTACAATCGCGCTCTTCGGCAGATACCAACCGGCATCTACCTGGCTGAGCTATGCCTTATTGGCTTGATGGGAGCTCGCAAGGCTGGAGCACAGTCGGCGCTCATGATTGTGCTCCTTGTACTCACAGCCATCATCAACCTGCTGCTAGACAGGATGCTTCGACCGCTTGAGCTGTATCTCGGCGTTGATATCTGGCAAGAGCAGGAAGTCCCTTTGCTTGCTCAAGAGGACGACATCGACCCCAACGACCAAGAGGCTCTGCATGGCGCATCGCATGCTCGCCGCTTAGGCCTCAAAGTGCTACCCAACCCCGCCCCAAGGGTACTGTCAGACTTCTTCGACAGCATCATCTCCGCCGGCCGGGAGAAGGTGAAGGCATGGCTGAGCGATCCTTCACTGGCACGGGCAGATGAGGCGCAGCATATCACTGAGGCTGACATGGACAGCCTTTACCTCGCTCCTGCTTTCACCTCGAAAACTCCGAAGCTGTGGATAGCGCGCGACTCACTGGGTGTATCGAAGCAGGAGATCGAGCTTAATGATGAGGCAGGCATACCCATGACAGACGAAGCTGCAGAAATCGACTCGGACGGGAAGTTGCATTGGGACCACGACTTCAAACATGTGCCCGTATTCAAGCTGCCAAAGGTTGTCTGAGTACGCCAGCGTGGTTCGGAGATGAATGAATATCGCCGCGGTAACGGAAGATCGACACTGCGAGATCGGCTTATGTAACATTACATGAGGTAGCCTCCGTCACCTCACGCTCAGCCATGTCCACTTGCCTTCTTCACAGGACACAGAATTGACGTCCAGTGGACAATCCACGTGGCCATGCTTGCTGCTTGACACTCCATCACCATGTCCTCCAAGCCGAAGTTGTTCCTGCACAACCACCCTGTCAGTTCTTACGCACAAAAAGTCCGCATCGCTCTTCGCGAGAAAGGCATCGACTTCGACTACACAACGCCGAAAGGTCTAGGTTCCGGCCACGGCGCGCCAACTCTTGATCCGATCAACCCACGCGTTGAGGTACCAGCGCTGGAGGATGGCAACTTCAAAATCTTCGACTCAACCGTCATCCTTGCCTATATCGAGGACAAGTACCCAGAGAAACCTCTACTGCCAAAGAATCCTCAAGCAAGGGCAACAGCTCGTATGATCGAGGACGTATGCGACAATGAGTACGAAGCCGTCAACTGGACCTACGCCGAGATTGCCTGGGCGGAACGTGCAACCGGCGAGCACGCGCAGAGGCTGATCGCCGGAGTCAAGCAGCAGACAGCGGAGATCCAAGCTTGGCTGTCGGAGAAACTTGGTGAGCAGCAATACTTCTGCGGGGACGAATTCAGCTACGCAGATGTTTGTGTCGCGCCGATGCTCAACCGCAGTGTGAACTACGGTTTCGGGCCGGTAGAAGGAAGCCCTTTGCAGCTGTGGCACGCCAGGATCAAGGAACGACCGAGTGTTAAGGCGACTTTTGAGGAGATGGAAGAGGGCGCTAAGGTGATGTCAAAGGGTATGAAGGCCATGTTCACCGAGGGACCGAACAAGCGGCAGTACCGGTCCCATCGGCTCGAGATGATGGTGAAGTTGGGCGGCATTGACGTGGTCATTGAAGGGCTGAAGCGTGACAACATTCGCTTTGGGTGGCCGTCTGCCGATCTGTAGCCTCTGAAGATGATAATGCCAAAGGAGGAGAACAGTGTATTCTTTGAAACGACTGCTTTGAGTCACTACAGAGAAGTTGTCCTTCAACCTGTGCAATGTCGGAGTACTTGATCTAGCAGACAGTGCAGTTCACATCAGTGATGGCCTGATACACTGCCTCATAGGCCGGCTTGCGGGTCAAGTTGGCCCAGTAAAGACAAGCATCGCCTTGCCCTGCGAATGTGCTCGGCACCCACTGCATTGGTCACAAACGTCAGTTTCGTCTCAGGTAGTTCGGTCACGTTTGCTTGACAGGACATACAGAGTAAGCATCATCGAAGTCCCAAACAGTCATACCCTGGCATGCTGGAGTCTTCATGCACGCTTGGATGGTGTTGTAGTAGTCGCTAGCTTGCTGAGCCAGAGTGGCTGGAGTTGGCGGTAGGCTGGGGAAGCGGACGTCGAGCTCAGTCTGGTACATGTTGAGGCCCAGCGAGGTGAAAGACTGCATAGCCTGCATCTGGGCAGAAGCGCCGGGCTGAATTTGTCAGTGTTGTTTAGGAAGGTAGCGTTTCGGCGTAAATAGACTTACAGTCTCGCCAAAGACGAAGTGCGACTCGAAGCCGACTCCGTCGATCTTGATGCCGTACTGCTTGATCAGCTGGACCAATTCCACAGCCTTCTGTTGCTTGGCGCCTGCCTGAGTGTCAGCAAGGTAAGCAGGCAGTCATTACAGAATTGATTGTACCTGGGAATTCGATGTTGTAATCGTTATATACGAGCTTGATGTCTGCCCCAATGCTCTTGACGGCGGCCTGAGCTGCGGCGAAAGCGATGGGAATGTAGTATTTGCCCATGTACTGATAGAAGATTGTATTGCGCCATTGTGCGTTGTCATCAATAGCCTCGTTAACGACATCCCAGCTGTAGCAGTTGCTACCAAAACCCCTGACAGTCTTCGTGATGTCTACGAGAAGTACGATGATTAGTACGATGGGCGGTAACTGCGCGGTACGGACTTGGACTCACGATTGATCATGGCTGCTGCAAGCGTGATGTTGGTCCACGAGTCGTAGGGTTGGTCTACGAAGAGGCGCAATTGTCAGCGAGGCCTCAGTGAGCAAGCTAGACTTATGCCTTGCATTGACATACAACCCAGCTAGGAAGTTCCTCGTGCCAGACGAGATTGTGGCAGCGCAAGTGGGCGTCCTTGCCGGTTGCTTTAGAAAGGGCGACCGTCTGCATGCCTTGGCTGAAGTTGAACGTATTCTGCTGTGGCTCCACGAACTCCCACTTCCTGAGCCCGAAAGGGTCAGCGTTTGTCCCAACTTCTTCAATACCCACAGCTTGACCTACATCGTGTTGCCAGGCGTTGTGGAGCCGAAGATACGGCTGTCATTCCAAACCGTCATGAAGGCCTGGTCATATTGCTCGCCAGAAAAGGTATCAAGCTCAGAACCGAACCAAGCCTTGCCATGAGCGACCGCAGCGCTGTGCAGAAAGGGGGCAGAGGTGTCCTGACGTTCGGCGAGTTCAGGCTCTGGGACAGGAGCAGCAACTGTAAGCGCAACAACGCCGGCGAGCGCGGCGAAAGCACGGAGAGAAGCCATGTGTAGCTATAAAGTGCTGGTGACTCGAATGAGAGAGGAGAAGCAGATTTCGGGCTGTGCTGCGAAGGCTGAAGGAAGAAGGAGGAAGACTCGGGTCTTTATACTCGCCTACGCTCGGTAGTATGGATGCACTTGGTACCTTTGACAAAATCTAAACGGTAGCGATACTCCCCTCGATGCACTCCGAAAAGGTCTGAATGGTCCAGACCTTGCACCATGCGCGTCGAGCCGACAGTGAACAGCGGTCTGCTGATGAGCGATGGTGATGAACGCCACACCACGAGGCAACCATGCAGGTCACGCTGAGCTAAACAGCCTTGAGTGTCATCTGAACGCCCATAGTGACCAGCCGAGCCGCAAGTAACAGACACCTGCCTAAACAGGCTGAATCGCGCATCCAGTAGCGATTTGAGGCCATCCCGCATGACTGGCAACTGGCACTACGAACACGGTGATTATTCTGCATGTGTGGTGGCGTCGGCAGGCTCATGGAATAGCCAACTTCGTCCCGGCGGAGCGGAAGGGCGAGACCGTACCGAGATGCTTGGTACTATTGGCACCTCTTGTTCATACTGCAGGCCTGGTCAACCGCAGCAGGAGGCTTCCTTCAGACAAGATCTCTGCATGTGCTGCAATGAGAGACACACTTTTCCGGTGGGGTTCACTTTCTGCTATTAGCGAAACCAGCCGAATGCCTGCAGCCTTTGCACGCAAGGCAATGTGCACTCGTGGCAAATGGATGCAGGGTACTGTTTGCTCGGTGGAAGCGTTCAGGGATGTACAAGGTTTCCGTCGGTAATAGCAGCGGTAAATTTGTCCGGCTAATAGCTGTATGGACACGGCCAATGTAGACGGTAGACCGGTTGAGTCTCGGGTCGTTCGATCTTCGACTGACGTGGAGAGATTCCCATGGGGCAGTAAAACCCACAAGGTCTAGGCGGCTAGATTGCTGGTCAAGGTTTATGATGGTCCAGATCGATGAGTGAGTATCTCATAAACCCATGTAGTAGACAGCAGGCTTCCAGAAAGTCGACGCACATGTTGACCACTCCAATGGTAGCGACATCATGCAATTCTGCGTAAAGTAGGAGGTAAAGCAGACTGATGATGGAGCGACTGTAGTGCCGGGACCGCGTAGAGCAGCAGGCTCGGAACGAGCCGACTCCGTCCGGGTCACCCATTTCCTCCTTCCTCGTTTGGTGCTTACTGCTCGCGATAACCACTGAGTCATACGAAGGCAACGAATCCTTCGGGAAGTAGGCGAACGGGTTGATGAACGCCATGTGTTTGACATCCTGTGCTGTAGAGTGACTTCCACTACCGTGACAAACCATAAGCTAGCATAATCTACTATGTATGAAACAGAGCGCCTAGTCTTGCGCGCCTTCGACCTGGACACCGACCTCGACATCATCATCCGATGGGGTAATTGCACGAGATCACGATGCAAAGGCGGTATTGCTTAGGATATGTGACAGGTAACGATGCCGAATACATGACGCTCCAATCGAGTGGTCCACAAATGCCGGCAACTCGAGAAAGTTCGAAGGAGTTTCTCACAGCTCACATAACCAAGAGTAAACTGCCATTCTTCATGGTGTGCGAGAAGGTGGAGGGAACCAAGTCTTGATTGCTCTTGAAGATCCCGCTGACGGAGAGTCATATTGTATAGCCTGCAGTCTGGCCGGTACAGCTTAACCCCGAGGAGGAGTACTTCAAAGCCCATGTCAAAGCCTGTGGGCCACCAATCGGTACCATCGGCTTACAGGACAGTCCCTTTGACTTCAAGAACCGTGTTGCTGGTTTGGGTATCGGTCTGGCCGATCGGAAACACAGAGCCAAAGGTTACGGAACGGAGCTCATGAATTGGTATCGACCATTGAGCAGGCAGTGAAGGCAGTACTAATCACTGTCTGTTCAGGATGCTTGAGTATGGCTTCATGGAGCTTGGCCTGCATCGAATCGAGTTGAGGGTCTACAGCTTCAACGAGAAGGCGATAAAGCTGTACCGGAAAATGTGAGCGATTGTCCTGTTCGAACAATGACTCGCCCGGCGCTGATGGCAGCTCTCAGTGGGTTTAAGGAAGAAGGTCGGCTCAGGAAGACGTATTTTAGGGGCGGTCAATGGTACGACATCATCTTAATGGCTGTAAGTTGAACGTCTGCGGCACGGCGGGCTGTTTTGGTGCTGATTCAAATGTCCCAGGTGCTCGAAGAAGAATGGTTTGATATTCGGAAGGGACTAAAGGGTCAGGACGAACAGGCTGAACCAGGCGCCACCGCCATCTTGCCAGACGCCAAGCCCATCCTGTCATAGTATTTTTTTCGGCAGCGTTCAGTCCAGGACATGCTACCCTTGTGCCTTGATCATCAAGATTTCGTTTAGAGCCTTTGGGTCCATTGAAGCCATCCGCTTTTGCTGAATGTAGCGTTGCCGCACAGCGTGCCTGTTACCAGCGAACGCAAACCCTTGTTGCGCTGGCGTCGACAGCCGAGAAGGTGTCTCGCTCAATGACTCATTGGACAACAGTACCGCTGATTGAGATGGCGCCTCATCCGGTTCTTGCTTTGCTTGAATGGCCGACTGCTCAACTCGGAGGCGTCGCTTTTCCTCTTTCCGCCTCCTGCGATCCTCTTTCCTTGCGCGCTTTTCCGCCTTCAAGCGTGCTTTCTGAGTTGCAACAGCCTGGTCGTCTCCCGAGTTTGCTGCACGCCTTGCCCTGCGTTCGGCTCTCCGGCGCTGCTTCGCCGAATCGCAATCTTCATCCAAAGCGCTACCAGCAGTCGGAGTTTGACTGGATGTAGACGTCGGCTCGACAGCTGTTTGGTTGTGGTCGTCATACGTATCATTATGAGCCTTTCGCTTCTTCGTGCTGCTCGTTGCTTGCTCGCTGTCTGCCTCTGCCGCGTCCACTTTGCGCTTTCTATCTTTACGGACAGCCTTGACCTCTGAGTCATTGTCGGTTGCGTTCGTTACACTCGCAGACTCTCCGCCCTCGTTCTCGATCCTGTCTCCGACTAACAGCCCGCCGCGCACAAAGTTCATGAACCCGTACTTCTGCGCTTGAAAACTCCGCAGTTCAGCATCCCTAAGCTGCGTCTGATGCTTCTCGACATCATCAACACTCTTGCCGTTCAACCTGCCAAAGATGCCAGATAGAGTACTCAGACCGAACGTCTCAGCGTTGGCTTTGCCCCCGATCTTTGCGCCCAGGCCTAGATTGTCCTCCCGCAGTAGAACCTTGATATGCGATGCATTTGCCGCAGTGAAGTGACTCGCATGCGCTGCATCTTCTGCACCGAGGTAGTCTCCAGGCTTCCAGCCCTGCGACGTGAGTATACGGTGGCCAAAGTTGTCACTGGAGCGAGACCAAGCGGTGTTGTTCGGGTCGTGCGATAGCTTGTTGCGCCTATTAAGGCATTAGTACAATGTGCTTGAAGCAAACCAACCATTGAGAACCTTTTCGGCGCCCCCAGCCCCATAGCAGCTGAATCCTGGCGGCACGTATACCGTGGAAAGTGATCACCTTGAAATTCAGCAGTGGACAATTCTCGAGGCGGCTTTAGCGGGCTTAAAGCAGACGTTTCGCCATTGGCCGGATCAGGCCGGGGCTAATGGAAGGCTGCCGTACACCCACCTCAGGTTGTGGATGTTCCCTGTGCACGGGAAAGGACACAGCCATCAACTAGGAGACTGCTATCTTGCCAGACGATGAGTCTGTGTGAACCAAACAATATCCATTGTTTTTTCCATCGTCTAGGCCACTGCCCTCGTCTACATTCCGAACGCGTGCGAGGCTCGCAGTCGACGAATACATGTATGCTTCGCTCCTAGCCCCGCGCTTCCGTTCGAACGATGCTCCAGATCTGCGTGCTTAAGACTTTCGTATCTCTTCGCTAAACCGCAGTGTCTTATGACCAGTCGCAACCATGATCGCGAGCGGCATGGCGGAAGCCAGCACCTTGATCCCTGATAACTTCTTGAATCGCATCATAGAATTTCCGGATGGCAGCAGGTTCGAAAGGCTGCAGCCAATGACAGACTACCGACGAGACCCCGGAGAAGCACGAATACTATATCATTGTCAGCTTGTACGCGACTTGAATGCGCACAGTACTACTCAGACTTATTCAGATGACTCTTACGTAATGAAGATCAAGGTCCAGTAAGCGGCTGCAACTCTGTGATGCGATGCTTCTTACTTACTGGCAAGAGTGGCCCCACGGCCTGCCTCGGATGACCCTACAGAACCGTTGCCTGGTCCAAGTAACACAACATCCGCCGAATGGAAAGCACTGCAGACGTTTCATGATACACAACTTCCCGGAGTCCCGTGGCTAGTAACCAAAACTTGCATTACACAAGGCAGTCATGGGCCGTTTCCAGGTGGCTACGTTTCATACACCGTCATGACGAAGATGCCGGGTCAAGATATCATGGCGGGCAGATTTTGGAGCCGGGATGATGAGGTAAAGGACGAGATACGGCAGGCTTTCATCACCCGGTTAAAGTACGTTGGGTCTTGGATCATATCCTGCGGCGTGCCGCTGACATCTGCATCAGAAGTATATGGCGCGTCCGCATAGCGCCTTATGATTGCGCACTTCGGAACATCATCTGGTGCGACCAGACGAAGACGTGCTCAATAGTCGACTTCGAGCACTATCAGCCTGCCAAAGATCCCATCAACATGAACGAACGAGAGGAGATGCAACGCTGGGGTATCGTGCAGAGACCGCCACCAAGCCATTGGGCGGTGGAATGGGGTCTGATTAAGGACCCTAACCGTACATGAGCGAACAACATCGAGGCAGAGCAGTGCTAACATGTCTCTTCAGTGGCTGAGAAGCCACCAACTCAGCGGCACACCTGTTGCCGTGGCAATTGCATGGCCCGCCCACTTCTCACTGTTATTGCGCGCGCACCACCATGCATCGATGCCCCCACTGAGCGTGAAGACTGCTATGAGCGTGCCTAACGCATTTCTCTGGCCCTGGAGGCCGAGAATGAGCATGGCGAGGCCGAGGGAGATGTTACGAGCGCCCACTATTGGGAAGAAGAGAGCCGCTTTCTCGTCTGTTGCGATCGAGCCAGCAAACACTCTGGCGCCTAGACGCAGATGACAGGTTAGTAAGGATGTACTGTGCCACTGCTTACTTGGTGGAAGACTCACCTTCAAGAGGCCGGAACTGTGTAGTCGTGCCAAGACCGATCAGCATTATGCCGAATAGCCGAGCCACGTTGTCGGCAATGAAGTTGAGGTTTGCTGTTGTTGCCATTGCGCGTGTACGCTTTGTTGCACTGAGAGTCGATGAGGAACAGCGTTTGTATAGTAGCCCAGCTTCGTGATTGCGATGGTTAGATGAGCTAGAGACGATTGTTTCGTACTCTTTTCGAAGCGGTGTTCTTCTGTGGTGTATTTACAGTACTAATTGCTCGACAGTTATAGAGCATTGTGAGCGACGACGTCAGTCGAGCCGTCTGTGGCTTCGCTCGGTGAGGAGCGCTGAATTCACCCGCGTTCCGAACGCGATTCCTTCAATTCATCCTCCGCCGGCCTTGCGACAGCAAAGATTGTACCTTCGGGCAGTCACATCTCCATCGCGCTGCGCGTGTGGCTGCGACCCTTTCGTCATGATGTCCATCATCGTACTACACTCTTGTAAGGGTTCAGATTGCTGTGCCGACATGGTCGTCTCTGAGTCACATGTTCCATTAACCAATCACAACCCAACGTGCTGACACCGCAGGCCGTATTGGGAAGTAGCCGTTATGATGGAAGGCATCCATCTACTCTCTGTTGTAGTTGCGAACACGTTATTGTTGCTACCTCAACACTAGTAGTCCATCCCAAAGTGACGCAATTTGATGATACTGTGCCAAGCAACGCTGTACACGCAACGTCGCAATGCCGGCAACAACCCGTAGCGCAACGAAGCAGCCCAAGCTCGAAGAGGTCAAAGGCACCGTGACAGAAAAGAAGTCTGCGAACGAGTCCCGCAAACGTAAAGCGCCAGACCAAGTGAAGCAGCCCTCCAAGAAGCGCAATGCTCCGAACGGTAAGCATTCGAAACCTACGACAGCGCCTCGAAATGCTACCACCCAGGACGGTGGCGATTCGGACGACATCGTAACCATCAACCGCGCCCCTGTCCTCGAGCTCTGGTCCGCCTGCGTAACCCACACTGTCCACAAAGGCATTCCCTGGCAGACATGCCTCAGCATCGGCAGCGCAATCGCAGCCCTGACCGCCATAAGCAAAGGCCGCTCCATCGGAACCATTCCCACGCCCGATCCGGACGAGAGCGCCGACAGACGCAGACAACGTCACGAGCAAGCCGAGGAAGAAGGCTATGTTCCCATCGACATCATGGGTTTCCACATCAACCTCGATCACGAACCGCCTGCCATGGCGATGGTGAGTGGCAAGCCGCAGAGAGGAAACGAGGATGTGTTGAGGAGGAAATTTGGAGGCGAGGAGGTCTATGCTCGGGTGAAGCGGGTGTTTGGGGAAGGGGCTGAGGGGTGGGAGGGGCGGGAGGAGGAGTTGGATGGGGCGGCGTTTGGGATGTATGAGTCGTTTAGACCTAGTGTTCCGTCTGGGCGGCAAGGATGGGGGAGTAAAGGGCAGTTGAATTTGCAGACGGTTAAGGACGTTGTGGCGGCTGCTTGATGATGTAATTCGGGGACTGAGTGGTGCGCATTGCACAAAAGTACTGAGCGAGCGAGCGAGCGAGTTGCAATCAACGATTGGACGGACATGAACGTACAGATTGATAGCACGAACGTAGCATTCATAGTTGGGCTGAGAATCTCTTATCATATGGAAAACCTAGTTTGCGACCGTAGTCTCACTCCCCCACCTCCCTCCAACTTCTAACGCAACATTAACAATCGTACTCCCCACCCACAACACGACCAACCCCACTCCAATCCTCCTGCTGAGCATCCACCGATTCAACGGCACCGCCACCAAAAGCCCTATCAGCGTAACCACAAGCGTAGCCCCACTGACGATCAGCGTCTGTCCGACCTCGATATGATAACTCTTGAAATGCACCGGTTGATCGGGATGTTTGTCATGCCGTTTATGCGCCGCGCGGATGAGGATATAACTCCCGCTCAGACCGATGCCGAGGAGGATATTCAGCAGGGGTCCTCCAAAGCAGGCCGACAATGCCATAACGGGATATCCCAAGCGGGCGACAGTGACGTCCGCGACCAGATCGCCAAGGGAATTCCCGACGGCGAAGATGGTCAGACCCATGATCGCGTGGGACATGTTGAGAATCACCGCGAGCGCTTTAAGGGCTCCGACGACTTGGGAGGCAATGGTTGAGATCCAGGCGATGCTTACAATGAAGCCCGCGGCGGAGAGGATGGGGCGGTAGGCGGCCGGGCGGTGGGTCGGGGTTGTAGTGAGTAAGAATGGGATCAGCAGGACTGCCGAGACGAGGAGGGAGATTAGGACGGGTTTGAGGGGCGTGAAGTCGGTGGGTGATTGGGCCCAGATGGCGAGGAGGACGAGGAGGGGCGAGAGGAAGAGGTGGGTTATTGTTAGCCAGCGGTTCCAGTACTCGTCTTTTGCTCCGTGCGGGTTGGGAGGGGTGGTTGTTGTTGCGCCGATGGCAGCCTCGAGGGTGAGCGAGTTGCTGCGTGGAGGCTCGGCTGCAGCTTGGCGGTGTTGATGGTCTTCTGTATCGGCTGCTAGATTCGCTATCCCTGTCCCTGGCCCTGTCCCGGCGGTGGTGATACTATGTCGATGCATGCCCGGCTGCAAACGCTCGTCCAACAGCTGTTCTGCCGTAACGTCCTTGGCGCTGTCAATGACTTCCTCTGGCGCACCACTGGCATGCTTTGAAAGCGCGGAGTCGAAACTGTTGTCCACCGGAGCACCTGCAGACTCATCGCCATTGCTGTCGTTCTCTACTACCGGTAGAGTGATTGTAAGCAGGAACACACTCGGCGCCGCAACGATGCCCAGACATCGCTCCCACCAGTTCTTCTCGCGCCAGTGATAGATGGTTGGGAAGAGCGTCGCCACGATCACGCCTGGCGCGGGTAGGATGCGGTACGGCCACCATTTCACCGGCTTCTCCGGAGGAAGCATCTCCTGCTCCGCGCACTGCGAGACGGGTAAAGACTCTGGCGAGGTGACTGGGGGCGGTAAGTGCAGGCTGGGCGGATGCGAACTACTTGCCGGCGATAGCATGTCATCTCTGTACCGCGGTAGGGGCGAGGAGACGGCGGTTGAAGGGTAAGACGGTAGTTCGGGGCGCGGAATGACGATCTTGGGCAGACGCCGTGCAGATGGCACGCTGCGAGGCGATTGACGAGGGCTGTCCGTGCCGGCGCGCTGTAACGATTTCGGCGCGAAGTGATCGCTCAGTTGACGGAAGATGGTGGGCTTGAATGGAGTGAGGTGGCCTTGCGGTTGGTCTGCGACGGACGTATCGATGCGGAGAGGTGCATCTGACGTCGTGGCCTCCTGCCGAGGCGATTGAGGCTGCGAGTCGTTTCCGCCGGGTACGGCAAGCAGAGAGCGTGGCCGCTCTGGTCGGTTCGCGAAGTCTGATATGTCGATCAGGCTGTGTTGCGGAGGCGTTGCTGCTGCACGTGCGAAATCTGGGTCAAGGCGTAGACTCCCAATATCATTCGTGGATACTGCGCGTGTTCTTGCCGGCGCGGACTTGGGCACATCCAGATGCGCTTTCTGCGTCTCTGGCTCACCACTGTCGTTGACTGTGATCGAGAACGGCGGCCTAGACGCCGGGTCAGAGACTGAAGACATCTGATCTTGCTGCTGCGCTGTAGTAAAGCTAGGATCATCCGAATATCGTCGCGCGTCAAGCGGGATAGTCTGGATGTTTCGCGACTTCTGCAGACTCTTGAGCACTGCCTGAAACTCCAACGCACCCACGAGAGACGGCCGGACGGAGTTGATGGTGTTCTTCCGCGAGCGAACAGTAGGCCTCGTCAGGCGCATATTGCTGCTCAACTCGCTCATCCACCGGTCGCGCGCTTCCTCCTCGTCATCTTCGTCCTGCGGCCCATCCGCATACGGTGTCCCGCCATTCTCCAGCGCGGACCAGTCTTCCATAGAAACGCCGCGGATCATACTCGGCCGTCTGTGGGTACCCTCGGCCACTTCGTCGGGGTCATCGTGATACTCTTGCTCTATATCCATCTCCTCGTTAACAAAATGCCCCCTGGCTGCCATATCCTTCTCTCTTCGCCTTCTGCGCCGTCCAATCCACCAATGCCAGGCCACTACAACCACCACGTAGAAAATGTAATACACCACCATAGCAATGCACTCCCAGAACCGTAGCTTCCCATCCCACAGAAACACCAAGCTGAACGCGGCAGCAACGAGAAAAAAGCCCACATCGCGTACAAAGCTCTTGCGAGCTACGTGAAAGGGTCGGATCAGTGCCATCGACCCAGCCACAACAGCAGTAATGAAACCTGCCGCGCCGAATAGCTCTCCTACCGCTAGACTGCCACTATTCGTGCTCATGGCGGCGAACGTGCTGAAGACGTCGGGACTGCCGTTGCCGAAGGCTAGTAGCGTGACACCAGCCATGCTTTCGCTCATGCCAAGTAGCGACGCGATAGTGCTGAGGTTGATGCAGAAGAAGTCTGACGCGGCGATACCGATGGTGGAGAAGAGCAGGCCGAGCCATGAGACTAGTATTACGAACGCGACCGGTTTCGCCTTGTTCAGTCTGCAGTAGTACAATTCGAGGTAAGCCGTGAAGCCCGCTTCGTCGTCCGGGCAGTGGGAGCGAATGAAGGCGCATTGGTTGGTGGGACTTGCGCGATGGACAAGGCGGCACTCCTCGTCTGCGCTGTCCGGTCCATTGAGGGTGACACGTTTGTACAGGTCATTATGAGCGGTGTTGCTGTGGGCGAGGGTGGTATAGAAGGCCAAACACGCGGCTATGAATACAGTGAGGTAGAAGGCCCTGGCAGCACGATAGCTTGGTCGCCGCGTCTTCGGTGGAGATGGAGGTGGAGGTGGAGATGCGGCCCTGTTGGGCATTGTGGATGTCGACATGAATATCGCATACTGTCAACCATGACACATATTCATTCATACAGGAACAGGACCAAGAGGAGGAAGAGGATGAAAGACATGGAGGCCTCCATTCACTGCCAACTCTTGGCCCGTCTTGGCTCGACGTCGCGCGCACTCGATACGCCACAGTGACGCCGCACAATCAGGGCAGCCGTGGCGCAAGCTCTTCGCTTACATGCACAAGACTCGAAGCGGTTAGCGTGTGTTTACAAAGATCAACAGTCACATCGACCATCAATGACAGCGACATCGACGACAAATTCCGGCAAGGCTATCACACCATCCACGTCGCACCACTCTGCTAGTACAATCGCGATGCCTCGCGTGCGCGCCTCGGCGGCCAACAACACCACCTACACCGAAAGCCCCGCCAAACGCGTCCAGATTCCCCTCAACGACGACGACTCCGAGAAAGCGGCACGTCTCCAATCGCGCAAACTTGCCCACAACAAACAGATAGACCAGCTCAGGGCCGCCACCTCACCAGCCAGGAAGCGCAAATCACTAGGCGGAAGCGGAAGCGAGAGAGATGGCGCGCCGCATACGCCCTCCCAGGACCCGCAACAAGGCTTCACCGTAACCGGCGATGCGGTCACGCCGATGAAACGTGTACCTATTTTAGCAAATTTCGAGGAATGGATGAAGATGGCGACAGACAACAAGATCAATGCGAGTAACAGCTGGAACTTCGCGTTGATAGATTATTTCCATGATATGAGTTTGTTGCGGGAAGGGGATGGGGTGAACTTTCAGAAGGCGAGTTGTACGCTGGATGGGTGTGTGAAGATTTATACGAGTCGGGTGGATAGTGTTGCGACGGAGACGGGGAAGTTGTTGAGTGGATTGGCGGATAGTGGGGCAAGTAAGAAGCGGAGGGGTGGGGAGGAGGAGGGTGAGGATGTTGAAGAGGAGGAAGAGGGCGAGGATGGCGAGGTGAAGAAGAAGACGCGGAAGAAGGCAAGTCGGTCTGCGGAGGCTACCTTGGTGGCGAGTTTCGACCAACTGAGGTTGAAGAAGATGGAGTTGGAGTTTAGTGTTGATCCGTTGTTTAAGAAGGCTGCGGCGGATTTTGATGAGGGTGGTGCGAAGGGGCTGTTGATGAACCATTTGAGTATCGATGGGACGGGAAGGATTGTGTTTGATAGCAGTGATGATGTGCAGGCGGAGGACGAGGCGCGGAGGGATAGTATGGAGCCAGAGGGTGAGGGTGAGGGTGAGCAAGAGAAGGCGAAAGTGGAGGTGGAGGAGGATGGACCGATTGATATGGTAAGCTTAGCCGCACGCTTCTTTCCGGATTTGAATGTGCTGGACGAGCAGGAGATCTGTCCCACGATGAAAGGATTCGAGCTGGGCGGCGATGGCGTTGGAGCGGACCTACCTTTCCTCAAGGCGCCGGACTACTGGCGTGACGATCAAACCAAGAACGCCGAGTCCGACGACAACCCATCACGACAAGACGACGCACCACCCTTCGCCATGAACGACGACGACTACGATGCAGCTCCCCTCGCCGACTTCACGAGCGCAGGCTTCGGCGAAGGCGGTGAAGCCTGGGCCCGCTCCGCAGCCTTACACCCCCAGATGCACGTCCTCCCCACCACCGAAAACGGCCTCGAACTCGACGCGGCGGAAGCAGGAGGCGAAGTAGGCACCTTCGACGCCAACTCAGCCTCCTACGGCGTAACGCTCTCCCACCGTCCCACCACTACCGCCACAGACGCAGAGAACATCCTCAACTACTTCGACGCCGCTTTACATGGTAACAAGGGCTGGGCCGGTCCCGAACACTGGAAGATTGCCCGGATCAAAGAAGCCAATAAACCTGCGCAGCCGGGACGGACGAGGAAGGAGAAGGAGCCGTTCGAAATTGACTTTCTCGCTCCACTGAGTGCGGAGGTGCAAGTGGCGATGGGCACCATGGCGACGAGCAATGCGCAGATTTCCCTGCCGAGGAGGGAGTGGAGGAGTCGGAGTAGGAATTTGTTGCCGGACGATCGACATTTCAATTCGAAGGATTTGTTGAAGTTGTTTCTGAAGCCGAAGGCGTGGTTGGGGTCACGCAAGGCTGCGAAGGTGGTGCAGGTGGATGGGGAGTTGGACGAGGCGTATTGGGCTACTGCTGGCGCCGCAAGTGCAGATGCTGCGAAGGCTCAGCTTCACCCGATGGACGACGATGCGCCGGTGCAAGGCGACTACGATGCGAACTTCTTCCAGGACGACAATCTACCCCTACCCGGCCTGGACGCGGACGGCGAAGACGATGGACTGGAGTTTGCGGATGCGAGAGAGACATTCTCGCTTGCTGCCGCTGAAGGGCCGGAGGGCGCTGGTATCGACTCGGTCTCCACGGCTACGGGATCTTCGCAGCCGGAATCTGGAGCCTTTGGGGCACAGCTCATAACGCAATCGCGGCGTCTAAGACCGGAGTACGTGGCGTACGCACGAGTGGCGAAGAAGGTCGATGTGCGGCGGTTGAAGGAGGAGATGTGGCGAGGGATTGGCTTTGGTGAGTACAAACCTCTCCCTTACGGACTCCTACCCTGCGCTTTCTGCTGCACTTCCTTTGCGCGAATGTCGGAAGACGTGTTACTGGCGAATATAAAGTGCCAAGCGAGCTTTGACTGCTACATACGGCCATAGGTCGCAGAGAACAGAGGATCCCGTCCGCTCTCCTGTACTTAAGCTGCGAACCGGTGGATTAGTACTGCGGTGGGTGACCACGTGGGAATACCCGCTGCTGTATGTTTTGCTTTTGTCCGATCATACACAGCAGATGGGCAAGGGACTGGATTGCAGGTTCGACTCTTGCAGCTATGTGCTAACCTTTTGGCCCACGCAGATGCCGATAAAGCAACCCCACAAACGCCAGCCCTCACTCACATCCCAGCTTTAGCGAAAGACGAATCGGGTGCGCTGCGGTTCACGGAGGTGATGAATAGTCTACAGCATGTCTACCCGAAGCAGCAGATGGCGGATATCAGCACGTCGTATGGTTTCATCTGCTTACTGCATCTGGCCAATGAGAAAGGGTTGGTAATTGAGAACGTGGACGACTGGCAGGATTTGGTGGTGAGGAAGGATGAGACGGCCGTTGATTTGGATTAACATGGAGACTGAATCACGCCAGTGCAAACAAAGCTGCCATCTCTTGATGTTGTGCCCATGGTGACTCCAGATTCTGCAGTGTTGGCAGCAACTAGCAGCTGCGCGCCAACAGTCGCTCAAGCAAGAACGTACGCCATACTCCATTCAGCTGTCACTTCATGTCTCTCATGCAGAAACTTTCCATCTTGAACACCGGCATCTCCCACACAGTATCGTACATTTGTAGACCCGGCGATACTTGCAGCATAGACATCATGTTATGTTCTTACGCCCGCTGAAACTGCAACGGCCGCGTCGCCTCCGTCGGCGCAATATGCTGCACGGCATTCCAATCTATCGCCTCCCACCAATCCGCCAAGAAACTCCGCTTCCCACTAATCCCATAATCCCGCAACCACACATGCTCCCACGTATTCACACACAACACCGGCGCCACGCTTGTCCCTCCCGGCGGTAGGGAAGCCCGCTCATGCGAACTCTGCGAGTGCGCGCCAAACGCGCCGAGCGGCCGTGTGGTGGTTTGGTAGGTTTGGTAGCCCTCCGCGTTGGTTGTGTTTGTGTCGAGGCCTTGCTGCCGGTACCCTGCTTCTGGGTAAGGTGAGCCGGCGAGGTAGGTTGTCAGGATCCGCCAGGCGCCGCGGCCGGTTTGGCCCGGAGGGGGGTCGAGGTTACGGGCCCAGACTAACCACACGAAACCGGGTCCGAACATCGCGGAGGCCGTGTCGAGCATAGTCGTTCGTAGCGTCTCTATACTTCCAAACGTGGCGGTGAGGGATTGATGGAGTGTGGGCATTCGATCCAACTTCATGGGCGAAGGACTCATGGTGAGGAAGAAGGCATGGTTGTTGCTGGCCATGCTGGCGTGGTTGAAGAGGGCGGCGGCCATGGGGTCGCGGGCGAAGCGGATGGCGAGGTCTTTGGGTTTGTCATCTTGGTAGGATTCGCCTGCTGTGAGTTCGTTGAGTTTGGAGACGAGGAGGGCTTGGTAGTTGGTCCAGGCTATTTGGAAGGCTTGGGGGCTGAGAAGGCCAGGGATGCCATGGAGCTTGAATGTGTCATCGTAGGGGAGTGCAGGGACGGAGTGGGTGAGGCGGGAGGTGGATTGGAAGGAGCGGCGTTGGGGGAGTTGGGTTTGCCGTGAGCGGGGAGGTTGTGAGAGGAGGGATGCTCTGGTCTGGAGGAGGTTAGTAAGGACGCGGTAGTGATATGATTGAACGACGAACGCATGCTGGGCATGTCCATGCTGAAGCTGTGAAGGCACTGGCTGGGCGTGCTAGTCGTCTCGTGATCATCGTGGTCGTGTGTGCCATGCTTCTAACCAACTTCGCAATGCTCGAAGTGAACATCTCGACGCCGTGCTGAGGATTACACCTCTGGTGTAGCGCTGAGCATTCCCGCACTCTCCGCTAACCGCGCCGCAACTTCGCATCTCCGCCAATCCTTGACTTTCACGGAAACCACCTCATACAAACGCACCATGTGTTTCATCTTCACTCTGCAACAGACTGTCTTGGAACCACAGACAGCACTGACGCTATCGTTAGTCAGGCTGCCGATGCGTAAAGGACCGCTGTCATTGTCACCACACATACATGTACGAACCTGGCTATTGTAGGACGCGATCTCTTCCTGCCCAGCAGCGCGTACACAAGCCCGACACGGTAAGACAAAGGCCACTGCAAGCATAGCAGTAGGTGTGTACTCTCTCTCTCTTCTTCTTCTTTCCGCAGCGCTCGTCACTCTGCTGTTCTGACTGTTTCCCTCCCTCTTTCCCCTTTCGCCTGTAAAAGGTCTGCGCTGGTCGCACGTAATAGTAATACCACCTTTTCCGAAGAACCAAGAAGAAGAAACCATCATGAAGGTCATACTTGTTCCATCGCTGTTGATGTTGTCAGCAGCAGCGCGGGTCGTTTGGGTGCAAGAAGAGCTCAATCTCCGCCAGCCCAGCGTGACTCGCAACAGCGGCGTTATTACGCGAGACACAACAATATTATGCGGACCGTCCTTCCCAAGCGACTTCACCTGTCCGATATCAACCAGCTGCTTGAGTCTCAACACCACCTCCTCAGTCAAAGCAGTGCTCTGCTGTCCTGCAGGTCAGGATTGCAAGACCATCCAACCCATCAGCTGCGACTTGAGCCTGCAGAATGCGACGCTTAATGCAGGAAGTCAGCTCCATGCGGACCCACCGACTCAGCTTGCTACATGTGGGACGGCGTGTTGCCCGATGGACTACTCCTGTCAGAACGGGAATTGCTACGCACAGAGTGCTTCTGCCGCGGTGTCCACACCCGCATCATCCTCCGCTACTTCATTCCCCGCTGCATCGTCTTTCTCTTCCACTGCAGCGCCCACTACAAGCGCAACGAGGGCGACCTTGACTACGATCTCAACCACAGCTTCGCTGCTCGCTCCGTCCGCGGCCGCAGCAACTGTACCTGCGGATGATGGTGCGCCTGGCGGACACAACGACTTCTCCGGCGCATCCTTCGCCGTAGGCTTCATACCTGGCATCTTCCTCGGAGCACTTTTAACAGCGTGTCTCCTACTCCTGCTTTTCCGCAAGCGCTCAACACGCAGCTCCCACGTCAACGAGAAGCAAAGTCCGCGGGACACGCTCACCGACCTCGGCACGCTGAGCCGCCGACCAACAATGCACGGCCGTTCCATCTCCGAACCAACACCAGATCCTAAATCCGGCCACCGAACCGACTTCTTGCGCTTCACGCCACCACGAGTAGTACCAGATGTACACACAGGCTACAGTGTAGACATCCGCTCCCCAGCCTCCGGCCCAAAAACACCAGCTCGAACTCCCAAAGCGGTCAGGGCACTATTCAGCCGCTCACCCTTCCTCAACCAAACCCCATCCACGCCGCCATCCGTCCACCCTCCCCTCCCAGCGCATCTAAAGCGTGGCACCCTCTCCTTCACCATCAGCCCGATCCGCGTACTCAAGAAGCAGAAAAGCATGCACTCCCTCCGCCGCCAAATGACGGATGGCTCGCACGGAAGCAGCAGCAATGCCAACAGGCGCAGCACGCGGCCGGAGATGGCGACCCGAAGCGGCAGTACCGAAACCATTCAGGTGCTCATGCCGTCCAACGAGCCGTACACGCCTGACCAGCGGCCGCAGGCAGAAGCACCCAGCACGCTAGCATCGACCAGCACGTACTCCTCGCACCAGCACCACACTCCGGAAGCACGCTGGCAGTCTTCGACGCCAACAGACATCCCAGCGCAGCAGTCACCACCTCAGACCGTCGCCAGGACACCCTATGCCAGCTCGAGCCGGTATCCGACGCAGATGTTCACGCCCACACCAACCCGGTTGGCGAGCGGCTCCGGCGACGAAAGGGGTCAAGCTGCTACGCTTGGAACTCCGTACACCCCGAGTCGGTACTATGCGAATGGGATTGGGCGAGGCAGGTTGACGGATAGTATTGCGGAGGAGCCGGAGTTTCTTGCTCTGCCGCCGCGAAGAGAGGAGAGGAGGGATACGACGTTCAGTGCCATGATGGAGCGGGCGGGGTTGAGAAGGAGTGATTTGTATATGGGAAGTGGGAATCTTCGGCCGTAAAATGCAGTCTTGCAGCTTGGTAAGAAAGGCTTCACAGATCTATGACACCATCTACTCCACGTAATGCGACAGCTCAATGGCCACTCCTCTCCCACATCTCCCTGAACCACCCCCCTTCCCTCTCTAACAACTCCCCGGGCTTCCCCATCTCCACCACCCTTCCCTTATCCAATACAATGATGCGATCGAAATCCCCAATCGTACGCAACCGGTGCGCAACAGCAATTACCGTACTCTCCCGAAATTCCTCCTTGATAATACTCATCATCAACTCCTCCGTCACCGTGTCTACAGAACCTGTCATCTCATCCAGAATTAACAACTTCGATTTCCGGAGTAATGCTCTTGCCACGGCGAAAAGTTGTAATTGCCCGTGCGAAAGCGAGAGTTCGGTCATGGAGGCGTCTAGACCACCTTGTTGGTTCACTAAGTCAAGGAGGCCGACACGTGCGAGCGCTGCTTCCGCTGCGGAGTCAGAGGCGAGCTGTAACGGGTCGATATTATCACGCAGTGTGCCGGGGACGGTGATGGCTTCTTGCGGTAATGCTGTGAGACGGGAGCGGATGGTTTGGCGAGGTATGGTTGATAGATCCATATCGTCTAGGGTTATTGTGCCGGAGGAGTTGTCGAGCAGGCGTAGTAGCGTGAGGAGGAGCGAGCTCTTGCCGCTTCCTGAACGGCCGCAGATTCCTACTTTTTCTCCTGCTGAGATGGAGAAGGTGAGGTCGTCGAGGACTGTTTCGCCATTGGAGCTGTAGGAGGCGCTGACGTTGGCGTAGACTAGTGCGCCGCGTTGTGGCCATGTTACGGGAGGAGTCTGATCTTCTTCCGGTTTGTCTTCGGGCGTGGTGCTGGACTCGAAGTTCTTGCAGCGCGCAACTGCGCCTAGGCAGGTTTCCAGAGATGTCCATGCGGTGATAAGGTAGGCTAGATTTTGGTTGAAGCTCAGAACGTTCAGTAACGAAACGCCAATGGAACCGGCTGAAGATGTGTTGCGGAGTGTAATGGCCAGGCTCACAACGATGGTGGCCAGAGCTGCTGTGACAAGGTCGAGGACAAGATTGAGCCAGCGCTGAATGCAGAGCATCAAGTAGAAAGGCCGTTGTGAGGCGTCGAGCAGGCTTTGACATTTCGCGTGGTTTGCGCTCTGCCACCCGAAAGACCGAATGGTGGTGACTCCAGCTAGCGCCTCGCTAATGAACGTGAGTAATGGTGCCTGAGCCTCCAGATCCATGAAACGGAGTTGACGCGATGTGCGAAGGTAGAACCGCTGCAAGCAGTAGAGCACGAAGAGCACTGCCGGCATGGCCACCCCAACATATTCAGCTCCGGCAGCAATAAGGATTGCGCCACCAATGAACAAGGCAAGCCCATCCAGAGTTTGCATAACGGCGCCTGCGAGCTCACCCTCAATGACTGACATGTCGTTTGCAAATCGATTGAGCGTCACGCCGGAGTCGGTATCGACGAAGAAAGAGTACGGCGCCCTCATGACCGCGTGCAGCAGTTGCTGGTGCAATTGCGCGGAGCTCTTCGGTACGGTCTTGACCAACATTGTGTAGATGTGCACGAACACCGAAATGACACCCGTGGCGGCCAGGAGCATGTAGACGATGATCCAGACACTAAGCGGCAGCTGCAGTCTCCCGCCGGTGTGTGACTGCGACCACCATTGGGCCCACAGATCCGGAAACTTCACGCCGAAAGCGAAGGTGGCCGCAGTGATGACGACGACAGTGCCGTATTCCCATCCGAGACTTCGAGCATAGTAGCCGTACACCGCCATGTCACCGGTCCGACGTGCTAGATCTTGCTGGGCATCGTCTGCAGAAGGTGACGGCTTAGCCGGAATTATATCGTCAGCGGGAGCTGCGGTTCGATCACTGCTGCCAGTCTGTCCGCCCTTCAGGTACAGCTCATAGACATATCCCTTATGCTGTTGCAGATCAGCGAAGCTACCTTGCTCGGCAATAGCTCCGTCATGTGTGAGCGCAATAATATGATCAGCCTGACCAAGGTATTGCACGGCGTGTGTAGCGAGCAGCACGGTCATTCCTTGGTCCCTACAGATACCGTTGATTCCGAAGCAGTCGTCAAAAACGTGACGTGATGTACTGGCGTCAAGCCCACCAAGGGCGTCGTCGACCAACATGAGTGCTTTGCGAGCGTACAATGCTCGGGCGAGTGCCAGCCTCTGGCGCTGGCCACCAGAAAGTGAAATGCCTCTCGTCCCAATCACCGTCTCGTCTCCGTGCTGGAACGTTGTAAGGTCAACGTGCAAAGCACAGGCCTGGACAACCCTGCGATACCAAAGTTGGTCCATATCAGATTCACCGAGAATGATATTCCGGATAGCGCCATTCGGTAGCCACGGATCCTGCGCACAGTAGGCTGCTTCCTTGCCAGCTGCGGCGCGCCAAAGCTGACCGGATGTTGCTCGGACATCGCCAATTACTGCCTTCAACAACATTGACTTACCGCTGCCCACGGCTCCGACGACTAGGTTCAGCGACCCTGCAGAGAGTGCGAATTTGATATCCTGCAGTATGACTCTATGCTCTTTTCCCAATCGCACACATAGATCTGTGGCAACCACCATAGCACGGGAATGTGCGGCAAAGGGCTCTGATGGCAGAACTGAAAGCTCCGCATCTGTACCCGTTTGCGAGACACCGTTATTGTCGACAAACGGTGCTGAGTCATTTCCATCTGTCTCGGGAAGAAGCAAGAAGGCTTGCACTCGGTCGAAACTGGCCACTGCCTGCTGGAACAGCGGAATCGCATGTATCAGCTCGTGGATCGGTTGTGTCAAGAGAGCGATGAGAGATAACGCTGTGAAAGCTACTGTCGGTGTCAAAGCTTGGCCCCCGTGTATAAGCGTGAACATCATTAGTGCTAGCGGAGGCGCAAATGCCTGTGGGACGGCGCTGAAGGTGTTGCGATGCGTCACGTACTTTCTGTAGTCGGCATTCTTGATGAGCTCCTGGACGCGAAGCGCTTGAATCTTTTGCGTCAGGCAGTCGGTAAGTCCAAGCATTTTGAAGCCCTTCGGACAGCCCAGGACAGCAGCCGTGTACGATATCCGCACTTGCACAGCCGCTAGCCAGCGCTTTTGGAGTGGCAGTGCCATGTTCGAGTTCAATAAACTCAGCGCAGTGATGATGATGGTCCATGCTAGGGGAGCCACACAGGAAACTCCGATTTGCCTTTCAAGTAGGAATGTGGCTGCCCCAACCTCAAGAGGAGACGTAAGGGCTTCATCCAAACGGGATAACGCTACGTCGAGACGGCTGACGTCCGTAGTGGCATGCGTCAGAGCAGCATTATCAGCAAGCTGGTCGCCGGGTAAAGTCAAGATTTTGGTATGAACCGCAGACATCACGATGCCTCGAACCTTGGTCCTGAGGCGATGCTGCTGACGATTGGTCAATGCTCGGCTAACAGCCAAACCAAGGTAGAGACAAGCGGTGGCTACAACGAGGCCATAGCCTTGGTGTGTTGAATGTGGCGTCTGCTCAGCGCTCAGCCAGGCTGTGACGCCGTTGATGAGCAAGGCTTGGGCAAGCACGAGTGCGCTCATGAAGAGACGTGGTACAAGTAGCGCAGCCAGAGTCCACCGCACACTCCTTGCTATTACCCACAGTAGAGAATGCTTGCCGTTCTTCGATGCTGTAGCAGGTCAGCGTCAAGGCGCCATAAATGTACGCAGACCTTACTTTGTCCCCATCGTGATTGGAAGTCGTCTTCAACCTGTTGAGATGACAAGTCCTGATCGATCGGATACAACTTCTCGAATGAGATAAGGCCCTTGTAGCCTTCCAAGAACAATGGATTGATCCACCATAGCGTCGTCCTGTCGTACAAACTAACCAACGCTTCCGGAGCGTAGATTTTGTACGGTGGAAAGAGTGCTCTGCGTTTGGTACGGGCTTCGAGGCAAAGGATGAGTGTCTTTGCTGCTAAGCCAGCGGTGAAGAGAGCTGGTACGCTTCGCGGCAGCCCTGAACGTAACCATAGTGTACGGGTCTGTGGTATGTCCAGTACGAGTGAGAAAAGCATGTACGTGTTGATGAGTGAGCTGGGTCGAACAGAGCGCGTATGCTCCGCACTTGAGAGGAACAACAATGCCACGGAGGCGAGAAAGGAAAGAGTAGCTGCCGGAACCGAAGCCTTCGTCCTGTATGTTGGCGTGAGACTCCATACAACCAGCAATGCCAGCTGAGTAGCAGCTAGGGAGACGATGGCGGTCTGCTTTAGCGTACGCATGCCGGTGCCCAGCGTCTTGACATTCTTTCGCTTCAGCTGGTATGCTCGAACTGGTAGAAGGAGGAGAAGAAGTGCACATGGCGCGATCTGGAAGAAGGACTGTTCAAAGAGAAGTGTGAAATCGAAGTCGTCACGGCAGCCATGTACTGCAGGCCCAAAGATGTCGTCCGCTGCAGGCGGACAGTCCATCTCGGGGAGTACTGTCGGTCGGATGATCGCATGAGGTTGGAAGAGAAGCTGAAGAAAGCATTGGAAGAGACCGTGACTTATGCGCACTTATCGTCTCCATCGTCTCCTCTCCTCTCCCCTCCACGAGTTACACGAGCTTAAGCTGATGCAGATCGTCGCTGTAACCTAAGGCGGCAGGATTGATATCAAGCGTACGGAGCTCGGAACTCGGACCCTTCCATGATTTACGATTTACCTAAGCATAGATAAGGAAAGGATATACATCTACCTTATCGTTCATCGAGCGGTGCATAGCTGAAAAGTTAACCGCACGCTTGCAGGAAACTCTTCGAAAGCGTGTCTAGATATGTTTGTCATCATGCCTCCACCAAGGTGAGATACGTCGCATCACAGTTGTTGGTGTTTACTCAGTTACCGGCACATCTTCATCATGGTCTTGCTGTCAGCTCCTTCGATTGCTATTCTCCTTCTCCACCTTCTGTTCGATGTGAGAGTCTCTGCATACATACTTCCACTGCTTACCGCGCAGCCATCGACAGCGACACCAGCATGGCTCCAACTGGGCCCAGCGTCTCCGACTAACCTTTTAGATCCCGAACGCAACAAGCTCGGTGCGGTGGCCTCTGAAAGCTCGATATGCAGCAGTATCGGCATCAATGTTCTGCAAGCGGGTGGAAACGCCGCGGATAGTCTGGTAGCTACCGTTCTTTGTGTTGGCGTTATAGGCATGTACCACAGGTATGTCTGTCTCCGACTGGCGAGCATGTAGGTTGTTGACCTAGTGAAGCGGCATCGGTGGCGGCGGCTTTTTGCTAGTTCGAAGTTCCAATGGCTCATACGAGTTCATTGACTTTCGGGAGACGGCACCCGCTGCAGCGACGCAGGACATGTATAACAACAACACTAACAGCTCAATCTATACCGGCTTAGCCAGTGGCGTACCGGGAGAGTTGCGCGGGCTCGCCTACCTGCATGACAATTACGGCCTATTGAATTGGGAACAGGTAGTGATGCCCGCAGTTCATGTAGCGCGGTACGGCTTTCCAGTCACGCAAGACCTTGTTCGTTACATGGCTTCTGCAGTTGCTGGCATTGATAACTTTCTGGTCAACGACCCAACCTGGGCAATAGACTTTGCACCAAACGGCACTCTCCTTGGGCTGGGCGACACTATAACTCGGAAACGGTACGCAGATACGCTGGAAGCGATCGCGCAAAGGGGACCGGATGCTTTTTATACTGGACCCGTCGCTCAAGCTTTCATAGATACAGTCCAATCTAATGGCGGCATCATGACTATGCAGGACCTGAAAAACTACTCTGTCGCCATTCGGCCTCCGGCAGATATCACATATCGTGAGTTTCGGGTTCGCAGTGGTAGTGCGCCGTCTTCAGGAACGGTACTGGCATCAGTAATGAAGATCGTAGAAGGCTATACTACCATTGGGGAAGCTGCTGCGCTCAACCTCAGCACGCACCTGTTCGATGAAGCACTTCGTTTCGCGTATGGCCAGCGCTCGGAGCTGGGAGACCCATACTTTGTTGAAGGCATGGACGAGTACCAAACAGACATGTTGAGCAACGAGACAGCGGCAGACATCCGTGCGAAGATCAGTCCGTTGCATACACTGAATGTCTCTGCGTATGACCCCTCCGGCTTCGAATCCTTGGAGACACCTGGCACTTCTGCAATTGTCACGAGCGATCTTACCGGCATGGCAATCTCGCTGACGACGACCGTCAACCTGTTATTTGGGTCACACATCATAGTGCCCGAGACCGGCGTGATCCTCAACAACGAGATGAACGATTTCTCGATCCCGGGCGCGGACAACGCTTTCGGCTACATTCCCTCCCCATCCAATTACATCCGGCCTGGCAAGCGGCCATTGTCGTCCATTACACCCACCATAGTCGAGCACGCAAACGGTTCGCTGTACTATGTTGTTGGTGCAGCGGGCGGTAGCCGGATCATTACCGCCACCTTGCAGAACCTCTGGCACGTTCTGGACCAAAACATGACCGCTCCGGAAGCTCTTGTAATGCCGCGCCTACACGATCAGTTAGTGCCAAATCAAGTCAGCTTTGAGTATGCGTACGACAATCATACCGTAGCGTTCATGCAGTCGCGAGGACACAACGTTACGTGGGTCGCGCCAGGTCAGTCTACCGCGCAGTCGCTGAGGCTGCTCGGCAACGGAACGTTCGAGGCAGCAGGCGAGCCGAGACAGCTGAACAGCGGTGGTTATGCGGTTTAGTCGAACCGTATACCAAGGCATATCCGCCGTGACGTATCTGATATCATCTACATCCTCCTCACTCACTCTGTCCATGCTAATCCATGGCAAAAGATATCCAGGACGATTTGTGCACAAGCGTGGAATACTGCACCGAGCCTTACGTGCCTCACAAGTTCAGCCGGATTAATTCCGCCGAGCGTCGCTCGTTCTCCTCGACGTTTGATCTTCTTAGGCTCTCCATTGCTTCTTCATGGCCACACATCACAAACCTTTGCCTTGCGATCGATGCCATCGCCGCAAGGTTCGTTGCGACTATATTTCTCCATGTATTCGCTGTAGAGAGGCTGATGCTTCCTGCACTTACCTGTTGTTGCGAAAGAAGCGAGGTCCAAAGACACAAAAGCTCATCCCAACAGCATCGCCGTCTGTCGATTCTGGTGAAGTGCTATCGTCTTCGATACAGAGCAATCTCGGCGCAACCAGCAGTGATACTGTCCCTCCAGCAAATTCCCATGGCTTCCCAGCTCCATCCGTGCCGCTCATAGACCCACAAGGCTGGCCAGGAGCTCAACCGCAGCAACCGTTGTTGGATGATTCGCTGCTCAGCTTTGAGGCTTTCGCGCAGAATGTACTCAGCAGTGATGATTTCTTCTTCCACGCTTCAGCGTCTGCACCGCTGCCGAACGATGATGGTATCAGCCTGGGCCTGCCGACTCCGTCTGTCGCCAACCCAGCGACACCGTTTGAGATTGCTACTGGCGGTAGCACCCCACATACTGCGGTAGCTGCGACGCTCAACGACGGAGATGACAGACTACTGGTGACACCAGTCGTAGAACGTGCGATCGATCTGTTTATAGCACACCTGTATCCGGTATATCCGCTAATTAAGCGTTCACGTCTGGATGACATTGTTCGCAATGCCGAGTCGGCTTCGCAGAGTGAAAAGGCACTCATCTGGTCCATATGCGCGTCCACTCTTGCGAACGTCAACGGCTGGCCTTCCCTTGGGGCCGAACAGCGAGCAGTGTCTGCTCGGCGCTTTATACGGCAGTATCACCGTGCAAATGTGATGCGAGACATAGAGAAGGCGAAGTACGAAGACGTCTTGGTGGCTCTGTTCGTTGCAAATGCATGCTTTGAGCTAAAGCAGAGAAAGACGTCATGGTTCTACGTGAGAGAAGCGATCAATCTGGCAATAGCAGCAGGTCTTGATAACCTTGGAACGTACAGCGCGCTCGACCAAGATACTGCAACAAGATATCGGAGAGCCTACTCGCTTGTCTTCATTTCAGAGCGCGGTGCAGCGATCTTCAACAACTTTCCTGTGAGCATTCTCGATCCGCCTACATTGCCATGCCTACCACTGGTCGACGAAGACGCATCAATCTCTGTGGGACTTGGCGCACTACATAACCTCTTTAGCCTTCTGGATCACAGCTTCGTGAGACTGTGGAACGATATGCACTCTCATGCACCCCACAACACTAATTTTGCGGATTTGCTGCAGTTGCAACAGCACCTAAGGGATGCGAATCTTGCGCACGGTAAGCTGAGCGAAACTCGGCGTCGTCTGAAACGTAGCTGACTGTCGCATCCATCAACTCCTAGGCCTCTCGGACATACAGCGTGCCGATGTACTGATTACACAGCAATGGCTTCGTCTCGTCTTCTGGCAGGCCTCGCTAAGCCAGGGACTGGTATCGTCAAACGCCGCGGACGCAGCGTTCTTGTACACATACCCATTAGCAATAGCCGTTGACCTGTGTCAGATCTTGCGAACACTACCGCCTATGGCGATTGAAGTACACGGCTTGGGCATCTTTGAGAAGCAGTTCGAGATAGCGTATTCACTGATGGATGCATTGGCGCTGTCAGGCGCCAGTCGGCCGGAGCATCATGAGTGTCTGCGTTTTCTGCTGCTTACTCTGTCAGCAAGTCCAAACTCGAGGCAAGTTTATGTGAGAACGCTAAAGGACGCCATTGGTGGGCAGCAGAAGTATCGCAATTTAGCCGGGGTAGAGCTGCTAAGAGACGAAAGTGGGAGTCGGCACACTTCGAGGCGGCATTCCATAGCTCCTGTTCCGCGTTGAAGACGTCCAACAACAATATTTGCGCTATGGTAGCATTCGAAAGCTCTACATATGGGGACAGAAAGGCGTGAATCAGCCCATGAACCTACGAGTCCAGCGTTGCATCTCACGAGCCCCTATGGCACAGTTCAGACCGCTTCTACCTTTTCGACCGCGCTTTTCCCCGAAATGGGAAAGACGCCAGAAGAGTGCCCCGAAGCAGCATCGAAAGAAGCAACATCCGTCTTCGCAAACTTCCTCGCTGAGACTCTGGCATCGAAGAGAATGTCCAGCTCAGCGTATGTCCTGCCCTTTGGCTCGGGCAGCCGGAAGAAGGTCCAAATACAGCACAGGATACCGGCTCCGGCCCAGAAGAAGCCAGTCTTTGCACCCCAGTTCCATGCGCCGGGACTCAGCATGCGTGGGGTCAAGATGTTGTTAATGATGCCAGCAACGTTGTAGAAGCTTCTAGCCAGTACGACCGTCTTGTTTCGGAGGCGGGTCGAAGACAGCTCAGCCACGAGTGAGTAACAGACCGGACCGACAGTAGCGTCGTAGACGAAATTGAAGAAGAGAACAAGCGCACCGACCGCCCACAGGGCGCCTGCTTTGTCGCCGGCTATGCCAAGGAAGCCAACGATGAGCAAATCGATGGCGAGAATGACCTGGCCCCAGAAGTAAAGTGAGCGACGACCGCACCAAGTCATGAGAAACCAGGAGACCAAGACACCAACAGCGCCAAGACCGTACTGGCCAAGCGAAAGCGAAAATGCGTGGGAGGAGTCGAAGCCGGCTCGCTCGAAGAAGTAGGTGCTGTAGCCGACCATGGCGGAGCAGCCGCAGAGGACTTGGATGACCCAGACCATGCATACGATCTCGGTGCGTCTCAAGTTGACACTGAAAGCAAGAAGCTGTCAGCAAGCGCTTCAGAAAACGCAGTCATGTTCTGGACTTACCCTTTGAAGCAATCCAGGTAGCGAGCACCGGCAGTGTTTGCCTTTTCCAACTCCGTAGTGTAGACCATCATATTGATGGTTGCGTCGGGGTCGAAGTTGTTGTTCTGATTACGGGACGTGAGGCGCAGCAAGTTCTTCTTCGCCTCTTCGAACTTGCCTTTCCGTACCAGCCACCACGGCGACTCAGGAGCGAGAAGGATTCCAATGATCAACGGTACCGGCCAGATCCATTGCAAACCATACGGTAGTTTATAGGCAATGGGACCTGTTTGACCAGCAACGCCCTTGAGAACACCAGACGAGAGAAATTGTCCGATGACCCAGCAGAGGTTGACGTATGTTGTGAGGTAGGCTCGAAGGGAGACAGGGCAGACTTCAGCAGCGTAGGTGGTAGTCAGCGTTTGGAAGGCTCCCCATGGCAGGCCGCAAAGGATCTCAGCAATGACTAGCATAGTCAGGTTCTGGGCGAAGAATGCGAGGAAAACGAAGGCTGAGATGAGTGCCAGTGAGCCGATCAAGGTCCAGCGGTAACCGAATCGCTCGGCTGACATGCCGACGAAGAGCAGGCCGAGAATCTCGCCAACAGTCGCACCGTTCGTCAGGCCAGATTGCCATGCGGGAGAAATCTCGTAAGAGCCGTTTGGCTGAAGCTCTCCGAACCGCTTCTGAAAGGCAGGGAGACCGATGAGTGAGAAGACGAGCACAAGATCGAAACCTTCCATTACGATGCAAGTTGACAGCAGGACAGACCATACGACAGCCTTCGGGTACGTCTTAATGCCTTCCCAAAGGGTCATAGATCTTTCGGCCTCCGTGGCCTGGACTGCTGTGTCGAGCACATGGGTGTTGACACGTGCTAGTTCGGCAACATCTGCTGCGGCGACGCTGGCATGTCGGTCTTGTCTCGGGTTGGTGGTGGAGGCGATGGACAAGTTGCGTTTGGCAGCCATTATGAACTAGTGTGAGAGATACAAGCCCGGTCAGGAATGATTATGGCCGGAAGAGTAGCTGGACTTAGGAGAAGATGCTGTGATCTGACCGTTGTGCTGGTCGAAGCCCTTGGGTGGTGACCCAGCGGTCTTTATGTGCCATGCGGCCTCGTCTTCGAGGCATGTTGGAAGTAGCAGAGGCACACTGAAGTTTCAGCGAGCGCTCCATCGATAAGAGCACGAGCGATGCACAGTGCTCGGAAGTCTTTGCAAATGTGCTCTTGGGCCGACCTTCCACGTGAGCCAGCATCTCCGCCTCCCCCACTTTCTCTCCATGATTTCAAGCGATCATTCTCGCCTCCTATACCCAACAAGGAATGACGTGTCGCTCGAACTCTGGGTCTTGTTCTGCGCGAGCGAGGCTATGGTACTCAGCTACTTGGTTCCAGCGATTGAGCGAGCCAATAAGCATCATCTCGTATCGTGATAGATTGTCTCACCTTCCCAACGCCGCTCGATCTCCATGCGCTGTAATTCTCACCGTGAGCGCTCATACTGCACCACCATAGTCAAGATTAGGGTTGTGGAAAGGAGCACTGGATCAGATAGGTACGGTGAGAATGTTAAGAATGCGGTAAGGCTATTGTCTCGTTCCTTACCTAGCCTTTCCTTCATCCATTACTTGTCTTTGCAGCAATCATGTCGGAAAAGCCATGGTGGAGAGACAGCGTCGTCTACCAAATCTACCCTGCAAGCTTCCAAGACTCCAACAACGACGGCATTGGTGACATTCGCGGCATCATATCTCGCCTTGACTACATTCGTTCCATTGGCGTGGATGTAATATGGGTCTGTCCAATATACCAATCTCCGCAAATCGACAACGGCTACGATATCTCGGATTACCAAGAGGTTGATCCACGCTACGGCACCCTTGCGGACCTCGAGCGACTGATCGCAGAGGTCCACCGACGTGGCATGCGCGTTCTGCTCGATTTGGTCATCAACCACACCTCTGATCAGCATCAGTGGTTCAAGGAGTCACGAACGTCGAAGACGAACCCTAAGCGAGATTGGTATATCTGGAAACCTGCCAAGTATGATACTGAAGGCCAGCGCAAGCCACCGAACAACTGGCGTTCCAATTTTGGTGGCAGCGCCTGGCAGTGGGATGAAGCGACTGAAGAGTACTATCTCCACCTCTTCTGCCCAGAACAACCCGATCTCAACTGGGACAACGATGAGGCAAGGCATGCAATCTACGACAGCGCAATGGTCTTCTGGCTCGAGAAGGGAGTTGACGGCTTCCGCGTCGACACTGTTAACATGTACAGCAAAGATCCTGCCTTCCCTGACGCACCAGTCACGGATCTCAACGCGGAATGCCAAGAAGCTGGGCTGACGTACTGCAACGGGCCTCGTATGAACGAATATCTGGCCGAGATGCATGCCATTCTCAGCCGGTACGACGCTGTGACGGTCGGCGAATGTCCTTTTACACCAGACATTGACACTGTCGTTGGTTATGTTAGCGCGGCGCAAAAGAGGCTCAATATGGTCTTTCAGTTCGACGCTGTTGATATCGGTAAAGGCAAAGTCTTCCAGTACCAGACCACACCTTTCAACTACACACTCTCGGACCTCCGGAACGCCATCTCCCAAACGCAAGGCCTTCTAAGGTACCCTGATGCCTGGACGACCAGCTTCATCGAGAACCACGACCAAGCACGCAGCATCTCCCGCTTTGGCGATGACAGTCCGCGATGGCGGGTGCGAAGTGGCAAGATACTTGCTATGTTGTTCGCTTGTCTATCCGGTACCCTCTTCATATACCAGGGGCAAGAGATTGGAATGATCAACATGCCCAAGGACTGGCCTATTGAGGAATATCTGGATGTCGACTCCAGCAACTATTACAGAATGGTAGCTCAGCGGAGCAAGAATGACCCAGCAGAGCTTGCCAACGCACACGCGGCACTTCAACACTTGTCACGCGACCATGCGCGTACGCCAATGCAATGGAACGCTGCGGTAAACGGCGGCTTCACTTCGCCAGATACAAAGCCCTGGATGCGTGTGAATTCGAGCGCTACCAGTATCAATGTCGCAAAGCAGGTCAAGGACAGAGACTCTATACTCGCCTTCTGGAAACATATGCTCCAGATGCGGAAGACGTACAGTAACCTGCTTGTGCATGGTGAACTTGAGCTACTCGACCAGGACAACGGGAGCGTCTTCTCGTTTGTCAAGCAAGGGACTCGGGGTCAGCGTGCGCTGGTTACATGTAACTTCGCCGGCGAACACAGCAAGGCTCCGGGTGTGCTCAAGCACAACCAGCGTAAGCTGTTGCTGAGCAATGTCGGCTCGATCGGGGAGAGCTGCGAAGTCCATCCCGACGTGCTGGAGCCTTGGGAGGGAAGGTTGTATCTGCTGAATTGACGGATTACGGTGCGCTTTAGGAATGGCATATGGTGGAACCGCGTGATCGTGGAGCGACCCCGAGGTCAGATAGGAGGCACATGCAACGAGTCACCGCTCAAGACGTGTTGGTTAATGTATTCGGTCCGTGGCGGTCGGCATAGAGCTGCGAGATAAGAGTTCGATTGGCTGTTCCCCGCAGTCTTGGCGTGGAGGCAAGCGGTAATCAAGCCCGCACTTAGCCTCTACAGGCAAGATCGTCAACGCCTCATGCATCCGTTCTGTTGACGAGCCTCAACTCCCTTTCACTAACCCTCTTTCATTGCTTTGTCTTACGTCCTCTCCAGGTCTATATTGCTTGGTCCGCTTGTTGCTTGACAGCCCGTTAACTCCTTTATCGGCAATCAAACCCAGGAAGTAGTCAGTCGGCACATCACGCCATTGTGTGACGTAAACAATCAACGCGGGCTTAGAAAGGCACGAGCGCTTACGCAGAGAGCTCCTCGTTGTGGAGCTTGCAACTGCGGTACAACAATATATACACCAAGTACAGGGTGAAGATCACGCGACTGTCACTGGCCTGAGGGGTATACCAAGCGGTCTGCCTTTCAACGTCCACCTCTACAGCTTGCTTCTTCCCGTCTACACTCACACCGCCTTGAACTCTTGCCATGGCGGACGACGCTGCTGAGCCACAGTCATCGACTGCATCCCGCGCCCGCCGATCGTCTTTTGCAGGCCAGACCTTTGCTGATCTATTCGGCACCTCACGGCCTCGTCCGTCCAACGAGGGCAACTCTCCACCGCAGCAAGGCGGAGCGATTACACAGGCAGCCGCCCAGGCCCAACGCCGGCGCCTGTCAATCTCAACACTCGGACTCTCCGGATCACCAACCGCCTCACCGTACGGTTCGTTCCGTGGCAGACAAGATAGTGTTGGGTCTGCCAACGGCTCATTCGACGAGTCAGCCATCGAAGAAGAGACCGCACCGCGTGATCCGACTTCGGCCGGCACCCCAGCAACACCCTTCGCCAGGCGTATGAGCTTTGGTGCACGTGCTCTCAGAGATAGAGGCACTGCGGGAGGTGCTGGAGGAGGAGGCGGCACCGGGCAGAATGGTACTAAGTCACCGCCTGCTGCTTCTGCGAACCCTGCCACTGCGAAGCCACAAACCGGCACAATCTCTTCCCGAGATGCCAAGGGTCGAGGTTTGTCTTCGCATCACCATCTGTCCTTGTCACCACCTCACTGCAAGTTTATGCTTTTTCTCGCGCAGTATGCTAACTCTTACCGTCTCAACAGGCTCGACCGACTTCTGGAATGAGAACGTGCGTGCTCGCGCCGAACGTACTTCGTTTGTTGGCGGCGGTGGGGGCAGCGGCGGCAGCGGCGGAGGTGGCGGTGGGTTGACAGCACCACCTGTGCATCAGCGAGCCAAGAGCATCGCTGTGATGGACCCACCGATCCGCGAGATGCCGAAGGAGTCGCAGCGGCCAGATCACTTTCAGGAGAGGATCTTGAAGGGTGACTTCTACATGGACTGAGCAGAGAGTCCGAGGGGACACGCAACGAATGGAACGACTTGATGAAACGGTTGACGGCTGCAGGAAACAGCTGAGGGCAGGCTATCGGCGAAGACTATTGGTTTGAGCCGCAGGGCGTGCGCGCCAAGTCAGGTCTATGTGCACGCAACGGGCAGCCCTGGCATCTTGAGGGCGTTAACGCTCGTTAAACCTTTTGCAATGCAATCCACGATAATGACGGGACCGGTACGCTAGGAACAACGGTGAGGCCAACGTGACTGGCAAATGTAACAATAGCAAGCTATCAACAACGAAGAATTAGTCACAAAGCACTGACAAGACCTCGGGACTCCGCTGGATTCCTGTTCTCAATGCATGTGCCTCTAGTGACACGAGCTCAAAAAACATGACCAGCTCGCGCCAGCACGGGCCAAATCACATGACATTGCAGGCGTTGTGGGTCCTCAGGAACCGCAAGCCCCCAGACACACCTTCAATCTGCTGCTGACGAGGATGCTCAGCGCCCTGCTGCGTCCACAGCCGCGCCTCTCTCTCTCGCTGTGCTTGGTCCTCCTCATCCCGAACGCATGTGAAGATGATGTAATCAAGCAGAATATCCACGTCCGTTGCCACAACTGAGTCTCCAAGCATGTCCAAGGTCTCGACGATATCCTCCTGGGCGGCCGCGTTCGCGGACGATCTCAACAAATGACGTAGCATATCCGTACCTATCTCTGCACCGTTATGGGCGGCAATGATGTCAGGGAACAGGCTGAGTAAATTGCGCCACAGGCGAATCTGCTCAGCGCTGTAAGGACGGCCCTGGGCGGTAGCTATAGCCATGAGTAAGTTGCCCATAGCAATGATGCGCGGTGCGAGATGGCTTACCCGGAGCAGCGCCGTGCCTGTTGGTGTGAGTGGCCGACTGGGGAGATTGATCATAAAGTGGCTCGCAGTCGCCGTCGCAGCGGGTAGTCCGGCATGGTGTGTGTCGTCGAAGCCGAAGGTGAAGATCGTAGCGCTTGAATGATCGAGCGCCAGACCCGCAAGTCTTACTGCTTGGTTCACCAGGGTCTGACGACGTTGTGCGATGGTCACTTCCTCACTTTGCACGCTGCGAATAGTCTGGATACTGGTCTGACCGTGGGTGCGCGGCGATCTGGTCATGGTTAGTGGGAAGTCGTGATTGGGCTGCAGGCTTCTGTTCGTTGTCGATGTTAGTCTTTCTTCTTGCGTGAGGGTGAAGAGCTCACGTCTGCATAAAGCGCAGGTATTTTTGCCGGCAAGTCCGAGATAGGTGGTAATGCACCCATGATCGAAGATGTGGCCGCATGGCAGCTTGCGGGGGGAGGTAGCGGTTTCTAGGCAGATGCTGCAGTCGAAGTCTTCCGGTACGGTGGTCGAGAGAAGTCCTGTGGAGAGGAAGGTGGTGCGGTCAAGGAGAGCCATTGTATCCTGTGCCACTGTGCGACGTGCTATGCTGGGATGTGTTAAGGGGCTCGTTAAGTAGACTTACCTTTAGCCTCTGTGTATTGATTGCCCGATAAGTGCTGTTGGGTGAACGATAGACATTATAGCTGTGCATACACAATGGTTTAGTCGCTCGGTGGTAAATTAGCTAGGGTCGTACAAAGAAGCCATTGTATATTGTGCATATTCCAACCTCAGCTGCACACATCAGCCTTGCGATACACAATGGCAGCGCTATGCGCGTTTGAAAACAATGACTCTCGTGCTCTTACGCTTTGCCAGTCACTCTACGCTGCATGTGAAGCTGAATTGCTTCTTCAGCCATGCCATGCAGCCGCAGTACCTGCGGTTCTGAGCTGCCTAGCAGCAGGATGTCGAGTCCGGTGACATCGCCATCACCCAGCTGCTTCTTCAGCGCATTGCTCGCAGAACACCACAGATTCTTCTGCATACCTGGCAAAAAGCGCCAGACATCTCCGGCTTTGCCAGTGACTGTCGAGCCATCCCTCGGTGGCCGATATTCTTGACACAGATGTGGCACCAAATAGTAGTAGAAGAGCTCCTTGCCAGTCTTATCGAGCAAGTCTGCAAGTTGGCGGAGCATGGCTGTTCGATGCTTGGCTTCCGCTAGACGGACTTGTTCGAAGTCGTAGCGGGCGAGGTGGCTGTACAGCGTTCGTGGCTCCACCTCGAAGCGGTCTGGCAGGGTGTCGAGCAAAGCGTCTGAATTGGCAGGGTCATGAGAAGTATTGATCTGTCCAATGCGTAGCTCGTCCTTGTCAAGAGCGCCGTCCAGTGACAGTTGCATTGTTGCATTCGAGAGCTCGGTATCGTTCTCTGCTGTGAATATTGTCTCGTCGCCGGTCTCTGGTTCTTCGAACTGTCGCTCTTCTAGTACGAGAGTCATATTGCCCTTGGCCACAACATCTTCGTGCTCACTCCCTGGCGCAGCAAGTGTACCACTGTTAGGGGACGGCGCAGGGATGCCCAGATAGTGGCTCACAGCCAGCTCAGCGTGCCAGAGGTACTCAGCTTGCTCGCCCCGCCGGCCTGCATGGCGTAAGCACTCTCCGTGGCTCACCTCACCCTTGTTAATGCTGTTCCTCAAGCAACGAGCCACGAGCTCGCTCCAGCAAAACCGCTCATCGCGTTGCGCGACTTCGAGACCGTGCCACAGCTGAGCCGCAGTCTTCGGATACTTCTTCTTGGTCGTTCCGCTCGCCAGAAGTGCAGTCCTGCGCAACTCAAGCACCGCCTGCACATGATGTACGAAAACATTGCGTCCACTGCTGACAAATGTGTCGGCAACTTTCTTCAGCTCCCTCTCCCGGGAGGCCGGCGGGAATTTGTCGTAGCGCTGGATGTCCACCACAGGACGAGCCCGCGTTGCGTCTTGTGCGACCATATCGGTCAGTAGGACTCCGCCTATGCACGCTGCTCTCAGTCTACTACGTCTTGTTCGCCTAAATGGTAGGCTGCGTTGGCTGTGGCCGGACAGCATTGACATCTACATAATGAAAAGCACATCTGAGAGACAGTTGATTTCGGTTTTCAGCAGTTCACATATTGTGGAATAGCTTGGATAGCTGAAGTTCTAATGGAGTGACGTTGACGCACCTTCTCTCCAAGCGTCGGTCGCGCTTGCCACACCAGAATGCTCATCCGAGTACGACATTGCGATATAACGCCACATAAGAGTACCGACGAAAGTATCGGAGTGCAACGTAGTTTGCGCACGTACAGGATCTGTGGGTCCTTCCGAGCCAAACTGTTGGGGGTATCACAACTCGCCTGTTGGCGTTGCCCAAACTGCCATTTCCCGAGTCTCCAAAAGAAGCATTCCACCTGCGCCGCCGCTATGCATCTTCAACCATTGCGCCTATCTCACCGCCTCTTTGCTTCTCGCGATCCAGTTAGTACGCATCGGTCTGGACTTGACTGATCTTTTTCAGCTCCCACTCCTTCGTGAACTCTTGATCGAGAGTTTGCAGCTCCTTGACTAGATCATTGCACGCCTGCACGACAGCCTCCTTCGGGCTGATTTCGCCATCGGTCTGTACGCGCAGCTTGAAGACGGCGAAGAGCGGGTGCGGGACTTGGTAGGCTGCGAAGAGAACATGAGGCGACTTCGTAAGCTTTGCGCGCAGCAGGTTGCCAAGAGTGTGGTCTTCCTTGTTGAAAGTGAAAAGGGCTGCATTTGGGACGCCTTGCAGTTCTATGTTAGCTAACATGAAGTCCGGTATTTGCTAAGCTTCACTTACGCGTCTCTATCTCGAAAGTGACCTTCTTCTCTCCCTCGCCTAGCAGGAACAACTCGAACCTGTCCGGTGGAAGGTCAATCTCAATGCACGAGCCAACGTGTCCGCGAAGGCGCGGGGCCTTGACGGCAGAGTACAGGGCGCTGTGACTATAGTCGCCAGGTCGTGTACGCCCACTTCCCTGTTTCGGCTTGACGTCGATATCAAGAACGGACATAGTAGGAAAGTGAAACGGGCTTTTGCGGTGCTTCGCTGGTATGTGGATGTCATTACGGAATGTTTCTGCTTACCTGTCTGGAGCGTTCATATTTGCGAATGTCAGGACACGGGATCACGCGCGCACCCGTGGCAACACTGATGTGTTATGAAGAGGAGAGAAGGAAGGTGCGATGGAGCTTGCAACTGCGACTCAATAAAGAAATCGCGAAGACGAAGTCGATTGGCGGGCCGATGCGGCGCGGAGGTCCCTCCGATGAAGCAACGCACGAGTCAGTGTGGCAGCTGGCTGACAAACCCACTGGTCCTTTCGGCCCATGCCCTCGTTATCCCCATCCGTTGCCGATGTTGAAACATCTTGCCGGCCCGCGGACTGAGTAGGACAAGAGGACGGTGACTTGTTTCCTGTCTCGAAAGGGACACAACATGAGCGTCCCGACGCGCCTAACGCCAACATGCTTTGGGACCACTGGACCGAGGGGGTCCGGTCTTGCGTCACTCATTATTAAGCCGCATTGGAGCTTCCAAAGTACTTGTAGGAGCTTTACATTCCCGCCAGCTTATTCGTTTCGTCAAACCACTGTTTCCGTTCGTCAGAGACAGTCCCGCAGCTTTCCCTATAGTACCACGACACACAGTATGGCGCCTCAACTTTACACCGATGAAACTCCCGATGAGGTGAAGAATGCCAAAGGTCTTCACCTCATCACCATGAACACACCCAATGGTCAGGCTGTTCAGATTATGCTGGAGGAGCTCAAGGATGCTTACGGTACCGAGTGGACGACTACGCTTATCAACATCATGACCAACGAGCAAAAGAAGGTGCGTTAGCCCGCAACATAGTCCGGGCGAGTCACTGACCAGCGCAGGACTGGTTTCTTCGTCTGGACCCGAACGGACGAATCCCGGTTCTTGTGGACAACACCCAGAACCCTCCGTTCCCGTCAATGGAGACAAGTGCCGAGATGTTCTACCTTCTTAAGCAGTACGACAAGGAAGACCGCTTCGGCTTCAAGGACGACCTCGAGCGGAACCAATGCCTTCAGTGGACTTTCTTCTGGCATGGCTCCGGCGCCCCGTACGTTTGACCAACTTGACTGACGTCGGACTATTGCCACTGACCTGCATCAAACAGCTACCAAGGGCAAGTAAACCACTTCAACAAGTTCGCAAAGGAGAAGATCCCATACGCCATTGACCGCTTCAAGAACGAGACTCTCCGCGTCTACGGTGTGCTCGAGATCCAGCTATCTGGCAAGTACTCCGACTCTGGACCACGAGAGTACCTTGCCGGCAAGGGCAAGGGAAAGTATAGTGTCGCAGACATGAAGACTTGGCCGTGGGTCAAGGGTTACGAGTTCAGCGGTTTCACCAAAGAGGACATGCAGCCTTTCCCGAATGTGCTGAAGTGGATTGATCGTATTGCGGAGAGGCCGGCGGTGCAGAGAGGCATCGGAGAAGCGTATACGCAGAAACAGTAAGACCGAGACCTGCAGTGTGCGTATACACTCCGATCTTGTAGGCCGACGACATGTCTAGACCCCATCTCTGAAGGCTTATATCTCCAAAAGACGCTTCGGTAAGATATCAGGAATTATCTTAAAAATTACACAAAACGAGCAACCACTGGAGCCGGCTCTTCAGGTTATATTGAACAATTTACCTGCCTTCAATAGAGGCCGGCTTCACTCTGACTTTCTATTTCCTTCCTTTTTCCTGCCTCTACACTAATACACTAAGCACCGACGATCTATACTTACTTCATCCTTCATTCCGCCCATTCTGACCATCATTGAAATGCAATGAGCGCATACCCTGAACCTGAGCAAACTCCGACGTTGATACTGCTTTGATGGGCTGGCGAAGTATCCAGATGACAAATGAAATTCACGATGCTCATTCATGTGCAGCGACCAAGTACACACTTGTGCTTTGTCGTCTTTACACCTGTCTCGCTGCTGTGCTTGAGTCCTGACGACTGCTCGGAATCCAGTGCCAACCCCGACATACAACATCTGGGAACGTAATACAAAGGAGCTACTCTTTGACACTCGAGCCCACTTGCAGCCATGGACTCGCCTGAAGTTCTTGACACAGCGACGGACCCAGTGCGCTATTCTGGTGGCAGGAAACCAGCCGTTGAGATCACCAAAGGTGAGGAAGGAGCCGGTAGTGGAGCTATTGTCAAGCAGCGAGCCGGCAAGGAGCAAAAAGTCAAAGGAGCAGCTAAGGAGAAGAGACCGCTCGGTCCGTGTACGCTCGAAGTCACCCTCAACCTCGTCAGCACGCTGACTACGAGTGCTGCAAGAAGCTAGATGTGACGCTCATGCTTACCCTTTGACGGCAGAACCAAAGCTGTAGAGATCGGCGTGATCATCGCTTACATTGTTGATAGGATGACAACGGCCACCAACCACAAGGAGCCACTCTAGCTTACAGAACTCATCACGGGTCAGACAGGCAGTGGAGTCGAGATTGTCACGCAACAGCTGTTTATGAAAAAGAGTGATCCGAAAGCCAAGTTCACAAACAACGGCTTCTAAGTTAGCGAGGACAGATTCTGCCATCTCGACACACTGAAGCTGCGAAGAGGTACCAGGGGCAAGGACTAAGCGATCTCGTCCTGTAAACCTTCCACAGGCTGCTTTGCTGGCTGGAGAACGGCTTGGCGTATGACGGGACGGTCGTGCTTACTCCTGCCACGCCGCAGGAGCAAAAGGATCAGTTCGAGGGCACCATATATGAACAGAGAGGTAAGATGATCACATTCTATGAGCGCTGCGGTTACATGCTGATATGTCGCGGGCCTGAGCGTGTCGAAGACTCGGCGTCACTTATGTGTACGACGGTTCGGATGTGCTTGCAGGGTTACCACATATCTGTTAGCACCTTTCGTGCCGCTAGCACATGTCCTGTACGAATAATGGAGAGTCTCACATTGCTCACCATGTCAATATTTATGAGACTAGGTCTGAGCTGGCGACACCGAATTGCAAGTCGATCTCAGGGCCACGGCTGCTGGCTGGCAGAAGACTGACTTTATAACCAACACTGAGCGAAGCGGCTTTAAGGTGATGGCTGAAGGGTCAAAAAAGCTCGAAGGTCTCTAAGTCCGTGAGAAGCCGAGATTAATATACTGTGCATCGCACAGCTAGCGATTGCGAGTATGGAACGCTTGCAACACTCGATCGGAAGACTGACGCCAGCAACCAGTCTGAAGTGGCGCATGCTATGCTCCTTCTGTCTGACAGGTCCACAAGTACCCGCCAGATGCAAGCACAAACTGGCTCGGGATGAAATCAGGAGGCTAATCAGCAACTGCGCAGCAACGACAGGCAAATGGTGCACTTTGACAGTATATGCTATGTATGGTAGGGGCAACTTACATCATGCTTAGCCTTCGGCTAGACGAGCAACACACATTATGCATATGTATGGCGCGAAAACCATCCACCATTGCGGTGCCGCTCAAGGAGCTTGCTCAAACCACCGCTCCATCTCATAATCAACAATGAGACAACTAAGCTATAGCACCCATGTTTGGCTCTTGTGTAGGTCCGTGTTTACAGGACTGGGCGGACGAGACGGCGTTAAGCATCCTCCATGCATAAGCTCCTGGAAGTAGAGTAAGCGCAGGTTCCCAACCTGTGCTGATTGGCCGCCGTAAGGCGCACAAGGCTGGCACAAAGCTTGCATAACAAGCATTCCGTTTCCGAGATAGACAATGTCGGCAAGCCGGCATGCACAGCAGGCTCGACCACTATGAATGGCGTTTAACACAACTCCTGTTTATTTAGCCTGACAGGAGGTGCCTCTATATCATGGTGTTTCTTCCGTTCCTCATGTTATGTTTCTGAACTATATTGGTTCAAGCATCGCCCTTGGCTAGACGAAGCATTCGTTGTGGAACCTTCCGGAGGCCAAAGCTTCAACGCAAGGTAAGCACTTCAAGTCGGTCTTCATCGTTGCGACACGCATGAATGGTGACACTGGCTGGCCATGGCTAATATGATGGTCGTAGGTATTTGCCTGCGGCATGGCTGCTCCACACATCCCAGGCGTCTTCGGCGGCGACCTACCAGAGAAGGAGCGGGAAGCGTACGAAGAGGGCCACGATGCCGACATCCAGGAACCGCATGCGCTAGCTAAGGAGGCTGAGGTGTCTCCCATCGACAAAGGAACCGATGTAGAGCACCAGAGGGAGCACTCTGCGCCTTCATCGGTAACAGGCACGGCCGACATGGAGAAGGCGCAACCACACATGACCGAAGCAGAGCAAGAAGAACAGGATCCGAACATCGTTGACTGGGATGGCCCAGATGACCCAGCGAACCCGCAAAACTGGTCACCACGGAAGAAGTGGTCGAACATTGCTGTACTTTCGATCCTTACGCTGCTTACGCCCCTGGCATCATCCATGTTCGCTCCGGGCGTGCCTGAAGTCATGGCGGACTTCGAGTCGGACAACCAGAGCTTGGCTACCTTCGTCGTCTCCGTGTACCTTCTAGGCTTCGCTTTCGGGCCATTGATAATTGCTCCGCTGAGCGAACTGTACGGAAGAGTGATGGTCTACCACGTCTGCAACGTTGGCTTCATAGCGTGGACAGTTGCTTGCGCTCTCGCGACTGATATGAATATGCTCATCGGCTTCCGGTTCATGGCTGGTGCATTCGGCATCGCGCCCATTACCAATGGTGGCGGCACCATTGCGGACATGATGCCTCCTGAGCAGCGTGGCGCGGCCATGTCAATATGGGCACTCGGACCTCTTATCGGACCTGTCATTGGCCCTGTCGCTGGTGGCTTCCTGGCCAAAGCCGAGGGCTGGAGGTGGATCTTTTGGGTTATCGCCATGGCGGTCGGCGTAATGTCTATCGCTGGCCTCTTCGTGATGCGCGAAACATACGCTACTACCCTCCTTCAAAGGAAGACGAAGCGCCTGCAGAAGGAGACAGGCAACATGAATCTCCGATCGAAGCTAGACTCTAACCTGGACGCAAAGACTCTGTTCATCCAAGCGATCGTACGGCCAACGAAGCTGCTGTTCCTGTCACCTATCTGCGGCTTCATGGCGTTGTACATGGCATTCATCTATGCCATTTTGTACTTGCTTTTCACGACGTTCACTTTCGTCTTCGAAGATTCTTACCACTTCTCGGAGAGCACCGTCGGCCTTGTCTATATCGGCTGCGGCATCGGTATGCTTCTGGGTTTGCTCATGCTAGGCGTGTCTATCGATCCGCTCATGAAGCGCCTCGCGAATAAGCATAACGATGGCAAGATCAAGCCGGAGTATCGCTTGCCAATATTGATGTACACCGGGTGGACCATTCCCTTCGGCCTGTTCCTGTATGGTTGGACCGCTCAATATGAGGTATGCATTCGAATCGAAGACTCGTGAGATAATTCAATACTAACTGATTGTCGCAGATACACTGGGCGGTCCCGCTTCTTGGCACACTCTTCGTCGGCATTGGGCTGATCGCGGCCTTCATGTGCGTGATCACGTACTTGGTCGACAGCTTCGGCCGATACGCTGCGTCTGCGACTGCGGCGAACACGGTGCTGCGCTCCATCTTCGGCGCTGTAAGTGGCAATAATATACAGCCAGTAGATCATCATGTGGCTGACGTTCCGCGAGGTCTTTCCCCTCTTCGCACTCCAGCTTTACGACAGACTTGGGCTAGGCTGGGGCAACAGCCTCATTGCCTTTATCGCGTTGGCCCTCTGCCCGATTCCGTTCTTGTTCTATTGGTATGGCGAAAGACTTCGTACACATCCGAAGTTCCAGGTTAAGCTTTGAGTGGCATAACTGCGAGAAGTATAATATGCAGACTCTCCGTAGCGGACAAATGCTCGAGATTGGGATCCTTACCATGATCCTAAATCACAAAGGCTCCCAACGAACACGACTTCTAGTTGACATGCAGCGGCAACAGCCCGGAAAGCCGTAGGTGTCCGCCGGTTCACAAACGGCAGGCACGATCGACCGGCCCCGCCACACGCCAAGTTAATTGCGAATGTCAGGTCGCGATCTTTGCTTGAACACCTGGCACATTCCGTCCTTCACTTGCCGATACATGTTCATTACACCCTTTGACTAGCACTGCGGTAGTCATGGCGAAGGGCGCTACTAAGAAAGCTCGTGACGCCATCGCTAAGGTCTTGGGACCTGAACCCTCTCTTTCCATAGAACAGATCGCGCAACTCGACCGCCTGGTCGCCGAGCACTACACCGAGATCCACGGCTTGCGCGCCGCGAATGCCGCAATAGCTTCTCGCGAACGTGCTGCTAAGAAGGCCGTTGAGCTCCGCAAGGATGAGGTCAAACACCTGAACAAGAAGGTGCAAGATCGCACCCAAGAGGTTGCCAATGTGAAGGCGGAGATGAACAAGCTGGAACGTGTACATGCAGCCCTCGAAAAGGGGTTGTGTGACCGCGATGATCGGATTGCCAGAATGATCAAGGAGTCGAGCAAGGCTCGCCGCGAACATACAGAAGATGCGGGCTACGGCAAGCGCTTTGCCCAGCATGCCCCCGCTGACAATCGCAAGCTTCTCGAGCAGCATAAGACCATAAACGACCAGCAGCGTCGCATCACCGAGCTCGAGGAGGCAAACGAAGAATCTGACCTAGCGCTCCACCTCGCAGAGGCGACATGGGCGAAGGCGCACGTGGAGCGCGACGCCTCGAAAGCCAGTAAGCTAAGACTCTTCCTGCGAATCTCCCATGGCACGAAGCATCTACTAACTGCTGCGTAGTGTGTGTATCTCCGTGCCTAAGCATCATGGTTGAGGTCCAGTGTTGTGCTGACGCTGACAACTATAGGTTGGTTGACCGTGAAGCGCACATCATCCGTCTTACCGAGCAGATCCGCGGGCTGACAAGCATCGCTGGAGCGTCCAACGCTGCCGTTGGTGCCGCTCTCGAAGCTCAGGCGCAGCAAGACCTCACGCTTGTGAAGCGCCTGCAGGCCGACCTTGCCGCTCGCGACGCTACCATAGATGATCTGCAAGGCTCAAAGGCCGATTCTATCCGCAATTTGCAAGACAAGCACGAGGCATTATTGCAGAACTACGGCGCTGTAAAGCAAGATTTCGAGCAGTTTTGCCGCGAAAGTAAGCGCGATTTCAATGTGTACATGTCCTCGGCTGAGGAGCAGTTGCGCAATCTCGAGGAGAGGCAAGAGGCGTTAATGAAGAAGCACAGCCAAGTCAAGCAGGATCTTGAGCTCAAGCTTCGAGGTGCAGAGGAGCGTGTCATTGACGCGAAAACGCGCGGAGACAGTGCTCTTGCAGAGAAGACGTCTGAGCTGAAGGTCATCTTGGATGACCAGCAAAAACTGATCGAGAAGCTGCTGGCCGCGAACAGGGCGTAGATGCAGGCTCAGGCGGCCATAGCGATATGCGTCCCATCGAGAACGCCTGAGCCACAGCTGACTCTGCTACTTACTCGGATCTGTAGGTCTGGTGGCAGGCTGCGAGCAAGGCCCAGATGCTTTTCCGCCCCAGGTATAGCAGTAAGTAATTGACTCTAGATAGTGACAGTACCTATCGCGAGTGGACGGTGCACCTACCCCCGTACCTCAGAACCACATCATGTATACTGTGTCACTCACGATACTATCGTTGACTTTGCCGCTTGCTAATGTGAGAGGGAGAGTGGACAGGCATACATCACAACTTCATTTGGTACACACTGGTTATATTCCACAACGGTATTGATCCTCTCACCTGTTGGACTAACTTGGGTCCAGCCAGCTGACTGCCATACCAGAGAAGCAGAAACCTCAGACCGTTGGCTCACTTGCACAATTCACTTGCGATCAGACACATGTCACGAGCCAGCCTCGAGCCTCTAAATCCTTCTTGACCAACCAACCACTCTGCACCATCATCCACCAGCAACACGACAGACCATCCCGAAGACAGTTGCTCCGTCTGAACATCCTCAATCTCAACATCAAGAACACATCTTCTGGATTACCGAACGTCAAGCTTACCATAGCCGTCCTCTAAATGTGCTTCGTCCATATCGAGGAGGCCTGCGGCTCGTCAAGCATGCCGTTCAGCTCGTGCTCGGAGTCTAGCCATGGCGACAATACGAAGGTCTCGCCAAATTGCAACGCCATGAGTTCGTCAGCTGCTTTGAAGCGCAAGTCGAGCTTGATCCTGGGCGAAAATGATGTGAAGAAGCTGCGAGCATCGAGCGAGGAACCTTATTTCAGCCGTCAACCAATAGCGACGGGCCACGGTACTCTCGAGGTTCAGCACGAAGCGCACCAGGTGGCCTTGGCTAAGGTGACGGAACAGCTGAAGAAATTGGAGGCCGAGCGTACAAAGGCGCAGGAGCGAAGCGTAAAAGAGGAAGCGGAGCTTCATGAACTGCGTTACAAGATTGCAGCGTACCAGGTCCGGGAAGAAAAGCGAAGGAAAAGCGGAATCACTGAGCAGGAAGCCGTGCGGGAAGAGGCGACTGCAACCACACGAAAGATCGCGGAGAATGCTAAGCTGAAGTACGAGAAGAAGTTGCGTGGCGTTGAAGACGAGTACAAAGCCCAAATTGCAGCCATAGAAGAGAAGCATGTTCAGCGGATGCAGAAGAGCGAGACGACGCACATAAAGCAGCTTGATGAACAGAAAGCGAAGCATGCGGAACAGCAAAAGGTTACGAGAGATGCAGTGGACAAGAAGCTTTCACAGTGGCGGATCAAGCTAAACGAGAAAGTTACTGAGGCCCATAGGAAAGTCAATGAAGCTAAGGCATCGGAGAGGGAGATCAAGAAGGAATGTACCGAACTCACGAGACAGCTCAAAGACGAGCAAAAGGCGGAGATCGACAAGTGGAAGCCGGAGACGAACGCGGCATTGAAGGAGAAGTTGGCGAAGATTAAAGGGCAGCAAAAGGAGATTCAAAAGCTCCAAGAAGCGGCCGACAACGAGAAGCAGAGGGCCGAGCGGCTCCAAGATGGACTGAGTGGTTTCGAGGAGCAGAAGAAGACGCTTGAGCATATAATCAAGCAAAAGGATGAGAAGGAGATTTATCTTCAGGGTGAGATTAGCACCCGAGAAGCGAGACTTGAGGAGCTACACCAAAGTCACACTACCGAGAAAAGGAATATGCTCGACAAGCTGAAGCACGAAGGCCAGCGTTGGCAGCTGCAATACGACATAGCGCAGGGTTACGGGCACGCTCTTACGCAGCAGCGGCGCGCCAACTTCGACCTCAAGCACATGGTCGCCAGCCGGGAAAAGCGCATTGAGGCTATGGTTGCAGAGCTGAAAACGGCGCAGCGTGAGCTGCGTCAGTCGAAGGTGGAGATAGAGAGCTTGAGGGCTACCGTTGTCACTCTTCAAGCAACGACGGACCCTTCAAGCGGTGGGGCCAGGTTGTCGGAAGATTTGCCACAGGAGATCGCAGGGCTGATGGAAGCGGATGGTGGTGGAGAACAAACGCCGGAGAATGAGGAGATCGAGCAGTTTCTGCCGGGGCTTCTCTCAGCCAGCAAGGACGAGATTGCCTCGCAGTAACGCGGCGAGGGTGCGTGTATGGAGGCCCGTGCACGGTCCCATTGCTCGAGGCATCTGCAAGCTGGATGGGACGAGGAAGAACAAAGACCTGCGTTGAGGCGCAGGCCAAACAGACTACCAGTTTGCGACCATGTTACACACCAGGTATCTCTAGAACGCCAGTGGCGGCATTATGTCTCCAATTGTCACTTCTTGCTCTCTCAGTATCTTAGAAGGCGCGTCCTCGACTGGGTCAATCTCCTTTTGCAACCTTGCCGCCACCCTGTCAGCTTCGTGCCATACTCGCAGCAGATTCCTGCCAACGACTTTCCCAACATCATGCTCCTTGACGCCTTTGTCGAGCAGCATCTGTACGAGGTCCGGGTACTTCTCCACGCCTTCCAGCCCTCTTGGTGTGCTTGGAATGCCGTCGAAGTCGCTCCCCAAACCGACGTGGTCGTACCCTATTAGCCCACCGATATGCATGATGTGCTCCACCACGTGCTCAAGAGTGCTCGTCTCCTCAACGAAGTCTGGCAAGCCGTTCGTGTTGTTGCTCGACTTGCAGCTGACAAAGTCCGGAGCGAAGTTAACCATGACCAAACTGTTGCGCTCCTTGACAAGCTGTAGCACATCATCGGGGACGTTGCGGGGGTGTGGACAGAGTGCGTATGCGCTGGAATGACTGAAGATTGGCGGTGCAATGCTACCATTCCAGCCTTTCTCTGGAGCGCCGCCAAGCACATCTCGCATGGTGTCTATTGAGACATGACTGAGATCAACAAGCATTCCTAACCTATTCATCTCCAAGATCAACTCGTGCCCAGCCTTGCTTACGCCGCCATGGTACGGCTTTGACTTGCCGAATTCGCCATCGACAGTGACAGCGGCAGCATCGGCGTACTTATTGTGGCAATTCCAGGTCAGAGTGCTGTACCTGACGCCAAGTCGGTGATACAGACGCAGTGTCGCCAACGAGTTCCCAATTTGATGCAGACCCTCAATTGCTAATGGCGAGATGAGCTTGCCTTCTCTGTAAAAATTCTGCTCCGCTTCGGCCGCACTTCTTGGCAGAGTGAAGTACTTGGGATACCTCACGGACAGTCGATTGTAAAGGTCGAGCTGCTCCAACGTCGCTTTGACAAACGGGGCATACACCTCGTCAGAGAAGTCGAAACCGTCTGACGGACATGGTACCCAGGCAGACCAAAAGGCGCCTCCCATGTGGCCAGCATCCAGTTTGGGAATGTCGACGTGCCCGTACAGTCCACCCTCCTCGAATGGCTTGGTGAAGTTCTTCTCGTAGATACGGTTGCCGTACATTGCTCGCACTAAGATTAAGAAATCGACGTGTCCATCAATGAGCGGGTATTTAGAAAGTAAGCTAGCCGCTCCAGTCTGCGTTGTCCACGGCAAGATGCCAATCAATAGGCCTAGAGTTCGGAGGAGCAGAAGCAGAGCCAGTATTACACCAGCGATGGCCAGCGGAAACCGTAGCCTTCGCACGGGCTTGTTGACCGCTGGCTTTGCATACTGCACACCGTCCAGTGTTCGGTTAGAGAGAAGAGGCTTGTGCTCCATTTCGTGCACCAGCTAATCAACCGCCGATGCGGAAGACAGGCAGCGAAAAGGTCAGAGATCACTATAAACTTACATGTGGGCGGAATAGGCTGAGGACAACAGCTATAGATAACTTATCGGCTTAACAAGCAGGGCGATGATCGCGTCGGAAGCGGAGCTCGAAAGCTGCGCCCAGTCACGTTGCTACGGCAGGCTAGACCGTGCAGTGGACGTCAATGGCATCGCTTCAAGGCGACGATTGATCCAAGCGATGGTGCGGAATATCACCACAACCGTACTGCAAGGTGTCAACCGGTACGCCAATATGGCACTCATATCAGCCTACACCATTATACGTGCGATCTCGCTTTTCCACATGACCGCGGCCTACTTCTTCCTCGTAACGCCGAAGACCATTGTTGACCAGAACGTTGTCTTCATCCTTGGCGAAGCCATGAAGCTGGTAGGTGGAGCACCGTATGCCGTTGCTGTGACCCCCTAGCTGATTTCTTGAAGCCCCATGTTACTTCCATGGACAAACCCAGCGAAGGATCTGCCTTCATAGCGGTCATTCTCGCGCTGCTTGGCGTCTCAGATCTTACTGCTGCGAATATGACGGAGGAGGTAGCGCTTCAGTATTGGCTTGCAAACGTGCCAGTGCGCCTCTGTTTCTTCTTCGTGATCTCGGGTTACGCCTACTTGTTCAAGGAAGGTGGCACTTTTGGTTCCAAGCAAGCATATGGAGACAGTGTCGGCGAACCTTTGCAGAACAGTCTCGTCTTCGCCTGGGGCTTCCTAGAACTAGCTGCTTGGTTCTGGGTACGTATCTTCAGCGCGGACTTGACATGTCTACACGTGACTGACTGGCACAGATCTTCACAAGCTTGCGGGAGGAGCGACGTCAACTTCAGCAACGCCATCTAGATCACCTAAAGGCAGAGCAGGACAGTCTCTAGTTTGTTTACAAGTGCTACTAGCCATATTATTGAAGCGTCCTCCCCAAGGCCTCGCTGTATTGCGGCCACCATATGTAACACACCTTCAGCAGCAATGACTCGTACAGCTCGCTACTACTCAAGGTATGCTGCTCTTTCGGTAGGCAGTGGACCAGGAACACAATGTAAAACCTCGTTGACGCCTATCAGGGTTGGATGCATTGGCCTAAATTGCGACATTTGTTGTGCAAGCGAATAGATCTGCGACAATCCAAGGCCTTGCGCGGGGCTACATTGATTCATGGTCGTAATGCGACCGAATGTCTTCTCTTCGGCAACGTTCAATCGCAAGCTCCTGAAGGGTGTACGGCTCCATGAGGCTTCCAATGTCCAAGGTGTTACAGCCTTAGAACAGAGCTCAGGTAGCCCCAAACAGCGAAGGTCGTTCTGGGAATGGTCGGGGGAGCTGAGGCCCGGTTCAACCAATCAACATCCGCCGTGGCTTGGCTAATTTTGTCCTACATCCCCTCACTACGGGATAGCTGCAGGACTGCGCCCAGCCTCAGCCATGGTGTGTTCGCTAGGTAGACGACACAGCCGTAGATACGAACTGATATATCGCTTACGGTAGTTGTAAGTATCAAAGCTTCCCTTTCTCATCCTTCTTCTCCAACGTCTCTCAATTTTACCGTGACAAAAACAGCCTTGCGGCAGCCATTCGTTGTAACGCGAGAAAGCGAAGCACACCGGACCTTCAGAAGCACCACTACACTGCCCTGCCACAACTACAGAAGTCGGAAATCAAGCGAGATGCAGGAGAAGATTTGGCTTAAGAGGGTCTTAATCCCGATATGGGTGATTGAGATAATCTGGTTTATCGTCATCGCCGTCTTTGCTGGCATCGACCTCTTTGTTTATGAGGAATACCTGGACGGTGAGGATGCATACGTGGTTGAAGTGTTGGAGTGAGTCCGAGCTGTCGATACTTCAGCTGACGTCGCTCCGCTAACTTCGGCGCAGTATCGCTGCGGTGGTCCTTCTTGCGGCTGCAGTCATTTCGATCATCTTCAGGATCACAGAGATTGCGCTCTTTGCGCGGCACAGGCTTAGCCCGGTGGTGTATTTGGTGCTTCATTGCATTCCGGGAGCATTTTGGATCTTTGTACGGACAGACCGAAGGCTGCATCAGTTGCCTCGGGAGATGCTAATCGTGACTTAGATCTTTGTTGCGGACATCGTTGAGGCTGTCCAAGGATATCAGTCTGGCATCACATTCGTCTTCTCAACTGTGCTCTTCCTCACAACCCTCGCCGCGGTCATTTACGGCTCGATAGTAGTACACCGGAACCGCAAGGGCACCCAGGGCCGAGGTTACTACGCGGGTGTCGAAGCTGGTACGTCGACGGGCTACATCGCTCCAAGCTATGAAGATCAGACTCAAGGCCGCTACGAGCCATACGCCCATCAAGGCACTGCTCCAACCGCGCAAGGTCTTGCGCCCAATCCGTTCCGGGACCAGTCCCGTGAGCCGTCACCGGCGCCGTCAGCATCACGACTGTCGTACACAACCGCACCACCGCCATCGGCAGCTCATCCAGCATACAGGAAGAGTGGTGAGGCGGAGACGTACTACAATGGTGAGGCTGCGCAGCAATCGTACGAGATGCAAGGTATTGCATACAAGCCTACCTGAGAGGCAGGCACCTGCTTCGGCTTTGATGGATCGCGTTGGCACTTGAATAGAGGCGTATCGTAGATACCATGACGAGGCATGACGGTGCTGTAGCGTTCGTAGCGGGCAGCGTTCGTTGTATGGTCAACTTGCACAAACCGCTAGTCGCGCCTTGTTGGTATATCAATGACGAACAGCACCGCCAAATGAGAGCGTGATCCAATGCGCCGCCTTGCGCAGCTCGCGCGTCGAACCTTTAGATGAAACCGCATCGTCGGCCGTTTCCGGCTCTGAGACTCAAACACGTTGGCGCGCAGCCTCGGATTCATGGGCCTCTTTCTTGGGTCAGCACTACACGAAGTGTATCCCCATGACTCGTTTTAGGAAAATTGTTGTGTGAGCAGCCTGTGAGCGGTTCGCATCATCACGAATGTGTGATGCTGTGGCATCGACGCTGCAAACTACACTGGTGGCTGGGAAATCGCTTCCATGACACCGTGAGTTCTCACACTCAAGGTGGAAACGCGACTCATTGACAGATCTATCCCAAAATCATTGGGCATCACGACCATCTGGGCCGCCGATGCATGGGTCATGGTGCCCGAAAAAAGCGCAGATCACTACCTGTACCGACCTTGAGCTACGGTCGGGTAGGGCGAAAGGACACCCGAGGACCGTTCGAATTCGACGGCACGGCCCAACTCCTGGGCTGACAGTGGGAGCGCTCTGCTTGCGGCTGCGATGTCGACCCAGCTTGATCGGACAAAGTGATAAAGGACGCAAGCAACAAAGGCGGCCCACTCTTGGCATCTTCTGTGCTTTGACGGCTTCAATATGGCTCACTAAGGTTCATTACGTGGCACCGCAGTAATTTCAGAGTTTCACGCAGAGCGTAAGACGATTACGCATGGAGAGTCTCGGTGGCTTCGTATCACCGCGATGCCATATGAAGGACAGTTCTAACATCGACGCTTACGATGCTGAATTAACATAATGGTCATGGATCTCTTAAGGGTCCGTCCCGACTCTGCTAGGTACCCATGAGACGGCCATACCGCCGTAGTCGATGCGCGGCAAACTTCCGTAAGCGATGCATACGGCCTTCCTACTCTGATGCCCAAGCCCCAACCTGGTCTTTGTTTTGGGCTTCATCTTCGGGGGTGTGTCTGAGAATACCCACCTCAGCACTGGTTTACTACGGTCCGGCCGCAAAGATGCTCTACGCTTCTCGCAACCCTTTGTGCGATCCGAGTGTTTGATTGATGCTTTGGAGCCTTACATTTCCATTTGTTTTTGAACGTGGGATACCATTCAGATGGTTTCTGTTTCCGCCGTACTTCTCCAGCATTTGTACTTCCGCTACCGCCTTCCACAATGTACTTACACTGAATGAACAGGCAGAATCATAGGACTGGCAGGTCAACGCAAATGCTTCTGTGCCCTTGCAGAACTACTTGAAGTTAGTTGACACACACGGGATGAACAGAGGAGCGCTGGATCTCTCCCCAACAAGGTACCGTCGAGCCGGAGGCTTACCGCCCGGAGCGATTCCAATCCGCCTAGAGGATCCACTGGCCAGACAGTATGAGCTCTCATACATTTGCACAAAAACTTCGGGTAGATCGCGACTGAAACGACACAGACAAAGACTTGATAGGACCGGTCAAAGAGACCCGTGGTTGGTCGAACAACCGACTCCAGCCTTCAAGTATGCATTGTTGCCGGTCAAGCTGGTAATGCACACTCACAGTGATCGCAGTTACGGATCTTTCAGAACCGACGGGACAGAAGGCGCACCACCCACGTACGGTGACCCTTCGCAGACTAGGCTTTGGTCTCGAGAAGCATGGGCAGATCGACAACCGCGCGAGTCTACGACATCTTCAACAGTCTCTGCATGGGCGACACCTTCGAGTATGGACCCATATACTCCAGGCTCGAGACCACTATCAGGCGATCTGAGGCCACCAGGAGCGCATGGCAGCTGGCACGGACCCTGGCAAGACCCGTTACTGCATTGCTCCTCCCCCAATGAAGACAGATCAATGTACACCGCAAGTGGCTACTATGGCCAAGAAGCTTCATCGGGTTCAAGCAGCCTTCGTGGAAGCATGCATGCGCAACGAAGGCCCTCGAACAGAGACGAGTTTGACGGTCCGTCACAACTACTGGACAGACCGACGGGTGAAGAAGGTTATGAGCCGCAAGAGGAGGACCTACCGCAGCTTCCGACTCATCTCCACAGCCACGAGCAGGATGAAATCTTAACGAGAGTCAACGACAGGCTGTCGCAATGTGCGTTTGATTTTGTGGCAAGGTATCAGTTTCCGATACCCGTCGAGCCAGACAAGCGACCTGTGCGCGTGCCAGGCGACAGAGAGTGGTCAGAGTGGGTGTATCTGCTGAAGCGACTGGCGACCAAGCGGCGTATACCGGCCCGTGTGCTATACAACAGTCAAATCAAGCAGTTCATTACCGTTCTCGAAAATTCGCTCGAGATGCGACACGCCGCTAAGCACACCTCACGGCCGCAGAAGGACGACCGTAACATATTGCAACTGATTAGCTCTGGCTTGCAGGTGGCGAAGATCATCAAGGACGCGCCGGCTATGAAGTATCTTGACATGTTGTATGTCAATACCGAGTCGCTCATCCAGAGCAGGAAGCTGCCTGTTCCAAGCGCTTGATGCACAACATAAATATAGCTCACTAAGACGAGGCTCGAGAGATCATACATGGCTGATCAACCAGTCGAGACCCTTCACCACTGCCTGCCATTTGGGTCCTGTATCGGTAACGCCTACCATGGGCGGTAGATCAAACATATGGCCAACGCCGGGCACCACAACAAGCTGCGTTCCAGTCATGCCCACAGCTTCCATATCCTTGACAGCTCTTTCTCCGAGCTGGAGGTTACTGCCGGGCACGTTATCCGCATCGCCTTGAACGATCATCACGGGTGGCCAATGTTGATTCAGGCGGGTTAGCGGGTCCAGCAGGTGGTACTCTCCATCCGGCTGTATCGTTCGCAGCCATTCCCCATGCTTTAGGACATGCATCTGCCACTTGTTGCGGGGTTGTGGTATCGTACCTGGCGCGGCCAGTGGAGCCTCTGCAAGCTGGAGACCGGCAGGTTTGATCGCGGCCCACTCGGCTTCATTAGGAGAAAAATCAGGCACCAGCCCAAACGGCGGCGCGGAGGTAGGCTGATGTGCAGACGTGTGTACATCAGCCACATACAGCGACGGGTAGAATGCCGTTACTGCCTTCAGCTCATGGCAGCTCGCAATATGCATAGCAATCGTTCCTCCCGTGGAGTGACCAAGAGCGACAACTCGTTTAGGATCAATGTCCACATCATAAACCAGTCGCATGAACTTCGGCAGCATGGAAGTTGCCCAGTCGTAGGCCTCCTCGCAGTCTGCGAACGCTTGCTTGCCGGTGACCTGGGGCGCCAGTCGATAGTTTGGGACAACTACCAGAAATCCTTTAGAGACCAGGTACTCAAGTTGCGGCTTGGGCACCATCTCCGAGCTTCCAACCATCAACCCGCCGCCATGGTATACCAAGGCTGAGTAGTCACTTCAGCAAGTCTCTGACCATCCGAAACTATGGACGACTCACCGATTGGCTTTGTTTCGTTCCTCTCGCCAGACCATGCTATGCTTGCGTGGATATCATTACCGAAGTCGTCTTTTTTGTATGGGATGCGAACACGCTTCATGCTGTGTGTGAACAGACTTTGTCTTAGATCAGCTTGAGTGGTTGATCATGCTCGTTCGTGACACGACAAGAAGCTGACACATGGGTATTGAAGAGCTTATATCCCCATCAAACCGCTTGGGATGGTTGCAGCGCTCTTTCGACAGGTGCGAGCTACTGTTCCTACGGACCATTACTCATAGTGTCACGCAATGGAATGGTTCCGTGACTGTCGAAAGGTGCTTTGTAACATCACTAAAGCCGATGCCGCGCCTAGTGAAGTGTCGCCCTTAACAACGCGATGTGGACATTGAGAGCATGGCCTCTGCTCTCGGCTCGGCCGTAAAGAGGCCCGATGCTCCGAGCCGTACTTCTCCCGCCTCGCGCGTGACACTTTTCCTCGCTGACCCTTCTGCTCTCTGATCTTTACGGAGAACGAGTCAGCAGGCTGACGCCTATTATTGATACTATATCTCGTCCATTGGTATCGGAAGCTGACGATGTGGTTCACTCCTCCCTACGCATTAGACTCTCAGCCCTTGGTCTTGAAAGTTCGAATACCCTATCCCGGCAGTTTTCTTTCGCTCGTAATCTTGATGCTACGCCGTTCGCGGTTTCTGGGCCACAGCGAGTTTGAGCGCACCATATTTCGAACTGAAAATAATGAATGCTCGGTTTCATCGCATCTGAGCGTAGCCAGCAGCGTCACGTTATTGAGGAACTCCTTGTGCGCTTCAGTATGCGATGGCGGGCCGCACAGTTTACTGTATCACAGTTGAGGAGGAAGTATCGAATGCGCACGGCGATCCTACAATCCATTTCTATCGGTGGGTGGTGAGGCGGCACTGCATGCTGGCTAAAGCTAGCACCGTTCACATTGTTTAGCTGTTGACGCGTCGACCGTTAGGTTCTGACATGTCGTACAGTATGGGTCGCCTGCGAAGGGCGAAGGGGAGATGTCTCCGGGATGCAGGGCACTATGTAGTAGGGCCAATCGTGTGCTGCGTCAGTGACTAGACACGTCACGCCAGTGCAGTGCATCGTCAAATCTATCGATCAGGAGCAGCCACGTTAAGGCGCATAACATCTGTTACCGTATAGTCGTGGCGGATATAGCCTGCTATCCGCCGAGAGGGCCACCACTGTCAAGGCGTTGCGTTTTAGGGTGCGGTGGATGAGGCGTTGATTGGCAGTAGCCCTGGTCCGTGCTCCAACGTGGACTCCAGTCTCTCGGACTTGGTTCTGACACGCTTTAACGGCGACCCCATCCTCAGGGCCGATCACAACAAATTCGTGTCTCCATACCCCAGAACGCAGCCGGAAGGCACACAGTGATTGTCTTCAGGCAGCCCGGACAACCCTTTGGCGTGCGCGTTCAGTTCCCAGCCACGCACGCGGCTACGACACACGACGCTGACCGTCGAGACTTCGAGCTACGCGCGATGCGATGACCCTTGGGGACTTTCTATACGACGACAACGTAGGCGGCACTCAATGGAGAGATGGCCGTTCGGCAGGACGAGTCGCCGCTCAGGATGAGTGCAAGCGTTGACGGGCCCCACGACCCCAAGAGCTTCCACGGCTATAGTGGCCCTACACCTCCGTCGCCCTCAAACACCAACAACGCACAACTACAGAATGGGCGGGTGGATGCGGAGGTAGGGGTGTTAGCATCGCAAGCACAGAGATCATACTCCCGCTCGCCAGTCCGAAACCAGCTACGGTCAGCCTCGAATCCGCCGGACGGTGGTAATCATAGTGTGAACGGCATCCGCTCTAATCCAGTGTTGCTGCCCACCAGACAGTCAGGATCGGTCAAAGATATTGCGCACAAGTTTGATCGGGGCGCAGCAGGACCGGATGGTGCGCCCGCTCTGAGGGTGGAGACTACCCAGGAGAGGTATCGAAGAGCGCAGGCAGCCAAGACCGCTTCCCAAAGGTCACCGGAGAGTGCCAGGCTCGACCTTAGCATGACCAAGCTGCAGAAAAGGCGACCCGCTCAGGCCAGGTCACCACAGAGATCACCGCCAACCTCATTTGAAACCTCGTCATCATTCTCCTCCAATGCGACCGTGACGAGCAGCAGAAGCCAGCCGGTCACCGCGACAAGCCCGAGAGCGTCGCGATCGCCGGTCAAGCAGGGCCCGTATCCTAGTGCAAGACCGCTGTTTGGTGAACTTACGGTGGATGGCTGGCATGGCAACTTCGACCTTCCCGGCTACGGCCAGGCACATTTGTCGCAAAGCGCTCAGCGCAGGCAAAGTGATGGCAGTATAGCGCTTGGCCACGGTCGCAGCCAGTCACACCAGGATATGGGCTGGGCACGCGCTGCATCACCGGTCAAGCAGTCGCTGAACCATAAGCGGAGCCGGAGCGAGATGGAGCCGTCCATGAAGTCGATGAAGCCGCAGCCTGCGCCAAGCATGCCGAATCTCAACGCTCAGAACGTGCCGTCGCTGTATCCTACACCGCCAAACTCGGGCAGCCGGAACGTGCTACGGAAGGAATCGCCTGCTTTTCGCAATACCGCCCACAGGCGGCATCCATCCGAAGAGTCGAGCGGTGCCGCAGGGTCACAGACGAGAGCTAGGTCAAGCGGACCGGAACCAAGGAGACTGTCCAAATCACCAACACGACCACGGCAAATACCAAACGGCGGTTCGAATCAATCGAACACCACACCTCGAAACCGATACCAGCCTCCTCCTATGTCAACGTCCAGCCCGCATCAAACGCTCTCCGCCAAGATCTTCGCACCACAACCCAAAGTCTCGCCTCCACTACGTTCGTCGCGGCCGAGACAGCCTGTGAGCGCGGCGACAACATCCGCGAGCCGCGCACGAGCCGCCGACCGCTTCCAGAAGGACGTACCAAAGGACATGCGGAGGCCAAGCGAACAGTGGCTTGGTAAGCCGTATGATGCGCAGAAGGAGCGAACGAAGCGGAAGATCCCAGAGCTGGGCAAGGTAGATTTTGAGGAGAGAAGAGCGCGGATTCAAAAGGCTATTTCGCAGAACCTAGAGAGGGAGAAGTCGAGGGAGAGTCTGCGGTCCCAGTCTCGACAGGCTTCGGGCGAGGCTTCTTCGCCCACCTCCACCGGTGCTGAGGGCGGGGCACGGAACGAGGTAGATGCAACGCAAGCAAATGTCCTCGATGAGGAGACGATGCGGATGGAGTCTGCAGGCAAGCAGAGCGTGCGTGCGCGTGGCTTGAGCGTTGACACGAAAGGTAGGCCGGAACTGCCGTATCAGGATTCGGAGCCGAAGACGACAGAGAGTATGGCCACGGAGTTCGAGGTCGATGAGAGTCCCGTGCTTGGCAAAGAAGCTGAACGACAGTTTGCGGAAGAGGAGCAAGCTGAGCCGGAGCCGGCATATGAGGAACCAATCCTACTTTCTGCGGTAGCGTATCGGCCGCCTCCGGCGAAAGCTAGGACGCCGGAGCCAATACAGACGCAGAATGTCGAGTATGAGATACCAGAAGTGCAGAGCCCGAGTGTGCTCGAAAGCGCTCAGCGAATGCGCCAGCTGAGCGAGTCTTCTATGAGCCACTCCGGCACCGAGTTCGCGGAAGACAGTCCGTCTGGAGAGACGAGTCCGAGTGACATGGAGGATCGATGGGGTCTTGGCCATCGTACGGCGGGTGATCAGGGTTCGATTCGGATAATGCTCGACGAAGATGCCGCGATTGCGTCCCAGCCAGGTCCATGGCCGAAGCATGCAGAGCAGGGCTCTCCGGCCCAGCACAACGAGTTTTCGCAACCCGCTGCGCAGACGCAGCGCTACTCTGAAGAGGCTTACATTTCGAACGGCTACACGGAGTCACCTGTCGATGGAGAAGATGGGTATCCTGACGACAGCCTCCAGGAGACGCCCCGAAAGCATCACTCGAGAGACAGCACGCTTACGCCGGGCAAGACTCAACCACTCGTCACCTATGTGGCGAATGTTGACCAGACCTCCTCTGACGGCGCACTTGCTCAAGCTATGGATCAGTACCAGAAGACGGGGCAGGTTTCGCCGGAGATTTTGGCGTACATTCAAGACCGTAGCGTGGATTTGCAGCGTATTTCCGCTAACGGAGGCTCCGATGGTCTTATGGTGCAAAATCTGCTGGATAGCATTCTCGATCTCACACCCGCTCGTGATGTGCCACCAGTAATGCAGCCGGAGATACTGCAGCCGACGCAGTATGAAATGCCGTTGGTGACGCCCGACACCCCACCGGACGCGGCGATTGCGACAGGCACTGCAGTGGTGTTCAGGAATGTCCATGCGGCGCAGGACGAGGACGAAGACTTCGAAGAGAAGATCCGTAAAGCGGACGAAGCTTGGGAGAGACAGCAACGCGGTGAAGATGCTATGCTTGGCGCGTCGGACGAAGACCGACCTACGCCACCTCCCAAGGACGTAGGCTACACGCCTCGCTCGAGCTCAGTACCGAACAGCGCGACATTCCCGCCAAACATGGCAGAAGGTCTGCGCATCTCGACCGTGGGCGATCACGCTCAAGACGGGCTGGCGCCAAGCCGTGAGATACGAGGAGGGACGCCGGTGAATGAGAGATTGACTTCGCCTCGCTTCGCTCCTCCGTTACCTTCTCATGCACCACCTGCGCCGCCTCCGCCACCGCAGACAAATACATCTTCACCCCTTGCTACTCGATTACCATTTGGCATGCCTGACGCACAGCAAATGTCCTCGTCGTACTCTGAGCGTGGATCAAACGAGCTGTCACCGAGGACGCGTAAGAACCTATGGGGCCCATCTGGATCTTCCCGTCCTTCAATGGACAGTCAGCGGGGTCTTGGCCCGCCGTCGCTGCCTGGCACGCAGTCCATGTCTTCCTTTACAGAGTCTATGCGTCATAACTCCATGGACACCGCTGCGGACAGTCAGACGCGGCTGGTGAAGACAGGTTCACCTGGACCGGAACAAAAACGGTTGATGAAACGACGACACATCATTAAGGAGTTGCTGGATACGGAGAATACGTACCATCAGGACCTGAAGATCATCGAGGATATCTACAGGGCTACGGCTGGCGATCTTGTTACGGCAGAGGACAAGAAGACGCTATTCGGTAATTGTGATGATATCGAGCGCTTCTCGCTGCACTTTTATGACGAGCTGCGTAAAGCTGTCGCGCCGGTGTATGTTCCGCCGAAACAGATGCGTTGGGCCAATAAGCGAGGCAGCTTTTCGACTACGCAGAGTGACGGAACTGGTCAGACTTCGGTGCAAAGCTCCGACAGTGTGGACGAAGAAAAAGACCGCGCTACGACCATCGGTCGATGCTTCCTGGCGAACCTTCAGCGGATGGATCACGTTTACGGCGCTTACCTCAAGAATCACGATGCCGCAAATCAGCGGCTTTCGGCCCTTAAGAACACCTCAACAGTCAAATGCTGGCTGGACGAGTGTCATAACAACGCCAGCGATATTACTTCGGCGTGGGACCTAGACTCTTTACTCGTCAAGCCCACCCAGCGTGTATCGAAGTATCCAATGCTCCTGACACAGCTGCTCGAAACCACACCTTCTGGTCATCCAGATTACGATGCGCTCAAGTCTGCGGCGAAGGACGTGATCGGCATGCTAACACGTATCAACGACGCCAAGAAGCGCGCCGACATTGTCGACCAGATCATTAACCGCAAAGGCAAGGAAACCGATATGCGCAGCGGTATCGCCAAAGCTTTCGGCCGGCGAACGGAGAAGCTCAAGGAGCGCGTCGGCATTGCTGAAGCGTTCCAGGACGCGGAGTTTGACGAGCTCTCGCACCGGTTTGGCGGCCATTTTATCAGGCTGCAAATCTGCATGCGCGACGTCCAGGACTACATGCATCGCATTGATAGGTCGATGGAGCAGATCAACAATCTTGCCGCCGGCCTGGAGATGTTCACAGACGTGTCGCAGAGCAGCTTGCCCGAAATCGAAAGTAAGTGGCGCAAATACTCTCTAGCCATCCGCGAAATTACGGCGATCGCCTTCCCTGAGCACAAGGCCGCAGTCCATAAGCGCGTGATCCAACCGATGGTGACGTGCATTCGGCTCCATGACGGCCCACAGAACGCCATCAACAAGCGCAAGAAGCGGATAGTGGACTATGCCAAATGTAAATCGATCGAGAAGCGTGGCGACAAGCCGGACAAGAAGACGCTTGAGGCGTCCGAGATGTATGAAGCGCTCAATGACCAGCTCAAGATCGAGCTGCCGAAGCTGTACAGTCTTACTGCCAAACTAGTGCAAGGGTGCCTCAACTGCTTTGTGGATGTACAGCTCCAGTGGCACAACATGTGGGAGCGGAAACTGCGACCGATATTGGAGGCTGCGGATATCCCAGAGGCCATTGGTCAAATTGAGCCTGCGTTTCGCCCGGACTATGAGCTGGTAAGGGACAGGTTACTCGAGTTGGCGATCTGTAACGGCGCTACACTAGCGGATTCGGCCAATTTCCTGTCACCAGTTAGTACGTTACGGGGTGATTCTGCGGATCAACCGACGCTTTCGAGGCCCCCGACGCTTGACATCGGCAAGAGGACGCTGTCGGTGGGAAGCGAAGCTTCACCCATACCACCGGGCATGAAGCGGTACAGCAGTGGCTATGGTCTCAGCTCAGACGGTGTGCCGCCAGGTCCAGAAGGACGCATAAGGTCGAACTCTGCTCTATCAGCCAGAAACGCGCACGCACAGACACCGGCCTCAATCACCAATAGCCGACCATGGTCAAGCGCGAACACACCAACATCGTCCTTCTCGGGTAGCAGACCTTCGACCGCAAATCAACAAGCGCCTTCATACCAACCCGTAAGACAAAGCGGAGACGACGCACGCAGCCCTCGCCCAGCGTCCGGCCAAACGTACTTCACCGCCCGTCCCGAACCTACTGTTGATCAGCGCTTCTCCGGCCTCTTCTCTTCCGCGCTACCGCCTGACCTGCTTGGCATCTCCGATCCAGCTATTCTCACGCCGAAAGCTCAAATTCCTCCACAGACTCCCACCTTCGACGGGACGGACGCAGCAGAGACGGAGAAGGCGCCAGTGATGTTTGTCTGCGCCAGCCTGTTCGAGTTCAGCATCGACAAGACTCGCAAGGAGGCGGGATACCCATACCTGACGTATGCGCAGGGCGAGGTGTTCGACGTCATAGCGCAGAAAGGCGAGCTGTGGCTGGCAAAGAACCAAGACGATTCGAAGGGGATGCTTGGGTGGATCTGGGAGCAGCATTTCGTTATACTGTCGCATGAGACATGATGGACGGCACGCACCATCATTGATGACTGAGGATACGATACCAACAATTTTCACATGATCAGCGCGTCAGCAACGCAAGATATTTATTTCCGTCCTGATATCATCAAGGCGACGAACACGCTCACGCAGCTTTCCATCAGAATCTGTACAACCAGCGACGGATTACGGCGTCGGATAATTTTCTTGACGGGCGCTGGGGAAAAGTAACTGGATAGATATGGGTATGGATATACATGACTGTATGTGGAAACTGCGCTCGGTGTGGTGCAGCGCGCCAGACAAGGCTAGCATCGTACACAGCGCGGTGATATGTATTATAGTTGAAACGGAGATGTTCTGTTGACAGTTTGCTTTGCTTCCAATCTCCTTGTCTCACAATGTGAACAATGAAGCGACTCAATTGGTGTCGTGCGACGCTCGTGCCTTCCATGCTCGTGAATGCCCCACTTGCCACCCTTCTAGGTTCTCACTTCCCCATTGCCCCTTAGTCTTTGACTCGGACAAGGAGCGCAGTCTGCTGTGACATTTACCTTGTCACTTGCCCTTTCTACTGGCCCCTGGTAAGCTCTCACTCAGTCCAGTGATCGAACCTTCACATTCCCCAGCTGATCTGCAGCGAGGGGCGAGCATGCCTGTCTTCAAAGCTCCAGTCACAAAGGCCGATCGCAAGAAGAACCGTGGCGAATGGGTCGTTCCTGGATACATGCCGGTGGTGTCCGTCAAGCCCAACGACACGCCGAGTGCCAATAGAGCGAAGACTAGATGCCGCTTGCTGGAGCTGCCAGCTGAGCTCAGGAACCGCATCTACGAACATATCTTCTCGCCTCCGTTTATTGTGCTCTTCCGCCGCCGATCGTTGAACAAGCGCCTGAGCAAGCAGCAGGAAGGCAAGGTGCTGCCAGCAAACGTCAATCATTTCGAGGCAAAGCTGGAGCCTCTTTCCAGCGCTGCAGCACCAGTTATCCGCTTCGAACAACTGATGCACGCCAGGAAGGATTACAACGGTGCCAACACTCGCCTTCTTGCTGAAAAGAATTACCCGTTCGCTGGCATTGTCTTGAGCAACAAGCAAATCAGCCAAGAGAGTCTCCCGTATATGTACGGTAGAGAGATCTTTTCCTTCAGCTCCTTCAAGCTCGCTCGATCGTTCATGCAGCACATCGGAAGCATGAATCAGCTGTCCGTGCGGAGAATCCAGCTCCGCCATTCCACGATGCACCGAGGCCAGTCAATCGACTCCAAGCGCTCCGTGGAGAGGTGTGAGCACAGCTTCAAGAGCCTTTGCTGCGAACTTGTCAACTCATTTCCGAACTGTGAAGACATCGACATTGCCGTGAAGGACAGCAATTCCCCGAACAGCATCGTGCCGTTATATGATGAGCCCGAAGAGGTTATTACGCTAAAAGCCATCAGATCTTTGAAATGGTTCTCAGCTCTTGCTCCGTTTGCGAGGCTCAAGCAACTCAAGACCGTGAGTGTCAGCGTGCATGACATGACAATCTCGGAGCTCAATCGCTGGTTTTTCGGCGCAAAGCGCGAGGTAATACAGTACGATCCCGCACTGAAGATTTCCTGCGAGCGGCAGCAGGAGCTGTGCTGCGATCAATGGGTGACTTACCGCGCAAAGTTGTATCGATCCCTGGGCGATACGATTGCAAGACTCATCATGGGTGACAAGGAGCCGTGGAAGGCTCATGCCGAGTTGTTGGAAGAATACCGAGCGTTCTGCTTTACCAGCCTCGAATCTCCGGCGAAGACATTGGCGGATGCGGCTTACATAGCGTGGCGTGCGCGCTGGGTCAAGAAAGACTTCTGGTCGTGAGGGCAAAGCCATTGGCGGCTGGGACGGAGGCTGATGATTCAAGGTCTCTACGGTGCATCGTACCGTTCAGTGCTCAATGGGAGGAGCGCTTGCAAGACCGAACGCTAAGCAGGCACGGCGACTTCACTGTTGAGCTTGGCATACATTCAGCAAGCAGAGCAGACTTAGGGATACTGCTCACCATGACAGACACCTGGCTAAAGCACATCACGTTCAGCAGCACACCATCACTGCTTCTTCACCGGCTCAATACCCTCCTTCTCCATAACCTTCTTCACAAGCCCATACACCTCCTCCGCGCTTTTCGTAGCATCCACCCTCTCCACTCTTCCTTCCTTCTCAAACGTCTCCACAACCGGCATACTCGTCTCCACAAACGTGCGGAACCTCTTCTTGATGGACTCCTCGTTATCATCAGCCCTCCCGCTCGTTTCACCCCTCTTCAACAATCGTTCCCTCATAACCTCTTCGCTCGTCTCAAAGAACAACGTAAATCGACTCTTAACCACCTTCTCCTCAAACCCCAACGCCTGGTCCATCTTCCGCGGAAAGCCATCGATCAAAAACTTATGCTCCCCTTTCTCCTCAATAATACGACCCATAGCATTCTCGAGCAATTGGATCGTGACTTCCATCGGCACGATCTGGCCTTCCTTGATGTAGGACTTGATCATGTCGCCGAACTCACTGCCAGGTCGGTCTTGCTCTTCGCGGAGTAGGTCGCCCGCCGAGAGATGTGCGAAGCCGTAGTCACGCACGAGGCTGGCACACTGGGTGCCTTTGCCTGCTCCAGGCCCACCTAGGACGAAGATGACGAGGGCTTGGCCTTCACCTGTGCCAGGGGAGAAGAGTGGTTTGTCTCGTTTGGGCGCCTGCAGTTGAGGGTGGTTTTGGAGGTCTTCGCCGGTTGGCGGCATGGTCTCGACTACAAGGACGTGTTCTTATGTACTTTCAGCACGGAAGTTGACTGTCTACCGTCGTGACAAAGTCTGATCGCTAGCAGTAGTCCTGGGCCACTGCTTAAGATCCTCTGGTGCCTTCTCCGGTGTCACGAAGCCTGCTTTTCCAGTGCCTTCCCGTGACCTGGTAAGGTAGTAGAAGGAACCACTGCCAATGCAGAGGATAGCAACAAGCGGCAGAAGAGGGAGTTGGTTGCTGCGGTTTGGTGCAGGTGAAGGGCGATACGAAGTTGCAGGCTTGACCTGCGTTCGTGGGGCTTCGCGAGCAATCGCACTGAGTGTGAAGCTCCGGATATGAGATTGGTAGCTGATAAGGGACCGCACAGGATGCAACGAATGAGATGATAGGCAGGACATGGCGAAGGAGGTTGATGAACGCATGCGATTATGCACTCAAGCTTGCTACAAGCCGTCGTTGCACGATGACGATCATTGCAACCAATCAGAAGCTTCGTATCCAAGCATTGAGCTACTGATCGTCCACGAGCATACATCTAGATACAGCTACTCCAAGCTTATGTTAACAATCTTCACATCCTCCGCCGGCTTCTCCTTATGCACCTTCACATTCTCAATCCCATGCACCACCTCCATCCCCTTCACCACACGCCCAAAGATGGTATGCTTCCCATCCAGCCACGGAGCCTTCTCTGTCGTAATGAAGAACTGACTCGCGTTCGTGCCCGGTCCCGCATTGGCCATGCTGACCATGTATGGCCTATCGTGCTTCAACTCAGGCGTGATCTCGTCCTCGAACTCCTTGCCCCAGATACTCTCGCCGCCTGTGCCATCCCCGAGCGGGTCACCAGTCTGAATCATAAATTTGCGGATTACGCGGTGGAAGATGATGCCATTATAGTAGTTGTTGCGAGAGTGGACAGTGAAGTTCTCAACTGCTTTGGGGGCGTGCTGCGAAAAGAGACGCAAATGTATGTCGCCCATGGTAGTGTGGATGGTTGCTTCTTTGGCCATTCGCGAGTTGCGCTCTTCGGCTTCCGCTTGCTGTTTAGCAGCGAGGCTGAGTGACTTCGGCTTCTCGTTATGGATGTCGCGATCTGATTTGGAGATTTGCGTCTCGTTGCTAAACATATAGAAGCGGACCTTGCCGGAGCCCGTGGTAACAAGCATAGCATCTCGCGCCTCAGCTTCGGCGAGAAGAGGATTGTCCGAGGCGGCCATTTGCACGGTCACGACGTCTTTCCTCTTTGGTTGGCCTTGGAACAGCGCCAGATTGAGGGGTCGGAACGTTTCTTCGCGGCCGTAGAGCTTGACGACACGGTTCGTGAGCGTGTTAAGCACCTTCGTGCCGAGTATGCTGCCATATAGGATAAAGTGTCCGCTCTCGTCGAACACGACGTTGAGTCTGCTTCGCACAGCCGGATACTGCTCAAGTTCTCGCTCAACTGCTATACGCCTGCCGAAGTCAACAGCCTCCATTGGCTCGTTACTAAGCGTACCGGCTTGCTGCATGTCTGTAAGCGTCTGTATACTCTCATCGTATGTGCGGTACAGCTTGCCAGAGACGAAATCGAATACGCGCACTTTGCGGTCTGGAAACGAGAAGGTTGCAAACTGTGTCCCCGTCGGAGAGATCGTGATGGAAGAAGGCGTCGACTTTGCACGCTTGAACTCGAAGAGGGAAGTGGTACTCTTCATGTCGAAGACATTGTTCGGCTTCTCGTAGCTGCCGGATGGCCGCCAGTATTCAACCATGCCGCCCTCATCCGCAGAGATCACACAATCGTATGCGACGTTGTATGCCATAAGATGGACCGGCTTGCGATGCAGTGCCGATATGGAGTGTATCGGCTTCTGATTCTCGCCTCGACCGTCGAGAATGTCGATACGTCCATCCGCCTCACTCGACAATGCCAGTAGTGGATATGACGAGCCATGGCCATGTACAAAGCATGCACACTTAGGTGGCATCTCCGGCTGTAACACAGCAAGCAAGTCAAATGTTACAACATCGAAGATTTTCACCGTGCCGTCTGCGCCCACTGTCGCATAACTCCTGCCGTCCACGCTAACGGTGGCATTCTTGATCTCGCCATCGTGCGCCTGATACTCCTTCACGAACTCGATGCCACCAGCGACCTTCTTCCAGAACTTCACATACCCGTCCACGGAGCTCGTAATTAGGAAGTCCGTATGTGGTGTAAAGGTACAGAACGCTAGTTGATCTTTGTGCATCAACGATTTGTAGTAGCGTGTTGCAGTCGGCAGAGCAGCGATATATTGCTTCTCGTATGGTAACTTTCTGCGCTTCTTCTTCCTCGGTGCCTCCGCAGAGGGTAGCGCTGGGCCAATATCATCGTCGTCCGACTCTTCTTCCACGTTTTCCTTCTTCACATTGCCATCTTCTCCATTGCCAAGCTCATCATGAGGCCGTTTGATGCCCTGCGACACAGACTGTTCGCTTTCAGCAGCCATTATATGTTGTTCAGTACAATTTGCCCGTCTCGTCCCCTCGGAGACTGCCTCGCTGTTTGATGCGCCGGCAGCTAATGCAGCCCTAACCGTCGCCCACAGAGCCGCTCACGTCAGGATCTTGGAATCCGCTTCCGAAAGCTTATGAGACTAACTAGCGCCAGAGGTTTCCATCGAGTCGGGCGATGAGTCGACAGTCGCCACTGCTTAACATGGTACCCTCACGCAACAGATTCCTCACAAATCCACTTCCTTACCCACTTACTTGACCGCTACCAAGTGTCTTGTTTCACGTTGTTCTATAAGGTCAAATTTGTGAAGACCTTATTCTCTTTGCTGCTTGAAAGTAACTGTTTGCTGTGCATCAACCGCACGACATTCGTTGATCATCCATTCCAAGACGTGTTCGGTACCCCAGATCTACTTGCCGGCTACACCTTGTCGATGGAAGCGACACCGGCGATTGCGGCACCTCAGCAGCAGCACATCCCGTCTAGAGAGCCAGCAACATCCAATCGCCACCGAGGTCGAGGTCAAGGGCGTGGCCGAGGCGGCTCTTCCTTACATTTCCGGCCTGCATCCGTCGTGCCAAACCAACAGCATGTCCCGAATGGCGCAGCACATACGGACAGCTCTGCAGACGAAAGTGGGCAACCGAATCATCACCACCAACGCGGCAGAGGCGGGAGACCACAGCAGAATCGAACCGTCAACGGACGTCAATTCGGCGGGCAGCTGACGCAGGAACAATCTTCGACACCCACGACTAACGCGAATGCAACCCATCTTCAGGCAGACGCAGTAGTGTTTGTCCCAGGACAAGCACCAGCGAATACCGCCGCTCCAAGGCAACAGCAACCGAGGCAACCAAGACCGCCTCCGAAACGGCCACCAAAGTCACAGGCACCCGACATCGCCACACGGACTCATGAAGACATTGACAACGGCTACTACGAGTGCGCAATTTGCACCGTTGAGGTGCAGCGCAAGGCCAAAGTCTGGGCTTGCCACACGTGCTGGACCGTCTTTCACCTGAGCTGCATCAAGAAATGGTCCACGAACGAAGGCTCTACTGTCACTCGGCAGCAGGCTGAAGGAGATGCAGCCCCGCCACGGCAATGGCGCTGCCCAGGATGCAACTTGCCGAAGGACGAACTGCCGTCGAACTACACTTGCTGGTGTGGCAAGGAGTTCGAGCCGCGGGCCCCAAGTGGTGTGCCGCCCCATTCTTGTGGGCAGACTTGCGGCAGAGAGCGCGCACGAAAGTGCCCACACCCTTGTGAGCTTACATGTCATGCTGGACCATGCCCGCCTTGCTCGCATATGGGACCTACTGTCATGTGCTTTTGCGGCAAGCACGAGACTACGAAACGATGCTCCGAGACCGACTACGATGACGGATGGAGTTGTGGGGAAGTTTGTGGTGAGGTGATGCCTTGCGGTGAGCACACGCATGAGGAAGCGTGCCATGAGGGTCTTTGCGGTGCATGCGAGGTGAGGGTACCAGCTCGATGCTATTGTGGACAGACGGAGAAGGCTTTGATGTGCTGCGATCGGGGCGAAGAAATGGAGAGTCATCGCTGTCACGTTGCCGGAGATGATGAACTGTTAACAGAGAGCTGGACTGGAGCTTTCGACTGTGGCAGCACATGTGGACGGCCTTTTGACTGCGGTGTGCACGCATGCGAGAAGGCTTGCCATGTGCAGAACACGGAAGCCTCTCGCTGCCCGCATTCACCGGATCTTGTCACGCACTGCTCCTGCGGCAAGACTCCGCTCTCAGATCTGACGGACAAAGCACGCGAGAGCTGCGAAGACCCAATCCCTAGCTGTCGGCAGCCTTGCGGAAAGCTCTTGTCATGTGGTCACAGATGTCCTGCGATTTGTCACACCGGCAACTGTCCGTCCTGCAGGCAGGTGATAGACATAAAGTGCAGGTGTGGAAGAACATCATCGAAGTCAATTTGCCATCAAGGACACGAGGAGCCGCCGCAATGTATGCGTGTATGCCGCACAACGCTCAATTGCGGGCGACACGCATGCGACGAGCGATGTTGCACCGGTGAAAAGAAAGCGGCAGAGCGGCAGAGTGTTAAAAGGAAGCAGCGACCACTGCACGCAGCGCCAAGGGCTGTCGATGACGGCTTTGAGCCCGAGCACATTTGCACTCGTCAATGTGGGAAGCTGCTCAAGTGCGGCCAGCATTACTGCGAAGAGCTCTGCCACAAAGGCGCATGCGGAACCTGCAGAGAAGCCGTTTTCGACGAAGTGAGCTGCCATTGCGGGCGTACGGTGCTGCAGCCACCTCTACCCTGCGGCACTAAGCCACCACCCTGCCGCTGGCCGTGTACGCGACCGAAGGCTTGTGGGCATCCTCAAGTAGCGCACAACTGCCATGAGGACAATGAAGCATGCCCGAAGTGCCCATTTCTGGTTGAAAAGCAGTGCATGTGCGGCAAGCACACCCTCAAGAATCAGCCGTGTTGGCTGCAAGATGTGCGATGTGGCGGAGTTTGCGGGAAAAGGCTCCGGTGTGGCTATCATCATTGCCGGCAGCTCTGCCATAGGCCTGGTAGTTGCGAAGACGCAAACGGTCAGCCGTGCCAGCAGCCATGCGGAAAACCGAAAAAGGTCTGTGGCCATCCGGATGAGAGCCTGTGCCACTCACCTTTTAGTTGCCAGGAGGACAAACCCTGCCTAAGCAAGATGTTCATCACCTGCGCTTGCCAAGCCCAGAAGCAGGAGGTGAGGTGCGGTGCATCGAAGTCGAGCGATGGTAACATTAACAAGACTTTGCCCTGCAATGAAGACTGCGCCAAAATGGAACGGAATCGGAAGCTGGCGTTAGCACTCAACATCGACCAGTCCACGCATGTGGAAGGAGGAGATCATGTGCCATACTCAGTGGAGACGCTCAGCCTCTTCGCACAGAAGCCTAAATGGGGACAAACCCAAGAGCGCGAGTTTAGAGTCTTCGCCACCTCGTCGGACGAGAAGAGACTTCGCTTCAAGCCAATGAAATCACAAGAGCGTGCCTTCATCCACGCGTTGGCTGAAGACTTTGGGCTTGATTCCGAAAGCATGGACCCGGAGCCTCACCGGCATGTGATGGTCTGGAAGACGCCTCGCTTCGTCTCTGCGCCGAGCAAGACGTTGGCAGAGGCGTTGCGTATCCGCAAAGCACAAACGTCGGCTGTTACCAGCGCGAACGGGTCCGACAACGAGGGCGCGTCAAAGGTGGTGAAGGCCAGCAATACCACAGGCGAGCCGTACAACAGCTTTCTGATCAGCAATCCGCGGTTTGGACTGACGGTGGATGAGCTGAGAAGCGATCTCAAGGACGTCGTCCACCCGGGCTCCTCGTTGACTTTCGACATCGAATTCTTGCCAAGCGAGGAGGTGGTGCTGAAAATCTCCAACCCTACAATCACCGCTCAAAGTCTGCAACAAACATTGTTGGGCCTCAGGCCTGCCGTCGCTGCGGTGGTTGCAAGCAAAGGCTATGGCACGGCTCAGCTGTGCACCACAGACAGCTCGCTCAACATTCTCCGGCGTGAGTCGGATGAGCTTTCCGGAGACGGCTGGTCGAAGGTTGCTGCCAAGCGGGCGGCGCCGAAGATCGTGACGCAGACTGGCGGATTCCGTGGCAGTAATAGCTTTGCAGCGCTGAGCGGCAACAAGGTCACCTTCGCGAAGAAAAAGCCGGAGAAAGCCGTGAAGCCGAAGAAGGAGGTCGTGGTGGACGATTGGGAGGAGGCGGAGACAGTCGAGGAGGAGAAAGAGAGGGCTAGTGGTGTGGAAAGCGGTGGGGAAGGCGATGCGATTGGGAAGAGGTCCCCTGGCAGTATGCCAGAGCAGCGTGCTGACGACGTTGGATCTTCGACAATTGAAGTGAAGGCTTCGACTGTCACGGAACCGCAACCGAACGAACCGGTGGAAGCACTCGACTGGGCGGACCAAGTTGAGCAATCCTTGTCATAGGAGGATTATCAACAAGTTCAACCTTGATGTAGAGACTTATATACAAATACGTGCTCCCATGATCGCATAACGTCCTACCCATTGAGAGCATGCAAGATGATCTTCTGATAACCATCGACAGCCTTCCATAACTGGCTCTCGAGTATGGTCTCGTGGTCGCTGTGGGCGACAAGGATGCTGCCAGGCCCGTACAGATAGCGCTTCTGCTGCTTGGTCAAGTTAAAATTTGGTATATCGGTCCCGTAGTTTACAGTTATAGCATCGAAGCCTGGGACGTCATGATCGATGTCAATAGGACCGTAGCCAGCCGACGGAAAATGGATGTCTACGACATCTTCCGGCTTCATACCATCTTCAAGGAATGATTGCACTGCAAGGTGAACGACCTTGACGACCTCCGCCTTGATGAAGCTTGGCGTGCCTTCCGCGATACGGATGGCCACGCTTGCGGAAGCATCTTGGGCTACGACGTTTGCAGCGACACCTCCCTGGATCTTGCCCAAGTTGAAAGTTGTTACGCCGTACTTATCGCTCTCCGGCAGGTTAGCACTTAGTTCCATCAGCCCTGCCAGGACTTTGACAAGGACCTCGATAGCGCTGCGTCCAAGCCAAGGGTAGCCGCTGTGGGCAGCTTTCCCTTTTGCAGTGAGTTGAACCATGAGATTGCCCTTGTGGCCGGAAACAAGCTTGCCTTCTGTAGGCTCGCCGAAGACGACTGCTTGTGGCTTCAAGCTCAGTGCATTGGCAGCTCGCATGCCGTCGCCACCGATCTCCTCACCAACGACGTACAACAAAGCGACATCATCCGGGCTTATCTTGCCCTCGGAGAAGAGCTTGTTGACGGCAATGACCTGTGGCGCAACACTGCCCTTGGCGTCTACGGAACCGCGGCCGAAGATGGTCGCGTTGGTTGTGCTGTTATCGTACTTGTACGGGTAGAAAGGGGGTACCTACCTTGCGTCTCAGCCACCGCAACATACCGACTGATCGAAGGGATTCTCTTACCGTGTCGATGTGGCTTGAAACAAGCACTCGTGCATCTTGAGCTGAAGCACCTGGCCAGGCAAGTACGTTGAAGCGAAGAGGCTCCTCTTCTACCACTTGCTTCTCCACACTGTAGCCTTGAGCCTCGAGAGTCGCCGCTAGCCATTCGCCGACGTGCTTCTCATTGCCGCTGATGGACTCTATCGAAGTCAAGTTCCTGTGTAGGCCAATAAGATCGCGCGTCAAGTCGAGATGCTTCGCATGATGCCCGAATACAGCCTGAACAGGTTCATGCGCTCTGGTGACCGCAGCGACTGCGAGCAGTGCAAACACACCCAAGACTTTCATGTTGATGTACGTTATCTGAAACAGATCAGGTTCGATAGACAAGCTGAGGCAGAGCGGATGTCTCCGTCATGCATGCAGGGCACTCTCTCCCGGCCAACCGTTTGACGCGACACGCGGTTGTGATGACACGCTTCTCAATTCGATGGATTGGCTTGATAGGAAAGAGTCTCTCGAAACAGTGAAACATTGCTTGCTTGGTTAGGTGGGAAGGGCATGCCTGGACTAGATCGAATGTAGGGGTGACCGTCTATGCACCATCCTTAGCAAGACTTGCAATGCTCCTTCTTACGGAACGTTCTACGTTAACGGAGCTACTACGATCACAATTAGCGAGATGATCGTTCAAAAGAGGAAGTGATGACAGTGCTGGCCAGACTCATCTCCCCTAATACATACCACCATTCTGGCTATCTAACAGCTGGCGCAGAAACATGGCTGGCACAATGTCTAGCTCTTCGGTGGACCCGGAGACTCTGTACACCAAGCAAGCATGCATAGGTGGAGGGAGTTTTGGCAAGGTGTACAAGGGCGTGGACAAGCGAACAGGCCAGTCCGTGGCGATCAAGGTTATTGATGTTGAGAACGCGGACGATGAGGTGGACGACATCATACAGGAGATATCTATCCTTGCCGGCCTGAGCTCCCCATATGTGACCAAGTACTACGGCTCGTATCTCAAGGGCAGCGATCTATGGATCATCATGGAGTTCTGTTCGGGAGGCAGCTGTGGAGACCTCCTGAAGCCAGGCTTGATACCGGAGGACTACATCTGCATCATTGTGCGAGAGTTGTTGATGGGACTGGAATACCTGCACGGTGACGGCAAACTGCATCGTGATATCAAGGCTGCAAACATACTGCTAGGCGCGAATGGGCAGGTGAAGCTCGCGGACTTCGGTGTATCCGGACAGCTGACCGCTACGATGACGAAGAAGAATACCTTCGTCGGCACACCGTTCTGGATGGCTCCGGAAGTTATCAAGCAATCTGGCTACGACCACAAAGCCGACATCTGGTCTCTTGGAATCACCGCTCTGGAGTTGGCACAAGGTGAACCACCATACAGCGACATACATCCCATGAAGGTGCTGTTTCTGATTCCAAAGAACCCAGCACCGACACTGGAAGGCAACTTCAGTAGAGAGTTCAAAGACTTCGTTCACCGATGTCTACGCAAGGAGCCGAAGGAGCGGCCAAGTGCGAGAGAGCTACTCAAGCATCCGTGGGTGCGGAGGGCGAAGCGGACAGCATACCTCACAGAGCTTATCGAGCGGCACGAGCGATGGCAGGCCACCAGCCGCAGCGAAAAGGATCGCGAAGACGACTATGAGCGCGAAGCTTCGCCCGAGCGCAACAGCGAGGACGAAGATCTTTGGGACTTTGGTACGGTAAGACCAGCCGGTCGGCGCGTAAACGGTGGCGGACTCAGAGCAATGAACGATTCCGGCATGAACGCACGAGGCTCGCACGTACAGTCCTCACCCACCAAACGATCAGTTTCGAACAAGGAGAACTTGTCAGAAGACGGCGAAGAAAACTTCAACCGTGGCACGGTAAAGGGCGGAATGGGCCCACCACCTCTACCGAACACACCTTCACCGACCAAGCTCACTCAGCCCCTACCTTCACCTAGCGCAGCGGCGAAGATACCTTTACCACAGACACCGACACGTAAACCGGTGGCATCTCAGCAGCCTGCGGCGCGAACACCACGGCGGGAGGAGGTCGAGGAATCACCGAAGCCTCCTGCTACTCCGCTATCGCCGCGATTACTCAACGATGACTTCTTGCAACAAAGCATTGCCAGTGACATGTCGCAGTACATGAAGAGCTTGCAGATCCAAGACACACCGTCAACCCCACCGAAATTGCACGCGACGTCGCCAGCGGCTGGGGTGCTTGGCTTAGACGGTCATATCACCCCTCGATTCTCGTCAGAGGAGCGACAAAGTACAAACAGCCAAAGCTCAAACGCACTGTACCAAAAGCCCGTGCCGGATCTGGCGCCACAAGTTGACCGATCCACAGCACGACCCTTACCGCATCAATTACCAAGCGAGCAGCGGTCCCAGACGGAAGGTAATCCGGCATTGAGAGCACCACCGCGCGAGACCACATTGCCGCCACATGCGCGGCCGAACCATAATTCGCCATCCCAGCAGCAACTTCAGCATCAGCTCCAACACCCAGAGCAAGCCGTTACAGCTCTCAACTCTGTAGTTCTGCCAGCCCTAGAGGCGGCGCTCCATCGGCGGAGTTACCAGCTCAGCTTGCTACAAAAGCAGGCCAACACTTCCCAATCAAGCCGCATCAATGGCGCAAACGGCGTTCCAACACCTTCGCCGGAAGACCTGGCACTCAAACGACAGACTCACGATCAAATTCGTAAATGCATGGCCAGGGTGTCCAAGCTCTTCCGGGAGATCGACCACTGGGACAGTGTCGCGCCGGTCAGTATGGGTGACGGCGTGGAGGGAATGCTGGAAGGTTTTCTGGAAGAGGTGCTCTGCCGGGTCGAAGCAGAAGATGTATGATGGGCGTTTGATCGAGCATGGGTCGGTCCTGCGCCAGACATCCGTGCTCAGATTGCAAATAGTCGGCCAAGCGAGGCCTGACGCGTCATCGATATCGTTAATGTCGTATATGGCGATACGCCGAATGCAAGTAGCATCGCACGAAAAGCTTTCCCTACAGCAACTCCCTCGCTCTTCGCTTATAGCGTTTCGTTGAGGCTCCAAAGCGCCACGCTATGCCACCACTTACGTAATGCTAGGCGAGAAATGCTCTCAAAGCCCGCAATTGACAAGATTGAAACCCTTCTCTTTCGCCAACAATAACCAATCAACCTGCTCCATGCGCCCGCCTATGCTCGCGACTCGCCTCTGCTCTTCGCATACGGCAAGAAGGAGCTGCCGTGTGCGGTACGTGTTCTGTCCAATGCCGCCGGTCTCCATGACCTTAATGACATCAATGGCCTGAATCTTGACGTCCGGCTGCGTAGTAGCGACTCCTGCCATGAAGATTGGAAACACGAAGTGCCTTTGCGCCATTAGTGTACCACCAACCTGTTCTCCATTTGACAAATGTGAAGATGCTAGCGCGAGAACCGAGACGCATCGACGTTCAGTGTCTGCATGCACTTCGCTTTGGTTTGCCATGGGAATGGTACGCTGCGCTGGGAACATCGATGTTCGAGAGTAGATCACTGCGGCTTGGTAAAGCACATAAGCCTGCGGTATCATTAGCCAGTAGCCACCGCATTTTGATACTCCCTGCACTCACATGTTCGAAGACGTATCGTACTTCGTTCGATAAGTGTTGACCTGCATGCGGCGACTCTGGACTGAGGAACTCAGGATACGAACGCGCCCAGAAGTTGAGCAGCTCATTCTGTAGTCTAGAAACATTTGCCTGCCATCGTGCATGTTTGGTTGGAGACATCCCACCAGTCAACGCTGCCGCCTCTTGGCGACATTGGTATGCTAGCTCAGCTACCTTGACTGTATGTAGTAGGACACCTTCGTCAAGGCGTTGTATCGCCGAAAATGCATCATCTTCGTACTTCAGGTACGTTCCGCTCGATAGCGTGGTGCCTCTCGGAAGCTGCTGGTCCAGTGAAGGGAGCATATTCTGCTGTGCAATGGGTCGTACAAACTCGCAGCTGCCGCCACCAAGCAGGCAGGCGTAGGTGTCGAGCTCACAGATGGACCATAGTAGGTAGCCATGAGGTTCTCGGCCTAGTCGCTGATGTCTTATTATAGCGATGGACCGAAGATGATTGAGATGCTGCACCCACATCACGTCGCTGGTGCCGTCGGTCTCGATGGGCACACAAATGTCGTAGATGAACAGCAAAAAGTGTCGAAGGAAAACGCCGTCGGAGTGTAAGTCATCGGGGCTGGTAGGGGTCGCGACGATGGAGAGAGCATCCTGATAATGCTGCAGGGCCTCTTCCATGGAGCAGCGACCTCTGTAAGATAGGTTGAGGGCGCTTAATGCGCAGATGGCGTGGTGCAGCTTCGCCTGGAAGTAAGCATTTGGCTGGTAGGCCGTCGAGCAAGCATGGACTTACCGGCTTGAAGCGTGCTGCTTCGATCTCGAAAAGGTCCGACAGTGAGCTCTCGTGAGGTGAACTATGGACGAGGCTAGCCACGTTTGGCTGCGTAAGGCGTCTTGCAATGTACTGTCGAAATCTGGTAAGGAGGTGCTCATCAGCGGCGCTTGGTCCACGATCGAGGGGTGCCATCGCGTATGTAAGCGATGACAGCGTCGGCGGCGACGTAATCGAAAGGCGGTGGAAGGCCTCCGGAACACTTGGCCGGCGCGTAGGAGAGCTAGTCGGATAGGACAGCGGTGTTTGTGCCGGAGTCTCTTCGAAGCGTTCTAACACGACCGTATCTGGATCAGAAGAGAAAGAGCTGCCTAGGGAGGCTGAGCCAGACTGCACGCTTGGACGGCGACGTACTGGCGAGGTTGAGGAGACATATTCAGGCAGATCCGCGAAGCTGTCTGGTGTCGCAATGACTGAGTACGTGCCCGGGCGGCGACCCTCAGCTTTGCGCTCCCGGTCTTCGTCCGTGGTCAACCTGGCAAAGGGAGGTAGGTTATCGGTCTGGTGCGGTCGTGGGCTTGAGTTAGAGTCCGAGCGTGCCTCAGCTGCTTTGGGTGTCAGCCTTGCGCGCTCCGCCAACGGCCCAGAATGCGAGATTGGTTGCGCGCTGTTGATTTGGAACTTACGATCCCATATGTGGTTTCCAGTTGTTGTGACGTTGGTATATCTGACTTGAGTACTCGGAGTCGCATCGGTGAACTGACAGGTAATTAGTTGGTTCTCCACCTGACCGCACGATAGTGTTGACGTACGTTCCAGCGGTGTTCCCAATCGCAATCTCTGTTTAAGCGACTGCAGGGCTATTCGTGTATCAGCACGATTGCTTGGTTGTCGACGCGTTGCACTTACACCGCATCTCGGACTGGCGGCGTCGAGCATTATCAGCTGGTATCTTCGCCGTAGGAATGGCGGCATGCTTACTGAACCTCGTCACATTTCACCTATTATCATTAGCCAAGGGTGCGCAAAGCAGGAGCTAAGTGGACGGGCGTTTACCTTCCGTCCACGACACGTCCAGCAGCCCGCTCGGGATCGATGCGATAAGCGACCAGGCCTACCGGTTATCGAGTTTGGGCGACCTCGCGAGGATGTTGTGCGAGATGCTCGAGGTGCAAGCGTTGGTAGTGGATTGCGGTGTTGTGAACTTGACGCTTCGCTGCGATCTTGCATGTCGAACTGGGCACGGCTCGCTTTGGAAACGAGACATTGAACAAGACGTTTAATATAAGCTTGACTAGTATAAAGATCAATGAATAGCAGAGTGATATGATCTCACAGCCTGAATGTTGGGAAGTGCGTGCTCCACCAAGGGAAGACGTTCAGCAACTCTCGGGACTATCACGGCATCTGGCGGAGGGACTCCGAGATGTGTATGAAGGGAAAGGGAATAAGGGAGTCTGCATACTCGACTCCACATAGCTGGACGGAGCAGAGACCTGAGGGAGAACAGACCGGTATGGCGGGCGCTCATGCGTAGACAAAATGGGCCTGATGCAGGCAGGCAGTTAAACGGTGCAATTTGGCGGCAGTGTGTTCGACACAGCTGTCACCCGAATCGCCGTGGATGCGGAGCAAAGTTGGAAGACTTGCAGGAAGCCTGCGACTGACCCGAGGCCCGGAACGTCCTCTAGCTCACGAGGGTAGTATTGCGGACGCAGTGGCGGGACGCCATCATCCCAGCAGAATGCAGTTGCGCTGGTGGCGGCCACGAGGTGCGAACTGGCTGCTGCCGGCAGATATCATAAGATGGAGCCACTTGTTGAGTCTGACGCCGCCCAGCACATCGTGCATGCATGTAGGCAATTTCCGTGACCAAGGCGCCAGCGCGGGCGGGAGCACTGGACCCAACTCCGGCACCTAACCGTCGGCGGTCAGCACGTGCGGTTTCCGAATACAGCCGTCACTAGATGCAAGTAATCTGCAATCGAACGAGCCGTGCGACACAGCACCATCAAGTGTCAAGTTGACGGAAATACAAACGGTCGTTAGCTGGTCTCGGGATGCGGTGAGGACCGAGTTGTGTGGAGAGAGGGCCTTTCCATGTTTCGAGGCTTCCTGCAGGGGAGCGACATTGCAACCATACGGAAGCCTGCGTCGATCCGCGGGGTCATTCTCGGTTTCACAAGAGCATCTTGTGCAGGGTGGACCAAACTCGCGTGGCAGACTGGGATGATGGCAGCTTTACGGACAGTAGCGTCTATCCTTCGCATGTTAGAGTGTCTCTGGATTTGGCATGGCGCATTCGGTACTCCAACTGGGCACACAGATGGCGAAGCGCTGAAGCATATTCATGATCCGTTATACCCGGTGATGGCTCCAATCAGCACACGGACAGCGGAGCGACGGAGCATATTCATGGTCCGCCGTTCTCAGTGGAGTCCCACCTGATTGGCTAGACGGTTAAAGAGCGCACGCAGAGCTCGAATTCGGGAAAATCTAGCGTGCTTCTAGGCGGACGCCAGAAGCTGCATGGATTGCCCAAAATGATGTCAACCATTCTACTGCACTTAGCCGATGATGGAAGGTAGCAGCCAAGGGTCTTTGTGTCCTTAGTGCGCCAGTAAACGCCAACGGCGAGAACAGCGCCATCTTTCGCTAGGACCCCGGTAGCGTCATTTTGGGTATGGTTTCAACAAAGTGCGCGCAGTGGGGCCGTCTGCATAAACGATTTGCGAGGGGGCCACGTGGAAGGTACAGCACGTTATCAGCCTTGTGCGGGCGGCGCCGCCGCTGCCGCAGAGAGACGGTCTCGAACCACGGCAGACTTCTCCATGGCGGATAGCGCGAGTATCTCCGCTCGCATGGTTGTCGCCAATAACGGGGACGCCCCTGTAACGGCAACAAGAGTATCTGCCCTGAGTAAGGAGACAGCCTCGCTACCTGGGTCCTGCCCAATCAGCAGTGCCTTCAAATGGACACTCGCAACCTCAATGCATCCACCTTCACCACTTGCCTGCAGTCTTTCGCACAGGTGTTTTAGCCCGATGTAGGTATGACGCCGAACAAATGCGGCTGGCGCGTGGATACTGGCTACCGTGCTCAGTGCTGCCTCGACCGTATGCCTGAGTGCATCTCCTTTGCGGAGCATAGGATTGATCGAAGCGAGGAGGCTTTCGACCGCCCATGCAATTGTGGCCTGCCTGCTGCATAGATATCAGCAGAATTTCTCCCCGTCTGCTCCAGCAGCGCCATGCAGCACTTACATATCGTCCGTCTTCTTCTCAGCTACACCATCATCAATCTCCATCTGGCTATCGTCGAACGACTTTTCTAGTAGTGGTCCGACTATGTCCATAACTGCGATGCTCATGTCGACGCTGTCAATAGCTGTGGCAACGTGGCCTAGGCATTCCAGAGCATGCGGCTTGTAGGTGGTGTTCTGACGTTTTGCTTCACGCAAGGCAATCTAGTGGTTTCGATCAGTAACGTTTCACAGCGTGCCGTATCAAGATGGCTGCCGCTTCGACAATGCTCGCTGATGGATACCAGAGTCGAACGCACATATGTGGCACGCACCTTGACAATGGCTTGAGCCACCGAGTCGCTCTGAGTGAAGGCTCCTGCGGACTCGACAAACTTTTCAAACGCGGACAGGACAACCTCCTTGCCCTCCCAGGTCTTACCGCCCAATGCCTTTTCTAGTGCAGGCCAGATCATCTCGGCAGTCTCTTGTGTCATGTGCGATTCCAAAGCTGCAGTGATGTTCACGGCGTCAGCTATGGCTCGCGCCGACGTATGCTTCAGTACCCATTGTGGGGACTCAAGATATGCGTTACTGAGGTTAACGATTTCTCTCAGGTAGAGCAGCACTGACATCGACAGTTAGTTCATCACGTTCCCACGGCAAGCACGTGCTTGATGAGACACATCAGGGGAGCAGGAAGGATCGTACCCTGCTGGGGTGTCAGCGTGGAGGTCCGAAGCGTACGTTATGAAGCTCACTTACTGTTCGCGAACCTCCCACAGTCTCATTCCAGGCGTTCTGGAATTGCTCTTTCACCTGCTCATGCGGATCGTGCTTTGCCAGGAAGACGAAAGGTAATACGGAGCTCGCAGCAGCATTGAATCGGTCGGTGGCATGCTTGCATACAGCGTAAACGATCTCGCCGGCGGACAAGCTCCTCCGAGGTAACGTAGATTCTCGGTCGCCTTCAGATTCGAAGTACAGCTTCTTCGTGTACGCTATTAAATGCAAGACTTGTTTCTCCGTTGCCGCTCGTGCAAGATAGCCGGCGGCCACCGCATAAGAGCCGGAGACCGTCTCATTCCGATCGAGCACGACCTTCTCGACAAGTCTTAGGAAGCTGTCGGAATATGGGCGGAAGACAGCGACGCGTCGAGTACTAAGTGATACGAGAACTCGGCTCGCCCCAACCTTGGAAGGTAGACCGACAGCCCCTTTGATGGCGCCTTCGAGCTTTGGCTGAAGCTGCTGCATTGCAGAATCGTCCAATAAGTCCAAGCAGCGCTCGATTGCTTCCATGAGCGGGCTCGAACGGATACTGGAGAGCCGCATATCATCGATTTTCTGCTCGGTCAGGTTGTACTTTGCCGCGTTCAGATGGATATAGTTGACAGCTTCTGGCTCCAGTGAACTTAACGAGCCAAGTAATCTCTCTACGAGCTCTGGGATGAACGGGCGCAGAGTCGCTCCGTTCGCTTTCTTGATGATCTCGAGCAGAGTGTGCACGGAGAAGGCTTGAACCTCTTTCGCGCTGGACTCCATGCCTGACGAGGACAGTAAGAATGGTAGGACATGCTTCAACATCGCTGACGCATTTTTCGTGGACGAGTGATCGGCTTCCAAGGCTCGCAGTAAGATGCCCGTCAGCACTCTAGCCAATGAGGCCGCGGCAGCGCGAACGGACTCCTTGATATCGTCCAGTACCCTGAAGCATTGCGTCCAGATCCGCTCGAGGTATCCCTCATAGCGCTGAAGCGGTCTGCCTTGCACAAGATCACCTACAGCTGCGCAGCTTGCCTGTCTCACTCGCCACTCTTTGCCAAGGATGCTGTCGAGCAGGTCTTCCATGATATCGTCAAAATACCTGTCTATAGTGGCTGTTGGGTCTTTGACTAAGGCGTTCCAGATGTCATTCATCGACCGTTGTACGCCACTGTTCGGATCAAAGCGGTAGCGGTACAGTTTGGGGTACAGCTTGGGGTGGTTGGCGAGGTAGCCGTCGACGCTGGAGTCTGAGAGCACGCTACTGAGCCCGAACCTCCCGAAGGCCGCGCGGCTCGACCAGATGGCGTTCGATGAAGCCATGGACATGAATCGATACACAAGACTGGAGTCTCCAACTTCAGACGCCAAGCTCATAATGTCTTTGTAGGTCGAGACGGAACCATCTCCCGTAGGCAGCGCTCCCGGCTCGAACAATTGAGTCTCCGCCGAAACATTGCCGGCCAACTGCGACTGCCGGTCCGAAGAGAAGGAGGATACAAGGTCGCGCACGAGGTCGTCTTTAAGCTTGCGATCGCCCTTCTCGTAAATCAAACCCAAACCGCGTGAGGCAGTCTCCTGTATAAGCTCGTCGCGATCGCCTAAGCAACGCTTGAACGCTGTCTGGCATTGAGCTAGTCGGCTCTGAACATCGGGCAGCTGACCGCAGAATTGCACGAGGCACAGCAGCCACATGACCGCAGCCTTCTTCAAAGACGGCTTGGTATTTCGGCAATCAGTTAGGAAGCGGTCCATAACGCGACCAAGTGTTTTCAATCGAGCTGGACTCTGAGGTACATCGGTTTCGACATCAAGCTTCGTGGTAAGCGCAGTGGACTGCCAGCCGCTCGCGAGGCATGAAAAGGCTTCGCCGACAGAGAAGTGCGCCTCCGCCTCACGCAACTCGTGCAGCTTATGCAGTTGTTCGGTAAGGTATGTCAGATCGTCGTCCGCTTCTTCTTCAGGCGCTTCCGGGAAGATCATAGACATTTGACCCATCGACAGAACCGCTGTCTCGTTGCCTGTTTTGGCTGCTTCGTAGAGCTTGTCAACGATCGATCTCGGCTTCCTTAAAACACTTAGGCTATCCAGCGACAATGCCCCAAACATGCAGAGCTGCCCGAGTGCGATCTGTGAGGCCTCCTGGAGAGCCTTGTCTCTCGAAGCAATCAGGATACTCACTAAGTGCTCCTTAAATTGGTCCATGTGGTGGTCGTTGTCAGGAAACTGACCACGAACAGCAGCACGGCTATAGTAGAATCCGAGCGCGAGAATCTTTCCATGGAGACTATTAACTGCCGCTCCGACTGCAGTTTCCCAACCCTTCATTGCGTCGAGCAGGTTCTCAACCAAACCTCGAGCCTTCGAAGAATCAACCGCTGGATGGCTACATAGTATGCCGAATGCATGCGCTGCTGCTGTCCGCCTCGAATGTGTGCCACCCTGCAATCTCGTTGTCAGCAGGTCGCAATCCTGTGCAAGTTGCTCGGTGAGCGCATTGGGTGAGACGGCGAGGAAGTCGACAAGGGTTCCTGGAGTACTCGCCGCGACGACAGGACTCATGACTGCTTCGAAAAGTGCGAACAGGAGTATCTCGACGGCATTCGAGGAGCTCCTGGACAACTCCCGTACATAGCTTTTCACAGCATCCCGCGCCTTTGGATCGCTTTCCACCGCTGCATCCACCCTTCGCTCCCACTCGGTATCCACGCTCGGTGAGGAAGCATGCCGCTCCACAGCCTCGCGATACAAAATGCGTCGGGCGAAAGCGGTCATGTGGTCGAAGCTGCGCGGATATGCCCGCATCGTCTGGTGTACGACCATCTTAGGCTTACGCTTCTCGGTTATGACATGTCCTCGAAAGAACTGAGCTATTATCGCCTCAAACGTTGGAAAGGAGACATGCTCCGCATCAACCACGCCAGGGGATCCGTTCAGCATGCGATACCAGTACGGACTGAGTCCGCGCTCGGCTTCTTCACGCACCTCCGCACGGTCACTGGTCGCACCCAGAGCCAGTATGTCGATCCAGCGAGCTTTGGAGGAGTGGTACGGGAGACAGCGGTTCGCGAAACGCACGGAAACGTATCTCGTGCTTCTCAGACGGTTGCCACTGCCCAGATCTTCAGATTGCTCTAACTGGTCGATGAGCAAATCCTCCAACACGCTTTGCTCTGCCAAGCTGAGCTGCATGCGTGCGAGGGCGCCGAGAACGTGAGAGAGTGCTTCCTCAATGCTCACAATGATGGAGCTACCAGATGTATCCCGTGCAAGCGAGTCAAGCAGCCATCGCAATAAGTCCATTGTAGGATGCTCAGACTCGACGAGGATTGCGCGTGGTCCAGCTTTGGCAAGCAGTCCAATGACTTCGTAGCCATAGCCACGAGATACAAGGTCCTCGTTTGGACCAACATTCGGCCAGCCCTGATTCTCAATGAAATCACGTAGACTCAAGATAACCTTCTGTGCTATGGCGTGCAGAGTATCTTCAGAGCCGTGTCGCGCAACAAAGTTCACATACTGGAATATAGCTGAGCGGAGCTTCGTCAATTCCCTGCCGGCAGTGGCACTGCAACGACGTCGTCAGCGAAACATTATCGAACATTGCGTTGGTGGAAAGAGCGCTCTGTGGAAACTCAGCTTCCGCCAGCGAACTGTCTCCATGGGTATGACTTACCTTGGCGGGCCGTTGGACATTACAACATCTTCGCCGTCAATGTCATGTAAAGCTATGCCATCTTCGACAATTTTCACAATGTAGTTCGAGAACGTGGTACTCCGCTCCGACTTGTTCAGCAGACCCAAAATTTTCAAGCGTAGGGGCGCCGCGACCCTCACGGCACCATTTTCGCCAAAGAAAAGTCCGAACAAGCGTGTGACCGTGGCTTCATCTTCTAAGCTGATTGCAGGGAGAACTCGTTTCAGCATGTCGTCTCCGACATCGCTGAAATTTGATGCTGCGTCTGCGGACGCGAACAATGCTGGAAAGAAGCGCTCTTCGTCGTGGAAGAGTCCGCTCGACAACAGCCGTGCAACAAGCACCTTCGTTCTTAACAAGTTGAGTCCACCTTCAGCAGGGTGCCAGAGACCTTCCTTGCCCTGTAAATTGAGAAACGCATAGTCCTCAGCGTTGAGGCCAGGACACATGGTCGATGTACCTTTCTTGGGTACGAACAACATGAATTTGCCCAGCCAGGTAGCCAGAAAATTCGCATCATTGTCGGTGACTTCGCACTTACTGCGCAGCTCTCCATCATCTTTACTCCCGCGTGGTGGAAGATCAAATGATTCTAACAACCTCAGCATGAGATTGAAAATCTGTGGCGCATGACTTCCGCTGTCAGAAATGCCAGACAGAAGGAGTGGTAACACTTCCCTCTGCTGGACTGTGGAAAGTCTATCAACGCCTTGTTGGATGTATACAAGGTCGAAGTAGCGAACGAGCGAACCTTGTTGCTCCTTAAACTGTTTTACCAATGCTGCCACCGGTAGTTGGATCGATTTAGGCTTGATCCGTGTACTGACATGCTGGCATACGGACACTACCTTCTGCCGGACACTATTGTGTTCGGACGCAAGCTTCAGGAGCAGCGGAGCCAAATATGTCTTGAGGATCGTCTCTAGCTTGGCGTCCGAGTCTGCCAGGGCGATGCGCAATTCGACTTTGTCAATGAGGGCAAGTTCGCGCTGCTCTGGCGACTGCGAGCTTGCCGACATGGTGCGTGACTGGAGACCGTAAAGCCTCGACTGCTGTCCACAACAACGCTAGCGGTCGTGTTCTTCGCGTTGTACGGTCCTAATCGTGTACGCTTGATTGTTCGCTTGCGTGGATGTTAGGATCGCACATGCTCATTCGGCGGCATGCCAGGACAGGACTACTGGAGGAACTTGTTTCTCTCGCATTCTCGAAACAAGCAGGTGTGGCGCTCTCCGTTGAAGGCAACGATGACCACGTCGTTCTTGACACGCTAGATCGCAGTCGGATCGATAAGCCGAAACCGCCACGCGACGACACGTGACGTGGATCCTCGGTCATGTGAACAAAGCCGAGCGTCATCAGCCTTGTTCTGTTGCCTTCCACTGTCCAACCTACAAACACCCTTCGCCGTTTCGCCATCATACCGCCATTGACCATAAGTGCTTCTCGATACGCCGACACTCAAACACTAGCGACATGGCTGCCAATACGAAGTACCAGCCGGTTAACCGCGAATCGTTCGAAGACGAGCCCTCCCATTCCTACTCCCAAGCACCGCCTTCCTACCAAGCAGAACCTGTCGTCGGCGCCTCGCGCACAGAAGACGACAATATCCCAGATGACTTCAAGTTCGGCGGCAGCGTCGCAGAGGCTACACTTCCGATCCGCATGCAGTTCATTCGCAAGGTCTACGCTATCTTGACCGTCCAGCTGCTTCTTACAACCGCACTCAGCGCCGTATCTTTCTTCAGCACGCCGTACAAGAACTGGATACAGACAAATCAATGGATGATGTGGGTCAGCCTTTTCGGCGCTATCGGCTTCATGCTCTTGACGTTCTGGAAGGTAAGCTTGCAGCACACACGTATCGCTCGGCGATGCATCGGAACTCCTTGACTGACACTTTTCTGTTATAGCGCAAGTCGTATCCCATGAATCTTGCCTTCCTCGGCGTCTTCACCGGCCTCGAAGCGTACAGCATCTCCGTTATTACCAGCTTCTATGACTCGCGCATCGTCCTGCAAGCGCTCATTTTCACCCTTGGCATCTTCGTTGCGCTCACAATCTTCGCTTGCCAAAGCAAGTACGACTTCACGAGTTGGATGCCATATTTGTTTAGCGCGCTTTGGCTTCTGGTTATCTTTGGTTTTATGGCTGCTTTCTTCCCGTACTCCTCTGGAGTGGAGCTTGGTTACGGCATCGTGGCTTCATTGATCTTCTCCGGCTACATCTTGGTGGATACACAACTCGTGATGCGTCACTACCATGTTGAGGAGGAGATCGCAGCCGCAATCAGCTTGTATCTGGACGTGATCAACCTCTTCCTCAGCATCCTACGGATATTGAACAGCCAACAAAACAACTAGACAGCCGAGACATCAGAAAGACAAAATGAGAAGCTCCAGAATGGACAGTAGACCTAGGTGACGACGAATGATCGATACGGCGCTATTGTGGCATCACATTAGTAAGGGGAAGGCACGGTCTGATGAGCGAAGGCGCCATTAATCACTGTCATGCTCAATACGTGGCGACACGCTTCATGCGAGTTTATATACAGTAGCTCAAGCGCCATTAATCAACTCCTCCAAGACTTCATTGTGCTGAACTGGTCTGATTCTTGCATCGGCCACGGCAGGCCTGAAGCCTACACTTTCATGTTGACTATACCTTCCCTATTTGCACTGGCACCCTTCACGCTCGCAGGGCCCTCAATGACGCTTTTGACTCTTCGCTCAAACGCCTCAATCATCTTTTCCGCTACCCTTGGCGCTGCGGCCGAGCTCAAGGCCGCATAGACCGGGTTCGCGAATTGGAACTCTATATGCAGGTTGACCTCTGTCTTCGGTTGCGCGGGGAGCTCACTAGTCTCATCGTGGTTCTTGTGCGACGTGCCGGGATGTGTCGCGCTAGTGGGAGGTGGCTTGTATGGATACTCTCTCAACGTCCATCTGGTCAAAAGGTGTCGTAGTACCGTTGCTTTCCTGCTTGGGTCCGTGTCCGGGGAAGGTCTTTGCGAGTGATGTTGTGTAGCACTTCGCGACAATGTCGTGTTGGTCTCCCCGCTTACCGCCTCTACCGAAAGCCCTGGCACGCAGTAGACTCTGCTTGTGAAGGTCTCGCTCACGCTGTCATTGAACCCTATTACTAGCTTCGCTTCTTCAGGGTATTGCTTTCCGTCTGAGGCTGGTTGCGACTGTTTCGTCACGACGGACTCTTGACAGTATGGGAGGAATGTGCTGTAGCTGCCAACGTCTGAGATCACCTCATAGATGAGACTGCTGGGATACTGGAGGGTGCGTGATGCGGTAAGGGTTTGCGGTGCGCTGAAAGGGTTGGATACAAAAGTGCGCCGCTGTCGCCTATGAGCTTGGAAGGTGAGAGCTGCGGCAGCGGACCTTTGGCTGCGTTGCAATGCTGACGTGACTGGCGGGGCGGACAATGTCGCGGAGAGTGGGCGCAAGACCTGCATAGCTGATGCTGAGGTCCTTTTGAGCAGTTACAGCAGCGTTACCAGTGGTAGGATTACCTGAACACTTCCTGTCGTCGTGGTGCGGAGACTCCAGGGCTGGGAGGGTAGCAGCTCGGTCTAATGCCGAAGAGTCTTTGGGTATGACATCTTGTATTCTCTAGAAGCTTTCGCTAGCGTGCTCCACAATCTGCCAGACATCGGCTCGGCTCGTCTTCTACAATTCAGATCGGCAGGCACGAGTGTTAGGCTCGAAATCCGATGTGCATCATACGGGATTTACGAAGTAGTGGGATTTTCCATAGCAGACAGTATGGAGGCCGAAACGGGAGCCCGGAGGAAGCAACCTCGTCAGCAACTCACCAAGGGTATGGAGCATTTGCGATCTTACGTGACCGTCTCAGCTATACCACCCACAACGCCACCCTCTGGAGAAGAAGACGCTTATGGCGTACCAGCAGCGTACGAACCTTTGCGAAAGCCTGCACAAAGAGAGATGACTGCAGACAATCCGCAAAAGCGTAGCGATCCTTTTCAATTCGGCACTCGTTATTTGGAAGAAGGCGACGATATCTTCGCACACAATGCTTGGGACCACGTCGAAGTGGATCCTCAATATCACGACTTTATAGAGCAACAAACCTTGTTTCAACGAGAGCATCAGGTCAGCGACTTTGACAAGCAGCGCTTCAACGACAAGCCAGAGAAATGGTGGGACCGTTTCTACTCCAACAATCAAGCCAATTTCTTCAAGGACCGCAAATGGCTCGTGCAGGAGTTTCCCGTGCTTGGTCACATCACCCAAGAGAACCACGGTCCGGCCACTGTACTTGAGATTGGCGCCGGCGCTGGTAATACTGCATTTCCTATCCTAGCTATGAATAGGAATCCGCGGTTGAGATTGCATGCCTGTGACTATAGCAGTAAAGCGATCGACATTATTCGAGCACAGCCCACTTACATCAATCAAGGCAATCAGGTCTTACACGCGGATGTCTGGGACGTCGCAAGTGAGCAGTTACCGCCCGGACTGACCCCTGGCTCGGTGGATGTAGTGCTTATGATTTTCATCTTCTCCGCTCTATCTCCTTCTCAGTGGCGTCAAGCCGTGCTCAACGTCTTTTCGCTTCTCAGACCAGGCGGTGAAGTGCTGTTCCGGGACTACGGTCGTGGCGATCTGGCCCAAGTGCGGTTTAAGAAGGGTCGCTTTCTAGAGGAAAATTTCTACGTTCGCGGAGACGGTACGAGGGTGTACTTCTTCGAAGAAGAGGAGCTGCGAGACATCTGGTCTGAGCAGTCGGGTGTTCTGAATGAGGATGGAAGCATCCCGAAACAGGCTGGCTTTGAGGTTTTGGACCTGGCAGTGGACAGGCGAATGCTGGTCAATCGGCAGCGGAAGCTGAAGATGTACCGTTGCTGGATGCAAGGTCACTTTAAGAGGCCGCTGGCCACATGAGTGCTCTAAATGCCTTGCTGCCGAGTGCTACGTCCTGCGTGCGAAAGCTTGCCAACGTTTCACCTCCTATTCATAACCGCCCTGCATTGCCTATAAACTAGAAAATCGCCAGGGATGCGTTTTCGACTGCCAAAGAATCAATGGACCGCAGGCCTCCTGCGAAGGGCAGGCGACATTTGACCGAAGGCGTGTTTGCAGCTCCGGACATTAAGGGAACCATATCTTCCAATGAAAGCGACTCTATGCGACCTTATCGCTAATCGGCGTGTCCGTTGGCACCTGTGGTCTGTGAGCCTCGTCGCTGGCGCATAGGAGGCATGAAAACAACTTACGTCGTTCGAGAGTGTGAATAGCCTGCTGAACTCTTTGGTCAAGACTTCGGTCGCTCGCAAGCGTTTGCCTCATCTGCCTACAGCTTCTCACGATAGTCGCCCTATGTGGCTCCAGAAGTTGTACGCTTATATGAGACAAGATGTTGATGCAACTGATCGGTTGTGAGTATGGTGACAGGAAGCAAGACAGCAAGTTGCGCTCTGATCGGATCGCTTCACCGACGAAAATGGGTCCGCTGTCTCGAGGATAGATGTCATCAGGTCTGGCAGTAATGTGCCATAGGGCATCGACGAGAATCCCGACATAAGGCTCACGGTCTTCTACTGCCATGGAGTTGAGCTGGCGCCGGAGAATGCCGTCAATACGCCCGAAAAGATCTCTCACTTTATCGATCGTGGTGATGACGCCGACACCTTGTGTCTGATCCTGAACATGCCGTGCGAGCGCTGCAAAGATGTCATGTAAACGATTCCGCATGTGGTCAGCCAGCCGACCGGCCCACCAGCCTCGACCAACGGGTATATTGACAGTGTTCTGGAATTGAGCGAGCCTGTCACCATTAGGACCGATTAGCTGAACGATAGCCGCAGCAAGCCTTCGTGTGGCCTGGCTATTACAGTTGTCAGCAATAGTCCTGCTTCGTATCAGCAAAAGCGCAAACCTTGACGCCGACGACTGCGCATTAACCTGCGCAAACTCCTCCGGGGTAAGACGCGCACAAGGATCGAATACCGTCATTAAGAGGCCAACATATTGTCGAGCCCTGTGCACTACAGCCGCATTCTCTGCATCGCCGCCATCGCCGCCGTCATCGCCTTCGCTGCTGCTGCCGTCGTCTCCATCACTTTCATCGCCCCTAGGTTCGCCATCATCAGCAACGGCACTGCTTGATGCCATTCGAGCGGCTTGTGTCGTTGCAGAGCCTAACATTCTAGCTTGCTGCCACGGAGACCTCACCGTCGGAGATTGATGGGAGCCTGTCGTAGTTCGCGAGGGACCCGCTCCAGCCGCCTGTCGTGATACACGCTGCGAAGCTCTGGTGTTCCGACTGTCTTGTTCTTGTCGAATCCTTTCAGCCCTTTGAGAGCGGGTTTCCGGCGGCATAGTACGGTCTCGGTCGCGGAGGTCAAGCCTCCCTAGCTCGGAAGAAGGTGAAGTGAACCTTGGCATGAGCGGAAAGGCTGTTGGGGTCAACGACTGCCGGTTGAGCGGAGAGTTTGAGCTACAGGATGGGAATGTTGTACCACATGAACATCTTTATACTCCATGCCGGCAGTCATCATTATGCCTTCGTTGCGGGAAGAATATCGCTGCATCAATAGAGGAGCCCAATCAGCACTTACCGGAGTAACAAGGGAAAGGAAAGAGGGTCGATGCTCCTGCCGTTACCGGCAGAACGGTAAACACAACAAACGCATGTTCTCATCGAGTGAAATTTTCATCGAGACCATTTGAATAGGCGCTCCGGGCACAGGATGTGTGGAGATGTTGCGGTGGGGATGGGTGATCGTAGTCTGCCGGTTCACAGGGAGCTGCCATCAGACCATCCCTGCTGAGCATCAGTGGCTCATAATCGTGGTGCCAGACTCAGATACAGCAAGCACGTATGCGGCGTGGATGTTGTTGGTCTCCAGAGCTTCCTCGTCTCAAAGCAGGAGGAGTGGGCGGACGTGGAGTCCATCATCTGCCCGCGGAAGGCAACATCCACAGACATTTTGTGGACTTCGCCTGGATCGGATATTCGCCGAGTGTTCCACTGTCACCAACATCTCGCACTTCATGCTCGGGCGCAATGTTACGAGCTGGCGAGTTCGCGCAAAGACCAGAACTTTTCAGCCTATCGTCTGGACACCAAGCTAGTCAAGCCAGTCAGATGACCGTCGAAACCTGCAGTCAATCAACTAAGGCTGCAAGCTCGTACAACCATCGAGTCACATTCCGGCGGAGATGGTTCCCACGAGGAGAGAGGGCGTTCGATCAGGGTTTGTGGCGCAATCGGCAACCACCTTCCAAGCCATAATGTTGGCTAGGATACTGTCGGGCCCGTCTGACCTGTTCAGTATGAACAAGTTGCAACCCAGGATCATGGCCAAGGCTGCTTGTGTGGATGCCGGCACTCGAGCGAGGTCTGCAAACGGTTGACCGAAGCCGACGCGCACGCCGCATCTCCGCGAACAGCCGGGTGGCTGTGGGGCTTATTCTAGCAACGCTGGTTGGTCAAACTGCTCGATCACCAACACAATCACATCTGTATGTGGATGCGCAGTTCTGCCAAGTTCAGAGCGATGATACCGGCTATGCTGCGATTTTGTGTAACGTTGGCCTGTCAAAAAAGCCTCCCATACTCCGTCTTCCTCGAGGCACCCTAATCACAGCAGTCACGGTGGGTTTGTGATACTGCGGGTAAAGCACATGAAGTCAATGTGGCACGATTGATGCCCAACTTCGCAATGCGAAATCAACACCTCACCAACTCAACGACTGTTTCCAAGGTCAGTCCCTGTAGTCTCTGCGATCGCCGGCACTGTTAGAACTTCTGAACAGCTCGCCATGGCTTCACCGTAGCGTCATGGTCGAGGAACGGCCAGCGGTCATACCGTCTCAGGCGTCACCCGTCGTTCCTTAGCCTTTCTTGGGGCGTGCAATCTCGGAATGGTGTTGACGTCGGAGGCTGCAGTAGTTGCTGGCTATGCGCAAACGGCACGAGGTGCCGCCATGCCGTCCAAGCAGGGCTTCCTCTCGCGTATTGATCGAGGAGGTGTAGGCCTAGCCTGTAGCTCCAGTCAGCCTCATATTTGGAAGCGGGTGCCGTACCTGACAACATAAGCCACCGATGGCTTACCGTGAGCTGGACCTTGTCTGCGATATTGCTGCATGAAGCGAAGTCTCTCGCGAGCTCTGCTCCTTCGCTTTGCCTGCCGATACCACATGCCGGAGCGGAATGCCTCCCCACGGCAAACCTGCTACATCGCCTGCATCTATGTCGTCTGGGTCTGGTGTAGTGTATGCGCCACCACATCGACGTTCGTTTTCCGCGTCGCGCTCGGCAGTCTCTCGCTCGAAGCGAGCCTTCTCGCCTGTCTGACGGTCAGCGAGCCCATGCACCCAACAACGCAGAGACGTCCTACGATATTTGCGCTGAGCGATACGATTCTGGATGCGCCTTCGCTCGCTGGGATTCCTGACAGAGATCCAGTCGTCGGCTGGTGATGTCGCCGAAGGTGTCGAGCATGAATCCGCTTGCGACATCGGTATTGTGCGCCAGGCCTTGCTCGCTGAATCTGAAACTCGGCGTGACAGCCTCATTGACTGGCAGCCTCTCGGGCGTTACATGGGCCACATCGATGAGCAGTAGTCGGTCGCTGCATTGATACTATGGTTGATGCGACTGTCGAGGCGATAAAGGTGAGTAAGTTTCGTCTGGTTGAGCCACAGCAGTGGAGAATGCAGCGAGAGTATATGGTTCGCACGTGTTGGTACCTCCTAATGTTACGCATGAAGAGCCTGCCCGTTTAGTGCTAAGGTCTATGGAAACAGTGACTGGTTTCTTGGCGTGGTCAAGCTGCGCGAACCAACAGGGAGCTGAGGGAAGCTGAGGTGGAAGAGGTATATGCTACTCAGTAAGTATAACCCAAGCAGAACATGCCCGGCGCCTTCGCATGACGTTTCAGCCCATCGGAAGGCTGTTGGAAGCATCTTGTAGAAGGCAGGAGAAGAAAGCGAGATAGTAGTGTCCAGTAGCATACGCCGTAACTGTGGAATCAGGAAAAGACCGACAGCAGACCTAATGCAGGAGTGGATGCGTTGCACTTGTCCCGTCCCGTTGTGGCACCTATTCTTCAAGCTCACAGTATTTGTTAGCCATGATGATGAAGATCTGTGATGGGAACAGACATAAGACTGCGGACGTGACCGTACACTAACCGCCGACGCCGAAGAGTGAGCTCCAGTCCGGTCAGCTCTAGCGCTGCCGAAGGATTTACGGCCGTTGCGGCTCAGAGATAGTGGCCAGCCTTATGATTGTGAGGCAGATTGTGCTACAGTAGACGGGCACGAACAAAGCACGTTCTTTGGCTGCATTGCATAGCCTCCAAGGCCGCCCACAGTTGGAAGATGAGACGCGTCGGTCAACAGAGTTACACTCGTATACCATATAATCCGAGTAGCTGAGGCGATTCCACCGCGGGAACTCGTCCAGTGCCGTCAAGGTGCAGTTTAGGCGTTGTCTCGTCGAGGAACAATAGAGTGCTGTCGTGGTAAGACTGCTAGTACCACCATGGAGCGACGATAACAGGACCAGTCCCACTACAGTATCGGCCAAGCCATGCCATCGCAACCATTGACCTCATGGACCGGTAAACGTTGCAAATTGTTAGTCGGTATCTCAAAAGCAGAAGCAAGTGAGGAGGAGACAGAGGTCGGTGAAGGCGAACCCGTCGGTACCCAATCGCGCAAGAGGCGGCGCCGGCGAGCGCCAAGTCAGGAACAGGGTTAGATCTGCACCATGAGATCACTCTGCGCTTAATCCTCTTTATTCAGATGAGCATTTACTGTGAACGTCCACAACTCAGCATTAGTGCTCCTCGTAGCATGACTACACCCGGCACAGGAATACCGGATGACGAAGGATCAAGCCACTTTATTTTGACAGACATCTGCCCTCTTCTTCCAAGCGGCTGGGCAGACTCAGAACGATTTCCGGTAGCGCAACTCGTGCTCCGATAACGACGCAAAGTGTGCATGCGCAATCATCATCAGAAGTCCTCGTCCCCCATGTCTTGGTCTTCATCACCGGCTTCAATGAAAACCAAGCGAGTACCTTCTCCAGCCGTTTGCCAGATCTATTAAAGACAATCAGCATCAAGTGTTCATGGGTGGATTCGCTGGCTACGAGGCTTACATCAAGATCCGCATACTCATCCAAACAAGCTTCCAGTTGCTGCACCGTGAATCCTTTCGCCAGAACTCGCTCCCTTACCCTGCGCATGTCTAGCTCACCGCGGCCTTCGCCAGTCGCAGCGGCACCGCTGTCGCGCATACCTCGGATGAGGTTGAAGATCTTGGTGCTGGGGGATTGATCACCTCTGCGGTCTCTGTTATCGTCGTACAAACTGGCTTTGCTGACCTCGATGAGTCTTAAGGCCTCATCAACATCATCGGTGATCACTTCATCCGCAAAGCGCAATCTTGCCAGAGCTTGCGAGATACGTAGAATGCCGAGCAGGGTTCGCGGAGACGTATACGTGAAGGTCTTCTTGCCGGCTTCGTCGCGCTTTTGCTGCTGGCGCAGCCGGACGTACGCGCCAACAAGGTAGTCTGAGACTTGCTTTGTCACCACCGGCCGGAAAGAGCGTGCTCGAGCGACCCATTGTCGGACTTCATTGGGGCTAAATATGTGGCCAGCGCCCTGCGGTTCAGGATGCTTGTTGTGGATGTGCACGTGGGTAACGTGCCTGGCAAGCTCTTCATCCGTCTCCCGAGACGGAGTATCGAGGATCAGAAAAAGAATATCAAATCTGCTCAGGAGCGCTGCCGGCAAGTTTATATTTTCAACGGGTGAAATTCGAGGGTTGTATCGGCCATAGAGCGGGTTTGCTGCCGCCAGGATTGACGTTCGAGCATTGAGCGTCGTCGTAATTCCGGCCTTGGAGATGGAGATGGTCTGCTGCTCCATCACTTCGTGGATTGCAGTGCGGTCACTGTCGTCCATCTTGTCAAACTCATCAATGCAGCAGGTGCCGTTGTCTGCAAGCACAAGCGCACCGCCTTCCAGCACCATCTCATCTGTCACCGGGTCGCGCATAACAGCAGCTGTCAGACCCACACCACTGCTACCGCGGCCGGTAGTATAGACACCTCGAGGCGCAACCTTCGTGATGTACTTGAGCAACTGCGACTTGGCCACACCGGGATCGCCCATCAAGCAGACATTTATATCGCCACGGATGCGCATGCCATCACCCATCTCCTTGAATACGCCACCAATGAGCTGCAGTAAAAGCGCCTTCTTTACGTCCAGATGGCCGAAGATTTCTGGCGCGATTGATCGACTCAGATACTCATACAGCTGCCCCGACTGCTCTAGCTCCGTCATGCGCAGGATAGTGGAAGGCGCAAGAATCATGCTATCATAGGCTTTCTTGTGCTGGTTCACATACTGCGCCTCTAGGTAAGTGTCCGTGAGCAGCCCAGCTTTAATCGCTTTGAAGCCGGTGTATGGGGTAGGCATGAAGATGCCAGCAATATCCACAACATCACCCGGGTTGATCTGTCGTGCAAGTGCTCCATTACAATGGATTGTAAGCTGCCGTGGAATATGTCCAACCGGGACCTGATCAGCCATCTCCTGGATTTTGACTTCTTGAAACGGCAAGAATTTCGAAGCTCTTGTCGACAGGAAGAGTTGGCCTTTGGCGTTGTTCTTCATGCAGTCGTCGGATGTACATTCTACCAGTGGCGTAAATTGCCTGGTAGTTACAGGTTGAAAAATTTCGTGTCCGCAACGATCGCAAGAGTAAGCGTTGACTTGCACGGAGGGCTTCACATCGGAGACTCTCGTTGTGATGCCACGGACAGTGATTAGATGGCCAAGATGTTCGCCTCGCACCTGTCGCACAGCCAGCGCTTTGCTGCCTTTCTCGCTGCTTGATCCGGATGGCGTAATGGGCTTGAAGTTCAGCGTATACCGCCGCGTGAGCTCTGGTGGAAAGATCGATTCCGGTAGCCCGCCTTCGATGTTACCCTCCATTTGCTGGCGCACAGTCTCGTTTCGTTTTGACCGTTGTGTCATGATAATGTCTATCACGTCGTCCTTAAAGTTGGGCTCCGTGTTGGGTGATGGCATGACCTTGTCAACAGCTCTTGATAGCACCTCTATATAATGATGGCAGTTCCGCACGATTGACGACACCAGATTTAGCGATAATGCGGTATCGTCGTCAAGGCTCTTCTCGTAGAGCTCGAGGTCGTCCAGATCGATCAACACCTGCGACTTGACACGATCTGCAACATCTTGAAGCATGTTCATGTACTTGGTCTTTGGTCGGCTTGCTCGCGTCCGTGTTCGCGTGCCATCGCCGTCTCCTACGTCGTCCATGAAGTCGTATTCTTCGCTGTCGCCGTCAAGATGTAGATCGTCAAGCGCAGCCTCTGTCTCCGATGTCGACGACTTAAAGTTGCGTAGAAAGTCCTCGAAAGCAGCTTATCGGTGTCAGCGTATCGGCTGTGCCCCGATAGAAGCCTACTTACCCTGCTGCTCGACATAGTCCGCGAGCGCCTTCTGCTGAAGAAGCGCCATTGCGCACTATGCTGCTGTCCTCGATACCGGTGTGCAGATGGAAGCTGTTGTGAAGCACTATCTGCGATCAAGCGGTTCAATGCGCGAAACTAGGTGATACCTCTTCGGTTGCTGAAGCAAGAGAAGATATAGAAATGTGGATGGTCCAGGAAGCAGAGGGACAGAAGCAGTGGGAGCGGAAGACGCGCCTCGTGTTCTAGCGCGCTATGTGCCGGAATTTCTTCGGCAGCCGTTCTTGGTCAGTGCGCACTTCAGATATGGCCGCCACTCATCGATGGAACACGCAACCAGAGCGAAGGTATTATCACTGCAACTCGTATCTCTTTGCACCAGATCTTCCACCTGAAGAGTAGGAGTCTAATGCTCCAGCTTGACAGCATGTCGTAGGACGCATCGCTGTCACTGCCGTAGTTCTTCGCCTTGATGATGGCGGCTTCGTTGTGGGCATGGGCTAGATACCCACTATACCTGAGCAGCAGCCTTGCAGCTCTCGCTGGCGGTGGCTTGTACTACTATCAGAAGTATGCCAATCTCCTTCCAAGAATTTATCTTATTAATGAGTGGCGACAGTGAGATCATATACCCTCGAAATCTGCCCCCAGGCGCACGCACAGAGGTACCTCGGCCACCGGCATTTGGCATTGAGAGCTACGAGGAGCTCATGCTACCTACCCCGGACGGCGAGACCATCAGTGCATTTCTCGTGAAGCCAAGTAATCAGGCGAAAGCACGGGCGGTTACAATCATCTCTTTCCACGGCAACGCTGGTAATGCGGGCCATCGCTTGCCAATTGCTAAAGTGTTGTCAAACGATTTGTCATGTACTACACTTATGGTAGAGTACCGGGGTTACGGTCTGTCGACAGGCTCTCCTAACGAGAAGGGGCTTGCTATCGACGCTCAAACGGCGCTGGACTATGTGCGCCAACGCAACGACCTGAAAGGCAACAAGATCGTTGTCTACGGGCAGAGCCTTGGAGGCGCTGTTAGCATAGACTTGGTGGCCAAGAACAAGGGCACCGGCGACATCAAGGGACTCATCCTCGAGAACACCTTTTTGAGCATAGCCAAAATGATTCCCAGTGTGATGCCTGCTGCTCGCTATCTCACACCGCTGTGTCATGAGTACTGGAGAAGCGAAGATATGATTCCGCAGATTACGGATGTGCCCATTTTGTTCCTCAGCGGTTTGCGCGATGAGATTGTGCCGCCAGCTCATATGAAACAGCTTTTCAGGCTGGCCAAATCGCCCACCCTTGTCTGGAAGGAGCTGCCGCACGGTGATCACAATACAACGGTTGCCGAATCTGGCTACTTCTACTTCATCGAGGACTTCATACGGAAGCACGTCAGTCCATGAGCCGGATGTGGCGAAGCCACACGGTCCTCTGGATACTCTCTACACTACAATGCATCCAACTCCATACATGGCGCGCTCGACGTCCCGCTTCACAAGGTACCAATCCGCTCTGCGTTCGGCGAACTCATAGACCTCTTCCGCCGGAAAGATGCCATGATACCGCTGCGTGTCCGCGATGATAGTGGCCAACTCTTTGGCTTGCACGGCGGTACTGGAGCCTCTGTTGGACAACACACTAGCGCGCTTGCCTTGCGCGTTGGCGCTGAAGTATGCGGCCGGCGGGTCGATGTGGACCAGATATATCTGGCCAAGCTCGCGCAGGGCATGATAGTACGGCAGTAACGGTTTCTGCCGTAGGGTGGCAACGAAGGCGCTGTAGTGGTTGATGTCACTGATCAGCTTGATCGCGCCGTCAACGCTGATGCGCTGGCGCTTGAAGTGCTTGCATAACGCTCCGAAAAGGCGCAAGCCGACTTCTTGCATGAAGACATCGAGCATGTTCTTGTCCGTGTTGCCAACCAGCATGCTAGTGTGGCTGCTAATCATATCAACCACTTGTCTTGCCGTCGTCGTGGGCCCGATGTCCATGACACCAGGACCATTCTTCTCAGCCTTGTCAGTGCCAGGATTGAAGTCGATGGCTTGTTGGGTGCTTGCGCAAATATACTCAACTTCATCCATAAGCACGTCAATGCCCTCATTCAAACCTGCTGCGACGCGTTCATCAAGCATCTGTTCGAAGCGCTTCTTCTCTTTGACCGCAGGATCGAGGAAGTCGTCGCGATCACTTAGCTTTGTCGCTACCAGCTCTTGAGCGTAGAAGACGTCAACCATCTGCTGAATAAGATCCCCGACATTAACCAGCTCCAGAAACGTAACAAGAGGTTCCACGCCAACCGCATGCGCCTCACCACTATCACCGTTCGCAACCTTCGATCTCAGGGCTCTGACATCCCGCGGGTTATAGCTACCGAGATGCGAAACAGCCTTGTCGAAACCAGTCTTGATGTGGCGATCGCCCAGGATGTAGAGCAGAGTTACGAAGATGGTCTCACATTGCTCTCTAGCTTCCTCGCCCCATTTGCCACCCATTCGCACCATGTTCGCCGCTCGTTCAAGCGAAGCTTTGGCGAAGTGGGTTATGTTGAGCGCGACTTCAATGCTGAACAGGCTCTTGATGCCCTCGAGTCTGGAGTTCATTATTGCTGCTTTTGCGGCCAACTCGGTAGTGGGAGCCTCGCCAGCCGGCACCGGCGTTGAAGAGCGGTTCGGCGTGTTCGAGTCGGCAACGGTCGGCGTTCGTGATCTCGAATAAGCAGTATCTATGGAGTCAAGGTCGGGCGCATTTGGATTGGCGATGCTCTGTGCTGGCTTGGCGGCCGCAAAAGGCGACGACAACGGGAACGCTGGCAGGACGGTTACAGGCATCATGATCACCTTCCTGAATGACGACAGGAAGTCTCGCTTGGCTGCCTGTCGGTTGATGTTTGACATGAAGAACGCGTCGCTCGATGCTTCCTGCTCTGACTGCTCCCTCTCCCACTGTCTGACATCTGCCTCCGACTTGGACCGGAAGACGGCGAGCTCTTCGGCAAGGTAGAGATCGATATGCTTTTCGTAACAACGTGTCACGGTTGTCTTCGCGGCGTCTCTGAAATCTGAGGGCGAGGCCTCGGTAGGCTGCAGAGAGGCTACGAAGCGTAAAGCTTGCTCGAACGTGCCCGAAACTGCTTTGACGTATGTTTCGACGCCATGAACATGTGCTTCATCGAAGAGAGCGGTGAGGTAATCTGCAACGATGTCTTCACACAAGCGTGACAGGAAAGGTGTAAGCACGTCCACAGACGGCGGGAAGACCCGGTCAATGATGGCTGCTTGCTCTACCATCATTCCTGCAAGCCGCTCGAAGAAAGTTTGTGACGCATTCAGATCGACGTGGCCCGGCGCTACCGACTCCAAACAGTCCAGCGGATTCCCAGCTCGCACATTGTGTGCCATGATGGGATGATTTGAGATGAAAGCGTCGACTCCGGCCATGCCGCCGTTCATCGTCACCAGAACGTGCGCATAGCGGTGCATTCTGTCGTCTATGTCACCAGCCGCATAGCCTTGCTCGAACTCACGAAGGACCGCATTTTCGAAAACAGCAATCATGCTGTCGAGCCTTTGCTCCCGCTGGTGCCACCCTTGAGCGACATCACCCTGAGCGAAACGCTTGAGGTTGGATAAGATTTGTGCTTGCTGCTCCGGATCACGGTAGGTACGGAATATGATTGCGTCTGAATGCGACTTGACTCGTGTAAGATCCGAATATAAAGGCCCAAGCGCGCCGTATATCTTGCTGAACTCTTGCCTCGCGCGGCCGCGGACGGAACGAAAGGTAGCGAACACGGTCAATGCAGTGTTTGGATTCCATGTGCTCGCATTTAGTTGCGGATTCAGTGAGATCGTTAGGTCGTCAAAACCGTCCGCAATCGTTCGCTTGCGCGTCAACGTCGGACTCTGAGCCTTCTCGAGTGATTGTCGATACCTATCCTCTTCGAGTCCCGCGTCGAAAATCGTAACACTACCAGCGTGTCTCCTTGGACCTCCACCAGCTGTGCCATTTATGCTGCCGGGTAGATTGGCACCAGTTCGCCTCGCCTCCTCAACTTCCCTTGCTCTCTGTGCCTCCGCCTTTCGCTTCATAGCCTCTTCGAAGCGCTGGCGAGCTTCGTTCTCGTTCCAGAGACCCATCTGCTTGAGCTTTTGTACCCATCGCGAATCATCGTACACCATTTCCTGCAGCCTGCGAGACACTTGGGCGAAGTGTAGCAAATCAGGTACGGGCAGGTAGTCCAGGATCGTTGCTATGAGTTCGGCTGGTAACACTGGCTTTGAAGCAACAATCTGCGTCGCCCGCAACGAAGTGAGAGCGTTGTCACCGCTGCCATTGACCTGGACTCTGCGGATCTGGGAAAGGTTGCGAGATGCTCGTTGGCTCGCATGATTGCTTGTTGCTCGTTGGCTTGCATGGCTGCTCAATGGAGTGGAGCGGCCGCTCATGTCGCCTTTGTATTGTGTCAACGTATTCGGTCCAGTCTCATCTCCATAATGAGAGCTCACAGAGTCTCGTGTCGCTTCAAGAAGGTTACTGCCTTACTCTACGACCATCGCCCTGCAACCTGCAGACCCTCACCACAACCGACCTTCTCCGCAGCTCCGAGGCTATCTCTTCACTGCTTGACTCTTACCAACGTTATATATCAACCACGAAGAACACCTTGAAACCATCTGCGAGGGGAAGTTATGGTGCGGCCTAGGTGCGATTGGTGCCCAAGCATAGCCTTGGTCCATGCGCTAGCATATGCATGCGGCCAGCCATTCCATCATCGTACAAGACCAAGGCACGTAATGGAGGTTGTACATCGAAACTGATATAGGCTTGGTAAGTTGGCAATCCTCTTCATAGGTCCAAGTTCCACTTCGCGTACGGGCACCCGATATTCATATATTATTGCATTGCATCTCACAGCGAACATACATTCCACTGCGCAGAGGGGAGTCCAAACAAGATGTGCTTGATCAAAGTCAAAGAAGAGGAAGACTATTCGGTGCCGGCAAGGGTGAAGCGAGTTACAAGAGTGCAACGCTACGAGGAGCCTCCGCCACGGATGTACGAAAGACATTACGTAGAGGAGCGCCGACCCGCCAACTACGCTCCCCCTCCACCGCGCTCAGAGCGAGCTCCTTCAACGCATCCGCCACCCGCTACATCGACAGTCGCTCCCTCAACGCATGTGGGGACGGTCAGATCTAGGGGTACTTCTCGCGCCACGTCAGTCCGCGCACCCCGCTCTCACTACGTTGAGGTCGAAGACGCCGACGAGACGTCTTCGAGTAGCTCCAGCAGCGTGAGCGAAGATGTGCGTTCTAGAGCGACCTCGCACCGCACGCACAAGTCGTCGCGAACGAAAGCAACATCAGTAGCCCCGCCTGCAAGCGAATATAGTGTACATGAGCGTGAGCGAGAGATCCGACGAGAGCGAGGCTACTCGAGGCCAAGGGAGGAGTACGAGACGTACCGTTATGTCGACGCGCCGCCAGGGTCTAGACGAAGTCATAGCAGAGTTGGCAGTGGCAGTCAAGATGCCAGAGCGAGTCGGGACAGCTACAGGCGAGAGACAAAGATTGTGATAGAGGATGACAACAGTCGGCGCAGACTGGACTACCGGCGGTAATCATGAGGTAGAGTGTGGGTTAGCGAAGAGTTTATAGTACGGCATGGATGCATTCATGGCGATCGCGGCTCGGTCATCGTTCGCATTAGCGAGCGCATTGTGGGTTTATGTTGGTATGTAATTGCAGCGGTTTAGCGATCTTTTGTGGAAGCGAAGCATTACGACGAATCAATCAGATTACCAACTCCATCTTCTGCCATCTTGGGTACTTCACTCGTGTTCAAGTGTACAATTGGACGATGTGAGAGGATCGGCATGTGAATAGATACTGTGGCGCATTATGCATGCTGACTTTCAGCCTTCCACACCAGTACTGAAACATGAACAAGAACACATCTCTCTAAAGGCTTGACGTATCGGACTGTAGCTTTATTTATACACCTACAATCCCCGACTCGTGCATATCCGAACGATGATACTACGAAGTGCTTGTTGAGCCGGCCAAGGGATCGACATGCAGTCTGGACAATATGAAACTCTTCATCCGGGAGCAACCTCGTGCGATTGCACTTGCGACGGACACGCATGTGCTAATACTCCGACATAGTCCGTCTGTCACGGGTGGTATTGCCCGTGGTAATAGTTCAACTACATCCATTGCGGAAGGCGGCGCGCCACGATGCATTGTAGAATTCTCACCATGGGAAGGCCAGGACATGAGCGAGTACCGTTCGCTTACCTCGCAAAAGGTTCAGGGCACGCTAGGACTCGTTACAATCAACGGTGACATTTTCCTGTGCATTGTGAATGGCAGCTCGCATGCAGCGACCGTACGGCCCGGGGAGACAGTACAGCGCATCTTGAGCGTAGAGTTCCACTGTCTGAACAAGTCGGACTATGACCACTTGCTAAATGACCAGATCAACCCGTTCCCGACCGACAGTCTGGATGCGGATGGACATGACCATGGCGGGCACAAAGAGCCTACAATCGAACACCCTTGCCTGGCGCTCAAGAAGCTGCTCAGCGGCGGCAGCTTCTACTATAGCGCAGACTTTGACTTGACCAAGCGACTTCAGGACCGCCACACTGAAGCGAGCACGGTCGCTATTGAGAGCCTTGACGCTGGCTTTCTGTGGAATACGTATATGATCCAGCCGCTTGTGGACTTCCGATCTAGACTCTCGGACAGGGAGAAGGAAGCTTTGGACCAGTCGAAGATTCTAACCTCTGCAATACGTGGTTTCGCTTCTACGATTACAGTACCCGCATCTTCGTCGCCAGCCCGAAGTAGGTCTCAAGGCTTCCCGAGCAACATGACGCTGATCTCTCGGCTGTCATGCAGACGCGCCGGGACACGCTTCAATGCTCGTGGAATCGACGACGACGGAAACGTGGCTAATTTCGTGGAGACCGAGACGATCTTTTGCACAGACAGGCTCTGCTTCTCATACGTGCAGTGCCGTGGCAGCGTGCCTATCTTCTGGGAGCAGTCAAGCGGTTTGCCCGGTCAGCAGAAGATCACGATCACACGCTCTATGGAAGCAACACAGCCGGCTTTCGACAAGCACTTCGAGATGCTGTCGACAACGTACGGGGATGTCTTTGTTGTCAACCTACTCAGCGACGAGAAATCGAGCGAGCTGCAGATTACGCAGCGCTACCTTGACCACATCAAGTGGAGTCCGCTCAATACAGAGGCCAAGTCAGGAGGAGACGCCGAATCGTCAGAGCATGTCCACTTGAAGCACATCAATTACGACTTCCACGCGCAGACTCGAGGCCCAAACGGATACGAAGCCGCAAGTGGGATCAGGCGTTGGATCGAGCCTGCTGCGGTGGCTTTCGAGTACTTTCTTACTGAGGAGACGCAGGAGACCATACAGAAAGATGGGCGTAAAGTTTCCATTGTCGGTCAAAACGTCGTCCTGAGCCAGGCCGGCGTCTTTCGAACTAATTGCCTGGACTGCCTCGACCGCACGAACCTTGTCCAAACGATCGTCTCACAGATGGCCATTGAGATCTTCCTCAACCAGCAAGGCGAGCGGAGCCCGACGTCTGATTTCTGGGCGAGGCATGGCACGCTTTGGGCAGACTGCGGTGATGCACTCTCGAAGATCTACGCCGGTACTGGAGCGCTGAAGTCATCATTCACGCGGTCTGGTAAGATGTCTATTGCCGGGGCGCTGGCTGACGTCCGGAAGTCTGCTCAGAGACTGTATATCAACAACTTCGAGGACAAAGGCCGCCAGAACACTATCGACATGCTGTTGGGTCGCTTGATCGGACAAATGCCCGTTCATCTGTACGATCCAATCAACGACTGGGTTACGGCTGAGCTCACGCGACGCTCGGAGGAGTATTCGACTGACGAGCAGATTACGATCTTCGTAGGCACGTTCAATCTGAACGGCAAGTCGTACGGGCCGGAAGACGACTTATCACTCTGGCTTTGTCCGAAGACGGAGGACTCACTGAAATCCCCAGAGATCGTGGCCATCGCTTTTCAAGAGATAGTAGAGCTTGACGTACAGCAGATCATGGCCACGGATCCGCACCGGCTAAAAGCTTGGGAAAGCACAGTGCGTGAGACGTTGAACGAGAACGCTCGTCGCCTTGGCTCAGACGAGTATGTCATGCTTCGCGGAGGTCAACTCGTCGGTGCGTCGTTGTCAGTCTTCGTGAAAGCCAGCGTTCTGCCGTTTATCAAGAACGTCGAAGGCGCCGTGAAGAAGACCGGCATGAGTGGTATGGCTGGCAACAAAGGTGCTGTAGCCATACGCTTGGAGTACGCCGACACTGCGATCTGCTTGGTGACGGCGCATCTCGCTGCCGGGTTCGCCAATTATGAAGAGCGGAACCAGGACTACCGGACGATCTCCAATGGCTTACGCTTCCAGCGCGATAGGAGCATCGAAGACCATAAGACCATCATCTGGTTCGGTGACTTCAATTACCGCATCGGCATGGAGAACGAACGCGCAAGGTATCTGATCAAGAAGGGTGATCTCGGCACGCTGTACGAGAACGACCAGCTGAATCTGCAGATGGTGCACGGGAAAACCTTTCCTTTCTACACGGAGAAGACACCGACCTTCATGCCGACATACAAGTACAACCTGGGGTCCGACGAATACGATACCTCGGAGAAAGCGCGCATACCGGCCTGGTGTGACCGCATCGTGACAAGAGGTGACAATCTGCGGCAACTCTACTACGATACTGCGCCTCTACGCTTCTCCGACCATCGACCGGTAAGTGCTTGACATTCTGTGTACGGCGAAGTTGCTGACCGGTTTCCGCTAGGTATATGGTATCTTCCACTGCACGGTGAGCGTGACAAACCAGGCAAAGAAGGACAAAATCAGCGCCGAACTGTACGAAAGGAGGCGAGCCGTCGTCGGCACGCATATTGCATCCCAAGGCCACGAAAGCGACGACGAGTCGCTACTCGGCTACGACTCGGTGGAGCCAGGCTTACCGCCCGCCAGCTCCGACAAGCGGAAGTGGTGGCTCGACAACGGCATGCCCGCACGCTCGTCCGTCAAGCCGCCCAGGAGCGACTTTGTACCGAACCCTGCGCGGCCGTCAAACCCGTTCACGCCTACCTCCGAGCCGGATTGGGTCAGGGTAGATACACCGAATTCCCCTCCCTCAGGAGCAGCATCAGTGGCTAGTACTTCTTCGCGCGTCAGCCGGATAGAGAGCGGTTCTGTGCCTAGGAAGCCGGCACCGCCGCCCACGTCTGGAGACGGTGCGCCTGCCAAGCCGCCGAGGCCTCTGCCGCAAGTGGATGGCGCCGCTGACGATGGAAGAGCACCGCAACACGTTTATTTGAAGCAGACGCTGAGGAAGCCCGCGCCACCTAGACCCAACAAACCCAATCTTCTCCGTTCGGAGAGCGCGCAGTCGACCGCTTCAACCCCTTCAATGCAATCCACGACGGAGTCGAGAAGAGTCGTCAGTAAGGAGATGGCGCCGCCACCTGCGCTGCCGTCACGAGTGCAGGGAGAGCAGACGGCAAGAACTATGGCGCCGCAGGCTCCTCCGCCTAGGACGACGTTAAGGAAGCCTACGCCCGCGGCTGAGTCGAGTCCGGCGTTACCGCCGAGGAGGACGGACCACGCGCTGATGGATGAAGGGGGCGGTGGGCAGGAGTTAAAGGAGTGGGTGCCGTTGAAGCCGCAGTAGAACTTACGAATGCTACGGAAAATGATGGTGATGCTGTTGAGGACGTCCGTACCTCTATTCACAGCTCTAGTTTACACGTTTCTCAACCGATTCGGCTTATTGCTCAGCCTCTCAGGAAGTGACAGTCCTATAGGATAAATGATGCTCACCGTTCCTTTGATTGAGCCTGGTTGTACCTCGACAAAACGTCGTAACAAGTTTCGTACAGATCCACTCATTCGAGAGTTTCAGGGAAGTAGCTTCGAGACTTCTGGCGTCGTACTCATTAGTGGATGATTTGGGTGAGCCAAAAAATCACACAACGCATAAACTTCTTCTGTAACCCCTTTCCCTTTTGCACTGCACCACTCCGCCACCACTTGACCTGTGCTGGCGTGGCATCTCTCGCGCTCGCAACGCAGGGTTCTGATTTGTGAAAAGCGAGGCAGTGTACGCAGCTAGGCGTTCGCTCCGCCTCCGCCTGAAGCTTTGATGATGCCGGTCATGATCATTTCACGGACCCCCCATGCGTCTGGAGTCGACCTTCCACGACCAAACCGCTACCCCGGACTCTCCATCCGCAGGTCGACAGCTTGTGTGTAAAGGCCAGTGCCAGCATCACGTAGACGATACCAGCGGCCGAGATGCTCTTTTTCACCCTCCATGACACTTAACCGTCGCATGCCCACGGGTCAATCCACCCTGCATCATCCGTTCCGCTGGTATGACAAGGCCATTTCCTTCGCCCCCCATCCGCTCAATGACTCAACGTATTCCTCCCCTTAGCCCTCCTCCGCTTCAACACCATCCTGCCCGTCCGACTGCGCAGTCGGGCGAGAAAGCCATGCCGCCGCTTCCGAACGCGGTGGGAGGGGTTGAAGGTGTCGCGTTTTGCGCCGCGGACTTGCAGTAGTGATGTGAGGAGAGAGCTGAGAGGCTGAAAGCTCGAAGGAGACGGAGTGTCTGCGCTAATGGGTGATGGTGCTGTTGATGGTTGTGCGCGGAAGGTTGGGCGGATGAGTGGGGTGGAGAGTGTGAGTAGAGATCTGTGAGTAGGTCAGGAAGCGGTTCTGGTTCTTGGGTGGTGTTTGCAAGATGCGGGTGTGGAGGCTGATACCTTTGCTGCCGTAATCTGGTGAGGGAATGTGCTGCGTTGCGTGCCGCGGGATGTCTCGAGGTGTTGAGGAGTTGCGCAGTCTGAGCCGGCGCTCGCAGGCAGCGTAGACAGATCATCTTGATTGATGTACACGGTAGCGTATGTGGACGAAGTAGGTGGACGAAATATGGACAGCAAGTTTCTAGGGTAGCACAGCGCAACTTCCTAATGGAGTAGACATGGTCCGAGCTCATGAATTTCCACCGTCCCTCCTCCACCATCACCATTCACTCGCTCTAACCGACCACCTCACCCACCAAATCCAGACCCATTCACAACCATGGTCCCCCGTCCGCCCACTTACCCCCCAACCCACCACCACCCCTCCAAACGCCGCCGTCTCTCTCCCACCACCACCTCGGACCACCTCTCCACCTTCCTCTCCCTCACCGAAACCCAACCACACCTCCACCCGGATGCCCAACTCTCGCGCGAAGGAATACGTTTCCCCACCCATACTGGCTCGAAAGGCGGACTCGCACTACACCATCTCCGACGAATATTGGCGGGGTTGCGAGGGGAGAGTCTCGTGGCGGAGAGTTACGAGGAATTGGAGGCGGAGTTCGGGATCGCTTTACCCGCGAGCGAAGATACGAGGGTGGACGAGTCGATTGAAGGGCGGCATCTTACTGCCAACGAAGGGTCGGAGTTGGGGGTTGGGACGGGTAAGAAGAGAAGAAGAGACAAAAGCGTAGACGATGTCGAACGATGGACCGACGACATCGGCTCTGAAGCCGCGTTTGGCGAGCGCACACAAGCTGGCGCGAAGGGCACTGTGGCAGGAGGGGAGGGAGATTGGCAGGAGCGAGAGGGGTACGAGCTCGAGCAACGACCACTGGAAGGCGACGTGGGCGATCGGGACGGTGCGCCGGTGGTCCGGCAGAATGGGGCACCGCCTGCTGTGCCGCACGTCACGGACGAGCAGGCTGACGGGGACGAGCGAGCGCAAGCAGTTATGGAAGCGAAGAGAAGGGGAGGGAAGGGGAAAGGGTTGACGGAATCGGAGAAGCTTGCCCGTCGCGCGGCGAAGAAGGAACGGCGGAGGGCGGAGAAGCGGCAGAAGGGGGATCGGAAGGGGGAGGCGAAGGGGTAGAATGACTTCGCCTGTGTGACGTGCAGCAAATGGTTCGGATTATGGACACATGGCCAAGATGGCGAAGAGGGCGCAGACAGAGACGGAAGCGGAATGAGTCATCCGTCGCACAATCAGACGAGGGGCGCGGAAGGCGCAGGAGAAGCTGAAGATGGATCGGCGGAAGAAAGGGTGGAATACCGGGTGGATTCCCGGTCCGTCTGTGAGGAATGGGTTTGCAGCGCTCGATGCGGTGACGGAGATGCCTTGATGTGCACGATGGGGACGTACGAGGGTGCGAAGGGTGTTACTTGACGGAGGACGCTTCTTGAGCGCGTGAAGGCTTGACTTGGGTGTGCTATGCGATATGCGAGATGCGAGATGCGATATTCAATATGCGATATGCGAGATGCGAGATGCGCTATGCATTATGCGATGCGGCAGTATTCAATATGCGATATGCGACATGCGACATGCGATATGCGCTATGCAGTATGCAGTATGCTATATGCAGTATGCAGTATGCAATATCCCTACCAAACCGGCCGTATGAGGGCCATGTTGATGGGGGTATTTTGGGATAGGCATGACTGTGCTATGAGCACGAGCACGAGCACGAGCACGAGCACAAGTCCGAGCTCGGATAAATTGCATTGGCCTGCATGATAGGTCAGGTCAGGTCAGGTCCGGTCTGTTCAGGTCAGGCCGTGCCAATACCACGAGGCCAGGAGATTGCACTTACCAAGCACCCGGATACGTAAAAGTACGGTGTCTCTGGTGGTCCCGTTTACGGAACGGCCATGGTGTGCCGCAATCTCCTCTCTCTTGTGCCAGAGCATTCCGCGCAATCGGCAGAAAACCATTCATACCCTCCATCTCAAAGCTCCTTATCCTTCGTATCCACCACGACACCCCCACCATTCGCCTTCCCCTCCCCATCCCCCGTATCTTTCTTCTCATCATCGTCTCCACCCACCTTCCTCTCCCCCCTCCACCCAATCGCCTTCAACCTCTCCGTCAGAATGGGATGACTATAATGATACGTCGAGTACATCCAATCCGCATCCATGGCGCTCAAATTCTGAATCTGCAGCTTGATCAGACTCGCCGCCAACTCACTCGCATACCCCTGCTGGTAGGAGAAGGCGTCCGCTTCGAACTCCATGTGGCGCGTCCAGACGTTCATCAACAACTTGATGACGGCGTCGGTGGGGGAGAGGACTCCGTTGAAGAGGATGAAGCCGATGATGATGGGTCGGCCGGTTTGGGCGGTGCCGAAGCCGAAGGCGGAGTAGAGACTGGTGTTGCGGATGAAGATGGAGAATAGGGTGAAGATGACGAGTAGTTGGGAGGCGGAGATGAGGAGTAAGCGGGTGGTGTGGCCCATTTTCCAGTGACCCAGTTCGTGGGCCAGGATGGCTTCGACTTCGCCCACGCTGCTCTTGTCGATGAGCGTGTCGTAGATGACGATCTTCTTCTTCCACGGCAGGCCGGTGAAGTAGGCGTTGGAGTGGGCGGAGCGCTTGGAGCCGTCGATGACTTGCAGTTCCGCGAGGGGGAATTGGAGTTTGGCGGCCAGGCCTTCGACGCGCTCTTTCAGCGTGCCCGGGGGGAGCGGGGTGAGTTTGTTGAAGAGGGGCACGATGAGGATGGGATAGATGGTTATGGCGCCCAGTTGGACGGCCAAGGTGAAGAGCCAGATGTAGAGGAAGAAGACGTCGCCGGTCTTTTGGATGATGTAGAGGAATGCCGCTCCGAGCGGGATGCCGAAGGCGAGGGAGAGGGCTTGGCCTTTGAGCAGGTCGGTGAGCCAGAGTCGGAGGGTTTGCTTGTTGAAGCCGTACGCTTGCTCGAGGTGGAAGTGGTAGTAGTAGCTGAAGGGTAAGCTGAGCAGCGTTTCGGCGAGGGAGTAGGTGAAGGCGAAGAGGAGACTGTGCGCGATTTCGCCTCGCAGCGGGAAGTTGGAGCGCAGAAGCCATGTGCCCGTCATCGCCCAGAGTCGGGCGTAGAGGTTGTATTGGATGACGGAGAGGCTCTTGCATTGCCCCCACACCCCGGAGACGATGCTGTATTTCGCTTTCGCGCGGCCGTAGGCTTGCGATTTGTCGTAAGTCTTTTGGTCGATCTCGTGGCGGAGTTGGAGGGGGATGGCGGTGCGTTGTAGGACTTTGTATTGCCGCCAGCCGAGGTAGACTTCCAGGGCGAACTCGCCGACGGCGAAGGTGAGGATGAGGCGTTTCCAGGGGATGGAGGGGTTGTCGAGGGTGGAGGCGGCGGAGGCGATCAGGCGGCGGAGGAGGTCCATGGTCGCGTCCGTCTATACCCGTAGTACTGGACTGGGACGGTGGGGGTTGGAGGGGCGGGAGTGGGTAGGCGACGTATTGTTTTAGACGCACGAGAGCAATGGCGTCGCTACTTCCCTTTCCGGACGCGCTAGGCCCCGCATATGCCAGACTGTCCTGAGGCAAGAGCGGAGGGGGAAGACGTGTGAAACAAGTTTCAGAAAGCCCATAGTGCCTACCTTTTCTACTCTGCAAGAGAGACTACGCCCAAACTGGACAGTAAAGTGCTTCACTCCTGCCATATTTGCCCATCACACCTTCCGGCTTCTACAGTATCATGTGACATGTCCGCCGGCGTAGATGCCCGCCAAAAGGATAGACTCGGCACATGGGTTTGCGGGCCGTTGCTGGCGGTTACAGCGCTGCCGAGTGCCAATCAGCGGGTGAAGAGTAGCTTGGGCGCATCCAGCCCAGCCCACGTCACTCACGAAAGGTGGAAGAGCAGCGCTACTTCAGCGCGGGAATTGGTGATGGGGACAGTAGGCCTTGGCCGCGTCTGGGAAGGGCATGTAGGTACTCCTCGCTCTGTATGTCCTCTCACTCTTCCACTCCCACGTCACGACCACGTTTTGGAAATGCGACGAGGGTGACATAAGCCTCAGCCTGGTATATCCCTGCCACCATCCCGTTTCACATCTCGCGGATCGACAGGCGTGCATTCTAGCGAGACCCTGATTGAGCTGGAGCGTCTGAAGCAGCCGAAGTAGCTGTAGCGGTTGTAGTAGTTGGAGCAGCTGTAGCGGCTGTAGTACCACCAACACCTCAATCAAGGACGCGCACGGACAACTGCCCACCATGGCGCACCAGCACGAAGAGCTCTTCCTCGACGACACCTCCACCCCGATCGTAGACAACGAGACCCCGGGTCCCCTGCGCATCAACAAGCAAAGTGTACACCCCGGCGAGCGCGCGGAACAACCAAGGCAGCAATGGGCGCAATACCGAGTCCCACCCTCCAGCGCCGCGGCGATGTACGGTGCGCCCACCAGTCCCCCACCAACAGGTCCTCTCCCATATCCAGATCAGGCGAGATATAGCTTCCAACCCGCTCCAGCACCAGTCAAGGCAGGCTCAAGTCGGTCTAACACACCGCAGCAGGCCGCCGAGGAGGGGCGAGCGCCGGGTCCGCCGGGCGCGAGGAGGCAGAGTATGGCTGGGTCGGATACATCCTCCGGTGCTGGTGGAGGTGGTGCGAGACGAGCACGCTTTGACGCCGCGGATCCGCATAGGCCTACGGTGGGCGGGTATGGCCAATCGCCTCCTCCGCAGCAGAGCAAGTTGGCCGAACGGAGAGGCACGCCGGCGAAGAACATCTTCCCACCGGACTCACCTGGCGGCCCGGAGCCGCCACACAAGAGCGACGACGAGGACGAGCATGACGAAGGTGGTACCCTCTTCTCCATACCCGTGCTGGGCAGGACGAAGACGGGCGCGCCTGCTACGCCGGCCGAGCAGCCGGATTATCAACACTACTACCCTCCACCCTTGACGTCGGGTACGGGTGCGCCCGCGGCGAGTACGAGTCAAGGCACGCCCGCGGATGGACGGATGCACATCCCGGATCCGGCAGGTATCAATCGCCTGAGCAGTACAGCGTCCAATGCCACCACGCGCGCGAGCAGAGGAAGCCCGCCGCCGCCGGAGACACCGATTGATCCCTCCCCTATGACTAATGTGGGTTTGACGGGCATTGAGGCGCGGTATGCAGCTTCTGGAATCCCGGGCACCGACACGCTCAACGAGATGCAAGCTCAGAGCGCCGCGGCGGCTGCACGGAGAGCGGAGTATCAACAACGCCAACCGCAACCGCAACCGCAGCGGCAAGCGACACCGACCCAACGACAAGGGACGCCAACCCAACGGCAAGCTACACCGACCCAACGACACACCACCCCACTCGCTCAGCCACAGCCTCAAGGTCCACTCCTGCCACAGACTTATCATCAAGTCCAACCACAGCCTGAAGCGCAAGCTCAAGCTCAACCTGGCGCCCGCTGGAGCCCCACCGAACGCCCCGGCTCCACCCCACACAACGCCCACCCACCCGTCGCATTCCACGGCGTGGAAGAAGTGCGCTCATCAGGCGCCGAGGTGCCGTCTCAAGCTCCGGCGCGGAGACAGCGGCAAGGAAGCCAATCCAGCCAGTCCTCACAACGAGCCACCTATCCTCGTCCACCCCAGCCCTCCGCCGCAGCGATCGAAGAAGGCGTGGCGCATCTGGGCGTACATGAAGAGCCTCCACCTGCTTACAGTCCGCCTGCGCCGGGGAGCGTGCATAGTCCGTATCCGAACGAGAAGGGGTTGAGGCATGATAATGTGCTTGGCGGCGATGGTGTGGTGGGAGGCGCAGGGGCGCAAGACCCGAAGTTGACGCAAGCGCAAGATCCGAATTTGCGTCAGCATCCGGCGTTTGCGAGTAACGTGCAGCAACTCGATGGCGCACCCTCTTCTTCCTCCTCCTCCTCCACGCCACACCCCGCCCTAGCCGCGCAACCAAACGGCACCAGCACACCCCACGGCATGCACCCCCTCAATATCGCGCAAGCGAACCAACAACAGAACATCTCTCCCGGACCCGCCTCCCCGCCTCCCTTACCAGAAGGCTGGATCGCCCACCTCGACGCCAACTCGGGCCAATACTACTACATCCACCTGCCCACCCAAAGCACGCAATGGGAATTCCCCAAAGGTCCCACCCCCTTGAACCTGCAAGAACCGCTCAGCCCTGTCGGCGGCGGCGGCGCAGCAGGCAACCCCTTCGCCCACTCCCACTCCCTCGCCTCACCCGTCGGATCAGTGTTTAAGCAACCCCTCGCCTCCCCCGGCTTTGCCAACCACGGCCATCCGGTCCCGCAATCCGCGACGTTTGATCCGCGGAATAGCATGCTCTCCATGACGTCTCTGTCCTCCCCAACCGCTACAGCAGGGTTTTCCGGTCCGCCGCCGAGTGCGGGAGTGGATATGTATAAAGTCGCCCCTACTAATGGCGTGTATTTTGGTCCGTACCTGCGGTATACGAACCTTGATCTCGAGCGTGGACTATGGTTGGGAAGTATCATGCTCATCACCGATGCCGCGCAGCCGCCCACGATACACATCCACCAATCCCTTGACCTGAGTCCGAACCCGAGACAACTCAAAGCACATCCCATCCACTCTCATCAGCGATGGATCTTCTACCGCTACGACGTCGACCTACGCATGGAGGAGTCCGGGCCGGCGAAGTGGACGTACGCCATCACGTCCCACCTGGGCTGCACCCGCTACGAATTCCTCGTAGCCGGCCGCTGGGAGCACAACTGGCGTTTCGTCGCCCACAGCGGCAACGACTTCGCCCTCAACGTCTCCGCCAACGAACGCTCGCGCCTCGGCGGGGTTGGGTTGATGTGGCGCGACGTCCTGCTCAAACACGGCGAGTGCGGCGGCTTTCACGTGCAGATCGGTCTCGGAGGGCAGATCTACGCGGATCGCTTGTGGAAGGACGTCCCCGCTTTGCGGCAGTGGACTCAGATGAGTGGGAAGGAGAATCGGAAGAATTTCCCTTGGAGTCCGAAGTTGGACGAGGATGTGAGTCATGCGTATTTCCACTACTATACGTCTCATTTCGACCAGCCGGCCATCCGGGAGGCCTTCGCGCAGATCCCGCATATTTGCTGTTTGGACGATCATGAGATCTTCGACGGGTTTGGATCGTACCCGGAGTATATGCAAGCGTCGCATGTGTTCAAGGGACTGGGGCGGTTGGGGACGGAGATGTACCTGTTGTTCCAACATCACACCACGCATGAGATTCTGCGGGCGGTGGGGAACGACATCGACCTCTTCACCATCACCGGCACGGGCTGGCATTTCGTCAAATACCTCGGGCCCGGCGTCGTGGTCGTGGGGCCCGATACGCGGAGTGAGAGGAGTACGAATCAAGTCCTCGCCGGACCGACCTATCAGGGCCTTTTCCCCAAAATCGCCATGCTGCCGCCCAGCGTCCAACACGCGCTTTGGCTGCTCCCCGTGCCGCTCGTGTACCCGCGCTTGGAGGCGGTGGAGCAGGTGGCGCAGGTGGCGGAGAGGGGGAAGAAGATGGTTACGGGCGGGTTTAATATGCTGGGGAAGGTTGCGGGCGGGGTGGCGGGGGTGGTCGGGGCGAAGGGGGTGGTGCAGGGCGGGTTTGAGGGGGTGAAGAGGGCGGTGGGGAAGAGTGGGTTGATGAGTAGTGTGCTCAGTCCGTTTGGGGAGGTGGAGGTGTTGGATGAGTTGCGGGACTTGTGGACGCATGAGAGTAAAGTACGCCTCTCTCTCTCTCTCTCTCTTTCTTTCCTCCTCACAAATCTTGGGGAACAGACGATACGGACGTGCGTGTATGTGTGTGTGTGCGTGCTGACGTTTGTCGTGCAAAACAGGACCTGGAACGGACCTACATCATCCGCACGCTCCAAGGCATCGCCCACAACAAATCCCTCCGCATGACCTTCCTCTCCGGCAGCGTCAACACCTGCGGCGCCGGCCTGCTCCACGACCCGGCCCACCCGCGCGACCACAAAACCATGTACCAACTCATCACCTCCTCCATCGTCAACGCGCCGACCCCCTCCTACGTCCTGAAACTCCTCAACAACGCCTCCTCCTCCTCCTCCGCCGCCAACAACAAAGCCTACTACATCCCCGCCAACGGCCACCGGTCCGCGCCCGGCGCCGTGACGGACACAAAGGAGGATATGATGGAGATTTTCGCCGCGGATGTCGATGGCCGGCCGCGGGAGATGAGGCGGTTGATGGGGAGGCGGAATTATCTGGCGTGTGTGGTTTTCGATCCGGAGGCGGTGCAGGGGTCTTTTCACGGGCAGGAGGTGGGAGGGGAGAAGGGGCACGGACACGGACAGGGGCAGGGGCTGGGGAGGTTGAGTTTGGCGGCGGATTTCATGGTGCAAGGGGCGGGGGATGCGGGGGCGGGGTTTGCGGCGACGCCGTTGAAGTATGGGCCGGTTATTGTGCCTAGTTTGGAGTATGGGCGGTGATTTGGGGGGTGCTTATTATGCGGTTGCGGTGGGATTGCATTAGCGTAGGGCGAGGTCGGGGGTATGAATGAACGAGCGATAAGTCTTCCTATTCAAGGCAACGTTTCTTTGACTTGGTGCCGCTACGGGAACGACTAGAAATCACTCGTCAGGCCCGGGAAGAGCACGCCCTTCTCTCCTCTCCCCAGATCTACCATCGGGAGACCGTAACTTCCATCCTTGCCTACCTCGCACCACTCCCACGTCCTCTTCTCCGCCTCCACGCCCACCATATCCAGCAACCGCTTCGCAGACGTAGGGATGAATGGCTGCAGCATGATACCCACCAACCGCAGCGTTTCCGCGGCGAGGAAAATGCACTGATCTATCTCTGCCTCCAGCTGCTCAGGTGACTGTCCCGCCTTCGCCGCCTCGTGGAGCTCTTGGCCCGTCGTGTCGGTGGAGATGGACTGCAGTTTCGTAACGAGCGTCCACGGGGAGACGTGCTGGAGATAGGCGTTCATGTCGGCCACGGCGCGCATGAGGGTTTGTAAGGCGCGGTTGGGGTGCAGGTCGTGCATGTGCTTGTCCACTTGCAAAGGTAGGGCGGCGATGCGGGAACACATCGCTTTGGCATCTTGGTCCGCATGTTCAGAGAACGCCGGGTTGGCGTACTGTTTCACGGCTCGCCGGACGTCCCATCCCTTGCCGCGCATGATGCGGCTCGTTAGGTTGCCCAGGCCGCCTTGGAGGTTTTTCTTGTATTTCTCAATGATGTAGCGATTGTCGTAGTCTGCATCGTCGGTGATGCCGCCTTCGTGTACGAGGTACCAGCGCATGATGTCGATGCCGAAACGGTCGAGGGCGAAGAAAGGGTTGACGACGTTGCCGGTGCTCTTCGCCATCTTCTGACGGCCTAGCGTCCAATGGGCGTGGGTGAGGATTTGCTTGGGGAGAGGAAGGCCGAGGGCCATGAGGAAGGCGGGCCAGTAGATGCAGTGGAAGCGGACGATGTCTTTGCCCACGACATGAATGTCTGCTGGCCAGCCACCTGAAGATGCTGAGCCTGGTGTGAAGGGGTAGCCAGCTGCACTAGCATAACTGAGGAGAGCGTCAAGCCAGACGTAGATGGTTTGTGAAGGGTCTGTCGGCACGCGGACTCCCCATGTCAAACGTTCCACGGGCCTGGAGATGGACAGGTCGGACAGGGAGGTACTGACTTCGTGGACTACCTCACCCATCCGTGTTCGAGGGATGACAAACTGTGGGTTTTCCTCGTAGAAAGCAAGTAATTGGTCTTTGAATGCGCTCAGGCGGAAATGGTAGTTCCGCTCACTCGTCCACTCCACCTCCTTCCCCGTCTCAATGCTCACCATAATCTTGCGGCCAGTCGGCGGGTCCACAACCAGCTGTACCTGCGATGGTGGGTAGAACGTCTCGTCACTGACGCTATACCACCCTTCATGCTTGCTTTCGTAGATGTACCCCCTATCCTGCAGCATCTGCCAAGCATACTCGACAGCATCCTTGTGCCGGGTGTCTGTCGTCCGGATAAACACATCGCTACTGATGCCAATCCTATTTGCAAGATTCCTGAAAACGTCGGCACCGCGGTCACAGAACTCTTTCGGTGGCACGCCGGCCTTGTTGGCCGCTTGTTGGATCTTCATGCCATGTTCGTCGGTACCTGTGCATAGGATGGATTTGCGGCCTTTGAGAACTTGCCACCGCTTCAGAACGTCCGTCAAGATCATTGTGTACATGTGTCCAACGTGAGGTGCGGCATTGACGTAGAAGATGGGCGTGGTGATATAGTACGGCTTTGGTCGGTCACCCTGGGTTGAGAATGATGTTGTGGTGCTGGCGCCGCGACGCTGCCTTTGCTGCTGGCAGCGACTGCATACCCATTGCGGGCGCCATCGCCGCAGTATGAGTGTCTGCAAGGGTGTCAGAGTTGGCGTGATGGACGGAAGACGAGTACGCATCGTATGTGTTGATATGGAAGCTTGGTAAAGAAGCTCCCAACTTGAACAGGGTTCGAGCTCCTCTCATGGCCTCGGCTGGAGGCGATCTATTTCAGTGCACTTTGGAATAAACACAATCTTCTGGCAACAACACCTATTGGACCACATGGTTTCATGACATTCAACCCGAGCCAATCCATAGAAGGGTGTCCATCGTTAAGATGCCACACCTACCTGACGAGATCTGGCTCCAGATACTGAACTACTTGCCACCACTAGATATATGGCGTTCGGTCCACCTGACCAACACACAACTTGCCTCCGCTGCAGAAGAAGCCATGCTCAAGCGTATAATCGAGAGCTTCACAATCGGTCTATCCTTCTCACTCGGCGCAGGCTCACGGCATCGCTGGTACGATATCCGTGGGACCATCACCTTCCAATTTAAGGAGATCAACAAGCATAACCCGCAATACGTCCTCTTCGGATCTTTGCGTGTACATCCGGACCACGCCTACAGTCGCGCGATGGAGCGATGGAAGCGTATGAGTGCCGACGGGCTCGGTGGGAGGCAGGAATGGAGGGTTCAGTATGGCGATGAGGGCCCGCTTAAGATGGTGCGGTTGCCGAAGCTGATTGTGGCCGACAAAGAGGGCATCTTCTGCGACTGGAAGGAGCTTTTTGATGTGTATTTCGCAGAAGATGGTCTTGTAGAGCCGGGGGCGCATGTAGCCTGGAATTCGAGAGCAAATTGACGTGCTTATGCATTTCTGTTAGGCTAAGACTTCGCGACACCTAGATATGCCTCTGACGTTGCCCGTCGTCTGCAGATGAGCGTCACGAACGTAACATCTGGCATTACTCTAGACGGTCCGCGAGTCGGCCACCTATAAGCAATGCAGGCTCGTAGTGAAGTCAGTCTTGTACGTAACACAGAGTAGCCGGTACGCCCTACGACATGCCAAGACCAGCGCCTCTTCTCAGTGTACAGGAATGTTAACTGTACCATTGATTACACCTACAAGGAATCTTTGAGACAGGGTCGCGGTGCACCCTTCTGTACGAACAATGGTCGGTTTAACCTGCGCTGCTCACTGCAGGCCCTCAGGAAGCGTAGGTCACGCCGATGCGCCAACGCGCCGATGGCACGCACGTTGGAGTCGAACGAGCGGAAGTCGCACAGTCATTACGATCCACGCACAAGAGAGCCATCAAGTGGCATTCTCCAAAGGTTTGCGATTCCGGTCCTCTCAAAGCTTGCTGCGCGTGCGGACGGGAACGGCGCCCTACATACGGCATTGGATCAGGTTCCACTCGCACGCGACGCCCTCGTGACACGGTTTCTGTTGGCGGTCCAGTTTCCGTGGCTACTTTCCAGCATTTCCAAGGCTGTTTACAGCTCGAGCCAGACGCGGGATTGCAATAAAGATCGAAACTCCGGGTGGACGTCCAGCTACGGGCCATGTGAAACTGACTTACCTGGCAAGGTCTTCTGATGAGACCCAACGTACGCATTCGACGATGGAGCGGTGAGTAGGCGCAGGCTTGATGAGCGTGCCCCCAATGTCACACAGCAGGTGTGTTTGCTCATTCGTCGCTATGCTCGAATATAACCACGAAGCGATGCCGACCCTGATGAAGGATGAAGCCGATGCACGGAACAAAATGTGTCAGTTTAGTGCATGACAAGACTTTGGTCCGAAAACAGAAAAGCGATGTGGTTGTCGATGCAATTGGAGTCGCGTAACGTGCAGCCCTGCTGTTGGTGGTCAACGGGTGCGTTATCAACGGTGGAGCTGACCTAGTGGCGGCACCTATGGAGCCATTCTGCGGGCCGTGTCGTGCAGTCCCACCGACGCCGGGAGGCGTCACCTCGAAGGACTTTCGAAGAATCTTCGATCAGTCGAAGCAACGTAGCAGTGACTCGCCGTGTTGATCCTGGCTATGTTGGACATCCACCGCCAGGAGCAGGCTCGTGAGGGGTGCACAGAGCCGTCAAACTTAGCGCGCGCATTACGAGATGGTTTGATTGTCTCTCACCAGAGTTGGTGATGATCTGGGGAAGCGGCGCCAAAGGCTTGGTTCTGCATCCGAGGCTCGGCTTCACTCATGCCGCTCGTGGTCCGGTGAGAGACACTACATCTTGACGCGCCGTGACAGACGCCGAGAGACTGGTGGTGCCGTGATGCTGAGTTGACCTGAGTTGCCAACGACCGACTATCTCTCGGCACGGTGGCCATCGATGCCAACCGTTGCTCCAAGCTCGCGCGAAGTGGAGGCAATGAAAGAGAAAACCCGCAAAGCTTCCGGCTCGCGTGCTTGCCACGTCTCTGCGATGGCTGGGACTTTACTCGATTCAGCTCGTAAATAACGTGAACGAGCAGAAAGCGATCCCTGAGGTGTACTTTAAACGAAACCAATTTGATCGCACGTTAGGCAGCATGCATTGCGGCCAGGTACAATATGCTGTACGCAAGATGCGCAGCATCGCGCTGTGCCTGAGTGCATTCGATTCCGCCGGCCACACGCTTCGGGCGGCAGAGGCGTCGTGCACCCCATCTCGCAGGACTCCGGAGAATAGCGCTGTGATTCGCAATGCTGCACGCCGACGATCATCCTGGCCGGTTTTATGCAGCTATCACTAGCGCATGGCAACCTCGAGAACTGAACCCCTACCCTTAGTCAACGTCGCTCTTGCTGCACTTGTTTGAAGGTTTAAGTACCCGTAACATCCTGCCCACCTGGCCCGCCGTCTCGAAATTGCTGCTATCGGACATCTGCCCGTGCTTGCCAAGCTCTGGGTGTCCGAAGTGTGCCGAGTCACAAATACTCATTACTTACCATCGACTGCGAAATCGAGAAACATACTAAGGCAGACTCGAGCACCTTACGCACGATGGAGGGCCCGGACAAGTCCATGGGCAGCAAGGAGTACTCACCGGAAGGCTCCGCTAATTTACCAGAATATGGCGTGCAAGAGGACCATAACCGGTCATTCATGGGCCGCTTCATCGATGGTTTTAAGCGCGATCCAAACGCCCATGCTACCCCCAAGGGCGCAGTGGGTGCCGACGGCAGAGTCTACGATGTCGAGGGTGCAGCAGCAGCTACAGCGAACACGGGACTGCAACGGTCACTTAAAGGTCGCCACCTTCAGATGATTGCTATCGGAGGGTCCATCGGGACAGGTCTCTTCGTCGGCAGCGGTAGTGCACTCGCCACCGGAGGCCCGGCTTCTCTGCTCATCGCATTCATCATTATTGGCATTATGCTGTACTGTACCGTCCACGCACTGGGTGAGATGGCGGTGCTGTTCCCAGTAGCAGGGTCTTTCTCGGCATATTCAACACGCTTCCTTGACCCTGCATGGGGTTTCGCTATGGGCTGGAAGTAAGTTCACAGCTACACATTGCTCATGGATTGGTACCAACTGACTCTCAATAGCTACGCTTTGCAATGGCTCGTTGTGCTTCCACTCGAGATTGTCGCGGCAACCATCACCATTCAGTACTGGTCAAATGGCTCGATCAACAATGACGCCTGGGTGGCCATCTTCCTCGTCATGATTATCGTAATCAACCTATTCGGCGTCAAAGGCTACGGCGAGGCCGAGTTCGTCTTCGCGATCATCAAAGTCATCGCCGTCGTCGGCTTCATCATCCTTGGCATCATCCTGGACTGCGGTGGCGGACCCCAAGGAGGGTACATCGGCGGGAGCAGGTGGTACAATCCTGGCGCGTTCCACAATGGCTTCAAAGGTCTCTGCTCGTCGTTCGTTACTGCCGCTTTTGCCTTCGCCGGTACAGAGCTTGTTGGTCTCGCCGCAGCTGAGACCGCGAACCCAAGGAAGTCTTTGCCCAGCGCCGTCAAGCAGGTCTTCTGGAGAATCACACTATTCTACATCGTCTCTTTGACATTGGTCGGTCTACTTGTCCCCTACGACGAACCTCGTCTCATCAACGGCACGAGCAGCGCAGACGCAAAAGCTTCGCCTTTCGTCATCGCCATTGAAAACGCAGGCATTGGTGGGCTACCGTCCGTCTTCAACGTTGTGATCATGATCGCAGTGCTATCTGTCGGCAACTCCTCGATCTACGGTAGCTCACGTACACTCGCTGCTCTAGCGGAGCAAAACCAGGCTCCGAAGATTCTTGGCTACATCGATCGCAAGGGTCGACCAATCGTAGCCATTGGCGTTGCCGGCGTGCTTGGCCTCCTTGCGTTCTTCGCCGGTTCAGACAAGGAGCAGGATGCCTTCAACTGGATGCTGGCCCTTTCCGGCCTGTCGTCCATCTTCACTTGGGGCAGCATCTGCCTTGCTCATGTCCGTTTCCGCCGTGCCTGGAGTAAGCAGGGCCACTCACTCGACGAGCTTGCTTTCCGTAGCCAACCGGGCGTGATCGGATCGTGGATTGGCTTCATCCTAAACTGTCTTGTGCTCATTGCGCAGTTCTGGACTGGAGCCTGGCCTGTCGGCTGGCGAGAATTAGGTGCAGGGGGGCAGACGGAAGCTTTCTTCGAGGCATACTTAGCGGCGCCTGTGGTGATTCTGTTCTACATCCCGTACAAGCTGTGGTACAGAACACCTTTCGTCAGGTCGCATAATATGGATCTGCATACCGGCATCAGGGACCTGAATGTGGCCGAGCTGATTGCGGAGGAGAGAGCTGAAAGGGCCTCGTGGCCGCGCTGGAAGAGAGTGAGTCATACATCTTCATCTAGCATATCCCGGCGCTCTGCTAACAATACGCTCAGACCTACAAATTCTTCTGCTAAGCTCATAATGTGGCAGCTACTCATACTCATGTTGCACACGTAGCTCCACATGTACTACTACGCACCGTGAGGGCACTCTGCTGTAGCAATAATGTAACCATTGACAAAGTCATAACGCTGTGCCAGGCGCCACAAGCAACGCTGATTTCAAGCGCTTATGACGGGCTTCACCTCAACTCATGCGCCGATATACTCCCAGGTCAAGCATCGGTTTTCGGCCATTGTAGACTGTAACTCGTACCAGACCAGAAAGTCATCGTTGAGATGTCGAGCTGATCATTGCCACCGATTCCACGATCTACAAGAAGACGAGGAATCCGCGGCACCCAAGATCCTCTGCTTCGCTCTCCACTTGCACAGACGGTTTTCGTCGTCATGGAGCATCAATCCATGGCATGCACGGCGAGCTCTCGAGTCGAAAATGCTTTTAATGGCAGTGTTCAATTTGCGTTGTTTATGCGGAAAGGGAAGGTAGTGTTTGTCGAAGGATTCGTAGATTTTGTTGTCGGCGCACAGATCGCAATGCCAAGTCACCGTTGCCGGCTCCACTCTCGCGAGCTCCGATACGATCTGGAGGCGTTGATGGTTCCAAATTATTGCTGCACCTTTTCAGGCTGTTGGGTGCTGCGGAATTTCGCATTTGGCGTCTTGGATCCCTACACTGCTTTGTATATCATCAATGGGTCCGATGAGTGACAGGGTTACTGCGTATAAAGTGCCTCCATGGCGGTCCTGAGCAATGAAGATGCCGCCCAGGAGCCTGATCTTGACAAGGTAGGCATGCTTCGCCGCATATGACAGCGTTCACGTGGCGGACGGCGTTCATCTGACACTTATGGTAGGCACGCCATGTCAAGTACTGGACGAGGTGCCTCAAGACTCTGTTGCCACACCACTATACGAGCAATGACAGCAACCGGCTCTATCTGGCTTACTTCATCGTTTCGGCACTCGATCTGCTCGGCGCCTTGGACACGGTATCCTCAGCGGACGAGCGCGAGGACTATGTCAATTGGATCTATCGGTGCCAACATCCGAATGGTGGCTTTCGCATGTTTCCAGGCACAGACTTTGGGGAGCGAGCAACGGCGGAGAACGCGTGCTGGGATCCTGCCAACATACCAGCTACTTACTTCGCGTTGGCATCTTTGCTTATTCTGAAGGACGACTTCAGTCGCATCAACCGGGCAGGAACTCTTCACTGGCTGCGGCAAATGCAGCGTGAGGATGGCTCCTTTGGTGAGACGCTGGTTAACGGCCGCATAGAAGGCGGGCGAGATCCCCGCTGTGGCTACTGCGCTGCCGGCATTCGCTACATCTTGAGAGGTTTGCGCGAGGGTAGTGCAAAGGTCAATGGCCAAGAAGTTGACGACATTAATGTTAATCAGCTTGTACATTGCGTGAGGCTTGCCGAAGTACGTACCCGTTGAGCACAGGAATGAGTGCAAACGAACGTCCGCTCACATGTTTCGTAGACATTTTCTGGAGGCCTTGCTGATGAGCCTTTTCACGAGCCACACGCTGGTTATACGTTCTGCTGTCTGGGCGCTTTGGCACTCTTGGGGCGACTTAACCTCACTGGCCCACCAGCGGAGAGCCCCCTCGAAGCGCCCAAAAATCCAGAAGAAGTCCTGAAATGGCTAGTTTTCTTGCAGACTGAGCTGTCAGATCCCAACGCTGGTGTTGACTCGGAGTTTGCACAGTCTCAGCGCAGATCCAACAAACCCGCTAACTCGAAGAAAATTGATGAAGCTCGCGACGCGCGAAAGGATACGGTCCATCAGGAGCCTTGTGAGACAGTCGGGGTAACACTGTTCGATCTGATCGTAGACGGCGCAGGCATGTGCGGCAGGCCAAACAAGGTGGCCGACACGTGCTACGCTTTCTGGGCTGGTGCATGCTTCCACATTATGCAGCAGCCGCAGCTCTACAACGACCAAGCGATACGTAGGTACCTCCTCGGAAAGACGCAGCATGACGTACTCGGCGGGTTTGGCAAATTTGCTGGCGACTTACCGGACCTCTATCACAGCTATTTAGGTCTCGCTGCGTTGAGCTTGGCGGAAATGACCGGGGTCAAGAAACTCGATGCCGGGATGTGTATGAGTACAGAAGCAAGGTCAAGGCTGCCAAAGCTGTGGGCTTCGTGGAATGTTTGACAGCGCCGGACAGTTCGCACATCGCGATTGCGATATAAAGTACACCACGAAGACTTCTGATTCAGCCTACTACGCCCAACAACCCTCGGTCCTGCCATCGTCGCTCATCAGAAACCCGAACCCTACATTGAGGGACATCGTCAGGCCTTGCACGGCGGTCGCACTTCTACGACGCCATGCATGACCTCGCCTTGGATGTGACGTCGAAGGGGTCCTACTGATACAGATGCCACATCACCGTCGAGCACCCTGCCGCAAGACGTTGTTAATTGCTTATCTGACCCAGACCTACAGAGATAGAGCTCAACGTATGCAAGACAAGCCTCGCCCATGATCTAGATACAAGCTATTGCCTGCGAGCCCTTATCGACCACCGCTGTATCACGATGTCCATTCCGCTAACATGGCAATTTGCAGAGTGTTTTGCAGAATGATCCGCACGTGGCGAAGATATGATCTGCAGCAGCGTGCAGCGAGCTTGCCGCATGGGGAAGGTAGCCCCTCCATATCAACGGCCAAAGATCTTTGCCGAACACTCTGATCTAACCCGCCATTGATACAAGCGTTTGGTATCCGGATGCCATGCCGATCAGCTCGCTATGGCTTGAAGCAAAGCGATAGACAAGCAAAGCTCCATGCCAAACTAAGAAGGCGTGTAGCTTGTACTGCATATACGCCACTTGCGTCTATCTTTGTTCCCTACGAAGCGGTCATGGCGGACTCAACCCATTTACAGTATGATGGGTGGCTAGCGTTCGCTCATATATAGTCTTGTGCCATATATCGTCAATGGGTGAGGTTAGCACTCACTTCTTCTTAGTCTATTCCTCACATACCTCTACCAACTGCAGCCATGAGTACTAGTAGAGGCGCTGCGGAGATTGGCGCAGCCTCCTACCAAGTAGAAGACTACACAGCGCACGAGATTGAGAAGGATGCTATCGGCCACAAAGACTCGTCGGAGCCCAGCATGCTGGCCGAGAAAGGAGAGGTTATCAACGTCCATGATCGCGATCGCGAGGATGAGCTGGAAGACGACTCGATGATGCTCTCCCACGAAGAGCAGTTCCCGATCGACCCTGATGCGGAAGAGGAGCTCCATCAGTTCACCTTCCGGGCGGTATTCGTTGGCTGCGTTTTGGGTGGTGTAATTGCGGCTTCAAAGTCAGCATATACAGGGTTCGATTGCTGTGATTCCGCTAACGATCCATCAGCGTATACCTGGGCTTGAAGACGGGCTGGACATGTGAGTATCTGTCGCAACGAAGGCATCAATCCCCGGCGTAAGTGCAAGGCTGACCAGATCTCTCAGTTGGTGCATCTTTGTTTGGCTCGATCTTTGGCTTTGCCATCCTCAAACCAATGTCGCGTGCCCTGCCCACGTATCTGGGTGGTGGCTACTTCGGTCCTAAAGAGAACGTCTGCTGCCAGTCAGCCGTAAGTGTAACGTGCGTGAATGCCCTGAGGTATGTTGCTAACTTCCACACCACCACAGGCCACAGCGGCAGGCAGTCTGGGCTTGATCTTCACCAGTGGACTTCCAGCTGCATATCAACTCGGCCTTCTCGATAACCCTAAGGCGGACTTCGGCAAGCTCTGCACGCTCACGCTTGCATGTGCCTACTACGGCATGTTTTTCGCCATTCCCCTGCGCAAACTCTATATTCTCAAGCAGAAGCTTGCCTTCCCATCTGCGGTAGCGGCAGCATACACTATCAGATCGCTACACACTGGCAAGAACGCCGAGGCGAATGCAAAGAAGAAGACTTATGCATTGGTCATCGCCTTCTCCCTCGCCATCACTTACCGTTGCGTCAGCGAGTACGCTCCCGGTATCCTTTGGGACTGGCACTGGGGTTGGACACTCTACAGTATCGGCTGGAAGCAAGCCATCAAGGTTGAGAACTGGAGCTGGATCGTCGAGTTCACCCCGGCGTTCATTGGAGTAGGTTTCATCGCTGGTGTCAACGCTTCCTACTCCTTTTTCGGCGGCGCCATCGTGGCCTGGGGGATCATTGGACCTGCACTTGTCGCCGCTGGAGAAGCGTTTGGAACACCAATTGATCCGGTGAAGTACCCGGGCTATATCAACTATATGGGCATGGTACTGGACGACCCGGTCAACAGGCCATCTCCGCGCTACTGGCTGGTGTGGCCCGGCACGATGCTGTTGCTTGCAGGCTCCTTCGCTGAACTCGCTGCTAACTGGAAAGCGATTCTGGGGTCCTTTGCGGCCCTCGTAGAGCCTCTTACCAACAGGTTCCGGAAAGGACGTGGTGGCATGTATGACCAAGACCAGATTGAGGAGCCTTGTCCGCCGAGTGAGCTTGTGCCAACATGGATGTGGGGCGGTGGCATCATTCTCAGCATCGTCTTTACCTGCATTATCATGGGCGTGCAGTGGGGTCAGAACGTTGGGGTAACAATCCTGGCAATATTCTTCGCCTTCCTATTCTCCTTTATCGGCGTGGAAAGCGCAGGACGCACTAATATCATACCTGTGACTTCTATCGGCAACGCTGTCCAGCTCATCGTCGGCGGCACAACCCATGGTCACGGAACGATTGCGAACCAACAGACCCTCAACATTACCGGAGGTCTGCTCGCTCTTGGCGCATCCGAACAGTCGGCGGACATGGTTGGAGATCTCAAGACAACCCATCTCCTCCGCGCATCACCACGCGTGCAGTTTTACGCGCAGTGCTGCGGCGCTATCGTGTCGGTCTTCATGAGTGTGGCCATGTACGTCCTTTTCTCCGAGGCTTACCCCTGCATCAACGACCTCGCTCTTGCGGACAACTGTGCCTTTGCCATTCCGGACGTTGGAGCTTTTCGTGCGATCGCAGTGGCAGTTACTTCAACGTCGCTGCCGGTGCCGAGATCTTCGGGCATACTTTGCATCGTCCTCTTGGTATGGGCCTTTGTGCAGACTTACCTCAAGTACAAGTTTGTGCCGGTCAAATACCACCATTACGTGCCCAACTTGGTCGGCATGGGTATTGCTTTCATCCTCAACACCACTACTTATCCCGCGGCCATGGCCTTCGGCGCCACTTTTGCCTTTTTCTGGAGGAAGAATTATCCGGCGGCCTTCGGTATGTACTGCTATGCGGTTGCAGCCGGCATGATTGCCGGCGAAGGTCTTGGTGGTATAGGTACGTTTTGAGGAGCCTAGGCCTTGCTTACTGTCCCAGACATCGCTAACGGACCTATTCTAGTTGGCGCTGTGCTCCAGGTCGCCAAGGTTTCTGGTAACTACTATGGAACTGCCATTGGTTGTCCAGCCATGGCGTATTGTGGTTGAAGAGCTTTAACGGCGGCGGTGATGGTGCTGGTGGAGGTGTATGTGCATCACGTGAGATTCTTTATCTTAGACGGCTGTTCCCGTGTTAGGCCTAATGACTTCCTCCCGCGCTACCTTACAGTCACGTACTCCTTCACGCCAATCTGACCACCAGTCTCATGGCATGACAAAGAGTTCCCAGCTCGTATCACGAGCGTAGCGGACACCTAGCTATTGTCAAGATCAAAGGCTGGTGGCGCCGTCTCCCAATGGTCCTAGGACGATGAAGTAACAGATTGTTAACGACAACTGTGAAGGCAACCTTCTACGAGAGTTGGTCTCCGCCCAGGTAGCGTACTCCAAGCGACCGACCTTGGAATGCTCTGTCTGGTGTAGCGGACTTATGCCGCCTCCTCTCAAGTGCCGAATATTGCTGAAAGCTGAACGCACTAATTTTGATGATATCTCAAGCGACGAATCATACAGCAGTAGCCGTGGTGACGATGAGAGCCAAGAGGTGGTCGGAGTTGACCAGCGGAGGATGAAGATATGAGCTAGAGCGGCTATGGGAGTATTAACAACTCAGTGTCGGACTCGGCCATGTATCCGGAGAGTGATAGTGAAGAAGGTGCCAATGACGTGTGATAGGTGAGCATCCAGCCTCTCTTGACAACGGGCTGCAGCTGTTCTGGATCGTGCTGAACGACAACAGCAACTGTCACCGTGCTCCACGCAAACATCGCGAACTCACCAACTTCTCTTTGCTAACTCGCCATGAGTATCTGGCACGCGGCAAGTTACTGTTCATAGCACATTCGGCTTATCCGTCGATCTAGTTTTGTCATGAGTGTCGCACCGTATTCTCTTGCAAGATCTTTTACCAAAAGCATTATTGCTATTTTCGGATGATCATACAGCAGCTCAACAGACACAAAATCTTACACGGATAGCCTGATGCACGAGCGCTGCTGGCACCAAAATTGTGCATCCCGAGGATTTCAGCAAGGCTAGGCTGAAGCAATTACGTACGAAGGATCAATACTTGGTTCATACAATCATCAAAGCCACATCTTTGAAAGGCATCTTCAGGTATAGCTTCCACAATAACAAACCCGTCAAAACAATCCCGTGCAAACGTTCAGACTGCCAGCGCATTCTCGTTCGCCGAGAAGACTGCATGGACCACGACCTGGCAGTTCGTGGCAAAGGTGTCGTCGTTGGTCGCCTATGTTATCTCGGCTTGTCAGACCAGTACTTCAGCGCTCCGCTGCGGCACCAACCACCGAAGTTGCGTCGTCGGATCCTCGGCTTCGACAAAGGTTCCGTTGACTACTGCCACTTTATTGTGTTAGTCACAAACATCCACCGCCGCGTCAAGAGCAGTGTCGTGTTCGATCTGCCGGATGGCCATCAACCATTGACTGGCAACGTTCTCTGCGTCTGGCGGTCGTCGCGCGCGATGGATGTGGCAGGCCGAGCTGACTTTCACAAGCTCGCGCTGAACGGCTATTGTGAGCTTAACACCCTCAAGATGATGGTCCTTAAAGATGGTCATGTCTATGGTTCTGGATCGGTCGCTGGCGGTTGCCCTGTGCATCCATCACACATCCTTCGAAAACATAACACCAGCACCTCTTCCGTACCATATCTCCGAGAACTTGACAACCCTAAAGTCCCAAAACGCAGGCGTGCGCGACGACCTTGTTTGAGGTTGTATACGATAAGCGTCGCCGACTTCCTCGCAGACTCACAAGGCATCTCGAGCGAGCCTCTTATCGTGCTCAATGGCAGGGATGGTCTCTATTACCATAGCGAGCGCGTCGAGAAGTGGTTGGGTTCGCCAGAGATGCATTTGCTCAACTTCAAAGTTATCATGACCGGAACCCGTCGTGACAGTGCGCTCTTCTCTGAATTGAGCGAGAAGCAATTTCCTCGCAATGAACTCCTACCGGATGAGAACTCCGTCGTGCTGATTTGGCTGAACTTCTTGCTTCATCTCCGCTTTCCTTTCTCCGCCGCTCCTCCGCCGCTCCTCCGTCACCCCGGTCATCCCTCTTTCAACCCTCAAAACTTGGTCATAGGTGCGGCCGAAGCGCTCCTCCCATTCCTCGATCAGGTGTTCGCGGATATCCTCCTGAAGTCTTCTGGCGCGCTTCTCGCATGTTGGAGGCGCGGCGGTACTTAGTTTTCCACATAAGGCCGAGTCTCGACGCATGGACGGACGAATTGCGTGGCACCTCATTGGCATTGAGCCCAATCACCGGCAACTACCAATTCCCAAACCTGTCGCGAGCATTGAAGTTCATACAGCCGACGTCCATGTACGGGATGGGCTTGATGTAGGCGTGGTGGATCTCCGGATTGTCATCGCCTTCGCCTAAACAGATGCCCCATGGCACCTTGGTCGTCCTGCTGTTGTGCAAGGCAAGGACGTCACTTCCAACAGTGATGAAATGGCGACGCGGAATGGCTGGCCAGTGCGCATGTCATATAGATCGCCACGGTTGTTTCTGTTGATGATATTGCGGGCGGGACTAGTGAGGTTGCCGGCTGGAGGCGACCCGTGTGGAACGACGGCGTTACCGGGATCTTCTTCGTCACAACTGAGCTCAATGACTTTGCTATCCTCAAGGATGATAATCGGATTGTCGGTGGTGGCCATCTGACTGATTGCTATTGATCGCTTCGTTGGCGTACTTGGACAACTCAGGGAGCTTACTCACTATGGTGTTTGCCTTTGAAGTTGTTGTTTAGAAAGCGTTGCCTAGAAGGTGTGACGGCTTGCTTCACTTAGCCTGGTGGTGGTGATGGTGATGCAATGTGTCAGGTTTCAGATATCGCACGCAAGCGCAAGCGTTTCAAACATACAGATTCTCTTCTCATACTCATAGTTATGCACCGTCCCACAAGCGCGGTCAGAGAATGCCCTGCTGTGACGGCGAGAAGGTGTTGGAGGCGGGCCATCACTGTGGGTTGGACCAACCGGCAATGCCGGACAGAAGATCCTTCCTGTTAAGTCTTACATGCATGGTAGGACGCTCTCTCGCAGGCCTTGGTAAACGTGTGTCCTGTGATAGCAACGGTCTGAGAATTGCTGATCTAGCGTATTTCTGTTGAAGCTTTCGGTAAACTACAAATGACCTTGGGCGACCTGGAGCCGTTGGTTGCCATCATCAGATCTTCATACAGCGCCTCTCAAACGCCGGCGCTATGCTCACCAGCTCGGAGAGCTCGCTGTAAGCATATCATACATGTCACCCCAGTACCTCATAGGTTGCATCGCCTTAGTCTTGCCTGCCCTTCAATAACCGCTTAGTGACCTTATCCTTCTCGATAATGTAGACATGCGCGCCCCAACCCGACAGCGCATCGCGGTCGACAGCGTTGAGCAGCGCCTGCGAGATGGTCTCGAAGAGGTCGTCGGGCTCAAGGTCCGGTTCCCAGAGACCTTCGCATGTGCCGAAGAGTTGGTCCGACGCAGTGCCGGAGACGATGAAGTCGGCAGCGTAGTCGATGCAGCCTATGCTGTCGAATCTGAACCGTCGATGTCAGCTCAAGCGTACTGTGCAACGCAAGGTTGAATATTGTTATTTTAGACGTACCCGCAGATGAAAGGCGCCCCACTCTTCCCATCAATCCCCGCCACCACCGGACTGACAAACCACGGCCCAAACCTCCGCTCGTACAGACTACTGCTCACCAGCTGCGCGAACGTCTTGGGGGCGATATCCCGTTCTTCTCGTAACCGGTACATGTTCACCTTATACCTGAACAGCTCGCTGACGGTGCTGACGTCTGTTGCTAGTCCCGTGAGACCGAGGAAGGCAGTGGGCGAGTATTGGAAGATCTTGGGGAAGTTGTTGGAGACGGTGAGGGATTGGAGGCCGAGGCGGAGATCGCAGGCGATGGCGACGCAGTTCTTGCCGCGCATGGCTACGCAGGCGCCGCCGTCTGTGGGGTGGTATTAGTGTGAAGGTGTCGTGGCTCTCGGTCACAGGCGAACCTACTTATTGAGAAGGGTGAGGACATGGCTATGGCTGTTCAGTCGAGGATGTGAGCCTGGTGGCTCGTTGATATGCGATCGCAGTCTATCAGTATATCACAAAAAGCTTGTTGTCTCTCCACGATCCACGACGACCAAGCAATCGGGTATTGCTCGAGGCTGACTGAATGAGTAGGCGGGAAGGTAGGTAGGCAGAGGTGATCGTGTGCTCGTTTGAGTGAAGGTTAGCTACACGTAGGCACGCAGTCGGCTGCGCGTCAGTAGCTCCGAGCTCTAGCTTGCCAAGTCCCAAGGGATGGTCAATCAATTGATGCCTGTATTTGATTGAAATACCACCTTCCTTTCTAGCAACTACTCTTGCCCTATCCACGCCCTTGTGCCCAGCTTGGGTTTTGCTCCAAGTGACCGCCAGGGCAAGGTATGGTCGTAATCACCCAGAATCCGTAGTCTCCTAACGTTCGCTTCAACAGCTAAGTGTCTGCACCATACCCGCCGTTTTCATTCATTGTGGACGCTCTGCATCTTCCTGTCTCTGCATCCGTAACAAGCTCGTTGACATGTCCACTGAAGGAACACCATGGGTGACGACGCCCTTAATTGAGTCTGCGAATCTCTCCAAAGCCGCCGGCTGGTATCCTAATTCCTTGCATCGCACCATCATATATGCAACTGACCCAGAGCAGCAGAATCTTCCTTAAGCTCGAAAACCTTCAACCAGCCGGCTCCTTCAAGTCCCGCGGCGTTGGTAACTTCTGTCGCCATGCACTACTCCACGCAATCGATCAAGGACACGATGAGGATAAAGTACACTTCTATACCAGCTCCGGCGGCAACGCTGGGCTGGCCTGTGTCCATGCCGCTCGCTTTCTCGGCCGGCCAGCCACTGTCGTGGTCCCGATGAGCACGAAGCAGATGATGATTGCCAAAATCACTGCTGCCGGGGCGAGCGAGGCCGTGCAACGTGGCGCTAGTTGGACGGATGCAGACCAGTACTTACGAGAGGTTGTCATTAAGCAGGCGGAGTCGAAGGGCGAGATTGGGGTGTATGTCCCGCCGTTTGATCATCCGAACGTGTGGTCAGGCAATGCTACTATCATCGAGGAGCTAAAGTATCAGCTTCCAGGAGTGGCTCGAGAGCAATCTGCTCACCCGGACGTAATCGTGTGTAGTGTGGGTGGAGGAGGACTGTTGAATGGTATCGTGCAGGGAGTTCAAGAGGAGACGCTGATGGAAGGGACCACGGTACTAGCCATGGAGACAGTGGGAGCTGACTCGCTGGCGGCCAGCTTGAAAGCGCGTAAGCTGGTTACGTTGCCCGGCATTACGTCCTTAGCAACGAGTCTGGGCGCAACGAGAGTGAGTGAGCGAACATTTCAACTAGCTACGGAGTTCGGCGAGTCAGGTCGCTTCAAGAACGCAGTCTTGACTGACGCGGAAGCGGCGATGGGCTGCTGGCGCTTTGCCGACGATGAGCGAATGCTGGTCGAGCTAGCCTGCGGTGTCAACGTAGCACTTTGTTACGGAGGTAGGCTGGAGAAGGCGCTTGGTCGACCGGTCAGGAAGGACGAAAAAGTGGTCATTGTAGTCTGTGGCGGTCAGAACGTGACTACGGAGATGGTTGAGGGATGGCGGCAACAGTTTGGTGACTTGGATAAGGAAGGCTCTGACGGGCATATTGCGACCATACCCAGTGCGGCTACTGCACCAGACAGAAGATAGCATGGTATAGATCATAGAACCACGAGCTAGGGTATACCCACTCAGTAACGCCGACCGCACCCTTTGCGCCAATCTCACGTGGAGAGAGACTACGCAGTCGCTGCCGTCTCAATGCTACCCAAACCCAGCTGACTCTTCCTATAAGCCCAGTAATTCTTCCGAATCGGATCATACGTTGTGGCCAGCAGGTCCAAAGCCTTGCCAGCCTGCTGCTTCCCTCCGCTCTCCTCCGACAGGATGTCGACAAGCAGATCCAGCGCAAAGCTTGACCGAACAGTCCCTGGCCGCTCCACACTCGCATACCGCTCCGCAAGCGGCTTCAACGCCGCAAGCTCCGTCCCACTCGCTTTCCGGATCCCTCGCACGTAATTCCACGGACTTTGATTCTGCGGCGCCTTCGCGATCGCCGCCTCAGCATACTTGATCTCCCTCTCCCTGATCTCAGGATCCGTGACACCCTTCACGCCCTCCGCCTCTCGACCATTCACAACATACCACCGATGATTCCACGCACTATTATTCCTCACATCCTCTTCCAACATCTTCTCCGTAAATTCCAACTCCCCCTTCTCCCACAGCTGAAAACGTTTGACAAGCCACTGCCGATAACTCCAAACATGATAATTCTTCGCATCCTTCTCGAACATCCTCGCCACGAACTCCTGCTCCCCCTGCACATCACACTCTTCTCCCAGCGCGTCAACGATGGTCAGCCGGTGATGCCAGATCTGGTAGTTCTTCTGATGTTGCAGCGCCGTTTCGTTGAGCCACTCAAGTTCCTCGTGTAAGTCTGAGTGCAGGTGGAAGAGGCACTTGGAGCGGTAGAGCCAGACGGTGTAGTGGGCTGGATTCATGTCGATCAGGTCTTCGGTAAGTTCTAGGACGCGAGGACTCAACTCATTGGCGGCCATGACGGCGCGGAGGTAGGACATGGTTTCTTCGTAATCTTCCGCGTAGGCGATGGCGGCGAGAGGGTTGGGTCCGCCCTCGTCGGTGGGGAGGGGGTCGATGTCGGACCATTTGGGGTCTTCGGAATATTTGCCCATTTTGACTGCTTAGGTCTTTGGTTACAAGAAGGCTCAATGAGTCTTGCGAACGAAATCAAGCAGCTGGTGGAGAAGTGAAGGTGGACGTGGGGCAAGGTTGGAGAGAGCGTTGGTGCGAGCGCTAATGCAGGAACAATACCAAGCAAGCAGCTTGTGTAACAGAGTTTATAGAACGCGGAGTCGATAAGCATCAAAAGCTCCTTTCATCGACGGCGAGAGGCTCCAAGGCAGTTGATGCTTGAGGGAGAATTCGAAACACCAACGGGATCTTTCGTGTCAACCTCATGCTGTAGAAGTCGACGTGTATAGACAAGGGCACTATTCGACGATATCACTACAAAACCGCCGTGAGATCATGGCCGGAACAGCTTGGCAGATACAGTACGGTCGCTACCTTTGTGGATGTTTCCAACGTCTTTGCATGCAGTGAGAGTGCGGTAGCTAACAAAGTACCCTTGGGAGGCACAAGAAGCCCGCCGATGACCGACATTGAGCTGCGCACCTGATCGACGCTACGTCCGTGGAAGCCGCACTCTTCACCATCTCCCATTGCTGGTCAATCCAGCCCGCTCAAGCCTCTTGCACGCCATATGAAACCACGTCCGCCGAGCTCTCTGCGGAATCGACTGCACAAGCACGTCCGCCTTCTCCAATTCGAAAGATACATCTCCCTCCGCTATAACCTGTAGAATATATTGTGCCACTGTCAGGTTCTGTAGGGGTGTTTCGCGTCCGAGACTTGCGATTGCCGCGACGGAAAGGCCTTGCTCGTGCCAAAGGTGATAGGCGCGAAGCTGAGATGGAGTGAGGTTGGAGCGGGGATGAGTGGTCTTGAACTGCTCTGTCCAAGTGTTGGCTAGATCGATCTCCGGGCATGATGGTTGTTGCGGCTGTTTGCCGGCGGGACCGGAGGGTTTGGCGGAGCTTTCACTTTGGCAATCGTTTGCGGCTGATGGGATGTCGGCACTGGCACGATCGTCGCTGGGACGGGTGGTTTCTTCGCTGAGTGCTTCAGTACGTTCCGACACGGCATCGATCGATGACGTGTCGTTGAAATTAGCAGGGGAGGAATCGCCATCTTGACGTGGCAAGGACGGATAGCTGATATCCACAAGCGGGCGCATATCGTTCTGACCGCTCTCAGAATTCTGCTGATGAGGATCTCCATCCTGGTACTCCAGTGCATCAACGAAGTGCTCTTCCTGCGCCTCATCATCGGCCTCCTCTGCTTTCTCCTCGCCCGCAGACTGTGCCTTCGCCGTCTTCGGCCTAAGCACCGTCCCGTCCCCAAGCACGAGCGGCTGTTGCAGCTCATAGAATGCAGGCCTCGGCGGCGTGGGTTCCATAGCTTTACGTTTCGCCTCAAGCGCATGGAATAGTCTAAAGCCAGCGTATGCGTCTGAAGCGGAGTAATCCGACTGCTCTTTTGAGAGTGCTCGAGACCACGAGCTGACGCGTACATCGTCCTTCTTCAGCGGCAGCAGTAGAATATTCTTTACTTGTGCCTGGAGGCTAGCACCCTTCAGCGTCTTGTTGATCGCCTTACGGTCGGTAAATGTTACGACCTTGTACAGATGGCTCAGCTCGAACTGCGCACGCATCTGCACACCCAAATACTCGTGGATGCGACGAGCATCGCCCTGTATGTTCACGCCGACTTTCATGACGCTATCAGACTCCAAGATCATCCGGAGACTGGTGGGCATCAGCTGCTGAGGCCCATTGCCTGCGAAGAGCGCCACGTGGATGAGGATGATGCGGTCCTCAATCGCGAGCTGGATGAGGGAGACGTTCTGCTTAGCTGGCGCTGTCTTCTTGACCATAGGTTCCCACTCAATGTCGAAGCCTAGCACAGGTTGACCGAGGAAGTGTTTGAGTTGCTCCTCGGCCTTGATGAGCGTCTTGCAGTAGTGGACCGTTGGTGCGTTGCCATCGGGATTCCTGTACATTGCATAGCTCCAATAAGCGGCATTGGAGTTAGCTGAGGCCATTGCAGCGTCAATTAAATCTTGATTGGGTATCTGATACGTTAGCCCATGAAGCGGTTTTGCTAATGCACCTTTTTCAATAGCCTCTTTCACAGAGGCCTCAGCGGGCTCTGGTGGTTCTTCGTGCAACTTGGTTAGCGCTGGCTTGTCCGGTCGATCACCTTCGCCCCCTCCTATCACATCATCACCACCACGGCCTCCCAGGCCTGGCCCAGGCGAAGGGCGCTGCGTAGCTGTTTGCCGAGTTGAGTCGAGGGCAGATTGCTCAAGTGCTGCCCGCAGATCGTTGAGAGTACCGGTGTCCAGAGCGCTCACCGTACGTTGGTCGCCCTCGGGTGGCTGATGACCTGAGTGACTCATGAAGCAGAGGACATCCGTGCCTCCTGCATGCGAAGCGATCATAGCGTCCCACTTATCGTAACGTTTCCGGAAGTCTGAAGACAGGATGTCATACGTCAAGCAACCTGACCGTGGATGCGACGCCCGCAGAGCCGCCGTGGGTCGTAAGCGCATGGCTGCCTGTCGCCTCCGCTTGATTGCGTGCGAGCTTGTCCCTTCCGTCCCCATCACGCGTAGCGCTTCTTCGCTTGACCAGAAACGGATATTCTCCTCAAGACGAGCTACTTCCTGTTCCAAATGCTGCACTCTCACATCGTTATCTGGGGTGTTGACACGGACCCTCTCCAAGCGAGCCTTAGTCCGAGCTACGTATGTGCTGAGCAGATATAATTTGACGTTCTTATATTCAGAAATTGCTCTTAAGCGTTGCCCACCGTCGGACATTGTAGGGATGCTAGACTCCAGTGCCGTGAGACGCGAGACGGCAGCAACATGGCCTGTGTGCTTGTCGGATGCTTTTGCGGAAAACGTTTGCTGGGCTGATCTTGCCCTGAGCGTCAATCCCACAGGACGCCCGGACGTAGGAGGGGCGCCTCCAAATCTAGTGTCAACCTTCGGGGTGACGCTCTGCTTTGCTGCTGGCTGTGGCGGGAATAGATGGCGGCGTCTTGCCAAAGGTGCGCGAGTCAGTGCGCGAGCTGGTGACGGGACGCCCAGCGCCGTTCGTTTGAAGGAGATGGAGCGAGTTCCGGCAAGGTCCGACAACGCATCTTCTTCTTGTGCTGTACTGGAAGCGATACGTCGCTTGACCTCAGCATCGATGGCAGCCTCTCGCCCTTGCGGGACTCGGCCCAGCATCTCCTGTAACATGACCCGCTTCCTGACAATAAGCGCCACCTCATTGAGGTGCACGCGCAACTTTGTGGCCTGGTCACTGAACTGGTTTCGCAGGCTGAACTGCTCTTTCAGAATCAATTTCTTGAGCGCCTCGTACGACGTGTCGCCTACAACGCTACCCCATAGCCTGGCAGCCTCTGCCTGAATGTCGCTGGCAGTGCGTAATACATAAAAGACCTCCTTCTCCACCAGCGGCTCGCTCAACAAAGCCTTGGAGCTCTCCACTGCGCGATGTCGAGCATTGAAGCTGATCAATTTTGCCACGAACTTGCGTGACTCACGCAGCTTGGCTAGTTCCAATCGGATCCTGGCAATGACTACTAGGTCCCCCTCTGCTTTGAGCGCTTCGTTCAGATGCTCAATTTTGCGATCGATATCGTCACGCCGGTTCATCACAAGCTTGTCGTTCGCAAAGAAGTACGCCAAATCAGCTGCAGGTAGGTCACCGCGCTCACGACGCAGTCGGTGGAAACGCCACAGTATCCGAGTATAATGGCCTGACTTGGACACTTCCTCGCGGATCGACTTGCATTGCAAACGCAGATCTTTGTAAGCCTGTCCCTGACGCTCAATCTGTGCCCGATCGACGGTGATTCTTTGATCCACCTGCGCGAGCAGCTGCGGGTATAGTGTCCCGGCCCAAGGCTGCAGCTTAGCAAGCCGTTGAGAGTAGGGCTTCATCTCGTTGTAAGGTCTGAGCAAGCTAAAGGTCCTTGACTCCACAGCCGCAAGAGCTTCTTGCAGGTCACGAAGCGCTTCAAAAAGTGACTCATGCACCTGTCGAAACCTCTCGTACGTGGCTCGTTCTCCACTTCGAGCATCCCTTGCCCGGGTCTGCTTCTTGGCCAACTCCTGCGCTTGATTGGCGAGGGCTTCACTGTGTTCCTGCTTTATTTGGTCGATCTCCTGCAATGCAGCTTTGTATTGCTCCTCCGCATCGCCAGTTTCCGCCTTGACCCGCTGCACTTGGCCCTCCAATACTGAGACCTCTCTTGCAGCTCTGTCTTTGTCATCGTCGGCTTTCTTCGCAGAAGCTAGAGCCTTCAGAAGTTCGTTCCGCGTTCGCGAGAAGTCCGCGTCGGCCTTGCCAAGTCTCCGCTCTAAACTAACGAGCTTCCGCTGCAGGTCAATGGCGCGTTCGTCCGCAACACGAACATCTAACCTGAGCTTCTCGCTCTCTTCGTCCTTCACCTTTAGCCTGTTTTGCAAGATGCTGATCTCTCCTCCGAGCCTACGCACCTCTTCAAGCTGAGAAGGCAGCCTAACTGAAGGTGTTGCATGGGGTCGGTCCAGATAGGAGCCTTGCTTCGGCGAGATCGGGGCACCAGAGAGCGTGCTTGGTCCATCTTGACTGCGTGGCCGGGTCGCGTAATTTCTCTTTTGGCCATGGTGAGGAATGGCAAGCCCGCTGACTAGGCTTCCGACTGCGGCCTTTCTGGTAGATGTACCCTTGGCAAAGACGATGCCGCGAGATTGATCCCAGCGCGCATCTATTGGACGTTGATTGGGCACTCGAACTAACATATTATCGACTGGGATATCTGCGCCATCTGTCGTGCGATCGGCAGACATGGTTAAACGCGTCGTCACCTCTCCAGAAACAGTTGGAGAAATCCGACGAAGCCGTGCTGTCGTTACCGCACTGGCAGTGACGACTCTCGTTTGTTGCATAGCGATCCATCTGGTCAGCGCGGAGCCTTTAACACAGTGTGACCGTAAAGTGCCAGGCAGCAGCGCTAGTGAATGATGCCAAGTTCGAGTACTGGTTGGCTAATAAGTGAAGCCCATTGAATAGAGTTTCATAGCGCCGCCGGACAACGGCATGATCCGTGCCGCTGTGCCTCAGCCAGTGATATCTGCACCGAGCATCGACAAGCACCGTCTTTCATTCCCTTGCACTATATCATCCTAAGGACGACTTCAATGAGGCTACGTGCCATCCAAGCGCAATGGCATCTCAATTACTACCGCTGGAGCTCATCGATCGATGTGTGGGTTCACCAATCTGGGTCATAATGAAGGGCGACAAAGGCGAGCGATCTCGTGTCCAACAGATTCTGAAGTATTATGCTAATGTACCTTCAGAGTTCAGCGGGACTCTGTTAGGCTTTGATGACTTCGTCAGTACGTGGACCGGACGACGCCAATCTCAGCGCTGTATCGTGCTAACGTATGCCAGACATGGTACTCGAAGATGTAACGGAATAGTACGCTCTGCTACGGAAACCGAGCGCTTTTCTGCCTACTTACTGACCGCGTCAAAGTGATTACTCGGGAGCACAAACAAAGCTTCCCAAGATCTTGCTCAACGGGAACAATATCTGCATGGTGCGTCCGGCGGTGTCTGATCCCCTCTTACTGTCCCCAGCCTGACCTGTGTTACAGCTCATTCCTGGCGGTATGCCCGAAGCCAGTGAAGGATGAAGACTTCACGCATCCGCACGACTTTGGAGCCAGCGCGCTGCATCTATCAATCGATGGCAAGCCTCAACGAGCGGACTGCGAAGATTTGTGCTCTGCCGAACAGCAGGCCGCAGCCCTAACCTTGAGCAACCAAGCTCTTCACGAACGGTGCTTGTTGCTGCTGTCACTGTTGCAGCAGTTTTCGAAGTACGACTATCGGTGCCTGTATAACAATGGCATGAAGCTTTGGATTACGCCCGGCATAGGCCGGTCTGGGTTGCATTTGATCCAGGGCCGAAGAATGCTCGTATTCTTCCAAGAAATGAATATATGACGGAAGATATCATTGCAACCGAGATTCGCTGATGTATCATCGGTGAAAAGTGCGGCTTCGCTGGACAACAATACGTACCATGTCGAAATCCGGTTTAAGATCCTGCACTTGCCTATCCGAATGCGGCAAGTGGTGACCGTTTGATTTCGCTCATGGATATCTGAAGTTGAACGGGGCGAGTCTTCCAAACTTCGGGATTGTGCTGGACTGTCACGCCTTGTTGAGATCGGCTCAGAATTACCCCGGCTCGCATTCACATTCAGCCCTACCAACCAGCAAAGCCTCTCCGCTTCCCACGAGTCGCTCTCTCCACGAAAGGTTCATCCGCTCGACAATTTCCATAGTTCCAAGTCATGCGCGTTCGGACGGCCCAATTGATGCCATTGCAATGTAGCGTCGCATGTCGGCGGAGCTGAGAATATGCGCTGCATATCATCATTCATACAATTGCGTCTGTAGTCTTCGTACCGTAGGCTATGCGGATAAGTAGGAGCAGTATCTATTCTTCTTAATGACACATCTCTCTTCACAACATGATACATGAACGATACCTACTGCAAATCGAAGGCGGCGACCAAACTCAAGCGAACGTTAGCAAGCGCACCGTGAGGCCACACACTCGACCAAATTCATCAAGCGCAACTATGCCTCCAACATTCGCATTCTTTGGCGCAACAGGCGACTGCGCTGGCTACTGCCTTTCCTTCGTGCTCAACGCTGGCTACGATTGCCGCACACTTGCACGTACACCCGCCAAGCTTACAGCCTCCCTCAAGAAGAAAGGCGTCAGCGGCCAGACGCTCGACAAGCACCTTGCCATCGTCGAGGGCAACGTCAAGGATGTCGAGGCCGTCAAACGCACGCTTCAGCTTCTCGATGACAGTATTGTTGACAAGATCATCTCTGGTATAGGAAGCACGCCGTCACTGCAATGGTCCTTTCTGCGACCCGTGACCATCACCGACCCGACGATCTGCCAGGATGCGGGACATGCCATCTTGATGGCACTGGAGCAGCTCAAAGCCGAAAAGAAGCCGCTGCTTGTCAATGTGTCTACGACCGGCATACCGCCTACAGGCAAGCCGAGAGATGTTCCGCTTTTGCTTCTGCCGCTGTATCATTGGTTGCTCATCAGCCCACACGAGGACAAGCTGAGGTTGCAAGCACGGCTAGAGGACGAAGTACGCCGGCCGGATGCTGAGCGCGGCATCAGTGGGTACGTGAACGTCAAGCCGTCATTATTGATGAATGGGGAGGGACTAGGGCTGGAGAAAGTACGAGACGGTGTCGAAGACCGGCCTGCGGTTGGATACACAATCCAGAGGAAGGATGTCGGAGTCTGGATGGCGGAAAAGCTGGTGATCAACGAGCCGAACCTGGAGTATATCAACAAGGGTGTTTGTCTTACTTACTAGGGCGTGATTTAGCAATTGCATAGCATGGCGTTAGGAGCATGTTCGTAGAGTTAGCATACCAGCATAGGTGCTATGACTACTGCTTCTTCTTATTCCCACCATTACCCGCAGCCTTCGCCGCCTTCTTCTCGTCCCTTATCTTATCCATCTCCTCAATCTCTTCCGTCTCCTTCCTCTGCGCGTACCACTGGCCCGCTTGCAAGATCAATATGCCAACCAGCACCAAAGCTAGAATCGTGTTGCTCGCCGCCAGCACCCTCAAGCTATCCTCTCTGCCAATATAGTCCGTCTCCTTGTTTTCCCACATCGCCTGCATGACCTGAGCGCCACTTTCCGGAGTCTCTCCACCGTACGCACCCGCTGTTACGGTTCTAAGGCCTTTGACGATGTTCGCGATGTAGACAGTGATACCGCACATGTACAGCACCAGACTGGCACCATCGAACAGCATGTTCGCTTCAGAGGGTTTGTAGAGCTTCATGGTAAAGCCTAGCAGCCCTGTGCCGATTACGATGTGGAGGATGCGCGAGATCAGCGGCGGAGAGGCGTGAAGGAACTTGAGGTGATTCTCCTGCAAAGCAAAGTATTGGTCGCGTGGATCAACGGTGGGATCTTGGGCGTGCTTGTAGGTTGTGGGTGTGGTCCAGAGGACGTGGTAGTCATAAGGGAAGAGGGCGAAGAGGATACCAAGGAAGAAGCATGTTGCTACGATCAGACATTAGATGCTGATGTGTTCTTAGAGGTGGTGGGTTATGCTCACGGCCGACAATGAGGAAAGTCGCGAACGGCGCGGTGCCTTTGGCTGGCATGCTGGCGGGTACCCAAGTGCTGCGACCAGGAATGCTAGCCTATGGAGCGCGTCTCATGAAGTGTCAAAGGCGAAGAAGAGTGAAGCACGTGAGTAAGAAGATAGCACCGTGAGGAAAGCCGCGATAAAGGTGCATCGTAGTGAATCTCTGGGCATATTACGAGCTTAGTGCTACGTCACTTATACACGCTTTATGCATATTGCATAACGAGGATTGTGAGAAAGGTGAGCAATTGATAACATATTACTAGGATGTCTGGACCGATTGTCTAGCTGCGATCATTGCACCTCCCGCGCGCTCCACTCGTAGCGCAGTGTGAACCCCAAACAGTACCTTCCCCTCCGCCCGCCGCGTTTTCGCCAGCGTGACGAAGGGCTCCTGATTCTTCTCGCCGCTAACCTGATCAATGCAAACCATCTGACACCGCCTGCAGCCGCCGAGAAAGTCAAGCACCGGTCCACGTTCGCCGCCGATGCGCATACTCTGCCAATGGTCCTCCGCAAATGGCTGCTCGAGTCCTGGCGGTAAAAGTGGGCTCTCCGCCAGCACGATGTTCGCGCGGAATACGGATGGATGAGCAGCTTTGCCACCTCTGGCCTTGATCTGCTCGTTCAGCCGATTTAGAGATGACCTTGAGATGGTCAGGATTGGTGACTCGTTGCTAAGAAGCAGTGGCCGAGGAACACCTATTGCCTCTCCACCCTGCTTCAGGTGTGCTTTGCTGTGGCGGCCTGCGCTATCAGACGCAGTCCCAACAGGGAAGCGTGCTAGGGTGCATGGGACACCTACTGCTTCTGTGAGAAACCTGGCAACGGACTGAGAGGCGTAGACCTGTGCTGCGATCCGATCGCCGCAGACAGTGGCATCGCGCTGCGCAAAGTCTGGCTTATCAAACACGCCCGGGTCTTGCGACAAGGGAACTATGACGGTGTCGGCCGAACCCGGCGCATGGATCCGTAGCACGCCTTGTCGGAAGTCCAGTGAAGGCCGGATCAGAGCCATGCGTGGGTGCTGCTTCTGGCTGAGTGCCTTGACAGTCGTTTGATGCACAATGCACCATTCGCGATCCCACACAAGGCCCTCGTCACGAACCTCCCAAGTTGTCCCATGCGAAATCTGCCACCCAGCGCAGCTTTTGATAGGATATACAGTCAAACTCTCGATGTGAAAGCGCTGCTCAGATTTCTCCGATACTTCACAGCCAGCCACAGGAGCCTGGGATTGACAGTTCTTGTTGACAAAGAACTCCTCAAGAAAGGCTACGAAGCGCTTAACGTCCGATGTTGTACTCATAGCTCCGAGGCTAAGCCGAACAACACCAGCCGGCTTGCCATTGAGTATGTCGTACTCACCCCCGCATCTCTGTCCAGCAGAGAAGTTTTCACGCATCTCCCAGGGAGCAAGATGGAGCCATTGAGCAATGCCACCAGGATTACAGACACCGCCGGTCCGGAGATGGATGTTCTTGATAGACGCGAGCTTCTCGATCTCCGTATTGCTGACCCAGTCGCCATTGCTGTCGCGCAAGTTGAAGGCTACGATTGGGCCCTGATTGCGACTGTCTCCGTACAGGGAAGATGCATTGGTGTAGATTGTGCAAACGTCTCTGCCACTACCATGCTTCAGCGCCGTCAACCCATCGTACAGTCGCTTCGCAAGAGCAGCCGTATGCTGTGAGACACGATCAAGGGTACCGAACAGTTCCGCATGCGTGTCTATTGCAGCGTTGAGCGCCAGGATACTGTGAACGGGTAGGGTGCCGTCCTCAAGCCGCTCGTGCAACGAACCAGACTTCTTGACATGCCACTGCTCTTTCGAGCAAAGCACCATATCAACGGTGCCACCTCCAAAGTACTTGCGCTTGTCGAAGACATGCGCCGCAGCTTTTCGAACGATAAGCGCACCTAGGTCTGGAAAGCCAAAGATCTTATACAAGCTGAGCGCTGTAAAGTCGGGTGAAGCATCGACATCGCGCAGATCCAAAGGCGATGTTGACGCGTACGATGCAGCATCAAGCAGAGTGTAAGTCCGCTGAAACGCTCTCCGCATACGCATGCTCCAATAGAGCGGGAGCCTCCTCCCATTCATGTTGGACTGAGCAGGGAAGGCGAAAAGCTGACTACGACCGGCAGGTCGAGACGGATGTGCTGCATCAACCCACGCCTCTACCTCCGCGTCCGACTTAAAGCAGTGGTGCGCAATAGCAACCTCTCGTGCGCCGACTAAGCTGGTATGGGAATCAACATGGTAGCCATACCAGAAACCTTCGCTCTGCTCTCGAAAGGCCTCCATGACTAGCTTGATGGCTGCGGTGGCGTTCGCTGTAAAGACAACGTCGAAATATGCCGGATCAGCATTGCAGAGATGTAATAACTTCGATCGGACACTATCGATGAGCTGGGTTGCGTGCTGGCTAGATTGTGAGGCAGAGTGCGGGTTACCTAGCAGATTGGCCATCATGTCTCGATGGAAGCGCTCCATCAGACGCTTGCTATAGACCGTAGTGCCAGCGTGGTCCAGATAGAGAGCGTCCGCGATCATGGGATATTCATCCTGCCGCATCTTCTCCACATAAGCATCGTATTCCTCGGGGGTCAGGTTTCCGCTTTCCAAGCCTGCCATCATGAATATGTAGTGAGTAGTTTTGGTGCGATAATTGGAATGAAGCACGCAACGCGCCCTGCACTCATCCGAAATCGTCAAACAAAAGCCAACAACCTATCGCCGTGAGCACCAGAGTCATCACAACAGCGGGAACATCAGTGGTAATGGGGCGTGAATAAGAGGAGTTACGGTGGCAAGTGAAGAAAGTAGATGAGACTCGGCCTGCTGTTATCTCTGTTGCGTGCATGTAGTGTCTGCGGCGTCGGCGCTTTCCGACGACAGAAACCACCTCCGTCCGAGACGAGGACATCTTGCGCTGCATTTGAGTCAACAGAACATGTTGTCGACCAAACTCACGAGCCGCTCGCTATCGAGTTGGGCTCTACAACAGCACCCATCGTTTCACATTGAGAGCCAGACTGGTTCGAACTGTTACTGAGCCTTAGAGGATCTGGCCAAAGTGGATATCCGGGCCGAGCGGAAATTGCCGCAACAAAGTACTCCGCTTCGAATGTCCATCTCGAGTTATCGCTTCTGATTACATGGACGGAGGTTGAAGTTGCGCACGATCGGTTATGAGATACACTGAGCGCTCGACGGCATGCCAGCCAGCGTCACGAGGCGCCTCGGCCCCAAGTGCTGATGCCGTGCATTGTAACTCGATCCCTGCGTGGATGATCTCATGAGAACATCGAAGCCGGCTCAAATGCTCGGCTCACCGCTTGACAAGGATCGCCATGAATGTCCGAATAGGTTTCCACACGTTCGACATGGTGGTTCCCGCTGTCCCTAGGGCTTCTGTCTGATGAGAAACAGGCTGTCTTGCAGGCTGATGGGTCCGGCTGAATGCCCAGACTTTCCAGGAACCGCCGGGTAAAATACATGCAGGTATGGAGCTTGTCCGCTTGCATGTCATCGCACATGGCTGGTACCTTGCGGCTCAAAGGAAGTTGCCGAAAGAGGAACGACAGATGGACTTCAACCTGGAGCACTGGGGACGATGTAATGCACTGACGGCTCGCTAAGCTCTCAATATGGGGCAAAATGCGGGCGACGGCACGTCTCGACTGGGATCGCTTCATGCGAACGACTATATAATGGCTGCGTGATCTTCAAAACCGGTACAGTGCCTGCAGCCTCTCTTTTCCCTCTGACACGAAGGGAATTCTCTCGTTCCTTTCATCATGGGTCTACGTACTTTCGCTGCTGCTGCTACAGCATTGCTAGCAACCACTGTCGTCGCTCAGAACGTCAGCAATGCCCAAACATCCCTCACTTTCCTTTACCAAAACAACCTCAATGCGTCCGATGATGCTAATCACATCGGCGCCATCCTGCTCGACTCGATGAGCTACAACTCTGGTGCTGCAGCCTGCGCGGCCATCGGCGAGTCTCTACTCACTGCAGCTGCAATCAGGAACCACAGCATGGACTTCGTCCATCTATTGGCTTACGAAGGCTACACTGGAAAGTGTGAGCGCGGCCAGTGGTTCTTCATCCAGGGCGGTATTGTTGCAGTCTCGCCGCAGGGTCCTTGGCGTCCTACCGCACTCAGCTTCCCGCAGATACCCTTCTATGGCAACTTCGAGCTTCCGGTACTGTGCACCCAGTCCAGCACGGGCAACAACCCTTACAACTCAGCGGCCAGCGCCTCCAACGAGCTCACGATTGCGTCCAGTGGCAACACATTCGTTGGTTTCAGGAACCAGAAGTCTTTCCGTTTCGTAAGTGTGGCTAATCTCGAGCGTGTGGGTAGTACTCACTGAGTCTTCGCTTTAGCTTGGCATCCCCTATGCCAACCCGCCCGCTCGCTTCCAGTACTCCACGGTCTACAACCGAACCGGTCAGACCATCCAGGCTACCACATACGGCGCAGACTGCGCACAGGCTTACGACCCCACATCCCAAGAGCAGTGCCTGTTCCTCAACATCCAAACGCCATACATCCCGAAGGCCGGCTCCAACTACGGCCTGAAGCCTGTCCTCTTCAGCATCCACGGTGGTGGTTTCACCGGCGGTAACGGTGGAGCTGGCAGCGGTCTCGACTCGGGCAACCTTGCGTCCCGCGAGGACATTGTTGGTGTCGAAATCAACTACCGATTGTCTACGCTTGGCTTTCTTGCTATCCCTGGCACACCTATCCAGGGCAACTTCGGTATCGGTGACCAGATCACAGCTCTGCGCTGGGTACGTGAGAACATTGCCGCTTTCGGAGGCGATCCAAACCACATCACCATCATCGGCGAGAGTGCAGGTGCTGGCTCCGTTCGCGCTCTCCTTGGCTCTCCCGAGGTTATCGGGGACAACCTGATTGTTGGTGGCGTCGCTCAATCCAACCTTGGTGGCGGTGTGACCCTTGGCCTTTCCGGCGATTATGGCACCACTTACAGCTCGTACTTGACCGTCGACCAGTCGTACGCTGTTGCAGGACAACAGATCTTTGCCGCTGTCGGCTGCAACCAGTCGGACATCAACGCGCAGATTGCCTGCCTCGAGACAGTTCCAGCGTTGACCATCCAGAACCTGCCTACAGTGGCTCGCTACGTCGTGCAAGACGGCACCATTGTATGTACCACGCACTCGTTGCGCTTTATACCCGCTAACGGTAGGTCCAGGTCAACACCGAACAACTCGACGTTTCCAACAACAACGGCAGTACCGCCCACGTCAATGTCATCTTCGGCACGACCGCCGACGACGGTGCCTCCTTCTCCACCTACCCCCAGGGCAACTACACCACCGAAGCCCAAGTCATCTCCGCTGCGCTCGGCATCACTCCTTACTACGCCAACGCCATCATCAACAGCGGCCTCTTCCCCCTCTATAACACCGGCAACCTGACCCTCGACGCCTTCAACGTCAGCCAGCGCGTCGCCACCGACAAGACCTTCCGCTGCATCGACGAGGCGACCACGTACGCTGGCGCCACCTCCGGCGCCTTCAAGTCCGCCTACTACTACACCATCACGCGCACATACGAGGGTTACGACCCCAACAACCTCGGCGCCAGCGGACTTTCTCAGGGTCCCACCGAGCCGGGATACCCATATGGTGACCCGGAGCTACCTTACTTCCGCCTCCACGGCTCCGACCTTGGTTTCACCTATGGCAACCAGTTCCCGCTTCGTGATGCGAACGACCTGAAGGCGACGCAGCTCATCACGGCGTACTACGGCGCTTTCGCCAAGACCGGCAACCCGAACCCGAACCCGCAGTACCTTCAGGTTCGCGGATACACCAACGTAAGTCCATAGCCAATCACTCTCATATCTACAGCGCGTCCATACTGACATAATGTGCTTGTATAGACCACCCAAGGCGTGCAACAGAGCGGTCCCTGGTTCCCAGTCAACAGCCAAACCGGCCCGACCAAACAACTTGACTTCCCGTCGCCGACCGTCCAGTTCCCGGATCTGGCGCAGTGTGCGTTCTTGAACTACTCCATCAACTACTATTTCCAGCCGAACCACCCGTGAGCGTGAACGAGTTGTGGGATAAAGGATGATGGGTTCGCTCTTCAGGGTGCATGTTTGATGATGTGGAAGGGAGAAAAGCGCTTGTATATAGTGTGAGATGAGATCATGTTTGATGAGATGAAATGAAGTGAGATTGACATACTACCTCAAGTTAGTTGTTCCTACCTGCACCTTGACCTTCACCTCACTTCACATACACAGCGGTAGAACTCCGGGAGAGTGAGATACGACTATATCAGCAGGTTGAGATAGAACTTTGGTAGGGAGGTGGCTGTGATATCACAATGTAGTCGCGAGACCTCGGCGTGAAGGCTATGAGGCTGTCGTCCGGTCCCTGGGGCAGTCTCTCTTCCCTTTTGATGAAGAGATATTGAAACTTGTTGGGAAGTGCGACTACGAACGCCGTTTAGTTGAAAATGCGGAGCGCGCTCAATTTCATGTCCGGCAGGCAAGGTCGATATTTTGGAGGACAGCGCTGGTTTGGTCAGAGAATGTAAGGGTGAGTGTGCAACAATGCGTTGTGTAGTAGTACAACGGACGCACTGCCCAGCGCCGGATGCGAACGCCATGCTCTCTTCATGCCGACCCCTACATCTTACACACGACACATGTCCTGCTTACAACTTCTGATATTCAAGCTTCCCCTCCAACTTCTTACTCTCCGCCACCTTCCGCACCGCCTTGTTGAAATCATCCTGATTGATCGCATCCCGGTAATCCTTAATGGCAAACAGCCCCGCCTCGGTGACCACATTCCTCAAATCCGCCCCATTCAGCCCATCGCTCATCTTGACCACACTCTCGAAATCAATCTCCCCCTCCTTCTGCACCCCCATGGCATGAATCTTCAACACCTCCAACCGTCCGGCCTCATTCGGAAGCGGGATCTCGATCTTGCGATCCAACCTCCCCGCCCGCAGCAAAGCAGGGTCAAGGGTATCCGGACGATTGGTCGCCATGATGATTTTGGTTTTGCCGAGGTAATCGAAGCCGTCGAGTTGGTTGAGGAGTTCCATGAGCGTGCGTTGGATCTCGCGGTCGGCGGAGGTGCCTTCGCTGAACCGCCGGCCGCCGATGGCGTCGATTTCGTCCATGAAGATGATGCAGGGCTCGTGCTCGCGGGCATAGCCGAACATCTCGCGGATGAGGCGCGCGGATTCGCCGATGTATTTGTCTACTATTGCGGAGGAGACGACTGTACGAGCGCATTAGCAAGGCACTATTCCGAGTTGCTGGGGCTGAAGGGGTTGACATGCCTTTCAGGAAGTTCGTCTCGAGACTACTCGCCACCGCTCTCGCAAGCAGAGTCTTGCCGGTGCCTGGTGGTCCGTACAGCAGCACCCCTTTTGGCGGCTTGATACCCACTCGCAGGAAGAGTTCTGGATTCTTGAGCGGCAGTTCGATGACCTCTCTCAACTCTCGTATCTGCTCGTTCAGCCCGCCTATGCCCGCAAATGAGACTTGTCCGGGATCTTCTAACGACATGTTGTACACGAGCGGATCGACTTCGCGGGGCAGCATCCGCATGATGGTTAGGGTGGTCATGTCGAGGGCGACGCGGGTGCCTTGCTTCAGCTTCAGTTTGTCGACTTTACTTCGGCAGCCAACGACGTAGCGGGGGCCGGAGGAGGCTTTGACGATGACTGTCATAGTACCGTATTAGCAGGGAGGGCACCTGTCGGAAGGAGGATGATATGCTTACATCGCTCCTCGTCCAGCTGCTTCAGCACCTCGCCGATGATCTGGCCGACACTCTGCAACGCCTTGATGTTGTCTTCCGATACGTCAAAGTCATGTTGTAAGCCTTTGATGTCTAATCGCAGTGCTTTGAGCTTCGCCTCCCATTCTCGCGACTCTAACAGCTTCGTCTTGTAGTCCTTCAGCGCCTGCTCACGCTCTTGCGGGTTCTCCGCCATCACGTCTCGCAAGTCGATGTCGATGTGTCCCTGTTCGAGCCTGTAGCGGTTGGGCCGGTCCCGTCGAAGATGATGATGGCTCGTCGGTACTAGTTCCCAGCTGGTATGCGGAAAGGGGGGTTGCGATGAAGTGTTTGGAGGGTGTGTTGTGGTTGATGCGTCTTGAGGTGCTACAGGCAACTTCCAGCTCGCGTGCATCACCATCCCCGGCGACACTAGCGGCGACTGCGGCTTCATCCGCTGAGCCTCTCTTCTAGCGCGAACATCTCGGGGAATCTTCGGCGATGTTGACAGAAGGCACGGCGGGGCAGACGGACCCCTCCAGACGCATTGTGATGGTGACGGGCAGCGTTGAGCTCTCGCTTCCCGTCAACTTTTCCTGACCGCACTCCCGACGACAACAATCACAACAACAACATCTGCCCAACAGACTCAACGATTCACGCCAACTTTCATTGAACCCGCTCACGAATAGGTACGCTACAAGTTGCTTCCGCTTAAGCTTAACCAGAACCGCGGAGCAACGACGTTGCATCTCTGCTTGCTCCCAAAGCTTAAGCCTTAAGGCTCACCGACAGCTTCATTGATCACTTCGCTAATTGAATTAACGAACAGCAGCAAAGATGGGCATCTCCAAGATCCACGCACGCTATGTCTACGACTCGCGTGGCAACCCGACCGTCGAGGTCGACATTGTCACCGAGACCGGCCTTCACCGCGCCATTGTGCCCTCGGGTGCCTCCACGGGCTCCCACGAAGCCTGCGAGCTCCGTGATGGTGACAAGAGCAAGTGGGGTGGCAAGGGTGAGCTTCATACATAACCTCACTCTGTCCAACAGCCAGCCTGATATGAGTTGTTTAGGCGTCACCAAGGCCGTGGCCAACGTCAACGACGTGATCGCCCCGGCTCTCATCAAGGAGGACCTCGACGTCAAGGACCAGTCCGCCGTGGACAACTTCCTCAACAAGCTCGACGGCACGCAGAACAAGACCAAGCTCGGCGCCAATGCCATCCTCGGTGTCTCCATGGCCGTCGCCAAGGCTGCCGCCGCCGAGAAGCGTGTCCCGCTCTACGCTCACATCTCCGACCTCGCCGGCACGAAGAAGCCTTACGTGCTGCCCGTCCCCTTCATGAACGTCCTCAACGGTGGCAGCCACGCTGGTGGCCGTCTTGCCTTCCAGGAGTTCATGATCGTGCCGTGGTTAGTCCCTCTATCCTTCCCCAACATGTACTGCGCTAATGCTGTCCAGTGACGCCCCCTCCTTCACCGAAGCCATGCGCTGGGGCAGCGAATGCTACCAAAAGCTCAAATCGCTCGCCAAGAAAAAGTACGGCCAATCCGCCGGCAACGTCGGCGACGAGGGCGGCGTAGCCCCGGACATCCAAACCGCCGACGAGGCCCTCGAGCTCATCACCGAAGCCATCAACTCCGCCGGCTACGAAGGCAAGATGAAGATCGCCATGGACGTCGCGTCGTCGGAATTCTACAAGACGGAGGAGAAGAAGTACGACCTTGACTTCAAGAATCCAGACTCGGACAAGAGCAAGTGGGTGACCTACGAGCAGTTGGCGCAGCAGTACAAGGACCTTGCCAGCAAGTACCCCATTGTCAGCATCGAGGACCCCTTTGCGGAAGATGATTGGGAGGCGTGGAGTTATTTCTTCAAGAACTCGGATTTCCAGATCGTCGGTGATGATCTTACCGTCACCAACCCAGAGTTCATCAAGAAGGCCATCGAGACCAAGGCTTGCAACGCTCTACTGCTCAAGGTCAACCAGATCGGCACGATTACGGAAGCCATCCAGGCGGCGAAGGATGCCTTTGGTGCCGGCTGGGGCGTGATGGTCAGCCATCGTTCCGGCGAGACGGAAGATGTGACGATTGCGGATATTGCCGTCGGTTTGAGGGCTGGACAGATCAAGACGGGTGCTCCCGCGCGGTCGGAGAGGTTGGCGAAGCTCAACCAGATTTTGAGGATCGAGGAGGAGTTGGGGGATAAGGCGGTATTTGCCGGGACGAAGTTCCGGACGAGCGTGAATATGTAGAGGGTGGGTGTGTAGGTAAGGAGAAGGGCAGGGTTCGAGCGGAATGGTTGATGAAGGTTAGTGGCTTGCATTGAGACGAAGAGGCGGGGCAAAAAGCGCGATCGACGTTTTATGGGTCCTATCAGCTGCGGTGTGGATGCTGAGATAGATGGCTCGAGTGCGTAGTCCGTAGTCCATAACACTTGACTGCCGTTCGAAGTTGCAACGTTCTGCGGGATATGCTGGCTCAACTCTCACCACTTTCTCGAAGAGCCATGCGGCGCTCCCAGCAGCACGTCCACTTAAGCAAACATATCCCGCATTCTGAGAATGATGGCTGTTTGCTGCCTCTGCGACCGGAGCTATATCGAGTGACTACTCCTCCTTGTATGGCCAAGTGTTTGTGATCCTTCTTCAACAGGCGTGAGCGGACATGCCGCTCGGCTCTATTTATCGCTTAGATGTACGTCGGACACTACGACAAGCTTTCTTCGGAGAAATTCTCTCTCACACGCTTGCGTACGGTATGGCGGAGAGGGCGCTGTCACAGAGGGTTGTTGCTGTTGCGGGAGGGCTGGTCCGCGGGGAAGAATCTGACGCCAACGCCAGAAGCCACGGAGCCAGAACGCAGTGAGTGCGGCGGTCAAACGATGGTCAAGGGCGGCGTCTTCCGTTAACGGGAGTTAGCGGCGGCCAGAAGAGTACATCGAAGTATTGTGTGGTATGCCCCTGCACGCGGACAAAGGAGAGGCTGGTATTACTGTCTCCCATTGTGGGTGGAGTAGCTACGTCAAGGTACATTGTAACTGTTGCTCCTACATGTGGTCAGGAGTGTCTCTACAACGATCTTCTAGCATAGTCTCGGCAATGGTTTCCTCGGTACGGCGTGAAGTGGTCAGCTTTGTGAGGCCGGCTGCTCTCTGCATTGTCCATTTCGGGCACAAAATCCATGCTTGATCGGATACGTCCTTGCATCCACGCTGGCTGTGTGCATGCATAAACTTTTGCGCGATGTGGGCGTAGAGCTGCGTTTGTTCAAAGTTTCATGCTGTGCTATACGACTCGTGTCTGCAGTCATGAGGAGAGCTTGCGCGCAGAATGGGGACACATGCGCGCGTGGAGGTTCGCCTACGGTCGGACTGCTCGTCCCGGGCAGACGGCTCGGAACGCCAAGGCACGCGCTAGTACGCTGGTGGCATTGAGCTCAGCCCATGGCATATCTGAGGTACATATAGCTCCGGTTTGGAATGGGATTGCTGTTGGAGTGCAGGGCGTTGTTCGATAGTACTCCGCGCCGATTTTGCGTTCTTTGGCAAGCAACTATTTCCCGTCTTTGCTGACATGCCCTACTGCTCTACGTGGTTGACCGCTTGTCAGATTCGATTGCATTGTCCACCTTCCGCAGATGGGGATCGTGATTAGAATGCCCCTTCCGCGAAGCTGCGTATCCCACGGCACTTTGCGCGATGTGGGCCGTGGTGCTTCTATCGCCGCAGCTTCGGCTTCGCAGCTCACTTCTGCAGTGACGACTAGCTGCGTTACCATACGCAAGATCGCATCAAAGCATGAGACAGGAGGTGTTGTTGTGACTTTCGCATAGTGAGGCTCCTGTCGAACCGTTGGCGTCCGAGTACTGCCTGCGAGGGCTCAAACAGCAAGCTGATCCCCGTGAAGAGTCCTTCATCTCTTCCTTGTGATTACCTTCCCGGGTAGCTGGAAACGATGCAGGACACTAATGCATCGCTGATGTACTCTTGCACGCCTCCACTTGCCTCTCCGCTCCTAGGTAATGGGAGCTCGCGGTGCTTATGAGCACCACAAAAGCTCAAGTAGTCCCACCCTTCGAAGGCAACTGGGACTCTCGCTCCAGCTCCCACCATGAAGTCCCTCACTACTGCTCTCTTCGCCGCTCTAGCCGCGACAACGTCTGCTCGCAGCGTATTGCAGGCAGACACCCGCCAGACCTACCTGGCGTCTGCGGCTACCTAGTCGGTCGAGAACTGCGGTTCCTCAGAGGATATTGCAAGGATCAGCAACGTGACGTTGAGTCCCGACCCACCGACAACGTGAGCAGCTATCCCAATCCCTTCCCTTTTCTGTATCCGTATTCCGCTCAATGGCTACTCGGGCTGAATGCTAGCAGAAGCGGCATCAACACCATGACCGTCACGGGCTCGATGCAGAGGCCTCTGGCGGCCGGAGCTTATGCGAGTGATCGCGTCAGCTTGGGGATTATCAAGGTTCGGGACGAGCGGTACGATGTCTGCACCGACAAGGCGATTTCGGGCGCCGCTTGTCCGTACACTGAGGGACAATCGCTCAACGTCTCGGTTCCCGTAGACACCAGGCGACTGCCATCGGTAAGTCGCTTCTGCAAGACTGTGAAGCAACATGACCCGTTTCCGCTGATGTGATGGTGATAGGCTGGCTATAAGACCGACATTCAAGTCGGGAGTGGACGAGGACGAGGATGTCGCCTGCTTGGTGCTCAGGGCTAACTTTCTGAATACGGCTGGCTACCGATCTGGATGATTGGAAAGGCGCTGATTGAACAGGTCGCCATTATTCAACACAGCGCAACTCTATGGATTGGAGGTGGTTGTTCGTCGTCGAGATGTTGGTTTCCGGCGGGTCACGCTTGCGTCCGATGTAGAGCAATGAGTCTAGGCCTTATATGATGAATAGAGAAGGATTGTCACATAGCGGTTGCGGTCATGGCTGGACGACGTAGGTCCATCTTCACCATTTGTTGTCTGTAGCATTGAACGGGCATACGCGGTCCACAGCTAATGCAGCGTACCACGGATCGCTACCCATAGGACGCATATCTGCCGCCTTGATCGGAGCGTGCGTGCAGAGTGCGGAAGATGTATAAAACCTATCAAACACGTGAGCAGAGCGAAAGGGCGCGCACGGGCCGTACGGAAGGTGCTTGTTCCAAGCTAGCCTTCCGTTAGCGTTTCTTCCACATCGTCCAATCTTTGTGCTTCCCTCGCTGAATTTCCAGCGGTTCAAAACGTTGGCTCATAAGCTGACTGCGGTGTCGGATGTTTGGCGCGTCTTATTAAGGATGCGCCACAACTGTCCACATTTGGCAGGACTTGCGCTCTCGACGTGGAGCCGCCTTCGGATGGATCGACCACGTTGCTCCACTTCACCAGGCGTTGATGGCGATGTAGGGTATTCCAATAACTCTCTTGAGTGAGGCGCAGCTTTGGCATGGAAAAGTACTTGTAGACAGCCGTTGCACGCTCAGGTAAGAGGTGACAGTGTCAACATACATTTAATTGGACCAAGAGCGCAGCATTCCTCCTACGTCTGGCAGTAGAGCTGTTAACTTCCTCCTTGAGAAAGAACAACGCTAGGGAAATGAGCGACGAGAAACAGGTGGTCTCGCAAGAAGCCCAGATGGGCGTCGAGAACACGCCAATGGTGCTTGAGGAAGGGCGGCGAGCTGGGCTGGTCAAGCCCATCTACGAAGCCGACAAGGAAGTATTGAGCAGCTGGCAAACACAGTCGCGGGCTGAGAACGCGCCCATTCCCGTCGAGCACGAACATGATCAGCAACATCAGCAAAATTCACAGCCAACCGCCGCAGAGCTGTACTCGCCCGTCTCGCCTTTTACGCCCGTGTCTTTGACGTCCCGGCTCGCGACAGACCTTCCGCCGGCGTATGGAAGCCTCGGGCATAGCACGAACCAGGCGAGTGATAACAGCTCTCAGGCGGTAAATCCCATCGTCCCGGATGCGACGTCAGATACGGTGCCTTCGCGGTCTGAAGATCGATCAGCGGTCAGTCACCTTCTCACATGGATGCCCGACACCATTCGGATACGGCAAGAGAAAGTGCTCCGTCTGGAACGCCCAGTAGTCGTTCCTCAACTCGACGTTCCACCAATCGCAGAAAGCGTGCCTTTCCAGCGCTGCTATGCCGACGTCCTTGCTGGGTACAACGTGCCCATGACCGAATTCGTTTCCTTCCTTGACGGACTCGCAATCGCCCAGGCACCCAACTCCGCTCTACAAGGACTCAAAGTCGTCGGAGGAGGCTTGACTAAACTGCCTCTTCCGCTGCTGGGTAAAGGGTTGGGCCATGGGATCAACGCCCTCGCAGGATCTGGCGCTGGTTTCGATAGCGCACGCGCACGCCTCTATCTCACGAAAGCGAACAAGGAGTACTTCGCACCTCGCAATTTGCGTCTCAGCATTGTGAAAGACGAGGAACTCCACACCCGCGTCCTGGGCCTTGCACCTGGTACTCCTCGTTTGGCGCCCTTAATGAAAGAAACGCTGACTATAAGTGTCTGCGACCGACGCTTCGCGGCAATCAAACCGCATGTGGCGGATTTGAGGTACAACGTCCCGAGCGAATCCAGAGACATTAAGACAGTGGACGTACTGGCAAAAAAGCATTTGGCAAGTCGCATGAGCAGATCATCCAAAGACTTGGCGAAAATGAGGGAGGACCAGTGGAGGGGTAGAGGGTTTGAAGGAGCCATGGAGGAAGTCAAGATGGCTTCGCGGTTAAGGTGGCTGGTTATTGAAGATATGAGGCCGCCATGAGATGAAAGATGCATCGCTGCCGAGCGAAGTGACACACATCGGTACGCACGATTTGACGGGCCAGGCTTCTGAATATATCCTTAATCGCATGCGACGAACAGTCAGACCTACACAACGACCACTGTCCCGCGAATAGATGCGGCACGCATCAACTCATCTCCCGCCATGTACGCACATCCCGCTTTTGGCTGTTTGTTGCTCGGTGACGGAATGCGCGCAGGTCCAAGCGATATAATCTGGCTCTGGAATGCATACAGTATCAACACAATTTACTATGCCACTGAATGGCCGTATAAGATATGTTTATGCCTGCTATCTCACATTGTCACGCTCTTTGCCTCCAGCATCCCATCCATTTCGTACTACTGCTGCTTTGCGGTGGACTTTCACTCGTTTGATCTGTCAACTAGCGAATCCGTAGCAGCGCAATATCAGCTTCTGTCGAAAGCACTAGTATTTGTCAGCATGAAGGTTCGAAGATCTGCTGCCGTGGTCACGGCGTTCGTGGCCACGGGAGCCTACGCACAAGGCGGTTATGGGGTTGTCTCAACTACAACGTCGTCGAGCAGCATGACCAGCATAACCAGCATAACCAGCACAACCAGCACAACCAGCATAACCAGCATAACCAGCACTACCAGCATGAGCTCGTCATTGTCAATGCCAACGACCTTGGCGAGCACGACCCCGTCAACCTCCTACACGACAGTCACATTGAGTGATTGCCCGACAGGCTCTATTTCCACCGTCATCACCATCACGCAGGGTACCACAGTGACCTACTGTCCCGAATGCGAAATGATGAAGACGTCTACCCCTGCACCATCGCCCGGCTTCACAACCGTATACACGACGACATACTTGTCGTATTGCCCGACATCAGGCATGGTCCCTGCCACCTACACAGTCACTGAATCTTGCACTGAAGCCACGCCGACTTGGACGCCTGGACCAAGCTACACGCCACAAGGCTTCACGGTGACGACTAATGAGTGCACGGTCTGCGGCGAGACGCCGACAACCGTCACCTGGATCCAGCCATGTGGATGCAGTGCAGAAAACGGCACGCCGATGCCGACGCCAAACCCGCAGCCTGCTGCTTCAACTACCGAAGCTGCTCCCTCGCCCACTGGCAGCGCTGTCTGCGAGTACGTCGACGGGCAGCCTCAAAACGGAGAAGCCTGCTCGAACGGTACCAGTCCCGGCGGATCTGGTTCTGGCAGCGGTGGCAGCGGAAGCGGCAGTGGCTCTGGCTCATCATCGCCTCCATCTGGTGGCTCTGGCTCTGGTACTGGTTCCGGTTCGAGCGGAAGCTCGCCAGGCTCTGCCTCGCCAGCACCTTCGCCAGCACCTGGTACAGGCAGCGGCGGCTCTTCGCCTTCGCAACCCACGGCCACTTCTACCACGGCAACGTGTCCCGGACCTCAGTGCCGTGCTGCTGCACCATCGGCCAGCATGACCGGCGTGACGCCGATGCATTCACCGGGTAACGCTGCAAGTGGAGTTGCGAGCATTGGGATGCTTTGGTCCGCAGGTTTGGCTGCTGCTGTTGCCGCTTTGGCTTTCATATTATAGTAATGTCTAATTTGCATCGGTGATGGACGGAAGGCGAGTCTACTCAATCATGACTGAGCTCTCTAACAGCTGCTGACTTGACTCTAGGCATTTAGGATTTGCATCACAAGGCTACTCTTACCGCTTGTAATCATTCTTATCCATCGAAATTCATCGCCGGCGTCATACTCTGGCGGCATACTCCAGCATTGTCTACATAGCTTTGCGGTAATCGTCAATGACACAACAAAGACTTCGATTTTCACCTTTGTCCCTTGTGCTCTCTTGTGGGTTGACCGATTGTTGCCTGGTCCTCAAAGCACAATGGTCTTTGTCCTTTGTCTCCAGCGATGCATAAGACCCTTGTCGCCCTGGTTGAAGCATGTGCTTAAGGTCTTCCAGAGTTTCATTGTTCAGTATCCAAGCGCACTGTCTGTTTCCGGTGCAAGCAGCTTCATCGATCCAACACAGACACCAGTTCGCTCTCAGCACAGCCAGTACGGCTTCGACAACCCAGCAAAATCCCGGTGAGTTAAGACCCCATCACCATGTCTAACTTCGAGCAGAACCCTTCCGACCTTCATGAGGACTACTTCACAGAGCAGGAAGCTCACTACTTCGGCAGGACCGCAGTAGGCATGCGAGACACACTCCGCCCTCCTCCGCGAGTGGATAGCAGGAGTACAGATCCAGCGCCGCCTTCGAAAGACAAGAGGTACGTTCCGGGAGCGGTCGTTGCAGCGCAAGCGGCCGCCGCGAAACTGAGTACGCGGACCCAAGAGGGACCGTATCCTGCTATCCAGCAAGCGGCTCTAAAGCTAGGTGCGGAGAGACCGTACCCTGCCATTCAACATACCTCTGACACTACTGACGCTTCACCTGCAGGAGCTCAAGCCTCGACATACAAGCCTATCATCTCGCGCAGACCGGTTGGGGCGCCGAAGCAAGAATTCAAGCCGCTCGACATGTCGGACAGCGCTTACGCTCCGAAGCCCGCCACCGCTGCAGACCATGGCAAGCAAATCCGCACCATCTACACCAACTCTGAGGGCAAGTTCGATCCGGCAACGATAAGGTCAGAGTCTGCTTCTCGCTTCACTCCCCCTCCGTCTCCTCTCACGTCGCAGACGCCAGATATCTCGCGGCCTCGTCCCTCGTCAAGAGGAGGCTCGTTCATGAGTTTCGGTAGGTCTGATCGTGCTGACACAGACAGCAGCAACGGTCGTAGCAGCAATACCCGCCGCGGGATCATCTCGGACTCATTCAAGAACCTTGGGCGCCGCCTGAGCAACTCTTTCCAGCACAAGGCTGCCATCCTCAACGCTGGGCCAGATGACCGCAAGGTTTACGTTCAGGAGAAGGAGCGTCAAGTCAACCCGCAGCCCCGGGCTTCCGCACAGACTGGGAGAGATACTGTTGACTTCCTCAACAAGCTCAGTCTTGCCGAGGTCGAGCCTGAGAAGCAGAATGGTATGTCCAATGCCCTCAGCTTCGGTGACAAGGCGGCGCTTAAGGCGTCGGAGTTGCTTGACCCCATTAAAAGGCGTGAGCGAAGCGGTACAATGGATTCTGACATGTCTTTTGCAGATTGCGCACCGCCAGACGCGATCGAGAAGTGCTCCCGGTGCAGTCAGCCGCCGACGGGCTACCTCCGTAAGGATGGCGTCTGCGATGGCTGCCACGTCTACGACCGTGAGCAGAGGGCTAAGGCGAGGATGATGGGTAAGTAGGCTTCCTGTTGTCCCCTTGTTCCGTCGTTCTTGGATTTCCACGGCAAAGCCTGGTTCACGCGCATAGAGGTAAGTCTGGGAGGCACGTCATCAGTAAGTATTATCAGATTGTATCATAGGTAAGGGTGGCTGTCTCATTATTCGCGTACTTTCCGCTGACAGTTTCCTCCCTCGTTATTGATCTCCTGTCTGATATTAATCGGTCTCCGTGGTAGATCCGTTGGAAACTGATCTTAGATCTAACGCAGTGCCTCTGATAGCACAGTCAGAGGAGTATAGTCCGCCATACATCCACGTAGCCGGCACGCACCGACTTCGAAAGCTGCGGAATACCATCTATGAGGATCCCGGAAATCCGTGGTTCGAAGTCGAATACGGATCTCATGATGGGCCTACCTTCACGGTGCCATCAAAATCGAATCAGGTGCAATCACTTGGTTCAATTGACAAGAATGGCACCGGATCCGGCCAGCCAGTCCCGAATAGTGAAACCGCAGCAGCGGAGTCGAAGCTGCCTAACGGCAGACCTTTCGATGATGCCGATGAGTCGCCTGTCGTCCCGCCCACTCCCAGACGACCCGTGTCTGAACCAAAGACCATACATGCACGGATTCCTCAATGGCCGATACCATCTCTGAAGCCTCAAAGTCATCGGCGGTCCGTGTCCGTGGCTGTGGTACCCAATACGTCAGTAGCAGAACAAACGGAGGAGAGTCAATACGTGTCTCCGCGAGCAAGTTGGAGGAGAGACAGCATTCCCGCGAGCCACCTACCGGAAATTAAGAAGATGGAGGCGAAGCAAGAAGCACGGGATACGAGGTTCTATGGTTTCTACGATGACATATTGAATGATTACAACAGAAGGAGAGAGAGCAGGCTGTGATGAAAGTGTGATGGGAATTGAGAAGCAGTCACTAGACCCGTACGTTCATCTTATCGTCGACGTTCTTCGGTTACCGGATCTTGAGGCTCCCCATAGCGTTGAGATTGCTGGTGGTTTGTCTGTGAGGGATGGTGAGCAACGTGATGTAGACGAACCGAGAAGCGACGGTGTGAGTCTCACGTGGGAGAGTAAGTGAGGTCTAAACGCTGAGTGAACTGGGCCAGGCCGAGGTGAGCCGATCGTAAGGGTCCGAGGGTGTCGTCTCGTTCGGGCGTGCATTAGCGTCGTTCTGCTTAGCGCTTCCTCACCACTCGTTACGTTGCGCTGCTTTCTTCGGCGCCAAAAGCAGCGCTCTCGTTGCATGGCCAGTCCTGCGTAAACTGTGGCCAGCCATGGGCAGTTTGGAAGGCCCACAGCGTCTCAGTAGGTCAGAGTTGGCCACGAGGCTTGCGTCTGTATGCTCTTCCTTACGTCTCGTATACACCGACAACAGTCGGGGCGCAGCAGGTCGATCATTGTCACGCTCACCATCCTTCTCGTGTGTGTGTGTGAGCTTACCTCACTCGGCCGTCTCTCCGCGAAAACGGGACGGCAGCCACGCCGTCGTTCTGCAGGGCCAGTGCCGGCGCATGCAATAGCTTCTTTTACCCGCATTCTGGCCTGGCGCCTATTTCAGTCACTCCAGCCTATCACAGCTGCGCTGCACGCTCAGCACCACCAGACAGCGTGGACTCGAGGTGTGTACCCGCCGTGGTCTTCCTCTTTGCTTCAAAACCACCTTGTCTTTCCACTTCCATTCTATCAGGCCCGTCAACGCCGCCGGCGACTATAGCCAGCCAATGATCTGGCGCGGTCCGTGCGAAGCGCCCACCACGACAAGACGATATCGTACCCACTCGAGCTTCGTCTATTACATTGACTTCTTTCTCGCACAGCTGGACTCTGCATTCCGTTCTACATTCCCGTGTTGCATTTCTGTATGGCGCAAAGCGAGAGCAGGCCTCTTGTTTCCTAGCAACGTTAGAAGACTCGGCGCGCCGTCTTACCTCAGCCACATCGAAGGGCTCAGGAAGCTGAATCTGACAGGATGTCAGCCAGCCGTGAGAAGAAAGCAACACCAACGATCACAATTGCCGCGCGGCCGCGGGCTTCATCGGAAGACTCGTTTTCTGCGCCATCAGTGAAGGCACCGTCATTGAAGTCGCCAAGGACAGCGCGCTTCGCCGAAGCTACTGCGGTGAATTCGCCCATCGAGGCCAAGAGACTGCCCTTCAGCGATCGCGCACTAGAGACGAACCACTACATGGCGCAACCACAGCCCTCAGACGTCGGCTTTGGCTACGTCAACAGGCACGAGTCTGTTGAGATGCCGGACACCGACAACAATGACTACCCAAGCATGCCAAAGTCACCATTGAAAAGTCCGCTGAAGAGTGCTATGAAGACACCTGGTGCCGCACCGAAGAACTTTGCCGGATTCGGTGATCTTGGGGGCGCAAATTTCAAGGAGGAAGAAATATTAGAAAAGCAGGAAGCTTTCACCGAAAAGAAGCAAGCAGCGGATCTGGTAGGTCATTGCGAACTTGTCCGGCTGGGCTTACTGGAAAGCTAACAGTCTCCACAGAGAATCAAAACGCGAGTACGGATGGCAAAAATGATGCTCAGAGGAGTCAACTTCTCTTGCTCGCTTATCGTGCTTGGTATGCTTTCGACAACCTTCTCGATCTTCAACGCAACGAGACACATTCCGCCGCGCAACAATCTGCCTCCATGGGCAGTAAACCAGAAGACTTGGCCTCAGATCGTCCTTCTTGTCATCGCATGCGTCTCCCTCGCCTTCTCAATCCTGATCTTCTACGGGTACTACCGAGGCGGACACAAACGTGCCGAAAAGGCCGCAGTCTACTACACAGCCTTCGCCGTCGCCTTCTTCGTGTTCAGCATCGTCATGTGGGGCATTGGTGCAGGCATATTACAAGGCTCGAAGAACAACAGCAACAACAAAGACATGTGGGGGTGGTCGTGTGTGAACAACACGCGCAAACAGCTCTTTCAGAACGAGGTGTCCTACGATCTGATCTGTCGCCTACAGAACTGGAGTCTGGTCTGCTGCATCATCGAAGTCGTCGTCGAGACCATCACCATTGTGGTGTACGGCGTTACTTTCTACCGCTTCTACTCCAAGCGGCAGCTACGAAAGTCCATGGCGAACCGTGACCGTGCCCGAAGCGACCTCTACCTCGCTCAGCTACGAAGCCAATCAGCGCCTAACACGCCTGGCCTCGCTCCCGGCTACCTCAGTCCCAGAGAAGGCGGCTACAAGCCGCAGGCTGAATACTTCAACAACGCCTCCGACGTCGAAGAAGGCAACGTACAGTACGTCGACCCCAGCGTACACGCCGCGCCAAAGCCATTCCAGCTACAAGCGCCACCAATCAAGATCACCGGCGCAACGCCGAAGATGTCACAGATCGGCTTCACGCCGGTCGTGACGACTACTCGAGAGCGGACGCCGTCACCTCCAGAGCAGGATCAACGATCACCACTCATGGCTGAGCCGATGCCGCGGGAGCAACAGCAGGAGCATTTCGCTGCGGCGCCGGGCGAGCAAGTGTACGATGCTGTGCCTATACCTGGTGCGTACGAGGCGCCGATGAGCCCAACGAGGACGCCGGGGCAGATGAACTTTCCGTATCCGCATTCGTGAACGGTAGGAGGGCTTAGGGTTAGTTTTTGGGTTACAGGCGAGGCGTTTGGATGATGATGATCTAAGATACCTATGCAGCTTGTTTGCGAAATGAGATGACTGTTCGATGCATCTGTGACCGTTTCATCGTTCTCGTGCGCGTTGGACCGTCATTCGTGCGCATTTGATCGACCCATCTGCGCTCCGGCGAAGCTATCCACCACGCCCAACAGTGAGCATAACTAGGACTACTGCCTTCGGACACTAGAGGTGAACAAGAAACAATGCGCCTACCATTACCATCCGCTGCCAGGCCAGGCACTTCTGACGACATTAACAAGCGCAAGCACCGAGATTGCTATGATAAATTCTTCGTTGCGTACAGCGTACTACGCTCATCTATGCGCGATACCCAACCGTTTCCGGCCATGCAGGCAAGCACTCGCTGCTCATACAAGCCAACCTCTCATTCACATCCAAAGAGCGTCATTACAGCAGATCGTCACCATTAAGAATCTCCTTCAACAGCTCACCACCCACGCCCTCAAGCGCAGCACTAAGCTCCTGATACGCAACAACGCTCGCCACCCTCCTCTCATCACCCACAAACGTCGCCCCAAATCCACCCCTGGCTTTCCGACTCGGCGTCCTCGACGGCGTGATGGGCATCGCAAAGCTGCCAGTCTTGCCGTCAGCGCCCGAGATCAAACTCAGCGTTTCAAGCCCGGACACCACATCCCGGAACTCAACGCTCGAAAGCGGCTGCAGCAGCTTCTCGCGCTTGCAGAGATTGCCATAAGCTTCGAATAGCTGCCTAATGCTCGGCGCAGAGCCGTTGTGCTTGGATGGTGTGGCGAAGATGGTGCGTTCGACTTGGGTGTCGCGTTTCCGCTTTTCGAGCGCTGCTAGTGAGCACAGAACGGCTTTCTGCTGCAGGTTAAGCACGGCTAGACGTTGTGTGGTACCGTTGCCGAACACCTGGGCCGTGACTTTAGCCATTTGTGCGATGGTGGCCTTAGGTGCCGTCTCTATGGTGTACGGCATGACTGCTGGTCCTTTGCTCGGGCTCTTTGCCGGCGATCGTGGCGTAGGTGGCGAGGAGAGATTGATGTTCTCCATGAGTGGCGTTTTCGACGGACTGTTTGGTAGACCGGTATCGGCGAGCTTTTGTCGTTCTTCTTGCTCGACGAGATCGATCGCTCGCCTGCAAATGTCGAACGCTTTGCGCAGGTCGCCGGTTTGCGCTGCCACTTTCTTTGCGCAGAATTGAACGGCCGCCGGGTGTAAGAAGGGCAGCGTTGGTGACGGTTCAGGGGCCAGCGACTTCAGCTTTGCGGTCAAGACCTCTGCAATTTGCGCTGCAGTGTATGGCATGAACGGCAAGAGCTCGGGCTTCAGATTGCGGCTCTTCAGTCGTGGCAGGAACCGATCGGTCAGGTCAAGGGCATTGGCGATGCCGATGAGAGTAAGTCGTGAGGAGGGTAGCATAGACCATTCGAACAAGCTGTACAAGAGTTCGATATCTAGATCAGCCAATCGGTCGACTTCGTCGAGAATGACTAGGTACGCTGCGCCACTGAGCTTTCCACCACTGAAGCACAACCGTAGATGCTCGGAACCGGTACCAGGTTCGAGAGCCAGGTCCTCTGACAGCTTCTGAGTAAGATCTTTGGCATTCCGTATACTCATGCAGTTCACGACGGAGGTCGAGACATTCTCCGCGTTTGCGAGTTGCTGACGCACCTCGTCCACGAGCGCGCTTTTACCAGTTCCAGGTGGTCCTGAGACATAGAGAGAGCCTCCCGTGTGCGACTGCAGTGACTGCTCGATGAAAGCAGAGAGCTCTTGCCGCTCGGTGTCGCGTCCAACTAGCTTGCCGGGGTGGCTGCATCGCGAAAACAGCTTCCTGGCCTGGTTGTATACCAAAGTTGCAGTCGCAGAGGGCGTGACTGGAGTCTTGGGCGTCCCCGGGTTTCCAGGAAGCAGCACTCTGTGTCGAGGCGTGATGGGAACCTTCTTCGAGAGTGCATCGCGCTGTCTGGGCGTCTGAGGCTCAAAATCTTCCTTGCCGTCTTGATAGATGTCTACGCTAGGCTTGGACACTTGAAAATGCTTGGTAATCTTGGTGGGAGAAAGCACCTTCCGGCTTTCTGGCGAGGTATGCTCTGCAGGTAGAGCGCGCTTTCTCCTCCCGCGCGTTAAAGGCTCGTCTACTGCAGTTCTATCTTCGCCATCATGATCTCCCTTGGCTGCGAAAGGGTTCCGATTCTCATCATTCAGCTGGCGCTCCAGTACACGCCTTTTCGACCGCGTGCAGACGGGTTCATCTATGATGGTGGAGTCAGTAAACAATGGCTTGCGGCGAGCAGTAGCGGCATCGAACCTGCTGTATCAATACACTGGCGGTTTCGCTTTCCAAGCACAGAGACAGGCATTGTTGTGCCTCCTACGATGCTGCGACTGTGCAAGGAGAAGTCACGATGAGGTGCGTTGCTGTTTCTCGAGATGGTTGTACAAAAGCACTTAACGCGTCCAAAGAACCGAACGCGTTGACGGAGCACGGCGGCGGGGCAACGGCACGCTAAGCCAGATTTCTATTGGCCGAAGGCACCATCACGCTAACGGCTGCACCAACACCGGAACACTGCTGAATGGCAATACACATCCCGATCTAACAATATAACAATACTCTCGACGCGAAGTGACACCCCCCTCATAGATCAAACGTAGATGCTCCCGCCAGAGTTTGTCGGCGATTGGAGATTTTTAGACAATAACAGCGGCGTACTCACGTACCGTGCCATAGGTAGCTCTCCCTAAAGCAAGGCGATCCATGAAGGAATCTCACCGGAAGCTGCAATATCGTGATCCCTCCAATCTATGGACAAGCAGAGCCAAGGCTGCGCTGACAAGTTGCGCCCATCACCGATTTGCTGTGCCACGATGTCTGCATGCTTACGTTGTCTTCGAACATCGCTTACCCAACGCAGGCAGCCCTCGTCTTCTGGAACTTCAGCCTCATCACTCGACAAGCAGTCCTCGAGCTCGCGGAATGCGCCAATCAAGTTCACGCATAATGCGACACAGCGTTCCGCGACAGCCACTGATTTGCTCATCTGATGCATTACCAACAAATCCTGCAGACCCGGACCCGTCGAGCTCAGCAATCACTTGGGAGCCTTACAGCTCAGCACAAGGCTCCGCTGACACTCATGAGAGCTGAGCAGTAAGTACTGAAGGTGAGCCGATCCCTCGAATCTATCCACTTCTCTACTCTGTCCTTCTTCTTTCTACTAGCTTGTACCCCCTTTAGGCGCGCACACGACCGCCAAGCAGCGTAGCAGTGATTGACAGGAGCCATCCTTCACGCCGCGTGTTAGCCATCGTCATGTCGTCCGAAAACCCTAGCTCTGAGCTTGAGGTTGTCTCCAAAGATATGGCAACAGTCGGCTTTGAAGATGCCGTGGACAGCAAACTTGGCTCACCCGAAGACAAATCTAGCGAGAAAGAAGACGTACAGCCTGTCGAGATGGATGCAGAGAGGCCCGCACACGCCAAGGCTGACACTCTTGTTCCCAGCGGTCACGATGACAGCTCAACCCATACGTTGCTCAATGGGAAGCAAAGCGTCATGAACACCAACTTTACAATCACTCCGGAGGATGCCAGCTTGGACCCAATGGTAGCAGCTGCACTTACCAGCCCGCTCTATGATCCCTCAGCCAAGGATGCCATGTCATCGCCCACTATGCCAAAGCTACTCCGGGCACCTTCTGTCTTGAAGAAGGTTCACAACTTCGGCAGCGATTGGGAGCTATACAAGCGCGCCGGACCTCGCTATCCCACCTCGATTGATCAGCTACTTATGCATTATCACCAAGAGCATTGCGGTTCATGGCAACTTGCGCACGACCTAGGCGCCGGATCCGGCGTATACTCCACAACGCTTGCGCGCTTCTTCAAGCACATACACGTTTCTGAACCCTCCTCATCCGGCCTAGCCACCACCCGGCAGTCTCTAAGCGAGTGGGGCGCACAGAATGCTAAGAAGCGTGGCCGCTTCACGTTCTCGGTTACCAAGCCAGAGCAGGCTGAAGAATGTGTGGCGGATGGTAGCGTCGACATGGCTGTCATGACAGAGTGCGCTCACTTCACCAATGCCGAGGAAGCCGTCCGTAGCATCGCAATGACGCTCGTTCCCGGCGGTACGCTGGCTATCGTCACACATCGGCCCGTGGCGCAAGTGGTCGGCAATGAGAAAGTCGCCGCCGCTGTAGAGCGCCTTTATGACGCCTGGGGCCGCCGTCCGTGGGATGTGGCCGCAGGTACTGAGTCCAGAACCCAGCAGCTCTTCAGCATGGGCTTGGATTTTGTCCCGATCCCGTCTGATTTGTTCGTTCACGACCGTACGCGCCGCATTACGATCAACGCTCATGGTCGACCGCGGGAGTTCTTCCATGTCCCAGGTGTTGACCAGGCTGCGGATGAGGATGCCGCTAACATGAGTCCGGCCGATATGATGGATATGGCCACCAGCCGCGTCAATGAGAATGAGAAGAGGGTCAATTATGGTGAAGAAGACGAGCAGGGCAGAGGGTGGAGGTACGAGGTTGGGTGGGAGAGTTTCAGGACGAGGATTAGCATGCTTGATAGCCCGGAGACTGTGCGGAGGCTGGAGCCGCAGTTGAAGGAGATTCAGGACTTGATCATGAAGACAAGCCCTAATGGAGTGAAGGTGGTTGTGGAGTGGTCTGTTGCTGTGGTGTTAGCGAGTAGGAAGTGAAGAATGACGATGTTCTTGACCAGTGGGTTCGGCGGTTAAGCCGAGAATTATACATAGAAGAGAACTTCTCCACACTCCTTTCTCGCATTATGTGCTTTGATGCTTCTTCCAGGCCCCTTCGGGCATCATATACGGGACACGAGAAATGCATGTCACTGGAGCACTACGACGCCTTAGCACACGCGTCGGCGAGCTTCTTTTGACACGCCATCGCCGTCTTCGCAAACTCTATCAAGTCGTACTCCTTGCCCTTGCCATCTGGACCGGAATCGAAGATCTCATACGAGAACCAATCCCTATACCCCGTCTTCAGCACCGCTTGCGCAAAGTCCACGACAGGCAGATAGCCTTCAAACGGTAAGGGTCTGTACGCATGACTCCAGAACCCTCGAGGTCGTAGACCGTCAATGTCGTCCTTTGCCAGAGGGCCAGGCTTGGGCTTGTAAGCGTCCGAGATTTGCAGGATGAAGATCTTGTCCGCCGGGATGGTCTTGGAGAGTTTCTCGCACGATGCTTTCCAGTCTCTTTCGACCTGATCTTTGCTGCGGCCGTCCTCGATCATGCCGGACTCGGTTGACGGGTCTGCCCACTCGCCACCCGCAGACTGGAAGGTATCAAGACATAACCCGAAGTTCGGTCGATCGACCTGCTTGCAGATATCCCACACGTCCTCCCAATCAGGTGCGTGGGTTGACCAGCACCAGTTCTCGTAGGCTATGCGCATCTTCTTCTTCGCCATCACGTCCGCAAGTTCCTGCAGCTCCCCAACGAACCGGCTTCGATCCTTGCCGATCTTCTCTGCAGGCGTATCGGATGAGCCGATTTGAAGCATATCAGTGCCCACGGCCTGCATGATTTCCATCCAGCCTTCTGCCCGCTTCCATGCATTCTTGCGCTGTTCGCTGCCGCGTTCCCATCCCTCGAAGTTGGAGAAGGGCTGCAGCATGACGACCGTGAGACCCTTGGCATCACACATCGTCTTCACGACACGGGCTGCGGCACAGAGGTTCGGGTAGTCATATTCGTCGATCTCGTCGGTTCCGGCTGAGCTGTCCTGCTCGGCAGGGCGGAGGTGCTGGTTGGCGAAGCTCAGGAGATCGGGGAAGCCGAGTTCGATACCAGTGAAGCCTGCTGCGGCGATGGCGTCAAGCTTTTTGGGGAGGGTGTGTGCGTCCTTGAGGTTTGGATCGTCCTTATAGCCTATGGAAACGGTGGCATACGAGAGGGGGATTTTGTCAAGGCCTTCCATCTTGATATCGCTGCTGGTGTCAAAGGAGAGTCCGAAGGATCAATGGTGAGATTCTGGTATTGTGGAGAGCAAGGGTATTATAGATGAGATGCTATCTATACTTCCCTTTACATCACAATGAGGCACCATAACCAATGACGTCGAGCTCGAGTGTGCTTTGCTCAAGTGAGTGTACCATCACAAGGCGAGAGCAGCTCCGTCGCGCAGCTTCGTGTGAGAGGCTCGCGTGTCTTCGGAGTGTACATCCTAAACGCCCAAAACACCAAGGTCGACTCGACTTGGAAGAACAACACAATGAAGAGACACTACGAGCGTTCTGGGCGACAGCCTGCCTTGATATATTTTTAGCAGAGTGAGCGACCAATGACGTGCGAGCCGCGTGCGCAAAACCGTCAGGTAAACTCTGGAACATAACGCCTCGGACGTATTCTCCGTGTTGGGTGAAAGAGCATAACTCGCGGACATGATACTCGTGTAAACATATCGCATAGCGTTGGCATCTTCCGTACAAGACAGGACGATGCGCCGCGATAATGACCACCACGCTAGAGTTCCACTTCCCGGCCTGACACCAAGAACCAAGCCACGAGGCTGAAACCGTAGACAGCTTCAGCCTCATCTAGACGCGTTCGAAGATTCGGCCCAAACTAACGAGACGTATCTATGCCATCTGGCAAGGAGCATGAGCATTTGGCGCAAAGGACAAAAGTATGTCATTCCTCGCGTATCACATAGACCGAGTCAAGATTAATCATGGTTTAGCTCGCCAACTCCTATCATTCACTTCTCACAGAGTTCGCATCGCCTGACCTCACTACCGTCGGCAACTACACACTCGGGCGGCTCATAGGCAAAGGCAGCTTTGGGCGAGTCTATCTCGCCTCTCACAAGCTCACCAATGGTTCCAAGGTCGTGCTCAAGAGCGCGAAGAAGGACGATGCGAACCTGGCGCGAGAGATCCACCATCACCGGCAGTTTCTGCACCCGCACATTGCACGCTTGTACGAGGTGATTGTGACAGAATCGCTGGTATGGCTTGTGCTCGAGTACTGCCCTGGAGATGAGCTGTACAACTACTTGCTCAATCATGGCCAGATGGAGGCTGGCAAGGTGCAGAAGATATTCACACAATTGGTTGGAGCAGTAACGTACGTCCACAGCAAGGGATGTGTGCATCGTGACCTGAAATTGGAGAACATTCTGCTCGACAAGCACGAGAATGTGAAGCTCTGCGACTTTGGCTTCACGAGGGAGTATCAGGGAAGCACGTCGTACCTGCAGACATGGTGCGGGACGGTGTGCTACAGTGCGCCAGAGATGCTTAAGGGTGAAAAGTACGCTGGAGAGAAAGTCGACGTGTGGAGCTTGGGCATCATACTGTATGCTTTGCTTTGCGGTGAGCTGCCGTTCGACGAGGATGACGAGTCGACGACTAAGGCGCGCATACTGAAAGAGGAGGCGGCGTATCCAGACCACATGCCAGAGCAGGCCAAGGAGCTTTGCAAGAAGATGCTTTCGAAGCGGCCGTTGCTAAGACCCACTCTGGGTGACATTCTGAAGGACTCATGGTTGGTTGAGCACGCGCCACAGCAGCAGGAGATTCTGAAGTTGCAGCAACCACCAGCATTCAGTACTCAAGTGGAGAAGGACACGCTACAGCGGATGCGTAGCGCAGGTGTTGACATTGATACGGTGATAGAGAACGTCCTGTCGCAAAGGTGCGATGGCTTGGCGGGCTGGTGGGCATTGTTGATTGAGAAAGAGCAAAGGAAGGAGCGACGGCGCGAGCGAAAGCGGAAGGAGCGGGAAGGGGAAGCCAAGTCCATCCGCCGGCTAAGTGCGGCGAGCGGCAGGCTGTTAGCACTAGGCGAAATATACGAAGGCGAAGAAGGCGAGATGACCGGCTCGCCACGGGTGCGCGGACGGCGAATGACGAGGGTCAATGGCAATCTCAGCGTGCCCGTCCCGGAGCTGCCCAGAGTCATAGAAACCAAGTCACTTACTCCTGACGGCGACAGACAAGAGACTGGTGCGGCTGAGGACATTGCACGGGAGCCAAGCAGATCACGCAGTCGACCGCCTCCGCCGCCAAAGGACAACAACGGCATCACCGTGCGCCGCCCGCCGAATCCGCACCGAACGAGCGGCAGTATGCTGCGCTACTCTACAGTAAACCCAGAGCTACTTTCTCCGCAGTATGTGCCACCACCACAGCGGAATAAGCGACGGACATTCTACCACCAGCCTCTCAAAGAGCAGCTTGCATGGGTCAAGCACTGGTTCAAGGAAGGCGGTATCACAAAGCGTGGCAAATCACCAAGTACCAGTGAGGAAGGCAAGAAAGGCAAAACAAGCCCAAAACTAGACACGGACGGTAGCGACGGTGCTGCACAGCATGGTACGACTGATGGTCGCGACTTGCAGCGCACGCATACAGGCCCGCTACCGCAGCATAGGAAGGCGAGTGTTGGCAGCAGACCAGAACTCCAGACACGCGCAACACTACCCGCAAGGCCACGGATTGATACCGTGTCGAGCACCGACAGCCGGCCGAGCATCCAGCGTAAGCGAAGCAGTATGAGCCCGCACACCGTGACGCCGCATTCGTCTTACCGCCGCCCATCCGCCGGACTTCGTGGGCGGAAGAGCACATCGTCCTCTGTCAGTTCGATTCGAAGCGCATATCCAAGCGGCGGCGGTAGCGTAGGCGGGCACCAGCACAGCCACAGCAAAGCGTCTAGCACGAGTTCAGCGTCTATCGCATCACCTTCCGGCATCTCAATAACCTCTGGCCCTCGGCTGGGTGGACGTAGCCCTCATTCGTCCGTCAAGGTCTTACCAGCCACACCGACAAACGGCACGTTTCCAAGCGGCATCCGCGTGAACCGGCGACCGCCGCCGGGGACGCTGGGTACTTTGCCAACCTTCGCCGAAGCCAGGACGGCTTTTGGTGGGTTCGGACCAGGCTCACCAAGCTTGCCCGTGTTCGCCAGACGGAAACGGAGTGTATTCAAAGGGCCCGGTTTAGGTGGCTCGCCGTCCGGCTATGGTCGATCTGGCAGTGGCGCTGGAAGCCGAAGCGGCAGCGTGCAAGGCAGACGCAGTGGTGATCTAGGCATTGCGGGAATCACGGAAGAGGACGAGGAAGAAGCTCAGCTTGAAGGTGAAGACCAGTATGAGGATGTTGAGGAGATGGATGGGGACGTCGATAACTTTGGTCCTGAGTTGCATTCTCCGACCGCAGGGTCAGCGGCGATGCCAAGGAGGATCGTGGAGGAGACGGCAGATTTGGAGTTGCCGCTTGCCGCCGGCGGGATTGTTGGGATTAACGTACCGGCTGCGAAGGACGCGGGTGCGGACGACAGGCCTAAGCCGACGCCGCTAACTGCCGCGGCCCTTGCTCAGATGGAAGAGCAGGAAGAGCTAAAGGTGCAGCAGCATAATGCTGCGGTGAAGCTGGACCCGCTGGCTGGGGCTTGATTGCATTGGCTACCATTATGTAGATTGATCAATGTCACTCACATTGAGCTCTACTCGCAAATCAATTCCTACGGCAGCAACACCGGTGACAACGACCTAGCCTCATGCGGCGAAAGTCACTCGTGGGACTATTTACGTTGTCAAACTCAGGTGCCTTACTACTGGCCCACCGACAGCTCCGAGAGCCCGTCCACAGCTGTCACGGAAGTAATTCGCACTCGTCTTGCAAGAGTAACTGTGCCTGGTAACGGCTTACGGAGGGATTTACCTCCAGCAAACCGCATATGCCATGGCAAATCGACGAGCATGAGGACGTGAAGATAGCGACATATTCTGAGTTCCATTGACTGGTATCACCTTCGTTTTCCGCACCTTTCCAGCAGCATTGTGAAGCAAACGGGTGCTTTCGTCGCCACTTCCGTCGCCACCATCGCCATGCTATTGGGAAGAGATAACTTGCCACGTCAACCAGTATATATAGGTGGTGGAGTGGCACATTCTATGACTGACTCGCCAACAACTCTGCGTGCCCATCCACAGCTCCCTCCGGGAGTGATTTGCATTTCTCCTTGAAGAGCTTCTCCGCCTGGACCCATACGCGCGCTTGCTTCCAGTCATTCAACTGCAACAGGCTTGGCAGCAAAGCCGCGCTAAAGGCCTCCGAAGCCTCCCTTGGAAGCAGAGAAGGCAGGTGATCAATACTGATGACGCTCAGTGGCAGTTCATTGGCTTCTGCCGGTAGGTGTACCGGCACAGTAGGCTCCGTGAAAGTCGTGTTAATGTCATAGATCGGGATCGGATTGTGCGGGTTGGTGGTGTCGCAGGATACGTCGCAGACAACCGTCAGCTTTCGCTTGGGCGAAGTCAGGGACTCCGGCGAGATGAATGGCGGGATCTTGGCAGACAGGTATATGCAGTTCACGAAGACGTCTGACTCGACAATCTCTTGGTATGGCCCAGGCTTGGCGCTCGTCTCCGGTAAGTCCCATTTCTGCAAGATCAGTTGGGCGCTTTGCGAAAGGACATGCGAGTGGCTTACTATGATCTGGTCAAGCCCAGCCTTTTGACAGAGCTCTACTGCTCCGCGTCCGCATCGGCCTAGCGCGCCTATTACCAGGACCTGCGGGAGGCGGCCGGCTTTCGCTCGACCCTGCTCAACCGCGTCTTTGATGTCCTTGATCAGGGCGCCCTCGTTCTCATACGGTGTGACACCGGGTAGAGGTTGACTTTTGTCGTGGGTGAGCTGCCAAGCCCATGTCATCAGAGCCAGGGCAGCACCTGCGAAGCCTGCGTGCTACATTGTGTCAGACCGTGATCACCTCGGGGTAGGGAGGCTTTCTTACGTAGCCAAATGCGGCCACCCTTCGGCCATTCTCTGTTAGATATTAGTGACAAGCTTTCAACTCGATCTAGAAGAGCATACCATCTTCGAGAAACTCGAGGTCAAGTAAGGTGCCGCCACCGCGAGGAAATCGCCCAAGAACGGTATCCCAGCCACCTTGACCCTTGTAACCTTCTTGCGGTCAGTCAGTCACAGCGGGTTGGAATGAGTAGACCATGACTCACAGTGCGCGAACTGTACATGCTGCTGGCAGGTCAGTCAAGTCCAGCAGCCAAGCCGACTGTCGAAGCGCTTACGGTATGCTTCAGTGGGAAGTCCTCTTCTGGTAGCTCTTTGAGTCCTACAACGATGGAGTCGCTTGGAGCATCGGTCCAGGAACCGGTCGGGACGAGGGTCGCTCCAGTGCCCTCATACTCTGAGTCTTTGAATATGCTTAACGGGCTCCGTTCCACATTGACAACATAGCCAGCTTCGACAAGCTTCTTCGCCGTAGATGGAGGGATCGCAGTACGATGCTCCAGAGGCTTCGTCTCTGCGCGAACGTGCAGAACCGTTGATGGCATTGTGTTAAAAGGTATGTTTTAGCAAGGAGTCATTGCGAGTTCTGCTCTTTTTCGCTTAGTAGTAAATTGTTGCTGACTAACACAGCGAGACGCGACTTCAGCTCGTTCTCCTCTACATCACTACTCAATTCACTTCGCTACCCGCGAGAACATGTACTTGATGGGGAGGCTGCATCGCAGCATGTGACAGCTGTTGAGGGACGTGAATATGCCTTAAGCAACAAGACGTCTGCTGGAGCACGAAGCTCATTCGTGGCGCTCGTCGGCCGAGGGCAAACAGACGCGTACAGGTTATGAGTGTACTCCGCTAACAGCAATGTCTTTACGGCCTCAGCGACAACAAGATTGCTGCGTTAACCTGGCCTATGTGTAATGTTTGAATGGCTGGACGATCCGTAAGGAATCACCACGAGGTTCGAGTAGCTTGATGAAGTGACGAAGAAAGCAGTTGCACGAGAGCATAGTGGGATCTGGCCAGATATGAGGAACCGAAGGGAGACTTCACGGCCGCATAGGGCATGTTTTGAAACCGGTGACGCAACGGTCGCCACCTCTTTGTCTCATCGAGGTTATCTGGCTACGTCGATACGGCGCCGATGGATAGTCGTAAGGGACTTGGCGCCATTTTGCCCTAGGCGCCTTCCGCATTCGAAGTAGCTCAGCACGCGTGCCTTCCTCAGCTACAATACCGTCGGCGAGACAGACGGCTCGGCCGCACGCCAAGTCTCCAATGCGCTGCGTTTGTGTTTGTTGTCACTTCACGCACGACCATAGCTCTTTCACATCACCTCCTCTTTCTCGCGATACGCTCACTCATACGTTTTCGACACTCGCTGCGCACGCTCACCCTCCTTCTGTTACTCTTTTAAGCGAATTCGCTGACTTGTCGCTTGGCGGTGCGCTAACCGCAGCTCATGATGGACGACGTCGTGGAGGCGCGAGCTCTTATCAATGACATTCGCCGCCGCAAGCATGTCGACGATCCTGGCGACGTCGATGACAATGCCAAGGACCTGACGAACGCGCTTAGAATGTATGTACGAGACAACGCTACTCCGAGATCGAAGACTGACGCACCTTAGCCTGTCCGAGGAGCTCTATAGCAAGCCCACGCACTTTATCCTGGAACTTATACAGAACGCTGATGATAACAATTACCCGGAAGATGTCCGCCCAAAACTGACGTTGCTCTACCGCGAGGATGGATACCTATGGATCGGCTGCAACGAGATAGGTTTTACCGCTGCTAACGTCCGTGCCCTCTGCGGCATAGGCGACAGTACCAAGAAAGTCGAGAACTCCCAGAAGGGCTATATCGGCGAGAAGGGCATTGGCTTCAAAAGTGCTTTCAAGGTAGCCGCAGAGATCTGGGTGAAGTCCGGCGCGATTAGCTTCAAATTTGACAAGCATAAGCCTCTTGGCATGATCGCGCCGATGTGGACGGATTTCTTCGAGAACGCGCACATCAAGGAGCGGACAATGTTTTGCTTCCACATCCTTCCGGAGCACCAGGGTACAGTCCAGGAGAACCTGCTTGAGTTGAAGCCCGAGCTTCTGTTGTTCTTGCGGAAGCTCCATGTGCTTCAGGTTAAGATCCAGAAGACGTCGGCAGATGTGAAACACAGCTTTAGCTTGAGCAAGGTCGAGGGCGAGACAGCAGGCATCAGGTCGATCACCTTACGCCACCAGATGTTCCGCCCAAGAAACCAGACATATACCGAAGCATTCCTGGTGTTCGATCAGATGATCGAAAACATGCCCACCGAGAAGAAACGTCCTAATGTGATGAAGTCCCAAATAGTACTGGCATTTCCCGTCAATGACCAGAATCAGCCTGCTATGCGGAGCAGATTGACCTTCAACTTCCTACCCGTGCGATCGTACGGCCTTCCAGTGAGTAGCGCACGGATCCGCAGGCAGCGCGACCAACGCTAACTTCTAGCAGTTCGTCCTCCAGGCAGACTTCATGCTTAGTGCCAGCCGGGAGGAGATATTGCTCGGTAATCGATGGAACGCTGTCCTGGTTGCCGCGACCATCGATGTCTTCGTGGCTTGTGTTGAGAGGTTCAACTCTACAAACACTTTGCGGTACACTTGGCCGCGGTTCACGAAGCCACTGGGCGTCCCATACGGGAGTATCTTCAATTCGTACTTTAAGGAACTGTGGCGACGCCTCATGCAAGAGCCAGTTCTGGAGGCTCAGGACGGCACATTCGCGAAGCCAGCGTTGTTACAGTCAGTACCACTGGAGTTTACCGACGGTGGCAATCCGCCCAGCCCACTTATCTACCCTGATCATGGTCCTGTGGCCTACCTCTCCACAGCATACGATGTGTCGGATCTTACCGAGCTGTCGGTCGTACAGCAGACACCAGATACATTCAGCAAATTGATCACAGAGTATGCCTCTACCGAACCCGAACTGTTTCGCGCTCAGCCGACGCCGTGGCATTCAAGACTTGCAGATGCTATCCTGCGCTCGGGAACGCAGCGTTTTCGCAGCGTCGCCATCATTCCAATGCGAGACGGTGAGTGGCTCTCCAGCAAAGACGAGCCCTTCTACTTCGCGGACTTTGGCCGAAGTGTTGCCGTACCAAAAGGCATCAACGTGCCGTTAATCGATGAAGCTGCGGCCGAGGACGAGGTTCGTAGACAGTTGTTCTCGTCTTTTGGTGCTCGGATGATTGGCGTTGCTCAAATATATGAGCTCATCCTTCGACACCATAGCGATTGCAACGGGTACTCGACTCGCTGGACTGCGGAAGAGGCTGTTACCCACGCAAAATTCCTCTACTCTGCGCCGAGTAAGCCACGCCACAGCGACCTAACTATGCTGAGACTGGCTGCTCAAGGCACGAAGCAGCTTCGGTTGGCCTCAGAACTGTACATGGACATACCTGGAAGCGCTTTCCGGATCGGCGAGCTGTTTGGCGTTCGCCGCAACGACGTACAGCTTCTCCATCCTGCTTACTTCCCCGAGAAAGCACCCCAAGGCTGGCTTCGGTGGCTTGAGCACGACCTTGGAGTCAGAACACTGCCTAGAGCCACGTCGTCAAATACCATCACAACCGAATTTCGCTGGCTTGTGGAGAACAAAGCTTCGGCGACCTGGCTTACATTGCTTAGGGATTATTGGGATCACTACACCCATCAGCTGGCTTTCTCGGCTAGCAGAACGTTCTTCGCTAATACCTCTGTCGAATGCAAAGACGGGAAGCGGAGACCACTTAAAGAGGTGTATCTCGCAACGACTCACGTCAAGTCCGAACCCTTCGCCGCTGACGTTGTGCCGTTCCTGGCTGTTAAGGATTCTGACGACCCAAGGTGGACGAAGCTCAGTGTGCTGCAATTGAGTACGCAGCCGGATCTTCGATTGTATTTGTCAACTCTCGTCACGCTGCCGAAGCGTAAGCCCGACAGCTTCAAGGTTGTGGATGTGAAGAGACTGTACACAGGGATCCAGCGGCTGCTTCACCATGACAGGATTTCGGTTGTGTAAGTCGCGCAGAACTTTTGCGTGATGGCATGTTGCTATGCTAACCAGCCCACAATAGTGAGGCCTTCGCGAAGAACGAGCTCGTCTACGTTGAAACCCACCCAAAGAAATGGCTGGGCCTAAAGCAATGCAGGGGTAGATCGCTTCTAGGCCTGCCACGGCTTGTCGCACTTGCAGACCATTATCGCAACCTCACTGGACTGTTCGTGGAAACTCTCGGCGTCAAGGATGCTGACGCTTCCGATGTCGTCGACGAACTGTGCTCCCTAAGCGGTGACATCAAGCAAGCCGGCGCAGTCAAGGATCTGCTCAGACTTCTCAGCAGCAACTTCGTCAGGCATGACTCCTTCAAAGCCGACGTCTTGGATCGTCTGAAATATTCCACGGTGAAGGTCATGCCCGTAGTTAGCGCTCAGCAGTGTGTCGAGATGCGGTCTGTCAACGACACCACATGGTTCATCGCAGATCGATCGCAGCTCCGTAAGGTCTTCAGCGGCAGTATTGCGTTGTTGGATCTGGACATGTCCGCCGTGCATACACAGGAGGTGCTGCTAAAGCATCTTGGGGTCTCTAATCGCTACCTTGGTCGACTGGTGACGGAGAAGACTGAGGTCTGCGGCGAGGCATCGTACCATCCCGGGCTCACACAACTGTTAAGGGCGAAAGCTTGCTATATTGCACCGTGGGTTCCCCACGATCTCATGCTAGGCTTGTGACTGACGCCATAACAGCTTAGCCCATCAACTCAGGCGCGACGGCGCCTTCAGGAGCTTATCTACCGCTGAGATGAGGTGCGCTGAGAGCCTAGTATTGAGAAGATCTATCAATATCAACGGCAAGGCCACTTACGCCCGGGACGATGAGGGCCACACAGTCTTCCGTTACGAGCAAGACCACCTAATCATCTACATCTCCGAGAGGCTTGCTGCAAGCGGCGTCTTCACATTATGCGACAAGCTTGTGGAAGAGTTTGAGATCCCGCACAAGTACACTGTCCTCCTATCGACGATACTCGCCATGCCCAATGATGCTTACCTCCGAGATGAGCTTGAGAAGGAGAAGCTTGCGGTCTATGAAGTTGCCGTCTCAGGAGCAGACCAAGCTGTTGGACCAGATATGACGGACTATACTGAAGGCTTCCTGCCTTCGCAGCTCACCGGGTTCAGCGAAGTAGTCAAGCGGCAGGCAGTAGAGGACGGTGTCGAGATCACGGACACCGCCCTGGATGGCGAGTCAGACCTGCCTCCCGTGCTCACTGAGCAACTAGGCCACTCTATGCTGCCGGAATCGTTGAACACGTTGAAGACGGCAAAGAAGACGGCAAAGAAGACGGCTCCAACACCACCGATTATGCCGCTTAAAGCGCGCAGCAACGGGACCTCTGCGGACAGGGTCGCATTGAAAATAGACAGCCTTGTGGATGTGAAGAAGCTCAAGCGCGCCGCCAACACGCTCAACATGCACGACGTTTCCGTAATCGGGCGTTTGGCGAAAGCTTCTAACGGCATGGCAGCTGCGCCGCACAAGCCCTTCGACATAGGGTCTTTGCGTACAACTCTCGACGACGATTTCGGTCCCACGAAGCACGCCGCAACAGCAGGGATAGTGAAGAAGGGCGCTCGTGTCCTGCCCATTGTCAGTAACGCAGCTGCCACCACAGAAGCTGATGAATACCAGTTAGCCATCGGGTCGGCGGGCGAGCTCTTCGTCTTCAACCTGCTGGCCGAACATTTCGAGGTAAAGATCGACAGCTGGACAAGTGATGTACGCATGCAGCACGGACACCCCGACTTTGAGGACTTCGAAGGCTTCTACTCCGATTTCACCATCACCAACGGTACCACCTGCGACCGCATAGCGTACTGGCTCGGCGAGACAGGGTGCGAAGCTGCGAGTCAGTGGATGGGCAAGGATGTCACGTTTCACATCGAAGTCAAGGCGACCAGTGGCCGGCGCGAAGAGCCGTTTCTGATCAGCCCAAACCAGTTCAACCAGGTGAGCATATTGTTTACACCAGCCTTGCTAGATACATTACTGACCTTTGGCAGGCGCGTCAATGGCACGAAAGCAATGCTGACGTTTACATCATTTTGCGCGTCTACGATCTCCAGAGTTCGCCACAGGTCTGCGCCTACGTGGATCCATATGCGATGTGGCAGGCTAAGGAACTCCTGTTCACCGCTCAAGGAGGCTACTATGTTCGGCCAGCATGAAAGGGATCTGATAGATCACGCGACGGGGATGTCTGAGGATGTAGCAACTAGGACGAAAGCGACTCGGCAGATTGTAGGCGTTTATCGTCCACATCAATAAAGGCATCACACAGCTCGGGTTCGTGACCGCGTATGATATACGGAACGTTTGGAGGACGGCAATGGTTGCGGGAGGCTCAGCACCACGAGTCACAAACTGAGTCACTGTGCACATTGTGTACTCGATGTACGCTCTCCATCTCCACCGTGCAGATATTCGTGCATTGTGATAGGTCTGTTCATTACATATCGAAGCATGACTCAATCGCTGCCAAGACTTTCGACAAGCCGGCCCACATGCTCCTCACTTTTCAACCCACCTCCCACCAGGACTCAGTCTTGTTGCTTGTTATCAGGATAAGCACCACAAAGAAGGAAGCAAGCACCACAATCATCAACCAAGACTCACGATGGCGCCATCTTTCGAACAGCTCGACCCGGACCTTGACCTGGAAGACGAGGAGATCGACTTCAGCGACCTCCGCGAGCAGTATGAGGTCCGCATGGAGGAAGGCCTCGATGCCTTCGTGGTCGTTGACGGCCTGCCCAAAGTCACACCGGAGCAGAAGGACAAGCTTGTCAAGTTCCTGTTGCGGAAGCTCACGACCGCCGGAAAGACTACACAGGATAATGTGTACATGCCAATGAACGAAGAAGGCAATATGAGCGAAGGCTTTGCGTTTGTTGAGTACGAGACTCCGGCCCAAGCTGCCGCTGCCATCAAAGCGCTGCATGGTACCGCGCTGGACAAGAAGCACACCATCGCCGTCAACAAGCTTACCGATATCGAGCGCTATGGCCGAGAAGGCAGGATCGAGGAGGATTACACCGCGCCGGAGATCCCCGAGTTTCATGAGAAGGAGCATCTGCGGTGGTGGCTTGGCGATCCTGAGGGACGAGACCAGTTCGCCATTTACCGCGCCGATAACGTAGGCGTCTTTTGGAATGAGCGGGAGGACCAACCGGAGCCGATCGTCGACCGCCTCAATTGGACCGAGTCATTCGTGCAGTGGTCTCCCAAAGGCACCTATCTCACTTCCGTCCACGCACAGGGTACGCAGCTCTGGGGCGGTCCCACCTGGTCACGGCAGAAGCGCTTCATGCATCCAGGCGTCAACCTTGTCGACTTCTCCCCTGACGAGCGCTACCTCACCACTTGGTCGCATCAGCCGATGCAGGTCGATGAGAACCACGCTACTTTAACGATCGAGGAAGATGGCAAGAACTACATCATCTGGGACATCGCCACAGGCAAGCCTCTTCGCTCATTCGTCACTCTCGACCCGCCCGGCCCACGCACAGATACTGAAGGCAACCCGATCAAGAAAAAGCTGCAATGGCCTGCGTTCAAGTGGTCTGCCGACTCCAAGTATGTAGCCCGCATGAACCACGGCCAAAGTGTCAGCGTCTACGAATTGCCGCGCATGAACCTCATGGACAAGCAAAGCGTCAAAATCGAAGGCATCGTCGACTTCGAATGGTCTCCCACGAATCCCCAGCGTGACAATGTACGAGACTACGAGCAACTCTTCTGCTACTGGACGCCTGAGATGGGCAGCAACCCGGCCAAAGTCGGTCTCATGAGCATTCCCTCCAAAGAGGTTGTCCGCACGCGCAACCTTTTCAACGTCTCTGACGCGAAGCTGCATTGGCAATCCGACTCCGCCTTCGTCTGCGTCAAAGTGGACCGGCACAGCAAAAGCAAGAAGTCACTCGCCACGAACCTTGAGATCTTCCGCGTGCGGGAGAAGGGCGTTCCTGTTGAAGTTGTGGACAACATCAAAGACACCGTCATCAACTTCGCATGGGAGCCGAAGGGTGACCGTTTCGTCCTTATCACCGCAGGTGAAGTGGCCGTCGGCTCCGCCGTCCCACCGAAAACGGCCGTATCGTTCTACTGTCCCGAAAAAGCCAAGGGCACCGCCGTCGGAAACTTCAAGCTCATCCGTACGGTGGAAAAGAAGAACAACAATGCTATTCACTGGTCGCCGTCAGGTCGTTTTGTACTGGTAGCTACCGTGCTAAACCAGGCCAGCTTCGATCTCGACTTCTGGGACTTTGACTTTGAGGGAGAGAAGGAAGAGAAGGAGAAGGATCTCACCGCCAATCTCCAGCTCATGTCTACACAGGAGCACTACGGCGTCACGGACATTGAGTGGGATCCATCCGGGCGATTTGTGGCAACAAGTGCGAGCGTGTGGAAGCACCGCGCAGACAACGGGTACAAGCTGTACACCTTCTCCGGCCAGCAGCTGCGTGAGGAGTCCCTCGAGAATTTTAAGCAGTGGGCGTGGCGACCTCGGCCGGAGCGTCTCCTCAGCAAGGAGGAGATGAAGAATGTGCGCAAGAATTTGAGGGAGTACAGTCGTGCGTTCGAAGAGGCCGACTCCGCGAAGAGGAGCTCGGCGGATAAGGCGGTTGTGGAAGGCAGGCGGAGGCAATTGGAGGAGTGGTTGGCGTGGCGGGAGCAGGTTGTGGAGGAGTTGGTGGAGGAGAGGCGGGAAATGGGCCTGCCGGATATTAGCGAAGAAATGGCCGCGCTGGTGGTGGACGAGGAGGAAGAAGGGGATGCCAAGGTGGTTGACGAGGTGTTCGAGGAGATTATCGAGGAGAAGGATGAGATTCTGGAGGAGTGAGGTAAAGTAGGGCGTGTCCTTTGTGAGGATGAGGAAGAAGAGGGACGTGACAGGCATGATGTGTTGTGTGTTGTGTCGCGTGCGATACGGACCTTTTGCGATGGATTTTGCTTGTCGTCGAGCACTTATCTAGCATGCCATATTCGTACAAGGTTCCAGCGCACACGCTGTGGCCCGTTCAATCAATAAACCTCCCTTCCGCCCACGCCTTCCTCTTGCATCCCAACTCCACCGCCGCGCTACCCCAGTCCTCGCCGTGATTGTGTCCTTGCTTGCCGTCGCTGCCTCCTATCCCTGCCCTCTCTAGTCCCTGCTGCTCGTTGAGTAGGGTCAGCAGGCCAAATATCACAGGCACGCCCAGCTCCATCTGCACCTTCATCAACCCATGCGAAACGGCGTCGGAGATGTACTCGAAGTGCATCGTGCTTCCCTTTATAAGCGCGCCAATAGCTATTATCGCATCAAACGGAGCTGTGCTCGCGCTGGACTTCAGGCTTTCGCGTTCTTGCTGCTTCTCCGCCGCCGTGTCCATACCCTTGAGATCTGATGTGCTTCCGCCTAGCAAATCACCAACGGCGCTCCCCACGAACCCTCCTACTGGCCCTACGGCTGAAGAAGCGGCTTGCGTTTGCGAAGCTTTGTGCATTGTTGCCACGGCGTATGGGAGCTCGTAGGAGCCGGGTACGGATTGTATCGTTATGTTTGAATCTGGGACGCCGGCTTTGTGGAGGGCGGAGAGGGTGCCTTTCAGTAAAGAGTCGATAATCTGTGTGTTCCAGCGAGCGTGAATTATGCCGATGCGGAGGGAGGAGCCTTTCCTGCGGTCAGTAGGTGGTGTCGGAGGTGGTAGGAAGGAATGGGTGTACCATCGTAAGAGCGTGCTTCGCCTGGACCTTTGATGCCGGCCATGGTGATGGTTGGCTGGACGAGCAAGTACTGCTTACTGTGACTGCTCGTGGTTAACACGAACTGGAATTGTTTATATCAATCCGGAGCACTATAGAGTCCGAGAGACATTGGAAACCCCGCTGACGCCTGACGAAGCAGGCACGAAAGTGGGGATACTTAATCCAAGGGACATTAGATAGCGACATATTTCGGACTGAGCCATGTTGAACACAATGCTGGCTTAGTTCTCTCACCGTCTACGATGAGGTGCCTGTTCGCCATCTTGGCAGCTTTGACGCTCTACACAAGAACCAAGCAAAGCACCGAACACAGGCTTCACTGGCATGCCTGGCGTCGCTGCAAGATGCTGCCACCAGCGCCATGCAAAGTGCAACGTGAAGCACCCCAATGCCAACCTCATCATCGCTGCCATGCCTAGAGTTGAGTCTCATCGTCACCACCTCGCCCTCCGCTTCAGTTAAGGAAGCCCTTGCAATTCGCTGTCCCGCAAAGACATGGTATCCGGTCAGTCGAGCCATACTCGCGCTCGAACTTGTAATCGTACGTAAGCTCCTCATCTGCAAGCGTATATCAGCATCTGCGCATCACCGATCCATCATCAAAGGTGGTGGACTTACTCTTCCCAATATCCTTAAGCGCGTAGATAACAATCCTCGGCGTCCCCTCCACCTTGATAATCTTCGCTGTGCAATTCGGACTGCAAGAGTGATTGATGAATCTCGCAATCCCACCCTTCTTCGTCGCATCCACAATCTCATCGTCCATCATCCGGAAGAGGTAAGAACTTCCGACACCCTGCTTCTCATACCGCAATTCGCGGAGGTCCGCGACCTTCTGCCGGACCTTTTCGCCGACGTACTCGATGATGAGGTCGTTGACGGTGATGTTCTCTTCGGCGTAAAGGCCCCAGCCGTGGATGGCCGAACGGTCGAATTTGACAAGCTTCTTGCGCTTCTTGAGCTGGTTGAAGCGGACTGCAACGTCAATGTCGCGTTCGGCGGTGGAGGTGGTGCTGGCGACAATGGCTTGCTTCTGCAGGTTGATGTCGTTGACCAACCTCCGGTTGTTGACGCGGTTACTGCGGCTTGTCGCCGTGCTCGCGCTCTTCTCCGCAGCCGCAAGCTTCGCCGCCTCTACCGCGGCAGCCGGGTTGGCTTTGGCCAGTGCCTGGCGCTCTTCTCTTGCTTTTTGCACTTTGATGCGGTGAGGCAGGTACTTGGATTTCTCCTCGTTGAGTATCTTCGTAACGCCCTCTGTGCGAGCGGAGCCGGATGGATTGGGCACGTAGTACCCTTCGATCAGCGTGTCGGGATGTTGTACGGGCCCATGGAGGCCGGTGTTGAGCGCTTTGATTTCCTTCTGCTTCCAGGCCCAAAGTGCGGCATTGCCGAAGTCATATGCTGCCTCATCAGCGAGAGCTTTCTTGGCAAAAGCGAAGTCCTCGTCGTCCTTAATGATCTCTTGCCAGCCATCGATGTCCAAGAGCAGGTCGTATGGATCTTCCACAACCCGGCGCGGTTTGTCGTGGGTGAGACACCATGCCAAGCCTCGCTGTTCCAGCTCTTCGACAGCTTCGAGCTCGATTTCCTTCTCCTCAAGCTTAGTGACAGCATCTTCCACAACCGGCTTGCTGTCCTCTTCCACTTGCTTCAGCTCAGCCTTGAGCGCTGCTTGCTCCTCCAAAATCTGCTTCTTCGTTTTCCGCTTCCTCTTCGCCTTCTCTTTGATCGCTTTAACATCCGTCTCAAGCGATGGCGTAGCCTCCTCCTCATCTCGATCGCGCATCTCTACATCTTCAACCTTTCCTGGCTCACTCATGACCAGGAACAAATCATCATCCGCCTTCGACCGCTGTCGAATGTACAGTTCAGTCCGCGCCCTTGTCGCATACTTCGAACTTCTCGGCAGAGTATTGACCACCAGCTCCAGCTCGCGTGTTGCAAGGTCTTCCGGCTCCTTATGCAGCAGATGACCAAGCAACTGCTTTTGCAAGCCATCAAACACCTCCTTCTCCTCTTCATCCCAATCAGCGATCTTGCGCCGTTTGTGTTTCGGCGTCTCACCCGCGATAGAGTCCGTATCGAAGGGAGTAGAGGTCCGGCTTGCCCGACTAAGCGGTCTGCTTTCTTGATCCTCCGTATCCCGCGTGAGCGAGGTCCGGCGCTCATCGTCTGAATCATCCTCATCCGCATACATTTGCTGCAACCTAAACTGCAGGTTTCGCGCGTGCGTAGGCCGTGGCGCAGGACGTCGCCTTCTCTCGTCCACGAAAGCGTTAGCAGGAACGCCACGGTCGCGCTCGCCTTTCCTGCCACGTTGAGCATGCGGATCGTGCGGTCGCAATGGCTTGGAGTGAGACAGAGGATGGCCGTGCCGGCCTTTCGGCGTGTGAGGCGATGTTTCTCCGGCTTTGTTGAAGAGCAAAGGCGTGGCTTTGTTCTCATTGTCTGCGTGGTCTGGAAGCCCTAGCTTCCTGCGTTTGACTGCATGTTTTGCAGGGTCTAGGCTGTCATGGAATATGGGTATCGCGATGCGTGTCTTGATGTCACCGAGAATCTTGTCGTGGAGCTCTCTGCGCAGCTGCTCGAGCGCGCCAAGCACCGGATCTAGGTTCTCAGCGCGGTGCTTCTTCTCGATTTCCAGATCTTCTTCCTCTTCGCGCTTCAGGCGCTCAAAGTTCTCGCGCTTGTGCTTGTCGGCCACCATGCGCTCGGGAGTGGGACTGCGCTCGTATTCCGGATTGCCGTACCTTTGGCAGTCCATAGCCATCTTGTACGTGAACAAGGCGGCCATGTTGCATTCGTTGAAGCAACGCTCTGTCTCCTCCTCGCCACGCTTTGAGTCTTCGAAAATGACATAGTAGCCGGTCCGGTCAAGCCTGACTTCTCGCCAGTCGAACGCTTTTAGCCGCTTCTTTAAATGTGGTATTGTGGTGCCCAGCACAGGCACTGAGCTTTGCGGAATGTGAATGTATGGCTTGCGCTTGATCTTGCTCAGCACCAAGTCGCCTTCGATTAGTGATGTTGCCGTAGATTTGGGGTTGGGAAGCGTTGCCGCTCGAGGGCCTTCCGGAGGCTTGATGTCTCGATTGACCTCTCGAACAATTGGCGCATGCTTCCCTGATGGGCCTTTCGGCGCATTCGGTGGAGGTTTCGATGGAGGTACCGGAGAGTCTGTTGGTGGTCTCGCCGCGGCTTTCGGTGGTGGCGGAGGAGCCAAGCTAGCCTTGCGCTCCTTTGCACGCTCATCTTTCGCCTTCTTCAGCGCAGCTTCTACGTACTTCTTCACCCTGCGGCCTTCGCGGTCCACCTCAACTTTGACCGTGTGTAAGCCGATGCGCGAGCCGTTGAACTCACTCTCTGCTCGCTTCGCAGACTCCACCGCCTTGACTTCCACACCATCTCGGAATGTGTCGCGATACTTAATCGAGGCAATTCCAAGGAAGCTGCCAGTCTCCGGATCGGTCTTGTGCTGCACTATTGCGACACTTCCGAAAGTGCTAAAGTTGAGTTTCAACGTCGCTTCAGGCAGAAAAGGATCGAATCCAAGCACCACTACTTGTTGCGCCTCGCCAGGACCAATGGAATTCCGGTCGATCTTAAACGGCGGGATGTTGTACGGCGCCGGCCGCCAGATCGCCTTACTGGGTCGATCCTTGCTTCTGCACTGACCTGACATATAGCCAGGAATGGCAAGCCGTGGATCTGGTGGCGGATCCGGTTCGTATGTCTGCCATTACACCAGGTATCAGCAAAAGGGTACAGAGTGGTTTTCTTCACCAAATTCATCATGTGTATATCATGCTATTACGCAAGCTCAGCAAAATATGAAAAGAGTCTCGTACCTCTGTGCCGAAGTCTCTCTTACGAAGTGTAGCGCGCTTTCGCTCCTCTTTGCCGAGCTTGTTGTCTAAGTCCGGATCCCAAACCACTCTGTACCCTTTTGCTTTGCCTGGTGGCGGTAGCATTCGAGGCCGCTCTTTTTGCGCTGAACAGGGCTCAAGTGTGGCATTCGAGGCAGGTATATGAGAAGCGGTATCGACGGCGCCGAATGTCGCCATCTCTTCGTTGGAGGGACTGTGCTGCTTTGGCGGTGTTGAGTCCGACATGCTTGTAAGCGGGGTTAGTCCGTTGGCGCGCGAGCTCTTGCGGTTCGACGCAGAAGCATGTGAGTGTGAAGAAGCTGTACTCGCAAGTGAACTCGCAGAGCCAACTCCACGGATAACATCACCCGAGTCCGCAGTTTCATCCGAATCGGGTGAGCGGTATTGCTTGTGAGCGTCACCGTTCGCGCCGATGCCACCAGGGCGGTGCGCGTTGGTGGATGAGGTGGTGGCGTGAGACAGCTTGGCGGCCTTGGAGAAGGTATTAGGTGCAGAGTGGCCGTCACGCTTGCGCTTCAGCGTGCCAGGCGAAGCACTGCGTCGAAGCGTCTCCACCACACCGCCCGAGTGCGACATATCGCCGCCGCGCACACTCTACGACTTGCGCCGCACTCTCATTGCTGGCAGGCAATGTGGACACCCTCCACAACTCGTCGCAAGTGCAAGCGCCGCTGGGGGTTTGCGCGGTGGAGAAGGCACGCGAGGGGTCGAACGCGTCGAGTTTTTGCTGATGGTGGCAGCGGCGACAATCGCTTTTTATGGTGAGGTACAATTGTATACGGAAGCCGCCAGACAGGATGGAGCGTGTTTTCGTTGGCTTCGGCAGCATGGGCATGAGAAATGGTGGTGGAAGGGCAGAGCATGCGAGGAGTGGTTTCTTGCGCTTGGCCCGTGCTTCTTCCGCGCTACATTCCTCTCCAAATTCCCCTGACACCGACATGCCCACCCCTTCTACATACAGTTTCCCATCACCAATCGATGTGCTAATATGCTCGCAACCGCTTGGTGGCAGTTGCAGTCGGATCCGCGTATCAACGATATCGGTATCCAGCTCCTCAGCCGCACAACGTCGGCTACGCCACCATGCTACAAGAGCCTCCAACGTCATTGCGCATTAGATCCCCAACTGTGGTAACGAGTGCCGCAAAGCATCGCGGGATACTAGAGCGAGCACGGAGAACGTTGTGAATCAAAGAGGCATCGTACTGTGCTGGGATTTATGGCCCCCTAGTCAAACGTGATGTCGGTAATGGAAATCACGTGACCTGGCTCCGCTTGTCAACGTCCCACTCTAGGAACCACCAAACATGGGATCCAGTAAGGTCGGGCGATGCAGGTAGGCTGGTGAACAGCGTCCAACGTTGGGTGCCAAAGCTACTTTGTGCGGACAAGAGTGTCCAGCAGATGCCGTAGCTCTCCTATTAGTCGAGCTCGCTATCGCTATCACTCTCATCATCCTTCTCCCCATCAGCCAGAATCACACCATCCTCAACCGCTTCTTCTTCAGCATTGTCATCAGCCTTCCCGTCCATCACAAACGCACCAAGACAAGTTATCCTGCTACCCGTCTCAAGCGTACCGATGAGCTTACCTACTTGCCGGGTGGTAGCAAGCTCTTCAGGATCTACGTCACCTGCATCCTCTGCACCGTCTGCACCGTCTGCGCGGTTCTCACGCTGCCCTCCTGCAAGTTGTTGTGGCAAAGTCCAAAGACGAATCGCACCATCACTGTTCGCGGTTACTAATAGTGTCTTGGTCTTGGCTGCAGATGAATGACAAGGAAGGACTTCAAAGTCCTTGATACGACCGGTAACACCAACTTCTGGACCACCGAGCTGCGCTACGCAGGCGCATGTCGGCAGCGTGTCCTCGGTTGCGGCCTCAAGATTGTTGATGTCGAAGAAGAGTACCCGACCATCTTCGGTAGCGATGGCAAGGAGCTCGCTTTCACCGCCATGCTCAGTAGCTTGCGACCCACCAAATCTAGCAAACTGCATCTGATGGAGCTTCGTAGCAGGTGTGGCTTTGATTACACATCTCGCCTTCGAGTCAATCCCAAACACAGCCGCGCCGCGCTCAAATCCAACAACATAAGCCTCTCCCTTAGCATCCCACAACACATGCCTCCCCTCCCCATCGCCATACTTCCCCTCTCCGACCTGCGCAAGCAACGCCCGGTCGAAGTTGAGAACGCCTGCTTTCTTTCCGGTCATCAAATTCCAAAGCCTCAGACACCTCTCCCCTCTCCCCACGCTCAGCATGAGTTTCTGGCTGGGATGAATGGCAAAGTCGTTCACACCTGCCGGCATGTCGCCCGGCCCTGCTGTATCTCCTGACGGCCGACCTTGGGGTTTGGGGATCGGTGCTTTGATGGAGGAAAGCACAGTCCAGTCCCGGGTTCGCGAGATCGCGATGGTGTTATCCTCGGCGGCGCTGAAGAGTTTGCTTTTGGTGGCGAAGTGGAGACGGGTGACGGCTCGGTCGTGGTGGATGAGGGAGCCTAGGGAACGATTGCGGGGATTCTCTGCAACGGAGTCTGAGGTCAAAGTTGGTAGAGCTGAACTGCCTTTGCTGGGATGGGCGGGAGGTGGTGCGGTGGATATGGTGTAGACGTTGATGCGCTCGTCTGAGCTGCCGGTGGCTAGGAAGCGTTTGGAAGCATCCGTGGGTGGCGAGAGGGCCAGACAACGGATTGCTGAGGAGTGGGTGGAGAGGAGGAAGGTGTCGGAGAAGGAGGCATGCAGCTCCTGGATGGTGTCGTCTTCTTCAATGGGATGATCTTGGAGTAGCCGACGTGGGATACGGGCGGAGACGCCGTGGAGCACCCTCTCATAAGATCCTGTAATGATCTGGACAAAAGTCTCCGAGTCTTCTAGACCGACATCGACGGGCCCGGAAGGTAGATGCCGCTGCCTTGCGATTCTCGATTGTGTCTCAAGTTCGAGTTCATCATCGTTGGCCGCCTTTCCAGCCGGTAAATGGGATCTTGAAGTGGACTTGCCATGTCCGTTGGCCTGGGGTCCAGCAGGTCTCTTAACAGGCTCGAGTCCAGCTTTCCGCAGTTTTACAGGCTGATCCGTTGTATACTCCCGCTTTCGCTTATTGGTTATCTGGGCTGCAAGAGTCGCCATTGCTCGTATATCTCGCACTTCACTTGGAGAAGGGTTGTGCTGATTGTCAGTAAAATTTGTTTTAACTCGAAGTCGGCAGCTCGGTGCTTCACCCCACGCTTTACCGGGTTCAGCCGCGGGCTCCCTTCCAATCACCTTCGGCCTGTCGTCGCAATCTGCCCTCTGGAGCCGTGAGGAGCGGACGACGCTGTGCTATGCTGCAAACGCCACGACGAGTACCATCACAACCCGAGAACTCCCCAACAATTACCCACGAGACCAAGGCCGTCTGTGAGATGAGTGCAACAAGGCTGGCACGTCGATAAGTTTCATGTCCCTCGACGTGCTCAAACAAAATGCGCTCACGAGCCGGAAACACGAAATAGCGTACGTGCAACACATCCCATTGAGCGTGTCGAATTCATCTTCAACTCATTACGAGCACAACGATATCTTAAGCTTGATGAATATGTGATGGGTGGTGCCAATACTGATGGAGCCAGTAGCGCTATCTCGCGGTCACATCGCCTCAAATTGCGACAACTTCGCGCGGTCACTCAAGCCCTTCAGAAGAACAGCGGCCTTGCAGAACTGCTAAAGATACATTCTGAAGACATCGAGACTTCAGTACCAACTGACGACGACGAAGATGCATTCTTAACAACGAATAAACTAACCAAGTGAGCACTATCTGATGTTGCTACTGAGCTGCTCGGAGCTGGCCCCGCTAACACTGCGCTCAGCGGCCGATACTTCGACGATACCACCCTTCCATACCCAAGTATACCGCACCACGATGACCCCGCATACGCGTCAAAGCCCAATAGACCTGCGACTCAACCTTCTACCTCGACCGTGGCAAGCCCAAGTGCCCATGGGCTTACTAAGGAGGCCGCCTTGACCGAACCAGCAGATGCTGCAGCCATGAAAGCTGCTGCTTCTGTGCAACATGCAATTTCAGCCACTGATCTTGTCATTGAGGATGACATTATCTTGAAGGACAAGCTCGCGGCGTCTGTCGAGCCAGATGATGCATCTGTCGTTCCCGTATACGTCGCGCCGCCGACCGCCGAGGACGAGGCCAACTTCTCGGCTGCCACAAGGGAACTTGTGGACCTGGAGTCGCCGAAGAGGCCTGCAAAGACCGTTCATTTACCGCCCGAGCATGTTCAGGAACAGCGGTATCGCGAGCGAAAGGAGGCGCTAGAGGAGGAGCGGAGGAAGTCAGAGGCTGACAGGCCACTCCGACCTTCGCATCTACAGATGCAGGCAGAGCTGGCGTCCTCACCTTCGTCTACCGTTGGCGCGTATTCTGCTGCGACACCTTTGCCGCCGCAGGAGTCACCAGACACTTCGCCAGACTCGGAGAAAGCTGCCGAGGAAATAGTGCCGCCGCCGAAAGATCTGCAACCATCGCCTGAAGCGCAACGTGCAAAAGACCAACACGATCGGCTCTTAGCTGCGCAGAAGGAGATTGCGCGGAAGGACGCGATGGGCAGTGAAGCTACGCCTGATGATCAGTTGAACTGGGAGGCTCGCGAAGCAGCTGCCCGTGAAGCGGAAGAGCAGTCAGCACGGCAAGGCATCAGTGGTCTTGAGGCAGACACCACAAATGTCAACGAGGGAACGCAGGCGGAAGAGGTCATTCAGGAGATGCAGGTTGATGCAGCAGTGCAGTCTCTAGCCGGGTCACAGCCGAGTAAGAATGAGACACCGCGTTCGCAAGTACACGATGATGGCGCTGCGTCCAAGCAGCGTGCGGTTGATGACGACAACGACAACATTACTGTCACACCGCGAGTCCGACCGACTCCGATCGATACCAGCCGGCGACAGGCCGAGTCTGCGACTGCGACTCCGCGCATGACGACCCGAGTGTCTTCAGGTGCCATGAGCCGGAAGAGCGTGTCCGAAATTATCGGCGAGTCTCCTGCGCCGCAATCTGCTGCGTCGCGCCTCCGAAGGCAAGACTCTACATTCGAGCCCATTTCGCCTATGACCGGTCGGCCACCTGTGGACGTATCGCCAGCGATTGCGCCTCACACGCCTCCACGGCCGCCACGTCCATCGCCGTACCAGACACCGCAGAGGTCTACCCTTCCAGCTCACGAACTTGCTGCGCTAAAAGGCGTTGCCGAGGACCCAGATCGCGATTATCTTGAACCGCTCTTCCGCATTCAGGCCCACGACTCGCCGAATTCGCACACCAGGGCTCTACCCGAGCTCGTAAAGTCTGCGCACAAGTACCTCTCGACAGAGGACCACTTCACGACCCTGCACGAGCGGATGGATTACCGCATTCTTCGCCGCATCTACCAGCTGCAGAATGCGAACAAATGGTCACTGCGGCAGATGGAGAGGGTCAAGGAGCCGGAGCAGGCGGTCACTCATCTTGACCACATGATGGCGGAGATGAAGTGGATGCGGAAGGACTTCAAGTCAGAACACAAGATGAAGACGAGTGTCTGTGCTTGGCTGGCTGCGCGATGTGCTGACTGGGTGGCTGCTGATGCAGCAGGGAGGAAGGCTTTGCAGATCAAAGTCCGTTCACCTACCGTGAAAGCGCCAAAGCTCGCCGACGAGCAGCCACCAGACCTTGACATGGCCGGAGAGTCTGCGCCTGAAGACGACAATTTTCCGCCGACGCCTAAGGATGGGGGTGTGCTTTGCACAAGCTTGATCGTGGAAGCAGAGCTGAACGAAGTTGTCGGCAAGCTAGAAAAGGCCGGAACGCTTGGTAAAGCGTTACGCACCTTGCCTGTTGTTGGATTACGTTTCCCGGACCAGCAGAAGCCCGCACGTCCACTGACTGCGCTATCAAAGTTTACTGAAGGTAAAGTCCTGCCTCAAGCCACCGGGCCGACTCACAAACGAAGTCGCTACGACTATGAAGACGACGCTGAACTGCTTGACCGCGAACCCGCCGCGAAACGGCTTCGTGATGCAAGCGAGCTTCCTCCCGAAGATGAAGAAATCGCTCTGTTCCACCCGGACAACAAGGCCATTCGCGACCGTTTGCACGCCAACACTGCGTTCAGGCCACCTTCCGAGTTCAATATGCCTGCCACGACCTTTTACGAGTTCCGTAACGGGTCGCAATGGATCTGGGAAGATGATCAAAAACTGCGCAAGCTCGCAAAGGAGTACTCGTTCAATTGGTCACTCATCGCCGACGAGATGAAACTCCCTACGCAATTCAAAAGCGCCGCGGAGCGTCGGACGCCGTGGGAGTGCTTTGAGCGGTGGGTTGAGCTGGAGACTTTGCCGGCCGAGATGCGCAAGACGATTTACTTTAAGACGTGGTTTCAGCGGCTGGAGCAGAGTCAGCAGGCTGCTGAACGGAGGTATCAAGCCCAGGTGGCCGCGATACAGGCGCAGGCGGCGCAGAATGGGCAGGGCGGGCAAGTGCATGTTCCGCAGCGGCGGAGGACGGTGCCGAGTCGGGTCCAGAAGCGGAAGAATACGCGGTACATCTGGTTGGTGGATGCGATGCGGAAGCTTGCTAAGAAGAGGGAGCAGACAGCGTTCAAGACCGCTGAAGGTACGTTGCCCCCGTGTAAAGAATGTAGCAGTGCTGACTTTGCGACAGCTCAACGCAACGCGGCAGGACGACCGAAAGCGCCCGACAACAACGTTCCGCCACGCCAAGGTCCTGCACCAACTCCTCAAGAACTGAGCAAGCGTCGCTTCGAGCATGATCTCAAACTTGCTGAGGTACAGCGAGCGCAGCGACAACAGATGCTTCAACGACATCACGAGCAGCTCTTACAGCGGGCACGCACCGTACAGCAGCAAGGACAGCCTAATGGTGCGCCAACCCAGCAACGCTCAAGCACCGCGAACGCACCGCCACAGCACCCACAAATGCAAGCCAACGGCCAGCAGCAACCGCAAGTGAATATGAACGGTCAATTGCCACAACAGCCTCGACCAGCCTTGCCTATGACTACTAAGAACGGCCATCTCGCTGTCCCGCATGTCAACGCGCAGGGGTTACCACAAGCGCCAATGCAGCAGCATGGAGCTCAGACGGCCCAGCAGCAGCAGATGCTGAGGATTGCTCAAGCGCAGGCGCAGCAGCGCAATGGGCAGTATCCACAGTATCCCATGGTGAACGGCAACATGGCCAGTCCCGGCAGCAATATGACGACGCAGCAACACCTCCAGCACAATCAAGCTTTGCTGGCTCAGATGAGTGCCGCGCAGCAGCAGCAGGGTCACGGCTTAGGACAAGCCGCAGCCGTGCACGTCAATGGTAGCGGCCACCAGATGTCTTCCGCTTCGCCGAGTATGCCACCGCCGCCAACACCGCAGAATCAAGCACAACAGCAGCCTGGTCAGCTCTCCTCTGGTCTCACTCCCGCCCTCATCATGATCAAGAATGATCTGCGAGCGAAGAACCCTCAGTTCACGGAGGATCAGCTCAACACAGAGGCGACGAGGAGGTTGCAAATGCAGTCAAAAGCGCAGATTCAGTCCACGAACCAAGTCAGACAGAGCGCCATGAACGCCGCGGCGGGCATCAGCCACCATGCAAATACTATGCACGCACAAGCTTATGATCAGAACCAGGCAGCGTTCCAGAGCAACACTAACGTGCAGATGCCCAATGGCAACGCCCAACCGACGCCGTATATGAACGGTGGTGGTGGCCACAATGGCAGCAATAACGGTGACGGCAGCGCGTCGTCTCCTCACGCCAATCCGCAGGCCGCGGCCGCTTACGCGAACCAAGTACGAGCGAGGCAAATGCAGCAGATGCAGATGATGGGGCGAATGCAGCAGCAACAGCAACAGCAACAGCAACACTCGCAATCCCCTAGCTTGGCACACGCGCAGCTTTCTGTTAATGGAAGTCCCGCCCTGGCGCACGTAAGTCCTAGTATGGCTCCGGCAAGTCCGGCGATGACGTATGGAGTTCGCCCGCCGAGTCGCAATCAGACGCCTGGCGGTGGTGGTGGTCTGCAGCGGATGAGCAGCTCCGGGAGTGTGCCGGGTCTCAATGGCATGCCAGGAGTGGGCGGGATGCAGAGTCCAGGTGGGACGGCCATGGTGCAGGGGAGTCCGAGAGGGATGCAGGCCAGCATGGCGAGATAGGAAGTGGCAATGGCCACCCTACTTGCTGGAAGGGAGTGGGTGATGGCGTTTTAGGTGGACTCTTGTTGTTATGTCGGCATATTACAAGCATGGCGCTGGTGGTACTTGTAGCTTTTGAGCGGGCTTTAAGATGTGGTAAGCTACTTCCTAAGCAGCTTGGATACAGTAGGTCACGAACAAGCAGCAACAACATCTAGCTTGTAACAAGCAACAGCAGCTTTACCCACTTAAGGCTCTTACCACAGGTCAGCCTTTTGCCATCCCGGTAGGCCCCTGCCGCTGCTCAAGCTCTCTAACACGGCTCAAAGCATGTACAACAACAACAATCATCACTCACTTTCCATTCACAAGACCTCCGTCTATGCCGAAGTGTACAGCCTTGCGCTTCACCGCTGTGAGTTCTTGCTCAACCGCTGCCTCTAGAGCGGAGATGGCATCGTCGACGGTGATACTGCCGCCCCACGTATACATAGCCAGACCCAGAATCGGTAAGCGACGCAGCGTGCGCCCGCTGAAACCTTGGGAGTTCCGCGCTACGATCCAGACACGATAGGCGGGCGATTGCGGCCGGTCCATAAAATTCAGCTGTAGCTCCGAGAAGGTTGGGAGTTCTGGCGCTGGGACGGGGACCGAGGGCTCGTGCTCGGGAGAGGAAGAAGTGGCAGACGGAGGGGATGTGCGACTTCGTTTGGCTTGGCGAGGATCACGGCTCACCCGAGCCATCTCCACGAGATTGCTGCGGATGAGCTCGTTTAAGCATGAGCGAAAGATGTTGTAAATGGCCGCTGGAGATGGGCTGGGGACGAATTGTTTGATGTCGACACGGTCAAGGAAGGCGTGATCGATGGCAGTGATCATGTTGCTCGTGCAGAGGACGATTACGTTTGGCAGCTGCCGAAGGCGATCGAGGGCCGTGAGCAGTTGGTTGGTGGCGCGGAGACCGTCGTTGCATTCGCCGCCGGTGGCGGAACGCTCGCGGGAGCCGGCGATGGTTTCGACTTCGTCCATCACGACGCAGATTAGTGTGGTGCCGTCTTGTGCGGTGTTGAAGATGTCCTCGAAAGCTTTCGAGACGAGCTTGCCGCTTTCGCCGAAGTACCTGCACAGGGTCAGTGCCCATCAGCAAGAGTAGCGCAGTTGTTATGGCAGACGTACTTGCTTAGCATGGTGTTGGTGTTGATCTCGACGAGCTTTGCTTTCGTGAACTGATTGCTAAGGCGGATGCTGAGCTTCTGAGCCAAGGCACGGCAGAGTGTACTCTTGCCGCTTCCGGGCGGGCCATGCAAAAGACAAAGGCGGTTCCAATTGAATGTGGTCAGAATCAAGCCGGGCTGCTTCATCATACTCATCATGCGTGCCAGATACCTCAACAGACGAGCCGGCAGGGCGTCGTCGAAGACAAGTGAGCTCCACTCATCCTCGAGATCTCCATGTGGAAGCTCGATGATACGGGGTTCCAGAGCTTCGTCGCCTGTAGATTGAACTATCACTCGACGTCCGTCGACTTTAGCACTCCCGTGGAGCGCGTAGATCTGAACGTCTATGTCCACTTGGGCAAGTTCGTAGTAAGCTGGCTCCTTCGGCGGCCCGGTGTAGTCCGCAATGTGTATGGCCGCCACGAGCGGCAGCTTCCTCCCTGATTTCTCGATCAGCGTTGGCAATCTCCTGTAAGCATATGCCAAAATCTACCGTAGCCCACAATATCTAGCCCTACAGTCACGGTCTTATACACATTCAAAAGCCACTCTTGGATCTCCTGTCGCAGCTGTACTGCCATTAGTCGACGTCTATCTTGAACGGGAAAGTCTCCCACCTTATGCTCGCTGTCAAGCCCAGTCGGCTGGCTATGGAGTGCCGCTTCAATATGGATGGTCGGTGCTAGAAGGTTATTCCGCTTCATGCTGCTTTCACTTCTTATGTACAATGCGTTGATGCGCGGCATATGCGAGGCGCAGAGAACGTGTGTACGTGTCTCGATGGGATGAAGTGTGATTAATCGGCAAATATGAGGTGATGTGGAGATTTTCGTCTTGTTTTGAAGGAAGCCGCGACCGACAATTAGATCGCAGAGCAAGACCCAGACATGACTTCACGAAATGCTTCGACTGTAAGCGAGTCAGAGCTGCACCTCCTACCTACATGGAGCAATCCAGTGAATACGACGAATGTTTTACACGTTATGGCACCGACCACAAGAAGTAATTGAGATCGCCGCTCGTCATATACTGCCATGGTGAGCTTGCTGGGTGCTATAGAGCCCGGTCGCTGGAGATGATGCGCTCGGAATACTGTATGGAGACCGGTTCCGCATCGCCAACATCCTGGCAAGGTTTAAGGTCCTCCAAAGTGTGTTGGCACGCAGCAGTATAGTGCATGCCGCAGTTTGGGGCAACATTTTGAGACGGCATAGCCTCTCATGTGACTGTTGGAGAGGGCTGAGAGAAATCACTGTACAGTGACCGGTAACACTGTTCAGGCTTCATACGTCGAGGACTAAGAGGTACGTTGGTCTCCCTAGGCATACACAAGGCAATTTAAGAAGACATAATTTAAAGACACATTCGGAGAGACAGGAAGGTCGTCGTCCCAATACTGTATCAAGCGTACCTTCACGGGGCTGCGCGCTGCGGGCCGCCTCCATCATTCGAGCCGGCTGCGATGTCATTGTGCATGCTTTGTTTCTTTCTTAACACATGAGGTCCGCAATATAGTATAGCAAAGTCAACCCGGAGATCCCTCGGGCGCGCAATGGTCGGGTATGGCACCTTAGCAGACGATGACAACGATGACCTCGAGAGACTGTATGGCGCCACCAATCCACGCGACACCACCATCCAAATCCTGCTCTCTCTTGCCCTCGGAATCTCTGCGTTCCTCGCTTTCTGCGTTCTAAGGCCACGATGGCAAGGCTTGTATGCAGCCAGAAAGAAGCAGAAGGACGAAGCGACTGCCTTGCCTGACCTACCGAGCACCCTCTTTGGCTGGATCCCGACAGTATGGAGGATCACGGAGCAGCAAGTGCTGGCTTCGGCCGGACTGGACGCTTATGTCTTTCTGGCTTTCTTTAAGATGGCTATGAAGTTTCTGGCGATCACATTTCTGTTCTCCTTGGTTGTCATCAAACCGGTTCATGACGCCTACCCCGAAGAAAGCGATATACCAGGTAACAGCACCTACCACAACCGCACGAAGCGCGCAGACACTGTCCTATGTCGCTCGGTCAACCTTCTGGACAGAAGCTCATCGAACAGTACTGCCGATCCGTCATTTCCAGACAACTTCGAGACAGATTACCTTTGGATGTATGTCGCCTTCGCCTACCTATTCTCCGTTATAGCCATCTATTTCGTCATAGCAGAGACCCGTAAGATCATCGAGATACGACAAGAGTATCTCGGCTCGCAAACGACTGTCACTGACCGAACGATTCGGCTGTCTGGGATTCCACCTGACCTGCAAGATGAGGGGAGACTTCAGGAGTTCATTGAGAGCCTGGACATTGGCAAGGTGGAGAGCGTAACGCTATGCAGGAAGTGGAAGGAGCTTGATCAAGCAATGAACGCTCGAATGGACGCTCTGAGACGACTGGAGGAAGCACATACCATACATATGGGTCTCAGGACCATCGAGCGGAACCTCGAGACGCTGCCAATTGCACAGCCTCCTCCGCCTGGTCCACCTGCTGCACCTATCGCAGACGAGGAGCAGAATGAGAGCTCTCGCTTGATGGGCGCCAATGGCCACGCAAATGTGCCTTACAACCGCCCAAGGCCTAGGACAACAATCAGATACGGAAGGTGGAAGCTACAAAGCAAGCAAGTGGACGCGATCGACTATTACACGGAGAAGCTTCGACAAGCCGATGACCGAGTGAGAGAGCTGCGGCAGAAGGACTTTGCTCCTACGCCACTCGCCTTTGTGACGATGGACTCGGTTGCAGCTTGCCAGATGGCCATCCAAGCAGTGCTTGATCCTTCGCCGCTACAGCTCATTGCCAGTCAGAGCCCGAGTCCTTCGGACGTCATATGGTCGAACACATACCTCTCAAGACGCAACCGGATGTTACGGCAGTGGTCAATAACTGCTTTGATCGTTCTGCTCACCGTCTTTTGGTCCGCGATCTTCGTGCCCATAGCCGGCCTTCTAAACACAGACACCATAGGCCGTGTATTCCCACAAGTTGGAGACTTCCTCGACCACCACCAAAACTTGCGATCACTAGTCAACACCCAGGTCCCGACATTGATCGCCACCTTGCTAACCGTCCTCGTACCTTACCTTTACTACTACCTCTCGTGGTTCCAAGGCATGATTTCGCAAGGCGACATCGAGCTGGCAGCGATCTCAAAGAACTTCTTCTTTACCTTCTTCAACTTCTTCGTCATCTTCACGGTACTAGGTACCGCCTCCAAATTCTACCAATTCTTTGAAAAGTTCGACGACCTCACTAAGGACCTGCGAAAGATCGCGTACACATTGGCGCTGTCGTTGCAGCGACTGTTGCCCTTCTATGTCAATTTCATCATCCTACAAGGTGTCGGGCTGTTTCCGTTTCGGCTACTGGAGGTTGGTAGCGTCTCACTGTACCCGATTTATCTCATGGGCGCTAAGACGCCCCGCGGTACGTCGATCAACATCCCGTTCACACTGTTTCTGCACCCACAGCTGATTTTGCGATAGACTACGCCGAGCTAGTTCAACCACCCATCTTCAGCTACGGCTTCTACCTGCCAACCGCCCTTCTGGTTTTTATCATCTGCATCGTCTACTCCGTACTGCGCTCGTCATGGTCCGTCCTCCTCGCTGGACTGATCTTCTTCGCTCTCGGTCACTTTGTATACAAGTACCAGCTCCTCTACGCCATGGACCATCAACAGCAGTCAACAGGCAGAGCATGGGGCATGATCTGCGACCGTATCTTCGTCGGTCTGGTGTTCTTCCAGCTCACCACAGCCGGTCAGCTGATTCTCAAACAAGCAATATACCGAAGTGTGCTCATGATACCGCTTCTGATCGCTACGGTTTGGGTCAGTGTGCTTTATGGACGAGCGTATAAGCCGCTTATGCGGTTTATCGCCTTACGAAGCATTAAGCGCGGCGAGGCGTACGCGGATCAACAGGCTGATGGAATCGGCACGGCCGTCAGCAACGATCTTACTCCGGAACGCAACGTGTGGGCTGATGTGGACAGCACGCAAGACCGCTACCCGCGTGAAAGTGCAGCGGCATTGGGTGGAACTACAGAGAGCGGACTACGCTTCGTTAATCCGAGTCTAGTGGCGCCGCTTGAGAGTGTGTGGATTGCTGGTAAAGCCCTGAGCCCTGGAGACGATGGTATTGGAAGGGATGTGGAGGTGTCGGTCTGATTATGATACCCCATATGCATGTGTCTGTTTCAGCAGTGCTATAATACCTCTGCGAGGTCGTCGACTATTCAACCTTTTGCCTTAACTTTCTTTTCTGGTTGAACCTTGTTGCCCAACTACTGCACGCACGGGATTCTCTGGTTGCGTCGCCTTAATCGTATACCAACGGCGTTTAACCATGCAACATTCAAAGTTTGCATCTAGGCGTACAGTGGGGCCCTCTTCTCACTCTCATTGCGTCGCATCCGTTTGACTCATTCCATCTCCGGTTGTACTCCGTGTTCTCTCATTGTTCAGGAACAAGGTTTTGGCGCCGTCTACAGTTCTCATCAAATGGACTGCCTTCAACATATGTGTGCGGTCCGCTGAAGATAATTGCTCATCGACACGGAGAACGAGATCATGGAGTCGTTGGGCTCGTCAACCTTCGCCGCTACACTTGTTGCTATCTTCCTGCTCTCGAGTATAGTCTATCGGACATCTCTTGACAGTCTGCATGCCATACCGGGACCGCTAATATGCAAGCTTACTTCCCTTTGGACGTACTATCACTCCTACTTCGGCGACGAAAGCACCCGGATCGATGAGCTTCACAAGCGATACGGCCCCATCGTTAGGATCGCACCGAACGAAGTCATCATATCCGACGGGGCAGCACTGGCGCCGATATACGTAGAGAAGGGTGGGTTCTCGAAAGCACCCTGCTATGCGAACTTTGACATTGAAGGCCATGCAACGATATTTAGCACGCAGAACCCCGAGTATCGATCCGTGCGGAGTAAAGCCGTTGTGCCGTTGTTCAGTATGACTAGCATTCGCGAAGGGCAGAGTGCGATTGAGAGCTGTGTTGATAGATTTATTGCACGATTGAAAAGAGAAGCGGCCGAGAGCAGGAAAGCAAATCGACAAAGACCTGTCAATGTGCTCAATCTTACCCGTTCTCTTGCCCTGGACGCGGTAAGCTCGTACCTATTTGGGCGAGCTTTCGGCGGCGTTGACGAGGAGAGCGACAAGCTGTCTGCCAGCGCTTTCGTGGACACGCTCGTTGCGGTGGGACGCTTCTTCTTTCTGCCGAATTGGATCTTCTTGACGCTTGAGCTGGCGCGGCAGAAGTTCTGGCCAGCAAAGGAAGAAGAGAAAAGCGCTCAGACGGTCGGCGACTTCGTCGAATCATTACTGCAAGGAGAGACGAAGGGAACTGCGACCTACCAAGCGCGATTGCTCAAAGCCGGCATTTCCGAGCATGAAGTCAAGATACAGTGCGAAGACGTGATATTCGCAGGGACTGACTCCACAGGGACCTCTCTCGCGACGATATGCTGGAATCTGGCCAAAAGACCTGACGTCTATGACCGGCTGAAGAACGAGGTTGCGCAGGCAGACATGAGCGAACGGAATCAGAGCCCGCAGATTATCCGATATCTTGACGCCGTAGTGCGAGAAGGCTTACGCATAGCAATGCCGAATCCAGCAAGACTTCCTCGAATGGTACCAAAGCAGGGCTTGGCATACGGATCATCAAGCGGCAAGCAATATTTCCTTCCCGGCGGTACGCAGGTAGGCATGCAGTAAGTGCAAGGAGGTCATGTTTAGGGTTCATTCGCCTAGATGCTGACAAGCAGTAGACCGTATTCACTGCACTTCAACCCTGAAGTCTATCCCGATCCGTTCGCTTTCAGGCCTGAGCGATGGTTAGATGGCCCAACTCCGCAGATGCAGCGGGATTGGATTCCCTTTGGTATGGGCTCTAGACAATGCATTGCTCGGAACCTGGCTACGACGGAGCTACGCCTTGCGGTAAGGGCGATTGCGAAGGAGGGAGCCCTTGACGGTGCGCAGGCTGTTGGTGAGAAGATCGAACTAATGCAGTGGTTCAATAGCAAAGTCAAAGGGGAGGCGATAGAGCTAGAGTGGCAGTGAGACGTATGACACATCAGCTTGTACTTCCGATGCTCTATTAGCAGGCCCAGGTCAGGTAGGACGCATTCATGGATGCGCCGTCCCAATTCTGCATGTGCCAGAGACATACATTTGTTTGTCTATCACATGCCAGGACGGAGATGCTTTGATCGTCGTCAATTCGCAGATCTGGACCCTGCGCCTTCCCAAGACCGAGGCGCATTGGATCCACGCAAGCGAGCATTTTGCCTCCAACACACTTTCCTTATCTCTACACCCACCTCTCTATGCCCATCAACCGTTCTTGGAGAGGTATCAAAGCATTGAACGGCCTGTGTGATGTCTGCTTACACAACTATAAGCGGATTCAGTTCGAACTGCACAACCGTCATTACAGAGACCCACGAGGAGCCCACGTTAGGAGCCAGCTCCGGCGCAGATTTCGACATTGACATACAAAGAGCACGCAAGCGAAGAAGACACTCCTCGTACCATGCGCGCACATGGAGTCTGGATCGGGACAATGTTCAGCTGCTCGTCGACCGCTTTTTAGCGGAGCTCGGTCAACGGCTTGCATTAGTAGAGGACTATGGCCACTTTAAGATAGATGAGGGCATGACTATTGCGCTTGATACGCTTCGTGATGTTAATGAAAGCTGCATGCAAGTCGGTGGCGACCTGGTGGACGCTGGACGGCGGAGGGCCCATATCCTGGTGGATACGGTGGATGCCCACTACAAGGGCGCATTAGCGACGAAGGAGTCGTTGGAGCAAAGGATTAGAGATGGCGTGAAGATATGTGAAGGCATCCTAAGCGATTTCGAGAAGGCTGCGTACGAGCTACGTCCGGCAGGCTTTGCCGAAATCCTCGACTCCGGTATCGCTTATGCGGATACCGCAGCAGCCAGAGCTGCGGGCATGGTGTCCGAAGGCGCAGAAGCTGCTCGTCGAGCCCAAGCAAAGCTGAAGCTTAAGGTTGAGGAGGCCGTTGCGCGAGCTCGCAACTACGGTCTTCTTACGTACGAGCAACTCCCCGAGCCCTGGAAAGGGAATCCGCATATCATTTCTGGCTACCGCTTCTCTGAGAGTACAGCAGAGTGCATTCGGTCCTGCTTCTCGGTATCGAACGAGACGGTGAACATCTGGTCGCATGCAATAGGTCTACTCGTCGTGTTAGCGCTCGCTTTCTACGTCTACCCAACAACCCCAGCATTCACTGCGGCAACGAAGTTCGACATCGCCATTGCTGGCTGTTTCTTCTTCGCGGCATGCAAGTGTCTAATTTGTTCAACAATGTGGCACACCATGAGCAGCCATTCCAACCAGACAATCATGGAACGCTTCGCCTGCGTTGACTATACCGGCATCTCACTGCTTGTGGCGACCAGCATCATGACGACAGAGTACACTGCGTTCTACTGTGAGCCTTGGAGCCGGTGGGTCTACCTTACTACAACGGTTGTTCTAGGTGCAGCAGGCACCGTACTACCATGGAACCCTTTCTTCAACCGCGCGGACATGAACTGGTTGCGGGTCGCTTTCTACGTATCCTTAGCGGCTACAGGCTTCTTTCCGGTGCTGCAGCTTACACTTGAGCGAGGCTGGAACGCCACGGCATACTTCTACGCGCCGATTTCGAAGTCTATCCTTGTCTACCTCGGAGGGGCATTGCTGTATGCGGCTCGCATGCCCGAGCGTTTCCTTCCCGGCTGGTTCGACTACGTAGGCGCAAGTCACAACATTTGGCACTTCGCAGTGCTGGGCGGCATTCTGTTCCACTACACGGCTATGCAGCGATTTTTTGGTGAAGCGTTCAAGCGTGCGGAGATCGAGTGCTCGGTATATTGAGACCGTGGTGTAGCAGCATGCAGCTCCGTTGGGAGCAGCACAATTAACACCACAGCCTACGTAGAAAGTTCGCATTCTTCATGCTGTTTCCTGCATCAGCATCAGCCTTGATGCACAGAACATGTGTTAGGGAAACTAACGCAAGGCGGCCCAGGCCGAGAAAGCGCGATACTAGCGTGTGCTCGGCGTGACTTCCTTAGTTGACGTCGCGTCCCAATGTTCCACCCTCCATGCCGCGAAGAAGGACGCCTGACAACATGGGTAAGAGAAAGCGGAAGATGCAAGGTCATGATGATCCCAGCAAAAGACAAAAGGTCGAAGACAGTGCAGCGACCCACCCCACAGCGCCGTTGCTACGCAATTACTATCCCAGCGTGTCAACTCTGCGATCATACCTTGCAAGTCAGCTTATAACACCTAAGAAACGTCGCAAGCGGCTTCTGCAGTATGGACGAGGCGATGGTGCTGGCTCCGCTTGTGACGCTGCTCTCGTGCGACTCCTGGACTGTACGCTTGTAGGCTCATTCAATCGTAGCTCAGCGGACGGCGACCTTGCGGCTTATGACCAAGATGTCACCGTCTTCACGCAGCAAGTATCCGAGGCTACGAAATCTATAGGTCCAACGCAAGGAGCGTTTAAGCAATCAGAGGTAGGAAAAGCCGCTGTCACGTCTCGCTCTGCAGTGGTAGTTCCCAGCCTACACCCGGCTAACCCAACCCTTGTGAGACAGACCGTAGACTTTGTCATTTGGGCGCTCTTCTTTCGACGACCACGTGGCAGTCGCCGACCTTCGCACGTACTCTGCCACGGGTACCAGCGAACCACCACGGCTGTAAATGCTGTCCAGCTCAATCTTGTCCCAGGTGTGCCTGGCGTGCTGTCCAATTGCGAAAACCAGCATGTTCGTACCTTGAAGCAGCATCCATGGACGGCCTTGCCTTCGTTGATTGGAAGTACCGCAGATCGAACTATCAGTGCTCTGCTGATCGAGTGCGGCGTGTTTGTGCCCGCTGGAGATACCAGCAACCTCGTACAGCTAAGCGGAGTCCCTATGAGTGAGCTCCAAGATCGCCGACCAAGCATTGGCGAAGCTGCCAAAGATAGCAAAGCCAAAAGAGTCGAGGATCGGCAGGAAAACTCCGCAAGATATCGCGGACTTTCTGGGATCCGCTTTGTCCGCCACCGCATGTTGTATGCGAAGCCGTCACACACATCGACAGGTCAACCACGCCCTGGGTTGCCGTTTATGCACGTACTGAGCCGCTTGCGCAACACGCCCGATGCCTGCGAGACGGTCCGAATCATGAAGTATATCTTTCCAAGGCAGTTTGGTTTGCACAATGTCTTCACCTCAAACATCGATCACAGGGAGACTGCACAACCTTTCAAAGACTACACTCTGCGCGACAAGGACATCGCTCGGCAGGAATACAAGCAGCAACAGGAACGCCTGCCGAACACTGTGCCTATCCACAACCCGTCTCACCTCCCGAGAAGATTGAGAGGTTCAGTATACCATCTTGTGCAAAGCCTCCGCAGACGGCATGTTAAGTGCCCGTATCATGCGTTGCTCCAGCACCACTGTCCACCACATTCGGCACCGACTGGCTTCCGTGAGGGCTCTCTGCAATACGCTTCGTCCCCTACGCAAGTGTCTTCGTTCTGTCGAGCAGTCTTTAGCAGAGTCTTTCCAGTAGGTTTCTGGGACAGGTCTGGCATGACCAGATCTAATCGTGACCGGATCCTGCAGAGTATCGACCGCTTTGTTCGTCTACGACGGCATGAGGGTATGAGTCTGCACGAAGTGATGCAGTCCATCCACATCTTAGACATGCAGTGGTTATGTCCAGTGACAATGAAGCCTGGGAACAAGCTTAGCAAGACCGACACGGTTAAGCGCAGGGAGCTCTTGGCGGAGTTACTGTATTACACCTTCGACTCCTTCCTAATCCCTCTCATCAGAGCGAATTTCTATGTCACAGAATCGAACGTACATCGCAATCAGCTGTTTTATTTTCGACACGATGTATGGCAAGCGCTGTCAAAGCCTGCCTTCGACTCGCTCAGAGCCAACATACTGGAAGAGTGCAGTGCGGCCACTGTGAAAGGGCAGCTAGCCGGTCGAGCTCTTGGTGTCAGTACCGTGCGCTTTTTGCCGAAGGAAGTTGAGATGCGGCCAATTATCAATCTACGGAGACGTGTGCAACGCTTGCAACGGGGTGAACCCGTTCTTGGCCGAAGCATCAACAGCACCCTAACACCTGCCTTCAGCGTACTTCACCACGAAAAGCGGTTGCGGCCAGAGGTGTTGGGTTCGGCCTTGTTCTCAGTCGAAGATATGTTCCCACGGCTGCAAGCATTCCGGCACTCGCTGCAACAGCAAGGGCTTGCTGGGAGACAATTGTATTTTGCCAAGATTGATGTAAAAGCATGCTTTGACACAATTCCGCAGCAAGCACTCCTTGACTTGCTGCATCGTGTATTGACTGTGGACCAATACCTGATCGCCAAATACGCGACAGCTCGATTGGTGGGCGGTCACAATGAACACCTGCCAGGCTTTGCTGCGAAACCGTCTTGGAGGTTTCTGACTATGGCATCGAGCAACAATACTCCCTTCAGTGTCGCCTCGGAAGCAACTGCACATTCGGCAGACGGTCAAAGCCGAACAGTGTTCGTCGAAGGCCATGCCCAGAAGCCCGAGACTCGATCTACGATCCTCACGCTGCTGGAAGAGCATATCGAACGGAACCTGATTAAGGTTGGGAAACGATTCTACCGGCAGGCAAAGGGCATACCGCAAGGCTCAGTGGTTTCGAGTTTGCTATGCAGCTACATCTATGCGGAGCTAGAGCGGAAAGTTCTTGGCTTCTTGCGGAACGATAAGACCTTGCTCCTCCGCCTCATCGACGACTTCCTTGTCGTAAGTACGGATCGCGAAGTCGCGGACCGTTTCATGCGAGTTATGCACGCTGGCGTGCATGAGTTCGGCGTCGAAGTGAAGGCGGAGAAGAGCCGGGCCAATTTCGAGATCCACATCGCAGGACGCCAAATCGAGGCGTTGTCAGGGGCGGCCGATTTCCCATACTGCGGCAATGCGATCAATACGATCACCCTTGACATCAGTAAGGACCACGAACGCCGCCGGAAGGGTAACCTTGCAGGATCGGTCACCGTAGAGTTCTCTCGGCTGCCTGGTCAGTCGTTTTACCGCAAGATGTTGACCGCGCTGAAGCTGCAGATGCATGCCATGTTGCTGTCCACTTCGTACAACGCGACTCGCACTGTGCTAAGGAACCTTCATCATGCCTTCTTCGAAGTGGCACTGAAGTGTCACCACTATTTGCAGTCATTACGTTCGCGGAGGGAACCCAATGATGCACTTCTAATCAGCAAGTCTACCCAAGGTCATGCAATGTATGGCACACTCGCTAACCCTTAATGTTACTCGTAGGAACATTGGAGGATGCGATCAAGCTCGGCTGCGTGCTCGTGAAGCGTCGCAAGCGTACAAGCAAAGACACAGTGCCGTACGAGTGCTCCGTGACCAATGCCCAAACGAGGTGGTGAGTCTTCCTTACAAGCTCTCTGCGAACTTGCGATTTGTATCAACGGACTCGGCTCCGCGGCACGTTTGCTGGCTGTTCCACTACCGGACGACCTGCATGAGCTCCATGTTTCAGGTTTGCAGCTAGCGCACGTAGATTACGCCACTTTCGTGCAATATTGTGAGATACCGGTCGATAAAGAGGCTGACGTGTATGATGTAGGCTCGCACTCACCGCGTTCTATACCGTGTTTCACCGGCGTCAGACACGACATGTTACAGTACTTGCTTGGCTAAGAAAGCAGCTAGAGTCAAAAGATGTGTGTGGGCAACGGAAGCTGCTTCAATCAGTGGCGGCGGCATACGACGACGTGCCGCGATGAGCGAATGTCCGCAGTCTGTCGCGACCTGAAGGAGTAGGTCCGCAGGGTGATCTTGAACAGCACTGCCCAAACGGTGAGGAGAGGATAATGCCTATTCTACTCCACGCTCGAAATCCGGGCATTCCCAACGGTTCTCCAACTCAAGTCCGGCCTTGATCGCCGATGGACCGTTTGCCAAGATCGCGACAAGTTGAAATCAAGGCGACAAGTGTGCTCGAGCTGAGCTTCCCCATTGCTTGCAAGCGCCGTGGAAAGGGAAAAAGTGTATCCAACTAATTTGCCGAAGTCGGTTTGTAAGACCAGCCACCGTAAGAGATGCTTGCAAGAGAAGGTCAATGCTTGGCTGGCGAGCTCTAATCCCTGCCAATCTGTATCGTTTCCGGCGCTTGCATCCATTCCACGATGAGCCACGAGCCACCTCCCTCCGGGTTTGGACAATCGCATTGTGGTAGAACATGACATACCCGACTCTCATCATTTTCTCTTCCCTCAACTCCGTCACTTCGACTCTGCCGTAACTGTGCGGATATTGGATGAGTAGATGAGCTGCACCGCGGGCTGTCAGCGCTCTGATTAGCTGACCACCAGCGGCCCCATCCCTGCTCAGGAGCTAGCGTTCTGTTGATCAACCCACTCAATATACGCTCGAGGCAGAATGACTTCGTTACTGCCGGCACCACTACCTCTCACATCCACCGCGGCACGAGACGACCAGCATGACGCCGACGAGCAACACCAGAGCAGTAACACCAACTTCGACTACGACTCTTTGCGCTCATTGATCGCTGGAGGTCGCAGCAGCAGTTCAACGAGCAAGCAGACGCAGCGAGTTTTCTGCGTGAGTCTGCCTAGTATCGGCGGGTACAGGTCGTTGACCGAGCCAATCATGGAGTCGGAGAAGACTATGGCGGCTGGAGAGGAAATGATAATCGGCGAAGCAGAAGTGGTGACCGCGCCATCGAGTCCGCCTGATCTATCGTATTCGAAGAGTAGCAAGTCCTCCATTTCCAGCATTCCTTCCGACATATCGTCCGATGACGATTCGACGGAGAAGCTGCCGCAATTCGAGGACGTTGGGCTGGACGAAGATGTTAGAGAGGGCATCGATGACTGCAACGTGAAGCCCGAGAGCCGGCCTACGCTTAGGAGGCTGCCGAAACGCTCATCCTCTGCCAACATGGAGGTCATGCATGCCACAGTCCAGATGAACGGTGCGCTAGGCGACCGCTCTCTGAACTTACCACAAGGCCGGGGTATGCGGCGTGGGTTTACTAGCCCTACATCGTCTACGATGGTGATCATGGCTGCCCCAGAAGAAAGCGAGCCTTCGAGATCACCGTCACCGAACAGAGTCATCCCCCAGCACAAGAACTCAAGCTCGCCACAAATTGTTCAGATTGGTTCACCACGCACTTCATGGAGCGCACCCTCACCTGGTCTTGTGGGTGCGTTCGCACGCCGCCAATCATGGCAGCCCGGCCGTAAGACGGCAAAGCAGCTCGAAGCTGAGTATGACGATGGTGACGAAGACGTGCCGGATGAGGCGATCTTGGAGAACGTACCTATTACGCCCCTACCTGGACAAAGCTTCAAATTGCGTGTGAAGACCCCAAGCCCGAATCGAAAGCCTTCACCATCCCACTCGACCCTGCATTCCGCGAATGTACCGAAGAATGCAAAACGGCCATCAGCGCCAACAATCATGCCCAATGGCCAGTATGGCGCACCTCGTTCGCCCAGACACGGCAGGCCACCGATGCATAGTCATAGCGCCACCATATCCTCCTTCTCTGCGGAGCCGTTCGGCCACAAGCATCGATCAAAGTCGTGGGCCGAAGACCTCAATGAAGAGGCTCGCGCGCTATCAGCAGCATTAGAGCAGTACACCGGCAACCTGTCTGCCGAGCGAAGACGCTCTGGTGTCGCCAGCATGCCAAGTAGTCCACCTCGACCCAGCTTTAGCAAGATGCGCTCTAAGACCACAGTTCTAGAGCTTCCACCCGTGCAAAAGGGCAGCATCATGATCGACCCGCTGCCCATCAGCAAGGAAAAGGAAGCAGTGCTCGCTCGAACACGACCTTCCTGGCTCCCACCTAAGAGCCGAAAAGAGGAGAAGAAGCACGTCAAGGAATGGGAGCAGATGATGGCACGTGCCGCAGACGCGGAGAAGAAGAAGGCTTTGAGGCTTAGGGAGGAAGAGGAGACGAAGGAGGAGCAGCAGACCAACATTGCTCGTATTTGGGAAGAGCAAGTGCTACCGCACTGGGACGTCATGACCCGAGAGCCTAGGACGCGTGAGCTTTGGTGGAGTGGCATCACGCCCAAGAGCCGCGCATTGGTCTGGCAGAAAGCAATCGGCAACGAACTGCAGCTCTCACCCTCTTCGTTTGAAGCGGCGCTGCGACGCGCGAACGACATGGAAGAGAAGGTCGCGGAGATGCCGAGCGAAGAGCGGACCCGCAGCAGCCAAGCGGCCTGGCTCGATGCTATCGAGCGTGACGTGCCGAATGTGTACCCCGACCTGAACTTGTTCGGTAAAGGCCAGCCTCTGCATGTGGTGTTGAGCGACGTCCTAAAAGCGTACGCCATGTACCGGTCCGATGTCGGCTACGTCTTCGGCATCCACCTTGTCGCCAGCGTGCTATGCATGCACATGCGAGCACCCGAAGCCTTCGTGACGCTAGCCAACATGCTCAACCGCCCGCTCCCGTTGGCCTTCCTCGTGCACGACAAGGCATCCATGAATTGCGCTTACGACCTTGTACTCAGCGCGCTGAAGTACAAGTACACGAAGCTACACTCGCACTTAACCTCTCCTGCTCTGGAGCTCAAGCCTGAGGAGTTCCTGGACCCGCTGTTCAGGTGTCTGTTTGCCTACAACCTATCTCCGGAGCACGTGGGCCGGATCTGGGACATATTTGTGTTTGAGGGCGACAAGGCGTTGGTCCGAGCTGCTGTTGCTGTCCTAGGACGTCTGGAGGGGAAATTGTATGGGGCTCGGGAGGAGATATTAGACCTCATCAGCTGGCGCAATGAGGAGAAGTGGGACGTTGGGAGTGTAAACGAATTCATCAAGGCTGTACGGGATGCGGGTAAGGTTGATTCGCGAGGCGAGGCATGACAGACCTGCATTGAGCGCTCGGCTGCTTTGTCGGTTAGCATAGCATAGCGGAATCGGATGGGACATGATCGAGCTTTGTGTAACGCACGGAGCGTGTTGGATTGCACATAACCTAAGATAATACGTATTGTATAGACCGTAATCCACCCTCCTCCTTTGTGCTACTTGACTTTGATGGGCATCGATGTTGTGCCTTCAGTCCTTGTGGTGGCTTCATACCGCACACCTCAGAGCGCGTGAGGAGTTGCAACGCTTCATGTGAGCATCCACATCATCTTCTCATGGCCATTCTGACTGCCGATAATAGCACCGAGCTTGTAACATGCAGGACAGTATGACGCATCGATATATGGAACGGAGACATATGGCTCTGGCAGGATTAGGAAGGCACGACAGAGTCAAGCGCGGAAATTGACAACGGAAATGGAAAGTCTGACGGCGAACGGACGAACCAGCTTCATAGCTTGCTACTCGTGCGCTTCAAGATACTGACAGCGTCCCCTCTCACCTCTTCGGTAATCGCAGCTGCACTCTTGATCTCCGTCACCAATCCTACACCTGTACCAGCATACGTAGTCAAGCGTGCGTTCTCTCCCCATCCATCGTCACCAAGCTTAAGCGCTTCGTCGTACCTCCGCTTGTTCTCTTTAACGCTCATGCCTTTTTCGGCATCGCGATGGCTCTCGTTAAGCACGCCGCGTCCACCATAATGCAACGGCCAGTCCGTGGTACCTCGCAGCGTATCGTACAGTTTCCCGCGGGCGGTATTGATACCGCCGTCTGCGGCTTTCAGTACGGCGTGTTGATAACCTTTGGCTATCACTGCTTCAGGCGAGGCTAGGTACCGCGTACCCATCACGAAGCCAGAGGCACCCAAAGCCAGAGAGGCAGCGGCCCCCCGACCGTCCATAATGCCGCCGGCAGCGATCATGGTGGGCTTAGCAATGCCTTCGGCTCGGCAGTGCGCAGTCACGGCATCGTCGACCTCTGGCAGTAATGGGATCAAGCCTGCGCATTTCTCCAGTCCGTGACCTCCAGCATCCGTGCCTTGAACGACGAGCACTTCGGGCTGGCACAGTTTCGTCGCCTCCAACGCATCCTTCACGGTCCCGACTTGAATCCAGATCTTCGTCTTGCTCTGCGTCACGCGCCTTACCGCTTCGGTCCACTTCGTAAGCTGCTGAGGCTCGGTCGGCGCAAAGAGCCAGATGGCAGCAGGCTTATAACTCTCCAGTAATGGTAGTGCATCGTCCAGAAGCTTGTCACCGGCCCAGAGCAGAAAACCTACGCCTACAGGTAGGGCAGAAGTTTCGCTCCCAAAATTTGAGGAGCTGGTCTGAAGCTGCTTCACCTTCTCCAGCTCGGCAGAGAGGATGGAAGCGTCACTGCCGGCTCCAATGAAGCCGAGTCCGCCAGCATTAGAGACCTCGAAGGCAAGCTTGGAGAGTGCTATGAGGCGCATTGGGCCACATGCCACGAGTGGCGTCCTGGTCCATGGGTAGCTTTTCTGTAGCTCAGCCATATTCGATGGGTTTGTCGTCAAGGTCCGCCGCCTTAGCAAGCCTCCATCTCTGTGAGCAGCAAGACAGATCCATCGAGCCTTGTATGTCAGCGACGTGAGCGACCTCGGAGAAGGTTGACACATCGTATTCCCGATGGGAGCTCGTCAGGCGTGCCATCGCTCTTTGCGGCGGAACCTCGGCTGCACGGCAGCACATGCGTGAATGTCCATACATATACAAGCGCACTTCTTCCACACTCTGCAGATTGATGGCAGGTCCGAGCAACGACTGCAATGGCGAATGAAGAGCTCATTACTGATCCACTGCTGCTCTCCGTCCTGGACTCCGCTGCCCAAGCACGACGACAGAGTCTAGCCATCCTTGACTTAATCGAGCGCTACCATGGCCGCGAGGGCACGCCAACCGAAGAGTCCACTCTCAACGACCAGCTTACACTCTCAAAGCAACAGAAGATCCTGAACGCCCGCCTAGCTCGACTGCGTGGTCTAAACCGGAAAGCCATCCTTGACGTGCGGGCAACGAAGCAAGAGACAGCAGAAGCGCGGCAGGAGATAGACAGTCTCCACCTGCAGCTTCAGAATCTCTATTATGAGCAGCGACATCTTCGTGGAGAGATTGCCGCGTGTGAGGACTATGAGTACGCTTCGAAACTCACCTTTTCTGAAGCTTTCACTTTCTGACCAACATCGTACAGTCACCGTTACAAGCAATTGCCGATGATACCTACGGAAGAGTTCCTTGAGCGGCACCCTGACTTCTCCGAGAGCTCGGAGCATGATTTGACCACCGCACGTATACAAGACGAGCAAGTGGAGCGGCAGAAGCTGGAGGAGGAGAGACAGCGTTTGCTTAAGCTCAAAGAAGCCTTGACGAAGGAGACCACGGCGAAGAAGGACGAACTTGGTAGACTTGATGCGGAGATCGAGAAGTGGCTAGGCGGTCAAGAGAGCGTGCGCAAGCTCTTCGAAGCCAGAGAGAAGAAGCTCGCGGCGCAAACGTAAGGATGCAGTAACTGCCGTTCGGCTTCTTATTATGACTCTATCATATCTGTATTACGACACAGCCAGGCCCTCCGGCATGCCTCTTGGTATCTCTTGCTCAACTTGGCTGCGCGCACAATACTCCGTGATCAGTCGCTGCAAGTCCATCATCTTATACGGCTTGGTCATGAAGCCCGTCATGCCCACCTGCGCCGCCCGCTCGAGCGCCCCATCCGTGACGTCGGCAGTCACGGCCAGCACGGTCGGTCGCTCCACGTCCATGCTCAGGATCTTCTCTGTGGCTTCATAGCCGTCCATCAGCGGCATCCACAGGTCCATAAGCACAACGTCAATCGGGGGGACGAGCGGCTTCTCGCTGCCATTCTTTGTGCGTTGTGTGCGGTTGAGCATCATTTGACGGACGGCTTCTGCGCCGTCATGTGCCTCGATGATGTGCTTATACCCGAGTTTGGATAGCATGTTTACAAGGAGCTTGCGGTTGATCTTGTTGTCTTCGGCGACTAGAAAGGTGAGAGGGTACTTGTTCGCAAGTTCTCGGTCAATCTCTGCGTTTGCTGCAGACTTACGAACCCTCGGCGGCTTGGGGACATGAGGCTGCTCGCTAGGTGACGGTGGTGTTGCGGTATGCTCACGCCCTGGCGGCGCGGCTAGGTTGGCAACACTCCTGGGCGACGGTGGTGTGCTTGGGTACGATTCCGCGACACTCCCGGACTGCAACGGCGGCTGAGTTATGATGTTATCGAGCGCTTGTGATAGGCGGCGAGGGCTGGCTGGGAATGGTGGGAGAGGCGGGATGTATTGGTGTTCGGCTTGCGCCATCTGCGCCTTTCGAGGCATCGGAGAGTGAAACGGCGAAGAGGGCCTGCTTATCGTCTCGCCCGCTGTAACGGGAATCTTGATCTCGAACTCGCTGCCATGATTTGGCCCTGCGGTCTCAGCTCTGGTACACATCAAGTCACCACCGAGCTTCCTGGCGATACCCTTGGCCACCATCAAGCCCAGACCAAGCCCTTCGCTGGGTCGTGTGATGGAACCATTTTCCTGCGAGAAAGGCTTGAACAGCTTTGGCAGGAATGCTGCGGGTATGCCGGGCCCATTGTCGTTGATTCTAATGCTTATGTATCGCCCACGCTGGCTCATGCGTGCCGAGCAACGCACACGTCCATGGAGGCCGTCTGTGAACTTGACAGCGTTCAGAAATACGCAGGAGATCAGTTTCGTGAGGTCCTTCTCGTCGACGAACATCGTATGTGGCACGCTCGGATCGACGCTCCACTCGATCGTCTTGTTGCTTACTGTCCCATCAGAACCTCGCGATCGCACTTCAATCAGCTCGCCAACATCTGTCTCCTGTGTCGTCGCTGAGTCCGGTCTTCCTCCCATCTTCAGGCCCTCACTGATGACGTACTGAAAAATCTCTCGCATATTAGTATGGCGTAACCCAGGTGCGATGATCCTGCTACCTTGCTGCATTGCATTCGTTGCAAACTCCACATCTTCGACAGTGGGCGCATTGACCATTGCGGTAGCTCCTTGGGTCGCCTGTGCCTGAAGCTGCTCGGCTTCATGAAGACCTTCTACGACACCCTGGCTAGGCTCCGGACCTTTCGACCAAACGGAAGAAGCTCCGTCGTATCTTGGAATCTTCGCGGAGCTAGCATTGCTTCCGGTACGTGAGTTGGCCTCTTCACGCCTTCGTTTGTTCGGTCGAGACAGAGGGAGATTGCTGCCCGCCACTAGTATCTCCGGTCGCCTGTCGTGAGCTGTTGCTGACCAAGGCGAGGCGGAGTCGATCGATTCATCATGCGCCAACAAAGGTGCAGGTTCCGGTAACGTGAGATCCATGTCAGCTGCATGAACGAAGTTGTCAGCAGCCTCGACAGCCCTTCGAGAACTATCTTGGACGACTTCGATGTTCTCTTTCAAGATCTGGAAGATCTTGCGCAATAGCGGGTCCTTTTGCGTCTCGACAGCCTCCTGTACGGTGGCATACATGACATCTAACATCCCAACAACGCCTTGCATTGGCGTACGTAGTTCGTGTGACAAACTTGGCGCATAAGGTCGCAGTGACTGTGCCATTGATACCGCTTCATGCGGAATGACCCGCGCCTTGTCTTGCGGTACGGCTGCCGGCCGTACGAAATTCGAACCCTCCAGAAAGCGCTGCAGGATGATGTCTTCGAGCGAGTGAAGCAGCATCTCGATGAAGGCCCACGACATTGCTCTCTGCGCAGCGGATTCGTTTGACCACATGACACCGAAGTGCGCAAAACATCTCCCTTCGGCAAAAAGTGGCACCGCCATGTATGCTTCAGCAGGCATAGGTAACTGATTCGGATTATTTGTGATGAAGTTGTTGAGGTTTTCTGGGATAAGGAACACCTTGTCGTGCCTCATGTAAGCACATGGGCAGCCCCAGGCTTGGAATTTGCTGTGCTTGACAGTGTTTTTCTTTCCGTCGTGGGTACAATAGTGGAAAGCAGCGGCCATCATGCAAGACCCTTGCGCGCCCAACGGAGGCATTTCGACCGCCGCCTCCTGCTCGTCGACCAGGACGCGTTTCATAATGAAGGCCATCTCGGCTCCCGTGATTGCGGACATACCCTCCGTCACCGCGGACCAGAAGTCGTCCGTTGGAAGGTCACGTACTCTGGCCTTGAGCGCAACCAGTGCTTCCAGCGCGTCGTTTTCCGACTTCGCATACAGTCTGTCAAGCTCAGGCGCAAAGTCTGAATCGCCATCCTGTATCACAGTCTGCGTTCCCGGTCTTGGGAAGCAAATGCTGCGGCGATGCATTGCGCCCACCGACGCAGCACTGCTCATGGTTAGGAATCCAGTTTGGCGACGTTATCTCGGATCTTCCTGGTTCTTCCAGTATGTCGAGAAGGTTATCGGTGTGGTCAGAGACGCAAGAACGACAGTGTCGCTGGGACCGAGTCGAGGCCCCAGATTAGGCCCGGATTCAGCTTCTAGACTGCCACAGGGGCATAGCGTAGTAGTCGGACAAGAGTCGTAGGTTTTCCGGTGCAGGGCAAATTGAAGCGCGTCCCACGACGAACACAACTGACCGCAGACGGTCTGGACGTAGGCACCGCGTTAACGGGGCGTTATTGGTCAGCAATGTACCATCGCCCCGTGCAGCGGTGACGTGAGGTTAAAAGTTCAGTATAATGTCGCCCGCTGTGGAGCAGGTGTCTGCGCATACAATATGCAGTTCATCCGCATAGTCCGCGACTTCATGAAGGGTACTCGCCATTCATTGTCGGCTTTGTTGGATTTGCGAGACTGTGCCAGCTGCGCGAAAGCGATCAGAAAGTGGGTTTCATGATGTGAGAATGGCGCTCCGTCGTAAGGTTCTAGACCAGTCCAACGGCAAGCGAGTTCCGAGACGGCAACTTATGGTTTGAGTCCGCATCCGTCTGATACTGTTTCAATCGCGCAATATCTGCGTCATGCATGAACTCTCTCGCAACAGAATATACACATGTCTACCGTAGCACGGTAAGGCCAAGTCTTAATACGGCGGGAAGTGACAAGACAGTCTGTCGCCTGAAGCGAGGTCATGGCACCGCGAAATGAAGGAAACGCTAAGCATGAAGAGGATCTTCAGGGACCCGCCACGGGCCTGTGTCTTGCCTTGTGAAACACGACGTGGGTTTCTAGAAATCTGCTTACATACAGCAGATGAAGGCCCCGAGTAAACACGCATTCTGTCCCCAATCCAACGTCTACACCGTGAAGATCACCGCTCGAAACACCACGTGCGGCGATCAAAGTCGCCATGTTCTAGAGGTGCAAGAGTCATCATGATCATGTGGCCAGGCCAGTCTGCGCGCACGCCTAAATTTCCTCAAAAGGTATCTTCGTGTGACGATCAGCGGTCTCTTTTCCGCCGCCCCAGTTGATGTGTTATGCGCCATTGAGTACATGTAGCCGACAAGCTGGTCATCTTGCCGACATCATCAGCATGAAGGCCTCTATCCCTTCATGATGGACACGTGGTGATGAGTTGGCCATTTGTGAGATTCGCCGTATTACCCTCGGCGGCGACCGACCAGCTGAGGGTTCGTGCTCTAGTATGAGATCCCAGGACGGCTACTGGCAGCCGATGGATGTTACTCAACACACATAGACGATAAGGCATTCGGTGCGTGCGAACCGCAAATCTTCGACATCTACCAACACGTGTCTGGCTGCTAGCAGGGCCCAACGACATGTCTAAATAACCATTCCAAGGGATGAACACATCCTTCACTCCCAAACTCCAAACAAATCTTATCTCTCATACATCGGTAAGCCTGAAAATCCAGACGCTTCTGCATGGCTATCATGAGTGTGAGATGGCAAAGCTGCGTCGTCCTCCGTTGGCGCAGAGGGTTGAAATAAGTTGGCAGCAATTGCATCTTCGGTGAAATCCTCGCTAGGCGGTGCTGATGCCGCAAGCTCGAGCCTGCGTTGTTGAAGATCATTCTTGTCATCATTGGCAGCGAGAACTGCAATCCGAGACGCAGGACCGGGGTCAGATTGCTCGTAAGCAGGCGCAGGCGCAGGCGCATAGGAGGCGGAGACATCTGGTTGCCTCTGTTCGGGATCGATATGCTCATTGGCTTGCGGATCAGCAACGTACCTGGACACGATATGTCCATGGACAGTACCTGCTTCCGCCCCATCTGCGCCAGGGAGAAACGGTGCAGTTGCGCCTCCAGCCACTCCGCCGGAAAACCCCGCTTCTGCACTTGGTGGCTGGCTGGGTAGCAGACGCGCTTCTGCTAGCCGTATACGCTCCTTCTCCGACATCTGCGACTCGTCTGTAAGGTGAGGCATAGGAACGGGCGGTGGAGGCTCGTCGTACGCCGTATGTTCGTGCATACCGGCACCTTCGTAAGCCTGTCCGTTGTACTCTTCCTGATAAGCGTACGGATGGTACCATCCTCCGTTATGGACCGTGTGGACTTCTTGAGTCCAGTACCCGTTCGCATCGTAGCCTTCTTCAGCAACATCAGTGCTGGGTGCTATGTACTGTTGCACTGATAAGTCGGCCTCGGGTTCTGGAGGCTGTGCTTCCATCTCAGACTCCTGCCTTCGTTTGCCTCTAAGCTTCTCGCTTTCCTTCGTGCCCACAATAACTTCGAATGAAGCCGAAATAACACTCTTATCGCGGCGAATGGGCGTCGTGTCGATTATCGCAGATCCAGAGGGTGAATAAGACGGCTCGCTGCCGTCATAATGTCCAGCCTGCGCCGGGTTGTTGGTGAGGGCCATGAGATTTGCTAATTGACGCTCTGTGCTGCCGAGTCTCCCTTGAATATCCACGACGACTTCGACAAGGTACTTGAAGTCGATCATGCCGCCAGGTACTGTACTGATCGTTGGAAAGATCTCCGCCGGTACTTGTAACCTGGCAGTTACCTCTGCAGTCAAGTTTGCAGGATTGACATACAATGGCAACGTAACCTGGGCCAGGTCTTTACGGAAGGTGTGACTTGATCCAGCGCCGGACAGGGACAAGCCGCCTAGCCCTGTCACGGACTTTGGATAGTAATCCTCGTACTTCGATTCAGACCCTTTCTCCGTCGGTCCGAGCGGTATCGCTGGGTGCATATCGACGCGAGCTTGACGGTAAAGCGTTACTATCACGCCCTTGAGGCTGCGAACCGGTTTGACATGGTCGACACTGACTCGGATGCCGACGTTGCCACCTCGCAGACACCCTCCAACGAGCGGCTCAATCACAGCTGTGATGGTTTTATCAGCAAGTGAGGTCTTACTTGCATTCAACTTGCTTATGCTACTGCCAGTTGCCGATGCCCGGTTTCGTCCGGAATCAGATGCCTGCTGGCTACTGCTGGCTGTACTGTCGAAACTTGCCTCGCTCGGAGCTGGGCTAATGTGGTCATCACTCCTGGTCCGCATGCTCGGGTTCGAAGAAAGCCTGCTCGATTGGTCTGTTTCGAGTTGGTAAGTAGACTCTGCCTTGCGGCTGCGACGCTCAGAAGGGTCCACCAGCCTGCGTGTTTGATGCTTGGTGCGTGATCGTTTTGACAGCGGCTCGAGCGTAATGGTTCGCGGTTTGGGCGGATAAAGAGTCGATATGTCGACCAAACCCAGAAAAGGGACCGTGCGGTCACACGTCATTGTCGGCGACATAGTGGTTGGCCGCGTCATGGTGGCCGTGACCATATACGATATAGCACCTCGTTCGAACTGCCGCGGTGTCAGTAAGGGTTCGGAAACAACAACATACGGTATGAAATACCTCCACGCTGCTAGGCAGGTCTTTGTCCGGAAACTGTAGTTCAAAGTTGAACTGGTATGCTCCGTCCGCCAACCTACCGTCGCCGCAGAGTACGACCTCATCCTCGAACAACGACGCGAAGCCATTGCCGAAATATTCACCGGACCTCTTTCCACGTAGAGGTCCTAGGTACCCGCCAATGCCTCGAAAACCATCTCCTGGTGAACCAGGATTGCGGTAAACCTGTGCAAAGCCATGCAAACACACTACCAGATGAGTGACGCGTGTCGGCCGGATCGCGCGCACCCTTACACTGCCGCTCACCACATCCCCTGGCCCATAGTTCTTGTACGGCTCATCGATGTCGATGTAAAAGTCAGCGATCGAGCGAGATTTGGTCGTAAATGGTGAGGCAAGCCGCGAGAAGAGGCGCCTCCCGGATAGGGAAGATGGAAGCGATAATTGCGGCGAGTGGTCAACGGAAGGTGTCATGCTCTCGCTTTGTCAAGTGCATCTGGCCTGTCGGGTAAGCGCAGTGCATCGGTAAACTGCAGGCACTTTATCTCGTATGGCGCCGCAGCTGAAGCGCGTCAAGCATGAGGTCGGTTCGCGTGACCGTGTCGGCGGAAGCGTCGAAGTCTGTTGGCGGCTATATTGCAGCATGGTCAGCTGACATGGCCGCGATCAAATTACGCATATAGTGGGTGTGTAGAGGGTCGATGTATGGATGCCGGGACGGTGAGCGTGCAGTGAGGCAGTGCAGCGAGCGACGAAGCGGGCAGATGGGGGGCAGATCGCGCGACGGTATTGTGGCCGCATGATCAGCCTAGAATGCTATTGTCTCTCGCTGGCGAAGCCTAATTGCGGCAGCGACGCTCATCTCCTTGTTGCTCCGCGGTCGTCTCAAAGGACTACGTTCACTCACCAGAAGGCCGGCGTATGCGGCGATGCGTGCTTGGCAGAGACGGTGCTTGGCGAGCTTGAACGCGAAAGGCTCATGCTTAAAGCGGAGGCGGCGCTTACGTGATTGACTCACCCTTGTGCGGCAGCTCGGCTACAGATACCGCCACCTTTCGTAGTAGGATTAGGTTAGGTGTGGTGTCACTACTTGGTTCAAGACGCTTCTACTGAAACGACGAGAACCAATGGCGGTGGCTTTCGAGCGGTGCAGAACGTTTCGGGCATCGAGTGGAACATCGAACAGGCTCTGTAAACACTTTGGCCAGTTACGTCGTGTCAAACGGCGTACCGCTAGGGAAGTAGCTTGCTACGACCGTGCGGTGGTTGTTGGTGATAGTGATGCCAGAAGAGACGCTGGAAATGATATCGTTCAAAGAACGGTGAGAACCACGAGCTTAGTTGCCACGGCTGCGACGGTGTCTATCATCACGCCCGAGGTTCATACCACGGCGGGGCGGATATCGACCGAACCTCGTCTCGTCATGAAATCCGGAACTCTTTCGTCCATTGCGAGAGTGTCACGTAAGCCTTGCTTGCCGGTTTCGCATACGGTCACGATTGCTGCGAAATTTAGAATAACTGCATCGGTGTTCACAGAGTCAATACAGGCACGGACACAAGCGCACTCGCAGCCTGAGTCTGAAAGTCGCACAGAGCCTGGCATGCAGACGGATCAGCTTACAGCTCGCTCGGATTGCTGCCTGCCTAATACCAAGCGAGCTCTAAGCTCTGCGTACATAGGGAGCTGGAAGCCTCACGTAGCCGATCTTGGAGCAACCGCAGGTCTGCAAAGTCAGCCTGACAATCAGGCGTCCTGCCTTGCCGTCACCGACCTTGGCAATGGCTGAGAGCTCTTTGATACAAAGAAGTCATTATGCCATCCATCACTGCGATTGCGACCGAGCTTGCCTCGCAGCGATTTGACTGTAGCTCTTTGACCGAAGCAGAGCGTCTTGATCAACTTCGTTGCAAAAGGCTTGGTTTGGGGATTGTTCTCTCCGCTACTATGGCAGGCTCCAAGCTTCTTGCTGCTCTGACATGGCTGCTGCGTCTGGTGTCAGCCGGTTCCCTAATCACGCAAACACCTCTCAACGTAACCGTTTCGTCAGCGGAGCATAACAAGTCAATTTTTCAATGCTGGCAGATGCTCACACCTCCCATCAGTACGCAAATTAATCAAGGCGTTGGCGGGTTCCTCGAGACGCAGTAAGCGGAGCAACTTGTAGTCCCCTTCGCGTTGTCCAAGATAAAGCTGACACCCTCGCCTGTGGGTCACAGACCACTGGGCGGCGTTTCGTCCTTCAGTCTCAGTGCCATTCCCGCAAATATGAGTTTGGGCTCGCATGTAGCACCGGCGAAGCAGTAATCCACCCGTTTCATCGTCTGCTTCCCAGGATCGCTGATTTCTCGTGTGAAGATGGTCTATCGTCCTGTCCGGGTCGATTCTCGCTTATCTCCCGAACAAGACCGACATAAGCCAGGCAGTGTTCGTGGCCGCTGGCGCCAACAGTGTGCTTTTTAGCGACGATACAGCGGACGTGAGCTCGGACGGGCATGTAACACTCGCAGTGGAAGAGACGGTGTTGCTGCAAATCCCAACGGCGAACGGTACGGTGCCGCCGCACAAAGTGCTTCACAACGGACCGTGTGCTGGCCAGGAGTTGCTGAGTTGACGAGACTTCATGGAAAAAGCCTGACACCATGGCAGGTGATGTTGTTGACGTAGCTCTACAGCCGTTGGCGGTGAGAAAGTCTTCTACAGAAAAGGACGACAAAACGCTGGTTCGATTGCTTTGCTGTACAATGTTTCTTGAGATAGTCAACTGCGGGCCACTCTTCCGGGAGCCTTCACACGTGACACTCAGACACAGTACTTGATGCGCCTAAGGTGTGGAAATCCTGAGTGGCCAGACTATCCTACCATGTTAGTCCTTGAACATACAGGGTGGGTAAGTCAAATAGGGGAGGTACACATTAGACACTCCCGGTTCGGTGGGCCCATTTGATAGCGTATGAGAGAGCATGACCAAACAGAGGGCGGACCCAGAAGATCAAGATACCACCCCCAGGATAAGCGTCAACTTGAGGAATAGTATGTGGTGAGCTTTCCGGCGCACAGAAAGTCCATCGATGGGGCGGCGACAACTTCCGTATGCATCCTGGGCCAAGTTGAAGCCTGGCGACCGGGATGATTGAGAGGCCGCGTGAGGCTGAGCTGCGCTCGCTTCTTGTTTGCTTCCACCACAAGCTACAAGGCTGCCATTTACCCACGTTCTGACGTTCTCTGCTTGTAAGTCTGACATTATCTTATTGTTGGGTGCCGTCAACATGATTTCGTGATTTCGATGTGCCTGTAGATGTGATAATGGTGATGAGAGTATGCTGTTGGGACGACTTTGACAACCAAGTACTGAAGACGTATCATTTCGGTGTGACGGCTGCGTAATGAGGAGCGCTACACATGCGCATTGGAGACAGACGTTGATTGTGTCTCACCGTTCACCAAGCAGAATCACCCACAAGCCTACACCACACGCTGCAAGCATATCGAAGACTACGAACGCCACTCAGCAGCAAGAAAGACCAGAGCCGTCCATCACCAAGCGCCACCAAGGCTCCGCAGATATGGGCGACCCTCTCACCGGAGCAATCATCGACGCAGCCGCCGAGGAGCTGGCCGCGCACAGCCAGGCGGCTTCTGATCGCCTTGAGGCCGCTGCTGCTCAGTTAGCGATACAGGGCCGTATATCCGCCGATGCACTGAGTGCGGTTACATCGCAAGCCGATCAAGCTCAGCAGCGCCTGTGTATAGAGAGCGCTGCAGCTACCAAAGAGATAAGTGCCGCTCGTCAACAGTTGCAGGCGGCGAGAGCTGCTTTGGCTGCTGAGCGAGCGGCAACTGCGAAGCAACTTGAGGCGGCGGCGCAAAGGGTTGAGCTTGCCGCCGAGCGAGCGGAGGCTGCTGCGAGGTTAGCTCAAGGGCCAGTAAACACACCGGAGGAGGTGCGACGCCATGACAAAAGCGCTGGCCCAGCCATTCAGGAGCCTACTCCTCCGACGGAACGGTACGTAGGGTCTCTGGATGAGAAACGGTACACGCACGGTGCCGCCTCCCCTCGGCCAAATCATGCTCTCTACGTCAGTGCAGCCGGTACATTGCTGGCCGGAGCCGGGCTGCCGACCTTCACCTTACCTGTTCACTCAGACGTGTCCGATTCGGAAAACGGCAGAGCAACTGCAGAGCTCGCACGTAGGTCGACGGTGTCGAATCGATCGAATATCACCATCTGCGACCGCAGCGACTTGGATGTCGTCAACTGCTCGAACGCAGATATTGTTCGGTGCTCGAATGTGGACATCTCAAACTGTTCCAATCTCGAAATAAAGCATTCTTTACACGCTGTTTTCACGAACTGCTCGAACGTGGATCTTTACGACTGTACGCGCGTAAAGTTTACCGATTGTTCCAACGTGGACTTATACAACTGCCATGATATCGAGACAAGCGACTGCTCGAACGTGGACAGCCATGGAGGCTCGAACGTAGGGGCCTCTTCCACCGCAGCGGACAGTAATGTATTTATATCCCCAGTGGCTCCTTGGGGTTCCAATATATCTGTTGCGCGCAACGTCGCGGCCAGTAAGAGCGCGACGGCTACCCAGATGACCATTGGCGGACAAAATGGCGTATATGTTGGTCCTAATGGTGTGTCGATAGGCGGGCCCAGTGGAGTCCGAGTGAGCCCCAGTGGCATCACGGTAGGCGGACAGAATGGCGTCGTGCTGGGCTTGAGTGGTATACACATTGGTGGTTCATCGGGTATCAATATCGGCCCCAGAGGGATTTCGATTGGTGGGGCGAATGGCCTCCGCATTGGACGAAGCGGTATCATCGTCGGACAAAGGCGTGAGACTCATACTGAGGGGGAAGTGCAGCAACACGAGCCTGTTGGAAAGAGCCTGCGGCACGATCACACTATTGGTGAGATGGTGGAGCATAATGAAGGGTTCGATAGAAAGGTGCAGCACCATGATGATGCTGATAAGCAGATGCACCAGGGCGAGCCCGGGTTGCCTCCTCCGTATGTATAGGGAGAATATAAGCATTACGGTGGTAGTAAGAATATGTGTTAGCTTGTGGGACATGATGTTACACTCGATGAAGCATTGCTGAACGCGTAATGCGTGATGACACCGTAACCGACAGGGAACGTGAGCTTGCGCCGAAGTAAATGGAAGACATTGGTGCCTTAGGCTTAAAGTTTGTCATTCCGAGGTGTTTGTCCGTCACCAGAAAGCGAGTTTCAACACTCGATACAGACCCCACCATAGGTAAATCAGATCTCCAGAACACAATCATTCAGTATAATAAGCCGTAGCCAAACTCGCTGGCACCGTTGTCTCTAATCTGCCCCAATCTTTCTATACCTCTACAAGACACACTGCGACCTGTTGAGCCATCAATCACTTCCCCCACCCCACCACGCCATGGCACAAACGGCACCTACCAGCGCACCGTCCGGGCGCGGACCCCAAGGAGACTCCAGAGGCCGAGGTAGGGGCCGAGGTGGACATACGAGAGGCGCGTTAAGCAGCGGCGGGCCGGCTATGATGAGTCTACCGAGCGAGCGCGGCGAGGAGCGAGCACGAGGTGACTTTCAAGGTCGCGGACGAGGCAGAGGACGAGGGCGCGGAGGCCGTGGGAACAGAGACCGTGCTCATTCACACGTTCAGACAACGATGATCGTGGGTGAACAAGATCCAACGACAGCTCAGCCACCACCGCTACCTGGAGGCGCCGGCGTCTTTGGTGGTCGCCTGACCGAAGACGCCGAGAATAAGACTTCAGGTGAAGAGATGCGAGGCATCGCTACGGAGAGGGAGGCTGGTGAAGAAGAAGCGGAAGTGTGTTTCATCTGCGCCTCTCCCATCGACCACCAAAGTGTAGCACCTTGCAACCACCGCACATGTCACATCTGTGCCCTCCGCCTCAGAGCACTATACAAGACGAAAGCATGTGCGCACTGTCGCACGGAAGCCGCCACAGTCATCTTTACGGACGAACCCGAAAAGCGATTCGAAGATTACGAGGAGAAGGATTTCTTCCGCAAGGACGCCAATCTCGGCATCAGTTACGAGAAGCCAGAGATCTTCGAAGACACTGTGCTTCTATTGCGCTATAACTGCCCAGATTCAGGCTGCGACGTAGCTTGTATGGGCTGGCCAGATCTACACCGCCATGTTCGCAGTGTACATCAGAAAGTCATGTGCGATCTTTGCACGCGGAACAAGAAGGTATTCACGCATGAGCACGAGCTCTTCACGAAGGAGGAGCTTCGCAAGCATGAGCGGTACGGTGACGACAATCCTGGTGCTGTCGATCAAAGTGGCTTCAAAGGCCATCCGGAGTGCGGCTTCTGCAGGCAGAGATTCTATGGTGAAGACGAGCTCTATGCGCATTGCAGAGACAAGCATGAGCGCTGCCATTTGTGCGATCGAAGGTCGAACGGTCACAATCCGCAGTACTACGTCAACTACGATGCACTTGAGCAGCACTTCACTCGCGATCACTACCCTTGTATGGACCAGGAGTGCATGGAGAAGAAGTTCGTAGTCTTCGACTCGGCGATGGATCTAAAAGCGCATCAGTTGGAACAGCACCCCAATGGCTTGTCGAAGAGCAGAGATGCGAGGCGAGTAGACCTTTCTAACTTCGACTACAGACCGCAATATCAAGAAGAGCGCCGAGGCAACCGGCGTAGTGGTAGAGGTAGAGATCCAAACATGGAGCCTATGCCGGCACCATCTGGAGCCCACTTGAGCCGTGCCGAGCTTGCGCATCAGCGTGAGCGCGAGGTTCAGAGTGCGCAGTCTGTTACGAGCCGGACCTTCGGCGGACGACTGACGCAGCAAGAACCGCAAACGCAGACAGTGCAGCGGCCACCCCAAAGTCCACGTACTGACGCTGCGCTACCTTCCGACGCAGCCTTGCACGATCGACCACCGGTCAGCACGCCAACTTCGCCACGTCCAGCCGAAGCGCTCACGCCACAAGAGCAAGCTCGTCGTTTACGCCATGCAGCCGTGATCGAGCGCGCCGCCAACCTTCTGCACAATGACCAGGTGAAGAACGCAGAGTTTCGTGAGCGCATCTCCGCTTTTCGCACTGACCGCATCGTGGCTGGCGATCTGATTGACGCCTTCTTCGCGCTCTTCGATACATCCTCCGCCGAACTCGGCAAGCTCATCAAGGAGCTTGCAGACATCTTCGAGATCCCTGGCAAGCGTGATTCGCTTCTTAAAGCCTGGGCGGATTGGAAAGCCATCAACGAAGACTACCCGACACTTCCTGGACCAGCCGGCGCGAACGTGACAACCGCCGCAGGTGTGCTAGGACAAGGTGTTGGCGCAAGCAGGGTGCTCAAGCTGAAGAGCTCAACGGCGCAGAGCGGACGCAGCGTGAACGCTACACCTCGAACATGGACCACAGCGGCCGGTTCACATGCTCGTGCTTCCGCTGCAGGACCGTCCTTTCCGTCTTTGCCTCTGAACCGTAACGGCACGTCAGGTCATGCCAGTCCAGCGCCAACGCCAGGCTGGCTAGCTCTGCGACCTGCGAATGGCGCATCTAACTCGAGCTCAACCCGACCTTCTCCCACCCCGTCGCGCACTCAGTCGTCAGCCAACTTAGCTCGCGGCGGCCATGCATTCCCTGCGCTACCTGCGGCGAAAAAGCCAACCTCTGCGATCTTTAGCCCCGGCTACACTGGCGCTGGCGTTATTAGAACTAACGCCAACTTTCCGGTAAATGCTTGGAACGCGCAGACGGCGGCAGCTGAGGAGGGTGTGGCGGAGATTGGGGCTAATGGTGAAGCAGACGCGGGTGCAGGGAAGGGTAAGGGAAGGAAGAAGAAACAGGTCGTGCTGCAATGGGGATGATATACTTGGTTACATCGCGGACGATTCCAAAAATGTGGTTAGCGAGGCGTTGTTGGCTTACATCGCATAGTCTCCGGTATGCAAATCTACAAAAAAGTTCCATACACAAAGCGCTCTAGCTTTCGTGAGACGCTCTCTTGCACATGAAGTGGCTTAGCACCTGGCACTGAGTCTTGAGGTGTCGACCAAATAAGACCTTCAAAGCCACAATCTTGCGGACCTGTACATCATGATTAAGCTATTAACAAGCGCTCTGTGGTCCCCGTAGAGATTATGTGCTGCAGGGTTGTCACTTGAAGACCTTGCGGCACGTTAGAGTATCGGACAAACGCCGCCCTTTTGCCGCCGTCTGGCCATTTTCCAAACCACCCTTTTTCCATATCCGACGCAATGCATGGAAACCGAATCACCCTATTACGACCAGAACGCCGTTTGCCCGCTTGCTGTCCGAACCAAGAAGCCGAGAATGTATAGGTTGTAAATACTAGCCATGTGCCAAAAGCGCGCCGCTTCGCACCATGTACATCCTCAACACGAATTTAACGCTTGAATTACTCCGTCGTCGAATACAACTCGGTCAGAGCGGGCTCCATACCGGCTCTGGTCTCCTTCTTACGCCAGCCGAACTTTTTCTCGGTCCGTTTCTTCGCCATCTCAGCCCAGTCTTCCTCCTCATCACCTTCAGCGTTGACCGGCCGAGTCGTCACCTTCGCCGCACCCTTCGGCTTGTCAACAATACGGATGGTCGACTTCGGCAGAGGCTCCTGACTTCTTGATCGCGGCTCGTTGGACAAGGCCTGCAGTGTCATCGACGAGTCTAAACTTTGGGAACGTCCGGTCAACGTTGCGCCATCGTTGGCAGGCGTCACCGGGCGGTACCTGGAAGGCATGCCGATGTTGCTGCGCTCGCTAGGCGCAAGAGAAGGCGCGTAACCTGGACTTGGAGCCGGAATGTTGAGCCCAGACTGCGGGTAGCCGCTCGGCATCGCGCTCATAGGGCGTTGCTGGCTCCTGCCCAGATCCCACTGCGAAGGCGGACTCATCATCGTCATCGCACGGCCGTGGCCGGGCGGCATGCCCTGGAAAGAGGCCGCGTGGCTCATGACGGACATCGGTCTTTGCTGCGGCAGTGGCACGCCGAGGTAGTCCGTGGCTGGTGTTATCTGTTGGGGAGTGTTGTTCTGGCTGAACTGCTGCTGTTGCATCGCCATCATATTCTGCATCCATTGCATTTGCATCTGCATGAACTGCTGCATCTGCTGTTGAGTCGGGTCCATGGACGGCATCATCATCTGTGGCATTCCCGCCATCATCGGCATACCCGGCGTGTATCCGCTCGGCGAGTAGACCTGCGGATTAGCCGTGCTGCCCATGCTCATGGTGCGAGGCATCCCAGGCATCTGTTGAGGTGCATTGGCTGGCATGGGTGTGTTGTAGGTGCCTGTGACAGGATTAGGACTCCCTCTTCGAGAAGCCTTGGCACGCTCTTCGCTCGCAATGACACCGACAAGCCCGCCGTGATGTTGCTGCTGGGGTGGCATGGGAGACGTCGCACCTCCATAGACTGATCCTGCCGTGCTGAAAGCTAGTGACTCACGGTGTGACTGATTTACCAGGCTTGCGCCGAAGTATGGATCAGCGGGCAACCTCCGGGCGAAGGGAGGGAGACTGCCTTGCCCTGCACCACCGTTGACGACCGAGCCGGCCACGGATGGTCTATGCTGAGCATCGTTGGCCATCTGACGTGTAGGCGGTCGACTGGCACTCGGGAAGCCATGCGCTTGCAGGATGCCAAGCGGAACGTCGTCGTCCTCTTCTTCAGTTTGCTTTCCGCGAACTGTCTCCGGAGGCGGCGTTCCGCCTATGCCGCCGAAATGCAACATTGCCATGTTAGTCGCCGGGGGCGCGCTATTCGAGGCACGCTCCATAGATGATCGAACTATGGGAAGATCTGCCGGTCCGCCACCAGTGACTTTCTTCATCTGCTGGCGGTAGACAGACATGTTAGCCAGCTGCTGCCTTCTCTGCCGGGTAACAAGCTTTGCGCGCTCCTCCTCGTCCACGTCCTCATCTTCATCATGCTCGTGCACCTCGTCTTCGCTATTCTCAAGGCTGCTGTTACCACTCCTCTGCAGAGCCTGGAATTGAGCTGTTGTCATCCTTCTCATAGCGCCACTGTCAGTTCGCTCATGGCCGGGCCTGAGAGCGTGACTCGCTGGTCCGAGTGGTGACGAATCGAATAGCGACTCATCATGGGAGCCGTTGACCGCGAGCTTCGCTGCTCGAGGCGTGGTGGAGTTGGAAGAGAGGACTGAGGGCCCGGTCTCAACGTTTGGGCTGTTGTTGACCGATCTGGTTGCACCTGGCATCGCTTGCGGCCGGCTGAGGATCTGTGTTCGCTTAGAGCCAGCATCTGAGGATTGGAAAGAGAACTTGGAAGAAGTCTCTTCCTCTGTGTTGTTCGTCTCTACCTTCCTTAACGTCTCGTTGCCGTTCGGTAGCTGTAGCACCCCGTTTCCATACACATGTTCCTCCTCTGCAGTCCACGGAGCCTCGCTGTCATACGATGACCGCTCCAAACTGGGGGATGTCTTCCGCTCGGGTACAAGAGAATAGCCACCTGTCACCTTCCCAAGGAAAGCGGTGGTTAGTCCACTCGTATGTGCAGGTGGAGTGGGCGCATCATCTTCCGTTCTGGGAGAGCTGAGACCTGAGCCAGCAATCAAACGTTCGTGGATGTCGTGCTCTTCGGACGAGAGAGGCGAGCCAGCATCATCCCTCGGGCTCCTCGGTATGTTCGGTGAAGGGGTCATCAACTTTCTGTTGAACGCTCGCGGTGGGAATGTGGGTTCGCTCTCCTGCTTGATGTCAGTGAGCAAACCACAAAAAGCGTCGTGCAGGACGTACTGTTCGATGGAAGATGCTGGGAGCGACAGGTGACGGCAGCCCAAGTTCGTCCCTGCTGTGATTGGCGCTTCTGCCGAGACCACTGAACAGATTGCCAAAGTCATCTCCGAAATTGGAAGCACCTAGGTTGAGATCAAGGTCGTGTCGGGGCGGCTTGGCGGTGCTAGCATAGCTACTAGAGGTCATTGACCGGTCACGCTGTGCTGTGTGAGTAGACTCCGGGCTTCTAGGAACACCATTGCCAGAACTGAGAGCTGGCGGTGGATCTCTCGATGCGGTGGAGTTGTTTCGGGCATGCTTCTGAGCGAAAGAGAATGCTCGCGCAGCGCGAGAAGTGAATGATGGTGGCGGCGGCAGTGGGTCGTTGTCGTCTGCGCCGCTGGGATTGTGCATTGGCACGGTTGGTGCTTTGCGCGGGAAAAGCTCATCGTTCTCTGGTTCCCGCTCTGGTTCTATTGAAGACGGTAGCGTAGACGACGAGCTGTGCCGTGCAGACGCTGCCGACGAATCGTAGTATCTGCTGGAGTCGGAGTTGGTCGTGCCGCCGCTTCCTCTGCCAGCCTTTAGCGTCCCGTCTGGTCGTTGGGGCCTCAGATCGTCAACGCACCTGTTGAGCCCAGAGCCGGACCCATCCGCAGACCCTCTCCGCAACTGCTCAAGCGGCGATTGAAAGGGGCGCTGAGGGGTCCCGCTTCTTGCAGAGGGACCTTCGAATGCGTGTTGAGCTTTCTGGGGCCTGTCGAGAACACGAAAGGATGACTGCGCCGGCTGAGGCGACTCGTTCTGATCTGAGGAAGCAAGATCGAGTGCGTTCTGGCTTGACCGGCGCTTGAACAGCTTCAGGTTCGGCATATGCGCGGCTTGGGAATATGTCTACTCTTATAGTAACATCGCAGTGCCACGGTTGTAGGTTCGCCGGAGTCTGCGCAGTGCTGCCCTGTCGCTTCCAGAAGTACGAGACCGGTTCTATAATTCCTACAGTCCCGTAATAATATGTATTGTATGAATTATTGACGAGCAGTGGAACGATGTGTATGCTTTCCACTGCCTACGTCGATTGTCCTGGGGCCGTGAGTCTCGTAAGATGTGATGTAGTAGAGGGAGTATGTTGTGCAAAGACAGACTGTGAATGGAGTGGATGTGCTAGCCCCGAAAATGGGAGTCTCACTAGAACAAGGTTGGTTCCAATGACCAGATTTAGCGGCTCGCACGCAACGGAGAGGCGGGGAGCGGCCGTTGCAGCGCCTTCCCTGTGCTTCCACTTTTCGCGAAGTTACTTAATGGAAATACAATGCAATGTAGTCGCAGACTGCCGGATACCTCCTGATGGCTTGAAGAAGAGTCCGCGTCTGCGGACTTTCAGGAGACGTCCTACCATTCGCCATGACTTCGATCGACATGTCGAGTCATCAGGGGACTCGAGCTTGCCTTCACACGGCCGAAGTTTGTACCTTGAGGCTTGAGTACGAGCGCTCAGGCCCAAAGCGTTTCCTAAGCATCAGGGGCGTGGAAAGGCGCCGGTGGGCGTGTGAGACGACGCTTGCTCTAATTCGCCGATTTGCCTCCCCAGCTGTGGCGCGCGCAGTTCGGTTTGCATCCGACCACCAGCCTCACGCGCTCGCCGCTGGCAAACCGTGGCATTTCTGCGGTTTAGTCTGAAACTGTGGTGGGTGGGACGCGTCATGCGCTGACAAGCTCATCATCGTGCACATCAAGCGTTCTATGTCTTACATCCATGGAGTCAGATCGCTCTCACGCGCTTTTAATGAGGACTCGATTTCCACGAAGTAAGCTTAGAATCGGTCGCATACAACATGCACGAGCGCCTCATTTATCTCAAAGTAGCATGTGCGAGATCGACAACGCGTGGAAACGCCAACCCCGAATCCGATTTCGCTATTGACAGGGAAGAAGGGAAGAGTATACGATCATGTCCACCATCGTCATCGCTTCCAAAACGGCTCCGTCTCACAACGTTTCCATTCTCAAAACATTCCATCGTTGCCAACGACCCTACCGTCTACCAATGCGACCGAGAGTACGGATTCAATAATAAATGTAGCGTGCATACATGTAAACCAGAAGGCGAGCTAACGCATCCCCATCGCATGTAGCTGGACAAGGTTCACGGCTTTTCCGCCAACCACCCCTCTTCGCCTCCCTGCTTTTTGAACCCCTCTAACCACTCTTGCTCGATGCTGTGCAGTGTGACTTGGCATCCATTACCTATTCCATCTATAAGTGGCGGGAGAAGCTACATCACACCCACATACCTCAAGCTGCTGAATCATCATTCATGGCTGGTTCCGGGCTTAAGGATGTCGCACTTCAAGGCTTCGACAAGAGTGGCGACTATGATCTCCACAGGCCCACGTACAGTACGACTGCTGTTCAGGAGTTGTTAGAGCAGTGTCGGGTCTCCGGCATAAAACGAGCCAGAGTCTGCGACTTGGCCGCAGGAACCGGCAAGTTCACTGAAGCTCTACTTAAACAACGTGACGAGCAATATGAGATCATCGCGATTGAGCCTCACGATGGCATGCGCGAGATTCTTGGGAAAAAGCAGATTCCCCATGTGGCAGTCCTGCCCGGCACGGCTGAACACATGCCGCTTGAGGATGAGAGTGTAGATGTCGTAATTGTTGCACAGGTAGGTTGCATAACCGCTCACACTCACTCTATTCGTGTCTTTCTGCTTCCTTTTTGTGCCAAGTGAAGAGGCTAGAACGGAGGAGTACTAAGTGCGCGCAGGCTTTTCACTGGTTTGCCACCAAAGAAGCGCTGCGAGAGATCCATCGCGTACTGAAACCCCATGGCTGCTTCGGCATGATTTGGAACATAGAAGATTATAACGCACCGCAGGACCACAAAGCAACGACAGAGTGGGAAGGGAAGGTGCATGCTCTGACTTGGACCTTCTACGACAACGAGCCGCGCTTTCGGCACCAAGCATGGCGCAAAGTCTTCGAGGACCAGAGCAAGTCTTCTCCTCTCGATTTGATTAGGGCGAAGGAGCAGCTGTTCGCGCTACCGCTCGGTGAGCATGTGGAGGCTTTCGAGACGTGGCTGCCGAAGGAGGATGTTTGGAAGAGATATAGCACGATATCACATATTTCTGTGCTCAAGGGCGAGGAGCGTGAGGTATGACACACAATTTCATCTTGTGCCCTCAAACCTACTAACTGTTTCGTGACAGAGAACACATCAGACAGTTATCGATGCCTTGAATAGTCCCGAGGTAGAGACGAATGAGCGCGGCGAGGTCGCCGTGCATGGCAAGACATATGTCGTATGGACCTCGAAGATTCCAGAGGACGGCCGTGCATCCCTGACGAATGTTGAGCGGCCGGGCGCTTGAGCAACTGTCAATGTGCCGAGATGGCGTTGAGGCAGAGAGCTTCAGTCCACCCTAATCAAGGCTGAACCGCACTCGCCATGGCCCTGAGGAAGAATATCGGCGACGCTTTATCGCGGCATCTCCGAATGAATCCTAAACAGATGATATCGTGGCTCGGGCACCGCTCATGAGTCTGCGCTGATATACATAACTGGGTAACGTTAGCGGCCTATAGCAATGCAGATAGCCAGCGAGGAAGTACCGTTGTTGCCTCTCACGAAAGCATCTCCGTAGCTGCGTCTCAGCTTTCCGTCGACATACTCCTTGGTCTGTTCGAGTGCAATGTTCATGTAGCCATCAACAGACTGCAGTTCGCCTAAGCGGGGTCAGCTTCAATGTTTTCGTATCGCACAAGAAGAGCCCTCACCTTTGTACACAACACCACTATTGAGCTTCACAGTGACGGGCGCTCCAATGATCTCGCTGAGGAAGCCTGATGGGTCACGAGCATCCGCTGCCCCATTCGGTACTGCCGCTGACCCGCTCATTGCTGTTGTAAGGGAAGGAGATGACTGATTGCGGTTCGTAGACAGTCTTGGTGCAGAAATGGTCTCGTGACTCCGCGCAAAGCGGGGGGGCCGTGCACAAACTATGAATCTCTAAAGTGAACGCGTCTATCGAACTTCAATGTAATTCCTCCCAATAGACAGGCTTCGCCGTATGCGACCTTGAGCTGCGCGCAACGTTGAACCCTCGCACTCCAGCGGCGAGCGAGATGTCGCTCTTCGACCGGCCAGCATGGGCTAGTACGCAGAGTGCCGACGACAATGACACCAGCATCTTCAACCACTCTAGTCACTCATACGCAGCCATCGTGGCGGATGAGCAGCGCAGAAAGAGGCAGCGAGTCGAGAAGCACAGGGCGAAGCAAGAGCGGAAAGAGCGGAAGAGCTCATGCAAATATGATGCTGAGGAGGTTGAGCCGATCACTAAGAGTGAGGGTATGAAGCGACGGCGCATTACGCTTGAAGAAGGCGAGGATCTGCTCGATAGTGTCGGCATGTCACTGGACAAACCTAAGCGCTACTGCGGCGATGACGAAGTCGGCGAAAGTGAGACCGGCGATATCAGCAAGCGGCGCTCACCCAGGCTGCATAAGGTGGTCAACAGAGATGAAGCGCGCACGATAAAGCTTGCAACGCCTCCACAACCGGCAGTTGTGGAGATTCGTGACGATGATGGCAAGGTGAAGCTCAGCCATGTCCGGACCGTCTGCCCAGACGAAGAGGAGTCTGACGATGACTTGGCCGAACTCGCCCGGCAAGCTCGAGCACGGAAACGTTTGCGAGACGAGTCTGTGAAGAAGTCTGAGACGCCTGAGGTGCGTGGGCCTACGCCGGCACAGAGTGGCGTTGATCGCAACGAAGCAGCATCCTTGACGCCAGCACCTTTGACACCACCCAAAGCGGACCCGACCATCAAGCTCTTCATCACCTCAGAAATACCTAACACCAAACCGCTGATGGTTTACCGCAAGCTCTCGCAAAGGCTGCAGGAGATACGCGAAGTCTGGTGCAAGAGGCAGGACTTCACGCCAGAGATGGCTGCCCAAGTGTTTCTAACCTACCGGCTACGCAAGTTATTCGACGTAACGACTTGCAAGAGCCTAGGTCTGGTTGTAGACGCTGAGGGAAACGTCTCCATGAGGGGTGCTGAGGGAGTCGATGGCGTCGATCAGGTGCACCTGGAAGTGGTCACGGACGAGATTCTTGCCCGGCTCAAGCGTGAAAAGCAGCGTGAGGAGAGCACCCAACCAATCGATCCGGAGCAAAAGGACGATACCGGAGGCGGAGCTCTACAGCAACAGCCAACTGACAAAACCCAAGAATATCGGATCCTGCTGAAAGCCAAGGGCGCGGAGCCTTTCAAGATAAAGGTCAAGGCCGTACGTTTAACGAAGTGTATGATGCTATTCTCGTGCTAACGATGCTACAGTCCACGTCAATACTGAAGATTGTGACTGCCTGCAGAGCTCACTTTGACGTGCAGAAGCCACGAAGTCTGCATTTGGACTTCGACGGCGAGATGTTAGACCCTGAACAAACCGTCGCGGAGACAGAAGTTGCCGATATGGATTGCATCGATGTACATATCGGCTGATTACCTTACCCTGCGACAGCCTACAGACAGTCTCCAGGATTGTTGATGACAGCAATGACCGACAGATGAACGTACGAAATCCCACAACGTCGATACGGAACCCATTTCAAAACGCAAAGCTTCGAAACACTCACATATAGCGCCGACATGCCAGCGTAAAGCTGCTAGGCGTTGGAGAGGGTAGCCCAATCACCCGATCCTGGCAGCCAAGGTACCAATTCTTCAAGCATGTGCACAAGACTGCAGCCTTCGGCCCGCTCCACATGCAGGTTGTTGAGCCTCATCTCACACCATGTTTCCAGTCTGCGTCATAATATACCCAAGCAATCATCGACTAGTACGCTGCAGCTTGACGGTTAGCGGGCGTTGGGCGTTGACGTGGCAAATCGCAGCCCAATGGTAAAATTTGGCTGACGTACAGCTGGTTGAGCGTCCGTAATATGTATTTCGGCCGTCAGGACAGAAGCCCGAAAAATCTGAGGCTGGGCCGATGCGCAAGGTAAGTCGAGTGTCTCATTCTCTGCGCAGTAGATGTCGCCCCGACGGGGCACCTGAGGAGATGCTCACTCACGGAAGCCATATGAATGTCGGCGCTCGTCGTAGGCCCACTGCTGTACGGTGAGGATCTTAGATCTGTGCTACGCTGTTGCTTCGTCTCCCTTTCATGAGGTGCGGTTGTACGAACGTCGTCCGAAGTCGGAATGCCGAGTGTCCACGCACACAACAGAATCCGGCTTCCAGCATGAGGAATGTTTTACCTCTGCTGCCATGTGCTGCAGTGTGTCTCAGTTCACAACTCACTTCGACACCCTCATAATTGTTGCGGATCGGTTGCATAGGTGTATCGCAACCTGCTGCCGCAGGTGGAATCGGTGAATCATCGCCACAGCAACCGAGAGACCAATTTGAGCAACCTCCAACAACGTCTGCCCAAGTCCTGTGCAACCAGGCGGCGAACGACACCGCTACGATACCCAAGGCGGCACTTTTGTTGCTCTAGTGTAGTTCTGCTCCCTCCATCGCATACCCTTCAGAGTCCAGCGGGCCTACTGCGGGCTACTGCAAGCCATTGTTTCTGCCCAACCCGCGGCACGGCTCAGGTACGGGCATGAAGAGCCATTTCAATATTATCGTCGGTGATCTCTCTCGGATTGATGCTGACTCTAGCAGGAGCGATCACGAAGGTTCAAGACATTCTGGCAGCAGACCTGGGGGAAATTGCACTCAACGCCTACCAAGAAGATACGTACCCGGGATCTGAAGAACACCCCGCCATTCTGCATACCACCTTTAGCTGCATACCAGCTGCAGTGTGCGGTCACCAAGCAAATTGGGGAGGCGACGAACTTCCGAACAAACGAATAGCAAAACGCTTCTTGACTGCAGAAGTCATTGTCTCACGACGCGCTTCAGGATAGTGTTTGAGCGTCACTGCCTTTGAGACTTCGAGACTAGGAGGGGTAAGCGCTCCCGTTGACAATCAGCGCTTCCGTCTTGTCTCACTCGAGCCAATCGCCCGACCACCATTACGGCGTCGATGCCCCCCTGACTGGCGACATCCTACCTTCGAGTGATCTCGTCAGGGTTGTGTGCTCCATGATGAGCTTTTCGACAACAACCACTCAACACAACGAACAATTTCGGAGTGGGATCGAGTATTAGGTCCAAGGAACAACAATCGATCCTACGCAACTAGGCTAGACCTAAAACGCGGGCAAAAAGACCCACCTAGCAACCTGACCCTCTTTCGCAAGGAAACAAGCACCCGCTCCCGACGGCCTTCCTCCAGACCACGAGGAGGCCGTCTTCGGAAGCACATTGAACGGGCGATCCATGCCGTAAGTCACATCACCTCATGCAATGTTCCTTCAACAGTGCAATCATCTCTCCTTCACGAAGCGGACGAGTGCAATGCGGTAGGCAGTGCTGATGGTACTCCACTAGGAGCGAGACGTTCACGGTATCAGGTTCTGAACGCGTGGTGCACGTCTACCCTCCAAGGCGAGGCGACTCTTCCGGCGGCAGCGGATCCATACATTCGCCTACATCGAGCAGTGGTCGTAGCTTCAGCGATTCGGGTTGGGAGCACCTCAACGCTCACGACGAGGAAGACGACCCAATAGATCCGTCTGACTCGGCGTCGCGATCGCGAGGGAAGACTTCACGATCGCGAACAACGGAGTCGCGGCCGGCGCCTGCAAGGCGGCATTCTCGCCGCGGTGCGGTTGAGCGGGAGGAGTCTCCGCCCCGCGAACGACGGCGACGCTCCGTCCACCATACCAGCCGACACCGCCGGACGGAGTCGAGACGCACGCCGTCTGACGAGACGACAAGCAGCCTGGCTTCATATGACGATCACCCGTACAGCCACCATGCGCCGCAACCACCTCGCGCCTACCCTCCGCCATCCGGATACAGGCACGTGCGTGCGCCTGGCCATGGTGGCTACCCGCCCAACGTAATAGATCCTTTCAACCAACAGGCAATGGTGCATGTACCGCACGAGGATCCTTTCGGGTACCAGCCAAATCCCTTCTCGCCGATGGGTGGGATGGAAGGTCCTGGCTATTTTCCTCAGCATCAACCTGGACCGCCAAGTCACGCCGCAAGTCGACCTGCTGCACCGCCCAGACCACAAAGCTACTACGGTACAGAGGTGTCTTACCCGTACTCCGCACATCCGAGCGTGTCGCCGTACGGATATCCTCCGCCGTGGGCCTTCCAAGCGCCGTCGTATGCTGGCTCTCCCGCGCCCGATCCGAAACACAGCGCCGAAATTGAGAAGCTGGAGGCAGCTATACACGCCAAAGATGCAGCTTTGCAAACGAAAGACGAAGAGCAGAAGGCAAAGACGACTGGGGAGATCGAGGCCATGAAGGCGGTGATCAAGAGGTTCGAAGAAGCGCAGCTAGCTGCAGAGTTGGCGGCAGCGGCCAAGAAGGCAGAAGAGGAAGCGGAGAAGAAGAAGAAGGAAGAGATTGCGGCCGCCTCGAAGAAGGCAAAGGAAGAAGCCGAGAAGAAGGCCGAAGAGGCTGCGAAGAAGGCGAAAGAGGAGCATGACAAGAAACTGGCGGAAGCCACGAAGAAGCAAGAAGAGGCCGAGAAGAAGGCGAAAGAGGCAGAGGAGGAAGCGAAGAAGCTCAAGCCACCGCCAGATTCCACAAAGGCGCCGATTGTTTTCAAAGATGCTATTGGCAGGAAGTTTAGCTTCCCATATCACCTTTGCAAGACATCGAAAGGCATCGAGTCGCTCATCATGCAGGCCTTCCTGCACATCGAGGAGCTTGGGGAGCGCGTACACCGCCGCCAATACGACCTCAAAGGCCCGGACGGCGAGGTCATCTTACCTCAAGTGTGGGAGATCTATCTGCAGCCCGGCTGGGAGGTGACCATGGAGTGGTGGCCGATCGTCGAGGACAAAAAGTCTGTCGAAGTCTACCCCGATCCTCTCGGCGGCATGTTCGGAGACCTCGGCATTGTCGAAGTTTCCGGACCTGGTGGGAAGAAGGCAGTCAAGAAGGCCAAAGACGGCAGGAAGAAAGGCAAGGCGACTTCACCGGAGATTGCTATACCCGTGCCACCCATGCACAAGATGCCGCCGATGCCAAACTATCCGCCCGGTATGCTTCCGGACCCGATGGCCGGTATACCCGGCTACACGGGCGGCATTATCGAAGTGGATGGACCCAAGCGAGCCAAACCGAACAAATCTAAGAGCAGTAGGGGCATCGGGCCTCTGGGGATGTGGATGGTCGGTGGCCGTCCGCCGACGAGAAGATAATGGTGAAAAAGTTAGGCTTGTGAAGCACACGAGATACAACGGCGACAGCACTGATCAAGCTGCTCGACTTGGTATGTGAAGCGCTGCGTGCGTGCTCGTCAGCTGCAAGGGGACATGCTTCTTTCCGTCTAGGCCACGTGGGTCTTACATGTGCCACATCATTTGCACCTTCGAACAATATCTGGAGCGATCTGATCTACTTTCCTTTGTCTTCTTTCGTAGTTTGACATGAGCGATAAACGACGCATACGGCTGGAGTTAATGAGGTCTTATTAGCGAAGGATAATAATTCTTATACCGCCAGCAACAAGCTGGCTGATGGTTGAGCGAGGGGAAGGCCGTTCTTGCATGCATCGGTGCTGGTCGCCGGCGTTACCATGAAGAGGTGGCGACGGCAGCAAATGCCAATAAGAGCGGCGGTAGTATTCAGTTTTGATGAGCGAATGATACCACACTGTTGTTGGGCGTTTTCAACGGACCGTTAGCATTCCTTGTGTACGTGACCTTACGCACCTTTCATTGGGACAAACTCATCCCTCGTCACCAGCTATGACTTGAATTCCCATAGCCTTTCGCATCTACCATACCTTTTCCTGCTCCGGTGTTGAGGCCATCGCCGTCGGTGTACGTGTTGAGAACCTTGGCGTGAGCGCAACGTTTTCTGATTGAGTGGTACGCTCGAGCACATATTGAAACTCGCCTTTGAAGTTCAGCCACTAAAAACATCTGTTCTCGACAACGCCTCCGGTCACTAATGAGATATCCGAGATGAAGCTGTTGACCCTCAACTTCCTCACTTGTGCACGCAAGACGTGCAAGTCACTTCCGGCGGCCTTCCCTCTGCACCCCAGGGAAGCGGAGCTCGAGCAGGTGGAAACAGATATGAATGCAGCGCTCATCAAGAATATACTGCCAAGGCTGGAATGGGACGCCATGAAGACCGTGACGACCGAAGTACGTTGAAATGCATTACACAACATTGACTGGTGCTAATCTTGCTCCAGCTAGGTCTACCGAATCTGCCTGCGGAAACACCAGCTCCGGAAGATCTCGCCACCGCAGACGGCGAGCCTTCGCAAACACTTAAGGATCTGCATGTTTTGCTGATGGATACTGCGGTCGTCAGTGGTAAGCTGGTCTGCGGCAACTGCGGACACGAGTATGCCGTTAAGGAGGGCATCGCAAACTTCCTTTTACCAAGCCACATGGTGTGAGCCGACGAGCGACAACCCCCACGCACGCATCAAAGTTCAACCTGATCTATGCTCTAAATAATGTCGAGGCATCGGCTGCCGGGGGCGGGACGATAGAAGGAGACTGCTGTCTTCTGTTCGGAAATTTCGTCCCCAGCCCGAGGTGTACACGGTTATCACACATTTTCGACCCTCCAGGAAGTTGCACAGCCAACCGACAAGTCCTCCACATGGAGTGGGATGGTCACAGCTTCGATGACGACGCAGAGAGTCTGATGAGGGCGAGGTATAGGTTCCCACCCGAAGAAGGGAAGTACAACGTAAAACAGACTGCGAGACGTTCCAGCAATGTTCGCGTTATTGCCTTGCAGCCTTCGATAGCTGGACCTTTAGGCGATGTGTCAACGGGAAAGCAGGAAGAAGGTGAGGAAGCTGCACATGTCGCGGAATGCTCGATATCTGACCCACCGAGTGCGGCACAAGTAACATTCTGCGAAGGTGTATCTATCACGTCATGTATCGAAAGCTCGTCCGCTCTATGTCGGTCAGGTTCTCCCACGTTTTCACATCATCCGCCGAGCCACTCGAGTCCCCAAGTACCGTCTCCTCCCCATATTTGGCATCTCTTCGCTTGTTCGTCCAAGAGTAATAAGCTCCTAGCACGCAGCAGAGGAAGGCGCATCCTGCTTGCGTAGCAATCAATGCAATCTTCGCAGGCCTGTATTCCGGCTTGTCCTTCGCCCGAAAGGTCTGCGGCCCGATCAAGCTTCCTGCGCTGAAGGCCATCGTGATCAGTGCCATTGTCATGGTACGCTTGGAGTGTCCTGCCACGTTTGCCGACGCCCACTGGTAGATCGTAAACAAAACCGGACTCGTAATGTTTACGAGGTAAATGCCTGCGAGCAGGGCGGCATGTTTGTGACTGGGAGCGAAGCCGACCAGACAGGCAACAATGATGGCGACGAGGTTGCCAGATGCTATGATGAAGCAGCGTGGGAGTCGGGTGTTGAGCGCCCCGCCGATCACGAAGGCAGCAACGATAGTGACCGCTCCCGAGGGCATATTGAGCAGGGCTGCTTGCTTGGGAGAAAAGCCAAACCCAGCGATGAGCTGTGACGAGTATGACAGGGTTACGCCGGTGGAAATCGTCGTTAATATGGTGGCTATGGTCAACAGCCAGATTTGAGGATCGCGCAAAAAGTCCACCACCTGTCGCAGCCTGAAGGTAGTAGCCCTTACGCCGGTCTTGTTCACGGAGATATGGTGCAGCAATGCCACTTTCTGCTGGTCAGAGAGAAACTTCGCATGCATAGGCGTATCCGGTAGACAGACGAAGAGGCAGAGTCCAAAGGCAATACTGAGGCAGCCGAGCAACAGGAACAAGATCTTCCAGCTGGCTAGCGCTGCATTATGAACGTGTTGAAAGGCGAACGAGAGCAGGCCTCCAATAATCACGTCCAAACCGATCGCTGACCTCCACAGAAGGAACCTTGACCCTTGATGGTCTTTGCGGTAATACTATGCCCTAGTTAGCGCCGAGCAAGGCTGCACGGAGGCTTCCATGATGCCCAGCAGAATACGAAGGGCGAGCAGATGCCGGTAGTTGTGTGCTGCTGCAACGCAAGCCGTAACTACACCTCAAAGCACGGCGTTGATGGAAAGCCATTTGACGACTGGCACCTTATTGAGGATGTAAACAGTAGGGACTTCGGCAATAATTAGGGCCACGAACAGGTAGGTGGCTAGGTTCGAGAAGTCATTGCTGGCGAGGTGGAGGTCTTTGGTGAGGCCCATGACTGCGGCGTACTGTCATCTCATCAGCCATTGTCCCTTCAGCAGGCATAAGGAAGCTCCGAAGCGTACGTTCAGCAGCTGCTTGTCAAGCGCCTGGACGAAGTAAACGCTGAATAGTATTGGCATGATGTGGCAATCGATTGTTCTTGTCAGGTGTTCGATATCTGCATCGCTAGCCGGACCATTCTGTACGTGGTTTGCTAGAAAATCGTGAGCCTGGTCAAGGTCGACACTCTTCTCCAAAGAACTGTCATTGTGCATGCTATGCCGCACGTGCTTCTCCTGGCCTCTATTGTTGTGCATGGCGGGCGCAAGAGGTGATGTACTGCATTACGGGATAGAAGGAAAGGATGAAGAGGCATGAGGAAGGTAGGGAAGATGGATTATTATACTTGCAAGCCGTTCGCGATACAAGGGAGGATCACGTCCGCCCCAGCCTTCAGCGTATATTCTATCGATCTTTCACCTCAGACAGACTAAGTACCGTGAACCATGCGAGCCATTCACATGCATGCGGAGACGCCAAGTGCAACAACTGGCGCTTGCTGCATCAGGCGGTCCAGCTCGTTATCGATGCTGTAGTGCTCGCAAGCTGGGCATGATGTGCACAAAGGCACCTCCAGCATTGAAAGCCTGTCAGATCTGTGTTGGCGACGGTGAAAGTTCGAGTCAGCAACCGCAAGTGTGCGCGAGGCTGCGCAAAGAAGGGGAGGTGGATCGAAAAGCGGCAAGGACGCGCGAAACTCACGAACGAATTCCCAAGTGTGACAGAAGTCAACGTCGCCACAGCATTGAAGGCTAGGCATAGACAACATATTATGGTTTCGATGGAGACCAGGTAAGAGTGAGATCCGCGGCCAACTTCGGATTAGCTGACAACTAGAACATAGCTTCGGTGCAGAGTAGCTCAGGTTCCAGCACGTTGGTCGGAGGCTAACATGAGCACAACATTAGATTGACCCTTCTCCCACTTCACATCATGCGGCACCTTCTGCCTCCCGTTGCTCTGCAGCCGCAGCTCGCAAATGCCTGCCAACCGCCTGTTCCACCTCCACGCTTGGCTTCGATAGCAACTTCTGAGCGTTGCCAGAGAAAAGGCAGCGCCAGATGTCGTCATCGCCAACCAGCTCTCCTCCACCTTTGCCAGCTACTAAGAGCTTAGACAGCGGTGCCGATTGCAGTTGCTCGGAGTTGGCTGCATCAATTGCAGTCTCCTGCAACGGCGCAGGCGTCGCAGAGCGTGACTTACCATGCTGGTGTTGGGACTGTACGTGCGCTAAGCGTCTCGTGACCGAGATCTCGTAGATGGACTCCTCCACGGTGTCATTTACCAGGTACATCCAGACAGTCGTTGGCCGGGTCTGGCCGATGCGATGCACACGGGCAATTGCTTGTAGCTCAACAGCCGTCTGAATCAACGGCTCGCAAATAAAGACATGTGTGGCGTTGACTAACGTCAGGCCGGAGGAGTCCGTCTTCGCATCCAGCAAGAGACAATCAATGCTTGGGTCATGCTTGAACTTCTCAACGGCGCCGTTCCGACCAAGCCTACTATAGCCGATCTTAAATTCGGATAGCGCCGTGCCGAGAACATCCAGAAACTCACGGAATTGCGAGAAGACGACAGACTTCGCGCCTGGATCGTGCTCTCTAATCCAATGCAGGTGTCTGCCAAGCGTGTCAATCTTCGTGCCGTAGCTGGCCGGTATGTCGATTGACTTGATCTCATCCATCAGCGTCGAATCTACATCCGAGTAGATCGAGGACTGGAGGGGTGATTGCGAGATCGAAGTCGCAGATCCAGGCGATGACGTGCCGGCCTGAACTTCTTCCTGCGCCTTCAGCTCTTGAGGCTTGTATGTGATGTTGTGGAAGTCGTTGAGTGTGAGCTTGCGTTTGCACACAGGACAGGTCCGGTGCTGGTTCCACCAGTACTGTATGCACTCTTTGCAGTATTGATGACCGCAGACAGTGAGCACACCATTCTCGAACGTTTGTTGACAGATGACGCAAATCTTCCGCTCGGCCTGTGCGCCATTTTCGTCACGGAGATGCAGCAAGAAGCGGTTCTTTGTCTTTAACTGTGCAAGAGTTCGCGACTGCTTCTCTTCTCTGGTTGCTGCGGCTTCAAGTGCGTGCAGGTCCAGCGTCGGGTCAAGCACCTCTTTATAGGGAGCGACGGCATCAGAAAGCTCTTGAAGCTGCCGGTAGAACTCCAGTCGCTGATTTTGTGCTTTTCGAAACAGTTCAAGCTCTTTCTCCAAGCCTGCTAGTACCTTTGTCCAGTCCTTGAAGATGCTTTGAAGCTGGGCTAGGTGGCGTTGCACAAGGGTTCGCTCTGTCACACCTCGACCGCTACCGAGGTACAGTGAGCCCTCCATTGTTCGTGCTTCTTGGATCAGGCCGCGGACGGAGCCAATCTTATCCTTGTAAACCCTGAACTTGTTTCTCACTTCCAGCAACTGAAGTAGCAAGTCCGGAGCGTGTACAACAGCATCTCCAGTCTCAATGTCCGGATCCAGGAAGGACTTTGCGGCTTTGATGAGTTCTTTGACTTCGTGATCTATGAGCGGAGCACTCTCGCCAGTTATAAATGTGTTGAGATCGGAGTGCATGGCCTTGAAGGCATCGAAATAAACATAAAGCTCATCTTGCTGCTTCGTTGACATTTCGTACTCTTCGCCTGTCGTTTCGACACCTTCTTCGTCCTCGTCAACGAGCGGCTTCAGCAAGTACTCGGCCATTTTCTTTCGCCACTGCACAAGCACTTGTCCCTGGTCGCGAATAAGGTCGAAGAGCTCATCAGCTTTCTCGACAAGCTTCCTCCCCTCAATGCCGCCAACTCTGAGATCTTCGATGTGAGGCAGTAGGGTTAGCGTGCGCTTGAGCCCCATGTCGTTTATCTGGCGCATCGTAGCTTCCGCTTTGCGCGACGACTCCTTCAAAACTTCTCGCCGGACTTGCTTAGCTGCGTCATAAAGATCTGTCTCTTGCTGTTCAAGTCGCTTGAAGTCGTCAGACTCTGGTGCAGTCAGATGTTCGTTGCTCTTGATCTGGAAATACGAGGTTGCCGCAAAGAACGTGCAAGCATGCTGCAGCTGTAGCGCTGTTCGAAGGTTGTTCCTCAGACGACCTAAAAGCGGCAAGCCTTCCGAAGCAGAATCTTCGCCTTCGCTATCGGACGTGACCTCGCCTTTGGCGGCCATAGCCGCTTTTGCTGCTGTCAGCCGGTCACGAGCTTCTTGGACTACTGCAGTGCTTGATGTCGTGGCGTTTGTGTAGATTTCGACAGCCTTTTCGCTGCGATGCTCATCATCACCATTGTTGCCAACAATATGCGCACGGAGCAATTGCGATGCGAGCAGCAGTCTTTCCTCGGTACGTGCCGCGGTCTCGTTCTGCTCGATCATGACTTCGAGCACTTCGGCTACAGTCCGCAAAGGGCCCTGACCACGACCAAGCGCTTTACGGTTCCTGCCACCCACCTGTGGATGAAGGCACGTCTGGCGCAAGCGCACAAGCCAGGCGCGCATTGCTTCCATGGTAGCAGCGTCATGAGGATCCCAGTCGCCGCTCACAGGTGAGCCGTCTGCGTGGAGGCCAACATCTTCACACATTTGGCCGAAGAGGGTGGAGTAATGCTGCTGCTCGACTGTTGAGAACGGGACTGTCAGTACAACGCGCTTCTGCGGAGGCAGGTGTAGCTCATCGCGAATGTACGCCTTCGTGTGACGTAAGGCGAATTCGCTCCAAATTCGTCGAAACAGGTGCCGATGATTGGTGACTAGATGCGACCATAGCTTGGCGCTGTCGCTAAGTGGCTTGAGCCTCAAGAAGATGAGCAACCCGTGAAGATCCTCAACGTTCTTCCTCAGCGGCGTGCCAGTGACTGCCCAGCTATGAATTCGAGGTAAGCGGCGAGCGACGCGCGCAGCAGCAGTGACGCCAGACTCGACCATCTGGGCTTCATCGAGACAGATACGCCACCACTGTATCTGTACCAGCGGACTCCGCTTGCGCTCAAACTTGGGCGTACGTCGCATGTTGCGTTCAGGTGGGTCTTCCGCAAAGTGTATCTCACTGCGAAGTGTGTTATAGGTTGCAATCACCACATCGTACTTTGTGGCCATATCTTCAATCAGTTGTTGCTCAAGTTTGGACTTCTTACGGGACGAGCTGAGGCCTTCGTACTCAAAGACTCTGAGTGCTGGCGCATGCCGATTCAGCTCGGACCGCCATTGCGGCAGAATCGAAGGTGGTGTGATGATCAATGTCGCTTGTGAAGGAGCTACTACGGTACCCGAAAACCCATCCATCACTCCTTCGGATGGCATACCGAACCGCTTGTGTAGACTGACTAATGCTAGTAGTTCAACAGTCTTGCCGAGCCCCATCTCCTCGGCAAGAAGGCCACCAGAGACACAGCACTCATCCACTGGCGGGGTGCGCGTCATGATACCCTCGAGATGACTGACATAGCAAGAATTTCCGTGCACATCGGTGACGGATTGGTAAAAGTTCGCGCTGAGCTGACCCTGGGAAGGTAGAGGCAATGGTGACACACGACCGTCTTTAAACGCCACTCCTTCTCTGTTCAGCATCCACGTAACGGCACGCTTTTGAAAGGGGTACAGCTCGCTGTCCAGCACGCCATCATAGAGACCTTGGAGGACGGGGTCCTTTGCTGGTACGTGAACGCTGTCGTAGAAGTCACTGGGCGACCAATCTGTCGAGCGCCCGCTCTCCGTCTCGTCTCTCGCTTGATCAGGATATGTATGTAAGAGCCACGCATAGTCTTCGTACACCCGGGCCTTGCCGACAGGCATGCCTTGTGGAAACGCGGAAACGCCCGATTTCCAGGAAGTTGTGGCCTCTAGTCGAACAATTGTGCCGGCCGCGCCTATCGATCGCTTTAGAGAGCAGACCGATACGGTTGCTGGGTGATTCTTCGACTTCGCCTCGCTATACCAGGCTTCCAGATGTCTCGGAGATGGATTGTACCGCAACAAAGAAGCGCGGATAGGGTTTGGGATATCGGTACAAGAGATCAACAGAACCGGACTCCGTAGATACGGCAGCGTGATTCGCAGCTGACATCCATCTCCGTCGCCTTTGATCTCACGCGCAACGACTCTGATCGCATGAGTCGTGTCAAAATCGGAGTCCGCAAAGTCGGTGGTATCAGTTGAGTTGAGTGTGTCCGGAAAGTGCAGGTCGATAGCAACCCTATGTATCACAATGCCGTCTCCTGAAGCAGTCTGATATGCCGGATCCGACTCGGAAACATCGCCATCGACATAGTTTAGTTTTCGCTTCTTCGTTGGCCGCTCGCCACCAGCTCCTTTGGAATGCTGAGCGCCGTGCTCAAGAAACCACCGGGTGGGAGTGAAAGAGCCCGTTTCGACCAGAACGCTTTCTTCGCCATCTGACTTCACTTGGGATGAGTACACTGTCACCGCAGCGTACTCATTCATCGGCGCCATCGCGCCCTGAAGTGACTTGCCAAAGCGACAGTGGACGTAGAACAAGGTTGATGGAGTTAGAGGCGGCAGCACTGGAGTAGGCTGACTTATCGATTGCGCTTACATAACATACCTTTCCAAACTTTGAGCTTTGGCCACCCCCAAGCTTGACGCGCTCGCAGTGAAGCCTACATGTACGCTTGATGTATGTGTCTTAGGTACCACGTACGGCGTTACGATACCTTTTCTCCTGGGACTTGCTTTGTCCAATCCAGTGTCTGACCAGCTAGCACACGGTTCGAGCGGCTGTAAACATGATCATGCAGCAAAGTGGGGTGCTGGGCGAAGGTAGGTCACAGATGGCTTGCCAGTACACTGTGGTGCATACGCTAACAGTCGGTAGATGGCATCCACGTTGACATGAACCATCTGAAGCATGGCGAAGTCAACCTCGGAACATCCATTATGGCGATCAACTTCAAGGACGGCGTAATATTAGGAGCGGACAGTCGAACAACAACCGGTGCCTACATCGCGAACAGAGTCACAGACAAGCTCACACAAGTGCACGATACGATATGGTGTTGTCGGTCGGGATCCGCAGCAGATACACAAGCTGTGGCAGATATTGTGCAGTACCACCTGGGCATGTACGGCATTGTGAACGATGAGCCGCCGACCACACAGACCGCGGCAGCTCTGTTTCAAGAGCTTTGCTACGATAACAAGGACCAGCTGAGCGCAGGTATCATCATCGCAGGCTGGGACCACAGGCATGGTGGTCAGGTGTATTCGATCCCGCTTGGCGGCTCGCTGCACAAGCAAGCCTATGCGATTGGCGGTTCTGGGTCGACGTACATCTACGGCTACTGCGACGCAAACTGGCGAGAAGGCATGACCGAGGCGGAAGGTATCAAGTTTGTTAAGGGTGCGCTACAAGAGGCAATCAAATGGGATGGCAGCTCTGGCGGTGTGATCAGAATGGTGGTGCTGACGGCGCAAGGCGCTATACGGCATCTGTATCTGCCAGACCGTAACTATGAAGGTCCAGGGACCGAAAAACCATAAGATTACGGCGTCTACGGACTGCTCACGTGCTCAAGGAGGAGCTTCAAGCGCAGAGCCGCTTCACGATGCAGCGGCCAGGGCGATCTTGTATCTATAGGCGTGGATGATTTCCGGGCTTTCGCGGATGTGCAGCCGACACTCACCAAGCAGCTTAGCGTGCAGCATTAGCTTGTCCGGTGAGGCGATACTGATATTATAGCAATCACTGGGTTGCAATATGGCCGGTGGAAGGACATTGGGCATAGTGTGCTCAGCATCGTCTCGTTAATGCAGGCGAGGGGTGGCGGTCGGTTTCGTCCTGTACGAGTACAACAACGTTCAAACAAGCAACCCTTGTCCCGGATGTTCCTCCATTTCATGTCAGCTCTGCCGGGCTGCACTAGCCCAAAGTTAATATGACGCTGCCAAGATGCCGACCCAAGGAAGGCGGAGCGACGAGCAGTTCCCGATTGTACATGGCAGCTAGTCTTGCATCCTATGTCGCCTGTACAACAACAACTCATTTCGAAATCGCTGTCCAATTCAGTTTGTGCACAGCTCGGCTTCAACGGAAGAGGCAACGGGTGTGATTGTAAGGAGGTAAGCGTTTTATTTCTGTTCGTCACGCGATGAACCTCCCATCACCGTCACCGCCTCCCACTCACCAGCAACCTTCGAACATTACTGGCAAGGAGCCCCGTTTGAGATGCGAACACGGGCATCGATCCATGCACATTTTTCAGGCTCAACACGCCTTGGACTACACCTCCTCAACCCTCTGGGCGCACGCACGTGTCGCTCGTCAAGCGAGGTGAAACGCCTCGCCCGACACTGACACACCGGGTCGGATGTCGCATGTGCATATCGCTGCCTCATCATATCTCATAAGACGGTGTCACTGACGGCCGGACGCTCACCAGATACCCGCAGAGTCCATGGTTGACCGTCAATGATGGGCTCTGTCGTACTTGATGCGGTGAACTCTTTCTTCGGGCATTCTCCAAGTCATCCAAACTACGCATATCGAGAAGCGCCACGGGTGCACGACCCTAGCCCGCAGCCTAAACGAAGTCGGACGACCTCCCGTTCCGATACACCTATGTCCGCCTCAAGCCAGAGGGCAACAAGCTCCTCTGGCACCCAATCAACACAACAGCATGCGCAAGCGCCCCGAGCAACTTCGCAAGCCTCATTACAGCGCAGTGATGCGCCACAGCCGGCCAACCCTACGCTTTCCGCCAATGTCGCGCCTCCTGCGTCAACGAGCGCACAACCAGCGCCACAAGCGAGCAATGCACTGAGCGCGGCAGACACGCGGCAACCGCGACCGCAGAAGATCAAAGTCCGCGATCTGCAGCACATCCAAAGCTTCGCGAGTGAGGACATGAGCGCCTTCTCCGAGATTAAGAGCCGAAGCCGGTCGCATTCGCGAGGACCGGAGGATGACGGCCCGCAATACGAGATTAGTGAGATGAAGGTCGAGCACATCATTGAAATGGTGGCCGGCCTTCTCACGAAGATTACCACGACGAACGATCAGCAGCATGAGCACCTGCACCGCCAACCAGCGCATTTAGAGCAAGCATCACACTTGACTCCACAAACGAGCAGCGTGCTCGCATTCCATGGGAAGAATGTGCCCAGCATCACCATCTTGAGCTATCTCACCCGCATCAATAAGTACTGCCCCACTAGTTATGAGGTGTTCTTGAGCCTGTTGGTGTACTTCGACCGCATGACGGAGAGGGTGAACGCGGGTCCCATGCAAGGTCTGCGGGACGTAAACCAGCAAATGTATGACCACAACCGAAATGCAAGCCGGGCAAGCAGCTCCAGTGACTCTCAAGGTACGGATCCCATGGAGGGCGTGACAGCGACTACACCGCAGGGCACGCAGACAGCTACACCTCCAGCGTCCGGCTCGATGGAGAAGGGCGACCAGCAGGGTGTGCCTGGAACGCCGCACAGTCGGCCTCATCAGATGGAGTCCCCCTCCATACCGCAGGCACCGGCATCGACGGAAGCGTACAATCTCTCACACTTCTTTGTCGTAGACAGCTTCAACATACATCGTCTGGTCATTGCAGGCGTGACGTGCGCCAGCAAGTTCTTCTCCGACATCTTCTACACCAATTCGCGCTACGCGAAGGTCGGTTATGCGCACATTCCAAGTACGTGTATCATAAGCTGACTTCCGCTAGGTCGGTGGCTTACCGCTGCAAGAGCTCAATCACCTTGAACTACAGTTTCTGCTTCTGAACGACTTCCGCCTTTCGATTCCAGTCGAAGAGATCGAAGCGTATGGGACTATGCTGGTCGAGTTCTATGCGCGGGAAGTCGTGGCCCAGCGGAAGGCTACGGAAGCCATGTCCAACCGATCTTTGAGTGACAGCTCAACTGAAAGCACAGCGACTGTCCGACCGGCCGAAGGCTAGGCGCCTGACGAGTCCTCAGCTCGTAACACGACGGCCGAGGCCTCCGCACACGATGGAGATGCTTTCTCACACACCACCACACGATGTTCGCTAGACGAGCAACTCCCAAGCCGCGAGTAACGGCAGCATTTCACGACTTGACGACGGCGTTGAGGGTCTGCTTTGCATCGCAGTCTTCACTTCCGCCGTATACCCACCTAGACCGATTTTGCCTGAGCGACGCTGGTGCAACGATAGACTTCTTTCTTCAATCATTGGTTTCTTCTTAAACGAGCATGTCGTTACTGCTTTAATGCGAGTATACCCCAGTTGTGCTATACAGCGATTCGAGGGATCAGGGCATCTGCAGCATTTACTTGTGCTTCACCAGGAAATGAGGTCTGTAGAGATCGATTGGTCCCGTACTACTGCTGTATCGGTAGCGGCACATGCGTCAGCATGGGTTGGCAAGACCGGGTTAACGGCGCCATGTGTTCAGGCGCACAGAAGTGAGGCGTAATGGTAATACCGGCTTTGCAGATCTTGCAGCTTCATCACCCCCGAACACTCCCTCCATGACTCGTATCGCTCGCGTGGAGCGACTCACTCTCGGGCCGAGGATGCAGACCCGCTACCTGACAAGGCTAGCGACAGCTAGACAGTGCACGCTTCGCCTAATGATGTAAGTTGTGCGCATAAATGAGGTAGGAAAACAGACTGCTTGGTCATGAATGCCCAGTATTCATTCCCTTCTCGATAGTGAGTCGAGAGTTGCGCCAGGTTGGTAGAGGAGCTTAAGGAGAAGTGAACGCGGCTTTATCGTATGAAACTTCCAGCGCTCTCTTGCGGACTACGTGTGACTTCCTGATTGCAACTTGTGAACACGTGCCTGCAACCTGCCCAAGCAGGACTTGTCTCTCATAAACGACAACGGTCACTGACATTCTAGAGCATCGTACATCTAAAGCGGGTAGCTTCGCACTTTCGTTGCAATGGAGACCGACGTGGTGTCGCATTGCGTCTCACTGTAGGTCTATCTACCGCTTGCCGTCCGGGTACATCGCTAACGTACCGCAGCTTCCTTCCATACACCGTTGCCTTTCACGATGCGGCTGCGCTAGAAGAGACAGCAGAGACCGTACTTCAAGCGGTGGCGAACCGGTCTCGCACCGGCTCGAACGGCGAGCTGGCTTCGAAACCGTCACAGGCGAGTCTGTTGAATGGGCCTACAGCGCCATTGACGCCGGGCATTCAGACCACTGACGATCTCTTCCGCACCGACTCTTTGCCAGATGCGACGAAATTACATTTTGCCAAGCCTGGAGACCCTCGCTCACTCGTGCGAAGCGACGTTGGTGGGCCTGACTGGGGAGCACAAGCCATCTTCAATCAGCCAACGTCGACTGCTGGACCGCTTCCCTCTGGTTCAATCCTAGACTTTGCTCAAGTGCATGAGGAACTGGAAAAGAAGCGACAGGAGGCACGAAAGCGTGTCAAAACCTCATCGCCGCCATCACGCGCCTCCCGTGCCGGCAGCCATGACCGCGCTTACGACGGTAAGCAATGGACCGTGGAGCCTGGACTGCAAGGTAATGGTGGCCTGTCCAATGCCATGCGCGCCCTCGTCGACATGGGTGAGGTTAACATCAGCTGGATCGGGACCATCGGCTTCCCCACTGATGTGTTACCTGTGAGCATCAAGGAAGATATTTCGGACCTGCTCTCCACGAACTACGACTCGCAAGTCGTGTACGTAAGCGACAAGGACATGGATGGTCATTACTCGCATTACTGCAAGACCATCCTCTGGCCAATCTTCCACTATCAGGTGCCAGATCATCCGAAGAGCAAAGCCTACGCCGACCACAGCTGGGAGTTCTATAAGACCGTCAACCAAGCGTTCGCAGACAAGGCCATAGCAAGTTACAAGCGTGGCGACAAGATTTGGGTCCATGATTACCACTTGCTGCTCGTTCCACGCATGATTCGCCAGAAGTTACCCGAGGCGCAGATCGGCTTCTTCCTACATACGGCGTTTCCATCATCCGAGGTGTTCCGCTGCCTCTCGACACGTACGTACCTGCTTGAAGGCATGCTCGGCGCCAATCTCATCGCCTTTCAGACGGAGGAGTATGCGCACCACTTCCTGCAGACTTGTAGCCGCTTGCTCACGGTTGAAACCACTGCGGACGGTGTGCAGCTGGAGGATCATTTCGTCAATGTCACAAACCAGCCAATCGGCATAAATCTACATGCCATGGAAGTGGCTCGCAACGAGCCGGAGGTGCAGGAGTGGATGAAGGTCGTCCAGGAGCGCTACAAGGACAAGAAGATCATCGTCGCCCGCGACAAGCTCGACAATGTCCGTGGCGTCCGTCAGAAGTTGCTCGCATATGAGCTGTTCCTCAACAAGTATCCGGAATGGCGGGAGAAGGTTGTGCTGATACAAGTCGCAACGTCAACGAGCGAGCAGTCAGAGCTCCTCACGACTGTCTCCGACATTTGCAGCCGTATTGACTCGGTGCATTCCACGCTTGCTCATCAGCCACTGGTGTTCCTGAAGCAAGATATCGGATTTTCGCAATATATGGCCCTCCTCTCCATTGCCGACGTCCTAATGATCACCGCATTGCGCGATGGCATGAATCTGACCGCGCACGAGTACGTCTTCTGCCAGGATGGTAGGGCGCCAATCGGTAACAAGAAGTATGGTCCACTCATCCTAAGCGAGTTCACTGGCAGTGCCGCAGTGTTTGGCGGTGCACAGATCTCTGTCAACCCTTGGGACTACCAACAGCAAGCCGATGGGATCAAGAAAGCGCTTGAGATGGACGACGTGACGAAGGAGAGCAGTTGGAAAGCCTTGAACAGGATCGTGACCACGCAGACCGGAGGTCACTGGGCCAGAGCATTGAGCGAAGCTCTAGCAAAGGTGTACGACGAGCATGCGACGCGGGCTAGGACATCAGTGCCGCGTCTATCGGTGAACAAAGTGACGGAGAAATATAAAGAAGCGGAACGCCGCGTCTTCATCCTTGATTATGAGGGGACGCTCGCACCACATCGAACCAACACCGGCATGCCCTTGTCATCACCGCAACGCATACTCGATGCACTCATGGAGCTCATGGCGGACTCCAAGAACATCGTGTACGTCATGTCCGGTCGCACACCCGAGGAACTGGAGAGCAACTTCCGTGTCCTGCCATCACTCGGTCTTATTGCGGAGAACGGCTGCTTCTTGCGTGAGTACGGTAGCGAGGACCACGCATGGCAGCGCTTCACCGACGAAGAGGAGACTGCCAAGTGGAAAGACCAGGTTCGCAGCATATTGAAATACTACGAAGATCGTCTCGAGGGCAGCTATATCGAAGAGCGTCACTGCAGTCAGTTCTTCCGCTACGATAAGTGCGAAGACCAGGAAGCTGCGATCCGTTTTGCCGGTGAATGTGCAGACCAGATCAACACCGCCTGCCGGTCTATGGGTATCCACGCCGTACCTATCGCCAAGGCAGTCCTAATCGAGCAGGTCGGATTCAGTAAGCGTACGGCGACAACTCACCTGTTCGATCAGCTACGCGAGCGTGCTATTGCTCGTGGCTTTCAGCTTCCAAGCTTCCTGCTGGTTGCCGGCGATGACCGCGAGGACGAGGTGGTCTTCCAGTGGGCTAACGAGCTGGCGAAAGCGGGCACAATCCGCGATGTCTTCACCGTCTCCGTTGGCAAGCGCAACACAGTCGCTCAAAATACGCTCACGCAAGGCACTACAGGTTTGCTCACTACGCTGCAGAAGCTTGCGAAGGCTAGCACCGAGTCGAATCCGGGTGACTATTTCAATCGCGGAAGGGGGCAAGGGAGTGCGTAGATGAAGTTCGCAGGTCAAGTTCGCAGGTCAAACAAGCGCTCAAGTGTACGCGCATGATGGCAAGGAGCAAGCGTAGGGTGCGTTATGGCGTTCTAATACCCGAGAGGCACAGCCCTCGTTATGCTTTAGGTCATGTCTCTACTCCCGACCCTCAATAGATTGACAGAATGTAATATGCAGCAAGGGTCAGCGATCCCGATGTTACCCGCGAACGCTTCAACTAGTTGCCTAAAGCCAAGTGTATGCCAATGCGGGTACGCGAAGCAGCCTGGGAAGCACCATCTATGCCGCTGATATCTACACACCTCTGATCCACTCAAGCCCCGTTCTAATATCTCCGAACTTCGCCATCAACAAATCCTGGAGATAGTATGACCGCGGGCGCCACTGACCAGTTGCGCCAGTCTTCGGAAGCATGTCTTTCGCTCGCTTGATGTACGTGCTGGTCAGGCGAAGCAGTGGCACGTCAACCATGTTCTTCTTCTCAAGCTCCGACCGCCTCGGGACTACCTCTGCCACGCCTTCGGAGCGCATACGCTTCAACATGCGACAAACAAGTTGCGCAGTAGCATCAGCACCCTGATCATGGCAAGACACTTGTCAGCATACTTCCAAGGCATAGATATACAATCCAGGGAACTCACCAAGGTCCAGCTTGCATCAACGTAGCCGAATACGTAGGCAGCATTGGGTAGGTTCTCGAGCATCACACCTTTCCAAACGTAGCTGTCTGCAATGTTGTAGGGCTTGCCATCGACGAGGAAATTGAGACCGCCGGCGAAACGTACGCGGAGACCCGTGGCTGTCACGATCACATCCGGATGCAGCTCCTTCCCGGACGTGAGCTTGATGCTGTCTGGCGTCACGGTCTCAACGATGCCTGTTTCCATGCCGCCTTTGCCGGATTTGAGAGCGTCGTAGAAATCACCTTGAGCCGGGGAGGTGTTTCGTTAGCGAGTGAGCCAACGAATTTTGGACCGATGTCCTGCAGGCCGCACTTACCGTCAGGGCAGAAGCAGACCCGCTGTTCGAAAGGGTTGTAGCTCGGATTGAAATGTGGATCTCTTGCCACGGTCGGTGGAAGCTGAGATTGGATGGTATCCGAGAAGAATTTCCGCATACGCTTCGGAAAGTAATAGCAAAGGCGTGTAATGAGGAAAGGGATAAGAATGTACTTCCAGCGGATGAGCGACTGGAAAAGGGGTTTGTTCCACCACGTGAGATTGTAGATCGTCTTGTCCAGACCATCCTGGCCTGGTAAGGACAACACATACGAAGGCGACCGCTGGAGTATCGTTACACTGGCAGCTTTCTTTGCAAGAACGGGCAGCAATGTGATTGCGGTAGCTCCTGATCCGACGATGACGACATTCTTGTCGGTGTAGTCGAGGTCTTCGGGCCAAAACTGCGGGTGAGCAACAGTGCCTTTAAAGTTTTCGATACCTGGGATTACTGATTGAAGTGGGTTGTCGTAATCATAATAGCCACAGCAGAGGAGTATGAACCGAGCCCGGATGTGCTTCTCCGCGCTGCCATTGGCGGTCACATTGCATGTCCAGGTCTTCGATAGAGTCGACCATTCTGCATTCTCGACTTTGTGGTGATACTGTATGCGCTTGTCGATACCGTACATGGCTGCGGATTCTTTCATGTACTTGAGAATGAGCGGGCCTTGTGCAATTGTCGTCTGCTCCTCCCATGGTCGCCACGGAAAGCCGAACGTGTGTAGGTCCTAGCTAGTCAGTATGCGGCATGGCAGAGTGGTATCAGAACTTACAGAGTCGCTTCGTATGCCGGGGTACCTAGGCTAATGTTTTAGCTTGAGGCGTGCCATCTTGAATGGTAATACGTACTTGAAAAGCGACCAGGTGCCGCCCATTTCATGACGGCCTTCCAGAATGGTGTAGCTGAGCTCCGGATTACGCTCCTGTAGCCTATAGGCGAAGTTGATCCCACTAATCCCAGCCCCAATAATCACGACATCAAAGTCGAGCTTCTCTGGTGCGGCCATGGTCGTTGAAGTTCTATCGACTTGGTACTAGGCTTAATCGTAAGTTACAAGAGCGTATGGGTGCAATGTGTTGAATGCTCGACAACACAGCCCGGAAGGAGGAGGGAGTAAGACACCAACATGCTGACGGTCGTGGCAAAGTCCAGGTGCTTTGACCCGAGCTCATGCGAGCCGAGGCACAAAATAGAAAGTCAGCACTCCGGAATGAGGTTGGTTTGCGGAGACAAATGTTGGAGAATCACCGATTGAGATGACCGCAAGGTCGATACTTTAGCTACTTCGTACACTATGCTCATTACATGTCATAAATCATAATCATAGCTCATTAGGACGTTGCAAGAGCGGCGACAATCGCATCCATCGCCGAGCTTTGCGTCGAAGCATTCGCAGGGCTTTCGAAAGGGCCCGACCAGACCACGCTCAACTGGTTATTCTCTTGGTCATTCGACCAGATGCTGTTGGCGTTGTCCGAGAGGAAGGTGGCGTATGACGACTGCGGACTGGCCTTGTACAGTATTTGCAAGTTGCGAGCAAAAACACCCTTGAACTGGGAACCATCAACGCCACAATCTGGCTCGCATGGATCGTGCAGAATGCCATCTGTCGTAAGAGCAGAAATGGCGGCATTGGCGATAGTCTGAGCCTCAGTGATGTAGGAGCTGTCGCCTGTTGACTTGCTGAGTTCTGTCAATGCTCCAAGAATGACGCCTTGGTTGTATGACCAGACGGTCTGGCCGTTGTTCTGGCATGTGCTGTTATCCAGCCCATCATTGATGGTATTCTGAGAGTTGATCAAGCCGCTGTTCTTGAACCAGGTCCATTGGTTGAGTGCGTACTCTTGGTAAGCACTGCCATTAGACGCTCGGTTGGCCAAATGCGCAGCAACGTCAAGAAATAGCTCGTTGGCAATAGCGTTCACGTAGGTATGAGCCTTGTCCCACCAGATACCGCCACCACAAGGTGTGGTGTTGAGCGACTGGGCCATGTCGTTGAAGATGTACTCCGCAGTCGAAAGGTAGTCTGAGTTGCCAGTCACATCGTAGGCGGCGATCCATGCCAACGCCCACCAACCCTCGTCATCGTAGTAGCCATTTAACCAGCCCTGGTTGGCAGTCGTTTCGGTAGACTCCATGCCTGCTGGCATAGCACCCGCGTAATATGTTTGCGGCCTGGTGTGGTAGGACAATCAGCAGGAGCTCTACGACTTGTTTGTGGATGCATATCATACATCGCGTTGGCTCCCATGACCTTGGTCATGGAGGCCTCATAGCTGGGTGCGTTACTGTGGGTCGTTGAGAATACAGACTCCGCTTCGCTCTTGGCAGTGCCATCGATCTGTGCCAGGTCCGCTATCACGGTCAAGCCTAGAACTTGGTTAGCACCATGTCCATGTTTGTCACGTGTATGTAGTGGCGTACAGTTTGCCGAGTTCCACCAGCCAGTGCTTGGGATCCAAAGACCAGTGGATCCATTGTACCACTGCTGCAAAGCCGTATAGGCGGCCTCGGCATCGCTGCTGGTAACTTGGGCTTGACTTGAAGCCAACAGATTAACTGTAGCTAGCAGCACCGTGCCGATGTTACGGGTGAAAGAAGGCATTTTGCAAGCTGCTTGAGCGACTGGCGGCGAGGACTATGGTGGTGTCTTCCGTTAGGCGGTACGACAGCCATGGTTGTCTTTATAGCCTCACGGCACAGGATCGCCGCGAAGCTATGTTGGTGGATTGGCAACGACGCCAGGACAACAATGACCGCATGTAACCAGTGTATGCAACCGGTGCATGCGCAAGTGGCAGGAGGCGCAAGAAGAAGAAGTGCAACAATTCCTCTTCGAGGTCAAGATCTACAGTATGGCCCATACGGCGATCCGTGGGCGTCTCTCAATTGCCAGAAACAGCAGCAGCAGAATGAGTCCACCTTCCGGAGCTCTACCGATCTTCGCAGCTGGCAACGCGGGGACTAGCTATGGTGAAAGTCACATGGAGCCGTTCATCCTTTCATAGCGTCAGGCCGTCCACGAAACCAGTGACCTTGCTGGGTTTGCTGACGAAGTATATTAGGGATCGTCGGACGCAGCGCTGGTCTCTTGACCGTCTCAAGCGCGAAGTGGGATTCGCGCAGGAAAAGCGCGCGTGCAAAAGGATTCATGACGCCATTGGCTGCTGGCTGCTGCTGTGCTTGCTCGGCGCAAGCGGTGTCGCTGAGCGATAGAGAGCAAGGCCCGCCTTATGGCCCGAGGCTTACTGGCTGACATGTAGGCCATATGTTGGCTTTGAAGCCTTGAAGGTGCGCTGGTGTGTCGTCATCTGCGTGACCAAGTAGACGCCCAGAGGTCCGTGGCCGCAATCATCGTCAGAACTATCACTGCCTCACGCTTGATAGATAGCAATAGTAGATGCTCATTATTCACTATCACAATTACTGTAGCAGAGCAAGAGGTGAAGTTGATAGTAATGGCAGGGATCTTGGCGCTGTGCTACCCTGTGAGAGGGCGTACTCGAAGGGTGAGTTGCGGCGACAGGCCGCTGCGTGCTTATTGGTCACGGCCCTTCGGGCTCTTTCCGGCAAACGGATGGACATGTCAAACGGTTATACCACTCCTCTCGCGATGGCTGAAGCTATGGCCTGATTCTGGCGAGGAAAGTGAGGACACTGAGAGAACGATGGCGTCCGCAACGCAGTCGTTCCCAAAGCCATTGGAGAGGTTTCAGGGGGTGATACGGCAGTCACAGGTTCCTTATCGCCTCCGCACCAGATTCGTATGCCTTCTCTGATTGCTGTCGCACGACGGGTAAAGATGGGCACAAACGATGCAGGTACTATCTCTTCATGCACGGCTATCTAATCACAACATGCTCCCCCGCCTCGCATCCGGGGAATATGCTCTGGTGAAGTCCACGTCCAGCTTTCCTCCACTGCTTGCTAAAAGCACGCTCTTCACCCACCGAACACTGTAGTCAAGTTTGTACTTCCACACCCACAAGTACGGCAGAAATGACAAACATGCGGTTCTTAGCAGGCTGGGTTCCTCTGCTCTGCGCTGTCGCGACACGTAGGTTAGCTGCCTTAAAAGGCGATTGTCCAGAGTCTCCTGCTCCAGGCCGCGACATCGAGCACTGACCGAAACTTCAAACAGTGGCAGCACCAAATGCCCTTCCCGCTAATCCCGAGCCTGCTCACAACGTAGAGCCTGGCGCACAACCAATTGCAGAACCAGCCCCAGCAGCAACCGAGTTTCTATACTACCAAGTCGAGTTGAAGCCGCGTGATGGGATCGGTGCACCCGTCACAGTCCTTGCGCGAGAGCCACAAGCAGCAGCACCTACCACAACCTATTCACTAAGCTTCACAACCGGCCTCAACCTTACCAACGTCACAGATTCGGCCGGTATGGCCACCGGACCTGCCCAGATTGCAACAGGCGCGTTCACTGCGCTCGACGGCGGTGTTTACGACGTGATTAGCGAAAGCGGCTACTTCAATATTGACGGCAAGGTGCGATCCCTTGCCATCAGGAATACTCGCTGGCCTGACACGTTGCTAATGGGAGGTTATAGACTCTTTACCCAAACCAAGGTGCGCTCATTGGCAACGAGCCCGTGACGTTCGCCAGCAATGGTCTTATGGCCAACGGCGTTACGGTCCAGCTCACCAACGTAACGACGTCTTCTGCGGCCGCTACGCAAGCGACCATCAGCGGTTCAATAAGTGGCACCATCCTTTTCTCCACGTATGTTACTACCAGCACTCGCAGCGAGAGTGCAGTGAGTACGATCTCGTCCGTCATAAGCATTACGACCACGGCCGCGGCGCCAGCAAAGACCGCAGCAGGTCACATGGTGGCGGCAGCTGGGTGCTTACTTGGACTGGTCGTGTTGTAAACGGGTATACGAACGAAGTTCTAGTGAGGAGCTTCGTTGCAATACCATGATTCTCTGTCGGACAACAGCTCATTTTTACCGGCTGAGGAGGCTGAGAGACATCGAGCAAATGGCCACCGTTAGCCGTCGCTTGCACAATTCTTTGACACCCGGACTGGTGTGGAGCCTTGGTGGCGTCTAATAACTGATTGAAGCGAAGTACGGAGTGCAGAAGACGAGCCGTGCTGGCCGGTGAAAGATGGTGTCTGATCTATCAATACATTCACAGAAAGCTTGACATGCCACAGAGGCATTCACAACCCGCAGAAAGTGCACGCTGCTTTTTGGCCGCCACAATAACCCGACATGAACGCCCATTCGGCTCCATGCTGTGCACCTAGGTAGTCATTGCTATAAGTACAGGCTTTCAGTCATTGAATCACAATCTGTCATTAGCTGGTCATTTTCGTTCGCAAAATTTTGCGCGTGTCCCACGTCAGTTCATGCAGCACGCGCCTGCTCAGGCCCCTGTGCTAGCACAGCGGGCGGTGGCAATCTCAAGGGCAAATCTTGCTGTCTAAGCGGTCCAAGGCGCAGATTTGGCAAGGCAGCTTGTCCGGCCAGTCAATATCGACCTTGCATCTCGCTGCTATAGCTCGCCGCTTGCGATGCAGACAACTGCCCCCTAAGCGAGATGACATCCTCCTGCAAGCGACTAATCCGCAGTTCATACTCGTCCTGCATGCGGGTAAAGCGCTGTTCCAGGCTTCGAACGTAGCCCCAGAGATCGTTCTGTTCCAGGCCTCCACCCGTAGCTAGAATGTCGCGCATGCTACTGCCCGAAGAACGACCGTGACTTGACAAGCTACCTGGATTGGATCCGGCCGTAGCTGGCGGTACCTGTCCATGAGAAAGCGCGCTGGGGCCCGGCCCTCCGCCTTGTAACGCACTTGGCAGGCCTGACCGGGGTTGAGGTTGCCCTGATGGTGGCGGTAAGATGACTGGGCCAGGTGCCGCTGAGGTGAACGACGCGAGAGGCTGAGGCGGGGTTCTACCTCCACCGCCACGACCGAAGTGTTGCTGCTGGAACTGTGTGGTTAAGCTTGGAGATCTGTTGCGATGTTGAATGCTTGCTGCTGCATCGACGCTGAGCCGATGTTGCTCTGGTGGCTGGCCTGGCGAGAGCGGCTTAGGCGACTCGGTCATCATCACTCCAGTTCCATATGCTTGATTGGGAGGAGGTGGATACGTGGGATAATACGATGAGCTAGTCGAGCCAACACCGGCTGGACTTGGATGGCCGGACATCTCCCGTGGCGAAGTGGCCGTGCTTGACCCCGGATGTATGACAGTCGGTGGTCCCATGCTGCTCAAGCTCGAACCGTGCGGTCGCTGCACCCCAATCGGCGGATACGTGCTCGAGTGCTGTCTGTAGACTTCTCGGTTTGCGTCCTGAGGCGCTTCGAGGTGGGTCCGCTTGCGGCTGGGCTCGCTCACGCGTCGCGCTTGCGGATCCGCGCCTTCCTCTTCCTCTTCACCCGTGTACTCAACCCCATCCATGCCTTCTCCATCACCAAACTCGTCGTCGCCACCCAAGCTAGACCTTCGTCCTGCGCAGCCACCTGGACCTTTGTTATGCCGCGCTAAAGCGTCCCCACGCGCAAAGCGCCTGCCGCACTTGTCGCAGGTGTGCGGTCGCTCACCTGTATGCAGTTTCGTATGCCGCTTCAGGTCGTGGAGTCGGCGAAAACGTGCTTGGCATGTCTGGCAAACATACGGCTTCTCTTGGCTGTGCGTTAGTAAGTGACTCTTGAGGTTATGATGTCGCGTGAAGTCGGTGGAGCAGTAAGGGCATTTGTGCCGTTTATTCGATGCAGGTGATTTTGGGCTCCCTTGAATACCAGGGTAGCTCATACCTCGAGAAGGTCCACCTTCCGGAGTTTGCACGGACTGCTGCGGCGGTGGGCCAGGGTACGAGAATGCCTTGTTAGCCTGATCGCTAGCTACTGTCAGATGACTATCGTTCCCGTAGGGTTCACTCTCGGTCATGTGCGCAGGCTCAGCCACATACTGGGGCCCGGAGGTAGCATCCGTTGTGGTTGCAGTCATGGCAGACGGAGCACCTGTGCTCCCCATCACACTACTGAAGCTTCCGAGACTAACCGGGCTGGCTTGCAAGGAGTCGCCTTGCGTGGTTTCCGGTATATTGATCTTCTCTGCTGCTTTTCGCAACGGCTCGCTAAGCTTCTCCGGCGCTGGCGCGTCAGAAGGCTTGCTCATGCCGCCCCCTCCCATCAGCGCGTGCATCGCGCCCACCACTGGGTTGGGGCTCGTCTGTCGTGATTCTAATGTGTCTTTTTGTTGTCGTTGCCGTTGCCGTTTCAACTCTGCCATGGCAGCCTGGCCGGTTAATGGCAATGGCGAGGTGCCAGGCGAGTAGCCTAGCTTGCCAGACTTCGGCGAGATATCCGCCGGAGTGTTTCGTGAATGCGGTCGCAGCAGATCGGGATTCTCTGCCCCACCATTCGTTGTGGGAATGTTTGCGCCGCTCGGTAGAGATGAAGGTGTACGCGGTGCACTTTCGAGCGGCGGAAAAGGTTCGATTTGAGGGGTTGTCGGCCGCTGTGTGGTCGCCATGTGACTAGTATGACATTATCCTGCAAGCGGGAGGAGGTATGGCTTCGACTACAACCTGCGCATCAGTTAGTCACAAATCATTACGGCGCCACGTGGTGAGCTTTGCGTGTCGGAACGACAGCAGCTTGCGCACAGTCCGAGAGCATAGCATAACGTACTAAGACAGCGTCCTGCGCTCCAGCAGCGTGCGCTCAATCTTATTCTGCGAATTCAATCTCGTTCGCAATGCAGGCAGCGCATGTGAGACCTCATACGTCATGCACAAGCATCGATACCAGTTGGCTGTGGCTGTTCCAAGACGCGCGACTCCAGGATCCACAGAAGAGAGACTGCCGTCGAAGTCGAAGAAAGCAAACAAAGATGCGGCTCAAGGCTGTGCGCAGTCGCAGTACGGCGTTCTGGCGGCGTTGTGAGCAATGAGCTAAGTGTGGCAGGTAAGGTTGAAGAAGGCTGAGGCAGCCAGGCGGCTGATGCGAATCCCGGCCTCGGTCGAGTTCTGGCGCACTATGGCTTGCGGCCGGGAGAGGCCCCGTTCGTCTCGGATTCCTTCTACTGGCTCTCGTTGGCTCTGTTAACGACGATGAGGCGTTGACGGCAACGGCACCTCAAACGGAGGCCGACGTGCAGTATCCGAAAGGGGAGCCGTGAGCGCTGTAGAGGAGACTTGTTCTGCAGTGGTAGTTAAGATGCGCAGGGATCATACAAGGCGAGGCGAAGAGTGAAGGGTGGAGCAGAATGACGAAGCCAAACCACCCTTGCTGTGGCTGTGGCTGGGTCGATGCAAGCACAAGATTGCCTTTAGGAAGGCAGATCCTTTTGGAAGCGAAAGCCTAATGCACAATTGCCAGTCATCGAAGGTTCCCCTTTGTGGCGGCCGCAGTGACATGGAACGATATCTTTCAGCATCATACGTTAACAACGGAGGCAGCATGACTGTACTACGTTCGAGAGAGAGTATAACGCTACGTGTACGGCTTAAGTTCTTCTCTTGGACTAGCTCAATATCGCGACTGCTAAGCCGGCCAACTGTGGCGGCTACCAAACAACATATTACATGGTCAGACACGGAACCGACTTCGCCTCCAAGTTCAGCTTAAGCCCCAATGACTCAACGGTGAGGCTTGCAACAAATGGTGGCTGGTTCGGAGAATTAGAATACAGAAATACCACCAATGCTATCAGCATAAGTCCATCGAGCCAGCACCGAACTGCATGGTTGGATGCAACGGCCCCGTCTTCTGCTATGAGCACCGCCAATGCCACATGATGTATGCTCGTCCTCTCGCACTCTGTCGCAGGTGCTAGAATGCTCTGAGCTGGCCCAATAACCGTCGATCAACGATCGACGGTTCGGCGTTGGGAGCAAAAGATCTGCAGGTGGAAAGAGGAAGCGAACAACGTGGAGTTTGACTCTCGCGGACAGACTTGTGGAGTATTGGTAATAACACAGATCTGTCTGAAACTCGCCGTGAACAAGACCGAACAATCACCGCACTCTGTTTCCTGGGCCGTTAGAACGCCTTGAACCCTTTCACGGCTATGCAATGGAACACGGTCATTCGCCATTGTTTTATGTCGCACACGGACGCTATGCAGTGGTTGAACTACAGTTCATAGTACGACTCTTTTCTGTGGCAGCTCTTGTCATGTTGTCTGCGGTCTCCATAGATGTTGCAATTATTCGCTACGTGTCTACAGTGATGCAGATGAGCCACCCGAATCCGTCAATTGAGCCGCTCACGATCGTCATGTACGTTATGACCTATCATTGACTAGAAGGCCCCGAAAAATGTCTACCATGCCTATCCCATTCACGTCCAACAGGTCCAACTTCTTGCAGGCAACAAGCGTGAGACTGGCCGGTCGGCGGGTTCCTTGGCTGGTGAAACTACAGCCATATCGCTCTACACCACATACACCTCGCTAGGTGATGCGGATTAAATGTGCTCCGCAACGACAAGACGGAGTCGGCAAGGGCCACTGTAGGAGTGTTTCACCTATGGACCCCTCAGACATTCCGACCAATCGGAGCCATATGCCAATGTTGATGACTGGAGATGCTGCCTATGTATTCCTCCATATCTCATCGTCTCGAAAAACTTCATCCACTGTCATACTCACTTAGAGTTGCGGACAATATGGACGACTTCGTCCTGCTCGAGAAGTCGGGCTCGTCAGAGAAACATCAACTCTTCCACGACGTGCACCGGTTGACCGCAGCAGGCACAGCTGACCATGACCTGCAGTACTTGGCCGCTCTACGCAAGGCTAACCCGGGCATGATTGTGACAGCAATTCCCATCAACAACATCCCGCTTCGCGCCTTTGCCGCAGCCGGATTTGCTTCTTGCGAGCTCGATACTGAGACCGACTCTTTCGCCAGCCGGCGAGGTTTCCAAGGTCCTATTAGGCGCCAGATCCACGGACACCTGGCTGAAAGTGTCCAATTTGCAAAGTACCATCTGAAGTGGGCGAGCGAAGACTTCATCTTCTACCTAGTTGACCAGGTCCAATATGTTGTTAAGGAGCGTCGGGATGAAGAACGTGCTCTGGGCCCCTCTAGGGTAACGGACGCTTTGATTCAGGCTGCTGGCGACTGGCTCCTCAGCGACCAAGAAGTCGTTTGGGTGTATGACCTGTTCTGGACGCGAAGCAAGCCACTCTACGACCAGGTCATGAAAGCCTCGTGGGACAAAGTGATCCTGGATGAGAAGATGAAGAAAGAGCTCACGGCTGCAGCAAACAAGTTCTTCTCTGCCGAGCAGACTTACAAAGATCTTGGAGTACCTTGGAAGCGTGGGCTGTGAGTGTCTAAATCCGTTAAATGTCGGCAGGTCCATAGTTAATTTCACTTGTTATAGCTTGTTCCACGGTCCGCCTGGCAACGGCAAGACAATATCGATCAAGGCGCTCATGCACACACTGCTCGACCGAGACGATCCGATACCAACACTGTACGTACGCAACGCTCCACGAACCTTCGATATCCACAACGTCTTCATGCAAGCACGGGCGCTATCGCCGTGCATGTTGATCCTGGAAGATGTTGAAACCATTGTGACTCCTCTAACTCGATCGTACTTCTTCAATGAGATGGTAGGTAAGCCACAATGCACACTGTCAGCTACAGCTGACGAGATGTAGGATGGCTTGGAGAACAACGATGGTATACTCATTGTGGCGTCCACAAACTTCCTGGACAGACTTGATCCAGGCTTGTCTAAACGGCCATCCCGGTTCGATCGCAAGTACCTTTTCCCGCAACCGAACGAGCATGAGCGCACGCTGTATTGCGAGTTCTGGCATCGCAAATTGCAAGACAATCCTCTTGTTGACTTCCCAGAAGCTCTTGTGGCTCCAATGGCGCATATCACAGCTGGCTTTTCGTTTGCTTTCTTACAGGAGTGCTTTGTGACGTCCTTACTGACGCTGGCGAGAGATGAGGACGAAGATGACGAGCACAGTCGGTTCTCTGATGACTTGGAGAAGTATGAACTCTGGAGGATCTTCAAGCAGCAAGCCGAGACCCTGCGGAAACAGATCGAGAGCGAAATAGAGGATCCAAGTTTCAAGTCTCTCGACGAGAATGGGGTGATGCCGGAGGCAACGAGCTTGAAGAGCGAGTCGAAGGAAACGCTACCGAGCGGTGCAGGTGCCGGAAACGACACGCTGTTACATCCGCCTCCGCCATCTAGCGCCGACGAGCTCTGGAAAGACATGGAGGCGGAACTTGCAGCCATCGTGCCCACCCTTACCTTCGGATCCTCCTCTCGGCAGCCGTATACTCTAACCGACATGCCTGAGCAGACAGGTACAGCACTACCAGACCTAAATCATCTCCATCCTACAAACGAAGTGCTACCGGAGCTAGCGTGGCAATACCGGAAACGCAGGTACATCAACAGCGCAGCGTACATGTACGGGCCCCCGGGCTAGACTGTTTGGCAAGCTTTGAATCTCGCCGCCGTTCCCAAGACCTTAAGACTTGCTGTCCTCTCTGAGCATCCCCACCCGCCTGTGTTCGTTTAGAAATTGTAAGCCTTGTAGACCTGCCCTGGAAGAGTCTATAGGACTTGCGCTAGACATCTAGACCGCACCCGCGTAGACTACCCACACGGAGTTGGTTACGTCTATCGGCATTGACCTTCGTGGTGCGGACTGATCCGCAAGGAAGAGTGCCGGAGCTGACAGTATTTCGTATTGCGTGTTCACGATCCAAGCGAATTCGGCTGCAATTTCTGGGCTTCCGGTGATAAGCATTGCACTCCTAGTAGCTGATATGGTGTTGTTGCTGCTCGACCTTCCATCTCGGGTTACTGCCCAGCTTTGCGGCAACTCGGCATTGCTGCAGCATCTACACCGCCCCTCATCCGCCCCGCGAGTTCGTACGAGGCAGAAGCGGCGAATGACTACCTTTGTCAGCAGAGTCCCGCTGGCCTCAATGTCTCTAGTAGAATGCACGGAACCGTTCGAGATGTGTAGTTCCGCTCCTGACAGCAACACACAGACCGCTGGCTGGGGTGAACGCGAGTAAGCACCTGCCAAGCAACGGATCTACCATCTACCGTGGGGTATGCATGGTCCCGATGCTTAAATATGGTAATCACGGTCCCGCAGTCACCCTTTTGTGGCTCCGGCATGCTTTTCGGTCGCCATGTCAAGCCTCGGATCCGAGGTGTGGAACGAATGAAACGCAGCAGCAGGCGACGGCCGGAATTTGTGGACGTTTAATGCCGACAGTAGTAGTCAACGCATCATGCACGTCCGCACGGTGAGATCTCTTTCCTTTGCCGCCTGAGTATCGCTATGTTGTAAATCTTCTCGTTCTTCGTTGTGTCGTTGTTGTAAGTGTGAATCTTGTGGTACGCTGTCGTAATGGCAGCGCCGGTCCCTGAACAGAACTGGTCGGCGAATACCAACACACGGCATCCGGAAGACCCCTCACACGCCGAGCCTGTTGCGGAGTTTCCGTTGGAAGTGGTCAGCTCAGAGTCGTCAGCCAACCAGGAGAAGATTGTGGATAAGGAGGCGGTCGAAGAGTATGAGTCGTCCGACTCCCAACATGATGTTGAGAAGGAGAAGGCGCACGTCAGAGCACCGCTCGAACGAGCAGAAAGTGCATGGACGGAAACGAGCGTTGCGACTTCAATAGCGGAGCCCGAAGCGCAACAACCAGCGCGAAAGCGAACATGGGGCGAACGACTGAATCCGCTGAAGCGGAAGATCCCACCACCTGTACCCAAGGAGCGGCAGCCAAACCGCGAGCATGAGGCGGGTGTTTTCAGCAAGATCTACTTCCAATGGATGGCGCCCCTCATGGATGTTGGCTACCAGCGGCCGCTGGAGTTGAACGACATCTGGCTGGTCAACCCTGACAGAAGCGTTGACAAGCTACAGCCGCTGTTGATGGAGAATTTCGAGAAGCGGAAGAAGGTTGGGAGCAAGAGCCCCTTAACGATGGCAATGTACGACACTTTCAAGACGGAGTTTCTCATTGGCGGCGCTTGTCAGCTAGTCGCAGCATGTTGTCAAGTGCTCTCCCCATTCACGATGAAATACGTGATCAGCTTCGCAGGAGAGGCATACTATGCGAAGACTTACGGCGCTCCGGCACCGTCGGTAGGCCGTGGTATCGGTCTTGTCATCGGCATTACCTGCATGCAGTTGATCCAGTCTCTGTGTACCAACCACTTCATCTACCGAGGTATGACCGTCGGAGGCCAAGCGCGTAGTACGCTTATTGCGATCATCTTCGAGAAGGCGATGAAACTCTCGGGCAGGGCAAAGTCCGGTGGAAAAGCAGTGGGCGCGAAGCCAGAGAAACCAGAGGGTCTAAAGCCTGGGAGCAAAGAAGAGAAGAAATGGATGAAGGAGAATTTAGGCAAGCAAAAGAAGGGTCCCAAGGGCAAGAAGGATGTCGAAGGCGACGGTGAAGGATGGAGTAACGGCCGCATTGTCAACCTTATGTCAACCGACACGTACCGCATCGACCAAGCGTCCGGCATGTTCCACATGGTCTGGACTGCGCCTATACAGGTTTTTCTCACGCTCGCGCTGCTCATCATCAACCTCACGTATAGCGCCCTGGCCGGTTTTGCTTTTATCTGCCTGTGTATGCCGTTGCTTGCAACCGCCATTCGGAGTCTCATGAAACGCCGCACGTTCATCAACAAAATCACGGATCAGCGCGTGTCTCTCACGCAGGAAATCATCTCGTCTGTACGCTTCGTCAAATACTTTGGCTGGGAAACGAGCTTTCTCGACAGACTGGCTGAGATTCGAACGCGCGAGATCAACAAGATCAGCTTCTTGTTGTCTATCCGCAACGGCATCATGGCGATCTCTATGACCATGCCTATCTTCGCGTCTATGCTCGCTTTCATCACCTACTCGCTATCGAACCATGTTTTGAACCCGGCGCCCATCTTCTCCTCCCTGGCCTTGTTTAATGCTATGCGCATTCCGCTGAACATGCTGCCCATGGTTATCGGCCAGGTGGTTGATGCCGGTGCATCCCTCCGCCGTATTCAGGAGTTCTTGAACGCGGAGGAGTTGCAGGATGATGCAAAATGGGATATGGAGAACAAGAGTGCCATCAGCATCCACAATGCGAGTTTCACTTGGGAGCGCACACCTTCGCAAAACACCGATCAGGCGCCTGGCAAGGACCCGAAGAGCATGAAGCAAGTCAAGCAGGAGAAGAAGCAGGCTAAGAAGGAAGCCAAAGCGGACAAGCTTAGGTCAAAGATGCTCGAGAAGGAGAAGCTGGAGGGATCGCCAGAGACGCCGTCTACGCCGACGAGTCCGGGCAGCCCAGTGACTCTGCCAAGCGACGATGTCGAGGAGGAGAAGCCTTTCTCAATCTCTGGGATTGATATTGACATTGGCAGACACGAACTTGTGGCCGTTATCGGGTCGGTCGGCTCAGGAAAAAGTTCGTTGCTCGGTGCGCTCGCAGGTGATATGAGAAAGACTGATGGCTCCATGACGCTTGGTGCGAGCCGTGCATTCTGCCCGCAGTACGCCTGGATCCAGAACGCGACGGTAAAGCAGAACATCATCTTCGGCCAAGAGTTCAACAAGCAGTGGTACAACGATGTTATCGATGCCTGCGCACTTCGTCCTGATCTTGAAATGCTACCCAGTGGTGACTTGACGGAGATCGGCGAGCGTGGTATCACAGTTTCTGGTGGTCAGAAGCAGCGTTTGAATATTGCTCGTGCGATCTACTTCAATGCCGACATCGTGCTCATGGACGATCCGCTATCTGCCGTCGACGCGCACGTCGGTCGCCACATTATGGACAACGCCATTTGTGGTCTATTGAAGGACAAGTGCAGAGTGCTCGCAACGCATCAGCTGCACGTACTGCATCGCGTCGATCGTATCATTTGGATGAAGGAAGGCGAAATCTTCAAGGTCGCCACGTTTGACGACCTGATGGCGCATGACGCCGAGTTCCAAAAGCTCATGGAGACGACCGCCGTCGAAGAGAAGAAGGAAGACCAGGATGAAGTGAACAAAGACGAGATCGAGGGGGAGAAGAAGACCGCTCAGAAGAAGAAGGGCAAGAAGCCAACTGGCGCGCTGATGCAGACCGAAGAACGTGCAGTCAAGGGTGTCGGCTGGGACGTCTACAAGGCGTACATCGAGGCGTCGGGCACCATCTGGAACTTGCCCTTGGTCCTGCTAATCCTTATCGTCTCCCAGGGCGCCAATATTGTCACCAGCTTATGGCTGTCGTACTGGACGTCCAACCGCTTCCATTTGGAGATGGGAGTCTACATCGGCATATACGCCGCTTTGGGCGTTGTGCAAGCAGCACTGCTCTTTATCTGGTCAGTCGCTCTTACTGTGCTCGGCACTCGAGCCAGCAGAGTCATGCTGCAGCGTGCCATGACGCGTGTACTGCGGGCGCCCATGTCTTTCTTCGACACGACGCCACTTGGACGTATCACGAACCGTTTCTCCAAGGACGTCGATACCATGGACAACGCGCTTACGGATGCCATGCGGATGTTCTTCATGACCATGGCCATGATTCTGTCGGTCTTCATCCTTATTATCGCCTACTACTACTACTTCCTCGTCGCGCTCGTGCCACTGACGCTCGCCTTCCTCTTCTCTGCCAGCTACTACCGCGCTTCTGCGCGCGAGATCAAGCGACACGAAGCCGTGTTGCGTAGTGTGGTGTTCTCCCGCTTCGGCGAAGCCGTCTCCGGTGTTTCCACCATCCGCGCGTATGGGTTGCAGAAGCAGTTCGCTCAGTCCGTCAACGAGGCGGTGGACGATATGGATGGTGCGTACTTTTTGACGTTCGCCAACCAACGCTGGCTTTCTACTCGCCTGGACGCCGTTGGCAATCTTTTGGTCTTCACGGTTGGCATCCTAGTCGTTACCTCCCGCTTTGCGATCAACCCTAGTACCGGCGGCTTGGTGCTATCCTACATTTTGACGATCGTGCAGATGATTCAGTTCACCGTCAGGCAGCTGGCTGAGGTGGAGAACAACATGAACTCGACTGAGCGCATCCACTACTATGGCACCAAGCTCGAGGAAGAGGCACCTCTGCACACGATCGACGTCCGACCGACGTGGCCAGAAAAGGGTGAGGTTGTCTTTGACAACGTGGAGATGCGGTATCGTGCAGGTCTGCCGCTCGTGTTGAAGGGCCTCAACATGCATGTCAAGGGTGGCGAGCGCATTGGTGTGGTCGGCCGCACAGGTGCTGGCAAGTCTTCGATCATGTCCACACTCTTCCGCATCACCGAGTTGTCTGGTGGCAGCATCACGATTGACGGCGTCGATATCGCAAAGATAGGTCTACACGATCTACGAGCGCGTCTGGCAATCATACCACAGGATCCAACACTGTTCCGTGGCACGATCAGAAGTAACCTGGATCCCTTTGACGAGCGAACAGACTTGGAGCTGTGGAACGCTCTCCGCCAGGCTGACTTGGTGGGCGCCGAGCAATCTATGGAGGACGAGGCAGGCCGTATACACCTCGACACGGTCGTTGAGGACGAAGGTCTCAACTTCTCGCTTGGGCAGCGGCAATTGCTCGCATTGGCTCGGGCACTTGTGAGAGGATCTCAGATCATTGTCTGCGACGAGGCCACTTCCTCTGTCGACTTCGAAACGGATCAAAAGATTCAGCGTACAATTGTGCGAGGATTCAGGGGCAAGACACTCCTTGTCATTGGTAAGCTCACTGGGCATGCGCTTGAATCCTCAAAATCTTACTAACAACAATCTAGCCCATCGTCTCAAGACCATCATTAGCTACGATCGCATCCTTGTCATGGACGCTGGCAATGTTGCGGAGCTTGACACACCGATCAACCTATATGATGCCAACGGTATCTTCAGATCGATGTGTCAGAAGTCCGGGATTCGCCGCGAAGACTTCTTTACTTCCACAGAAGCTCACTTTGCCGACGAGAGTCCTGTCTTAGAGCGCACGCAGAGTCGGCAGCTCGGTTATTAACCAGCATTTGCACATTTGCGTTTAGCATAGCACTGGTGTTTTCTCTCCGGACTAGATTGAGCATATGAATGCATATAGCATAGCATTAGCGGACAGAATGTGACCTATCTGACCGACAACAGTGCGATTCGAGCACATACCCGAAGCGCATCACATTATGCCACTAACGTCTCCTTTAGGTCATAGGCCAGCATCTCCGCTTCCAGCGTTTTCGCCTCCGGTTTCTCCAAATTCCTCAGCCACCGCAGCTCGAGTTCGCCGAAGACATCTGCGTGGTCCGAATGCTGGCGGAAGCCGACGCTCTCGAACAACGCTTTACTGGCTACGTTACTCTCATGTACTTTCACCCAGAGCCACTTCAGTTCTCCAGAAGCCGGATGCTGTAGCTCATCAGCGTACTCAGCGTAGATGGTGTCCCACTGGGTAAGAATGAAGTAAATGAATGCCTTCAGCGCGGCTCGTCCGTAACCTTGGCCCCGCAGCTCCGGACGAGCTATCATGAGGCTGACTTCGCCAGCTACGTCTTCGCTGTTGTCATGGGCAGAGGACGAAAGGAATAGGTTGACGTCCCCTATCATACGAAGCGGGGCGTCGTCGATGCCCGGTCTTACCGCGGGTCTCTGTGTCGTCCCGTGTGCAGTGTGATGGAGAGGCAAACAGATGATGAAGGTAAGCTTGTCTCGATCATCGTGCCACGTACGTTGCATTCCATATTCTTCGTCTAGCGTCAAGGGCTCAGAGGCTGTGATTTCTTGGAGTTCCGGGTCCTGCATCCATTCGTGGTAGGTTGAGACATGATGGACGCTGTAGGGGACTAGAAGACATTTTGGTGCTGATACGGCTTGATGCTCGTTCAACTTCATTGTAGTCGGTATGTCATTTGGGTCGATGAACAATGTACATAAGAACGACTGTGCATGCAGGTGAGGAAGAATGTGGGATGGTTCGAGATACTGAACGTAACTATTGAATACCTGGATCTTCTCGCCAGATTTTGAGTACCGTGCTAGGTTAGCTAGACAATCTCCATTTCATATTAAGCACATGTTCTAAGCTATCAAGTACAACATTGTAGGCAACAGTTGACCATAGAAGCGCCAAGGAATAATCATATTGAACAGCATACTGGAACTGAGTGGTAAATTGCCGCTATCGAGGTGGAGACTGGAGTGTTGGAGCAGAGCTACCGTGGGAACCTCGCAGATCAATAGAACCGCAGAGACCGGCCTTCTTACCCGGTAGTCATGAGTCGAGTGTAGTGCCGAGGATGGTCGCAGCCTGGCCTTGTGGACGGCTCCACGCGGGGAGGGATGGCTCCATATGGGGAGAAATGCTCTGAACTTCACACCGGAAGCGCAACTATTTCACACCGGGAGAGACAACTTCACACCGGGACAAACGGCTCCACACTGGAAGGGACGGCAACGATTTGACTATCAAAGCCATACGCATTTGCCGGATAGCGAGCAAGACCCGTGATCATGAAGACGTGCAACCAAGCCGACGGATACTCATGCGTGAGTGGTGAAATGATGGCAGCCACAGAGTCCCACCGCCGCCCCTTCTCCATCTTATGGGGTTCCTTTGATATGGAGATTGCAAGGAGAGAGCATATATAAGGAGAGCCCACGATAGCGTAGGACCATACCCAGAAGCTCGTGCAACAATTCCACGATACTGCGATAGTCATCCCAGACTCACAAACATGGCGTCTCATGAACAGACTCGCATGCATGAGCTTATTCGCGACAGCCCGCCCTGGTGGCAATCCAGCAAGCTAGTCCAATTGTACTTCCTCTTGCTGCCGGGTATGCCAACAGCTACCAATGTTAATTGCGCATTGTAAATGTCCCTGACACTCTACAAGCTCTTCTCACCTCAAGCGCCTGGGGTTTCGATATCAGCATGACGAACGGACTACAGAGCATTCCGGAATTTAGCAAACAGTTCGACAACCCAGAAGGTTCTCGCCTGGGCTTCTATGGCGCAAGCTCTTCGATAGGTGGACTCTGTGCTGTGTTGTGAGCGATCCTATGAGAGGAATTTGGTTGTGAGGCACGGATGCTAACCTGGACAATGATCGGTCTAGCATATGGCCTTTCTTCGTCGACATTACGGGTCGCCGGTTGCTGGTATTCATCGGCGCCCTTCTCGTTGTGGCAATGAGCATCATGGAGACTTTCTCTACCAGCTTCTATATGTTCGCTGCTGGCAAACTCCTCCTTGGGTTCGGCTCGTTGACATCTCAAATTGTGGCGCCGGTGCTGGTGGTTGAGTTGGCGCACCCAAAGCAAAGACAAGCCATTTCTTCACTTTACAACACCAGCTTGTACATTGGTTTGTGCCATCTAATTTTCGTGCAGCACTCATATTCATAACCTGACTCGTGACTCCCACAGGTCTGATCATTGGGGCTTGGATCGCTTACGGCACTGCTGGTCTCTCGTCTACGTGGGCGTGGAGAATTCCGGCCATACTCCAGACTGCGCTGCCTACCTACCAAGTGCTTACCATCTGGTTCTGTCCCGAATCGCCCCGATGGCTCGCCTCGAGGGGCCGCTTGCAAGCTGCGCAAGACATCTTGATTAAGTACCATGGTCAAGGGCGCGAAACCGATCTCGTCCAGTTCGAGATCAGGAAATCCTCGCGGGCATTAAGCCGACAAGTCTCAGATCAAGCTAAACCGGGAGGGCTTCCGCACCGTACTGTCTACGCGCGGCAACCTCCATCGCTTGTGGATGTGCGCCGTCACAGCCATTGCGTCGCAGTGCTGTGGTTCGCAACTCGTTGCCAACTACCTCCCGCAAATCCTTGATCAAGTCGGCTTCTCTTCCACGAAGGAGAAGACGTTGATGAACGGCTTGATCTTCATCGCCTCCTGGCTCTCCGCTATCGCGGCCGCCTTCACCATTCCGTATGTTCCTCGACGCAGCGTCTTTCTCAGCAGCACTGGTCTGATGCTTGTGCTGTTCACCATATGGACCGCCTTAGCTGCGGAGTATGTGAAGACCTCAAGCAAGAGCATCGGGATTGGTGTTGTGGCCATGGTCTTCCTGTTCAACATGACATACTGTGCTTGCTGGGTTCCACTAGTGATTGCTTACCCGCTGGAGATTGCAACAACGAAGCAGCGTGCCGTTTTCTTCTGCTGGGTATACATCTGCATCAACGCATCATCTACTGCTGTGAGCGAACCACCCCTTTCCGATCGACCTGCGCGGTCATTCTACACTCGGCTAACTTGGTCGTGCAGGTCACGTATATCAACCCTATTGGCTTGCAAGACATTTCGTGGCGGTACTATATCATCCAGACAATCTTCATTGCACTCGTGTTCATCGCGATCTACTTCACATTTGTGGAAACGCAAGGTCGGGACTCATTTTTAGACGTGTCTGAAGCAAATCGTCGGCTGACAGACTGTTCTGCAGGTTATACGCTAGAAGAAATCGCCGTGCTCTTCGATGGGCAAGAGTCATTTGATCGGGCAATGGTAGATGTAGCTGTGGGCGTTGGCAAGCAGATGGAACTTGATGATGGGCGTAAAGCAAGTGTTGTTGCTACCGAGACGGTTGAATCGAAGGATGCGTAGTGATCTGAACGCCATGGAAATGTTACAGTCGAGGCGTCAGTACCTGAGAGAACCAGTGTGCGCGAGGGGAACGCAATCTTCACTACTATATGCTGGAAGGTATCGTCTCACACGCAGAGCAAAGGTTGGAATATCTGAAGCGCGCAGACTCTGATAGGCTGCCAGAGTGCAACGGCCGGCAACCGAAGAATGGTGTCTCGAGCCTTGTATGGGTTTTCGCACAGACGGCCGACGAGCCGCAAGGCTTTCGAAGTGTTGTCAGGGCTGTATCTGAACTCTGTAGGCTGCGAGGTGCACCTTTCCTCATCGGTTATCTGCTGGTTGTCATGGTATACATGTTGGAAGTCCACTCTGCTGTGCGTGCATTCTCCCGAGTATGAACGACAGCAATGGAAACCTCTACGACCCTCTTAGCTTTGATAAGTTCAAAGGTAGACTGAGTTTAGGTGCTAGGTAGTATTCTCTAAGCTACTTTCATCTCTAGTACAACGGGAGGGAACTCTTTCTCCATACCTTCTTGACACAATACATATCTACCAACATAATGTGTTTATCACATCACTACGAGTACCTCTCTCTTATCGCATAAGACGTGAGCCATGCTAAGACCGGGGGGGTGCAGCGACTTCTGCGGCCAACCCTCGGTACAGTCTGCCCTGACGATTGCTGACAGCATGGATGGTTCGATACTTCCTTCAAGGGCTCGTAGGCTCGAGACACAGTACGTTCCCTTCCATATCATCTCTTCCACATGTCGGACATCCATAACAGCTCGGGAGAGCAATGATATCACGAGACAATCTTCGTATACTCGTGACCGGCGGAGGCGGCTTCCTTGGCCGGGCCATCGTACAAGCGTTATTGACCCAACATGAAACATGGCGCATCTCCGTCCTTGACCTAAAACCACCGGATCACGACATACTAACCCGACTAGAGCACTTCTTCCAAGTTGATGTTCGTTCCGCCGCCAGCGTCAACAACGCTTTCGTAGACTACATTCCGGACCTCGTCATCCATACCGCCGGCATCATCCCCGCCCGTCAGAAACGTTACAGCACCCGCAAGGAAGACTGGGAGCACGTCAGATCCATCAACGTCGACGGAACCCGCCACATCCTCGACGCCACCTTGGCCAGCGGCTGCAAACTCTTCGTCTACACCAGCAGCTGCACAGTCGTAATCGACGATCTAAACCATGACTACTACTATATGGACGAGACCGTCCCCATCGGCCTCGCAAACCTGCATTACGGCAAATCAAAAGGGATAGCGGAATCGTACGTCCTCGACCCTCGCCACGCCACAGAACGAGGACTTGTAGCCTGCGCGCTCCGCCCTGCCACCATCATCGGACCCGGCGACACGGCCGTGATGAGTCTAATCCATGACTTGATAGCCAAGGGCGAAACCTCCTTCATCGTCGGCAACGGCGACAACATCTACGATTTCATGTACATCGACAACGCCGTGCACGCGCACCTCCTCGCCGTCGAGAACCTGCTCACCACGCGCACAGCGGCAGGGGAAGCCTTCTTCATCTCCAATTGCGAGCCCGTGTATTTCTGGGATGTATTCGCGTATATCTGGGCGCAGTTCGGACATGTCCCGACGTTCCGGGTGCGGATCCCGATGGGCTTGGCGTGGGTCGCGGCGTTGGTGGCGGAGGCGGTGACGTGGGTGACGGGGAAGCCGAGTACGTTGGATACGGGGAGTGTGGCGGATGGGGTGCGGACGCATTTCTCGAATAATGAAAAGGCGAGGAGGGTGCTGGGGTATGAGCCCGTTGTTGGATTGACAGAAGGGGTGAAATTGGCTTGTGAGGTGAGCATCGAAACGTACGAGTTGTGAGCTCCGCTTGTATGTTGATGTGTCTGCTACAGGACTACAAGAGGTATCTTGCCGCACAGGCCAGTGCTGGCCATGCGAATGGATGGGCGAGGAATGAAAAGGCACCTAACGGCACGGTTCCGAATGGTGATAGTGTAACGATGGAAACGAAGACGGATGGAAGCCTAACGAAGGGCAACTTGACGAACGGAACGAACGGAAATGCATTGAACGGAAAAGGCAATGGTTGATCATGATCCTAGACTTCTCTTTGACCTCAGATATCCCTGAAGCGCGCAAAATCCTTCACCTCCTCCACAAGACAAGCACGTCGTATGAGAACACTGTCCTACCGCACCCTAACAACAATCTTCCCGGGCTCACTCAGTGTTTTCAACGCCTCCAACCCCTCCGCCGCCGTCTCCCACTCAAACACCCTCGCAATCTGCGGCCGAAACGGATGCCTCTCCAAAAACCCCGCAAACTCATCCGCCAACGCCTTACTCCCCGCCCCTAATTGTCCCTGTACCGTCTTCGCACCCATCATAATCGCCGGCATCACATTGACAGGCGCGAAAGGGTTCTGGCCCAGCATGCCAAGGCATATGATCGCGCCTCCGAAGCCGACGGCTTTGAGGGTTTGCTCGATGGATGACGCGCCCACGACGTCGAGGGCGATGTCTACGCCGTTGTTGGCGGTGAGTTCGAGGACGGTGGAGGACCAGTCGGGGGTGGTACGGTAGTTGATCAGGTGGGTTGCGCCCAAGTTTTTGGCGACGGCGAGTTTTCCGTCGGAGGAGGAGGTGGCAATTACGGTTGCGCCGGCTGCGGAGGCAATCTACTTACACGATCAGCACTGTCTGCTAAGTCAATAATATCGGGACGTTAACCAACCTGAATAGCATAACAACTAACCCCTCCCGTCCCCTGCGTAAGCACCGTCATCCCCTTCTCCAGCGGCCGCGGCCCGTGAAACAACGCCCTATACGCCGTCAAGCCCGCTGCAAAGAACGTACTTGCCTCCTCCATACTCAAATACTCCGGGGCACGAACGAGCCGCGCATCATCGAAGACGAGATGCTGCTGCAACGCTCCATCGTTCTCGCCCGAGCCGAGCGTATCCTTGAGCACAAATCCGCGCGGATCGTTCCCCGTCATCCATGTATTACCGTGGAGGATGACTCGGTCGCCTACTCTCCAGATGGAACTGGAGCCGGGGGTCTCGACGACTCCGGCGCCGTCGCAGCAGGGGACGAGGTTGGGTTTGGGTCGGAGTGGGTACGATGGGGAGTTGCTGATGACGGCGTTGTCGCGCGGATTGAGCGCGACGGCATGGATGCGGATGAGTGCTTGGTTGGGCCCGGGTTTCGGGATGGAAGAGAGAGTGGTGAGGGTTAGGGTGTTGGGGGAGGTGAGTTGGTAGGCTTGGTATGACATATTGATGGATGGAACGACTGGCATGTATTCACAACGCTAGATCGAGGTGAAGTTGGTGGTCATTCTCTTATACCGTGGGGGACTGCCTTGGCTTGTGGTATGGATTGGTAAGAGCGGTGGTCGAGACTTGGCAAGCTTCATGATCGTGTGGCGGCCACAAAAGCATCGGTTCCGCCCACGTCTCGAGGACTCGATGCGCTTGGTCGACTGGTACATAATTTGACTAGGCTATACAGCTGCAAGTCATGGTAAGCTCGTCTCAGAAGCTGATAATGCATGTATTGTCGTTGTTCGGCAGGCGTTGGCTCCACAGCCCTTAACGAGGCGGACCCTTAATCACCAGGCCGTTCGCATTCCTCGGTCTCGGTCTCGGTCTCGGACTTCGAATTTCGGGTCTCGGGTCCGTCGGGTCGTCCAGCGTGTCGTGCATGGTCGATGGTCGGACACGCATCTCTTCGATTCTTGCTCTACGCTCTTGAGAGAATGCCGATTGTTGTCGCGTGTTAAGAGCGGGTCGCTGGCTCACATCAAACGACAACGTGTAGGCACGCCGTGACCAGCAGGATGACCAATACCAACATGCCATGCCGTCCAACACTATCCAGCCGCTATCTTATAACGTCGTTGCGGCCATCACTGCGCACGAAAGCAGAGCACCGGCGCTTTCGCAATACCGCCTATACATAGGCACAGCCTTCACCTGACAACATGCTCCTTCGTCGCCAAACGTTGCAGCTCACTCTCCAACGACCGCATCTCACTCTCCTTCTCCCGCTTAATCTCCATCCTCTCCAGATGGCCCCACGTGAGATAGATGACCTGATACGTGGCAACGGCGATGAGGAAGTTCTTCAGCACTGGCTTGCCGAACTGCCGGTAGAAGTTGCGATGGGCGTTCGGTTTCTCGCTCTTAGGAACGTCGGGTGCCTGATAGGTCGGCTGTTCGTTCTGGCGTCGTATCAGTGAGCGGTGGAAGGCTCTTCGATGGACATAGTAAGGTAGCATCTTCGTCGAGAGCGTTTACATGCAATCGAAGGTGTAAATGCTGCGTCTCGTGAGTGAATGTACCATCGAACGGACAGCTTGCGCACGGACCAGGCCACCAAAAAACGCGAGTCGCGTGCGCGAAGGTGGAAGCGGGCATATCGTAAGGTAGAGAGCCATCAGCGATTGTCGAATGCCGCCCAGCGCAGTCCATATTCTCCCTTTCTTCCACTCTCGCCATGGTATGATCAAGCAAATCCAATCAATGTCCCGAAAGAGAGCTAATCAAACCGTGACAGTCCTTCGAAAACCCCACCCAAATCTTCGAAGAAGGCTCGTATGAAGAGAAAGGCGAGAATGCACGACTGTCCGCCTTTGTGGGCGCCATCGCCGTCGGCGACCTTGTCAAGTCCACCCTTGGTCCAAAGGGTATGGACAAGATCCTCCAATCCGCATCAACGGGCGAAATCCTTGTAACAAACGACGGCGCAACAATCCTCAAAAGCATCGCCCTCGACAACGCGGCAGCAAAAGTGCTCGTCAACATCTCCAAAGTGCAAGACGATGAGGTAGGCGACGGCACCACCTCCGTCACCGTCCTCGCCGCCGAACTATTACGAGAAGCGGAACAACTCGTCAACCAGAAAATCCACCCCCAAACCATTATAGAAGGCTACCGTATCGCCTCCACCGCCGCACTTAAAACCCTCTCCGAACACGCCGTCGACCACAGCGCCGATTCATCCCGCTTCCGCAGCGACCTCGTCGCCATAGCTCGTACAACCCTCTCCTCCAAAGTCCTCTCCCAAGACCGTGACTACTTCGCCAACCTCGCCACAGACGCCGTACTACGGATGAAAGGCTCCACCGATCTAACGCACATCCAACTCATCAAGAAGGCCGGTGGGAAACTCTCCGATTCCTACCTCGACTCGGGCTTCATCCTCGACAAGAAATTCGGCGTCAACCAACCCAAACGCGTGGAAAACGCACGGATCCTAGTTGCAAACACGGGCATGGATACGGATAAAGTCAAAATCTTCGGCGCGCGCGTCAAAGTAGAAGGCACAGGCAAACTGGCCGAGCTGGAAAAAGCGGAGCGGGAAAAGATGAAGCGGAAAGTGGAACGCATCAAAGCGCACGGGATCAATTGCTTCGTCAACCGTCAACTCATCTACAACTGGCCCGAACAACTCTTCGCCGACGCCGGCATCTCCTCAATCGAACACGCGGACTTCGACGGGGTCGAACGACTCGCGTTAGTCACTGGGGCGGAAATCACGAGTACCTTTGACCACCCCGAGCACGTCAAGCTAGGCCACTGCGATTTAATCGAAGAAGTCATGATAGGCGAGGACACGCTCCTCCGTTTCTCCGGCGTCGCGGCAGGGAGGGCGTGTACGATTGTGCTGCGGGGCGCGACGGCGCAGTTACTGGACGAAGCGGAGCGGAGTCTTCACGACGCGCTGGCGGTGCTGTCGCAGACGATTGCGAATCCCCGCGTTACGCTCGGAGGCGGGTGCGCGGAGATGGTGATGAGTAAGGCTGTGGACCAGGCGGCGCATAATGTGAGCGGGAAGAAGGCGTTGGCGGTGGAGTCGTTTTCGAAGGCGTTGAGGCAGTTACCTACGATTCTGGCTGATAATGCGGGGTTGGATTCTTCGGATTTGGTGAGTCGGCTGCGCAAAGCGGTGTACGCGGGCATGGAGAGTAGTGGGTTGGATCTTATGACGCCGGGGGGCGGGATTGCGGATATGCGGGAGTTGGGGGTGGTGGAGAGTTATAAACTGAAGCGCGCGGTGGTGAGTAGTGCGAGTGAGGCGGCCGAGTTGTTGTTGAGGGTCGACAATATTATAAGGGCGGCGCCGAGGAAGAGGGAGAGGATGTGAGTGCGCAAAGCGTGCGAGGGCATTGAATGATGATAGTCATGTGTGCATGCATAGCGTGGGTGCTCAAGGCTGTATAAGCTATGGAATCCGACACGTCACCGCCACTTAGGCGGTCCTGCGCTGAAGTGTGCCTAAGCTTGTCTGTCCTTCGCGCACTGCACGTCTTCCTTCCGCGGCTTGCTCGTCTGGACGCGGAGCCTCTATCTTGAATGCGTCTCAACCTCGTCCAACGTCCCTTGTCGCGACTAATGCACGGCTTGACAGGCAATCTCCATACCACTCGACCTTCCATATCATCAGTCAAGTAGGTGAACACGCCCCTCAATCCTGCTTAGGCTCCAACGTAGCGCCCGCCTCAATGGTCGCCCACCCAATCAAACGCCAATGCTTCTCAATCCGCCTCGACAACGCAACCTTCTCCCTAATCTCCGTACACGCCGGGCTCGTCAGCTGCAGTTTCGCAATATCGGCCTTAACCGCCACCACCTTCGCCCCCGTCGCCGTGGAACCGATATTCACCATCAACACTTCATTCTTCGCCAGTTTCGCCACCTTGGCTTGCTTGCCGTCGGCCGTCTTCACACCCAGCAGGCGTCGGAGGAGGAAGTAATTCACCTCGAGCTCGGTGTAGATTTTGGGCAAGCGGCCTTTGTGGCCTAACACGAAGCCAACGAGACGATCGGCTCGGCAGAGGGTTGGGTCGATGCGGGTGCCGACTCCGATGAGACCGCCGGGGACGGCGAATTTGAGGCTGTTGTTTTCGGCGAAGAGGGAGATGATGCGGGAGTGGATGGGGCGGCATTGGATTTGGCCTTTGTCGTCTTTGCTGACGATTCCAGGTCGGATTTCGATTTCGTCGCCGAGTTTGAGAATTCCCGTCAAGATCGAGCCGCCGGCGACTCCGCCTTGCAATTCTTCGATCTCGGAACCAGGTTTGTTCACGTCGAAAGAACGGATGACGATCAGGTGCGGGTCGTCGGAGAAGTTGCGGAGCGGGACGGGGATGGTGGAGCAGAGGTGTTCGTTGATGGCGTCAATGTTGAATTTGAGTTGGGCGGAGATGGGGATGATGGGTGCGTTGTCTGCTACTGTGCCGCGGATGAACTTTTTGATGCTGTCGAAGTGCGTAAGGGCGGCCTCTTCGCGCATGAGGTCGACCTTGTTTTGGAGGATGATGATGTGGTTGAGTTTCATGATTTCGATTGCGGCGAGATGTTCAGAGGTTTGGGGTTGCGGGCAGGGTTCGTTGCCGGCAATGAGGAGGAGGGCGGCATCCATGACTGCGGCGCCGGAAAGCATGGTGGACATGAGGATGTCGTGGCCGGGGCAGTCGACGAAGCTATATTATTAGTAAGGTATTGCAGTATGTCAAGGAGGATTTGACTCACGATACATGTCTCTGCAACCGATACGTCCCTCCACACCCTTCCCTCTCACAAGGCGGTTCAACCTCCTTATCGCTCTTGTAACTCCGATAGCACGTCGGTCGCGGACACTTTGGGTTGTCGCACTTGTACACCTTGGCATTCGCATACCCAAGCTTAATCGTGATATTCCGCTCCAGTTCGTTCTTGAACCGGACCGTCTGCACGCCCGATATCGCCTTCACCACGGTACTCTTTCCGTGCGCCACGTGACCTATCGTTCCGATGTTAATCGTCGCTTGTCGACAGATGATTTCGGGTGAGAGGGGCGTTAGTTTGGCCGGGTCTACGTCTTTTGGATCGGGTTGTTCGGGTAGGACAGGTCTTGATGCCAGTGCTGCCGCCGCGGCGTTGCTCTTTTTCAGTGCTGACTTGGGTGCCGGTGCTGGTCCTTTCGCTTGTGCCATGGTTTCATCGTCGAGGAGATCGTGTGTCTCCGCGATATCGTCGTCGTCTGCTTGCTCCATTGTGGGTGACTGTGGCGGGCTGTCATCTTCGGACGGGTAGTCCCCGTTGGTTGCCGCCATGGTTGCGTTGAACGAGTACGTGGAAAGTTTGCCCTGGGCCGTGTCCGCTCCGAGTTGCAGTGAGAGTCCTTACTGGTGCTTATGGACTGTGCGACACCTTTTCGACCTCTGAGTGTCTTGCGCCAGAAATGACTCGTTTCCGTCGCCAAAATGTTGATGCGGGGCGATCCTGACGCCTGAGGCATCTGTGCACGCGACCACTTACACTCCTCACGCTGCTTGGGTACGAAAGCATTATACCAGAACCCATCTCCCCTCTACGACTGTGACTGGTGGACTCACCCTCCTCCTGTGTGGATGAACCGTTACGTAGGTCCGACTTACAACCTCACAGAGCCATGACAAGCGTCGCGGCTGTCTGGCAGTTGGACATGACTGGCTTCATGCTACTGCTGTGGCGGACCTAACGCGAAAGGGACTGCTGTATCTGTTTCCTGGGGGCCGAGCAGTTGTCGTGCCCAGAAACGCCTGGTTCGCCGCCTGTCTTGCTGGAAGTGTTGACAGGACTCACGAAATAATGGTCCTACTGACTTGGTGGCCGGCGCTGTTCCCCCACAGGGACTTCGGTGCAGCTTGCTGGGCGACTTTCGCCGCCGTCAGCATTCAAGGTAGGCCATCGACCTACCAGGACATTGGTAGCTGCAACAGCATGCTGGAACACGCTCTGCCTTTCGTCGCCATGAATTGACCGGCGGCTTGGCATAGCATTGAAGTGGGGCTCATGCGGGGCTTGTGTCCCTGCAGCAGCTCACCGCTTAGGCTTGCTCGTGAATGGCTTCTCGGGGAGAAAAAGTGTCAAGACAACGTTTCTGGTTGGAGAGACAGATAAAACGGTGCGACAGTGACCATATTGGACCGACAACATCTAGTAATATCTGGGACAACTACTTGCAATCCGACCACGTGTCCATATCATAGCTCGAGACGACAGTTGGCCTTGCGCTTGCTCCCCGACACTGCGTTCACTTTCCCAAGGCGTTGTGAAGTCACAACTCGTCTTGTAACATACCGACAAGATGGCTGCAGTCGCTGCCAGCGTAGTGCCAGCTTTGGCTGATCGGCCCGTCAAGAACACCATCTGCCTCTTCGACGTCGATGGCACTCTTACGCCTGCAAGAAGAGTCAGTAGAACAGCGATTGGATGCGGCAGCAGCTGATACTAAACGAACCCCAGACCGTCTCTCCCGAAATGCTGCAACTCCTTTCCGCACTCCGTCACAAAGTCGCAATCGGCTTTGTCGGCGGCAGCGACCTCGCGAAGCAGCAAGAGCAGCTCGGCACCGCTCAGATCCCCGTCACCACCCTCTTCGACTTCTGCTTCGCCGAAAACGGCCTGACCGCGTACCGGATGGGCCAACCGCTTGCCAGTCACAGCTTCATCAAGTGGATTGGCGAGGACAACTACAAGAAGCTTGTGCGCTACATCTTGCACTACGTCGCGGACTTGGATCTTCCAGTCAAGAGAGGTACTTTCGTCGAGTTCAGGAACGGCATGATCAACGTCAGCCCCATCGGCAGGAACGCGAGCGTGCAGGAGCGCAATGATTATGAGAAATTCGACCTTGAGCACAAGATTCGCGCGACGTTTGTGGAACAGATCAAGAAGGAGTTTCCAGATCTAGGGTTGACGTAAGCACTACCTTCTGCCAACGTCCAAGGCATTCACACTGACACACATCGTAGCTACTCCATCGGCGGCCAAATCTCCTTCGACGTCTTCCCGCAAGGCTGGGACAAGACGTACTGCTTGCAGCATGTGCAGAACGAGAAGAACATGCCAGGCGGTGTCGATTACACGACCATCCACTTCTTCGGCGACAAGACGTACAAGGGCGGCAATGACTGGGAGATCTACGAGGACCCGAGGACGGTGGGCCACAGCGTGAAGAATCCGGAAGAGACGATGGCGGAGCTTAAGAAGCTATTTGATTTGTAACGCGCGGAGAAAGTGAATAGATCTAGCTGTTGCATGTTAGAAGTGTTTGGGTAGACAAACCCACAGCAGCTCTGCCAAGAACTTAGCGTGTAAGACGTTCGTGGCAGTCGCGTGTTTGGCAACCTCACCCCACACGGCAACGCTTTGCAGCTTTGGAGACTTTCTTCCAACGCACATAAACAAGCTACGATATCAAATCCCCCACGCAGTTCGACAAGCGGAACTGCAGGCGATGCATGTGGCGCTCTCTCTTCAGAGCTGGCGACAGCGCGGCGTTCGCCGCAGTAGACGTGCTGTTATCGACTAGCTTGAGGCATCAATGGCGTCGGTTCTGTGAGAGAGTGACCCCCAGATCGCCCTGGCACAGATCCCGTGCAAGTGCGAACGTCAAAGCTCCGTCTGGCAGGTTGCGCTGCTTTCTGGGCGTGCGTGAGGAGCGCCGTGAATACTCGACTCCTAAAACTGGTCATGGCAGCAGGGTGCGCTGGACCCCAGAGGAGACAGGCAAACTTCTACAGCTACGCAGCGAGGGACTAGATCATGCAGCGATTGCGTCTCACTTCCCAGGCCGAACAGCAGGTGCCATTAGCAACCGCATAACGAAACTCATCAGCAAGCGCGAAGCCGATGTGACACGCAGGCCAAGCGCTTCGTTAACCTCTGATGAAATTACAAAGCTTGACAAACTCACGACGGAAGGCCTTCCATGGCCGCAGATCGCGCAATCATTCCCCGCGCACACCGCTCAAACCCTTCGGAACTGCATGCGTGCTCTGCGCCAGAAGGAGCAGGCGGTTAAGCATGGTCGCTTCTCCACGGAAGAGGACGAAAAGCTACTATCGCTCGTGGCCACCACGCGTCTCCCATGGACCGAAATAGCAGCGGCTATGGGCCGAGCCACCAAAATCGTGCATCGTAGGTATCACCTACTTGTGCCACCAGACCAGCGGATCCTTCGCCGGCGTGCCGGAGCTTTGTCCGACGAAGAAGTGGAAATCATGCGCATGATGAAAAGCAAAGGCGGCTCATTCCGACAGATAGCTACTGTCCTTGGCCGCTACAGTACAACGATTGCCGAGACCTGGCACAGGCTACATGACGGCGTTGAGCCTAGGACTTGGGGCGCTCCACCACAACGTCCCGTACCTTTCGACAGGCAAGACGACCTGATTATTTGGGAGAACAGGAAGAAGGGTTTGTCGTTCCGCCAGATAGGTCGGTTGCTGCAGACTACGCGAAGCGGACAGAGCATTTCCTGCCGCTATCGGCATTTGGCGGACCTGAAACGGATCGGGAGAGAGCCAACGTACATTATGCGCGTGGACGGCGCCGTGGATTCACCGACCGCTGGAACGGAGAGTGCCAAGGACACGGCTGGAGAGCTTTCGACGCATTCTCCGCCATAATTGTGTGCCTGTCGCCTATCCACTCTCTCGCGCAGATAGTGTCACGCTCTATGGTGCAACATAACGGCTCGGTGACCACTGCGCTCTGCGATGGGGCGCGCGTACGGCACCTCAGACCCGCGCTGTAGGTGATATCTCTACGTTTCGCGCGACGCCGAAACTCAATCAGTGTATCCATCTTTACGCGCCGCTCAATGATGGAAAAGGCGAATATGCTGCTCCACAAACGTAATGCCAAGCTTCTCCGCCGTCTCGAAACAAGGCTGGTCATTCTGACTGCCCGTCGGCGCAGCGATATACTTCACACCACTCCGGCCCACCCGGTAGACATTATCAGTAAAGGGGAAGAAAGCGTCGCTGCTCACGGCGACCTCCGAAAGCTTTCCAAGCCAGGCTTTCCGCTCTTCAGGTGTAAAGATCTTGGGCACCTCCTCAAAATTCTTCTCCCAGTCCTCGCGCTCGGCACCGAACTCAGGCACGATGCCGCTGCAGAGCAGGTCGATGGCGTTGCTCTTGTCGGCTCGCTTGGTGCCTTTCTTCCACTTCACAGCCAATGCTCGCTCGTGGAAGCGCATCCACCAGTTGTCGGCTTTGTCGCCGGCTAATCGTGTGCAGTGGATGCGTGACTGCTGGCCGGCGCCGAGACCTATGACTTGGCCATTGAGCGCATAGCAGACGGAGTTTGACTGAGTATACTTGAGCGCGATGGTGGCGACTGTCAGGTCACGTAAGGCGGAATCCGGAAGAGGCGGCGAGTCTTTCGGCACAATGATCGTGTTGAATGTGTTGTGTGGCGTGATGAGGGCGTCGTTGTGAGCTTGTACCAGGTTGACGCCGTAGACGGTCCGTTGTTCTTGCATTGGTGGGGTGTATGACCGGTCCATCTGCAGGACGAGGTACTTGCCACCCTTCTTCTTGCGCAAGATCTCAAGCGCTTCAGGCTGGTATCCGGGCGCGATGATGCCGTCGCTGACTTCCTTGCCTATGATCTTCGCGGTCGGCACGTCGACTTCGTGCGAAAGCGCGATCACGTCGCCAAAACTGGACATGCGGTCTGCGCCTCGCGCTCGCGCATATGCTTGCGCCAGGCCGGAATGTTCAAGGCCTTCGATGTCTTCAACCATATACACTTTCTTCTCAAGTTCGTTGAGAGGCACGCCGATCGCCGCGCCGGCTGGTGACACGTGCTTGAACGAAGCCGCCGCTGGATAATCCAGCGCCTCGCTCAACTCCTTGACGAGCGGCCATGCATTGAGGGCATCGAGCAGGTTGATATACCCGGGAGCGCCAGCCAACACTTTGAATGGCAGCGGTCGATCGGCCATGAACGCCGACGCAGGCTTCTGGTGCGGATTGGCGCCGTACCGCAGCGAGAGCTGCTGTAACCCATCCCCCGCATACTTCTTGCGGAAGAAGTCGGATATGGCGTTGTCGTAGTCTGCCGTATGCGAGAACGCCTTGAGCGCATACAGCTGCCGACTCTTCTCCGTCACCTCGCCCTTCTCCAGCTCCTGCAAGAAGTCATGGTAGTCTTCCGGATCGCTCAGGATAGTAACTCGCGTGTGGTTCTTCGCTGCCGCTCGTATCAAAGTAACTCCGCCTATGTCTATCTCCTCCACCGCTTCCGGTATTGTAACATTGATCTTCGCGACCGTGTCTTTGAATGGGTACAGGTTGCAGATGACATAGTCGACTTTATTGATGTTCTGCTCCGCCAGATCCTTCTCGTCCGACGCTAGGTCTCGCGCCAGAATGCCTGCGTGCACGGCAGGGTGCAGCGTCTTGACCCTACCGGACAGCATCTCCGGAGCCTTGGTGATGGCCGAGACATCCTCGACTGGGAAGCCACCCTCACGGATGAGCTTTGCTGTACCTCCGGAAGCGAGAAGACGGATGTTCTGCTTCACCAAGCCCTTAGCTAGGTCGAGAAGACCCGTCTTATCGTAGACGGAGAGGATGGCTGGTTAATTGTTAGCAGGCGGGCTGCAGTATGGAAGTTGTCGCGGGTATGTTACCGATCTTCTGCGGCTTCTCTGACGCCATGATGGAGTTGCTGTGTGGCTCTATCTTCTTGCGCGCCACGTATAAACAGTAGCGAGGTCAAACTTCAATCCATTCAGATTTCCCGAGTGTACCTTTTTTCGAGTGCCCCACATCTACCTCATACACCCCGCCACGCGAGGATGTACGCTAGTGGGGCGACCCTTGCAGCGATTGCATGTGATGGAGTTGGAGGCGGTGCAAGATGAACGGCAGATCTATCAGCCAGCCACGCATTTTGGTGCACAGAGTCAAAGTGATTCCAGCGACTTCGTTGTTGACATTCATAGGCCGATGTACATGGATGGTGATGGAGAATGCGTACGCGAGCTATCAGTCTTACCTATCCCGTGGTACGAGCCTTCTGCCGATATTGCCAAAACACACCGAGCTTACAAACAAGACGCTTGCGATCCACGTTGCAACGCTGACCGACTCTTGGCTGAACAATCCCAACACTAAACCCTGCCCCAAGACTGCGTTCGCACCATTGGCCTGCTTGTTCGTCTGACTCTGCAGCACTTGTGCGGCTGACGGAGAAGGTACGAGTGCTGGGTTGACGCTGAGTATAATCGCAGTGCCGCTTACTGAGACCAATGTCGACAGTGTGAACCCAGCAGGCGTGCGATCGATCAAGTACCACAATGCTGGATTGGCTATCGCAAGCGTGAGCGCAAGCTGCATCGTTGACTGCCACGGTAACCGACGGATAGCAAAGGCGATGCCGACGAAGATGCCGATTGCGCGGACGACATCGAACCAGTCACCCGAGCCATGCCCGCGTCGCTGAGGCCGTTCCTTCTCTTCGAGATCCTCGTCCTCGTGTGGCGTCCACAGCTTGTCGAGTCGTGGTAGCGCCTCGCTCAGCGTCACACCAAGGCAGGCCCACAGAGACAGGTACGTCCAACTCTGCCGATTGACGCCTTCGAGCTTTACGGGCGCAATGCCTTGTCGATCGTGCAGATGGCTGATCAATAGGCCGTACATTACACCGACGGACGCCATAGCCAACATTCGGACCGCTGCTGGCAGTACCAGGCCTCGAAAGCCTCTCCTCGGGGCATGATGCACCGGCGTCATTGTACTTCTTCGTCTCGTGAAGTTGCCATCTGGTCCTTTCTGGTTGTTCAATGAAGCCAGACTCGACCTCGCCAAGTCGAAGGATCCATCTCGGCCTTCGACCGGTGTTTCTGCGCCGGTACCCCAGGGAGTGCTTGGCTCTTCTCTGTCCATAGCATAGCCGGTCGGTTGATAGATGCCGAAGAGTGTCGAGCTTGTGAGGTTCAGTATACTCCGCGTTCGCGCGGGTGTCGTACTGCCATCTGCCATGCCGCCAGGTGTTTGCAGGTTGGAGAACGACTGTTTCTCCGGCGGAGGGCTTGATGGTGCTGTTGACGGCGGCGAAGCCAGCTCGAATGTTCGATCCTTAGGCCTCGGTCTGAGCATTATATCGTCGCTGTCATCATTATGAGGTATGGGATGGCTCATGATGGAAGAGGAGAAGCGAAACGCAAGTCACGCGCACACGACAACGGCTTTCGGTTAAGTTCAGTATGCGGTCCAAGCGCTGATCCTTCGCAATAGCTGTACTCAAAAGGAGGACCAACGGGTACGGCGATAGGGTCGATAGACAAGGCGAGAGAAATAGTTATGACTCGAGATGAATCAAGACCTCATCGCTCGCTTTCGCGGACGGAAGGTGGGCCTGCCGCAGTCATTACCTTTGCTGAGCCAGGCATGTGCGCAATGCATGTGAAAGTGACCCTAGCCCTCATTGAAGGCGCCCCGGCTCGGCTCGAAACGGAGCGTCTCCGCCTCCGACCTGCATCGTGGGAAAGCGGAATTTTTGCATGTGATTGCACTTCGACATGAACGACTCCTCACATACCAGCATGGCGACAACAACAACAGAGACCGTCACCGCTCCGGCTCCTCGTCAAACTCAGGTCCGCATCCATCTACATACCCGCAGCGATGATATAGAGTTGCCGCAAGACACCGGACCTATTCTCGTGTCAACAGGTAAGCTTCTTGTACGTCTTGACCTATGGTTAACATCTCGAGGCCGACTACGATTTGCAAATCTTCCATATCGTAAACAGCCGCATAACACTCACAGTACTCACAAGTCGGTCAAAGCCCTGTACTCTTACTGGACATACCTTGACCACGAAGAATGATCGACGTTTTATTAGCTTCAGTCACCAATCATTGCGCTCTCTTGGGCAGCATTAGCACGGGCCCGGCTTCATCTGCGACATGGAAGTAAATTGCAAATCGCTAACGATCGATCAATAGAGGTGAAACGCTATCAGCTGTCAACTCTCGTCAACCGCCTTCTTGAAACAGAAAAGCCAGTACCGCTTGAGTTCCTAATTAATGGGCAATTCCTTCGATCTTCTCTCGATGACTTCCTCACTCAAAATGGCATTAGTGCGGAGACGACACTTCGGGTTGAGTATGTGAGAGCACTCATCCCACCGCTTTACGTTGCCAGCTACGAGCACGACGACTGGGTGTCAGCCGTTGATGTCCTGTCTCCATCATCCAAGCCTGTGAGGTGGATGCGCAACGCAGAGGGACCCGCCATGCCGCAGCGGATCTTATCTGGAAGCTACGATGGCCTTCTCCGAGTTTGGAATACCTCGTCTGAGGTGATTGCTACCGGTCAAGGGCATACTGCGTCTGTCAAGGCCGCCAAGTTCATCTCGCCGACACAAGTAGTGAGCTCAAGCGTTGATCGGACGATTCGCCTATGGAAGTTCGAGGATGCAGCAGCAGAGAGTGCTGGCACCTTGACGCCAACACTGGAGCTCTTCGGTCATAAAGCTTCAGTGGATCGCATAGCCGCTCACGCTCCGTCTTCCAGGATACTCTCTGCTTCTGCAGATCACACCATTGGTCTATGGTCGTCGAAGAAAGCCGAGGCCCCTGCTGCACCAGAGGAAGTCCTTCCATCAGCCAACAAGCGGCGCAAGCTGTCCAACACCAAGACTGTCCCTCAACGAGGCCCGCTCAGCCAACTGCTAGGCCACCAAAGTCAAATTGCCGACGTCTGCTTCGACGAGAAGGATGCTACCGTTGGCTACAGCGCTTCATGGGATCACACGGTGAAGACATGGGACTTGACGACCAGTGCTTGCGTCGACACGAGAACGACAGCACAAAGCTTATTCAGTATCTGCCATTTGTCGGAATCCTCTCTACTCGCCACCGGAACGTCTGCGCGGCATATCACACTGATAGACCCGCGAGCGTCAGCTACTACGGTCTCTGCGATGACACTGCGCGGTCACACTAATGTGGTCGTGTCGCTAGCGAAGGATCCGAACTCCAGCTATCAGCTTGTCTCAGGCAGCCATGATGGGACATGCCGGGTTTGGGACATACGGTCTGTACGTGCCGAAGCCATGGATCGCGTGGGCGACAGTGTGTACGTGATTGAGCGGAACAGTGCGAGTGGTGGATCGAGGCCGGCTGCTGGTGAGGGCGTCAAGGTGTTCTCCGTGTGCTGGGATGCAGACGTCGGTATCGTCAGTGGTGGCGAGGACAATCAGGTGCAGATAAATAAGAGTACCACGTCGTGACAGGCGTGACATCCTGTGTCTCATCTTCATCAACGATTTCTCTGCCATTGCACATGCACCAATAACTAGTCATCCCTCGCCGCTAAGAGTCATGGTACAGGATATCGCTCGCTACATAAACATCTTTGCAACCTGCATCAAGCTACCAGCACTATTCATCCAGCCTCCTCCTCCCGCTCCGTCTGCCCCATAACCAGCACTGCCATAATACCCTCCAGCACCGCGACCAAACCTCGTCGCGCCATCCATCATAGGTATCTTAACATTAAACTGCCGTAGCAATCCATGTATCGCCCCGCCCGCACTCAACAACGGCACAACAACAGCAAAGAAAGCCTTCATCGGATTTCTTCTCGCATAATACCACAATTCCTTGAACATGCGCTGTAGCTTGTGGATCAGGTAGCTGATATATCCGTCCCGTGGTCGTCTCTTGTAGTATGAAGAGCTCCCGCCATTACTGGAGCCGAAAATACCGCGCGAGCTGGAGTTGCCGAAGACGGAGGAGCTGGAGCGGGCGGCGGAGGGGCGAGTGTAGTAGCCTGCGTTTGATGTTCGGGAGGGAGAGTCGCGCCGGGAGTGGGAGGAGGAACCGTGATGATGAGAGTGTGTCCGTTGACGTTCGCTTTCGCTGTATGACCGGCCGCCGCCACTGCCGCTGCCGCCTCCGACGAAGAAGCTCATCGTTGTGAGAGGTTGGCGTCCAACGGCTGATATGTGCGACGTAGTAAACCACGTGGAGTGGTTCTGCAGGCTCCCTTCAACCGTTGAGTCGCTTCCGCTGGAGTGTCAAGCGCTTCGCGACCCTTTTCACGCAGTCGCTGCGGTCGTACAGCTGCTCGAACTCTGTCTATAGCGTTGTTGAAACAGACCGCATTGGAGGTGGTTGGTTTCGCATTCAGCTTGCTCAAGACCAGTCCATTCACAGCGTAGCGGCCGTTTTGTATGCAGGGACGCAGCGGGAGAGCGCCACCAGACTGCCTCCACCTCCACATCCGCTTCGAGATGCCGACTCGAGACGGCACACGATCACGGATAAGAGCTTGTCCGAGTAGACTTTTGTAGTCAAGATGGGGGACAAGCAGTTCACAGAAGCTCACGAGGTGTTGTGTCGTAGATGCAGGCTAGCGTATCAAGACTGCAGGCCATTGCTGGTCACGTTGGAAGGACGGGTGCCAAGATGAAGCACCACTTGATGATTGGGACGTGGTGAGTTGAACCTCTATTGGGCTGTTTCGTGCCTGCCAATTCGGGAAGGAACATGGCCTCTGCATTACGTGGCACGGTCTCAGTTATGACCTCTAATGTCTAACACTCCATAGGACGCCACCTGGCGCTATATTCACCGTGGAATTCGACGACGAAACTCGCTCACTGCAGCTCATCAAGCGTACTGCAATCCCGGAAGACCAATCAATCTCATGGATGACCTTCGACCATGCCCGCAAGAACATCTACGGCGCTGGCATGAAGCAATGGGGATCGTATACTGTTCAAAGCCCCACGGAGATCCATCACCATGCCTCAATCCCCATGGGAGGCCACCCGAAAGCAATGGACGCAAGCACTAAAACCCGCGCCATCTTCGTTCTCGCGGCTAAGAAGGCACCATATCTGGTCTACGGCAACCCTTTCTACGACTATGCAGGCTTCATCAACGTGCATAGCGTTAACGCTGCGGGCGGCCTAGAGCGCAACGTACAGAATGCGGAGCTTGACCCAAACTCTGCTGTCCATGGTATGGTCTTTGACCCGCAGGAGGAGTATCTGTACTCTGCAGATATGTGGGCGAACAAGATCTGGTGCCACAAGAAGGTTGGTTGGCGTTGCTCACTCTTTAAAGACATTAAGTCACTCGCTTACTTCTTCTTTAGGACATGCAAACCGGCCTCCTGACACTCGTTGGCTTCGTGTCTGCTCCCGCGCCAGGCGACCATCCTCGTTGGGTCGAGATGCACCCATCAGGTAACTACCTGTACGCCTTGATGGAAGCCGGCAACCGTCTCTGCGTCTACGTCATCGACGAGACTACCCACATGCCCGTCTACAGCCGACAAACCTTCCCGCTCATCCCACCAGGCATGGACGCCCTCCACCCGAAGATGTATCGATCGGACGTCGTCTTCTGCTCGTCGTCAGGCAAGTACCTGTTCGCGACTGCACGATCAAATAGTGCGAAATTGACAGGCTACTTTGCCGCCTTCAAGCTCGGTGAGCAAGGGCAGGTGGAGAGGCAGATCTGTCTCAATCCGACTCCGACTAGTGGCGGACATAGTAATGCTGTCAGCCCATGTCCGTGGAGTGATGAATGGCTGGCTTTGTGCGATGACGAGCAAGGCTGGGTGGAGATATATAGATGGCATGATGAGTTTCTGGGTAGGGTGGCGCACTTGGATATCAAGGAGCCCGGTTTCGGCATGAATGCAATTTGGTATGATTGAAGCGGATAAACAGCGCACAACATCAACGTCGTGTCATGCCTGCGATATCCCGAGATCACGAGATTGGTCTCAAGTATTGATGGTACACTCTAGCCCAGCATGACCACTGCGACGTGTAGGAAGCCGTCAGTATACGCGCAAGCTCTGCCTAGATCTTGCAGATTTGCATTCATTGGCACCGCCACCCCGTGCAAGACAGGCTGTGCCAGTAGTGGATTACGCCGGCTTGGGAATACTGTAGGTAAAGTGCTGTTCAGCGCCGTCCCGAGCGTCTGCGGTTGGCCAGAGGCGATCTGCAGAGGCTGCAGGGACTGTACAACGCGAATGTGCCCGGCTTTGGGCTCCTCAGGAATGGTCTCGGACGCTGTCTGTGACGCTGACGTGGGAAGGTATATCTTCAGGGGGATATGACGGAGCTCCATACCTGGCGGGTTTAGCAGCTTGTTGTTTACGCTGTTAAAGAGCCGGCGGTCATCTTCGGTGAACACGTTAGCGTTGAGGGGAAGTCAGCCGGTCATAGAAGTGCATACGCGTTTGTACCGCTTGCCATAGCTTGTCCGAGTCATCCTTACTCAGACCCATTACTGTCCTTGCCGTCCCATTGCGGATGAAGTCCGCCTCCTTGACGGCGTTGATGTACGCGTCAAGCATCGTCCTTCCGCCAAGATCAAGCGGTATCAGTTGATCGGTAGGATGATTGCTGTAGTGGACCGTGAGTCTCCAAGGCATCGGCACCGCATTACTGTTATTTGCGACCGCAGCGTGAGAGCCAGTAACAGGATCATGACCGGACCGCCGCTCTATATTGATCGGCTCTGCGCCAGAGTAGAGATCATACAACAGACCGAGTGGATAGTGCCATTTCAACGGCACGTCTTCGAAGGACAACCATGCCTCGTGCGCGGCAACTTCCGGATTGATGAGAGAGCCTGCGAAGAAGGAGTGCAGCCTTGGCGAGAGAGAAGCCAGGTAAGACAGTCTCGGATACTGGATCAAGTAGGCTTCGCTATCATCGTACGTTCGGCAGTCCCTGGCAGCCAGCCGTATTTCTAATGGCAAGGAACCGTTCCATATCTGGGACTGGAGACTCGCGGTGCGCTCAGGCGTGGGCGGCATCACCGAAGCGACGTGTAAGATTTACTAAATGCGTTCCTGGGGTGGCATGTGTCAGACATGACTGCAGTGCTATCTCGAACTCGGTTTCGATGGCGACGGTTGAGGCATGTGAGGGCACGAACGGGAGGAGATATAGGGCTGAGGGTAGTAAGAGAACGGAGCTCTGCGGCGACATCCGTCCCCAACCCAAGGGTTTGAGGATAGACAAACAGGACCTCAGCATTCTACTCGGGCACAGTGGGCACTATCAAAGAAGGGATCGAAGCGGCACATTGAGTGATTACATCGTTGGTGAACGTAAAGTCTCTTCTCCAACAGCCTGTAACCATATGCAGAGCTCCTTCATCACGTGAACAAGGCTGCAGACACATGCACACGAGCTGGCTCCACGCCCATGTGAGAGGCACCATTATGGCCGACTCAATCTCATACGGCGAAAACCGGTCTGGTGTCGCAAAGCCGTGCGTCTCTGTGCTCTCCTAGCGGCTTGCAAATCCGGCACCGGTCCCGGAGTTCATGTCCCCGGAGTCGCCCCTTCAGCCGTGTCCTGACTCTAAGCCCGACAATCCGAGGAGGCCTCGCGCGCCGCTAAACGCAACTCTGCCTCCATATCTCGCTGTCGCTGCTATGTTGCTGGTCCTCGTTCTTGTTTCTTCACCTTCTGCCGTTGCTTTCGTTGCGGCTTGCGGCAAAAACCGCTAGGGCTTCGAAAAGCGCCCGCTATCGTGCCTATAATGGGTACACGTCTGCATTGCATTTGGCGGCACTGCCTACCCGGCATATTCGGGCTGCTCAAGAAGACTCCTGATCTTTATCCGAATCGATAGCGCCAGGGCTGCCGATTTGGCGCTACGCTTCCGGACTGCTCCCTTCTTCCTCTTTGCTCTCTTTCGTAGTATCCTTCCTGATTGGAATCTTGATCCCTTGCGCACTGAAACATTTACTCAAATCGGTACTTTCGATGACACCCGGAAACCGTTTGGCCGAAAAGACCTGAAACTGCTCCGAAAAGACGAACGCCAACACCGGTGCTCTACCCCGGTTGAGGCCACCGGTCGAACCCGCTCCGACATTAACGAAGCTCATCTTGAGTCGGAAGTGCCCTTCCGTCCTGACTGATAGGTCCTGCAGTACGAACCAATACGAAGTCTTGTTCTGCGGGTCGTAGAGCTTGGCTGCGTTCACTGCCAGGCTGCCAATGAGGTTCCTCGTGAACAATGAATTCGACATTTGCGTCTGCGGTACGGGTAACGGGCCCATGGTATACTGTAATCCTCCATATGGGTGAGGGACGCCGTATTCGGGCTGCTCGTAAGACATGGGCATCGGACCTGGCGCCATGCCCGGATAGGCAATGCTAGGGCCAGCTAGAATATTATTAGCATGTACGTCCGGACATTGATGGGGGCACATTCCAACATACTGTTTAAGAAGCTCATACGATTGTCCTGCGTTGGCGGATAGGACGTCATTGTCGCACTACTTATGGCTTGCGCATTGGCACCGGCAGTGGCACGAACGATATTGACCTCGCGATCCGCGTTCGCATCATAAAGATCGACGGTAAGAATGAAGAACGAGCCATCTATATCACTCACGTTCACCTCCTCCTTCGTCGTCACGTCCCTTATGACGAGCCGTATGCAAGGTGGTGGCGTCAGCGGCCTTCTGTCTTTGTCGCCAAATCCACACATTCGTGCCCGTTGCGGTTGCTGCTCAACGTGCAACGAGTATATGTATTTTCCATCGTCGCGGCTTTCCGACATCTTCCTGTCCACTGCGGCTTGCCGTGGTTGCTGCCCTACCGGTAGCCGAGGCGCGGGACCCGGTTGGCCCTGTAGGATCGCACCGGGTAACTGGTAGGCTCCGCCATACTGCGGCTGTGGTGGCGGATAGGAAGGGTGGTAGCTCTGTGGTGGTGCTATAGAGCCTACCGGGGGCAAAGATAGAGGATGTTGCGGTGGCTGTTGGTGTTGCTGTTGAGGGTTATTGCTTGCCTGACCTTGTTGCGGAGGATAGCCTGTGTAGTAATAGCCTTGCTGTTGCGACGACGGCGGTGGCTGATGCTGCTGTTGGTACGGGTTCTGGTTGGGGTTGTACATCTCCGCTCCAGTTCTTGTCTGACCGTTACTTATGCCATTAAGCGAACCATTGCTGTAGGGCGATGGCTGATAAGAAGGATGGGCGTGGTAGTTGTCGGGTTGCGGCGGGGTTTGCATGGCGAGTACCCTGGCACGCGAGCGGATGGACTCGGGCTGGCAGCAGGTGGTGGCGACCGTTATTGTACGTCAACGTCAACGGGTAAGTGCAGGCTGCCGAGCAGTAGCCTTTCGATATGCTTTATCGACGTTGCGCACTTCTTCCTTCGTCGCTTCTTCAATGGCCACAATGCGCACAACGCGCGAGCTGCCGCAAAACCTTAGTCGAGCCTGCTTACCATCTTCGTGGCATGGAGAGGTCTATGGACGCCGTTGTCGAGGGTCCGTCGCGTTGGCGGAGAAAGTAGTTTCTATGCGTGCCTTCTTGTGACTGCCCATGCTCATGCTCATGCAGCGAGCCGAGGATCGATCGCGAAAGAAGCTCAAGGCAGGGGCATCGATAATAAGGCTTCCAAGAGTAGGTTCGCGTTATGCGCAATAGGTTTCAAGCTGCAGCGTCTTCGTCGCACAAAACGCAGCTCGATCTGCACCGCCGAACTGACCCTCCACCAAGTGCTTGAGGTAACAAGTAACAAGCTCTTGCGTGATGCTGAATTCTCTTCTCGCACCTTGTAGCATGTGAAGAGAACGTGTCAGATACTGTGAACTCCTGCGCACTGTAGCGGTAATGATCGATATGCGTCTCAAGGCCCGCAGTAGGTCAATGTGAGCCTGGTAATGGTAAACGCCACTGTCAATATCTCACGCGCGCGCGCTGAAGTGGCGTACAATGACCCGTAACGAGTGACTTAATGTTACAGTTATGGCCAAGGAGAAAGCTCGGTTACAATCAGATTGAAAGAGGATCTCCTCCCCACCACCGTCTATGTCCGTCCTGTGCCCGGCAACCTGGCGCTGGGCTGAACGGTTTCTGCGGTTTCTCCCTCCCTCGTGCCGCTTCCCAGGCGTCGCGAACGGGCCGGCAAATGAGAGATCTCGCCGCTGGGGGTCGGACAAGGGCGCTGCCTAGCGTGCCGCTATGATGGGATGCTCTTTGTCCGTGTAAGCGATGCATGATCTTCTGGAGACAAACGTAGTGTAAAGCGTACGCTATGCAGAGTTGATCTTCAAGACTGCCCACTATCATATAGGTTGGGCAGACAGATGTCAAACTGGTTGACAGACGGGTTGACAGACGGGTTGAGGCAGAACTCGCATCAGCAACAGACGAGCGAAGGCTTTTGGCTGATTCGTCGAGTTTCATCAACACACTCACTCCGCCCACCGGGTAAGTTCAAACCCACGGCCCGTTATGGCGGAATCGTGCACAGAGAATCTGGTCGCCCAAACGATCGTGGACACGCTTTACCGACCGCCCCACCACCAAAATCGGCGACCTGCTGCTCGATGAAACGACGCATTGGGAACAGTGCGTCTGCGGCAGCTTGCATGGCCTAAAGTTGACCGGGTTGCCTTCTGTGAGCTGTAGTAAATTGCAGAATGGCTGCTGCTCGAGATGATCGGCAGTATAACTGGTGCTATCTCGGCCTCAGGTACACTACAGCGCTCGGTGGCTGTGTGTATATTCGCATTGTAAACATTAATGCTGTATATATAGTCCAGCAGTATATACAACAATTCGTACTTCGATACCTGCTGGTGGATGACAGATATATAGCTGTCCCTATGACGGCATTGTAGCGACTGTCTCTCTCTACGAGGACGAGGCGCTTGATCCCTTGCCAGCGCTGGTGGACGCAGACGTGCCGTTTGGACTTGCAGAGCTGGAGCCGGCGGAGCAGTCGAGAAGGCCTGTACAGGAATCGTGAGATAAAGCTTGATGCACTCGGCTGAGGTAAACTTACCGCACTCTGATGTGCTGGTGGAACTGGTGCTTGATCCGTCTTCAGCCGCGGCGGCGGAACCTGATGTCACGTCTTGTCAGTGACACGGAACAATTTAGCGCATGGAAGGCACACTGACCTCCAACGAGACCGAGATTTAGCGGGCCATTGTTGTTGGTAGTTGATGTCGAGGTGGAGCCGGCATTGTTCTGGCGTGCTTCAAGACCTGTTTCCAGGCTAATGGGCAGCGCCACCGGAGCAGCCAGGGCGGCGGAGAGAAGGGCACTGAGGATAAGTGCGAAGCGCATCTTGATTGATTTGGTATTGGTATTGAGAAGGTGGAGATGAGCGCTGGTGACGAGGGGATAAATGTTCGAGGAGCGAATGTATGTAGCGAGTGTATTGACAATGCTGATGCAACGCGAGGGACGATGTCTACAGAAGACGAGAGTTATCTTCTTATACCGTGCTTAACTGTCGATCTTACCTCGTTGAAGTCTTGTGGACCATCGTAGCAACGCCGTGGCAGATGAAGTCTAGTAATGGTTCCGAGGGGAACGCGTTGTTACCATGCCTAGGATCTACGATTGCGGGCGGTAAACCTCGGTGTGGGAAGGCGACTCATGGAATTGATTTGGACTGCCAAGTGCTATGAAGGCACTGAAGTGTGCCGCAGATCCGCAATTGTGTGCAGGTACGGGAGGTTAATAATGCGGTCGTCATGAAACCTTCAGCAGTCGCACCTACATCTCTTCGTGCGCAAACGTTCACGACTCCAATGTTCACGGCTTGTGATGTTGGTAGCTTGGGGACGAAGATGTCGGCCCAGAGACCAGCAAACAGCGTGGCAAGTACTGAATGTTCGGAACTGTTGTCGTCGGTGCTGCAGAGATCAAGTAAGCTACCATGCGAATTGCGATTCCTTAGTCGGACATCGGATGCCACTCCGGCTTGTTGGCGGAAACAGCTACGAAAGTTTGGTGGTGTGTTTTTGAACGGTCGATCATTCAAAGTTGACTTTGAAAGTGAATAATAAGATCAGGCTGGTGACATGCAGAGCGCCAATCTTCCACCAAGTTAATCCACTTCCACTCATCCATACTTTTCCTCGGACGCACTTGATCGAAGAGATTGACGGTCTTAATATGCAGTGGAACTGCAGCATGGTACTCCGTGAAGAGGTCAAAGATTGAATGTGTGCATGGTGTCAGAGAGACGAGACGGCGAACATGGAGACAGTGGAGAAGGGTGTAGCCGCCGGATGCTACCGTTTATGCCGGCTTCCGTGCCTGCCAAGTTGAGTTGAGCCTCGGAGTACCGCAGGCAATAACATGTAGGCTTTATATGCCTAACTATGTCACCATGCTAGCGAAATTGCATATCTTGCACCTCATGCACGCAATAGCTCAATGCCGCGACCACCGCTTGAAGTAAGATTGAAGGAAGAGAGGGCGAACCACGAGGTGAAATCGCTGCACTTCAACATGCACATGCGACTGTGTATAGAACTTAAGTTACTAGATCCGTGAAAGGACACAAACAGGGCAAGCTGCGGATGAGCGCCATCGTTGTCTCGCAGTGCCAGTGTTGATTCACAGAGACGTCGATACCAAGGAGCTTTTTTCGAGGTCTCTGTGTTATGAGCGTCGAACGATTCTGCGTCCCAGCAATGAGGTGCATGCTTGGGTTGTGCCATGCCTGCATTTGGGCCCGTCTGTTGTCGGCCTGGTCTCGTCGATGCGTTACAGAGAGAGCTCACAGCTGCTCTACACCAGCAGCAAGCCTATCCATTGTCTCCACGCCTCCTACCTCCGCCAACTGCTTCAAGGCCTTCGACAAGTACGTTAGTCGCCGCCTCCGCTCTTTCTCTTCCATCTGCGAGCTGCGCATCCTAGCTTCGTCAAGGAGGCTCCCTGGCAAGCCGGCCAGTCTTGCAACGTTGAGACCGTAGCTTCTATGTGCAACGCCGTCTCCGACTTCGTATAGAAAGGTCACTTCTGTTTCGCCAGATCCGGTTTGCTGCTCGGTAAAGCGCATGTGCACGTTCTTCAGCTCGCCTTCCGGAAACTGCTCGGCCATGCGCGCGAGCGACTGATAATGCGTGATGAACAGGGTCAGGCTCTTGAGCTTGGAAATGATGTAGTTAAGGACGGCTTCCGCTATCGCAACGCCATCATGCTGTAACGAACAATGTCAGTGTCATCTAGATTGACTAGAACGCCGCGACACATACCGTGCTTGTGCCACGTCCTAACTCATCCAGTATCACTAGGCTCCGCGGCGAAGCTTGCTTCAGAATATCGCTCGTTTCACTTAGCTCAACCATGAACGTACTTTCACCCTTCATCATGTTGTCAAACGCACCCATGCGCGTGAAAACTGCGTCCAACAGACCAAGCTTCACCGAGTCGGCAGGCACGTAAGAGCCGATCTGCGCCATGATGGCGATCAGCGCCACCGAGCGAACATATGAAGACTTGCCACCCATGTTTGGCCCAGTCACGAGCAATGCCCGCGGGGCTTCGGAAGCCAGATGCACATCGTTCGGGACGAAGGCGTCGAGCAGTAGCTGCTCCACCATCGGATGCCGGCCTGCTTCGATATCGATCCCTATCTTGTCGGTGAACTCGGGCTTGCAGTAGCCTGGCTGAGCTGCCACTTCCGCTAGACATAGCAGACAGTCCAATAGCGCGAGTGACTGGACGCAGTCACGAAATGCTTGATACTTCCCACCAATCTCAGTCAGCAGTGCCACGAAAGCGGCGTCGCAGGCATTCGCCAAAGCCTCTTTATGCTGATCCCGCTCACGGATCAGGCGGACAACCTCTGGGGCGTGGTACCGGGATACTTTCTTCGTGCCTGAAATCTTGGCCCATGAAGCCGGTAGGTTCTTCAGCTGGCTATTTTCGAGCTCGATGAGATAGTCGATACCAGCGACAGTGACATACTCGACCTTCTTCCGCTTGACCTTCTCAGCTGCGACCTCCTTGAACTCTTCGAGGTCATGCTCAACGGCCGCAATGCCGACTTTGTGGTGCGTGATGTCCTCCGTCTCGTGCTCGTCCCGGAATAAGCCATACTTGTCGTCCTTCTTCGCGGCTTCTGCGTTGAGACGCTCGAGATACTGTAGCACGTCGTCTGCGATTCTGGGCAAAGAAGCGATGGCTTCACTGATGAGCTTCGACTCAAATCCAGCGTTAGAAGCCGAAGTGACGTGCGCATACTCCTGTGCGATCATCTGTAGAGTCTGCAACACGCCTAACAGCTCCGGCCGTGTGCATTTCTTGTAATATATGCGGATCAGTGACCTTTCGAGATCAGCACGAGTCTTGTTCAGCAAGTGCTCGATGCGATCAACTTGGGTCGTCTGCTGGTTGTTTTTGAGCTCCTCGATCGCTGCTGTCCGCTCATCAAGCCGCAAACGATCCAGCAGCGGCCTACCGACCCATTTCCGTAGCAGCCTGCGACCGAAGCGCGTCCGCGTGCGGTCAAGCGTCCAGAACAGACTCCCGCGCTCGCTATAATCCGTCTGATTGCGGTAGATTTCGAGAGACGTCAGAGTGTTTCCGTTCAACAGCATGTGCGATCGTGCGCTGAAGGACTGGAAGTACTTAGTGAGGTCAAAGACGTGCTGCAAGCCGTAGTCGGTAAGGTGGGTGATCATAGCAGACAGACAGATCGTCGCGTTCTCCGAGAGCTTGTGAACCTTATCCAGAAGCGTGCCGGTCTCTTGCGACGACTCAACCTGGGACGATGAAGGTGCGTCTGCTCGCAATTTGTCCGCATAGAACCTGCTGATGTGACTGTAAGCTTCCGCAGCCATGGTCTTCGGCTTTTCCACGCGCTCCACGCGAGCTTTGTCGCCAAACACATTGGTCTTGCTACCAGACAGATGCTGAACCAGCTTGTCTGTAGCCCTCGATAGTCCACCAACTATCAGGAATTCGCACGGCGAAATGTGCAAGAGCCTTGTCTCAAGCTCGCTTCGCATCCAGCCGTCCTCAAAGTCGTCGTAGATTATATCGCCTGTCGAAGGCTGCACAGCAACAAGGCCGATCTGCACCTTCTCATCTGAGCCCCAACCCTTAGGGCGCGTCTCAGTGAGACACAGTAGGTGTCCAGTGGCTGGAGCGACACCCTGATCCTCCGGTCCTGGTGATGTTCCATCAAGAGCTTCCTGGTCATCGATATAGGTGCCCTTAGTGTAGAGATTGGTAAGGCCACGCTCGAATGTGGTATTGCGATTGGTGCCAGCAGCCTTCAGCGCCGCTGTCTCCAATTGTCGTACCACTCCGACCTTGTGACCTGCAGACACAAGGCGCTTGACATGGACACTGAGCCTGTGTACTGGTACGCTTGCCGAGGCGAATCGGTCAATGTGCGCCTCGGATGGATGCTCGTCGAAGCGGTACTTGCCGGGTATACAGACAATACTGAGCTCCTTTGCGGCTATCCTGGCGTCTTCGCCGAAGAAGCGGAACTTGTAACCAACTTCGACAACCAACAGGGTGTCGGGGTGCTTATGCTTGATCTCCAGCACTTGCTTCTCCATTGGTGTAAGCTTAGTGCTGGTGCCCTTCTTAGCCGTGACTCCCTTTCTGCCCTTAGTCTTCGGTGGCGGCTCAGGTTCATTCTCGCCGTCTTCATCGTCCGGTGCCTCCTCAGCCTCTTCCGTCTCCTCGCCAATGAAGTGGTTCCGCCGCTTGATTTCTGCAATGCTGTCGGGTCTGCCTAACCGCTTCACGAACTTCTGGTGTAGGCGTTCTTTCAGACGTTTCGTATCCTCATCATCGTCCTCCTCACCATCCGCGTTCGGGACGAGAGCCTCGGCGGGTGAACTGGAGAAAAGGTACTTCGACGTCCTTGCTGTTGTTTTCCGCTTGTGTAGGCAATCATTACTCTTACCGGACTCCGGCGCCAATGATGGTCTATGAAAGACTGGCGCAACACCGTCCTGCTCTTCTGCAGCATCTCTGTCCAAATGCTCAACCGTCTCTCTCAACCTCTTCGGAGCTGGCGCGTTGTCACCATCGTCTTCCTCCGCTAATGACCGCTTCAGCTTCTCTAAGCTACTGTGATCATCGTTCGTTGCGGATCGCCCGTCTTCACTAACGAAGAGCTCGTTGGTGCCGGCGGTATCGCTACGCTGTAAATACTCGTGGTGAGTGGTGGAAGGCGGGTTGCGCTGTAATGGCTTCGGCTTCGCTTGCTGAGGTTGTTGGCTTTTACCAAAGAAGCTGGAGATGGACTGCTGCTTCTTCTGCGTTGAGACCTGCGACAAAGATGGAGAGCGCTGCGAACCCATCACTGGTGTGTAGCACTGCGGAAATGGAAACCCATAGCGTGGTGACCGATTGACACAAAGCTTGGACCACGTCATTGTAACCTTACGCGTTCAAACGACGCGTCGCACTTGACGTGCTTCTACTCTCTAAACAAGTACATATGACAAGAAGCGACGATCATTGAAGATGCCAGTCCTCGGACAGTTATCGCCGCCCATTAGCATCGCTCCCCCGTAAGCACCACTTAACAGCCTGTCGTACCATAACCTATCAAGCGCATAGTGCTTTCTGGCCTCGCGAACCTCGAAGGAAGCTAGGATCATCATAGTCATCATCAACCCACGACGAACCAGTAATCCTAGGCTTCCACACGTATCTCCGCGAGGTAGGAGCACTCCGTCGGTACGGTGGCATCCATGCGCCGGGGCCAGTCCACGGACTCGGAGTGTTATAGTGGTCAGGACCGTTCCAAGGCCATGGGGAACCATTTAAAACAGGACCGGTCCAGGGCGCAGGAGTACTCCTCCGGTTAGGCATCCACCCTCCCCGGACATTGCTCGCCAGATCCTCCAGTTCGTCACGGAGTGACCATATGAGCCGATTGCCGTAGCCGTACAATGGCGCATAATGTCCAAGCTGCTCCGTCAACGCGTAGATTGAATCCGCCACACTGTAGGGAGCGAGGGGAAACCCTGTGAAGTACTGGTGGACGTAGTGCAGCATCCCTGGATCGAACACGTGGAGTGGAAAGTCTTGCTGTGAGTTCCGCGGGTTAGCAGACTTGTTTGCTTTGGACACGTTGAACGAAGTATGTTCTTACGAAGTCAGGCGCATATCTGCTGAAGACGTCGCACAGGTTGCAGATGTGATGCTGATGATAAGGTGCGTACATCGGCCAGGGGACATGGTTGGTCGACCAGATTTGGCAAGCCTGGAAATGGTGAGGGCAACCTGGACAGTGGCACCAACCACCAATAAGATCGTTCGGCTGGTTCTGGCTCCACATTACAATAGCACGCCCAAATGCTAAGGGTGAGGGAGTGATGGTACGGTGCAGTTGGAGCAGCGACTCTTATCTGTCACCGCGTCCTACCTGAGCTGAACACACATACTCCGCATGACGATTAGCACAGCTCGACTTCGTTACCGTCATGTCGGTGCAGCCACCCGTTCGTTTGCCTGACCGGGGAGGAAGCCGCAGCAAACAGTCTTGCCCGGTATGTTGCACCGAATCCCGACCGCCCCTCTGCGACCCTCACATGACCAATCAAGGTAGGTCAGAACCCGAACGGACGCCCCTGTCTCCCATGCATGACGCAGCAGTGTGAGGCTTGGGAGTAGGAAGGCCATGCTTCTAAGTTGAGTGTATAACGCTGAGACGTGGTCCTTGAGTCTAGCTCGAGGCCTGGGTCCGCATCTCTTCGCTTGAAGCCGTGACTTTCGTTCCTCGTGACTACTCATTAAGCATACACTTCGGTCTTTGTGCTTGTTCTGATACAGACAGTCACGACTCCCGACGCCAACGCTTACCCATCCCGTGAGACCTCTTTTCCGCAACACCAATCGCTATGCTTCGCTAAGTTTACTCCTGCAAACAAAGATTAACACTTGCATTACGCTTCACTGTTCAGTACTTCGACCTCCTTCCACCATGCTTCCTCGTGTCCTCCTCAAACACACTCTCGTCCTCCTCGGCGACGGGCGCAGGGGTTCTGTTCTCCCGCCCCTGCCGTCGTCGGTGTCGACGGTTGACGCTAATTTGACTAGCACTGTCGTCCGGCGCAAGAGACGCAACATCGCCAAGCCCGTCGTCATCATCTTCGTCTTCGAAGTCTGTAATGCCCGAAGCCGGTGTATCGAGCCGAACGAACTGATCCGACGAGTTAGAGCCGCGGCGGAGCTGAGTCTGCAACGCCAATCCTGCCGAACGCTCACGCAGCATCTGCCGCACTTGCTCCGCACGAGAGTGCAGCAGCTCGAATGCGTCTTCGAAGCGCTCCATGTCACTGAACAGGTTCCGCTCGACTTCGGCCAAGACCGCGATCTCCGTGTCTTCGTCCATCTGCACGGGCGCAGGTGCGCTAACGCCCGCCCCATTCGGTCCAGGTGTCGGCCCGCGCGACGGGAACATGGGAGGCTGCACAGCATACGGCGTACCAAAAGGATCTTCTTCTGGCGACATCACGTTACGCAAGGGACTGAAAGGCGTGGGTCCGCGCGATGCCGGCATACCACTCAGACCGCTAAAAGGCGTACCATTTCGTGAGAATGGCGTGCCGTTAACGCCCCGGGATGGCGCTCGTGATGGTGTGAACGTCCCCATAGAAGGTGCCACAGGCGTCTCGGCTCCAGACCATAAGAAGCCATCGAAGCGTCCTGACACCAGAATGTCCCACTCCTGCTCGTTCACTTCAGCGAGCGTGGCGAGCATGCCGTGCAGCTCAGGATTCGAAAGCAGGTACATTGCGCACTCGCAATCTCGAGGCGGCTTGCTGAGACGGTACAACCGGTGTAGAGCCTTCCTCGTCCGCTTAAGCGCATTCGACGGTGTACTTGGTCGCTCGGCTGGCGTCGGCGCTCGCGCTTCAGAGATGACACTCTGTCCATGCATGAGCGCTATGAAGAAGTTGCGCTGCTGCACATCTAGTCTCGTCATCATTGCAAACATCAAGGTATCTTCGTCCGCTTCATCAGGTGGGCTGCAGGGGAAGTCTGGCTGTTGTGCGAGCCAGTTCTGTACTGCTCGCTTCGTCTTCTGATTCTGTCTTATGTAATGGTCACGGTACTCGTCCGGCACGTCGATGTCTAGCTTCTGCATTGGTTTCTGAGTGGCGCCGGAAATTCCAAGCCCGCCGTCCTCGGGTTGCATGCTGAACGGCGGCCACTGTGGTAGCTCTCGCCGGCCTGCTACGAACTCTAAGATCTCGCCCCAACTGATACCACTGTCTTCCTCGTCAGACAGAGCCGGTTGAGGAGTCATCTTACATATGACGCAGTCGCAACGCTGCGAAGAGATGTCGCGTGCAAACACTTGTGAAAGCTTGTCCAGCAGTCGCCTTGCAACTGACTTGTAGCCCGTGGCCACTGCGAGAGAGCCGTTTGACTTCAGTACTTGCAAATAGTCGTCCAATCGCTTATGCAAAGTTGCAAAGACCTTCGAGTACTCCTCGAGTGGCGCTTGTTGTAGGATGGCAGGCGACTGATACATGCTGTACTGTTGAACAGGTGTTCCAGACTGGACTAACCTCTTCGGTATCAGACCTGATAAGCCGCCGTTCTTCAACAGATAGTCCACCCGAGGAGGCTCCTTGCCAGCTGCAATGTCCCTCGGCGCAGGAGGTGGTGGAGGCGGCATGGGCGGTACCGCCGTGATAGGCGTCTGCCCAAAGTTTCCTGTTGGCACGTAGGCCGATGCAGCACCGACATCAATGATTGGTGTCTTCCGCGGTAAATCGTCAACAAACTCGTACATGGGCGTCTGGGGTTCCGTATCGAGGTGAGGTCCGTCATCGTAAACCGGGATAATTCTTGGTTGACGGTGAGCCTTACGCTCAGGAGGTACGGTAGTCGCGCCAGAGTCGAAGGACTCCTGGGTGTTCTGCGTATTCTGCGTGACCGTTGAATGCGGCTGTGACGCTGATGCGGCGGTGGAGACGGACTTGCGAAATCCACTGCTTGGCGTCGTCTTGCGCTCATCTTCCGGGAAGGCGCCAGGCATGCTCGATATCTCGGAGTCACCATACGCCGCGGCCGCCGCAGCAGCATCCCTGCGCAGGTGCGCATCTGACCGCGAACCTTTGACTTCTGAACCACGCGGCGTGCCGTCTGCGCTCCTGCGGCCTTCGCTCATATTCGCTCTGACTTCGTCCGCTGCCTGCCGTATACTGCTACCACTTCCCGATCTCCGGATTTCTGGGTTGTCAGCCGTCAGCGGAGGACTAGGCGGTGTATCCGCTGCAAGAGGTTTCGCGGGTGTGGAATTTCTTCTCCGCTCTGGACCAACATCTGTAGCCGCGGGCGTCAGAGGCTTAGTATTGCGCACATCTTCCAGACTTCCCACAGCTTCTCTGCTATGCGCTTTGCTGAAAGTCGGGTACGATGTTTTCTGCCTAATGTCCACTCCGGATCCGCTCGCTGAGCGCCTCTCCATCTCTGGAACCACGAGTTCCACCTTACGCTTGCTCCCCCTTTCCGACGATGCTAGTTTGGGCAAAAGCCTCTCTCTGCTCGTCGATCTTCGCTTTCGGAGTTTCGTGCTTGACGTATGCGGTATCCGGTGCTTGTCCTTGGCAACTGGAGAGTCTCGATCTCTATCCCGCTCTCTGTCCCTATCCCGCTCGTCGCGTTCACTGTCCTCCTTACGACGACGCCTCTTGGGCTCGACGTCGATGCTTGGCATGATATCGCATGCAGTCAATGGCAGGGCAGGGTCCTGAGCGTTTGGGTAGTTCGACATCGGCATCCTGCCTCGTGCCCGAACCGCCAACGCCTGACGTCAAGTGATTGGCTGAAAGCAGCACGCTGGGCGGGTGTGGCTCCTTTGCGACCGCCTCATCCGAAGTCAATATTTCCACCATGAAGCTGCATACACTTCATCGCAGTATCTACACTCAAGATCCAGATGCGTTCACAGACCGAACGACCGTATGAATGTGTCTTTGTCCCCACGTCAGGCTCAGGCTGTGATCGAGGCTGCAGCGTGGCGGTGTTTCCCGTCATGCGCTGGGCAAGCTCTTGAGGGATGAATCAAATTGTCTTTTGTACTTTGTCACCCATCTGCAGACGACCGCGAGCAAGAACCGAGAGCAAACCACAGACTAGGAACGTGTTCACCACGACGTGAGGTCTTGATGTAAAGGCACGGCAGCCATTCGGGATGGTCCAACCGCTCCCGATCCCAGACGACCGATTGTTCACATCGTGGAGGTCTGTCAGTCAGTATAGCAAGCAGATGTGCTCGACGTAGCTCAACGTACAATTACTCGGCCAGATGAGGTCTAGGGAAGCCCACCCAGGCGTGGACCTTGCTTGCGAATGGAATGTAGCCATTCTCCTCCGCTCTTTATATCGACCCTGTGCTCTTTCTCAACACCCCCTCGAGATGCTACCATGACTGTGAACCCGCGAAACATTGCAATATGCATTACGTTGTTCCTTCTATCTGCGTTCGTGACCTACACCATCAGATCTTCCCACCATGGATCCGGCAGCGTCCTCCCAACTCTCCGTAAAGGTCGCTCACACTTCTCAACGCAACACCAGGTAGCAACGCCAAAGCTAGCTTACGCGACTTTCCTGGCCAGCTTTGGAGACCCAAAGGAGGATGAAGACGACGACAGTAAAGACGATGAAGACGGTTACTACCTTGGGGCTCGCGTGATGGCCTACCAACTCCTACACTCCAAATCAGCCGGCACGAACAACAGCATCCCCTTTCTCGTGCTCTGTACGGAAGACGTAAAAAGGAGCAAACGTGTTCGCCTTAAGAAGGACGGCGCGACCGTCATTATCGTGGAGAAGGTCGAGTCTGACTGGGCCAAAACCGGCACTCCACGCTGGCGAGACAACCTCGCCAAGCTCCGTCTCTGGCAACTCACCGAGTACAGCAAGATCTGCTTCATCGATGCCGACAATCTCATCACCAAACCACTTGACGGCGCCTTCTACGACGAAGCCACGCTCACGCAAGCCACGGGCACTAACCCGGCCGCGATACAAGCGGACGAGGCGGCCTTGCCACGGACATACATGTTCGCCGCGCATGGTGATCTGTGGGGTTATGATCACCCGTATCCTCCTGATCCAGACCTGTCCTATCTCAACGGTGGCTTTTGGGTCTTCACGCCGAGCAAAGTGATGTTTGAGTACTATATGAGTCTGTTGGAGTTGCCGGGCCGCTTCGATCCTGGATTTATGGAACAAAACCTGTTGAACTATGCGCATAGGCGAGATGGCAATATGCCATGGAAGCCGTTGTGGTATGGGTGGAACGTGAATTGGCCTACCGCAAGAGATTGGCGAGGTAGGTCCAGCTGCAGCCTGATCTGCCGTCGGACTCGACTAACGCTGGTGTAGGTGGTGCGCGGAGCTTCCACGCGAAGTATTGGGACGGTGATGCCAGCCACGACCCGGTCTTGAAGGCTATTTGGAAGGAACAGAGAGCTGAGATGGAAGGGTACTATCGAGGAAGGGACGAGAAAAAGCACTAAAGAGTATCATGACCGTTTGACGCTTGTATGTGAATCGGCCACTTATACTAGAAGGCTGCTCTTCTAGATGCCCATTCGACCAGAAAGATGGTAAGTCTGATGATGATGAGAAGAACGCAACGCGAAAGTAAAGGTAGAGTCAGACGAACTTGTCACATGAGATTGCTTGACCTACATGTTATAAGCCAAGCGCTCAAGGCTGCCGCTCGACAACTCCGGCGCCAGTCTTCATTAAGGCTGCCTGTCTATCGTAGGAAATGATATCGAAGCTCGTTGCATCCAAGCGACGCTTTACCGGCGACGGTCTCGATCTCTGTCACGCTGCCGATGTTGGTCGCTGTAGTGTCTGCGATCGTGCCCGCTGTCGTCTCGTTCACGATCGCGGCGGTGACGTTCCGTAATCCGGTAGGACTCTTCGTCCGTGTTGCGTTCGTGCCGTCTTCTGTCGCGATCATCCTTTCCGTCTCTGCGTTTCCGGTCCCACTTCGACGGATCGTCTCGTCTGTGCCTTTCACCTCGGCGGTCGGGCTCTCCGTCTTCTCCACGTCGCTTTCTATGCTCACGCTCGCGCTCCTTCTGTTCAAACTCGGCCTCGTGCCTTTCGCGCTCCTCATTCTCGCGCTTCTTCTGCAGCTCCTCCTCGGTATAAAGCTTACCAGTTATCTTGTCTTTCAGTAACACCGGGTTGTATATTTTCACTTCAGCACCTTTCCGTGCCGCCTTGCCCCAAGCGCCCATTTCCTGCGCTACCGCAGCCTCTTCTTTTGCGCCAATGCCAAGCAAAGCTGGTCTTCGCTCCGGTAGCTTTGTCTTTTCCATCTTCTTGCCCTTGTTGCTGCCTATGCCTTCGCCGTCTTTCCAGCCCATGCCTCGCAACAGTGCAGCGCCAAATTGATCAACGGGTACCCTAGCGTAGTCGTCCAGCGAAGACATGTCCGGCGCCTCCCTGAAGTCTCGCTCGAACGCTTCTTCTTCCGACACGGCCGGAAGTACCAGATCTGTTTTCACAGTCTTCCCCAACAGTGCGTCCATAGCAATCTCGTCATCCGTCTTTTGCTTGACTGATGCCTCGGCATCCGACTCCGGCGGTGCTTGCTGCGTTGTTTCCGCTTCGGCCTGGATATTATGGCCGTTAATGACTGGCTCCCCACCATCGCTTTCCCTTGAGGTCACGTTGAGCCCATATTGCGGCTTCGAGGCCTCTAGATCCTTGATTGCCTGCTCAGTGACCTCTTGCTGCGCCTCTGCCGGCAGAGCATGGCGCTGTTTCCTGCGCTTGCTCGCTTCTTTCCAATTGCGGTTCGCTTGCGGTGCAATAATCAGCGGCGCAGCATCCTTGACAGAAGTGTCGTCGACGGCGCCTCCAGCTAATTGGTCGAAGTGGGACACTTGTTGCGCCTGACCTTCGTGATGCGCATCGTCTTCGTCCTCTCGAAACGCGGCATGAGATCTTTTGAAGCCGTTCGTTGCTGATGGCTTCGGTGTCCTTTTTGGTCCGCCAAGTGTCAGCGAAATCTTTTCCGCCATACCCATGCTCTGTGTCAATACGTGATTGAGCCTGTAGTGTGTCAGGACGGACATAAACATACACCGATCGTGAGCCGTATGTGAGGCAAGCTTGACTCGCGCCGATGATTTCCTGAAGCGGGCGGCACATTTTAGTGAGTCAAGCTTCGCTGAAACCATGACGACAATGCACTTCCTCAAAATCTCTAGTCGCATTAGGTTAGGAACGATGCTGTACTCTTAAAAGTAGGCACACATACGGTAGGTGCAGAGGGAACGAGGTCTCACCTTTCCCCTTCAATCTTATTCGTTTCATGCTGAATGTACAGCTGGATCTTGGTACACAAAATCCTGCCATGGAGCCCAACTACTTTACGTGCACCCTTGGACAGGCTGCAGCGTTGGGCATACAACAACCCCACAATACGATCAACAAGCTCGTAGATGCACTGTCCGAACGACACGCTGATCAGCCAGCTGTAGGCTTTCCACAGCCTGGCGACAGTGTCGAGGATCCATGGACAAATCTTCTCTTCAGCTTCGCGGATATCAAACTAGGATCGACATACGTTGCAAATCTACTAGTGCAGCATCATGAGACCACACTAGCACGTTGCCAGACGGTCGGGCTGTTGTGTCCAAGCACAGCGGAGTTTCTTTTCACATGGTTGGCTCTGATTAGGCTAGGGCATGGTGTCTTGCTTATTGCGCCGCAATGTCAGCCAGAAGCAATAGCGAACCTCTGCAAAACCTGCGACGTTCGACTTCTGTTCTACGACAATGTCTACGCGGATCAAGCGGTCGAAGCGGCGCGCATATCGTCTGATCAATCTGGCACAGCTCTGGCGAGCGCCGCACTACCCTTCTCCGACAAGCCGCAGCGCAATACCTTTGTCCCAGAGCGTGTTGAGCAGTATAATATGCCGATAGTATCCGAGAGTGATGAAGAGGTTGCATATCTGCACCACACCTCAGGCACTTCGTCTGGTATGCCAAAACCGATTCCCCAGACCCATCGTGGCGGAGTCGGAGTTCTCCCCTCTTTCTCTGACGGGTGGCAAGCCACTACCTTTACAACTACCCCTCTCTATCATGGTGGTATCGCCGACCTTTTCCGCGCCTGGACCAGCCACGCAATGATCTGGCTGTTTCCGGGAAAGAGAGTGCCAATCACCGCGAAGAACATCATCAAGTGTTTAGAACTAGCCAAACGGGAACATCACGCAGGCTCAACAAGTCATGTAGCGCCGGTCAAATTCTTCTCATCGGTCCCATACGTGTTACAGATGTTGGAGTCTGAACCTGAAGGCTTGCGACACCTTCAGCAGATGGACATCGTAGGTGTTGGGGGCGCTGCTCTTCCGCCCGAAGTTGGTAATCAACTTGTGTCCAACGGCGTCAACTTGATTTCACGCTTCGGTAGCGCAGAGTGTGGGTTTCTCCTCTCCTCGCACCGAGACTATTCCAAAGATCGCGAGTGGCAGTACCTGCGCGTGGCTTCAGGTGCGGAGCGATACCTACGCTTCGAGCCACAAACAGATGGTGGTGGACTATCAGAGCTTATAGTGCTCAAAGGCTGGCCGCACATGGCAAAGCGCAACCGTGACAACGGCTCATATGCTACCTCAGATCTCTTCGCACCGCACCCTTCAATACCTAATGCTTGGAAGTATCACAGTAGGGCAGACAGTCAGCTGACACTAATAACGGGGAAGAAATTCGACCCTGCGCCCCTGGAGGCTTCGCTTGCAACGTCTGAGCTAGTGGACGATGTACTCATCTTTGGTAACGGGCAGCCGTACCCTGGCGCGCTGGTGTTCCGGAGTCAGCATGCCATAGGTCTGTCCAATGCAGATCTGTTGCAGCAAGTCTGGCCGCGGATGGAGAAGCTCAACGCTGGGAGCCAGGATCATGCCCGGATAGCGAAAGCAATGCTGTTGCCAATGCCTGTCCTGGAAAGGCCGCTTGAGAAGAGCAGCAAGGGCACGATCCTGAGAAATGCCGTCGAAAAGCGGTTCAAGCAGGAGATTGAGAGCGCTTACTCGCAAGCCGAAGGCACTGAAGATGCGGCTAACGTGCCAGACGAGAGTTTACCCGACTTCATTAGAGAGACAGTGTCTGCTGTGGTGGCGAAGCCCGGTAAACTGACTGATACTACTGATTTGTTCTCATATGGTGTTGATTCAGTCGCTGGCATGCGGATTCGCACGAAGCTACGTCGTCTACTACCAGCGGACTCGGCTCCTCTGCCGATTAATGTTGTCGAAGACTGTGGCTCTATCGACAAACTAGCGCAGTACGTTCGTCGGAAACGGCATGGCGAGACCCATTGCAATGGCGATGCGAAGGAGGATGAGCATGCGTACATGCGCGAGCTCGTAGAGACCTACAGCCGCTTCGTCGAGAGCATAGAAGCGACATCAGGTTCGAACGGACAAAGCAGCGGAGGAGATGTCGTCGTCCTTACAGGTGCTACCGGAGCACTGGGTGCTCATGTTCTTAACCAGTACAGGAAGAAGCCGGAAGTTCGGAAAGTATACTGCCTCGTCCGTGGCTCGGACGAGCATGCTGCATTCGAACGAGTAAACAAGGCGCTCACACAGCGTAAGCTACCGGCCCTAGATGGTGCAAAGCAGGAGTGCAAGGTCCAAATCGTACAGGCGTCGCTCGGCGAGAACCGGTTGGGCTTGTCAGACGAGACGTATCAAAGTATTGCGAAAGAAGCAACCGTCATAATGCACGTGGCTTGGTCCGTCAACTTCCGCATGAGATTGCGTAGTTTTGTTAAGGACAACATTGCAGGTGTTACCAATCTCATCAATCTGGCCTTGGCATCGCCGCATGATCAAGCGCCTGTCTTCGCGTTCTGCTCGTCCGTGGCGAGTGCGATGGCATACAGCGGGAAAGCAGCGGTGCCGGAGACAATTATTAACGATCCAAGTGCCGCCACAAATCTAGGCTATTCGCAGAGCAAGTGGGTGGCGGAGCAAATCTGTCTCCGCGCATCTGAGACTAGACGGTTGAAGGGCCGGGTCGCAGTCTTTCGGGTCGGGCAGCTAGCTGGAGACAGCGAGACAGGTGTCTGGAATACCAAAGAAGCTTGGCCCATGATGCTGAGTGCATCTAAGATTACTGAGAGTCTACCGACTCTGAAAAACGAGAACTTGGACTGGCTCCCGGTTGATATAGCTGCCAGTGCACTAATACAGGGCGCCCAAACGCCAAGGTATGACCGTACGCTAGCGGTCTATCATGTGCTCAATAATAATGGACGACCTACTTGGATGGAGATGTTGGAGTGGTTGAAGCAACACGAGAGCTTCAATATCGTGCCACCTTCGAGATGGGTATCACAACTGGAAGCTGCTGTTGACCAAGGCTCGACCCATCCTGCCACCCAGCTTCTGGACCATTGGCGGGAGGCGTATACTGCTACAAAGCAGAACGAAGCGCCCCACGCCGAATTCGATATGATAGAAACCAAGGAAGCTCTGCCAGTTCTAGCGAGTGTTGAACCGGTTGATGAGGAGTACTTCAATAAGCTCTGGGCCTGGATCAAAGTCAACGTGTGAGCGTGGGTGTCTCAGGACTTCGCACAGTCACTTGAACGGCCAACTGTCGAACGAGGTTTCAAGAACAACAGTGCTGACACCTGTTGACGCAGCTTAAAGCGCACGGTCTTACGATGAAGCAAGTGCCATCTGTTCCCGCGTGTGAGCGTCTGTGTCCCAGGCCTGACGAAGACATCTGAACGGCCAACTGTCAAACAGGGTTGACAGGTATCGATATGAAGGGTGCTGAGACTTGTTGACAAGGCCTCCTTGGAACGCACGATGTTCGGACGAAAGCAAGCATTGTCTGGTCCCACATGTTCATCTCCGCCGTCAGTGTAAGATTTCCGGTATCCCCGGGCCCGCGACAAAGGGTCTCAGGAAAATGCGAACCGTAATGGCTTTCCGGTCCTGCGGGATGCTATCGCACTATGGAGATAGCTGCGACGCACGATCTGCGAACCCAGCCTATGTTTCACATGTCAAGGAGTTTGCATCGACAAGAGCAAGCCATAGCGAGCACCCGGACGCCCCTCGTTGTCCCAGTTCGGCACTTTCCACCAAGATGGCGTGCAACAACAAGCGAGCGCGGCCGAGAGGCCGAGACACAGCGTTGGAGGTAGGCTCTCATCGCGACAATACGGTTCTCAACCGCAGCTTGGATGAAATTGTCATCCGCGTAGGCAGTGGGCCTCGCCTTGGAAGTCCTTTGGAAAGTCGCCGAAGGTGGGCTGACCGTTTTGCAAGCCGCGGCGAGATGGTTCAAGCCACGGCTCCAGTAGTCTGGCAGCCGGCTCTGAAGATAGATCGGTGGAGGTAGGTGACTTTCCCAGTTTCGCCAAGCGGCGATCGTATTCGTAGTGGAGGTCGTTAGTAGGCTGACGGACGACTTCCCCGGAGACCAACTACGGCTATAAGCCATAAGCTACCCGCAGAAGGGAAAAGGCCAGACTGAAGTCATGGGGGCGACCTTGGTTTGGCACGGGGAGCAGAACGTGCCGCTAATCGAGCCGAGGCTCTTGTTATCACCCGTGGTCTTGCGTACAAAATCAACTGCATCTGCTAGACCTTTTAGGCAGTGCAGGATTTTAGGTGCTGTAGGTCCGCATGCAGATTGAAACAAGGCTTGCATAAGGAGATTGAACGATACCATCGGATAGCTCCTCGTACCTGCGTCGTGTTTACTTGTTCCTGCAGTAGCCTGCAATCGCATGCAAGCCTGACGTATGCCTTTGCCTATTGAATGCGGAAAATCCTGGCGTGCTTGCCCTTTCAAGCCATCCTCTTCTGGAGTTTTGCGTGGCTGAGACCTGCATAAGCTCCGCTTTGGGTGGTGATGATCTATTTCTGCCTTTCTGTTAGCGCGCGTTTCCGCTTCCGAGTGCATGCGGTCTCGGCAGACGCTGAATTGGCCATGCATATGCATATGACCTGACGCAAGAATTACATTAGAGATGCATAAGGAGAGGAGATTAAGCGAACCTGAACGATGGAGAATGATGGTCTCTCGAGACATATGCTTGATCCAGTCTGTCAAATCAATGACACAGCTTGTGATACCATGAAAGTCTTCTCGAAGCTGGCTAGGTAGCATGGTGAAACGCCGGCTCTGGGGAAGAGACGGCAATGTGTCAGGGTGTCTGGCCTTGCGGGTCCCACCAATCGACAAGGTGATCGACTAGTCCCGTTGGCCCGCAGTGAGAGCAAACGGTACCTGCGTTAGCGAAGAGTCGTGTTTCATCACAGCTGCGAGTCTACGAAGTCTCTGCGGCCGCGTTCGGAGACCATGACGAGGATTTTGTCAACGACGCGTCGAGCTGATAGCGGCCGGCGACATCAACGAGTGGCGGCCGGATCGTGGCCATACATCGCAGCTCTGCCTAACCGACGATGCCGTTCAAAGTAGGCGTGAAAGCGCTGTCTCTGGAGCAAGCGCTACGACCGGCAGTGACCAGAGGACTGATTGTTTGTGATGTATGGACCCCATCAGCGAATCTCTGTGAGGCTTCTGGAAGCCGCCAAATCCTTCTTGCCTAAAAATGCTCTCTAGTATTACCGATTGGAAGCGATAGGCTGAAGTGGCGCTGCGCTTCCAGCCAACAGGCTGTAGGGCCCTCCCAGCTCGGTAAAAGTGGAAAAACCAAAAGAGCGATGCGCGACAAAGTACACTTGTTATTCGACCAGTCGACGAACATGCAGCCGTGAGCACATGAGACATCGCATCCGTCGAGGACTTCATCGTCACCCTGCAGCACTCTGCGACACCCGCGGCACGTTACTGCTCACTGTTTGCAGCGAGCTGCGTGGTGGTGTCGCCATTTCCGTGCTACTTGAGCCCTCAACCAACGTTCGCCATCACCCGCAGCTGGATTGGCAATGCATTGTACAAAGTACTGCTCGCGTTAATGCAGGTACAGAGTTTGCATTTCTGCACAGTGTGCGCATTGTCTGAGGCAAGTCATAGTTGGCATACCACACGTCGATCGAGGAGCACCGCTGCCAAGAGCCGATCTCGTGCTGGTCCATAGGCGAACCTATCACATCGTCATGAACGCGAGAAAAGCTCCCGCAGTAGGGGTGGGCCAGGTGGGTGTACCTGCAGCTCTAGCGGGCTGAGAGTGGTCGGGTCCTGCGAGGCTCGACTTGGATTTGGCTTCCGTTCCGACGTGTCCCATGCGCTATCTCGAATCGCGGATACGCTAAGCAGTGTGCCTGGCAGACCGTGGCTAGCTACTCTGGCCTACACTATTCGCCGCTCATCGTTCTTATCCCGCAGCCGATCCCAGCATTCGTTCACTTTGTCTGTGCCGGGGTTTCTCATCTACCTGATCGTTCTCTTGTGCACTTCTTTCATCGTCATCTTTGTCTTATTCCTCGCCCACTTCGGTGCTGACCCGATCTGTACATCTGTGCAGCTCGTCGACAGTACCAGACATTCCTTTTGGGGGCCTTTCTGCTACACTAGCTTCTTGTGCAACTATCGATCGAAAAGTTTCAGCCCACGACTTACATCCGGCCTCTAGTAAACAGAAAGCGACACCCACTCTCTGTTCAGTCATTCCTCGGACCTCACCTTCGACCTGTGTGGATCGATCTGTACACTAACAACACGTCCGGTCACCGCCATCAAACTAATTGGAAGCCCACTGAGTGCGTCCACTGGAATATAGACCTGCTCAATCCAATCGCCTAACCCTTCGAAGTCTGGTCAGTGGCAGCTGTAATAGAAAGACTGGCTTCGAAACCGCTCGAACTGACGTCTCACATAGAGTGCTGCAATGGAATACGCATACCAGACGACTCCGCCCATGGCGCAGTCGCCGTTCTTCTACTATAATCCATCCCCAAGCCCTGAAAACAGGCAACATGGTCACTTTACGCCGCATCCGCATGGGCTGCCAATGGCTGTCGTGCCATCGAGCCCGCAACACATCGCGCCTTTCCCACAACACCCGGTATATCAGCGTCCACACTCCGCTGACCGTCAGATGATGTACCATCAGTCCGGGCCCGCATACGTATCGCAAGCGATGATCACACCCGTTGCGTCTCCGAAGATGCACTACCACAAGCCGGCAATCTACGTACAGCATGAGATGCCAATGCTGATGGCATTGAACACTGAGTGCCACAGCTACTTCCCACCTACGCCCACGCTTTCTGCGTCTGGCTCCTTCAGCACCGTTGACAGCTCCCCCCCAACCTGCGATATCGTTCCTACTCCCGTGACCGCAAGCTACTACCAGAGGCCGAACCTGCCCATGTACGCTGTGGTCAAGCAAGGCTGCGAGGAAGAGGTGTTCTCCGAGGTCCTGTCAACTGGTGAGTGGTCACGGCCGCAATCTCCACCGATGACACCCGTCTACTTGCATCCTGGATCTGCTGCCCCGGGCGAGATGGCTTACCACCTGACGGCTGGCTCTTGCCCTTCGCTGTCTCCTTGTCCATCACCGATCCCACGCTCGGTCACTTCTGAGCTCGATGTCTGCGATCCTCGCGCCCTAACAGTGGGCCCAAGCACCATTGACTTCTCGGCTCTGCCAACCATGCCAACCGCAGAGGAGGCAATGAAGAGCAATACAACCATGCACCAGGATAGCGTTCAGGTTGTCACCCCTGACGAGCTGATTCATTACGGCGGCGTAGACTACTTCGAGCCCATTTTTGAGCTTGATGGCGAGGAGGACTGTGGGGTCATGTGCTCGAACACTGGTGTCGACACCATTCACTTCAATGGTAACAAACGTCAGCGTATGGAAATGGCACCAATGAGTATTGAGGACGACGGCTTCTTCAGTGAATCAAGCTATAGCGACGAAGAGTTTGCCGCCGTCGCCAGCTACTCTCCCTCCACATCTGAGTTCTCCATCCCAGAGCAGTGTGCTGCCGCCGCAGCTCCACAAACCAAGCGCAAATCATCGAAGAAGACAGCGGATGCATCGTCCGCTCAGTCCACGAGCCACCAGAACTCCTCTTCCTCGGCCTCTACATCGGCGAGCAACGAGGGTGGTGCTTCTGCTGCCAGCACTCCGGGGCATGGCAGCAGCTCTCGTCGTGGTCGCAAGCAGTCCTTGACTGATGACCCTTCCAAGACTTTCGTCTGCACCCTGTGCAGCCGTCGCTTCCGCAGGCAAGAACACCTCAAGCGCCACTATAGGTCTCTCCACACCCACGAGAAGCCCTTCGAGTGCACCGACTGCGGCAAGAAGTTCTCTCGCTCCGACAACCTTAGCCAGCACCAGCGTACCCATGGTGCCGGCACCATGGTCATGGGTGTTCTGCCTCAAGATCAACAGCATCTGGCACCCATCGAGTCCGTCAATGGTGGCGAAGCAGGGAGTCTGATCGCTCCCAAGAGCGACCAGCATTACACGCCGCAGCCGCTGGCACCCCACCAGCAACGGCTCAGCCCGGACGCTGGTCAACTTGGTGCCATGCTCTTCGACGTGACCGCTCAGGTTGCTGGCAGCAGCAGCAGCTCGGTGACATACTCGGACAGCTCTAGCTCATCCTCCGATCGCAAGCCAGCGAAGAAGAGGAAGCGGGACGAGTAGATCTTACCACGTCACATGAAAAAAGAGTTCGAATGAGTATCACGCCGTCACGTTGGAGGACTTCATAGACGTCACGGCCATGCCAATGGCTGATATCAAGTCGGGAAGAAGGAACACCAGGATACATGACCCGTCGCGGAAGACACATCTCCTTTTGTCATTGCTGCGCCTTCTTTCGTTGTACTAATTCCCGCAAATCCGCATGAGGCTGTACGTGTCCAGGGAAGAAAAGAGGCTTGCTTTTACTGCGCTTCGTCCTTCTATGTGTAGAACTAGTTTCCTATGTCTTTGTTCTTTGCTTTGAGCTTGCTTGAGCGGGAAGTTGGAGATGGTGTAGAGATATATGTTGTGAAAGATCGAAGGCGCTGCGCTGGTCGCTGGTTGTCTCTGCATTGATTGTGCTTGTTACTATGTGTATCTAGTGTAGCAATAGCAGCGCTTCCAGTATAGGGCGTTTGTCACTCATTTATGCCATCAACTTGCAAATTTCTGCCTTTCCTTCTCAGAAATTTAGCAGTGGGTGAAGTGTACTTAAGGTAGAGGGTGAAGTGTACTCAAGGTAGAGGGTGAAGTGTAATTAAGGTAGTGAGTGAAGTGTACTTAAGGTAAAGGGAGGTTGGTATGAGAGAGACATAGTCTCAAACATAACTGTCCGTCTCAGCTGAACCTGATCGACACGCGTGCCACCCAGCCATGCTATTACACTGACAGTATTCAAACGCCTAGTCAACGCTTGATCGAAGACGCTGCCGTTACGCCGCCGCTCGCAAGGTAATACAGTAGTAGCTGCCACCACTTCCCTACCGACTGCCAGACATTCCAACGCCTGTCTCTTATTTCTTTCCGAATCCCAGGAACTTCTTCATCTTCGCTTCCACATCCCCTCTAGCCTTGTTCTCCTTCTTTCCTTCCACCTTCTCCGGCTTCGCCATGGCCGCCTTATGCGCCGCCTGACCTTCCGCCTGCCGCTCTGCCAGATCCACCTTGAGTTCCTGAGCCTGAGCCCGATACTCCGCCTTTAGACTCGGACCCTGTCGCGCTTGGAGACTTGCGTCTGGCGACCAGCCTATTGTCACTACAACGCCACCACGGAAGCCCATATCTCTGACTAAACGCTGAGAAGGACTGTTAGGGAGAGTCTGATGGCCCTTAGAGCCCAGATAGCGGAGCTCAAAGGGCTCTGGCGCTGCGGTTAGAGTGTCCATGACCTTACTGTACAAGTCTGCGGCCGTATCAGTGTTAGTCATGGTGATAACGAGGGAGTATTGGTCCGGGTAGCGCACTCGGATGCGCACGCTCTGAACTGTGGCTAGCTTTTCTTGCCGCTCAGCTTCTTGTTCAGCGAGTTCACGGTCAGAAAGTAGACGAGTGTTCCTCCCTGCGCGTTCAAGCGCAGCTTGATGTGCCTTGGCGTGTTCGATGTGTGGCTCAAAGACCGAAGGATCATCTGGTGCAAGCGCCGCAGCTGGGGTTGAGGAGGAGGGTGGCCGGTAGACAGATATGCCGTTCATCGTGCTCGCTGACTCCGTTGAAGGCTCCGTCGTTGATGTGTCCGGATCTGTGATGGTGGAAGATGCTAGCACGTCGTTTTCTATGGTTGGCGCTGTCGGCCCATCGACAATCGGAACGTCCTCGTTCCGCTCTGGACCTGGCGCCTCTGGTAGTGCTGCAGCATTGTCCGCCTCCGCATTAGGTCGGCCGCCGTTAACTGCCAGCACGTCTGCTACGCCAACGGAATGGCTTGCGCCGCTGCCAGTGCCTGCAGAAGTACCATCGATACTTGCGAAATACGTTGTGATCTCCTGCATGGCCTCTTCAAGCGGCTGTTCAGTCTTTGCGAAAGTCAGTCGTACTAGTACACTCCCGCTGTTATATCCTAGTTGCGCAAGTGTCTTCTGGAGGTTTACAAAGCTTTCCATAGTCCGGCCCATAATGTTTAGGCATGGCTGCTCGTAGAGCAACCGCCCAGCTCCTGTGCTTCCGGAAGGCACGCCTCGCTGAGTGATGTTGAGCTTTCTTGCTGATCCGGCCACACCATCTTCGAACTTCCGCAACAATAGCCACAAGGAGGTTGTGCTGGGAAACTTGTCTTCTATTCTGCCGCCACCTTCGCTCTCTGGTAATTGTAGGGCCACGCTCACCACACTCGGTGACCGGCTTGCTTGTACGAGTTGGAGCTTAGCACCTGCTGACAGGCCGGACAAGCGAAATGGCTGCGAAAGGTCCAATGTCTTGTTGTTCTGTGTCCTGAGAGTGTAGCCTTCCGGGTTAAGCTTCCTGCTTCTACACGCCTCCTCCAGCACTTCTCGCAGGTATTTGCCAGGCGTGACTTTGACCTGCGTTCGCCGTGCCGTGGAATCGACCACAAAAATACTGCTCGTGGACATCGCTGCTACGCGGCTGCCTGCGCCCTCCGCTGGCTCTCACGCAGTCGTGCCTCTCTATACACTCCAGACAGATATTGCACCAACGCCCTGCCTCTTCTGTAGATGTGTGGAGCGCAGAACAAGTAGCTCAAGGCGATCACGATGAGGCGTTCACTACGGGTGAGTCGAAGGCCACCCAGCTCGGACATGGATCGCTTGGGTGTTGGTCACGTGGGTTTAATTGTTGCGCATATGAGTGTCCAGTTGTTGATAAGTTGGTGTCAACAGTCATTAGTCATTCAGTATCGTTTGCTTCGAGCGTCTTCGATGAGGCAACAGTTGGATTGCATGTGCGTTTGCGAGCCTTCCCCCACATGCATGCGTGCCTGCCCTGTGCAGCAACCCCCGCCGGAATTATTTGTTGACATAATCACCAACAGTCGACCGCCTCGAAAGGTCGAAGACTTCGACAGATCGTACCATCACAAGCCTGGCCAACAGCAACACTTTCTTCTCCCGCCTACTGTCAGACGTCGTCAACATGTCGCCCACCGTCCATATAACCTCGCCACAACACTTCAGCCAAGTCCTCTCGTCATCCCGCATCGTCGTAACAGAGTAAGACCTTCTCGCTTACTGCACCGCTACGTTCGCTACTAACAGCATTTACAGCTTCTACGCCGATTGGTGCGGCCCCTGCAAAGCCATCGCCCCTGTCTACGAACAACTCTCCACCCAACTCTCTCGCCCAGGCACCATAACTTTCACCAAAGTGAACACGGACACCCAAAAAGAGATCGCTCAGACCTACAACATCACCGCCATGCCGACCTTCATGATCTTTAAGGCCGGCCGCGAGACCAAACGGATACGTGGTGCCGACCCCAAAGCGCTGGATCAGGCTGTCAAGCAATTGGCGCAAGAAGCAGGTCGAGCGGACGAGGGTGGTGCTGCGGCGGGAGAGGCGAGCTCGAGTGGTGCTGCGTGGTTAGGTGTGGGCGTGCCGAGAGGGTACGTGGATGTTACGGATCAGGTCGACGTGCTGGGACTGGACTTTTTGAACCTGGACGGGGAGAAGGGTGATAAGAGGACGGTATTTGACGGCAATAAACCAAGTTCTCTCGGTGCGGGTAAGAGGAAAGACGGAGCGAAGAACGATTGGATAGAAAGCGACACGGACGAGCAACTCATGCTTTTCGTGCCGTTTCAGTCAACGCTCAAGCTACACAGCATACACCTAACCTCGGTGATACCTGCAGAAGGCACCGGCGACGACGAAGTCATGCGGCCAAAGACGCTCAAAATCTTTACGAACCGATCGACTGTGGTGGGGTTCGACGAAGCGGACGACTTGCCTTGTACGCAGGAGATTGAGTTGAAAGAGTCGGACTGGGATGCTAAGACTGCCACTGCGAAAGTGGAGCTACGGTATGTCAAGTTTCAGAATGTCAGCTCCATTGTTATCTTTGTTGCGGACGGTGAGGGTGAGGGCGAGAAGACGAGGATAGATCGGTTGCGGTTTGTAGGAACTGGTGGGGAGAAGAGGGATATGGGCAAGCTGGAGAAGATTGGAGATGAGCAGGGCGAGTAATTCTGCGTACGTGTTGATGGCCTCTGCTCGCGAAAGCCGGGCTGAAGTGTTGTCGCGAAAGACTCCCATTAGCTTCGGTCTCACCCGAAGAGACGACTCAACGAGGAAGGTACGATTACGGAAGGTGCGAAGCGACTCAAGCACTGCCCATGATGCATTGCATATAGCGCATGCTATGTTGCATACTGCTAGAAAGCGTAGACAGCAGTTCATATCGGCAGACTGCATCCCCTTCGAAACACGCCCTGTGCGCCATCATGCAGACCCTCATCCACGGTGTCCGTCTCACTTCCCTCAAAGGTACTCCACTAGTGACCGGCTCTCCTGCTCTCCGCAATGACCTTGGTCATCTCATCGACCTTTCTCTTCGCGCGGCCGAATGTGCCGAGCCTCTTCTTCGCCAGCTTCCTTGCGCGCTTGTCCTTGCTGTTGCGGAGCAGTTCGATGACGCGGCGCTCGTACGGTGCGAGACTTGTAAAGTGTCAGTACATCCGTTGTGACGAAGATATAGATCTTATATGTGTATGTGCATACCCTGCAACCTCCTTCACGATATCCCTCACGAAGCTGGTTCGCTTGCTCAAATGACCTTTCATGCGTGAAACCCGCGGCTTAGGCTGGCGGGGAGTGACTTTCTGGATGCCAACACGTTCGTTAGTATATCAATGTCCGCCAAATCTCTGCTGTTGCAGCCGCTGGTCATCCACGGGGCGCTGGTTAAACGTACGTGGCCACGATTAAGGCCAACGGCAATGCCGCTCCTCTGCTTTACCTCCTTCGGCATGATGGCGGTATTGGGGGAGATGGTGGATGGATCGATGTTGTATCGCTACGCTGCGATAGTGCGGGCCTTCAAACTTCGGAAGTGATGCTCTTGGCGCTCAAATCGGCCGGCGTTTTTGTGGGCTTGGCAGAGAAGACGCGGAAGCAGTTCCGACTACTATGGAAGCACGCTCACGTGAACCAAGCCACCCGCTCGGCGTAGATTACGCCACCCGAATAGCCGTTGAGCCGCATCATCCGCAAGAAGGCGACCGGAGCATCACTGTACATCTTCACCAAGCCAGCCACGGCTTTACCCTTGCATGGGATGGCATCGGCACATTGCTTACTACATAAAGCGAAGGCGCCACCTATGATCAGTGACGGTAGATGCAGTGGCAGTCGGTAGGCTCGCGTAGCAGTCAGTGATGCTCAGGTACCAACCACATCCGAGCCATCCGGCAAAGTCTAATATGGTCGTTGGCTTCATGCCTGTGACGCAATCACCACTCACTGCACTACCGCACCATGAGCCTTAGCACTCGTCACCGCGGCGAAGGTTTGCGTTTTCGCCCAACGACAGCGCGTCAGTAGGTCTTCATAGCCTTTTCATATCTCTTCATCTCACCCTCGCCCATTTCTTTTTGCCTTATACACGTAGCATATCACCTCTTGTGTGAGCCAATTCACGCCTCGCCCACGATAGTCCTTGAGGAAGGCTACGACGCGGCTTTCTGAACAGCAGTGGAGTGTTATACCATACCCCCGACGCAGACGTAAGCCACCGCAGAGATGTTCGGCTTCTCGTACTGGTTCCTGCCGCTCTTCGCAGGCTGCGTATGGCTAGGTACGGCGACATCAGCGTCCTCCGGTCTTATGCAACTAACACATTCTTTAAGGGACACTCCTCGCCATGCTGGGCGCCTGGGAGGCCATGGGTCGCCCTCATTATAGCGAAATGGCATCAAACCAGCCCACAGCATATATCTCAGACATCGGCGCCACGCGATGGGGCAAGCCTCTGTTTATCGCCGGCAGCGCAGTGATGGTTGTCATCTTCGACGTTACTTTCATCTCAGAACGATGGCTACGACATAAGGGTCGCTTGCAGAGCAATTACGGGAGGGGCGAGAAGATTCTCAGCGTGTTCGCGATCATCTTTGCGGTCGTAGGTGCCGCAGGGTTGATACTGCTCACCATTTTCGACACGAAGCGCCACCCTGAGGTGCACGATGCTATGCTAATCGTATTCATGTAAGCCGTCTCGTCCCCTGATTCAGGGCTGATATATGCGCTGACATAAACCTCCGTCAGTGCTGGATACGTTATCTCCGCCATTTTCATCTGCGCAGAATACCAGCGCCTCGGCGTGCATTACCGGGAATCTGCAATCCTCCGCACCTCATTTTGGATCAAGCTCGGCTTCATCATTGTCGAGGTTGCGCTCGCGATTGCATTCGGCGTTACCGAGTATAAGACAATGTACCAATCATCAGCCATCCTCGAGTGGGTAATTGCGCTGATCTACATCTTCTATGTGTGGAGTGTACGTATTCAAGGCGCCAGCTTCCTCCACAACCTATAACTGACATGTCCACTTGCAGTTCATCATCGATTTCCTGCCAGCCGTCCACACAAGGCATAAAGGCGACCGCTTCCCGCCCGTGCGAAGAAGCGACGACGAAATGGCCATGACCACCGAGGCCGCAGGCACAATGACTGGTGGTCCCGTCTACACCAGTGGCGGCTATGGTCACAATGACCGGGAGAGCTACGGCAGCCAGCAGCCGGTAATGCAGCAGAATGGCGGTTACAATAATTATGCGTCTCAGCATGCGTCGAGGAACTTCTAGATCCTCGTGGAGTGTGTTGAATGAGCCTTGGTAAGCGTTGGCCATAGAAGCATGAGCGTTGGAGTTACGGAATGGGAGGTGTTGCTGGTTCTGTACGAGTAGCCGAAGATGGGTGACTATACACCGGCCAGATACTGTAATGATACCCAATGATCACAATCGAAGACGTTACCATCAGTGCGGCGTGCAACCTCATGATTTGGCACACTCGACGTGCTTGGAACCGGAAATGGAACTACGTGCTCCGGCGAACACTCTTGCTGATACTCAAGAGGATGAGGAGCAAGCATAACAGGCACAACATTCTAACACTTTCACCATCGGCCACAATAAGTTACGTCGTCACGGCGTATATGTCGTTACAGCCGCTACGAGCGAAGCTTTACCACCACGGACCATGACCATGTCCATGACCACTCCATCCATTGCCACCACTCTGCTGAGCGAAGCGCACAATCACGGCGCTGCTGAAAGGCACATCGACGCTCAGCTGACCGTTACGTCCTACACCCGCCGTCTCTCCTCTTGTCACATTGCCAAGCAACACCGGCATCCCGTTGTCCAGTTCGTAGTTGAAGCTGTAACCGTCGAAAGTAATGCCGGTGATAGCATCGCTACCATTCGCCATCAAGCGTTGCAGTTGCACAGCCCCGTAGTTACCTGGAGGAAGTTGGAAGGTGTACTGCTGGACAGGCCGCGGGTAGTTGTCCGTGTAATTGCTATTGTAGTCTGTAGCGTTGTAGCTCATCATGTTGACCACGATGAGCCGGGCAAGCGAGCCATTAACGTATGCGGCGTAGGCGCTCTCTTCGTCGTTCGGAAGAGGTAGGTTGATTATACTCGGCGTTGACGTGACAATGTTGCCGAGAAAGGAAGCTACGGCGATGTTGCCGTAGTACGGTGCTTTTGTCCCCTTGGAGGTGATGTTCGTATCAACCGGTTGCCAACTTTGGTAGCGATAATTGGTCCCTTGATGCATGTGGACGCGGCTGATGTTGTTTGTTGCGCACCAAAGGTTGAAGTCAATACCCCAGAGTGCAGCACCGAAGGTGTTGCTGAGACCTGGACGGCCTTGGTTGTACAGAGAGTTTGTCTCGCCCATGATGAAGGGGAGGTTGTTAGAACCAAGGTTAGCAGGCAGGCCGCGCAGCAGGCGGGACTCGTTCAGTTGCTTGGCAATTGACACCACGTTGGACGTGTGGTTCATGAGCGTGCCTTGTAGAGTCACGCCAGGTACTGTGGCACCACTGATATAGCTGTAGGTTTGTTAGCAGTCGACGAGGGAAAGCCGCTCAGCTAGCGCTTACTTATGTGTTGTGATCACGGCAATGTCTTTGTCAGTGTCAAGCCCATCCTCCCACGTCCGGATCGGATCCAGGCTGTTGCTGGTGCCCGCAAACGAGGGTGCGTAATAAGTGTAGTTCTGGGAGGACGCGAGATCCGGACACGGACCAGTCATGGCCGCCTTGATGGCTCTCGTCCAATTCAGCCACTCGTTTACGTAACTCTGCTCCGTCCAGTTTGAAGGCCGCACGATACCTTGTGCGGATGTCTTGAACAGGTCCGGCTCGTTGCCAAGCTCCCAATGCAAGAGTCTGCCGCCTTGGAGCGCTTTACATGCGTATGGCACTGAGGCAATGAGCCCTTCACGGGCGAAGGTGCTATTTCGGCCAAGGTTGAAGCCGTGGATGAACTTCGTGTTAGGCCATGTCTGGTAAGACTCGAAATAGGCCGGTCCGATAGTTAGAGTGGTAGGGTAGTCCGGCGAGATAGCTGGATTGACGATACCTATCTCGGCGACGGCGATGGAGCTGTTGAATACAGCATAGTCTTGAGTATTGCCGCCGACTCTGATAAACGGCTTGGTTCCGGTCAGGTCGCCAAGGTTGTTGAGAAGATTGTTCGAGAAAGTGTTCGGACTCGAAAGATTGCCCGCGAAATCAGGGAACGAACTGAACTCGATGCTATAAGAGACAAAGGCGGGAAGAGGAACACCAGCACCTGTAGGTGCTACAGCGCTGACAGCAACAGCAGACACATTGTTCGACGAGCCATTTGGGGTCCATAAGGCGCAAGAGCCGTGCGCCAGGCCCAGGGCGAGCCATACATCTCTCATTCGCGCCATGGTATCGTATACGGCTGACTCTGAGGGAGACGCTCACCTTTTATGATGCTTACCTGGGACGGCATCTGATGCCATGCACCGCGACGTAACGTCGTATTAGCCCCGCATTGACTCTGTGAGAACACCATGTGGATCGCTGCAGCCTCCAGAGATTCTCCGTCGACAGTGAGCGAGGCAACTTGGTGTACCTGACGATCTCTGCGGAGAAGGGATGCATGATTGCTAATAGCCGGCATACGAGCTTCGAGAGACACATTGAGCAGACGCCGATGTTGCTCGGCAGCAGCTAAGGTGATCGCAAGGCCGTGCAATCTCTTGCTCGCTGCTATAGCAGCGGCGTGCGGAAGATGCGAGCAGAGGGGGAAGTGTCGAGAGCGAAGAACAAAACAACCTGCAAAGTCAGATGCACAAGGCTCGAAGAGGTTAGCGCGACTTGGCATTGAGCGAGCATCAAAACTTCGCGTCGCGAATTGCAAGAAGCCTTCTTTTTCTCTTCGTGCGGCGGCATGATCAAATACAGTTTCCCAAAGTTGCTTGGTCACCGACACGTCTGTGGTGAACATAGCGTCATTCATGCCACAGAATGAAACAATTGCAATCGGTTAGCAGCCATTTCCGACTCGCTGGCCCTCTCCCTCTGGCCTTGACGGCGCGCTGGTGATCGAACAAATCTTATCAATGGTCAGATATGGAAAGGCTGAACAACAGTTGTAGGATCTGATGGAGAAGGTAGGATCGTCTGGTTGTACTGCCGTCTTGTTGAACGTTGGGAAAGTGTTCACTTTAACCCGCATTTACACAGCAGCGCTCGTCACGGTGAACAAGCTAAAGATTACGTATCAAGCGCTTTACTCCTCTCATGCATTATACGCAGCATACATGGCTGGACTAAATGTTGTTGCGCTCATATCGGGCGGCAAGGACTCGCTCTTTTCTATTCTGCACTGCATCGCGAACGGGCACAATGTGGTGGCTCTTGCTAACTTGCATCCTCCGCCGTCCCAGAACGCACGAGATGCTGAAGACCTGGACAGCTTTATGTATCAGACGATAGGGCACCAGATAATGCCGCTCTATGAGCAGGCCCTCGGGCTACCATTGTACCGCCAGGAAATTGTGGGCTCGGCCGTGGTCCGGGAAAGGTCATACCAACCCGTTTCCGACCTACAGGGTCTAGAGTCGGACGAGACGGAGTCTCTTGTACCACTGCTACTCAAGGTGAAGGCCGCACACCCTGAGCTAAATGCGGTAAGCACGGGCGCAATACTCTCAGACTACCAGCGTACGCGGGTGGAGTCTGTCGCCTTGCGACTTGGCCTGGTACCGCTGTCTTATCTATGGCAGTATCCGTTGCTATCTGGCAATACGTCACGCTCTTTGTTACAGGACATGGCAGCTGTCGGACAAGATTCACGCATTATCAAGGTAGCTTCAGGGGGGCTGAACGAAAGCTTTCTATGGCTGAACGTTGCAGACGCGAACACTATTCGCATGCTCACAACAGCCGCCCAAAGGTTTGGCACCACGGGAGACGGTGCAGTGCTGGGTGAGGGTGGCGAATACGAAACGCTAGCTGTTAATGGCCCGACACCTTTATGGAAGGCGTCCATCTCTGTGCCTGACGAAGCAAGGACGGTCGTACAAGGAGAAGCGGGTAGTTTCTCAATACACCTGCGCAGGGCCGAAACAGTACGCGGCAGTACTGTCATGGCAGACCACAAGCACCCCCGAGTTCCGCCGCTTTTGGACCTGACGTCAGACAGCGTCTTACAAGTTCTACTTGCTGACCTCTCAGCGCCGCGGGCACAGGGCCGGGTAGTTGCTCAGCAGCCTATACCATCGCCGGAGTTTGGGAGGAGAAGTGTGGGAGAGGTCGACAATCTATATGAATGCCGTACTGGGCAAGGCGGCGATGCCGCGGCTCAGACACGCTCAATAATGGATGCCATGACTGCCGAGCTGGAAATGCAGAAACCGCGGTTAGGAATGCACTCTATCGCATACACTTCGATCATCTTGCGTAACATGGCAGATTTTGCAGATGTCAACAGAGTCTATGGAAGCTATTTCAGCAAACCAAATCCTCCGGCACGGGTCACACTAGCCTGTGCAGATGTTCTTGCCCATGGCTGCCATCTGATGATAGGATTCACATGTCAGAAAGATGCAACGCAAATTACGCCCATTGTACGGAAAGGCCTGCACGTCCAGTCACGCTCTTATTGGGCGCCGGCGAATATTGGGCCGTACTCCCAAGCGATCTCCATACCAGTAGTGGGCAATGCGAGGTTGGACTCTGCCAACGTTGTGTATGTGGCAGGTCAGATCCCATTAGTGCCGGCGAACATGGAGCTGTACCACGGGTTCCCATCGGCAGACATTGTCAGCTTCGCGCACCAAACAGTATTGGCTTTGCAACACATGAGACGAATCGCCGAGGTGACGAGGATGGAGCATTGGATCGCTGCGATTGCATTCATCGTTGTTCCGCCTAGCGAAACAGCCCCAGGTTTTGCCGCAGTGGCGTCAACCGCATGGGAAAGCTTCCATGCTGCTGCCTCTGAAGTACATTCGCCGGAACAAGAGGACGATGACGAGGATTTCGATGTATGGCATTTGCAACAGAAAGCCTGGTACGGCAAGCCGATTTCGAAAGCATCTCAGCGCCCAAAAGCCAGCACATTGACACCGCCGCTCTGGGTCATCGAAGTGGATGCTTTGCCTCGGGGAGCAAGTATCGAGTGGGTCGGTTACGGAGCCACGGCGCCAGGATTGGCAGCCGAGCACTTGATGCACCTGCAGTACCTGCTCCGTACTTTCAAAGAACACATCATTCAAAGGCCAGATCGTGTCCAACAACCGTGCACCGTTGACCGCCGAGCCACTGCCGGCGCCCAGAGTGGATACTGATCAGCATACGTGGAGGGCTGTGTGAAGCAGGAATGACGGAAGTAGCAGCATTTGTAGACTTCCCACGTGAAGGAGGCCGACTCGACATGCATTCGGCCCAGTCAAGCTTTCTTCTCCACATACACCTTGCGCGAAGCCTGCCGAACCCGGAAACAACGCCAATGCGGGGCAAGAGCGCGTTTGGAAAGCTTCCTACTAGCACCCGGCGACGGTTTGCAGACAACACCAAGCGTCGATGTATCATGGCGTGAGGGGAACGGTGCCGTAAGTAATCTGCATCGATGGCGCGATCGACAGCGTATGTCAGGAGGATTGTTCATCCTTTTCAGCGACGCTTAGCCCTACTACAGCCGAGGCTCCTACAACCACGCATTGAGGGGCTACCACATTCGATCACTAAATAGCATATTGGGAATGTGTAGACGAGTATGCTTGCGTCCGGCTTCCAATTCACATTCAGGCAGCTTCACACATTCGAGTCGTATCTCTTTGCAAGACCCCTTTTCGTTTTGTTCTGCACAACATTGTCTATATGGCTCCTGACCTCAATGCCGTCGCCGCTGGCGAGCGGTTCGACTACTCACAGCCGGGCTCTTCCGGCTATCATATCAACCAAGAGATCACCTGGAACGATCCAAAGAACCGAAAGTTGAAGGTCTTAACCATCGGAGCCGGTGTGACCGGCATATTGATGGCATACCGGATACAGAAGGATTGCCCAAATGTAGAGCATGTTATCTACGAGAAGAACGCAGATATCGGAGGGACGTGGCTCGAGGTTGGTCTGTTGTATTTGGAGCAAGCTGTCCATTGGTTCGCTGACGACAACATCGCAATGGGCAGAACCGGTACCCGGGCGCTGCATGTGAGCAAATGATCGATCATGATTCTACCGATTCTGTGAGCAAGCGATAACGGTTGTCTTGAACACTTTCAGGTGATATACCTAGTCATGCCTACACCTATCAGTTCGCCCTCAATCCAGACTGGCCTCGCTTCTTCTCATACTCGCCTGACATCTGGAAATATCTTGACAAAGTCTGCGAGACATTCGACTTGAGGAAGTATATGAACTTCAACACCGAAGTCATAGGGTGCTATTGGGACGAAGGTATGGGTGAATGGAAGGTCAAGCTGCGGGAGACCGTAAACGGAGAGGTCGTTCGAGAATTTGGTGATACTTGCCAGTTGTTACTCCACGGCACTGGTATCCTGAACAATTTCAAGTGGCCAGACATACCTGGCTTGAAAGATAAGTTCAAGGGTAGGGTTGTTCATACGGCTCGCTGGCCCACAGATTACCAGAAGGAGCAGTGGAACCACGATCGCGTTGCAGTCATCGGATCTGGCGCCTCATCCATCCAGACTGTGCCTACCATGCAGCCGCACGCTAAGCATATCGACATTTTCGTCCGCACTGGCGTATGGTTCGTCCAGATTGCGAACAACTATGGCCAAAACAAAGAATACGACCAGCAGGAGAGGGACACATTCCGCCACGACCCTAAAGCCTTGGTTGCCCATGCGAAGGATATCGAGGATCAAGTCAACGGTCTCTGGGGAGCCTTCTACTCCGATACCGAGGCACAAAAGATGGGCCAGGAGTTGTTCCGTAACCGTATGAAGGAGTTCATCAAGGACGAACGGCTGTTGAAAGGCTTCACACCTAAGTTCGGCTTGGGGTGCCGTAGGATCACTCCTGGCGATCCGTACATGGAGGCCATACAGAAGGACAATGTCGACGTCCACTTCACGCCTGTCGTCAGCTGCACCGAAGAAGGCGTGGTTGGTGGTGACGGCACTGAGCGCAAGGTTGACACCATTGTCTGTGCCACCGGCTTTGACGTTTCGTACCGACCACGTTTCCCAATCGTAGGCGTAGATGGCATGGACTTGAAGGAGAAGTGGAAGGTCTGCCCTGAGTCGTATCTCGGCCTTGCAATCCCGGACTTTCCAAACTTCCTCACCTTCATCGGCCCGACTTGGCCTGTCGAGAATGGTTCAGTGATGGGCCCGCTACACACAGTCTCCGACTACGCCGTTCAGATCATCAAGAAGATGCAGAATGAGAACATCAAAAGTTGGGTGCCCGATCAGGCAAAGACCGATGCTTTCAACGACCACGTGCAGGAGTGGATCAAGCACACTGTCTGGAAGTATGTGACTCCCCGTAAGTGTCCCGTGCATATTCGATCGATGCTGACGTGCTTGCCTCTTGCTCGGTAGGGACGAGTGCCGAAGCTGGGTAAGTTGCCGAATACGTCCGTCTCATAACTCCTTGTCCTAACCGCGAGCAGTACAAAAATAACGACACCGGCCGTGTCAATGCTGTCTGGCCCGGCTCGTCTATGCACTACCAGCAAGTCATTGCCCAGCCGAGGTACGAAGACTTTCACATCCAGTACTTCGATAAGAACCCTTGGGCTTCGCTGGGCATGGGCTGGACAATCGAGAACCGCCTAGGTGCGCAGGGCGCGGACTGCAGTCCGTACCTCAACCTTAACAATATTGACCCGAAGTGGTACGTCGTTTTTAGACCGCTTGTCGTGGTTGATATGCTGACGGAGATCCTGCAGGTTCGAAGCAATGGGTGGTGACGCCAAGGTGCTTGTCGAGCAGCAGAACAATCAAAACGCTCGAAAGGGAGCCAGGGCACCGATAGATCAGTAGTAGCACCCTTGAACATGTTCGCTGCATGTCCGCTCGTTATCTGTTTTTCTTCTTGTCTGCGTCAGTTTCATCTTCTCCTTCCCGCGTTGTCAAGGCTATCCAGATTGACAGGCTGAGCGCAGACAGCACAAAGTCGAAGCCCAACGAGCTCACCGCCGGGTGGCTAATGACCGCTTTCGCAATCTCCGTCATCGTATGCGATCGGCTTGCCAAGTAAACTTGACGTGTAAGAAGGATACCGCCTACAAAGGCTATAGGCCGCTGAACCAGTTGACTGAGTTCCGAACGAGCAGTACCGATTCGAGTCTTCACCAGGGCCAGTTGCACGAACAATAGCAGTCTAGCAGCTACGATGAGTGGTATCAACCAGGGCGTCCCAGCCAGCCCTGGAGCGACAGACAGGCCGAGAGCGTATAGAGCGAACGCCACTGCAAATGAAGTCGGCCTGACATCAACTTGCGTTGTCGCAGGGCCTTGGCGTGTTAGTGCAACGTAGAACAGGTTCTGTGTGAATGAAATTGGCAGAATTTGGGCTAGGGCGAAGAAAGCCCATAGCCTTGGAACCTGCTGCCTCCGACCTGTAGCTCGTTAGAGGACCGGCGATCCGTGCTTTGAAAGGACACTGTCGTGCTCACCTTCAGTGGCCATATACGTGGAGACTGACATGGTGGCGATTAATGCACTGAGCGTCCAGACATACCGTGCCTGGTCTGCGACGATTGCTTCGCCGAAGTCGCGAAATAGGGTCGAAGTAATGGACCACGTCCAGATGCTCCGCAACATGCCGTTTCTCTCGACAGCGAGCCGGCCGAAGATGGTCTGACTCCACTCATAGTACGACTGAATTAGAACATGGAGCATGTTGACAGACAGCACGGTAAAGCTGATGCCGGCCAAAGTAATGAATACCCGCGCCGGTGATTGACGCCCAGGATATCTACGCGCCGGTAGTTGGGCGATGGTGACGAGGACAATGGCTGTAAACGAGAGTGCTGCGACATTGTAGAGCCAGAAGACAGTCGCCCCGAAGTAGTTGTAGGTGGGATTGGTATCCATCGGCGGAGATGTACGAGAGGTGGAAGGTCAGAGGTTGTGCGTCAATACCATAGTACCCTATACTAGCCAAGAAGCCGCTAATACACTGTTAAGGTGATGTTCGCTACAGTATTGTGGCTCATACTCCATGGATTGTGATCGGCGCATCTTCGGATGCCCGCTGCGAGCCTTACTGTAGCCTTGCACATCAACCTCTATTCTGAGCAACGAGGAAGAACTTGAGGAGTCAACAGCCTTGCGGCCGAGGCAATTTGTTGCCCATGACGGGCGGAATGTCCTCTCTCTACCAGCATTGTCGAGTGGAGTGCAATCCCAGGAGATAGACAGGCTCCAGCCTGTCGGCCACCGCGCGTGATGCCTTTGATGGCTTGAACTGCTCTCGGACGAGCTACGATACCACGATGTCTAAGTAAACCGAGCGACAAGGCTCCGACGCTGCTATACACCTTGCCATGTCCATAACCCTAGTAAGGCTCTTCAGCTCACTCACAGGCTTGCGAGCTAAACCGTACGAAAGCCGTATGAAACCCGTATGGTGAACGCCAAGCAGTCGTCAACAATGGATAGATCGCTTACTGGATCTGGGGTTACGTGCAATTAAAAGGGAGATGCTATGAGTTTCTTGGGAGCTCTAAAGCCCACACTGACAAGCAGTAAGAGTTTCTTACAAGCACTCACACTGTCACACCACGTCATGCGACTTCAGGCTGATCTAGTGTGTTTAACAGCGCGCCCCAGACCGGTAGATGCGTGGACTGTACTTCACAAGTCTGACGCTTTTCATGTTGAGAGGGAAGACCTGGACAAGGCGCGAAGATGGCACGAAGTGTCTGGCACTTTCCACAACCAAGGATCACTAGTTGTACAGGCAAGGTTAGCTTCTGCGGCTCCTACGGTGTTTGCGCCCTGGGGAGAGGTTGGGTTGGCAGCCCGACTAGCCCGAGTTGTTACAGCAACATTGACTGCACTTCGGCAAGCCTCTAGATTGCCCGTATGGACGCTGGCGTTGCGCTATCTAGAGGTATCATCGAGACACAACCAAAAGAGCCGTGAAGGCGCCAAGTCCACTTGATGAGACTGTTCGCAAGCCGACATTAAGGACGCCTGCACAATATGTGATTGATGTAGCACAATGTGTACGAGCTTCCAGCATCATGCTCATGCGATGGTGCGAGGGGTGCGTTTGTCGCAGCGTTGCTCGTACAAAACCCCGGCACGCTAGTGTTGGGCTTCAGCATTTCAGACTCCTGGCATGAGCACGGCGCGCAGACGGCGGAGACGAATGCCCGCAGCAGCAGTAGCGTCTCTCCTTGTGACAGCTTGGAAGCCGTTGTAATTCGCTGCCAAGATCGTGTGGCTTGGAAAGGCCAAACATCCCATATCGTTGAGCCAACGAACGACGATAAGGGCTCCGTCACCGACTCAAAGGGTTCTTCCGCGCAACTGCGTTGGTGCACTATCTGTAATGTAGCTGAAAAAGCACCCTGCCAGACAGCGAGCGGGGCCTGTTCCTCGTTTAACATACTAGGCAGCAGAGGACGTATCGACAGTCGAAAGGACTGCCTCTAGGCAGCGTAGGAACAACTAATCATTATCCATGTGATGCAGAGCAGTATGAACGAGCAAACATGCAGTAATGAAGTCCGCCCAAGTATGGACCAGGAATGGCTGAGATCTCACTATGTGACTTGCTTCCTATATATCATGATATGAAGTCATCCTGTGGCGTAACAGAGTCCACACAATGATACGGTTATCTTGCGATGGAGTACAGAACTACTAATCACCATTTGAAGTGCATATATGGATCAGGTGCCTGATCTGATCCTGCCTCACTTCACGATCGATTGATCCGCTCCTCACCAGTCTTGTACGGTCGCCTGCACCCTTCTTAGCCGAGTGTTGCAGTGAACCCTCCACGACTGCCTCAGTACTGCCTCAGTACAGCGGTCTACTTCTTGGTAATTGTTTCCTGAGTGCCTCGCATGCCACTCGAGGGGCTAGCTGTTACAGGGCGGCGGATTGTTCGGACAGCTTCGTGGACCGGAGTAATACGGCTAGACCTTGGATGGGTAAGCTGAGTGCCGTTCCGTGGGTCACTGCAGGTCGAAGGTGCGAACGACCCCGACGTCCGCCATGTGTGGCCCATGGCTGGCGTCATGGCGGTCGTCAGCGCCGCGGGCGACGGTCGCCGCGCTTGTGGGTGCATTTGGCGATCATGCTCCTCCCGAATATCAAGTTCGACAGGATATGGATGGTGCAGAGGTTGCTGGTCTGTGCAAAGTTAGTCGCTACATGCAACACATATCACATTGCGGCGACCTGCGTGGCATGTCCAGCGCAACACCGTCGTCGCGCCAGGTGGGTTGCGGCTCTGTAGCGAAGATACTCAGGAAGCGCAAGTCGGCATTCACTGACTTGTATGATCAGCTTGCATTCGACCATGCAGTCAAGCTGATGCAATGACGGACCTCCTTCCGTCTGTAAGCGAACATATGCCTGCGCAGATGCCTGGCTGCTAATATTATAGGAACTGTAACCCTCGAGCTGCTGATCGGCAAAAGATGTGCTAGGGAAGATGTACTCGTTGCACAGCTTGCAGGTTGTGTTTCGGCCTCGGTTGGCTTGCTCGCAGGAATGGTTATGCTCTGCCATGATCGTCGCAGGCTTGGAAGAAATTTGCGGCAAGTAACCTTTGTTATAAGGGAATGTCGAGGTTGATGGAAGATGCTTTGGTGTTGGAACAACGGAGAGGGCTTGTTCAATGTCTTTCGGTGGCGACGGCTTGTTGTAATGCAATATGGCGGTGAGGTTCAAGGATGCCTAATGCCAGCGCACTTGACATTGCCTCAATGAACCACCCACGCTCAAGAGAAGCATTATAAGCCGCCGAGCGATTTTTTCCCCGACTAGCGAGCCCTCGTACTTGTGCCAGTTCGCCCTATTGAAGGTGTAGGGCGATGCTGTGTTGGCGGTGTTTGCCACTCGTACCTTCAGTGCCTTCATACCCCTTGCACTTCTGCCTGGGGGCTCGTGCAGTGACCAGGTTGGAAGCCGACGACATGCCGAGCAGGAACTTGCAACCTATCAATGACGCGGTTGGTTCACGATGGTTACACCGCTCGTTTGACCATAGTCGTCTCCCTAGGACAAAGGTGGCAGAGAGTGGCCGGTACTGACAGCATCTGCGTGCGCTGAGCTAATGTCGAAGACTATCGTGAAACTGACACAACGCATAGATTCTTCAGCCCTACTCCTCTTGGTAAGCGGTATCGAGGCCAAAGTGCTACGCTAGTCCAGTGGCAGGGGTACTTGTAGCGAGGCTTTGACATACCACTGGTCAGCTGGTGCTTGGAATATGAGGTAAGGACCAGACCTTAGTCCAGAGGGACCGTTTCAAAAGCGCATAGCGTAAGGCAGGTTAAGGCCCGACCACGATGCCCAGATCAAGGAACGGCCGCAATTGGAGTTCTGCAGGCCACAGTCACCATAAGGTTGCCCAGTATCAGGGTGAAAGAGCTTTGACAAAGCTTCCTAGTGGATCTCGCAAGCATTTGTGGTTGTGCTAAAGCACGCATAAGGGTCCTGCAGAAGCAATCTGCTGTGCCGCACAAGTGCAGGTTGGTCCGCCTTCGCGCAGCAACCTCGTAATCGTGCATTTCATGGCGCTGAACACGGTTTTTAATTCGATGTGGTGTGCGTCAGTTGATCGAAGACCTTCCGGCTTAGGAGGAAAGCTACCCTTTGCCTGTACCAGAAAGCGCGTGCAGACTATTCTGGGCGCGCGTCAACAGGCCTTCCCTACCGCATGCGTCAAACACTTGTTCGCCGAGAAGCGACCAATAATTCGAGCTTGCTCGAGTTCTCTACTGTAGGCATGAGCTTAAGAGACAGGCTGATGGGCTTAGTCGTCGCCAAGCCAGGCGATTGCGAAGCAGCAGGCGAGAAATCGCTATGCTATCGCGACCAGAGGCCCGTTCGTACACGCACGCGTACGCTCAGATGGCATTTGCGTGTTCTAGATCGGTTCGGCGTTGTTTATCGCTGGTATGCTTACATAGATCGATCTCTCACTGTTCGTCCCACGGTCTCAGTGCTCGGAACTCCGTGAGCCACGGTATATGATCGCGGTTCGCATTTTTCTTGTCTTCTGAGCGATAGTATCAAGATCGCCAATCAGGCTTAGCGCACTTTTCGATGCTCTGCAGCCGTGTTTCAGCACAAGTCCAACACACAGACGAAAGGAGAGGGTCACCGGGTAAACCTTACTGTACCCAGTCACAATCTCGTGCGCTGCGCCAACAGGTGATTTTAGTCGGCAGCTGTCGTTACCGGGATATGATCAAAGCTATCCAGATGGCCGGTAACACCCACTGCGCGTTTCACGCGTTCCTGCACGGCACAGGCCATCTGTTCACCGGTCGGTCCTTCCAACAAGCCCCCTGTACTAGCGATACACTCTCTATCCTCAGAGATTGAACGCAGAATCAATCGGTGGTCAAGCATGTACAATGCAATTGGAGTGTGAATCGTCGAAAGCGTGAAGATGTGGCTGTCCATAGAGGTAAAGTAAGCCCTTATGGAACCACATCTCAACTTGAGCTCCTGGATGCGGATCAGTATGTGCAGGACACGGTGCCACAAGCTGATGCGATTGCAGCAGATGGGTGCTGTCCAAAGTGGGCGGCAGGCATTGGCGGCCTAACGCAGGTTGCCTTTGCAGTCGGTCATCTTTTGGTGGCATAGGTAAAGTATATGTGATTCTAAACAGCAGCCAGTGCCGAAACATTCGCTTCCTGTTGCAATCAATGCTCTGCGAGCCGAGTGATGTCGCAAGTGCAGCGCAACCGCTCATATGCTGAAGTTCCAAGGTTCTGGATCCATTGGGCGCTGGAAGTAGGAGCCAAGGAGACGCAGCCGGCAGCAGTCCTTTAGTCATCACGCACAGACTGCCGAACGGATCACAGTGCCGACATACTCAGTATCTTGAAGTACTTTTTGGCGAGGCAAGAGCACGGGTGTTGCAGCCAATCAGGGCGCTGATGCCGTCATTTGGGCGTCGACTGGCTCAAGTCCACCCTCAGTCGATGTGTGGCGGTGACTCGTACCTGCATCTCAAAGTTCATGTTGTTGAGCCCGCTGTAAGCTGCCAGCTAGCAGCCACTAGAGTTCATGCATTGTCTCGCTTCTGCACATGATGTCAATCTCAAAACGTCAAGGGTAAAGGTCAAGGAAGCAACGGTGAAATAGTGATGTAGGTATGACTCCTAGCACCTCGCCAAAATCTTACAGTGATTGAAGCATGCAACTTTTGACTGTCCAACCCGTGCGTTACCCAAGACTTCATGCATGGCCATTGACACCATTCGAAACGCCATTGACCTCCTTGAGCGGACCGAGCTTCTCTCTCCGCGCCTTGGAGGCCTCAGCGAGCTCAACGATTACTTTCTCCGTTTCATCCCACCCAATGCAAGCATCAGTAATCGAGACACCGTACTTGAGGCCCGCCTTGCCCTCCTTCGGCACCTTCTGGCTGCCTTCGTTAATGTTCGACTCGATCATGACGCCCATGATTGCATCTTCGCCTGCATGCATTTGTTCAGCAACAGAGTGCGCTACCTTGGGCTGATTCTTGTGGTTCTTTTCCGAGTTGCCATGCGAGCAATCGACCATGACACGCGGCCGAAGACCTTTCGCTTCCAACGCGGCCTTAGCGTCGTTGATGGATTTGGAGTCGTAGTTGGTGCCCTTCTTGCCACCACGGAGGATGACGAAGCAATCATCATTTCCCACTGTGCCGACAATTGCGACGTTGCCGGGTTTCGTGACAGATAGGAAATGATGAGGGTGCTTGACTGCGCCGATCGCGTCAATAGCTACGTCCAGCGTTCCATCTGTTCCGTTCTTAAAGCCGACCGGGAAGGAGAGGCCTGATGCGAGCTCACGATGTACTTGCGACTCTGTTGTCCGTGCACCGACTGCGCCGACAGAAAGCAAGTCGGCTGTGAATTGTGGACTGATGGTGTCAAGCATCTCGGACGCTAGAGGCATGCCTTTCTCCGTCAGATCGAGGAACATCTGTCGCGCAGTTCGCAGGCCCTTATTAATGTTGAAGGTGTTGTCAATATCCGGGTCGTTCACCAAGCCTTTCCAGCCGACGGTCGTTCTAGGCTTCTCCAGGTAGGATCGCATAACAATGAGCAGCTCGTTCTCGTACTTTTGCTTCAACTCGAGCAGGCGATCGCAGTACTCCAATGCCATGGCAGGATCGTGTATACTGCATGGACCAATTACGACTAATAGTCTTCGGTTCTTGTCCGTGCCGTGAACGATATCGACGGCCTCATTGCGCGCTTTGATCACGGTGTCCTTTGATTTTTCCGTCTGCCGTATTTCGTGTTGTAGCAAATCCGGCGGTGTCAGGGGTGTCATACCCCGAATACGCCAATCTTCTACACTGTCTCGGTTGCCAACATTGGCGTTGGGCATGAAGAACTAAAGGCGCCACAGTCAGCGAGATTCCTATCTGGCGTAGTCTTCCCTCTGCAACTCACTTCCGACATGTTTTCCCGTCGACGTGGGCAGTAATGTTCTGGTCAGTGTATGCACAGCGTTATGAAGGAATAGACTTGTCTGGTAAAACTGAAGTGGATTTGGGATGACTCGACAGAGTCTCGACATTGGCCCGGCGGTGAGCGGAGCGTTTCCGCCACGTCTTTTCGGCGCACTCATGACCTTAGCCATTTCAGTCACGTGCGCGGTTTAGAGCGATAGCCATGCTGCCCATCCAAGTCGACACAGATGGCTCGGGTGGAGCAGCTTACCGTCAACTTCTTCTGTAGCCACAATCCGAACTACGATAACAGACATGGAATGTCACTCTTGGAGTACATTTGTGTAAAGTGCGAAATATCTACCATCGCCACCGCAAGCGCTTTGGCAGAGTAAGACAAACCAACGAAGTCCAGAGACGGAATAGGGAGACGATACACCATGGTCGGCGGCTACCTCGTTGTATACATCAGAAGCTCCCTGCAATGCCGCACGCTCTACACCCTCGCGCTAGACAACAACTTAGACAATAACTCAAATCATTGCTGCTTTCCCTTGTTCTGGGCTTGCGGTCCCATCTCCTTGCTGAAAGCGGCATACGAGACTTCCAGGCCGGCGATGGCAGAGACACCGACGTAGCCAATCAAGAAGAGTAGCAGCGTGACAGTGAGGCCCATGAAGATGGCTAGTATTTACGTCAGCGAACCAGGATGGAGCGTGGCCAAAACAGACGGTAAAGGCTTACCGGGTGACAAGAACTGGTACGTCTCAAACAGCGGCAGCTTGTACTGTGTGTTGTCTGTCACGTTTGACTGTCTTTGCCGAAGACGGCGCCCTTCTGCACTGATGTCGCGCTTGAGGTCGATATGCAAGGCTGAGGGGTACTCCTCGTCCATCTCGTACGGCGGATCCTGCTGTATCGCGGAAGCTGCATAGATAAGAACATAAGGCATATTCTTCGAGCTCAATTCGTCGAGGTATCGCGTAATCGCCACGTCTAGGTTGCTTTGCATCAGCAGTAGTTTCGCACATAAAGTGGTCCCTTATTTGGCTACGACATACCGGACATAGCAGTCTCCGTCTTTCTGTCGTCTCCGGCCATTGTCAGTGGCTGCAAAGGCTTGGTAATGAGATGCTTCGTTGTGCTCTCTGCTAAGCTGCATTTCCTGGCCAATGCATCCGCAAGCTTGTCCGCATTCACGCTACCTAGCGCCTCAGACGTTTGCAGCAGCGTCTCGTTCCGTCCTTTCGCCATCTGTTCTCGCAGCCGCGCCATGCTCATGACATCGTCTGCTCTGGCGCCCGGCTGGGTGAAGATGACGTACGCATCGTGTTCGCAACCTGATAGAGCGTCCAGTACCTGAGTCTCTACATCACCAGAGCTCGCTATTTGTGGTAGTGGCGAGTTGCTATATCGTCCAGAACTGCGCAGGTGTTAGTGGAAGACGCACTGATCAAGTGGTAGGTTATGGTTACGGATCGCTGAGAAGCATGAAGAATGGGTGCGCATCTTTGAATGCTTGCACCGTACTTGTGGCCAGCAGAAGCTGGCATACCGATCGTAACAGCATGATGTCGATGAGTATGGGAATAGCAGCTCAGAGTCGTATGTCACTGATAGCGGCGAGGCAAGGCATACATCTCCGCCTTGCCGAGGTTTCGCCGGCGCAAACTCCAAGCCTTACACTTTTCGATATTGCATGTGCCCATGGCGAGACGTATCACAAATGGCGCCTATATTACAGAAACGCAAGAGAGACACAGGACAGCTAGAGGCGATCTCCTTCGACCCTACTGCACGTCAAGACTATCTGACCGGGTTCCACAAGCGCAAGTTAGCTCGAATTCAGAATGCACGTGAGACTGCAATCAAGCGGGAGAAGGAGGAGAAGGTGCGGGAGCGGCGACAGATGCGAGAGCAGCGAAAGATGGACCTTGACCGACACATGGCTGAGTTTAACGCGGAGTTGCGGAAGCAGAACCCCGATCTTACAGAGTCAGAGGCGGAAGATGGGAAGGTGGACGCAGATGGCGCTGGAGGCGAATGGCAGGGACTTGGGGAGCGGCCAACAGCGGATGTAGCGCAGGAGGACGAGGAGTATGTGGACGAGGACAAGTACACCACAGTAACTGTGGAGCCAATGAACAACTTCAATGACGAGGAGGACGAGGATAGGGATGCAGCGAAAGAGTACGCACAACTTCCTCCCGAAGACCCCAATCGTTCAGCGAAAAAGAAGCGCGTATGGGCCAAAGACAGACCGGCAGACGGTAAAGCTCGACCGAAGAAGCACAAGTTCCGCTACGAGAGCAAAGCGGAACGGCAGGAGACCCGGCGTAAGCAGAAGGTAAAAAGAAGCAAGGCTGCCAAAGCACGGCGTGACGGCGGATGATTGCCTCTGTCTCCGTCACCGAAGCAGGTGACTCCAGGGTATGATGCTCTCAACAGTGACCGACGATGCCAGTCAAAGATTCGCCAGACAGGACTTCGTCATCCGTGCCGCCTACTCAGACCAAACACCTTAGACCATCCTAGGCGAGTCCAGCGTAACCTCGCGATGATGGTGCCCAACACTCACGGCGTTGCCACTTGCGCGTCCAAGTGAGCTCTGAGGCGTATAAACAGCTATGCAGCAGCTTCAACATTAGTAACACGCTCCACCTATGCCAAGATAGAATAATGCTGGAGATAATGTCTGCAAGGCTGGTGGTTAAGGATCGGTTAGATAGTACCAATCTCAGCCACGAAGTCGTCCAGCTCCTTCTTCGTGTCGGCGTACTTCTTCGCCATGTCCTCGTACTTGGTCTCCCACTGGTTCACGCTCTGCTCGAGTGCCTGCACTTTGCGCTCGTAGTGGCCGGCCTTGACGTCTGTTTGCCGTAGTCTGAAATGTGGTCAGCCAGCTTTCCCTCTGCATCCCTTGCATGTTAGATGTACTTCTCGTTCGTCTCTCTCAGATTCTTATCCGCGGTCTCCGCCTCCTCCTCCAAGATCTGGATCTTCCGCGTCAACGCCTCATTCTGGCTGCCATGTTGCACGCTCTCGTCCGCTGCTGCTTTCGCCTCGCCGTGCATCTTCTCTAACTTCTCGACTTCTCGTTCCAGCATGCTGTTCTTGTGCTGAAGCGAGGTAATCTCTTGCTCCTTCTGCAGGTTCTCATGTTCGAGGTTTTTGACTTTGGTTTGGAGTTCCTCGACTTTGGTGGCTGATTCATCGGCCTCGATGCGAAGTGCGTTCATGCGCTGCAGGTAACACCTTGTCAGCGCTATATGACTTAAGCATCGTTGATATGGGAACAGTCGTGGCTCTGTGGAGTGCTCTTCACGTCCAATGTCGGCAGCAGGGCGGAGCGTTGGGCTGATGGACATTATTGATGCTTACCTTCTTGATGGCCTCCATGTTTGCAATACGACTGGTGGTGAATCAGTGAAATGATGGTGTGGTGTGGGCGGCAGGTCGTTGCGTCAACAAGTATTGTGTATCTCAGGTTGTTGCTGTGTTTCTCCCAAGCTAAAGTTGGCACCTGAACCTCGTTGGCCTGGTCGTGGCCCGCACTTTCTGCCCGTCGAGCTTTGGACCGAGACCCTGAATCACATGCGCCTTCCCAAACAAGGTAAACATCAACACAGACCATCAACTTCGATCAACGAAACAAATCACTCGGAAACAGCAATGTAGGAAGTAGAGCATCGTTGCAACAGTCATGTTCGCGACCAGACATAAAAACGAGAACGTCATATACGAGCAGCAACAAGCTGCAGCCGCGAAACCGCTGAATCAGGTTGCAAAGGGCCTTGCGCCGAAGACGCCGGCGAATAAGGCAGCCAAGACACCCTTCAAGATTCCCCTAAACGACGAGAATGCGGCTTTCACGAGAGGGAAGACAGGCGCAAAGGGCAAAGAGGGTGGACTTTTCGGAGATGGTAAGGGTAGCAAAGCAGATCAAAATGCTTTCGTTACTCCAGCTGGTACGTGGACAAGCCTGCTTTGAGTGACATAACGGGACCAGCTGAGATCGCTGATCAGGCCCAGGCAATCGAGCTCCGTTAGGTGCCAAGACTACAAATGCCAAAGCTACCGCCTTCTGCACACCACTCGCACCGCATTCGGCTCACGAGAAGCCTTCTTCAGTCCAAGCGACCAGCCCCCGTCTCCACCGTGCCAAAGTCAAGATCCACACTGCACAAGAGGATGCTCTCGAAGAGGATGCCGAGGAGCGCGAGATCGAGTACATGCCACCCCGGGAGGTCCCGCTGCCAGACTATCCAGACGACTGCTGGCCGCACGATCGAACGTATCCGCAATTCGAAGGTGCAAACTTGACGCGCGGATGGTGGGAGACGTTTCGACCGCGTACGAAGTATGACGATGAAGGCAGTGATGCCGAGTCGACGGACGAGGATGAGAAGGTCCGGAGGGCTGTAGAGACGAAAGCGAGGAAGCAGCGGGAGGCGGAGATGGCTGCGCGGCAGGCTTATGAAGAGCTAACCAAAGCGCCTGACACGCTCAAGTCACACACTGCTGCGGCTGCCCTCTCATCCGTCAGAACCGCGAAGGCGAGAGATTCGCGCAGCTTTGCGGCACCGACAGCCGCGACGATAGCACGTCAGCAGTTGGCTCCTCGTACAACAAAGTCAGCCGCGCACGGGCTGTCAGCTCGAGGCAACACTCGCTTCACAGCAGCCAAAGCGGCTTCGAACACGACGTTAGGCTATTCCAAGGGCAGAGTCGTGTCGGCCACTGCTCGCCAACCGCTGAGTGAGGTTCACAGCAAGCCGGTCGGCGGACATGCACGAAATTCTCTGAAAGCAACGATGCCAGCTGGGCGCGGTACTGGCCCCAACAACCTGCCAACAGTAGGCTCTTTAGTGCTGCAGGAAGCAGACCAATCAGAAGATGGACTAGTTGGCTTCGGCGTTTCCCTCAAGGACATGGAATACGATGAGTTTGCGGACTTCCAGCTGGACATGCCAGAGGATCTTTGAGCAATCGAGACAGCGGCCTTGGGGTGCAGTGCTTTACATCTTCGCCTTCTGTGCAGCAACGTCACCGATCCAAGGGCTCTTGTTCTCAGTGAACAGCTCAAAGCTCGGTTGCGTTTTATCCTGCATCGAGCCAGTACAGAGAATAGAGAGACCGGGAAATGCTTGCGGCAGTATGAACAGAGTTGAGCCCTTCAAGACACTCATTAGCTTAACGATAACGACGCTTCGGCGAAGGACGTACGCATTTGCTGCAGAAGTGCCTGTGTAATACCTTGCCCGACTTAGTGTCACTGTCTACATACTTCACAACCAGATCCTCGCCTTTCGTGAAATTGAGCGTTGAGTCCGTAAAACGATAGTTGTGCAGGAAGGCGCTCCCGGAGATCTTCTGGCAATTCGAGCAATGGCAAAGTACGGTGCCTTTATCTACGCCGGTGACGGTGAAAGAGATGGAGCCGCAAAGGCAGGTTGATGATTTGGTCACCTTAGTCTTCGGTGCCTTGCTTGAGGACATGACTGCTTGGTGTTGTTAGTGTGAACTACCTTGAGGGAAGACGCCGGCGAGTGAGACTCGGAGAGACGAGCTGGGATGGGAGATTGAGAAGTCGAGCGCTTGAGCCGAGGTTGAATAATGGCCGAGACAATGAGGTGAACCTTAGTCTTCACGATACAAACACCTCCTCGGAGCATATGGCGAGCATTCTTTTTGTGGATGTCGAGATGGTGTGGTAGAAGTTGCCGTCCATCATCCGTTGTGACGAAACGGGTCATGAAGCGTAGAAGCGAACAGATTATAGCCAACAAACAAGCACAGTTCGCTCAAACCTTCCTGTTGGCAGCATCTGAAGCGGCGCGTCTCTCCTCTTCACAAATCTCCCGAAGTGGTCGATACACATTGTCAACCCATGGCTTCATTTCCGAGAACATGTATCGAACGACTGCTTGGTCTCCTGCGACTCGCTCAGGTTTCTCTTCGCCACTCGTAACAGACTCCCTCCTGGATACTTACTTTCTTGCACCATCTCCATGATTGCCTGCGCCACCTCCTCGGGGCTTATGGACATCTCATCTGTGTACCCAAGTTGCTGGCTCAGGGCTTTCGCCGCCTCACCCGTCCACAGCGGCGCGCTTACTAAGTTGGGCAGACACAGACAACCTTGGAGTTCTCATCGGTATTCTGCCTGCATCATAGACTTTGTGAAACCGACAACTGCGTGCTTGGAGGAGCAGTGAAGCGCTGCCGCATACTGACCGGTGATACCTCCCCCGCTGGCGACGATGATCGTAACGCCGGGTTTGTTGGCTTCGAGACAGCTGCGCAGGCTATCCTGGTGAGTTTGAGCGGATGTTCGGTATTGATCTGTAGGGTTTTATAGTGGTCCTTCTCCGTGTTTGTTTATCTTATGAGCTCCATGAAGGTTCGGAGACGTCAGCTCCCGCCATGCAGGCGTCTGCGACTGCGGCGTGTTCGAAGGCCTGCGATACGTCGGATTGGATGGTTTCGAGATGAGATCAATCGGTTACATCGCACTTCATGAACGACACTTTGCCGTTGCAGGCTTTCCGCAAGCTTCTCGGCTTCTGGAAAGATTTTGAGGTGGACGATCAGAACGCCGGCCTTGAGGTCAAGATGAACGAAAGCGAGGCCAATGCCTTGTGCTTTGGTTGAGTATATGGTTGTGTTTGGGGTGCGCGGGTTACGTAGCATACCTGAGCCGCCTCCGGTGATGACGCCTATAATTCCCATCGATTGGGATGTCACCAACCACCATCGTTTTTCTCTATTGCTGCTAGCCCGAATGAATGGTACGGGATGCAGTTTCATGGTAACGAAGAGCTAGTAAGAAATACGATACTCGACTCCCCAACCTTTCACAGCACACACTGCCACCAATGCATCTGGGGTTTTGTGCTTAACGTTCGCCGCCGTCCAACCATATTGCGTGCTATCCAAAAAGGGTGCGACACTTCTATAACAGCACTCAAGCATGAATGCCTCTTGCTGCGTCCATCTATGAGGCGGGAACGACAGATATGATGGTCTCGACGGCACGTGCTCGGAGAGTGGAGTGAATGAAGCGTGCAGAGCAAGGAGTGGGTCGGAGCTACTGCCGAACCGGGGGCTTGGCTTTCCCGACGTGGCCGAACAAGAACAATGGGTCGTTTCTGCGCAAGACACATAAACCTCCCTACTGGACCACTTGCAGTTGTGTTTGGGATGGAGAGACGGCAAGGGATTGCTAGCATGAATTTTTGAGACAGATTCAAAGTCCGCTCGGACAAGACGATGGCTTGAGTCAGCCAGAAACGCAAGTGCTTTTTTCTTATCGTCACCCAAAAGACTAGTCGGCGGTGCATAGCGGATACTGAATCGCATCACTGCCGTGCTATCGGGGCCAGGAATCATGAGCGAGCATAGTGGCAAAGAGAACGATCGTGCACCTGGTCAAGCGATCCCAACCGGAGCTCTGAAGCCCACTCCTACCGAGTCCTCCATTGCGGGCTCTCCGGCAAGAGCATCCACGACTGCTCGCCTTGCTAGTCCTATATTCGGGTCGCCAGTAGGTGGTCAGCATTCTCGCCAGCCATCTGTCGTGCAGGGGACAAGTACGCCCTTGGCAGGCGCTTCTGGCACGTCTCTCCCCGGACCAGGCACTTCGTCTTTGTCTCAGGCGCTTCGAGGGTCGTATGCTCATTCACCGTCTCGACAAGGCACGGCGTCCAGAAGCGAAGCAGAGAGGCTTGCAAGTCCAGAGCGGAGATGGCAAGCTAGTGGGATCGGCTCACCAGCGGCCGGCTCGTACAATGCACAACTTGGCCGAAGTCCTAGAGGTACGGCTGAGGTTGAGATTCTCAAAAGACATCTTGCCGGTCCGCAACCGGGTTCATCAGAGCCCGGGTCATACCAGCGAGCTCGCAACGGTTCTGTCCAGCCGCAGGATGTACCGGGCGGCGCGGTAGATGGCGGGGATGGATTCTCAAGCTTGCAATTACAAGGAGGTGATACTACACGCCACATATACCGCTATGCTGAGAAGCGAGAACGCGAAGAAACAGAAGCCGAGGAGCGGGCGACAGGCCGGTTACGGCGCAGTCTTAGCGTGGATCTGTCGAAACCAGACGATGACAGCATGAGGAACGTGAAGGTGCCTGGAGGCTTCCGACGGGACCACTTACGGAGAACGGCTGCTTCACCGGCCCCGTCCAGCACGCGCCGGCCTGCGTATGGCACGGTCAATCGAGCAGTCACTGAGCCGCCCCTGGGCTCGAAACCTCGGTTTGTGACTAACAACTTTATCGAGTTTCTTACGTTGTATGGTCACTTCGCTGGAGAGGAGCTCGAAGATGACGACGAAGAACTAGAGCCGGACGGGTACTTTTCGTCCGATAATTATGACGACCAAACCACCGAGGCTGAGGAAGGCCGTTCGGAAGACGGAGGCTGGGGTGAGAACTCAGCCCTTCTCACACCTGGCAAGAAGAGACGGAGGCGGAAGCACCGTGAGTCTGGCACAGGCACGCCGTTCGGCGCAGCAATGCTTCTGCTTAAGTCATTCGTGGGGACCGGAGTACTCTTCCTACCGCGGGCGTTCCTCAACGGCGGCATGCTTTTCTCGAACCTGGTGTTGCTCTTCATTGCCCTGATCAGCTACTACTGCTTCATTTTACTCGTCAGCACTCGGCTGAAAGTGCACGCCTCATTCGGAGACATGGGTCTTCAAATCTACGGCAAGCTCTTCCGCAACATGATCAACTTTTCGCTTGTCATCAGCCAAATCGGCTTCGCGTCGGCGTACATAGTCTTCGTTTCCGAGAACCTGCAAGCATTCATCCTCGCCGTCAGCAAATGCGCCACGATGATTCCCATCCAGTGGGTCATTCTTATGCAGATGATCATCTTCCTGCCGCTGAGTCTGTATCGCAACATCAACAACATCCAGAAGATGGCGCTCGTAGCTGACCTGTTTATCGTACTCGGCCTGCTATACATCTACTTCTACGACATTAAGACGATCCTCCAACAACACGGCGTCGCTGACGTCAAAGCTTTCAACGCCAAGGACTGGACGCTGCTGATCGGTACCGCAATCTTCACCTTCGAAGGCGTTGGCCTTGTTATCCCAATCCAGTCCGGTATGGCCGAGCCAGCCAAATTTCCTCGCGTCCTCGCTACGGTCATGGTCATCATCTCCGTCATCTTCATTTCTGCGGGTGCCGTCTCATACGCAGCCTACGGCTCGCACACCAAGACCGTCATATTGCTCAATATGCCACAAGACGACAAGCTGGTGAATGCGGTGCAGTTTCTCTATAGTCTAGCGATCCTGCTCAGCACCCCACTACAGATCTATCCGGCCATTGAGATCACGAGTCAGCAGCTGTTCTCACGAACGGGCAAGTACAATCCCTGGATCAAGTGGAAGAAGAACGTCTTCCGCTTCTTCATGGTCGTGCTGTGTGCGGCTATCGCATGGCTGGGCGCAAACGATCTTGATAAGTTCGTGGCGCTTGTGGGCAGCTTTGCGTGCATACCGTTGGTGTATATCTATCCTGTAAGTGATCATCCACCGACGCCAAGGAGAGGTTCATATGCTGACTGCAAGACAGCCGATGATGCACTACCGCGTCTCAGCGACAAGGCTGTGGGAGCGCATAACCGACGTCCTCCTGGTCATTTTTGGCTTCGTGCTGATGGCGTACACGACGGGTATGACGATCCAGCACTGGGTGCACGGCGAGCGATCGAAGCCGCCTGGTTACTGCGACAACGGATCGTTCGCACCCATATAGCTTACGGTACAGCGAAGGAGCTCATATCAGCCAATGCATGCATAGCGATATCTGGAGTGCATTGCATGTCGTAGAACACAAAGAAGGCTCCTAGCACGAAGTCGCGTTCAGAGCGTCGATTCTTACACAGCCTGTGCAACGAGCTCGTGACTAAGTTCTCACTTCCATCCTTCCCTCATTCCGCTCTAATCTCATCAACCGTATAACACGAGGCGGTGGACTTAGATAGTGTAACTGTTCCGTCGTCTGCTCCGTCAAATCTTGTGGCATCGTGAGGGGTTGTGGCAGACGTCACTGATCGGAGTATAACGGACTCGCGTATATTTTCCGCGATAACTATAGCCAGATATCCATTCCAATCTGTCATTTGTGGTGTTCTATCGTTGCACGAAGCGTTAACTGCACAGTCGCCAACATGAGTGAAATCAATATCGTGGCCATCTTGTACCCTGTCCAGGGCAAGGAGGAACGGTACGCTGCCAGTCGGCATTCCTCGAACGACTTTCGCTAACTTAGCGAAGCATGAAGGAGCTGGTCGCAAAGATGGCCAAGGACGTGCATGAGAAGGAAGAGTAAGAATTACTATCACAGCCGGCAATCTACCCTGTTGGATGTATCACTAATCTGCTTACCCGTGGCCTCTAGCTACACATTGCGCTACATCATGACGGAACAACTTGGCGTGGAGACGCCAGACATCGTGATGATCGAGACGTACTGCTCACAGTGCTGTACATTCTCAGCACGTCGTTGACAGCGAACAGATACAAGTCCAAGGAGGCGGCCGACCAGCACACTAAGACGTCGCACTTCAAGAGTCTCTTCAGCACCATGGAAAGCGAGCACTTGATGGCTAAACCACCGTATATCGCGCAGACGATCAGTAAAGCTGGCTTTGATCTCGACCGCAAGATGATCAGTTAGACGCAGATGAGTGGTCATTAAGCTCCTTGCGGAGCGCTCTATACTCTATGTTCTATATCGTAAAGCTGCCTACGAGCGGCGTATCTAGCACACTCTTACCAACGAACACGGAAAATTCTCCACTCGGCACTATCCATTCCTGCCTTGTGACATTCCATATGCTCACGTCCTTCAGGCGAAGGTTGAAGCTCACTTGCGCAGTGGCATTCGGCTGTAGTGTTAGTTTCTCGAAGCCTCTCAGCACTCGAGTAGCGGGATTGCTGGCGTTAGCGTAAGTGGTCGGTATCTTGAGGTAGAGTTGGGCGACCTCAGCCGCGGCCACAGCGCCGGTGTTCGTGATCGATGCCGAGATTAAGCCTACGCTCCCAAAAAGAGACTCCAAGCCTCCGTTTCCAATGGCAGTGTTGTTTCCGTTGTTGTTAGTCGTCCCGTTGGTGTATACGGGCACCACAGTATCAGCTGCTGTCACTGTCGCATTAATCGCTATCTGCAGGTTCGAGTAATTGAAGGTAGTGTATGTCAGACCATAACCAAACTCGTACCTTGGAGTGACATTGCGCGCCAGGAAAGCACGATAGTCAACGTTGACACCTTCTGAGAAGTGGCATTGTGGTGACAGTGAGCCGTGGGCCTGACAAGGTCCCAGCAGATTCCCGTAGTCTGATGGCTGCATGGCTACTGTATATGGCAGTCTGCCGGAAGGACTGACATCTCCATACAGGATTTGCGCTATAGCTCGCCCGGCATCTTGTCCAGGCAAATGGGCAAAGATCGCAGCGGTAACGTTTGGGTTGTCGATCCAGGCGTCAACCAAGCGGATCCCAGCATTGTGGATTACGACGATAGTGTTGTTGCAGGAAGCAGCAACGTTCGATACGAGAATATTGCTGTTTGGTTCGGATAAGCCCGGACGATCCCAGACTTCGGAAGCGTACTCATTAATGAAAACAAGGCAGGCGTCTGAGCTGGTGACAACATTTGGGTGGCCGGATACGAAGTCGTAGAAGATTGCCGTACCGTCATTATAGGCTCGCGCTTGAATAGCATCGTACGGTGATGAAAGGTACGCAGGGCTGTTGCTGCCTGACCCGCCTCCGACTGTGAGCGTACCATTCATCACTTCCGGTGGGTCTGATACAGGGTTATTGCTTGCGATGCCGTTGAGTTGAAGAGGTTGCAAGCCGATCGCTTCCCAATTCTGTTGCCAGAACGATCCGTCTGGGACGTAAGCGTCCTGCTGCGCAGCATCGTAACCGAAAATGGAGAGAACCTTGGGCTGCTGAAGCGGGAGGGCGTTATTGACGTTCTTCACCAGTACGTGGCCCTCGACGGCTTGCTGCAGTAGGGATGGCCTCGAGGCTGGATCCTTTGCATCCGTGTAGTTGTGCGGAAGGAGGATATTTGGCGGCATACCAGCACCAAGCGGCAGCGCGCTGTCCTGGCCAAATTGGTACCATGTGGCAATGATACGGGTGGCCATATCGGCTAAGCGTGTCCTGTTGAGCGCGCTGGTGTTGACCGCATTCTCAAGTTGCCGCTCATTCCAATAGGTCGTGGTTGGCATTGCCATATCGAGACCAGCGTTTGCCGATTCCATGCCGCTGTGCTGGCCCACCCAATCGCTGACCACGAAGCCTTGGAAATCCAGCTCGCCCTTGAGCAGACCGTTCATGGCTTTGCTGTTCTCACACGCGTAGGTGTTGTTAATGCGGTTGTAGGAGCACATCACACAACCTGCACCAGCGTAAACCAAGTCCTGGAAAGGCCACAGATACAGCTCGTGCATTGTCCGGTCGTCCAAATTGGCGCTTGTACTCAACACCGTACCTCCACTGTTTCCGATCGGGTTACGGTTGGTCTCCTGCTCGTACGCCACGAAATGCTTCACACTAGCGATCACGCTTTCCTGTAGACCAACGACACTCTGTGCGCCTAAGATGCCATCAAGATACGGATCCGCCGCAAACGCCTCCCAGTTCCTGCCGCCTTCCGCTATACGACCAATAGGTCCCACTACAGGACCAAGAGCGACGTTCACGCCTTTCCGCTTGAACTCCGCACCCATGAACTGCGCCCTTTCATACGCGAGCGTAGCGTTCCATGAGGCTCCAATATGGATGCCGGAGGCAAATCCGCTAACTCCATCAGTATTTCGGACACCGTTGCCCGCGTCATGCAAACAAAACCCCGGAAAGCCAAGACGAGGTGCAGAACCAGAGATACCGACGCAGCCATTGCTTGAGTCCACTACGCCGAGAGTGACATTGTTCATCTCCTCGAGCGTCATGAGGGTCACCATGACTTCAGCTTTCCGATAAGCATCAGACCAGTTGCCAGCACCATAGCCTTGGGGAGAAGGGTACACAATCGGACTTGTCCAGTTCATAGCATTGGCACGATGCCGGTTTCTGAGGGCTAACAGCCCGAGCAGAGGAAGTAGAAGGAACATGGCGGCGACCGCGGCGACCACGAATTTGTGGCGTCTGCAAAACGCTACGAACCCGGACTGTCGCCCGCCGTGGACCAGAGGTGTTTTCTCAGCTCCGTTCGTGGTAGGTTCTTCCTTATCCATGGAATATGGCGCGTCAAGGCGGAAGCCGAACGTCTTCAGCCGTGCATATTCTGAATCGATAGCTCATCGAATGCAGATTCCATCAATACAGTACCATTGATTGATGACAATCGCCGACTGTCGCCGGTGATGTTCACTGTTGCCTTTTTGAAGATGTAAATGCGAGCAATCAACGCGTACATAATCGGCGTGGCGTTACCAGGGTCCGTCTCCGAATGGCCGTTCCCCCTGAAACACGGCACGGCTCGAGACGTTTATGCGAGTCAAGAAGGTAGGCAATCTATTTCAGGCAGTCGTCTTTGATTTGCTCCAGCTTCGCATGTGAATTGTCTGATCTGAAACATTCTGTTTCCCCGCCGTCCAACACCCCTCGCATAGCGTGACCACGCCTCCTGACCATCGCCAATTGCTAGCTTGGTTCACCATGGTGTCCTTCTCTTGTGAGGTAAGCCTGTGCACAAGGAGTCCGTACGATGTGGACGAAGTGGACTAATTGCCACTGGCGGTGCAGAACTGCGGCGATGTGTTGACGAAGAAGGTACACATATCTCATGCACGTTGGCGCCAGACAACTCGCTGACACACCCTACAGAAGCTGGACCCTCATCGTAACCAGTGCCGCGGGGCGACATATACCTGTCTAGACTGCATGGTACATTTCTACGGCACAGATTACCGCGCGCATACCTCCTGTATCAGCGAAGCGCAGAAATATCAAGGCAGTCTGTATAGAGAAAAGGACAATAAGAAGGGCAATCGCAGATCTATAAACGGCGCCTCAGGGGAGCGCAAGTCACAAGCCATGATACCCAGGAATGCGTATGTGGAGGATATGGTGGAGGGCGACGAAACTAATGCGATTGCGGTTATTGATGTGCCGCCTAAGGCTCCCACGCCACCACCGGCGGCCTATTCATTGCCTGAGGGTGTCAACGTGTTTGACTTCCTTGTTGAGGATAAGACGGACGACAACCAAAGACAGCTGCAATCGTCACGTGGCGTTGGGCGAACGCCGCATCCAACCAACGGCAACTCGCAAAAGGCCAACGGAGACGGCTCGCTTTATCTACAGCACGGTTACTCATATGGCAACGCACCAGTAGAGCCGAGCTTTGAGCGCTACGATTCGTGGCAGGATATGACGCAGTCGCAGAACGGGCAAGCCATGATGCCGCCACCTCCGCCGTACGTGACGCCAGGACCGAGACATGCCAGGACCGACAGCAAGGAGAAAGTAAAGTCGGAGACGAGTACCGACAAGAAGCGCAAACGGCAGTACATCGAAGAGCTTGACTTGTCGGCCTCCAAGCGGCCCACATCGCGAGGCGATGCCACCATGACCGATGCGCCGGCGACTGTTGTGGTGGAGCCTAGAGTACTGCACTCTGGACTGACGGGAGGTCTTAGCCGTCTGGTGACTGACCCCGAGTTCTACGAAGATCGCATTGATGCTGGACCAACGCCCATCAGCCCGCTCAAGCGCTCGCGGCACGAGAAAGACCTCAAAGACGCACGTCGAAAGTCCGCGTATACATCCTACAGCGTTGCGAAGAGCACATCAAGCAAGCACTCCGAGAGTAAACACCATCGTTCGCGGAGTGCGGACCGGGACAGTAAGTCCGAGCGATCTCGCCACCACAAACACCACCGAGACGAATCGTCATCGGCTGATGGCAGTCGACGCCATGGATCTCGGAAGGAAACCAGGGCGATCGAGTATCTCGATCGGCCAGGGTCTGTTCAGCCTTCTGCGACGAATCAGCTCATTAGCTATAAGTCAAGGGCGGAGCTCTTCCTGTCTTTTGTCACTAAAGGACCTGATAGTGAGCATGGATGTTCCATGAACAAGGCGCTAAAGCGTTACCATCGGGAGCGAGATGTGAGAGGTGAGGTCAAGGAGGAAGATGATAAAGAGCTGTGGAAGTCTTTACGCCTGCGAAGGAATGATAGGGGCGAAGTTGTCGTGTTCTTCTAATGTCGAAACGGGGGTAATGTGTACTGTACTCTGACGAAGCCATGTATAACATGCCAAGCTTTTTTAGCACGCATGCGATGGGAGTTTTCGTACGTGAGAACCACAACCACAACTACGCCGGAGTTGTCGTACTCACCGTCTCCCTCTTCATTCCCCTGTCGAAGGAGTGTTCGCGCACACTGGGCGGTTATCGCACATGATGCCGAAAGTCTCAGAGAGGCTGATGGCCACGCTCAGCGCTAATATGATATCCTCCACGTTTTTGTCCACCGTGTCCACACTCACCAAGGTTGATAATGCGTACTTACCCACTTCGCGGGCGCCAGACATATCGAGGCAATGGCGCTCGCCTCGCCGCCACGCGCCGAATTATGACGATGGCGCGTCAGGCAGCTCCGCTGTACAGCATACGGCGCTGAGCGCCACATGCGCGGAGCCAGTGCTGCGCAGGGATATATAACTTGACGGAGTTAGAGCAGATATGGTCGAGCAATGTTGGAATGACCATGCGCGGCGAGAGCTTATTGCTGACATTCACTGATTGTCTACACAGACGTCAGACTTCGAGCTGGAGCGCCTTTCACGCTGTCTGTTCTCAGAACAAGCGGTGGAGTGGCCGTCGTTCAGCCTTGCTGGCATACAGGCGACCATCAGCCGTGCTTGCTTCCATCGCGACGCTTTCGGGATCCAGACGACGAGGTTAACGTCCCGCGTCCGTTGACAAGCCTGCCCTGGGTCGAAGTCAGCAAACACCCATGTCTCTGCCATTCACAGTTCGCGTCTCTAAACATCGTCCTCTCCAACAGCCACGTCGCAGCGCCTTCGTGGTATTCTTCAGTCACCAATTCAACGTGAGTCATCGCGAACTTGTGTCTACAGTAACGGATAGTATTTTCTGTGGGGGTAATATAATATATGGTCGCATGTGTGCACGAGCTTAGCCAGTGCTTCTAACCATGTCATGAATTAGAGCTGTGGTCGACTGTTGGACGGCGCTACAAGATTGCAGGTGCATATGTCAGGAGCTTCTGGTTCGGGTTAGGGTTACATATGGACATCGACATGCAAGCAATTGAACCTCGACTTAGCCACATAAAGTCTCCGATCATCCCGTCAGCATGGCGGCAGTCGCACATGAGCACGTCCGGCTCGCACAGTCCTTACCAAGACAACTGCTGCACTTCTTCAAGCGCTTTCCACCGCCCCAACTCTCCCCCGGCGCACCGCCTCCACGACCGCAAACCGTTCAAGTAGTCTCGGATACCTCGTCCTCCAACCCGAATGCCGGCGGGGCTACCATCGAAGTGCCCGCCGATGACCCATCACCCACCCCTCTTATCCAGAACGCGAAATGGAAACGCAATCCTTTTCTCGCCCATAAGAACCCGACAACAGGCAACTGGCACGCCCCCCACTACTCACTGCGCCGACAAGCGGACCTCTTCCGCCTCGCGGTGGAGTACAACGTCCTCCCGCTTATGCCTGAGAGCCCAAAGCACCCTGAAATCAAAGCCGCGAAACGGGTAGAACAGGGTTTGAGGGTGAAGGGGACGGGCGAGGGCCAGAGGGTGAAGGGTAAGTACTGGGAGCGCACGTTGAAGTCGCGATTGGAAGTGAGGAGGAAAGCGATGGAGGCTATGCCTGATATGATTCGGACGTGGAAGGAGACAGGGCATGGAAGAGGCTGGAAGAAGTATCCGCGAGGACGCACGGTGGGCAAGGAAGGTGCGGAGATGGTATTCAGGGCTGAAATGAGGCATGCGTGGGTAAAGGAGAGGGGGAAGAAGACTGACAAGTGAGGTTCACTGGGAATCGGTGGCGATTCGAATGGCGGTGCCATAGCTGCCCGATAATCGTCGCAAGGGTCGCGGTGTCCTCGAATACGCTTGACTTCCGCTACCCACGTTGGGTGTGCCGTAGTACTGCAACATCTTGTGCACGGTACGATAACGCGCTGGCACTCGCTCGGCACGTCAAGAAAGCCGCCAGAATGATGAGCAGGCATCATAACAACAGACGGAGCGTTAGGGTGGACTACACCGAACCGAGTCAGCAATGCACTGAGGCCACCAGGATGCAGCTTTCTGTGGCTCTTCGCGCTAATCTCTAGAAGTCACGCTGGGCAGAACACATTCAGCAAGCGCTACGACATGGAAGAGTGCGGGTGCCATCTCAAGCTTCACGTGGAAGCAGCTGAGTTCCGACAAGCGCCGGAAGCAGCGCATATAGCAGTTCGATCGTAGGTATTTCATGTTGTGTACAGCAAGTAAGCCGCCATAAGCCAGATATTTGGTGGCAAGATGTCAGTATATTCCGAGAGACCATCCACTAAGCCGGACGCCAACCGAATGCTCGCTAGCAATCGTAACCTCCCATCATCGTCTAATCATAACAGTCGTAAGGACGTCATCTCATGTCCTCATCTTCTGTTTCCGCCGCGGTGCCTTCAAGTCGATAGTCCAAGGAACGGTAGCAAGAAGCGTGCCACCAGGCGAGTCGTACAGAAGCACTGATACTGCTTCTCCAACGGGTACTGCCTACGGCTTTCCAGATGTTGGCCTGTAACAGCGAAAGACGTCAGTACAGCTTCTCGAGCAACAAAGTGCAGATGCAAAGAGTCGCAACCAGACTTACGCTCATCCAAAAGCAGCCCGTGAACTTCGGCCAAGAACTTTCGTCCCGGTGCATTTTCTTCGCCATTCAACTGCGGCGTTTGCGGCCCAAAGCTCCCATAGGTCCATCCCTTCCTCCTGTACTTGCACTGGAAGAGACCGACCAAGAGATCGAAGCGGACGTCAATGCGCCCACACGCGTTGCTTGCTTCCTCCTCGGCCACGGCCGCGCTCTTCTCCCCTTTCCTGATTTTCGCATCCGCCTGGATCCACAGAGTGCGCTGGAACTCCTCAAGCGCCATAGCGAGACCGAGCATCGTACAGAATGAAGCGAGCCATGTCTCTTCTTTCCCAGAGTTGTGAAAAGTCTGCTGCAGCCAGTTCAGAATGTCTTCGCAAATTTTATTGCGCTTGAGGCTGAAGAAGAACTTCAGCTGGCGGTTGGCGAGGCGTGGCGAGATGTGACGCGCGTGAGGACCGGAGACCGATCGAGGCTGAGGTAGGGCCAGGGGACGCGAGTGGCGGACCGCTCTCTCGACGTTGTCAACAGTGTCCTCGGAGATGGTGAGGGTATGGGCCATAATGTAGGTAACAAGCATCATGCGCAGGACCTTCTCAAGGACCGACTTCAGCTATAAAGTTGTTAGGTTGCAGATTTGTATGGTGTAATGACTGGGTGTAGACCACTCACATCAATATCTTGAGTCTCGGTGTACAGCGTGCATATGGCCTGCAGTAGAGCTGCCTGGAAAGTATTAATTTGTGTTTCCTCCTCAAAGCAGGTCCACCCAAAGTCCCAGAGATTAATCGGATTTAGCAATCGCTGAAGGTATTCATCGAAGCGGTCGTCGTCGCCAGTCTCTAGCTTCAACAAGCCGAGTGGTGGCGACCGTTTCATTCGTGATTCCACGAGGCGAGTGTCCGGATTCTGGAAGTACTGCAGTTGCCTTAGAGGCTCGCCGGTGTCTGTTGGCTTAAACTCGTACAGGTCCCAAATCATCGGCGGACCATAGCCGCTCGTCAACTCTACCTTCACCGGCTTGTCCTGGTAGAAGTGAACGATATTCGCCTTGACATAGTCTTCGATGGTCTGCTTCTGGTGCATGTCCGTCATCGAAGCTGTAAGCGAAACGTCAGCTACGTACCGTTCAACATTCGAAGGGACGGTCTCACGGGGCAGGAAGTCGTGAACCAGAATAACTAGCTTGTCACGGTTGCATGGGATGTATCGAAGCTGGCCTCTCTTTGCCTTGTCTACGCAACGTTTACACGGATTACCATCGTCGGGACACTATGTTGTGTCAGCACAATCATCGCTTCAACAAAAGTTTTGAGGAGATTACCCCATCTCGTTGGAACACGCAATGCCAGCACGCACCGAGGGTACGCATTTTGTGACTCTTTTCTCGTATAGGCTGCTTCAAGTGCTCGCCCTTGGGACGGCCTCCCTTACGTGGCTGACCGTGCTGGGCAGTTTTGACGACCCGATGGGGATTAAGACTGGCTGGTTGTAACCTTCTCGCATGTGGTGCGGTTGTCTCACGGCTTGTGGTCTGGAGGTTGTGCTGAGCGGGCGTGATTGAAGGCGCTTGAAAATGTTGGGTTTGACTTTGCAAATGTGGGTGCGCATGTGGCTGTGGCGCATGACATTGTGCGCTTGTGACGGCCCGGGTGAGGACCGGTGAGGGCGACACAGAGAAGGCAACTCCATATTCGCCTTGCAAAGGAGCCTGACCCATGGTAACGCAATTTTGTACCAAGACATGATGCCTTTGCGAGGGCACGATGGGTTGAGCGCGATGCGCTAAGTTGTGCGCGTTCGTGAGCTGGACGGCCGGCGCGTAGTTATGCTGCTGGGTCGTATGAGGGTAAGTGTGCGAGATGAACGTACCGCGCGCCGGTCGTATATCATGCTGATCGACGCTGGAGAAGAGACTATGGTTGCTGTAACCCGGGCTGAACCCATCAGTTTCAGTCGACCGGAACGACAGATACGGCTCCTGATTGAATATGGCTGGTCGCGCTGTGGTACCGTCGAAGCTATTCAGCTGAGCGAGAATATCTGCATCATTCACGACGGAGTTAGTGGTTGTATCTTGTCCGAAGGCGAGGGTCGAAGGAACAAAATGACCCCATTGGCCAGCACCATGGGTATCCATCCAGGCATCAGCGGAAGGAGTTAATGCAAACGTATGGTCAAGTGCACGCGGAGTATTGTTCGCAAAAGACTCTGGCGATGCGTGACGCACGGAGTAGGATCCGACCCCTGAGAATCTTTGGGGCCGCATGCTGCTCATCTGCCGTCTCCCGTTTGGCTGATTGATAGGCCGACGAACGCCAACATGTCCGCTGGACGACGGACTGGTCGTGCCTTGAGTACCCTGTGTCGAATGACTGTCATCGGTGGCCTCGTTAATGGTTGTACTATCGAACGAGTCGTTGAGGGTAGAGGTAGGCGTATAGATCTGCGGCCCAGATCCCGGTGATAGCGAGCTCGAGACACGCCCTTCTCCCGCCCGATGACTGCCAGGTGACTTCGCCCAACAAGGAGAAGGACTCCTGGCATCCCATCGTAGGTCATAGTCTGAATAATGATTCGACTGCAGCGACGCATGCCGTAGCATCGCGTCCCAAGTCTGCTCGAACGGTTCGACCAAATCCGAAAGGCCACTGTCGAACCCAAGAGGGACCGCGGCGGAGCCGACGACGGCGGTCATATTGCCTGCCTTGCCTGCTTCAGTGCCTGAACCAGGCCAGCAAGCTAATGCGATCTACGTCTGACCACACTCCGGTGAGAGGAGATTACGCTTGGGTAATCCTTCGTGCCTAACAACAGCGGAACAAGCGCTGTTCATTCCTTGGGCGATCCAAACTCCGTAAGACCGCACGCTTGTTCCGGCGTAAGGCTCGAAGCACGGCGCGCATCCCACTTCACCGGTCGAGCGACGCGCAAGGCTAGGTCGTGGTCCGTGCACCACTCACAATCAGCCCGGCAGCAATGCAAACTATCAAAGTGATCGAGTTTCACTGTTTCCCTAAGCTGGCAGAGAGTTCAGTCTCAGCGAAGAGACGATGTCAAGTGACAGCTGAGTACCAGAGGCGTGATTGAGGGGTGCGCGGCTGTGCAGCTGCATGCATGCGTGCATGAGCGCCAATGATGGCTTGTCGCGAGAACATGCTATCTGCACTTCATCTTTCGGACCGCGAGCTACGCGCCCAACCCTTGCAGCTGACATTGTTGTAGTATGGTGGTAGCAAGCTCCGACCTGACCGGTCTTGTACGACTAATGGTTGTATGCGGGCATGCTTGGCGCTCGGTCAAGCGAGACGTCCGGTGAGGAAATCCTCGCCGGTCTCGATTAACGCGGGCGTTTGACAAGGTGTCGTGTACTGCAGTGTGGCTGTTGCAGTCACGTTTTGACCATTGGGTCGTGTACCGAGGGGTTCCCGCCCATCGCGATCAATGTGGCAGTTACGGCAGGGATATGACGTCGTGCGCACAGACGGATTCGGCGTGAGTGCCGAAGCTCAAGCTTTCGCTCATCAGATCTGAACAGCTCGAAGTCTTGATTGAGTGCGAGCGAAGACCCCACATCGTAACCAGTTGTTCACACGGTTTCGACACGCGTCAAGGTAAGAGTAGTACCACCCGCCTGACGTAGACTGTTCCCCCTACGCTGCCTGCTTTCTTGTCTTCAGTGAATAGTCGTCATGCACTGTTGACGAGTGTGAGGCTTGACTTGGAGACACTGGCTGTCCATGACCGGTGAGAGCACGTCTGGCGAGACCGCACCTGCTGCATTGGCCTTCCCTTGGCATGTTCAGTCTGTGGCCGGGGTTGTTAGTGCGACCTAATACCCCGTGACGGCCATGTCCGGTCAAGAAGACGCAGAGGACTCTCGGCGCCGCTATGGCCACTCATACAGTCCACATCATACCATCCCCACTATTCAGAAGTACCTGCATGAAAAGGAGGAGCGAAAACAGAGAGCAGCGAGCGGTAATGTAGATGGCGGAGATGCCGAGCAGCTCGAGCCGTCAAGAACGGAACAAGCAAAAGACTATGTCCAAAACTACTGGCAGTCGGAGAGCGAGAAGAAGGAGACCGAGCAGCAGAGGCAAGATCACGCTCCTGACGGTAAGCTTCCACACGATGAGGATGGTGGCAATGATGCAGAGGACTACGATGATGAGGAGCCGGTTGTCGACACCACTGAAGGTGCGCCCATGGAGGCCGATGCGAAGCAACATCGCAAAGGGATGAAGAAGCGGAAGGACGAGCGAGCAGAGCGGGAGGTTACGGACCCGATCACCCACTTGCCGGTGACTATCCACGACTACACGTCACAGGCATTAAAAGAGGTGCCCGAGAATGCTCCGCCCATGGGCGCCACCACTCGGTCGGCGACCGGGGTAGGTAACAAGACCAAGTCGAACCAGCAGCTTCAGAAGGAGCGAACAGATATGGAGAAAGGGCAGGAGTCAATGCAAGCGCTCTTTCCGCCCCCCGAGTATGCTGCGGTCAGAGATCAGATTGCTACGATCAACATGCAGGGCATGATTGCGGGCTTGGTAGGCACGGTGGTGATCATGTTCGTTGCTGTGGCTCTGCAGAGGTTGCTAGAGATGCAGCGAGTACCAAAAGCAACAGCCGGGCAAGGGCAGGCTCGGTTTTGGACGAACACTGCTGTTGGGACCATACTCATTGTTGCAAGCTTAGGTAGCATCGTGGCCGTTTTTCTTGGTCTACGCGGATGGGTCCTTAGCCGGATACAGCATGCTTGGGATGATCATATCTGGGAAGCAAATCGTGCAAGCATCCGTCGCAGCGCCAAGGCCCACGAAATGGAGTCTGTTGCATGGCTCAACTCACTTATGTCGTCTGTTTGGCCTCTGGTCAACCCTGATATGTTCACAAGCTTGGCTGATACGTTGGAGGACGTCATGCAAGCCTCGCTGCCGCGGATCGTCCAAATGGTCAGTGTCGACGACGTCGGGCAAGGCAGCGAGAGCATTCGCATTCTTGGGATCAGGTGGCTGCCAACCGGTGCCGCCGCACGTTCAGTGGCCCAGGATGGGAATCTGAAACCAGGAAAGGGCAACAAGCATGAGAGTGACCGCACAGTACCGGGTGAAGGCGACATGGACAACACAGTCGAGGACAGAGAGAACGAGGGCAAGGACGAGCAGGCAGGTAGTGAAAAGAACAAGAAGAAGCAGTCCAAAGACGGTACCGAGAAGCAAGTTGCCGAGGGCATGGAAGCAGAAGAAGGCGACTTCATTAACGTCGAGATCGCCTTTGCCTACCGTGCGCGGTCCAGTGGAAAGCTCTTCAAGGACCGGGCCAAGGACATGCATCTGTACCTCGCGTTCTATCTACCCGGGAAGCTAAAGATACCGGTCTGGGTTGACGTCCGCGGCGTTGTTGGAACGCTGAGAGCACGGCTGCAACTTTCCCCCGACCCACCCTTCTTCGCTCTTTGCACCCTCACATTCCTTGGTCAGCCGAAAGTCGATCTGAATTGCTTCCCGCTCATCAAGCACGGCTTCAACATTATGGATCTTCCGCTTATTAGCAACTTCGTGCAGTCCTCCGTGGATGCGGCAATGTCGCAGTACGTCGCACCGAAAAGCTTGACGCTTGATCTCAAAGACATGCTGTCCGGTGATGACTTCAAGAAGGACACTGCTGCCCGGGGTATACTAGTGGTCCAGATCAAGCGAGGGTACGACTTCAGAACCGGGGATCCTGGCATTCCTCTCATAAAGCAGGCCGGCGCAGATCCTTACGTCTCCGTGGGATGGGCGAAGTTTGGCAAGCCAATGTGGAGCACCCGCGTGCTCACGAAGGAAATGGAGCCTTGCTGGGAAGAGACGGCGTACCTGCTTGTGACTCCAGAAGAACTCAACGTCGATGAGCGACTACGCGTGCAGCTATGGGACTCGGACCGCTACAGCGCCGATGACGACCTCGGCCGCATTGAGCTAGATCTCAAGCAGCTGATGAAAGGCCCCGAGACCAATTGTCACATGCAGCATCGTAGTGATGGTTTCCGAGCGCTTAAGGGAGATGAGGACATGCCGGGCAAGCTGGACTGGTCTGTGGGCTACTTCTCCAAGACTAGGATTCAGAAGTGCCAACTCGAGCAGCAGACCTACGATCCAGACGTCCGCACCGTGGACCAGCTCGAGGAGAAAGTCAAGCGCGTCTGTGAGCGCAAGATGCGTGAGGCGGCCATCAAGGAGGGTAGGGAGCAGAGGGACAAAGACGAATTGAAGCAGCAAGAAGCACAGGAGATGAAGGCAAGACAAGACGCCATGATTATTTCAGCACCTCCTCCCGAAGGCTACAACTCCGGCATCTTCAGCATACAGATCCATCAGATCACAGGCCTCGAGTTTGAGCACCGCAATAAGGAGAAGGCGGACGCGCAGGCCGATGATTTCGACGAGGATGAGGAAGGCGACCAATTGCCCTCCGCTTACTGTACGGTTATCGTCAATCACGAGAAGGTCTTTAAAACTCGTACGAAACCCAAGAACGCGAAGCCTTTCTACAATGCCGGCGTCGAGCGCTTCATCCCAGATTGGCAGAATGCGGAGGTCTACCTGTCCGTCCGCGATAAAAGGATCAAGGAAGACGATCCGTTACTGGGCATCGTACACCTACCGCTTGGTGAAGTGTTTAGTAAACGCTCGCAAGTCAACGGCTTTTACCCGCTTATGGGTGGGATTGGGTATGGTCGCGTGCGAATCTCCATGGTGTGGCGGAGCGTACAGCTGCAGGCGCCACCGCAGGATCTGGGGTGGTCGTGTGGCACGCTGGAGGTGCAGTCGGGTGTTTCCGCCGTGGATCTACCAAGCGAGTATCAGTCGATGAAGTTGAGGTTCCACACAGATCTGAGCTATGCGAAGATGTACCCGAGTAGCAATGGTGAAGGCGCTGCTTGGGAGGCTCGAAAGCAGCAGAGCCTGAAACTACCGGTTAAGCGTCGGTACCAGAGCTGTCTGGCGGTGGAGTTTCGCAAGACCGGCCTCGGGAAGGGCAAGACGGGCGCATTCGCCATCTTGTGGCTACGCGAAGTTGCTGATGAGAAGGAGGCGGAAATGGAGGTACCGGTGTACACGGGTGACTTCCAGCGTGCGAGAGCGACATGCATCGAGAACGCCGGCGACAGAGTGGGAAGTATCAAGCTTAAGCTTACTTTCTGGAGCGGACTTGGTGGCGCTCACTCCGAATGGGCGAAGAAGGACCCTAATATGCACGATGTTGTTGACGTTCTGGAGGTAGCGCGGGAGGAGCTCGAGTCGCATCAGACCGCCAAGCGAGCCGGCATTCTGGACGATACTGATGATGGACTAGACAGCAGTGACGACGAGGAGACCGATCACCCTGTTGGCCCGGATGAGAAGAGTCGACCGGATGGGAATCAGATCGAAGACGCTGCGGACATCCATATGGAACGCGGGCCAGATGGGCCGGCAGTCAACAGTGGCGCATTGGTCAATGGCCATGCTGTAAACGACACGCGAAAAGCAGGTGATGATGACCGAGGGGGAAAAGACGTCGATGGCGATGGCGAGAAGAGCAAGACGACCGTCCTTGATAGTGCGCGAGATTACAAGAAGCACATGCAGAGCTCACACCGACGGCATCGAGGGCTTATGCAGTGGAAGGTGCGTCTGACTGGCACTTCCTCCATAGTAATGTCGTTTCTTCAGAAGATGAGTATCGCTAACGCCCTTAACAGATCCCACGCACCATGCAATGGGGCGTGCACAAAGCCGAAAACACCGGTCACCGTCTCAGCGGCCTCTTCAAGCACCATGGCAGGGAGCCCGGTGTGGAGACCGAAGTGTAGAATCATTCTAGCGGATCTTGAGCGGCACGCAAAGTGTACAGCAACGATTATGGCGAATGAAGGATCTTGTGGTTTGAGATACCCTGTGCGATAAGTGTACAAGACTGTATAGTTTGCCATTAAGGACAATATACCAAAGCTAAACCGTGACCGCAGGAGGTATCATCGCATCGCGCAGCCGTTAACCAAACAAAGAGGACCGCAACGCCGCCGCTTAAGCCAAGACACACACAAACTCCGTCACACGCCCAAGCGGTGTGCAAGGCCTACGCTTCACTCTCAACAACATCCGCCGCTCTGCCACCAACCTGTCCCTTGACTTTGTTCAGCTTCGCCTGCCCCTTCAACTTCTGATCTTGCGCCGCACTCTTCACCCACGCCTTACCACCGCCACCTCCCTGCGCATCCGCACCACCATCAGCGCTCATACCCGCCTGTACCCGATCCAGATCTTCCTCATCCGAAGACGAAATGGAACTCGAGCGGTCCCCTTGCGCAAAGACGATAGTGTCGCCTTCGCGCTTCTTTCGCTCGCGCTGTTCGTCCTTCATCTTGCCCATCTTCTCCGCGTCCTTCACGCAGTCTAGCGTTTGAATGTGCAAGCCCGGCAGGGAGCGGGCGAGGAAGTCCTTGAGGACCGGGAGGAGGGAGGCGTTGGGGCGGTATGTACCGGAGTCATTGTCGATTACTAGTTCGTAGTAGGCCGGGTCTTTGGGTGGTTCGTCGGTTGGTGGGCCGTTGCTCACATCGTTTGGTGGGTGTGAGGGGTTGGGTGCATGGTCGGGAGGATGGTTCTGGGAGCTCGACTCGGCTGGTTCGGGAGGCGGGGGTCGACGCGCATGTTTCAAGCGGCGAATGAAGAATTCGCCGGACCATGCGATGTAGATGTTGACGTCGCTGTGCATGGTGTGTTTGCTCAGCAGGTCGATGCCGAACTCTTTGCCTGTCTCGGTAAAGCGCCACAGAGCGTCGAGGGTAAGGACGTAGGTGAAGATGCGGCCGCCCTTGTCCCAGTGGACGAGGTCGAGGAACTGTCTCGTCATTTCCGGGCAGGGCCCCTGCGGAAAGTGGCCCCATTCAGTCCGCCGGTCAAAGTTGTAGATGCGGGAATGCTGGTGATGCAGAGCTTTGCCGAGAACGTAGCCTTCGATGCCGGAAGAGGTGAACATGCGCTTGACCCATGGTTTGAACTCGACGAAGCGGTGGTATAGTTGGGCGGGGACGGGTCCTTCGAGCTGGAGCTGGTTGGCTTGGAAGTTGTAATGCTTCACTTCACGCTTGCCCTTGGTTTGCTGGTTTTGCGAACCGTTTGCGTGATCTTCCGCCGGCTTCTCTTCGCTCTCGTCCTCGTCCGGTTCCCGGATGTTCACCATACGGCCAAGGATTGGATCGAAGTGCTTGATCCAACGACAGGGACCGACTGTGTAGAGACGGCCGTTCTGACCATCGTCCTTGGTCCGGCCAAGGTTCTCAATACTCACATACAGGTCGCCACGGATGTGTTTGGAGCGGTTCAGGCACACAGCCATCATGCGGATGAAGTACGCTCGCTTACTACCCGAGCGCATCATAATCTCGTACGGCTGCTCATTGATGCCTTGCCAGCTGTCGTTGATCGAATTGACATGCACATGCACATTGCCCAGCCGGTCATCCTTGTCGGCGGGATCTTCATCGTACACACGGAGCTTCAGTTTGAACCCTGAAGCCGGCACATTGGCCACGATCCAGTCTTCGTTCCATACCGGCTCGACATTCTGGCGGATGGTAGGCGTTCGGAAGCGCAACGGAGGGTCCTCCTTGTGCCGTGTCGGCGTGTCAGTGTCGATCTGGGCTAGTACGTATGGGTCCGAGGAAAGGGTGTTGTAGTCGGCCATGGGGAGGTGCGTTGCCCTATGGATGGTGATCTTGAGCGTGTAGCCTGGCGGGCGGGACGGGATGGGTGTATCATCGAAGCCGCCTTCTGGGCCATTATGTTCCTTCGGCTTTTCATCGTGTTGTTTTCCATCCGCCATCTTGACTTCGAAAGGGTCTCGCTTGGCTATATCACTCCGCGGGTCTCTTCTGCGCGCAATATACTTCGCGAGACTGTCGCGCTCTACGACTTCCACACTCTGCTGCTCAACAGCGGTGGATCTACCAAGCCTACTTGTATCTTTACCTGCGCTTCAAGTAAGATTGCAAGGTCGTCTCTTTCCCCAGCATGACAAGGACTTAAGTTGTTGACTGATTGCGCCCAACTTATCGGCGCCAGTGACGTCGGGCTGGGCACGCGACCAAGCAAATGCTAAGCTTCACTCCAAGAACTTGTTTTAGAACGGATCGCGCAAACTTTCCTCCAGCCATTAACACCACCGCTCGCTCGTCCGGTTTAGCTTACCGTCCATTACACGAGCCTCAATCAGCATACCGCCAGCCACCAACAGTCGCCACCTTCAACCCAGACTGGCATGGCATCGGCGACGGATACGAGAGCGTCGTGGCGTTGGAGGTACAGTAAGGCACGCGCCGCCCTTCTTGTTTGTTAGAATATCACGTGATGGCGTGGTTGGGACGCGAATGAAACGAATACATATCGATCGCTTTCACGTCACGTTACTGTCAAGGAGACATCGCATTCTCCTCTCTGGCGCACTGATCATGGCAGACACTAAGCAAGAAATATCCTGGAGAATCGATAGCATTTACTGCGGGAAGACAACTGCAACCTCACGTCGCCTCGAACAAAGCTTGACGTGGTGGATCTTTGCGAAGATGAGCGATAACGAAAGGATTGCCGCCTGCCTGAGAAGGTAGCCATGGCCACTAACATAGTAGAGACGAAGATTCGTCCAATAACATGGAGTGTAAGCAGGCGGCCTGATGTCTGCGCAATCCGGGTCGATGGTGAAGCGCATGCAGCACGGTTTCGCAGCAAGGAATGACCTTTTCGCGGCGCTAACGGCCAGAAGCGACTAACCCAGGAGCTCCGAAGTGTTCGAAGTGCCCTAAGATGCTTCCTTCAGCTGCTTCAGCTGCTTCAGCTTGGGTCCGACTTCGAACCTAAATCGCTTCCCAATGAGATCATTAGTGGCCAACCGTAGTAGATGGAAGTTGAACGACATCAGAGGAAGCTGTATGCCACTGTGGCAGCTTTGCATGTTTCGATCGACTGCGCCGAGCGCCTACTAAGAAAAGATTTAGACCTGCTGAATGCCCAACGTACGGACAGCATCCACAAGCTTGAGACTCGCTACGCGCAAGTTGCATTCGAACATCACGGCTCGATAGCTCCTACAAACGAGGCCGTAAAAAGTGCTAATGCTCAAACGTCTGGCCAGGATGCTGTTGCTGCGCAGCTGCTCAATGGTTGATTCCGGACGCAGCAATTCAGCGAACAGAACCTCAACCGATTGGCGGTGCGTGATCACGAAGCGAAACTGCATCCGGTGCATGATCGGACTCTGGACGCGAGCAAAGATACCCGTAGGGTAACGATCGTGACCGTTCACTCCAAGGATGGCGGACGTGTCCATCCTCGCGTCCACGCTCCCAAAAGAATCTACGCCCCAAGCGAGCAATGCAGACATTGTGGAGAAGTGGCACGCTTTCACAGCCGACAACATGTATGAAGAGAGAAGGAATCAAATCGAGCGTTGTGTGCTTAAACTAGAGTCTTTGGAAGATGTCAGCTGCTTAACGGCGATGTTGCGGCCGATGGTTCGCCGCCCGACACGAAGACTCAAGTGTGTGCTGCCACACCGTGTAACAAACGCTTTACCACCCGACTCAAAGCATTCTTACTCCTGCGCAATATGGCTTGACGGTCGAGTGACGGATGTGCCCTACAGGCAGGACTATGGGATGATCGGCAAACTTTGTATGCTCGACTTCGTACCCCGCTAATACCTAAACACCGTTGCCGGTAAGTACATGTACCTGCCTGTATCATTGCGAGTCGACGAGAAACAAGGACACCTGGTTCGCTGCTAATCCCAATAAGGGAGTTCAAACGCATCGCCACGACAATGTCGAATCCAGGCTTGATGTTCGTTACGTCCCGTGTTACAGACTCGTCCAAAACCTCCGATGAGAAGTACAACCGCTTTTACAACGACGAGCACCTGCCAGATGTGCTCAACTACGGGATCTCCAAGGTAGCCATAAGGTACAAGAACGTCAATGCTGAGTCGAAGATACCGTATCTGGCTTGCTACCCTCTCGACGATGCCAACTTTCTCACTTCGCCTGGTCTGGAGAAGCTGGTCCAGGATACAAGGAGTAGCAAGACATTTGACAATCAGGACGTCTATGACTACGTCGAGTTCGGCTTGCGTCCGTACGAGAAGATCCAGACATATGAAGGCATTCACCCGGACTCGACCAGCTTGCCCGATCCTTCTTCACACGCGCATACAGTGATTTGCGTGGCCATGGAACCGGCAGACGAGCAAGACTTTGACGACTGGTACCGCAAGCAGCATCTTGATATGATGGCCATGCTACCACCGTATAGACGCACCACGCGGTACAAGCGCCTCGACGGAGAGGTGCCGCGGTATCTTGCCATGCATGAATATGACTGCAAACCAGATGAGATTCCGGCAGAGCGTGCGAAGCTAGTGAACAGTGAGTGGAGTAGGAAAATCATTGGAGAGTGCAAGGTCTTCGACAGAGATGTGTTTGAGCTGGTGCAGGTGCAGGGTGATGCACAGGTGCAACTTTAGCACTGCACTCGTGGCTTCCAGCGGTATCTGTAGTCTCCGCAATATCTTCGCCACTTCTCACCGACTCCCGAGTTCCGGCACAATATCTATGTTGGCAGTTATGCTATTTCACTCACTACGGCATTGACTCTTGATCGCTTTTCAAGAGCACAGACACATGCAAGTAATGTGAGAGCTAGGTTACTCATTCGTTTAACAGCGACGGCAGCTAGCGGACGGCCGCATTGATCTGCACCGATCAAATACTGCCCAGTGGGGCATGGTCAAGGCGGTTTGTTTACCAGCTCCTTGTAGCTTTGGCTTCATACGATATCTCTCATCGAGCTACCAACGTGCTATATGTCCACAAAAGAATAGTGGAGGATGCACACATGGCACCTCTCGCAGCTCCGCTTGCCGGAGCTCATCCAGGAACTCTTCACTTCATTCCACCCAATTTGTGTGCATTCGAGCCTGCTGAATCCGTCAGCCCATCGACAGGCTTGAATACGCTATTATGGGTCGGCGGGATGTTTGATACCCTGCTCTCGGTACAGTATCCGCTCGACATAGCTCAGGCCTTACCATCGACGTGGACTCTTCTCACGGCCTCTCTAGGATCGGCAGGCAAAAGCTGGGGCGTCAGCAGCATCGCGCAAGATGCCGAGGACATGGCTACTGTCATAGCTTACGCCAAGAAGCAGCGACCACATGGCAAGGTTGTCATCATGGGCCATAGTACCGGCTGTCAAGACTGCATGGAGTACCTTGTCGGTCCAAAAGCTGCGCAGAGACCTGCTGTGAGCGGCGTCATCCTGCAAGCACCTGTGTCTGACCGCGAGGCGCTGAACCATGAACTACCCGAAGCGATAATGCATGAAGCGAACCAGCTTGCGCTGAAAATGTGTCGGGAAGGCCACGACAAGGATGCTATGCCTCACAGACTAAGTAAGCTCGCCTTCGGTCGGATGGCGATTACTGCAAGACGCTGGGTCGATGTTGCTTCGCCAGGTCCAGATCATACCGGCGCAGATGATTATTTCTCTAGTGATCTCTCGGACGAGCGACTGCAACGAACGTTCGGTACCCTTCCGTCAAGCACACCGCTCCTGATCCTATACAGCGGTAATGAAGAGAACATCCCGCCCACCATTAGCAAAGAAGACCTGATCTCACGGTGGACGTCCTCTGTGCAGAGTGGCGGAGGCCAAGTCGACACTGTCAATGGTGGTATCGTGGCCGGCGCAACGCACAATTTGAACGGTAATGCGAAACCAGTTATCGACGACCTCGTTCGGCGCGTGATCGGCTTCCTTAACCGCCTTGACAGCGGTGGTACCGCCGCGGCTAACACTGGGTCGCGCATATGATGCTCTCCAATCTATCCAAACAGCAAAGTTACTAACGAACCCATTCTCGATGCTTGTTCGCGATCTCATTCGCTGGACGACGGTGATGTCAATGCATTTCTGATGCCATGTAATGCACGTAGTTGATGTATGTGTATCAGCGGAGAGCTTTCGACGTCGATTGATCCAGCAGTCTTAACATCATTAGCTTGACACACCGCAGGCCGGATCGCTATAGCTCCCCAAATAGACTGCTCTCATCTATTCTAGACTGGCGTATATACTATCGAAGTCTTCCTCGGCGACCTGCATCACGTCTGTACCGTAAATCACCTTTTGTACGTCCGCATCAGCCCACTTGTCCGGGACCGGACCCTTGCCGTTCTTCAACGCTGCAAATTGCCGGTCACGCTCCGCCTTCGCCGCACCCTCTCCGAGATGCATCGCTCGCCCTGACGCCGCTGCCATCTCCACGAGAGCGTACGCGCGCTGCATTCGCACCTTCTCATATACCCGCAGCGCCTTGTTGATTGCTTGAGGCGTGATCTCTGGTAACTTCGACAGCACGACAGCTATGACCGCACCATCCTCGATAGCCTGTGCTGCACCCTGCGCCAGGTGTGGTAGAGTCGGATGGCAAGCATCGCCAACGAGCGCCGTCTGTTCGCAGACCCAGAAAGGTAGCGGTTCATGGACGCGCAGCTTCCATTCGCAAACCTCGCCGTCCGGTACCAAATCCAACATGCGCCGAATCTTCGGGCAGTAATCGCCGAAAACCTGCATCATTTCTGGCTTGCTGCCTTTGGTGGTGTACGTGGCAGAAGGTGCAGCAGCAAAGTTGACATCTGGCTGGGTTGTGCTCAGATTGTAGATCTGCTTATTCGACACCGGATACGCAATGATATGCCGCTTTTCGCCGATCCATCGGGTTACGGAGTCCTTCTCAATGAGCTCGAGGAGTTCTGGATCGTTCTCGAGCTCCTCACGTCGGAGCATGATCCGGTACGCGGCCTGACCGGTATCGATGATCTTCGCGTTTACATTCTTGAGACGTAGCATCTGATCACGGATCACGGACTTCACGCCATCAGCCGCGAATAGCACGTCGCACTGGACCGTGTAGGGTTCGCCGCCTTTTCGCGGAATCGCTGTGAATGATGGTTTTGGCCCGAAAGACTGGACGTCCGAGGCAGCAGTAGACCAGAAGAAGTTCACTGCTTTCTCTCGTTTACAGCCGTCGTACATTGACTCAGCCAGCGATGAGCGGTGACCAACCATGTGCGGGTATTTGTAAGTTGCTTCAACGTAGGCGAGGTCAACGTGGCCGAGCACTTCATCCGTTGAGCCTTCTACAGGCCTGTTAGCATATCTTCAAGCCTAGCAAGCAGTGGAGAACATACGTCGTATGGTGGTGTCTCTCAATTGCACTGCTTCCCTCTCGATGTCTTTCCAAACACCCAGTCTGTCGAGAATTCGTGCCATATTTGGCGCGAGCTGGATGCCCGCACCCACGAAACCCAGGTTCGATGCGCTTTCGAAAACATCAATGTGCCGGAAACCGTGCTTTGCCAATGCCAGTGCGGTGGCAAGGCCGCCCATACCTGGCAGCTGTCAATACCACCGCGGCTTGTCGCCCATTTTGCTGACTTACCGGCACCGACTACGCAAATATGTATATCTAAGACGTCCATTGGCGCCATATTGAAGCTGCGCCGGGATGATGCGGAGCAGGAGGAGAGGTGGGAACAGGGGATGGAATAAGTTCTAAGCAAACATTGGTGAGCGACAAGACATGTACGATCTCACAAGCTCATGAGGCTAGACGAGTCCTATATGCACTGTACATCAACTGCCATTGAACAACAGCCGGGATGAGATCTATTCCACGGCAGATGGAATGGAAGCAGCTCAAGGCCACAGAGAGCCTGGAACAGTAACCGCTAGACTGTAAGCAGCTAGGCTTCTCGACGACCAGCGACTTTGCGGGCCCCCACAAGGAAGGTCGTAACCGTTCCACCTGGGGACGTACAATCCTTTTGACGCCCCGCAACTCGTACGAGCGGGCCTGCTAAAGTAGACAGACCAGCGAGACACCTGGACATGAAACGAGGAGCTTGAGTCTTCACGAGCTTGGAGGGACAGCACCTACATCGGGTGTGGTCAGCCCGGAGGCAGCTTTGAAGCAAAACCTCGGCTTCTCCGCAGCAGTCCGCTCGGCTGCTGCACCTCGAGCTATACGCAGAGTATGAATGGCAGTAAGGCTCCGTGAGTGCGAAAATGCTGGCCACATTAGTAGTTTCGCCAGCGGCACCTGTGTCGCGTAGACTGTTGTACGACTCCACTTTGACCCCAAATCTAATCTATTATTACAGCCAGGCCGGCGAGTTGCGACCTCAGCGGAGTGGAAGAGCATGTCCAACATGGCCCGCCCAGTCCTTCGAACACCCTTATGCGAAATGCTCGGCATTGAGTATCCAATTATTCTGGCCGGCATGGCTCGGACGTCCTCGGGACCACTGGCGGCAGCAGTCTCTAACGCCGGCGGTCTTGGTGTGATTGGTGGTCTTGGTTACACCCCACAGCAGATGCGCGCCATCATCCACGACATCAAGTCCAATCTTGCCGACAAGAACCTCCCGTTTGGGGTTGACCTGGCACTGCCTCAAGTTGGTGGAAGTGCAAGGAAGACGAACCATGATTACACGCACGGTCAGCTTGACGACTTGATCTCTGTCGTGATCGAGGAGAAGGCGCGCTTGTTCGTGAGTGCTGTCGGTGTGCCACCAGAGAGGGTGATCAAGCGGCTACACGATGCCGGGATCTTGATCATGAACATGGTCGGTCATCCCAAGCATGCGCATAAGGCCTTGCGAGCAGGTAGCGTCCCGCCAGAGGGCTTAAGCCTTGTGTGTTGTCAAACCCATCGCTAACGTTTCTGACCCTTGGATGCAGGTGTGGACATTGTATGCGCCCAAGGTGGAGAAGGTGGCGGGCATACTGGTGACGTTGCGACCTCGATATTGATCCCGGAGGTGGTTGATGTGGCGAGGCAATACAAGAGTCCGTTGACTGGTAAGCCAGCTACAGTCGTCGCCGCCGGCGGCATCTACAACGGCCGCTCTCTTGCTGCGATGCTGTCGTTTGGTGCGGAGGGCGCATGGGTAGGCACTCGATTTGTTGCGTCCACGGAGGCTGGATGTAGTCAGCAGCACAAGGAGGCCGTTGTGACAGCTGCTTTCGAAGATACGATGCGAACGCTGATAGTCTCGGGTCGGCCGTTGAGGGTCAGGATCAATGATTACGTGCGCTCGTGGGAGTTTGACAGGCCGGAGGAGGTGAAGAAGCTCTGTGAGAGCGGTGTTGTACCCCTGCAGAAAGACATGGATGACGACAAGGATGTTGATATCCCGTTCCTCATGGGCCAGGTGGCCGGTGCGATCAAAGAGATCAAGCCTGCGAAAGAAATCATGCACGAGATGGTCTCAGAATGCGTTGAGGTGCTGCAGACGCAGCAGAGCTATATCAGTGCAGGTAAAAGGAGTAAGCTGTAAACAATAATATATTATGCCTCCGTTAATCTCTCGTGCTGAGGTGGTAGGTACGTACGATGTTGGTTGAGAATCCTGGCGCAACTCACGACCTTCGGATGTGAGAGGCAGAGATGCGGCAGACAACGCTTCGCAAGGCATGGGGAGTATGTACTTACGAATGATTCTTGTTTGTTGGGCTCTAGGAGCACCTGCGGGAGCGCTTAAGCTCCCGCGAAAGATCGTCGGAGACCTACGCTGTTGGTCAGATGTTGCTCGGAGTGAGCACGTACCTTGTTGGTAGGTGATCTTAGGAAGGGTCAAGGACAATGGCTGGGGCAGGTGGGCGGCAGAGAAAGCTCGTGCGTTGAAAATAGAACGAACGCACTTGCGATTTGTTTTGAAGCGGGAACGCCAACCAAGGACGTCCGATGAGGAGAAGGGTTTCTCACCCCGAGATGTCGCAGGCTTCCCCGTTGGTGTTCGTAGCAGCAGCAGATAAAGGGCAGGAGTCCACGGTTGCTGCGTGTCCATGGTATCGAGTTTCACCGCGTGTGTAGCAGAGGACAAACAGCGGAAGTCATGACAGCTTTCCAAACCATGTAGCATGATCCGGACAAGACGCCCTGCAAAGAGCCGTGTGGACACCCGTAGCTGATGCACTCGCGGCGGTTCCGCAAAAGAGACCGGTGCTTCTCGTAAGTCTCGTGGCAGCTAGGGGTGAATTGCTTGGATGCGGAGCAGCTGCGTTGATTCTTGACAGCGAAAATCCGAATGGCCCGCAGAGCTGAGCAAACAGAAAATCCGTCATGGAGTGCTACAGATTTAGAATAGCAATGCCCTAGATGTGGAAGAAGTCCTGTCCATCAGGCGCGGCATGAGCAAAGACCACGACGTCGGATTTGCATCGGAGTTTGTTGGTTGATGAGGAATCTCCTCCGAAGGGTGCCTCGAATGGCAAAATGCGGACGCAATGAGGTGGCCAGAGAAGGAATATACAGGCCTTGCGGTCCTGCATGATTGTGTCTTTTATGTGATTGTGGTGTGTTTTGAAACCCGGCGATTGCAAGTCGGTGGGATGTCGCTTTGAGGCAATTTACGGCTGTGTCGGCGTCTTGTGCATGTGCTTCATGATTTAGTGAAAGCTCACCAGTCGGACGGTAAGCCGGTTGTCATGGCCGTATCGGCGTCTTGCGCATATCCTTCGTGCGAACGTTAAGCCGGTTGTCCTGATATTCAGTGTTAGCGTCTTCATCATGTACCTGTGCGTGTCAGTAAGCGTTGTCTGCCACTTGCCGTGCACCATCACTCAAAGCCAAAACGAAGGTGTGAGGGAGAAGGTGAGCTTGAGAGCGGTGCAGAGATTCATATGCATTTGTGAGCGTTGAGTCACACCACGTAAATGTGTGTCACTTGTTTATCTCGGAAGGTGCGAAGTCTGAGATGCGGAAGGAGCGACGTTGCGAAGCAGCGTTCACATTCCATGTCCAAATGCGGCGAAGCGCGCTATAACTTCGCTTTCGACTCGTTCTTCTTTTCCTGCTCCGCATACGTCGTCTTCAACATGCGTCTCAAAATCTTGCCAGATGCGCTCTTTGGAATCGCATCCACAAACTTCACGCCTCCTCTTAGTCTCTTATGCTGAGCCACCCTCTGCGCTAACCACTCCGAGATCTCCTTTTCGAGCGAAGGTGACGGCGTGACGCCCTGGGCCGGAACAACGAAGGCAAGCGGCACTTCAGTTGCCAAGTCCGCTTTGAACACGCCAATGACCGCTACATCGTCCACTTTGGGATGGGAAACCAGAAGTCCTTCCAGCTCCGCCGGCGGGACCTGTAGCTATGTTAGATTCTGAAAGAGGCTGAGGTGATTTGGACGTACTTGGAAGCCCTTATACTTAATCAGCTCCTTCACCCGATCTGTGATGTAAAAGTTTCCTTCCTTATCTTGGTAGCCAACGTCGCCCGTTTTAAAGTAGCCCTCTGAGTCAAAAGCATGCTTCGTGCCTTCGGGGTTGTTCAGATAGCCCTTGAATACGTTTGGCCCTTTAATCCACAGCTCGCCTACTTCGCCAACAGGCACTTCTTTTTCTTCGGGTGACATGTATTTCGCGGTTTGGTTCGGCAGCATGGTGCCTACAGATCCACACGTTCGTCGCCAATCATCCCATGGCTGCGTGTGCGTCGTCGGTGATGTCTCAGAAAGCCCGTATCCCTGCTTGATAGGTACCTTGATGCGCTTGTACATATCATCAACAAGCTCGCGAGTCAGTGGTGCGGCGCCAGAGTTCATCATGCGCAAGCTGCTCAGATCATACTTCTCCACACAGGGGTGCTTGGCTAGTAAAAGTACGACTGGTGGCACGACGTACGCGAATGTTATCTTGTGGTCTTGCACGGTCTGGCACCAGTTCTCGATGTCGAATTTCGGCATGATGACCGTCTTGATACCGCGGTAGAATGATTGGTGTAGGATAACCGTCAAGCCGTAGATGTGGAAGAAGGGCAGGAAGGCCAGCTTGATATCGCCCTCTGGAAGGCCAGGTCGAGGTCTCCATGACATGGGTCCTTCACTGGCCGTGATCATGAGAGTGTTAGCTATGATGTTGCGATGACTGAGCATCACACCCTTGGGTAACCCAGTAGTTCCAGAAGAATACACAAGAAAGGCGAGATCCTTATCCGGATCCACCTTGGCACGGCGATAGCGAGAGGTTCCTGCAACATTCCGGATGGAGGTGAAATGCCTGTACCGTCCTTCCGGATCCTTATTACCCATCAAGATGATCCGGTCGTCTGGTATGCCAACTTTCTTGCATGCCTCCAGCGCAATGGGCATCTGGGCCAACTGTGTGACAAGAGCTTTAGCTCCACTATCCTTAAGCTGGTGAGCGATCTCGTTAACGGTGTAGGCTGGGTTGGCGGGTGAGACGACGCCGCCAGCAAAGTGGCAGCCCCATGTTACCGCAGGGAAGTCGATACTGTTGGGCGAGAAGATGCCGAGCACATCGCCTTTTTGCCAGTCCCACGAGGCTCTTAGTCCTTTGCCAAAATCTGATGCCGTTTGCTTTAGCTCGGTATAGGTGTAAGTACGCTTCCCTTCGACGAAAAGGACTAATACAGAATGTCAGTTCGGCGTCCAATATACGGGCTGAGTGGGAAAGCAACTTGCCTTTGTCGTCAGGGTATTCCCGCGACTTGTTTTCAAGCAGGAAGTCCCACAGGCCAACGTTAGGGATGTCGACGGTAGGATACTTGGATTCGGCGGGCATATTGGGCAGGGAACGTGGATAACCAGGATACTTGATACTGCGAAGGAAGACGTTCGAGCGACCAGAGCCGCAACCATATCACTCATCGCGGCCATAATGCTACCCGCCTTACCTAGGCAATGCAATGCTGTGCAGATGCCTCGGCATGCAGGCTCGCCGCGGTCAAAACCCCCCAGCAAGCATCGAGATATCTCCACAAGCTGCCGCGTGGGGTGTGTCATTCACCGGCCGCTTGGCTCGATCGAGTATAGTTTCTTCCGAACACCGGCAACTCGGCAGCAAATGCGGCCATACTGCACGTGAGCTGCTGTGCCTTCCTCTTCCGCATGGACTCTGAGAATATGGCCACGCAGAGAGTCTTCAACATTGGAGCGCCGCTGCTCACTAGGCAACCCTGGAGCTCGCAGGCGCCATTCAGATGCTACCAGCGAAGATGGGCGCAAGTGCACGACGTGCGGTTCGTTACCTCCCACCAGCGGCCCAATGTCATACAGGAGAAATACCGGGAGAAGCTAGAACAGAAGGCGCGTGAGCAAGGCTTGAGCAACGTTGATGAGCTCAAGGAAGTATACTCCGACAAGATCAAAGAACTGCGGACCAAGGCAACAGTGCCCGGAGCGAATGCACCTTTGAGCGCACAATCTCCGCCCCTGCCGGAGAGTGTAGACAGCAGCGTGCCGTACCAACCGCCTCCACCTCCTCGGCCACAGGATCAGACACAAACAAAGGAGTACACGAAAGCCAGCAAAGACAATGTAAAGTCGTTGAGCAGCTTCATTGACGTGGAGAAGACCGCCGAGCTGCCCCCTAAGGAGATCGAGTCAATTTGGCGCCTACGACATGTCCGGGATGCCCAGAGTCTTTGCGCTGTGATGCCGACCGACACCTACAAACGTATAGCAACCACGGCACGTAGGCACCCGCAGTTCATACTTCCCATACCGCGGGAAAAGGAAGGCGCAGAGATTCACTTCCTGCAGTGGACGTTCCCGTCACCCACTACCGCCACTGTACTCTTCACGCATCTTGCAGAGTTTAAGCTGCGAGGCGAGTATGCGCAGCCGCATACTACCGTTACGCATCATCTGGACTTGGCGGATCAGAAAGGGCTTGTCTTGCTCGAAGGCCGGGTGCAGGAGAACAGGGGCCTGACGGTGGACGAGGGCAAGTGGCTGCTGATGTGCTTGCAGAAGTTCTATGGTTTCGAAGCACACAGTGACACGGCCAAGCAAAACGCCGAAAAGAGGAAGAAGTTAATGGAGCAGTTTAGTGGTGGCGATACCGGGTTCAGGGTCGAAGAGTTGCTGGAAGAGGCGGAGAAGGTACCGTAATCGTTGACGACCGGCAGCTGTCTTACAGACGCGCAATGGTCGTCATGGCTGTACAATGCGATTGACCTATTGCTGTACTGTAGCGCGCCGATAGACGTAGATTGCTGATACGCTATGTACAGATACTGTAGATTATCTGCCTGCGCACAAGCCGAATTATTGTCGTGACAGCGAAGCTCACTAGCCCTGTCACGTCCTTCGACCAAATGCCTATCGCTCAAGCAACGCCACCCACGCTAGCAACTTCAACCAAGCTAACATGTAGCCAAATTGAACACACGGCGCAAAAGAAATCCCGCTGGATTAAAACCATCATCCTGACCCCATGACATCCTCCCAATCGACATCCCGCAGCTTGCTCAGCGACGGTGCCCTCGACCGCCTCGGCGGAGGTGGCGGCCAACTCATATCCGTCCGACTCGCCCCCCTCTGTAGCAAGATCTCCGTACGCCTCTTCCGATCCATCAACGGGTCAGTGGAGGGAGGCACGCCAACCGCAACAGGAGCTCGAACACCCGCCCTGGCCTTGAATCTCACCAGCCCAGCGATCAAGTTGTCCTCGCTAACGCTTCCCTTAAGCACCTTCGCCGTCCAGTCAATTCCCGCTCCGAGGTCTTCTCCCGCGCAATGTGGCCCGTCAGGGAGTGGCGTGGCATATTGTGGCAGGTTCCACAGCTCGATCACATCGTCCACACTTTCCGCTTGGACTTCTTGCATGAAGGCTGCGACTTCTTGCTCCCGGCCGATGGAGAGGGGGTTTGCGAAGACGGGCTGGTTGAAGGTGCCGCGGCGGCCGGAGACGAAGAAGGCGGCGTCTGTGAGGTCGTGGACCATGCTCTCTGAAAACATGTCCTCTCCATCGCCTTCGAAACCGGCTTCCTGCTCGTCTCTCTTAGCCCGTTCGCCAGCCGCTCGGTATTCACGGACGATCACAGTCATCCTCGCTAATTGCTCCCGCGCAGCTTCCTTGGTCGTGTACTGCGGTAATGCATCCTTGTCGTGCACGTTGTCGTCTTCCCAAGCGATGCGGCTAAGGCGACGCAAATGCATGATGGCGAGGTCTTTATGGCATTGCTCCATGGGCGCGCTGCTGATTTCGAGTTCGGTCAGGTATGCAGCTGGAGGGCGTGTCGGTGGCTCTGGGTAGGTTATGATGGATACGGTGGAAGAAGAGCTCGCCGTGGAGTCGCCACTCACAGTCCGAGAGCGTGAGAATGGGCGGTGGCGAGGAACTTCCATGTTGGCGAGTTGGGCGCTTGGACAGGCCATAACCGAACGAAGCATCGGTTTTATAACGAGGTTCTTGGCGCAGAAACACCATGGCTGGTGCAAGACAAAGGCCTGGTGAGTTGGCGGTCATGCTGGCTGTAGCCACTGATGCATGCCGTGGTGACTGACCAGGTCACGGGAAGGTCGAGTTTGATTGTCACCAGATTGTCACCAGATTTGCACCGAACCGTGTCACCCATCGTCATGATTTGTATCTAGGACGGGCAGTGTTGAACACGGACGACGGGCTTCATCGCTGACGCAGTAACCTGGTGTGTTATGTTTGCTTTACTCACGCCTTTTCCGCTGGGAGCTGTTCTCGTCGTAAGTCCCAACAAGATCTTTCTAGTAATCAGGTCAGCAATCGGACACCGAGATGACAGCTGGACAGAAGACCCATCAACTGTCTCTGCTAACGGACCGTCAGTAACCGCTGTATCGCCGACCGGCCCCCAACGTCCAGCCAGGAGCAAGCCTCCAACGACACCAACGATACAAACTTCCTTCGTGGCGTAATATCCCAGGCTGCCATCGTTGCGGCTCTGTCCGGCGAACCGGAGGATCTCCGTCTCATACTGTACTCCTACCGCGCTGCAGTCGAGACTTTGAGCAACGACGACATGGCCCCCGATTATGGAAGGCGGGCCGACGCAAGACAAACGCTGATCCGAGTTAAGCAGAGAGTAAGGGAGAAGCAGAAAGGAGTAGCAGCAAAGGAAGATGCAAACGCAGCGAAGGCGGAGGGAAACCGGGAGGATAAGAAGACTCTAGATGCTGAAGGAGTTACAGGAGGAGAGGAAGAGCTGGTAGAGGATGAGGCGGAGGAGGAGAAGACGGAAAGAGGAAGGCCGAGGTCGAGACAGGGTAATTGGAGACAACAGTCGGCGGCACTGCACGCGAAAAAGAAAACTTGCGGGACGACAATGACAGAACATTGTAGATCGGCATGCCAGGGATGAGCGTAAACTCAGAAAACAGGGTGAAGTGTTTCTAGCGTCCCATGGATTGTCCAACACCTGGCTTCATGGTCGTCACAGCCTTGGTTGAGATCCTGCAAGCAGAGGCGACACCGCACGGAAGCTTGTCCATCATTTCCGTTGTCTGATCTAGAGATCTTGTGGACTTCGCTGTGTCCAAGTGATGACCCTGATTGCCGGCCATCTCGCGCAGAACGATCGTATCTCCGGAGCACACGGTATCCGGATCCGCAAACAAGAGATGATGCCTATCATTCTTACCAGCCCACTCCCGTCCCGGAGTATCCTCTGCCACTTTACTCCCGCCCACCATGCCAAGTCCGGATCAATTCACAGATGAACCCTACATCAACCCCGATACAATCTTCCTAAGCCACATCATCTCCAAAGCCGCCATCCTCGCCGCGCCACCCAAGCCACCTTACGAGCAAGAGCTGATGCTCAAATACTACCGCGATGGCCTAGCTCTCCTGAGCGGCACCCGTCTCCCTCCCGACAATCATAAGAAAGACGACGCACGGCACATGCTCCTGATTGTTACGAATGCGGCGAAAGCACATATCCGCGCGTTTGAACAGCGGTTTCGGGCGGCACGGGGGCCAACGGACTTCGGCGGATTTATGGGGCGCGGTGATGCAGGCCCGGAAACGGTGGCCAAGATGTGGGAGAGAACGGCGTTGGATATTGAGGAGTGGTTGCAGCAGACACCGGAGGCAGGAGAGAGGGATGCTTGGTGGCCAATCTTCTTCTGCTCAGCAACAGACATCGGCCGGGCCTGCCGCAGTAGGAGAAGCAGCTGGCGCTGCCGGCACCATTGCACCGTCGAGCCTGAGAGATGGTGACGAGGAGAACGGGACAGATCCGGACGGGGGCCTCCTGGCCAAGCTCGCCTACGCCTCATAAGCGTGCCGAGTACCTGAACCGGAGGGCCAAGAACACTGCTTCCAAGTCCACGAGCGAACGACCGCGGCCACGAGGAGGACTATGGCAAGCGCAGCCGACGGCTGCCAACGTAGATATGTCGCCGTACGAGCAGGAGGCGGATCGCAAGCTTCCCGAGCCGCCTCAGCACCAGAGTAATCCGGACGGAGACTTAGTTGCTGTCGAAGAAGACGACAAACTCCTCATCTCCAGTCGGGCGAATACGACTCAAGTGGCGGCCATCGACGATGAGGGAGCCAGAAATCCAACCTGGTCGTGATATACTGCGGACGGCTGGTTGGGAGAGCAGAGGGCCCGCTTCGTCGGCCAGATGAAGTCAATGGACCAGTAGCTAGACGGGAATCAGACCAGCAGCTGGGATAGGCTTGCGACAGAGGAAAGCATGTTGGGAAGGTTAATGGAAGCTGTCTGTGAGCAAGACGTGTTCTACTTCTCATTCTCACTCTCATCTAGACAAACGCAGACGGCTGCGATTAAGCTGAGGTCCACATTTGGCGCGACTGTGACAAAATACTGCGTTCAGACTTATTAGCTTTGCCACATACAGACAGCTTAATTGCTCTTCGTTCATCGGCGTCCTCACTCACCGACTGTTTATCCCCAAAGATCTCCCTCACGTTGAAGAAGCTCCGACCAATATGGGCCACCGGCCTACCACCAAACGTAAGCTCGGCGCTGCGATCAAACCAGTCACCCTTCACATCTATTTCCGCCTGCTGTCCATCCGCCGCGTTCTTGAACACCACGCTACTCGCACTACCTATCAACTTGAAGTGGCCCTTCACCTCGAAATCGTGCCCATGTGGACTCTCGGCGTGGAAAGACTTGTGAATGGAGAGCATCTTGTTCTTGAGCGTGAAGATTTCATTGCCGGCCATGTCCGTGAACTTCTTCTTGTCGCGGGCCGAGATCATCTTGCCATGGCATTTGCAGACTTCGAGGCCATCGACAGTTTTGACGGTGAAGTCGTCACCGGAGAGGGAGAAGACCTTCTCTTTCATGTGCAGTGTGACTTGATGGGGGGAGTAGAGGTGGGCATTGGCAGGCTGCGGACCCAGTGGTGGGTTGAAGGCGGTTAGATGGGGTGCCATGGCGGAGCGATGTGGAAGTGGAAGGGAGAGATGTTAGACAAGGTACATGAAGATGTTATTACTGTTGCAAAGCACCTACGGGCTAAACCAAGCAGTGTTGTACCTTACCGCGCGCTCCGTGGAGGGAGCCCAGACTGGACCGTTTGACGGTGATTGTTGGTGGGCTGTGCATTCACTTTCGAGCTGATAGTGGGGCAATAGCGGCGTGGCATGACGTGCTGGTCACTTGGCTCGATCAAGACGACGACGACGAGACATGGAGGCTTCCTCTCTGTTTAGGCACCTCCAAGTCGTGCTCAGACCAAGCAGTTGGAATATAGAAAGGAATCGATCCGATGTTGTTCATATCTGAACTCACCGCAGGCGCAGACGACTGACCCACTTTGCGGGTAGAACCATCGGGGGACAGCCGCTGGTGTGGTTCACAGTCTGCCAATGAGCGTCTGCATGGAAGCCTCGGGTGACCACATGCCAAGATTTCGACTTCTCTCATGAATTTCCAGCTAATGACCGTTCTTCATCGGTACCCAAGAGTCACTGTCACTCAATATGGCGGACACGATGGACACCACAACCCAACTACAACCCTTCACATTCGACCTGGGACACCTCCTCTGCACCGACACCAACCCTGTGCCCACCACAACGGATACCGACCGCGAAGCCATCCTCGCCGCCCGCGCTCAAGCCTGCGCTCAAGGCCTCATCAACCAGCTACTAACCGCCTGTCCGATTCACCGCTCGCAGGAGTCAGGTGATCTGCAGATCAAGCTACCGAATCCGACCACGCAATTACCGCGGGAGAAGCCAGTGCCGAAGGAGAAGGAGAAGACGAAGTGGGAGCGCTTTGCGGAGAAGAAAGGTATTAAGGCGAAGAAGAAGGATGGCAAGTTGGCGTACGATGAGGCGAGGGGCGAGTGGGTGCCGAAGTATGGGTACAAGGGGAAGGATGCGGGTAAGGGAGATGACTGGCTGGTAGAGGTTGACGAGAAGGCGGAGAGGGAGGCGAGGGAGGGTGGTGGGAAGGTCAAGAAGGTCAAGAAGAACAGATGAGCACTTCCCACGGAACGAGCACGCTGTCTACGGCCAGACATCCTTATGCCAATGTCTCTCATTCTTCGCATTCGCCAGCTTCCTCACAGGCGGCCCATCCCGCAAAACACCAGACATACTCACCGGATCCCCACCACCCAGCTTATTCACGCAGTCCCGCACGCCGTAACCTGCTCCTCCAAATCGCAGAAACGGTAGTTGACTGTCGCTTTGCGCGCCCGGATTTGTTCGGCTGTTACGACTGGCATTGTCACCTAGTGGTGGTACTGGCCTGATCTTGGGGTGTCGCACGAGGTCCGTGAATTGTGCGTTGGGAAGGGGTGGTTGTGCGGACTTAGCTGAGATTGAGGAGGTTGAGACTGTTTGGCTGGAGGAGCCTGTTGAAGTGGGGTAGTGCAGATTTGGAGGGTCCTGGGTAGGCGGGAGGATAGACGTCTCCAGGCACGGCACTGAACGACTGATTGCCCGGTTACGAGTGCTCTCCGACATCGTCAGGCGGTGACGGATTTGTCCCACTCGTACAGCACTGGACAAATTGTACCAAAAGGGCACAACACGTGCAGTTTGCCGGGTTGCAAAGATGATGCGGATCGGCTGATTCCTGGTGGCGAAAAGATCTCGTCCCATTCAGCAATTATGGACATCATCCTGGACTGAAATTGAATGCCTCCAAACCCTCAATCCTTTGGGAAGGCCGATTAACCCCGTACCATGTCTGAGATCATGGACGCGTGTTCGGTGCTTAGACTTCCGCAGCTCTCGCAAGGGGTTGGAGCCAGACTCGTCGGCATCGACCAACGCATTCCAGCATGCATACCTTTCTACGCGAGATAGGTAAATTCGAGAACAGCATACGTCCGGCATAAGTCCTTCCAAGTTCAGCACTCCCCGGATGACTTTTCTACCTAGCGCCTCCGAAGCCGCAATCCTTCGACCGCTCGCTACCACCAATGCCTTGGCCGTCCTGTTCCAATCTCAAGCCTCGCTAAGTGAGCTTCTTCCAGAACAATCACCCGTTGCTCTAGTCGCTCGAAACTCGCGCGATGGATGGGGTCCATCTGCAGCACGTCCCGATGAGCGGGGTGCTGCCAGTTGCGCCTGGGGTCATCATCGTCGATGTGGTGAACAACGGCGTCCTCGTGGTAGCTACTGTCGGACCTTACAGTAGTTCCTAAGAACCCAGCGCGCTCACTGATGGATCTGATAGTGCTCGTGCGAGCGATTGGCATGGTGCGGTCACCGCCCTCATTCGAGTTCGCGTCGGAAGTGCGTGGAGCTTGCTCGCTATACGCGCTTCGACTACTGACGTTGTGCGAGCTGCTGTTCGCCTCTGGATTGGCATTCTCGGGTGTGCTGTCTGGTTCGCCCATACCGCTCCCAAAGGTCGTGCTCGGCATGCTGTTACTCGTGGGCGGGTTTCGTGCTGCGAGCTCTGAGTCCCCCGCGCGTACACGGAGCTGATCGAAAGTGTAAGGAGTCACGGACTGAGCTAGCTGTGGCTGGCTGCCGCTGGCGGCACCGGCGGTCGGTGACGTGGCACCGGCGGTCGGTGACGTGACACCGGCCGCATGGTACGCATTCGCTGCCTGAATGGGTGCGCCAGTGCTTTCAAGTTCAGGGAGACTTGTTGCACGCTGCGTGAACCCGTGCTGTTCGAGTGGCTGGTCCTGTGCGGTTGTGGGAAGGGTGAACATTTGCTTGTTGGACACCAGGTGCGAAACTGTTGCTGAGCTCGTTCGTCGAGCATGTTGGAATGGGGCGCATTATGTACATGACTATGTTTGTCCGGGCTGCAGGAAGTGTTTGCTGATTGCCGCAGACAGTCAAAGAACCGGATATCGCCACAATTTACCTAAAGAATTTAGTGATAGCGAAGCGTACAAGGGATCAGTCGCAGAACAGCACCTCCAATCCATCACAAATGCGAAAGACAGCCGGAACGTAACACCCATCTTGGGTATCATCCAGAGCTGCACTTGTTAGCTATATATTTTCCGCCAGAACTGCTTGATGCGCCCGCCAGCATGGCTACCACCGTCCCGCTTGTCGCTTCGCAGCGCCGACAGCATCGAGCTGCGGTGCTGGGAGCCACTGCTCTCCAGATCCCGCCATTAAGCTCGAGTAGCCTCACCGTACTTTCTAGATCTGCATATTTCTGATTCATCTTCGCTTCGTAGCGGTCGACGACGGCATGATTGACGAAAAGCTCATGCTGGCGTTGCTCGCTTCGCGTGAAGCTGCTGTCTCCCTCGAGTCCGGCCGGTGGTGCGTGGGCGGTGGCTTGCTTCAGAGAGTTCCGACGATGCCCGACTGCGGGTAGTCGGCGGGCTGGACGTTCTGCGTCTCCTCTCAACGTGTACTGACTAGGATGCCGTTGCTGCTGCGTCCCCGTGCGGTCCAAAACATCACGGCTCGCCTGGCGTTCCTCTTCCCGCAGTCTGGACAGCTGGCGCGCTTTGGGCGGACCGGGCATAAGAGGCCCACCAGCGTGTACTTCCACAGGACCCGAGCGTATAGCCGGAGGCCCAGAGACACCCGGTGGCAGCTTGCGCAAAGACGAGCCAGACGGGCTCGTGCTTGAGACGTCGCTGTTGCTCCTACCGGTCATGGCTTGTGTGGTTGGGTTCAAGCGCTCGCTTTGAGGCTCCCTGGCTCGTCACCAAATGGCATGGAGTTAAGGCCAGCAGTCACGATGCTGTGAGCAAACCGCAGATTGCTTGCTGCGATGATCGATCGGCCATGAGGGCTCGTGAAGTTAAGGGATGTCCTTCATAACGCTTTTGAGACCAATGAAGAGCCTGCGATCTGCACCTGCTTATGGTTCTACGACACAGCAGATCGTCTACTGGGGTAAGAAAGGCCGACGTCTACCGCAGACTGTCAGCTCCAACTAAGTTCGGTGGCAGGACTACTTGCTACCATCTCAGTCGATTTAGCCAAACAGCGTATTCAAGACTCTCCGAACCCGCCCTTGACCTCCTCCACGCCGGTCACGTAGTCCCCGTACACCACCCTGACGGTACCGCCCAGCGTTTGCAATCCACAGAAACCGCCTAGGAGGTCCGATGCCTATTGCCCTTTCCAGCCTTTCCACACGGTCGAACAAGTGAACGATCAACTGAAAACTGTCTTGTTGCACGCTTTCCAGGGACTGTCGGTCCGTTGACAGGAGAGATTGGTCGTCCCTGTTCACCTCCTCCGAACCATGAGCCGACTCACAGAGCGGAGTGGGCGAAGTAGTCTGCGGAGCGCTGCGCGTGTGATGCTGTACGCCAGTATCCTCAGTCTGCACCGTCTGATTGCGGTAAAGAAGGCTGCAGCTCTCATAGTCTACAGAGTAGCCTTCAGTGTCGGTCAGGTTGTCGTGGAATCGCCCGAAATGCTTAGACTCGTCTTTGTTCCGTCCACGAGGTGTTTTATAAGCGTCGGGCGCGTCGTCCCTTTGCACGGCATGGTTATGGTCAACAGCACTACAGTCGCGTGCCGCCAGACCATCGGAACATGCGTCGGTACTACTGCTGCGGGCGGACGACGACAAGGAGTGGTGATAGCGCGGGGCTAAGAAGTCCGGAGTATACACCCTGTCACAGTGGACTTGTGCGTGCATTGAGTCAGTGTCGGAGGTGGTGGCGCTCTCAGAATCGCTCGATTGGCCGAGATTGTACATATGGTCAAGCAGTACATGTCTGCACTCCTTAGTTCGTGCGCTACCGTATCATTAAAGCCCGGTGGGGGTGTGATATGGGATTGCGTCTATTTGCGGTTCAGCTACCGTGTGCTTGCTCGCCGTTGATTGTCTACCCTGCCAGCAACCCAAAGATCGGTTTTGTCCACAGCAATCTCGCCGGCTCTAGTGTTGGCTCGGCCCTTCGCCCGAAGACTCATCCATCCGTACGCGTTCCCCAACTTTCGTTTGCGCAGTGGTAGGAGCTTGAACTTCGAGCGGCTGACCGAGCCTTTGCGCTTCCTCTTCCTGTTGTCGACTGAATATCGTCTCACCCGTCGTAGCCTCCAACTTGTGTAAGGCGCGCCTGAGCAGATCGCCATAATGCCTAACGACTGCCTGCAAGGACTTAAGTGATGCGCTGACGCCGTTGGGACGAGCAGTGAGTAGGTCAACGTCCTGACGAAGCGAGGTCGTTGCATCGGTGTTGGGGGCGATATGGTCACTCAAGCTGCTGATCTGGTGTGACAGCTCTCCCGAGAGCGCTGTCGGTGAAACTTCAGCGCCAGCATGGAGCGGGTTGTCAAGGTTAACGGAATGTGTAGATCTGATGGTGTAACCCGGCAGGGCTCGCTTGCGGACGCTAAGATCTTCTACTGCGCGCTCCAGTGATTCGATGGCTCTCTCCAAACCCTCTTGGTCTCCTGCAGGAAGCTCCATGGTCAACTTGTACGAATTTCTCCAGTGGTTATGCGGGCTTCTTGGGCGTGCCGTGGAGTGCAACGGGAATATAGGGGCATGTGAGCGCCAGCTGAGATGCTTGCTTGTGTGGCAAAGCGATTGCAACGGAGCAAAGCCGATCGTGGTACGTTTGCGAGCCACTTTCGTGCTATCACTATGATTGTTGTATCATATCCGAACGCAGTCTCTGTCGCAGATTGATGCAGTTACAGTAAACTAGCGAAACCCAAGGGACCTTAGTAGGTTTGTGAATAGTGAGCACGCTACGAAGCGCATATATTACGGCTGATGACGAGCTTCTTGTCGTGAGCGTGAACATACATGATCAGTCGCCGTCCAGATAGTACTTGCCACCTCCGCCTGTAGGGTCACCGCCAGGCGTGCACAGTCCGATGCGCCAGAAGTAGTCTCGATGTGCGAAGAGCAGCTGCCAGAGCTTGTACCGCGTCGGTATTCCCCAGGGTTCCTGCTTGATGTCGTACAATTCGTGCTCGACTGATGCCAGCAAGTCTCGCTTCTCGTCAGCTGGAGAGTCATGGCCAGGAAGCGTAGAGTCTTGGTCAGCAATACATGATGGATCTTCGTCTCCAACGCATAACTGAACGTCCTGCAAGTCTGGAGATAGCGAGGATTTGCTGATGAAGATTTCTCCAGCGTGCATGCTGTAGCCCCACTCTGTTAGCGGAAGGAGCGGTACGGGGTCGTTCACATGTGTTACGCGACGGTACGTCAAGCCTTCCTCGTCTAATGTCGCGTTCGTACGTGAGAGCCCGAAGCGATCGTCTAGATACCCAGCAAGGGCAGCGTTGCCAAGACGAGGCTCACCGAAAGTCGTAACTATAGGCCTATATCCGTACGCCACAAGGTCAAGTCCGGCGAGAGCAGCTACTGCACCCCCAAGGCTATGGCCGACGAGGTGCAGCTTGTAGAGTGGGTGAAGGAAGAGTGCTCGCTTCAGCTCCGCTAGAATGAGCGATCGCGTCGTCTGCCATGAGCTCTGAAAGCCCATGTGTACTGTGCAGTTGTTGCAGCGTGGGGCGTGTGTTACACGCTTTCGTAGTCCGCTCATGCCGGCCAAGCTGTGGTCGGACGGTGGCGGGACTTCGTCGTCTCCCTCGCTGTCATCGTCACCGGGCCCGGGATACGGCACATATTCTTGAGGGACCGTACTGAGATCGACGACGGCGTTCGCGATACTATACGTTCCACGGAAGGCTACGATGACCCTTTGCTTGCCGTGGTCGAGAGCAATATAGCCGCAGCTGTCCTTCAGCAAAGGTCCAGTGTTCCAAGTAGTGACCAGAGCGAACTCAGGGAAGTCGCTACATCGTGACAGACACTTGAACGGCTTTACGATGCCGAAGCTAGTCAAGCCTACACAATACGATATGTCGACGATACGAGCCAGCTCCTCCAGCTCGTAGAAGAGTCCGACGGACACATTGCGGCTTTCGGTAGGCTTCGGCTCAAGCGGAATCTGATTCACCGCAGCCGCGATGCCAAGGCAGTGAAGGAGAATCACGAGACAGCGTTGGAGGCGCATCGTGGTTCCACAGTGTGCATATTTGAGGCTCTGTCGATCACAACCTGTACGCAGGTGTTGTCAAAATGCCGACAGGAGAGGCGTTGGGTGGACAGCCTCCTGCGGTCCGCCCCTCAATCAGTCATCAGGTCTTAAGGTTGCTAAGTTGATGGTCAGGCTGATGGTCCCGAAGTTGGTGGTGCATCCGCGGCATGCCGGCAACCGCTAGAAGGTGTCGTCTCGGCAAAATACCCACTTGGCCGACGGTGAGGTCATCTTGCCGCGTGCTTGGCGCCACGGCCCCAGCTTTTCCACGCAAGCAGCGCATTGGATCACGATGTCACTGCCACGCTACTAGCTACGTTCGTATGCACTTGCAGGACATGTAGATTACGACTCTGAGCATCGTGCAACTCCCCTATCACCTAAACTACACCTTCACCTTCCCTGCGGCTAGAGTTGGCTTGCGATTCAACTTCCATCTATTCACGGATCACGTACTTTGTTGCGAGTCTAGGAGGTTGATACTCTTGTGGTGACGACGCCTATTCTTCCGGCCGGTCCGCGTATCTTACATCCTTCTCGTGCGAAGTTGGTTGCATTCAAGCTGTGCGATCCGCTCTGACAAGGTCTGGAGGCACAAGGAGTTTGACTGGTTCCTCCCATTACAACTTTGCGCACGGCAGTACCGAAGATGGAGGAGGATCCCAAGCAGCACGATTTCGACCAGCGTCATGACGGCCCTTTCGATCACACCCGGCCTTCGCTGCACGTCCGACGCCGGTCGTCGAAAGAACCGTCCAGTCAAGGGCCTAGGAGTGCAGTGAGCCCAGAAGATTCGCGATCGCCCAGCAGTCCAGTTACGGGACGTAAAAGCATACAACTGGGAAAGGAGGATTTACGGTCACCGGGTAGGGCCAGCACACAGATGTCCGGGAACAGAAAGTCCAGTAGGGACTTCGATGTGCGGCGTGATGGGCCGTACGGCAGGCCTTCGCTTACGATGTCACGACGCAAGTCATCGAACACGTCAACGGGTCCCCTGAGCCCGCAGGGTCGGGCACCGACGCTACCCATGAGCGATGAGGAGAAGGAGCAGCACCATCAAGAGGCACTGGCAGGGGTCGTTAGTGGCGGGGCGGAACCAGAGGCTCCAAGCCTGGAGACTCTGCAACGAGATCCTGCCTTCGAGCCGGAACCGCCACCATTGAACTACAGTCTCTGGCCACGCAAATGGAGCATCATCATATTCTGGTCATTGATCCTTATCGACTGTATCGCTATGCCTATTGGGCTGTACTTTGGGTTATGGTATGGCACGGACTTGTCACCGAACACGGTCTTCTCCATTGTCACGGCGGCGCTAGGCGGTGTTAGTATAATAGAATACTTTCTCCGCCTCAAGCGCCTACTGCGGAAGAACAGCACTGCCCGGCCGATTGGCGCGCGGAGATGGTACCTCGACTTCTTTCACTGGAACTTCACGCTCGGTTGGTTTGTTATCATGATCGAGCTGATTGTGTATGCCAATCCTTCCATCGCTTCTCATGCCTTCGGCTGACGTGTACGCAGTGGCACCATCCCCGAGGACCCACCTATCCGCCTGCTCGCCATGCCCGTCGTTTCCATGCTCTACGTCTTCGGCACGGAACTCATCATCGCCGACGTCCTCCGTCTCTTTCACATCCCAGCACCCTTCCGCATCTCATCCATGCCAAAGGGTAGCCAACTCCGCCCCTGCGTCTACTCCATCATCGAAGATGTCGTTGCCGTCGACGGCTCTGGCGGCGTGGCATTCCGAGAAGCGCTCAACAAGCGCTACGAAGACTCGCATGTCTTCCGCGCTATGCTACGCCGTCTCGGCGCGTTCTGGGCATTCGGTATGGAAGCCATTGCGATTGTTTTGACGATCTTGATCTTCACGGTGCAGCATGAAGCGGCGTATGTGATAGGATGGAGCGTTCCGTTCATTTGGGCTGGGATCTGGATTGTGATTACTTACTACTACGTCAAGAAGAAGCTACGGGAGGAGAAGGTAGCATGGACGGAAGAGATCGCGGCAAAAGCTTCGGTCTAGGAGACGGCAAGCCTGGCTTCTGTTTCCATTTTTTGAGCGGGCACGCATAGCTGGAGCGTTTGGCTGCGTTCGGAACGCTCACTGCATGGCGAACACGGCTGAGATCACGACGGCTAGATGTAGACTATATGAGAGCAACGAGATCCAGGATGCCACGAACACCAGCATCTCGGTCGAGTCTCGAGTTTGGTCCTCAACAGCACATTCTGGTCTTACCACGTTTGCGCTAACTCGAATCCTACAGCAGCTGACACATTCGGGGCACGTTGTGAGCAAAGGAAGTGACGCCTCGGCCAACCCCACCTCTTCAGAAACCCACATACAACGTTCGCAGAGCGTGAAAGTTTAGATACAACACAGTTGCAAACATGCCCGAAAACATCTGGCTTCAATACCGCGACCGCATCGCCGGCGTCTGGAAATGCGTCTCATTCGAACTTTACGATGATTCGGGCAAATTACTGGCGAAACCTCATGGTGATGAGCCTTTAGGCCGTGTTTCGATTTCACCCGGCGGTTACATGTCTGCGCATGTCTCGAATCCCGGCCGGCGTCCCTTGCCGTCTGGTAAGGCTTGGCCTGAGGGAGGAGATGCGGAGGTGGCGCAGATAGCGAGGGCTTCAGGTGGGTATTGCGGGCCTCTGGAGCTCTTTAACGATGCGCAAACTGGGCTGTGGCTGCAAACGATGGTGGAGATATCGCTGGATCCGAGCCGTATCGGAAAATATGAGAAGCGGAGGGTGGAGTTTGTGGAGGAGGGTGGCAGGGAGTTGATGGTGCTGAGACCGTTTGGGCATTTGCCTGTGATGGTGAGGACGTCCGCTGTAAAAGTGTTGTTATCTGTATGCTGACATAGATGTCTCTAGCAGGGACTGAAGGCGAACGGTGTGCTGAAGTGGGAGAAGTTGGAGTGATTGGTACCCAGAGCGATGCGTACCTAGACTCCATCACGACTGCCAGTCATGAAGCTGGTCCTCCTGCACAGTACTCTGTAGGTGTTCTTACGGCCCTCTCGGGTGCTCTCGCCATTCGTCGCTCGCGAATGTTGACCATGGTATAAGTCCGGTTTCTGGATGTCCTTGAACAGGCCATAGCTTGTGTAACATTTCGCGGGTATCCAGCCTTGGTGGTCTTTAACTTCTTGTCAGCCAGCCACGCTTCAACTGGTACTCCCACGGCCCTTATATATAGAATGTGTGGTGCGTAGCTTAAAGAAAGTGTATCTTGTCCTCAAGCTGAGCGTTCTTCCGCATGCACGGATTGGGAAGTGAGAGACTGTACTTTCGGTCATGCTCAAGGACGTCGTCTTCCTCCACCCATCAATGCATGGATGTGTTGACTGCCTTCCAAAGCCATAAGCACACCTCAACATCACCAGTGGAGACGACGAATTGTTTGAACCATGCCTCTTCGGGAGTGTGGAGCCATTTGTTCCCACCTCTAGTCGAGCTCATCAACCTCATCGAAGTGATGCTTTGGCAGGCAAATTACGCTATCTACCCATCGAACAGTGTCGAAGACTCTCATGATAGCACTGCATGACAAGTAACACGGTCTGCCTGGAACATATCCGATGTCTTCATCAAGCCGCCTCCCCATCACGATCGTGACCGGCTTCGCAGGCTCAGGCAAAACTACTCTAATCCTCAATCTGCTGCCTCAACTTCGAGCGGAGAATCCAGGCTACAAACTCGCATTGATCAAGAACGAGATTGGAGATGTCGCCGTCGATACTCAACTCGCTGCCTCTGCCGAAATGGCCGGCGCTCGCGAGCTCCTTGGCGACTGCATCTGCTGCACTAATGTCTGTTGATATTCATGATTTACAGAAAGTACAGCCAAGCTAACTCCACACTAGGTCGGCCAAATAGAGGATGCATTGGCCACGCTCGACAAAGAATGCCAACCTGATCGAATCATCATCGAAACGTCCGGATCTGCTGAGCCGCTGAAGGTGGTGCTGGAGGTCAACCGCGTCAGCAAGGCAACTGGGCGATATGAACTTGACGGCATCGTCTCCGTGATCGATGCAGAGAATTGGAGTGGCTACGCCAGTACATCGTTTACTGCCAAGCTACAGGCCAAGCAGACAGACTGTATCATCATCAACAAGTGGGAAAGTCTTAGCGAGCGGGCTTTCGATCTGTTTCTTGACAAGCTTGGCGACTTAGATGTTGACACGCCCCAGATCAAAAGCCATAAAGGCTTCGTAAGTAAGGAATTGCTGTTTGGCTTTGATCCAGAGATGGCCAGATCCTGGATGGCTGAGCATGACCACCACCACGAGCACAAACATGATCACCATATGGGAGAGATGGAATGTATATCTGTGACGCTCTCTTCTACCAGAGCTGACGCCAGCGTGGACATTTCGAAGCTGGAGCAGCTACTGAAGACCGCGCCGAAGGATGAGGTATACCGAATCAAGGCTGTGCTGTTTGCTTCCGCATCGCCGAGGACTTCTGAGGGAACGCAGGTCAATGGCGAGACTGCAGGCAGATTTCGCTATATCCTCAACTGGTCGTTCGGACGGTGGACTTGGTCGCATGACGCAGGTAATGATAGTAAGGCGCCGACTCTCCGTATGTCAATCTTCACGGCGCCGCACGAGAGCAATAAGTGGCTCAAGCGCATCGAAAGCGGACAGTACGTTGCGCTGGCCAATGGTGAGGACGGAAACTTGGATGTGAAGAGGGTCCAGTGAGCAGACCGTCAGTAATTGTGTGTTATGCCGTACGCACTGCTGAGCACCATATTACCGTCTTCGCAGCAAGTTGCGAACAAGGTTCCCAATCAGTGACTTGATCCGAAACGACAATAGCTTCCGAAGAAGCAGCCCACGACAGGTTGCTGTACTCAGCGACCATAATCGCCGGAGGATGACCCTTCGGTATGCCCCATTGCTTCACCATTTAGCAACTTCACTGCTAACATGTGTTTGCAGGCTCTCGACGTCAAATAACCATTACATACTTGCTGCGCACCGCCGAGCTCTGTCGGCAGCTTCGCCGGTAACTCTCAAGCCAGGAGCAACGATATCGGCATTGGCTTCAGTCTGCGCGCTCGTACTAGCAGTCGCCACGGCTCGATTTGGTGCAGGTTGGACCGGAATACGCTTGTTCTCGATTCACTCCTTCATCGCATCCTTGGGGCTGAGGTAGCTGAAGAACCAGGTCGGCTGATTGTGGCGTATGCGGCATCCTGCGAAGGCAACAATCAGCGTGTCCTTATGATGATTGACCGGCGAGCGCAGTCTCACCCTCATCCCACTTCAGGCCATGCTTGGTATGATTCCAAAACTCAGCGTTGCCCTCCTCGTCCTGACCGGGCCGGGAAAGCGTCACGCAATCGAGACACAAGCCGTCAAAGTACTTCTTGCAGTAGACACGAGCATCATTGACGGTGGCGGCGATGTTAAAGCTGCAGTATTACCGTCGACCAACATAGCACAACTGACCAGCACGGCGACTCAACTCACCTTGCTTCCACAGCTTTGCGGCTGAAGCGCCCTGGAACCCTCGAGCTTGCGCAGAATGGAATCGACACTGTTATTTACCATCCCGGTATCATGTGGCCAGCACCTGTCATTGTTAGAGCACGCTGGTATCATAGAGTGCGAAGGCTTCGCAGCGGCAATTGGCGCGCATCAGGAAGTCGTAGATGGGTTGGTTGATGGCGTGAAGCAGTATTAATCGCAGCCGGGCTTTGGCGCCATCGAGTTGTCTGCTTCAAGTCAGTGACCACGACAAGTTTGTCCTTGCGCACAAAGAAGCCAGACTTATGCTTACGGATAACGTTGTCGCTCAGATGCAACTGGTGAGGCACACTGTCAGGCTTAATCTCTGCCACACGGCCGGTAGCGCGGTGGACTACATACTTCGTTGCTCCCGCGGAACCTGAGGAGTCTTCGAACTTGTACGTCGGGAACAACAGAGCAGCGTAATCCTTGCATTCGAAACTGCAAGAACCATTCTCGCCTTGTGTATTGACGCTCGGTGTGGTGACACTGTACCTGTACCACCCTGCAAACAATTTCTTGACGACAGTGGCATTCGGGCCGACGCCGTATTTATCGGCTGTCACAATCATTGACCAGATCTCATTGATGCTGAGCTCACTACGGGTAGCGGCAACCGTGGGAGTAAATTGGTCGCCGTCCTCGGGCTCGTGCCAAATCTCGAACAATGTTATGAATTCGCGAATTGGCTGACTCTTGTTGACCTTGATGGTGGACTTCTGCTCACGCTTGCATTGGTGTTGAGGGGTTTCGCGAAAAAGGTGGAGTGCTTGCACAAGATATCGCGCATGACCTTGAATGCATGGAGTTTGTGGACACCGAACTACCTATGTTTGAAGCAGAACCGTCAGCAGCTATGACTTTTGCACGCTCGGTGACGCGAAGTGTGGTCCGTATCGTGAGCAAGCGTGTAGTATTCCGTCTCCAGCTGCCAGTAGGTGTTGCCGCCGTTGTTGGAGGTGGCCATCCTGGAGGGTCGAAGGCGTTTTTGCGGCTGGCAGCGAGAGTGTGGTTTGGAGGTTACCCTCAGGTCGTCGGTCGGCAGATGCCAGCCCTTCAGGAAGGAGACGGAGCGCGGGTGAGAGTGAAAGTGAGAACAGACGCTCTCGATGCGCCTAGCCTGAACCAGATCAGATCACAAGGTCGGCATGCATTGAAGCTTCACGAAGCTGTCAGTACCTGGTTGGATGTGCACGTAATTGTACGCTCGGTACGACGCGATCGAGGACTGTCGAATACTACCATGGTGAGAATAAGAAGTCTTGTCGTTAGTGAGTAGCCGCCTGTTGGTGAGATGCTATGACGAGGTATGTAAGATCTGTCGAACATTGTAGTAGAAGAACGCCATACATGTACATTCACTTCGCCGACTGCTGCAGAGAGCCTTCGCTGGCGGTATAGCTATGCTCCTTCCCACGCCAGACGCCATGCAACCTTCTTCGCACTTTCCAAAAAGAGCGTCATGGAGCGTAAACCTGCTTGTCGTCCGAGTACGGCTCTTCTCTTATGCCGTCTTTATCGATGATTTTCACGTTCACGCCCTTGAAGTCAATCGGTAACCGTCTCTTTAACTCGTCTGTGCACATCCTGAGAATCTTCATTCCTTGCTCAAAAGAGATGTCCGGATGGTGATGCTTGTCCAGTATACTTAGACAATAATATTGGGCATAGCCGTGAGCTGCGTACGGTACTGGAGCCGACGAAGCAAGATAGTCGATCCAATACAGCTCTGGCTTTTGCTTGATCGAATCGTAACCACCTAACAGTAGATTCACGGTATACGGTGACCGCGAGCGTAGTGACTTGGCAAGTTCTGCGCGCACAAAGGACGATACTTCGAAGGGTGAGAGGTCGGAGGAGTTGCGCATGCTATAAAGCTGGATGTTGGCTTGTATGTATTCGGCGAATTGGACTGTCATCGGTCACAATGAGCACGTGAGCATCCACAGATGGGTGGTGAAGACGTACCCGTGTCTCCTGGCTCGCCACTGAAGGCCATGAGGGTGTTCTTGTTCAGTGTCCGGGTCTTGTCGTCGTTCGCTTTCAGGATGGATGCGCCTCGCATGGCCGCTTTCGAGGCGGCTACGATGCAGAAGTCCTTGCCTGTAATGCCGAGTAAGACCTCCCTGACACATTATCAGCCATGGCACGAATATCGGCCTTTGCAGCAACGCTTACATGGTGTCTATGGTTCGCTTGTATGGACAATGAACGCTTCACGGGGAACTGTATGCGTAGAAGCTCACGGTGAAGGCAGCTTGAAGTGACGCGGTTGGCGGAGGAGCGGTTACGGAAGGTCTGCCGAGCCCACATGCAGGCGGTGGCAGAAAAGTCGCCGCCAGCACAAGGCTTCTTGACTTCTTCACTGTCAAACAAGCCTGCACAAAATGTTCAATACCCGCTCAGCATAGCCTTAAGTAGCACCGCTGCTTCTTACGTTCATGCTATGGCACTCAAGGCGGAGTTCAAGACTACATTCCAGCCTGCACACGTCATTCAACCCATCTACACCGGCGGCGCTGTCTCATTGAGTGGAGATGGCAAGCTGTTGGCAAGCACTTTGGGCGAGGATGCGCTGGTCACTGACCTCGAAAGCGGCGCGCATCTCGCCCGTGTAGAGGGAGTAAGTCGGCGCCGTGGAGAGATCGTTGGCTTTGACTGACTGTTGACGAAGTTGCTAGGATGGCGAGCCGGTTACTACGTTGGTCTTGACACTTGATGCGAGGTACTTGATTGTGTGCTCGAGATCATTGTCGATGCGCGTGTATGCGCTGCAACCTTCTCAGGCTCACGATGACCAACTGGATGCGAGATTGATGCGCACGCTCAAGCCCCACACAACTCCTGTGGTCACAGCAGCAGTGGACGCTTCCAGCTCGTTACTTGCCACAGGCGCCGCGGACGGAGCCATCAAAGTCTGGGACCTTCAAGGCGGGTATACTACGCATACTTTCCATGGCCACAGCGGCGTCATCTCGGCGTTGCACTTCTTCGAGGTTTCCCCCGCTGAAGCCCAACGGGCTGTAGACACCCGAAAGCGGAAGAGGAACCAGGGAGATGCTGATGTGTCATCGCTAGACCGGGACAATGCAACGGCAGGCTTCAGACTGGCTTCTGGTGGCGAAGACGGCAAGATCCGCATCTGGGATCTGCACAAGCGTAAGAGTGTTGCAACGCTTGACGCGCATGTGTCTGTTGTACGGAGCTTAAGGTACTCGCCAGAATCGACTCTACTATTGTCTGTAAACCGAGACAAGACCGCCATACTTTGGGATGCAAAGACTTGGCAGCAGCGATCGACCGTTGCAATCCTGGAAGGCGTCGAGGCTGCAGGCTTCATTCAGGAAGGCCGCCTATTCTACACAGGCGGAGAGACTTCGAATATACGACTCTGGAAAACGGACGATGGCAGCGAGGTGACCGAGGAGCAAAAACATGGCACGGAAACGGAGGCTGTTCTAGACGTGCTCCACCATCCCGGACTTCCATTCTTGCTGTCAGTTCATGCGGATCAAACTTTGCTTCTGCACTCATTAGACCCGCTAGCCTCCTTACTCGACAAAACAACTGCGCAACAGATACCATCTCTGCCCATACTCCGTCGCATCTCTGGGACTCACGACGAAGTCATCGACCTTGCGTATATTGGCACACACCGAAGCCATCTCGCACTAGCCACGAATCTCGAAGATGTCCGAATCATCGCTCTCGAGAGTTCTACCGCGGACGGCCAGCAAGCCTACTTCGGCGCTGATGTAGCGCTCCTCAAGGGTCATTCAGATATCATTATTACACTATCAGTTGACTGGTCTGGTCACTGGCTGGCGACGGGAGCCAAAGACAACAGTGCGAAGCTCTGGCGACTTGATCCGAAGAACGCCGACTACGACTGCTATGCGACCTTCACTGGACATGCCGAGAGTATAGGAGCAGTAGCTTTACCATGTGCTTCTCCACCTGTCCAGTCAAAAGAGTACACCAGCCCACTCGAGTATCCGCCGAAGTATTTGATTACTGGTAGCCAAGACAAGACCGTGAAGCGATGGGATATCTCGAACCAACCAGGCCGGGCACCACGAGCAGCCTATACTCGCAAAGCGCACGACAAGGATATCAACGCTATTGCTACATCGTACTCACCTTCGACACCATTGTTCGCCTCAGCGAGCCAAGACCGTACAGTCAAGATATGGGACGTTGAGACAGGCGAGTCAATAGGCGTCCTGCGCGGCCATAAGCGGGGCGTTTGGTCTGTCGCTTTCTCACCCCCCGGTAGTCCCGCACTCACTACTGCTGAGAGTGGTGGTGCGAGTAGCGCGAAGGGCATGATCGTCACTGGCAGCGGTGATAAGACCGTGAGGATCTGGAGTTTGAGTGATTACAGCTGCTTAAGGACATTCGAAGGGCACGTCAACAGTGTGCTAAAGACTGTCTGGCTCCCGGCATCGCAAGCAGGCAAAGGTCGAAACAATAGGGGTGTGCAAGTAGCAAGTGCGGCGGGTGATGGGTTAGTCAAAGTGTGGGACGCACAGTCCGGAGAATGTGCAGCTACTCTTGACAATCATACCGACAGAGTGTGGGCGCTCGCGGTCAAGCCACAGCCTGTGTTGTCTGTAGAAGAAGTCAAGACACAGGACATCCAAGACACGCCCATGCAAGATGAGGAGGAAGATTCAGGGTTTGGTTCTTCTGGCCACGCGGGCACCCTCGAGCTTGTCTCAGGATCGGCAGATAGCACGTTGACGTTCTGGCACGACACTACCGCTTCCACCGCTCTGGCTGCGACCCGTCAAGCTACGCAGCGAATAGAACAGGATCAGGAGCTGCAGAATTACATCCGTTCGTCCAACTACCGGGAGGCGATCGTGCTAGCTCTACAGTTGAACCACCCGAAGCGGCTGCTCGATCTGTTTACAGCCGTCGTTAATAGTCCGCATGAGTCTGGCAGCTTCACAGGTAAGAAAGACGTCGACCAGGTCATTGCCAGTCTTAGCGACAGCCAGCTGTGGAGCCTTCTGCGCAGGGTCCGAGACTGGAACGCGAACGGAAGGACGCATAATGTCGCGCAGCACATACTGTACGCCATTCTTCGCCTTGTGCCGAGAGAGCGATTAGTGCATCTTCGTGATCGGAGACGGAAGGCAGTTGCAACGAGTGAGGACGAGCTCGTTGACGGCATGGCAGAGCTTAGCACGACCCGAGAGGGCGCCGCGGCCAAGAAGGAGAGCGTGAAGGACGTGGTCGATGCGCTCAAGTCTTACACTCAGCGGCACTATGAGAGGCTGGAAAGGGTGAGCGAGGAGAGGTTTGTCCTGCTCTGGGCGTTGCAGCAGATGGATGAGGTTGGTGGGGTGGGCGCGGGTGATGCGAGGACGAATGGGCACACGCTCAACGGTGTGACGCCAGAAGATGAAGGCGTGGTAGCCTTTTGAGGAACACGAAGTTAGTAGTACGAACTTTACGTTCACCACTGTACGCTTAATTGACATGCGAAAGCATTGCCGAAGGGTCACTGAACATGAAGTCGTGACAGGTTGATTCCGAAGCTCAAGACCAACAGCCTGCATGGCATATAACCCACCTACATCGACAGCGGGATGTCGACTTTCTTATCGCATTGTCATCTTCGTCCACAATCTCAGCCCGACACTCACCGACACCCGGCGGTGAATGTCGAGCTTGGAGCCGAGACACGGCAGGCTAACGGTGATTGTGCGGTCGCCGAAGAGACCGTACATCTTGTTGCAGTGCTCCGAAGATGTTTCCAGCAGTGGGGGGATACCGTATCTGCGCACTCGGGAGTTTTGTTCGATGTTGCCACAAATTACAGACGACTGACTAAGCTCCTGACATCTCCATGGTAGAGTCTGGGCGCCTATTGTTGTCGGATGAGGATGTCAGAAGAATGGAACTGGCGCTTTCCCCAAGACCGTATGAACACTCCAGGGTGCCACGGCATTAACGACAGCATATTCAAAGACTGTGGTAATGAGTGACCACATTAGAACGGCAAAATAGGACTATCTCGCAAGCTCCCCAAAGGAGTGCGCTGTACTACGGCCCATGCAGACCAACAGCCGTGCCGCGAGGACCTACCACCCGGAAATGGTACGCTGAAGGAATAAGAGCGATGGACAGCATCTTAAATGCATGTACTGCGATTCAGCATGCTATAGGACTACCAACAGCATTTTGCCAGGTCGCGAGGATATGGACCTCTTCAGATACTAATAACATTTGGCGCCACTCTCAAACCAATAGTAAGGCTCGAGCTCATATTCAATCTACGAGCATATGACAAAGGTCTACAATGTTGAGATGTTGGTCACAGGGAAAATGCAGCATCTTGGCTCAAACGGGTAAGTGGCACGTGCACTGTCCCCCATCCGCACTTTCCCCCCTTGCACATATACCAGTGCTTCTCAATGTCTCAAAAACACAAAACCACCACCGCCATCTGTTGTCGTCGCCGCTGCTGCTAGGCCGGACCTGGATCAGGGACAGCGTCAGTGCTGATTGCTGACGCTTAAGACAGACAAATTCGCCAGCATGGCGCCACCTCCCAAGGACTGGATGGAGGAGAGCATTTCGTCTCCGCCACCCGCACCGCGAAGAACCACCGTCCGGTTTGCGCCGAAGAAGTCAGCAGCGCTGCTTCCGTCTACAGTCCTTCGCGTTGCTAGGGAGCGCGACGTCAACGCCCTCGCGGAGAGACGAGAAGCGTTTCGAAGATTCTCCGCTGGTCTTGGAGACGACAGCGAAAGTGACGACGACGACCACGACGACGCCATTCCCAAGGCCAATGGCAACCATGAAACTGCTGTGCGAGCTATGAGCCCGCCAGCACATGAATGGATGAGGGAAAAGGCGGCAACCAGCCACCCTGATGGCGACGATAGTGGTTGTAGTGTGACCACCGTACCGGAGCTTCAGCAGACCCATTCGACCGCTACCTTCTCCCGGTCTAGCAGTCCGCGTACTCCGGTTGACGATGTAGCGCCTGCCCTAAGGTTCGGCATCGAGGAAGACGTTGATGGCGCCATCGCTGACGTTACGAGCACTATGCTGCATGCCATGGAGAACATCGGCAAACCGGACGTTGGGCCGTTCATGGGCAGTCCGCCGATCAAGCAAGAACCGGATTCCACAGCGGATGTCTCCAGAGAGGGCGCCGGTGGCGTCACAACAGCAGACCCAGTGGTAGCTAATTCGAATGGGACAGCGCGGGCACCGAGGCGCAAGCGCAAGTCCACCGGCATCAAGAGCGAGCACTTCCCGGCCTTAGACTCTCCAGCAGCTCCATCAAGGAGGAGCCAACGCAAGTCGACCGGCATCAAGACCGAGCATTTCCCGCCTGTAGATTCCTCACAGGGTCCGGTAAGGAGGAGCCAACGTAAGTCCACCGGCGTCAAGAGCGAACACTTCCTGCCCGAAAACCTGGACCGTGTAGATCTGCCCGCGTCCAAGAAGAGGAAGCGCGCACCAGCGGGCATATCAGTCGCACTAGTACCATCAACTACAGCCGATGACTTCGGCATCATACAGGAGAAGACCTGGACGCAGCCTTTCTGGCTCCTAGTCGCTGTAACCTTCCTCAACAAGACAACCGGACGTGCAGCGGTCCCCATCTTCTGGGCGCTCAAAGGCCGCTACGAAACACCGGAGAACCTGGCCAAAGCCGACCCACGCGAAATCCACGATATGATTAAGAGTCTTGGCCTGCAGAATCAACGCACTAGGAGGCTGATTAAGCTGGCTGAGGCGTGGGTGGCGAATCCACCCGTCATGGGAGTGCGCTATAAGACTACTAACTATCCTAATCACGGCGACCATAAGGAGTACAACCGGGCGGCGAGCATTGGTGGAGACGAGAAAGACTGTAAAGGCGCGCTTGAGATTGGACATCTTCCTGGTCTAGGCCCGTACGCGTGGGATAGTTGGCGTATCTTTTGCCGCGATGTGCTGCGTGGCGCGAGCGATTACAAAGGAAAGGATGCGCATGCCTGTGATGAGGATGGAGAGGAGTGCGAATTCGAGCCTGAGTGGAAACGCGTTCTGCCGAAGGATAAGGAGTTGAGGGCTACGCTGCGTTGGATGTGGTTGAAGGAGGACTGGATTTGGGATCCTGAGACGGGCAACAAGCGCCGGGTGACGGAGGACGAGATGATGCATGGCCTTCTGGGTGAGATGGAAGTTGCTGATGCTGAGGAGAGGAAGTTCGCCTTGCGTGCGGTCCGGGTGAAGGAAGAGGATACGAAGCCGTCGTTGGTAGTGAAGCTCAGAGTGGGTAAGGAGAGGTTGGAAGAGACACTTGGCTAGCGCTCTGCCCACAAGGATAGGAATAGCGCAGGACGCTGTTTGAGTAAGCACAGCCGTCTCCTAGCCACAATGGGGAATTGGGAAGGACTGTGAGCTTGTTTGCCGCGCTTGCATAGCTTCGCCGATTAACGAACGTCTGACATGACGGCAGCTCTACGTCTTGAAGTGGTCTTCATGCGCAGATGAAAAGATTGAGTGAGAGAAATGGCTCCGTCTAGCTCCGATCTCCACTTTCTACTAGATGTACAGAGAACCCTCAAGCAGCACTCACTGCTCAATTGCCCTCCAACGCCTTACACGCCTGCTACACACCCATGCCATCCGGAAGACCTCCTACCACTACTACTATCAGCACACACCGGTACCACCTCACCTAAACCCCCCATACCCCATCGGTTGCGGCATCACCCCATTAGCCTGCCCATACCCACCGGCACCCGTGGCCATGGGTCCCTGCGTAAGCATCAACCTCGACTGCCCCAAAATCGGCCCCGTATCCTCCTCCTTCTTCCGCTCCTCCTTCTCCCTCGCCTTGCGCTCCTCATTATCCACCCGCAACTGCTCGATCGTCGCCGCCTGCTGCGCCATGAAGTTGATCATGAACGGCATGGTGAAATCCGTGAGGCCGTGTCGCCAGCTGATCTCCATGATGAGATGGAGGGGGAGGAGGTCGTAGCAGGAGTAGAGCATGCCGACGTAGCATTCTTTGCTGCCGATGTCGACGAACTAGACAAAAGAAATCACGGTCAGTAACTGTTCCAAACACGAGCCGGGTAGAGTTGTTAGGAATGAAACTCACATATCTCAACAACTCCTCCACCACCTCCTGCCGCCCACTCATCGCCGCCGTCTCAATCGCATCCCGGTACAACTTATCCTGCTTACTCAGCTGGATACTGCGATCCCACCTCTTATTCTTGCGGTAGATCTGCGCGGCAATCTGGCGGAAAAACACCAACTCATGCTTCTCCAGCCTCTGCGCAAGGGCCACCGCCTCATAATTATCGTAATTCTCCACGCTATCCCGCAACGTCTTGTAGTCCTCCTCCTCAATCAACAAATCGTTGATCGCGTCGTTGACGGCGCGTTTATTCTGGCTCTGCACGTTGAGCAGGAAGGGCTTGATGAGGGGGATGTTGTCGCTCTTCTCGAACATCCTTACCACCCTGTTCACGTCGATGCGTGGGGTGAGCGCTTGCAGCAGATCCGTGAGCAGACTCGGCTGTTGATCCAGGTAGAAGTTCAGCGCGCGGTAGTAGATCTCCAAGTTGGCGACCTTGACAACCGTCTCCTTGAACGTATGGTGCTCCCACGCATCCGCGGCGCGCTCCATCATCGCCAACGCGGCATTGTCGAATTCATCGTAGTGCGCGTACAGGAAGACGAGTTCGGGCCAGAGATGCGCTTCCTCGCACGCCCGGATCATTTTAGGGATGTTGATGCGGCCCCAGAAGATGCGCAGGTGCTCCATCACGCGGTCGGGGTGGTACTTGCTCAGTGCGATGCCCAGTTCGGTGAACATGCCCATGTGTGCGCGCTCGAGGCCCAGTCCGGCTTCGAGGAGCGAGATGAGTTCGTCAAAGTAGCCGTTGCGCTCGTACTGTCGTACCAGGTCGGCCAGCTCATCGGCGTGGACGATGAGGTTCAATCCGCAGATCTGCGCGAGGCGGAATTCCTTCTTCGCCACGCAAGCCTCGTTTACCTGCTTCCAGACTTTGACGCTGTTGGCTTTGCGCGCGCACTCGACGGCTCCCTGGTAGTCGCCCAAGTGCACGAGCGTGGTGGCCAGCTTGGCCCAATTCGAGATGGACGTGAAGAAGATCTTGGCCGCCTCGTGGTAGCCCTCTTCGTACGCCTTATCACCGCTCTCTTCCACATTCGCCACGTTCGTCCCGCGCAAGAACTCTTCAAGCTCGGGCAGTTGGTTCGTCCGTGCATAGCAGAATGCAAGCGCAGTGTCCACGGCCGGCTCCCGCAAAGTCTTCCTCGCCATGCGCAGGTACTTGATGAGATCCTCATCCTTGCCCGCATGCGTCGCCGTCTCGATGACTTCGTGGAAGTTACTCGGATCCTGCGCGCGGATGTAGCTCTCCACCGAATCCGTAATCCTCAAGCCATCCAGCTGCGCTTTGCCGACCTTACTCCACACTTCCGGCAGATCGACTTGCTCAGCGTACTCTTGCGCCCGGTCAATGCTGACGACATGATCCACGAGCACGTTCGCCGCATTCGAATGCTGGTTCGCCTTCTTATAGATGAGAAACGCCTCCTCGTACAAGCCGACACCCAAACATTGCTCCGCGACGTCTTCGGGAGAGTAATTGTCCAGGCTCTGGATATAGCCCGCCACCCTCCCGCGATCCGACTTTGCCGCCGTGAGCATGAGCAGGTTCTGCAGATTCGCGTTGTCACTGAAAGTCGAAGGCTCGAGGATGATCTTCTCGAGTAACTCAATCAACTCTACCGGCATATCGGCGTCAATGAACGCCTTGACAGCAATGGAGACTTGTTCCGGATCATTCGACTCGGGGACAGCGGTGCTGATGACCTGATCCACCAAGCTGCGCCGGTGGACATTGTTGTCGCTGAGAACGTACGACCAGATCTCGGGGTCCTTTAGGATATACAATTAGCATAATCACTAGCAATGCCATTGGGGCGGCGAGCAAGAGCCATTGGTATATAGAGAACTCACCGCTCGCTCCAGCAAATACCGCGCCTGCGCCCGGAACATCGCATTCTCATTCGTGATGCTAATGAGCTCCAGATCATTCTGGCCCTTGCGGTAGGCAATATACGCCAAATTCGGATCCTAATAACGCAAAAAGCGTCCAACCGTCAGCAAACACCTCCCACATAACGGTCAAGATCGAATATACAACTTACCCGCTTCTCACAGTACTTGCCGACGGTCAGCGTATCATACAAATCGTTGTTCTTGAGGAAAGTCTCCGGGTCATTATTCGAATCAATGTAAATCTTCGCCAACGCGTTGTAAACCGCCTGCTGCTGATTCCCCGCCGCCAACGTGGCCTCGAGGAAAGGCAACAACAACTTCAAGCGATTCCGACTCTCGACCTCTTGCACCAATTCTTCGATCGGGACACTCGCCGGCGAGACGCTGGACAAAAGTCCCTTGATGATATTCTCATCGCAATCGACGTCGAGAAGGCCGCCGATGACCGCCGGAGTGCGTGCGGGGTTGACGCGCTGGACGTAGACCTCGATGGATTTGAACTGCTGGTTTTTGTAGAGGTAGAGGACGAGGTCGTGGATGAAGTTGAAGCGGTCGCAGACGATGATGAGGGGGAGTTGTTCGGTCAGGCGTTGCTCTTTGAGGAAGTTCTTGACCTGTACACCAGAAAGGAATTAGCATAGCCAATGAGAGCTGTAAAGTTCTTCTGAATACTCGCTTTTTCAGGGTCATAGGCATTGCTTTCTCGGCAAACCCTCTCCACCTCCCCCAACTGCCCCATGCGAACCGCCGCCTCAAGATACTTGAACGTGACATCCTTATCCTCACTCAAATTCACAATCCCCCCCAGATAGAAATACAATCCCTCCGCAGTCCTGTATTTCTCCAGAAGCTCGATGATCCGCGTCGGCCCAAACAGATCCGAGTATTTCTTCGCAATATTAATTACCGCCTGCAAGTTCTGTCGAATATTGACCTTCAACATCTCGTCGAGACATTCCATCGCCAGGTCCACGGTCAGCCGGCCGAAATAGGTGATCAGGAAGGTTTCGTCCAGTTTGTCCGTTTGCACGATGCAGCGTTTGATATCGGCCGGGGCGTCGTAGTGTTCCAACGCGCGGGCGATGAGGCCGGCTTGCTCGCAGAGTTGAGCGATGCGGTGCCGGTCATAGTGGGAGAACATTTCATTGCCTAGAATGGCGTCGGCGACTTGGGGCGCGTTCATGAGGTTCATTTCCAGCAGTCGGGTTTGGAGGTGTCCTTGGTCCGGTTTGTTGGCTTGCAAGACGTCGAGGAGGAAGGCGGTCGCTTGTTGTACCATTCCCTGGCTTTGGAAGATATCCAGCGTGCGCTCCACGTCGATGAGGGAGGGGTCCTCGCGGGCGATGGAGGTGGCGAATTCGGCGCCCTTGTCTGGATTTAGCCGGACGACGTGTTGGATGATGGCGTTGAAGTCCGGCGTGTAGCCCACACTTCTCGAGTACGGCAGGATCTGGTCGAAGTTGCCCGATTCGGCCATGGCGGCGATGACTTTCTGGCTGGCGCCGGCTTCTTGGTAGATTTGCTGAGCCAGGCTCGCATCATGCACTCTGACTAGATCACCCAGCTGCTCGGAGCAGCCGAGTTTGCCTTCCTTCATCCACTTCTCGAGGAGGTGCTTGCGGTTCTGCTGAAGTACCGGACGGGCCAGCTCGAGAGTTTCGTGCGGGTTCAATTTGCCTTTGTCGAGGAGCATGCCAAAGTATTGGAGGATGACGGAAAGCTGGCCTTGTTGTTGAGGCAGTGACTTGAAGCGCTCGATTGTTTGCGGGGTGCGGAGGAAGCCTTGGGGCGAATTGGCGGCGGTTTTCGCCGCATTCTGGTAGTCGCCTTGGGCGATGAGTTGGTCGAAGCGTTGTTGGTAGAGTTGGTCTGCTCCTGGGAGGCCGGCGCGGGAGGCAAGTTTGTATGCTAATTCCGCGTTTTCCTGGAAAGTGCGAGGTGTGACTGTTAGCCATGTCGTCGACGACAGTTGAAGGATGGATACGTACCGGATTCTGGAGGAGGTAAGGGATGACGGTGCTCTCATCCACACTAACAGACAGCACCTGCCCCTTCCGATTCACGCCCACAATACCACTCCCGTCCTCATCACCGGCAATAGTGAAGATGGTATCGCTGGAAATACGGTTCATGAAGATAGTCGTGCCCGTCTCGAGATCGTACAAATGGATGAAGCCGTACTTGGTCACCATATAGATGACCTTGTACTTCCGCGAGACCTGCATGGCGACGGGGAAGTCATTCGTCGCTTCCGCGGGGAAGTAGATGTCCACCGCTCGCTTGGTGAAGACCGGGTTGGGTTGTTGATGGTCGACTTCCACGATATGCAGCTTCGCGCCGTTCGCGCCCCGGTTGGCGAAGGTGAAGAGCTTCGTGTCTGAGGATGCGTCCTCGAGGCGTATGGTGCCGAACGCAGCCGCATGACCCTCGATCGCCTGACTGATCCCACGGTCCTTGGAGTAGAGCTGCATATTCCCCACCACACGACCCTGATCCTGCCGGATGCCGACCACAACCATCCACTTCTCGTCATCACTCACGCGGTAATTAATGATTTGACACCCTTGCAGATTGGCATTCCGCTCAAACACCTTCTGCGGCATCGCTTGAGCAGGATCAAAAATGTTCCAATGGTAGACAGCCGTATCCGTCACCAGCCCCAGACTGGTCTCACTGAACCACTTCCAGTACATGACATCCTCGGCCATATTCGTGCTTTTGAGCTTGGCCTTCTGCGCGAGATCGAAGATTTGCAGTGTCTTGCCTTGGGCTTTGAGGGCGATGATTTCTTTGCTCCAGTGCATGATGGCGCTGTCGGCCTTGATGGGCCGGCGCATGACGGTGTTGCCATTGGTGAGGTTGATGATGAGGACTTCGGCGGCGCCGGCTTCGGTGGTCTGGCGCACGCAGACGTAGTGGGAGGACTCGAGGGTGCAGGAGTTGAAGCCTATGGATTGTTGCTGCGAAGATATATCAGTATCACGCCGTTTGTATTGAAGGTTGTCATGACTGACCTGCACACCCAGGGAGAGGAGTTGTGCCTGCTCGGTGAATTTGATGGGTAGCGGCGCCATGGTGAGGGAGTGTGTGTAGGATTTATCTCATCCGGCGTTGTTTGTAGGCGCAATACCTCCCTCCTGATGTTTGATGGGGGTCGCCGACGCCCCTTCCACCCTAAAGAAGGACTGCTTACTATCACGTGAATAGTGGGGGCAGTCAAAGGAGCGTGTGTGAAGGTCGTCACGTCGTGAGTCGGTCGTGAGTGGAGATGATTGTGTCGTATATTCGAGTGGCTTTAATAACGAGACAACATCGGCCAAAGCTGTCCGTCGCAACAGCTTCACCACCGACCCAACGGCCATTCCCGCTGCCGAACGCCATCCCGCAGCTCGAGTCAGGCACACATTCAGGCATGGATATATACCGTCACGTGCCTTGGGAGCATATATTCATCAACTCATTGATTGATTAATTAGCGAACACACAGAGAAGTCCACAGACATCGCTTGATGGGAAGCCTGCGCAGGTGAATGTATGTTGGCCATTGACACGTGATATTTTGCCCGTCCGTGCGCGATAAATTACGTGCATTCCCCCGAAAAGCGTGGCGTGGCGCACCTGCAGCCCCACCAACGCTCAATCAGTCATATCCTCCTGATTTCCCCTACCGAAAAGCCTCGTCCTCCCCAACAACAACAACATCCACACTCAACACTACTACGCGCCGCCCGACTCGCCAGCCACCACTCCTGCCAAGCGACGAAGCAACACACCCGCATCACAGTATCGCACAAGCCATCGCAAGCCTAGCCGCACCACATCCCACACCCCTCCCTCCACCCCTGCACCTGCACCTCTCCGCCCACCCAACATGGGCCCCTCCAAAGCCCCCTCAAGCTGGGACGACGAAGACTCCGACTCCACCCCTCCCTCCTCCCCGCCCGTCATAGCGCGCCGCGGCGGCAAGTTCGAGGATGAGGAGGACGAGGACGTGCTCGACGACTGGGAAGAGGGCGAAGATTCGGAAGAAGAACGCGAGAAGGCCAAAAAAGCCGCCGAAGCCAAGGCGAAAGCCGAGGCGGAAGCGAAAGCGGCGCATAAATCGAAGACGCAGCGGATCGAGGAGCGGCGATTGCAGCATTTGAAGGAGAAGGAGGATTTGTTCGACGAGGATGATAGCGAGGAGGAATTGACGGAGGCGGAGCGGAGAGCGCGAGCGGCGGCGAGCGAGAAGGAGAGTGACTTGCGACATGCGGAGGACTTGTTCGGGGGAGCAGGCATGCGGCCCGACCGCCCCGCCGCGCCCAAAGCCGTCACGGTACCCAAAACAGATATCCCCGGCGACGCCATCGATCTATCGTCCCTCTCCCTCTTCCAACCCAGCACGCCGGCGCAATGGCAACAACTCCGCGAGACACTGGTGCCCCTCCTCTCCTCCCAAGCGAAGAAACCCGCCTACGCCTTGTTCATGGTCGAGTTCGCGAAGCAGCTCTGCAAAGAGCTCAACTCCGAGCAAGTGAAGAAAGTCGCCGCCGGGTTGAACACGATGGCGAATGAGAAGATGCGGGATGAGAAGGCGGCGGAGAAGGGGGGCAAGAAGAGTAAGGCTGCCAAGACGAAGACGACGCTGAATGCGAGTCGCGATGTGGGGAGGAGTACGGCCGGTGGGGCGGGTGGGGTGGATGTGAATGCTTATGATGATGGGGGGCTGGATGATGGGGATTTCATGTGAGGATGCAAAACTTTCCTGGGAGGGAGAGAGGGAGAGAGAGAGAGAGGACGGGGGTTTGTGAGAGGGTTGTGATCCGCTGCGTTCGAGCTGGGGATCTGGGGTTTCCGAAGCGAATCGCAAGAAAGCTGGGAGACAAGTCGCACCGCACAGAGGGAGAGTGAGGATTGCCATGGTTGAAAGCGCGGAGCGATCGTCAGCGGCGCACGAGTAGCGACATTTCCAGCATTTTGTAGAGAGGCGAGAGGGTTCCTAGGGAAGGCCTGGCGGGAACAACTCTGAACAGCATGCTGATCCGCGGACAGTAGTCAGACACAGCAGCTTCACTTTGCGAATTTCGGCATTCCATAGAGCGCAGAAGTAGGTCGTTTCTGCTTTCCGTTCAAGCACGCTCACGCGACACTCAGCCCTATTCTCCACTACAAGGCAATTTTAGCCTCCTGTAGCAGGCGTGGTCTGCGAGACAGATGTATCGTACAAACAACCCACCCGCTCACACGAGCCTCTTGCGCGCCGTGCCGTGCCATGCCATGCCATGCTATCCCGCACCCACATCCACCATCCTACGGCACCCTCTCTCCTCTCACTATACAGTCTGCGTCCCATACCCCTTGATCTGATCCGCAAACGCCCAACTCTCCGCCTCGAGCTTATTATCCTCCTTCAACTCCACCCCCCTCACATCCACCACCGCCAAACTATACTCATTCATACTCCTCGCATCGCGGTAGAACAACACCTTCATGCACTCCCTGATCGTCTTGACCGCCTCCTCTTTGCTCAACTTCGCCGCCGCAGCTTCATCGGGGACGACTTTCCGCATGATCGGTTGGGCGAGATGCGCGCCGAAGCCTGTCGCGAGGGAGGGGGCGGAGTAAGTCGTGCCGAGGAGGTCGGCGTAGGCGAGGAAGGGTTTTTGATGTTCGTCCAGGCCGCCGACGAGGAGGGCGTTCCAGAGCGGGTTGAAGTCCGTGCGGCGTTTGTAGAGGACTTTGCTTAGGTAGGTGTGGAGGTTTCGCGCGTTCATCAGGGCTTTGGCGTTCGCGTCTCCCTCGCTCTGTTCGTGCTGTTCCCCGCTTTCCGCGCCAGTAGTAGCAGCAGTAGCAGCAGTAGCAGCTGTAGTGGTAGTGGTAGTAGTGGTAGAAGTCGGAGCAGTAGAACCAGTAGCAGTATTCTGACCACCACTACTACTCACACTCTCCCCCCCACCCGCATAATTCTCCTGCACAACCAGACTGAGTAAGAGACGGTCGATATACTGCATGTCACTCACATCCCCCCCGAATCCGACAATGGCGTTGCGGTTGAACGGGCGCAGGCGCTTGACGTCGGTGAAGCGGGCGAGGGAGCCGTAGGAGGCGAGGTTGTCGGCGGCGATGACGACGCCCGTGCTGAATTTGAGGGCGAGGACGGAGGTGCCGGTCACGACGGGGGATTGGGTGTGCGTGGTTGGGTGGGATGGTGGGTGGGAGGAGTAGGGTTGGCGGGTGGGGGGGAGGTAGGAGGGGTTGTAAGAGCCGTAGATGTCGTCGCGGGGCTGGAGATGGTATCTGTATCAGTACGGCGGTGTTTCGATTCATAATTGGGATGGTGCATACCCGGCCCCAGGCGACTGGGTCGTGATTCATGGTTGCTGGTGGTGCGGCGGCGTCTTGTTGGGGATGTGTCGTAACTTATCTACTCGTAGCAGACGTATGTTCGTAGTCGTCTTGTCGAGGATGTGATTGGTGTATGGTGAAGTCGATATTGTGTTGGTCGTGGGAGAGATGCAGCAGAAGCTCCAGGCGACGAGTAGACGCGCGAAGCTTCAAGCGCACGGGCCAATGAGCTCACGAGACCACGATTTCAATCAATATCAAACAATACTCATCGGCGAGCATATCAATCCCATTGATACAATTGACAAAATGAGCGCGTTGGTGGGATACGCAAGCAGCGATGAGGACGAGGACGAATACGAAGGATCTTCACGGCCAGCAAAGGTAGGCTTCCAAGACTACTACGACTTGACCGGATTGAGAAGGCACGCATACCTACTAACAGCGATGAGCATGCCAGATAGCCAAGTTGGACAGAGACGCCGATTTACAGCAGGCCAATGAGGTGATAGGTGGTGGGTCTTATCAATATTATACGGACCACTACCCAATGGCTAACGAACTGTGCAGCGACGACACAGATTGCCACCAAACATGAAAGCCAGGACCCAACCGAGCCATCTGACGCACGGGCGCAGTCAGCACAGGAACTACCCTCCGTCCCGATCGGCCCTTCACTCCGCCCTCACCAACCACACCCGGACGTGGTGGAAGAAGGAGCCAATCTGATCCCATCCTCCTTCTCGCCACCCAGCTCTCCCTATACCTTCGAACGCCAACGTGTCCGTGAGCTAACCATGCCGCCCATACCCAACTTCTCCATCCCAGAAGCACCCCTTCCGCCACTGGACGGCAGCGAAGAAGCAGCAGCCCTATCCGCCGCCACCAAAAAGTTCTCGCGCTTCCTCGAGCTGAAGAAACAAGGCATCCACTTCAACGAACGGCTGTTACATACTTCGTCCCTGCGGAATCCGGGTTTGTTGCCTAAGTTGATGGAGTTTGCGGGGATTGGGGTGGAGGAGAGTTATGCTACTACGCTCTCGACGGAGGGAGGTGAGGGTGCGGTGGCGGGGGTAAGGTGGCCGGAGGAGTGGTATGTTGAGAATTTAATCAAGGAGAATGAAAGGAAGTTGAAGAACGAGAGGGAGAGGGGAGGGAAATTGGAGTTTGTACCTGCTGCGAATGCTAAAGCCAGTAATGGAAGTGCTGTGAGCACACCAGGTAGTAGTGGCAGTGGTGGCGGCGGTCGGAAAAGCCGGTTTGATAGGCGTTGATCAAGCTCTTCAGGCGTGTATCGTTTCGTGTATGTCACAGGAGCTCGTGTCGTACAATCTTCAATCTGTACATTTGATAGAACTGAAAATGTACAGAAGCCCATACAAGCCTGTATGTCAGCTCAGAGGCCTCTACCCACCCCCACCTCCACCACCACCTCCACCTCCACCACCCACAACCTCACACCCTCCTCCGCATTCACAGCACCCGTCCAGCCGTACTAGCCGTACTCCGATCCTTCGTCTCCACCTTCCTCAACCCCTTGCCCAACTGAATCTGCTGTAGCAATCCACTCCGATCCGCCATACCACCTGCAGGCGGCGCAGGGATCTCCCCTGCTCCAGGCATACCAGGCGGCGGAGGTGGACCAGGAGGTGGCGGAGGCGCAACTGTACCAGGCATAGGCGGGGGAGGCGGGGGCGGAGCGGCGGGTGCGCCTACCGGGGGCATAGGCGGAGCAGCCGGAGGAGGCGAGAAAGTCGAAGAAGCATGCGTCGGCGAGGTAGGACCAGCCGACCTTGTGGTGCCAGCCGCACTAAGCGGCCGCGGCGGCGCCATAGTCCCGAACAAAATCGAGGCGAGTTGCTTCGCAGACCCACCCGTGGGTCCATCTTCCTCGTCTTCCTCGTCATCATCTGTACTTTCCACAACACTCCAATCATCCTCATCCGCCGCCGCCGTCTTCCGCGTGCGAGCAGGCGCCGGGGCGGGATCGGGAAGGCTTTGCTGCGCTTTACTGACGTCCGAGTTCGTGAGGCGGTGGAAAGGATTCGTGTCTTTCTTCTCTGTCGCCTCGGGAGACGTCGTCGCGCTTGATGGAGATGGCTGCTGTTGTTGTTGGTGGTTCATGGAGCGGAAAAAAGGGTTCTTGCTTTCGTTGGGCGGGCTCGTGGCGGCGTCCGCGGGCGGACTACGCATATCCGTTGTTGGTGGCATGGGTGGAGGCGCAGGTGGAGCAGCAGAAGGAGCAGGAGCAGGTAGCTCCGTACTCTGCGTCGGCGTGTTGTCAGCTTCTTCCGCCGGCGTGTGCTGTTTCTCCCATTCGTCTTCCTCCTCATCCTCATCATCCAGACCCTCCAGTTGCGCCCGGAGCTGCCGTTCTCGCTCCTTCGCCGCCTCGATCTCGGCTCGTTGAGCCGCAAGTCTCCTCTCTTTCTCGTCGGCTTCCTTCTTGACGGCATCCCTCCGCTTCCTCTCCTCGGCTTTCTTGAGCTTGCCAGCCTTGACTTGCTCCTCGAGTGCCCGGAGATTGGCCTCAGCCTCTTCGCGCTGTTTTTGGAGCTCGCGCTCTTGGCGTGCTTCCTCGTCTCTTTGGTGACTGTCAGCATGCATGTCATATAAAAACCAAAGTGATTTTACTTACTCCATATCCCGAGTTTCCTCATGCAAAGCACTCTGCTGCTCCTTCAAAGCCTGCTCCCTGACCCCATCCTCCGCCCTTTTCGCCTCCGCCGCCGCTTGCGCGCCACCATTCTGCAAACCACCATCGCTCTCGCTCCTACCCTTCCTCGGCGCAGGAGGCGGCGGTTTACCCTTCCCGCCCACACTCGAACCCGGACTCGGCGGCACGATACCCTCACCCTGCAAACGAGCTTGTCGCTCTTGCTCCCTCCGCGCATCCTCCTGCTCCGCCTGTTTGACTTTAGCCTCACGCTCGGCCCGCTCTCTCTCCGCGCGCTGAGCGGGCGACTCCGCGCCAGCGCGCGAAGGCGTCTTGAGGCCCAATGCAGCGAGCCGCTCGGCCATGCGCTGCTCCGCTTGCTGTTTGATGAAAGCTGCTCGCTCTTCAGCCGTGCGGTAGGAAGAGTATGAGCTTGACCCTGTTGTCTGTGGCGTCGTGCGCGCGGATGCGGGGCTGTCAGTCCTGGACACAGAAGCAGAGGTGCCGGAACTGTCTTCGTCCCTTGCTGTCGTCGTCGTCGCAGTTACAGGCCTAGCTCTCTCCTCATTCCTTACTCTCGCCGCTCTTGAGCTCCGCTGCAACTCAAAGATGAAGTCTTTCACTTCATCCTCCACGCCCAACCCATCTTCCCACCGTCTTCGCTCATGCTCGTCCCCTTTGCTCTCACTACCCTCCTTCAGACCTTGCTCCAGACCGCGTGAATACTCCCCTACACTCTCCTCCACATCTCTGACCATACTCTCGTGATCCTCCTTCTCCCTGTCGACACGTTTCTGCTCGTCTTCCAGTCTCTTCGCCGCGACACTGCCATCATCACTGACCTCCACTTTCCGGCCAGACAGAGCGGCAGACCGCTGCTGCATCATCGCCTTTGCTCGCGCTCTCAACCGATCGCTTTCCGTAACCTGTCCACCCGGCCCTGTACCAACGATAGCCTGGGCAGCCGCGCCTGGATGCGCCTTCGCATCCTTGAGCCTGAACCGCTCAATCTGCGCCTCCGCGATCGCTCTCTCGCACTTCCGCACATGACTCGCAAGCTCCGGCAATCGATCCTGTAAGCCTCGCAACTGCCTCTGCAACGCCCGTCTCTCCGCCTCGGAATCGGAAGACTTGTACACACTAGCAGGATGCGCATCGATATCCTCCTGAAGCCTCCTAATCCGTCTGAACAGCTCTTCCGCTTCCTTGCGATCCTTCCGATCCAGCGCATCTTCCTCATCCGCATGATTCTCGTCCTCAAAGTCCATAGCATCGAGCAAGATCTGCTTCTCTCGGATCGTTTTCTTCAGCTGCTCGATGCTCATGTCGTCCGCACCTGCGCCAGTACCGGTACTACTGGCGGGACTTGGCGAGCGGCCACCGTCACCGCCGATCCTACGACGGGCGGAAGAACGGTAGCCGACGTCTTCGTCGTTGTTCTTGAACACGGTCGCATCTTTTCTCGTCGTTCCGTTGGCCTCGCGGAAAGAGTGGGATTTGAGGTACGACACACCAGTCTTCTGCGGCTGCAGGAACGCCCCCGTGCTCTTCCGCTCCTGCGCGTCTTCGTTCAGCAAGCCTTTCATCCGGTCAATACTGCTATTCAAGTTCCTCGTGCTCGGAGGCACAAGCTCAGGCGGTAGCTGGTTCGGCACAGGATAGCCGTTCAAGCGTCGGTAGATCAAGTGCATTGCAACCGCGAATTCATCCAAGTTCAGACTGCCCTTGTTGTTGGGGTCACTCAAGGTCCAGATACGCTCCATGTCGGGGGTGTCAAGCTCGAGGCCGGACTGGCCCCAGATCTCAATGGCCGTCTTACCGGTGATGTATCCTTTGCCGAGGCCGTCCCAAGCCTTGAATATGTCGTCGTAGATACGCTTTTCCTCCTTCGTTACAGCCCAAGGGACCGTGGCATTGCCGCGGAGTCCTTGGGAGGAGTATCCTGCTTCCCGACCAGGCTGCGGCATCATCTGTGACCGAAGTGCTTGAAGATTGGGGAGGCCGGAAGCAGGGGCGTTGACGAGACCCCATTGGCCTGGCCGCCCGGTTGGTTGAGCGTTGAGAGGTGCGGCCAGCTGGCCTTGAAAGCCCGTCTGCTGTGGAGACAGCGTTTGCGTTTGACTGAATCCCGTTGGCATTGGTGGCATAGGCGGTCGAGGTCCGCTATAGCCAGTCGCTTGCGGCATGCCGCCCATGAAGCCCGTCTGTTGCGGCTGCAGCTGCTGCGCATATCCAGTAGCCTGCGGAACCTGAAAACCGGTGGGCTGCGCAGTCAAAGCGCTCAACAGCTGCTGGTTGTTAGGGTTCTGCGCCTGCGGCTGCTGTATCTTTGGCGGCTCGCTGAAGTTTGGTGCATTGCTCGTTGGTTGCGCAGCTGGTCTGTCGTCTGGGACACCGAAGCTGATGATATCCACCATGCTGCTGACCTCGTTCCTCACCCTTTCCGGCAAGCTCGTTGGTAGTGTCTTCCCCGACAGGCTCAAGTTGCAAAGGTACATAGCCAGCGCGAACTCCGGAAACAGTAGCTGGCCAGACTTGGTTGTGTCGGACAACGTCCATATCTGTGCCAAGCTGTTGCCGTCCAGCTTACTCCGCAAGAGCAGATCTTTGGCCTTGTCGCCGCTAAGCGCCTGTTCGCTGCCAGTCGCGCTCTTGAAGAGCTGCTCGAACTTGGCTTGATCCTGCGCGGTGATGAAGGAAAGACGAATGTTCGGGATCTTGCGCGCCTGCGTAGAGGTGTTTGCCGGTGAAGCGGTTTGGGCCGCGCCCGAGGTGCCGCGGAAGGAGTTGGCGATGTCGCTGCTGGTCATGCCCGTAGGCTGCGGACGTTGTGGTTCTGCGGGCGGCGGCGGCGGGATGCTTGGAATGCCATTCTGCTGAGGCTGTTGCGGCGGCTGGCTCAACTGAAAGCCGGTTTGTTGCGGTTGCAGTTGAGGAGGCTGCTGGGCTTGGAAGCCAGTGGCCTGCGGCTGTTGGAAGCCTGTGAACTGCGGCTGCTGTGGTTGGAATTGCGAAGGTTGCTGCTGAGGCGCATAACCTGTCGCTTGAGGTTGCAGTCCACCGGCGGCCGGGTAGCCCGTATACTGTGCCTGCAGCGGTGGTGCTTGACCGAAGCCGGTCTGCTGCGCGCCGAAAGGTGATGGCTGTCCGGTGAAGGTGGACTGTTGCTGCTGTTGCCCGTACGGTTGGCGCGCACTGTTGCCGCCACCGAGGTACGCGTTCGAGCCGGAGAACATTGTATCGTGATGGACCTGGGTAACAATGTCAACAGCAGGTCGACCGGCATGAATGGCGTAGGACTCGAATGAGCTATTCCTGGAGCTACTACCTCTAGCCACGAGGTGCCAAGACTTGGGGAGGGTCTGCGTCACTTGTCAAGCCCATGTTCTACATGTACTTCTACACTTTGTACAACTTCGAGGCCGCCTACCACCCGTCCCGAGAGGGTCTTCAATAGAGCGTCTCCTATACATCGTCTGCTTGGAAGTTGTTCATGTCAGCATGGCCAGCCACGAACGTACGCCACCGCCCTGCAAGGCGTATCTATTGGAGTGTAGGCTGCTGCACTCATATGCATGCACACGTCGACTGCATGATAGCACCTCTGGTGCGATACGCCGCCATGTAAGTTGGTAATGTAGGAGCGCGCTACAGGGCAATGTCTCTGTGGCAGAATGTCGATAGAGATGCTTTCGAGCTCAATCTAGTGAAACTTTGTAGCAATGCCAAAGTCCAGATTGTTCCGGAGGCGAGATTGGCTCCACGCGCGCTCGATCAATGCAGTCCAGAGACAAATGCCCTGGACGCCGCCATCGAACAACAACTAGTCGACGACTTAGCCTTCCTTGCGTCAATCTCCATTCAGCCTGGCGATGTGGCAGCTGCTGCGATTCAGCAGAGACCCGCAGACCCTCGTCTTCGTCTGATTATTGCAGCAAATGCAGGCTTAAGTGCGCCGACAGGAGCCATGTTCCGCACCATTGTGAACACTCTCCGAAACCGAGCTTCAGCAGAATGCACGGGGGAGGATGCGCAGACAAGATGCGCCGCGGCCGTCGTGCTCACTCACCGCACGCGCATCTTTGTACGACTCGGCTCTGCCAAAGGGAGAGTGGCAGGACGCTCGCAGGTCTCCGTGCTCGATAGACTGAACTCTGCAACACACCGTTCGAGCTCGAAGAAACTTGGCAACGATCGCAGCAGACACAAAATGTCACTGCAACTGCAGCCACTCAAGAACGCAATCGCAGCGGCTGAGGTTGCACTGACTAGCACTGCTGAAGAAACGGCTGCACTGACCCAGGTGCTCCGCCTAGCCTACGAGGCAGTCACAGAACCCTCCGCTCCTGTGAATCTACTCGGTCAGCCGAACCAGGAGCAATTTCCAGAGCGACGTAGGGAAGTTAGGGAACTGCGCGCACTTGCCAATTACTGGCGGATCTTCCGGTTCCTCGTTAAAATCTCTGGTCGTCACAGATACCTGTTCCAATCGATAGATCTCCAGTTGCTCGCCCCGGAAGCTCCCGAGCGGTGGAATGGCATAAGACGCTTCGTCCATGCCGAGATTCAGATACTAACTTACCTCGAGACAGACACGCAATACAGGCCGCGCTTCATCGCAGCGAGCAAGAAGCCCTGCTTTCTCTGCTACTGCTTTATACGTGCCCATAATACGTACGGTATCGGTCGATCTCATGGTGAAGTATACCTGCAGTGGACGGTGCCGAACGGTCGCTCACTCGCTCCGCAAGCTCGCAAGCGCCTGAACGCTGCTCTCCGGGCTACAGCGAATGACGTCGAACAGGCTGCGAAGCGGTCCAAGAAGAAGCCTTCTACGGGCTTATATATGCACCCTCTCCAGACTGTCAGCAAAAGGTTGGAAGAGCAGTTCGCGACTCTGTCCGCATCGACGGTGGCGCCGACGTTACTAACAGTACTGCAAGAGGACGTAGCTGGCCCGGACATCGGCCCCTCCAAGCCTGGAGTGGCTCCTGGACCTTCATGCGCGTCCACATCCAAAGTTAACTCGCAGCGCTCCCTCCCAGAAGTGCAAAATTTAATTGACCATAGCATTGAACGCCCAGAGTCCTCGGGAGCGTCAGACTTACCGATAGCAACCGAAAGGCTGCTCGATATCAAACGTGCAATGCCGGTCGATCCACCTGCCTACGTGCGACTGGGTGATCTGGAACTCTTCGTTGAGAGAGAGGCACCTTGCGGTGACCCCAATCAGACTGCAAATCTGGGCACGGCACTGTGTCGCGTCATGCCTGTTCTGCACCCGCAGGCGCAGTCGTTTGATTATGTCGCCAAGATTGATGTCAGTGAGCTGAACCATAGTCCTAAGACGCTCTGTAGCAAGAAGGAAGGTGCAAGCCTATGCTTCATCCTGTCGAACGCAGGCAGCGACTACGCCGTCGAGCTGCTCTGGGACTGAGGTGGATGCACGTGCTTTAGATATACGTATTGCTAGACCGTCATCTGTACGATCGCGGAAGATCCACGCGCCCGACTTAAGCTAAAATGCAAAACAGCTGAACCTGACAGCTTCAGCGTAGAGCCAGTCACTATTGTCGTGCTCTCAGCCATACTGAGCAACCATAGCTTGCACCTTCGCATCGTCAACCGCATCCACACCCTTGTTTCGCTTTCTCAACTCCCGATCGCGGCCCACCTGAGCGACAAGTGCTTTCAGACTCTCACTATGCGCCTCAAAGCCTTTCATCACCCTCTTCCTTTCCTGCTCAAGCATCTGCAAGCTGATTTGGTAGTCTTCAGCCCGCTTTTGCTCCGCCGCCTCGACAGCATTCAGCAAACTGCGCCGATAGTCGCTGAACTTCTCCCGCCTCGCCGTCTCTTCATCGACCAATGTCTGTGTCAGCCGATGGAAGGCACTGACGCCTTCGTCGAAGACGTTCATGTAGTGTGCAGGCAGGTTATCGTACCAGTCGTTGAGAGTCTGGAAGTCGGTACCGCGTGAGCTGGGTGGCGGAGGAGCACGGTCGGTGCGTGTGTTCTTCCATGTTTTCGCCCTTGATCGCTCCACTCCTGGCTCGACGAGTGTTCGGTCAGGATCGTCATCCTCTGGCACGGATGCCTGCTTTGCATGCCGCTGTCCGCTGAGTGCAGCAATCTCGCTCTGTGCCTCTCGCAGCTGCTGCTTAAGTGTTGACGACGAACTACCCTTGCTTGGCTGCTTGGTCGCATTTTCAGATGTCGTGGAAGGATTGGTAGACGGCGGTGCAGCTAAGTCTGGGATTGTGAGATTCTCCGGGTCAATCGTACCAAGCGCTACGGCGGTAACCAGTCGAGACTCGCGTTGCGGTGATGCAGGCTTGCGCTTCTTAATGCTCGACATTGCTTCGGGAAGCTTCGGCGGCATTGCGAGAACCTCGTCGAGATTCATCGGGTCGAGCGTCGTTGCATCTGGGTATCCACGCTTCTCTGGCGCTGCAGTTCGTGGAAGTGCCACGGCTTGTGCTAAGGCAAGGTCTGATGAGACGGCTGCTTGCTGAGAGTAATACTCAAGAGCAGTCGTGTTTTCGGGCACCTCCATATCTTTCGGAATTGGGCTGCCATGGATGTCGACATTGCTTTGCGATGCGTACCGGCTCACTTTGCGGGCTACTTTCTGGGTTGCCATAGTTGCGACGCTCTGTACGGTCTCCACAGCAATCGGATGTTCAAGTGAGCTCAGCTGCTTGTCGTTCCTTGTCACTGCTTTGCTCTGACTTGACTCTTTGGCATGAGCCCTCTTGAGCTTCTTTGCTTCGGTGAAGTCCTCGGCCGTCCCCTGAGGCTTACGTTTTGCGCCGGCTCGTCGCGACTGTAATTGGTCATGCTCAATCACAGCGTTGTTCGCATCGACCGAATCAAGCATAGATGGTACGGTAGGAGCACGGTGTGACGAGTTCACGTTGTCTGCCTTGGAGGCCTGGGGAGGCGCCTCCTCCATCTCCTGGTCCACTCCCTCTCTCGGCTCGAGGGGCTCAGTGATTTGCGTGGCTTCCTGTTCAACCATTGTGGTGTCGTTCAAGTTGTCAACGTGCAGGTACCCGTCGTCTCCGTGGACAGCTTTGGCGTGGTTCTGTGGAGGCTCTTGTGCCAAGGGAGAGGGTGCAGTTCTTCGCGAACGAGCCCTCACTGGCATCGGCACGCTCGACTTCGCTTTTGAGAGGAAACCGGCAAGCGCGTCATTGACATTGTTTGCAACATTGCTCGGTCGTGCTGTGAAATAAGGTTTCGTAGTGCGCATGCTTATTGCTGCAGAAGAAGGCCCGTTCTGCCGATGCGCGTGCGAGCCCGCATGTACGCTAAAGGCTTCGGGTGCCATTGTTGATCTGGCAGCCGAATGCGAGCTATGCTTCGTCCACGCTAAGTCTGGTACACCCTTCTTTGCAGAGCGTGTACCCTGGTTGCGCGGGCCTGTGCGATCGAAGGCAATGATCGCTGATCGGCGAGGCGCCTCATCTACGAGCAGTCTCGGGTCTTCGTCGATGTCGGTATGATTGGCAGGTAAACTTGGCTTTATGGCGGCAGGCGTTTGTGGTATCTCTGCTGCCTGCTTTATGCTTCTATGAGACTTTTCAGGTTCAGTTGGGACATCGTGTGCTGTCTCTGCTTCGGGTTGTAGCGGCGAGCTTGGCTCGATGCGATCTGATAATGTAATTGCGTTGTCCTGAGTGGCACCGGTCTTGAGTCTGGCCTCACCAGGGTGCTCTTTATCCTGCGCATTGCGGCTGCCGTCGGCTTGGTTCACAACATGCACGAAAGCACGTTGAGTGAGACACTCTACGCCCGTAGCCGGCTTCCCGAAATCCTTGCCGGGACCACTGAGATAGACTACGGCATCCTCAAACTCCTCAAGCGTTTCCTTTGGCGATGCAGGCTTGTGCAGCGATGACCTGCCTCCCTGATGCTCGTCCTCATCCGCAGACACGTCTGCATTGGGTGCCTGCGCGTTTCCCTCCACAGGCCGCCGCTTAGCTAGCCTCGCGGGCTGTCTGCGATGCTCATCAAGCCGAGTTTGCTGGCGCTGAGTCGGATCAAGCTTGCGATACTCCTCAGTCCACTCCGAGGCGTCGGACTCTGATGGCTCCTGGTCGGCTCGTTTCTGCTTCTTAGATGGAGCAGTCTCTGTTGCGGCCGGCCCAAGCGATAACATCGAACCGTCCCTGTTCCGCTTCCCGGGTGCGGCGGACATCTTGACAGCCGGCTCCAGCGCTACTGCCTTCTTTTGAGATTTCGACGTTCTGAAAGCGTCTAACCGGTTTGCAGGAGGTGGCTTGGGCGGCGATTCTGGTATGTCGTACTGAGGGTCACGAGCTATGTCAGGTTTGCCATTAGTGCGGCGAACAGTACTCGGCGCAGCAGTAGCCGAAGCGGCAGCTGGCTGCTGTCCTGGCTTGTTTTTGGTTGATGTAGCTTTTGTGGCGACTGCTGTCATGGCTTCGCTTTCAGGTCGGCCACACTTCGCTTGCTCAGATAAGCCGGATGGCGCCAACGGCGTCTCCGCAAACATGCCCATTCTTCGAGACTTCAACTTACCGGTCGCAGTCAGGTGCCCGGTATGAGCTACAACAGTCGCACTCGCTTTAGCTTTGCCTCTAGCCGGTGTCTGAACGTTTTTGCTGCCTTCTTGAAAGGGAGTCTTCTGCCGGTCAGTCCTACTACTTGCGGTACTCGTGTGTTTGAACACGACATCGGTGACACTGGGCGGCTTATGTTCCGACTGACCGAACGGCAGCCCTTGGCGTTTGGCACGTAGTGCGGCAAGCGAGGATGTTCCGACAGAGGCTCGTGGTCGCTTGTCAGTTGCTTGGCCGTTCGATGTGGGAGGTCTTGATCTTTCGAGAGGCTGATGAGCGACTGTGTCTGGTTGCATCTGCTTGTCGTGCTCGCTCTTGCTATTCTGGCCGTTTTCGTCGCATCCCTTCTCACTAACTGGGGCTGCGAGGTATGGTCAGTTATCTCCATCACCGAGGCGCGTAATACGTACCCCGAGCTGCTTTTGTAGGCTTTGTGGCTTTAGACAGCTGCCCATCCCTTTGCAGAAATCGTTTGCTCACACCATTGAACAGCGAACTTTCAGTCGCAGGCATCCGTGGCGGTCCCTCTGCACTGCGGCGGTCGGTATCCTCAGGCGCTTGAGGTTGATCCGGCAGTGGATCTCCAGACTGATATCGGCTCTCCGTCGCCTTCGTCTTCGGACCAGCAAATCGTGCCGCTTCCAATGAGACCCTGCCCTTCGGACTCAAGTCGTACATTTCGTCAACTTCGTCTTCCGCCTGCTGTGGCGTTTGCACGGCGCCCATCTTCGTTTCCAGATGGTCCTCCAGAGAATCTTCGACGCGTTCTTCGACGCGTTCTTCGTACGCTGTCCTGGTTCGTGGTATAACCGGCGCTTCCGGTGAAGATGCGATCTCCGTACGGGCATCCTGACTAACATCTATCATCGCCTGCGACGTGTAAGCCACCAGCGTCTGCCGCATTGTGGATTAGCATCGTATGTCAAAGCGTAGCAATGTCGTTTGTGACGTTGAAATGAAGTGACGTCGCGGTCGGCTTCGCTTTGGAAGCGCGCTAGTAGCACGTTGATAACGTGACCTCACCTACGGGTAGTTCGACGCTGCTTCTCAGCGGGAATGAGGTGCTCTTAGAAAGATTCAATTACCGTCTGGACTACCGTGCACTTGGCACATGCATCGCCTTCTCTACGTCGTAGACTTGCTGGGACTGCTTGCCTCTTTCAAGCATTCGCTCCGCTGCCCTTTGTGAATCTCTATCACTGTCCGCCACATCATCCCCACCATCTGCGATAGATCGTTCACCATCTCCAAACATCGGCTTGAAGAAGGCGTCATAGCTTGACCACACACCCTTGAATACCGCGCCACTGAACTCAGCCATCCATTGCGGGAGCCGCCCATCCTCATCCTCGAACATCCGTATCATCATGAACACCAGTACCACAATTGGCAACCATACCGAGAGCAGCACATACTGTCCCACCCGCTGCTTGTTGCTTGTGACCGTGAACGGACGTATAGAGTGCAGATAGTCTTGATACTCGTACGGCAAGCCCAACTCTGCTGCGCCATCCGCGATGAGCTTCAGGTAGCGAGCCGAAGGTTGCGCGTAGCTAGTATCCGGACGCTGAAGACGCCCACCATACTTGGGGGGGTCCTGGCCTGGTGGTGCTGCAGGTGCAAAGAGCGTGTGTGACTTGAACGCGGGTAGTGTTGGGTTTTGCGGGACGGGACTGCTAGGGTCAGTGGAAACAAATGGATGGCAGTCAACTTCGATATCGTGGTACGCGGATCCACCGCCTTCTGTTGCGATGATGTGCGCATAATCCTCCGCCGTTACCTCGTAGACCACGCCTATCAGGCCTTTGTGCCATCTGTCTTTGCGGTATGGTCCCTTCTGCTGCCATGCGTGTGTCAACAAGGGCGTCTTCTCGTCTAGAGCGGCATTGTCCGGCTGGGCAGGCTTGTCGTTCTCTGGATCGCGCGACCCACTGTTGGCGAAGCATGGCTCTGAATAGGGTATACCAGGTAGATCAAACGTCAGCCGTAATGATGGTACTTGGACGTTGATCTGCGAGATCGGCTTGATACCGCGATTGCCTCGGAACGTCTCGTTCGAAAGGTTGGATCCGTAGGCCAGGTACAAGAAGTTGCCTCGTGCATGAACGCCATTAAGGTACTCGTAGAGGTCGCAGGGCGACCCGTTAAAAGCGGCGTTGAGGTTGATCGTTTCTGCGGTGAGTGAAGTAGCACGAGGTCCTCGCTTCTTTGTCAACCTCTGGTATACACGCCGTGCACAGTAAAGTGCTGCGAGAGCTCGATTTGAACACCCAGTTGTTGTTGGAGACTCCATCTTTGCAAGCCGCGGTCTTGAAACTATCGTGCCGTCCATCAATGCGACGGCAATGCGAAGACGATTCGATATGTCTGTATATGTATTGATTATGGTCATTGATTACCATATCAACAACGTCGGAGTCCGGCATCAATGAGCGGACTCCGATCCGTGCTCTGGAGATGCCTCGGACGCTCTTACTTTCCGCTCCGACGCCAAGGCTTTGTCAACCTCACAGCGCAGCACTATCAAGCTCACCATAGCCACCAAGCGATCAGTGTACCGCTCTACGCTTGCTTGCAATGGCGCCAGAGCAACCGATAGCAGCGGCGAATGGCGCTGATGAAGCTGACCTTGCCAAGGTAGGCCTGTAAAACCGCGCTTCTCGCCACACGCTTGTCTAACAGCTTATAGGCATTCCAGGAACTAGCAAAGGGCGAACGTACAGCCACAGCGCTTGAAAGTCAATTAAGCTCAATGGAGGCAAAGATTGAGGCGCTGTTGGCGCAGGCAGAGAAGGATCAGGAAGAGGTGGAAAGGATGAAAGCACAGCGAGCAGTTGGTGGCGGCTCCACTGCCGCAGGGCGGCCTTGACTGAACAATCGAACAATGAACCAACGCGACATCGTGCACTTGGATTTGATAGTCCGAGGCTGCTTTCCAACGCGCAAAATGACCGAACCTTGGAAACGATATAAATCCGTTATAAACCGCCAACACTGGTCGGCTTCACGGTCTCGTTGTGCGCTTCCATTGCCAAACTAAGGTCGAATACACCTTCTGCGCTCTTCTCTACCACGCCAAGCTCGGTAATTATGCCATCTATGAGCTCGGCCGGCGTCACGTCGAAGGCCGGATTCCACACGTCGATACCTTTCGCCGCAATGCTGACGGTCTCCACCTGCGACAAATCCAGATCGACGCCGTCGTATCTTGGCCCTTTAATGAAAGTCATCTCCTTGCCTGGCCGCTCCTCAATGGTGATGTCAGCGCCCGACTTCGTGTGAAGGTCGATGGTCGTTCTCGGAGCTGCAACGAGGAACTTGACACCATGGTGCTTGGCGGTGATGGCGAGTTGGTATGTTCCGATTTTGTTGGCTGTATCGCCGTTTGCGGCAACACGATCAGCGCCGACAACAATGGCCGCAATGCGCTCAGTTGGCCCTCTTAGTCGCAGGAGGGCGGACGCCATGGAGTCAGTAACCAAGGTGGCTGGTATGTTGTCATGGACGAGCTCGAACGCCGTTAGCCGGGAGCCTTGGTTGTATGGACGAGTTTCTGTGCAGAAGGCACGCTTGAGGCTGCCATTTGCATGCAATGAGCGGATCACACCGAGCGCCGTGCCGTAACCGGCCGTGGCTAGAGAGCCGGTGTTGCAGTGCGTAAGCACGCTGACTTGGCCGCCTCCAGCCTGCTGTTCGATCCACGCAGCACCATACTTGCCAATTCCTTGATTGTCGGCAACGTCGCTGATCAGCATCTGAGCTGCAGCATCACAGTATGCTTTCTTCACGGCATCGCCAGTGCTGCTGGCATGCTTGGCGGCGGACTCAACGATCTTCTTCAGCTTTCTTGCAGCGTCGGCAAGATTGACCGCAGTCGGTCGACTCGTTACGAGGTAATCGAGCTTCTCAATGATGAACGCGCTGACTTCCTCTGCTTGGTCGGAGACGGCGCCCGTCTGTAGCTCAACCGCAAGTGACAGCGCGGCAACTATCGCAATAGCCGGTGCGCCGCGGGTGCGCATCTCCTTAATAGCATGCCAGCCATCTGTTGAGTTTTTGACCTCGTCGTACTCTTCTTGATGGGGCAGCTTCAACTGGTTCAGGATCTGCAAGCTGCCTGGCTTGTATCGTATTGCTTCGAGCACCATTTTCGCAAACGCTCACATTCAAGGCTCTTGCACAAAATCTACGCCGTCAGGTACCGGATAAACTTCAAGCAGGCTAATGCACTTTTTATGCACGATTGCATCATCGGCTCAGGTGTCTGAGTGGTAGAACTATGCGGGGTTCAAGTTGCACAAACATTTACAGAACAGCACGAAGCGAAACAAGTTTGGAGAATCCACGTGCATAACGGCGAAGCTCATACAATCAGCGACACGAACTCTGCGAACGGCCATGTCGTCCACACTCAACATCGACTCGACGCTCAAGCTCCCGACAGGTCACAAGCTTCCCATTCTAGGCTTCGGTGTTTGGGACAGCCCTACAGACCTCACAGTCAAGTCGTGTCTGGAAGCACTGAAGGTCGGCTACAGACACATCGACACTGCGCAAGGATATAGCAACGAGGCAGAGGTTGGCGAGGCGGTCAAGAAGTCAGACCTCCCTCGGGAGAAGATCTTCATCACCAGCAAGATATGGGAAGCTGCAGCAGACGTCCCATCAACGTACGACAAGTGTTTGGGAAGTGTCACGAAAATTGCTGGCGACGATGGCTATCTAGACCTTATGCTCATACACAACGCTGCCGTAGGAGCAGAGCCAAGGAAGAAGATGTGGCTCGCGATGGAGAAGCTGCACGAAGAGGGCAAGTTCAAGAGCATTGGCGTGTCCAACTACGGCATTGGGCATCTTGAGGACTTGAAGAGCTATGCCAAAGTCTGGCCACCTGCTGTCAACCAGCTTGAGCTCCACCCATGGCTACAGCAGCGGGAAGTGGTGGAGTACTGCAAGAAGAATGGGATCGTTGTTGAAGCGTACTGCCCTATTGTGCGGAACCAGAAGGCCAATGACCCGACATTGAATGAGATCGCAAAATCGCATGGCAAGACGCCTACCCAGGTACTCATACGGTACTGCATAGACAAGGGTTGGTCGCCGTTACCGAAAAGTGACAATCCTGGACGTATAGCACAGAATGCCGACGTTTTCGACTTTGCTTTGTCGAAAGAAGATATTGAGAAACTGGATGCGCAACCGCAGGAGAAGCCTTTGGTGCTTGCGGTAGACAACGAGTCAAGATCATGAGGTCAGTTCTGAGTGGTGGCGGTGTTGGGGTTTCATACTGCACTGTGCGGGGAGGTGAAGTGTACGCACTTTGCATCAGCAGCTCATACCGAACGTGACGGCGATCAAGCATACTCTAGTGCTGGGACATATTGACCGTCGGTCCCGACTTCGATGTCATTCTCGTCACGCTGCCATCAGCGCGCGCGCCCCCTACGTATCAAGCGAACGTGACCTGCAGCTTTCTCCCTTCCACCATCACACCGTCGATCTTTCCCTTTACCATCTCCGCCACCAGCTCGCTTCGAAACCTGACAAACACATCCGTCACGCTCTCGCCACCATGAACCAGCTCGTTCGCTGTTATCGCTTCGGAGGCCCCATGCACATTGATCAGCTTAGTGACAGCAAGCTGAAACGCTTCTAACCGCCACGTGGAGACCCGGGCCAGTCCCAGTGTATCCGTGATTTCCTCTGGAGCCTTCGCCTTGCACTTCATTTCTGGGTTCTCTCCGCCTGCGGGACGCCAGAGCTCGATGATTGTGATGGCTGGCTTACGGACGATGCCAGGTTTGGGCTTGACGACTTTGTTCGGCTATGACCTTGTCAGTTCATATTCCGTCTAATTTGGGGGGCAGATCATAACCTTCGGTGGCCTCTCACGTTCCCTTGTCGGCTTTGCGTAATCGTCACTGGATCGGTCGGACACGCCTTGCTCATACTCCTTGTTCTTCTCAGCTAGCATGTGGAATGCTGACCCTGTCCTCGCCGGCTGTGCTACATTAGCACCATGCATCCATGTATGGAAAAGTCATTGGATACCACACGTGCGCGCTGGAGGGCAGCGACTTGCTTGCGTATCTCTTTCATAGGGTCCTTCTTCGCCGGTGCCATTTCGCCGACGTTACCGTGGTGCAGATCAGCTTTGCTCGAGTTACCTCACTGCAGTGATGGTTCAGATGTCAAGAAAATGGGTAGAGCCAGGAGGGAGCTTGTGAAGACTGCTGCCTTTGCTGAATGCTGGATCATTCAGTCTACACCCAGATATGGTGTTAGAAGCGTCATGTAAGTAGCGTAGTGCCGCCCTGAACAAACCTGCTGTCCTTTACATATGCCATCGTCTGACAAGGAGATCAGCGCTGCTTGGTTGATCATTTGGACTGTTTTGAAGACTGGTGCTAGTGAGTCCTAAATCACTTACACGCTCTGATCCGCACTTCAGACCTGCCTCACTTGCGCACTCGGGAATGATTACACAGACTATACTGGGCCTCGCACATACAGATTCAGACCTTGCGTTGGTTCTTCCTCTGACATGGTAAGCTGAATCGATTACGCTACGCTGCGTTCGCGACGTATACGACGGCGACGGATATGATGGCGATTCGAAGCTTGAGGTTCTTAGGTGCCATTCCCCATCGGCGATAGAGCGGCAGCCGCTCAATAAACTTGCTACTGACCGTAGCCCCATTCTTCCTTCAGCGCATTTACCCAATCCTGAACGTCTACGAATTGGCCATCAACGTTGATCACACCGCCAGGGTACTTTTCCTTGATGCCCGGAACTGCGATGTGGTCATGGTTACTGCCGCAAATGGACCGTTCCAGAGGCGGTGGGCTCAGTGGTGCAAGCCGTTGCGGCTTTCTCATTCTCATCTGTGGGGATTGCTTCATTGTCGCCGATGCTTTCCTCGCTCGCCTCTTTAGCTGGCTGTGCATCGCTTGAAAAGTGCACTCGCTTTGTAGAGGCGGAGTTGGTATCGGGAAATGACACGTTCTGCTCGCCATTGGGCGCGCTTCCATTGGCACCTTCATTCTTCCCTGGGTCCGCTCTGGCGGGAATATCAGTCTCGTCAGTGATAGATTCGTGGTCTATCTTTGACGCTTTTTCGCCTTGTGTGCCCTCCTTGTCGTTCGGCTCGCTCCCTTCTGCCACAGGCTCAGGGAGTAGGCCTTGCCGGAGCATGTTAACGGTGGCTATGGCTCCCTTAGTATCGCCAACTGCAAGCAGTGCATCACAAAGATAGTTCCATGCGGTGAAGTCGTTATCGGGGTCGGTATCCGAGAGCATATCTATGCCAAGAGTCACTGCAGTGCGGACACACTGGCGGGCCCGCCTAGGACGTCCATTGATTCTATCCCATGCGGCAAGGGTCTTCGAACACTCCCTTGTACCGAACAGTATCTTGCCGTTGGCATCGATGTCGGATGTGACAAGTCTCACAAGCTTATCCGCATACACTGCCACGTCCTGCCACTTGTCGTTTTCGCGAGCATGCAGTGTCTTGTCGAAAAAGGCTCTAGCTAATTCTCTCTCAGCTTGATCCTTAAGCCAGTAGAAGCCATTGGTAGCGTCAAGCACTTCTTCATCTTCCAGAACCGCCTCCAAAAGCGCGATCGCCTCATGAACACGGCTCGAATCAAGCCGTAGAAATAGGATAGCCCACTCGTACCGGACCAAGGACGTCTGCCCATCCGAGCCATAACGGCCAGCAGTCACGAAAGCGTTACTGGGCAGACGATCGACAAGAGCCAGGTTTCCAGTTTCATAAGCCAGTCGCTGAAGTGTTTCCGGGTTTTGTAGCATGTATTGATAACAGCTTAGGAACGACTCCTCGAACCGTTTTGGATGATTGCTGGTTCGCTCAAGTAGGCCAATCGCGCGGGGCCAGGCCTTCTTCTCACATAGCAATCCGAGGTAGTACAGTACCGCGCTGACCATATCAGTCCAGTACACTGGTATGATAATACTCGAGACGGCCTCCCAGTGAGCGATCATTCTCTCGCAGGTGTCCGCAGCTGCTTGCCAATTGTTACATTGCATGTAGTACGAAGCGAGATTTTGCTGGTCCTCGAGCAGGTAGACCGCGCGAGGGACATCAAGATCCAGCCATGGCCGTTGGTTCTGTTCGTTCTCTATCAGGACGTCGATCGCATGGGCCATCTCTGTGGCTGCTATGCTCCATTCCTGCTGCTCAGCATATGTGCGCGCAAGGCCAGCGCGGAAAAGGCCGTCATCGCCATCTGCCTCGACAGCTTTCTTGAAATAGGCCACGGAGGCTTCGTATTGGTTTGCTTCCCGGAGAGCTAGTCCAACTCTGGCATGCCTAAGTCCTTATGTCAGTTTCTGCGCTGTCTACAATTTTGAACGAGAATACTGCGTTGGCAATACTACGCTAAGTGTTGCAGCGAGGGCGAGACACAACTGTAGCGGTATTCCAATCACTACGATGACTTCTCTCCTACGCAGTTCTCACGCCTGGGAGGCACATCAACACTCTCACAGTGCTTACCAGAACGCATTCTGAGTCAAGCCTGTTCGCTCCGCAAGAAGAACGATGTCAGCGCTAGAGGCCACTGCGAGTGCCAAGTTTACATCTTCATCCGGAAAGTCCGAGTTCTCGCGAGCTGTAAGGTACTACGCCAGGCTCACGTTAAGCAATGTTCTCAACGGTGTCCTGTCAACCTGTGTTCTCACCTGCAAGGTGTTGAGGAACTCGAAACACGCATCAACCTCATCAATAACCGTTAACCACGACCGTGCGTGGCCACGAGCTGCCCCTTTCGAACATGACTGGGATAGGGCTACGCAGCACAGCTGCGGTCCATTCCTTGTCTTCCGGTATGAGCGCTTCTTGTACGTCAGGGTCCTGGAGCCAGAGCAGTATCCTGCCACGTGCCTCGCTACTGCGCAGGTAGTCACTTGTCTGGAAGCTAGCAGCAGCTCCAACCCACCTATCTATGCACGCATCGTCGCGAAGCAGGCGGACCAAGCAGAGGCCGATCTGCGCTTTCATCGGTCCGTCCACGTCCTCGACTGCGACGTCGTTGAGATGCTCGGGCAAGTAGGCTCCGGCATATCCGCAGGCTCGGGCAACCGTCTCACGGTCTTTAAGGCCGGCGGTATTGCAGAGTGCTTTTAGACAGCCCAATAACGTCATGGCCTGCATACTTTGCGTCGAAAAGCCTATGATTCCTGCTTGTATTTGACGTTCCTGTATCTTCTCGGCAAGACGATTATGGCTAATCTGTACCCAACATTGCGCCATTCGTAAGAGTGTCTGCTTGAGCTTCACTTCCGCTGGTGGAATGTCGGACAGCACAACTTCGGACTCGCGGCCATGGGCTCCCTTCTTTTCGTAGTCACTTGCGGAGTTGCGGGTATCCACTTGACATCGCTTTCTAAATCTGTCTTCTGCGGACTGGTCAGCGGCGGTGTTTTCACCGGACACAGTGAATAGTGAAACAAGGGCGCGGCGTAGGCGATCTTCAAGATCGATCAGGGCGGCCCCTGACGGTCGCCGCATCGTTAGCAGCGCGTCGAGCTCCGCAAGATTCAGTTCGCGGTGTGAGCAAGCTATCCATGCCAGTATGTCCTGTAAACCGTCAGTAAAGCTGATGGATGCGGGGATGTATCGACTTACACGTAGATCTTCAGAGTCCTCAACCGATAATTGCCGAGACAAGCGATCAATTATTAGTAGCATTGCAGCCGTAAGATCTACAGGAAGCGATGCAAGCGTCCTTCTTATCACGTCTTCCCTGCTCAGCGAGCATATCTCTTCTGATAGGAGGGTTGCCATGAGAAAGTTCCCTTTGCAATGCTCAACTATCTTCTCTTTGACCTCTTGAGATAACTGCTCTCGTACAAGCTTGCCCTTCCAAGCAGACTGAAGACGACGCACGACCCAGTGGTCCAGATCAGATTCCGTGTGCCTCACGTTCAGAGGGATATGTGTTGTGGAAGAGCCAAGAACGGGTACGATATGTCTAGCGGTATCGGAACTCAGGAAGAACATCACTTGTACCTTCGAGGGGCTGGCTGGCGTGTTACTAGGAGCTGACGTCCTTATAGCAGCAATGAGGGCAAGCATATGTGCTTCTAAACACTCCTCGATGGCGTCGATGAAGAGGTAGGCCGTACCAGATTCGTCGTCAAAGTAGCTCGGGAACAGTATCTTCCACACCGCCGCAGTCGAGCGTAGAATACTATCCTCGTACTCTTCTTCCAGTGGTGTGCCGTCGGCCAGAGAGCGTACCATCTGATCAAGCCTTTCCGGAATTCTAAGAGCTGGTTGCTCTCCCGGACCTTCTTCTTGCGTGTTCGGCTGTTCATCCGACGCGCCATCAGTCGTAAATTCTTGAGTGGGCTGAGACTGCTCGGATTCTGGTACGGCCTTCAACAGGCTGTCAGCGAGCACAATGTCAGGTAGTGCCTCGGTAGGTGGGTCCGAGCCAGTGCTTGTGTCCGGTTCGTCTGCATTAGTTGTTGGAGGGTTTTCTTCGGCGACGCCATATGAGCCATCTCCCGTCGCCCTGAGCTTGCCTTTCTCGAGCAGATCTGCCAGGTATTTGGCATACACCTTGTCGTTCTGCGCAACCCCGTACGCCAAAACCCGAAGAGCAGTGTTCACGGATCGAAGATCCGCCTGGCTTTTATCGCAGAAAAAGTATGCTACCGACTTGTGCGTGGACTCGGTACCCTGCTTGCACTTGGCAAGTAGTTCATCGATGAGCCCACTGGCCAAGTACGTCTTGCCGTAGCCCGAGTCCGCGCTGACAAGCAGAACTGGAATTTCGCCATCAAGCCACTGCTGGAAGGATCGTTCCTGCATCACCCGCTTTACGGTGCCATCCATGCGGCCAGGATCGTCATTCATCCGATCAAAGATGGCCGTACTCGCCATTCTGGCCGCCTTGACGCCAAGATCGAGTTCGAGCTTGGAACGCTGCTTCGCTTCTCGGGAGACTGATGCCTTTGTAGGCGCGGATGCTGACTGCTGTGTCGTCGAACCACCAGCCTTCTCCAAGAGCTTGTCTATCTTTGCCGTCATCGCTTCCATGTCTGATTTGGTCGCTTGCTTGCTTTGAGCTGCTTTGATAGCAGTCGTTGTCAGCTTCATTTCTGTGATGATTTCTTTCGTGGAAACAGCTGCAGTAGCAGCCGTGCCCGATGTGGCCTCGATTCTGTCCAGGGATTGCTGCATGATCGTAATTCTGAAACGGATCTCGCCACTGTCTGCCTGCAATTCGTATATTGCCTTGTCCAGCCTGATGTTGAGGCCTTTAATGTCAACAACAACCGACTCAATGCGAGTGGACTTCCGCAAGGTGACGGCTTGCATCATGAGCGATTCATTCTCTACTAGCGACTGCAGCTCACCTATTGCACTATCGATCTCAGCATTACCGCCTAAGGCAAGCTGCCGAAGATATTCAGCGACCTTCGAAACAGCAGGCCTTGCCATCTTCTTCAGCTTCCGAAAGAATTTGGGCTCGCCAGGCTTGACCCCCTCCAGGCTTTTGAAGCTCAGCCTCGTTGCAAGAGCACAAACCTTCAGCAAGCTGACAAGCATTGCCTGGTAGATGGGAATTAGGTTCTCGGGCAATCTCTCATGGCTAACCTCGCTCATCCGGTGGGTAAAGGCTTCGATTCGACCAAAGAGCCCACCGACAGCGTCGAACGATTTAGTGACGCCTTGAGCCGCCTAAGCTTTTGCGTCAGATGGCTGACTTGACAGTGCAATGAAAGCACCTACATTGACCAGTACCCCTACCGCCGCCAACACCTGTGAGCCACCAGGGAACATCTAGAAGAGTTAGCGTACTCCTGGACATAAGTAGCAGAGCGTACCGTAGCCGCAGTGCTTCCGACTGTGCTAGTCAGGAACCTGAACGGTCCAATGGCGCCCTTCATGACCTCAGTGAACTTAGAGCTCTTCGTATCGTGGCCGAATTCCTCGTGTTCGGTGTGCAAATAGTCGATCAGCTCCTCTGCGCTCTGTGGGTGTGCAATCGACGGATCTTCCAGGTTGATATCTGTATGTCCATAGAACTCGCTGAGCGCTTTTGACCAGACTCTAGTAAAGTCCGATGCTGGGCTTTTGCCAGAAGCCATGTTCACGATCTTGGAGCGCAACCTATGCAAGAACTATATCACAGCGACAGTTAAGATGTTAAGGTTGAATTATGTTCAAGAGAAGAGGATGGTCGAGCTACATTAACATACGTATGATATGAAGGGAAGACGAGCAGATGCTGAAGGAGACACATTTGACCAAACCTGATCACGCTTCAGCCGCATATGCATGGTAGACCCTCGTCAATGCATGGTTGTTGCGTGCAGGGGCCATGTCGCCAGAATGCGGGTAGTGTCACAGCCGCATGGCGCCGTCTGGTGTCGAAGCTAGTTACATGTACTTTCGTGCGCCAGGCCAGCTGTCTAGCGTGGGAGGCAAGGATAACGGGGTGTTCTCAAAGCACGGCATGAAGTGAACAGTAGAGAGTGTGATGCAATAAATGCGCACTGGTTGCCGCAAGCAAGTCTTCACAGGCAATGAGACCGATTTGAGCATTTGATGTGCAATGTTGTTAGGTGTTAAGGGTAAGTTGACGGGGGCGGATCGGGGGCGGCAGCGACCGGTCCCGAATAAAGCACTAAGCCGCGACTCATGTAGCATGCATCTGTTCAAGCGAGCGTGCAGTGGTTTGTCGATGCCCCATGGCAAAAAGACCAGCAGAAGACACGCTAGCGAGTGCGCCGGACTCGCCAGCATCCAAGAAGGCGAGGTTACAGAATGGCGCAAATCGTAGCGACTCGCGACCTGCGCCTCCAGCGGCGTCCTCTGAATGGCGGGAGAACGACGACAGTGACGGTAACGGTACAATAAATGGCGAGGGGAGCGGGCGCACTCCTGGTCACGAAAATCACGAAGATGGGACTGCGGACGAGGAAGAGGACGACATCGACGAGCCCAGAGGCAGCAGTAGCCGGCCCGCTGCCCCCGACGAACGCTACTCCGATCTCTACCTCGATACCATATCCCGCAAGAATATGGACTTCGACTTCGAAAAGCTTTGCTCTATAACCCTCGCGAACATCAACGTGTACGCCTGCTTAGTGTGCGGCAAGTACTTCTCCGGACGAGGCCCGAAGACGCCCGCCTATTTCCATGCGCTCGAAATAGGTCACCATGTCTACATCAACATGGAGACAAAAAGGGTCTACGTTCTACCGGAAGGCTACGAAGTCAAAAGCAAAAGTTTGGATGACATCAAGATAGTGGTCGACCCACGGTTCGCGCCGGAAGATGTCAAAGCGCTTGACAGACGGAAAGAGCCAAGCTGGGATCTCTTCGGTAAGAAGTACATCCCAGGCTTTGTCGGCATGAACAACATCAAGGCCAACGACTACCTGAATGTCGTTGTCCAGGCGCTTGTGCACGTGCCGCCATTGCGAAACTTCTTCATGCTGGAAGACTTGTCGTCCAAGCCGCAATTAGCGCAGCGATTCAGCATACTAACACGCAAAATCTGGAATCCCAAAGCTTTCAAGAGCCATGTATCACCGCACGAGCTCATCCAGGAGATCAGTTTGCGAAGTAGTAAGAAGTTTCTACTCACCGAGCAAGCGGATCCCGTGGAGTTTCTCAGCTGGTTCCTCAACCACCTACACTTGTCCCTAGGCGGTAGTAAGACGAAGCCGCGAAGCTCGCTTGTACAGAAGATCTTCCAGGGCCAACTACGCGTTGAGTCGCAAACCATCACTGCGCATGCGGATGCAGGCGACAGGTTGCGCTTCGAGGACGCTGCAATCAAATCGCAGTCCACACCTTTCATGATACTTACGCTCGACCTGCCGCCTGCACCGCTGTTCCAGGACGACGCGGAGAAGAACATCATCCCACAAGTTCCGCTGTCGACGGTCTTGCAAAAGTACAACGGCATCACTGCGCAAGAGAGGATGAACACGCGAATGCGTTACCGATTACTCCACCCACTCCCCGCATACCTAATAATGCACATCAAGCGCTTCCAGCCCAACAAGTTCTTACAGTCTCAGCGCAATCCTACAATCGTAACATTCAACCCTCGCGCACTGGATATGTCGCCCTATGTGGAGCCCAATCCGCAATGTCATCCGCTGGGCGAACCTCTCGTCTACGATCTGGTCGCCAACATCACCTATGAAGGCGTCAAAGTGCGAGATGACTCTGTGGAGGGTGAAGCGGAGCGCAAGGTCTGGAAGGTGCAAGTCAGGGAAGGTGGCGACAGTCAACAGTGGTGGGAGATGCAGGATCTGTACGTCGACAAGGTCAATGCTGATTTGTTGGCGACGAAAGAGAGCTACATCATGGTTTGGGAGAGGCGGAAAGCGGCTGCCAAGCCTATGGCGACAGCAGCTTAATCAGGCACTCCTCTCACCACCCACGTACTCTTCCTTCTGTCCTGGACTATGCTCCCACAGCCGCTTTGCTTCCTTTCCATAATTTCGATGCCTTCCACATCCTCATCCGTATGCTCGCCATTGACACATTTTGCCCTTGTCGACCACGACTCCTCTGCCCCGCGCTCAGCATGAACCTCGGCTCCGGTAGAAGAGCGCCATCATGTGCATCGTGAGCGACGGTATGGTCTCACCTCAAACCCAATGCTACAGGTAATGTCAGACGTATCGTCATTGTTTGCGTGAATAGCGAGGCGTTGGTCCCGTTAGCAACATCCATAGGCACCCTCGCCTAAGTAGCACCTCACTCTCAACCAAGATGGCACGTCCGAAGGTTACGCTGTTCTTTGACGTTGTCAGTCCTTTCGCTTATTTGGCATGGTACATGACGAAGGTACGTGATATGTGCAAACGCTTAGATCCTGTCGCTCCACTTTGCCTGCCTGCGTGCTCAACCAGAGGCAAAACCTTACTTCTCAATGCTAGCAACCCGGAGGCTGTCGGCTCGTGTTGCCAACGAGCTACATTCAATCCCAGTGATCTGAGACCAATACAACAAAGGCTTTGAAAGATGTAAGCTGACACATCGTAGCACTCACCAACCTTCAAGCAAGTGGACGTGACCTACATCCCCATTTTCCTAGGCGGCGTGATGAACGCAGTCGGCAACAAAGCACCCATAGAGATCCGCAACAAGGACAAATGGATCAACAAGGAACGGGTTCGCTGGGCCAAACAGTTCAACATCCCCTTAGCAGAAAAGACCCCCGAACCCTTCCCCCAACTCACACTCACGGCCCAACGCGCCTTATGCGCCGTAGTCCTCCACCAACCCGCCAAGCTCGATGCATGTATAGAGGCACTCTACAACACCTTCTGGATCGAGCGGAAACCGATCAAAGATGCCGCCGTCGTGACTGCGGCTCTGGCGACTGTGCTCGGCGAAGCAGAGGCCAAGCGCATGTTGGAGAAGGCGGGCAGTCCGGAGGTGAAGAAGTTGCTAACCGACAATTCGAATCTTGCGATTGATGAGGGTGCGTTTGGTCTGCCTTACTTTGTATGTACTAACGCGGAAGGAGTCAAGGAAGGATTCTGGGGTTTTGATCACTTGGGTCAGATTGTAGATTTTCTTGGCCTGCAGAGGGATCAGAAGGGTTTTCGAGCAATGCTTTGAGCGTGACGTTACACTATGCGGATTCATGAGTGCACAGGTTGTCCGTACTGTAGATTGTATCGCAAGTGCCGACTTTAAATCATTTCTACGAGGTTTCAAAGCGCTGCGGCTGCAGCCTCATGCCCAGCTAGACGGAAGCGGTGATCATGGAAGGCACGAGGAATGCATTAGGAAGGAGCAGGCAACGCACTTGACACTAACGTCAGTAACAGTATACAAACGCACATACAGTAGCTCGCTAAGCAGCCTCCATATGGTCGAGCACAGCACGTGTCAACTCATGCGTCGACGAGTTGCCACCCATATCCCGCGTGCGCACCTTGCCCTCCGCAATCACATCGTACACCGCCTTGCTGATCCTGTTGGCATGATCGTCAAGCCCCAGGTGCCGCAGCATCATGCTACCAGACAGGATCAAGGCGATCGGGTTCGCTTGGTCTTTGCCCTTGATGTCCAGCCCGACGTGTCGGCAGCCCGGTTCGAAGACGGCGACGTCGCGGCCCATGTTGCAGCCTGGCACAATACCGGGACCGCCGACGAGACCGGCGCCGATGTTGGATAGGATACTGCCATAGAGGTTGGGCATCACCATGACGTCGAATTGCTGCGGGCGGGAGACACATTGCATGGAGGCGTTGTCGACGATCATGTCGTTTGTTTCGATGGTGGGGTACTCCTCACCGACCCGCTTCACGGTGTTACGGAAGAGGCCGTCGGCAAGCTTCATAATGTTGGCTTTGTGGATGCAAGTGACTTTGCGTCTGTTGTTCGCAAGCGCGAAGGCGAAGGCGAATTTGGCGATACGCTCGGACTTGGTGCGGGTGATGATCTTGAGCGATTCGACAACGCCGCTGACGGACTGGTGCTCGAGACCGGAATACTCTCCTTCGGTGTTCTCACGGATGATGCAGAGATCGACGTTCTTGTGCCGTGTCTCGTAGCCAGGGATGTTCTTGATAAGGACGATGGAGGCGTAGATGTCGAGCTCTTGTCGCAAGGCGACGTTGAAGGACTGATGACCGGAGCGCTCGACAGGTGTGTGGAGAATGCCTTTCAGGCCGAGCTTGTTGCGTTTGAGCGAGGCGATGGATTCGCGGAATAGCTCTTCGGAGTGCTTATCGCCAGTCTCCATGCCGGAGACGTCGACTTGTTCCCATTCGATGGGGACATTGTCGGCCTTGAAGATAGTCTTGACTGATTCGGAGACTTCGGCACCAATACCATCACCTGTGAAATCGTTTTAGCCCAAGGTTGTGTCCGTTGCTTGCTTTTGCTAGGCGCATACCTGGTATCAGCGTGACTGTGTACTTGCCGCCAAACTTGGTAGGCTTGAAGATATCCGCATTTACCGTCGCGTATGCTGCGATTGTGTGTTAGACTGTTTCTGTGTGCGCATAGGTATTGCAGTTGTTGTTATCATCGTACAGCGAGCGGCTATCGAGGAGGCTGGCTGGCATGGTGCATGTGTGCTTCGCAGCAGAGCCTGTGTTATTCGTTAGGAAGCAGCTCTAGGTTGTTCTCGTCCCTCCGCTGATCATACCTGCGCAGCTCGCTGGGAGCTTCTCGAGAACATGGCCGTCGTTGAGGTGTTGTAGAGCTATACTCGTCTCGCGCACATGCAAAGTTCGAAGCTTGCTGCTTCTGAATGCAAACTGACGTTTGGCGGCCGTGCATCCGCGCGAGCGGCGCAACAGCACGGCTGAGACTCCATTGGCTCGTTGGATACATCCGTCGGGCCGACTCTGCTTCCGCATCCTCGGCATATTGCATCACTGCCATTGCCGCCGTCTTCAGGCGAAGCCAAACTCTCAAGCGTAACTAGGATCGCGTGCCTACCTATTCCGTCTGTCACCTTAACGGCTTCGCTTTCCACACGTTCCGTGCCGCGACTCTGGGGGGCGTGACAAGATGCCGCTAGTGAAGAGTCCTCCGACGACCAGTGCCCGAGACTCACCCTCATCCTCGCACAGACACTCGGGCTCGGGCTTCCATCCCTTTGGCGGACGATTCAGTAGACATTTCGGAGAGCAGGTACGTTCGTGTCACGCCACTTTACGCGCAGTCTCGCGCTTGCACTGCAGGACTTGGCACTTCGCACCCCACGACTCGTAGGCTATGGAAACCCTTCGCCAACGTGTTATGCTGCTTGCGCGACATCTAGCCTCCTCGCTAAGCGTCACTACCGATATCAGCAGAGTCAAGACTAACGAGACGAACAAGCTCTCACCCGACGACGCCTACCTGTCCTATCACGATGTGCGACTGACGCGCGAGGACGTCGATTGCATCCGCAATGACTGGCTCACCGACAACGCCATTGCTTTCTGGGAAGAATACCTTGAGCACGAGAAGCTCACCAACTACCCCAAGGCTCAGATTGTTCTCCTCCGCCCGAGCATGTCCTTTCTGCTCCTGAAGACGCCAGACCCGCTGTCCCTAAAATCTGCACTACCCGACTTCACCAACACAACCCACATCTTCCTGCCCGTCAATGATTGTCGCCAGGTTGACGTCGCAGAAGGCGGCTCACACTGGTCGTTGCTGCTGGTCAGCGTCATCGACGGCGTGGCTTTCCACTACGACAGCCTCTACCCTTCCAACGTGCAGGAAGCGAAGTTGTCGGCGCATCGTCTCTCTCAGCTTGTGGGTAAGCCGTTCAAGTTCATCAACCTTGAGGACTCACCGCAACAAGAGAACGGCATGGACTGCGGCGTCTATGTCTGCTTGCTCATGCAGCACCTTCTCATCTCGCGGCTACTGAAAGCGCATGCGCAGGACAAGATCAGCATGAGTATGCGCGGTAAGGAGGTGGATGCTACGGGTGGAAGGAGGGAGATGCTGCGGATCATCGAGGCGCGGCGGAAAGAGGGCGAGCGGAGGAGGTCGAGAAGCCATAGTCCGTTCGCGCAAGGGAAAAGCAAGAGTCCACCAAGAATAGGAGATGAGAACAAGGATGCATAGGTGCTGCCGCAGCTACCCTATGGGAGTGGAGGATGTACCACGGCTTTTGTTTGTTGACTTAGCGATGGCGTCGAGGGATGGGTGTTGAAAGTCATCGAATTCGCAGATCGACTGGATGCGTTCTGCATGGCACTACAACTTGCTGGCAGGAAAGGAGGGGCTGCGGCAACTCTGCCTTCGCTGCTCGCAGCGCGAGCGCCTAGTGTCGATTCACGCACAGATCAAGATCAAGGATTTTGCAGTATGAACACGTTATACGCGGAATGAGAGACGTCTGCCCGGGGCGGTTCCAACCTCAATCAGTGATCGAACATTTATTGCGGAGATTTCTGCTTACCACGCTTTCCCATTGAGAGCTAGTGTCTCCTGAATACCTCACCGCCGTCTTCCGTATTGGCAATGCTCGGGTTGAGCTTCACTGTCCACTCCCTTATCACGTGCCCGTCCAGCACTATGAAAACCATCACGATGTCGACGAAGAGCATCAAGAAAGCAGCTAGCCCGTACATCCAACCCACAGCCATCGAGACTTGCCAATCAGTCAGGATGAACACACTCATCAGACCGAACGACAGCCGACAGGCGTTCAGCGAGCCGGATGCCTCAACCGCATGTTTCAAGAAGCACTCCACAGCATAATCGAAGCAGACCGACAGAGCCAGAAGCGAGCTAAACCACAACAAGAATGACCCGAATGCGAGTATCATGAAATGAAGATGGTACTGCACCCCGGCGCCGTAGATGCCAAGTCCGGTAGGCAGCAAAATGGAGGGAACTAGCGTGTTCGCCAGTCGGTACTCTGGGCGCCAAATTCCCCTCGCCTGCGAGCCACCCATAACGGTATCAAGTCGTTAAAGAAGTATTCGTAGCCCTCCGCTCCGAGGATGCCAACCCACGCCGAGAAGGTGAAGCAGGCGATCTGGAAGGGGTCCATGTTGTAGCCGCCCGCCTCAGGTGGCGGCGCCAGATACGACGCCAGTGTCGAAGCATGAGGATGGGAAGTCCCAAGGCGACGAAGATGTAGCTGCCTGTCAGTAGTGTGATCGGCGCAAACGTAAACTGGAGCGGGATGTATGCTCGTCTGATGAGCTCTGCGCCTCGACCACGGTGCTGAGTCTTGAAACCGAAGAGGAACGTTTCCAGTCGGTTCGCGAACCACTGCTTGGCCAACGGCGTACGCCGGGGTTTCAATAGATCGCGTTTGTATGATGTCTCCTTGATAAACAGAAATACCAGAACTCGTGCGGCTCCGATGGGGTCCGATAGTCCACCAGAAGACATAGCTCCAGGAATTGCCCTGCGCGATGAAGGCGAACAACGTGCCGCCTCCCACAAACCGCAAAGATGATGAGCACCTCAAAGACAGCAAACGCAGCGCCGCGCTGGTGGAGAAAGAAAAGATCTACAATGTAACCGCTACCGAGGATGGCAGGGATGGCACCGAAGAGGCCCGCGATGGCTCGCGAGACCGCGAATGCCACGAAATCATGTTGACCTGTCACCTCGGCTCCTCAGGTCTGACGACTCAAGATCCCGAGAAGGCTGTAAAAGATGATCGCGCTACGGCCGATGATGGCGGCAAGTGGGATGATGAAGAAGGGACCCATGACCCATCCAGCCAACGCGGCCGCAACGGAGTTGAGCATCTCGGGAATAGTAACGTGGTAAGTAGGCACTTGCTCGGTGAAAGTGAGCTGGTTCGAACTTCTTGGACTCAGCTGAGCGGCGAAGGTGGCCAGCGCAACACAGCCGAAGATTAAACAACTCTTCCACAGAGGCCAGTTCTGGATGTTTGGATCCACCCTTAGCCTATGCTTTCGTCTTGCTCGCTCCCTAAGCAACTCACCAGCAGGTCATCCGGGTCATCCGATGGCTGCGGGATTAGCACCACGTCGCCAATGCGTTTGCGCTCCGTCTTCGCCATGTGCACAACCAGCTCTGGCGAGTGATCTTGCGAATCCATCACGACGGCTGAACTATTCGGATTATGCGTCTTCGAGTGGCAGGGTCAGAGACGAAAGCATAGAGTAGATGTGAGGCGCCGAGGGAGAGATTGATGGGGAAAGAACCGCAAAAGCTGGGAAGATGGCTGCACGGTCAACCTCACAACCGCAAGCCGTGGGTCTGCATTCAGTAGATGCAATCGATTGCCTACTTTTGACCATCACGATGCCGGTTGGCGAACGGGCTGGCATACATGGCAAGCTGCATGGTATCTCGGTAGGCTCAGACGCTCCACAGGCCTTTGCGCCACGAATTAGAAGGAAGCTGTCATAACGTTCTTACCTGCAGACGTGTACGGGGGCACGCTGTGACTGGCTGGATAGGCCTACAACACTGTGCAACGTCGATGACACATCCACTCCGAGAGTCTGAGTACTGCTGAGATAAGCTGCATATGACGATCCTTTGAAGCTTGCCAGACGTCTCTGCTTGTGGTCACTCGACAGGTTGCGCGGGGCCCGATTTCGCATGCTCAACAGCATGATGTAGTGGTGTCAGGCTCGCCCTCGCTACACGCGGCCTTGGATTGCTTGACCCAACATAAGCTTTTCAGCCAATGCTTGGTGGTTCTGAAAGCAAGTTCGCAACCATGTTCACTTTCTTTCCTTTCCTACGGGCCACAAAGCGCGCTAGCCGAAAAAGGAAAAATCAGAAGTCTATTGATACCAGGATGCGGCATAGTCTTTGCGGACCCGTCAGACATCACGAGTGCAGAAGCCTGACGGACAATGGATTCTTGATAGCTTCATTGTGCGCAGGATCCAAGCTGAGGCATGCTCATACCACTATGTTCAGGTAATGCGGGCATGCGGGCAGTCCTGTCGTGTGAGGACGAAAGCCAATCTCCGAGCTGAGGGGCGAATACCGTTCCATGGCGATGGTGAACGAACCACGCTCCAGATTGACAACTGTAAGGACGTTGTCCTATGCGGTTGATTTGTGCGCCAACTAAAGTATGTCCTCGCAGGACTCCAGCGCCACCTACCAGCGAGCACCACGTGTCGGGAGTAGTACGCTGGTATCTGGTTTGACTCCATTTGTCGTCCTCAATAAGCAGTCACCGTATGTAGCTTGTTGAGGATCCAAGTCATGGCCTTCGTTGTACTGGGAGCAGTCCGATTGGCAGCCTGGCATTCTGTTCGGAAGGTGACTTCTTTATTATTCGGCCTATTGAGCACCGCATCGAGCGTATGCTTCTTCGTTCAACTTTGTCTCATATAGTCGAGACTCGCTCTGCTGTTTTCGTACTTCTCCAGTCCCCACCCACAAGTCACTCATTAATCCGACCTTAAGACGTTCAAGTCTGTATCATTATTGTCGACCTGACACCCAGTCCCTTTCAACAACCATCATGAAGTTCAGCATCGTTGCCGTTGCGGCCGTTGCCGCTCAGGCCGCCGCCGTCAGCGGTAGCACCAGCGCGGTCTTCAAGGACGGTGTCGGCGCCTGCAATGTCCCGGGCCAGAAGTGCCACACGGTGAAGAACGCCGCGCGTGACATCCTGAACGCCATCAACAAGCCCACCGATGTCGACGACCAGCAGAGCTACTTCTGCGACATCCAGGGCAGCGCGGGCTGCAACCAGCTCCACGGCTCCGTTGACAAGCTCCAGCAAGCCGCCATCAAGGCTTACCACACCGTCGCCGCTCGTGAAGCGGAGGCCGAGGCCGAGGCCGAGGCCAACCCGGGTTACGGCTGGATCGGTCGCTGCGGTGTGCCAGGCTCCAGCTGCAACAAGAAGCGCGAGGCTGATCCCGGTTACGGCTGGATTGGTCGCTGCGGCGTTCCGGGCTCCAGCTGCAACAAGAAGCGTGACGAGGACGCTGCGGCGCGCGAGCACTGGCTGGCTCAGCGTGAGGCTGGCGGATGGATTGGCCGTTGCGGTGTGCCAGGCTCCAGTTGCAACAAGAAGCGTGAGGAGGAAGTTGAGGTCCTGCGCCGTGAGGCTGAGGCCGGTGGCTGGATCGGACGCTGCGGTGTCCCCGGCTCGAGCTGCAACAAGGCACGTGATGCCAACCCCGGTGGCTGGATTGGTCGTTGCGGTGTCCCAGGCTCTAGCTGTAACAAGAAGCGTGAGGCTGGTGGCTGGATCGGACGCTGCGGTGTCCCCGGCTCAAGCTGCAACAAGGCACGTGATGCAGAGGATGACCAAAAGATCCAGCAGATGCAGGACGCCATCCGCGCCTTCAACCCCGAGATCGAGAAGGCTGAATGCAACCAGGACGGCCAGCCTTGCGACCTCATCAAGACGGCCGCCCAAGCGCTCCACAACAACACCCGCCGTGAAGCTGAGGCTGGTGGCTGGATTGGTCGCTGCGGCGTCCCAGGCTCGAGCTGCAACAAGAACAAGCGCGCTCTTGCTTTCTGCCAGTCTGGTGAGAACTGCACCGGCCCGGCTTACGCTCATCTCCAATCCCAGGACGCCACCGCCGACAAGGCTGAGAAGGATTGCCACGGCCCCAACGGCGCTTGCACAATTGCTGCTCGTGCCCTTGCAGAGCTGGAGCAGGCTGTCGACGCCGCGCTTTTGGACGCCGATGCATAGACGCCGGTCCCAAAAACTCCTTTTCGCTTCTCTGCTTTCTTGTCGGCCGGCGTAGCTGACTGATCTTCAACGTGACCTGATCATGGTTATGCTGAAGGTTTCCCGCAAATGGCGCATTTGGTCTTACATCTTCGCTTCTTGGATAATGCTTTAGTGTATATGCTCAGTCCTTGGTCAGCGTACCGAGTGGCTTAAAGCAAGTCGGCGCATTTCGGAGGCGCAACACGGCTTGGCGAAATGGGCTCGGCTATTTGATGGAATATACCCATACTGCAAGGTCAACGTAGATCACAAAGAATCATCACAGCAACAGCTCGGTAAAGGTCGTGGTCATCGTGGTATTCTGCATGCTTTCAGTATCATAGCGGTCGCGTTCTCTCGCCCCTCCAAAATCCAAGCAGCTCCCCTGTTTCGCCCGCCCATTCCCGCACGCTGTTGACGGCAGCTTTGGCCATTCCTGTCTGCGTATTTGATCTTTTGTGCCGTGTCCTTCTTGCACTACCGTTCACGCCCATCGGCCCGCCAGTATTGGGCTCCTGCCCTGGTGAGATGAAGCTGCTGCCCTGACCAGTTGCATATTCTGAGCCCATACTGGGCAGTACGTTCTCTCCCGCACTGAGGCTTACGAATAACGCAAAAGGCACAAGCCAGACGTTCAGACCGAAAAACGATGCGACCTCGGTGAAGGTCGGTATGTTCGCCTGTGCGTAGTAGTTGTATCGGTCGGCATTTGCAGGCGGTGCGCTAAAGTGTCTGAACCATAGCCAGTGGTTGAGGATTACTAGAGCGCATGAAGAGATGAATATGGGGTCCGTCAGTTTGACGATAGGAAAGCGCCGCAAATTCTGCATGTAGACAACATGGCTGCCTATGCTGAGTGCTGAGAGCGTTACAGGGAAACGGTCGACAACCGCAAGTAGTATCTGCAATCCGATCACAACATAGATGAGGCGCGTTAGAATCTTCTTAGCCGGTACCGCGTGTTCCTCAACGAGTTCCGAGAGGTAGTAGAGGCCAGAGGCAATGGCTAGAGTGAGGAAGAGGAATCCCAGCGCCAAGCCTAGGTAACCCTGCAAGCTGCGTTAGCAGGGATGTGGTGTATCTGAAATAGCCGTGACGACAGGAATCGGTACGCACAAGCAATGGTAGGACCCACATGTGGCCCGGCGATAATATCTATGATGTGTGAGTGCACATGTATTGTCGCAAAGTTCAAGATGCAGCAAGGCAGAGGCGCGTTTGATCGTCGGTTACCCCAGGTTTGCGGAGCCGGTCGGAAGCGGGCCGTCAGCTGACTTACGGTAAGCACGTGCACTATCGATAAGCCATGTGGCGCTCTCTGCACGAAATCTGTCCACCAACTTCGAGTCGAAGGTACGACTTAGCATGCAACTCTCGACTCTAAACCGATGGAATTAGTCGTACTGAAAGGGCCATAGTGCCAGCGCTTGAAGCGATAACCGTTGCGTACTATTTGAACGGCATAGTAGAGGATACACTACTGCGAAGATGTCTCGACCTGAAGACACTCTCCCGCCGGACCTCTTTTACAACGATGTTGAGTCACGGAAGTATACGACAAGTTCCCGTATCAAGAACATACAAGCGGACATGACCAACCGGGCCCTGGAGTTGTTAGACCTCAAGGAACCGTCACTGATCTTAGACATTGGCTGTGGCTCTGGCCTTTCTGGGGAAATCCTGTCTGACGTGAGCGAGGACGAAGGTGGACCGCACGCCTGGGTTGGTATGGACATCAGCTCCTCTATGCTCGCGCAGGCACTGGACCGTGACGTCGAAGGTGACATGCTTCTGGCAGACATCGGCCAGGGTGTACCTTTCCGTGCCGGCAGCTTTGACGCAGCCATCTCAATTAGTGCGATTCAATGGCTTTGCAATGCGGAGACGGCGGACGTGTCGCCCGAAGGCCGGCTTAAGCGGTTCTTTGACGGGTTGTACGCCTCCCTGAAACGAGGTGGCAAAGCTGTTTGTCAGTTCTATCCCAAGAATGCCCAGCAGCGGAGTATGATTTCGAACGCAGCTATCAAAGCAGGATTCGGGGCCGGTATTCTCGAAGACGATCCAGAAACCAAAAATGTCAAGGTCTATCTTGTGCTTACAGTGGGTGGCGGAGATGTCACAGGAACTGTGAGCGGCATGAACGGTGTTGATGTGTACGACGCTCGGAGGAAGGAGAGGAAGCGTGGCAAGGAGTTCGAGAAGAAGGGAAGTAAAGCGTGGATCCTGCGCAAGAAAGCCCAGATGGAAGCGAAAGGAAAGGTCGTCAAGTCAAGTAGCAGGTATACTGGCCGAAAAAGGAGGGTGGCGTTCTGAGATTTTTCCTTCAGAGACCGCTTCGATCTGTTTGCCGATACTGTGCCCTGAAAACATTTGAGGGGCGTACTGTGGTCGCCCCCTGTTAGCACTTGGACACGCATTCAAGACTTGATGCGCTGCGATCTACGCGAGGGGTGAGTGACTATTGCTCGAGCAAGAGATGGGGTGAGTGCGTCTCAATGTGATGAAGTTTCATTGTCTCGTCGCTAACGCTATGCTAGGCTAACTACCAGTGCGAGATCTGCTGTTAGCCGCCCAAATTTTGACGTTGGGACCAAGTCAACCTCTTGAGCCGAAATAATGCTAAACGCTGGGGATGCTCGCTTCGGGAGTAGGTGGGTATAAGGTGGATTACAGATGCATTCGTCCACATCCTGGCGTTAAAGGTTCGTGCGCGAAAGCGCTCGCAGCAACATACGCGCTCCAAGTTCAGCGGCGGCTTTACGCCTGTACGCCGTTGACCTCAACATCATATCCATCACCCTTCGCCTTCAGCGCTTTGGCAAGCATGAGCTCTCGCATCCAGTCAATACGGTCATCCTTGGTCTTGACCGCGAAGTGATGCGTCTTGCCATTTGCTGCAAGACGTTTGCTCTCGCCCTCTTTGGCGGTTGGCACAAGCTGGAACGCGAAAGCTGTCGGGTCCATTCCATCCTTCGACTTCTTCCCGGCGTCATCCATGAGCTTCAGCGCCTTCATGGCAGCTGTAATTTTGCTGTTCGATCCAACAGATGAGCACGCAACGGCGTACTCATCGACATTGATTTTGTCAATGGCTGCCGTGGACAGGCGCGCATTCGGGTACATGCTAAGGTTGGTTCCCTGGAGACGGAAATGTGCGTCTTGCCAATCATGCCGCAGCATCTTTGTCTTGCGCTTCTTCATCCAACCGGCATGTGTGCACTCAGAGCCGTATCCAAATTGCTTAACCGTTAGATCGACGTGTGCTGGGTCACGGGCTGTCTGCTTTCCAGGATTGGCACAACTGCTTTTGCTGTCAGGACTGCCGTAACTGCTTATGCTCGGCCGTGTGCTGCGCTGCTGGAAATCAGTTGTGAAGACCTCACCCTCGTGCACGGCTGGAAGAGCTATTGATGGTCTTCGCAACTCTGCTGCTCTGGAATGGGAGCGGCTGATGCTGTGCTGTTGTACTCTAAATTGCATATTTGGTGGCACGGATGCCGATGTGTCGCGGGCAATAGGTCCGGAAGGGACAGCAGTAACGGGCACATCCATCTCTGAAGCTGGTGTGCCAAAGCGGTACGGGTGGCTTGGAGAGACCATTGGGCCCGGTGACGCAGTGATGCTTCGGCACATCGATGCAGCTGACTCCGGCACAGCTGGGTTCGTGGCTGCTAATCCTTGTGTAGCGGCAAGCCTCGTAGGGATGCTGAGGCGTGGCAGCTGTCGGAGATGCTGATATGACCCAGTCGTCTGGTCTTGATGATGCAGTGATGGATATGCCTGGAAGTGCTGCTCGGGAAAGAGTGAGGGCGCCGAATCTGTACGCTTCACAGGAGCTTGACTCGTTGAAGGTGGGGGCACAGATATGGAACGGTCAATGAAGTTGCAGTTGCCGGGAAAGCCTTCAACCGGCGACAGAGGCGCATCGTTGAGCGGCGGTGCTGGCGAATGCAGGTGTTGGAAGTTCAGGAACTGCCTGACGTTGTCTTGCGGGTCACGCTTGTCAAGCTGTTCAAGCATGTCCGCGTGTAGCGCGAAATCGGGCAATTGATCTGGTCCCAGAACGTCTGATGAGGCGACGACAGATGGGATAAAGTGTGAATCCGGACGGAGCTGTTCGTCGACGTGCAGCATGCGAACGTTAGGAATAACATTTTCAGCAGTCATTGCGTTTCCGGGGTCGCCGCGAACAACGATGCGGCCGCCCATGCCTGGGCTAATTGGAAACCGACCAAGACCGTCATCGTCCTTTAGCTGCTGAAGTTCTCGTTGCTGCTTCCGCCACTTGGCACAACGTTCGCCTTTGGCGCATTTGTGCGGCTTTGGTAGAAGCTGTTCGATCGCGACGATGGAGACCGACTCTCCGGGAGTTACGATGTCCAGTTGCTTTGGCGGCTTCCGACCGCGCCGCTTCTTTCCAGGAGACGGCGAGTTGACTCTTTCATCTTCGGCACTCGCTTCATCGTGGGGATCACGAGCGCGGCTTGGTGACCGTCTGGTTGTTCTCGTACAAGGTCGGCTGACGTCCTCAAACGGTGTGGGCTGTGGGCTGGGCTGGGACTCTACGCCACGGAGTTCGCAAATGGCATTCCAAACTTGGTGGCGCTTGCCGAAAGACTGGATGTCGAGCTCCTTAAGATCTTCGAACTCGAGATCCATTAGAACCGTACCATCAACATCGTGGTGCTCAAAGCAGTCAATGATGGATTCATCGAGATTAGCAGACAACATCCACTCGACCACCTGTTCATGCGACCAGCCACGTATACTAGTCGCCGCAGCATGCTTCCCAGTGGGAGGTAGATTGAGTGCTTGGTGCAGCGCCGACGCAATTGAGTAGTCCTGTTCGAGCTGGTTCTGCCTGGTGATCGGGGTTGTTACAGTAACGTCAGAGAATGCGGTACCAGTTCTCAGAACCATTTCCTTAGGGAGGAGTGGTGACATCTGCATTGCATACTCGTACTCAAGGTCAGTTGAGGTTTGAGACGCACGGAACAAATGCGGTCCTCTAGGACCTTCCACCGCTTGAGGTTGCATTTCGAAAGGGCCGCGACTCTGGCTGGAGCTTGGGGTTGGCGCCTCATCGTATGATGACAAAGTGGTTTGGCTGGTTCTTCGTTCATCCTACTTTTCGTCAGTGTTACCGTTGACATCACTAATTGTCTACATGCTTACAGTGTCGTAGCTTCCCTTCGGAGAGTCTGGTGTAAAGTCTTCAAAGTCGCTTTCGTCTTCGCCATCAGTGTCGAGGATCTCAGTGGCTACAGACAATGGTCTCGCAGGCGTTGACCTGGCGGCCGCTATCGATGCTGTCTTGTGTCGAAGCAGCATCTCGCCGGCATTGAGTCTCGTCGAAGTCGCCATACTTAGTCAGTATCACCTCTCGATCAGAACACCGCCACTTCGTTCGATTGTGGACCGCTTTGCGCAACGCCTTTGCATACTACTTGCTTAGACTTGCAATGCTGCAAATGTGCGGCGTACACACGAACGTTGAGGAGGTGGCTACCGCGCGCCAGCGCGAGCGTGTGGAGGTCTTCTATACCAACTTGCCGCCCATGGTCGCGCGCGCATAAGCTGCGACATGTCGTGCTTGTGCGCACTGCACACTATCTGTGCCTACGCCAATTTCGGTATGAGGCGCTACAGACCCTGTGCATTCGACGTTAGACTGCAGATTCACCATCTAGACCACCCAATCCCCACGGAGGGTCCAGAGCCCGTTCCTGGATTCGTGACCCTTGAACTTCCAATCCCAGTGTCAGAGCGAAGGGACTTGCTCCATACGGAGTCGGCGGCTATATGCAGTATGCACTCTGTCATTGGCTAGCGAGCTAATTCTAGCTTCGTGACAGTTGATAGCTAACCTGTCTAGAGCGTGATCCCTCAGGTCTACCGTCGACCCTGCTGCAACCTAAATGGCCCGTCGCTTGTGGTACGGGACGGAGCGTGAGATGTTGCTATTGGACGCATTTAATGAACGCCATGTTGACCTTCATCAGGCCTCGTCCTCTAAGAGCGGTGTGCTATACAAGAGCACTCACGATGTCGCACGACCTGTAAGTGCGTGCAGCACGCTGTGTTACGGCAACCTCACGCTGCTCCGCCGGTTTCGGGTTGTCAGTACCTGCAGCTTGAGTGCTTGCAGTGTACAAGGGCTGGCGCCGCACAACCGTCGGAGAAGCCATGAGCATTCTCACGTGGCCTGTAGATTTGCCGAAAGGCTCGGGTCACATCAACTCAGAGGTCACACGCTTGGGTACGGGTCAATGCAGGAGAGATGCAATACTTGGATAGAAATTTCCGGCATCACACAACGTCCAATAACTGGCATTGTCCCGGGTATGTTGAGCGGCCTATGCTAAGCTGGGTACCGCAGACGAGAGGGAAACCCTGTCATGACCGCCTCTGCCGCAAATGGTCAAGAACAGGTGCACCATGTGGGTAGCTTGCGCCCGAAGTTCTCGGACAGTACGGTCAGTGGATGCCCAAGAAGCGCATTCCGGGGCATTCCGCAAGCTTTGGACGTTTGCTACTGAGCGTTCGCTAGGTCATCCTGTACGTAGCGTGCTCGGTCGTGCATACAGCTGTAAAGCATCGTCTCGCGCATGCAGCGTTGAACGTACCTGTGCACGGTCGATGTCAAGACGACCGTGAATTTAGCAGGCAAGGTCGGATGTGGTAACGAGTCGCCAGGAAGAATATCTCGGCCGCGGGATCGTGGACAGGCATCATGAGTACTTCTTTTGGAGACGGCATGAGCACACGGTTATCCAAGCGCGATGTTTAGGCGTGTGGGGTTGGGACGGCTTCGGGTGACGGGTCGCGCAACCCAACGCTTTCCGTTTTGGTTGGTACGGCTTTTCCCGCACGGCACGCCTAGCGTCGACTTCCTGCAACTTCATCACATCACTGCAGCCACTCGGCGGTTCGAAGACGTGCCTCTGGACCAGACTGGACAGTCGTCTAGCTTTCTCCGATAGCCTCCAAGCCAGAGGCCCACTGCATGCTCTTGCGGCTGTCGCGGTAAGAGATAATGGCATCAAGTATGGTATGGAGCGGTTGCACGACGGTCGACGGTTTGAAGAAACTCCCGGAGCACGACATGTAGCGCAGGTGCTCAAATCGTGTACGCCACAGACGACATTGAACTTTAGCCAGGTCTCACACGCAAGCTTCGCAAAATGCCTCCCAGTCTAGCTCGCCTCATGCAGGAGCGATCTGCTTGGCTGGCAGAGCGGTCCGCATCGGGCCAGCCACATATCGTAAACCCCGCTACGGTGCAGATAGGCGACATCCTGCTGCGAGCACTGATGGCCTTACCGTTCGTTCCAACATTGTCCTCCCACTGCCTCTCTTTCAGAGAATCCCGGGCAGCTGCGATGGCTGTTCTCGCAACATGAAGGTTCGACGCTCCACGTGTAACTCGCCGTTGCTCTCCCAAAGCATCAAAAACTAATAAGCTCTTGGAAAAAGCAACCGAACTCTTCTGCAGTAGAATTAGCAAACCTTTGGGTACCTGCACCAAATAGCGGGCCAGATTGACAAAAGACCAGTCGGAACATTGCACTGCACCTGCGTTACGTAGCGGGATTAAAGCGAACCGCTTAGGAAGCTTACTCGGCAGCCACAGTCTGCAGCCTGGTCCAGCTGCTCCAAGCTTCATCTTGCCGTGTTGTTACATTTAGCATGCAATATGCTCTACCCCACAGACTCACGAGTCACTAGCATGCCTTCTCTAAGAATAGCAGATGGCTAATTTGTCTTCTTTCTCGACTCTTTAGGACATAAAGACCTCGACATCCCATCCTCACAGAGACGGCCATCCATCGTTGACCGATTAATTTGCACTCTTTACCTTCATCCGTCGACCAGCTTGGCAGGCCAGGCTTCTCACGCTATCGTTCATCCTAGAGCATCCCGGCGATCGCCTCTACCGTCGTTCCCGAACCCTGTCGCATATCCGGCCACTGTCGTAATCCCTACCTCTGGAGCCATTGGGGTCAACTCTGTTCATAGGCTCTCATGTCTTCCGCGTCGCAGGCGAGCGCATCAAAATCTAATGCAAAGATGGCTGCACCAAAATGTGCGGCTTCAGAAGCAAAGTCAATAGCATCAAAGATGCATAGACGGTCGCGGTCGGGTACGTCAATTCCTGGGGTGCATAGACCGTTTTGCGCAACGGAGACTGACGTGTTTCAGGGTGCTTTACATGCAGACTCCGTAGGAAGAAGTGCGAAGAGGGCAAGCCTGCGTGTAAAGCATGCAAGCACCTTGGCTTGCGATGCGACTACAAGCGACCCATGTGGTGGAGCAACGGAGAGCAACGCCGTCAGCAGAAGGAGCACATCAAGAACGTTATCAAGCGGACTCAGCTTTCTAAGAAGACGCCACCGTCAGGTCAACCATTACCTCGACCAGCAGCGACCATCCAGACGCCACCAAGCTTGTGCCACTCAATACCAACATCAGCGGAGTTTTATCCAGCATCGCTGCTCCCGAGTCGAGCGCCTTCGGTCGGTTCGCCCTTCTCAGCTGGATGCGACTTCGTGCATACTTCGCCGGATGGCTACTTTGCGATGCCACCGCCTCCGCAACCGATGCTGGTGCATCCACAGTATCCCATGTTCTCGCCGTATGAGGTGGATATTAAGACCGAGCGCCAAATCTTCATCAACGGAGAGCAAACCCGGAGAGACTCGACCATCTCAACGTTCAGCACATATCAGCCGCCCCCGATGCCAACTGGCATACCTGCTTTCCCGGCTGATAGCTGGATACAGCACGAGATCTTTGAGACCAACTCTGAGTCGTTCACGGAGGAGCCTGTAGAGTTTAACTTCTTCGAATTTCCACACGGTCCACTTACGCCTAATCACGAGATGGCCATCAATGTCGAAGAGTGTGACAAGTATCTGCTCAGTCACTTCTTCGATAAGGTGCTGAAGCTGATCTTCCCGGTATTGGACGCGAACCAGCATGGCTCAGCACGGTCAGACGTCGTCCTCCCAGCGCTGGAATCGAACAAAGCATACCTGCATTGCTGCCTGAGCATTGCTGCGACGCACATGAAGGCAACGGAGTCTCTGTCAGGCGAGCAGATAGACAACGATATCGTACGCCATCGATATGCCGCAATCTCCGAGCTGTGCGACGCCCTCGGTAAAGACATGAATCACGGCCAGATCCTCGAAGCAACGCTCGGCATGATCTTCTTTCAGTGCTCGGTCGGCCGTGCGGACGATGCTCTGCCGGACATTCCTTGGCATCAGCATTTCCAAGCTGCGATTAGCCTTGTGAACAAGCTGGACCTTCCAGGCATGGTTATGAACCTGGCGGCGAGGGGCCAGGCGCACCCGCCATTCAACATGGCCTTGACTTCCTGGATCGATATTTTGGGCGCGACAATGCTTGGACGCTCGCCAACATTCGCGGACACGTACCGCGAGCTGAACATGAGCGGGCGAAATACCGGTCTTTCAGAGTTGATGGGATGTGATGACAACATTATGTTCCTCATCTCGGAGATTGCATGCCTAGACGTGCAGAAGGCTGAGGGCATCGACGAGGTGATGCTTTGCAAGTACGTTGAGATACTGGCGCGCGAGATCGGTATGACGGAGCCTGCACCCGGCAGCGTGCAGAGCTGTTTCTCCAGCACAGGCGCCATCCGACCGAAGCAACTCACTACCAACCTTACGGCGGTTTTCCGCCTCGCAGCTCGCATTTACTTGGTGTCTCTGGTCCCCGGCTACGAGCCGCGACAGCCCAGCACTTGCCACCTGGTGTCTCAACTCTCCGAGCTCATGAACTTCATCCCAGCCGGTCCAGACGGCTTCGATCGCTCCCTTGCATGGCCGCTCTTGGTCGCAGGGTCAGCATCTGTGGCCGCCTCACCATTCCGCTGTATGTTTGACGAACGCTGCCAGCGACTTGGCGATGCAGCCGCATTCGGCTCTTTTGGCAGGGTTAAGGGACTTCTGCACGATATCTGGGCAATCAACGATACAGCGAACGCGCAAGGAGACTACCAGGGCGTCCGCTGGCGTGACGTGATGCAGCAGAAGAAGTCGGATTACCTGCTTATCTGAGCCTGGTCCTTGAACTTCCTTCTGCGCCCTTGATGGGTGAAGCATCCTGGCCTGGCCTCTCCATTGGCAAACCGCACACACATACGAACAACATGCCTTCCATAGCCTCTTGTTGATGCATTAGCGAAGGCGTTGCGGAGGACACACAGCTTAACATTCTGTTATGTATCAATCAGCATGATACCCACGAAGCTTGTTGCATTGCTACTGGTGTTGGGACATGGCCTGAACTAGTGCAGCTTTCAGGCCGGGGCGGAAGGGCAAGCACGTAGCGTAGACCCCAAAAAACAGTCTCATCCTTCCAATCTTGACGCTGCACGACTGCTTCCCGATGTCATCGCTGTATCCTCACTCATCGTGGTGCGCCGGGTACGAAGCATTGCGTCCAACAGTAGCAGCCTGCACGTTTTCTGCACGCCCGTTGTGAGACATGCGGACGGCTCGGGAAAGGGAGACGCAAGCAGCAGCTGCGGTGCCAAAAATACCACCCCGCTAGGTACAGTATTCGTAAGATTCCGAGGCACCCTAGCTTGTCGATCAGTTACCTCGCGTATTAAGCAGGATTGCCCAGATCCTCCCGTCATCGCTGACATTGGCAAGACTTTTCGAAGCATTCAAAAGTCGACGCACGCGGCCGTTGGGTGACAGTGTATTATCGTCGATAGTGGAGGAGGAAGGGCCGGTCTTGGTGGGGGAGCATCAGCATTCCCGCCTGCGATCCACGAGACCGACTGGGATCACAGCTTTTGAGAGGATCGTCACACGATGACTACAGCACGACCGATCTTCGATCCAGTCGACACCAGCTTTGATCCGACATACCAAGCGCAAAAGGACGATGTAGAGTCACCATCGCTTTCCAGCAGCAATGCATTGGCTCGATTCGAATTCGAGCCCGGCAGGAGCAAAGACGGTACGAAAGTGTTGATGGTAGAGTGGGAGGAAGATGATACTACGCAAAACATAGCTGGTGATTGGGAGATTAGCTGGGAGGGAAAGAAGACTGTGTTACCTGCACAGGATTCGGCGGCGGATGGCGAACAGGCTCCGGTCAACAGGCTCTACTTCATGCTTGGTCCCGGTGTCGCTGTACCGACGTCCGTCAAGTTGCGAAAGGGCACAGTAGAGTGGCGAACCCATCCTTTACCTGCAATCTTCTCTCCGGAGCTAGGCGCGACAGCAAGACAGGCTGGGAAGAAGGGGGTACTTCACACAATCTGGGCGAAGAAGAGGCTGCAGGTGCTGCAGGGAGAGATCGATGCGGAGACGAAGAAGAATACGGAAGGTCTAGGCTTGGAGATGGCGGCAGCGGAGAAAGAATGGATAGAGCAAAACTTTGGTGTTGTGACGAAGCCGTCCTCGATTAGCATACCCGCTTCGGGCGCGTTGGCATCGGTCATGGCATCCGCTAATGGTCCGGCAAGCCCGAGAAGTCCCGGTGGTGGGCGATTGATGGACAAGCTCAAGGGCCTGAAGCTCAGCACTAGCCCGTCGGATGTGAATGGCGCAGCTAAAGACAACCGCTCATCGCCCGACTTCTTTCACAACCCGCTGAGTCCTGAGACGTCTGACGTAGCAGTCGGTTCATTCGGAGCCTTTGCCGCTTTGAAAGGCGTGTCACCACCTAGCCAACTCGCTGCAAAGCCGCCGCAGCCCCCGCCGAGCCAGAAGCGGATCGCTCCGCAGCGGCCTCCAGACACACTTGCTGCACATCAACGGCAGCAGCTAGGCATGGGTTCGCTAAACGCGTTGGCAGCCGGCGAGACAACCTTTGCGCCCAGGCAGCCTGATGACGAACAGGAAGACGACCTCTTCGCGCTGCCGATGAGTCCACGTTCTCCAGATATGACCAAGTCTCCTTTCTCGTTTGGGAGCGCTGATACCATGAAGTATATGAGCCGCGCGTGAGGGTGGCCACTATAGTGGTACAAAGCGGCCCAGGAGGGGTAGAGTCACGGGCTGCGAGGTCGCCATATTGGCAGCGATGCTCACCTCATGCGAGCGCTTGCTCCGCGCATTCTGCACAGGCGTTGCATTCGAGGAGTCTTAAAATTGGCGTGGTATTGCGTCTCTTGCTCATATCCGTGGAGCACAGTGGGCGTACTTACGGCAAGCCGCTATAACGCTGTGTATAAGCCTCACTCAGGTTCACCGCCTTCGTCGAATGTCACCTGTCGTTTTTTCTTCTTCTTCGGCTTGCTAGCAATCGCAGAGCCATCTTCGGCATCTGCAGCCTTCTCCGCCAAGGACGTCTCGCCGTTACCGTTGTCTGGCGTCTTCTTCTTCTTTCTTTTCTTCACTGTTACCTCGCCATCGCCAGCCCCATCAGGCGGTGCAGAAAGTTCGCCGCCAAGCGCTTCTATCCTCGGCTTCTTCTTTTTCCGTCTTACAACCGTACCCTCTTCCGGCATGTCATGTGGCTGTATGCGTTCCTGCGCCCGTTGCATCTCTAACCGCAAGCGCTCAACCTCTTTGATTGCCTTCGCCATTTCTTCTTCCTCAGCGTGCCGTCGCTCAACCTCCAGCTGGCTTGCGCCAGTCCTAGCAACATCGTCGACAAGCGAAAGGGTGGATAGTCCGCTGCTGTCCACTTCGAGCAACGACTTCTTACCGCGGGGGATGCTGGCTTTTGCCGGGCTAGCGCCAATTGTCGGTAACTCGTCATCGCCCAATGACTCATCTCTAGTGATCTCGAAATGACGCTTGGGCTTCTTCGTTGATGGTGCTCGCTGTGTTGCAGGTCGCCCAACATCAGTCACCGTGTCCTTACTGTCAAGCTGAAGCTCCATAACAGGGATGGCATCAACGTCGAGCTCCTCGCCGTTTGTCTGCCGAAGGATGTTGTGCATTGGAGTTGACGAGCCCGAGGCGCGTTCGGAGTCAATGTAGTACGGATCGTCTTGGTATCGTGCTCGGCGTTCGGCTTTGCGCTTGTCGCTTGTTTCTCGGTCGAGCGGCTCCGTCTCAGCATCTTGGTACGATGAAGTGCGGCTGGTTCCGGGAGGCTCCAGCAAATCTGCTGCCGGCCTCGCGTGGTCGATCGCGACGGCGACTGGCTTCTCATGGTAGAACCTGTACATTTCGCCCGCACTGTCATCAAAGTCCGTGTCGTACTCTGCTTGCTGCAGTAGCATGTGCAGGTTACCGTTAATTGGGGTTTCAAGATCCAGCTCTTCCGGCTGAGGCACCTTCCGCAAGGCCACCAGCGCCACTGGGTTGAGCTCCATGCCTGTGAACAGAGAAGGTATGGCTTGCGTGAGTAAGAGAGGCGGCTCGGCATATTCGCCAGGGCTGTCGCTTGTTTGTTGGTTCGCAGCAGCTTCGGAAGCCAATCGCATCAGGTCAAGGTACTCTACTGCGCGCTCCTGTACGTCGAGGTTCGGATGCAGCGTCAACGGCTCAAGGAAGTGTACGACCCGCGCAAGGAGCAAAACGGTGTTTGACTGTCTTGTGGATGACCAAGGTGAACTTTGATCACTGGTAAGTGCGACGACAATCTTTGGTATCGTTTGTATGTAGCTTGCAAGGGCGTGCGCCGGAAGCTGAGCCGATGAAGGGTCCAAGAGCGACGTCAATACCGCTTCGGGGTTGGGCAGCATACCGGCGTACTCTCCGGCAACAAATGCGGCAGCAGAGAGCACACCTTGGCCACCATTGCTGGATGCCGGAAACAGTGCCTCTCGGCTCTCAATGAGTAGCAGAGATTGTGCGGCAGCTGCAGCATCCGGGCGAACAGCTTTGACTCTCACGGCAACATTAAGCAGCTCGTTGCCGACGGCATCGGCTATGCTTGTGGTTTCTTTCGCAAGGGATCCGGAATGCCTGCCAAAGCTGCCAGTCGTTGAAGCGGCCGGACACTGTTTGACGAGCTCGATCAACACTCCGATATACCATTCGAAGTCGGTCATGTTCGCGTACGTCTCATGCGAGCACATCTCCAGTATTCGCTCGATGACCGATGCACGGTAGTCGTTGGGCAGAGGCGGCGCTTGTGCTGGTTTCTGAGCCTTCGGTTTGATCGTCTGCTGCATCTCTTCGTCGTCGTCATCCGCCATCGGCTCGATGCCATCATGGGCTGCACGGTCGTTCGACGGGTCAGAGACTGCAGATGCCTTGCCAGCAGTCTTGAGCTGTTTGAGTAATCGTTCCACGACGATCTGGAGGTTGCTAGCATTGATCATGCCAACCACAAGGTCAAGCGCGCGCGTCCGGATGGATATGTCGCCGTCGTCAATGCATTCGAGAATGACGTCTTGATGCTGGGCGACAATGTCCGCGTGCGAAGCGGTGATCTTCGCGAACGCCAACAACGCTACATATCTGAGGTTCGGGTCGCCTTCGACGACGAGCATCGCTCGAAGCTTGTTGACACATAGTCGCGCAATCTCATCGCCTTCTGTCGTACCCTCTGCAGCCTCCATAATCCCGCCTTGAATGATGCCGTTGATGCACTCATACAGTAGGCTCATCGCTGGCGTGGTCTTTATGATAGACGTTAACGGTGGCAGCAACTTCTTGACCAGTCGCGGCTCAAGAGGCGTAAGAGTCGAGAACAATTTGATGATCTTGATCGCCATCCAATTGTTGCCACCCGCAGTCAAAAGCTCGAACAAGCGCGGTGCGAGCGACAAGAAGTCCTGCGGTCTTCTCCAGCCTAATTCGCAAACGACGTTTACAATCGCGGCGGTGACGCTCGGATCCTCGTTCTCGTCCAGCAACCTGTCCTTGATCTTGGGCCATGCTGGTCGCAGAGTTTCTGGATAGACCAGAGCCAAGCGATACAGCGTCACGACGGTCTTCTTCCTGATAGCCGGACTCGAATGAGACAGCCTAGACAGAAGATCACCAAGCATACTCCCTGCCATGTTCGGATCTACCACATGAGGCAAGGTTCCTAACACCAATCCTATTGTGCCCTTGTCGCTGCTACCTAGATCCTTCTTCAACAGGTTCTCGGCCAGCATCAACACTTCCGTCTCTGGTCGAAAGCTCTGCACGGCAGCCAAGTAACCCACTCGCTTCTGAACGTATTTGGCAGAGCTCATGACTTCGAGGACATTGAAGGAAGCCCATGACATGTCGTGACCGAACATTTCCAGATAAACTAGCTTTAGCAATGCCGTTGCCTTCGCATCCATGTCCGAGGTCTTGATCTCGCGGCGGCATTCGGCCAGAGATTGTAGTATATATGCCCGCTCGTTGCCTTTATGGGACCGAAGGCCGCGGATCAGCTGGTAAATGTCCTTCTCGAACATGTTGGCGACAGTCGATTGAGCGCTAAAGATATGGCTATGCCACACTGCTCATCCAAACGTCCCCGATCCTCCTTCTGAATGGAGGCTGCCTCGCTTCCAGCACTGATATAGAGGACAATCCCCGAGTTGTCCACATGATGCTGTTGCAGGCTTTGGTGCTTACAACTATGACACCATCTTCCTAATTTCGCAAGCTGTGTGTTTCATCCAGTGTAGCAGCCAGGTTCAGGACCCGAGAAGTGGGGATCGAAAGGATATGTAGACGAATGCGCAGAGGTGTGTGATGGTTCACTTGGTGGGGCTAGTGCAGTCGACTTCGAGAAGTGGAGACAGGATCTTAAGCCGCAGACTCATTAACATTGAGACACATGTAGCAACGCTTCTGGCCTCCCAGACGCAGTAATACTAAGTAGCACTTTCTCGAACAGCCCCTCAACTATGTCGGACCCTCTGCTTGAAGCGCCTACCCAGACCAATCCATCACATACTCTCGCACTGTCGCAGAAAGCCAGACCGTACCTCGACTCCAGACCATGGTACTTCACCACCCTTCCATACCCACTGAGCCTCTTCCTCGCCCCTGAATCGCAAGAAAGATGGGCCGCCTCCCAAAACCTCTTCCTCGCATCTCTGATCGCCGACGACCTGCCCGTCGCATACGCCTACCTTGAGGACATCACGGAGCGCTTCGGCAAGCTCAATGAGCGCGTTATGGCGCTGCAGGGTCTGTACCAGGAGGCTTCGGCAAAAGACACGAAAGCGCTAGAGGACGTGGTGAAGAACTACGATGAGCTACTGAAGACCGACCCGACGCTCATGGCAATCCGGAAGCGCAGAGTCGCGGTGCTGAAGGGCGTAGGTCGCATTGCGGACGCAGTAGGCGATCTGGTGCTCATGCTGGACGCCAGTCCTACTGATGCGGAGGCTTGGGCGGAGCTGGCAGATTGCTACGTCAGTCAAGGTGCATATGAGCAGGCAGTCTGGTGTCTCGAGGAAGTCTTACTGGTGATGCCCAATGCGTGGAACATGCATGCACGGCTGGCAGAAGTGCAGTACATCCAGTCGCAGAAAATGTCCGAAGGAAGTGGAGAGCAGCTCAAGACGCTTTCAGAGAGCATGCGACGGTTCTGCAGAAGCATAGAGCTATGCGACGACTATTTGCGAGGCTACTATGGCCTGAAGATCACCACCGCGCGACTACTGGCTATACTGGAGAAGGTGAAGAAGCCGCCGACAGCTTCTTCAGATCTTGTGGCCGGAGATCTAGCACCACCGAAAGTAGCTACCGTGTATAAGTTGAATGAGCTGGCGACTGCGAAGCTGGCGGAGATCGTAAGGAGAAGTTCCGCGGAAGAGAAAGGATGGGATGGGTACAGTGGGGCTGAGCTCAAGGCTGCGAAAGCGATGATAGAGAAAGATACCCAGAAGATAGAACGATAATAACACGTGCATTGGCTGTCGTCAGTTGGTATCTAGTAGCCCTTGTCCTCCGGCCCGAACGCCACTCCATCTTGTCCAAGGTCCAGATTCAATCAACAGTCTACGAGATGGCGTGTGCGAACACTTTACTGGCCAGCTCGCTCAAGAGCCTCATCTTCTCCGGCTGCTCCAGCTCTTGGTACACACTGTAGACACTCTTGCCTCGCTTGTCACGGATTGCACCTAGCCTGTTCCCAGCAACGGCTCCAGCGACCGCGCCCGGAAGATTAGCGACAATGAAACCCATTGCACCGCCACTCACTCCACCAACAATACTCCAGAATAACTTGGTGGGCTGGTTGTCGTCCTCTGCCATCCCTTCATCGCGCATCATCTCTTCAAACACGCCACCAAACTGCTCGTTGGAGTAGCGGTTCGCTTCTTCCTCGGTCTTCGCCTTGCCGCCGAAGAAAGATCGCCAGTTGAAACCTCCTGGCATCGTGCCGGTGTCACCATCAGGGCGCGGGACTTCCTCATCTGCTTCATCGCTCGTCTTGCCCTTCCCTTGCCCACTGCTGCTGGAGCTAAAGCCATGGAATTGATTCCTAGTCAAGTCGTAGTCGCGCCGCCTGCCCGGGTCAGACAGGGTGTAGTAAGCATCGTTGATCTGCTGGAACTTCTTCGTCCGGCTTGCTCGTTCGGGAGACTCGGCTGGTACGCGATCTGGGTGGTGTCGTAGGGCCTGCTTCTTGTACGCGTCACGGATTTGTTGTTGGGTTGCTTTCGAGTCGACTTCGAGGGAGGCGTAGTAGTCCACTGGTGGGGCTGCGGCGTATAACGGGTCAACATGGTGTGGGTTTTGGGGAAGTGTAGCTGACGATTACTGACCTGACATGGTAGCAAATCTTGTGGAGTGCAGTCTCTGTGGTCGGTTGATCGAGCGCAAGCAAGATGTGAATCAATGTTCAGTGGAATAGGTAGCGAGTGCGAGTGCCGACTCTTGCAAGCAACAACTGGCCCTACAATTACGAGGCTTCCCGACCGATCGCGTTGTACGTCACTGCTTGGAAAGGAAGGTACGGCGTCGCACTAAGCTGAGTTGATCTCTAGCCCTAGGCTCCCCGTTATGGGCGTCTTCACTCCAATCCACTTAGGACTGCAAGGCTGTTTGCTCGCATGCCACGGTGTTTACAGACGAGGATGGTCACAGGACCCTTGCGCCAAGTCTAACTACTCTTGCTGCATTGACAGCTTCTTGTCAGTGGTCCTAGACCAGCCAAAAGGCATGGGATACCAGCATAGACATATCATCTCTGCTTTCACGACCACGTTCACCTTTTGAATGCTATCACACGTCTTCTTCTCCGCGCCGGAGATGCTCCCGCTAAGCGCGCTCACTACCTAGTCAAATGCATTCAGATGAGTCTCGCGGTACAGCTACCATTCGCCCGTTTCGGAACGCAATTACAGTCCAGCACCTGAGAGTCGAGAATGGATAATTCGCCAACAATAGCAGCCGCAACGCGAGCTAGTCAGCTTAAACGGCAGCTGCCCGAATGAAGTACCGTTTATGTTCATGGTGCTGGTGCCCGTCCTTCAGGGCGTGATGGAGAGTCCAAGGACAATCGTCCCCCGTGATGGCCAACGCCACACCACACTCGACATGCCAATACCACATCCACCGGCCATGAGTGCACTAAGTGGTCGATGTGCAGAAGGTACATGTTTCGCATAGCGGGAAAAGAGTAGTCGGGCTTATCTCGGCTCGCATTGGCAATGGCGTCATTGTTTGGTGTTCCCCACGCGTTCAGCAGCACGCGACTCTGCTCCTGTCCCTTCTCCCTAGCACATCAGGCGAGCACCCGAGCAGCCACACTCCCGCTCGCTCGCGATGGCTCTGCCCTCCTCGCCACCATTACTACCCGACGATGATCTCCCATCCGTGCCCGCATCACTATCCCTCAACTCCGGCTCTGGCGTGCCGATTGGCTCGCACTCACGGAAGAGACAACACTCTGACTTCGCAGGCTTCAGTAGCGACCCGTTGTTCTCCGACTCCACTGAAGACGACAGTGTGCTGGACGTTGACGAGCAACCTCGACGAAAGCGAGCGGTGCGTGGACCATGGTGGAGCTTGAAGAAGCGAGGCGAGCGCAGTCTGAGGCGGACCATGGCGAAGAAGGAGCGCTTAGAGGTGGCTGACAGTGGAGTGTGGATGGGCAGTGACGCGAGTGACGTCAGCATTGACGGCATCATTGCGAGTCAGCAGAAGATGGAGGAGCTGGCGGTGGAAGACGACAACGAACAGCAGCTCCCGACAGCGGCACCAGATGCAGAAGCCTATGCGGCGCGCATCATTCAGACCTGCGTGGACGGAGGGAAAGAGGCTGTTGACCTCTCGGATCTGGCGCTGAACCATATTTCCAATACCACGCTTAGACCGCTACACCATCTGATCAAGTCGTCGTTCAACGAGAACCTCCACCCACCCAGTGAGGATGAATTCGGTCCGCTGACGCCATCCGTCAAGCTATACCTCTCCACAAACCAACTCACTGCACTGCCAACCGAGCTCTTCAGCCTCGCCAACATTACTGTGCTCAGTCTCCGCAACAATCACCTAACGCACCTGCCACCCGCTATCGCGCGTCTTATCAGGCTATCAGAACTCAACATCTCCGGCAACGACATCCGCTGCCTACCATGGGAGCTTCTCGACCTCGTTCACTGCCGCGACGGCAATCACCGCCAGATCCTCGTCCGACCGAACCCGCTCGTGCAGCCTATCGAACTCAGCGGACCGTCTCCCTTGCGGGGCCAGTACCAGCGTCTAATGAAAAGCGAAGACTTTAGCCGCTTCGCGGACACTCGTGAAACGATCGCGAAGATACGGCAGAAGTTGCACGAGCAAGGTTTAATGAACCTACGCGGTGAACTGGAGCTGCGGCTGAAGCTGGGTAGGATGTTGCGGATGCAGTACTTGCAAGACGCTTCTCGGTCAAGTGCAGAAGTAAGAGTGTGCAGGGAAGAGCTCATCTATCTTGCCTCGTCCAGCATTCGGTACTTTGGCGTAGACGGTACGCCTCTGCGAAGATGTGGTGAAGATTGGACGGCCAGTCTCACCCCACCCGCTTACGCTCCTACGGCCTTCGGCTGCGATACCATGCCATCTCTGCTCGAGCTCGGCTTGCGAAGACTACAAGCAAAGTACGACCTACCTCATCTACTGTCCATCTTGCCGGATCTGAACGTCTCACCTACTCTCGCCTCAGCCATCCAGCGCGCCACTGACAATGCGGGTGCATATGGCAACGAGACTTGCACCACTTGCGGACACAAATACGTGGTTGCGCGGGCGGAGTGGGTGGAGTGGTGGTTCAATGGCTATCCTAGCCAGCCGGAGCTGAGCGCGGAGACGGTGCTGCCGTTTCTGAGGAGGGCGTGCAGCTGGGGGTGTGCGAGGGTGACGGAGATGGGAGCTTTCCGGTGCTGAAACTTGGTGGGAATGTAGCGTGTAGCTGTAAATGATGTACAATTTCGCGTGCAACTACGTATGCCGCACGTGCTATCCTCGGATCCCGGGTTGATGGAGAGCGTATGTTTCTCAACGGGAGACTGACGCGGGAACGGCTCACGTGCAAAGGTTGTAGTCGTTTCACACGACAGATCCACATCTCAAAATCTCGCCCTCACAGCTCCCTTCTCCAGCTCCCCAACAAGGCCACCACCAGCCAAGGTCCACTTCTCACTTACCAAGCCCTCCGTAATCGTGCCCCTCATCATGCCACTGCGCGCATAATACTCCATCACACTCCTCGCCTCCTGCTTACTCAGCCCATCCACATTCTTCACCTCCACGTTCTCCATCACTTCTGCTACTCGCTGATCCAGTGAATCGTAAGGGTTCCACTCCGGTAGCTTCGGCTTGAAGGCGTCAAGACCCTGCTTCAGCGTAGCGAGGCCGGCTTCCTGCTCCTGCAAGTGAAGCCAGTGACGTTGTACTGTCGTTGCTTGAGAGCGCAGAGGCTCTGGCAGCGAGAAGGCGGAGAAGCGTTCCAACGCTGTCATGTCGATGTCTGTTATTGACTCGGCGGTCTCGGCTTGCTCTCGCAAATTGTCGCGGATGTCCATGAGCGGCTGCGCTTGTGCCTCGCTAAGCTTGCGCGCGATAAAGTGGTACAATGTCGGCGAGTTGGCCGCCGTGGATTTTGAGATCGCGGCCAACACCATGCCACCATTCGGCAGCGCGGTTTTGCCGGCTAACAACGCGGTGAAGTCTCGCACGATGGCCAGCTCGTGGGAGTGGATGGGTTTAGTCTCAACATCGATGTATGCAGAATTGCGCATGATGTGGTCGACGCCGTCAGCGCTGACAAGGACGGGCGGCCGGTGTAAGCCTTGCTTGTCCGGCTGCGAGGGTGCTGTAAGTTCAGCCCACAATGCCTGCCAGATCGGCCAGGCGAGCTGCGGATCATTGGCACCGAGCTCGACAAGACGAGCGAGCGAAATGTTGGACTGGATGGGTATTGGTAGCTGATGTTGCCTGCTGAGGCGGAGGTCGCTGAGTATGCCCCGGTTGGCTTGTGCAATCTTGTCGAGCAGCTCGGCAGTGTATTGTGGCTGTATGTAGATTGTTTGTCCATCTGTAGTCTTGACTGGCTGAAATGCTGTATGCCCAATGGTGATGTCCTTAGCTTCGGGAATGTGCACGATGATCCAGCCTTGCAGATACGCCACTGCCATGGCCTGCAGCTGCAACACGCTTTTCCCACTTCCTCGCTCACCGGCAAGTAGGAGGCTCAGCATACTCTTCTCCCCTTTCAGAGTCTGCATCATCTCGCCCAGCTCCACCGTCTCCGCTCTGACCAAGCTCGCCGGCCGCCGAAACAGACCCCATCCCTGCGTCGGCTTGAATCCCTCAAGTGCCCTTAGTACATTTACCGTAGCATCTCCAAATCCTACGACTCTGCCCTCCAGCTGCCGTAATAGTGTCGCTCGCCGGACATTCTCAGCAGTGAAGTCCTCAAGTCCAGCTACTTCCAGCGCATTACTATTACTCAATACAACACGCTTTCGCAGTGCCTTCCGCTCGCCTGGCGCGGGTGGTCTGCCTGTAACCACACGTTTGTTCTTGCTCAGACGAAGGCTCTTCGTCTTTGAAGTGTCGCGCTTGGCTGTTGTGGATTGCTTCTTAGGGGGGTTGGCGGAGCGGGAAGGCGTGGTGGAGAAGGCGGCGCGGGTGGCAGCGAGTTTAGCAGCGCGAGATGAGATGGGGGGGAACAAGGAGCGCCTTAGACAACGCAGGCAGATTGGGGTGGACATTTTGGCGCGCAATGCACCTTGGCAGTGTCCCAGTAGTGTAAGCGGAAGAACATAGATTGTAGGTACGGAGCTGGACTCTCGGCCGAGGATTCTCCGCGTTCCGTGGATCTCACTGGACTGTCACTGAACCATCCATTAGGCGCCCACGGGCGTTCAATATCAACACCAGCCGGTGCCGCTCATGGCAAAGACACGTCTTGCGAACGCTGTCCGTACGATGGACGCAAATCATCCAGTTCGCTATCGGACATTGTAATCCAGATCTACACCTCCATCAATCAGCACAAACCATAGGAAACTGGTTATCGAAGTTTCGAGCAGTAGATTGATCGGTCGGCACAATGCCCATTGAACTTCCAAGACCTGTCAAGGACGCCTTGTTCGGACAGTCCGATTTCGACTTCAAACGATGGGGCCCCGTTCTCAGCTTCCCGCTCTTCTACGGCCAAAAGCTGCTTCCTTTATGGCGACACCCAATCACACAGACCAGCCTTACAGCCCTTGGCCTTCTCACTGTCGGCCTCGCCATCGTCCGGTTCATGCTCTTCGTATGGCGCTTTGTGCGGCCTTCACTGCTCCAGACCTATTGCCACTCACCGTCCGGATCTTGGGCGCTTGTGACAGGCAGCAGCGACGGTATAGGCCGTGGCTTCGCTGAAGAGCTTCTGGACCGCGGCTTCAACGTCCTACTGCATGGTCGCAACGCAGAGAAGCTGCAACGACTACAGTCTGAGCTGGCAGAGCACTTCCCTAAGCGCACGGTCGATTCCGTGGTTGCTGATGCTGGAAGCTATGATCGGCCGGAGCGGACTGTCGTGGACAAGGTGAAATCCTTACCCGGGCAACTAACGATCCTAGTAAACAATGTTGGCGGTGTTCATTCGTCTCCGGCACACACCGCATTCACGGAGGTCACGGATATCGACAACCAGATCAACGTCAACCTGCGCTTTCCCACGCAGCTCACCCAGGCCTTACTACCGACACTCAAAGCTAACAAGCCAGCACTCATCTTGAACTGCGGCTCTGCGGCAGGCGTTATAGGCTTACCTTACACCGTCGTATACAGCGGCACTAAAGCTTATAACCATACTTTCACCCAAGCCCTTCACGCGGAGCTCATCGCAGAAGGCATGGACAAGGACATCGAGGTCATGGGTTTCATCATCGCCAATACGGAATCGAATAGTAATCGAGTCGCTCAGCCAGACTTCTTCACGCTGACATCCAGAGACTGTGCCGCTGGATGTCTTGACCGGGTCGGCAGTGGCAACGTGCTCGAATACCCTAGTTGGAAGGTGGGATTGCAATTGCGCGTTGTGGCAATGCTGCCGGAAAGGGTGCGACGGAATACGATAATCGACATTATGAGGGAGAGAGTGGAGGAGGAAAGGGCGACGTTGAAGTCGCAGTAATAGAGATAGTGGTTCGCCAGGAGTCTTCGTACACCTCATGAGCTGGCGAAGGGTATCGTTAGAATCTGGCAATGCATCGGGTGACTGCGCACGAGTGTTAATATACATACGTGGTTCTACGGCGTCACGGAGATGCACGCAAACCGAAGTTCTGATAATGGGGTGATTCGAGTGTGGCAGTACTATCCTCCTCTTGCAACGACCATATTTTCCACTGAGATCAATAGCTTCGCGGATGGATTTCACTTTAAAATGACACTGGGGTCGGGTTCTTTAGAAGTCGTTGAGTGCTGGTCTAGGCTATGCCACTCTTCTCGTAGGCGCCATGTCTGCCGGCTGAGAGCTTGCTACTGCGCGGACTGTGTGCCCGAATCCAGAGGTAGCAAATAACCACAATCACGCCGCCCAGGGCCAGCTTCACAATCAGGCTAAGACCTTCTGCGGAGCTCTCCTTGAGCCCAGTAACGATTTCGCTAGCGTGGTCATGTAAAGGTGTGTTTAGAGCACCGCCAATGGTGTCCTTGAGCTCATCCATCGCTCCCTTGCCAAGGACAGGAACGATACCTTCTTCGTTGAGCGGCATAGACGGCTCCGCAGTGCCCTCGAGACCTATCAACGGGTCAGCCTGCTATCCACGCCGCGTCTGCAACCAGTACCCACGTACTGGCCTACAGCTCGGCCCTAATACCTTCTTCGGGCATCTCGAGCTCGCCGCTCTTCTTGATCTTCACCGTCTGGGCAGGCTTGTCGCCAGCGCCCTTTGCGACGTTCTCGATCTTGTCAACTACATCGTAGCCCTCGAGAACTTCACCGAAGACGACGTGTCTGCCGTCAAGCCAGCTGGTGATGACGGTGGTGATGAAGAACTGAGAGCCGTTGGTGTCCTTGCCGGAGTTTGCCATGCCTGTAGTCATGTCAGTTCCCGTCGCCGCTACAATATTGCGTAAGCCCTTATTTAACATACTCAAAAGACCCTTTTTGCTATGCTTAAGCTTAAAGTTCTCGTCCGGGAACTTCGAGCCATATATACTTTTCCCGCCGGTACCGTCACCGTTCGTGAAGTCACCACCCTGGATCATGAATTGTTTGATCACTCTGTGGAAGGTCGACCCCTCGTAGCCGAAACCCTTCTCTCCCGTTGCCAATGCTCGGAAGTTCTCAGCTGTCTTCGGCACAGTTTTGCCGTACAGGCCCATGACTATCCGTCCCAGATCCTCGTCGCCATGCTGAATGTCGAAGTACACCTGAAATGCTCTTGTTAGCATGGTCACAGGTAGGAAGTAGCGTTATGGCGTCGGTTTCCGTACCTTGTGAGTGATCTTGGGTCCCTTCTGCGCCTCTCCACTCTGGGCGAAGAAGATGAATGTGAAAGTCAGTATCAGCAGGACGCTGATGACAAGCCTCTGGATGCTCGCCATGCTGAAAGGATTCGTGCTAATGTATTACAGCTTGATAATGTGCTTCGCATTCAGCAACGTAGCTCCAGCGCTGCAAGGGACCGAGGGGCCATTGCGGAGCTGGTGGCTTGGCATTGAAGATCGCGGAAGCCAGCGAGATGCGAGAGCGAAGGCGTTTGGGACTTAAGCATACCTTACTACAACTTCACGTGGGACGGTATAAAACAGACTGTCATCATGGTTAGCCTCTCAATTGGGTTGTGCCGGGCAACGCTGACGGGATCAGGTGTTCATCTTCGGCGTCAATTTCAGCGAGCAACAGCTCGTCGCCAAAGCTCTGCAGTCTTTCTACGGCATCGGACCGCACGTGTGCAAAGGCATCATGGCGAAGTACTTCATCCACAACACTGCCAAAGTGGGCGCGCTGCAAGGACGACAGCTGGACGACCTAGGTGCGGAGCTAAGCACGATGACCATCGAAAACGACCTGAGGCGGCAGGTTGTGGACAACATCAAGCGGCTACGGGATATGGGCACATATAGGGGCAGAAGACATGCTATGAGTCTGCCGGTGCGCGGACAGAACACGAGGAGTACTCAGGTAGGTGTCCGCCTTAAGTGCGGGTTGTATGACTGGACTTGTGACTGATTGATGCCTAGATTCTCACCGCCCGGAAACTGAACAGGATAGAACGTAGAGGATGATGAGTCACGGTCGGTATCTTGTATGCATTTAAGCGAGCATCGGGCGGCGCGTGGCGGTGTTATGATACCCTTTGCACGACGGTCAGGCAGTAAGCGCACGACTGATAGGGAGTTTGGGATCTGAGACAGCGTGCAATGTTGCGCAGACACCACAGCCTGCAATATGCTGTTTTGCGACATTGTCGAGAATCTTTTTCTGGCCCAACGCCAGCATAGCAGTGTCTGTTGGTACAAATGATCAATTAACGACAGTCTATCGCTAGTACTTCCTGGCCAATAAGCCAGCCTCCAAGCGCCCATGCTATGCAAGTAACCTCGATGATGGTAACACCAAGGTCCGAATCCGATTGCTCGCTGAATGCGTCATGACGAATCGACAACATGGTGACCCATCTGCCTGCCTGCCTGCCTGCCTGCCTGCCTGCCTGCCTGCCTGCCTGCCTGCCTGCCTCCCTTGTAGGTGCGCCGTCCCTTCTCTGAACGCCTCCGTAACCCGCGAGACCAACCAAACAGCAAAGAAGGATATGAAACTAGTCTACAGCAATCTCAATGTGCTGACACCGTGCTTCCAACAGTGGTCATGCGAACCAGCCATGTAGCGCACGGTTCGTTGTTGGCGTCGGAGTGTCTCAGAAGCCTGGTGAGAGTCAGATGGTGGTGGTTCTAGGCAACAGCGCACACCGGGGTACAAGAAGGATGGTTTACACACCTTTAGCGCAACAGTAGGCTGCTTGTGTTTTCTTTACTACTTCGTTCCGCCCTCGCGAGGCTGTACCGGCTTGGGCTTACGGATTGGCTGCGAGCCGCTGAAGCAGCGATTGCTGCCATCCTCTCTTGGCTGAGGACCTAAGAGACGACGCCTGCTGCCCGGGTCTCGAGGTGGAATTGGTTGAGGTGGTCGTCCTCCACCATTGGTGCCATTGTTGCTGCCGTAGAAGCCTTGGTCGATGCGGATGTGGCGACCATCCTCATCTCTGGGTTGAACTGGCTTCCCAGGCCTCGGTCGTTGTGGTGATCGGCCGGTGCCTGGGTCCCGAGGTTGAGGATCCACGCTGCTGTAGGACAGCTTGGAGGGTGTGCTTGCTGTCATGCTGCTTTGGGTTTGGCTTGAGGACTTGTGAGATCTTTGTTCGGTCTTGTCTGGTTTCTATTGGCTGTGCCGTGTATTGGTGCGTGATGGTTTCAGCTGTGGTGTTGGTGCCACTGGAAGGTGTAATGTTGAAACAACAGTCCCTGGTATTAGCATGTAAAACGTTTATTATATTGGTTCATCTGGCTTGTTGAGACCGCCCTGGGCGCGTTACTGAATCACAGTCATCAATGCGCCCTCACAATGGATTGTTGGTTGTTGCCTAGGGGTGCGGCCCTTCCAGGCGCAGACCTTGGGCGAAAGTATAAGAGCCGTGAATGACTGCGTTCTTTTCGGGGAGACCGGCGCCCTCTGGAAGAGTTTTTCGAAGGCATGATCTTTTGCCTTGAGCTAGGAACGCGGAATGGGTATGATAGTACGGAAAAAGGTGGCATAGTATCAGCTAGAACAGCATGCGGGAAAAGGCCAATGTGCCAAGAAGGGCACTGCGGTGGAATCGTAGACAGGGGACAATGAAATGGTCCACTTAGCCTTCAACACAAAGGTATGACTGAGTCTCCGATGACATTTCTCTACAGCACCTCCGCCGCACCTGATGCTCTTGGAGGGTGCTATTCGACAGGAGGAAGAGCAGCGTAGCGCGGGCGTGATGCCTGGAGGCCTGGCGGCCTCGCCAAGGCAGTTTTAAGGCAGCGGGCCCACTTTCGCATCTGAAGCTGAATGACGACTGGGCTGCAAGTGTTGTGACTGTTGGACATAGCCGATTACTGCGCGTTGCGACGGAGTGAAAGCAGGAGACGAGACGGAAAGTCGAAGCTAGAGAAGCTTCACCGGAACGGCTGAAGTGAAGCCTCGGTTAGGGTTGCCCCTCTATGCGCGTCTATTCGCAAAGCTCCCTCCGCCGTAACGCCTTATGCAGGAACGCAGAGATCTCGCAACAACCGCGGTCACAACAGCTGCGGTGATTGCATCGGCGCTGCATGAGATCTGCTTACATGAATCGCGAAGCGGTGGTATTGCGATGTCGGCTCTCTCTGTGTTATGCAGCTGTCCGCCAACAATCTGTACAGGTCCAAATTAATTCGTGATCGCACCTGAGGCACCAATGTGCGAACTGTGCGAAGGCGCTTCGTCTGGTCACTCCAGCTCCGCCCCTCAGCTGAAGTGCCACTCACTGCACATGACCAGTCGTTCCGCTTCTGATGAAACGTTCACAAATGACGCTACCGTGCATAGGTTTGCTGTGGCTCTACGAATGAGCCTGCCAATCAGGCTTCGTCCTGTGCTTGATCTCGTGCTGCAATGCTTAGAACATCGTAGAACGAAGCGGGAGAAGGGCGGGAGAAGACCATATGAGACCGCCCATGGCCGCGTATGCTCTTGCGGCGCTTGAGCCCTAGAAAGGTCTGAGTCATTCAGTGACGCTTGCGCCGCTTGCTTCACTCGTCCCAAAGCTTCCATTCGTTTGGGGCGAGTACCTGCCGTTGTTCCTGACACTGCGAAGCGGAGACGTCGGACCACGCTACCAATGCTTTGAGTTTGGAAATACAAGCAACGAACGTCTGCACCGCCCTCTAACAACATCGCCTTAATTTTATTGCTGCTATTCTTCATCGCTGTCGGGCGTGTCCATCGGCTCGTCATCTTCATCATCTTCACCGTCCTCAATATCTTCGGCATCATCGGCCTCCTCACCATTGCCATCGGGCGGCTCTAAGCCATAGTCATCCTGGAATGACTCCAATGTGCGAGATTGAGGCCTAAAGCCCTCCTTCTCAAAGCGGGCAACGAGGTCATTGCACATGACCTGTGCGCAGGTGACGAACATGTTGCAGGTGGCTGGGTTGAAGGCAGGCACCATGTATCTCTTCATCGCCTCTTTGACTTGCTCAGGCGTCACCGCTCGAACCTTGGCAAGCATCTGATGGTTCCAATCCTTAGGCACGCCGCGTATCACCTGACTGAGGTAACTCGCATCTGCTGCGGACGCCATAGTGGGCTGTTCGTTCGCCATGCCAAGCACGATCTCGCTGATGGCGCCCTCAAGGGCCAGCTTCTCCAAGCGTAGTTCGCCACTTGCATAGCCTTCGACTTGCTCCTTGCACTTCGTCCAAGCCTTGTACGTGTCCGGCGATCGATAGATGGTAAATGTAACTACACCCGTATCCAGAGCTAAGCGCCAGAACGTGCCGTAAGCCAGGCCAGGGCCACGCACACCATTCCACAGCGGGCCTTCGACGGCGTCCATGTATGCAGCCGCTACCCTCAGTGCAGGCACATCTGGATGGGTCAGACCTTCAGGACCTTTGATTGCAAGCACAGCGAATGAGGAGTCGGTCGCTGCCAAGGGAACAAAGTATGCTAGCGAGCCCGGGTTCTTCCCGATGTCGCTGAGACAAGCTTTGCGGTCGTCGAGCGGTCGTAAAGGTTGATTCATATCGAGCCCGTCCGTGAGTGCGTTCCAAGCAGATACAGGTCTTGACAGTTTCTCAATATTTGCAGCCACGTACACTCTGAAGTTTTCGGGCTTATGGAGGGCCTGACGAAGCTGCTTAAACTTGTCAAGCACCATTTGCTCATCGGCCTTGAGCCAGTTCCTGATGCGTCGTAAGTAGAGCGCTTTGGACAGCGTGTTCTGTGCTCTGCCGGATGACGTGCGCTCGAAGTGCTCCATGTTAAGAACAGCCATGGCCATGCTGTCTGCGTCGCGCTTCTCTTCTGGGATGTCGGCAAGAATCTTGGTGAGAGATGCAGACAGTCGTACGGGGTCGTCTATTGCGTCAAATAGCATGGTTCGCAACCAGCTAATGATGCTTTCATATCGATCGCTCTCCGCTTCGAACGATACGCTCAGCATCTCGACGTTGCCGCGTACTGTGTTGATCGAATAAGATACAGTCTCTCGTTCGAGCTCAAGCACAACATCTTCGAACTCAATTCTGGCGCCATCGCGCATGACCGGCGTCGTGAAGAAGTTTGCCAGATACAAAGTCAACAGGGGCTTCAGCTCAATCGGCACCATGGCAGTGCACATGTTCAGGTTGATGCGCACGAAGTTGGAAGGAATATGCTCGAAATGAATGAACAGCGAAGAGGCATTGTCGTCCTTGTCGATCGTGGTCTGGATGTTATTCTCCAGCTTGCCCATCTTTCGCGCAGCGCCTGCTCGTGCGGTCGTCGTTGATATAAAGTGTATCGTCTCCGCATCTGGCACTTTGAATTGTTCGAGCAATGACTCTGGAATTGGCCGGTTATTCTCGGCCTGAGCTTGCTTCAGCTGCTCCGCGAGCTGCAGCATGCCCTGCTCTCCAAGCTTCGCTCTCTGCGCTTCCACGCGAGCTTTCTCATTGGCGGTGGTCTTCTCGGAAAGCTCCTTGGAGGGCACTCCCAAGATCGAGATGTGCTCAGCATTAGCGAGCCACCCCCTCAACAACTCTCGCCAAGCGTCCTCGGAAAGCAACGCCAGGTCATCGAACTCTTTGAGACTCTCAAGATGCTTGAGGTCACGACCCGCACGGTCACCGTACAGATGGTCTTCGAGCACAAGGGTCGAGAAGAAATCGCCCGCATTCTCGCTCCGAGCAACTACCTGCCGTCTCAGACGCTTTAGGCAGTCGTGCAGGTAGCCCATGTTGAGGGGTTGATTCGCCACATCCTTCAGCAGTGCTACGAAGCGTTTCTCCACATCGGCAAGCCTGTCCGTTTCGACAGCTGACAGATAGAAGATCAGCGCAGAGTCTAGACGCTCCTCGGACTGGCAATAGACCATGCTACACAGCTGCTCCTGTTCAACGAGAGTGTTCTCGAGCACTGAAATGGAAGAGCCACACAAGTATTGCGTAAGAACAGCCATAGCATTACTCTTCTCATGATCGTCGTAGCGAGGACCGACGTAGCCGATCATGATGTCTCCCATTGACTCGTCCTCTTCAGGGAAGTATACTGCCTTCACTGAAGTCTGCTTGACTCGTGGAGTGTTGGACGAAGTGATCCAAGGTCTCTGGAACGGCTCTTCCACAGATGGTACATCCTCCATGATCGAGCTCTCAAATCTGTCGAGTATCGCTAACAGCTCGTTATGATCAACCTCGCCGGTCAGGATGATGCGCATGTTCTTCGGTTGATACATCTCCTTGTGGTAAGACCGGATGCGATCGGCTGTTAATACACGAAGCGCCTCCATCATACCTCCGGTCTCGTAGCGGTAACCATTGCCCTCAGGATACATTAACCGCCGAAGCTCCAGGTCCATCAGCTCCTGGGAAGTATTCTGCGTCGCCTGCATCTCGGAATAAACAACGCCTGCGTCGTTGCCTTCACCATCTATGTGATGTACTTCGGTGTAGCATCCGGCGTCCGTGAGAGTGGGCACGATGAGATGGTCTAAGTAGACTGGAAGCATCTGCGCAAATGCCGCCCATCCTGCTGTGTCGAGTGTGTACGTTGTGTTATCTACAGACGTCCAAGCATTTGTGGTACTGTACATCCGAGTAGCTAGCTTGTCCAAGAGTCCTTTGTAATGGTACTGCTTTGAACCCATGAAGACAAGATGCTCGAGAGTGTGAGGTGCGCCAGAGTCGTCGTGGATTTCGGTGGCCACAGCGAAGTAGCCATTGATCTTTGGACCCGGCTGGTCAACGACGGCCACCCGCATGCCCGTCCTCGCCGATTCATACTGGGTGATCGTAACGGGGGCATACTCCAATTGGAGCTTCTGCACGGTCCGGAAACGAGGCGCTTCGTCGTGGACGGAAGGCATTTCGACCAAACCACCTTAAATATTGAGCTTCTGAGGTGCTAACGCACGCCAGAGGAACGCAGAGAAGCTTACTCCAACGATAGACACTGCCTAGGTAGGTATCATGCGTAGTCTGACCGTGAGTACGGCTTGTGTGTATGGGAACAAGCTGGGAAGCAGAATGCGTTTGGAGAGATCGTTGAGTTTGACAAACGAGAGAGCACCGGATAACGAGATCTGCAGCTCGCGCGCATACCTTGCGGGATAGAGGCACCTACATAATGTAACCTGTGTCTCACCATTGATGGGAGACGACGCAGAAAAGCGTCCATGCCTGAGGCAGCAGGTTGCGAGGGGGCGACATCCTCTACCATTCACGGATTGGAGCTTCGATAAAGCAGAGAAAGGTGGCAGTATTTGCTGTGCCGAATTGTTGCTGCGAGTGCTAAAAGCTGGCTTTGACGGTGTTGTTTGTATGTGCAACTCTGGCCGATAACTTGGGGCGCCGTCACCGGCAAGACAGCCTGATTTGCGGCTATTGGTTGGTGGGTTGGCAAGACACGATACAAGGACGGGAAGCTTGGATTCTCCACGCCGGAAGCGCACAAAGCTTCTCGGCCTCGCATCTGGCGCATCAGCCACGTAACGTAAGGGTCGGCTGGATCGTATCGTGAAGTCCGAGTCAGCTAGCGAGCGGTAGCCAACGGCAAGCATGTGAGCGCAACTATCCACCTTTCTATTCCATTCACTGTGTCTTTCATTTTCTGCCAATGTTGCTGCCACTAATGGTATAGATGGTTGCGGAATACATGTCGCTACCCGGATCGCCGTTGCGTCCCATGCAAAAAAGCCGCCCGCCATGAGCTCCTTGCAACACATCCTGGCTGATGAGCCGGCGGACCCTTCCAACGCTGCTGCACCAGCACTCGAACTGAAGTCTGCCTCGAGCTCTGCTGCAATGCCTCCGCCGCCCTCAATCCCGGTCCACGGAAGCTTAGACGACAATGCCGCCGACACACCCAAGGACGAGGATGACGTGCAGCACACCTCGACGACGACCAGCACCAGGCGCAATCCCAGCGGCAGTATCTCATCAGTGTTCTCCGGCAACAAGATGAAACACCTGAAGAAGGAAGACGGCATCCCACTGTGGCGCAAAGACATCCAGTACGAGTTTCTTCGACTCGTCTTTTACGACACAACAAGATGCTTCGCGAAATACAGCATGGGACCGGGAAAGGACAAGAGCAGCTTTACCTTTGCTGAAATCTACATCGACGCCATGGCGAGAAGCAGCAAGTGCAGTAAGATATTGAAGGAGAAGCTCTTGGCGGACACGGAAGGTGCCATATCCATGGCTATGGTATGCTTGCTCGTCAATGTGGGCAGGATGAATACCACTCTCAACTGTGAGTCTCCCGCTCGCATGCACCTGGCTCTTACACTAACCCTGCACAGTCTTCCCGGAAATGCGAGCTCAGCTTCGCACTTACCACTCCATCCCAGCCCTGCAAGCAAATCAGGACCCGAACACATACAAGCAGTTGCAAGACGCACCACGTCTGAAGTCAATACTCAAGGGTGCTACGGAAGACGAACCTCAACCGAACACTCTAGACGACATCCAAACAGCAAGGGTACCTCGTACGAATCCGGTGAACTTGATCTTCGTCATGAGCCAGTACGCGCCCAAGATCACGGAAACGCACTTTCAACAACCTCGAGACTTCTTCGACCTGGTCATGCGAGGTAGTCTTAGCAGTGCCAGTCGAGCAAAAGCGTTCCTTTGGTTAATCTGGTGGTACCTTGAGAGCAACTTCACCCGCGAAGATGCGGAACGGAATCCGTTCGGTCCCGGGCAGTACGGCGAAGGCGAAGAAGGCACTGATGCAATGCCCATCAAGGTACCGACTCTGGAGAGCTTGACCGAGGAGCAAGCTGCTCTTGAGAATGTCGATACCGAAGAGGAAAAGCATTTTGGCGAGGTCAAGCGGAAGGAGCGAATCGCCATTCTTGCAAGCGAGCCTAGTCCGGCAATGACAGCTTTGAAGCGAGCACGGAAGGAGAAGGGTCTAACATCTGCGCGGGATACTGGACATGGATCGGACGAGGAGACGAATGAGCATGCCTGGTATAGAAATGGTAAGCACCTCCCTAAGCGCCTTCCTCGCCTGTTTGCCTGACGAGCTGCTGATGTGTTGAAGGGCCGTCCGCAATGAGACCGTCTGGCTTGCATCACGAAACGGGCAGTGAGTACACTCGATCACCATCTCCGGTCACAAGCCATGGCTTCCAGGCTGTCAATCTTGCTAAGCCAGTGGGCGATATGCGAATCAACAACCTCTTGAATAATGACGAGGCTTCAATGGACACACCGTCCGCTCAGCCCGGTGCGTCTAAGAAAGGACCTGGCAGAGGCAACTGGCGAAGGAACAGGACTAAGCAGGAACCTGTCCCACTTGCTGTCCGCGGGACCGAAAACTCTTACCACGTTCCGCTGGCACCGAACACAGGTCAGCTAAGCTTCGTCACCGAGGTCCCAAACGGTCAGCTACAGCCAGCGACGCCGGGCTCGCCATATGCGCAATACGGTAATGGACTGTCGCACCATTCGCCGCAGCAGACACTTTCCTTCCAGCCACCCGTTACCCGAGATCATATTCCAACACCGTCGTATCAAGCCCAGAAACGTAACCGCGGCGTCACGCAGCATCAGTCTGCTCTCATCAACCACCGAAGACAACAAATTGATTATATGCTCGACCGGCGAATCCGCAAAGTCCACGCTCGTGCACGCGGCATCCGCGAAGACGAAGGCGCAATCATCCGGGCTTGGAAGCGCATCCGCCTAATGCCCACTGAGTACGACTCCGAAGAAGAAGCGATCCGGGCACGTAAGCTACGAGACAAAACGGATGACGACTGGCGTGTTTCGAAAAACAAAGAGAACACGGAAACGCCTGAAGAGCTTGAGGCTCTCCGTAAGCCGAGAGTGCTTTACGCAGGTCTGGCCCTACCTATCTCCGTCGAGACGAATGATGTCGGTGAGCAAGCATTAAGCCTAGCCAAGACGTTTCGGCGCACCTTCCGAAGGCTGGAGCGATGGGAGGATACCAATCTGCCGGGTCAGTCGATGCTTAGGCGGCAGCATATGTTGTCCCGAGGGATGCTGCCATCACAGCGGTACAGCTATGCGCCGCACATGGATCACGACGGGTTCGAGTTTGTTGACTCGGAGTATTCGCGGAGAGGGGCCATTCAGCGGCAGAGGAGCGGGACGGGGCGCGGGAGTGAGCGCCGGATCTTAGCTGCGTCTGCTGGTGATGCGCAGAGGGGCGGCTACGATATGGAGGATGATGAGGGTGGTGGCGAGCTGGACGAGGAGGAGAGGGAATTGCTTGGGGAGGTCGATGCCGACGAAGACGAGGATGAGGACGAAGACATGGCTGATAATTGAAAGAGCAATGCGCATTGTTCATTGCAGAAGATACGAAACTGAACAGGACGAAGCGGCAACTTCGACGTGGCCGCACCATTAATTCATACACCGGCTCGATACAGATAATAGACTTCCCCTTCAATGCTTCATGTCTGAACCGCCACGTGCGCTGACGTCGTAAATGCCCGGGAATCGGGAGATCGGCAACTTCCCCACGGACATTAAGCCGCAACCCACTTGCGCCTTCCCAAAAGCGTGAAGATGCGATGCGTACCTGGCAGCTTCGCCGCAACTTTTCTGGCAAAGTGGCGCGTGCAGCTTCCCACTCTCTCACCGTCCCCAAGCAACACCTTCCTGCCATTGACTTATCATAGAGGCAGCGACGAAGCAGCAGATAAACATTGAGATCTTGATCTCGCTGCTCGCTTCCGTCTTGTCTGTGAGATTGACATCTCCAGACCTGTCCTTTTACCGCCGTTCCGTCTGCAAGCAGTCCATTGCTCAACCAAGCAGCATTCTCTTGTATATCTTCCAGTCTGTCCATACAGCTGTTGATCTGTATTGTACAGTACTCCAAACCAGCGACCTAATATACCCTATCCTTTGACACTGTCCACCTCTTGCCTAACACCCAGGGCTGCACTCGGCATCCTCACTGCCCACAGACGGTGGCCGACAAGATGGCACCTCAGCAAGTCAGCAACCACACCGTCTACCTCTTGCCGCTCAAGGATGACGGCTCTCCCGACCTGCCCGGCGACCCGCCTTATGTCTACCTCTCTCCTCCCACAGTTCCGGCCTACAGCGTCCGCTTCCAGATCGAGGGCACGAGCTCGATATGCCGGCAGGGCAGTCTGTGGGTGAACATTCCGGCAAAGGGAGAGCACTTTGATCGGCAGAAGTTCAGGGAGTTCAAGTGAGTTCAGGTCACCTGAATGCTTTCGAGGGGACATGACATTGACTGCGATGCCTAGGTTGACGCCCAACTTCAACGACTCGATCAAAATTGACGTTCCCATCCACTATGCCGGTGCCTTCTCCTTCTACTGCACTTACACTCCCTTGCCGCCTTTCACGACTGGCAAGGTGGAAGCGCCAAAGCCTACCAAGACGCCGAATTTCTACATCGATGTCTCGCCCGCCTTGCACGTCCAAAAGCAGCGCATACCCCTCGACGCGATCTCCATGATCTCTGTCTTGTCCAAGTTCATGGGCAAATACCCCGATGACTGGGACCGCCATCTTCACGGCATCAGCGAGCGAGGCTACAACATGGTGCACTTCACGCCGCTCATGATTCGTGGTGACAGCAACTCGCCGTATTCAATCTACGATCAGCACACCTTCGACAAGGCCGTCTTTCCGCGCGGCGAGAAAGATATCGAAGAGCTTGTCACGAAGATGAACGAAGAGTACGGCTTGCTAGGTCTTACGGATGTTGTCTGGAATCACACGGCCAACAACAGCAAGTGGCTCGAACAGCACCCCGAATCAGGTTACAACATCAACACCGCACCGCATCTACGTCCAGCGTACGAACTCGACAGCTCTTTACTCAAGTTCTCATCGAACTTGAAGAACCTTGGCCTACCGACCCATCTCAGCAACGAGGGTGACCTGTTGCGCATCATGGAGGCTGTCAAGGTTCACTGCATCGGTGCCATCAAGTTGTGGGAGTTTTATATTTGCGATGTCGAGCATAGCGCCCAGACCGCTGTCTCTGCGTGGATGGAGAATAAGGCTGACCTGGACTGCCCTCTCGAAGACGATGTGCAATCGTGGCCACTAAAGCAAAAGGCCGACTGGCTGCGTGAACATGCCTGTCCTGGCAAAGATCGTATGGGCGAGCGTTTCCGTCGGAACACCGTTCCCGAGCGCGCTGCTGCTTTGCTGCAGAAGCTCTTCGGTAGGTACAACTCGAAGGTCAACAGCGCCGGCGATGAGCGAACCGCCTTCGGCACCATGCACCGCTTTTTGAATGAGCTGAACCTGGACTGGTACCGCGAGTACGACAATGACGTTGCGGCCATCATGGAACAAGTCTTCAATCGCACGAAGTACATGCGCCTTGACCCTCACGGACCGCAAGTCGGCGATATCACCATTGAGAACCCGCTCATTGAGTCGTACTTTACTCGTCTGCCGGTCAATGACACCACAAGCGGGCATGATCCTGACTCATTGGCTCTTGCGAACAACGGTTGGGTCTGGGCGGCGGACGTCATGCGTGACAATGCTGGTCCTAAGTCTAAGGTCTACCTCCGCCGAGAGCTCATCGTCTGGGGCGACTGTGTCAAGCTCCGCTACGGCAGTGGTCCCGATGACAGCCCGTTCCTCTGGAAGTACATGACCGAGTACACGCAGCTGATGGCCAAGCACTTCTACGGCTTCCGCATTGACAACTGTCACTCGACGCCTCTCCACGTCGCCGAGCACATGCTGGACGCCGCAAGACAAGTGCAGCCAAACCTCGTTATTGCTGCGGAGCTGTTCTCTGGTGACGAGAAAATGGACTTCCTGTACTGTCAGCGACTTGGCATCAGTTTCCTGATCAGAGAGGCGATGCAATGCTGGTCTACTGCGGAGATGAGCCGGCTAGTACACATCAACTGTGGGCGGCCTATTGGGTCGTTCGAGGTTGATGACGTCTCCGGCGCAGACCCCAAGACGCAGGCGAACGGTAACCTGACCAACGGCGTGCCTCAAGGTCGAGAAGTCATCCACAAGGTTGTGCCGTCGAAGATTCACGCTCTGCTCATGGACTGCACGCACGACAACGAGACGCCTGTGCAGCGGAGGGACGGCCGGGACACGCTGCCTAACGCTGCTCTGGTCGCCATGTGCGCTTCAGCGTCTGGATCCAACTTCGGCTACGATGAACTGTATCCGCAGCTCATTGAGCTTGTGCACGAAACGCGTCCTTACAGCTCACCTTACAGCAATCTCAAGCCGGACGAGAGCTTGCGCATTGGACCAGGTGACGGCGCAGGTACTGTCAAGCGTCTAATGAACCAGCTGCACAGGATCATGGGTATGGACAACTACGATGAGTGCTTCGTACACCACGAGGGCGAGTACATCACCGTCCATCGCATCCATGCCAAGTCGCGGAAGGGCTACTACTTGATCGCGCATACCGCGTTCCCGGGCTACGGCAATGGTAACGCTGGCTTCCCGCCGCAAAAGCTCAGTGGCACCAAGGCCAAGCTGCTCGGAGCGTGGAACCTGGAGTGCGACCAGAGCTCGGAAGCAAAGCAGGCTGCCATCAACGACAAGGTCCTGCGCGGTATTCCCAGCAAGACCAAGGATCTGAAAGGCGTGCAGTGTGAGTCTCGCGGTGAGGATACTGTCATCACCGTTGGCGACAAGTTCCCACCAGGTTCCATTGCGGTCTTTGAGACATGGATTCCGGGCGCCGAGCACAGCGAAGGCTTGGACAAGTACGTTACCACCGGAGCACGCGATGCGTTCAAGAACGTCAGCTTGACAGATTTAAATGCGATCCTATACCGTGCCGACTCCGAAGAGCGTGCGAACAGTGGAGGCGCGGACGGTGTCTACACCATCCCGAACCACGGTGCGCTCGTATATTGTGGCTTGCAAGGCTGGTGGTCAGTTCTACGCGATATCATCGCCCACAACGACCTCGGTCACCCAATGTGCAACCACCTGCGTGACGGTCAGTGGGCCTTGGACTACATCGTTGGCCGGCTCGAGAAACTTGCGCAGCGCGACATCTACGCCAACCTTGCTGCTCCCGCGGAATGGCTCAAGACACGCTTCGACGCGATTCGCAAGGTCCCAAGCTTCCTACTACCGCGGTACTTCGCCTTGGTCATTGGTACCGCGCATCGTGCCGCCTTCGACCGCGGTATCGAACAGATGAGCCCCAACGTGCAGCACGGTCAACAATTCCTCAAGAAGCTCGCCATGGTGTCGTGCCAAATGCTCGGCTATGTAGAAAACGCCTCGCTTTGGCCGGACAAGCTTGTGCCGGCGCTCGCCGCGGGTCTGCCGCATTTCGCTCAGGACTGGGCCCGTAACTGGGGCCGAGACACCATGATCGCCATGCGCGGCTTGCTCATCTGCACCGCACAGTATGCGGACGCGAGAGAGCACCTGATGTGCTTTGCCAGCGTGGTCAAGCATGGCATGATCCCAAACCTGCTCGGCTCTGGCAAGATCCCACGGTACAACAGCCGCGACTCGGTTTGGTTCTTCCTGCAAAACATCCAGGATTATGTCACGCTAGTACCCCAGGGCGAGTCGATCCTCAAGGAGCAGGTCAGGCGGCGCTTCCTACCATACGACGACACATGGTTCCCTTGGGACGATCCGAGAGCATACTCGAAGAGCAGCAGCATCGAGGACGTCATCCAGGAGTGTCTGCAGCGCCACGCCGCCGGCATGCACTTCCGCGAGTATAACGCCGGCCCAGCCATTGACAGTCAGATGAAGGATGACGGTTTCAACATTGACATCGAGGTCGACTGGAGCTCCGGTATCATCTACGGCGGCAACGAGCACAACTGCGGCACGTGGATGGACAAGATGGGTGAGTCGACCAAAGCCGGCAACAAAGGCGAGCCGGGCACTTCCCGCGACGGCGCGCCAGTGGAGATAACCGGTCTGCTGTACAGCGCGCTAGAGTGGGTCGACGGGCTCAAGAGCGCTGGACACTTCAAGTACGACGGCGTGACGAAGAGCGATGGCCAGCTGATCACGTACGGTGCGTGGGCGGCGAAGCTCAAGAGCAGCTTCGAGCATGCATACTACATCCCCACCAACCCCGATGAGTGGAAGGACTACGATGTTAACCCGAAGATCGTCAACCGCAAGGGTATCTACAAGGATGTCCACCGCGGCAAGAAAGAGTACAGGGATTACCAGCTGCGGCCCAACTTCCCGATCGCCATGACTGTCGCTCCGGACCTCTTCAACCCCACTCATGCTCTCGGTGCGCTCGAGGTCGCAGACAAGGCACTTCTTGGCCCGACCGGTATGGCGACGCTTGACCCCAGCGACCTCGAATACCATCCGGACTACATCAACAGCGACGATAGCGACAACTTCCACACTGCGCACGGACGCAACTATCATCAAGGACCCGAGTGGCTGTGGCCTCGCGGCTTCTTCTTGCGCGCGCTGCTCAAGTTCGACCTGCAGCGCCGCCAGACACATGAGGAGAAGGTCGAGGCGTTCCAACAAGTCACGCAGAGGTTGCTCGGCTGCATGAAGATGATCCATGAGAGCCCCTGGGCTGGGTTGACGGAGCTCACGAACAGGAATGGGAGCTACTGCAATGACTCGGTAAGTCGTACTGCTGTTCCTCATGCATGCATATAAAGTCGCTAACGGTGGTTGCAGTGCCCGACTCAAGCGTGGTCCGCAGGGTGCATAATAGATCTCTACGACGACGCGAGCAAGTACAGCAGCGAGTTCCTGCATGATGGTCAGTCCTCGCAGAAGGCATGATTGGGTCTCCGCGACCCGGGCACGACGTTACGATGGATGAGTGTACGTTTGCGTTGGGCCGAAACATCAGCGGCATAGATTGGCGAAGGCAAGGCCCATTGGGAGTTGTGGATGGAGTATCATTTTGACGGTGTGGTGACAGAGTACTACGCTACTTCACCTGAGCGATGTCGATACATGTGCAGCGCTTGTACACTGTCTAAATACCTGGTGTAATCGATTTTCCGCTCTCAGAGCAGAAACACGCCGAATGAAGCTTAGAAAAGTTGCAGTCAAGTAGCAGTGTCCGACATGGAGCTGCATGCTGCGTAAGTTGGCATGTACAAACAGCCGTTGCTGGTCACCAAGGTTGGGGTAGGGGCGACAGAAGAGGTCCCTGTGGCGATGATTGTAGCTGAGGGGGTTGACAATCCTAAGCTTCTGGCGCACGGAGTACGATATGCTTTTCGCTCGCCTCCCACCGCAGGCACTGACTCAGACCACTCCATTGCTAGCTCAGCCGCTCTTCGCAAACCGCCTCGCAACTTCCTCGATGCCCGGACCGCTATAACTCCGGTCGTAGTGCCTGCCTTGGACTTCGTACTCCCACGAGTTGGCTGCCCAATGATCCCAGTACCAAACCTTGGCGGCTCCGAACTTGGCCACGTCAGCGCGGAAGTCTTCTCTGTCCTTTTCCGTGAAATCCTTGATCTCCGCCGGCTTGCCGTTGATGTGCGTGTACAAGTCCGCGACTTCCTGACCTGTCGGCCAGAAAGTGACTACAGAGTGTTCCGTGTTCTTGATAGTCTGAGGGTCGGAGGTAGCCAGTTCGTTCAAATACCACGCGAGATGGTCAATCGTGCTGCGGAGTATCAGCATAACCCGTTGAGGATCGGGTGAGCCGATACACTTACGTGATGGCGACACGATTGCGCATCTGCTTTTCGTTGGCCCACACCACGTTCTGCCCCAGCACGCAGCCCACGAAGCTAGACGCACGAGTGTCAGCACATCACGCCAGAGACGACAAAACGGGCTGCTCACCCGTAAGAGAAGAAGTAGACGTCGAAGACTCCGGTGTAGACGGCGGTAATCCCAATGTCTTTCTCAATGGCACGGTCCCACCCGGCATGCACGAACTTGAGGAAGGGGCCGAGTGCCGGATCCGCTTCGTTTGCTTTCGACCGTGTCGTGGCGTAGACCGAAGGCACGTAAGTCACAAGGTCCGGCGACTTGGAAAGTGCCTCGACGAGGTTGGGCTCGTGTGGCAACGCACCGAAACCCACTGCCGAGCTGCAGAGTGTCAGTAGGTACCATTATCGTGAAATAGTAATGCGAGATTGTACATAAAAACATTGATGCCCCTGACGGCCTTCTCGATATCTGTCATTGGGCCTTCGATGTCTATCTCCCGCAGTTCGACATGGGAGTGTCCTTCAACCCCCTTGGGTGGGTTGCTGCTTCGATAGAGCAGGACCAGCTCGATCTTGCCAGCGGCAGCCGACTGGAGCAAGAGCTTCGCCGTGGCTCCGCCAACCAGGCCATTGGCACCCAAAAGACCAACAACGTGAACCATTATGACGATCTAGCGTGAATTAGCTCGACATTGGGTACGAAGTCCGCTGTTTGATGAACACGAGTGTAACGGTTCCCAATGGTGACCTTGAGACAGGACGGGTATGGACCGTTATTGTATCAGTGCGATGCTCAGCTTAACACCGACCAAGTCGAATCACGGTTGGTCATCTGTTCCGTGCTTTGTAAGCATCACTCGACGTGGTTATTGTGCTGTAATGGTAAGTGCAGTGCTATGAGGTGTATCTTCCGTCAACAGGGCCTGGCGGTCGTGCATCTACCCTACCTAGGGCATTGTGAAACAGGCAGTCGCTGCGGCAAGCCACACTGTCTGTGTGTCGTCTTACTAAGCTCATCACATGCAGTGTGGAAATTGCACGCAGCTGTTCTCAAGAATAAGACGGACGCAGGATTGTTCTGTTTTCAACAGGTGCGCACGAAGTGATCAGCATTGGGCCGTGGCAGGCTTGGATCACTTCAGGCTACGGAGCTTTATTGAAGGCTGCTTCGTGTGCAGCACACAAGGGGCCAATGCCGAGTTGAGCTCAAGGCCTGCACCTGTGAGTGACCGTTAACATCAAACAACCTCCGTTGAGTATCGACGAAGTCGCACTATCACAACGTTAGGCAGGTCAAGCGTTTCAGCCGTGTAGGAAGGAGGTCAAGGGAACAAGCTCGGGCACGCCCGGCCAGTCTCATCGCCCGCTTGCCGGAAAGTCATCACAAAGCTATGGTATGGTTCTTGATCGAAACCCGTGTCGGAGTTTCCTTGAAGCGAAAATGCGCAATGTCGCGCCGAGGGCGCTCAATGTTGCTCCTTCCACGCCTGTGCAGGCGGAGAACGGAGGAACACTGATGAGTCTATCATAGTGCTTGCAAGTGGCATTGGCTCCGAACACCAACGCGCGACCTTCTCGCACACCGCAGCATGTTGTCATCTGCGTGCCTTGCTGAGGAGGAGTAGTTTTGCTTTAGTATCACAATGGGAGACGGAGTCACGTTTTGATCCCCTCTCCCATCTATTTCTCCTTCCCCACTTGCCATTTTCGAGTGTGTGCCGCTTGAGATTCCAGAACCGAGGCCCAGGGAAGGGCATAGTGCTGACGCCCGGCTGTAAGCTGCCAGCCATGTCGCCGTCGTCGTCTTCGAAATGAAAGTGAGCTGAGGCTCTACTGCCAAGTGAAGTCGCCAGAGTGTTAGGATCCTCTGGGCGCAAAAGGATCGATCATGGCTCGTTCGTCTCACCCCACAACTTCTCCACAGTCTGCTGTTTATCGAGATTAACGTTCAGCCTAGTACCGGCTCTTGCCGTAATCGCTGGGACAGCAGCAACAGCAGCATACCTCGATGCGAAACTTCACCTTGGACATGATTTATTACATGGAGGCAGTCTCAACAATGCAGCCACTCGGGCGCAGAACTTTATCGCGGAGAAGCAGGCTCAAGATCGAATGCTCATTTACCACCTCTTCCAAGACCATGCATCTGGACTCAATGCGAACAACCTCTTCCTGGAGTTCGAGGGCCGGTCATGGACCTACGGGCGGTTTTTCGACCAGCTTCAACGTGTTGGCAATTGGCTGATGAAGGATCTGGGTGTCCGCAAGGGTGAGATGGTGGCGATCGACGGGCCTAACAGTCCTGAGTATCTGATGCTATGGTTCGCACTTGATGGGGTTGGAGCTTCAATCGCGTTCCTAAACTGCAACCTCAGCGGCGCACCTCTAGTCCATTCGGCAAAGGTGAGTCGTGCCTTCAATGCGAAGACTATCATCCTCTCATACCAGTATAGCTGTGCGAGTCCCGCTTCTTGATTACCGATCGCAGCGTCGAGCACCTTGTCGAGCCTTGCCAAAGCGAGCTGGGTGACGCTGGCATCAAGGTTTTATACTTCGATCAAGCCTTCATGGAGTCGCTTAATGACGCTAAACCGATCCCTCGTGAAAGGAACAGCGGTATTCAAGCCGGCGATCTCAAGGAGCTCATCTACACCTCCGGCACCACGGGCCTGCCCAAAGGGGTGATCATAATGGCCGGTCGCCACCTGAACACCGCCCAAGCAATGGCTACTTACCTCAAACTTAAACCTGGCGATAAGTTCTACACATGCCTCCCGTTGTACCACGGAGCTGCCCAGGGCTTGTGCATAACACCAGTCATCTACTCAGGCGCAGCAGTCACGCTAGGCAGAAAGTTCTCCCACAAGACCTTTTGGCCTGAGGTCTCCGCTTCAAGGGCGAACCGGTTACAGTATGTCGGGGAGCTGTGTCGGTATCTGGTGAATGCGCCTCCTCATCCTCTCGAACGTGCACACAATGTCCATGAAGCCTGGGGTAACGGTATGCGGCCGGATGTGTGGGAGGCTTTCCGGAAGCGGTTCAATATCCCGCTTATTCATGAGCTATATGCTGCTACCGATGGCATGGGTGCCACATTCAATCGCAACTACGGCGACTTCTCGAGGAGTTGCATCGGAGTCAGAGGGCTAATATGGCATCGCGTAATGGGCAACAATGAGGTGCGAGCGAAGATCGATCCCGATACCGAAGACATTGTTAGAGGCAAAGACGGCTTCGTGATCAAGGCCGGTGTCAACGAGCCAGGCGAGGTATTACACCGTGTCGATCCGACATTGGCGGAGGCGGCCTTCAAAGGCTACTTCAACAACCAAGATGCATCGAAGAAGCGATGGTTAAAGGGTGTCTTCGAGCCTAACGATCTCTTCTTCCGGAGTGGAGATGTTATGCGGGTTGACGCCGACGGGCGCGTCTTCTTCGTGGATCGCTTGGGCGACACGTTCCGTTGGCGGTCCGAAAACGTCTCAACGAATGAAGTCTCGGACATCCTCGGCTCATTCGACCAAATAGCGGAGTGCAGTGTCTACGGCGTGGCAGTACCGCATGCTGATGGTCGTTGCGGGTGCGCCACTATCGTGCCTGCGGCGTCAACGTCAGTAGAAAGCTTCGACTTTGCGCGGTTGGCGGAGCATGTCATCAGCAGTCTGCCGAGGTACGCAGTGCCGCTTTTTTTGCGGCTGGCTCCCGAGCTCGCCTATACTGGTACGTTCAAGATCCAGAAGGGCCAGGCGAAACGGGAAGGTGTGGATATAGATTTGATAGAAAAGGCAGGCAGTAAGGATAGGCTGTACTGGTTGCCGCCAGGGAGCAAGACATATGTACCGTTTGGGCGGAAAGACTGGGAGGCTATTAAAGCCGGTGATGTCAAGTTATGATCTATGAGATAATGCTGTTAGCGATGCATCGACGCAATCAAACATGCGCTACCCCTTGCTACGCAGACGCAAGTCACCACAACCTCATCCACGAATGGTTGGCCTCATCACAGCTCCCTGAGCATGCCTTCTTCGGCATCGAGCTCATCGCCGTACAGCTGCACGCGCAATGCTTGCACAGCTTCACTTTGACCGATGCTCTTGAACCAGCCTTCCATGGAGTAGATGTCATCCGTACATTGCCCAACCACAGCTTTGAACCCGTTCAGGTCCTTGGCTTTCCGCTCCAGCTCGGTTGGATCACTGTCGCTATACGCAGAGAGCTCCATCTGCAGTCGCTTGACTTCAGCTTCCAGTCCAGTCTTCGTTGCGACAAGGGTCTCACGGCGTTCACCGCCACTGTCGAGCATGTCTTGTTCGTCCTCGCGCTGTGCTTGCGACTCGGCGAGCTTGATTTTCAGGTCTTCATTGATAGCATTCGCCTTGTCGTATGCGGAGCGAGCGTCATCGAGTGCTTTCTCGCGTATCTTCTTGTCTTGAGAGGGAAACGACCAGTACCAGTTACCTGAGCCAATCTTCTCGACGTTAATCTTGTTGTCGTCCTGCAGCGCCTGTATGTAGTCTAAGGGCACATCGTTGTGAGCAGAGGTTGTGGGCCACCATGCAAGACATGTTGCACACCTTTGACTTGCATGCCATTGATGGAAGCGACGGACGGAAGCTGCTTTTCAAGGTCTTTGAGGCTGTGTGCTACGCGCGACTTCTGGAAGTATGTCACGATCGAAGCGAGCTTGACGGGATTGCAGTTAACCTTGGGCACCTAGACACTATGTAAGTTAGGTTGATCCAGACACTGCGGCAGTGCGGCCCGACTCACCATCTCGCTGTCTGTGTTATCGAGCTGGGGAATAAAGCTCTGCCACTGTGGCGTGAGGCTGTGTGGTGAGGCAAGGTGAGGTGAAGTGATTTGAAAGTAGTGCGGTTAGGCGTTCGAAATGTGACATCCTGTATAGCCAGCGGCGACCCTACATCACCTCTTCATGACTCACTTCACAGAATGTTCGACTGATACCACCGCAGCCTCATACTGGCCATTTCCTGTAGGCACCGCGCGTTTTCATATATCATCGTCATGCCCCTAAGCCCACATGCGCCAGTTGACCAAGGGACATCATCCGTTCGCTATTTTCAGCAAGCCAAAAAGTCATCATGCAGATGACTTTGTATGTTTCACGCACTCAGCGCATACAATGAAGAGTCGCCTCGGTGTGAGGGTGATTATTGGCCGCATTGCCGCATGGCTACCCTCCTCCGTAAAGCAGACGCGCACGATGCATTGTCCGGATATGTCGCACGTGCAGTACTATGCTTCCGCCATGTTGGCATGACATTTCAGACTACGAGGTCTTGTACCAGGCGGTAGAGCACATATGAAGCTCCTTTTGGCGTCTTGTAAACACTACTGACCAAGCCACGTCAAACCTGCAATCACATGCATTGACCCTTCTCGAATTCGATGACCTTTCTCCATGACTCAGCTGGTGGCGCGCGGCGTGCATATCCGTTAGCGCGCTTTCCGCGGGATTGCCCGATCGTGTTCCGCCAAAATTTCCTGCAGCCTCTGCCAACGCCATCCATCTCCCACCCACAATCCACACTCGCACTCCGAAACCAACAACCCAAACTCTTTTCTTGACGCTTTCAGTACGTCGACTCTAGTTATTGTGTTTCTTTGCAGGTAATACTTGCATACGAGGCATACGAAGCCAAGAAAGCTTCAGCACAAGGCAACCGACCGCTTTTCACTCACTTCACCCTACTCTAAATCATCAGTGACGTTCGACGGCAGCAGCACATCATGGCGGAACAGCTCAGCATGAACGGACTTTCGCTCCAGGACTCGCAGCACGCTCCTAAGCCTGGCCAGCCCCAGCAGAACGGTTTCTCTGAGCGTTCTGCCTACGTCCCACCACATGCGAGGGGCCAACCGCGTGGCGGACCACCAGCGGCCGGTGGTGCCGGGTTCGAGAACGGCGCAGGAGGGCCACCGATGAGCAACGGCATGAATGATAGCGCGTGGGCACCGCAGCAAAGGTAGGCTAGATATTACCCACACCCCAACCAATCCTAACGACCAGTAACTAACGAGCATTCAGCAACGGCTTTGGAGGTGCGCCTCGCGGCGGAAACTGGAACGCTGGCGCTCAGTCCTTCACTCCCCGCGGCAACTTCGACAATTCACCGCAGATGCCGCGTGGCTTCGATCGCAACGCCTACGGTGCCCCTGGAGGCGGTTCAGGAGGCGGCTCAGGTGGTGCTCGTGCCAACATGGGCGCAGGAGACGGACAGTGGAGGGATGGCAAGCACGTTCCGGGTCCGGCCAACCAACGCGTCGAGCGTGAGCTTTTCGGTGCGCCTAACGACCCTTCCAAGCAAGCAACCGGAATCAACTTCGAAAAGTATGACGATATTCCCGTTGAGGCATCTGGCCAGGGCGTGCCGGAACCTGTGACTACCTTTACGAACCCGCCTTTAGACGACCATCTCCTCAGCAACATCGAATTGGCTGGTTACAAGGTCCCGACTCCCGTGCAGAAGTACTCTATCCCTATCGTCATGGGTGGTCGCGACCTGATGGCCTGCGCTCAGACCGGTTCAGGCAAGACTGGCGGTTTCCTCTTCCCGATTCTCTCGCAAGCGTTCCAGAATGGACCTAGCGCAAATATTCCGCAGCAAAGTGGCTTCGCTCGCCAGCGCAAAGCGTACCCGACCTCGCTCATCCTTGCGCCGACTCGCGAACTGGTCTCTCAGATCTATGACGAGGCTCGCAAATTCTCGTACCGCTCATGGGTCCGGCCTTGCGTGGTTTACGGCGGCGCCGACATCGGTTCGCAGCTTCGCCAAATCGAGCGCGGCTGCGATTTGCTCGTTGCCACTCCCGGCCGTCTTGTGGATCTTATCGAGCGAGGCAGGATCTCACTTGCTAACATCAAGTACCTAATCCTGGACGAGGCTGATCGCATGCTTGACATGGGTTTCGAGCCGCAGATTCGTCGAATCGTTGAGGGCGAGGATATGCCGCGTACCGACAGCCGCCAGACGCTCATGTTTTCCGCCACCTTCCCTCGCGACATCCAGTTGCTCGCTCGCGACTTCCTTCGAGAGTATATCTTCCTTTCGGTAGGGCGTGTTGGCTCAACTTCGGAGAACATCACGCAAAAGATCGAGTATGTCGAAGATATCGACAAGCGTAGTGTGCTTCTGGATATCCTGCACACGCATGGTGCAGGCCTTACCTTGATCTTCGTCGAGACAAAGCGCATGGCGGATTCCCTTTCCGACTTCCTCATCAACCAAAACTTTCCGGCCACTTCCATCCACGGTGACCGCACCCAGCGCGAGCGTGAGCGCGCCTTGGAGATGTTCCGTACAGGGCGCTGCCCCATCTTGGTGGCTACTGCTGTTGCTGCTCGTGGTCTCGATATCCCCAACGTCAAGCATGTCGTCAACTACGACCTACCCACAGATATTGACGACTACGTGCACCGTATCGGTCGTACAGGTCGTGCCGGCAACACTGGTATCTCCACCGCCTTCTTCAACCGTGGCAACCGCGGCGTGGTTAGGGACCTCATCGACCTGCTCAAAGAGGCAAACCAGGAGGTGCCAGGCTTCCTCGAGACCATCGCTCGCGAGAGTTCTGGCTTCGGCGGTGGCAGCAGTCGTGGCGGTCGCTCAGGCGGCCGTGGCCGCGGCTCTGCAGCCATGAAGGACGTGCGTTCCTATGGCGGCGGGCAGCGCCCAGCCTACGCAGGCGGAATGGGCATGGGCATGGGCGGCGGCATGAATGGCGGCTACGGTGCTCCAAGTGGCGGCTACGGAGGCGGTCCTGCGTACGGTGGCGGCTCGTACGGCAACCCCAGTGGGCCAGGCGCCAACAGCTGGTGGTAAAGCTGAGCTACTAATTCGGCACTCACAACGGCGGATTTCTTATGTTCTTTAATTGGCGCGTCTTACTGCTTACTTTTCCCGGACGCGAACTCGGTCTCATCGGATCGAACGAGCCGTGCGGCATACGATATACCCATCTCAGCATGATAGACAGCGCTGCTTTTTCTCGACACAACAGTTGCATCGCGACGGCGTGGGGAGAGAGGGCGGGCGCTCATTGCTCGACTTTCGCGAATGACTTGCACTGCCTTGCACAAACACTACAAGGTGGCGGTGCGCGAGTCTCTTGCGACAAGTCGGCAGACTTCACAACGTTCGATCCGGCTGCTCCGGGCAGAATGGATGTCGCGCTGCTCATACGATCGCGGAACTGGCGTTTAATAGATGGGTTTGGAGCGGGCGTAATTTATGGTACTGTTGTTTTTCTAGTAAGCGATAAAAGCAAGCAAGTGGTTCGGCGCGAGTTGTCGAACATCAGCAATGGCGCTCAACAGAGCAAGGATGCCCACATCGGCTGGTCGAAGTGAGGGCTCGCTTACGCGATCTGGACCAACCTACTGGTCTATGGGTTCTTAGCGAGCCCTCTCAAAGTCGACGTGAGTGTGCTCATTGCTCGGATGATACCTTGACAACCGCTACGGACAGCGAAATGGGAGGGTGGCATCTGGGAGCGGAACTCCTGCTGGCTCTTCAAGTGGGAAAGCCTGGTACAAAAGGCACCGGACGGCTATTCGATGTCATCAATGCTGAGACCTGTCAGCTTCGCATAGATTTACGTTCGCAAACCATCGAACTGTGTACTTCCTTGAGAAATCCAACTGTGCTCACGTGACACTGGACTCGTAAGCGGCAAGTTGCTGCACTTCATTGTAAATTCTATTCCACTACTGCCCCACTAACTTTATGCTAACACGATCATTTGCGACCGATAGAGCAGATGCTCCAATTGACGACTGTTATTATACTAACGGTATTGGGTCTGCAACCTACAGTCGCCGTGCCATGGGAAAAAGGTGTGGTGGCGAATGTGATGTCAACGTAGGATCATACAGCGTACACAAAGCTCGATAAGTGCATGTATTCAGCTCATCTTTGTCTTCATCTCATACCTAGTCATTTGTTTATGCTCCGCATATTCGCCAGCAATCTACGGCGTAACTTAGGCAACATGACGTCTCAACAAGCAAAGCAGCAACTCCCGGGCCTCTCACGCCCTGATACGCCTCTGGACAAGCCACTACAACCGAGCGCTTTTCCGTCTTCAGTAGACCACGCACCTGGAACGAAGCCACAATGTCAGGTCGAGCGACTACATATCAAAGTCGAAGATGGCCCAGACGGCAAGGTGACCGGCTTTTTACATTCTCCCTCCCCGTACCGACCTGGCCAGCACAGCAAAACCGCAGCAGTGCTACTCTCTGGCGCGGGTGGCGGCGTTGTCGGGCCAAGCTCAATGTACCTCAGTATGGCCGACAAGCTGGCCAGTTTACCCAACCAAGCCGTCCTGGCTCTCCGGCTAGACTACCGTTACCCCGCGCGGAACAAGTACTGCGTGCCTGACGTCAAAGCCGCGGTCGACTTTCTGCAGCGCGAAAAGCAGATCGAGAAGGTCGTGCTGGTGGGCTGGAGTTTCGGCAGTGCTCCCGTGTTCACCTTCGCTGCGCAAGATCAAAGGTGCAGTGCCGCCGCGGTCGTGGCACCGCAGACGGCAGAAACGGAGGGCATGTACAAGATGCCGCCCCGGCCTGTATTGCTTTGTCACGGAACGGGAGATCGGACGTTGTCGCATAGCTGCTCGAAGCGGCTGCAGGGTATGTATCGGGATGCGGATGCTGCTGGGAAAGGTGTTGTAAAATTGATGCTGTTTGATGGCGACGATCATGCTTTGACTAAGAATGCTGTGGAGGCGGAGAGGCTCATTACGGAGTTCATTATGCGGAGGGCAGGTGTTGAGTTGAGCGAGGAGGCTGTGAAGAAGGCAGGAGAGCAATTGCTACCGGCGAGCAAGGAGGAGAAGGTTGAGCTGATGAAGAAGGGTGGTGATCTAAAAGGTCCGGAGAGCGTAGATTGAAGTCGGCCGTACTCCAGACACTCACATTAACGGAGAGTCCATTACCAACTAAGCTCTAACGTAGCTGGCAAATGGTCGTTGTGATTGCTCGCCTGCTGTATCTTCACAAGCCAATATATTGTTGGCAAGTGTTCCCAGATCTCTAGTCCGCCATGCTTTGACCTCGACGCGAGGCAGGTCTGAAATGATCTGGACGACTTCTGTCTTGCCAACCATGGAAGGTTAGCTAAGGCGCAGTCTTCAATCTCGCGCTAAAGGCTTTGAAAGCCTGCCAGTGACCTCACCGTAGTGAACATCCGTCAAGGTGCTACGGCGGGCGTGTAATCTGTTCTGCAGCGCGAAAAGAAAGTAAGGGTAGAAGAGAAGGAAGCCGGGGATGATGGAGGATAGTTGTGCCAGAAACGGAAGGAGCGCAATGCCAAGCCGGCACTAACCTGAAGCAGCATAGACATGGCATGTAACCACTTTCTCTCGCAAGAATGGTAGGATTCAGTATGACTTTCGCGTACATCAATGCCGACCCCCATTCACCACCGCGGTTCCATTGGGCATCTGCTGTGAAGGCGGCTGTCCGACCTTTGGCTTTCCATTCGGCAGATCCTGCGGTGGTGGCGGGGGCGGCGGTCCGTAAGTCTTAGGCGGAGGCGGATCCATTGCTTCCTCCTCCGTCTCATCATCGTACACTTCATCGTCATCCTCGTCGTACTCCTCGTCATCCTCATACTCGCTTTCAGTGCCTTCACCCTCCTCATCGAACTCCGCGCCCACATCGACGTCGTGTCGTAGCCCACCTGCAGCCGCTGCGCCTGCGCCTCCGTAACCACCACTCTGCATAGCCCTGCAAAGCTTTTTGAGTTTTTCGTTCTCTCTCGTGAGGCGGTCGATGGTCTGCTGGCTTTGGCTTCGCTCCTCCGCCATTTGAAAGATGTTCTTGTTGGTCGCTTCTTGCTTGCGGGTCAAGTTGAGGTTTTCCTTCTCGAGGCGCTTGGTCTTCTTGGACATCTCTTCCATCTCTTTGCGGAACGTGAGGAAGAGGTCGTTGCTGTTATTCAACGTGTCTTCTACCTGCTAAAGGGGTCAGTCAGTTAACTACAACCATCACGACAGCAACGGAGGTGCTCGAAGAGGGCAGGCGTGCGTGCAGAGGTGCGCGGGTGAGGCCTTTCGCCAACGTACCTGCTTAAACTTTTCCACGTAGACGTTGAGCTGACCTCTGAGCTCGTTCTCCGTCTGGCTGAAGGTGCTAACTTGCCGGGTAAGCTGGTGACTCTTGCTCAATTCGCTTTCCTGCGCCTTTTTGAGCTGGTCATGGCGTGCCGTCTGGTATGCAATCTCAAGGTCCTTCGTCCGCAGGAGTGACTGGAATTGCAACTCCCGCAGCTCGTACTGGTGCAGAAAGCTTGTAAACTTCTCTCGAAAGAGTTTGTCGTGTTCCAGCTCCTGTCCGCTCTGCTGGTGCAGCTGCGCAGCCTGCCGTGGCGCCACAACTTCCTCTACGTCAAGCACGAGGCCTTCCAGCCGTTTTTGAAGCTCTTCGTTACGATCTACACTTGCCTCTCGTAGCTCTCGGAGATCCTCCTTCAACTTCTTATTCTCGCGCGTGAGCTCTCGACTCAGCTTCTCCAGCTTCTCCTTCAGGCCTTTCTCTCTCGTCCGTTCTTTGCTCACCTCCTCCTTCTCCTTCTGCAGCTGATCGCCGCGCTTCTTCGCCTTCATGTGTTCGCGTTCCACTTTCTTCATATCACCCAACAGCTCCGTGTACCTTCTGTGAAGTGCGTCTAGCTTGCTATTGTGCGGTTCGAGCGTGTTCAGCATATTCGTCAGCTCCCTATTGGCCTTCTTGACTTCAGCCTCAATCTCGGCGTTCTCGGCAGCATTCTCCGTAGTCGATGCCTCAAGCTGTGAGATCTTTGAGAGTAGCTGCTTGTGCGTGTCTGTCGAGTCCGGAGCCGCATTGTTAGTGCCTTTCTTGCCCTTCTTCGAATTCGTCTTTGCGGGCGCAGGGGCAGCAGCTGGCGGTGGTGGTGGGGCAGGGGTTGAGCCGTCCGATTGCGAATAGTCCATGGATGCTGGCGAGTTACGCGCCTCACTTGGCAGTTGGGAAGGCATAGGGGCGGCTTGGTGGGCGAGCGTTGCCATGATGGGGTCGACACGCTATCTCGACTGCCGTGTGTCGCAGGACCGTATGAAGTAGCGGGACGGCGATAGGCCGTTCCGTCTCGCGTTGTTGAGTGTGCGAGTGATCTCCGCCTGTGTGAAGCCTGCGACGTACTCGGCTCGTCTGCGCAAAGGCAACCCGGACATGAGAGATGCTGACTCTGCCACAAGCGTTGGCCACAGCCTATCGGTCCAAACACTTGTGTCTCTAATATGTCATGGATCTGAGGGCCAGTAATACACACTGATACGGTACCAATAGTGTCCTCGCGAGTGGAGTCAGGATGGTCTCGGCAGGACGCTCGAAGATTTCTCCTGTTCTCGCTTAGACCGGCCAAGCAATGCTCCTCCGGACAGTCTGACAATGGCCCGGGATATGTTGCTGCTGCTGTATACCAGACTTGCGATGCGTGCGTAGTCAAAGGCTGGGGTGATACTCGAAGACAGTGGTGCTGTATGGGGAGACGCAGAGTCGCCGCTGCTTTGGTGCAGAATGAGGCATGAGTGCTCTCCGGTACTGCGGCAATGGGAAGGCCTCTGATTGGCTCCCCGGACGGGAACAGGATCGAGGTGCCGTCGACATCGCGTGCTCCTACAAACTTCTTCCTCGTGAGGTCTGCGTACATGACTCGGATGTACCTAAAGCTATAGGCAGATATGCTCACCTCTCGCTGTGATGGACGTGTGTATCGTGCCGTCGCGCCATACGTCCGACGGCTGCGGGCGTCGAACAGACACTACGCCTCGGTAGCAGACCTTTCATCTCTGCCCAGACAGGGGGACCATCTGCATGGCTTTACGCTGCAGCGAACGAAGCATGTCCCTGAACTGGAGCTGTCTGCCTTGCACTTCCGGCATGACAAGACTGGCGCGGATTACCTTCACATCGCTCGTGAGGATAAGAATAATGTCTTCGCCATTGGCTTCAAGACCAATCCGCCAGACGCCACCGGCGTGCCGCATATACTGGAGCATGTCACGCTTTGTGGCTCGGAGAAGTAGGCGACCGTCCGTTTTGGCAACGATGAGGCGTGTAGGCTGATGGAAGAGGTAGGTATCCGGTCCGCGATCCCTTCTTCAAGATGCTTCCGCGCTCTCTACAGAACTTCATGAACGCCATGACTAGTGCTGATCACACAACGTACCCTTTCGCTACTACTAACCCGCAGGATTTCCGCAACTTGATGTCTGTCTACCTTGATGCCACCCTCCATCCGCTGCTCAAGCGATCAGACTTCGTGCAAGAAGGCTGGCGTATAGGGCCCGCGGACCCACGCGCAAGCGATGCACAGCATCCGGACGATCTGATCTTCAAGGGCGTAGTGTACAACGAGATGAAAGGCCAAGTGTCTGACTCGACCTACTTGTTCTACATACAGTTCATGGAGCATATTATCCCTGCCCTCAACAACAGTGGCGGTGATCCAAGTAAAATGACCGACCTTACCTATGAGCAGCTCAACAGATTTCACAAGGCTCACTATCATCCTAGCAACAGCAAGATTGTTACATATGGTAACCAGGATTTGGAGCAGCATCTTCAGTACATAGGTCAGAAGCTGGACGGCTTCGATAAGATCAACATCGACACTGATATCAAAGATGCGGTCACCCTTGACAAGCCGGTAGAAGTTGTGGTAAAGGGTCCCATCGATCCACTTGTGCCGCCGGAGGCTCAATACAAATCTTCAATCTCCTGGCTTACTGGTAGCCCGGCGGATGTTTACGAATCGTTTGCGCTGCAGGTTGTCAGCAGTCTTTTGCTGAACGGCTATGGAGCGCCGCTCTATCGTGCGCTTATAGAATCCGGTCTGGGAACGGACTTCTCACCAAACACTGGCTACGACTCGTCAACCGGACGGCGCGGTATCTTCACCATTGGGTTGACCGGAGTGAGCGAAGACAACGTGCCTAATATGAAAGAGCTGATCTATGCCACTCTCAATGAACAGGCAGATCAAGGGTTTGAGAAGCAGAAAGTTGACGGCATCCTGCATGCGCTTGAGCTTTCGCTAAAGCATAAGACTGCCAATTTCGGACTAGGCATAGCTCAGGCGCTGACTGGCAGCTGGTTTAACGGTGTCGATCCGTTTGCATCGATGGACTATGGCAGTATTATCAACCGTTTCCGCGAAGACTGCGAGGAAGGCCCATACCTAGAGGGCCTGATAAAGAAGTATTTGCTTACTGACCACACGCTCACTTTCACCATGGCGCCAAGCTCAAGCTTCGGCGCCGAAATCGTTGCGGAGGAGGCAGCGAGACTGAAGTCCAAAATCGAGGAGACTGTCAAACAATTCTCAAGCAAAGAAGAAGCACATCAGCACTTACGCGACCGAGAACTCGAGCTTCTCGAGGAGCAAGACAAGGGTAAGACGGAGAATGTCGACCTGCTACCCACTCTGCACGTCACCGACATCGAGCGTCAGCAATCCTGGTTTGAAGTACGAGACAGCGCGCCCGATGAGTGGACCAAAGTACAGTGGCGCGAGACAGCCACGAATGGGCTGACGTACTTTCGAGCACGGACGCTGTTCGAGAATCTACCCGATGAGCTGCGTATGCTTGTCCCGCTGTTTTGCGACAGCCTGATGCGCATTGGTACGAAAGACAAGTCCATGGAGCAGCTTGAGGATGTTATCAAGCTCAAGACGGGCGGTATCAGTTTCGGGTACAAATCAGGTACTTCCCCTTACGACAATCTCCAAGCGAGCGAAGGCTTTAGCTTGAGCGGTTACGCGTTTGATCACAATGTTCCAGCTATGTACGAGTTGTTTCAGACGATTCTGGTTGAGACGGACTTCGACGCACCGAAAGCGCATGGAATGATCAAGGAGTTGCTCCGGGCTGGCGCTGATGGGGCTGTTGATGGCATCGCGAGCAGTGGGCATGGCTATGCTGCTCGGTATGCGCGGTCAGGGCTCAGTTTGAGTAGCAAGTGGTCCGAGCAGATTGCTGGGTTGACACAAGTTAAGCTCATCACTAGCTTAGCCTCAGCCGAGGACAACCAGGACGCGATGAACAGCCTCATAGGCAAGCTAAAGACGATTCAAGCCATTGCAGTGACAAGCATGAAGACGGACCTGAGAGTCGCCCTGACCTGCGGCAGCGAGGCGTCCAGTGCCAACGAGACGGCTCTGCAGCGGTTTCTGGACCGTACACGAGCCAGACACTTCGACACACCGCTCCCTGATTTAGCTACTTCCCGCATGGCTCAGGCATACCCTTCGCTCGGCCAACGCACCTTCTTCCCCTTTCCAACCTATCAAGTCTCGTACACTGGCCTGGCACTTCCTACCGGACCCTACACCTCCCCCGCCACGGCGCCCTTCGCCATCCTCGCTACGCTGCTGACGCACAAACACCTGCACCACGAAATCCGCGAGAAGGGTGGAGCTTACGGCGCCGGCGCGTCCACGAACGGCACCGCCGGTTACTTTGGCATGTACTCTTATCGTGACCCGAACCCGGTGAACAGTCTGCAGATCATGCAACATGCTGGTCGCTGGGCTGCGGAGCGGGAGTGGAGTGATCGGGAGTTGGAGGAGGCGAAGTTGAGTGTTTTCCAGAGCGAAGATGCGCCTGTTAGTGTCAATCAGGAGGGCATGACGAGGTTTGTGCACGGGATTGATCATGAGATGGAGCAGAGGAGGAGGGAGTGGTTGTTGGATGTTGACGCGGGACAAGTTAGGGAGGCGGCGGGGAAATTGAATGAGGCTTTGGAGGGGTTGGGAGGGGTTAACGTGGCGGTGTTGGGCGCGAAGAGGGACGTTGTGGAGGTGGGAGAGGGATGGACGACGAGGGATATGGGGCTTGCGGTCAAGCAGGGAGGCGAAGAGGAAGAGCAGGAGGGTGCTTAGACAACTGAGGTGTGTATGACGGACTACTCTGCTCCTTGTACACTAACCATAATCTCCATAGTACCTTCCAGTGCGCCGATACTTCGAAAGATGCCTCAACGCTCGGACGTCTGTCCAACAGTAGGTATCCAACGTCGAAGCAGTAAGCGAGAGTCTGCCGGCATCTCGAAAGTGTCAGCGCCACAATGTGCTATTTCATCTCCAGTACTGAAGTGGGAGCCTCACTCGCACGGGCTTTGATCGATCGGAGTTATGTGGACGACCTCCAGATACTCAGACCAATCCGTGGAACTGTCGACGAGGCGGAAAACAGTCTTAGTCGCATGTCTGCGAAGGCAAATGTATCTGTTCTTTTACTTGGTCCTTTCACTGCTCCCTTGAGATGGATGGCCTGGATGACTGCAGCTTGGGAAGGGAGACGCGGCCTTTATACAAAGAATCCATCGATGTGACACCTAGCGTGGTAATGTCGACACATCTGACAAGCTTTACGTTTTAGTGAACACAGAAGAGATCGACACTTTGCAGTCAAAGGCCGTCACCGAAACCAACGGTCCATCTACCCTCCGCCCGCGCACCGAGCCAGAACACAGCCTCTCATCGATCAGCGCGAATGGGAGCGACTCATAGTAGCGGACAGCATTCTTAACCGCCGCATGCGCCGGCCCTCCTCCAACCACGCCACGGCATCCTGGGCAGTCACAATATGGCTCGATCCTTTCGCCCTTGGAACGACAAGGCTAGAAGGTCGCAATTAACGAACGCGACAACAATATCAGATATGTACTCTCCAGTTTCCAGAGTCCCCTTGCAAGCCCTCGCGGTTCCCTTGGCCTCACCACCCTGGACATACGTTGGAGTAGAGCACGAACCGGAATGGCTGGGTACCGCAGTCTCGGCCGATCCGGCTTCCTTCGACTTCTACATCCATGTCCCCAGCGGCACAATCTTGGTCGAACGAGCTTTTGGGGCAGGACTTTCTGAACGACCGGAGTTCTTGAGTCGCTTCTCTGATGCAATGTACCTGGCTTGGATGCTGCAAGCATCGCGCTAGAACCCTGGCGCGATAAAGCAGTTACTGACGATCTTTGTGGACACTGTGATTAGTGCTAACGCGATACACCTCGTCCATTGTGCGCTGAAAGCATGTGGCCTGGAGGAAGTCCCAACCTTCGCTGACAGTATCGTGTGGAACGTCGATAAGGAACCTCCGTCGGGCTTGGCTCTACTCCGCACCTACTTGCTTCGGGACGTAGGACGGCTCCTGTTCGAGCCCGAACCTGAGCTTGGAGATAAGTATGTGAGGTCAATACAGGTGTATGACAATGTAACTCTCGACGGTTATCGCGGTGTTGAAAGGATGATCACAAGTGGCGCGGTTGTATGCATGATTCTGCGACTTGCAGATTTGGTTACTTCGGCTACAAACGCCGCAGACGATGGGTTGGAGCAGATATGAGGACGGATTAGCATCTCTGTTCGATCGGCAACCCTGTCACTGCAACACATTCCACCCGAACCACTGCCGATCACGTGACCACGATTCTGCGTTGGTCATAGATGAGTCAGCACGATACTGCGACTTCACAACAGCCCGGCACAATTTGAACTCTTCCTTTCCATCAACCCGCAAACATGTAATCCAGAACCCCCATCATGGCGTCTCAGCCAGCCGAAAACGTTGCAGAAGCTCTGCTCAAGCGGGCTCACTCCCCGGACACCGCCGGTACCATCTTCCGCGAGCGCGTGAAACAACGCCCATTGCTCCTCAGGCCCAGCTCACCGGACCCAAAGCGAGACGCGCGGTCGAAGCGGCAATATGACCGCTTGCAAAAGTCCAAGAAGCAGCGCAAGTCCACGAACAACAAGCCGAAACCGCTGTCAGCGAAGCAGAAGCGCGCCTTGTGTATCTACGAAATCCCGAAAGAGCAGCAGAAGTACGCCATCTATGAGCCGCTGCATCTGATGTGGTGTGCCTACATGCGCGAGATACTCAATCTTGGTGTGAGTGAGGGAAAGCGGACGTATGTCGATGCGAATAGTGCCGGCCCGGTGCTGGTCGGTGCTGATTATCATGGTGCGCTGGTGGAGGTGGTGAGGAGTCGGTGTGCGAGTAGGGTGGGGAGGAAGGGGATTGTGGTCAAGGACACGAAGTTCACGTTTGAGGTTGTGACGATGAAGGACGAGTTGAAGATATTGCCGAAAGAGCATAGTGTTTTTAGGTTTGAGGTGCCGTTTGAGAGAAAACAGGAGGAGGGTGGAGAGGGTGGAGGGATTGAAGATAGGGTAGTCGGACGAAGGCCATTGTGCTTTGAGATTCATGGGAGTCAGTTTGAGACGAGGGCGCCGGACAGGGCGAATCGCAAGTTCAGGATGCACTTCGACCCAGACCTCTAGGGCAAATCCTCTCGCGTTGGAGCAAATGACTCGCACTCTCTCGAGCCATGTCAACCTCGCGCACCCGCACATGTGTGCTTGTCATCTGGTCGAGCGTGCCATACCTCATTGCAGTGACAAGAGCTCATTTGGGGAGATGGTAAACTTCACTGCTCGTACCTTCCGCCACCGTATGCGCTCAAGCCTTGCACGTGCCTTCCGTTTCTGGCTAGAGCAAACACTTTACTATTCCGTGGCAATATCTTCCACGTCCGTCCCAAGACCGTGATTAACAACCATTCGGCAATCTAATTCAGGCCACCTCTTCCGACTTAACCACATTTAGCCATCACACACGAAACCCCTCTTTCAGCAAGACCAAAGCAATCATGTCACCACCAAGTCTAACTCCCACTGGGCGCACCCTCCTGCTCTCCTCCCTCCTCCTTCTCCTCTGCCTCACCTCCACAACCGCCACACCAAATCTGATCCACTGCTCTCCACCCACCTACAACAACACCACCACCCTTACTCCCGCCCCAACCCGCCAGATGTCCGCTATGACAAGCGAGTACTGCCAAGAACTGCACAACCTAACCTACCATGGCCCTTTAATCACGACCTCGCTCTTCGAGTACGAAGATCTAATCGTTTGAGGTTGGAATCGACGTGCTGCCGGGTATCACTTACACCGTCGACGTGCGAGAAATTGCACGACTTGGTTCCGGTTCCTCGCAAGTGCTTGCAATGGAACGGATGCGGGGGAGATTGAGATCTACGATGGTGGAGAGGAGATAAAGGGTAACTCTCATTCCGCGTCACGGGCGCCTTGCTGGTGAGTATATACTGGCGTGCGGACGTGAGGGTTGTTGGTGTGAACAGCCGTGTACAGCCTCGCCGTCACCACTTCCTCGCCAGAAGCTGCCCAGCAGGACATCAGCAACGCGGACCGCACTCTCACTGTCACCCACGATCTACACCTCCACAACAATAACAACAACAATAATAACAACCACTCCCTTAACCCCCGCCAATCAACCTACCCCTCACCCCATTTCTCCCCCCTCGAATGCTGGCACTCACCCCCGCCCACCTCAACGACACTCGACCCCCTCATCGTCGACTTCTGCACCGTCCGCTTGACCTCCGTCTGTCTCCTACCCCGTCACCGCCAACTGGCTCGGCCACCTCAACTACCAATACACGACCGCTGGCGGAGGGATCATCGATTTCCCTCGTCATGAACGGCGGGACGGAGGCCGTGATGAGTCAACACGGCCGAGTGTCTGGCGGCGTTTGATTGGATTGGTGGATTCTGGTCCGGCGGGTGGGGCGGGAGAGTTTTGGCGGGCAGCAGATGTTGTGGCAGGAGGGGTTGATGGTTAGTTTGATGATGTGAATCACATTTCCGCAGTGGTTTGGTGGGCGGCGGAGGGTGGGTTCGACTCGTGCACAAAGCTCCAGGTTCGAGCTGGGGAGGCCGGGTCCAGCAGTTAGATGGGTGGTGAAGCAGGCAGTCACCGTTTCCACACTTGCAACGGTAGACATAAGTCCACCAACAAAGCCCACATCCCACCTCGTCTTGAACACTCTCAACCACCCCCACTGGCCCCCACCGTCCCCGGAAACCGCCGCGCACCCAACAACACCCCCTTGACCCCCCGAATCTCCCTCCTCAACTCCTCCACCGCATCCGCCTTCCCCTTGCCATTCCCCTCCTCCGCCGCCTCCTTCTTCCGCCTCTCCGCCTCCTCCGGCTCCATCATCCACAAATTACTCCCATAACTCCCATTCCCCCCATTCCCCAACAGACTGCCGTACATGACCGTGTCGAGGTAGTGGCGGAGTTTGTTCATGCTGTCTTTGCTTTCTTTCGTCGCGGTGATGGAGGAGGTGGTGGAGGTGTGGAGGGTGGTGAGGTGGGAGTGGATTGTTTCTAGGGTGGTGGTTTGGGTGGGGGTGGGGGTGGGGTTGTCAGAGGGTGTAAGGGCGGTGACGTCGGGGTCGGAGGGCTGTCGTGAGGGCAGGGGGGAGGTTTGGGTGCCCATGTCGCGGTGATAGAGCTCGGTTGGGTCGGAGGTTATGCTCGCGACGTCGTCGGTTTCGTCCAGTTTGATTTCTGGCGCGGTGGTGGGTGGGGAGGGTTGCCTGCTCACGAGCCGGCTAAGGCGCTCGTTGAATTCGTCTAGCTTGCTTTGACTGTGCGTGGAGAAGTCGTGTCGTGCTTCGGTGAGGGCGTCGGTCATGGGCTCGAGGAGATACTTGCTCGCGCCGTAGAGTAGAGTGGCAGCGCCGGCGGCGACGTAGGCGGCGGTGAGGACGCGGGTGGGTGTTATGAGGGGTGGGGGTTTGTGGGCTTGGAGGAGGAACTCGGGGTAGGTTATTATGGGTGGGCTGGTATTGTTGGTGGGCTGCGGGGTGGTGGTGAAGGTGGGAACGGCTCTCTGTCGCTTAAAGGCCTCGAAGTCATCCATCTGGATCGCAGGCACTTGGTTTGGCGGGAGGACTTTGTCGATGGTCTCTACGGGCACTTCTTTGCTCTGGAGGAACGCCCGCTTCTTGTCGATGGGTGCGTCTTTGACTGATGGGTCGGCGAGGAAGGCGTCGACCATGCTGAGTTGGGAGTCGGCCGATGCTGGCTCGACTACAGGTCCATCGTCCGTTGCATCGCTTGCACTCTCAGGCTCGGCGGGTGGGTGAGATGGCGCGGGTTCCACACTCGATGGCTCTGTCTGCGCCGCAGGACTCGATGGCGCTGTAGTATCTGTTCGCGCTTTTTGCCAAGCTGGTATTGCCGGCTTGGAGGCGCCTCCGGACATGGTGTTCGCTCGCGGATGCAGAGTACAGTTGTGTACGTACGCGTGCACTCATCAGAGCAGCACCCAGCGGTTGTCAAGATGGGCGCGAGTCATGCAACCGAGCTTCTAAGCCTCGGCAGCCAGATATGTGGTTGGCCTTAGGCAGTCAATCTGCGCCTTCTCCCACGCTCCGTGAGATGGCTACTGCGCGCTCATTCGTCGCTGGCCGGGAGACTTGAGAAGTGATCGTTGCGTGTCTTAAAAGCACGGTAACGGCTAACCTGTTGTATATACTGCCAAAGATGGATTACGAAAGCAGCAACAAGCGCTTCAAGACAGCGAATGGCACGCCCATTGCTGCAACATCCACCAACGGAGCCTCTGCATTGCCCGCCTATCAACCACCCGCCATTGTCGCGCGTGGTGCTGCTGCACGGTACGTCACTTGACCATTCACCGCGTTTGCCAAAGCTTTCCCATCGTACTCGTACTCGTACTTGCATGGGGCAACACGTGGGCAGGAAGGTGGCAGCTGCAATGGCTGCGGGTAAGCAAGAGCGAGCGGGCGGCAGGCATGGCATGGCAGGAAGGAGGAAGGCGCACGACGATGTGATTGGAAGCAGGCACGCCGAGCTGGAGTGAGCAGCATTCCGCGGCTGACGACACCTCACTTCATCGGACATCAAGCCGTCCCACCACCACCACCACCACGACGACTACCACCACCCACAGTGACCATACCTTAGCCACAAACCCATCATGCCCCCCGCTCGTCGGACTGCCCGCCCCGTCACCACAATCACCGCTCGCGAATCCGCCAAGCCCTACCCGATGCGCACTAACAACGACAGTAGTACTCCCCCTTCGCCAACCTCCGCCTCAGTCCGCTCGATCAACCCCACCACACACGGCAACAAGCCCGGCCTGCGCCTGACCGTCAAAGCTCCAGCCAGCAAACTCCGTCAAGCCACCTCCTCCAGCGCCATCCCGCCCAACCCATACGCAGGCGACAGCGATGCCACCCCCGCGCCCCGAGCGGCAAGGAGCACTCGCAACCCTCGTGCTCTCATCGAACCGGACAGCGAGGTGGAGGATGAAGACGAAGATGCCGAGGGGGAGGAAGACGACATCGACCGTGACCTACTCGCCCATGAGGACGACAGCGAGGAGGATGCCGAGGGCGAGGAGGACGAGATGGACATGGATGAGCCGCACCCGCCTCCTCCCATCATCAAACAGGCCGCCCCTCCCAACGGCAGTAGTGGGAAAGCCAAGCCCAACGTCACCATCACCGCACCCCCAACCTCCCGACCCCTCAAATCCGTCGAAGCGAAAGAACTAGCCCTCGCCGGTGAAGACGAGGACGAGGACGAAGAACTCTCCGAGCTGGAAGAAGGCGACGAGGACGAAAACGACAACCTCAACGACCTCGAAGACGACAACGACATCGACCACAGCGACGACGACGACGAAGGAGAAGGCGACCTCTCCCGCAGCGCCACCCCGGACCTAAGCAAACTCACCCGTCGCCAACGCGGGCAGTACGAGGAAATCGACGGCGGACTGATGGCGTTGTCGAATGAAGCGCAGAAGAAGAAACACCTGACCGCGGAGGAACACGCGATGCGGCGGGCAGAAATGGCGAGGCGGCGGAAGAATCTAAGTGAGAAGCGGAACGAGGAGGAGAAAGTAAGTCTTCTCTCTCTCCAAACTTCAACCCCCTGATCGATCCGATCGATCGATCGTTCTTGTAAACTTGGGCTTCCGGCTGATGTCAACGGCACGTGTTAGATGTCAACGATTGATAAACTGCTCAAGAAACCCGCGCCCAAGCGGCGCACGCGCGCGGAGATGCTTGCGGACGCGCTGGCGGCTGGGAGAGCGGCGGCGGCGGGAGGAGGGGATGGCACGCCGATGGTGGATGATGAGGGCGTGGTGGTGGAGAAGCCGGATCCGGTGTTTGTGCGGTATGTGCAGAGTGCGAGGGGGGCGAGGGTGGGGGTGCCGGCTGAATGGATCGATGCGGGGTTGTTTGAGGGACGGCGGGGAGGAGGCGATGGGGTTGGGAGTGGGGTGGGAGTTAATGATAGTGGTATGGGAAGGAGGAGGTGGGTTGAGGAGGTTGCGTGATTCCTTCTTTTGCCTTTCTTACGAGGGGATAGAGAATAGACGATGATGATCAGTGAATGGATGATGAAGACTCGGCTAGTCGTCGCTGTAATACTGCCACCACTTGGTTCGCGAGGTCTCGAGACAAAGCTGGACATGGAATACCCTTTCCGGTTAACATTCGGCCGGCAACACGGGTTAAGCTTCGAAAAGCTGAGACGCCACGCCTAAGATTTCGGGCGACGACGAAGTGGTTCGGGAATGGTTGTCATATCATTCATTCACTTTTCTTCAAGTGCTGAGATTTATCCGCCAGCGTGACGAGAATCTGTGCCATGAGACAGTGTATGTATACTCCAAATGGCCCACAGGCGGAAATTGATTGATGCGGTAATTGTTCATCAGCGTGGGACTTGGCCCTCTGGTTGTGCTGAACAGAGATGAAAACCGCAAATCGTGATCATCACTCCAAGCAGCCGCGCTGCCGGCACATTATAGCCCCAACGTGGTATCTATGCCACCGCCCACGCCCACGCCCATCCATGCCAGAGCCACTCCACGCCACATTCGCTGCCTGCCACCGACGCCGCTCATGAACCGCTCCTCAGTCGTTTCCCCCTCTCCCACTCCACCGCCCTCCGCGCCAAATCGGCGAACCCCAGCTTCAACCCCGTTCCAAACCCGCCCACATTCCCGGTCTGACACACCGTATCGACCCACCCTTTCCACCCAAGCCCGTTACCGCCGCCACCACCCGCCGCATCACCGCCTACAGTCAACCCCCTCAAGAACAGCAGCGCAAGCGCCTCCTCCGTCACTACATCCCTCCCACCTGGCCCCGCGCCGTGGTAATCCCGGTGCTGCTGGCCAGCAGAACGGGTCGGGTGGTACATATTCCCCATCCTCAGCCTGCAAAAATTGTGATGCGCCGCCTCGATCCGGCCAATATACTCCTGCAAATTATCATCGCATCCCGCGAGTGAGAGACTGTACAGCTCATTGTAAAGACGAAACGCCTCATCGCTTCCCCGCGGGGCGCACATCTCCTCCAACGCGCTCCACGCCTCGCTCGCCTTGCGGAAACCCTGGATGCGCGTGCGATAGCCGGGCGACAGGTTCTGCCACAGCGCGCCGAGCAAGGCGTAATTGCGCCGGTGGTAGATGGCGAGCTGCTTGACGTACTCGTTCCACTCCTCCACGTCTGCGTCGCCGCCTTCTGCCGCGCCGAGGTGGTGGGGCCGCGTCGGCTCGGTCTTGATGCCCATGAGGGTTTCGTAGACGTTCTCTTTCAGGCTCGCTTCGAGGAAGGCGTCCGCGAAGGCGTCCCAGTCAGTGGAGTAGAAGAGGGTGGGGGTTTTGGAGAAGCTGTCGCCGTTGCCGCAGGACGACTGAGCGAGCACTTCCACGGATGACGAATTCAATTCGAGGCGGGTGGGTTTGATGTGCTCCGCACGGAATTGCTGTAAGTCTTGCAGGATTTGGGTGGCGGCGGCGCGGTGCAGATGAAGGTCCGTTTTCTTCTTGTTGCGAGCGTTGCTGGCGGGAGGGTTGGTCTCGACTGCACCGGTCGGTATGCCCGCTTCCTCGCCGTCGACCACGATGGGGTCATCGATATCGACTGGGAGGTCCGGTGGCGGGGGCTTGTCGTAGACACATTCCACGGCATCAGCTACGCAGCGCTGGCAAGAAGGCCGGGTGGAGTCGCAGCTGTCGTGTTTGGCTCTGCAGCGGATGCAGGCTGATGCACCATGCGATCTTGCTGACCGCGTGGAGAACTGGTTGGGTATGTAGGCGGAGGTGCCGTGCTTCTTCCACTTGAGCTTCATGTTCGCCACGTCTGTGCGCGTGAAGAGACCTTCTGGGTTGGTACGTTGGAGGAATTGTAGGATTTGCCCCGTCGGCGTGCCGATTTCGAACAGGCCGTCCACGGCTTTCTCCACACCGCCCATGCGTGCGCGGCGGCGATGCCCGGCCAGGGTGAGAAGGTCAAAGGGACCATGATTGTGATGCGCAACGCGATGCTTGATCTCCCAAGGTCCGTCGGGCTGACTAGGATTAACGGCAATCACCGCCAGCGTCATCGGACAGCCCATACGGTTCGACTTCCGTCTCGGCCTGATCCGCTCGGACGCCTTGATTCGGCTGTCCTGCTTGCCGTGCTTCGAGCAATGATAGAAGCGCTTGTAGATGACGCCGGCTGCGTTGCGCTTGCTGGCTCGCCTGACGACTTCGTAGCCGTGCTCACGCGTCCAGGCGTGCATGCTGTTCTCCAGCTCCTTCTCGCTTGGGTAGTGGCCTTGCGGTGGTGCAGGCAGGTTGAAGATGGCGTCGTTGCTCTCGGGTGCATCATTGGCAATAGCCCCCGCGTCATCGTCACCTTCTTCATGTTCATGTTCATGTTCAAGTTCATGTTCTTGTTCTTGTTCTTGTTCTTCTTGTTCTTGTTCTTCTTGTTCTTGTTCTTCTTGTTCTTGTTCTTCTTGTTCTTGTTCTTCTTGTTCTTGTTCTTCTTGTTCTTGTTCTTGTTCTTGTTCGTTCTCCTGTTCGTTTTCTGTCTGACCCTCGTCCTGCTGCAGTGCATTCCTCAGCTGATCTTCCAGGTCGGCAGACTTGCGGGTAGGTGGCGGTGCTCCAGGACCAGTGGGTGTCTGCACCAGCTGCTGTTGAACCGAGGTGGCATCGGCCTGGCCAGACAACGTCGCAGCCGACCGTTTACCCCGTGCTTTGTTTCCCTTCTTCGGCGCAATGGTAGTGGCGGGGCGGAACGAGTTCTGCGCGATAGAGACATCCTGTGGCTGCTGAGAGGGGTACTGTTGGAGTTGGGGAATTTGTATGCTTTGCGACGGTGTCTGATAGGTCGTGAGTCGCTGATGGGCGCCTGGGTATGCCGGATATGGAGATTGTTGCTGGCCCGGATATGTATTGCTTGGGTAAGGGTACTGCGTCGACGACGGCGGTGGAACGTACGAGGGAACTATAAAGCATCAGTCATATCATGCTGCGCGATTGATTGTGGTAGAGTCTTACAGCCAGAAGGAGTGGGATTCATCGTGCACTGAGTGCGGGCTGTGGTGGTGTGCTTTTACCAGAATATGGAGCTGCAGTGGATGCGCGCGATACCGTGACAGGCAGATGCACGGCTCCTGCCGAGACCCTGTCGGAACTAGCCGGCTCTTTGCCCTCGGCAGCATTGTGTCGATCATATAGATGATGTATCAAGGGTTTCGGTCGTGCCATACACTCCTCTATGGACATGGTCGTGAGCCCTGCATTCTTCATGACTATCTCTCTGACGGCATGTGTGAAACTCGACCATCTACCACCCTCCCATTACCCTCCCAACCTAAATGCCTCTTCCTCCTTCGTCGCCTGAGATACCTCTCTCCATATAGTGCACTGCTTGCTTCGACCACGAGCATAATGCTTCCTGATTGAGCCCGAGGGAGACCGAGCAAGTTCGAGATGACCACCTCCGTTCTGTTGCTGACTAGCTTGTCCGAGTGGCAGGACAGCTGTGCCCAGAGAACGCACCGCATATGGACCAGATGTTGCCTTCTCAACCGATGGTCTTCTTGACTGCCGAGGGTTTTGTTGACTGGACTCGTCCTTGATCGTTGTTCAAAAATAGCGGACTGATTGCCGCACTATCCACCAACAGCGCCCCTCCACCGCCAGACATAGGCTTCGAAGCATGGGCGATACGCTTGAGCGTCTCCATTGGCCTTCCACATGGATCAGGTAAGAACCCCTTACTGAAGGCACACAAGTCCGATGATCTCCCTATCCCAAGCTTCGCCAGCACAGCATCCTCGACATTCGCAAACTCGAAGAACAACAAGCCATCGTCATCTCTGCCCAGGCGGAGTGGGTACTTGCACACGTCGCCTTGGATATTGTAAATGGCCGCGATAGCCCGCTCAACAACAGTCCGAGCAGTGTTTGTTCCATCGTCGATCAGGAAAATCACTCGGCTGAGTTCTTGCCGGTACATGTTCGCTATCAGCCTGCCGTGCGGCAGCCGAACGGGCATCTGGATGTGCGTGACTGTGGCTTTCAATGGTGCCTGCCAGGACTCGGACCAGAAGAAGATGAAGTCCTTCGCGCAAGCCTCTGCGTACGCCTGCGCCACACTCGCGTCAAGGAAGGTCACCATAACCGCGTTCGTCTCAAGGACGGGCTCAACACGCATCTCGGAGGTTGGAAGGTAGACGGCAGAGATGACCCTGCCGCCCACGACTTTGTCAAGTGCCTCCGCTAACGTGACGTTGGGAGGGATGCCAGTGATCATCACTGTGCGAAGTGCTCGCGGATCATGGTCGGCTGCGAAGTAGGAATGCCATAGTTGACTTTCCACCTGCGGCCAGTGGCAGCAACGAGGGCCTTTTTCGAATGCGACTGGGCCGCCATCCCTTCCCCTCCCCCTATGTCCGATCCCATGATCACCTCCTGCTGCTGACGGCCTGACTGTAGTTGTACGAGTATTAGTTTGCAAGGTTGCGCATTCCGGAGCCGGTCTGACATCATCTCTCCCCGGCTTGTCAACTTCAGCATCCTGCTCTTGGCTTGTGGATAACTGCATAGCAGTAAATGCCTCGAGAGTAGGTAGGCCTTGCAAAGACTGCATTTCACTACCCGCATTCATGGAGTTGGAGCGTGGTGGTTCCGTCGGTGACACTGCTGTGGACTTGAGTGCCCAGCGGGAACTGGCAAGTCCTTGTACACTATTTGGGACCATTTGAGAACGGTTGAGCAGATCGTCGCCGTCTGGTTCGCCTTGGTCCTCGCCTAGGCATGGCTGTGTGCGGAGCGACTCATCTTCTGCAACATCGACGGGATCGTTGACAACCTTGTCGCAGTCAGTGTTAATGCCTTCCAGTGATGCCTTGAATCCATCATCGGCATGATCAGTTTGGCGGTGCTGGCTATCGAGATATGCCTCGTCTTGATCCTGGGCGTCCACCGACCCCTCTACAAGGCCATGGCCTACACCACGCTCCTGAGCGGCTTGTCGCTTGTGATAAGCTGGAAAAACCTCCACTTCGTAGAAGTCCCGCCACGCCTCTGCGCTGAACCTACCCTTCGTTCTCGCGATCTCATGCCACTTCTGAACGTACTCGTCACCACTCATGTCTTCTAGGTAGCATGCCATACCGAGCAAGAACGAACGGTCTCGCGGGCTGAACGTCCATCTCGGCCCAGTCGGAAGCACTTGAGAGCCCCAGCACGTATCTGATACAGCTTCGTTGGCCGGAGAAGCCGCTGTGACAGAGCTGGAACTGTCGTCTGCATGACGAACCGTACGTACGATGTCTTCGCGCTGGCACGATGAGCCCCCGAACACAGTGTTACTGTGAATGCTTGTTGGCAACTCTTCGTCAAAGCTCAGAAGATCCTCAGAGTGATCCTGTGGCGAAAAGCTATCTGACGGTGTTGATGGCAGCGTCGAATGAGTCAATGTGGTAGACCTGCTAGTATCGGTAGGTTGGGCTTGAGTGACCGGTAGCTGCTGGGAAATGTCGCCTCGTCTGATGCCATGTTGGCCACGCAACTCATGCTTCAGCTGAGCATTCTCCACCAAAGCATCATCTAGCCGAGCCTGCAGACGCTCGAACTCCGCAAAGTCTTGTTGCTGGTGATGGCCGCGGGAAGCAATGGCGAAGCCCACGATGGTAGACTGAGCTTGGGCGAGTTGCTCCTTGACCAGACGGAGCTCTGTCTGCAGTTCAGCTCGCTGACACAGCAAGGCTGTCAGCTCGGCCATATGGCTTGTGGGGGATCGATTCGTAAAGGAAGCTCGTTGTTCTTCGGTGTCTGTCGATGTGGCAAGCTAACCATAAGACAGTGAAGAGTCGCACGGTTGGAGGGAAGTGCAGTCATACAAATTCCGAGAATGGCACGTGACAGAGATAGAAGAGCATTCGACAATATTGTGAACGAAGTATCAAAGTAACGATATTGAAGTTGTGTGTCATTGTCAGAACACCGGGACCAATTGACGTCTTCGTCTGAACCGGTGCATCGTGCTGATTTTAGGCGCAAAGTGAAGACGTACGCCGAACGGGCGACGCAAGCTTATGGCGCATTCAAGGTTTCAGTCTTCTGAGCTTCAGCGGCGCTGTTCTCATCCGGCGGCGGTCTGGTCTGTCCACTCCCGTCCCTACCAGAAGGAGACCGTGTTGAGCATACCGAGAGTTCGCTATTGAGAGCCTCGGTCTTTGCAATCTGTGGCCCAGCCAAAACAGACACCAAGTCTGCGTCCGCGTCTCCATCCTGTATGCATAAAGTCCGCATGGCGCTGACGAAGAGATGTAACGCGGGTTGTGTGGCGATGATACCGCCTCTGAGTGCAGCGGCTGCCTCGGCATAGCACTATGGGTCGGACTGGAATTTGTCTCCATCACAAAGTGGCGCTGGATCCGGCCTTGCCAGACTTCTCAGTAATAGCTACGCCACTGAGACAAGTAGGGCTTTTCCTCTGGCTGCGCGGGCAAGCTATGACATTGTCATAAGACCAAGGACCGGTGAACGTCAATTCACGTCGGATCCAGGAGGGCGCAAGATCCCATCGCATCGCCCGCCTAGACTGAACGTCGTTGATTTAAGACGGCATTTCCATAGACTTCCCATTACTTTCCGTCACATCCAGTGCCACCAAAAAGCGGCTGACCATATTATACCCACCTACAGTGATAGTCAACTCCATGACTTGCTGGTCGTTGAACCTTCGCTTCAAGCGTTCGAATACATCGTCGCCAACTTTGATAGACTTGGTGCTCTGCTCCGTGAATTCGAGCACCAAGCGCTCGTCCTCGCTAAATGCAGCTTCATCCTTTACCCTGCCGTCGAGTACGGCTTGGAGTGCCTCCCGGCTGGCACCAGCCTTTAGCGCTATGGGTGCATGAGCTGTCCATTCGTAGGTTGCAGAGTTCAGGACCGCAATGTAGCATATGGCGAGTTCCGCCAGAGCTAACGGGAAGGTGGACTTTGTCCGTATAGCGCCGAGTAGAGCGTTGTAGCCATCCGCAATCTGTGGATTATGCAGCAGGGCAAGGTCAAGTGGAATAAGAGGTCGAGGCTTTCGCCGCTCACGGATACGGTCGTAGATTGCTTGAGTGTCAGGTGTCGGATCGGCAGGCTCTGTGGGAGCGTACGGAATGCGCATATTTGCTGTGCTGCTGTCCTCGGCGGATGTACTTGCAGGCTACAAAAGCATGACAATGTCGAAATGCAAAGTCATGGATGGAGTGTGGCCCGACTCCAACTTTCGGCAGTCCAGTCGGTACCCCCAATACAGTACACTGCCAAGGCTAGACCTGCACGCTGACATTCTTTGAGCACATTGATCGAAACAATCTTTCTCCCTGTAACGCATTCTTGGACCCTTGCCATGCTTATACGCCTGTATCGCTTGTATAACCCGACGCCATGTTGACAAGAAGGGACCTCAGTCGTCAAGGTAAGCTATGTCGCTGGCCAGTCACCTTCCTCTTCCAGCCTCTCGTATCTCCTATATATGTGAAGCCTTCCTCTTTGCCTTTCCCTTCATCTGTAGGAGGTCAGAAGTTTCCCTATCATCATATGTCAAGCGACATGTCCCCCACAGACAGTGCTTCATGGCAAAAGTGGCGCTGGGATCCTAACCACGACACTCCGCGCGACCTCACAGGCTACGGCCCAACTCCACCTAACCCCCACTGGCCGAACGATGCCAAAGTCGCCATCTCGTTCGTCATCAACTATGAAGAGGGTGGCGAGTATTCCGTCTTGAACGGCGATAGCCACTCTGAAACCTACCTCACGGAAACCCCAGGCGGAGACGCTCGCCACGAAGCCCGGAATACCAACGCCGAAAGCATCTATGACTATGGCGCCCGGGCCGGAATCTGGAGATTGCTGAGAGTATTTGAGCAAGCTCGTATGAAAGGAACCGTGTATGGGGTTGGTAAGGCGCTTGAAGCTAACCCCGAAGCGACGAAGCGATTCCTGGCGGCTGAGTGGGAGATGGGGAGCCATGGCTGGCGGTGGATTGATTACCACGACATGTCTGAAAGTGATGAGCGGGTGGAAATCGAGAAATGCATTGACTTGTCGATTCAGCAAGCTGGTCGAGCACCTACAGGGTGGTATGTTGGTCGGCTTTCGCCACGCTCGCATGCTCTCATCTACCAGATATACAAAGACCGTGGCTTAGAGTTGCTCTGGATCTCCGACTCGTACGCGGACGACCTACCATACTATCAACCTCTTCCAGCCACAGTCGCTGCCAAATACGGCAAGGACGAAGCGCTCTTGATCCTACCGTATACGCTGGACTGCAACGACTTCAAATATTTCACTAACAACAATTGGTCGTCGCCAGACGACTTGCTGAATTACCTCATAGGCGCCTTTGACGAGCTCTATGCGGAAGGGAGGGCGGGCGAGCCAAAGATGATGTCGATCGGCCTTCATGCTCGCATCAGCGGCCGGCCAGGTAGGGTCGGCGCAGTGAGGAAGTTTGTGGATTACGTGAGCAGCAAAGAAGGAGTGTGGGTAGCGACCAGGGAGGAGATCGCAAGACATTGGCGGAGAGAGCACACTTACCAGCCAGCCTCGTGAGACGATCAGCCACTTTGATGACTTCGTAATGCTCTCTATCGCTGAACGCTGAGAAACATGCGCCGAGTGCTTGTATGCAAGCAAGTAATGAATCTATCATGCCTTCTCTCTCCGCTCCCACTTGACTACAGCCGGCCGCATCGGTTGTGAGAATAGCGAGCTGTAATCTGTGCCTACAACCTTGTCGCTGCCATCGACGTTGCTGAACTTGAACTCTCGAACGACAGTCGCCAGGATGGTCTGCAGCTGCAGGTAAGCAAATTGCTCGCCAATGCACCTGTGCCTACCCGCGCCAAAAGGTAGGTACGGACTCGCGGCTCCCTTGGAGATCTCGCCGTAGCCGTAGTCCTCCTTCTCCTCCACCACACCTTCCTTAAGGTACGTAGGAGCTAACCTTGCGTGCTTGTCGGATGGTGATTCGTCCCAACGGTGTGGCTCCCACGACAATGGTTCTGGAAAGTGCTCGGCCGTCCGAGCGGTCACGCCGGGTGTGGCAAGCAGTGAGTGGGTGGGTGGGATCGTGTAGGGCGTGCCTTCCACATGCATGGGCTGCTTGACCTTGCGCAAAATGCTGTGGATGGGGGTATGGATACGGAGAGTCTCTTTGACAACCTGATTATGCAGCGGAAGACGGCTAAGCTCCTCGTAACTCAGGTCGTTGATAGTGCCGTCTGATTTGACGCCCAGCACCTGCTTTTGCTCCTCTAGCAACTCTTTTTGGATGTCTGGTCGTGAAGCCAGCCGCAGGAAAATCCAGGACGAAGTTGAGGACGAAGAATGCTGTCCAGCCATGAGCAGAGCGATCATCATGTGGGCCACCTCACGATCCGGAACAGGGGTGCCGTCCTTGTACGTGCAGTTCATCAAATTCCAGATCATATCCTCTTCGCGGTTCCCCGACTTGAGGTTGCCCTGCTTTCGTCGTTGCTCGATGATGGACGTGTATGTCTCGGCCATCTTCCGCTGAGCAATATCCCGCTTTCGGTTTTGCGGTAACGGCGCCCATGGCAACATGAAGTTGATAGGTGTAAATCCCATGTCCAGATCGTGAAACAAATCTGCGAACGTCGAGTCGAACTTTTCACGAACCTCCTTGCCTTGAAGCGAGCGAGAGGCAGTGTAGAGGGTCAACTCCGCAAAGGTTGGTGGAATATCCACGGTGCCGGAGGTGGACGCGAAGCGCTTGTGGACGGCATCACGAGCGAAGAAACTACGAGTTTCCTGGCCGATAAGTTGCACGTATGACCGCAAGGCAGAAGACGTCAAGCCAAATTTCACGAACTGCAAGTGGATGTTAGCCATCCGTTCTGATCGTACCACATCATCGCACATCTCACCTTCTTCTGCTCCATCAACTTTGCGTTGGGACAGTCATACACCACATCCTTTCCAAAAACTGGTGTTGTCAACGGGCTGTATATCTCTTCCGCGTTGACATCCTTCAGCTTCCCGTTCAGGATAAAGTCGTTACCCTTCGTGCCTAAGCATACTGTCGTTTTCTTCCCCAGCAAAATGAAGGTGAAGATGTCGCCATATTTCTCGCGACAGGCGAAGAAGAAGCGATACGGATCGATGCCGTACGTGATCGTACTGCCGATGAAAGGGACCCAATGGAAGACGATTGGTGGCTCGTTCGGGTTGCGGAGGAGAAGCTGTCGCGCTACGTTTAGAAGTATTGCGGACGCGATAGCGCCGAAGATTGTGAGTGTAATGCCAGTCCATGTCGATGTGATCGCAGTCGCGGCGCCACTGATATCGTTGAGGAGTCCCATCGCAAGCGGTATTGAATCTGATAAGGTAGGGAATGTTGTTGTTGTACCAATTATATAGACATTGGGGTTCCGTCCAGCCTTTCAATGTTGTCCCTCTGGCGCAGCAGGAGATGTGCTGTGGTTACGAGAGCAATGTCATCGCAGGCCGATTTCGAGAGTGAAGATGGAACGATTTTGTGACAAGGATCTTGACGCCACTGCAAGGTACGCCCCGTTAGCGTCAACGTCCCCGAAGAACGTCTCCACCTCTTCCTCCTCCGTCTCCTCCACCTCCACCTTCTCCGCTGAGAGACAATGGCGGTACATCCTTTGTCTCGTAGCCTCCTTCGCACTACGTGCCACTAGTCATGGTTTAGCTGCTCCGTGATGATAGGCAGGAGTGCTACCGGAGGAGCTTGCGCAGTCACTGACAGAGCGGAAACGCTAATATATGGCTTCCTGCAGCTCTTGAGCCATGCCTCAAACGGCAGGATGTCTTTCTCGCATGTGATCTGCCACTTCAAGAAGGTACAAAACTGCGCATACGGATCAAGATGTCGTGGACGGTGTTTCAAGGTTCTGTTCTCCTGTTCCACTGTGTTGACGCTCTACCACGATGGTTGACTTCGACCTCTCTCCGCAACAGCAAGCGATTCGAGCTGGCGTTCACGCCTTTGCCACTACCCACTTGAAGGATGCCAGAAAAACCTATGAAGCGGCAGTCAAGAAGCCAAACGCAGAATGGAGTGACGGCTTCCGCTCTACGCAATCTATCTACGCTGAAGCCGTAAAGGCAGGTTTGATTAAAGCGCAGATACCGGAGCGGCTTGGAGGTACTGGAGGAGCCCTCATCGATGCGGCAATCGTTGTAGAGGAGATGTACGCAGTAGAAACTAGCGCATCCTCAACCATCCTTGGGACTGGTCTGGGTTTGAGTCCCTTGTTGATTGGGGGCTCAGAGGAGATGCAACGACGGCTCCTGGTGCCGTTTCTGAGCGGAGAAGGCTCACCAATGGCTAGCCTTGTTTTTCCAGAGCCTGCAGGCAGCGCAAACTACGCGGAGGTCGGAAGCGCCGGTCTGTGTACGGTTGCTGTTGACAAAGGCGACCACTTTGTCATAAGCGGAGAGAAGGTATCTTTGTGAAAGATTTTATAAGGTTTGGCTTGGTTGACAGTGCGCTACTTTTTGATCGGCTTTTGTTGCATGGACGAACCTTCTTTGCTGCCGTGCTGACAATCCTCAACAGATATGGGCAACCAACCACGGAGGCTGGAACGACCGAGGCGCAGATCTTCTATGCATCTGCTGTCGAGTCGAGGATGCAGGCCCAGACATGCGCAGTCAAACCGCCATAATCGTGGTCACTCGCGAGGACGTTGCTTCCAACGATCCGTCAGCCTTCCAACTTCTCGCCCACCCACAACCAGTCGGCCACACAGCAGTCAACGGCCCACACATCCGTTACAACAAACTGCGAGTCCCCAAGAACAACGTCCTCCACCAGGCAAAGGCGCGGATGTCATCGAAGCAGCCTCCACCGGCTCTGCGGCGTTAGTCTGCGCCATTGGAGTAGGAAGTATGCGGCAGGTCTTCGACCACGTCCTTGCTTGGGCGAAGCGGGAAAAGCGCGGCACGAGCGAGATTATGCTCAAGAAGCAGAGCGTGGCCGATCTTCTAATCAAGATCAAAGTCCGTTGCGAGGCAGCCAGAGCGCTGTGCTGGAAGGCGACCTGCGCGTTCGACAAGGACCCATTCAGTAAGGCGGCGGCGGAGTTGTGTTCCGAAGCGAAGATCTTCGGCAGCGAGAGCGCTGTGGAGAGTGTGATGGATGCGATCAACCTGGTTGGAACGTATGCATTTCCGGCATTTGAAAGTTATACTGTGGGTGCTGACTATTGTGCAGGTCAGCATACTCGAGGTCCGTCCCGCTGGGAGATCTGTTGCAAGACGCAATCGTGCTGCCGATCTTCGATGGCGGTAATGTTGGCGTGCGGCGCAGACAGATTGAGAAGATCTTTGCTTTGCCGGACTACGATGCCTGGGAGGCAACCTTCGGGTGTGCCGACTAGACCAGCGGCGTAAAGCAGGTTCCGACAACCCAACGGAAGCAGTCACTTGCCTGCCAAACGTTCGAGAGTGTGGTTATGACTCGTACGGCTTGCGGTGTGTGAGGGTCGTCAAGTCCGCACTTTCATATCTTACATAGCTCTACATGTTGCTTCGTGAGCCGTATCAGCAGCTTTTCCGCCTACATCAGCAACGCCTTGCCTTGAAGTTGTCATGTATGATCAGCGCTCATAGTTCATAGCAACCTTGCATGCGTTCCGATGCGTGACCTGTTGTACCCACTTACCACCCACCAGTTCTTGAACCCTCCTCGAAGCAAACGAGCATGCGAGAAATCACCCCACGGTCTGGCACGCCTACGGTGCAGAATATGTACGTCAATCGCACACCTTATCTAGAGGAGCGGTGATCACGCTTTCTCAGGCGCGCCTGCCTTCATCGTTGTATCAGGGTAGCGGCTGACATCTGTATCCTCATACAAGACCTGATCGCCCTTTCCGCCCATTTCAGCAAATTCTTGCGGATCCCTGTTCTCAGCCGGTCCCGGCTCGATGGTATGCTCGACATGAGCTTTACCACCATTCGCTTGTTGCACAGTCTGCTGGCCGGCAATGTTGACATTGTTGAAATGCGGGCCACGATTCTTGTCCCACACTTTCACCGGCGGAGCCGAACGGTCCGGGTGATCAGGCTTCGTCTCGATAACGCGCTCGACCTTCACGTCGTTGATGGCGGAGAGCATTGTGCGTTCACGCACTGGCTTTCTACGGCTGAAGTCAAGTCCGGCCAATGCGCCCGTCAAGCCATCGGTGCTATCGGTAACACTGAGGGGTGCTTGGCCGTTCGTGGTCCATGGATGCTCTAAGCACTCATCTATGCTGATTCTGTCTTCGACCTTGACCGTTAACATCCGGTCTATGAGGTCCAAGGCAGGATCGCCAACCGAGTCCCAGTATGGTGACGGGTAGTCAAAGCGACCCATCTTGATTTGCTGGCTAAGGTTGTACGGATTCTCGGGCGAATACAGCTCGTCTGAGAATGGCGGGAAGCCGCAAAGGCAAATGTATAGCACCACCCCAAGACTCCACACATCGACAGCGCGTGTGTATCGGCGTCGGTTGCCTTGTTCGAGGATCTCCGGCGCCACGTAGGAAGGCGTACCGCATAACGTTGTCGTGAAGCTTTCCTCGCCGATAATCTTTGCAAGGCCGAAGTCTGCAAGCTTGACATTGAGGTCGCGGTCGAGGAGCAGGATGTTCTCCGGCTTGATGTCACGGTGTACAATGTTGCGCTCGTGCTGCATTCGGTCAGCGCACGACAACGATCAAGCTCACAAAATTGCTCACCAGATACTTTACAGCCTGGAATAGCTGGATGAACACTTTGCGCGCTTCCGCTTCGGTCAACTTCTGCTTCATCACAATGTAGTTGAACAGCTCGCCCTCCGGCGCAAGCTCCAATACCAGGTACACGCCGTCAGTCTCGTCAAACGTCTCCTTCAAGCAAAGCATGTTCGGGTGGCTGACGCTCATCAAGACAGCAATCTCCTGCTGCAAGCCGTCCACCTTGCTCCTCTCACCAGGACCGCTGCGCTTCTCAAACTTCTTGACAGCGTAGCGCATGCCGGTACAACGCTCCGTAGCCAAATAGACTGTCGCAAAGTGACCCTTGCCAAGCTGACCTTCAACACTATATTGCTGCTTGAAGGCGCTGGTTCCACGATGGCGCGGATAGCGGAAGCTGAAACGCACCTGGCCTTGAAGAATGTCCAGCTCGTCGCCGCCGTGCAATTCGCGGCGCTTGTTACGGCCAATTATTGCATTGTTGACAAAAGTGCCATTCGCGCTCAGATCTTCGACGACGGCGATTGAGTCTCCGTTCCTGTTCTCTGTAAACAGCAGACAGTGGCGATTGCTCACAGTGGGTGAATCAATAACGCGATCACATTCCGGATGTCGCCCTATCAGGAAGCCACCAGCAGGTATACCATTCATCTGCTTATCTTTCTCGTACTCCTCCTCACGAGTCTTCCAGTGCTTCTTCTTAACCTTGTCTTTTCCGGTCTTCTTGCCGATCTTGCCCGGGGGAACAGGACATGCCGCCCTCCGCCGCAGAACCAGCGGATCCGGCGTAGTACCTGTAAGCGGAAGGAGGTAGCCCCAGACACCCTCCGCCTCCTCGTCCTCTACCTCGTAAGATATCGGTGCAGGTGTCACGAATTGGGAGTATGGTTGAGTGTCATTAGGAGGCGAGTACAAGCCGCCCAGGAGCTGCGATGCGGGCAGTGGACTTGTCGGCGTCTTCGGCTCTATTGGGGGCGTCTCCGTTCGGAGAGCTTCATCGCTTGTGGATGTGGCATGACGTGTCAACGGGGATGGCAGCGCTCCTTCCTTCACCGCATCGAGGTGCTCTCCATTAGTGCCAACATTGGACAAGCGAGCAGATCGGCGAGGCTTCTTCGCTTCGACATCATCACCTGCTGAACCCTACCTGGCAGTTAGAAAGACATACATCGATTCAAGGCCATCTTCACTCACTCGTCCACGCTTCAATGAGCTCTTTTCTGCCTGAGGCGGCATCGCTGTTGTCGAAGAGGTAGAACCGGGTTAACGTCCAGCAGTCGAACGATGGTGGTGTTTGGGCAGTCCCATCCGTCCATTCAGCAGGGCAGGTCAACAGCCGTTGACTTGATGTAGGCCCTGATACGTGTGTAAGCTGCTTGTCCTTCTATTGTTGTCCGTCGGATGTTCGGTGTGGAGATGTCACGCCGGTCGATGGAATGACCGTCGTCCTGATCTGCCTGAGGGTCGGCGTTCTGGAAGCCGGAGGTCGTCCGAAAGGTGGGTCTTTCCTTAATCAGCGCAAGAACTGCTTTATGTGCCGCCCCATTACCCCGAATACTGTGTTATCAGCACAGTTGGTGACAACGCGATATCTGGCAGCTCTAGGGCCTGCCCAACCACAGCCTTGCATGGCTGACAACCTTACTCGAGAACGCTCTCGCACTGTCGCGCTCTAGTGCTTCTGTCGGCCTTGACGCCGTCTCCGACGGGCTTCTCACGGGCCGTAGTAACCACCTCACATCTTGGGAGGCGATCAAAACATAATTAGTGTCAACATGCCATGGTCCCATCACTCCCATTCTGGACAGTTCTGTGGCCATGCTCACGACAAGCTGGAAGACTGTGTCCTGGCAGCCATCCGCAAGGGCATGTCCACTTTCTGCTTAACTGAACATATCACGCGGAGTAATGATGATCTGTATCCCGAGGAGGTCGGCAGGGACGATGAGGCTACCCTGGCCAAGCTTTTCGATGAATTCTACCGCGAAGCACGACGCCTACAGGCTACATATGCCGACCACATTGAGATTTTTGTCGGTTTCGAAGGCGAGTGGATACGAGAAGCTTCACTCACCACCATACAGCGTCTACTCGAAAAGTATGAGCTTGACTTGTTCGTTGGAAGCGTACATCACGTGAGAACAATTCCCATAGATTACGATATTGCCATGTACCACGACGCACGGTCTGCCGCCGGCGGTACGGATGAACTGATCTTCGAACACTACTTTGATTCCCAGTACGCCATGCTTCAGGCACTCCAGCCGCCAGTAGTAGGACACTTCGACTTGATTCGCTTGAAGAGCGATAGCCCAAATGGCAGCTTCCGAGCTATGAGTGGCGTCTGGGACAAGGCCATACGGAATCTGAAGTACATTGCTGAATATGGCGGGATACTCGAGCTCAACTCCAGTAGTTTGCGAAAGGGGATGGTCGAAGCCTACCCACAAGTAGAGATGTGTCAAGTATGTCATCAAGATGCGCACAGTATGCCACACCATGACCAATCGCTTACGGCTTATGCAGGTTTTCCTCGAGCTCGGAGGTCGTTTCACATTGTCCGACGACAGTCATGGTATCGATCAGGTCGGGCTGAACTACGACCGTATGTTCAGTTGCATAGAAAAGGCCGGCATCGACAAGCTCTGGCGTCTTACCCGTGCCCGGCCGGCGTGCCCTACTGACGCCCGCTTTCCAGAGGTTGAGTGGCATGCAGAATCGACATCTGAATTGAGGCGCCATACTTTCTGGACCATCTGAGGTTTGAGCTAGTCACATTGTGCATGCCGCTATTCTTGTGCGAAGTTGAATTCTGAAAAGCTACTTTATGCCTTCCTTTTTCGGCTATGGTGCGAACTGCGGCCGGGCGCCACACTAGGACCAAATCGATCGTCACAAGCAGTACAGCTATGAGCGCGCCACACATGCCAGTAATGCACGATCTATGCTCAGCGCAAGGACTTACTGTTGGTACGTTCAGTTGCAAGCTGGATCAAGCCGCTCTCGCCGTTCTCCTTTCGGTATCGGTGCGAAACTCCGTACGAACGTCGCGAACGGTGCAGCAAAGCCTTTCTGGTCGTTGCGTCGCCAGGGGCTGATTGGGTCACAAAGAGATCTGTTCCGATTACTCCACATTCGCTAGGCGCCGATGCCGTCGGAAAGGCTCGTGATGCGTGACGGAAGCTTAGTTAGACAGAGCACAGTTGCCACATAGCAGGCCTTGCAATACTATCCAGCAGCCCAGCGAGATGGAAGAATGTCACGCCAGGGCCCCGTCGTCCATCGACATGGTGGCGAGATGGCGAGAGCAAGACTTAGGTCGATCACGTGGTGATTAACGGGTCAGGGTTGCCTGAAATGGCAAGAGTCTAGAACCTGCGCCGATCGCGCGATGATGGCAGTTATTCAAGGTTCCCTTCATGGAAGCGTGCATGGCGGTGAAGTAGCGAGGTAGCACCGGAAGTGCACCGTTTGAGAAGTGATCGACGTGGAGGACAGCTGGCCAATGTCCCGAAGCCGCGAGGTCGGGTCGTGCAGATCCCCTTGGTCTTGGGCCGAGCTATTGCTGCACGCGCATTGGTAATATGCGAGCGAGTACCGCGGTATTGGCGGCAGTATCATGCTGCCATTAGGGAAGTTAGGCCGGGTAACGTCGGTCGCGCATCGACTTCAGAGACACAGACTAGGGAGAACAGACGTGACTGCGGGCATGCAAGATCGTGGGGGTGCATCCTGTTCAAGATGCGTTTCGTGAATAGCTGGCAAGCTTGCTTTAGGCAAAGTACATGCAGGTGCATTTGGTTGCCATTGGCTGCTGTTGTCACATTCGCACAGGCTCTGGATTGTTCTTCGGCGCTCAGGTATACGTTAATAGCCTTGACAGTGTCTCTAGGTGAAGGTCACTGCCAGAAGAGCTGCAAACGAGATCCTTCGCCGATTCGGGTATCAGTCGGTGGTGGGATGCGCCATTGTAACGCACCAATAGCGGATGCAGGTCCTAAGGCTGCATGCATGCCGCGAGCTGCAGGCGGTCAACGACAGGCAAGCAAAGCTGCCAGCACCATTAACCCCAGCAGCATCGCTTGTTGGCAGATGGACCGGAAGGTGTCTCCATGTTGTGCAGATATGACACGCCCAAGTAGGCGACCCTGATGCTGCCTTCGCCTGTGGTCCTGGCGGAGTGATGGTGCAGGGGTGGCATCGTTATACCACGTCGTTAGCTGTTCCCGTGAGCCGTGCTTATAAAATAATAGGGGTTGTAACTGCCTAGAACTTCTTACTACATACAGTATCGTTAATCCAACGATGATATGCCACAGGTTTGGTATCACCTCGGGCTGGTTACTATCTGGCCAAAGCGTAAATATCTGAGCCGCGGAGACATAAAGCTACTGCGAGAGTCCAGATTCAAATGGCATCATGTCTACCAATAAGTCCAGTTGGTCAAGCCTCCCGACACCCTGGTGTGCTATGCATTTGGTTGACAAGGTTCAGCGCCCTAGGCCTGCCACGGGACGCCTCTAACGTCCACCACATGCTCAAGCGAGATCTGTGGCGAATCCCTCCACACGGACAAGATCGATTCTGATGCAGCGCAGTTGGGCCGCTCTCTTATGGCGCTCGCGAGTCACTCAATGCCAAGCGTACTGGTGTGACGATTAGGGTTTATGGATGGTGGAGATAGTAAGGATGCCATCCGATTCGGTAATGGCAGCTTTCCGGGGCTTCGCTTAGTGGGAAGCTACGATTGTCTCACTCACTTTCTTCTTGCACCCCGTGCTTGCAGTCTAACTTTCCACCACCACCTCCTACTCGAAGGACCGACTGGAGTATACAAGACTTAGTGCTTAGTCTCAGTAACGATGGGTGTCACTAAGAAGCTCATCTCGCCCGGCGACGGCGTCACTAAGCCGAAAGCAGGCGATACGATTACGATGGAATACACTGGAACTCTCTTCGACCAGAATGCTCCGGACAACAAGGGCAAACAGTACATCCATCTGTACATTTTCAATTTGGCAGTGCACTGATGCTTTAGAGGTTTGACTCCTCCGTCGGTCGTGGCGACTTCAAAACGAAGATCGGAGTAGGCCAGGTTATCAAGGGTATTATCACTCTGACGATACACTCAACATACCCTGAAATGGCTGACGTGAGCTCTGATTAGGCTGGGACGACGGTGTCCTCAGCACCGATGGTGGCATGACCCTGGGCGAGAAATCCACGCTGATCATTACTGGGTACGGTACACTGCTGCAGCACTGATCCTTCGAGCATTATTTGACCATGTCTCACAGCGACTACGCCTACGGTGACCGTGGCTTCCCGGGCCTTATCCCACCAAATGCGACTCTGGTCTTGTAAGCCTCCGGTTTCCCGTTACTGGTGGCGATTCAGCTGATGATTGATCACAGTGACGTGCAGCTCAAGGGCATTAACAACAAGCAGATGTAAAGCAGCAAAACGATAGATATGGAGGCACTTCTGGATTGGCGGCAGACTGAAAAGTTTTAAGGCGCCATACGGTGGCTAAGCGGTACTTCAATGAAACCCACGAATACACAAGGCTCTCAATGCAACAATGACGTTATCAGCCTCTCCTCCTCCTCATCTTTGATACAGGGTGTATCCTATGCTCCACCTCGTTCAGTTTCAGTCACTCCCTACCTGCAGCACCATTTTAACGGGCCGTACCTGCACTGCGTGCTCGGCATCTGTACGCAAAGTCTCATGTGAACCCAAGGCCTGTTTGCGCTACGACAGTCCGGCTTCAAGCTGATTTACATGCACATAATTCCACGCACGGAGCATCATTGACATCTACAGGCGCCCATATCCTTCACACAAGCTTGAGATGGGCCAACTGTCGCGGACGCCCTTGTACCTTTGAGCATCTCCACAATTTGCGCCGGCTCGTAAGCCTCACGCATTTTCATGGTCCCATGAATATCAGAGATCTCATGCAGATCATGAAGCTACATGTACGTTCCAGCGGCCAGTATCCGCCCGAACCACGTCACACGCCGCTTGTGCGCCCTGAGGTTGGAAGTAGTACTTTCGAAAGCGTGCGAGAGTTTAGCATTTTTGTTGGGCTTCGAGTTGATACTGAAGGTCACTACAGGTTTATCGAGCAGACCGCGACAAGGACGCTGAGGAACGTACAATTGCTTGGGCAGGCAATCGCGTGCGCACTGTTATTGTAAGCTTACGGCGCTCCGTGTAACATTGTGACATAAGCGCAGTGATACTTATTCACTCTGCTCCACTAGTAGCATTATTTCATGCAATGGACAACACTGCTGTATTTGTGTCTTCACGACACAAGAGGCGGGTGTAGAACCAAGACCGACGGAGATCCACTTTTTCTTGGCGACTGGGAACTTCCGTGTCAGATTGCTTGTGGTCTAGCCGGGCACCTCACGCGTTGTATGCGTGCTGCGTCCGCACACCACGATTACTGGTTCAACAAATAACATCAATGGTCGCCTGCCCGATTTGTGAAAAGCCGGTGAAGGAAGTGAACATTAACCGACACATCGACTCTGGATGTCAGGATCTAATTGACGAGGCGACTCCGTCTCAGGCCAACCAAGCCAATGCCGCCACTTCGAAAACTCCGAAGGCACCCAGCTTCTTCACACCAGCAAGCAAGCGAACAGTGAATTCACAGGATGACCGGTCCGTCTCCCACACCAGCTCGATCGCCAAAGCAGACTCGGGTGATGCCGTTGGGCTCAAACCCCTACCGTCAGCGTCACCTGCACCGATACATGGTGTGAAGCGTTCTGCTGATGGCGAGGATTCTACTGGCGTAAACGTACAGCAGCCAGCAGCGGCGTGCCCCATAAGCAAGAGGCCAAAGAAGACACATGCGCCACTTGCCGAGCGGATGCGGCCGCAAACTTTGGACGAGGTTGCTGGGCAGGAGCTCGTGGGCCCGAACGGCGTACTCCGCAACCTCATATTGACCGACAGAGTTCCGTCCATGATCTTATGGGGTGGCCCAGGTACAGGGAAGACGACTATTGCTCGGCTGATTGCGCAGACGGCGGGTACAAGATTCGTAGAGATCAACAGCACCTCCAGCGGAGTCGCGGAATGCAAGAAGCTGTTCGCCGAAGCAAAGAACGAGCTCGGCTTGACCGGACGCAAAACGATCATCTTCTGCGACGAGATTCATCGCTTCAGCAAATCGCAACAAGATGTGTTCCTTGGTCCGGTCGAGGCAGGGCAAGTAACGCTTATTGGCGCTACTACGGAAAATCCAAGCTTCAAGGTAGTGAACGCGCTGCTTAGCCGATGCAGGACATTCACTCTGTCTAAGTTGTCTGGCGACAATGTCTTTGGCATCCTCAAGCGTGCATTGGGGCAAGAAGTGCCTGGCCTCCCAACGCCAGCACCGAGCCCGTGTACTGAACATGCCCGAGCAGAGCCAGACTGTCAACCGAGTGCATCTGGGAGTCTTCATCTTCTCAGCAACGACGACTATGCACTTGTTCGCTACCTGGCCGAATTTGCAGACGGGGATGCTCGCACTGGGCTTAATTTGCTTGAGCTTGCACTTGATTTGTGTGAGAAGCCAGCCCTCACAGCGGAAGATATTAGGAAGAGCCTGACGCAGACGCTTGTGTACGATCGCGCGGGTGATCAGCATTACGATACCATCAGCGCGTTCCACAAGTCTGTGCGTGGAAGCAATGCTGATGCTGCCCTATACTACCTTGCTCGTATGCTGCAATCCGGCGAGGATCCGCTTTATGTTGCAAGGCGTATGGTCGTCATTGCCAGCGAAGATGTAGGCTTGGCAGACAACAGCTTGCTTTCACTAGCGACGGCAACATATTCCGCCGCGGAGAAGATAGGCATGCCGGAATGTCGCATCAACCTGGCGCATTGCGCGGTGGCACTAAGTCTGGCTCGGAAGAGCACGCGCGCTTACCGCGGTCTGAACGCAGCGTATAGGGCACTAAGCGAGCCGGGTATGGCGGGACTTCCGGTGCCGATCCATCTTCGCAACGCACCCACGAAGCTCATGAAGGAGCTCGGGTACGGCAAGGAGTACAAATATAACCCGGACTACGCTGATGGTCGCGTTGTACAAGACTATCTACCCGCCAAGCTTGAAGGTCGCAGATTTCTTGGCTCGCAGGATCTAGGCGATCAGGTCGATCCGGAAGTCGCGGAGCTGGAAGGAGAATTGCGAATGGCTTCAGCGTACGAATCCGGCGAGCCTGAGGTACTGCTGGACCCGGACGGAGATTGACGATGGCTGTACCCGTTCCTTAGAGGGAACATCTTCTCATGCTGACTGAGCGCAATCTGGTCGAGCCTTTTGAGCGTGCCTGGTTTGTCTCCAAGCTCTGGCGGACTGAGCCCTCTAGTGAACACCTTCACGCGCACCGAACCAATCCACTTTGCCAACCGCCAATGACCGTTGGTCGTGAAGTACACGGCTGCGGTACGCATGGGTAGAAAGATGCTTACATGACCAGTATTTGAGCTCTCGGGCTCACAGAAATATGGGATGCAGCGGCATAGGTTGAGCGCGTAGTCCAGGAGCTCCGATGCTTCTACGGCGCGGCCTTCTGCTGGGTACCAGTCCTCTTCGAGCTCATGTCGCAGTCTGTGCAGACTCAGCATCAAGTTGCGAAGGAAATGCATGCACATCCAGTATAAGGAGCAAAGGTACGCAATTGGGAAGCTCGCGAATCTGAACGCGGTGTCGATGGCACGGTCGTCTACAAGGCTGGCGAACGTTCTGAAGTCGTCCATTGGACGCTCCGCATAGAGATTGCGCCCGTCTAGCAGAGCTCGCACATCCCAGTCAAGGAACCAGTCCCGCAAGGATGCTTCCAGCAATTCGCAATCAACCAACAGGTCGACAACGTTTGGCAAGCTCAGCGCATCATCACCGCCGAGCCTATCGTAACGCTCAAGCAGTCCTGGAAGCTGAATGGCGCTGTCATAGAACAATGTCGAGCTATCTAGCATAGGTGCGTTGAGTGCCAAAGCCCGCCAATTCGAGTCGGCTAAGGTAGGTGCTTTTCGCTCGATCAGTGCCCAACATAGTGCGCCGTGCCTTGTGTTCGTGAACAGCAGCCACGCCAGCGGACTTTGCATTGACGACGCGCCTCTGGCTGAGATGAGTTGTTGGCAGCCACGGACATGCTTGCCCCATGCGCTGTCATGCTGCCCTATCTCCTGATAAAGCGCACACATGCCTACGATGGTTACTGCGGCGAGCAGCTCGTCGTTTCCTATGTTCTCCGGGCGCGCAATAGCTCTCGCGAGACTAGAGAGCGCTCTGCCGTACATCTTCACAGCCTCGTCCAGAAGGACACGATCTTTGTGAAGACTTCCAATCGTGACCAGAGCAAGAGTATCTAAGCCTTCAAGCAGTGCAGGTTGCTGAGCAGGCATGCCGGCTATTGTTTGGAAGAAGTTAAAGTGGTCCAAATGAGTACTGTTCTTGGGTAGGTAGATATCCATGAAAGTGCCATGCAGCTGATTCCGCTCTACCGCAGCACTGAGCGGGTTATTTAGCAACGCCGGCGTTGTGAGCATGGAGAGGAGCTTGTCGCCAGGCCATGTCATGGTAGCGGCGATCGAGCTGGCATGCTCAGAGCTGAACGAGTAGTCAAAGTCATTGTCTTCGGTAGTGGGAATAATGATTGTCTCCTGAGCTTGTTTGACCTGGTGAGGACCCTTCACCCTCCTCACAACCTCTTTGGTTTGGTCCCGAAATTCGACGCCTCCTGGCTGGCTTCGATATCCCGGACAAGGTACGCCGTGGATGGCGCATCGCTGGCAAGCAGGTCTAGTCTCGTCGCATCGAATCTTGCGTTTGCGGCAAGTGTAACACCCTGGGGATCGCAGTGGCATTGTTCGCAAATGATAGCCTTTGAACTTTCGCCCCGGTCCGCTCCTCTTTAGGCAGGCACGGCGAGCTATCTATGTGACCGGAATGAGAAGAAATGCGAGACGGGTCGCCTTCGGTGATCTCCAGTACTAACGCGCGTGGATACTATATGTAGCTGTAAATAATGGTGAACGTCGGTAGATATTCTCACGGTCTAACCTTCCTGTTCCTGGCACAGCCAGAACGGGCTCCGCGGCGGGGAATCCTTGTAGCCAGGTAGCATATGATTGTAAGCATATCCCAGCCTTAGCGTCATTGACCACTGCGCGAGCCTGCGCTTGAGCTTGTTATGCTTCGCTTCGCTTTGCTTTCACAATAACACTGGACAGTCCTCGGACAGATGTTGTTCATGTTTTGAGGGTTTGCCCTGTAAGCCTGGGCGCCTTCAAATCCTAACCCTAACCCTTGATGGCACAAATTGTTACTCTTCAGTTTGCTCACAGTCTCTCTGGCACGTCACGGAGCATTGTTGACCCTGGTGACCCGGTGGACGTTACTATATGCACGTGGACTTCCTTCTCGCGCGCTAGATGCTGACTCGTCGTCACTTACCTTCGTTCCGTTTCGCCACCTACGTTAGCTTCCGAGGCATGTCAACTCAATCCAACAGACGCATTCTGAACCCCGGCGGCACGAATGATTCGTTTCAAGCTGAACAGTACACTAAGGGCTCCCTTGACCTTGACCAACTGCTCGCGGACCCTGTCGTACAGTTCAACACCTGGTTTCAGCATGCCCAAGCAGAGAAAGTCTACCAGCCGGAAACCGTAACCCTATCGACTGCAGAGTTACCCTCAGGACGGGTAAGCGCTCGGATGGTCTATCTCAAGGAAGTTGATGAACGTGGCTTCGTCGTTTACAGTAATTGGGCCACATCGCGAAAATCTAAAGATGTGGCTTCGAACCCGCAGGCAGCACTAACTTTCTGGTGGCACGAATTGGAACGACAGGTACGAGTAGAGGGGCCTTGCGAGCGCATGTCATCCGAGGAGAGTCAGTTATACTACGATACTCGCATTCGCGGTTCTCGCCTGGGTGCCTGGGCGAGTCAGCAATCACAAGTACTGCGAGATAGGGCTGAGCTCGAAGGGCAGGTCATGGAGGTTGAGAAACGTTTCGCAGGACAGGAGAACATCCCTGTTCCGGAATTTTGGGGCGGCCTGAGGGTGAAGCCAGAGATGGTGGAGTTCTGGCAGGGAAGGCCGAGTCGACTGCACGATCGCTTCCGGTATACGAGGGGATCAGATGGTAGCTGGAAGGTCGACAGACTGAGTCCTTGATCATACCCAATAAGCCGGCATGTAAATGCTAAGACGGTAGTCCCGCATCTGCGCCTCTGTCCGGCGCTGATCCACGCCGACGATGTACACTCGACACTTTAAGAGACACCACGTCTGGCTCGCTTGACTTCATAGCTTGCGGCTCATGACGTCCGCATAATGTGGACTTGGCGTTGGAGGCGAGTTTATTGCGACTGAGTCCACTTCATGCGGTCCCTGCTCTGCTGGCAGCTCTGTGGGCTGCGCTTTCTGCATCATTAACTCTGCTGGCGGCGGCGAATGTGTGCCCGCGAACGCATATTGCGGGTCCTGATATGGCGACGCTTGACCGGGACTATGCACAGGTGAAGGCTGCATGGGCTGCATTGTCGGGTACGTGTTCGGCCAGCCTTGCGTTCCGTCCCCTCCGACATAGTAAGGTGATGATGCTTGCATGGGCGGCGATCCGAGGTGGAACGCAGAGGCTTGAGCAGGAGCTTGCTTTCCATATTGGGTGTTGCGGCGGCGCTGACGCCTACCCCAGCAGAATGCGCAGAGAGCGACAATAGCAATGAGCACTACGCCACCTCCCACGCCTACCCCAATGCCGATTTGCGCATCTTTCGAGAGTCCGGAATTATTGCTAGCAACTGCACTACTGGTTGGGCTCGCAGTCGTCAAAGCGGCGCCCGACCCGGCACTTGCGGAGGTGGCTGCAGCTGCAGCTACTGTCGACGGCGCAGGAGTCAAACCTGGCACAACTTGTACGACCGAACTCGGACCGTCTTGATACGTTGTGAGTTCGCTGATAGTAGCCGGAGTGTCTGCGGACGCATGATCGGTTAGAATAGTGGACCGGTAAGCGGAGTCGGGGCTCATACAGTTCGCTATGGCTGTGACAACCCAAGTACTTGTACCATTGATTGTGGTGCCACTGTAATAGCTTGTCTGGCCGTACAACGTGGACGGTAGCGATACGTAGGGTGCAAGCGCCTCTGGTGCATACAATGCAACCCGCGCATCTGCGCCCATTTCTTTGCATCCTCTTGGTTGTAGGACAAGCAGACTATTCGTCGCATTCCATTGACAACCGCAGCTCTCGGGTGCATGGCACACCCATGTATCTGTGACGTTCTGCACGTCTGCACAGTATTCTAGGGCTACCCATGGTGACAGTGCTTTGTGCCCGTCAGATTCGAGCTGCACAGAAATTCATTTGCTACTCCTTACTTGTGTTCCAGCCACACTTGTATGGGCAGGATTTATCCTTATACGTTATGTCTGTGCAACCGTATTGATAGAGATCGCCTGTCTCATAATTATAACAAGTGTTGCCGGAGAGCTGAGAGATGTGTTAGCCGAAGTCAGGGGGTCCAACATTTCGCTGGGCTTACACAAGTGTCTCCTAGAAGGCAGCACGCCGAGTTCCCGGAGGGCATGCAAGACACGAGTTCTGCAGGACCGCGATTGCCGGCTCCTGGGCCGTAGTAGCATTGTTGCTGGGCGCCGACGAGTACGGCCAAGCCGGAGAGAAGCCAAGCCAGCCGTTGCATTATGTTCAGTGCATCACACAATAATGATACTGAGGGAAGTGGACACTAAGTAGAATGAGGTGACGATAAGAGAGGCGAACGCCACTTACCAGCTTGGTGCGTGCAGATGTTGCTCGGTCGAAGTGCAAGTCTATTCCATGCTCTTGGCCCCATTTATGCGTGTGATATCTTGTTTGCAGTGCCCTCTCAGCGAATAGCAAGTAACGCGGGATGATTGAGGCGTCGTTGAATACGAGATAACATCGGCGAGGCGTGATAGCCTTGTGGAGGAACTACCCCTTCAGGCGGCTGACACGCTCTGCACGTGGAGATGGTACGAGACGCTTGTTGGAACACCATTGCGTTGCGAACTGTTGGAACAGACGGTCGACAGCGAATTCGTTCATGTCTTGTGATGAGCGGCCAGTTGCTCGATATTCGGCGACTGCATGCTGATCAAAAGAACTTCAGTAGCTATACGAGGCTAACGCACCACCCTCGCTTCTCCATCTGCTGTTTCAGCCCCGGCAGGAGCCGGGAAGTGTGCGTTCATGTTCTTGTCATTGCAGTCTAGGTACCGGCAGTGGCAATTCGCTCGTATCATTACAGGGCGAACACGGCCGTTCTGTGCCAGCATAGGCGGATTTGTGGCGACAATCAAAACCGTAATGAGATGGAGGTTCCATGTTAAGGTATGCTTCGCGTCTCGAGCGAAGGCTGGCAAGCCTGAACATGGTCGTCATCACAGCATCCCTCCTCAGGCTCGTCGCGGGTTCCTCGTGTTGACTTCATACGGTATTGATGAGATTTCCTGTCGGCTACGAGGCGCGGGAGAACAGAGAAAACTATCGTCGCTCTTATTACCTCGTTAATTGACACAGACTTTCAATGCTTGGCCAAAATACGCGTTACATCAACCCTTTCCATCGGGCCTTGCATTGTAGAAACCCACAGCATGACCGGCCAAGGTAGCCTTGCTGCATATGCTGCATCGCATGTAAGCTGCTCTAGCAGAAGAAGGCCTAACAGTGCAGTCAAAAACATTCGTCTCCGTAACTACCGCTCACGGTGACGGTGGCCATGCCCTCGGTTCACGACCATGTATCGTATGCGCCGGCATAGCGCGCAATCCAAATGCCCTGGCCTTCTCATGCCAGTATGCTTTCGGCGATCTTCAAGCCCTTCCGGAGCGCTCACCCAAGTTAGTCCCGACGGAGACATTGACATTGGTAGAGTACCGAAGCCTTATCTAGGACAACGGCGGGGACTCGGAAATGGCGTGAGTTAATTGTGAGTACACAAGGTGACCCGAAGATCCAAGCCTTTGCCCTTAGGCGCGATCCCAGTACGGATCACTCATGCAGATACGACACGTATACACCAATAGTAATAAATCCACTGCCGAGGAGGAATTGTCACGACTAAATGGTAAGCGGCTGGCTGTGTTCGACGCAAGTATCGTGAGAGGTGCGGTGTCAGCTCTACAGCCACTGCACGCCTTGACCGCTATACCTTCACTCTCGAAGGTCAGACCAGTAACCGAGCCGGCGGCGCAATCGCTTGTAAGAAAGCCGGGAAGAGGGTGCTTCAATGGCTTTTAAGAGCCGACTCCCGTGCGTGGCTGGACTTCTCGTCGAGTCCGCGTCTTGCGAACCTTCTTATCTACTGTCCTACAATGAAGTGGACGAAAGTCTAATTTGGCAATGGCTTGAAACAGACCTCGAGCACCTCCTGGGAGACCGGAAATCGGACATGATGCTGCGCTTGATGGTCCTACGCAGCCTACTCGGGGTAAAACTGCAGCGGGCCGTAGGCGGTCCAGCAGACAATGCCCTGCCCTGTATACTCGAGGCGGCGAAGCTGAAAATAAGTGCGCAGCTTAAGGCCTTTAGGTGCATCTCATTAAGAAGCTTGATCGTTGTAGTCGCAAACCGGGTGTGTTGTCCCACGGTAACGCTGTTTCCAGGAACAGACACGTCGCTCTGGTCTAGGATCGAATCGCTGACTGCGTCATACTTCTTGTCCCAGTGCTCCTGGAATTATTATGGTGGGCTTCGGGGCTCAGAATAATGGCTTGCGCAGAAGCTGGCTCTCTTTCATCCTACCCGACCAAACCCCTTTCCCATGCTCAGAGCAATGCAAGAATTCATGGCGTCATAAGACAGCGCCTCGCCGTCCAAACAACAGGGCAATTTAGACGGGATCTACGCGGTCAGACACTCGATTGGGGTGACCTCGACAAGAGTCGACGAACAGCGCTACCCAGTGGACGCTCAATGGGTACGATCGTTGCTTCCACAAGTCGATGAGGCCCTGCTTTCCACAAGTAGAGCATCTAAGTCACGCATACAGCGTGAGGACGCAGACGGTAAGTCGCGAGCTTCAAGATGGCGAGCGTGCAGGAGCAGGTGCCCGAAGAAGCGGGACCTCATTGAATGTGGCTGCTGGCCGATCTTTGGTTAAGGTTGATCAAGACTGGTTCCCCGCAAATGACTGTTCAATCTAGGATTCGCTGGGTTCCAGGATCATAGATATGGGACCTCCACGAACACCAAATCCGTCTCAGTTCCGATGCGCACCTGCAGGATACCTTGATATGGTATTTGCAGTGCGTTGGTCTGAGAACGTTGCGTGAAGATTGCATCCCAACTAAAGCCGGAGCGGCTGCACTTGGAGCGAGGGCAAGGGCTCTGTCGTTCTGCATTGCCAAACAGCCGTTACTGACATGCTGCCATCATTACATCTTGGGTCACTCGATTTCGAGGACGGAGTCATACGGCTGCATAGGCAGTGGCAGGGGCCATCCGGGGGCTTGCATAGTCTCGATATCCGACTTATACGGAGTTCGAATGTGAGCGTTGTTGCCTAACGAGCGATCCATCCGTCTTCTGGCTGATACGGTTCTGCAGTACAGCCAGCCATTTCTACGCATCACGAAGCGGATCGGCACACCCTCACACTCGGCAAGTCAGGCGTCAATTGCCACCTTCTTCGATGATAATGCTCAAGAAGCAGAGCATTTAGATGAAGGTGACTCCGAAGCCTTACCTCGGCGTGCAGTTGCCCATAAAATCGAGGTTATTATCATCTACGACATCGTCCATTCGCCATCCTACAATGTTCCGGTGCTTTACATTACTCTCTCGCCTCGCTCTGACGGAGCAACCCGCTCATTAGATGCGGTCTATGACCTACTCGTGCCGCAAAGTCAGTGGGGCTCGTTGCAGTCGGTCAGCGTCATGGGCGGACTCAGCATGACCGATCACCCAGTCACTACTTTGCCGGCATATTTTGTGCATCCGTGTCGGACTGCGGAGGCGATGGCGGCTGTCACAGCTGGACGTACCGTCACTCCAACAGAGTATCTGGTGGTGTGGTTGGGTCTTATAGGGTCGACTGTCGGGCTGCATATGCCAGTATCCGTCGCGAAAGCGGTGGTTCAGCGTAATACTGTTGCGTCACGCAGTGTGACTGGCATTGAGAGGACTGTTGATACACGTAATGCTGTCAGAGATTGACCGAATATCTCCAAGGTCTCACAAATACATACTGCTTTCCCTTTATATGCAGCTGAATGTTGATTACTGCGTCTTTCCGCATGGTGGACCCGGTATTCTGCGCCGGATGCCGCTTACCGTGAAATGGTCGGACGTGCATGATGCACGAGTCGTAGTCGTCAATCCTCGTCGTCGCTCATCTCCATAGCTTCATCATCATCATCCTCCATTTCCATCGCCGCCTCCTCTTCCTCATCTTCTTCGCGCCTCCGCTTCGTTCCCGCCTTCGCCTCCACGGACTTCTCAAGTTCCTCCCTCTCGGCAGACCCAGCGACTGTCACACTCGCCATACCCGTCGCTGGAGCCGCAGTCTCTACTATCGTGGCTTCGGTGACCGGTGCATGCGAAATCTGGGCCTGCGTGGGACGTACATCCGGCTGAGCTCCTGGAATAGCAGCGAACGCAGCAGGCGCGGCGCCACCGTCGGCTTGTGTGGTCGCTCTGGCACCCTCGACAGTGGCAGGTGGGTTGAAGGTGCCCGTGAGTTTGGCTATTGCGTCGGAGCGGTTCTTGGAATATGAGAGCCGCATTTCGCGACCGCATAACTCAAAGCCTTGACATGCTCGAATGGCTTGGGTCGCAGACTGCACATCCCTCATTGTGACGTGCGCTTGCCCTCGCATCTTCGCGGTCTTGAGCGCAATGACATCAAGAACCGGGCCATAGGTTGAGAATAGCATATACAGTTCCCGACGGAGATCCTCCTTCTGCAGCTTTTCCGGTAGATTTTGGATGTAGATGCTTTGATTAGGCGCGCCACCGGCAACAAGCTGGTTGTTAGCGTGGGCTACAGCGGTGGCCATCGCAGCATGTAAGTCTCCTCGACTCGGCGCTGCTATCACGAGACAGGATGTAATTCCTTCTCCAGTGAGAGTACCGTGGGAACTTTGTGCTATGGAAGCACTTCGAGATGCTTTGCTGACTCAGGGAGAAGCTTCATCGCTCCATTCCTGAGTCGTGCGATCTTGCTGGAATGCTAGGTAGCACTACATCATCCTTGCTCGTTTGAACTGTGTTCGCGGTAACAATTGGACAAGCAACAGTCGAGACACCTCCCCTCCTGCTGCATACCATGGCCGCACCAGAAGTGCATCATCTCTTCCACGCTCCCATCTCCGACCACTCCTTCTCCGACGACCGCTCTACCCTCGCAGTGGCCCGTGACAACAACGTGGAGCTTTACCACCGATCCGGGAAAACGTTCAATCTCCAAGACGAGCTTCGAGGCCACGACAAGCTCGTCACGGGCGTGGACATCGCCCCGCAATCCGGCCGCATTGTGACATGCTCGCAGGACCGCAATGCCTACGTCTGGGAACCCAGCGAGTCTGGCGAGTGGAAGCCAACCCTGGTGCTTCTGCGCATCAACCGCGCGGCGACATGTGTCCGGTGGTGTCCCGGTGAGACCAAATTCGCAGTGGGCAGTGGTGCTAGGATCATCGCAGTCTGCTACTTCGAGCAGGAGAACGATTGGTGGGTGTCGAAGCACCTCAAGAAGCCACTTCGCTCGACCGTGACTAGTGTGGCGTGGCACCCAAACTCGGTGCTGCTGGCAGCAGGTAGCACAGATGGCCACGCGCGCGTCTTCAGCTCCTTCATCAAGGGCACAGATGAGCGACCCGAAGCTAGCCCGTGGGGAGAGAGGCTGCCGTTCAATACCGTTTGTGGCGAGTATCTGAATCCCACGGCTGGCTGGGTCCACGATGTCGCCTTCGCCCCGTCCGGCAACGCTCTTGCCTTTTGCTCGCACGACAGTAATGTCACGATCGTGTACCCTTCAGGGCCCGAACAGCCTCCACAGGCAGTCATCTCCATCTCTACGCAGCAGCTACCTTTTACGTCTCTCCTCTGGTCGTCTGAGACGGAGCTGATCTGTGCCGGCTACGATTGCTCCGTCTACCGGTTAATGGGCGATGCGAATGGCTGGCAGATAACTGGCTCGTTGGAGAAGGACAACGGCCGCCCAGGACTCGAGCAGCGCGAGGAGAGCGCGCTAAACATGTTCCGCAGCATGGACCTTCGGGGCAGAGCAAGCAGTGCGGACGATACCAAGCTCAAGACCGTGCATCAAAATAGCATCAACACAGCCCGTATCTACCAGGAGAGCGGTGGGAATGTGCAGAAGGTTAGTACCGGTGGTGTGGACGGTAGGGTCGTTGTTTGGACTTTGTAAAAACTAGCACCCCTGTCATACGGCTGTCGGTATGCGCTTCACGAAAGTCAGGACGCTACAGGTTTATATCACCACCTCCACCTTCGTCTTCATCATCATCCAAGTCACCCATATCGTCAGCGTCAAAAGCCTTCAATGTCTCGCCCTTCGCTTCCGTCCCCGCCTCCACAACAAAGCTCGGTGCGACCTCGCAATCCGTCAGCTTCGTCCTCTCCTCATCATCGTCCGCGCCACCTTTCCTTCGTTTCGGCTTCTCAGCGGTTTCATCAGCCGGCTCAGCTTCCGCGGTCTTCACGCCTTCTATCCTCGCCCGCCGACCAACAATGCACCCCGTAAGCTGCACTCCATCACCCACCACGCAGCCATCCATGAGCACAGACTTGAAAATGCGAACATTGTTCCCAATCTCGCAGTTGGCTCCGATGACGGACTCCTTGACGCTGCAGCGCGTACCGACTTTGACATTCTCACCGATCAGGCTGTCTTCTTGGCTGACCCGGCTTTGTTGGCCGATGGTCGCAGAAGGGTGGATCTTGTGCTCGTACGTTAGGGGTCGGGTTGATGGCTGACGTGCGAGGTAGAGCGAGATGCTGCTTAGTAAAGGTGCGGTGTCCACACGGCGGATAAGTGGTGAAGGTGAAGGCTGGATGTAGGCTAGCAGTGGCGGGACGGTGACTGGCTTCGGCGGTGAAGGCATTGACGTGCCAACTCGGGTGGCGAAGGTAGAAGGGGGCTGGACCGGTGGCGCAGACATCGTGCTCGACAGTGTTGAAGGATCGATCTCGTCGAGGCTGGAGGAGCCATTGATGTCGTCGTCGGCAGGTCGATTATCAGAAAGTATCTCACTCAGACCAAGCTTCTCTGCCAATCCTTCCTGCCATCCAGCTTTCGCCCACCACCCGAGCACGTCCTCTGAGATCGAGTCAAACCGCTCGTTCGTCGCAACGAAGTCCTTGACCCACCGCGGGAAAATGTAGACGTGGGCATCGCGGTGCTTGGTGCGCATCTTCACCCTGCCATGCCTTTGCAGAAGCAAATGACGGAGTGGGAGGTGCTGCTTGTTGTCTTCAAGTGTGTCGTTGAGCGTGTCTGTCGGCATGGCGATCATCGCCTGCTCAATGTACGGTCTGAGCGATGCCTGAGCTGGAGACACTGCAGGCGGTGGCAGCGCTGCGGTGACCACAAAGTCGGTCTCGTCCTTCTTGTTGCTGATACCTTCCAGACCGTATGTCGGGTAGTAGACTACAAGGCCGCCTTTCCTGCCGGCATTCGATGAATTCAATGTTAGCCATTGCTGCACTAGGTGGCTCCCATCGAGCTCCGATACAAGGTCACAAGGCAGGACAACGAAGTCACCGTCGATGACGTCCAGTACTTCCTTGCAGCGTAGTACATCCCCTGTACCGCTAGTCTGCTCCAAGCCTTTAGGCGCAATGATCTCAGGCTTCGGATTAGGAAGGCTAGTCAGCGCTGGATGCGTTGCAAACGCTCCTTGTAAGGGTTCGACGGACTCGGGAGGCGTTATGATTATGATGTTTGTGATCCCGCAGCGATAACACCAGTCGAGAGGGTACCATACCATCGGCCGGTTCGCGATCGGTATGAGTGCTTTGGGAAAGTCAGAGGGAGAGGATGTGAAAGTGTTCAAGCTGAGGCCGGGTCCGCAGAAGACGAGAGCCTGAAGTCCAGGAGAAGGTAAAGTGGCGTGAGGCATGTTGGTCGTACCGAGAATAGGCCAGATCTAGATAATGGCCTGATGATGTTGCCAACTAGTGACTTGCTGACTCAACGTGAGTTACCTCTGGTGTCGCTGATGGTGAGAGGAGGGAAGAATCCTGCTTGTCCGGAATGGAGGAACCACTCGAGCCAGGTAGACTGTATGAGGTAGAGAAATACCATCTGTGCCTGGGTCTGCTTGCATGTGGCACAGATCGACACAATGACTCGGACGATATAAGTTGATACATACGCGAGTCATGCCCACAACGCAAACCCACCTCGACCCCTGCGCATCCCCAGCCATCCCCAGCTTCGCGTACACAACCAATCAGTCTGCCTTCGCTACCTATGCTCGTAAGAGCTTCGCCGCGTTGCTTTTCCAAGCGACTGGGGCGCGGATGTGATCAGAACTTTGGATAGCCCGGGCGTACGACGCGACAATGTCCTACGACCGCAACCGCCAGCGCCGCCCGTTGTACACCCCACCTCCACCTCCGTCGCGACACCGCCAGCATGGTCTACTCACCTACTGGGTACCGTTAGTAACCATTGGCACTCTTGCTGTGGGCGGCTTGGCGGCATGGATCTGGACGGAGCGCAATGAGCACCACGACGAGGACTACCCGCCATCGCAGAAACCGCAACGCCCACCGCAACGCCCACCGCCGGGCCCTGGTGGGCCGTATCCTACTCAAGGATCGCAACCGTATCCTGGTCAACCAACCCAACAAAATCCTGCCAACGCGCAGCCGCCATATACGGGACCGCTGCCTAGCCAAAGTGCTGGACCACAAGGCGGGCCTCCTCCACCGGGAGGCGAAGCTGCAAGCTACTACGGATCGTCGCGTAGCCAGGAACAGCATGTAGAGGAGCGACACGAAGACGGTCAAACCTTCCTTGGTCAGGTAAGAGGTGCAATGCGCAGGACGCCGTCGCCGCAGCAGATCTTCGACCATGCGTCCAAGCAGGTCAGCGCGAGTATCGCGGCCGCAGGAAGCGCCCTGGGCAGTATCATGGAGGACCCGGAGAACGGTCACGCTTACACTGACGAGAGGGTTGAGCGGAGGGAGAGGAAGGAAGATCGCGAAGGGTTCAGTGACCATGAGCGATGGAGTGAAGAAGCGGATGAGAAGCGCAGGGTGGGACTGGTCGAGGCGGAGAGCGAGCGAAGGGCAGACGCGGCACGAGCTGGTCGTAGTAGTCAGGGAAAGGCGAGGAGAACCGTCGCTGTCGTAGTAAGCGCGGATACAAACATGGATGGCAAGATGGACGAGGAAGACGTTGTCTACTCGGAGCATGCCGTAAGCTCCTCTCAACTTCAATCGTTGCACACTCGCTAACGTTCATCAGTCCATCCTTTCTCATCTCCCGCCACATCACGATCCATCAACAACCGACCTGTTCATCTTGATCTACGCTCCTGGCCTGCCATCCCCACCACCTCTCAACTACCGACCCAGCACGATGGACGTGGATACTGCTTCTAACATAGGCAGCTCCTACTCCCAGATGAACACGCCAGCGCAAACTCCGGGAAGCGAGCTCCAAAGCATTTCACCTCGTGTAGAACCGCAAGATGACGGCAAATTCCCTTCACCAAGCAGACAGTTCGATGCGCTTTACCAGCAGGCTTTGTCTCTCGTTGACGATCCGAGCAAAGTTCTTTGCTTCACCACAACAGACGGCTACGTCCACATCCTCCGCCACTTGGTACCCTGGATGGTCTACGTCTCTGACTTGCTCGCTGGCCACAATGGACAGGTTATCACGCAGTTGGCCGATTACGTCGGGCACATGGTGCTTGTGCTTGGCGATGACGGGACTGGCGGGCTGGCCGATACGGAGACGGAGGATGAGGCTGCCGCGGGGAGGGATAATGGAAGGTGGTATGACCGTAGTTCAATTGTGGGCCGAGGCAAGCCGCTGGAGGTGGTGGATGCGGCGAGAATGGGGGAGGACTGGGCTAAGAGGGTCGGAGGGAAGGATTGAGGGCTTTCCATTTTGTATATTAAGATATCTGCATTATATGCATTAGCAATTCAAATCGATGCTGCCTCACCTCGCAAGTGACGCCATCGCGCCTGCCGCAGGCAGCAATCGGCCGTTCGGGTTTATGTGCGTTACTACGCGCCGCTTCCTCGTCAACAAACGAACATCCAAACCCGTTGGCGCGCGAGACGGCACGACGACGATGAATCACTCTCCTTACGGGCTTTGAAGTCACTTGTGCTCCCGGTCTTCAGAAGATAAAAGGTAGGCTTGCGGTGCTTTATGGTCACAGTTCGTAAGATCAATCAAAATACAGCTTCGAAACAGGCAATTCGCGATCTGCGTAGCTCGTCTCGTTTCATGTAACAGCACAATCAATGAGCGACCATGTCAGACAAGCGGGTTGTATTGTTTGATCTCGCTCGGCGAGGCGGCAACTCATGCTGGTCCTTTAATGTCTGGAAGAGCAAGTATACGGCCGATTCATGCTAGCTCGCCATGCCACTAACAGTACTCCTGTAGCGCGCCTAGTGCTGAACTACAAGGGCATACCGTACACTACATCATGGATAACCCACCCAGAAATTGCACCGACTTTTGATGGGCTCGGCATCCCACCGAATATGTCCGGCCAAGGCTCGCCTTACAGCGTACCGATGATCCGCTTGCCAAATGGTGACTGTGTCATGGACTCGGCCGCGATCGCGAACAAGCTCGAGGAGCTGTATCCTCAACCATCGCTACATTTGGACGCAGGTCTCCATGGCAAAGCGACGGCGGCGGGAGGCAAAGTAGCGGGTCCGTTAGTACCAATCTTCATGCCGCGGGTGGGACGGGACATGGTCGCTGAGAGCTCTGTATCGTGGTTCAGGGAAGCACGGCACAAGATGTTTGGCATGAGCTTAGAAGATCTTGAGGCGACTCGCGGAGGGAAGCAGGCTTGGGCGGCGGCCAAGGCAGCAACGCGAGAGCTGGAGGCTTGGGTCAAAGAGACCAAGAAGGAGGACGGACCATTCCTGCTGGGCAGTGAGGTGAGTTATGCTGACTTTGTGATAGTAGCGTTCATGGAGGCCCTGAAGCGCATCGGGCCGGATATCTATGATCGAGTCTGTGGTGATGAGGAGGCGCTGGTCGCGATGCACCATGCGACCACTCCATGGCTAAAGCGCGATAATTAGAGTAACGTATGAGATACTCGTATGAGAAGATATGAACTGCGGGTCGTCATTGCTGCACAATGACTTGTTACCCGGCAAGAGGCATATTGTAGGGTACTCAGTGAATTGCTTTATTCATCGCCGTGTGCGATACCATGGTTCATTGTAGAGGCCGAAGTTGGAACAGTAATGCTTCCATCTCAAGCCTACAAACATTCGCGAGCAATCGGCTCCGTCGAGCCGGAAAAATTGTGTCTCTTCATGGATGCGCGGTATCTCTAAAGGAGCAGCAACATGAAGATCCTTAGATGTTAGGTCAGCCACAGTGTCTGCAGTATACCTCCACCTCCGTAACAGCTATCCAGCTCCCACGCTGTTTCAGACCATGCGACACAACATCCCATCACAAGTCCCACGTCACATACATGTAGACGTGTATCGTACCGCACGCATGGAGCATGAGAACCGAGTAGTTGCGGCACTGGAACATGGTCAACCTCCTCTGCTCTCGAAGACGACAACATCGAACCCTTTCTTCCACACATCGTCCGCCACAGAGGAAGGTAGCTTGACAATACTGCACCTCAGGCGAGATAATCTGGTGCCGGTCACTCTCAGGCGCACGGCAGACGATGGATATGCCGAAGGTGCTGTCACTAACACCAGATTCGGAAGCTTTCCTCACAGCACATTGATTGGTCTGGAATGGGGCAGTCAAGTGAGGGCGAGCAGGGTTGACACTGGCTCACGCGGCAGGAAAGGGAAAGCAGCGAAACAGCAGGATGCAAGCATTCAGATAGACAACAGACTACCTACGCCTGACCCGCAGCATGATATCTCCAATGGATGCCATACTGCCGCGGAAGAGATAGGGCAGCCCACAAGAAGCGTAGTACAACAGCCGCAAGGGCAGAGTAAGAAGCGGAAGTCTGGCGAAGCTGAAACTAATGATGGATCCGTGACGACGAAGAAGCCTAGGAAGCTACTTCCGGAAGAGGCTGAGGACGTTCAGGCCCTAACGCCTGCCTTTCAGACAGCTGTAGACGCTGGCTCAGGCTTCATACACCTTCTGCCACCTACTCCGGAAGCATGGACCGCATCGTTAGATCACCGCACGCAGGTTGTCTATACAGCCGACTACAGCTACGTCCTCCAGCGATTGCGGGTGCGACCCGGTAGCAGGATGATCGAAGCCGGTGCCGGTAGTGGCAGCTTCACTCACGCTGCCGCAAGGGCCGTATTCTCCGGCTTTCCAGAGGACTCACATGTAGGAGAGCTAAAACAGGTCGGCAAGGTCTACAGCTACGAGTTCAATGTGTCCCGAGTTGGTACGCTACGTGAAGAAATCAGCGCGCATGGCATGGATGAGATCGTTCAACTCACATTTCGAGACGTCTGCGAACGTGGCTTCCTGTTCCCAATAGGCTTCGATACCACACCACATGCCGAAGCCATCTTTCTCGATCTTCCGAAGCCTTGGGAGGCTTTGAGACATCTGACCCGATCATCAACGCCTAGCGAGTCCGCTTTAAACCCTGATGTTCCCGTCCATTTGTGTACCTTCTCACCCTGCATTGAGCAGGTCATGGCGACGACAGCGTATTTGCGCAAAAACGGCTGGACTGAGATCGAAATGATCGAAGTGCAGAACCACCGCATTGACGTGCGCAGAGAGCAAGTCGGACTCAAAAATGAAGGTTTGCGTGGCGTCAACGCTTCAGCCGCAACCGTGGAAGAAGCGGTGGCGAGGTTGAGAGAGGTTGAACAGAAATTAGGCGACTATCATGCTGCTAAGAGCGACATGGATGCTGCGGCTAAGGCGAATGCTGCTCCAGCAATCTCCTTCGATGGCGCAAAGCAAGGCAAGAAAGGTGGTCCGTGGCGACACATTCAAAGCAAAGCTGAGCGCTTGGAGAAGCTGAGGAAGGAGGCGGAAGAGCGGAAGCTGTACAAGGAAGGCAACCTCGTCCACCGGACCGAGCCGGAAGTGAAGACACATACGAGCTATCTGGTCTTCGCTGTGCTGCCCGTCGATTTCACCGATGGTGATGAGGAAGCCTGCATGCAGCAGTGGTCCGTTGACGACATCATGAAAGTCGAGAAACCCCCGACGAATGGCGTCAAATAACGACACATACCAGGGTCCCTGCGTATCATCACGCCACAGTAATGCTGTCCTCTACGCTACTGTTTACGCCCTTAGTCCTTTCCGGCTGCCGCAGCATCAGCGCATGCGGCAGATCCTTCCCATTCTTAAATCTGGTAAAGTCAAACGGCAACCACCCAACCGTATCAAAGCCCATGCGCGCATAAAGAGGCCTCCCAATCGGACTGGCCTCCAACCATACCGGCAACCCAAGCTTGTTGGCCTGCTCGAATCCCCATTCCAGGTGCATCGCTCCCACGCCTCGCCTGTGGTGATTTGGATGCGTCGTTAGGATGTGCAGTACAATGTGAGGCTTGCCGGCAACATGTACCTTCTTCGCGTGCTGGAGTGCGGCGCCGAAACCCTCAATCATGGAGACGTCGATATCAGGCGGTAGGCCATCTTGCTTACTCTCTTCGTCTTCTTTTTCAATCTCAGCGTCGGTCCTTGGCTTGGGGTAGAACTTCCACCATGCGGTCCCTACGATCTTGTTGTACCGATCATCGTCCGGTAGGTCGGTATCTATAACCTTGTTCTTGCGGTACTTCTCCGGGTCTTTGCGCCACGCTTTGAGCGAGGTCTGTAGGGTATGTTCTCTCGCTGCCTTGGTGAAGCCTTGAGGGTACATAATGCCCATGATGCTATCACGGAAGGCCTCCCACATGATGTCGACGCTCGCTTCCATGTCACTCTCCTGCATGGGCTCTAGTATGAGAGGCATGGTATCGCTTTACAGGATTTGGGCCGATTGATCAGTGTAGAGCTACGCCAGTTCACAAAGCACAGTACCACGCAATCTTACGAGCGCTCGCATCAGGACGACGTGTCGACTCAACTTATACCAGCGCGTGGCGTGTTACTAAAATCTGGCAGACTAGATGCTTAGTCTGAAGCTACGGTCGTTTGAAGAAGCTCTTCACGGCGTTCGGTGTTCGGACCGAGGTGGACGCCGCGACTTCAGGACATTGATCTAATAACCTACAGCCTCCAGTCCACATCACACTGGCCTACTGCGGACGTTCCTGGTCTACAAGACAGCCCGGGCATTTAGGTTGTGTCGCAATCGTCGCCATGCCAGACGTAAAGACGTACCGACTGCAACCGACGGCATTGATACCGAACTCACAGTATCCGCTGCTCCACTATCCCGGCTTACTAGCAGATAAGACGGACTGCAATGCTGCCAAGGTCTACGATCTTTTCACAAGTAACGGCTGGGACCTGCAGTGGATCTATCGTTACGGGCCAACCCAAACGTCTCACTACCACTCCTCAGCACATGAGTGCATGGCTGTCCTCTCCGGCAGCGCCACAATCCGTTTTGGCGTCGCAGACACCAGCGACGACCTGGAAGCCAGCACCCACGGCGCTGCCCATGAGCAGGGCGGCGTGGAAGTGTTTGCTACCGCCGGCGACGTTTTTGTCATTCCAGCTGGCGTGTCGCACAAGACTTTCGATACGACTCCACCTGCGAAGTTTAAGCTGCTAACTCCTGGGGATGGACATGGTATAGCCTCTGATAATGTCCGCCAAAGGCTTGCGGAGGTCGAATTATCTGGATTCACCATGATTGGCGCCTACCCCAGGGGCGGAGTCTGGGACTTCTGCTCAGGTGGCGAGCACGCGCAAGCGATGCAGGAAGTGTGGGCCGTACCAAAGCCGGCCGCTGATCCGGTCCTTGGGAGCGTCAATGAAGGCTTGTGTGGGCTGTGGCAGTAGTTAACGCCTTTCAAGCTCGCTGGTGCACACCGTAGGGCGAGCTGAGACGAGTCGGAATATCAATGAAGAACATGTTGTGGAGGTTCTTGTGGGACATGCTGATGCATTGCGGGGCCTTCCTCTTTGTGACCAACTCGCTGTCGTGCATCCAGCTTAGGGATTGTGAAGCGCGAGGTGCCATTTTCCAGGTGTTGCGCTTTGGCTTAATTCACGTACTCTATGCAGCGATCTGGAGTTTGCAGTCGTGCCGATTCAACGCAGAAATTCATGACAATACACTGCCGTAACACCTTCTAGCACGAAGCTTTACCGCCATTGACGATCTGCAGCGAAACTGTGTCGTCAGCTTGTCGCTACGCATGCCTATAGACGAAGGCTACACCCTGCTGGAAAGTCTGAGGGACTGGATTGACGGCGACCATCCATTCGAGCTTGTTGACCATAGCCATTGCGTCTTCCTTCACGATCCCGTCTTCACCGAACGAGAAATGAGGTACGCTCTTCTATACATTAGTAACAAGCTTGCAAAACGGTCTCGCACTTCGACGAAGCGGACGACTTTGCAAGAAGGTACTACGCCGACAGAGTTGACATTGACAACTTCTCCATCACATATGGGGAGTGAGGACTTTCTAACCAACCTGCTTGATGAGGCAATGTGGCTATACGGGAACATTAGGAGTTCCACTTATAATAGTTTCGGGGCCAAGCTTGCACAGGAGCCGCTGGAAGCAGGCGATATGAGCATGCCGTCGAAGATGCGCCGCACGATCGCTGCGCTGTGTCGCCTTCGAACAAAGGTAGAGTGCGACAACGCAAGACTGCGGCGGGAGATAGTCAAACACCAGGACGAGGGCATGGGTCCGGAGCAGGATGCAGGCAAGGCAAGAGGCCGAAAGGAGGCGTCCGAGCGCAAGGACGGCGGGTTGTCAATGCTTCTGGAAATCCAGATAAGCCCAGAAGCTGAGCAGCGTACTTCATGCAAACTGCCGTTGAGTTGACCTTCCGTGCGAGGTTTTACCTCTTTCGAGGCTAAGTAGCTCGGAGTCGCGACCGACGTTCTCTCGGCCGTCGGAGATGGTAAATATAAAGGAATGCTTATCCATGCTGTCCATCTGCGTAGCCTGATTTAGCGGTTCATGCCTTCGTGGAGTACGAAGATATCAATTCTTGTGTAGCACTTTGTGAACCGTCCAAAGACGCACATGGCTCTGACACGGTGGCCAAGGAAGGCCCATGTCCGCAGCAGTGCTGTCCCTGAGCTAATGCTTCTCCTACGCTGCGACACCGGCAGAAACAGCATGCAGCAAGGTATAATTGTGGTAGAGTCGCTTCGATTACCAGTCCGTAGCAGCAGCAGTGGCATCGGGCTCGAAGCATAGTGGTTGCTAGGATGGGCTATACTAACAGATTAACCGACACGCGGATCCGGTTCGACGACCTAGATTTGGGAGGCCTTCTGCGGGACAACAAGTATCGCTTTTCACGATGTCAATCACATATAGGCTACCTTCCGCCCTGTGACGTCGCGGACGATTTGGTCCAAGTTGTCCCGCTTCCGCTTTCTCTCTGCCGCATCATGATCGTCGGTCCAAGTCGAATCTTCATCTTCCTTGTCAAGTGCGATCTCTTCGTCGGTACGAGGTCGCCAGCTCCGAATTGATCCATCTGTATGAGCCGAGTAAAGCTCCACATTGTGTGGACGCCAAGCCAGAGCGCTGGTCCTTGTGTTTAAGTTATGAATGCTGCCACCTTCGAAGCGTCGCATTTGAGTGGTTGGTATTCGCAGTCGTCTCAACAGTGTCCCGTCATGCATGCCAAATGCGAGAATCTCACCAGGGTTCGGGTAATAGACAATATCGGTCCCTGGAGGAGAAAAATGTGCCGGAGCGATAGCAGGTGTTAGGAGTGTCGTCGTGGTGTTCCTCAAAGATGGCCCGAAACTAGCTAGCGTGTTCGCGCCCGTAAGCATGTTCCACACGCGCATTCGCTCATCATGCCCAACCGTGACGAGGTATCTGGCATCATATGACCACGTGATGCCGTTTACGGCACCATTGTGTGCTTTTCCTCGCTCACGTCGACGAGCGCCGGTTCCGATGCCGTTGTAACCTACGATACCGGCACTATCGGTCATGTCGAGTACGCCCAGACTGCTTGCACTTCTTCGAATGTCCCAGAGCCGGCATGTGCCATCACTTGCACCACTTGCAAGCACGTTCTCATTCTTCGGATGCCACGCCACAGACAAGACTGACCCGGCGTGACCAGCCAGAGAGTGCGCACTTGATCCGGAGCGTAGGTCAACCAAGCGTACGGCAGGATGCTGACCGGCGCATGCAACGAGTAGGTGTCTAGAGACTGTAGACATTGCGTGCGAGTACACGATGGATCCAAGGTCGAAAGTGGCAGATGGTTTCAATGTTTCGGATGAGAAAAGCTTGACGGTCATATCGTACCCGCTCGTCAGGAAGGCACCTGAATCAAAAGGATAGAAAGAGATCTGAGTAACTCCCAAGCTTTCTGTCGTCGAGGTCCTTACTAGGATCAGCATTTGAAGCTAGAAAGACCTGGGTCAGCTCACCGAGCAACGTGAGCTGCTGGTAGGAACAGGAAAGTGTGGTCAGGGCCATCTTCTCCCCCGTCCAGATCCCAAATTGCTACGGCAGAGTCGGCACCCGCAGAGAGCATCCTATGGTAAGGAGTCACATTAATCTTTACTGAGAGCCCGGCAGGATTGGAACAATGCGTACCATCTACCCTCAATGCCGTCGATGCAAATGCTATAAACGCCGGGAGGGTGGGCTACATGCTCTGTGGCGGAAGTGGCCTGCAAGTGCGAGGACTCGGCATGGCGGTGATTGTGACTGAACCCGACCCTTGTCGCCAGCTGCAATGAAGAGAGAAGACGGTGATTCTGGGCTAGGGCTGCAGCCTGCGGCGCCACCGAAGCCAGCTCCCGGTTCAGCAAGAACGAGTTCATCTACCGTCAGCGGCATTGCTGCTTTCGGGCGTACTTGGTTCTCAGAATCTCCCATGAACTGTAGGGTTGGATTAGAAAGGATGTGGTATGTGATGTGGATAGTGAAGTATTGGAGTCGGATTGAAGCGGTTCCCGCAATGGGGTCTTGGCGCGCAACTGCCTCCACGCGGCGCTCACTCTAGAGTCTGGGCAAAGTCGATACACTATCCACAACAATCTGAATAGTACGAAGACGGGCCCGGACTTTTACTAGGGGACGCCGTCGGTGTGCTGTATACACTCTGCATCGATTCCGGAAACAATGACAGGAAAGGCAAAGGCAACACGCGCAGCGCCTACCCTCTACGACGCCGTTGCTGGCCGTGTGGGATACGAAGGTTTCCACACCGAATCAAGACCGTCGGAGCGTCGCGACACGGCAAGTACGTCGTTGGTACCAGTCCCAGCCGATGAGATGCTTTTTCGCCGCAAGGGCGCACCGACTCGCTTTGCGGAAGACGATTTGTACCTGGCAGATCGTCAACTGCTTCCATCACAGAGCTTGCCGGAGTCGGACCTGCTCAAAGTCATTCACGCCTATGTGTCGGACGCTTGGAGTCCTGGGAGAAATAGTGGTCACGCCACCAACCCCAGATCGATGGACGAAACGGCGCTTCTAGCGATGGGTCTTCTCCTCGAAGAAGCCGCGATCGCCACCCTGGGAAAGTCAGGAGACCTAGCCTTTGTGGAATCCGGGTAGCCGATTGCGAGCAATGCAGGACGTACTACGAAGAAATGACTTCATGATGGACGTTGCTGCCGAAGGCAAGTACACTGTACAGATGATCTCGATGCAACGATCGTCAGACTTGATGACTTTCAGCTCCAGCTTGATGGAGATCCTGAAGCTCGTCATGATGAGCGAAAATGTACCTCTAGGAGCTGGTTGATCCATTGGCGATCCGTTTGTTGAACGACGGATTGGCCTCGAGCTTTTTGTGCCGCATAATCTCCGTGCAATAGTTCTGGAAAGACGGTAAAAGAAATCAAGCGTCTAGATTTCCGGCTCACAGCTATGGAGAGCAGGTGGACCTTATCCGGTGGCCTGGGCATGGAAGTACCATCGACACCCTGCATGATTGATTACGGCCCACAAGGGTGAACTCGCGGAAGTAGGTTCCTGACGGCGGCAGCAGCAGAGCCGCTCAATGCCAGATCGGGAAACGATTCTGCTGCGTTATACAAGCATTCGAATTTCCGAAGGATGAGGCTGTAGTCATGTACGTGTCAAGCATTCATTGTCCCCACGAGCGCGCGCATGGCACATTATCGCAAGTTCGGTGCTGGGGACGGGTCTAACATGCGCCGAGCTAAGTCGATGAGCACAAGATGGACCGCACTCTCAATGGTACCATCGTAAAGTACGAAGTCAGTCGAATAAGGTCTCAACATTAGGCGATCGGCTTTAGCCGGTACGTAAGGGATGTTCTTCAGCAAGTGTTAGAGAGTCAGTAAGTACTACAGACAATCATCACAACGCAACTGTACTGAAAGCATGAGTATTTTTTACTTCGTCTGGTCGTCTACGCCCCACAGGTTCATGAGTACTTCATACTGCTCATGATCGAATGTGCGTTTTGGATCGAAGATGGCAGGCCGACAGTACGGAGTACTTCACGAAGCGATTGTATCAGTGACAAGATGATCATCACCGTGGATGGAACAAAACACAGTAAGGCATTCGTCATGTTTTCGTGGAGCTGCACAGCATACTATCACAAATAATGATGGCCGCTATAGCATATACACTATAATGATACATCCCTTTGTGTCAAAACTATCGTTCGCGGGCCGTAAACATGCGTCAGGCGAGCCGAGTGGACAGCTGACTCAATAAGATTACTTGGTAACGCCACATTGAATTAGCCTACAGACGTGCGGGATGAGGCTCTGCTCACGAACAACATCACCTTGTAATCGCCGGTTGCGCGAACTCGCGCACGACTGTTATCGGTAATGGCACCGGCACCAGATGGCCCTGTGATCTCGCGAGTCCAACAATACTCGTATTTGGCATGCCTCGCGTGGCAGTGGTGGAGACGACCCACTGGTCCACTTCTCTCCATATGGGCCTCCAGATCAACGCAGCTTTTTTGTGGACTCCTCTTGTCCGAAAGAGAGATATGGTCAGCTGCGATGTATGGCGGCTGCATGGGTTCGGCGTTCGCAGGCTCGATCAGATTGACAGCTCCCGCCCTGATTTGACTGTCGTTTTACCCGGAAGCCCAATTTAACCGGGCGCGTGACAGCCTGACTGTGCTCCACGGGCCTTGGATCCACTCTGGAGAGCAACCTTGGAGATGCTGTGGGCAAGACTCACGCTAACCTTCCCCAATCGAGGGGATGGCGAGGCCTAGTGGGGCGCCTGGCCAATGATCTCCTGCTTCTCGCGTAGGGTCGCCTGCTCGCTTCCCGCGCCCAGACTCTCCCAAATGTGCCGTGCTTTTCACGCACCCGGACCGTCCAGACGGTGGCGGCCGCGTGCTAGTGGTCGTTGCTTCACATCTTCAAGCATGTGTACCAATAGACGGGAGCCGCGGCCCATACAGGCTGAATTGCTTTTCGATGGCAAGCTCCCTTGGATAGTCCATATATTGTGCAGTCGTCCCCCAAGCCGAGAAACCAAGCTTTGAGAAGACACAGGGCGCCTCACTCATTCCTACACACTCGTGCTACCTTACACAGTCGCTTATCAAGCCCTTCTCCAAGCACCAACTCCAAAGTACATTCGCAATGGAGGCACCCACGAAGGGTACCTTCCGCCTGGCGGAGCGCGAGTTCCCCACGGTTACCTGGTACCGCGACCCAGCTCTGCGAAAAACCTACATTTGCTTGATGTTCGTCGTCATCACATCTGCAACCAACGGCTACGATGGTTCCATGGTCAACGGTCTCCAGTCGCTCAACGTCTGGCAGGACTGTAAGTCTCAAATGTGGTTATCTGAAGCAGCTGGACGGCGCCACTGACAAAATGCAGACTTCCACCACCCAACTGGTTCCATCCTTGGTCTCTTCTCCGCCATCATGTCCGTCGGCTCAATCACCGCTATCCCGTTCGTGCCTTACGCCGCCGATGGTCTTGGGCGTCGTTGGGGTATCATCATTGGCTGCGTGATCATGATCATTGGTGTCGTTCTCCAGTCGATCTCGATCAACTTCCGCATGTTCATTGGCGCTCGGTTCCTCCTCGGTTTCGGCATTGCTATTGCCCACGGATCCTCGCCACTGCTTATCACTGAGCTTGTGCACCCGCAGCACCGTGCCACGTTCACGACCATCTACAACACGACCTGGTACGTTGGCTCAATCATCGCCGCATGGTTGACTTTCGGCACCAACCACATCCCCAACAACTGGGCATGGCGCGTTCCGTCCATCATTCAGGCCGTACCGTCCCTCATCCAGCTGTTCTTCGTCTGGTTCGTTCCGGAGTCCCCTCGCTGGATGGTTGCCCATGGCAAGGTCGAGCTGGCTCACCGTACCCTCGCCAACGTCCATGCGAACGGCAACATGGATGATGAGGTGGTTCTTCTCGAGATCCAGGAGATCAAGGACACGATCAAGCTCGAGCAAGAGTTCGAGAGCAACGGTTGGTTGGAGCTTTTCCGTACCAAGGGTATGCGTCACCGGTTGATCATCCTGCTCACACTTGGTCTGTTCTCCCAATGGTCTGGCAACGGTCTTGCATCCTACTACCTCAACATCGTGCTCAACCAGGACGGTATCACCAACACGAACACCCAGCTTGTTATCAACGGCTGCCTCCAGATCCTGAACTTCATCGTTGCTCTTGGTCAGTGCTTCGTCGTCGACCGCTTCGGTCGTCGCACTCTCTTCCTCGTTTCAACCACCGGCATGCTGTGCGCCTTCATCATCTGGACTGCTGCCGCCGGCTCGTTCCACTACCACGCCAACGTCAACGAGGGCAACACTGTCATCGCCATGGTGTACATCTACTACGTCTTCTACAACATGGCCTGGTCCGGTCTGCTTGTCGGCTACAGCGCTGAGATCTTGCCATACAAGGTTCGTGCAAAGGGTATGACTGTCATGTTCCTCATGGTCGACATCGCGCTTTTCTTCAACCAATACGTCAACCCAATTGCTCTCAAGAACATTGGATGGAAGTACTACATCGTCTACTGCGTCTGGTTGGCCGTCGAGCTCGTTGTTGTCTGGTTCTACTACATCGAGACCCGCTACACCCCACTTGAGGAAATTGCCAAGCACTTCGACGGTGAAGAGTACGTTCCCCTTCTCCGATCATACATGCGGACTTCGTGCTGATACTTTTACTAGTGCTCTTGTTGGTGGTGCTGTCGCTACGGAGAAGTCTAAGCACCTTGCAGCCGAGCTTGGTGGTCTTGATACTGTTGACGTTGGGGAGAAGAGCGGTCATGTTGAGCAAAGAGAATTGTAGATATTGTCTCACATTCTCGTTTGGTAGTTGAAGTTCAGCGCTCGCATACTTGCCATGACGTAGAGGTAGATTTAGATGTGGAATGACACACGACCATCTCGATATGATATTCATCTTCTGCTTTTCCTTCTCTTAATGAATGCATCAAAATCCGAAAACGATCGGTTTCAGTTTGTGATTGAGCTCCCATTCCTGTTTGTGTACATTGGCTACTGCCCGTTTATTCCAACCTTATGGTATGAAGGGGACCATTAATAAGAGCTCCTGATAAGAAGGAAACCGGATCATTCAGCAGCAATGAAGCGATTGGATGTGTTATCGGTGTGAAGCCGGGGAACGCCTTCACACCCCTTGAGACTCAAGCGAAGCTTCAACATTGCGCGTATTTCCGTCAACGACGAGCTGCCTGAAGATAGCTTGATTGCGCGAACACCAGCAGATCCGCTTTACTCTGCACTCCGCATTGATGCTCAATCACCGACCGTGAAAGTGGCAAATAGCGCGTAGTACGAAGTACCTACATGTATTGATCGTTCCGTACATGACTCAAGACAGCTTTACTGACTCAGCACTAAGGCCCTGAAGCCGCAGTCTGTGCCCTCGTCCTCCATCAACTTGAACTTGTGGCCTTGTCAACTTCGTAATTGAGCACACTGTCCCTTGATGTGGCGGTGACACAAGCTGGTTTTTGCTGGAAGGGCAGCTCGAGAAAGGACGGACAGATCCTCGAGTGCAGAGGCCCTCCATGGCCGACTTCAGCTTCAGTGACGATCACGAGCTGCAGAATCTGAATGCACAGGTGGTATGTTCAGCATATTCGTGATCCGAGCTGCAAGAGTCTTGTGCTGATAGCTCTTTGATGCAGTTGACGGATCCCGAAGAATTCGAGCACTGGGAAAAGCTGGTGCGTGCCGCTGAGGCGCAAGAAGGAGGTCTAAACAGAAACTCCAGCCCACAGGCCATCGCCGCCACGCGGGACGTCTACGACCGGTTTCTGGCACACTTTCCGTTGTTCTTCGGGTACTGGAAGAAGTATGCCGACATCGAGTTCTCCATCGCCGGCACCGAGGCAGCCGAGATGGTAAGTTGTCTGGTAGAACCTCATGGCCCGCAACAAGCTGACGGAGCTGTCCAGGTGTACGAGCGTGGCATCGCCAGCATCAGCACTTCGGTTGACCTCTGGGCCAACTATTGCGGCTTCAAAGCAGAGACCAACCATGACATTGATATGATCAGAGAGTAAGTTGACTGGGCGCCCCCTTCCTTTCAAGCCCATAACCGTTATGCAGCGCGACTTGAAATGCGAAGACGAGGTCAACAGGGTTTCGTCAATTGCAAATTGGTGAGATCTCCAGCCCAGGTTGGTTGTGATGAGTATCTCACATTTACTGTTCAGAGCTTTACTAGCCGTCGCTTCGCTTGTCCAACGTTGAGTACACTGCCCGACATTCAATGCTTTGCATACGGAGGACATGTTGGCCATGCTCGTTGTTACCAACTAGGCATCGGACTTTACCAGAAGATGTTCGCTCTTCCTACCCTGCGTTTGCACCCTCAAACAACCCCACGGCAGCCTTGCCAGCAATACTAACGCGTGTGTTCCAGACTTTTCGAACGCGGGGCTGACAGTGTTGGCCTGGACTTCCTTGCGGCACCCTTTTGGGACAAATACCTCGAGTTTGAGGAGCGGCTAGAGGCACACGACCGGATGTTCGCCATACTCGAACGCATCGTCGTCATACCGATGCATGCCTATGCAAGATACTTTGAGCGGTATCGCGCCCTGGCACGTCAGCAGCCGATACAGAGGCTCGCACCACAAGATGTCACAGAGCGGCTTAGAAGCAACGTTGCGCGCGAAGCAGGATCAAAGTTACGGAACACTGCCGAAACAGAGCGCGAGCTGCGTTCACAGCTTGACGCTTACCACATGGAACTCTTTCAACGTACTCAGGACGAAACAACGAAGCGCTGGACATTTGAGCAGGAAGTGAAGCGACCATACTTTCACGTCAACCCGCTAGATGAGGCGCAATTAGAGAACTGGCGGAAGTATCTCGACTTCGAGGAAGGAGAAGGAGATTACATACGAACGAAGTTTCTCTACGAGCGATGTCTTGTGACAACTGCCAACTATGACGAGTTCTGGTTTCGGTACGCCAGATGGATGCAGGGACAAGGTTCCGAAAAGGAGCAGGAAGTGCGCACCATCTACCAACGTGCAAGCTGTTTCTTCGTCCCAATCTCTCAACCTGCCATACGGATCCAGTACTCTATGTATGAAGAGGCCGTCGGCAACCAGACAATAGCAGCGGATGTTCTTGAGGCGGTTCTCATGGTACTTCCCAGCCACTTCGAGGCCATCATTGCGCTAGCAAACCTGCAACGGCGGCAGCATGGCCATGAGGCGGCGCTTGGCGTGCTGCAACGGTACCGAGACAGCTACGAGACTACCATGTACGTAAAAGGCGCACTTGTGGGCGAGTCAGCACGCCTTGTGGCAGATTGCAAAGGCCAAGTGGAGGAAGCACGCAAGATCTTCCGCACCCAATCTGCTGGCCTCCAGGACTGCAGTATCTTTTGGATGAAGTGGTTCTTCTTCGAAGTCGGCCAGCCCATACGAAACGAGGAGCAACAGGCGCAGCACTACCAACGGGTCAAGGGCGTGTATGATGCTATGCGCGAGAGCTCACAACTTGCGAGATCTACCATGAAGGAAATCACCGGCTATTATCTAGCCTATCTTTGCGAGCGAGGCCCAACCGATGCCATGAAGGAGCTCATAGAGGTCGATCGGCAGGTGAACGGCCCACCCACCGTGCAGCAAGGCATGGAGAGGTTCATTGATGACGGTAAAATGGGGGATACGGCATCGTTGTCGAACGGCCTTGCTGGCGCCCCGATGCAGGTCGGCATGGGAATGCAAGGCGGCGGCGTGCACGGGATGTCCTAAAGGCTCATCCAGTGAAAGTGTGGAGCACAGCTTCCTGGCTCGTAATGTACATCAGATGCTGTGGTGGGCCTAGACATCCCACAGCTCCTGAGCATCCGCGAGCGAAGTGGAAGTGGCTGGCATTTACAGCGTTTCAGCCAGTGTACAAATTGGAAGGGCGACAAGCGCTGCTCCGGCTGTTGCTTTCGTGGGGCCGGAAGGCCAAGGTGACTGCAGCTTCGTCCGTATGGCTGTGAATAAGGTAGCAGGTCGGTTCAACCAATCTAGGCATTCAGCCTTGTCATGCAATGTGTCATCATGTGTTCACTCATCAAATGTTCAGCTTGCATATGAGTATTAAGTGCCCACAATGTGCGAGCGAAGTGCTTATAAGGTCATACGAAGCTTCGGTCTGCTCCCGTTCAAGGTGTATCTTCGGTGTTGAACAATATCATCAACCAAAGACTGCAGCCATCGCAAGAGACTAGCACGGGCAGTGCTACTGTCAGCGTGTCTGACGACAGCAAATGAAGCCTTTGAACCTAAGTTACTTACCAATCAGCTCTCCTTGCTCTGCATTCTTTTCCAGCTGATGCTCAGTGATGATAAACGCACTGCCGCAGCGACACGCTCTAGACCACAATTGAGTCTGCTCGTCGAAAGCCACGGTATCCAGATCCACAATCTCCATGCCTGTCCGTGAATCATCATGGTGTAGGTGAGAGGATGCATGACTGGAGCTTCTTTGCAGGCCGCGGTCATACTCTGCTTTGAGTCCTGGGTCGACGAGCACCCTGTAAGCCGCCGCCATCTGGTCAACTGATATGGCAGCGTCGCCGTTACGGTTGCCTTGAGTCTTGTCGGGGTGGTATTGCAGCAGTGAACGTCGATAAGCATCTTTGACTTCTCGCGCACTCAAAGACTCCGAGCGTTTGTGCTCAAGGCCGAGTATCGCATAGTAATCACACATCGATACACCTTTTGTTCAAGCTGCCGCTTCAACGCATGCGTCTAGTCACTATGACCTGAAGAGGTGTGCAGTCAACTCATTTCCTCGAGATCGAAACCATAAGTAGCATGTGACTCATGACTCCCCCGGTGACGCCTTGCGTGTAGCCCCGTAACGTTAGTGTTAGTCGTCCGTCTTGACAGCCCGTTCCAGTACAATCTGGCGAAGGCGTGGAAAAGGGTCAAGCGAAGGGTATCTGTGTCTCGTGCTTTGTCATTACCCCTGCCAGGCGACAGCCGTCTCCGAGACCGAGGCTCTGCGGCACTACCCTTTCTTTACTCGGCACATTCGCAGCGGGTATAGCAATAAACTTTGCATTCAAGGGTGATGAATAGACAGAACATGCAGGGTAGCTCGCTGCAACATGGTGCGCCGCCCGTGAATCAAGCATTCCAACATCACAACGAGCGGCTCCAACCTCGGCAAGAGTAACGTCAAGAGCCCGACGGCACGCTGCGGAGGTTTGAAATGCGATCGGCCAGGTACGCCGCTATGCACCTGCGCATTACGCCAGCTTCTCCATCTAAATGCACGCAACCGACCTATTCTCGGTTTGCAGCTAACAAGATGCGGGAAGGGCCTCGTGTGCCTCTTGCCTTTGGTTGCTTGACTGTTGTCTGGCGGGCCGGAGCCACTGATGATTGAGGCGAAATGTGAACACACAGCAATGCCTCCACGACATCAGAGGTCGTCCGAACGGCAAGGACGGATGCCCACGGTTTACACGGCGACGACTGCCCACAGCGACATCATGGTGGGCCTGTAATTGCCTGGTCACATTTAGACGGCTCTGTTCTACTTCTCAAGTTCACAGGCTCTCTTTGTTGTTCTGCGTTAGCCTGGAATTCTCTCGCTTGCTGGTTCTCCTTCCCACGTAACTCGGTACCCTATTGTTCCCGAAAGCGAGCGCAGCACCTCCGAGATGCGCATCTCGATTGCCATCGCTGCCACGGCAGCCTTCACCCTCGCTCACGCCCAGTATTCGGGGTTTAATTATGGCTCAACGTTCACAGACGGCTCTGCTAAACAGCAGGCCGACTTTGAAGCAGAGTTCACCCGGTCAAAGAACTTGCAGGGCACGAACGGCCGCTTAACGTCTGCCCGTCTTTACACCATGATCCAAGCGGACACTACCGATACTCCGATCTCTGCGATTCCTGCCGCCATCAATACACAAACCACCCTTCTCCTGGGTCTGTGGGCTTCCGCAGGACAAGACGACTTCATAAACGAGGTGATAGCCCTAACCAGTGCCATCACGCAGTACGGCACCAACTTCACGTCATTAGTTGCGGGCATTTCTGTGGGCTCAGAGGACCTATACCGCAATAGTCCAACCGGCATCCAAGCCAATGGATACAATGGGGGTGCTCAGCCCAGTGACATTGTCAGGTACATCAGCCAAGTGCGAAATGCGATCTCCGGTACCAGTGCATCTGCGATCAGCGTTGGTCATGTCGACACATGGACCGCCTGGGTGAATGGTTCCAATGCTGAAGTGATTTCTTCCTGCGACTGGCTGGGTATGGACGCGTATCCATGTACGTACATCATTGAACGTATTGTCTCCGGAGAATTACTGACCATCCTCAAGACTTCCAGAACACCATCGCAAATAGTATTGATGTCGGCAACTCTACCTTCTACGACGCCTATGATGCGACCCAAGGCGTGGCAGGAGGACGTCCCGTTTGGGTCACAGAGACCGGTTGGCCTGTGTCCGGTCCCCAACAGAACCAAGCGGTGGCATCAACTCAGAACGCGGAGATCTATTGGCAACAAATCGCTTGCTCACTTCTGGGAAGATACAATACTTTCTGGTACATTCTGCAGGACGCTGAACCTACGACGCCGAGTCCGTCTTTCGGAATCATTGGATCTGATCTGAGCAGCGCACCGTTGTTCGACCTGACCTGCAGCAACGGCAACGTCCAGTCTCCGGCGAGCCTGGCGAGCAGCGCCATAAGTACTGCATCATCTGCGACAGCACCGGCAAGCTCCGCAGGGGTGAATTTCGAATCAGTCACCGCCGCCACCCCGGCTGCAGAGACGTCTCCAAGTTCTGTCAGTATTGCTCAGACTTTGGTAGCGTCGACTGCTGGCCGCGCAACAACAAACGGCGTACCACAACAGAACAGCACCATGCAGTCCTCATCCTCGCACACCGTGTTATCGAGCGTCTCTATGAGTGTAGCTGGGACATCCACAAATAACAAGTCTACGACAACTCTTGTAACGATCAAGTCTTGCTCATCCGCCTGGCCCTCTGCAGCGTCTAGTCCAGTGTCCGCGGGCAGCTTGACAATGGTGCAAAGCTCACACTCGCCAACAGTTGTGAGTCAGCCATCTGCTTCTCTTGCCGTCTCTTCCACGGTCTCTGCATCCGGCACCGCGGTCACGCCCGCTGCGTCGCCAAGTTTCGCCTGCCCAACCAACCTGAGTGGCGCATACCAATACCCACATCTCATCGTCCCCGTGAACAGCAGCCAGCCAGATACTGCTTATGGCACCCAGTACAACGGCACCATCAACCCCACGGTTAGCACGATCTTCAACTTCGACCTGCCTGCCTCATACGCGAGGCAGACATGCTCACTGGTCTTCCTCTTCCCTGAGCAAGCGGCGCTCCAGACTTCTGCGTATACGTTCAATGGTCAGGGTGGAATGGCAGTCAACGAGCTTTCAAGCGCTGTAACAGCACAGACGACGTACAATACCGTACCGCAGGTGTCTGTCTCTGGGAGGGGAACAATCATAAGCCTGCAGCCTGGCAACAGCTACGTGATGGCCACCCAAGCATGTGCTGCTGGGTTCCGTGTTGCGTATGAGTTCGTCAGCACGGGTGGGCTGGATCTTGAATACTTTCAGGATGACAACCCTTCGCCACTCGGAGCATTCATCACAATTTGCTAAGCGATGGCGCAGTGATTGGCGGCGTGATGATGTAGTCGGAGTCACAAGGATATAGGGACTCTGTTTGCATTATCCATGCTGGTTTACGTGATCAGACTTATGCCCAATCCTAAGTGTATCAATATAATGTTTTATGACAGTCAACGTCATTCATTTGCTCGTTCTCTCTTTATCAGCTGATCCTCACTGGCTGAATTCAAATCCCAGTCTATCCACTGACACATCGGTGAAAATGTCATGCTTACTTATACCGCTGTCGCACGTATACAAAATGTTTAGAATCGTGAGATGTCCCGGCCAAAGATTGCGTTAACGGCCCAGTATGTAGGTATAAGGATCCTGTTTCTCCAGCTCACACTCTTTGCTAGATATGCACCGCGCCAGATCTGATATCGATGGGTAGAAGGGTTAGCAGTATTCCGAACTCAAATAGTCTACAATGTTGGTGCTGCATTACTCACAAACCATGCGACACGGCCCGAGATATCTCCAGCTCCGGATGCCTGCAGGATCGCGTTCCAATTGCCGACATACGCCATCACTCCAAGGTCCTTGTACGTGAAGCCATTTCGGTGCAAGTCCATCTTGTTCAAACGTTTGGCAAGCCAATGAGCCTTCTGATTCGCGACCTGCGCCGTGCTGGGGTAGCTCGTTCCTTCAAGAATGGCACAGTCGCCAAGGGCGTAGAGATCTGGGATAATGCTCTCATCCGGCGCCTTTACTTGCATCCGGTCATTAGTGAGGATAGCGTGGCTCTTCTCATGGCGCTTGACCTTGCTATCGAGTGCTTTCTCCACAAAGGGATTCATCATAAGGCCGGTTGACCATACACACATTCCGACTCCGACTTCGCCTTCTTCCTTGAGCTTGATGGTGTAGATTGTGGTGCCGTCTTTGACGCCAGGCTTCTCCGCAACATTACCAGGAGCGCCGCGCCGAAGTTCTTCGACATGGTGAGAAGTTTGTATGTTGATGCCTTGACGCTTGAATGTGTCCATGGCATATTTCGAGAGCTTCTCGTCGAACATACTTAGGACTTTGGGCGCGACGTCATAAACGGTGATGCGTGCATACTCCACGAGTTCCGGGTACAGCTTCGCCATGTCCTAACAAACACAAGGGTAGAGCCATTAGCAGTGACTCGGGCAGCCTCATCTAAATACGCACCTCCTTCACCAGATCATGCAGTTCCGCACTCCATTCAATTCCAGTCGGTCCTCCGCCGACCACAGCAAAATTGAGAAGCTGTTTCTTCATCTCGATGGAGGTTGTTGGCAAAGCGGCCGTTTCGAAGCACGAAAGAAGACGGTTGCGGATTCTGCGAGCATCTCCGACATCTGTGCACCATTAGCATATATTCTGATTGTAATCGAGCTACGAGCTCTGAACGGACCTTTCAGGAAGTAAGCATGCTCTTTGACACCCGGTGTGTTAAAAGTCTGCGAATAACAACCAACAGCTATTGCGAGGGAATCGTAGGACATGCTGAAGACTTTGCCCTTTTGCTTGTCAACAGGCTTGTCCTCCGGCCTTCCCTCATACTGATCTCCAACAAGCGCCCTCCCTTGCATTGGATCCTCTACGGCTTCCTCGATTTCTAGCGTTTTCCTGTCGATATCTACAGCATCCGCCCAACCCTGAATGAAAGCGGTGGACGAGTTGCGCGACCTTACCGGCTCTAACGCCACTCTGAACTCTAGGGTACCCACAGAGGTGCTTGCCAGCAACGGCGTAAAGACGAAGTAGCTTCTTTGAAGAAACAGTAGAATGATCAGTGTTCTATTGTAGTGGTGAGGGTCGTCAACAGACTTTAATCAACGCACCGGGGGCTAATTACGACGACTTGATACTTCTTACTGTCGAGCTCGCGGGACAAAGTATAACCTGCCCATCCTGAGCCTAGCACTACCATCCGTTTCCTGCCCCGTCTTTGCTCGTCGAGGTCATTAATAGAGATAAATCGTCGCTGGCTGTGAGTGAGGATCGCATGTCGACATGTCGAAGACCGCCAGGCCGCAGCTGGGCTTATTGTCGCGACTCGAGAGATTGGTGACATGTTCCAGAACGAACCTCTTACATTGTTCTCGACAATCGTATAAAGTCTTGTTCATATCTACCCTAAACTGACATCACGTTGACAGCGAAGCGGAAATAGCCGGGCTACCTTGTGCTGTAACACTCGCCGATGTTTCGTAGTTATAGCCCACCGTATCTCATGCGATTTACCGGGAATCTCCTTATGCACGTCATCTCCCTTTGCATGCTGCTCGTATCCTAGACATACATTAACCATCTCGCGACAACTCTGGATCGCGGTTAGATCGCTTCTTCACTGATTGCCCACGACCAATGAAGGTCTGGTCCTGCTGTAATAGGTAGACGCAGACACGATGCTGGACGCGGTATATACGACGCGCAGCTCGACGCGGCGCAATGCACTTTCGAGGCTAGCTGCTCTGTCGGCGCAGACCACTGGACAGCAAGATGGAGGGGACAGCATGGAGAGACTCTGCGAGATGCAAGAGCTTCTGCATCACGGAGCCACGAACGGTCCCCCCGTAGGCACCGACAAACCGATCCAGATCGCTGCGGTTCCTATGAGCATCAGGGAGCTGGAGATCTTACTAGCACTTTGTAAAGCTGCTCCGCTGGTGCGTACAACACCTGAGGCGGCCAGATTGCTCAAACAGCTTGCTCCGTATGCTCCAGAAGCACACAGGCAGACCTTCGAGCACTCGCCTTTGCAGCAGCATCTGCCACCTTGGGAATCCCTGTCATACCATCTAAATACCGCTGTGCTGGCGCTGGGCATGAATCACGCATCACTTCGGCTTCAAGCTCTAGCATGTATCGACCATACTGTGGAGACACTTACGGACAGCGCGGAGTCAGCACTGTGGATCAAGCCGCAGTCGGAGGGTCCTACAGATCCAGGGCTTGCCGAGCAGTCGGTTGCTGCCGTCCAGCTCTGCACGTCATTGCTAGGTTTCCTAGGTGCGGTGGCTGAGGGCGTGCAAATTTGGACGCCCGAACAGCGCGCCACGTTGGTGCAGCGCCTTCGTTATTTGCTCTCCGAGAAGTTCATGATATCGCTGGAAGGTGCATTGTCTGCAATCAGGAATGCTCGAACAGTCAGCAAGCGCGTGAAGGAGTGGAAGCGCTTTGTTAGGCACTATGCAACAACCGCCTGTCCGCTTGGTGCTGTAGTGCTTCAGCAGGGCTTGATGAAGGTTATTGAACGTAGCGTTACCCTACTCGTCACTGCCAACAAACCGATCAGCAGTCAGACACTACTCGACACCCTACTAGCGCGCTCGCCGCTTCTGGACCGCTCTGCGCCTGTACCAATGCCTGAAATGCTTGAAAGCATCGTCGAGCTCATTGTCGAAGAGATGAATCTGCTGGATGCTGATGCGGACTATCTCCAAGTCAGCTCAGCGTGGCAACAAAGATTGGCTTTTGATGTTAAAGCGATCAGTCTCCGAAGCTTTCTCTGCTGTTGCTTAATCGATGCAGAAGTTGCTGACGACGAGCTCCTACTTGCCTGGCTTGAGAACGCAACTACAAGCCCTGTTCAGATGGCGGACGAGGGCTTGGCGCAAACTGTGCTTAAGTCTATGGTCGTTTTGGCCCGCTTGTCTCCAGCCACGGCATCCAACCTCACCCGCTCATTGCCGAGGCTGATTGTGCAGAATAAGATGACGGCGACAAGTGCAACGCTGGCAGGAGAGTGCTTAGCTAGGGTGCTAAAGCTGCTATCTCAGGATATCGTTATCAGCACGCTTTACAGTCTTGGAAACGTGCTGAGTACGAGTGCAGGAGGCGAGAACGGTACGACGTCCTCGCCCTTCCTGGACGGTGTAGGCAGCGTGAACGGAGCGGCGCCGCTTTACGGCTCGCAGCAAGCAATGGGCAGCGCGATATCATTGATCATCACAGATGAAGTGGAAACGGTTGCTGCATACGGCAACGTTGTCTACGCAATTGTCGCCATCGCAACGGTTTGCAACGACGCGGAACTCACTGCCCTCGTTATCTCTATGCTCGTACAGAAAATTGGAAGAGTCAGCCCTGCCGTCGATGCTAGGATCATCACTGACATGGCAGCGCTTGGTCTTTGTGGCGGAGCAGACGAGCTACGAGCCTTGCTAAGGCTGTACGTACGCATCGCTAGCGACGCGACCATCAAGCATGACAATCTGCTCATCCACGCCGTCACCGATGCTCGAGTGCGTTTGGCCACCTTGATACGCAGAGATTCTCCGCTCTACGAGGTGTATCTGATGCATATGCTTGGCTTGTGCGTCGGCAGCGGCGATACTGCTGGAGAGAGAACGGTGGACGTGGCCTTGGCGTCGAAGACTATTGCGCAGCTCTTCCGGCCGATGGCGGTCCTGGTGTCCTCGGATTTAGAGCGCCAGCCAAACTTCGAAGAGCCTGAGGAGCTAATGGCACTTAGCCGCAACTCTTGGTTCAACCTCGTCGTGCATGGCTTCACATTGACATCACAGGCCGGTAAGGAGTATGCGCGAGAGCTGCAAATCCTTGCACAGTACACTCTTCCCCTCGTCGACGAAGCCCGCGTGGAAATGCCAGAAAGTGGGATCGACTTGAATATGGTCCTCCGTCGTGGCGCGAGCACACAACATACTCATGAGCAGAGATCATTACTGACTGCCGCTCTGCCTCATTGCGAGTCAGATATCAAGGGTCTGGCGTACCCTGAATTGGTTTTCTTGAATGCGGCCCTGCTGGTGTCGACCATGCGCGCCCGTGCTGGTGACTGCACTGCTGTACTTCCGTACTTCATGGAAAGCAAGGTAAAGACAACAGCAATGGGAAACTGTATGCTTGCGATTGCGCTAGCTAGCGTCGATACGTACCTGCAGCGCGCCTTGATCGGACAACGTCACGAATTCGCGGCACCCCAGATTGCACTGCAGCTTGCAACGTTCTTCGAAGGCTGTTGTCACCGCATCTCGAAGGTGCAGCACGCAGCAGTGTCTGCCGCAGACCGCATCATCACCCAGATACCCTCCGCCTTGTGTCACAAGGCTTCACTATTTGCGCTGCTTGAACTGCTGAGTCTAATGTGGAAGAGCTGCTTTGACTTAGAGACCGACGAGTATGACTGGAAGTCGACATACACGTCACAAAAGGGCAATGTCACGATACAGCTTTCTGACGACGCGCACTACCGGCAAACGACATTGGCAAATTTCCACAAACGTTGCAGGCTTTGGGTTTCTCAAGCGATTGCTGCAGCACCTTTAGACGTCAAAGGACTGCTCCAGGCCTACCTCGAGGATTATGAGGATGACGGCTCTTACGGCCACATTGCACTTGGTCGCTCGTTTGCCGTCGAGATGGGAGCCACAATTCCAAGCACAGACCAGCGCCTTACAAGCCTTGATCGGCGTGATGTTGGCGTGAACACTGCTTCCGACTTTATTGCACAGTACACGACCCGACAAGAGTACCGCCACCTAGACAGTAGGCTAGCGGTTGACGAGGACTGGGCGTTCGCGGAGCACGATGGCTCGACCCGCTTGCTAGCCATCGAACCCGCGCGCGTGGTTGCGGACGAGGCAGAAGAACTGCAAAAGCTTTCGCGCAGATTGCGCAACGGTGACAACATTTCCTTCACGTTCGTACGCGAGGCGCTTCGTAATGCTGCTGGTGTTGTTAGCCGGAGCCTTGACGACCAGACGCCCTGGATCCAGGACCTGGTCGGGATTCCCTTTAATATCTTCACGAAACAATCCATCAATCTCGGCATCTCGTTGTGGCTTGGGGTGGTGAAGGAGAACCCGGCCCTGGAAAGCCGCATACTGGTCGAGGTCGCGATCGGGTGGGAAGAGTCCGTGCGCTTACACAAAGGCCTCTTTTATTCTGCCTTCCAACACCTTGACCCGTTCTACGTCAAGGAAGAGTTCGCGCCATCCAAGTGGGAGTCCATCAGCAGACGCCAGCAGCTCGCTCACGATCTCATCGCGCCCCACATGCGCCTTGCGCACTTTCTATCGAGCCATTTCAGTGCGTCACGCTTAACGTCGCCATCCGTCGGAAGAGTGTACGCCCGTTTGATGAGGCTCACCATGTTTGCGATGAAGCACACTGTTGGACAGCCGCTTGCACGGGAGGTCCACTTCCAAATCATCTTGCTGGCGCTGAAGGTGTCGCGGTACTCTACTCGCCTTGACACAGCCGCTCAGTGGAGGCTCAAGGATGCGATACTATCGGCAGGTTTAGCTTGGTTTGCTATGCCACCGAAATGGTCTTTCGGAAGCAATCGGCTGCAGGTCAAGGCTGAGCACAAGATTCTTTCGGACGTCCTTGACATGCTGCACAATACAGCGACATTTGAAGGCCGATCTGCGCCGTCTCTGGCACCCCTATACCAGAAGCAAGAACTACTTACTCAGCTCATGCACCACGAGATCAGCCGTCTGACGGTTTGGATAACGCCACTAGCATCCGAGGCCAGGAGTTCCATCGTTAAGGAAACGGATTTTCTTCCGCTGGTAGTCACCGCTTGGCGAGAAGACCCACGCATCGCAGTTCAGCTTACGACTCGGTTTCCCAAGTCGGAGACGTTGCTACGCGGTGCCAGGTCGCAATTGCTGCGAGAGCCGGAGAAGGCAATCAACGCAGCGGACAGTCTGTATGTGATGCTGGGGGAGTCGCTCCCACCCGACGTGAAGTCACAGCTGAAGTACTTGCTGTACTGGGCCCCAATTAACCCAATGGCCGCCGTCACCTACTTTTTACCGTCGTACCACAACCATCCGTCCATCATACAATACGCGATGCGGGCCTTGGAGAGCCACTCCGTCGACGTTACATTCTTCTACGTGCCGCAGATTGTGCAGACTCTACGCTACGATGCGCTGGGTTACGTCGAGCGATACATCATCGAGACTGCCAAGTTCTCACAGCTTTTCGCACATCAGATCATCTGGAATATGAAGGCCAATGCTTTTAAAGGCGGTGAAGAAGACTCGGAGCCTGATCCTGTTAAGCCTGTTTTGGACAAAGTCATGGATGCCCTCATCTCCAGCTTCTCTACCGTGGACAGGGACTTCTATGAGCGCGAGTTTAATTTCTTTGGTAAGGTGACAGGCATATCCGGCACGCTTAAGCCATTCATTAAGAGACCTAAGCCGGAAAAGAAGCAAAAGATTGAAGAGGAATTGCGCAAAATCGACCTCGATGTTGGCGTTTACCTGCCAAGCAACCCAGACGGAGTTGTCATTGGCATTGACCGCAAATCAGGCAAGCCCTTGCAGAGTCATGCAAAAGCGCCGTTCATGGCGACTTTTCGCATCCGTAAAGAAGAAGGAGAGGCCGAGGCTGTGCAGAACCAGGCCGTATCAAACGGAGACATCGCGAACCACAGGACAGTCGAAGTCTGGCAGTCAGCTATCTTCAAGGTTGGCGACGACTGCAGACAAGACGTACTAGCACTGCAACTCATTGCAGCGTTCCGTGGCATTTTCAACAACGTAGGTTTGGACGTCTATGTTTTCCCGTACCGCGTTACGGCTACGGCACCTGGTTGCGGCGTTATCGATGTACTGCCGAACTCCATCTCTCGTGACATGCTTGGGCGTGAAGCCGTCAATGGACTGTACGAGTACTTCGTGTCGAAGTACGGCTCCGAAGACTCGATCCGCTTCCAACAGGCTCGAAGCAATTTCATCAAGAGCATGGCCGCTTACTCGATTATTTCATACCTGCTGCAGTTTAAAGATCGGCACAACGGCAACATTATGGTCGACGACGCTGGACACATCCTCCACATCGACTTCGGCTTTTGCTTTGATATCGCCCCAGGAGGCGTGAAGTTTGAACGGGCGCCATTCAAGCTAAGTCCAGAGATGGTCGCGGTTATGGGCGGCTCGCCTCAGTCGCAGCCTTTTCGCGCATTCGAAGAGCTTTGCGTTAAAGTCTTCCTTGCTTCTCGGCAGTATGTTGAGCAGCTAGCCCACATCATCCTTACGATGCTCGATTCCGGCCTACCCTGCTTCAAGCCCACGACGATTCAGCACTTCAAGGAACGATTTGTGCTTGAGAAGACGGATCGAGAAGCCGCGGATTTCGTGAAAAAGCTTGTTCATTGGAGTGAGCGCAGCTACTCGACCGGAGTCTACGATTACTATCAACTGTTGACCAATGGCATCCCGTACTAGACGGCTAGACTGTGGAGAAGCACTGCCTGTGCATTGTTTCTGCAAGATACAATGACCTCGGAGCCGTGTCTCATTTAGGGGCCGTGCAAGGTCGGTAGTCCGTCCGCCGGCCCGTCTGGGTAGACGCTTGGCGGACCTGTGACCGTCGCCGTGCGTTAGCCACGTATGAGGGGCACAACAGAATGTCAGCCACATGTACTAATGCTTCGCAGTCTGCTGCACCCATCCAAGTTCCAACAATTAATTCGTGACGTGCACCCACAAGACCAAGAAGTTGTTCAACAATCGTCGAAGTTCATCGCCATGTTCAGGTACTGTGAGTGTAGCTACGTACGACACCACTGCCGCTTCCTTACCACAAGCGAACCGCCTGATCGAGGTAATGTGCCCGACTCCCCGCCAGGTTACTGCGTGACCTTCTCTTTGCCACCCGAGCTAAGTCCTCATCCCACTCGCCTGGTTGCCATGGATCAGCACTACGCGAAGCAACGAAACAGACAGTCAGCCAAGGCCATTGCGTTCTTTCGGGTCGGTGTTCTAGGATGAATTGCATCGAAGAATCCGCAGCAACACAGTTACACCGTCACACATGCGGATTGTGCTTCAAGATCATTGCGTGACGGCCTCGCGTCTCCGAATTATGCAGTATCATCTTGCTCGCCAGTTTGAAACCACGGTGGTCTGCTGTAATCTCGATTGCCGGCCATGGCGGCCTCAGCTCCGTTGCGGGGTCGGCGCCGTCGCCACGCCGCTCTCTTCGAGCATGACATCCCTGCATATAGATGCAGCTATGCATCTTAGGTCTATCTCCACTCGCAAGACTATCTGCACGATCTGAGGGTAGCGCATGCCGTAACATGCAATCCTGACTCCCGGAGGCACATGCCTGAAGTATGCTGCTATCGAAGATACTTGAAGATCGAGCCTCCTAGGTCGTTCATTTGTCCTTTGACGACATGTCGGGTAATGCTTCGGAACATGGTTGCTTCTGCGCATCTTTCGTTGTGCACATGTATGCAAGGTACACTCGCAATCGGAGCCCATCCGGCATATCTCGAAGAAGGGATAGGGGCTCCGCCCGCCAGCTCTCGAACCGTTTGTTCTCGACTCATCTCTCCACGCGATTGTGGAGAAAGGATGTCAACATGAGAAGTCACGCACGTCGCTAACGGCCTTAGATGCCGACGTTCGCTCGCGACTCGACTATACTAGCATATTTCTTTCCAGCCACGGTGCTTTTCCTCACTACACTCGTGGTTCTCTTTCAAGTACGCCTTCTTCGAAATAACTGTTCAGCCTGGAGTAATCAATGGGCGAGCCATTCGACCCAGATGCAGGCCATAAGGTTCCCGGAAACCAACAGTATGGAGTTGGTATACGGAAAGGGTTCGATGGGAGAGGTCCGAGCAGCTCAATGGGACCGATGTCAGTGTCGCGTGCACGACGCAAGATCGACAACTGATATGCATCAGGCCTCCACACTCGCACTTTGATCACATGACCAAGCAACAAGGGTATCCGAACCACTCCTCCAACCCGTTCGGTCAACCAGTATTCGACATGTCAGCCTTGAGCGAAGCTTTACCGCAGAGCACACCATACGGGCCAAACGACCCGAGTATTCTATCGGCTGCAGCGATCTATCATCTGCAGCAAGCCGCACGGTATTCAGGTCAACGTGGCTTACCGGTCGACCCAGCTGTGTTCCAAACGTACCAACAGCCTGTCTCTTTCCAACAGCATTCGCCGACCAATCGACCTTACGGTGGTGCGCTTCAATCCAACGTCCACGCATACGGTTACGGTGCTAGCCCACCACGAGCTGTTTACAGCGATGAGCGTTTCACCAATGCGGCATTTGCGAGCCACGCACCACTTGGTCTAGATTTCTGTAAGTTGAGTGCAGTAGCGTTAACGGAGTAGAGAGCTTACCAGTTGTATTGCAGCCGGACCCGCTCGACACCAGGTTTCGGAGCCAGCGCCTGTCCCAGCCTACCCAAGAGGCCCACCGAGAAAGCCGAAGCAATCTGGCCACGCTCTATGGGTTGGCAACCTTCCGCCAGCCGCGACGGTCACCGACCTCAAGAACCACTTCTCTTGCGATGCGACGAAAGATATCGAGAGTTTGTTCTTGATTGCAAAAAGCAATTGCGCGTTCGTGAACTATCGGACCGAGGCCGCTTGTATCGCCGCCATGAATCGCTTTCATGATTCGAGATTCCACGGGGTGCGGCTGGTGTGTCGCTTACGGAGGGGCTCTACAATCTCTGGGAACTCCTCGACGCTACCAGAGTCTTCCAGCCCTCTCCCGACGGGCTCCCCTGATGGGGTTGCGCTTCCGGATGGCCACAGTACTCCGATCATTGTAGGGCAAGGCCGTGCTACGGAAGAGTCTCAGACGGGCCATATGTCGTCAACACCACCCATGACTGACGGCGAGACGAAGGTGCCCGAGAAGTATTATATCTTGAAGAGTCTCACTGTTTCCGACCTGGAGTCAAGCGTTAGAAATGGGATTTGGGCCACGCAGGCACATAATGAAGAGACACTGAACCGAGCATTCGCACATGCTGAAAACGTATATCTTATCTTCTCCGCCAACAAATCAGGTGAATACTTCGGTTACGCTCGCATGTCGTCTCCGATCTCCGGTGAACTGGTGAACCTTTCAGCAAGTGTTGAGCTCGACGACGCGACACCGGCCGGAACACCACAATCGATACCAACGCCAGCAACGGACACGGCGCCGAAGGGTCGCATCATCGATGATTCAGCACGCGGCACTATTTTCTGGGAGGCAGACTTGTCAGACGACGACACGACGCCGCTGACGATCGGAAACAGGGAAGGCCAGCAATGGGGTCGACAGTTTAGAGTCGAATGGATCTCGACCTCTAGGCTCCCTTTCTTCCGCATACGGGGCCTTCGCAATCCGTGGAATGCGAATCGTGAAGTCAAGATTGCAAGAGACGGGACGGAGTTGGAGCCGAGTGTCGGGCGTAGGTTGCTCTCCATATTCCCTCGGCCTGCGCCAGTACCGAGCGGTGCGCCAGGATACCCATCTCCCTTCACTGCATATCGATAGACCGTCTCCAGTTCCATCCGGCAGCTGGACTCGACGCTGTAGAGCCGTGTCTACGAGCCGGTGGTTATACTCTATTGTCCATGCTTGGAGTCGGTAGTTCTGTGGACGACAGGGAGGGAGTATTTGAGTCAAAGAGACCTGCATAGCGTACTTTATCTGTCTGCGGATGGGTTGTGGTGGATGATGCAGGGATAACCGCAGACACACCTGGTCTGTAGGTCTCAATGCGGTCAGTCACGCTCTTCGGAGCACAAGCTGGCTTGTCCATGGTTGCGCTCAGTCGCCGCTACAAGCAACACCATCCTTCCGTTGCAGCAGTGAGTCACCGCATACAGCTTGTGCTCTCTGCCACCAGTCTCAGCCTCGAGGTGGCCGAGAGCGTGGAGTCTAGCCAAAACTTGGTGAGGAATCCTTTGCCGCAGACGCATCGGTAGCCATTCGAGAACCGAGTACGAGCTGCATCTTGTGGATAGTTGAGAGGAAGGCCTCTTCCTGCTGACAGCGGGCTTTCTCGATGCGCTCCTTCAGCTCGCGTCGCGCCTGCGTAAGCTTGGAAAGTTGCCCGACCTTCGGGCGGCGAATGGCGGCCCTTGGCAGAGTCAGAAGCTGAGTACCAACACCTCAGAGCGTCGATCCAAAGTAGTCCTATCACTCACACCTCCAAATCATGCTGCTTGATCGCTTCATCATAGATCGCTTTGAGCTCCTTAAGCTGAGATTCATAGGCCCCATCTATTGCCGCTTCGCGCTCTCTGCGATGCTGCCTTATCTGCTCGAATGTCAGCACCCTCAACGCGGCTCTGATGTTGGATCAGAGCCGCACTTTCTGCTTCTGTTGTTCGAGGAAGCGATTCATCGCTGTAGTGTCCACGTCTTGTGATTGGGAGGCCGAGTCATGGCTGACAGCCTGGCTCGCAGGCATGACTTGACTGTGGTACACTGCACACGACACCATGTGAGATGTTGATGTAGTTGTGTAAGTGACGTGAGGTGTAGAGATGGATGGCAATGAGGGGGAGCGCGTGGTACACTCCACCCTTTGCACGTGCGGCTTGGCAGGGTAGGAAGAAGCTTCGGCCCCGGTCTCCGTGGCGGATCTACCCAGTGCTATGCGCGCTCCCCTAATGCTGAAACCGTTTCAAGCGACCGGTAAAGCAACGCACGCTTCACGACGAAGTAGAGGACCGCTTGGCCTATGTGTAAGCGGACCTCGAGCAGAACAAGAGACGGGAAGGATTGCCTCCAAGCGGCGCAAGACCCAGTCAGGCGTCAATGCAGCCTTAATTGGGTAGAGGGGAGGGTGCTGCGAAAACCAGATGACCTTAAACCATGGCGACCTTTGCCAACTCCTTCTGGGCTCCGGACTACGCAGCAGGTATGAACGTGCGGACATTGGAAGACGAGCCCTGCATTGACCAAGCACAGGTCTGGGCGTCCTGTTCGGGAAGTTACAGCAAGGTGTGCAGGAGAATGAGCAGATACTCACCATAGCGCGACTGCGCGCCGAGTCAGAAGATGCTTACGGACAAAAGCTTGGTGAAATCGAGGCAGCGACGAGTAGGATTGACGGAGGCTTTCAGCGAGACGATGGCGCAAGCGTCAAGAAAGCATACGAAGGTGTTCGTTCGGAGATGGCAGAAGCGGCGCGCAACCATCGTAAGATAGGCTCTAACATTCGCGAGTTAGTCGTCAACCCGTTCGGTCGCTGGTGCGACCAACATGCGGCACGGATACAGAACAGTCAGGATGATTTGCAAGGGCGTATGAAGGCGCTCGACCGGCAAGCTGAGACTGTAAGGCAGTATCGTAGTGCGTACTACAACAAATGCCGGAGGTTGGAAGATCTTGACGAGGAGGAGAAGCTTGCGTTTCAAGACCCCGGTTCTGCAGCTGCAGTCGGTTCGCCGAAGATCCAACCTCAGACTGTTCCGAGCATTAAGGTAGAAGAACAGGTCGCAGAAGGGGAGCCTATCGAGATAGGCGATCAGACTTACCAGCCTGATCAAGTCAAAGAGATGCTAACACATGCGCTGGAAAACGTTCCACTTGGCGAGCATAAAGTGCCAGTGCTTGGAACGTACCAGAACGTCTCAACAGGCGCGGACGTCACAGAGTACATCCAGAAACACATGGGCGGCACCTCAGTTGCATTTGCCGAGCGCATAGGACAAGACTTCATTGATCATGGTTTCCTGCGACTAATTGGTGGCATGGGCAGCACCTTCGCGAATAGCAGCAGGATGAACTATCAGTGGAAAGCCAAAGCCTTTCAGATCGCCGGCATCCCCGAGAAGCGACCGAAAGCGACCGGACGTGTAGCGACACTTGCATCCTCCGATAGCTCAACACCAGGTAGCCCGGTCGTCGGCGATCGCATGAGCGAGATACTTGGCGGCTGGAATCCACTGAATAATGCACATCCGAATGAGACACCTGGCGAGAAGCTGCGGCGAGAAGCGCATGATGCAGACGAACGCTACAAAGCTGCCGTTCGCAAGCTGGATGGCTTACGCTGTAACCTTGAGGAAGCCATGATCGAGCACCTCAAATTCATGGAACGGTGCGAGCTCGATCGTCTTAAAGCAATCAAGAGCGTGATCCTAGACTTCAGTGGCGCAATCAGCAACGTCATTCCAAGCTTGCAGAGTACTGTAGACAACATGATGCTGTTTCAGGAGACTATACAACCACCGAATGATCTGCGCTATATCATGGAGAGTTACCGCACTGGCAGCTACATACCAAAAGTGACGGTATACGAGAACTACTACAATAAGGTGGACGAGCAGACCTTTGGCGTGGACGTCGAAGCGCGAGCGAGAAGTGATCGCAAGCGTGTACCGCTGATTGTGACCACGATACTGACTTTCTTGGACTCGCATTACCCGGACCTCAACGGCGACGCCCCGCGGAGAGACATCTGGATCGTCGACGTGCCACTTGCGGCAACTCACCATCTTCGAAACCTTGTTAATACTGGAAAGCCAATTGACCCAGAGATTCTGGAGAAGTACGAGATACCGATCGTGGCAGCTGTACTGAAGCTCTACCTGCTCGAGCTCCCGGATAGCTTGGTCAGCTCGCACGTGTACGAGATTGTGAAAACGATATACACCACAACCGCGCAGTCAGCATCAGAGACTGCGCGGATTCAAGTTGTCCAGTCAACGCTCGGACAGCTGAGGCTGGCCAACATCGCCACACTGGACGCACTCATTACGCACTTGACGCGCCTTATCGAACTCACGAGTGCGGATGATGCCTACGTGACAACCTTAGCGAACGTGCTTGCTCCATGCATATTGCGGCCAAAACAAGAGTCTGGCTTGAGCATGGCTGAGAAGTACAACGTGCGTCTTGTCCGCGACCTCTTGGCGCACAAAGACGAGATCTTCGGCGAACTGAAGCGGCAGTGGACTCTAACGCACACCAACTCCGGTGCCACCCGTTCGACTCGAGCAGTCAGTATGGACGAGTCGAAGCGGAGAGAACACATGGAGGAGCGTCAACGCGCCATATTGGCAGCGCAAGCCGGTGGCAACAAAGCACCTCCGCGGCAACCAAGTCCCAGCCCGAGCGTAGGCTCTCGCGTACCTCTGCCGGACGGAGCAGGTCACCGGCGTGACCGGAGTAGGGGAGCAGACACGCGGTTCCCTATCGCGACCACTGTGCAAGCTCAGACCGACAAGCGGCTGATGTCACCAACTTCAGCGACAAGCAACCACCGGGACAGCCTGAGTGTACCGCAAACACCTCCGCAGCCACGTGTAACAGCAACGACTACCATCTCCCCGCCAAGAGCACAGGATCCGCCACGCATGAACGGCACGCTTCACCAGCCGCCTCCCGCCGAAGACGAGCCTGCCGAGAGCGCACCTATCCGGTCGAATGCGCCTGTAAAGCAAGCCCCGATACCGCCGACCATGTCCGCTTCCATCTCTGGTCCGCAGGATCTCATGACTCCGAGCCATTACTATAACAGCGCCGCTGACTCGCCCAACACGCCTACGGCATCCACGACCGTCTCTGAGTCCAGCAAGCCTCCACCGCCTACGTCGAAGTACAAGATCAACAATCCGGACTCCGAAGCCAGCTCGGCCACTGCGGATGCTGAGACTGTAGAAGGGGCTCCCATTAAGCGCGACAGCCTGAACCGCTCTGGAGCTCGTGGCTACCCACCTCGCAAGGGTACGGGTGGCCTGCAAAGGCAAAGCCTAGTGATGAGCAAGCATGGCGGGGCTGACATAGGCGACTATGTCGAATCGCCAGTCGACACGACGAGATCTGGACACATCAACGAAGGGGCACCAAGCACGACCGGCGTTCAGCTTGAGGACAAGCCGATGGACTTTGACTAGTAGTCCGGTGCACGACGGGCATGGGCTGAAGCGAAACATCCTACAGTTCCATGATATATCATGCATAAATGCGAGCATTCAGCGTAAACGATTCCTAATTGATGTAGCGAAGGTTTTGTACAACTACATGTGCAATAGGCTCTGATCTGGGCGGCGTTGCTTCAATCACAGCCCGGGCAGTCAGCTCGATCATGCGGGTGATTCCCGGCCCCTTTGAGCCATATCCTGCATGGCTCCTCCATCAGGGCGGTTTGTGAGGGCTCTCGAGACTTCGAATAGTATCATGCTGTTCTTCGCTTCAGGAAGCTCGCTCCAGCGGCCTAGGCGGTGCTCCTTGCCCACGGCAGCCGCGACGTAGACGCCGTCTTTGGCTCTTTCGCCACGGTCGATGATGGCCAGATCATTGATCACGCCAACGATTATTTTACTTCGAGTGTACGACTGTGATTGCTCCAGCCCATCCATAGCATGGTACTGCTCGGGCGCGGCATGATCTGTAAAGCCAATTACCCCAAGTGACTCGATTCGCCGCTTGTCCTGTGTGATGCGCCAAGCTCGCACGAAGCCATCCCAGCTGCCGGACAGAATGACGTCGGAGTAAGGTATGGCGCACAACGCCGTGATCCAACGCGGTTGTGGCTCGGTCTGAGCGGTCTCGTCAGGGTCCTGCTCAGCAGAGAGCTCACTCAGCGGTAACGGGGGCTCGAGCCCATGAGCAAGCGGTACGATGAAGACGGGCTTCTTCTTGTTGACACTCCAGAGCGACAACGAGCCGTTATCAGAGCCAGTAACCCATGTCTCATCGTCAACGCATGTTACGCGGTCAATGGAGCCTTCGTTGTACGCCTTCTGCTCAGACATGTCTATGCCACTGTCCTGGTCATCTTTCAAAGCTCGATCGGCTTTGCTCTTGCTTGGTGCGCCGCCACCGCGGAACACGAGCTGTGACTCCTCCACCACCTTCCACAAACGAACTGTCCTGTCCCGCGCACCGACCGTGACACACTTCTCCTGTGCGAGCGCACCCACATCGACGACTTCATCTTGGTGACCGAACAGCGTCTCGACGTAGGCCAGCTCGTCAAGCGACCAAATCTTGACTGTGCGATCTCTGCTTGCGCTGAACAGCTGGTTAGTCCCGCGGCGGAAGGCTAAGCTGGTAACCGTGTCTCTGTGCTGTGCGAACACCTTGACTGGCTTCAAGGTCGCAGCTTCCCAAACAACGATACGTCTGTCCACGCCACCCGTTGTGACAAACTTGCCATCCTGCGACACTGCCACGCACATTATCGAGCCCACATGGCCAACGTAATCTCGATCACTTTTTTTCCACCTGTCGCCTCGTCTGTACGCCACCCGTTTAGGCTTCGTACGGACTCTGCCAAGTTGCTTCCCGTCGTTCGTTGACGCCTCATGTGACGGTAGCTCCCATTTCGACAGAGCCATGTCTTTGCTCACTGTATAGACGTAGCGTCCTTGCAAGACAATGCCAGTTACACTTTTGCCGTCCGACCTGGTCACACTTTGCTGCGCACGTTTCCAGTCCAGATCTTGTGCGACCCACCTATACAGCCTGCCTTTGCTCTCAGCCGTGTCTTCCTTCAGCCGCTCGCCCATGCGTCTGCGCAAGTTCTCCTTGTCAACCTCTGCAGCATCGAAGCCAACATCGAGTACTTCCTTCTGCGTGTCGGCTAGATACTGCTCGGCCAAGCGGATCCGCTTCGCTGCCGGGTCCTCATCTCTAAACTCTTCGTCTTCGACGGTAGAGCTCTCGTAACCCTCATTACGTGCAACGAGAGCATCGTTGTCGGAAACATCGCTGCCACTGATCGATTCGTCTCGGTCCTCTTTTCTTGGCCCGGAGACAGTCCGCTTCTGTGCCGTGTGTTTTGAGGCCTCTGTCCTCTTTCGCTTCCTTGCCGACGCTGGCAGCGTGAAGAAGGAGGACATGGATGTTGTCGTATGCGCAAAGCGAAAGTTTCTGGCGCATTTTACATCTCAGATGGACCCCTCGGACTTTGCGGAGCTTGCCACCGTCGACCAAAAGTGATCGTGGGTCAGGGCTGTGCCTTCTGTTCACTTCCAGCTTTGATCGACGATATACACGTCCAGGTATTATGTAGCCTATTCTCCATACCAACTCCCAGACTCTAAGGGGCATGTGCGTTGGACTTATGCATCGGGTTCTGCGTCCAGGGTAGGTCTGAGGAAGGGCTGGTACCACGATATGGGCCGACAGCGCTTCATAACACGAATGGCCCTTGGCCGCTCACCTTACCAACCATTTGAAGGCAACAAGGACGATGAGACTCCCACCGTGAGGGGTACCGAGGTACACAACACCACAACGACAACTGATGGTTATGTGCAACGATTTGACATTAAAGGCAATCCCATCAACCCAGCAACTGAATCGCGCAACGCCGAATTGCGGCACGCTCAGAATTCCATACTTGCCCTTGTTGGTGTTGTCGAAGGATTGGAGGGTAAGCAACGAGTGCGCGAGGATGATGACTGTCACGGGAGAGCTCAATGGCAGGAACTGTTGAGCGATGAGAATGAATACGGCGAAGCTCTTGACCTACTGACCATGTCTGCGGTCTACCTACCTTTGTTCTACTCGATCTGGCTGCTTAGACGATATCAAACCGGGGTGAATGACGTTGGCCGGCCTTTCGCTTCCATTGTGGCAAGTGACATGCGCGCCATTCTGAAGGGTGAATGGAAGGGCGTCTACGCTGTGCTGTTCCCAGGAATGTTAGCGAGCCTATGTGCTGGTACCGTACAGCTTGGGGCCGCACACATCATTGACACTGTCACACGGTCATGCTCAAAGCAATACTGGGCGAAGCGTCGGTCCTCGCTGCACCTGGAGCGCTTCGAGAGGGTCTTAGCGTTCGTGGAGACTGCTGCATATGGCCTAATTCAGTTGTTCCTACTGCCGCTCAGCTTCCATACAACAGCGCAGTGTCTCCTTTTGGCGCCGCCATGGCCACTGTTACCGCCTTGGAGCTTGTGGCGTCGAACTGACCCCTTGTCACCCCGTTCTATCATTTGGCGACCTCTTATTGAGGTTCCATTGCCCTTGATCGGGAGGTTGCTTTCACCAGCAGCTCTGTTCATCACCTGGAACTATTTGCTGACCGAGCCGTTGGCCATTGATGGCGTCCCGTTTGCGCATCTCACCACTTTCCCACCTCCAGAACTAAATACCTCCAGCTCGAGGGTTACAAAACCGATACTGTTTCGGGATCCGTTTGGCTGGATAAGATATCATGTATACACCGTTCGATCGTCACTGATAACAGGGGCAGGATGGGGGGTTAAATCGGTCGGGAACAGGTCTACCGAAAATCATTTCGAGACAAACATCGTCATGGAGGGCAACGCACAGACCAAATACGGCGTCTCACATCACCGCTCCACGCATCTGACGCACCTGCCCGCTCGCTTTCAGGGTGCCAGAATCGACGAATTCCTCTACCGTGTGTTACTTCTGCCACTTGATGCTTTGGTGCTCAGAGCTGTCGCCATGTCTTATTTTGCCTGTCCTCTACCAAAGGTTGCCGGCTGTAACGGGCTGTCCACGCAACTTTACCCACCAATCAGTGGCTGGCTCTACCGTCTGGTGAGAAGGTTGGACGTCAATACATTGCGCGAGGCTGGCCGCTATGCGAACAAGATCGGACTGTGCTTGGCGTTGCAGGCTGCCGTTGACGCTACGCTGTTTGCTGGAGTCTACGCCTCGGTGCGCTTCTGCGGCATCCGCCAGTTCCATTGGGGCCTAATGAAGAGGCCTGGGCGAGGAAGTTTTACGCATCCTCCATGAAAGCCCATTGACTCTGGCTTGACTTAGAATGTTCCGATATTCATAGCTCGGTTGACTCCGCACGCTCCGCACGAGCTTTGGCGTCTCTGCGGCGGATTGTCGTCCAGGTGCAGACCATGGAGAATAACGAGACCGCCAAAAGGCCTAGCGCAACCGAGTAGCTTGTGCTGTAGCGTGGCCTGAAGCGGAGGTTGTATATGTGCGGTCCAACAACGCCGAGCAGGTGCACCATCGTCGCGGTCACGCCGACCGCAAGACCGGTGGACGTAGTTCCGTTTGCGGTGCGGATGCGCTCCGGCCACAGCAGTGGAAGGACTCCTATAGTGCAGACGAGCGCTATACACATGATGATGTAGGTACCCACAGCGTTGCGAACAGTGATCAGAGAGATATAGCAGCCACAGGTGAGCGACTCTAGAGTCAAGGCAGAAAGCCAAGGATTGCACTTCTGTTCGTGGATGCGCCAGGCAATAGATAGCAGCAACAGGCAGCCTAGCGCAGATGGTGGCCTTGACAAACCGTTAGCATGCGCGAGAAGCCTGGCCGAGGTAAGTCCAGTAAAGTAACATTGTCGTTAATTGCGTAATGCGTGAGCCTCTAAGACCCAGATCCATAATGATATTGGGCAGTATTAAGGATATTCCGTACCCGCCGATGGCATGACAGGCATAGATCAGCACAAACTTGCACCATTTCCGTCAGTCTTCGTAGCACTCAAAGGGGAGGCAAGACTTACCGTGTAGGAAAGCGGATCGCAGAGGAAGTCGTGTACCTGCCACCAAGTCCACGTATCTGCCTCTGGCGACGGCTGGCTCTTTGGGAACTCATCAAGGATAAGCTGTCTCTCTTTCCCACTAAGAAAGGGAGCGGTGTCTGGATAGTTGGGAAGATGAAAGAAGCTCGCAATGCCCAAGGAGATGACGGGTAGTCCTTCGAACAAGAACATCCAGCGCCAGCCCGCGAGGCCACCAATTCCGTTCATGTAGGAGATCGCAAAGGCCAGCAGACCCGAAATCAAACCGGAGAACTGCCCTAGGACGGAAAGAAGCGCAACTCGGAAAGGCAGCTTAGATGCTGGATACCAGAAGGTGATATGGAAGAGCACACACGGCAGAAGGCCGGCCTCGGCCAGCCCAAGCAAGATGCGACAGGCGAGCAGACCGCTGAATGTTTGGGTGGCTGCTTGACACATCGATATCACTCCCCAGAAGGCTTCAGTGCTAGTACGTCGAGCGGACCGAATGACGTCACTCACCCAAGTGAACAGTATGCGGCTGATCCACAATCGCGGGCTGCAGTATTTGAGCAGCATCGTTGAGATGGGATCGAACAGAAGAACGCTACGGGTAGCGCGACTCAGCTCAAGACATCCGCCCTTTGCTATGTCCAGGTGGCCTTACCAATACGAAAGGCTTGAGAGTATCCATGCCCACTGGTTGCTGGTAAGTCCGCCAAGCTGTCGCTTCATATCCGTGCCTTGCTCGACATTGAGAATGGCCACATTGGTAATGTTGCGAGCGGCTATTCTGACGACAATAGTGACGACTAGGTACCATGACAGCAATCTCACGTCGATGCGGCGATATACTTTGTTGAGCTGTTCCTCTCTCTCCTCGTAGGACATATCCTCGGTATACGAGCCTGCCTCTGCGGCCTTAGAGTACAAGGATGCATGTTCACCTTCGGACAGGTTCTCCGCCTCGGACAAGTAGCTGTACTTACGTGCGACAGATGGAGCCTGCGTGTGAGCCATTCGATGACTTGAAAGAACAGACAGAACGACGAGGTGAACGGATGATGAAGGACTCAAGTGGGAGGCAGTTCTTCTACCTTTCTGAGAAGCTTACCATCATATCGCCGTCTGTCGCAAATGTGTTCAGAGCTACTAAGCCTAGGAATGGTGTTCCAACCGATCGCGGAAGGCATGCTTGAGAAACCACCAGTCGTCTATGGTAGTGACCTCGCCATTTGCTAGCCCTCAGTATTGCAAAGATCGCAGTCTTCCCACATTATTGAAACTCTACGCGGCAGTGGTGTTGTGCTGCTGTTCGTCGTTCGAAAATGAAATCCAGTCTGACAACCCACAGCGGACCTCCTGGTCGATAGGCAGATAGATTTGCTCAGTACCTCCCACTCAAAGTACCTGGTGGGGTATTGAAGATCAAGGTAAGATGGACATGTCGTGCGTGAGTTTGTCAACAGTCGGGGAAACTTCGGCAGCCACACGCGTGGCTCTGTTCAAGTTTCGCGACTTGACAACACATGCAGCTTCTTGAGACATTGAATCCCAACACAGCGCGTCTGTTTAATGCTGATAGAACGCCTATGAGTGTTCCTAGCACTCAACACTATAGGTGACGAAAAGTTAGGCATATTCTCTATGGCTCACGTGCAAGAACACTTGCAGCGCGAAGGCCGAGCATGCTACAAGCGACATGAGTATGCCAGAGCGCTTGAGTTGTTCGATAGAGCTATTGGACGTGCAGAGTCTGTTCACCTCCTTGACAACCGCGCCGCATGCTACGAAAAGCTCAATAGTCTCCCAGCGGCGCTCAAGGATGCAAAGCAAGCGATCCAACTTCAGCCGCAGGACGCGACAGGTTACTTGAGAGCGGGTGAATGACTGCAGTTCCACTTGGTTTGTATGAAGCATAGCTGACCTTCCTATTTCCCGATGTAGGTAAAGTGCTGGTGAAAATGGAGAAGCACAGCGTAGCATTGGGACTGTACACGTACGGCCTGAAGAGCATCAGACACCAGGGTCAAGGCTACGAGGTAACCTGCGTCACCGTCGCTTTCCCTTAGGACTTCTCTAACTCAGTGACAGCTCTTGCGCAAGGCCCATACCGTGCTACAGCACCAGCTGGCACCACCAAGGAGTGTAGATCCATTGGCTGTGCTCCCTCGCGAGCTGGCCGAGTTCATTCTCGAACACCTCAACTTCCAACAGCGAATAAACGCTTGTCTGGTCTCCATGCAATGGACGCATTTCATTCGATCAACTCCGTCACTATGGAGCCATGTTGACCTGAGCGTAGCCAGACGTAAGGTCCGCAACGATTTCATCAGCCGCGCCATCAATATTGGGCGTGCCAAGATCAAGGCTGCTACACTCAACAACCTGCTAGACGCAAATCGTGCGCTGTCCGCTCTACTCCAACATTGTCCGCTTCAAGAGCTTACACTACTCGGTACGGGCATTCTTGACGCAGGTTTACTTAACAGTCTGAGCAAGGCCAAGCACCTTCGATCTCTACGCGTTGCAAAGGATACCGAGATGGGCAACACGACTTGGACAGCCCTCCTTCGGACACTCAACCCCGCAATGGAGGCATTGCATGTCACTCTAAGAGGCTTCAGTGTATCTAGCATCCCAATGCCGTATAAGCACCTCCACACTATAAGCATAGATGCGATGCTGTACGATCAAGCCTTCTGGGACAAGATATCAACATCTCTACCCAATCTCCGATCGCTGACCGCTCATCAAAGCCCCATGAATCGACTCACCGAAAGGTGCGGCGTTGATTTAACGGAAATGAGCAGGCTCGAGACGGTGGACCTAAGACTGAATCACTTGGATCTTGACCTTCTGCGACTACCACCAACCGTTCTCTACCTTAGGCTGAGCTCACATCAATACACATGGTTTGGCGGCAACTCTAATAGTATTGGAGACTTGCCACGGTTGCAGGAGCTTAAACTCGACTTCGCGCCTGCTGTGCCTTTGGCATTAGTAAATTCTTTCCTCGCGATCTCTGATGGCAACTGCGGAGCGAAACCTTCTGAGTTGCGCAACGTCACTTTCACGCTAGTCGATTCCGGTGGGAAAGAAGAAACTATCCTGATGCTTTTGGAACACGCGCGATTGCGTAACTTGCGCGAATTCGCCCTGCATGGCGGAATGGTGGCCGATGCCACCTGTTCATCCATATGTGACAAGCTGCCTCACCTCGCAAGGCTTAATCTTAGTGACACGAGTGTGACGGGAGTGGGCGTTAAATCCGTGACGGGTCTTCGGAACCTCAAGGAATTGGTCCTCAACAACTGCCCCCAGGTCGGAAGGGATGCTGTGCAGTGGACGCGAACCCAGGGAATCCGAGTACAAAGCCGCAACGCCCCCACCCAAGCTGGTGGCCACAAGGTGAGGTATTAAGGCCGCGGGTCCTGTGCACTGTGTTGGGACTTGGACTGCCGCTCCAAGCTGCACCTCGATACGAAGAACTGTACATGACTGAGGTTCTGCGAATTGTGTTAAGAAAGCTGGCACTGCATGGCCCATGCGTTGATCAGGAATTCGCAGCCAAATCGCACTTGTATTGTGCAGACGGCCCTCTACTGGGATACGCCTCGGCGAGAAGACAAACCCACCCCCGCTGACTAAACGTTGCACTTGTCTGCGCCCTTCTGCATGTACTCCTGTCACCGCACCTACTCCCACAACAAGTTGAACATCTTCCACTTCTTCTTTGGTGGCTCCAGCGGTTCCGGGTTCTGCTCTGCAATCTCTATGTATTTCATGATTGGCACTTCAGCCAGCGGCACAATCTTGCTCTTAGTCACGACTTTGTAGCCAAAGTACAGCAGCAACACGATTGGAATGTCGATGTAAGAAGACACAAAAGTCTCATTGTCCTGGGTGTCGATGGGTAGGACGGTCAGCTCGGTGCAAGCCAAACTTGAGTATAACTACGTTCGTTCTGCTTACCCAGTGGTTGTGGATGAAGGTGGTGTATCCTCCGGTGAGGACCAGGAGGGGGAAAGCAATGACTCCAAGCCATGCAATGTACGGTTGGAACGGTGCCTTCCACGGAAGACGAGAGCGTGGGATGCTGAGCGTACTGTCAGTCTGAGCTCCACTCCCATACAACTACTATTCCACGTACCCTTGTTTCTTCATCGCATAATAAAACCGAAGGTAGACCAGGCAGATGATGGTCCAATTGATCATACCAGCTACAGCGACCAAGTCCTGGAACATTCGTCAGCAGACCATTAACTCATTCTCTCAAGTTTGTTCGCTCACCTGAAGCCAGCCGAAAACGGTAGCCGCGCCGTTGGAAAGAGTCATATAGCCCAGACAGATGAACAAGCTGAACCAAATGACTGCGACATACGGGATGCCGAAGCGGCTCACTCTGGCAAAGATCTTGGGTGCTCGGCCCTCCCGCGCCAGACCGAACAGTGTCCGGGAGCCAAGTAACATCCCGGAGTTGCCAGCGCTCCACGCCGAAGTCAGGACGACAGCATTGATGATGCTCGGTACAACTTTCACACCTGCGCGTGAGGCAGCGAGCACGAAAGGTGAGTGAGCCGTTCCGCTTCCTGAGAGCAAGTCCGGGTCATTCGATGGAACCAACATCCCAACGAAGAAAATCGAAATAACGTAGAAGAGCAGAACTCTCCAAAAGATGCGCTTTGCCGCAAGTGGAATGTTGCGGCGAGGGGACTTGGTCTCGGCGGCAGCGACGGATATGGTCTCAACACCGAGGTATGCATAAGAAGCGTTACTGAACGTCGTCCAGAAGCCGAGGAAACGACCGAGACCGCCGGCGATACCCAGGTACTGCACGAGTGGGCCGGGGTTCCGCCAGTACTGGAAGCCATACGCATGGTGGTCTGGGCCTCCGCCACATACCAACACCAGTGCCATAAGATTCAATCCTACCACGAGCATGATCTTGAGGATAGCGAACGAGAACTCCAGCTCGCCATAGATTCGTACCAGGAAGATATTGCTTGCAATGACTAAGACGCCGAAGATTGTAATCCAAGCACCGTTGTTTATGCTGGACCAGAAGTCGACAATGACCGCAGCAGCAACTATCTCGGCGGGAATGCTCATCATGTAGTTGTACACCGTATTCCATCCGTTCGCGAATGCCAATGCCGGGTCGACGAAGTACTCCGCGTGCCTTATGACACCACCACTAAGTGGCACCAGCGCGCTCATTTCTGCAATGCTAAGGACTGGCCCAGTGACCAGGATGCCAACGAAGATATAACCGAGCAGTGCACCAAGGGGTCCACCTCGAGCGATGGCCTTGCCGCTGCCGAGAAACAAACCTGTGCCAATGGTACCAGCAAGGGAAATCATCTGGATGTGGCGTTGGTGAAGACCGCGCCTTACGTTGCCTATCAGTGAGAACTGCTACGTTCAGGGACAGGCAGCGTACCTCAGCTCCTGCTTTTCCTCAAACTCGACCGGCTCATCATCACTGAAGGCCGGCACAGGAACGGTTTCGAAGTCGAGATCGTGGCCGCCATCGTTAAGCTTGCCCTTCTTCTCCGTTTGGTATGACTCCGCCATGGCAACGAACTTGGAAGGAGTAAAAGTATAGCAGGCAGAGCGTCAGCGCGAAAGCAGGTGAAGGGAGGTAGTATTTACCAACAAAAAGCAATGACAAGAAACCCACATTACATACCACACCAGAGATAAGTATGCTGAGAGGCCTATGGTACCGAGGCGTGGTCCAGCCCAGCACGATGCACGATGCCAAGCTCAGTCAAGAGTGATACAGCTTCCTGGAGCAGAAGGTACACTGTCGCCATGCCTCGGCGGAGAGATAAGGATGCGGTGGCCAGCTTCCAAGCAGGCAAGTAGCTGCAGCCATGCCACCCAAGCATGCGGGAGGGTCTTGGTATGCACTTCGTGGGCTTCTATGTTACCACGCATGCGCACATTCAGTATCTCGTGCCATTAACGTCAAGCACGGCATTCTACCGAGAAGGTCAGTCTGCCAGCACTCTAAAGACATGAAATAGTTCGTGCTTGTTCTCAGCGGGCAAAATGCGATCAGGTAACACGGCCTGACACCCATCGGACGGCGCCATTGAACGCAGTGTGGCGCAACGATATGCTGCCAAAACCGGCTTAGTGAGTAGCTACCCTGCAACCTTCATTGATAAGGAACCCGCTCCAAAGTACTCAGAAAAGACGTTGCAGGTATGTCTAGACCACAGAAGCGCACCATTTGCGTTAGTGAGAAGGATCCTTGAAATGGGCTCATGGGCAGTCGGCTCGGCTGGGCTGGAGAACACATGCTGTTCTGGGCGAAGTGGCACGTTGGCACGTGATATTTAGGGAAATGAGAGCACAACATACAGCTTATATACACCGCAACGCCTGCTACGCTACCTCATTGGAAGGCCAAGCTCTTCTTGATCTCAGCAATGGCCAATGCTGGGTTGAGACCCTTCGGGCAAGTCCTGCTGCAGTTCAGGATCGTGTGACACCGGTACAACGCCATACTGTTGTTCAGCGCATCTTTTCGTTGCTCGGTCTTCTCGTCTCTGCTGTCTGCAATCCACCTGTAGCTTTGCAGTAAGACAGCCGGTCCGAGATATTCCTCACTGTTCCACCAGTAACTTGGGCATGAGGTGCTACAGCAGGCGCAGAGAATACACTCATACAGACCATCGAGCTTACGGCGGTCGGACTTTGACTGCCTATACTCTCGTCCATCTGGCGGCGGAGTGTCGCGCTGGAGGTAGGGCTTGATAGACTTGTACTGCTTGTAAAACTGGGTAAGGTCGGGCACGAGGTCCTTCACCACATAGGTATGTGGGAGCGGGTAGATGCGGGTCTCTTTCCCAGCATCAGTCGGAATACGGCCTGTAAGAAACCGTTAGTGGCAAACGCAGTGCGCAGCGAAGTGCTGTGGCGAAGATTGGACGTACAAAGACACGCAAGTGTGTTAACTCCGTCAATGTTCATCGCGCAACTCCCGCAGATACCCTCTCTGCAACTCCGTCTGAATGTGAGAGTCGGATCCACCTCATTCTTGATACGAATCAGGGCGTCCAGAATCATGGGGCCGGTCTTGTTCAGGTCTAGGGTGTAGCTCTGCATCTTCGGCTTGCTGCTGGGCTCATCCGGGTTCCATCGGTAGATATGGAAGGTTTTGATCTTTGACTCAGGGTCTGGACTCGGTTCCTTGATGGTGGTAGTATGCTTTGGCGAGAGCGGTGGGGAGGAGGACGAAGTGGCCTCACTGATGGCACCCAAAGGCTCCTTGGTGTTGCCGACGGTCGTGGCCATGCTACGGCTGAACGCGTACGGCATTGGCTTCAACGCCAGCCGGCGGGATGCCAATCGTAACGCCATGATATGCGACGTATGTTTGTGCCAACAATGCAAGACGAGAAGCAAAGCGGCGATGGCAAGGGCGATGATGAATGGAGCCCGCAGAAGATCTCTTGGCACGGGTATAACCGCCACGGAAACAGTGCCTCGGTTTCCGTGCTCGGCATCATCACGTGATCACTTCCTTGTCATCTAGAATCCACGACGCTTCTAGGCTTGATGAAACTCCCCCACAAGAACACATATTCAGTCATGTTTGGGAGCTTGGTCGTACCGTCGTGCAACGATGGCTACCCAAATGGTTGGCTAAGCGATCATGGCTCGTCCTAGACTACGGCCTAAGGTAGGGATTAAGCATCACATGTTGCACCATTTCGTTCTCACGAGCTTGTGGACCGTACGATCACAATCGCTTCGGCGACGGCAGCAGCGATGTGTTCCTTCTCGAGGCTACGCCCTATACATTTGTTCCTCGACTGGGATGGCACCCTTACTGTGAAGGATACGATGAGCCTCCTGGCAAAGCTGCCAGAAGCAAGAGACCGCCGGCTTGAGAGAATGCCTGGGCCACATCCAAGCCGTCTTACTGTCAACAAGCAACAAGTTTGGAAAGACTTTACAGAGGCTTACATGAATGATTACAAGAACCACAAGGCCTCCTGTTTCCCGGGCAGCGATTGTACGGGCAATGAATATTCCAGCTGGCTTAACAGTCTGCTTCCCATTGAATATGCGAGCGCTCAGCGAGTCACAAATTCAGGCTTCTTCCAGGCTGTTCGGACTGAAGACCTAGTTGCAGTGGTCTCGAGTGCTCTTGAGACGGGTGAACTGCAGCTGCGAAAGGGCTGGGAAGCCATCTTCGAGCTCTACAGTCGTACACACGCTTCTACGCCACCGAGTTCTCATGTATCAATTGTCAGCGTAAACTGGAGTGAGACGTTAATACGTTCGTCTCTCGACATCGCATCCTCACGTGGCAAATTCACATCGCAGCTTATGAGAGCACGTGTCCAAGCTCTCACCAACCACATAACCATTAGCACCAATGAGATACACGGTCTCAATTCGCCTGATGGTAGCTCAGGCCGACTCACCAGCAATGTTCGTACGTCGGGGGAGAAGTTGGCTCGCATGGTGGAGATTCTGCGTGATGCAGGCAGAAGGAGTACCAGATCGGCAATAGGTGATTCGCCGTCTCCTCCTTTGGTAGTATACGTCGGCGACTCCGCAACAGACTACGAGTGCTTGATGCGCGCTGATGTAGGGATCTGGGTCTGCGACTGCCCCGACGTGGAGCGTAACGCTCGCTTCAAGGCTACCTTTCACCCACTTAACGTGGCATCTATTACCAAATTATCTCCTGCTACCTGCCATGGAACGGAGAATTGGGCGTGGTGTTACTGGGCACCCGACCTCGAGGCAGTGGCGGAATGGCTGGCAAGCATGACGAATGCAGCTTTTTATACCAACCCGGACAATCGAAAAGTACAAAATAATTGACAGTTCTGGTACGTGCCTGGCTTGATACAATACACGTCTCGTACAATCCGAGGACAACTACACCCTTTTCACCAGCATAACACCTCATCGATTGCTCAAAGAATTGCCACAAGCGCCAAACCAGCTCCAACTACACCTCCGGCAATTATCGGCACCGCCGTCTGTACAGCACCCGCACTGGAAGTCCCTGAAGAAGCTGCAGAAGTCGCGGAAGCTGCAGCACCGGACGACGTCGAACTCGCGCGACTTGCGCCGGGCACGGCAGCACTACTCCCCACGGAGCCAAGCGATGAGGCGCGAGATGATAGCGTGCTGACGACGGTACCTCCAGCACTCGTCAAAACCGTAGCTGCTGATCCTCCTGCAGACGTAATCTGCGTTCCTAATGATGAGCCAACTGACTGTGCGCCACCAACGGCTGTGCTAGCTGCACCTTGCGCTCCGCTGGTAATTGTCGAAACAACGCTCCCCGCAGCGTTGGTTGCCACCGTGGCCAAGCTACCGCCAAGTGAGGTTGCCCTGGTGCCAACAACGGTCGCCACAGATCCGGCTCCGCTCGTTATAGTGGAAACGATGTTGCCGCCGTTGCTGGTGACTACCGTCGCAATGCTGCCGCCAGCCGATGTGATTTGCGTTCCGAGCGAGGTTCCAATGGACTCCGCGCCGCTTATCGCGGTACTCGCTGCTCCCGCAGCCCCAGACGTAACGACTGTCGCTACAGATTCCGCGCCGCTTACCGCGGTACTTGCTGCTCCTGCAGCTCCTGACGTGACGATTGTCGCCACAGATCCGGCGCCGCTTGTGATATCCCCACCCACGCTAGTCGCATCGCTGACGACGGACTGAACGCCGCTGATAATCTCAGTAAGTTGGGCTGAGCCCAACGCGGCTGTTGCAAGCACAGAGAGCTTCAGGGAGTGCATTGTTCCGACGGGGGCGAAATCCGTCGATATTTAGTGTAGTAAATGTCAAAGAAAAGTATCGACAGTATCCCAATTGCAGGCGTGACTTTCCAAAAGGAAGGTAAAGTCCAGAGATCGTAGGCGAGAAAGGGATACGAGATGACAATAGGAATCTCCATCAGTCATATAGTCTTTGCAATATATGGGGCTAAAGCCACGCTCGGATCAAGAAAAGTGATGTCAAGCGTATCGAACGTGGCGATGAGCAAGCTTGCGACACAACAAACGCGCGGCTGGAGGCAGAGTTGTGTACTTATACGCGTCGGATGGCAGGACATGCTTTACCCTCCACCAGGACCTGAAAACATTATGTGAGCATCGGATGGTCGCGGACATGAGACCATCGCTGACAGGATCCGTTGGCTCCGGGTCCCACGATGCTCGCCCATGTGCTGAACCTCTTGGCATGGTCGTGTGACCATCCATGATGGTTTGCATGATACTGCGCCACGGTCGGCAAATGTCGCTGCAATGCAATATGCCATTTACTTGGAGTTCCTCATGTTTGCAATAGAGATGGCTCTTGCTGCGATGTAGGTGAACTAACTGTAGGCGCTATCTTCGGTTTCGGCCAATCAGAGATGCCGAGGTAATATCGCGCCACACGCGGCACGATGACTACTTCTAAGCACCGGGGAGTGAGGATCCATGAATCGTGCCTGACACATCTTGCTGATCAGCTTAAACCGTAACACTCGATGACACACGGCGAGCCATGTCTGACCATGTACAAGATTCCGGCAAGCTTCAGCCACAGGATGCCAGCAGTTTCGTCTACCCGTGGGCAGCCGCGCCAGATATTATCCGCTCAAACCAAAAGGACGCCTACTTCCAGTCGGTCCTACTGACGCAGCTATCTGGAATCATTAGGTCATTATACGGTGCTCGCACAGCGCACAACTGGACGAGTGAGGCGCGCACTCTCACCGAGCTCCTATATCTAGGCTTGACAACCTTTGTCGGCAATCGTACGCTTGGAGAGGAATACTGTGATGTCCTGCAGGTGGAAGGCGATACCCACGGCCTCCCTTCGATTGCTAGACGTTCCGGTTACATCCTCTCCAGCGTTTTGGTACCGTATTCGCTCACACGCTCCCTGCCCGTCATTCGACGAACACTGAGGGCAAAGCTGGAGTCTTCGATGCGGAAGCTCCATCATCGACGAGCATCCTCCCCAACTAGGAGCAAGCGGCCTCCAAGTCAATGGTTTCAAGTCCAGGAGTATCTATTGAAGCATCTGGACAGCATCACTTCACCAGCACCCGTCTACGCTGCAAGTCTTGCCGTGTTCTACTTTAGTGGAGCGTACTATCAGCTCAGCAAACGCATCTTTGGTCTTCGCTATATCTTTACCCGCAAGCTAGAAGCCAGCGAACAACGTGTCGGCTATGAGGTCCTAGGCGTGCTGCTTGTTTTGCAAATGATTGTGCAAGGGTACCTCCACATGCACGAGACATATCTCCAGAGTCAAGCGATCAATGTACCATCCAACAACCCCGCTGTAGCCGGAGGCAGCGCTGTGATTGACGGCGGTGTTGAGATTGCTACGGACGCCGCCATTACCGCGCCACTACTGTTCGAGGCCCCAGCAGGCGCCGATCCTGCTGTGCAGAGGGAACGTATCTCTAGGATCACGCACACTCCGCTTTCGCAATGTCACCGTTACGATTTGAAGGATGCTGAGGTCATGGGTTGGATCGACGGGGTGCAGCAGCGGAACTGTACGCTTTGCCTGGAGCCGATGAAAGACCCTTCGGCCACTACCTGCGGACACGTCTTTTGCTGGCAGTGCGTGACCGACTGGTTGAGAGAACAACCCATGTGCCCTTTATGTAGGCAAAGCGCACTTGTGCAGCATGTACTGCCTCTACGTGGCTAACTACTGAACAAAGAATCGTGACAACAAGTAAAGGCGAACTTACAGAGATCACTTCCTTGTGCCCGCCATGAGTGGGCTAGAAATATCATTCGTGGTGTCTAGTGCTCGTTGCACAGCTGCGTGCTATCTGTGTGAACCTTGAACGGTGCAGTGTAGAAGGCCATTCATCGCACTTAGCCCATGCTTGTGTCTTTTCGACAATATCGTTGGATGCTGTGTGTCAACTACGGCGAGCAATCTCTCCAAGCGCATGATTTCCCCACACGGCAGGCTCAGCTCGACTGATAACCCTGGGAATGTCGCTCACAGCAGAGGTCGCTCTTTCCGCCAACACACTCACGCAGCCCATCTGATGCGCCCGCGTTGCGCAGTCCTCATCCTCCGAAGTGATGTTAAAGGTATGACTGCAGACTCCGCCTCACGTTCATAGGTGGCATGGATGCTCAGTGCTCCTAATGACTCCGTATCCTTTCCAGTGCGTCAGGGACTGTGCAAAAGAAACGCCACATGTGCCAACGCCACCCGAGATCGTTCCTCCATGCACTATCCCCTGCAATAACGCCACGTGTGCTTCGTAGGCGCGTTCGTGAGAGTCATTTGCGCGTAAGCCCGCCCATGTCGCTGCATGCGCCTGGTGTCTTATGCTCCAGAAACTCCATATAAATCATTACCGAATGCTGTTACTTCTATCGTGGTGGTGTGTCCGTCACAACTGGTGTTGTGGTAGGCGAAAGGTTGCTAGTAACCTTCGGTGTCATATTACCACTTGTCGATGACCGCTTTGTCGCCTGGAGTGCGGCATGCATCTTTTTGCGCAAGGCGCCTAGACGAGCGCGCGCAGCATCGATGACTATCCGCATGGTCAGTACACATTCTGGACCGCTGTCGAAGCGATTCAGGCACTTACGCTTGACAACCGTCTGCCTGTCCTCCTTTCCAAGACCCGGCACGGGTTCGTCGGCAGGCCTGTCTCTTTTGGCGCTCGGTTTGCGCATCAGAGGCTCATCGTCTTCTTCCAACACAGCTTCGAGCAAGTAGATCGCAGTAGCATATCCGATTTCGCAGTCCTTGATGTCCTCGTTGACCAGCTCGCTGACGGCGGCAGCCCTACTCATCTCCACAGCTCGCTCAAACATGAGTCGCTCCGCGGTGATGCCACTTGTGATCTGTATCGTCTCTGCAGAGGCCACCACTGCGCCTCCTGAGGTCGCCGAACTTGAGGCATGATTGCTGGGATGCCCTGGGTGCTCTGCAGGAAGCTGCTTCTGAGCTGAGGTGAGCCTGCGGCCAACCACCTCGGACTTTTCTAAGCACTCGTTGAAGCGGTTGCGAGTCCACTGCACCACGTTATTCATGCGCTTGGTGGCCTCAGCGACGTTGGCGTTGCTCGGCCGCGGAGAAGGATCTGATGTAGGAGCCTCGCTTCGGATCTGCTTCGTCCACCAATATCCCGCGAGGTCGATCGTCTTCGCTAGAATGGCCAGTGTCTTCACGTATAGGACTAGTGCTTCTTCTGCCACACCCACGATCGCCGCAGTCGTCATATCTTTATCCTCGTCATCGCTGGACGCATCTGCCGCCCGCCTGGCAGCCCCAATCTGCTGTATACCAAGTGTATCAGCTGCCAATGGCGTTGCTGGCACCAGTTGCTTGTACTTGACTTCGGCAAAGCCGTATATGACGTCGCTCCTCTGAGCAGCCTCCTCTAGTATGCGAACAATCTTAGTGTCCTCATCCGTCGGCGATTTCGAGTCAATTGCATCGCCAACGAGCAGGGCGCTTTGTGGTGTAGGGTATGCGGGGAATGCACTGTAGCGTGGAGGTGACAGGCCTGTGGTAAACGGTTGTGGCAGGCCCATGCCACCCAAACGTTCGTTTGCTGCTTTCAGCGCTTTGCCGAGCATGGTCTGTGTGGATGGTGGGCTCGCATAATATCGTCGTTCGAACGACCCTGCTCTCTGATGCATCGCAGGGGCTCTGCCAGTGATCGTTTGCATCGCGCGCGAAGGGCTTGACGGTTGGGCGCCAGTAGTTGAAGTGGGTTGGCCTTGTGTGGTAGCACGCCTTGTCATCATACCATGATGATAGGGCAGTCCGTGACCTTGAGCGTTTGCCTGTAGCTCGTCGGCGAATGCATTGACTTCGACAGCACGCTTCTCGATCACGACGTACTCCTTCTCGAATGCGACGTCTTGCGCTGTCTTCTCTCTAGCTTCTCGAACAGTGGCTTTGTCTTTGGGAGAAGCTTCGTGCGGGACGGAGGGCTCGCGGACCATGGGCGGCCCAGATAAAGGTGACGATCGGCTTGGGCGCCGCTCGACTTTTGGTGCCGGTATGTTAGTAATCTGACCCGCATATAATGCTTCTCGGGCTGGCGCAGTGGCATGGGCGATTATGCTAGGTCGTCTTTGTCGCTGGCTTGGCTGTCTTTGGACAGGTACGCCTTCGGGTCGTCCAGGCGAAGATCGTCGGCGCTCCATGGCCTCACCTTGAACAGGCACCATGTCCTGGTCCGAGGCTTTAGGGGAGATTGTGGGTTGCATTTCCTCCCGGGACTTGTTTGGTTGCATGTGCGGCTCAGGGCTCGGTTGAGTTGTTGGTGCGGCGTCTATTGCTTGCTTGGCCATGCGGCGACTAAGCTCATCTGGTGAAGGTCTCCTGGCAGACTGCGGTTGATCTTCAGGTACAAGGCCGGGTATCTCGCCAGTGACTACCGGGTCCGCGAAGAAGTCTTCGTACGAGACACGGTCGAGCGGACTTTTCTTGAGCAATTTGCGAATCACATCCTTCATCGCCCTACTGATAGTCATAGTCTTGTTGTCGAATATGATTTGATCCTCAGCCTTCTCAATCTTCCTAAGCAAGTCCACATGGTTTTGCGCCCTGAACGGTGGCTTGCCGACGACCATTTCGTGTAGTACGGTACCGGTAGACCACAGATCTGCACGCGCGTCATATTTCTCGTAACGCAAAATCTCCGGCGCCATGTAGAGTGGCGAGCCGCAGAGTGTCTCGGCCATGGACGTGGAAGGCAGATGTCGTGCGAAGCCGAAGTCAGCGATCTTGAGCATAGGCAGGGTCTCGACCCCAACAGCAGGTACCAGCGAATGTTCACTGGCGGCTAGTGGCACGTCCTCTGGTCTCTGCTTGGCCATGTAAGAAGGCGCGGGGTTGAGTAGGAGGTTCTGGGGCTTGATGTCACGATGGATAAGGTTCCTATCCCGAAGGTACAAGAGCGCGCTTGCGATCTGCTTCAAGAAGTGCCGTGAGAGAACCTCGTTGAGACCTCCAGCCGGCGGGTTTGGGTAGCGCTTGAAAATGTCGGCAGTTTCTGGGAGGGTTGCCAGTGTATGCCGCTTCTTCATAAATTGCGATAGATCGGACAGTTGGCAATACTCCATGGTCAGGTAGATGTAGGACGGCGTTTCCAAGTAGGAGAACATTGCAACAATGTGCGGATGCTGCAGACTCTTCAGGATCTTGATCTCGGAATCGAGATTCTCCTTCAGCTTCTTCGTAAGCTTCGACATCATGACGGCTTTAACGGCAGCGTATGATTTCTTCTTCTGTAGAACGGTTAGCAACGATACAACATAGGGACAGCGTTCGGACAGAGCAAGGCGCTCAGCCCTTGGCTCGGGCTACATACTCTATGCTGGGCAAGATACACCGTTGCGAAGCTACCTTTGCCAATTTCTTTCCCTCTCCTGAAGTCACCAATGATTTCATCTGGCTCTGCATCTGCAGTCGACTGTGCCGAGTGTCTTGACGAGCCCGGCGCAGGCAGCCTTGCCGCAGCCATGGTGGTGAAGTCGGAGCTCTAGTAGGTATTCAATGCGGTTGGCCTCCTCTTTCGAATGCCCTCTAGGTATCACAACCTGGACAATGGCCGTGCGAGCAATGCATCGATGTTGCTGCCGTACCTGGGTAATGCGCTGAAAGCGGAAGAGAAGGTTGACGTGATTCAGGCTATGCCGCCATCATGCGTGTGATGTCGTGCCTGCTGCTACTTCCACACGCGGTGGAAGATCCGCGATCACGTTGCTGATGATCCGAGTACGTGATGAGGCAAGACGGAGTGACAGTGCTGGACTGCGGATGACTAGACCGGTCAACTCACTGACCGAGGGACGTGCGCGATGCGGAGTGAGAAGGTCCGTAGGTCGCGCGATGGCGCGAGACTTGTCTATGACAGAAGTTGACTAACAATACAGCATGAAAGAGAAGGGCAAGGTAAGAGTTGTTGAGGATTGATGGATGTCTTAGGCAGGCAGAGATGCCGGGTCGGGTGAAGCACCTTAGAGGTGTGAGTAATGAAGCGCCCAGCAGTACTTCAGGGCACAAGGCACATGCGTCTGCATCAAGCTCAAGGTGCGAGCTAACCTCATCCGGCAACGACCTGCCCCGACCTCACAGCTGTCGCCCTTATCTTTCTCGCGAAGATTACACGCTTCAAGCTTTCCCACCACACCTAACCTTACGCATGTGGATGTCCTACGGCGGGATGGTACAGCCTCACAGTACCTGGCCGGAGACCCTGCATCTTGCTTATCTCACGGTCATGATTGATATCCAGGTGTCACGTCCGCAAAAGCAGCCGAATAAGCGGCGTGCGCAGCTCCATCAAGTGACAGAGTCATTCGGGCAGCCATGTCTGACCTCACCGCTGTGACCGCGAAATCAGGACTGCATTGCGTAGCTCCGGTGTACGGAGCCAAGCCCGAGCCTGCTCTGCAGGACTACTTCCGGCACTACCATATGGCAGACGTCTACCCTTCTCCGTCTTTCGCCGTCAACAGCTTGCTATGCCTTGACTTCGTAGCTCCGTCAGGAGTTTATGCTGGACACTCAATACGTGCCTGACCTCTCGCACCATCATATTATGTAACATACGTGGTAGATCATCACTGGAAGCTTTTACGCTGCACATTCACGGCGTCAAGCTGAGACAATTGCTCATAGCCTACTACCTTTCACTAAAAGCCATAGAGCCACCGGCACGACAACATTGTCGTTGGCTCCAGTCAGTACAGCCTCCATGAAGCTGGCCGCACAAGCGCAGAACAACGCCTTCACCAGTGACACGAACCAACCCACCGCAAAAGCCAGGTTTCCAGTACGACCAAGGTGTCCTTCTAACGGCTTTACTGTGTCACTCCAACTCCCCAACACCTGCCAAGCCTTGCCTGCCATGAGCCCAACGGTGACAGCGACCGCAAATGCAGCGCTGCCTTCCAGACTCTTACCACCGACCCAGATCCACTTGTGCCTGCCGTAACGACGTCCGATCAAGCTGGCTGCGGCATCTCCCATGCCAACGCAGATCACACCCGCGAGCATAGCCACTTCCCGTTGGTTCTCCGCAAGCTCCCAGTCCGTCCACGGGCGGCCTCCTACCCTCTGTATTGACGCTAATGAGGCCCATAGCGGTATTGCACAACCAATAAGCAGGAATATATGACTGACAACCACAGGTCCGCGTAAATCCCGACCGTCTACATATGGCGCGACAAACTTGCTGATTGCACTGCCGAGCGGTGCCACTTGTCCCGCTCTGATGATCTCCAATAACAGGAACACCGTGAGTACCAGCGCCAAGCCAAGCGCACAGTAGCATGGATCGATGAATATGGAAGGCAGCAGTACTGCCACCATGACGCCATGAAAGACTTTCCGACGCGTGTCGACTTCGACGTATGCGGTCAGGCTGAAGACTGTTAAGAGCCCCGTGCCGATGACGGCCACCCAGTAGGCGAATAGCAGCAGGCGCATGTTTGCTATCCCGATCGTGTCTCTCATGTCTTTCACCGCCAATGGTACGCTCAGTGTAAGATCGCGCCAATCTCCGCCTAGTTCTGGCAAAGGCACCCAGAATTGTGCGTTCCAGTACTTGACCGTATTGCGAAGTAATGGAATCTGGCCGAAGAGGTAGCTGACTGCCCAGCCCACGGGCTCGTAGCCATGCAGTGCCTTCTCTTGCACGTAGTAGCGAACAGGGCCTACTACGCTCACAGCGATAGCAGAGTAGATGTAGGCAGCGTATACCCACTTTCTCCGACGTGCCTGCTCTGGTGTCAATTGCAGCACCCATAGAAGCTTAGATCTTGGCTTTCTGCGTCGACTCGGTTCGCGATCCACAAGCAGGGGCGAAGTACGTCCAGGAAGGGTGTTCCGCCGCGTGCGTGGCCTTTCTGGTACCCCGTCGAGCACGAGATTGTTCAAAGCCACTGATCGCGGCTCTGTCGCAGACATTGGCACTGTGTGATCGGTGTTGTGTAGACTGACCATCGTTCGCCGTCTAGTGTGTAGCTTCGGCACACCATTTGGGACAGCTTTCATCGAGACTCTAGGCTCGTCCTCGTCCGCGTCGCTCTCAGGCGCATCGACGGTTTTGAACGCGCCAGCCGTACGTTGAAGATTGATCAGGTCAGTGACCGCGTCCACAAGCGACCTACGCTCCTCTGCAGTATGTCCAGGTCTGCGCAGCTTCCACTTCGGCACACGAGCGAGGGTGATATTCCAGTTCAGCACTGGCTTGCAAAAAACAAGCGCAACGACGCCGCCAATCCAAAGGCACGCCTTCAGTATAATCATCTGCGGCGAGACCGATAGAAGCAATAAGTTGATCAGAGCCACTGAGAGCAGGTGCAACTCGGACATGAGTAAGCTTGTCGTAGTGAGGTAGTGCAGGACAGGCAAAAGCGCGTGGTGCAATGGATACAGCGAGACCAACGCTTCCGACGTCAGGCTTTGATTTGTGGTGTTCAGCGTTCCGTATGGCTGTTTGAATGCTTGCCACGGTAACAATGATTTGTGCTCCGCGAGGATCAACGGGATGATCGAGACGAACCAGTGGACCGCGTTAAAGCAGCCGAGACGGCTTGACCGAGGGAAGAGACGTTGCGGCAGAGAGGCCAGCCCAAGGATGATATTGGGCAGTATGACGGCCTCATTCATTGGCGAAACGAGCAGTGCAATGAGTACCGGCAGTAAAGGTGGATATAGCACAGTCGCAGGGTCGAAAGAGGCAGGCACACGGAAGCGCTGCCACAGCTTTATATGCTGCGCTCGAGTGTCCACAACTGACAGCTTGACCGGGTATGCCAGGATCAGTGTCGCAATCGTGAGAACGTGGCTGAGCAGCTCATATCTCCAGCGCAGGACTGTTCGTAGCACTCCATGGCCGCAAAGCACACATACCAAGATCACGCCCATAAGCGCAACCTCCGAGCTCCGTCTGGCAAACTCGCCGAATCTTCTTCGCAGCAGCTTCTGTTGCAACATTTCGTCAGCTTCTGCCGGCTTCTTGTTCTCCGTCTTCGCTTCAAAGTAACCTTCGGACAGCCTTCTGCCCTCATCATCGAGCTGTGACGGCGTGAGAAGCGCATCCTCGTTGCTCTCGCCAGTTTTCAGACCTTTCCTGGGTCTTAGAGCAGGTGCCGGTAAAGCTCGTGCGAAAGATGGTCCCTCATCATCTGCTTCTGTGCCGCTCTCACTCTGGGCTATCGATCGTTGTCCGCTACGTCCATAGTATCGTTCATTGTCGCCAGCTCCACCTTGTGCTTGTTCAAAGGTCGCATTGCCGTCGCTGACAAAATGCTCATCACCGCGGTTGTTACGGTCTTGACGGACTTGTACACCGTCGTGGAAGTACGGCCGAGGGGTGCGGTCGTTGGTTCTCAGATTCTCAGTTTCGGAAACGGTTAATGCATCCTCTACGGTTCGAGCAGTCGACGAACTCGACATGCTGGGGCGCAGAGAAGCATCGTCAACAACAGCCTCAATTCAACCACCAAAGGCATCTATCAATTGCCATGTGCGCAAGCGCAAAGTTTCGCAGCTTTCCACAGTTGCTGTGTTGTTGAACGGTGGATCCTGCCGCGGCCACCGGAGGACACGCAACACCAAGGGTTCAAAGGTGCAGAGATGCAGTGACAGTTGCATGAGCAAATGGCATCCTCGTTTGTTCACTCGAGATGCTCTGAGGCGCGGTGTTCGCATCTACACCACTTGTGTACGTACTATCATGTCTCGAGCAGTCTCTGCATACGAGTCCAAGATGCTTCCCAATCGCCGTCAATGCTTCGCTCCAACACCACAAAATGCATGCCCTGGCAGAGCTTCGCCACTACGATACCGACATCAAACCTACTACAACACCATTTCCTCATCTCTCCCAGAGCCATAGTACATCGTTGCCATCTTCTCCTTCGCCAACCGCTCATTCATCGCCTCCCAATCCGCATGATTCCGTATCTGCTCGAACATGCCGTACTGCTCCTCCATACCCACGGCATGCTGCTGTTGCTGTTGCTGTTGCTGTTGCTGTTGCTGTTGCTGCTGCTGAACAGCCAAGGCATAGCTAGGCGCCTGCCACAAGCCCGCCGCGGCCGCATACACGGGATCAACCGCGTGTGCGTGCTGGTAGCCGGTGAGCATGTACGGCTCGACTTCGCCCGCTGACCTTCTGGCGGCAATAGAAGCCGCCCGCATACGTGCTGCTGGTGGCCAGGCTGCCTCGCCTGGATCTCGTATGGGACTCATTGGCTCGCTGATGGATGTTGTGTCAAGCATGTGCTCTTCCGGCGGGTGCACGCGCAGTTGCATGTTCCGCTCATACCGTACTCGCGCCTCTGCTTCCTCCTGTGCTACGCTTGTGGGTGCCCACTGATGCTGTAGATGCTGTTCCAATGGATACGAAGGCGGCGCTATCCGCCACAGTTCGAGTAGTCTCAGCCTCTGCTCGTAATCAGCGTTAGCAAAAAGCTGGACCTGGTTTGGGAGAAGGGCGGAAGGATCGATGCCATGCTGACGAAGTGTCTCAGCCATGGCTTCGGGCATGAGCGCTTCGCGGTATGGCGGTGGTGGGCTCGCAGACGGCTCAGATGTTGTATCTGGGCGGACGTGTGCGGTGCCGGTGTAGTGGCTTGAGATATAGTGTACAGGCTGTTCTTGCTTTTCGATTGGTTGCGGTACGTGCTGAATTTCGAGTGGCGCAGCTTGTTGCGGGTGCTGGGAAAGGTGCATGTTCTGCGCGAACAGCTGCGCAAGTTCGTCATGCTGAGCCACGTTCATACTGCCGGTCGTCTTTCCGGCCAGATCGGCTCCCGTCGAGCTGCGCCCGCACTGGATATGATGGAGTTAGTCTGCGTTCAGCAGCAAGAGAGAGCCTGGGCCAAGCCAAGCTTACGTGCGAGCAAGTGTGCTCTTGTGTCCAGACAGTTGCAGTGTATGAGAGCGGCGTGTTGTTGCTGCAGGTGTTACAGTAGTGCACTAGCACTGGCCAACCGTACATGTGCTCTACTGCCAACACGAGACCTGGTTAACACACGTCGTCTATGCCTGTCGATAATGCCTAGTCGTCTCCGATGAAGTCCGTCGATGAAGCCGTAACTATGGGCACTTATTGTCGCGTCGTGATAGAAGCGTTGGGTCGTCTCGCTGCGTGTCTTGTTAAAACGTTCTTTCTCAGTCTTAGGCTCCTAACAGCAAGCGCCAACGGACTCGGTAGACAAGGGAAAGGGGAGCCGTGTGAGGTCTGTTCAGGTCTCACTGCAGTGAACAAAGCTATGTGCTTTATTGTCGGTTATCTGGTAGCTACTAAACACTATCTACCAAAGACAGGAGAGAAGCAGGGAGAAGATGGAGAAGACAGTTGTGATATAGAAGGCGGTGGGAGTGATGCCATGCACGAGGGGAGGATAGTGTGCGGATGACTTGCGCTAAGAAAAGGACAAGCCGCCGTTATTGGCCCGACCAATGTCGGGCTTTCGAATCGTTAGCTCACGAGAGTCATGTTGGTAGTATGAGTCGGACTTCCCTAACTAGGCCATCGGGAGAGATGGAATGGACAATATTCATTCGTGTCGTGATATGCTGTTCGAAGACGGGCAATATGTCTTCGAGTCATGCTCCTCGATCTCCGAAACGCACAGACTTCGGCATGCCGAAGCGTGAGGGAGCTTGATTGCGGCCTTAGGCCTTCGTAGCTCAAACGCGCAACCAACTGCGGCCTCCAACTACATGCACGGTTGATGGTGTTTGCATGCAATTGTTGTCTCTAGCGCACCGACTAGACTTTTGCACTCTCTCCGGGAACAGTTCCAGAGTCAATACAGGAGAGGACAGAGACCCTTCGAGAGTCATCGCAGAAGGAGAAGCCTGTACAGGCTCGCACCAGCCATGGTAAGAAAGCTCCGAGCTCACGTGTCCGCCATGTGTTCTGACACCGCAACCAGACCTCCATAGGCACGGGCTACGATCTCTCAAACTCCGTCTTCTCTCCCGATGGCCGTAACTTCCAAGTCGAGTACGCAGTGAAAGCGGTCGAGAATGGCGGCACAGCAATCGGCATCAGGTGCAAAGACGGCGTGGTGTTAGCATTAGAAAAGCTCGTCACTAGCAAACTCCTTAAGCCCAATGCGAATAAGAGGATAGCGACTGTAGATCGAAATATCGGCGTGGTTAGTCAGAAGTACAGCGTACTGACACCAAGCCCTACTAGGCTGACAAGCGTGATGTCTGCAGGTAAACTCTGGCTTGTTACCCGACGGCCGACACTTCATTTCAAGAGCACGCGACGAAGCTTCATCGTGGCGCAGCACGTACAAAGCACCCATTCCCATTTCTTCTCTAGCCAACCGCATGGGCGCCTATGTTCAGGCTTACACACTCTACTCATCCGTACGACCCTTCGGCATCACTGCGATCGTCGGTGGATGGGATGCAGAGACTGAGGTCTCCGTTGATGGCGCCGTTGGTTCAGGCCCGAAGATCGGCAGCGGAGGCAAGACACCAGGTGTGAAGGAAGGCGGACCATACCTGTACATGATTGAGCCGTCAGGGCTGTACTGGGGCTATTACGGTGCAGCGACGGGCAAGGGCAGACAGGCGGCCAAAGCAGAGCTAGAGAAGCTAAAGCTCGACCCGAAAACGCATGGTGAAGGTGTCATTACTCTGGAGGAGGGAGTGAAGGAAGCGGCGAGAATCATCTATGTCGCGCATGAGGATAGCAAAGACAAAGACTTCGAATTGGAGATGACGTGGGTCAGTGCCGTAAGTGGTCCTACGAAGGGGCGGCATGAGGAGGTGCCAAAGGCGCTGAGGGAGGAGGCAGAGCGTTTGGCGAAGAAGGCGTTGGAGGGTGAGGATGAAGAAGAGGAGGGCAAGATGGAGGAATGAGTTGTGGTTGGGTGTGCTGACTGTAACATACGGCATTGTACCTTTAGTGGCATAGCATGGCGCGCAGCGGGAGTAATATCGCAGGCCATGTGCAAGCTTAGGTGGACATCATACGGTCTCGCCGGCGTCCATTCCATAGAGAGACACTCGCCAGCCTCCGGACTTTGCTCCGCTGCTTGTAGAGCAGACTGCATAGCGGGTCCGAAGACCTTCAAAGGCTAAACCACGACTTGCCCTCCTTCGCCTTCGCCTCCTTCATCTCTTCCAGCTATGACTCTGTCAGCACTTTCCCACATGTCGCAGGCATAGGTAAACAGAGTCACATACCCATCGCTGCTTGCAATCCCTGTAAGCAGTGAAGAAATCGGAGCACATCCCGCGATCACCACCGTTGCGTCGTAGGCATTTTAGACTCTTGTCGGCAGCATCCTGGCACGGATCGAAGTACTCGCTGTTACGCTTACTAGGTGCCCGTCAGTTGTGAGGGCTAGAGTGGCGAAGCGGGCATAGATGTCTAACCTGGTGAAACGCGCGCTACCTTTCTCCCACTCTGTGTTACCACCACTCCGCTCAGAGCTCGACATGAACGACTGTCAGACTCACAGATGTTTAGCGTCCCAGTGGAAGGAGAAAGAAATGCATTGTTCATGCTGGTCAGGATCAGACGCCTTAGTAAGCTGGAAGAAATAAGGGCGCTCGGGCCACTTACACTGCACTGCTGTCCCTTCACGTTCCACTTACTTGTGGGCTTCCATTTGACGACACAAACAAGGCTTGTGAGGCCTTGAAGCCTTAAGGAGTGCAGCAGTCTCACCTAGGCGAGCTGTCGCCATTGTCGCCTTCTCTTTCCATGGTGCAGTCTGACTTCCGCTTTTAGATGGTTTTGCTGTCACGTGACCGGCTAACCTTCCTGCACCCCGCCTAACATTGGAGTCCACTACCTAAAGCAGCAACACAGTCCACTGCAACGACACCCACACCATTGTGGAGCTGTCAATCTTCGACACACTGCTTTTACAGCCGACCACGTCTAATCGCCTTCATTATCAATAGCTGCCTATGAGGGTCGGGGCGGCTACCCAATGGGTTCAAACCTGCTGAGATAGAGAATGTTTAGGCCTCCAGAACTTACAGTATTGGCGGGCAGCATGCTGCAATGTCAGCATTCGGCGACACCACGCACTTGCGCGTGCGCTGTGAGCCGGAGATGCCACCCCATACCAACTACGCTGTATTCCCGAGTGGCTGTTACGCTGACAGTGGCGAGCCGGCCGTGCCGCATCGTAACGAGCCATTCCCGTACCCAATGCAGCAACGTTGTCCATCGTAACAACGTACGCACGCTGGCGATTCGAATAACGGTCGCTCAGTTCTAGTGAGCGCAACCAGCGATGTAACCGGATTTGAAGTCTAATAGTTAGCGACTGTCGGCCCGAAGCCAATGGGATCCGTCGCCTAACAAGCGGTTCGATAAGCTAGCAACCGAGACAATACCCCGACCTTGATAGTGTTCGTTATGTTGGCTGTGAACTTGCTTGTCCTCAAGCGCGCCGATTGCTGATTATCTTCAAGCCACGGCTTACCACCCGGACGCCTCATCAGGCAACATCAGAAGTGGGAATGTGGAGGTCCCGAATCATTACCTTATCGGCCCCGATCGATAGTGGAGTTGGTGCTCACCTCTCGTGTCCATACACCAGAACGGGTATTCAATGTCTGTTTGCGAGTGCAGCGTAGCGTACTTATACCTTGTGGCACGATATCTGATGAGTCCTTCCACGCCGTTTCGTCTACCTATCGTACGATCAGAGTTCGCTGGTCAGCACGTCTCTCGTCTGCTAACGATAGAGAAGCCTCGAGTAAGCTAAGCCTTTCATTCACCCCCTCGCTTAGAGTCAGTCGAAGAGTGTGCCGTAACGTCTCTGGTGTCAAGGCGTTGCACCACCTCCTGGGGTTTCCATCACGAGATTTGCAACTTCTCTTCGGTTCCTGGGTGCTTCCGACGCATCTGGTATGCTAGTTTTGCCACCCAGCTAACAGAGGCCCTGCAGACATACCATCGCTCGCAAACATGGCCACCGCAGCAGTCGTCTCCCAGCCGCCTATGCCAAAGCCGCACTTCAAGCCCATCATTCATAGGCAGACCGCCAAGCGGAAGCTCGACAATGTCGCATTCGATCCGACACGGCATATTGCCTTCCAACCGCCTGAGTCCATTATGATGTTGAAGGACATCGGCTTTGAGGGTAAGAGCCCATTGTCTCCGGTTGCAGCCTCACAACCGTTTCGGATGTTCTCCGCGGAGTGCATTGAGAAGTTCCGGGATGAAGTACTCAGCGATGATGTGATGAAGAACTGCTCTCACAAGAGCAACTTGTCCGCCTGTCAACTGAGAGGTTATGCTCCAAAGTATGTGGCTACAAAACCGTCTCAGGCACTGAGCTTACGTCCTTTGCCAGATACGCACCCTTCATCTTCGACGCTTGGCACCACCCGGAAACTCTGGCCATTGTCTCAAAGATTGCAGGCGTCGACCTGATTCCGGCACTGAACTATGAGATCGGTCACGTGAACATCTCCGTGAAGAGCGAAAAGGAAGCCTCGGATGAGCGAGCCATTGTCCAGCGAGAGCGCGACTCACATGCAGCAGATGAGGGTATTGCTGGCTGTCCATGGGAAGACGACAAGCCCATTGTCGGTTGGCACAACGACTCTTACCCTTTTGTTTGCGTCGTCATGTTGAGCGATTGTACGAACATGATTGGTGGCGAGACTGCGCTTAGAACTGCGGACGGGAGCGTTATCAAAGTCCGAGGACCGGAGATGGTAAGTTGCGCGGGAACATCTTCAGGACTGTTGTTGACGTCTCATATAGGGTTGCGCAGTGGTTATGCAAGGTCGCTACATCACTCACCAAGCATTGCGTGCTCTAGGCGCTCAAGAACGCATTGCTATGGTCACGTCGTTCAGACCGAAGTCCCCTTTCTTACCTGACGATACTGTGATGACCACCATCCGTGGCATCTCAGATCTGTCAGAGGTATACTACGAGTACGGCCGGTACCGACTTGAGATTCTGGAGGAGCGAATCCGCGCGCAATTGAAGCAGACCCGGGAAGCACACACTGCTGGGAAGAAGACCAACACGCGCGCTATCAAGAGCTTCCTGGCGGAGCAGGAGGCTTTCATTCAGCAGACTGACCGGGAGATCGTCAACGATGATGAAGTAGTGGCGGGCTTCCAACCGGTTGTGGACATCCCAGACGTCAAGCTGCCCACACCTCCGGCAGAGAGCGGGCAAGTGTCGAAGAGAGTGAAGGTTTAGACGGTGAATGGTCGCTGTTGGTTCCTGCATTCAGCGTTATGTATTGCATTGGCGTTCAGGCTAAATTGTTTGAGTGGCGATGACAGCATTCGAAAGGATCGCTCAGTCTGTGAGGTGTGATTCGAACATATAACTCAGTAGCACTTCATAGCTGCGCACGAGCAGGGATCTTCTCCCATGCTTCATCGAAACCAGCAGAACGTACCTGCGAGGCAGAAGTGTCAGCAGATCGGTTGCTGGATGGGAGAAACAATGACAGGCAGAATACTTACCCAATGTGGTTCTCCGGCTTCCACCGAGTCCAGCACGGTGTGGGCAATGGGAAGCCAGTCGCTGCTCTTCACGCGAAACTCGGATGAATCTTCATAAGGCTTGCATATCTGTGCTCCGTGTGCAAGTGCTCTTATGAGCTTTGAGGTGTGTCCATCATCTTCGAAGGTAGCCGCTCGGTCCTCAACACCGTCCCAGCCAGAAGGCTTGTTTGGCTTATTCTTTCTGATCTCGTCCAGCCGAATCTCTGGACTTTTGCGTGAAGCATACATGGCAAGGTCGTTGCGCACTTTCCATTCAAGGAGGCGGATCTTGTTCCCTGTGCCGAGCCAAGGCTGCTGCAAAAAGGCCGAGAAGAAGACGGAGCAGTTGACGCAATGCATGTAGTAGAAGTCGTACATTATCTTCTTGTCCGGCCGCTGACTGCCGGCGGTGTAGTACACAGCGGCGTTTGTCATTTCAGCCGTCTTGCGCTCCAGCTCATCTGGCTCCACGTGGAATTGCGACGCATAGTTGATCATTTGGTCTGCCCCTCGCCCAATGATACCGTCTCGTAGCTTATTGCCGTCGGACCACTTTGGTGCTGCGAGGAGCCCCTCGTCTGCGTGTATCTCATCAAGCAGCTCGACTATATTTCTAGAAGGCTTGTCGGTGTGCTTCTGAGCGGCAGCCTCTGCAGGAAGCAAAAACTTGGACATGTAGGGCCCATGAACGGCAGCTTGTGCCAATGCTTCCGCGATTACAGCCGGCTGCTTGAATTCAATTCCAAAGCCTAAATGAATCAATGGGTGCAGAAAGCCTGCGAAAGCTCGACAGAGAAGGTCGTCGGCTCTGTCAGTCCGAGCGAAGATGTACTTGTTTACAACGTTCTGCCACCCGTTGCTATCTATCTCGCTGCGGAAAAACTGCAGAAAGTTTGCGTAGTGCTCTTGGCGGCCCAAATACGAAGAGAATGTGGCAGGATCTCTCATTTCCGAGACCACATCATGGTCAGACGGTCCTTGCTCGCGTTGGTAGCCCTTGTTCACTTCGTAGGCCTTTTGAATATCGCCCGCTCCGGCTCTCAGCGCATAGATCGTCAGCAGGTGGTGGGCGATATGATTATGGAATCCTTCGGGATTGAAGAAGATATGGTAATTGTCGTGATTTGTCTGCAGCAGCCCGCTAGCTTTCTGTGCAGACTCCTCGATGATGCCAGGTCTGTAATACACCGGCCATTCGCCACGCGTGAGGCGTATTGTGCTTCCTGTCGCCATACTGCGCTGTTGAAGGTGTTTAAGGATCTGACTCGCGTTCAATATTGTCGCAGACAGCCTGGCGTGCATCTGGACGACACCATGGTCATAGAAGGCCTACAAAAGTACGCACATCCACTGTCCAATGATCTTGACGGACATGTGACGCATACGACAGTGGTGGGGTATGCGGATGAAGCAGCACCTACAAAGATAATCCAGCCAGTGACTATAAGCTGAAAAAAAAACTTTGCATGCGTACGACGGTTATCCCTTCTGTCAATACGGTTATCCGGCTGGCTGGAGAGTATACGCATATCCCCGCTAGGTGAGTGGCAGGGCAAGGCACCTAGGTAGCAACGGGCTGAAGACGTCTTGAGTCAGGCAAGCCCCGCCAAGTGCCAGATGCTTCTGCTGCGGTACGATTATTATCTTAGTGGCATCGATGGATATGGCGTCTCGCGATGAGTGAAAAGAACATCTGCCAACGCTTCAGCATCGGGTTAATCATACTCGGTTTTTTCGGGTCCCATCTACTTTGCCATATAAACGTATCGCAATGGTCGCCGGTATTGACTGGGACGCTTTTGACAATTTCGGCCCGTTGACAACACAGCAGAAACTCATTCGAAAAGATATACCAACTTTCACCTGCATTGAACTAGTGAGGAAATGGAACCCTGAAAACTATGAGACGCTCAAGAAGCAGAATGGCATCGTTGATCCACCGAGGTACGGCGCGCTCGGACGGTCTACGGCGAGCCAACGACTCCGGCTGTGCATATCGATTCGAAGCACTGGGGTGTGCGATCCCCGCTGTTTCACAATTTTGAGGTGCGAAAGGCCGATTTCTATCTCCATCTGAGGAAGGTCAACAAGCGCAAGCCCAGAAGGCAGGTTCAGCCAAGGGAATCCGTGCGAGCGAGGAGTAGGTCAGAGGTCCTGGAAGTGGCGAAGCGCGCAGCAGCTGGCTTGACGCCGCCATTAAGCGATCTCGACATGCCTACAAAGCTATTAGAGGCGCCGAACGCGGCGTCTGCGCCGGAGCCTTCAGTGCAGTTAAGATCTGAAAAGGAGATCGAGTGCAAGTGGTTCAAGGCAATCCGCCGGATAGGGGTCGAGAAGAAGGAGTGCTCTGCCATAAGGAGAGCAAGACGCGAGGGCAAGGCACGCCGGGCGAAGATGCAGGAGAAAATGCCAGCTGTTAACTCTTCCGCTTTGACGACTGCTGCGACGTCCAATACGACAACGCCGGAATCTGGGTAAGGAGAAAGTACTGCGGAGTCTGCATAGTCTGTAGCCTCGCTTCTTCCAAACGCGCATGGTGTTACTTCGCGCGAGTTTCACGCGCGAGCAGCTGGTGAAGATTGTCTGGAGGTGATCTGACGAACCATCCGCTAGTTAAGGAGCATGGCAAGGCAAATCAAAAGCGCACCACCAAGCGCACTCTCATACGGCTCGGTGTTGTAGCTGTGTGTGCTTCAAGCTTGAGAACGTATCGGATAGGCGTGGTGAAGGACTCTGGTTTAGCACGACTTCTGCATAAAGCTGGTCTGTGTATACACAACCTACTGCAACCTACAGATCTCCCGGACGATCAGTCTAGAAGCGCTGCCATGCGCTAAACCTGTCCGTCTCCACATTGCGGATTCCTCCAATAACCTGGACTTATCAATGCAAGCGCTAACGGTGCACTCGCAGAAAACACTCTGTGCACTCGCTGTTCGGTCTACAACTAAGGGTCTACAATCGCACCTTTGTGAAATCCTGGAAAGCACCGCTAAGATCAGTTCGCAGATTGAGTATGAGTATCCCAGAGATTTGCGTGAGACTTGCGAACCCCACAAGCTTCGAAACTCTGCTATCCGCTTGAAGCCAGACTTGGCAGGTGTTTACTTCACCTCCGCTCTAACGTCGCTAGGGTCGACGTCTTATCACATCTACTGCCGTATCACCATGAAGCTGTCCGGCTTGCTATCAAAATGGCTCCAGTCGTGACGTAGAGTTGCAGTCACGCGAACTGGTTTTGCGCGCACTATGCCATGTCGTTGGACGTGTGCCCCCATCACTACGCCTCGAACGGCAGGTGGCATCAATCGCGATATTGTTGATGATGATGCTCACTCGAACACTGCTGCATGGGCGCGTCAGGACGAGCATTGAGCCGCCTTGTGTGCGTTGCTGGAGGGCAGGTTTGTATTAGAGCACACCATCATCGTCTCCTTCTCCATCCTTTCGCATATCTGTTCCATCTTCCACCTCGTACAGGATGCTCTTACCTACTCTCGCAACAGGCCTGCTCATCGGCAGTGCCGTGTGCACTACTCATGTAGTGCACGAGAAGAGATGGCAGCCGCCGATGAATCGCGGGTCTCGGCTCGATCCGAATGCCATTGTCCCGCTCCGCATAGCACTGAAGCAGAGCAATCTTGAGACTGGCTATGACCGGTTGATCGATGTTTCGCATCCTTCGTCTGCAAATTTCGGGAAGCACCTCTCAACTGCAGAAGTGCACGAGCTCTTTGCTCCTGCTGCAGAAACTACAAAGACTGTGAAGGACTGGCTGTTGAACGCTGGAGTTTATCCAGGCGCTGTCAAGGAGTACGTGAACAAAGGCTGGCTTGCGGTTGATGTTCCAGCCAAGATAGCCGAAAGTCTGCTGTCCACCGAATATTACGAGCACGACAGTAACGATGGTGTCAAGATCGGCTGTGATAGCTACTCACTGCCTGCTCATGTCTCCAAACATGTCGATTTCGTCAAGCCTGGAGTCAAGCTCTCGCCACCAATGAAGAAGCGAACGCTAGAGAAGCGCCAAAACTTTCCTCATGGAGGACCGCCTTCAGGACCTAGAGGTCCGCCCGGGCCCATTTGGCAACCTCACTCACCCCCTGATCGGAATCCTGGCTGGCACATGCCACCTGGAGCTCAAAGTCTGCCTCCCGAACTGCAAGCGTGCAGTGTCAACATCACACCACCGTGCATTAAGGCCCTGTACCGCATTCCAAATGCCACGCTAGACACGCCGGGCCAGGAGATGGGACTGTACGAGACGTACGATGCGTTTTCGCAGGCGGACATTGTGGGTATAGACCAGACCAAAATAGCGCGTCAACACCAAGCTAACGTGCTATAGGACCTCTTCTTCGAGCATTTTGCGCCGTACGTGCCGCAAGGCACCTCACCCACTGTCCTATCTGTGGACGGAGGTACTGCACCGGTTCCCGCAGCAAGTGTTCGCAATGGCGGCGAAAGCGACATAGACATCACGCTAGCTTACAGCCTGATCTACCCACAATCCGTCACGGTATACCAGGTCGACGACCTGCCGAACAGTTCTGGCATGACAAATGTAACAGGCTTCCTCAACACATTCCTCGATGCCATTGACGGCAGCTACTGTGGCTACAGCGCATACGGCATCACCGGCGACTCACCGGGCATCGACGCCACCTATCCAGACAACTCCAATCTGACCGGTGCTTACAAGGGTCAGCTAGAATGCGGCACATACAAACTCACCAACGTACTGTCTGTGTCGTACGGTGAAGCAGAAGCATACCTGCCAAAGTCAGTATCGTTCTAGGTGCTGTGAGATGAGAGCTGATCACCGCAGACCATACGTAGAACGCCAATGCAACGAGTTCATGAAGCTTGGTCTTCAAGGACATTCCATCCTCTTCGCGTCTGGCGACTACGGCGTAGCGAGCTTTCCGGGAAGCAACGAGAACGAGTTCGGTTGTCTCAGCGCGCCAGGCATGAACGGCACAATCTACAACCCAGACTATCCCGTTGGTTGCCCGTACATTACGGCGGTCGGAGCGACTCGACTCTACCCAAATCAAACCGTGTACGATCCCGAGAGCGCCATGCAAGTGAATTTGCAGTCCGGTAACCGCAGTGCTGCGTATGAGGTAATGCTCAACGATTCCAAGGCAAGCTCCGGCTTTTGCACTGACACTTGTGGCTCCTCTCTAGTTCTTCGCCACCGGAGGTGGTTTCTCAAACCTGTTCACGCCGCCATCGTATCAAGCGCAAGCCGTAGCGAACTATTTGGCCAAGTATGGTCCTGACGTGCCTTCCTACGTCGCAAACAGCACGGGTACCAATTATGGCGAGAACGGCGGCGTATTCAATCGTGCCGGCAGAGGTAAGAGACCACTTTGCCGGAAATTGATATTGCTGTAAGCTGACTTCGGCATTCTAGGTTATCCCGATGTCGCAGCCAATGGTGCATACCTTCTAGACTACACCAACCAGACGTTGGAGCACTGGTTCGGGACTAGTCTATCGTCGCCGATCTTCGGTTCCGTCCTCACGCTCATCAACGAGCAACGAGCACAGGTCGGCAAGGGACCGGTTGGCTTCGTCAACCCCACCCTTTACGCCAGTAAGTCGAATATGGCAGTGCTGTTCGAAGCAGGAGCTGATTGGCATAGATCCGCAAGTGCTCAATGATATCACCAATGGTAAGACTGCTAGTTCGTATGGTCATTGCACTGCCGGATTTCACTGACTTGCAATGCAGGCAGCAACCCGAACTGCGGAAGTTCTGGCTTTGAGACCGCTCCCGGCTGGGATCCTGTGACGGGGTTGGGCACGCCAAACTACCCTAAGATGCTCGAACTTTGGATGAGACTCCCGTAACGCGAGATGGAATGGACTTTATGTGTACATGTGATGACGTGCATGCCGACGAGTGAGCGATACGTGTCTCTATGAGATCAAGCTCACGCATCGAAAATGCAAGAAGCTAGGCTTGAGTGCACTTCAGCTAGCGATCGATACGAAGGCCTGCCGAGTGAGGCTTCAATAAACGCCTCGTATTCCGCAGCCGTGCGCATGTATTGCATTTCTTGTCATCCACAATCTCGTAGTGATCGGCATAGACCCACGTTACCGTGGTAATGATACAGACCTCTGAAATGTTGCATCAATATGCTACTAGCTTCTCAGCTCCTATTGCCATCCTGCACCGCCGACTGTGTTGGCACGGAGACGCTTGCGCCAGCGAGCTTGATATGCCTATTCCGGCCAATGGCATAATCATTGACGAGCATATCTGCCAATTCATCCGAAGGAAATGTGGCGCCAAACCCAGCATGCACAACTAGTATTGCAGTATCTGTGGCGAGTAGGCTCCGGGTGCGCAGTTTTCCATCACCAGGTATTTCAGCATGATGTCGTGGAGTATGCAAGGTGCCAGCGGCTTAGCTTCAGTCTCCATGCTCCTTATCCTTGCGATCGTCCACGTCCCACGTGGCTCGCACTGTCATGTCGACATTCTGATGAGTCGGGCCCTCCCTGTGTTAAGAATCTGAATCAGGCCGTTGAAGCCAGCATCGAAAGGTGACGGCCGTAACGTGAGTGCCCAGCCAGAGAAGGGTTGAGGTATCTGCGCCGGCGTTCGCGCTGCGATTCCGCAATCTTTCCAGCTCCGGTTGCTTCGGAAGGCAATCTTTATATCACCCGCGGGACCATTTCGATGGTCTTTTGTTCAGCTAGTTATAGATGTCCGATCTTGCACGTCTCGACGCTCGCCGAGCCACCGGGTGCCAGGGTCAACTGCTGAAGGCTTGCTTTGCGACCATGGAATGATGCCGAAGGGTGGTCTGTGAAAGTGAAGCGGGTGTGACTTGGCCTGCCAGGTTTCTGAGCATGCTGTTATCGGGTTTGAGGGTCCCCTTTGCATTATTTCATCCCGTATATGGAGGCTTCTAACAGCAATTATTGATACATACGGCCATAGGTCGCAGAGAACAGAGGATCCCGTTCGCTCTCCTGTACTTAAGCTGCGAACCGGTGGATTAGTAGTGCGGTCGGTGACGACGCGCGAATACCCGCTGCCGTATGTTTTGTATTTTTGCCGTTTCTATTCGGTCGAATGCGGCCTGCGGTGCCGCGGTTCGTGGGTGGATGGAGCGGGACCAAGAAATGTAACGCGAGTGCGGTAATTGGACCTTCGAAGTGCGAAAGATGCTATCCATAGCTCATATTGCGTCTATTTCGCGTAAGCGGGACGCTGTAATCTTCGTTTCTGCGGTGCGATAATGCCAGGGAAACCTTTCCTTCCCGAAGCCAGTTGCTTGATTTGATCCGCGGCGTTCAGAGCATGATTTCACCCTTCGTTCTCGCCTTCACCTCTCCTCCCCTCAATAACAATCCTCGTCCCCTCAACGATCAACCCATGCTCCCTCCCATGAATCCTCTCCTCCAACTCCGCCAAACTCCCACATCCCTCGATCGCAATCTTCTCCTGCACAATAGGCTCCCCCATATCCACCTCCGCGATAACATAGTGAATCATGATCCCCGTCTCCTTCCGCTTTCCCGCCTCGAACTCCTCCCACGCCCGCTTAATGCATCCCGCCCCGACCAGATCGCCATGCAGAGAGGGATGCAGATTGATGATCGGGGTGTTGGTGGCCTTGACCGGCGCGAGGAAGGCGGTGGAGAGGATGCGCATGAAGCCCGCACAGACTATGATGTCGGGCTTGTTCCTGCACACGATCTCTGCGAGGTCGGCGTCGTAGACTCGGCGGGCTTCTTGGTAATGCGGGTTTGGGCTGTCGTCCGGGTACTTCTTCTTGTACGGAAGGATGCCGTGATAGGTCGTCGGTATGCCGGCGGCTTCTGCTCGCTTCAGTCCGTACGCGTCTTTGCGGTCCGATATCACGTGGATGATGGTGGCGTTGGGTAGGGCGGGCGTGTTGCAGGCATCCATCAGCGCTTGGAGGTTCGTGCCGCTGCCCGATATGAGTACGGTGATCTTGGCTGGCTTGGTGGAGCTGCCGTTGCTCGCCATGATGCTGGTCCTGATGCTGTATACCTGGCAGCCATTGGATGTATAGAGCCCTATTACCAGAAGCACATACTCGCCTTCTGATCCCTCTGTGTCAATCCGTCGCATCGGATGTTTCTGCACGGTCCGGTAAGTCGGCATTCGGCGCGGCAGTCTCCGCAACCGATCGGCAGGTACGCCGGGTCCGGGGAGCGTTAGCGGCTTGTCCATGACGCAAATGGCACGCTAGACTGCGGTCACGCTTCGAGGAGAGAAACGCAGAATGATTTGAAGCCGAGGGACTTGCATCGGTTACTGTCTCTACCTGCCCGTCTACACACACCATCCAGCACCCAAACTGCAATTCATACCCGGCGAAGAGATCGACGAAGAACAGCAAGCATGTCAGGGTGGTTCAGTGCGCGAAACATTGCCATTGTCGGCGCGGTCGGAGCGGGCATATTCCTCTTCCCGAGGACGGCAGCCAAGGCGAACATGAAGTACGGCCAGCACATCACGGCCACGCGTTAGTTTACGGATACAGATCTGACAGATGCACAGCAACGTCTTCGAGACGCCGGGCGTCAAGAACATTGGGGACCGCTATGCCGCAGGCGGAGCCTCCAACACGCATCAGACCGGCGTAGCTACCCCGAGAGGTATACCAAATCCCATCATGGCTGAGTAGGGGATGGTGAAGCTGATGTCAGCTTAGGCAACTCGGACAACACCATCTCGAACCAATCACAACCCAAGGGCATCGACACGCCGCGGTTTCAGAAGGAGCAGGCGGACCAAAAGATTGGCGATCCCAGTCCGCCAGAAGCCGCGTTCAGGTCTGCACATTACGGCCCGAACAACGAGAAGGGCAAGTAAAGGGGGGAAATATATCTCGCGGCCGTGGTGTAATGTGGGCGGCGCTGGAGTTCTGTAATAAAGCCATAGCATCATAGCATCAGGAGCGGCATCACGATAGCCTGCTACTTCTGCATACCACGTCCTGTGGCCAGTATTACGAAAGACTCCGAACACCTCGCTAAGCCCACGAAAGATCTGTACTTGCCGTCGTTCCTCGCAAGCTCATTTCTCGGGCGCATCCGGTAGTCTGCATCCGATCGTCAGTAAACATCAACAACGGCCAGACAACCAGCCCCGTCGTCATGTTGGTTGTCATATGCACGTACCTCTCAATCACATACTTCCCCCGCGCAACACTCACAATCGGCACCCCGGGCACCTTGCGCACCCTCCTCTTCAAGTCGCGATCATTCGTCGCCACCAAATAAATCCTCTGCTTCATCACCCGATCCACCAGACAATCATCCGCATACGTCCCCTTGTGATCACACTCCAGCCTCTCCCACCGCTCATCCCGCGCAATCTGCAGCGCAATGCGGTACTTCGGCCCCAGTTTCTCCAACTCGGCCATGACGCAGGAGGTGATGGTCGGTATGCATGTGGCGTAGAGGGTGTCCATTAGGGTGGACAGCAGAGGGAGCTTGTGGTGCACGGTGTGGGAGAGGAAGTTGGTGTCGACGAGGATGCGGTAGGGGGGCTGCAGGGCGGTGTTGTGGGCGAAGAAGAGGGAGGAGGGCATTTGTGGGCTGAGTATTGCAGTTAGTATCAAGGTGTGTCTGGGGTAGAGGGTGCGTGGGTGTTGCGTACATTTCTCGTATCACCTCGTCGCCTTTGGCTTTCTTCTGTCGCTGTTTCTCTGCTTCCGCAACGATGTTCTTCTTGAGGCGGGCATCGCGTTGGCCGATCACTCGTTTCGTTGCCGCGAACTTGCGCGTCTTTTTGGCGACGCCCATGACGGAATATCTCTATCGCGCAAAGGTGGGCTACACTCACATCAAAGTTGGAAAGACTGATATCCACGCCAAGATTTCGAGATGCAGGTTGCGATTGGTGGCGGTGGCGTCTACGGATGTCGGTAGACGGGCGAAGCCGCTGCACGAGCCCGGGGGCAACGACGCACTCTATTCTTGGCCCGAGCGGGTCGTCTCTTGTGTTTCCTCACAACCCAACGGTTGCGGTATTGCATCGCTGCTTTGGTGCGACTATACGTTCCGCACTCTTCAATCACTTGCACACGCCCACACTCGCTAAGACACTTTCGCTTCGGGGAATTAATGATACAGAGAGTACAACAGGTCACCCAACGCAAAGCGGAAGACGGATGCACGGCTAAGGGAAGGCTTGCTGGAGAAGTTCACCATATCTAGCGACAAGTGGGGAGAGCAACACAAAGAGACGCCACAATGGCACACATGTCACGACGGCGGCGGCGGCAGGCTATCACCCTTCTCGCCTTGGCAGCACTACCCTCCGCCTACGCACAATTAACCAACATACCCACCCTGGGCGGCACAACGACGACAACCTCCCCATCAACGACGGCAACAACCGCCCACTCAACCTCCCAATCCACATCCGCAACGACCACAGCAACGAGTGCCTCGTCCGCCTCCACAACCGCCACAACCTCCACCTCCGGCGCCCCCGCCGTCTCCCTCAGCAACCTCCCCACCATCGCCGGCGCCGGCATCCCCACCCTCATCGTCCCGGACACCGCGCACGCGCCCTTCATGCAAAAGTCCTCCCTCCCGGAAGGCACCGTCTTCATCGCCGTCGGCGGCGTGCTAGCCTTCCTCGGCGCCTGCGTGCTCCTGTGGCGCGGGTTGATCGCGTGGAGCGTCAACCACTCCGTGCAAAAGGCCGCGATGGCTTCGATCAGGGGGATGTCGGAGAAGGCGGCGAGTACGTTTGGAGGAGGAGGGGGGAGTGGGGGTGGGATGGGGAGTGGGAGGTATAATCCGATTATGAGGGGCGGCGGGAACGGTGGGTACAAGGAGATGGCTTTTGCGGATGGTGGGGCTGGTGGTGGTGGTCGGGGGAGTAGTGTTTCGCTGGATGCGCTTACGAGTGCGGGGAGGCATGTTAGTAATACGCGGCCGCGTCTGCATTCGCGCGACTTTCATGGGGCGGAGGGGATTCAGCGGGAGAACACGCCTCCCGCCGGGTTGTTCTTCTCGCCGACGGCCCACGCGGGACGAGGAGGGCAATCCGAAACCCACGCCATCACCCCGGCCCACAATCGGACGACGTCATCCTATCTGCCAGCAGGCTACTACGCCTCCCCATCCGCTCAAGCAGGAGGCGGCGCGACGACAACTACCCTCGGGGGAGCGCCGGCGCCGTACGGCAGACACAGCGTCCACAACCCCTCCCCACCCACCTCGCCCGGCCTCCCTCCCTCCACACGAAGCGGGAGGACGCCAACAACAACAACAACGACAACATACACACATACTCACCGTGCCGCTTCCCGAGACGGTCTCCGCGGCACCTCACGCGACCGCTTCCGCGCCCCAGACGCGCAAAGTGCGCGGACCAGCTACCTCGACCCCTCCGCTTCTTCGTCTTCCGCGCGGCAGGCGTCGACGGGTGGCGGGGGGCTGTACGCGCAGCCGAGCAGCAGTAGCCTGATGGTGGGGGTGGGCGGACAGGCGGGCGCGGGGTTGAATGTGCGGAAGACTCGGGAGAGTAGCCGGGATGGCTTGGCGGGCGGTCGCGCGCCGAGTGCGTATCTGGAGGAAATGTTTGAGAATCATGGACGGGGGCCGCGGGAGCGGTTTTAGGAGGTTGTGTATGTGTGCGCATGTGCTTGTGGGTGATGGGTTCTGCGGCGTTTGTTACGGGGGATGTGCGTGGTGTGCGTGGTGTCTTGAGAGGGATTGTTCCTGAAACACGGTTGAGGAATGGCGGCGTTGTTGCGACGGGGCGCAGGGCGTGGGGGGTTCTTAATGATGGGAATGAATGGAGAAAAGAATGCATCATGAAGCGTTTTGTTCTTTCGCACGTCGCAGGTACGGAGAATATGAGAGGAGGGAGGGAGGGAAAAGAGTGCATGTCATCTTCTACGCGCTATATCGCTAGTGTGGTGCAGAAGTTTTACCCAACATTGCGCACGTTGTAACTTACACACGCGGTAAATACCATGATATCATCAACCACCCGAGATGGAACGGGAAAATAAACAGGGCATCATCACAAGCGTGTCACGCAAAAGCGACTCTGCCGCTTCCCATCCTCGCCACACAACGTGTTCTTGTAGCGCGGCGGCAACCACAGCTCGGACCACGCATGCCACCGCGTCCCCGTGGCGGCGCCGACTTCGTCCCACAGCGCCTGCCAGCTGCGTTCGTTGTGCCGGTACACCACCCCGCCGTCGTGGGTGCGGTCGGGGTAATGGCCGGCGGTGAGGTTGGCGACCTGCCGCCCCAGCACCATGGAACCCGGGCGCGGGGCGAGGAGGGCGACGAGGCGGGTGGCGAGGCGGAGTTGGTCGGGCCGCGGGAAGAGGTGGAAGAGGGAGGAGGCGTTGACGATGTTGATGCGGCCGGCGAGGGCGTCGAGGGCGCGGGTCGTCGGGTGGAAGATGTCGGCGGGGAAGAAGTGGGCTGGGCAGGTGGCGCGGTCGAGGAAGAGGTCGTAGCCCAGTTCGAGGAATTCCGGGCGCAGGTCGCAGCCGTGGAGGTGCGTGGCCGGGGCGCCGTCGAGGATGAGGCGGCGCAGTTCTTGGCCGAAGCAGCAGCCGAGGTCGAGGAGGGTGTGGTTGTTGGGGGGGTGGAGGCGCGAGAGGATCTCGGGGTACTGCGGCATGGTGGGGAGGTTGAGGTCGAGGAAGCGGAAGCCGCCGATGCAAGGGTAGGGCCAGATGGCCCAGGCTTTGTCGCGCTGGAGGTTGAGGATTGGTCAGAGGTTGGGGTAGGGGAGGGAATGGGAGGAGGTGGTGGGGGTTGGTGGCGAGGCTCACGATGGCGTGGACATGCTCACGGACGTGGTCGGGAGGGATGTTGCTGTATCGCTGGAGGACTTCGAGGGCGGCTGGCTGGAGGTCACCGAGCTCCTGGTCGTACCAGGTGACGTCCGTGGAGCGGTTGAGGGGTGCGTCGGCCATTGTTCGACGTCTGCTTTGCTTTCCGAATTTGCTTGTTTCTGACTTGGGTGACAGTCGCGCCTTGAGGGAGGGAACTGACATGAACACTTAATACCTGATGCAATGACGCTGCAGCTTCGGCCGGATAAGGCGGCAGGCCGTTCTGTTCGATGTGGTTGTAGATCGTTGATGGCTCGGCCGACACGCTGCTCGATGCTCATTTGACTCGGTATGATTTGACGCAGAGACAGAAGGGAAGGGTCAGGCGGCAGTCACTTGACGAAGGCTTGTTGTGAGACGCGCGGTAAAGAAGTTGATACTGTACCGTGCTATGCCACGACTGCTCCATCGATGCTTCCGTACGGTACGAGACTTATACGGGCTGGCTCCTGACGCAAGCAAAGGTGATGTTGTCGGAGACATGCACATCGGCAGCCTCGAGCTCTATAGTGGTGAAGATGTGTAGTAGGAGGCCGTGTGGACGAAGGGGTTGTACGTACGTCTTGTTACCTACTTACACGTTTGGGTGGGGGAAGGACAGGAGGGAGTGAAGGTGGGAATGGCATCCAACGTCATGCACCCACCCCACGCTGTCTACTATACAGTACGAGCGGAGGAAGTTGCAAGCTTGCTGCAGCTCAACGCAACAAAATTGGGTCGCGTTGGATCGCGCCTGCATGAGTGTGCACGCACGCACGCACCTTCCTCACCTACATACTACTGAATGCTGGAACGAGGCAGGTGCGTGGGTTGGCCGTCATCGTCCTTCTTTCCTCTTCCCACGAACGCGGTTACGACACAACTGCGTCAGATTCGCTCCTTCCCACTCCATCAGCGTAGCATTCCACTCCGCGCAGCAACCCATTCGTCTCGCGTACTACCACTTCACTCGACCGCACGTCAGTCGCTGGGTAAGAGGGGAAAGGCAGGCATCAACGTCATCATCACACCGCCAGACTTGACCGGCAAGATGGGGTCGCTCGGGGTGCACGGCAAGAGGCACCGGGTGTGCGTGGTGGGGTCGGGCAACTGGGGCACGACCATCGCCAAAGTGGTGGCGGAGAATGTGGGGGAGCACGCGGACATCTTCGAGCCGGAGGTGCAGATGTGGGTGTTCGAGGAAGAGTACCACCTCCCCTCCGACAGCAAACACTACGACGCCCACTCCGAGCTCAGCAAGAAGCCGCAGAAGCTGACGGACCTCATCAACCACTTCCACGAGAACGTGAAATACCTGCCCGGCATCCCCATCCCCGCCACCGTCATCGCCAACCCGGACATCGCCGCCGCAGTCAAGGACGCCACCATCCTCGTCTTCAACCTGCCCCACCAATTCATCGGCAAAACCTGCGAGCAGCTCCACGGCAACATCGTCCCCTACGCGCGCGGCATCAGCTGCATCAAAGGCCTCGCCGTGTCGGACCGTGGCTGCGAGCTCTTCAGCGAGAGCATCGGGCAGAAACTCAACATCTACTGCGGCGCGCTCAGCGGGGCCAACATCGCCAACGAGGTCGCGCAGGAGAAATTCTCCGAGACGACCGTCGCATATGACCCGCCGCCGATGGACAGTAAACACCCCACCCCCGCTGGCACTCCGGGAGCATCACCCCATCAATCCCAACTCGACTTGACGAAACTCAACAACGCCAACCCCGGCAGCACCAAGGGTAAGAAACGCAAACTCCAGCCCTTACCCTCCGACTACCCGCCCCTCAACCACGCCACCATGAAGAAGCTCTTCCACCGCCCCTACTTCCACGTCCACCTCACCTCCGACGTCGCCGGCGTCTCCCTCGGCGGCGCGCTCAAGAACATCGTCGCCCTCGCCGCCGGCTTCGTCGACGGGTTGGGCTGGGGCGACAATGCCAAAGCCGCCGTCATGCGCGTCGGCATCCTCGAGGAAGTCAAGTTCGGCAAGACCTTCTTCTCCGACTCCCCCACCTCTTCGCCCGTGAGGACGGAGACGTTTACGGAGGAGAGTTGTGGCGTCGCGGATCTCATCACGTCGTGCTCCGGTGGCCGGAATTTCCGGTGTGCGAGGATGAGTGTCGCGGAGAAGATACCCATCGAAGAGATCGAAAAGCGGGAGTTGAATGGGCAGAAATTGCAGGGGACGAGTACGGCGTATGAGGTGAACGCGTTCTTGAAGAAGGAGGGCAAGGAGAAGGAATTTCCGTTGTTCACGGCCGTGTACAATATTCTCGAGGGGAAGAACAGGCCGGAGGAGATTCCGAGGTTGATTGAGAGGGCAGATGAGGAGGAGGAGGTGGATGGCCATACGTAGGGAAGACGACCTACGCTTGTAGGAATGGGGGTGATTGGGCGCGGTGACGTGTAAGCGCCGAATACGGTCGTGCTGGGGTGCAAGCACGTCACTCGTGCATGCTATATCCACAGCAACGGTGACCGGCACGGCTACGACAGCCCTGCGAAGTCTTGTCTCTCGCACGGGTGCGATGACGGTCCCACGACCTGATTGCGAGTCAGAACATCTTTTGTTGAGGCTACTCCACGGCTGGCTCCTCCCAATTTTATGCGTGTGAACCTGGAAGGGTTGGTGGCGGCTAGGTCGAGAATGAATTAGAAACGCATATCATTCGGATGAAGTGGCGAAGGCTGCCGCGCGGTTGGAGCGAGCAGAGCAGAGCGGACGCAGACTCCGGATTGGGCTTGGATTTGGGCTTGGGCTTGGGCTTGCGCTTGCGCTTGTGGTTTTTGTCGCAGACAGAAGGTTTCGCGTGGCGGTTTCGGTGATGAGCCGTATGGGAGATGAGGTGGTAAACCAGTTTTCATAAGAGAGAGGTTAGGCAGAGGATTAGCATGAGCATGAGCGTGAGCATGAGCGTGAGCATGAGCATGGAAAGGGAGACCTGGTTGTTGGTCTTAGCAATGCAAATAGCTATCGCAAGCTACCGCAAGCTACCGCAGGCTATCGCAGGTGAAACATCTTCAATATGTCGTTTCGGGCGAAGAAGGCGCGGTTGCGCTTGCCGAAGACGTCTACACATGTCCAAAAGTCAGCCTCACTCTCATCAAATCCTCCCTTCCCAGGGACGGAACGTCGAGGTTCAATGATCGACTCACACATGAACACCGTCAAACAACAAACAACCACCTGCACACTCGCAATCGCCATAAACACCCGCCTCACCCCTCCTCTCACAAGCCACCCATACCCACTGAACGTCAGGCCGAACGAGAAGATATTCTTAAACACCAACAAACACGTAAACCCCTCGACCGCAACATCCCGATGCGCGTCGACGATATATAACGCCGAAGCGACAGCGCCAAGAACCATCCCCATCACTTCGAGCGCGAAGAAGAAATCCGGCCAGAACCAGCCGTAGACGGATGTATTCGCACTCGTGATGCCGAAACCGTATAATCCCGCGCAACCGAAGATGAGCTGCGGGATGACGAGGACGAGTCGGAACTCGGGTTCATAAACGCCCTTGTTCAATCTCGTCATCATCTTCGCACTGCTATCCGACAGGACCCCCGCGAGGACGAAGCCGAGGAGCGCCCCGACGAACGCGCCCGTGTACATGTACCCCGTTTGGACTTCGTTGAAGAAGAGGGGCGGGCCGAGCATGATGGCGGCGAGGACGATGCCGATCAGGACCGTCCAGCCGATGAGCGTGCCTTGGATTAGGCAGGCCCAGAGGATGCCCGGGTGGAGGAAGAGGGGGAAGGGGCGGGCGAGGAGGAGCAGGAAGGAGTCGTGGGTTTTGCGGCCGTTGATGGGTAGGAGATTGGCTTTGGAGATTAGGGGGGTGGGGGTGATGGTTGTGTGGGTTGGGCGGGGGGAGTTGAGGTTGATGTCGTTGTCGGTGTCGTTGTCGAGGGAGCTGGTGTTGGAGTGGTGCGGTGGTTGGAGGTGCATTTCTTTGCCGGCTGTTGTGGTTGGGTGGGAAGATGCGTAGGTGGTGTTGGAATCGGTGTTGAGCGCGTCGTCGCGGACGTAGGCCGTTTCGGGGCAGAAGAGGATGACGAGGGGGAGCATGGCGGCGGCGAAGATGGCGAGGAGGTAGAACGACCATTGCCAGCCGAGTGTGCTTGTGAGTTTGCCGACGATGACGGGGGTGAAGAAGGCGCCGCCGAATAGGCTGAGATTGGACAGGGCCATGCGCTTGCCGCGCTCGTGCACGAAGTACAAGTCGCCCACGCTGGCGTTGACGAGGGCTTCGAACGGCGCGAGGCCGACGCCTTGGAAGAAGCGGGCGGCGAGGAGGGAGCGGTAGTTGTGTCCGCTTCCCCCACCCCACGCGCTGCTGATGATGATGATGACGGTCCCGAGGAGGTAGAGATGGCGTTTGCCGTACACGCGCGCGCTGGCGACGAATATGAAGCCCGCGAGGCCGACGCCGAGGAGGTGGTAGCCGGTCAGCAGCGCGATGTCGGTGAAGGGTCGCCGGAAGTAGAGGGTGAGTGTTAGGGTGTTGGCGGCGAGGAGGGGGGAGAGGGTGGAGGCGATGACGGAGAGGAGGCAGAGGATGGAGGTGATGAGGTCGCGGCGCCAGAGCGGCCAGTTGAGTGGGTCGTCGGGGGAGTCGCTGGGTTGGGGGACAAGGATTGTGCCATCTTTGCTGCGTTTGAGGTGCGTGTCGTGGGTGTTGTGGAGGTGCGCGAGGGGGTTCAGGTCGTCGAGGGTTGCGGTGCCTGTAAGTGATACATGTCAATGCCGGCCTTGTGCCGTATCGCGCGCATGGGGGGTGAGAAGTGTGCGGGGGACGCGGAGGTGGAGGTGGACGAACCCGGGACATGCTGTGACTTGGTTGACTCGAGCACGCCGAGACCCATCGCGATGGCCCTGAGTTGCGCGGCGACAATGCGCTCGGTGCGCGAAAGACCGATTGAGGTCTGCAGGATGTGCATCACTCTTTGGTCCTAACCCTTCAGCCCGCCATGTGCTCTATAGACCCACTGGGCGTTTGGGACCCTGCATGCGCTCGGGCCACGTCTAGATACATGAGTCGAGACTCTCTCGCTTCGTGGTTGTGTGAACGTATTCGTCATACATTCGCTGGACATGAATGTGAATGTCTTCGTAGACTAGAATACAGGCTGCTCGCAACGCACAGTAGGCACAATATCTTATTCCTGCCAAAAGCCGGTCGTCCACGCGCGATCAACAGTGCGATCCGCCTCTGTTTGAATATCCAAGCTCACTATATGAGGGCACTGCGCGTGCCCTCGCAGCGGGCGCTGAACATGGAGTGCAATGCCCACAAACATAGCATGCCTAGGTGCTACGCCTAGCTTGCGACGCTGACCAAGTTCGATGCTTGCCGGATAGGCCGCAGCCCGGTGTCCGGAGGCACCGTGCATTACAGGACCTGCCGAGTATGATGCGCATAGGAGGTAGTCGAGAGTTGCATGTGCCATGAGCAAAAGACTGTAGTGGACGTCCACGCTAGTCAATGCCAACAAATGGACGTTGTGCCGTGTCGTGTGTGCTGTGGCCGCCCGTCCTGTCGAAGAGTCGTGCCTGCCTCATTGAGCCATCCAAAACCCCCCCCCCCAACGCCATCGCTGAAACAAAACAATCATACAACGCCGAGATGTCCCGTACATTCTTCCCGTCATTGCTGCCCACCCTGCTGCATCTGGTGCTGCATCTGCTGCCCCTGCAGCTCCGCCTCCAACGCCGCCTTCTGCGCCGCAGCCACAGCCGCCTTGCGAGTCCTTAGCCGCTCCGAACACGCATTGCAGGTCAGGTTATTCCGATTCCGTCTCCAAAATTCCTCCTGTGGTTTGGACTTGCGACAGCCGGTGCATGTCTGCGTCTCGGCGGCCATGGTGGTCGTCTTGGTTTCTTGCATTTGCATCTTCTCGACCTAGGATATGTGTGGTTTGCGTGTCTTGCGTGCCTTTTTACGTGCCTACTCGATTCGGAAGTCAAGCTTTGGGGTGGTGCCTTGATGGTGTTGGGTCTATGTCCGGTGCGGGGAATGATGGGAGTGGAAGACCAAGGTGGAGGGATGCGAGACTGCATCGAGGTAGGTTCCATGGTAAGCGAGTCGCCTGCCGGTAGTCGCCGCATAAAGTGGGGGCAGCCAGCGCTAGAGTGGATGTTACGACATGGCGTGACTTCCTTGTCTGCGAAGCTTGTGCATTCACTAAAGAGCGCTCACCGTGCATCAATTTTGAGACCTGTTTCGGGCTTCGACATGGAGGACGAGCTGAGTAGCACGCATTGATACGCTACATCCGAAATCCGTGAATGCGGGTACTATTTGATGACAAGCTTGAGGGAAGAGAGCGCTTGCTATAATCAAGGCTTGACATTCATTATCCATTAAGCATTATTCTGTACCTCATAGTAATACTCGACGTCCATCCTGAACGCTGTTGCGGAAGGTGGCTGCTACCTCTCACACATCCATCCCACCACTCTCCAGCCGCGCAGGTGCCGTATTCGCCCTCGTCCTCCTCTCCCACAGCCGTCTCGCCGCAGCCAAAGTTAGAAGATGCGGTCGGGCATTCTCCTTCGCTATACTTGACGACTCACGCGTCGCGACGCCGACGAACAAGTCGACGACTCCATCGAGTGTGATGGTGTCGAAAGACCGACTGTCGTATCGCCGCAGCCGGGCTCTGAGGTCATGGGACCGCTCACGGACGTGCCTGCAAGGTGTTGCGCAATGTTAGCGCACTGCGTCGTAAACCAGGTTTAGAGCAAAGTTGGCAAAGCATCGTTACTTCTTCACCAGGCTCTCAATAGCATCAGCCGCCAGGCTGGGTCGACCAGGCCTTGTCCCACTATGCCGCTTAAGCAATCTCTCCCTTTCCCGCGCCATGCGCTCGCTAGGTGAGACGCTACCGCCGCCCACTGTGAAGTTCGGCAAGACGGACAATGAGTCGCCGTGCACATCTTGGACGCCTGCTTGCGGCATCTTGCCGAGCTTTTGGTCATTTTTCATCTCGAGGTACATCTTTGCCGCCTCCGAAAGCGGGAAGGGCGCCTGTTCGGCTGGAATGTCGGCTCCATTCTGGAGTAGTAGCTCGGCAACGGCGAACGGCTTTCGCGTTGGGGTCGTAGGTCTTGGCGGTGGTGATGAGCTTCCGATGGGCTTTCTGGAGATTGTAGATAGAGATGAAGAGTGCGCGTGTGAGAAGCTTGAGGAGCTGCCACCTGGCGATGCCGGATCCGCCGCAGCCAGTGCCAAGAATACCGCATGCGTTGACCGTGACCGATCATGTGCATTTGGGTTCGCACGCAAAGCCAACGCATGCAAGACCTGCTGTATGTCGTTCCTCTTAATACTTGTCAACATGTGGTCGTCGGGTGCTTGTGTCGTCATCGCACTCAGCACATACATGCGGTCGCTATACTTGGCTGTGATGAAGTGTAGCCGTTGCTCGCGAGTTGAATGCGGCGAAGGTTTGAGGAATTGATCGAGTCTCGCCTCCCAGATCATATTGCTTACACGGTTGCCGATAAGGAGGAGCAACTCAACGATGTCGGGTGTGAAGACGGACGTGTCCAGCGTGAGCGACCGTACTTTCGAGATGTGAGTTCCAAGTGACCGGTGAATGCCGCTGCACTCGATGCACAGTAACACGCCAAGATTGATCGAACACCAGTCGACTTTGCTTTCCGACCCACAGTCGGCGCAGAATCTGTTGCCTTCATCTGCACTTCGTATGCGTTGTAAGAGCGCCGAAGGCTCCGGTTCGCTGCTGTCAGTGCGCTTGTAAGCCGGCTTGTCGCCGGTAGTAGAATGTCGACTGACCGCTCTCTCCGCCTGTGTCCTGTTAGGATTGGAGATCTGGCGGTGTCCGGAAAAGGAAGAGCTCTTCCCAGTCAGTACGGCAGCTATGTCCTTCCTATTGCCTGCACCCTGTGGCGACGGACTCGGTGAGCTCGGCTGCGTGCTGTTCCTATTCTCAAACGCGCTTTGCAAGGCATTGTTGATCGCTGCGATCCACGATCGCATATCGTCCTCTGTAAAAGCCTGGTAAACACGCGTGAAGGATGGTGTGATTACTTCGAAGCAGAAGCGACGTTCGGTATTCCGTGCCTCGCGGACCGAAGCCATGCGCAGATCGATGGGATCCATGTGCAAGTCCAACTTCTCCTTCCAGTTTACGTATTCGGAAAGCTTGCCACCGTCGAGGACGATCCAGAACTTGTGCCAGCCTGGCTTCACCACACCTTTGGGGTCCAAATTGCTTCCAGGTCTGTTGAGCGCCCACAGTAGCCCTTCTTTTCGGTGAATACCGCCATTCATTGTCGCAGACTGGCCGTCCTCGAGGTCGCGAATGCCTTTGAACTTGCTGTTTGGACTAGCGGTGGAGCTGACCGCACTTATCGGCGCACTCAGCGTGCCGCTTGTCGGTGCTTGCACGGCAAGCGAACCCGAAGCGGTTGTTGGTGGTGACTGGGAAAAGCCTAGACTTCCTCCGTAACTTGGTGATCGAACCGTATCCTGTTCACCAGCACGTAGTCCGTTGCTGTGCGTCACTGAGGAGGAGTAAGAGAGACCTGGCGGTGCAGCGGCGCCCTCCTCGTTAATCACTTTCGAATTCTTCTCCAAAACCCGCCGCTTCTCCTCTCGCTCTGTCCGTTGAAGCTGGAAATCTTGATCTGCCACCTTAACTTCCGCCGCCAGAGCTTCTAACTGCGGCATCATCTCCTCGACTTTCTTGGCGGTCGTGAGATAGCCTCGTGCCTGTGCTTCAGCGTACTTGGTCAATTGTGACAGCACCTCCTGATCCTTGCGACCACCGTGTAGATCATGCATGAAGCTGGAATAATCGAATCGTTTCAGCTCGAAGGTGCGTCGCTTGGCTTGATACTTCTCATCGGTATGCTTCTGCCTTGCAAACTTCTCTTTGACGGACTCGCTCCGCTGGCCCAAGTACTTGCCCACGTAAGCGTAGTACTCTTTGCTTTCCTCATCGAATTCTTTCTTCTTGGTATCTGCTTGCTTAATCTCCAGATTATATAGTCTACTGATCGGCTCGATGATAAGCTTCTGCAGGTTGTATGTATTCTGTCGTTCGTAGTGCAGTATCTCTTTGGCGATCTTCTCGAAGTAATGATCCAGCGCTGGGCGCACGGCATTTGCATTCGAGCTTGATGCCTCCCGTAACGCCTCCGTAAAGTCGCTGATAGCCTGGTTGCAAGCCTGCTGTGCGGACTCGGCAGCCTCCGCGGTACGCAACACCTTTTTCATCCGCAAACGCATGTGGCCGGTCTTCTGCTCCAGTGATCGCATCGTGGCGCGAAAGACAGGTCCATCCTCGTTAACGGATGGGTCGTCTCCAGGCTTGCATGTCGCAACGTCAACCTTGACGGTATTCTCTGTTGCCATTGACTGGGAGGTAGACACCTGAGATAATCCAAGCGCCTGTCTATCCTCGGGTATTGTCTCGAAGGTAGGCGACTGCGGCTCTTTGTAGTCCTTATAGCTCCCTTCGCCTTCTGAATCGCTCACATTACTGACCCGTGACTCGATGGACTGCGCTGATGGCACCCTAAGCCGGGGCGGCAAACTAATCTCTAATCGCGGCGACCTCGGTGTCAAATACCGCTGCGTGTTCTGGACCCAGAAGCTGAAGCTCGCCAACGTGTTCAGCCTGTGCGCTCTTTGGTCGTACTCGACGAAGCTGCAGCTGTTGCGCCACCCACTTCCGCGATCCTCTGCAATCTTCGGAGGCCGCCATTTCCACAGCCAGCTGAACTGGACGCTAGGACTGCCGCCCGTGCTGTAATCTCCCACGAGCTCGACGTTCGGATTCTTGTGCAGGTTCGGGTCGGAGTGGAATTCGCGCACGGTGAGGTTGTCTACTTCTCTCGGGTTTGAGGCGAAGATGTATGTAAGGCCAGCAATCTGTGTATCCGCTGAAGAGTTCGGAACAGGAGCGCCATTAGTTGCTGCTACGCTGACGGGGCCCTGCTGTCGCACTATGAAGGTGAAGCTGAAGAGGAGCTCATCGCTGTTCTGTAGGCGCACAAGGAAAGACGGTTGTCCGTTTGCGACACTGTCAGGATCCTATGAGCGCATTCAGTATGACATCCGACACTACCACGCTGCTGCATGCCTACCTGCACGTATTCTATAGGACTGTCATCCCCCATGTCTCTTTGCGCATTGTATCTGCTTGCCGGAAATGCATTAGGCGCTACTCGAAGCAATGTCTGGCCGCGAGAATTGGTGATGGTCACGTTAGCAACCGAGACTGACATGTCGTTAGTAGAGGACACAGCATGAGGTTATGCGCGTACTTACATCTATGCGGGTCACGAAGAAGGATAGGTGCGCCATCTTCAGCTCTGCTGCTAACATTGCCCATGACTGAGGATGTGGCCTATGAGGCCCCACGGCTCGAGCGAGAATGCTGGTCGTGGTGCGCCGTTCGGTCGCAGTATGGAGGCTTTATGTAGCATCGACGTTCAATATGTGAGGATTGTTCTGACCACGTTGGAGGTTTGCAAAGGCAACAATGTTTCTTTAGTGCACGCGATGCTCTGTGCTCCGCCTGCGTTGCGCCATCCCCTCGATCCCACCTGCGCATCGGGACCCTTGAAGCATGAGGCACGCGGCGCGCTAGTTTCACACTTGCCGCCGCCGCCGCCGCTGCCGCACGATACCCGTATGCTTGACGAACGTGTCAAGAGACCTGCGGTATATACCATTAAGCAAGTACAGTTCGTTGGTTCCCTTTGCTCGATACTTTGTGAATAACGCGCTGCAACGGTATTCTATGCTGGGCCGCGCAATGAAGGATGCTATTGCTAGGGCTGGTTAATCATTCGGTTTATGGTGTTCAGTGCCATGAAACGGGGAACGGTACGGCCCCGTTGCCCTGTCTCATCTTGAGTTCTGAAGAAGCACGTCCGAGGTCCCCACAATCCACCGAATTGCACTACAACAAACAAGCACATTGCCATCTCTCAGTTTCAAGAACGTCGTAACGTACAGATAGCCTTGCAAGCGAATAGCTTCGCACCTCACGATAGATCGTGCGTTTAGGAGGCCAACCATAAAACCATCAAAGTGATCATCGTGTTGGTTGCAAAGGACCGTGCCGAGGCACCTCTACCTCGGCTGTGTTATTGCAGACAACAAGACCAACATCAGACTGCTTCTCTCAATCGCTTCTCCGTACTATGTGACAATCAACGAGAAGCGAGCAAAGTCTAGCATAATAATCCAACAAGCGGGCATGTGTACGAACAGGCGATAGGCCGTCTAGTGAATCACAGTCCACGGTGCAACAGGCGGAAATGAAGTTCGCGGACGCAACGCGGATCACTCAGATCGACTCCTCCACATATACTACAGACTTCCACCCGGAGTGGGTGATAGGAAATGTCCCCCACGGTGGCTACGTGACCTCATGCATTCAGCAAGTTGTTCGAAAGCACTACGCAACCACACTGAAGGGACAGAATCAACCACATACGCTCGCGCTTCACCTCGACTTTCTCCGCCGCACTCAGACCGGTCCAGCAACCTTCAGAGTAAAGAATGTTAAACTTGGCCGACAGACATCCGTTGTGCACGTCACGCTAAGCCAGGATGGCCGTGAGGAAGTGGTTGGGTACATCACCAATACCAACCTCAACACCGAAGCCGGCGTATCGTTTCCGACCGGGTGGGACATCCATCCTAAGCCTCCAGCAGCAGTCGTGTCCAACTTGGAATCAGACACGGACCCGCTATGGGGCGAGCGGAAAGAGTGGCCATTTGTAGAGTTCCGCAAAGCTACGAATCACATAAGATCGTGGTTTCCGCGCGATGGCCAACCTCTACCCACCATTGTCGACATGTGGATGTGTCTTCGCGAACCAGGCGACCGCTGGACGAATGAGAGCCTAGGCTTTGTGGCCGACACCTTCCCTCAGATCATCGAAAGCTTTGCTCACGGCGTGGATTCGTACAGTGTAGCATTCGAAAAGGAACACGGTCGGGAGGGTGCGCGGGAAAGGATGGGCAACAAGGCTGGGTTTTGGTATCCGACGGTCCTGCTGAATCTGGACGTGAAGAAGGCATTACCCGATGAAGGCGTGCGCTTCTTGTATATGCGACTGCAAGCTAAGGTCATCAAAAATGGCCGGTACGATCTCGAGGTTATCCTTCGAGACGAGACAGGCGATGTAGTGGCACTGAGCCATCACATTGTATTCGTGGTTGGTGTGGAGCGGAATAGGGCGACGAGAGCGAAGCTGGAGGAGGCTGCTTCGAAGTTGTAGGGGAGATTTTTGATCATAGGTTTTATGTACCACAAAAACTATGGTGCTCAATCAGGAATCATGAGTACCTCAAACGTTGTGAAGGATCGCTTTTGCAAGGGTGGCGTTTCCGCCAAAACAACCAGGAGCCAGATGGTGGTGGACTGCTTCCTGCGAGGACTGACTTGCTTTGTATGTAAGAGGTCTCGAGATACATCTTCTTAGCTTGACGAACCCGCGCTCGTCGTACATGATGGCTCGTCGTCAGGACCTGAATGCATCTATGGCATACACCGTATGCATGGTGCTCTCTTCGTAATGGTTGAGCTACAAATCTTTTGCGCATGCGCTTACGCTTGGAGCAGCACAATACATGTCGGACGTGTACCCGGTTGCGAGGTGAGCTGGCAGAGATCAAGCAATGGCATTCGACGCACGATTTGTTGTTCGTGAAGAACATTGCTTGGGATGCGTTGTACGCAGAGATGAACGTGGACAGACTTTGTGATCTTCACCGCGGCCGTCCCCTCGGTCCCCACAATAGGCAGGTACAAGGGCGGCAGCTCTTTTGCATCGCCCAAGCTCCACCTGCAGCCTTCGATTAGCCTGCTCACGAACGCTCTCCCGTAACTTGTAACTATAGATGCCACCTTTTCCTTCTGTGTTTGCATTAGGCAGGTGTGCTCCGCATATCAGCACATACGGTAACGTTGCATCACAGTCTTTCCGCTGGCAGGCCACCTGTTTTACCCGACGATCCTTCACTACTGCTGGCTTTGCACATACAGCCTTTCAACAGTGTCCGGCGTTGCGTGACAACAGAGGCGACCTGAATGCACGGTATTCACAAGCATCCGTGATCAGAGGTCTGAACCAGAATAACCAAGGTGGAAGAAGACATTGCTCATATCAACGAACAATGCACTGGCATCAGCGCGAGGCAGATATTGCGGAAAGCAGTATGGACATTGAGAAAGGAAGAGAGGTGTTGCCGAAAAACGTCAAGCCAACGCATTACGATGTCACTCTCGAGCCGAACTTTGAGACCTTCAAGTTTGAGGGCAGCGTCACGATTTCGCTTGACGTGAAAGATGCGACGAAGTCAATAACACTGAATACCGTTGATCTGGAGATTCATGAGACCAAGGTCTCATCTGGGGACCGGACCATCTCCGCATCTCCAACTCTATCATATGATGAGGACAAGCAGACGACTAAGATCGACTTCGATCAAACTATCCCTGGTGGGTCAAAGGCACAACTCTTCCTCAGATTCACAGGCACCCTGAACGACAACATGGTCGGCTTCTACCGATCATCATACAAAGACCAAGACGGCACCCAGAAGTGGCTCGGTACCACGCAGTTTGAAGCAACCGACGCACGCAGAGCCTTACCATGCTTCGACGAGCCTGCGCTGAAAGCTACCTTCACCGTGACCCTCATCGCGGACCACAACCTGACGTGCCTCAGTAACATGGATGAGGCGAGCGTGAAGGACGTCGAGTCTCCCTTTACCGGCGCAAAGCGAAAGATGGTGACGTTCAACAAGACGCCATTAATGTCTACCTACCTACTAGCGTTTATCGTCGGCGAGCTGAAATGCTACGAAGACAACAGCTTCCGGATACCGGTGCGAACGTATTTCACGCCTGACAAGCCCATCGAGCAAGCCAGATACTCTGCCGAGCTTGGCGCAAGGACGCTGGCTTTCTACGAGAAGGAGTTTGCGGCGCCCTTTCCCCTACCGAAGATGGACCAGGTAGCCCTTCCGGACTTTGCGGCAGGTGCGATGGAGAACTGGGGTCTTGTTACTTACAGAGAGATATATCTGCTGTTCGACGAGAAGACAGGCAGCGCGAGTACCAAGCTACGCGTTGCGGAAACCGTGATGCACGAGCTGGCGCATCAGTGGTTTGGCAATCTTGTAACGATGGATTTTTGGGACGGCCTTTGGCTGAACGAGGGCTTTGCGACGTGGATGTCGTGGTACTCGTGCAACGCGCTTTATCCGGAATGGAAGGTCTGGGAGTCGTATGTGCCGGATACTCTGCAAGGTGCACTTAGCCTTGACAGTCTACGGAGTTCACATCCGATCGAGGTGCCTGTTGCTCGTGCGGACGAGATCAATCAGATCTTCGACGAGATCTCGTACAACAAGGGTTCGTGTGTGATTCGGATGATATCGAAGCACCTCGGCGAGGATGTGTTCATGGAAGGGATTCGTCGATACATCAAGAAGCACGCTTATGGCAACACCACTACGACGGATCTGTGGGAAGCGTTAAGTGATGCAAGTGGGCAAGACGTTGTAAGAGTCGCAGAACTATGGACGAAAAGGATCGGCTATCCGGTCTTGTCGGTCAAGGAGGACGCTCAGAGCAAGTCCATACATCTGAAGCAGAACCGCTTCTTACGAACAGCAGACGTCAAACCTGAAGAGGACGAGACAATCTGGCCTGTCTTCCTTGGCTTGCGCACGAAGGATGGCGTGGATGACTCATTAACACTGGACAAGCGAGAAGGGACGTTCAACGTGCCTGATATGGACTTCTACAAGCTCAACGCCGACCACTCCGGCATTTACCGAACCAGCTACCCTCCGGAGCGACTACAGAAGCTTGGAGAGAACGCCAAGGCCGGATTGTTGACGGTGGAAGACCGCGCCGGCATGATTGCTGACGCAGGTGCTCTGACTTCTGCTGGCTACCAGAGCGCTTCAGGGGCGCTTTCGTTGTTCCAAAGCTTCAATACCGAACCTGCATTTGTCGTGTGGGACGAGCTTACTGCGAGAGTGGGCTCTCTTCGCTCTGCCTGGGTGTTCGAGGACGAGAGAGTCAAGGATGCACTGAAGGCATTTCAGCGTGATCTGGTCAGTGGTAAGGCCCACGAGCTCGGCTGGACGTTTTCTGACAAGGACGGGCACATCGAGCAACAATTCAAAAGCCTACTCTTCGGCAGCGCAGCTTCTGCGGGCGACGAGAGGGCCAGGACCGCTGCTTTCGACATGTTCGAGAAGTTTATCGGTGGTGATCGGTCCGCAATCCATCCCAACATCCGCGGCGCAGTATACTCCGTTGTGCTGCAATACGGTGGCGAAAAGGAGTACGATGCCATTGTGAAAGAATACGAGACGACCAAAGACACAGAAGAGCGCCTGTCCGCACTCCGCTCCCTTGGCCGAGCTAAGGATGACAAGCTAATCAAGCGAACCCTCGCCTACGCTCTTAGCAAGGCAGTCAAGGATCAGGATATCTACATACCCATTGCCGGCCTGCGAGCGCACAAGGAAGGTATTCAAGCGCTTTGGGCATGGATGAAGGAGAACTGGGAAGCACTAAAGACGAAGATGCCGCCTTCGATGACCATGCTGAGTTCCGTCGTTAGTATTGCCACGAGCAGCTTCACCGAGCAGCAGCAGTTGGATGACATTGATGCGTTCTTCACGAAGGTTGGCACGAAGGGGTTCGAGAGGTCGCTAGCGCAGTCTAAGGATGCCATTACGGCGAAGATTAAGTGGCTGGAGAGGGACAGGGGGGACGTGAAGGCGTGGTTGAAGGAGAAGAAGTACTTGTAGGCATCTGATTGTACTCTAATCACCGCGTAAGACAGTCATTACACTGTACAGAGACTCTCAAAGCACATGTGAATTAGACCTAACGGAGTGGGTATCAGTGGTACATGGATGCAGAAGGAGAGGCATGTTGGCGGACATTCACACTAGGGCGGAATTCGTGGCAGCGATCGGTGAATCCTCGGGTTTGTCGCGGGGCTTTGCTTTCGTCATTCGTTGAAGCCTTGCATGTGATTGAATGCACTTACACTTGTCAACTCAACTTCTTCTGGCAACCATCCCAGCCAAACCAGACAGTCTCCGACAAACCTCAGCTACCAACCAGTGGAGTGGCTGGCTGTAGCGGATCACCGCACTCGACGTGTTGCCACTCTTAGCCAGATCGTGTCACTTGCTGCTCGGCGAACCTTCTCGAGCAGCCAAATACCACATCTCTACTTTCCTTGCGGCCCAAGCCTTCAAATAGCATCTCCGGCGGGCAGAGGTGGTAAACATACGGAGTTACTTGACGTAAGGCCCCAGTGCCGCTCACACAATCATGGACGAAGCGATCTCCACCTTCGTCTCTATCACCGCAGCCACTCCGGCGCAGGCTCAGCAGTACCTGTCCCTCACTGACGGCAACGTCGAGCAAGCCATCGAGCTATTCTTCAACAGCCCAGATCTCGGCGCCACAGCCAGCGCACCTTCACAACCGTCACATCAGCCTTCGAGTCGCGACAACCCGATTGCCCTCGACGATGACGATGATGATGTGGAGATGATTGGTAGCGGACCTGCAGGTCACTCAGTAGAGGACGACGAAGCGATGGCACGGCGATTACAGGAGGAGATGTACGGTGGCGGTGGCGGTGGCGGAGGTGGCCGCAGAGACGATGTTGACGCAGAAGGAGTGAGAGCACCAATGGCGCGCACTACCGAGACGCTCGTGGGACCAGACGCGGATTGGAGGAACGACCCAGATCAAATGAATACGGCCATCATGGAGCAGCTGGCGGCGCGGCAGAGAGCGCGTCAACACGGTGCGCCCGGCATCTTCAACCAGCGCGATATCTGGGCCAACGACGACCCAAGAGATCCGGACGCACGTCAGCGAGACGCACTTTCGCGAGCCACAGGTGGTGCATCAGATCAATCAGCGAAATCGAATCTGCTCGCGGAACTGTTCAAGCCACCCTTCGACCTTATGTCGAAGCTACCGTGGTCGGAGGCGCGAGACGAAGGCAAGGATAGCGAGAAGTGGCTGCTGGTTAACGTACAAGACCCATCCATCTTCGACTGTCAGGTGCTCAATCGCGACATCTGGAAGAACGCACAGATCCGCGACACCGTCAACGAGCACTTCATCTTCTTACAGTACAACAAGGACGACCCGCGTGGTCGCGAGTACATACAGTATTATTTCGCGAATCAACGTGACACCGACGACGCCTATCCGCACATCGCTATTGTCGACCCTCGGACGGGCGAGCAGGTGAAGTCGTGGTCAGGCTCGCCAGCACCGAAGGCTGCCGACTTCCTCATGGACTTGCATGAGTTCCTGGACAGATACTCGTTAAGCATGGAGCGCAAGAACCCAGTCCAAGCGAAGCGGAAAGAGAAGAAGAAGGATGTGGGCCAGATGACGGAGGAGGAGATGCTGGAGATGGCTCTGCAGAACAGCCTGGCGAATGGCTCAAACGCACCGAAAGACGAGGATCCGGACGCACTCACGCGGCCCGCCGCGGCGAACGGCAAAGGCAAAGTACCCGCGCACCTCCAAGAAGCCATGGACACAGCAGACATGGGTCCAAGACCTCCAACAAACGGTACAACCCAACCCAGCTCAGCCGCCGCCCCGCTACCTCAGAAGGATACTCCCTTCTCACGCATCTCATCCACTGCTTCACATGACGAACCAACCTCCACGGGCCCGGAAACAACCCGCATCCAGTTTCGCTACTCTGGCGGCCGCGTAGTCCGTCGCTTCATGCTCTCCGACCCGGTGCGTAGGATCTATGAGTGGCTGAAGGCATCACCCCTTGATGGGATGGAGGGTAAGCAGTTCGAGCTCATCAGTATGGGCAAGAATCTCATGGACCAGCTGGAGGTGCCGATCGGGGAGGCAGGGCTGAAGAATGGCACGGTAATGGTGGAGTTTGTGGATGCTGAGGATGAGGAGTAGAGCGATTCGTTTTGCAGTTCCGCGCATGGGTGTGGGTATGGTAACGGTGTAGCGGCCTGATACGCTTTGCGAGGGCACGCAGGTGGTACGATAGAGGGCGCATGCTGCTACTACGATGAGCTGGCGGCGCTTTCAAGTGGATAACGCTAAGTCGGCTGCAAGTAGCCGAAACGCTTTCCAGCGGCATCGTTCATAATTAGCCTCACTTCCTCTCGTCTTGTGTGATGTTCGGTCGTATGCTTGACGCTCGTCCACTCACGTGCCTTGTGGCCCAAGCTCTCAGCGCGAAGTGAATGTAAGCTCACCAGAACCTCGGCATTGCAACCATGACCGACGGATATTCACCCTTCGCCGGCTTCCCGCCGTCTGCCAGCCAGATCTACACACTGATGAATCGCACTCCGTATTGGTAGTCCCGCTTGATTCTCGTCTTTGAACGTTGCGAGCATGGCGGCGGCCGCGCGAAAGACCGCAGGATCAAGCACACAAGCCGAAATCATCCTGCTACCATCCCTCAAGAATTGCTTGCTGAACCTACCTTCTTCGCTTGTGGCATTACTACTGAACTCGAACACGATCGCGCAGAACGTCGTGGTTGAGCTTAGCTACAGGCAGGCTACACCGGCCGGCGCAGATGCGAAGCAGAAGAATGCGGCGGCATCAAAGTCGGTGTTCTTGGGTTGGACGGGTATGCAGTCTCAGCCCAGACTCGCGCCGATGGTTGGCAGAGACGGTATAGCGGGCATTAGAGGTGGGGGGAGGCAGGAGCAAGAGGCGCCCACGGTGGAGATGGACGCTACGTTTGGCAGACTACTGGGGCTTAGTGAGGGTTTCAAAGTAGGCATAGATTCATTGTCAAGGGTGCACGGGGCTGATGGAGAGTACGTAGGTCAGTATATCACTGCACGTAGACCCACCTCAAGCGCACACAATCAACATCGATCCTCTCACCGCCACTGACTGGGAAATCATCGAGCTGCATTCGCACTTCTTAGAGATGAACTTCCTCAGCCAGGTTCGCGCTCTACCGAATCCTGCTACTGGACAGTCACATCCTATCACCTTGCATCTGACTGCGACGTCGACAGCGAATGTGGTTGTAACGTCTCTCGTCCCGACACCATCCACAGGACAAGCGTTCGTTAAGATTGCGCCTGATGCGGAGGTCATTGTAGCCCCAAAAACGCGCCAGTCTGCCCGACCAGGTAGTGCGAGAGATAGCCGTAGTGTGGCTAGTACCAGTCGGCGCAGCGAAGGCGGACGTAGTAGTAGGAGTGCGGCCCGCCATCGCAGTGCGCCCGACGAGGAGAAGGCACGGCCACCGATCTTCCTGCGTGGAGTTACTCGGGCGCTTGAAACTGAGTGGTTCGAAGATGCTGGCGAGGAGATGCAGGATGAAGGTCTCAGAGTCTGGCTCGATCCGGAGCACCTTCTGTCGAAAACGCTGCGGGGCGTGACTTGGGTTACCGTCACACTGATCAGACCGGCTGGTTTACAAGAACCGATTGACCCGCAAGCTCAACCACTGCAGGACTCATTGCCTGCATTGAGAATCGTTGCTAAGCTGAGTGCCTGGGACGATGCTCCGGATGTTCACCACGCCGCTCTCTCCACCCTGCTCTGCGCCACTCTTGGTGCGGAAGGCCTCGTAGGCGGTGTCGTCCGCATCGATCCTGCTCCGTCACCTTTACCAAGGACAGCTTCTGCGCTGAAGGAGCCATCGCAGCAGGCGAGCAAAGACGCCATCGTCAAGAAATTGCGCGTCACGCCTTTCATCTCAACCGGATCACAACACAAAGCTGCAGACTTCAGATTCGGCGGCGAGTCAAAAGCTGAGCGCGAGCAGGCTGCGCAGCGCATCAGGTCGACTTTCGGCAAGTCCTTGTTCGAAGGCCCTCTAATGGACGGCATGTTTCTGGCACCTCAAGCGGACGGCTGGCCAGGCGGTATCCTTGACTTCGAGCCATCTCCGCCGGGTGATCCTTCACGGACGAAGACCAACTGGCTGCTAGGCGGAGACAGGAAGCTAGAAGTTATGGTACAGCCCGAGACGCCGCGGCCGAAGGTGCCGCAACCGCCTGGCGAGCCGTTGCCTCATCGGGAGCCTGCGATGGTTGGCATTGAAACGTTACTTGAGCGGACACGGGCCAACCTGCTGCATTCGTCTTCGGTGCTGGTCACGGGTGGACTAGGAGCGGGAAAGACGAGTCTCGCGCACTTGCTTGCGCATCAGTTGCGCAGGGAATATCTTTACCAGATCATATACTTCCCGTGTCGGACGCTGGTCACGGATGAGACCCGGGTGAAGTCGATCAAGGAGACTCTGAACCGGGTCTTCGCCTCTGCTGCTTGGGGAGCGCGACTTGGCGGACGCTCGCTTGTAGTGCTGGACGACTTGGATAGATTGTGTCCTGTCGAGACGGAGCTGCAGGTTGATGCCAATGGGCGGAGTAGGCAAGTTAGTGAGCTGCTTTGCACAATTGCGAGACAGTACTGTGGGCGCGAGTGTCGGGTTGTGCTGCTCGCAACTGCGCTGAGTAAGGAGGCTATAAATTCTGTGGTAATTGGTGGACATGTGGTGAAGGACATCATGGCTTTGAAGGCACCGAGTAAGGATGGTAGACGGCAAGTATTGGAGATGCTACTAAAGCCGCAACCACCGACAGGAGAGAATGGGGAGGTCAACGGTACTAGCAGCGCCTGGATGGAAGACTCGGACGAGAATCGACCTACCTCCGCCGATGGGCCAGAAGGCATTGACGTCGACCCAGAGCTCGACTTACTAGACATTGCTGGCCAGACGGATGGCTACATGCCTGGCGACCTGACATTGCTCGTCTCGCGCGCGCGAAGCGAGGCGCTCATTCGAGCCGTGTCCGAAGCAGCCATCTCCGACGAGGTCACATTGACAGCCGACGATTTTCGAGCTGCGCTGAAAGGCTTCACGCCGGCTTCCCTGCGCGGCGTGACACTGCACTCCTCCACTACCACCTTCGCCGCCATCGGCGGACTGAAAGAGACCAGACAGATATTGCTCGAGACGCTGCAGTATCCTACGACGTACGCACCGCTCTTCGCCAAGTGCCCGTTGCGCCTGCGGTCCGGTCTGCTGCTGTATGGTTACCCCGGTTGCGGAAAGACTTTGCTCGCCTCAGCCGTCGCAGGCGAATGTGGGCTGAACTTCATCTCCGTCAAGGGGCCTGAGATTCTGAACAAGTACATAGGCGCCTCAGAGAAGAGCGTCCGGGACCTTTTTGAGCGAGCCGAGGCCGCAAAACCATGCGTGCTCTTCTTTGACGAATTCGATGCTATCGCGCCAAAGCGTGGCCACGACAGTACCGGAGTGACGGATCGGGTGGTCAACATGCTGCTTACCATGATGGACGGTGCGGAAGGACTCAGTGGGGTCTACGTGCTGGCTGCTACGTCCAGACCTGATCTCATTGACCCTGCTCTGTTGCGACCAGGTAGATTAGACAAGAGTCTGCTTTGCGATATGCCGAGCACTGATGACAGGCATGACATTCTCCAGGCTGTGAGCAAGAAGTTGCGCTTAGACTCTGCTTTGCTCGACAACGGCCAGCATACTCTGGCCGAGGTAGCATACAGGAGTGAGGGTTACAGTGGAGCGGACTTGCAGGCCGTTATGTACAATGCGCATCTCGAGGCCATTCACGACGTGGTTGGCAATGCGAGCGATGCGGCGGCCCATGATTTTGGCAAACGAAAAACGAGCGCTTCGGCGAAAGGGGGCAGACACCAGGAGTTTACGTACTTCCGCCTTGGCGACGAGAACGAATCTAAAGAAGTGGCGCCGGCAACTGCTGCAGCAGAGAGGGCCCAGATTGCGGCAAAGCTGTCGGCATTGAAGCTTGCGAAAAGCAAGGCCAAGCAAGAGCACCACGTCTCGCAATCTCGCAGACCTTCTTCATCATCGAGTACGTTGATGAATGGTACGAGTAAGCATGATGAGAAGCAGACCGAGCCGCTTATTGTTTGGCGGCACCTCGAGAGAAGCCTCGAAACAACTAGAAGCTCGATCAGCGCGCAGGAGCGTAGACGACTCGAAAGGATTTACAAAGACTTCGTTGTCGGACGCAACGGAGAAATGTCTGACGGACAAGGTGGAACGGAGATAGGTGGAAGAACTAGCCTAATGTAGTGTCAAGCACTTGCAAGAAGACTAGCTCGTTGTTCTACCTGCGTGCTTTTTCACCCACTCGTCGTACAATGCCGTACCGTAGTCGCCCCGATTTGGCAATCGCTGAATCGTGTGAATGTGGTATTTCTTGGGTAGGGCATTGGCCAGCCAGACACCGTTGTGATGATCGAATTCATCCATCACGATTGGGCTGTGAACGCGGAAGTAGAAAGGTGTCTTGTCATCAATTGGTCCGATCCAGGCGAAGTAAGTATCGTCCAGGTACTTCTCGACACGCTTCATGAACAGCTCCTTTGGCCCCGCGGGAAGGAGCTCGTTGAAGATGCTGATGATGTCGAGCAAGGCTTTACGCTGTGAGCCGTCCATCTCTTTGGCATTAAGGCCTTCGAACGGCACAATGCGGTTGTCCTGATGGGCACCGCCCAAGCCACGGAGGTCTGCAGGGTTCCAGCGGCCTTCTGGCATAGTCTCGCCTGTAATATCGTTGATGTCGCCTTGGATCGTAGCTTTCTTCTGCTGCTCTGGTGACAAGGACTTCACGAAGGCCAGCCCGGCCCTTTCTTCCTTATTGAGAACCTCTAGACCTTTGTTGGGTCCATCATCAATCACGTTCGGCTCAGCACCTACGAAGAAAGGTCCCATTACGACTTCACCAGCTAAGGTGAACACGTTTAAGCACAGATGGTGCCCGAAGATGTTGAATCCCCAGGGCTTGTCCACTGACGGATCTCCGAAGAGGCAGAAATGGTAGCTATGCTCGTTCATCACGTTCTTCAGGCGGGTTAGGTCGCCGAGAAAGGCGTTCATAAGCATTGCGGTCCAGACCTTTTGGTAGCCTTCCTCGGATAAGCTGGCCTTGAGGAGGCTGTGGACTGCTTCGCGGAGAGGGGTCGACATCTCCTCTACCCGCAGCCCTCGATCAACGACTATAACCTACACTGGGTCAATTGACTTTCGTTTATAAACTGGAAGAGCCAGTTACGTGCCTCTGGATTGGACCAAGCGCGCCATTCCCGCGCATCAACAGGGAATCGGAACGTTCTACTTTCCTCCTGCGTCGATGCAGAGATTACACCGTTTGCAGCTTCCACCATCTTCGCAGTCGGTCCGTTAGCCGAGGCATTATAATGCCAAAGATCAGGCACAATGTTGCCATCCACAGAGAACCCGTGGAATGGCTTTTCATAGTTCTGGAGCCAACCACGAGCGACAGGGACCAAGAAGATGCTCTCATTACTGAGCACACCTTTGGCGTGCGTCCTGGCATCTCTGTCACTTGGATGTAGCCTAGGGTGGTCCAGAGGAATGAGGTAGTCACGGAAGTTGCCACTAAGGCGAACCGTCAGCACTTTTTACAATGTGAGTTGACAGTGTGGCTGTCGCGCACGATGTCTCTTTGATCTTTAGTGATTCTTGCAAGTTGTTTGCCATGGCGTATGGCGGTGCTGTTGAACCGCGCTTCTAGAACTGGAATCCACCTAGGTACTCCGCGGCACTATCCTTGCGCATAAACGGCCGCTCTATAATTGCTTGCGGCCCCAGAAAGTGATTAGAAAGGAGCGATCCTTCATACGCCGCCAATCTTTGCTGCTAGTTTGTCGGCTTGGGTGGGACCGCCTCTGACACAGCCCGGTTGCGAGAGCGAGACAGACGGTGGAAACTTTGGCTGCTTGAGAAGGCCGCGGTATGCTTGACAACTGGGGGGTTTCCGCTTCACATAACAACGATCAAATCTCCAGAGCCTTCGTGCCTACGCTCCGCTAGTGCGACACTGCGACTTCGGTGCCCGTGACAATGTTCTGCCGCATGTCATAAATATGTTATGGCGGCAGATGAGACGGGAGGTCGATGGCCATTCACATGCGCGGATGGCATTTGCCGAAGCCCTAAAGAGCGCGCAACGGAATGTCTCGGCTTGTTGATCTCCGAACCACACCCCACAGCTCTAGGCAAGCCGTTGGAGTACACATGCCATAAGACGAGTGGATCTGTCAACATGGCGGGTGTTATCGAATCATGGCTAAGTCACAGACCAAGAAGATCTCGCCAGCACCATTGCAGATCGTGGTGGTAGGGGCCGGGCTGGGCGGACTGTCCACTGCTGTAGCGTGTTCGCTCGCAGGCCACAATGTCCTGATCCTAGAAGGTGCGCGGGAGTTGGCAGAGATTGGTGCAGGACTACAGATCACTCCTAATGCAAGCAAGCTGTTTCAGCAGTGGGGTGTCTACGATGTCTTGGAACCGAAAGCAGCAGAGCCGACCATTCTACAAGTTAGGCGCTACTCAGATGGAAAGGTCCTGTCACGGACAGAAAACTTCAATGGAGACATGAGGAAGAAGTACGGCTCTCCCTTCTGGGATCTACATCGTGTGGACGTTCAGCGAGCACTCGCCGATCGGGCGAGGGAGCTTGGCTCGACACTCCGCCTAGGCGCTCGCGTTCGTGATATTGACTTTGGTAAACCGTCTGTGACGCTGGAGAACGGGGAGGAGCTGCATGCCGATCTTATTGTCGCTGCGGACGGTCTTTGGTCGAGGTGTAGAGAGAAGTTCCTGGCGTTGAAAGGCGCGGCCGACGCACCCCTGCCGACTGGTGATTTGGCATATCGGATTGTGCTTAGTCTCGATGAGGTCAAAGAAGCAGAGCTTAGAGACTGGATTGCGAATCCTACCTGCAACTTCTGGGTTGGACCAGGCGCTCATGTTGTGGCTTACTCACTGCGCGATGGCCACATGTTCAACGTCGTATTGCTGGTGCCAGATGATCTACCAGCGAACGTTGCGCGACAGCCAGGTTCATTGGATGAGATGCGGGCATTGTTCAAGGACTGGGATCCTGTCCTGAACCGCTTCCTGGACCAAGTGAAATCTGTTGACAAATGGAAGCTCATGCATCGCCCAGAGTTGGATAGCTGGGTTAGCGATCAATCGACCTTTGTCTTCGTCGGAGACGCTTGCCACCCGATGTTGCCGTATCTAGCGCAGGGCGCCAATTCATCAATGGAAGATGGTGCAGTGCTGGGCAACGTACTAGCAGCGATGACTTCGAAGGCCGAATTGCCAGCCGCGCTCCGTCTATATGAGCGGTTGAGGAAGGCTCGTGGTGAAGCCATCGTCCGCGAGACTTTCGCTCAACGAGAAGACTTCCATATGCCTGATGGCCCGGAGCAGCAGAAGCGAGATGAGCTCATGCTTGCCACGCTTGGTAAAGATATCAGTCGTAGCGGGCCTTTCCCTAGCCGATGGCAAGGCGGCAACGTCCAGCCGTGGCTCTACGGGTACGACGCACAAGCAGAGACCGATGCTGCACTGCGAGACTCACCACTAGGTGCTGCGGGATAACTTTGTCGAGGTAGATAAGGTAGCAATATGCACGCCAGGCTCGTGCATCGTACTTGATCGATCATACTCGTCGTTGCGTAGCACCGCTCGTGGCTCGTGGATCATGCAGAGAGCCTTTTAGTTACCAATTGCAACTGGGGTGGTGCTGTGATCCTGCGTCTTGCCGAGAAGCCTATCTACTCCTGGATCGACATTGTTTTTCTAGTTCGGCATCGCTTCATGTTCCAGCCTCGGCTCGCCGTCTCGCCTCTGCACGCCGCCCATGTGTTGTCCACGTTTTCAGACTATCGATCCTGCAGTGGAAAGTGTTGAGACGCAAACTAGCCAATGGCGCGAGAGGGCACTGCCGTCGTACGGAAAATGCCTTTGGTGCTAGCTTCACGGCGCAGATCGGCCGGAAGCCAGTCCCGAGGAGGGCAAGCGGGCAGGGTGCAAGCTCAAAATCCAGGCGTAAAAGGCGCACGGGGGTGTCGGACAAGGCTGCAATGCAAGGGCTCTAATTGTGGGTATGCCCAGTTCAGACTCGGCACCTAGAACGAGCTAGAGACGAAGTGGCTTAGATGGCGTGGGAGATGCAGCAACCGGAATTAATCGCGAACGCTCTGCCGCGGCAAGTGAGACACTTCAAAGGCCAGGAGGAAGCCACACAAGTACCTCTGTGTGCAACCCTCACCTCGTTGCATTGCTTGCTCTGTGAGCTCGTTGTGTTCTTTCCCCCAGTCCTCGAGTCCTTTGCACGATCCTTCGCTCAGCGTCTAAGCTCACCCATCCCGTTCGAGCACCTCGCTAGTTCCGTAGGACGTGCAGAAACGGACAATGGCGGAAACTGTTCTCGAGAACAAGATGAATCGAGTCGAGCTGGCAGAGGAGGAGCTCAAGGATCACGCAGATGCGTTGCCGCCGCGGTGTATGCATCACAGTCACCGCTCATCCTCTGCCTATAAGACACTAACAACCTCCTCCAGACCCGATCGCTTCCAACGACCCCAATGGTAAGTGTCTTATCATGGTGAGCTTGCAGATCATCCACTGACCATCGCTTAGACCCCTTGAACTGGCCTCTTGCGGCTAAGATCACGACATATGCTACTGTCTGTCTCTTCTCATTCATCGCCAACGTCAATGGGTCCAACTTCACCGTCGCCGTACTTCCGCTATCGAAGCATTTCCACACTGATACCAACCATGCCACCTTCCTCATCGGCTTCAACGTGCTCATGTTCGGTCTCGGAAACGTCCTTTGGGTGCCTCTGATGCGTGTATTCGGCAAGCGTCCGGTCTACCTAATGGCACTGGCGGTCTTCATTGCTGCCAATGCATGGAGCACAACAGCTAAGACTTGGGGCAGCCTGCTCGGTGGTCGCATGCTGTCTGGATTCGGTGCATCTGCCGCAGACGCCACGGTGCCCAGCTTGGTTGCAGACATGTTCTTCTTGGACCAGCGCGGTAACTGCATGATGTTCTTCTCCTTCGCGCTCTCCACTGGCATCTTCTTGGGTCCAACAATCAATGCCTATACCGTGCAATACCACAACTGGCGATGGTCATGCGGTTACCTTGCATGCGTGGGTGGCCTGTTGTTCATTCTTACTTTCTTCCTTATCCGGGAGACGCAATACCTCAAGGAGCGCAGGCAGTGGCCGGAGGATGAGATCCCAGCGAAGCGGACCTATGTTCAATGGCTTAGCCTTTCCGTTGGCTACAATTCCGACCGACCGCTTCAGCGTTTCCTGACCACCTTTTGGGACATCGTCCGCATGGCCACCTACCCACCCATCTTCTGGACTGGCTGCGTTATTGGTCTTTTCGTTGGTTGGACCATCATCATTCAGGTCACGGCTGGCCAGATCTTCGTCAAGCCTCCTTACAAGTGGCATCTGGGCCTTGTTGGCGTCTTCTCGCTTGCAGGCTGGGTTGGCGTCATCCTGTCGTTCTACTTCGGTGGCATGCTCATTGACTTGATCTCCAACCGCGCTCGTCAACATACTCACACTATGGGCGCCAAGCCAGGAGCCCGTCTTGCTGCTCTAGTCATCCCGTTCGTCATCTCTCCCGTTGGACTCATCATCTACGGCCTGCTTGTGGCGGAGAAGAAGCGATGGGTTGGTCCGGCCTTCGGTACGTATTCCACAGGCTTCACGCTTACCTGCAATGCGAGAAGTCTCTAATGGTTGGATTGTAGGTTACGCCATGCACTCGTTCGGTTTCACTGCAGTCAGCAACATCGCCGTCACCTATGCCGTCGACTGCTACCAGCAATTTGCTGGCGAGGCTCTGGTCACCGTCTTCGTCGTGCGTAACGTTATTGCGCTTGTCTGCTCCTTCTACGCCAATCGCTGGATCGCGGAGGATGGCATGAAGAAGGTCTTTGGTTCGATGGCTGGAATTGAATGGGTAAGTGCTAAGCCGTTACTCTGCCCGACTCGATTCTAATCAATCTCCCCAGGCCCTCCTTGTGCTCGGCATTCCGTTGTACTTCTTCACCAAGCAGATCCTTGCGTTTACCAGCTCCTACGGCCCTATGAAGAGGTCGCCTAAGGCGTAGGTTTTGGGAACCAGAGGTTTAAGCCGTCATATACAGGATAGAGCGTCACGATGATGAACATACCATTCTTCTACAGTCATGCCGATCGATCCAACACAGCGCGAGTAATTCCCGTTACGCTTCCACATTGCATCACATAATCCCGCATCTTCGGAAGCCGAGGTGGAGTTGTACACACCCCAGTAGGCTTCAGCAGAAAGGCCGCAAGTTTGAGGAAAGGCTACTCCCAGGATGATGGGAAGCCATTGTGTCCCATGGCTGTGACCGCAGCTCTGTTCGGGCTTGTTATCAGGGATATTGGTCGTTTGCCCAGGTGTGCTCTGCAAACCGAGACCTCGCAGGCATACTGTAATCCTCGTTTACTCCATGCTCCAGCTGTTCACCCGTATTGCAAAGGGTGTGGTGATTCCTCCAACAGTGGTGGTTTGCAAGCCAGTGAACGATACACATAGTCACACCATCGAACATACAAAGGCGTGTCTCGCAAAGGTATCTACTGAGTGAAGGAGTGATCACTGGCAAGATGCAACAACGGCAGTAAGCCCGATGAATTGTCATTTATACTTCTGCTTGAGGACAGTGTCTACGGCATTGTCAAGACATGGTGCTTTCCGGTTGTGCTACGTGCAAGCGTTGCGTGCCTTCTTCTATATTATCCTTCCCACCGCATCCCTTGGACACCTGCTACGCTCATCAACTCAAGAAGAACGTGGTCATTGATCTGGGTTCGACCTGAGCCGTGAATCTGCCTCCGCTGAACGTGAACTGGTTGCTCAGAGTCACATTGTGGGTGTTGTCGGTAAGGTAGGCAGCAGCCCGAGAGACGCTCGTCCCAGCGAGGTCCACGTTGACGGTATACGGGTAGTATGCAGCGTTGACCACTGGGATGGAGACGGTACCATTGGTGTTGACCCACGCAGTGACATAGACCTCCTCGACACTCGAGTTAGCCGCAATACGTACGGCGCCCGGCCGTGCAAAGCGGAAGTAGCCGGCGAATGCCCAGAGTCGGGCAGCGACTTGGTAGGATGTGCCTAATATTGATGGGTATGTGTGTCAGCAGTGTCTCGGACGACTTGAGATTATGCACGCATTTACGTGCTTACCATTGACATTGACGAGCGCAGCATCGCCACCGTTCCAGGAACACCACCAGTGGGACCAGCCCGCCACGTTGTTGACGAAGGCGTTATGCATGTAGATGGCCCACTGGAAGCCTTCAAAGTTCTGGCCTTGTACGTCCCAAGTCGGAGTCCATGTTGATCCACCATCGCTCCATTCCGTCTCAATGGTAGGTTGGCCGTGGAGGAGATCGGCAAAGGGCCGTTTCACATCAGATTGGTAGTTATGGTAGGTGTTGACATCGAACAAGTCAAGACCACCGAGACGACCCAATTCGTAGAGGAGGTCGCGCTGCTGGCGAGCCCCGGTCGAGTCGCAACAAGATACCGATAGGCTAGGAAACGCCTTTTTGACCATTGGGTACAAGACGGAGAGGAAGTCGTACGCTTGATATCCGTCAGACAGCATTGCGGAGTAGGTGAAAGGGTTGAAGTCAGGTCTGCGCGAACGTCAGCGTTATAGTCATTGAGTCATGCTGGCAACCGCGAACATACTCATTGTACGCGCCGAGCAGGCTTGTGTTAATTCCCCGTTGCTGGTAGAGTCTCACATATTCAATCAAGTAGTTCGCGTACGCCTCACGCCAATCATACGTGCAGTTGGAACGACGGACGCCACAGATGTACCCTCCACCGGCCTCCTGGCCGGTAGTCTTGAAGCACCCAGGCGCAGACCATGCGTCAGCGTAGAGGAATAGGTTTGGGTTATATCTGAGCGCGTTTTGCGCAAGCGTTAGTTGGCAGCTGTCATTGTTGGGTGGGAAAGTGTAGTTGAACGGCCCCGCAGGCGTTGCCGGACACGTTGGGAGAATGGTGGCGCCCCTTGACGATCCGATGAGGTTGCGGAGGATGGACAAGCCACCAACGTTCTCATCAAATAGTGTTCTGACCACTGTTTGCTGGTCGGCCGCCGAGAGTGTGTTGGTCGTGCAAGCTGCACCGAAGGCTCCAGAACACCCTCCGCCTATCATTTTCTGGAATTGCTGGCCAGCATTGACGGAGACCCCGACCACGAACGTGAGACTGTTGTTGGCACTGGGCGTACTGGAGCTCGCTGGTGCGCTCGATGCGGCCACGGCGCTTGAGCTGGCTGGACGGCTGGGTGTGGTGACAGCGCTTGAGCTGGCTGAGTGGTCTGATGAGAAGGCCGGGACTGAGCTGGCGCCGTGGCCGGGTGAGTCGACCGAGCCCCAAGTGCCTGGGCCCCAGTTGGGAGGACCCCAATTGCCCTGAGCCTGCCAGCGTTGGGTTAGCGAGTGCTCGTTCCTCGTCCGGAGCTGAGTTGAGATGATCAATCGTCTCCCCTGGGGTGTCGACAACGTGAACGATCGCGACACCTCACAACAGGAACGTGACCAAACATGCCTCGCCCAAAAGAAACGGAGGCTGCCACGCGCTGTCTCAATCACCCCCAATCGGATCACTTACCGACACTGTGGTGGCAGCAGCGACCGCCATTATGGAGAACTTCATCTTGGTTACCAGACTAGGCTACTAGTCAACTGCAAAGCTTAGTGAAGGAGATCTCGGGTGACGAAGGAAGTGTGGTCTACACTTAGGGAAAGTGCTGCTTTTCAATGGTTGCTTGGTACGTATGATGCACCTCGCAGTCCATCTCTTTAGCCGTGGAGGTGGAGTTGCTACGCTACCAGCGAAGATCCGCAGAGGATGCATTGTGGGACCTGCATAAGCTCGTGCTTGTGGTATAGCCCCGGCTGGGAGACGAGGAGGCGCCATTTCCCACGTTGTATAGCGTTTACCATTGGAGATCCAAGCAATTGCGTGAGTGAAACGTGAACTATGCGGCTGTCTGTTGGTACTAAATAGTCCGTCGTGTCTCTTGCTTTGTGGACGAGCTCACAGACGGATGTCAGAGTACGAGCAAGGGTTCATGGCATTTTCAGGTACCAAGCATGATGTCGGCATTGGTGCAATGTGGCTGCGGGGTACAGTCAGTATGGTAACCGGCTGAATACCAGGACGGTCCTGCTGGCGTCCTTTCGGGTGAGACGGCACGCTTGTTGTGATTCTGTAGTCTCGGCAGCGATAACTTTCTTGCACATGACGCTATTCTGCCATTCTCCTTGCATACAATGGGGAATGTCCTGGAATGCACGAGAGCGAGGAGGAGCAAGACGTCGAGCAATGTGCCGTCGGCTACTTCCGACAACATATAAGCTTTCCGAGTAGGTCTTGGCACATGTCCCAAGTCACTTCCGAAGAAATCGCACCGTCTGTCTGTCTTTCCTTCCCAACACACTTCATATCAATGAACGCTTAATCAAGCACCGATCCTGTTATGTCCGTGGACTCGTGTTCATATTGGCGTCCAAGAACGATCTCTAGGCGCTTTTAGGCTTCTGGCCGAGCCGGTTAACAGCGCGTCGTGGCCATGGAGTCACCTGCGTTTTTGCCTTACAATCTTCCCGATACATGTCGATACGCGCGGCTGCTCGCCTATGCAGGCTGCAGACGAAGCGGAGAGATGCGACCGGAGCGAAGCTTTCGCACAGTCAGCGTGGTACTATTCTTGCGTGTATTGAGGTCTTTGTCTTGTTCTTGTTGCTCTCTGTGCTCCCTTCCATTACTGGTGCAGCTGTCGGTAACGGGCAGCCTCTGACGCCGATCAGCACAAGCTTCGTGGCCGCCAAATGTCCACTAAACCCCTAAGCGCAGGTATAGACGCATATTAGGGAAGGGAGGGGCCTGTCAATCGTCGGTTTAGCGGGGTCGGCGAGAATTGTTCGAGATGGTTGCATTCCTGCACACTGTTGCGATTTCAACTGTTCACTTCCTGATCTAAATTCTTCATTGTCGCAGCTTATTCTAGTCAGTCCAGGACCACACTGAAATTAGCACGAGCAGTCTTTTGATCGACTATGGCGCCAATAGCTCTTGACGAACCGCATACCAATGGCCACGCCAACGGCACCTTGAACGCCAAAGCTGCATCTTTCACACCAAGCTCACAGACCTCCACATACCATGCCGTCTCTTCACAATCAGCCATCGATGCAGAAGCAAGCTACGCCGCGCACAACTACCACCCATTACCAATAGTCTTTGCCAGAGCCTCTGGCTGCTCAGTCTGGGATCCAGAAGGCAAACACTATCTTGATTTTCTGTCCGCATACTCGGCCGTTAACCAAGGCCACTGTCACCCGAAACTCATACAAGCTTTAACTGAGCAGGCGAGCCGCTTGACGCTGAGTAGCAGAGCATTCTACAACGATGTCTTTCCTAAGTTCGCCGAGAAGATTACAAAGATGACGGGGTTCGACATGGTGCTACCGATGAACACTGGCGCAGAGGCGGTAGAAACGGGCGTGAAAATTGCGCGGAAGTGGGGCTATAAGGTCAAGGGCATACCGAAGGACAAGGCTCTCGTGTTCAGCGTCCAGGAGAACTTTCACGGCCGGACATTTGCCGCCATTACCATGTCGACGGACCCGGAAAGCAGAGATAACTACGGACCCTACCTACCTAACGTTGGTGCAGTGTGCCCAGCCACGAAGAAGCCAATACCGTACAACGACATCAGCGCGGTGGAGGCAGCTTTCGAGGCTCACGGCAAGGAGACCGCAGGCTTTCTGGTAGAGCCAATCCAGGGTGAGGCTGGCATTGTTGTGCCAGATGAGGATTACCTTCGAAGAATACGCGAGCTGTGCGACAGGCACAACGTCCTCATGATATGTGACGAGATTCAAACCGGCATTGCAAGAACCGGTCGGTTACTATGTCACGAGTGGAGCGGTATCAAACCAGACCTTGTGCTACTAGGCAAGGCAATCAGTGGTGGCATGTACCCAGTATCGTGCGTACTAGGCAGGAGAGATGTCATGCTCACGATTGAACCCGGCACTCACGGTTCCACATACGGCGGGAACCCACTCGGCAGCGCTGTCGCAATCAAGGCACTCGAGATTGTAGAGGAGGAGCGCCTCGTCGAACGCGCGGAAAGTCTGGGAGAGCAGTTCCGGCAAGGACTGCGAGACATTCAGAGCAAGGACCCACTCATTAAGACCATTCGCGGCAAAGGTCTGTTGAATGCAATCGTGATAGATGAGAGCAAGGCAAACGGTCATAGTGCGTGGGACCTCTGCATGTTGATGAAGACGAAAGGACTTTTGGTAGGCCGAGCCCTCAAGATAGCACATGTCAAATCCTCCGGAGCGAGCAATGGATCCTCCGGAGAGGCGACCGCGAGCTCCCTTCTGGATCAAGGCGCTAACAGCGCTTCTTCGCAGGCCAAACCTACCCATCAGAATATTATCCGGCTAGCGCCTCCGCTTGTCATCACGGAGGAACAGATCAAGACTGCCTTGCGGATTATCGAAGAGTCGGTCGTGGAGCTGCCGAACCTGAAGGGTAAGGCGGAGAAGGAGGTGTTACCAGAGGGCGAAAAGAATGTGCATATTGGCCTTGAGAATTGAAAGCTCAACGCTTTGTATTGTATCTAAGTTTGTGGGTGACTCCGTCATTAGGCGGCGCAGTGCTTGATAGCGTTCAACTAAGCATAAATCAAATGGCAATATGTGTAAAGTTGCATACTGAGGTCAGCTTCCGCATTTGCAAAGTGAGGACGCCCGTGCTCATTCGATCTCTGATTTAGTGGATTGGCGGCTCAGCATATATCTTATGTGGGAGTGTTCGTCGCGCCGATGCTGCGAATACGAGGCAAGGAAGGAACGGGTCGGATGAGTGCCAAGACCGACCTGTTCATTCACCTCACCTCAACCTTTGATACGCCATATCCTATCTTCCTATCGCTGATACAAATGATACTATCATTAGCAATATGACCCCTGCCACGGACACAGATACTGGCCGCAAACGGCGTGCTCACAAAAAGTCCCGAGGTGGCTGCGCGAACTGCAAGATAAGACGGGTGAAAGTGTGTTGATACTTTCACGACGCAACCATTCCCCTCACTGACTGAAACAACCTTGCAGTGCGACGAGAAACACCCTGAATGTCACAAGTGTCAAGCGTATGGTGTCGCTTGCAACTACGGTAGCGATGCACCTAACGAGCTTCGACATGCTGGGGAGTCTGCTTTCGCCATCCAACCCGCTATGCCTCTGCCGAGCGAAGTACCGGCCATACAAGATCTTCCAGGACGACAGTTAGACTTTCAACTTCCGCCGACGCCTCCTACCGAGTCCATTCTGAATCTGCTCAACTTTCCTCTCGCGCTCCACGAAACCGACGAGGTCTATCGCCTCACCGAGCAAGATCTGGACCGATTGCAAAGGTTCCAGGACCGGACTGTACTCACAGTAGGCACTGCACAGACAACTCACATCTATAGGGATGTCATCCTCAAGCTTGGTTGTGAACATTCATTTCTCACCCACATCATTCTGGCGTTGGTGCTTATGCATGACCGATGTATGCAAGACTATGAACACCAGCCTCGTTCGGCGCCTTAGACAACGCTGACGGTTACGGCACGCACACTTGTAGATCTGTCGGCAGACCCATGGCAACCGCCCATGACCGAAGAGACTTTTCATCATTACCACGGCACCGCTATATTCAACAAGGTATTGTCCCAACCGATGCCGCACGAGGTGAAAGACGCCATGTGGGGATGTGCAGCGCTCCTGGGTTGCCTTACGCTGGCCTCGGTTGACGCCTCCAAGCCTGAGGAGTCCTGGCCACTGAAGCCGGATGGGCTTAACGATCTAGACTGGCTACGGATGAGTGACGGGAAGAAAGAGGTGTGGCGTATCGCAAATCCTCTTCGTGAAGATAGTGTCTGGCGGCCGGTCATGACGCACGTCCACAGCAATGACGCCACGCCAGTCGCTGACAGACCGGAATTGAATCATTTAATACCCGCCATGACTCGACTTTACAGCTTCGACGAATCTGCGAACGCTGAAGGGGATCCCTACCACACTGCCACTTCCATCATACTGCGTCTGTTGCCGATACAGTGCACGCATGGAACGATTATGTACTTCTTGTCATTCCTAGGCCATATGAACCCGGACTACCGTTTGCTACTGCACCAGAAGGACCACCGAGCAATGCTATTGCTGGCGTGGTGGTATGCAAAGATGATGGACTACCCTGTATGGTGGTTGCAAAGGCGGGCCACCATAGAATGCAAAGCTATCTGCATCTACCTTGGAAGGAGGTATATCCCGCAGTCAGATGTGGGAAGGTTACTTGATTTTCCTAAGATGATGTGCGGCTTTGCTATAAGCGGCGCCTTCGGGCAACAAGTAGACGAAGCGAGGTCGTCTGCACGTTTGAGATCTTGAAGCTGGCCGACGTCGCGTTCAGCGATCTCGGACAGTCTAAGCGAACGAAGCGAGTGCGTCCTACTGGGCGTACTGGATGTGCACAAAGCCTCCCGTTTACAACGCCGTTACAATTGGCCTGAACCACTACGTCTGAAACCGGACTAGGTACCGGAGCTGGATTTGCGCCACATCTAAAGATATTGACCATAACCGTCAGCCTTGTGTCGTACGACAAGCAAGAACAAGATCTGTGGTGTACTCACCATAAACGATGTACTCATTGTACTGCAGATACGCGGTAGGATGTTGCTCCAGGTCCACAGGCTCCTTCTCGACATCAGGAATCTTGACACCCTATAAGTCTTTAGATATGTTGTTCCCGGCATGAACCCAGCCTGCAGACCGATGCGGACGAGGGTCAGCTACGTCTCATACGATGAGGCAGAATCTACACTTGTTTTGCTTACCCTGTGGCACTGTACGGCCGATGCCAAATGTCGCGATGGCGCCTTCCTTCTCCGCTCCCTCACGAGCGTTGCCATCACCCCCCAAGGAGCTCGTACACGGGGTTACCGAGCTCGACTTCGCATAGGAGAAGCAGACTTGTTTTGCCAGAGCTAGAGCTGACAGAGTAATTCGCACTTTTGGTCGAGATGTCTGCAAGATACACGCCTTTCCGAAGGCATAGCCGTTGACGGGAGCCTCGGGTGGTGCGATGCGGAGGCCTTGGCTCAGTATGCCGCCTACACGAGCATTCAGCATTCCACTCGTTCCACGTTGCAAGTGCTAGCATACCAAAGTTGTTGTTCGAGAGCCGTGCCACAGCAAGCGGCGGTTCTTGTCCTTCATCTTGGCAAACCTCAACTGGTTAAATCGGTCCGATTCGCCTTCGCGGGCTATCTTAAGATGTCTTGGAGACGATAAGGAATGGAATGAGTGTGGCCTACCGTGTTTAGCAGGTATCTCTTTAGGCCTTGATATTCGTCGGAAGAATGATGCAAAGGTTAGCGTTCCTCAAGCTCGAGCTGCTCGAAGCGCTTGCTGCCCGGATGCCTTCCTCTTGCCTGTGAGTGGCATATCGACGGGGCACGACCGGCAACAGATAATGAGATGTAGAAGGGACAGTGGACAGGCAGGAGGTACAGGGGCGACTTATAATGCGCATCACTTACCAGCCGGCCGTGCACGATCCTTCAACGCCACTGCACCAACATAGCTACGGCATCTTTAGCGAAATGTGTTCATCGTTGCCTCTGCCACTCCCAGTCCATCAGAAGCGGCTGCCTGTTAGTGAGCCGAAACCGCTGCCGGCGCCCGTCGACGTTGCGTGCGGAGGCGTGGAGAAAGCAAAAGGCTCCAAGTTCCGGCGAGATGCATGCTACAACGCAGGCGGCGGTGGGAGCCTGCGACGTCGAGACGCTACAACACATTGTTCGTCTGGTTTCTTTTGATGCATACAACGCGTCAAGACGATGGTTGGAAGTGGTTGAAACCAGTGATGTTATTGGATCGTAGCGCGAGGCAACACTCTGCGCAGACCTGAAAGAAGCGGCGAATCTCTGATTGGCTTGTACGATCGTGACGCCAGCGGCTGGCGCCCGAAAACGCATGGTGAGACTGTATCGCCTACTAACTACCAGTTCCTGTACGTCTTCATCTACCCAGCAGTCATTGAACGGGACACACATGGAGTGCACTTACTGCTGTCTTGCAGTCCTCGGCCTACTGATTCGTCGCACGACACCAGAGGCTGCCCATTTCGCATCGGGAATTGAGGTCGAATATGGACGGTACCAGACCACGTTTCCAGGACTGTTGGCATCTCAATCTGCCCTGGAAGCTGACGTGTAAGCTTTTGGCAGGCAAACGGTACAACATGCCATCATGAGACGCCCGACGTTGGTCGACTAGTCCCGAAATCGCTACCGCCATTGCTGGGGTACGAAGTCACAGGAGACAAATACGATGACAGGGATCTTGCGAGCAGCCACCCGGCAGCCCAGAGTCATCACAAGTCCTGTGGACCCTTGACGCCTTCTCACGAGCTCATGGATCGTACATGAGATCGTCTTCCCGTGAATTAGGGCAGATCATTCGGGACGTCTTCATATCCGTCCTATCTCATTGACAGGACATACACGTCTAAATCCACCCCCCGACCCGGAGAGCCGCCGACAAGGCAGTCAAAACGTACTGACTCAGTTGACTGCCAGAGGCGAATCGACCTTCTTCAGTGGAGCATCCTCTTTCTCGCCGTTCGACTGCTGGCCCAGTCCTAGCTCTTTAATAAAGATGTCCGCAGCGCGCTCGCCGACTACGAACGCGGTGTTACCGGTATTCGCGCCTACATTTTCGGGAGGCACGCTGAGATCAGCCAGCTTGAGGTTCGTGAAGCCGTGAACATTCAGGTCCTTGTCAACGACACCCATCTTGTCTTTGGGCGCCATCTTGCAAGTGCCGAGGGAGTGCCATGTCGTGCTGACAATCTCGCGGACCCTTTGCTCGATGGCTTTGTCATCCTCTTCGGTGTACTTAATGCGCTCGTTCCCTTTGCCAATCGGCCCGTCGGTCTGCTCGACCACTGCAGCCTTCGAGCCCGCGGGAAAGCGTGGGTGGCTGCTTGCTAGCTCACCCCTGAAAATGCTCATTCGCCGCCACATTTCTCGGCTCAGTTTGTAAGCCCAGATGTGCTTCTTGACGCTGAAAGGAGTGTGCGAGGTTAGTTGCATCTCAATAATCAAGGCAGGTCACTTACTCAATGTCATGCTCGTCTTGAAGCCAGCCAGTATTGAAGTCGATAGGATCGTTGACATCCTTCCCAGTGATGTGAATCGAACCGCGAGAATACGGATAGGCGGTCCAGTTTGCCTACACGAAGGTCATGGTTAGCACTTGTCCCTACACTGACCACCGACTTATTTGGAAGACGCAACATACCATTGAGACATACTCAGCGTCGTCGGGCAGCATCGAGTGATCACCGTAATAGCTGCTCAGTGGTTAGCGTGCGAAAAAGCATCGTTCCTGGCACTGCTTTCTACTCACCACAGATACATCGCCATGATCATAAGCGGCCTGTCAGGAGCATTCTTGAAATCCGCGTCCCACTTTTTCCGAAACTCTGGGCCAAGTGCATCAACATCTTCCTCAGTAGGACGGAATTTGCCGGCTGGACATTGCAATCAGCTTTCGAGGAACAAGAATCAAGTGGATCACAAGCGACAACCTACAAGCATCCATAGCATTGGTACCCAAGCGCTCGTCAGTATTGTGGATGGCCTGTTGAACGTCCAAGCGGCCATCGATCAAAGCGTTGATAGTATCCTTCGGCTCGAGGTTTGTACGGTAATACCACAGGCTCAAGTGATGGTCCTGGTAATCATGGCCGACACCAGGCATATCTGCGACGACATCCACTCCAGCACGTCCCAGAATCTCCGGGTTGCCAACTCCCGAGCGCTCAAGTATCAGTGGCGTAGCATTTGCGCCGGCAGAGAGGATGACCATCTTGCGCGCCTTCACAACGCGAGGAGTCTGCTTGGCCGTCATATACTCTGGGTTCGGCAAGTACTTGGGGTTCGTCTGATACTCAACTCCGACGGCTTTCTTGTTCTCATCGAACAAAACGCGGATGACTTGCTTCTCGGTCATGACATGGAGATTGGGATATTTTCCGCTCTGGAGCTTCGGGTGGATGTAGCGGTGCGCAGCATCCTGACGCCTACCGTTCGGTCCAACGTACTTCATCCATCGCTCTGTGCCGTTGTTCGAGTCAAGGTTCTGCAGATCCTTGAGCTCGTGGTAGCCGAGCTGATCAGCTGCATTGATAAATGTATCCTCGGCGTGCTTGCATCGGTGGGTGCCACTGGAGACATTTACGGGCCCGCTATCACCGTGGTGCTCTTTCTCGCCATAGCCATGGTAGGTCTCAAACTTCTTCAGGAAGGGGTAGAGGTCATTGGCACTCCATCCTTCCGTCTTCCATGAGTCGAAATCGGATCGCTGAGCTCGGGTATAAACCATCCAGTTGATCGAACTGCCACCCCCAAGGGTGCCTCCAGAAGGGACAATTGGCTTTCGACCCGCTAACTGCTCGGACTGGTTGCCTTGCCAGAACAGAGTAAGCTTGCTGTTTGGATGTAGGTTCCTCGGGTATAACCCAGGGTGGACAACTTCAGGGATTCCATAGTTGTTGGGTCCTTGCCTAAGCAACCATGGGTAGGAGGATCAGTGAGGCTTCAGACACTTGCAATGAGTGCCATATCGCTCTGCTTACTCGATGACTAAGATAGACAGCTGAGGATCGGCTTCAGCAAGACGGCCAGCGATTACGCAGCCAGCAAGACCACCGCCAGCAATGATAACGTCAACCTCATTGAGTTCTTGTGGGAGCTTGATGAAGATGCCCATTTTCGCATGAGGTCTCGAAGAAGACTCGTTCTGTGGTATTGAAAGCTTCGCACCAAGATGAGGATCCACAGACGCAGGAGGACGCGCGAAGATATATAAGTCTGGGAGAACCGCACGAACGGACAACCGAACCCCTCAGCACAAGCATGACAGTGGACACGAGTGAGCGGGCATTGATTGTCGACGATCTGTACTGCAGAACCGAGGGGACTTGGGAGCTGTCATGACCCCGCGCCGAAGGCGAGAGGAGCACCCTCCCAAGCACAGGTGGCGGCAGAACAGCAGATAGCGCGTCTGTGATGGCCATCGAAGAGATCGACGATTATATAGCCGCGTAAGATGTTGGTCGTATACCCTAATGGCTGAGCTCTGTGTGTTGGCAGCATAAAGTTCATAGTCTTCGCGGAGGCGGAAACACTGCGGAGGTAAGTTTGTGGGGTGTGGAGAAGGAACGTTGACCATGCTACATGCTACCCCGTCTGCTCCATGATTTGTTCAGACCGAAAAACCAGTTCGGTCGGCGCTGAGGCTCGGCGGCAAATGCAATGATCGTTGTAGTCTGCGCTTGGAGATCGACGGAAGGTTCAGGACGTCAGCAGCCCCATTATCTGCGAAGATTTGTGTTACTGAGCATTACCGCGTGTTTGTCGCACTAAATGTCACTGTACGTGTGTACCACTGTACGTGTGTGTGAGTTCAACGATAGCCGATCGTCCAAGGATCATCCTGATATCGTGGGTTGCTAAGGCGTGCTTGTTGGGGTTTGAACCAAAGCCAGGTAGCAGAAGCTGCTCTGATGGCTATAGTAAGGTGTCAGGATCGTTTCGAGAAGGAAACGGCGTCAGTCCTGGAGGCCGTTGCCCTGCTTCTATTAGCTTACCCAGGCAATACTTCTCTCCTGTCCTACGCCGGACAGTCAGATGCCACCAACGTGGCGAGCACGTTGGCTGGCCATAAAGCCATTGATATAATGTGCCGGTAAACCATGCATTTGATTGACAGGCAGCAGATCGCCGACATCGCCGGGGCTCGTAAATTGATTCTGGGTATAGAGATATGGACGCTGAAACTACAAGTGGCCGTCAGAAAATGTAACCCAAACCCACGCCTTCCCCCACCGAACGTCCTTAACTGGGCGCCACGTATCCGTCATGCGGTAGCTGTAACGCCTTCATCAGGTTCGGATAGCTGTCAGCTACGATAGCGATATCCCAGAGAAGCCAATCCCGTGTTGTACCGCCATGATCTCGAGCGGTTGAGGGTGTGGCCTTTCTATATTGGTGTTACTGGTAGCACGCACACAACCGTAAGTGCTATTCTTGGTGTTGTTGTTGGGCATGACTATCGATGTGCACCGACTTGCTGCTGATGTTGTTCGCCAGAGTAGTAGGTGCCGTGGACTGCTATACTGATGCCAACGCATACACCCACAATGGCGCCAACAATGAACAGAGCAATGACCAGTTTGCATAGAAGCTGATTCCTTTTGCTCATCATGGTCCATCTGTCCTTCAACATACCACAGCCAGCACAGCCTCGCTGAGCCCGTTGCTTCTGCTTCTCCGCCGTCTTCTGTCGCATAAGGGTCTGCCTTGACGGCCACATGCTGCATTCTTTGTTGCAGTCCACGCTAAGCTTGCTCGCAAACGGGTTTTCTTCGTCTTTGGCGGTCAAGGGAGTGGCATTACCGCTCTCGAGATCCTTCTCGAAGATGGCGACGTTATCTCTGCTGTATTGTTTGCTTTCTGCATGGTGATAGAAGGGTGAGTGCGGTGGAATGGCGTCGTTGTGGTAGTCCGCACTGACGTCGTCCCGGGACACAGCAGGGGTAAGAGCTGGTGAGTCGAGGGTGGGTGGTGGAATCAGAGCTTCATCCTGGCGTTCCGTTTGTGGGACAATCGTTGCACCGAAGGCAGTCTTCTCGTGCGAGGCTTCCATAGCGTAGCTTGCCGACTAGCCTTGCAAAGGGAACGGCTGTTTGACTCTCTTCTTACCAGAACCTTAGATCTTTAGGAAAGCAGAACAGAGACGGCCAGTTCAGATGCTGGTGATGTGGAAATCGGACCCAGCCGAATGCCAATGCCAATGCCCCTGGCTAGCAGTGAAGGCAGTAAAGCAGTTTAGGCGAAGAGCATAAATGTGAGAGGTAGCGTAAAGGTCTAAGCAGAGACAAAGGCAGTGAACAGAAAAGGTGGTTGATATGAACAAATGGCAGTCTCTCAAGAGGGGAAGATGGGATGTACTGAACCTAATAGCATACCTTGAGACAGCGTGCAGCAGGTGGCTCGCGTAGGCAAGAGCTTGGGTGCGTCAAAGCACAGCTCGATTCAAGCACGCTCCGTGCCCATGATTGTTGACATTGCGCCTACGCACTTGTTCCTGAGTCCTGACGAGCCACCTCGGCCACCTTCCCTCAACAAGCACAATCACGCGGGGCCACGGGAGGAGCCATGCGGACAAAGTGCCAATGGGAGCAGGGGTGCTTGCCAGAAGAGGGTTCGTCTCGATATCTCCACGCGGCAGCAAATCTAGACTCGCTCGTACTCCGGAGCGTGGAAAGCTTGCTAATTGTCACTCACGCATGATGGGGAGAGCATTCGGTGACACCGTTCACTTGCGGCAGTGCTGGAGGGCCGTTGCAGAAGGCGTACGATGGCAACGGCGATGTTCACATTCGACGTGGCACGACCCTGGCTATACTACCACGGACGCAATCTGCCGGCTGCTTCGAAGCCGAAATATCAAGGCGGCAAGGGCGTCTTGTGGCGCAGGCACCGTAATCGACTCGTTCAATACATGTAATGAGTGCTCCTTCTATTGCCCGCTTACTGCGCCATCAAGCACTCTGGTCCAGTGGCTTCGGACTTGCTGAGCCTGCAATGATAAGGTGGTCGACCGAGGAATGTCTTAGAGCACGCGCCTCCGCCGAGCAATGAGTCGCCTTCGCCCACGTCACGATGCTGCTCGCCACAAGCTCAACATTCACTGATTCCTGCTAATCTTAGCCTCCACGATATGGCCTTATCAAGCATTCGATAGGTATACGATGCGTTGATTGATGGAGAACGATTGTTCACAACTCGATCACTCGCCGTAGCACTTTGTTACCCTGATCAATGCCATCAAACCCCGTCTTGGTCATTGAACCGGAGTGGCGAAGTAAGCTTCATGCCGCTATCTGCTCTACTCGCAATGTTCCCTACGATGTCTCCTCGCTCGAAGCTCGCTTTCTCAATCAAGATCACCTACAGACACACGTTGCCCATCCTCACCATAGCACCGATACAGTTATTAGTCGCCAAGTCTGTCACTTGCTCCGAAATTTCATACTGCTTACTGTAATGTCGTTAGCTTTGTACACAGTTGAGCTCCACAGCGCCGGAACCGCCAAAGCAGACAGTGCTGCCCCTCTTGGAGCTCTTGGTCGTCAAAGGAGACGGTGCAGACTATTATCACTGCTTAACATTGTGAAATCACTACGAGACGGAGCGGCTTACCTGGCTTGCTGATGGTTGCCCCGTTGTAGATGGGGTGTCTGTGCTCGCCGTGCTTCTCACAAGCGTCGTGCTGGAAGGTATTGGATCTGGAGTCAGCGCTCGCGAGTTGCTTGCCACGGCTGCCGAAATGCTGCTCTCTGCAGCGGCAGTTGCGGCGGCTGCCTGAGACGCATCGATGACGGTCACTGATGTTACCGTTGATCGCGGCGGTAGCGTGGAGCCTGCGGCATCGACTGTGACGAGCGTCACACTGTTGACGGTGCTAGGTTGTGCGACCTCGGAGAGAACGAGGGTTGAGGTTGGCGCAGCCGTGACAGTGGCAACGCCATCAGAGCTACTTGTGGTGCTCATGGCGTGCAGTATGCCAAGGATATCTGAGGCGACTGCGGCCGCCTGTAAGCTTGCACCAGTGGTGGACGTGTTCGCCGACGGCGTTGCCGGGGTTGGCGTACTGGACGCCAGCACGGAAGTGGTTGGTACGACGTGAGGAAACGAGCCAGCACCCACCACCGTGACCGTCTGCGTAGCTAGAGCTTGTGTTTGAGGCATAAAGAAATTCGGCGCTATATTGATTGCGGGCTTGTCATCTCTACAGTTGCAGCCTGCCGCATTCGGAGCGACGAATCGTGTAGGTAGGTTGTTGTAGAGACCGATGACTGTGTATGCGAAGAGCAGCGTGCTCTCAAATAGTAGTATGACGCACAGGAGGACGAAGAGTGGCATAGGAAGCCATACGCCTGATCTGCGTTTCGGGGGTGGGTAGCTCTCGAACTTCCGGGCCGGAGATGATGGCGCGCTCTCGAATAGAGTGGAGAAGCGTGGCGGACAGTCCTTCTTCTCCGAATACTCTGCGTCGATGGCCTCCTCGTCGGGCGTTGGGGGCGGCGGTAAGTCTGCTTTCTTGCCTCGGGATTGCTGCTGCTCCGTGTCGGCTCGCATCTCGCTGTTCATGTGTTTTTCGAAGACTTGGCTGAAAGGCATGGTTTCGAGTTTCTGTTGTTGACTTTTTGCGGGTATCAGGTTTCGGAATAGTATTAGTATGCTGGTTGATGGTGTGCGGCCGGCGCGTTATGCTTCGATGTTGAATGGGATTGAGGCAGTCTTCTGGTAGAACAATAATGAGAGAATGATGCGTCCAGCGCAGTATTGACTCTGATGATTGGCGTGCGATATGAACAAAGGAAAGGAACAAAGACACAATGGAATAGTTAAGGCATTGTTCAACTTGCTTGTTGACGTGGAAGGGGGGTTGAGAGAGATCAGTGACTGTCGACGCGTGCGTGCGTGCTTCACCAGCATTACGCAAGCATAACCCGGCGCCGCTGAGCTAACGAAAAGAGAGACTCGTCGAGCGCGTCCGCGTGCTGTATCAAGAACAACATGCGTGAGTGCAAGTCTTTGGTTATGGTCAGGTGCTGCGGTGAGTTGAGCGTGGAGTCGGGACGCGAGTTTGGAAGTGAGAGTGAAGAAACGCGATTGCTCTGCCTGATTGGTTGGCTATTTTCAGGATGGTGGGGTTTGCTCTAATACGTTCAGCCTTCACTATACACTGAATCATCACAGTACCACATCACCGCATAGTACTGCAGCCTTCACTTGTTGGCGAGGTGCATACCCAGCTTGGATGTTCGCACGTTGTCAGTATTGCCTCCGCTCTCGGGATGCAATCAACAGCTTCATCCTTCGTCCTTCGCGCAGTCGCAGATCCTCGCAAGGCGAATAGCGAGGCAAGCGAAGTCGGCCATGAGCGTGAATACAATATATAAGCACTTGTTGACCTTTTCTACTGGTTGACATCTTCAAGCAAAAGCAGTGCCGTCTGCGATACTTTCACATTGACCTGACTTGTCGTCCTTGCCTTAACTCTCAACTTCCCTCCACAACAAGCAAGTATGGCACTTCCAGGTGAAACATACCGCCTCGCTTTTCCATCTCTCCCAAACCTCGAGAACCCAGCCTATGTCTCCTACGGCGTGCCCTTTGACAAAGCATGCGCTCACCACGTCGAGAACACCTATGGCGCCAAGCGCGCGTTTATCATAGCCTCTGGCTCCCTTCTTAAAAACACCGGCGAGGTCAACAAGCTCGAGCGCGCGCTCGGTGAACGGCATGCGGGGACATGGCCCGGTCTCGCACCTCACACCCCGTGGCATGAGGTAGCTGAGGCGACCAAAGATGCGCTGGCGAAGAACGCCGATTGCCTGATTACGATAGGTGGTGGCAGTCTGGTTGATGGTGCGAAGGCAATGCTGCTCTTCATAGCGAACAATGTGACATCTGTGGATGGCATCCGCGAGTTCGAGAAGAAGTGTCCAGCCAGACATGATCGTATGGGTACGAAGGCTGCGGATATTCCGGTGACATGTCCAACAGTGCCGCTGATCTGTATCCCAACAACCTTGTCTGGGGGGGAGTATACGAACTATGCCGGCGGAACATACCCAGATACTCATCTCAAATCCATCATGGGCCATCCGTTCTGCGGGCCGAGACTCATCATTAACGATCCCAAGCTCACCATTACGGCGCCGGAGTGGGTTTGGCTGTCCACAGGTGTGCGGGCCATAGACCACTGCACGGAGACGTACTGTCGGATGCACCCTCCAGATGCTGAGGTGGACGAGGCCAGCCTTGACGGGTTCAAGAAAATTGTTCCGAATCTGCTTGTGACGAAGAAGGATTGGACGAACGAGGCAGCTCGTCTTAACACTATGTTAGGCGTCAACAGCGTGTGCATCATGCTGAAGAAGAGCGTGATGCCTGGAGCTAGCCACGGCATCGGTCATCAGCTCGGTCCACTGGGGGTTGGACATGGCGAGACGAGCTGCATACTTCTCCCGAGCGTGATGAAGTATAATGCTAGCGTTAACGGCGACAAGCAGGCAAAGCTGAAGCAGGTTATGTGGGATGAGGCTCCCATCGCCGAGGTGCTGAAGAAGCGTGGACTCAAGCCTGAGAGCAGCGATGCTGGGGACGGCCTGGACGCTATTTTTCGCGAGCTAGGAATGCCGCGGAGTTTGAAGGAGAAGAGTATCGGCAGGGACAAGTTCCAAGCGTTAGCGGTCAACAGCTTAGTCGACGCTTGCTGCAAGGCCAACCCTATTCCGATAACGAAAGAGGAGCAAGTCCTGGAGATCTTAGACATGTGCGCCGGAGACCGTTAGTCTTCATCTATCTTCGGCCCCAATTCGCTCAAGACTACCATGCCGGAGGGTTGGCGACTTCGGACCCACTCCGTCTCGATGCGGAAGAAGATCCAAAGAAAGCGGCGCACGACTTCTAGCAGCTCAAGCAGGAAAATGCCAAGTTCGATGTCATAGTAATGCTCGAGATGGGGCGACAGTTTGAGCGCCCAAGCGAAGCGGAGAAGGAGGTCAATGAAGATCATGGCGTAGTATAGTCGCGTATCACTGAAGATACGGGTACGGCGCAGGCCATATGGATCTAGACAGGTAAACATCAGCATAGCGACTGGAGATAGGAAAGCTAATATATCGTCGTACGGTCTGGCGAGGCTCTCTTCGGCGTTAGCAAGGTAAGATCCCAATCGCGGGTGACGTCCCAATAGTACGAGTACAGTGCATTCGTAAGCGCGGTAAGCATCCAAATGGCGTGTAGGTTGCCATGATTGATATAAGGTTCCTCCAGACGCATGAACGTAGAAACAGCGATCGCCGGAAATGCCGTTGCATACTTCAGAGCATTGTAGGGCTGCCAGTCTGTGATGCACTGCTTGAACCGGATCACGAATGGGATTGACATGATGATTGGCACGGCAATAGCTGAGGAGCGATCAATGCGGTTCGTAGTGGCCTGTTGATGTGCCATCATGTAAAACACGATGTAGAGTTCGGACAAGGGCCGCGAATAAGACGTCAGGGCATCGGCTAGCAAGACATCCCCGAACTTTCCTTCCTCCGGACGTGCAATGCCACCAACGAGTATCCTACGAAATGTATGGAGGAGGCGCAGGCGGCCCGTAGCGGGCCAAAACTCCCTGGGATAGAGCCATCGTTGCGGGATGAGGAATGCTAGGGCCAGAACCAGGATGAGGGTGACATTCGGCACCAGACTGTGCGCGATTACGCGCTCTTGTTGTCCGCCGGCTGTCCACCACCAGAAGTAGATCAGAGAGGCCGCAAGTGGCGTTGTAAGAACAGTCGCAAAGCGGTAAACCGACAAATGCGGTGGTGGATCGGTGCGCGCTGAATACCGGATCAGGGCAGGCGTATCCTCGCAAGGTCAGTTTCACCAGAGACCGACAGCATGAGGTCAGCTTTCACCTACAATGCCGTGCCTTTGCAATACTTGCAAATTGACGCCCCAGAGCCATACGCCGAGCACCAGCGTGCTTGCGAGCCGGTAGGGGAGTGGAAGGAGCAAGCTGAAAGTGTCCAGCTCGTCCAAAGGGACGTCCAGCTCAGCCATCACCTCACCTACGCCCCATTACATGACATGGTTCGGATTGTTCGATGCGAAAAGATACATACAGAATCTCGAAATGCGGTATTCGGGAGTGCCACAGCCACCGGTCTGCTGTTTCTTCGACCCCTTACATGGGATGTGGCTCGTGCGGCAGAAAAGTTGCCATGTGGCTTATGCTTTGCTTGTACCATGCAACTCATGTTTCTCCTTCCTCTTCTGGCAGCAGCAGAAGTCTGCCCCGCTATCACCGCTAGAAGCATCACTGACTCCATCTCCATTACGCTGTATCTGCCCTGCGCATATCTAAGGTGAGCTTCGATTCCTGTTCCACTGTGCCTTCTCCCTTCTTCACTGTCTCGTACTCTCTCCAACATGCCGAAGACACAATACTTCGAGCACGAGCTCACCCTCTCCCCTCACTCCGAGCCAGCAGGCTCCAAGTTTCCAGCTCGTCTCGCATACTGGACCTTTGGCTCATCCTCCAACCCTGCCGTACTGCTCCCTTCCTGTTATGGTGGCACGCTTGCCAATACCCTCCCCTTTCTGTACGACTCCGCCGCCCACGCCAACCCAATCTTGCCACCGGAGAAGTACTTCATCATAATTACCGGCCTACTCTCCGGAAGTGAGTCTTCCTCGCCGTCTAACACCCCCGCGCCATGGAACGGACCCAACTTCCCACACGTCACGTACGAGGACAACATCCGTCTTCAAAAGGCGCTCTGCGACAGCCTGGGCGTAAAGGAACTCTTCCTGTACTGTGGTTTCAGCATGGGCGGTCAACAAACGTATCACATGTCGGCCCTTTTTCCGGGCTTCGTAGAGCACATGGTGTGCTTAGCCGGTTCCGCACGAACAAGCGCGCACAACTGGTCCTTCCTCGAAGGCCCGCGGTACGCACTGATTTCGTCCAAGGACTACCACGACGGGCACTATACTAAACCCGTTAAAGTGGGCACAACGGCATTCTTTCGTGTCTATTCCACCTGGGCGTTGTCGCAGGGCTGGTTCAGGCAAAGGTGCTGGGAGCAAACGGGCTATAAAACGGTGGCTGAGTATCACGAGGCAAACTGGTCCGGGCACGGGGACGCGAACGATCTGCTATGGCTGCTATGGACGTGGCAGAAGGGCGATATTACGTTGTATTATCCAGAAGACAATGGTGATCTGGCGAAGACTCTGGGACGTATCCAGGCGAAGTGTTTGATCTTTCCGTCAAGGACGGATCAGTACTTTCCACCGGAGGACAACGAAGAGGAAGTGAAGCATCTCAGGAATGGCGAGTTCAGATGCATTGAGACCGTTTGGGTGAGTTTGCGGTATGAGGTAGCAATGTTCTTGATACTGACTTGCGGTGCAGGGCCATATTGCCGGAGGTGGCAGCGGTACGAAAGAAGATACCGAGTACATCATCCAGGAAATCAAGCGCTTCTTGCAGCTTTGAGGTATATGGCGTGTGATCGTTGTAAAAAAGAAATGCAAAAGCTCTCCGCTTCGAGGCGGTTGACAGTAGATCGCCAGACGCCTCGCTACCTTGGACATTCGGGACGTTTTGTGGGCTCCCTCGCTTCCGGGGGGAATGTAAGTGAACATTGCGACTTTGTCTTCATAACGTAAAAGCCCAATCAGCCCTTCGAGCGGTCCACAAGGGGCGTATCGCCATTGCGCGAGTCGAGACTCCAAGGCTCGGTTCATCATGTTTTCGTTCAGAGAGTTGTTGACCATGGCATACTACGTGTCCTCACGGCGCATGGTGTTACAACAACCGTGGGATCGGTGAAACGTTCAATGGTGCCGACCATGCCTCAGCCGCCTTTCGTCCAGCCCTCTTTCTCCAGCGTCAAAGGCGTATCACCCGTGAGCAAATCCACATTGAAGTCCCTTCCGTTCGCGCTGGTCAACTTCTCCTTCGCATCCGGACTCATCTCGGGTTTCTTACGTCCTCTACGCACCTCACCCGTCGCCACCTTCTCCATTCCGTCATCCTTCTCCTCATCCGCACACCCACAATCGTAGAAGTCACCAATGTTGGCGCAATCGAATATGTCTTTCCCAAGACTCTTATTGACCTCGTTATGCACGTGACATGCCCAGCCCGCAGCCGCCTGCCTACTGGAGACTTGGGGTGGGAACTTTGCGACAATATGCGTGAAATGCTCCGCGCATTCTCCACACGGGTAAAGACGCGTGAAGAGGTCGATGTACGACTTCAGCGCAGCAGACTCGTCCGCTGTCGGCCGGTCTGGGAAGCGGGCCATGATGGTATGAAAGAGATGCCATGCGGAGCGGCCCAGTTCAGCTTTGGCGGTAGCATTGCCCAATTTGGGCATGATGGTCGAGCCTGTGAGGCTGTCCCCGGATATGGACACGGGATCATGTTGGGCTGAGCCCCAAAAGCGTGGGCCGGCAGGTGAGTTGTAGTCTTCGTGACGAGCATTGCGAAAAGTAGAGACGAAAAGGTAAGCGAGGAGGACGGAGACGGTCAAGAGGAGAATGATGTAGCGTCGTGATGGGCCGGAGGTGACGGGCATGGTAGGTGTGCTGTATGTGGCCTTATTGATGCCGGTGAAGAAGCATGTTGGCAGCGGCTGTCTTGGACACTGACGCCAAATCCTGAAGAAAGCGAAATGTCGTTGATGACTTCGCGGGATCTACGAAGCACAATAGCCTCTGTTGTTGGTCCAAGGATTAGATGCCAGACCTACGCGCGAGTCTCAACTTGATGTTGAAGTCACGGTGACTGGGAAGACAGGAGCGCCACCTTCCTTGACGCCACGTTGCGGGGCACATGAGTGGAAAAGCGTTCCTGCATGAAGCTCCACACACGCCGAGGTCGAAGGCATTTCGAAAAACTCTAGGGTTGTTGCATTGCGCCTTGATCTATGTTGACCTTGTAGGGAACTCACCACGACTGTCAGAGATCGCCAAAACGACAGCATGGCTTCGAGCTTCCCACCTCCGCCGGTCAACACCATTGGTAAAGACCCATTGACTCTCTGAGCAAGCACACGTGCTCACGAACATTACAGACTGGGACGACATTGGCTTCAAGGTTCGAGAAGGTACGACATTCCTTATTCATATCTTGCAGTCGTACTAAACATCGGACAGTCAACGGCCATATCGAATCCACGTACAACAGGACTTCTGGCAAATGGAGCACCCCCAAGTTTGTCGAAGATCCTTTCCTTCGAATCCATGGCATGGCACCAGGTTTGAACTATGGCCAACAGACCTTCGAAGGTCTTAAAGCCTTCCGCTCACCGGACGACCAAGCCATTACTCTCTTCCGACCCCGTCAGAATGCGGAGCGCCAGGCGTACTCCGCTTCGTTCATTTCAATCCCAGAGGTACCTGTCGATCACTGGCTGCACTGTGTCCACCTTGCCGTGTCTCTGAATGCAGAGTTCGTGCCTCCGCACCGAACGAGCGCGGCTATGTACGTCCGACCTCTCGTCTTCGGCTCGAATGCACAACTAGGACTCAATCCATGTGAAGAGTACATGTTCGTCGTCTACGTCATGCCGACCGGTGTCTACCATGGCATCAATCCCGTTGCAGCGCTCATTCTTGAGGACTTTGACCGAGCGGCGCCCGACGGCACCGGTTCCGCGAAGGTAGGTGGCAACTACGCCCCCGTACTCCGCTTCAGCCAGCGAGCATATGGAGAAGGCTTCGGCATTACTCTGCACCTCGACAGCAAGACACGCACGGAAATCGATGAGTTTTCCACCTCCGCTTTCATTGGCGTCAAAGGCAATCCTGAGACGGGCTGCACATTGGTAGTACCGGACAGCAAGAACGTCATCAAGTCTGTGACGGGCGACAGTGTGTGTCAGATCGCTCAGTCATGGGGTTGGAAAGTGGAGAAGCGGCCGATCAAGTACGAGGAGTTGCCAGAATTTGACGAGGTGATTGCAGCTGGAACCGCGGCGGCCTTGGTGCCGATCAAGAGTATCACGATGAGAAGTCGAAACGACAAGTTCGAGTATCACAAGGGGAGGAAAGAAGATGAGCCCGGTCCAGCGATCGTGAAATTGTTGGCGCAGCTGAAGGGTATCCAGCTTGGCAAGGTGAAGGACCAGTGGGGTTGGAACGAGCCGGTGACGAAGTATGAGGCGGGTAAGGATTATGAGGTGGACGCTGTGAAGGATGGGGTGCCTAATGGGCATGTGCCTAATCAGGTGCCGTGACCCCTCCGAAAGGTCTGAGTCGATAGCCTCTACCAGTACTGACAAGAACAACCTGGGATCCAGCGCACAGCATGGAGTAGTCGACGAACAAGTGTACTCGTTGGCAGAATAGGATTAAGACGCCTACATCCTTACACGGTCCGTAAGATCGACACCATCGATATCCCAGTAAGAAGGGCGCAATCGTAGTGTTTAGTAGCATGCGAGAACCACACTCGGTAGTGGACCAGAAAATTGTATCTCTGGTAAGTCACAGGTACTTACCGGCGTGCAGCCACGGCATTGTCCTTCGATGCTTGGTTGTTCGCAGGCTCTGTAGGCATGATCTGCGTCGCCTGCAACAGCTTGCCTGTCAGTCCGCGCATATTAAGCTGTATAATGACTGTGACTATACCGCAGCTGGTAAGCCTGCAGTACGCGGGGACCACTCGGGTTCTACGGTACCTCATACTTCTCGGAGCCTGCAACCCTGGAAAGTAGGAGTCGCCGAACTCCGCGGACAACGATGTATAGACACTCGGAGGACTGTCCGCCATCAATCTCGCCAAGCCTCGCTTACAGTATACTAAGATGCGGAGACTTCACCGTAGCCTCAACACGGTTCCCTTTCGCGTCCTCTACCATTCCGGCATGCCGATGCGATTGCCTCGGCGGATGTCACTATTTCAGTCTCATCTCCATCTTCTAGGTGTCCCTCTAACGTCTTTGAAACAATCTGCAAACGCAAGTCCGGTACTCTAGTAGCCTGTGGCTTGCAGCTTGACGCCATCAGCCAGGTTGTGTCTGACGCACTACGGAACCCTCTTGGGACCACAGCCGACCATTGGAAAGTACCGACTGACAGACAATCTACCGTGGACCGGCACACATGTCCGCGTTTCGAGCAACACTTCACTACCTGTGTTGGGCCCCTGCAAATCCCATCGTTTCAGATATGCTACGCTTTGACCTTCCGTGGGCATGATCTGTGCAACCCCGTTGCCAGGCTCTCTCAAGCCTTGAGAGCTCCCAAAGAACATATCCTACTACTCAGCTCACACCAGCAACGTATCCGTGGACCACTACAGCGCCCATGTCGAGAGATGTTACCCCTACCGCTTTTGCGTCGACGATAATAAGCCTGGCAGTCCGGCAGCCCGGCATTACACTGCCATTTTCAAGAAGCAAGATGCCTGCCACAGGTGCCATACGTTCTGACAATGATGCCGATCAAGACAGCGTAAACTCGGTGACCAGGCGTCTTCACAGCTTGGCACCGACTTTCGAACGTGGTTTTCAAGACAAGCAGACCCAAGTAGCTTTTCCTCCTCTACCACCAACTCCGGGATGGCTTATGCGGGCTACGATGCTTACACGTATTTGGCCATGCAGCCGGCCTTGCAAGATACATTGTCATTTGCGCAGCATCTCACGCTACCGGGGCTGCAGGAGGTCTGAGATCGACCATAGCTGTTGGAGACGCCACAACCTATCCCCATTCTGTGACCTATGTGTGTAATTCTCGGCTGCTCACGCGAGGCTGTCGTTCCACATCGCTATTGGGCCGCTGCCGTACTTAAGACACCCATATCTCCCAAGGCAGGTCCCGTATTGTCGTGAAACCCCAGAAGAAAGTCCGGAGCCAGAACTTCCATGAAGGCGAACAGTCTCGCTAACGATGCCTCTGTGCGTAGTGAATATGGCTGGGCAGTTGCTATTCAGGCATTTGAGCTGCCTACCTGCGCGCACTTAGTCCCGAACATGCTTGGCAAACTAGGCCCCTTCTGCCTCAACGAAGGGTGCCATCAACGTGTGGAGTCACTACGCTCAAGCGAGACCATCACATCTTCAGTGTCAATGATGTCGTAGCAGACAGAATTGGTGGATTCTGCGATGTGGTGGATCATGATGGAGTGACCCACAATGTCTAGAGGTCTGATACAAGAAAGACTTGACCAACCAAACCGCGTCACTTGCTGCCGTATATCTTCGCAAAGTTGCACGTCGTTGGAGGTTTGCTGCGTGCTTTTGCTGCATCGTATATTGTGGTATGACGCAGCGGCGCGACCGTTTCAGAGTGTATATTCCTATTCAAGCTAATGCGAAGCCTGGTTCCTGACCTCTGAAAGAAAGCACAGTGTGGGCCGTAAATCGATAGCGGATACAACCAATGGTAGTGTATTTGCTCGTTTCATCGTGTGGTGCGAGATCAAATACTGCTGAAGAGCTTGCGCACTGATGCAGTATCACTAAATAAAATAGTACCAGAGCTGCCCACCAGTAAACTTCTACATTGTGCAACTCATTCCCATATGACCTTGTACGGTGCAGAAGCCGGCATGTGCTGATTCTCCCAATGCGAAAGCTCCCTGCCCTACGGAATGTTTTCGCAAAGGGTATCATGCCGCCTGTCTTGGTGGTTCCACAAACAGAGCAAGAGACTGGCGGTGATTGAAGAGTCAGCGGACGAAATCGCCTGGTAGGAGTCACCCTTGTTGGATGATCTCTGGGGCACGTTACTGGCGTGCATCCTTTGACACAATGTGCAGGTGTCGACAAGGTCTGTCGAAGCAAAGAGGACCGCCTAAATGAACCGTTTGGCGGCTTCAGACTGCTTGCATCTGGACTCGCTCTTGAATCGGCAGCACTAGTAGGGTCCGGACAGCTCTGAAAAGCATCGAGGTTGCAATAGGTCAATCTTCGACCCGGGACAGAGAACAGCCACGGACACGCGTAATGGCTTCTGAATGGCCTGGTCGCTTGGCGCAGGTGGAGTGACAACTGACGAGCCCAACGCGCACCTCTTCGCCAACTTGACAGCTGCGACTTCGTCTGGGCGTCCGAACAAGTAACTTCTTTGCTTTCTGGGTATCTGATGCAAGACTAGCGAGACATTACTTGTTTATAATAAGCAGTGGCCAGCGCCCTTACTACCCGACTCCGGATGCATCGCATACCGTGTGTTATCGCGTTCCTCCTTCCGACGGGCGACAGTCGAGCGCACCATCTCATGCAGTCCGTGCCAAGGGCAAGCTTGCGTCGGCACAGCTACGAGAACGGCTTCGGCATATCACGCTGTCGCGGCGAACGCCGGCAGACAGCTCGACCCTCATGTTATTCTTGCAAGACGCCGCATGTGAAACGTTGAAGACCCGGCCGTGGGTGGACGGCTGACGTTGGGAAAGCTTGCTTGTCAAAGTACAGGTGCGTCCCAACGATGTGTGTCGCGTTCGCGTCGATCCAAAGGAGGATCCGTTCCAGCAGACCGTCGAGACCAAGAGCAGGTAAACCTCCACGCAGACTGACAAGACGTAGTAGACCCGTCATGTGCGTGTTGAATATGGCACGGTCACCAAAGAGCGCTTCATAGCACGCCATCTTCGCGACAGCCGCTATGAGTTGATCGCTCCTTGCTCGTAAAGGATCCTCGAGCGCGCGATTGATTTCTCGGATGGCCATTCCGCGTAATTGCAGAAGGTCAATCGTCAATGCTCGTGGCTCGCAAATCCGGCTGTAATGCGAAGCCGCCATCAGCATCACGGCGTGAAGAGGCGCCGGATCTGTCATGACGAATGGGAAGAAACGGGTTCGCAACAGCCCTGCCGCCTCCGAATCCTCCAGATCGGGAATGTCGATCGATACGATGGAAAGATAGTAGTCCTGCAAAGAGTCAATTCCACGTACGCCTCGGGTCAAACTTCACGACGGCACGCACCATCACGCGCGGAACGGAGGGAAGCCATTCCTCGGGATACACTTCTGAGGGCTCGATGCGTCGTTCGAAGGGATCCGTTGGAGACGTTGTAGGAGACGGAGAGGCAGATGACGCCTCTGGGCTGCTCGCCAGCGGCGGCCGAGTAGCTGTCGGTGAGGGTAGCTCCAGTATAGTTGGTCTCTGAAGAGGAAATATCTCCGCGTGTGCACGCTGTAGAGGTGGAGCATCGGTTTCGGTCGACGGGCCTTGATAACTACGCGCCCGTCGTTCTTGCTGAAGCCTCTGTTCACGTTGGTGCTGCTGTCGGGTGACATGACTGCGGACAGTCCTACGAGCACGCGATGCTTTGGCATCCGATGGGTGACTGAAATTCAAGAATTGAAAGTCGATCTGATTCCGGGTTGGCTCTCCAGGCGTTGAAGGTTTACTGCCTGCCGAAAAGGTAGTCTGGTCAGTCATCTGTGCATGAGACAGAGTTAAGCTGTCTGACGTACCGCTACTCGTCTCGGACCGGCTAAGTGCGGGCGTTGCAGCTCGGCTCCCTGATGGTTGACCCTTTGACACCTCCGCAACCCGTCGAGTCGCCATTGCTTTGTCGACAGACTATTAAACAGCCCATAATAAGGCGGCCATGTTTTCGAGTCAGTCCAACGGAGGCGAACGATAACGACGGATATATAGATGTTGACAACGCTCGATCGTCAGGGGAGGCTCTGGGTTCTCGTCGCTGCTGTCACTGCATAGACATAGCCGTACAGTGGGTAATAATGGCTGAGAGACCTTGTGAGAGGTACACTATTGGAAGCGTATGGTGGCAAGCCATCTGGTGCCAATGCAGGCCATCAGGCACCGCGTATGATCAGGACCGCAACGACTCGGTGGCTCACAAGCGCACATTGGGCCGGCGAAGGCGTCGGCAGCATACAGAGGGGCATCCCAATGGCTGCGGGACTCGAGTCCCATCTCAGACCTCGATGCTATTTCGCCCTCGGCACTCACTCATTGGCCTTTTGGTGGCCTAGTGTGATGTCGCCATGAGTGTAAATACTGCGATAGCGCAGCTGCCGTTATGCTTGTTGCGCCTCAGCCGCAGGTGTAGAGCGCCGAGAAGGGCAAGTATCAGCATAGTTACCGTAGCGTCAGTGTGGCGCATCCGTGATGAACGCGCAGGTAGCGTGCAGCGATTGGCCGGCTGGCAAATTCAATGTCTCTGTCCAGTCCTTGCAGAGCTGGATGTATGTCCGATTTGGATGGCCCATGAACGCCTCAATGCACGGAAAAGGTGCCGTGGCTCGCTAATGATGGCAACATTGGGTGTTAGTTCAGATCGCGATCTCGGAACCCTTGCTTCGTGATACGTTCATGCAATGCAGGCCGCCCGTGTACCTGGACAAACGACGACAGATCACCCACCTTGTAGCCATCCCTGAACGGCTATGCGAACAGCCGACGTCTTGCTGTATGTGCAATTGCTGTAGGTGAATGGTCGCTTCGCTCATGTTCGTAGCGTGTCTCTTCAGCCATCAAGATTCGTGTCAGTAGACTTCGTCCTAAACTGCCTATGCACTGCGACATCCACTTGTAGTTTAGTAGTCTAGGCAGAGGGGCGTCCTTCGCGGCCGACCAATGGCAACTGCTCGCCTACATGTAGAGCCTGTGTGGCGCAGGACGGAGAATTCAGCAAAGCCACCAAAGGCAAATGGCGAAGGACTACGGAGTTGATTGCGTCGCCTACACGACGTTGTTGACGCGGTCGAAATCACCGCAGCTTTTGGCGAGAAGACCGATGGCGCTTCACCCCAAAGTCCGGCAAACTGCAAGTCATGCTGGTGAAACATCCCGGCCCCATGGTTCGGGTTCGGGCTCAGCGCCTCCCGGGACCTTTTGACAGCGCCTTCCCGCCGGCTTCCGACCGCAGCATGATCACGCCAGCAATGTAAACGCAGCCAAAGCCCCTCATGGTACGCAGTCGTCGCCATTGCCCGCATAAGATAGACTCTGGCATGAACACAAATACATGCCCTATGTGGCGGCGGTCTAGACTGTAACCCTGCAGATACTGCGGCGATGTCAGCTGAAGCCTCTAAGCAAGCCTCCACTGGGATGGCGTCGCAGTCGCACAAGGGACGCCGGCATAGCGAGAAGAAGAAGTCTGATCCGTTCCTCGAGATACCAGATGAAATTCCGAAGTTGCCTAACCAGCCACTTCCGGATGAGAGGGATAAGGGCCGGGCGGGCAACGCGCAGCAGTCGCTTCTCGCCGATGTACGTTGGCCTGGCGTCGAGTCATATATGCCGCTTACAACGCTCGCTTGACTGACGGTCCGGTCTTCACACACAGGTTATACTGACACCTCTGAATATGATCGCATTGCTGCTTTCGCTACTTTTGGCAGACGAAAAGGCGCGCCAGTGGCGTCTGTCACAGCGTTCGTCGGGTATGAACACTCCGCACTGGTCAGTGTTCTCGTCAGCCAGGTCTCCATATGAGCAGCCGAGCGAGCTCAATCGAGACTCTGGGACCTGGTACTATCGCAAGACACACCGCGCAGTCGCTAAGCTTGAACTCGCGGACGCGCTAGATATGCGCGGAAGGGTGTTCGTCGCTCTATTGGCGTGGTCGGCTATCATGCTGTGCGCTGTCGTTTACACATTGAGGCAACTGTATAACTGGGCAACGCTGTAGCACGGTGGCACACACGGTGGCTGTTTCTCATCTTATTCACCGCTTTACAGTCTATGCAGGAAAGGTTGAGAGGCTTGTGTGTGGTCGAACTAGCGTCACAGATGCCGTAATGCTTCAATATGATTCAAATGCGTTGCTCAAGAAGGTACGTCTGCGAGCAATGGACAGAAGTTCCGAGTACGGAAAGTTTGCGAACTAGTGGACATGACCTTCATGTTCAATACCCCGTCACTACGGTGACCGCTGGATCATGCTCGTGTTGCAGATAGCTACGCGGGTGGATGATGCTTGAAGAGATGCGAAAGTGCTTGCCGACGCTTCTGGAGATGTGTCAAGCGATCCGTGTCTGATTACGACGTGAACAATGTTCGACTGCGTATCTCAATCCGTCGCGATATCAGTCCTCCATGCGCCGAAACTCCGTACGCTGCATGCGACTCGTGGCGTCGTAGCAATCCGCCTGAGCTCCATTGTTTCCCTAGTAGCGCCTGAAAGATTGCCGTTTATCTTAGCCTCCTTGCCTCACGCTCAGACTCCAGCAAGCACAGAATGTCATCTTCGCGAACTGCGACGCCCTGTTAGTATTCAAGTCGCGGAACCTATTGCGGTGCGCTCGAGCGTACCTGGGCCTTTGACGTTGCGGATAATGCTGCGGGTCGTATCGTCCATGAACTCCACGCGAACCTGGGTCACACCACCACGAGAGCCTATAACATGTCAGACTGCCCTCCTCCATCTGCTGCTACCACGAGCTGAACGAACCAGTGCGACCGAGCACTCGGGTGACCTTGACGAGCTTAACGGGGACCCTGGCGATTCATTAGCCTCATGTATCTCAGAGAGCGTGTGCATCACTCACTTGGCCGACTCCATGTTGACAGGTGATTAAGTAGTCAGAGGATGCGTATCTGCTACCTGACTGGTGTTTTTGGCGTGGTGTTCAAATTGGTCGCTGATGCAGTGAAAAAAGCGGGTGCGGCAATCTCGAACTCTTGGCGAAAGCGCCGGCAACTTCCGCCACGAGAGACCGTTTTGAACGTCACGTGCCATCGCCGAATGTATACTGAAGCAAGGGTTGTTCATACTATGGCTGGAGTGTAGTACCGCGTACGACAGGATTACAACGATTTCGTTGAGGCGCTCAGCTAAGGTTTACATCGTACCGATGCCCCATCCAGGTCCCCAGTTGCAGCATGCGAGCGAGCAAGCACAACTTGACCGAAGCCCTTCAACGGGCCACGATAGCCGCTACGCGCAGTAGTATTGGAAGGCATGTCATCTTCACTCCATGGTCCGACGCCTCCGTCCAGCATCCTTCAGGACCCAAGAATGGCATGTCCATGGTTTGAGGCAGTTCGACGCAGCAGTGCATCTGTCACGAGCTGACAGTTTGAAGCGATGGCCAGCGTGGTTGTAGTGTTTGGCGGTGAGCGTTCGAGTGCAAGGGTGTCGCAGATTGCGTAGTAGCAGTGGTGTCGAACGGCAGGTGGGTTTGACGATACGCGAGCGCTTCTTTGGCGCGCCGAAGAGCAATAAACCAGTAGACGACAAGCAATTTCTGTCGGAGTTCGTCGGATTGAACGACTTCATGCCCGTTGGTATCGCCAACTTTACTGCCATGTCACAGGCCAGGGCCTTCCCAACAGCGTCCCTACCACTCGTCCCGCAATTTCATGATCTATCGGTGTGCGAAGCGCCGCGGTAGTGCCACTGTCAAGGAAGTTGCAGTTCTCAGTAATTCTCCACACCGCTCTCCAACCATTCAGCCAACATCATGATCTTGATGAGCAATTGCGTGGTGCGTCTAAAGCTTTTGCCGAATGCCGCACGACATAATTCAAACACTCGAAGTCGCTTGGCTCTGTCGCCTAGCCAGCGCATTGGCCTTGCGCCTCGACTTCTTGCTCAGCTTCTTGGACAAAACAACGTCTTCACGCTTGGCCCCAATTTCCTCCGTCTTTTTCGACTTCTCCGGTCTTTGTCTTAGAGTGGCTGCTTTAACATTAGCGTTGCCATCCAGATTAACAACGCATGCAGACTGTGCGAATGGCGCCGCCAGGCACTCAGCCCTTAACAGCAACGATTTCCGGACGGATTCGCGGTTCTTGACTTCCGGCTTGTGCTTCCGCTTGATCCTCTTCCGAGTCTCGACCAATTTGTGGTTGTCAACAGGTGTGGGCTCGCCAGTTGCAGCACGCTGACATTGAGGCTGCAAGGCAGCGGTGCCGTTTATGTCGTGCATGGCCGTATCTGCCATTGTCGCTTTATCGTCCTGCTTCGCCACAATAACTGGTGCGCCAGTTTCCGTGAAGTCGAGCTCGAAGTCCATCGCATTGTCAATAATGTCGGCATCCGCGTCGGCGTTGGCGACGGCAAGGCTGACCGTCTTCGTTCCGGTATTGATCATAGCGAATGTCTGCGGGGCCGATGGCCCGGATTGCTCAAGCTCAACTTCATCCGCACCATCCAATTCGAACGCCTTCGTTTGCGTGTTCATCACAGCGGGTATCAGCTCGCTCGAACATACAGGTGGCTCGGATTGCGCCTTTTGTTGCTCAAACTGCGGGTGAGCAGTATCGTCAGAGTTGTTCTCTAATAGGGCTGGAATGTGAGGTGACTGACCATGTGAAGTTGCCGGACGCGTACGTTGAGGGACTGTTTTGTGCGGGAGCTTTGACGCATTTTGCAACCGTGCTGCGCGGCGTGCCTGCAACGCTTCGGTTGCTGATGTTGCCGGTTGCGGGTTCGAAATTGGCGCTGCCTGTGACGTTCCCGTCTCCGAAGGCTCGGTCGGCGCGGTTCCGTTGGCGTTGCCAACGACCAACCGGCGATTGAACGCATGAGTGACATCGCGTTCAGTTGGGGCGTCTGCATCAAGGTTTGGTGGTGGCATCGGCTCAACTGAGCTTGATGACGATCGAGCGGCCTGCTGAAGGCGCCGCGCTTGTGAAACGACCTTTGATCTGGGCTGTCTGCTGTGCAAGGCGGGTGGATAATCAACGTCATGAGCTCTCAGAATTCCTGTGTCGTCTTTCGGATGCCGCGTGTGAGGATCATTGTGTAAACGTTGAGGCTGGCGTGTCAGCTGGCGCTGCGCTGCACGTGGAACATGATCTTGAGGCACTGCTACTACGTTGGCAGGTTGAGCAGCAGTAGGGAGTGCCGCGTGAGTACCTTGCTCGTCTTGCGGCCGTAACCCGCTTTGTCGCCGGATCTCGGCCTGCTCTCTTTCCCGCCGCTGAGTGCGAGCAGGGATTGCATTAGGTATGTCGTATAGTGACGGGCGGCGGGTTCGGGCGGGCCGACTGTTCGTTTGATGTCCACGCTGAGCATGCTGGTTAAGGAACCCCGGCTGGCTGGGATGAGCTTGCTGACTGGCGATAGCTTGCGGCTCTGTGACAGCATGCTGTGTCCGGTTTGCGTGGACTTCAGTGGTCAAGAAAGGCTGCGGCCGTGGTTGGGCTTGTTGATCTGCGGTACATCTGGCGGTCTCTTCCGGCTTTCGTCGCTCCTTCATTCGACAAGGTATTTCATCCGGAATCGACTCGTCATCGTCATCCGAATGTGGGATTACATGCGGTGAAGAATTTGCCAAAGCTAGCAGCCTGCGCCGCACATCCGATGATGGGATATCCAGCTTTGACTCTGCCTCGAGGTCATCGCCATCTTCGTCAATTTCGGCGACCACCGGAATGTTTGTGTCCTTCAGAAGAGATACGTGAGTTGGCGCATCCGGTTCATCATCTTCTGATTTCTCGCCAGCAATGTGAACTTTAGAATTTGCAACGACCGGGTCGTCTATCATCTCCATGGCGTAGTCCGCATCAGTCATAAGAGGACGACGGTGTGTCATGTCCACCGTATCAAGATGAGTGGCAAGCAGCTCCTCCGTAGTTCCCGACGCAGATTCGTCCTGCCGTTCAACCGCGCTTTCGAAGGTCCTCGGAGATGAGGGGAGCTTGGTCTGGCTGTTTCGGGTGATAGCGGTGATGGTGAATGGTCGCGGAGCTGGTACGGCGCCCATCTGAAGCAGCACCTCTCGCAAGCCCTCGATCTCCTTACCAAGGCGCGCCAGTCGCTTCGTGGCATCAGGCGGATCTCTCTGCTGTACGTTGAGATAGTCTCGCTTCGTCCTGTTGAACTCGTAACGAAGTTCTTCACTCACGATATCGCGCGACTCCTCATGGACCCTCTTACGAATCTCATCGTTGGTCATACCAGCGTGGACCCAGTCGGCTCGCCGAATAGCGCCGGGCACGGGTCTTGCTGGGCGCTGATGCGGAGTGCTATCCTGCAGCTGCATGGCGAGCTGGCGCTCAAGCTCGGGCATATCGTGTGTGGCAAAATATTCGCGGTCTTCGTCGTTCATGCGGTGTCCGTTGGCAACGGTTGGATAGTCGTCAAAGTCCACGTCACTGACCAAGATTGGCACATGTGGCGCGGGTAAAGTGGTGTCTTGCCGGTATTGAACCGCTGCTTCAGAGTCCGTTGCATGTTCGTATGCGATCTTATCGTCACACGGATATGTATCGGCGTTCAGGACAGCATCCTCCTGCGTTTCCGGAATGACCTTCGCATCACCATAGGCCATGGCTCTTCCCGGCTGCGCGCCTGCCTTGACCTGCTCCGATGCGCTCTCAGTGGCATTGCGCTCTGCATCTGGAATTACTTCCTTGGTTTGCGCGAGCTCGCGTTTGTTGCGGGTACCATCGCTCTTCGTGCCCGGCGTAGAAAGGCTAAGGATTTCGAGCGAAGCTTCGCTACGGCGGGCACCCCGGCGACCGTCAGACTCGCTGCGCAAAGTGCGTGTACGCCCACCAGCCGTGACTTGCTGGTCACGAACGCTGCGGCTTGAGCTTGGCCGTGCAGCTTGGTCAGTACCTTGCGCGCTGCGAGCGCCCTGGCTCGATCTTGGCCTTGCACCCTGGTCACGTCCGATGTGGTCGGTAATGGAAGACTGCCTGCCAGTTGTGTTTGACATCCTCTGAGGGTCTTGCAGTGACGCAAGTACTGCAGCTTGATTAGTGCGTGAGACAGTAAGCGAAGCTGCACTACGGACGCGCTTGTGTTGGCTTTTCGGCGTCTGCCTCGGTTGATTTGGCTCAGCTTGCTGGCTGGGCTGCTGCATTTTCGCCATGAGTGGGATGGCGTTGCTCACGGACGCTCCTGCCTGGTGCGCGGGTTGCTCCATCAGCGGCTCTTCTGCGGTGATTGCGGGCTCATTTTCACTAGGCGCCGACTGGGCCGTGGCATGGACACGCTGTGTGAGCTCCCCAGCTGTGACCACCGCATTCTCGACAACCGTATTGGTAGCTGCAGTTGCTGCGTCCGTGGCACCCTCTCGCGGGTGCGATTTATTGGGCTTTTGAGACGCGGTTGACGTCCCACTGCTGAGCGGCAGAGTAATGACGTTGGCGTAAAAGTCTGGCGGCTCAACGAAGTCCGGTCTAAGCCATTCTGGGCGGTTCGTCTTAATCCAGTCCTTCTTGTTACGGGCGCCACTCTCGGTACGCGGGATGCTGTACTTGCTCAGAATTTCCTTCGTTTTTAAGCTTTCCCGTATACCTTTCGCTAGCTTTTTGATATCATTCATAGTCCAATCTCCGTTGAGCGCACGCTTGTCATAACCCACGGTAGACTTGACACTTCTAACGCCGGATGAAGTTGCACGATCTGACGGCTGAGATGACCTGCTCTTCGCGCGCTTTGCTTGCTGCTGCTTTGCTGGCTGCTGCTTGGGTGGCACGCGGTTGAGCGGAGAACTCCGCTGCGTTGGGCCAGACTGTGAGCTGCGCATCAGTTCAAATGCGTTGGAGCGGCATGATATTGGCCGTCGTGGAGGCTCATCATCGTCGTGGTCGTCGTATCCCCGCAGTCCACTATGTGGACGGCCGTTGACGTTCATGGCGTCGTCGTCCAGCTCAACAGGGTCATCGAATTCCTTCTCACACTCCTCAATCTCGTCAAACCCGCTCTCAGTGAGTAGCTGCTCGTCCACAAGATGTTGCAAGTCCGCAGTCCTTTCACGTTGATTCTGGGCTTGCAGAGAAGGGCGTGGACGCTGTGCTGATGTGTGACTTTGCTGTGTTGTTGACGAGTGTCGCCGGCTATGCGCGGCATCTTCAGCGAACAAGGTCAGAGACTTCTGACGCGGTCGCTGTGCGGAAGTTGGCACCTCGTCGTCGGGCGACACAGGTGTTGGAATCAGCGTATTGCCACGTCGAGACTGCGAGTTTTCAGAGGGGCGAGGACTGCGAGCCAGAAGCTCCGTGCGTGCACGAGCACCATTCGCCGCCGGTAGTGCTGGAACGCGGAAGCCATCCGCATCAAGCCGGCCAGTGTGTATGCGGCCGCTGCCATGACTTTCAGGCCGCTGGTCGCGCGACTCGAGTGGTCGGTCAGAGTCGGCAGGGGCGACTTGCCTGTCCACGGAAAAGGAATTGGACTCTTTAAAGCGCTTCCACTCGCGCTCCTCGGCCAGCGAGATCTGGTCCAGGGTTCGTTTCGGTCCACGCCATGTTGAGGTCGGTGGCAGCGTCGCATCTCTATCAGCGCGGCTCGTATGGATGGTGATTGTGCGTCGCTTGTCCTCTTCAGCCGCGGTTAACCTGACGCCTTCTCTGCCCTCCAAGCTCGCCTTGATGTAATCGCCAATTTTAAACTTCGAAGCAGCGAGGTAACGTCCGGACTGGGTAATGGCGCTTATGTAGGCGAATTGCGTTGGGAAGCCGTAGTCGGACGCCAGCGTCGTCCAGGCCTCCTCGACAATGTCCTTCACAGTATCGTCCGGGTTAGCGAGCCAATCGAATTCCAACTGGATATCGTCACGCTTGAGCTCTTGTCCCTGGCCGTATGCGGACGGCACGTGAGGCTTTTGTATCTTGCCAACCTGTATGATCACCTTCACCAACGCCATGGCGGTTGGCCGCCAACGCGTGGTTTGACGCCCAGTACTTTGTGCCAATTTCGTGTTGACTAACGGGGTATACTTGCCATGCTGGCTGGAGTGGTCACAATGCGCGAAGAGTAAGGACAGGTGAAGGTCTAGTAAATGGATATGTAAATGAGTGTGAGGTGAACTGAATGGGAGCTTGTGTGAAGCTCCAGAGCTACACACGAAAGCGGCACTGCCCGCAGCGTTGCAACGCTTAGCCTATCATAGCTCGGCAAAATCCGTCCAAGCTAAAGAACGACGAACGACATTTGGCGGGTACCAGCCGTGACTCCTACGCAGCGCGAGCACGGGCGGATATAATAAGGAGTTGCACCGGAGACGCGATGAGCGGCACCTGGGTAGGATAAGGATGGCAAGAATGCTGCTCAATGTGTCATGTACAACCCAATGGAGGCTTGCTCAAGCATGCCAATAGTCCACACCGAGGCCGTCTGGCTAATTGAAGACGACTAAAGGTACGCCCATGCACGGAGTACATCTGCACGCGGTGTTGCAAGTTAGTTAGCTTCCCGAGCTTGCATACGCTGTTATCTAAACACCCATTTATCGCGTAAATGCTGCAAGCCTGTCGATTACGCTTGACATGCCCACTGTGTCGCTTGTCGGGTTCTCATTCTCAAAGCTGGCGGTCAGACAACCGATCCGTTTCCATCCGATCCAATCTATCTTAGCAGACGAGCTCATGCCGTCACCTATACTGCTGCCGTGTCGGTCGTGGAGCGTAGCGACCATCTCTCTCATTCTGTTGTGCAGCTCTCATGGCTGCCTCAGCGGCCAAGCAGTAGCTGCATTTCGCATGGTAGAATATAGGACCCTCCATCCTGCCGCAGCATCGACCCATTCGCTGGCCTTGCTCACAGAGAAACTGGAGCTCGGGGAATCGCCTTTGACTAAGCGCGCAGTTGCAACTGTACTGATGCCAGGTGCCAGTGCACATCGTCCTGAGACTAATTGCTGAGATCACTCTGGTTGTGATAGCGTAACCGTTGTCGTGGATGGCGGATGGTTGAATGTGCTTGATATATCAACGAGGCCCTGGGCTCCGGTGGAAGGTGGTGGTGTTCAGTGCACTGGTATCAACGGTCGATTGTGGTGGCAATGCTGCAAACGGTTTGATGTCAATTGTGTACTGTGATCGCTGAGAATTCGAAATGATTCGTGTTTGCTACGGTTCTCGTTGCGAGCACTCACCGCGGCGGAGGCTGTTTGTACTACATGAGGAAATGCGCCTTGATCACTGCTGGTTGCGGATAGCGTAGGTGTAATGGCAATGACGTTGACTGTCCAGCCCGAGCATCGCAACGGACTGTCAGTGAAGCATGGAGCACGGTAGCATGCCGATGGGAAAATCCACGGTATCGTTGGCTTGCAGACTCATTACTCAACAATCACTGTGAAGGTCCTACAGCCTCGACATCCTTCCCCCAAGCACGGGGTCATGAGGCAGTCAATCAACCACAATCTTACTTTCGAGCTCGCCGTAGTGCTCAAAGAAGCTGTCGAACAAGTTGACACCGTGCTCGACATCATAGCAGCCGCTAGTCTCCCGAATCGAGTGCATGGCCAGCTGCGGATTACCAACGTCAATGGTGCGCACACCCAAGCTTGCGCTCAGCATTGGACCGATCGTACTGCCACACGGACTGTCATTCCTGACCACGAACTGCTGAAGCGGCACGCCCTTGCCAGCCGTACTGCCAGGCAGTCGGAATGACGCCGGTTTGGCTCGGCGTGCACATTCCTCGAGCAGAACAATGCCGGGCGAATTTGTGGCGTAGCGCACGTTGGCGTTGATTTTGAGGACGGTGCCAGCGTTCATGTGCGGCTTGTGCTCGGATTCGTACTTGGCGGCGTAGTTCGGATTGACGCTGTGAGCCATGTCGGCGCTGACAAGGAAAGATGTGGCTAATGTCTGCTCGTAGGCTGTGCTGCTCTCTTCGGATGTACCGTTTGTGATTTTGTCGTATGATTTGTCGCTGTCGGCCGAAGAGGGCGTAGAAGGCAGGCACGACAGCCTCCGGAGTACAGCAGGCAGCATGTTGCTGTCGGCGCCTTGGGCAGAGGTGGAGCCGATCTCTTCGTGGTCAAAGCAGGCTATGAGGCGGATGGTGGAGTCTTCACGCAGAGCTGAAGGTGAGGACACGGATTGGATCAAGCCTTCCACGGCGCAGTAAGTCATGCCTAGGTTGTCCAGTCGTGCAGAGTAGACGAACTCGTTGTTCAGGCCACCAATGCAGGAAGCTTGTGTATCGTAAAGTACGAGCTCGAAGTCGAGGATTTGCTGCGGGTTACAGCCTGCTTCTCCCGCAAGAAGCTCTACGAGGTATGGGTGGTGTCTCTGGGTAACGGTCTTCAGCGGAGTTGCCTGCTCGTCCTTCTCATCTTTGTCTTCCTTCTTTACGTCCTCGGGTGAAGTCCCGGTCCTGTTCAGCTCCGCAGACACCAGTCCAGTAATCGGGTACAGATTGGTCTCCTTGTTGAACTCAAACGGCACGCTGCCACCGAAATGCACAGCCAGGTTGGGTATCCTGCAGATTGGCCTGTTGATCCGTACCAGCTTCTGCTCGATCCCACCATCCTGGGCCTTAACCATCAGCCGGCCCGCCACTCCAAGGTCGCGATCGAACCAAGTATGCCACATTCCACCTCCATATGTCTCCACGCCGACCTGCAAGAAGCCGTCCGCTGTTCGCTTCGAGACAGGCTTGATTCGCAGGCATGGTGAGTCTGTGTGAGCGCCAACCATAGCGACCGGGTTGCCGGGCTTCCATTTCGAGCCGAGAGCAAAGGCGATAATGGTACTGGCATTACGGGTGAGGTAGTATTTGCCGCCGGGCTGTAGATGTGGTGTCCAGTTGTCTCGCTCCTGCGTGCTCATGCATCAGACCCGTAAGTGGTAAGGAAGCATGTCCAATGACGACCTGAAAGACACAGCCTCACCTTGATGGCTTGAAATCCGGCCTTCTCTAAACGAAGCTTGGCTGATCGGACGGCGTGGAATGCTACGGTTTGCTTAGCCAGCTTCAAATGTGTTGGGTCTTTGTCAAGAACATACGGGTTGGAGAAGCGTTCAAGAAGTCGACAAAGTCCTCAGCCCGCCTGAGGGAAGCTTTGCTCGCCATTGCGCTGTTGCTTCGGCGTTGACTCAAACAGGACGCGATACGTGACGCCGGCTGGGTACAGATATTCCTGATGCTCGACGTGAAGCTCAATGCGGTTCGCAAACAATCTTGGGTGTGCATGTAGAAGATGGTCCGGTCAATTGTGATCTGGAGTTTGGACCTTGCTCTCGTGCTACAAACCCCACACCTGCCGTATTAGGACGGGGCCTAAGCTTCGTTATAGAGGCAATCTCGAAAGGCATCATGATCAGCATCACAACCATCATCAACTTCCGGGAGCCAGCGATGTCCCGTCTCTTCTTATTCTTCCGTGGTGAGAGATTGAAGAACTCTGGCTCGCTCGCCCGCGATCTTTTGGCTTCCGAACGAACGTTCCTAGCATGGACTCGAACGGGGCTAGGATTCATTGCGCTCGGTGTCGCCTTAGAAAAGGTTGAGGCCTTTGCAGCCATTGCGCCAACGCTCCTTCACTTGGAAAACTCACGGACGAAACTCGCCGCGGGCGTGTTGGTTGGCACCGGCAGTCTGATAGTAGCACATGGTACGAGCAGGTACTTTGCCGTGCTCAGAGATTTACAGGGAGGCTTTTATAGACCGAACAGGATCGGCATCGTGGGCTTGGCGAGCGTGAGCATTGGCATAGCGTTCGCCGGAACAATGCTCCTGCTTGAGAACGAAGCCAGCCATCGTAGAAAGGCTCAGGACCGATCCACACCTACGCCTGATGCGGAGAGACAACAAGCGAAGCGGTGAGGGCATGCCAAATCTCGGATTCGCAATGCTCTTACCTACATATGACTTTGCGCGGCTCTGCTATTGACAGCCATTTGATGCCCGCCACACCCAGCTGCGAACCCGCCAATCTCCTCCGCAGAGACTCACGGCAAAGCACCTTCGGACGCGCCGCTCCAGCATTGCTGCCTACTTACTGCTCGGACGGTATATTTGCTACAGCTGTCGCGGACTCATAGTACCAGGGCCGTGCGCGCAGTGCTTCCGGCCAGATCCATTGTGGAACACCGCTCGCACTCAGAGCTACCGTTGGGATTGTTGTAGTAGTAATTGCCGTTGGTGTTCGAGTAGTGGTAAATGTTCTGGTTGCTCGCCGAGGAGCCGTAGGCAGGGACGCAGTACTTCTTACCGAGGAGGCCAGTTAGGGCTGTACACGAAAAGCATATCATGCGCCGCTTGCCAGCCAGTTTGTACCTTTGAACGCGTGGCTGTAGCCACCGCTGCCCGATGTTTTACCGGGAGAGCCAGATAACGGACCAGATGAGGAGCTGGAGGACTCGGTGGGCTACTCAATCGCTGACGCCGAAGCCAGGTGTACATTTCTGCGGTACTTAAATATGGTAAACTTCTGTTGCTGTGCGATCAGAGGCACTGTGCAATCTTGCGAGTTGAACGCGAACAGGGAGAAGGAGCGGGGATCAGATTTGAAGGAAATAGGAAGCCATGTGGGATTCGGTGAGACCAAGCTTCAGCTCCCCGCTATGAGGTGGTGTAGAGGCTGTGCGACAGCGGCGAAGGTTCATCAGCGTTGCTTTCGAAAACCCCCCATAGAACTGCTCGGATCTAAGCGAGCCGAAATTGAAGCTCGCTGGTGAATCAATGTTGCCTCAGAGACATGGAAGTGTAGTGACGAATGGACGGCTTGGGCTAAAAGGCATTTCAAGATGACCACGTAGTGTCAGACAATGAGCCGTATACCAGGTTAGTTATCGCCAGGAACATGATTTTCGAAGGCGGGACATGATCGCGAGTCGCGAAAATGCGAGAAGAGGCTGCAACACCAAGATCGGGAAACGCTTGACGCAGCCATACGATCGGGGAGATGGCGAGCGACAAGACATGCCCAGCCTTGAGGTAGATAGCTCGAGTACGTTTCACATTCACAGGTATGAAAGGGTACCCAGCGGCAGAGGCAGTGCCGGAGTAAGCGTACGAAGCCTCCTACTGCCCTGGATGACATCCATGAGGTCTGTCTATAACATTCCCATGATAATGTCACCAGGTTCACCGCAGAGAAGACCGAGTTGCGCGGCCCCATGGTGCGAAGTTTAATGCCGGCAAAGTCTCTAACCACTAGCTTCCGCTCAGCGGCGCGATGGCGATCGGCGTGACGATCTAGGCTAGTCCAGACTCTGCGAGCCAAAGTTTCTGCACTCCACATCTCCGTCCTAACACGAGATCGGTGTGACCCATAGCACATGAATCGCGCGTAGTGCACGATCAACGTCCTACATTTGGAGAGCTATGCTTGCTCGGCTAGAAGATTTGGAAGCAAGCTCGAATAGATGATCAGCAACCTTTCAATGCCTCCACAAAGGTAAGCGTTCGTCCCTTCAGTTCCTTGCAGCTCCGTACCCACGAGTGAGCAACCTTCTAGCCATTCTGGTGATATTGTGGCTTGACGGCGCGTTATGCATTACAGTGAGTGCTAGAGGCTATTCGTAGTCATGGGCCTGCCAACAGGATTCAGCTAACATGGCGGGCTAGTCCGCTTCCTCAGGACGCCCAAGGTGCATGTGGAGAAAAGCACCGTCCTTCTAAAAGCCGTCATTACCGTGACCACAGACCTGGGCGAGACTTTCTACCCGGAGGATCTTGATCTGGTGGCTACGCTCCGATCCAGCGACGAGGATGGCGACATCTTCTTGCGTCGGAAGCTACAGTACCCTGCCGGAGCCCGAAGCCTACCAGTCGTATTCGATCTAAGTCGACAGGATGTGGAGTGGCCAGCATGCGTGCATGTCGCAGCTAGGAACGCTTGTGCCGTCAGGCCTCATGGTTTCCTACCGGCCATTGTGGACATCTGGAGCGGGCCGTTGAATGCAGTCAAGGGTCGTTTCGATAGTGGTCGACGAGTGGAAAGACGGTTTACCAGCTCGTCAGAACGGACCGTGAGCCTACTCGAGGACGCCGGCGACAGCATTGCAAGGCATCTCTGGGATGGCAGCCAAGCGCTATCGCAACACATCGACCAGATGATCTCGGTGCAGACTTCGGCGAGTCCGTTACCGCTGCTGGAGTACGTCCTTGTTTCTGCAACGTATAGGAAACTCAATGCCATTGAGCTGGGGTGCGGGTGTGGATCGGTGGGCATCAGTCTCGCCCAGAGCATACCGGGTTGCAATGTCATCCTTACCGACCTGCCTGAAGTCACCGAGCTTGTCCAGGCTAATATCCAGCGCATGAAGCCTGCAATGTCGTCTCGAGTTCGCTTTCAGCCACTGGATTGGGAGCGTCCCCTCCCGGAGACGATACAAGACCGCAAGAACGACCTAGTCATCGTTTCGGAATGCACATACAACAGTGACACCTTGCAACCATTGGTCAGCACGCTGCAAGCTCTAACTGTGCGTTCACCGAAGGCTGTCATTGTGGTCTCGACGAAGACTAGGCATGAGAGCGAAGCAGCCTTCTTCGACCTGATGCGGAATGCAGGGTTGGTCGAAGATGGTAGTACACGATTATCGCTGCCTGGCTTGCCCGGAAATGGCTACGCAGACTGGGCCACTGATGTAGGGTTGCACGTGTTCCACGGACGAGAACATCGATTGAGCTTGAGTCCCAGAGAGCGGAGCGAAGAAGACGTGCCAAAGGCGCAGGTTACAAGAAGGCCGAAGTCTCGCTGAAAGGGCGGTAACCAGCGTATCGAAGTTAACGTCTTGGAGCTGTACAATACCAAGATTGCATCACGGCCGAGCATCTCAGATGAATGTTACGGTAAAGCGTATTGGCCTGCGACTTTGTAATTATTATAAGCGAGCCCTCTCCTCCGACATGCTGACGACAGGGCGCGGGGCAGGTCATGTTCCGGTGGCAACGTCGGTGTTGCTCTAGCATATGCCTTCCCAACCCTCTCGGGCAGATGCTGCTACACCTTTGCAGAACTCGCCGATGCCACCAAAGCCTTGCAGTGCCAGGGACATCTGAGCATCACCTTGGAACCGGTCGACCACCACATCCGGGAAGATGAGAGTCTGTTGCTGCTTCGCGTGGCCATGTAGAGACGCCAAGAGCTGCTTGACGTGGTCTCGCAGCGAGCGTAAAGATGTCATGACCGGTCCTGAAATGCGGTCATTGTTCCGAACGTCGCAGGCGGAAAACACAGCATAGCATGCGTCGGCTGCCGTGTAGCAGTCGAACAGTCTGTCGGTCACTTGATCGGGCGTCGAGAGCATCATTTCGACGTTGATCGCTTCTACTGCGGCACGTACTGACTCAACGGCGTTTGCGAGATGATCGCCGTCAAACTCGGTCATGTTCATAGAGTGCAGCATGAGAGCGACCGTTAATGCTCTGCATGCTGCTTCGCCTGCGAGGAACTCCGCTGAAGTGAGGCCAAATCTGGACGCTGCGCTCTCCGTCGATGGGACGTCCTCCACACTGATACTCTTCTTAAGCGCTTCGATCACTGATAACAGCTGCTCAGCATCCTGCACGAGCGGTGGCGCGTCCACACCGAGGCACCACGCAGCATCAGCAGCGAGGCCGTAGAGCAGCCAAGCCGTGCCCGGCAGAGTGCCGCCTCGGGCATGTAACGCTCGTTCAACATTGTAGCCATAATCGAACGCCGCGGCGAAGTCGCGCATATCTACCGTTTTGATCCAGTTCTGGCAAGTCCTCGGACCCATCTGCTGTATTGTATCCACGTCTGTGATCTTCACTTGCTGCATCCGACAACATCGCCGTCTTTCTAGCGTCATTATACGACGCGTCATGCTGCTCCGCAAGTGATCCCGTAGCTCCTGCAGATCGAAGATCATGCCAGTCTGGCCATGACTTAGAATATTCGCCTCAATACCTGCGATACTCTCTTCCTCGTCAACATAATCGGCTTGAGCGCGGAGCAGCTGTGCGACAGGATCCATGTGAGCTCTCTCAGCCTCGGCGCCCTCAGAATTCCATCTCGAGTCGTGGGGATGTACAAGTGACAGGCGTGTATAGATGACGTGGCCAACAGTTTCCTGCTGGATCCCCTTCACCCTCAAGGACGTGAAGTACTTCATTGCCAAGCTCCCGAGCCCGAGACGCATGTAGAGGTACGTCAATACGAGCCTTGCTTCGTGGATGTGCTCGTCATAAACAAGTAGTCGCTCAAGTAGGAAAGATGCTCGGAGTAGGTGTTCGGTAAGGTCTGTCTGCTCCCATAGACGCACCAGAGCGGAGACACCTAGAAAGCAGGCATCTGCGGGCAGTCGGCGTGCACCTTGCGAAAGAGGTCCAATCGAACAGCGGAAGAGGCTCATAGCGTTGGTGGCGAAAGACCGAAGGACGTCCGTTGAGCAATGCGATTGAATGATAGAAGTAAAGTTCTGTTTCAGCATACTGACCTCAGCTGCTAGCCACTCCTTGGCTGGTACGACAGACGGATCGATGACGGCAACCGGCTTCTCGATTCCGTGTGTGGAATTCTGTGGCCTGCTCCGATGAGCATCAAACACTTGCTTGCTGTCTCGAAAACGTCGCCCACTGATGCTCTCAAGATCCTTTTCCGACCGTTGCAGGGCAAACACCTGACCCGGCACTCGACAATCCAGAGATTGATCGTTGTCGAGCTTTTCGGTTACCGCTTTACGCGCTAGACCAATCGCTAGTCGAGCTTGTAAGTCTTCGTTGGAGGTGGACAGCAACTGCGTGAACGCTGCATGAGCCATGTAGACCACTCGGTTCTTAGGCTGGATGACCTTGAGCTGAATGAGCGCTTGTTGAGCGTCCTGTATACGGTTGTCCATAACCGCTCGTTCGAAACGTAGAGATCCGGTGTCGAATCTCTGGGTGGCAGAAGGCGTGGCCTTGACCGCGTTCTCCCACAACTTCGCTACAGAAGGACCTGCGGTCCATGGCTGCGGAAACACATGACGCTGTGAATCCGTAACGGCATCCTCGATCGCAATCAGCTCCTGCTGACCCTGGATAGGTGGCTGTATTGCGAGCAGCTGTTCGAGCACTCGTTGCGCCTCATGACTCCGGATGGCGTAGAGCAAGGATAGCTTGGTCGTTAGAAGTTGGACGTCCTTGGGCTTCCTTTGGAGAAGAGCATCGCAACGTTGAATGCCAGCTTGATAGTTTCCGCTTTGCTTGTAGTCATCGAAAGCCGGATATCGAGCCATCTCTCGAAGCTATGCTGTAGTAGTCTGTTACACGTACTACCGGATCGAGCATTGTCCACGGGAAGCCATCGATGCGGTGCAGAATGCTTGGCAGGAAGCCCTCAGAGGACTGATGGTGAGTCGGCAGATCGGTCCGGTGAGAAAGCTCGTTCGATCTTCTGAGGTCCAGTCCAGTCCAATGCAGTCCAGTCATTTCATGTTGGTTGTCGGAGTGTGGCGCTGCTTCAGCCACATATCGACGTTCTTGCCTCAGGCGGAATGACGCTCGCGCCTACCATGGTGCCATAGCCGCAATTACCCTTTCGAGGTTGTGCTGCTCTCCCTGTAAGCAAACATTGACGACTTGCGAAGCCTACATCCGTCGCAAATGGTGCGCATCGCGAGCGCAAAGACATCGCCGCTCGCGCCTCATGAGCATTGGGTATGGCCTTCAGCACCTCCGACCCTCGCTTCCGCCGCCGCTTGAATGAGCTTGGTCAGAGCGTCGAGAATGCCACCGAGCAGGCGCAGAGCAGCATCTACATCTTCGGCCAGAACTACATTAAGCCCTGCTTTGACTCGGTGACATCTTGTCTGACGACGTGCGTCGACGCCAGCTGTCCCTCGCTCAACTTGAGCCAGCGCGACCGATTGCGGAGACAGCGCGGTCATGCACGGAGTAGAGGGCGCGCGGAATTGAGCTTTGATTTCTATGACGACTGGGACGACTTTGATGAAAATGATGGGTTATTGGGTTGGGGCGGTAATGACGACTTCGACCGGTTATTGGCGGGCAGTGGTGCAGGGTATGGGTCTATCTCACAACAGCCTGGAAGGCAGAGAGGGATGAGCTATTCAAAGACGCGGCGGAAGAGCGCTGCGCCAGCTGAAGGCGACGGAGCTGTCATCACCGGCCCGGGCTTGTTTGGAAAGTTGTTTGGAGGGAAGGCGATCAAATACAGGCCGAGTGCGGCTGATCTGCAGGAACACCCAGGCACACGGAGATTGCGCAAAGATATGACAGAGGGCGAGGCTCTACTGGAAGAGAGTGAGGTTAGTGATGCTGAAGGGTTGAGGAAGACCCATAGGCGGGCCCGGAGCGGGACGGCGGGTTCTGCAGAGTCGACAGGCAGTTACAGCAGTCGAGGCGACATCTTTCCTTCAGATGAGGAAGATGCGATACCGCTCGATGACGAGTTCGCTATGGTGCTCGAGCGGAGGAATACGCAGTCAGGACCGGAGACAGAGAGCAGCTCTGCTCGAACACGGAGCGACCGTGGTAAGCGGCCGTCGGCTGGTAGTAGAACTTCCACGCGTCGGACTGTGTCGTCTAGGAGTACGCGGAGCAGCGTACAGAAAGCCAACCGGAGTCGAAGTGGTAGTGGGGCAGTAACCACGCCCATTGAAGAACGTCAGCCAGAGACGGAGGAATTGACCGAGCCACCTGCGCTTAGCGAGCTGAAGCAGGAGGAACGCCAAGCTGAGCGCGAAGAAGAGGCGGAGATCACGCGAAGACGCGAAGAAGCGCAAAGGCTGGCCGAGGAGCGTGGGCTAAAACACGATGCTGACGAGCAGCTTCCCAGCAAGGAAGGCACGACTGAAGCTTCCGCGTCGGCTGCCACCACGACAGCCTCTGCCGATGAGCCCAGCCAACTACCCACACCGCTGCCGACCGACGATGAGGAAGATTCTGCCCACCAGCTTCCATCATCCCAATCAAATGGGAATAGCGCCGAGACGCCGTCGCAGGATTAACCGTTAAACAGGTTGCAACTCTGTTGGAATCGCTGACACGATGAAACGCTTGTACGAAGTAGTATGAGATGTGTAGTAATGTGTACCAATAACGTCCTTCCGACATGCTCTCACTTGACGAGGTCGAGTTCACGATTCCCAATATATATTTACACCTCTTGGCTCGTGCGCGCCGCAAGCTCCACACCTTTGGCGCAGGAGGCCGGGATGATGCTGTCTCCCTCACAACCGTCGCCGCAACGTCGGTAACGTCGCACCGTTTCCCAACTGTCGTCCCGTTTCGAGCATTCTCTGGTGTTGATCAATGAAAATTTCATAGTCTTACATCTTTACCGTTGCAATCATGGCGTCGGCAATGTCGAAACGACAACAAGCCCGCAACGAGCGCGCGCTACAAGATCTCATTCGAACCGTACCCGGCAACGACAAGTGCGCCGACTGCGCCGCGAAGAATCCGGGCTGGGCGTCATGGAACCTAGGCATCTTCTTGTGCATGCGCTGTGGTGCGCTCCATCGCAAACTAGGGACGCATATATCGAAAGTCAAGAGCCTGAGCATGGATAGCTGGAGCACGGAGCAAGTGGACAACATGAAGGCCGTTGGGAATTTGGAGAGCAACAAGAAGTATAATCCACGAGGAGTGAGGCCAGACATACCGATTGATGCAGACGAAGTGGATACGGCGATTGAGAAGTTCATACGGCAGAAATACGAGCAAAGAGCATTCACAACCGCTGGCGCCGCTCCGTCAGCCGTGAGACAGCACACGGGCTCGACAGGTACGGGTTCATGGAACGAGGAGCCACCTCCCTTACCGCCTAAGCCGGGTAAGCGATTCGGCTTCAGTCTGCGATCCGCCAGCTCTACTTTCCCATCACGAGGGAAGCACGACCGCAACTATACTCCTCCCCTTTCGCCTACCTTCAGCGGCGACGACCGAGACGCGCAGGATGATGTGCCGAGCCCGCGCGACGCGAAACCCAATAAACCGAGTCAGATGTTTGGTATGAAGATCACCAGCGTCAGCAACAATTTCGATGCGAAACTCGCGCAGTTGAGGGATATGGGGTTCAGCGACTCGAGACGGAACTCGGATGTGCTGAAACATGTGAATGGCAACGTTGATAGAGCGGTTGAAGCGTTGGTGCGGTTGGGTGAGGGGAGCAATACGGCTTCGCGGACGCAGACGCCCGGGCCGAGGGTGCTAACGCCGGTCAGTATGGGCAGTCAAGGTGTGAATGGGATTACTGTGGAGAAAACGCGGCACGCGGAGGCGAAGAAAGGGGTGGATCCGTGGGAGATCAGGGAGGAGACGCCTTCGCAGACACGAGCAACGACTCAGCCTTTACCAGAAGCACCGCCCCGGTCGCAGTCAGCGCAGCCTGCTACGAGCTCGTGGAATCCGTTCCTAAGCCAGCTGGAACAGGCTCAACCCCAGCAGGCGCTGGCGAACAGCTTTCAGAACCTCCAGGTCTCGCAGACTGGACCCCCAACCCAACAGTATAGTCAGCCTCAGCCGTTTGGCGCTCAGATGCAGCAACAAGCGAGCACGAACCCGTGGGGTACGGCAGGCATGTCATTGATGCCACAGCAGGCAGCGAGCGATCCTACATACGGCGTCGCGTACCCGCAGCAGGCTCAAGCGCCGCAGATGAACAGCTCAGTAAATCCGTTTCTGCAGCAACAAGCGCCGATGCAGCAGTTCGCGGCAAGCAACCCTTGGGCTCCGCAATCTGTTCATCAGCAGCAACAGCCTGCGCCTGTGCAGCAGGCGTACGATGCGTCTGGTGGACCGTGGCAGACATACCAGCAGCCGCAGCAGGGCAGCGTCTTCGACCAAACCCAGCAGAGTAGCGTCTTCCAGCCGCCGACCACGCAATCTCCGGCACAGTTGTACGGTCAACAACAGGGCGAGTACTTTGCCCAGCAAGCGCAACAACAGCAGCAACAACAGCAGCAGCAGCAACAGCCGCAGTCTCAACCAGCTCAGCACAATCCATGGCAAGCGCAAGCGCAGGGCCAAGTGCCACCGAACTTTGCACTCCCCTTCGCACACCAGCAGCAGGCCCAGATGATGCCTCAGATGACCGGCATGCCTCAACCTCAACCCCAACAGCAGCAGATGTACCACCAACAACAACAACCGCCTATCCACGAACAACCCTGGACCTACCACGAAGTCAACCCGCAATCCTCACACTCCCAGCCGATCCGCTACGACAAATCTTCCATCCTCGCGCTCTACGGCCACTCACAACCGCAACCGCAGCAGCGAGGGCTTCAGCCCGTAATGGAAGACGGGACCGCGCAACAGCAGCAGCAGCAGAGAAGTGTGACGATGCCCGTATCAATATCGATGCAGCAGCCCGTAATCAATAGCACTAACCCGTTCGGCATGCAAGGTGCAGCGGCAATGGCGCAGGGTTCGCGACATGTCAGTAATGAGAGCGCGGCGTTTGTGGGGTTTGCGGGGGAGGGAAGGCACAGTCCTGACGCGTTTGCCGGGTTGAGTGCGCGGTATGCGCGATGATTGGGTGGGAAGGGAGGTGGGTTGGGAGGGTTCATGTACGATGGGCATGGGCACGGTGGCGCTTTTTCTGGAATGGCATAGCGACGCGCGTGATGGAGAGTGACTTTGAGATGAAAGTTATTTGGTTTGGTGTTGTGTACATTTGAGATATTTGCATAGCAGTGCGTGGCGTAGCGCGTGGCGAACTGCATACGGTGGTTACAAGCTCGATTTTATCTCATGGGCCATAGCGAAGCACGTACGATGCAATGTCTCACCAAGTTGTACCTGGTATCGTCGCAAGTACGACCACGTGGGATGCGAGGGGATAAATGGGTGTTCGTCTGTTAAATAGTCCTCCTGCGACGTAGGTTGACGGAAGCAGAAGGGTGGAGAAGACGCGGTGCTGCTTACACCGCCCGTTGGATACGGGATCGCTCTTCCACTGATTGATGAAGTAGGCTTGGAGGCTATGGTGATGGAGCCAGCGAGCAGGCAAATCGTGGTATGGATTGTGAACCAAGTGTGTAAGGGAAGAAATGAGAAGAAAGGAGCGTGGAGATGTACTTGTCCTTCGTAATATGGAGCGTGCAAGGGAGGTGACCCGGATGGTTAGATGCTTATAGGGATGGTCTCGTGAGTTATCTTTGTGGAGGAAGAAGTGGAAAGGAAATGCTTTGCAGTGAAGTCCCTTGAGGTGGCCCTAGCGGCAGCCCTACGGCTAGCGCGGGCACGCGTTGTGGGCCTTTGGTTTATGTGAAGTGTGAAGCTGTTTCCATTCGGCGTGTCAGGCTCGTTTTGCTGGCACGAACATCTCGCCACACATATCACCGCCGTCGATCAGCCTACCATTGCTCGCAGCCGAGTCTCATTAACGATGGCGATCAATCAACTTTGACTGGCCCATAGAAAGCAGCGAGTGGGCGCAAGGCTACTGCCGTGCCACGTCGACTGAAACGAAGAAGCACTCACTGCCAGCTCATCGCCTCCCTTCACTGCGCGCCCCGGCAGACACTTCGCCAACATGGACAGTATGGACCGTGGCTTCGTGCATCCCGAAGGCAGCACTCGCAAGCGACTTAAGATATCCCGCGGCACTGCCAGACCTGCAGCATCCTCCTCCTCTGCCAAGCCCAGCATGGCATCCACCTCCTTCACAAACGGCGAGAAAGGATTGGAGGATGTGGCGAAAGACGCAAAGACACCATGCGAGCACGAAGCATCCCTCAACACCCTCCAGATCGACATCGATGCCATGCGGCACCTTGTCACGTGCCAAATCTGCCATCGCCTACTCTACGAGCCGTACGCTCTTTCGTGCGGCCACACCTACTGCTACAGCTGCTCTAGCCAGTGGTTCGGCAGCAACCGCAAGAAGACATGTCCGGACTGTCGCGCCGTCATCACGCAGCAGCCGACGCCATCATATGTGATCCGCGAGATGGTGCTGATTTTCGCCAGCCGCAATCAGCTGCTACCGGACGGCGAGACTGCGGAAGAGCATACGAAGCTGGCCAAAGAGGAGGCGGAGATCGTGGCGAAAGATAAGGCGAACACAGACGACAAGACGGGCGGGTTGTTCAAAGGCTGCTTCCTCCACCGCAGCGGGCGAATACCATTACCACCCATCCACGATTCCGAAGATGGCGTTGACAGGTGTCCGAACTGTCATTGGGAGGTTGAGGACGGCTTCTGCGAGCAGTGCGGCGAGGTTGTGGGAGACGGCGACTTTTCGGACGAGAGCATGGGGACTGAAGAGGAGTTGGACCATGAGCTAGACGACTACGACGGTGATGCCGAGCTCGGTTTGAATGATCTCGGCGATCGTGTCCGCCCGGGCATTCACAACCGCGCCCGCGCCCGCACACCAATACATACATTCGGCGAAGGTGTTGATGATGACGACTACGACGCGAGAAGCATCGACTCCGACGTCATGGAGCGAGCTTTCGGGGTTGCTCCGATGAGACCACGAACTGGCGGAGCTGCGCCTAGACGGGTATGGAGAGTCACGGATCATGTCTCTCTCGGCACCGACGACTCAGATGAGGAGTCAGAGGAAGGAGATGAAGACGAGCACGACCCGACCATGGACGGCTTCATCGAGTTCGACGTGCCGAGTGAGACGCGCGAAGAGAATTCATCCGACGACGACACCACAGTACAGGAGGTCACGCACCGGCCACGTCGGCGAGGACATGCCCACCTTATTATTTCAGACGACGAGGACGAAGCTGAGGACGCCTCGACGCAGACTGGTGCTGTTTCCGTAGAGGATAGTGATGATGATGAAGCACCAGTGCTGGGTAGCAATCGTCGTACCAAGCGTAACCGGCCTGTACCACGACAACGTCCGATCGCCCTCTCTGACGAGGAGGAATCTGCTGATGAGTCTGACCGCGAGTACTCTCGACCACCATCATATCATTCCTCGGTAGGCGGCTTCTCGCCGATTGACGAGGACCATTCACACTACGGAAGCGAACTACCCGCAACTATCAGCACGCACGACATAGAGTCCGATGGCGAAAGCCAGTCCAGTCGAGCCAGCACCTACTACGAGAACCACTACGGCGTTGACGCTGCTTCGGAGGACGACAGCCACGCAAGCTCTGAGAACGAGTTGGGTAGCTCTTTCACGCGCTCGAATGATGCGTTCCGGCTGACGAATGAGGCAGGTATGAGATATAGCACGGCTGTTCCTGCTCAGCGGCAGGGCGCACGCCTACAACCCCAACCCACACTGAGAGATCGAGACGGTAATGCCGCCGTGCCGGTATCACGCCGCCTTCACCATCCTTCACATGAAGCAACTCACCGGCCACGCGGCACTCCCCTTGCAACAACCCAGCTACGCCGTCGAAGTCTGACACCGCAGCTTCTCCAAGCGCCACGCGGTCCAACCACTCAAGCACCACGCCAACAACCTCCCGCACGCCCACGCCCACGCCCTAACCACCTGCAACCGCAATCACAACCGCAACCACAACCGCAACAACATCCCTTCCAACTCTCCAACACCCTAGCCCACATCAACGACGCCGCGAGGCGTCACACGAACCTCCAGCGCGCCGCGCGGGCGGCGAATGAGGTATATGGGCGACGCGCCCCACCGGCAGCAGGAACAGGGACAGGAACAGGAGCAGGAACAGCAAGAGCGACAGCGGCAGAGACGGGAAGAGGCACGGGGACGGCGAGTAGCTACAGCAGTCCGGCTGGCGGAGTCGCTGTGCGTCAGCCCGCTGACGAGAGGGCGAGGGGCGGTAGTACTGGTGATGTTGCTGGTCGTGAAGGTAGGGGTGCGGGTGCGGGTGGGAGGTTAAGTGGTAGTGGCAGTGGCAGTAGCAGTCGTACCCTTGTACCGAGTGGTGGGCAGCGAACCCGACGCTTGAGGAGACGGGGGTGGGGATCCCCTTTGCCTGAGCCTTATGCGGGGGGTGTGTTTGAGGGGTGGTGAAAGATATTTGTCGTTTAGGGAGCGTAAGCGTGCAATATCCGACGAGGGTACATTGTTGCAAGAGTGTAAGAAACTCTGTTAGGAAGTCGTTCGAGTCGGCGGACTGAGACCAGCAGGCAGAGCGAGACATGGCACTATATGACTGGCTGAGTCTAGGTGGCCGTAATGAGCATATTCATTACCATTACCCATCACTCAATACGAAACGAACAGTACCTGAGAAAACGAACTTTTCCATCTCGATACCATCGTATCCCAACCACAAGTACGCGCTAGGAAAACTACACCTCCCCTCCCTCCCACTTTCATCATCACAGCTACAACCCAAGCACCGGCCCCGCACCCCTCTCACTGCACACATAAACCGTCTCGTGCCGATCCGTGAACCCATTGAACCGGGTGGCGGAACACTTGGTGTACGCGCCCATGTCCTCAAAGTACAACCAATCGCCCACTTCGACCGTTGCCGCGCACGTCCAGTGGGGGGCGATGAGGTCGATGCCGTCGCAGGTGGGGCCCCAGATGGAGTATTCGATCTGACGGTCGGTGGTAGAGAGGGGGGAGGAGGAGGAGGAGGAGGAGTCGGTAGTTGCAGAGTCGTAGCCCGAGTCCGATGTCAGAGACTCGGTGGAGGAGGTGGAGGTGGTGGTGGTGTAGCGGAAATGGTTCTGCTCTTTCTCCCTCCGCTCCTGCCGCTGGGAGGACAGGATCCGCGGGATGGGGTGTTGATGATCGAACATGATGCTCGAGAAGTTGCCGTAGACGCCGTCGTTGAGGTAGAGCATGTAACTCTTCTCCCCCTTCCCACCGTCTTCTGGGTCCTTCTCCTCCACGGTCCGCCGCGCAATGACGTTACAAGCCAACGTGAACGCCGAACTAGTGTAATACCGCCCCGGCTCCGCAATCACCCTCACATGAGCGGGGATGTACTCGTCCAACGCCGCGGACAGCACGGCGGCTGTCTGTTCGAAAGTGTCGGACACGAACCCACCGCCCACGTCGAGCGTATGCGGGGCGTGACCGAGCGCGAAGGCGGTGTCGAAGACGGTCCGGGCGTCGCGGACGGCCGTGACGAAGGCGGAGGGGTCCGTGGCGCCAGAGCCGACGTGGAAGGCTACCCCTGCTATGTTGAGCTCCAGTTTCTTGGCGAGGGAGAGAAGGTCGTGGGTGTTTTCCATGCTGGCGCCGAATTTCTGGCTCAGTCTGCACAAACTGGCGGAGTCGTCGGTGAGGATGCGGAGGTAGAGTTCCGCCTCCGGACAGATCTCCTTGACTTTATACAACTCGTCCGTATTGTCAAACGTCATCTGTTTGACATTCTGCTTGGCGGTGTAGCGGAGGTAGCTCTTCGTTTTGCACGGCTGGGCGTAGATGATGCGGGAAGGGTCGACGCCGAGCTTGAGCACTTGTTCGATCTCGGCTTTGCTGGCGCAATCGAAGCCCGCGCCTAGCTTGGTGAGGAGGCGGAGGACCATGGGATCCGGGTTGCATTTGATGGCGTAGTGGGGCGTGACGCGCGTGAGGTTCTTCTTCCAGCGCATGTGCTGGCGGTAGACGTCGCCCATGTCTGCCACGAAGAAGGCGTCTTCCTCGCCGGCTTCGCAGGCGTGGGGATCGACGGCGCGGATGTGCTTGTGCAGTGCCGCTGCCACCACTTCCTTCGCTTTGTCGACGCCATCCTGAATATACTCTTCGGAGACGGGTTTGACATGGTACGTCGGGTGGATGGTCAAGTTCGCATATTCCTCAGTGATGGCATGGACGGCGCTAGGTGCCATAACCATTCAGGCTACAAGCACTGGAAACAAATTGGTAGGGATTCTGTTGTTGGAGGAGTGGGTGATGTTAGGGCGGCTTGAACGGGGCGAACCCCAACCGCACGCGACTTGTGTGGCGAGAGCTCGCAGAGTCTTCCCCGCTCAAGGGAAGAACTCCAAGTTGGCTCTTATGCGGCAGCTGATGGTGTTGGTCGTCGAGGGGCTGGTCGGTGTTGTGCTGCAAGAGGAGACGCTCGACTTCGACTCGTGGCAACTCCACGAGAGGCAGATGGTGGTTTACAGTTTGGTTATGTAGGGTGAGCTGTAGAGGATATGTAGTGTCAGTGGTGGAGGTGGTGAGTGAGTGAGTAGAGGAAGGAGGCAATGAGGGAAGGAGGGAGGGATGGTGTAAGTAGTAGTGGGTGAAGAGTCTGCGGTGGAGGGCGAGGGAAGGCGAGCGAATTGCATTGACACGGCTTGCGCACTTACCGAGTTGGCGTGACTAATCTCGATGTCTCTGCCGTCACCTAATCTTCATAGATGTTGAATGGTGAGGGCGACACGAGGTAAATAGGTGGACGAGGAGATGCTTCCTCTGATGCACCGCCGCCTCGAACTTTTTGCGGGAATTTGGTCGCACCGCGCCATGTGGAGGTGGCACCGCGGCCCTGCACGCCTGGAACATCGTCATCGTTCGTACCTGCATGAGTCGCGTTTACACTATACGGCACTCTCTGCAATGAACTGAAGAATGCTTTCACACAAATGTACTATTGCTACCGCATGGCTTTCGATGTTCGCTTGTACGTCTGCGTCGGGAGTACAGTCCACAAATTCTCTGGCTCGATACTTGCGAATCATCCTACCCTTTCCCGAACCGTCAACACCCCTCTCAAGCCCCACTCACTCCCACGTAGAATACGGTCTTACAGCGCAGCCCTCAAACCCCCCGTCTTCGCTCCTCCTACGTCGAATCATAGTACGTCTTGAAGCGATCGCTGGCCCCCAACCCCGCCTCCGCCACAACCTCGAAACACACCATCAACAACCTCGGAAACCGCTCGGTCCAATACCTCACGTACCCCTCCGGCAACCCCCCCACCATCCTCTTCACCCCCTCCGGCATATCCTCATAATGATTCTTCTTGTTCCGCAACCCCCTCAACAAATCCAACAACCGGTTGCCACTGTACTTGCGTTGTCGACCGAACTCGGCAATCAACGCCGGATCCAACTTCCTCAAAAAATCATGCTGCGGACCAACAACCTCCTCCATACGGTCTTCCAGTAGTCTGAGATGGTAGCTGTCCCCAGCATACCCATCCTCCACCACTCCCCTCGCCTCCCGCTCGAAATGATCGCTGCAATCACATAGGAAAGCCAACCTCTTCTCCGCCGGCCAAAAGAACGGATGCGTGAGCACCTGCTGCGCCGTCGGCCGATCCTCGGGTAAATGCTCCAACATGGAGGTGATCAACTGCATGGGCTCATACGCGTCGGACCACCCGGCCAACTCGCCCATCTTCTTGCGGTCGCGTTTGATGTTGAGCTCGCGCAGGCCTTGCCACCCCGTTTCGTCCTCGAAAGGGTGTTGGCCGTCGGTCAGGACCCAGAAGAAGAGGCAGCCGAGGGAGAAGATGTCGGCGGCGCGTTTGACGCCGCTCGTGCCGCCGCCGCCGCCGTTGGGACCATTGGCGCTGTCGCTGGCGTTGTGGGAGTGCGATTGGCTGGTCTTGCTTTCGGTGCTGGGTTGGGAGATGAGTTCGGGCGCTTTCCAGCCGGAGGTTCCGGCGTTGACGGTGGCGTCGTTGAGTGTGCTCACGTTTTCCGGGAGATTCTTGCCGAGTCCGAAGTCAGAGATGACGAGTCGCGGTCCGGTGGTGAGTTGTCCTCTCTTCGGGAATGCGACTAGGATGTTCTGCGGCTTGATGTCTCTATGGATGATGCGGAGGTTGTGAAGATGGAACAACCCGCCGGCCAACTGATGTAACGCTTTAGGGGCGTCTTGTTGGATCGCCAGCTTCAGCGCGTTGAGCTGCTGCTGCCTGATTTCCGTCTTCGCCTTGTCCGCTTCCCAGACATCGTACAAGCTCGCCTGACAGAGCTCGACGGCGATGTACAAGAAGTGATCGTCCTTCTGCTGGCAAAAGTAGCGGATCACATTCGGGTGGTCGTCGCTTTGCTGCAGGAACGACACCTCCTGCAGCGCCAGCTCGTAATGCTGGGATAACATCCGCTTGACGGCCACCTCACGACCTTCGAACGACCCTTCGAACACCAACGTGCCGCTACTGCCTTGACCGATCAGTTTGTCCTTGTGGATGACGAGGCTGTTGATCTGCAGTGGTCCAGCCACTTCCGCCGACTCGGAAGCAGTGACACTAATGACTTCGGCAGGCTGAGGCACGTGCGACGTCTTACGCTTCGCTCTTGCCTCGACCGCGGCCTGCTCCTTCTCCTTCTGCTTGCGCCCACCGCGCTTGCCTCGCTTGTGCCTTTTCTGCTCCTTGGTGTCTCTCTGGCCGTCATCCTCATCGTCCATGCCATCTTCGGGAGAGTCGTTGCGTGCTAGTTCGTTACCGTCCTGCCCTACCGCCGCACCTTCTACAGCTTGATCGCTTTCCGGTTGCGGCAGAATGACCTCCTTGGCCGGTTCGTTGTCTCTAACAAGCACAGCGTCGGGCTCAATGCTGGTCTTGATACCTTCTGCGGGTAAGACAACGTCCATAGCCGTGCGGGCCTGTCCCAGCCTGAGTGGGAAGCGGTCACGGTAATGGTAGCCCAGTGCAGCCAGCACCGCCAACACGGTAAGTATTGCGCTGATCATCACATACGGCAGTGGTTGTGGAGGTTGGCTGACGGGCAGTATGCCATGCTCCTGATGCTGTTGCGGAGGGTCAATGCGTGGATGATCCACTCCTCCGATTAATGGAATGCCGTGTCGTTGCGGGTGCGGTGACAACAGGTGAACACCCATGAACGCCTCACGGTCCGCCTTCGACATCGGTAGGAAGTTCATGCCGAAGAAGTCATCGTTATAGCATTGCGCTGGTCTAGCACCCTCGGTCACGGTAGGGTAGTTAGCTTCTGACAGTGCGAACCAGCTGCCAGACTCGGTGCAGTTGATGTAGACGCTGTTCATGGCATCATCTTCTAGTATTCTGAGCTCATCGAGTGTTGGTCCGACCGGCTGCGGGAGGACTACAAGAGCTGGATCGGCAGAGCTGTCGTCTGTAGGACGAACGATATCGTAAACCCTCGCCACGGGTGACGTGAACTTGTTGCTCCAACGAGGCTTACTGGCTTGCATTGCTCCGTACGTGCCGTACTCTGCAAGGTCGAAGCCGTATATCGAGCCGTCATACCTGGAGTAGACGTACTTTCTGTCCAAAGTCGTGGTGTACTTACTTCGCAAATCTTGGTCACGGTTGTTGGGACCCCACTCGAAGTACTTGATGGTGCTGATCTGCTCGCCAGTGTTTCGATCCTGGACGCCCACGGTGTACTCTGTGCGGCCAATGATGAGCGTGCCCATTGTCTCACACTCTTCGTCATCCAGACTCGCCAGCGGGTCCACTCGGCGGCAACTGCGGTCGTCGTTGGTCATGGAGCCAGAAGAACTGAACACCTTCAGGATGTTGCCAGTGCCTGCATCAATCGTGTATAGGGTGCTCTTCTTCTCCGCAGTATAAGTCACGGCTGGCATGCCCTCTCCAGCAAACGGACTAAGCACGTCTGCCAACTCCTTCACCGTGTAGGGAAGCTTCTGCATACCCAAGCCGGTCCCTGGAGCATACACGTATATGCTCCCATCTTGACTAGGCTCGACCACCCATATCGGATCGTCTAGCCCCACAGCCTTACCATCGAGGCTATGGTTATGCCGATGATACACCGTCTCCACCATCGGCGTGTCGACCTCGAGCTGCCATCTCGCAGCACCCGTGGTCCTATCTCTCGCGTGAAGCTTCCCATCAACAGTCGCCAGGAGGACAATCTCCTCGACTTGCCAGTCCTGCAGAGACCGCGCCGGAAGTCGCGAGGTCAAGCCGGCCGTAGCCGACGTCGACCTTTCTGCAGGTGGTGCCCGGACGGCCGGATTGCTCTCGGCCGCGGCATAAGTCGCTAGGGCGCGCTCGTTGTACGAGGTCCGCGTGCGTGCAGAGCGTGAGTGAGATCCCGATCTCAGCCGCTCATTGTCTTCGTCGTGCTCGTGCGTCGACGTGTCCCGGTGGCCTCGCTGCCCGCTCAATGGCGTCTGCAGGGAGTCCTGGGCTTGGAAGTGCTCCACGTAGGAGAGGGAGTTGGCGGATTTGGAGGGGTATGCCTTCTGGGGCGGCTGCTGCTGCAGAGCGGCCGCGGTGACGGGAGCGAGGAGGAGAGTCCATAGCAAGACATCCTTCAGTGTGGGAGCCGTGCTTTTCGGCTGCATCTTGCGGCCGAGCTGTCGGTCATGGGTGATGTAGTGGGCGTAGGCGTGCAGTAGGTGGGCGGGCTCATGTTTTGCAGGGGGAGTAAAAGGCCCGTCAGCGTGAGTGCGAATGCCCTTGCTTTAACGGGGTAGCGTCAGCCCTGAGCCCCCGAAACGCCGCTCCGACCCAGGCAAGGCAGCTAAATTCGGAGGGCCGCTGCCGCTTCTTGTGGGGTCGCATGTTTTGGCGCACGGGCTCTATCGACCGCAATATACATTCGTCGAACATACCTCTGTTCATGCGCGTTCTGATGCTCATACCTACTCCCGTGAAGCATCGGCAAGCCAGACTCTCGATGTGAGCTGGCAACAATGCACCCATCGTCCGTATACTTGGTATGTACTGAGCCACTCGGGCGGGGAATGGAGTCGCCTGTGTATATACACCCCGAGACACATGTGAGACCGTGGCGCTTGTAGAGCTCACAGACCACGATCACTGCGCCCGAATGCGATTGGTCGACTGCATTTCTGGTCCTTCGATTCCGCGAACAATGAGGGTCTTTGGAGAGTCCAACAACATCTTTACGCGTTGCCGCTTTCCCCGCAACGCTTATGTGGTTTACTTCGACTACTGTAGCTACTTGCTGAATGAGCCGAACATGATCTTTTCACCATCGTTAACGCAGTGTATCCGTTCCAGACCAAGTGCTTCCGTGACACTGTTATCCAAGCTTCTAGCCCTCGGTCGAAGTGCTGTCGCAAATAACCGAACCTTCTCCACTTCCTCGAAAATGGGAGAGTAAGCCTTCCTTGCCCGGACGTTGATGACTAGAGTCCATGGAGATGCCAATTCCAAAACGCTCTGGTTGACTGACAAAGCCTCAAGTAATCTTAAAAAGCTTGCCGTCAAGCTCGGCACAGATGGGCCGGTCAAAGTCCTTCATACGCCACGAATGATCAAGATTCTGTTCAACGGAACGTATATTCTCCAGACAACACAAGCCCACTATGTCTGGGAGCATCCTTTCTACCCGCAGGTCCGCATAATACACAGCGCTCAATGCATACTCAGTCGAAAACCCTCTCACCATGTTATGTAGTTCTACGTCCCAAGGTCTGAGCTCCAAAGCAGCACCAGACAAACCGGCCTCAAGATCACGGAGAACGACACCGTCACCACCGACAACGGCAAACAAGTAGCCCACCTCTGGTCCCTCGCCGTCGGTAACAAATCAACAGACAACGTCATCGCCTTCTCCGACGACCTCACAGGCAATGCCGAGCAACTCAAAGGCCTTGTCAAGATCGACTTCGCATCGATGGACCAATGGTTCGAAGAAGACACGCCCATCCATGTCCACCCCAAGGACCCATTCAAGCGCGTCGACATCCTGCAATCGCGCCGTCACATTCGTGTCTCGGTCGGTGGCAAAGTGGTAGCCGACACGACCACCTCGATGCATCTGTACGAGACCGGACTGCCATGCAGATACTACATCCCGCTTACAGCCGTCGATCCGACGGTGCTTCGACCGAGCAAGACTCGCACGCAATGTCCGTATAAGGGTGAAGCGGAGTACTATTCGGTCGAGGTCGATGGTGAGCTGCATGAAGACATTATCTGGTACTATAACCGGCCTACCTTGGAGTGCGGGCTCATAGTTGGCCTCGTTTGTTGTGGGTCACACACACGATTTCATTTTACCAATGCGTCGGTACCGGCTAACTACGCGCAGTCTATAACGAAAAGGTCGACATCGAGCTGGACGGACAAAAACTCGAGCGACCAGACACACATTTCGGCAAGAGCAAACCAAGCGAGAATAGGAAGCCATCGGCGCTCTGAGGTACTTACGTGTTCTGCATGTGTGTTACGTGCCTTAATGCACGGCACCATCTAATTCCGGGAGCGACTGGATGAGCGAGCAATAGTCCACCATGGAGATTACCGCTCGAACGCTATGTACACGAAGCTAAAGGACCCAGCGGCCCAAATGCTCAAAGGGGGTATGATGCTGTGAGAATAAACAAACGCTAAATGCACCCAAGGCACGCAAATGTCTGTGCCCAAAATATGCTCAGCGTAACCTGCATGGTATCCATCATCCATATCCATGCCATCTGCTGCCAACAGCTCGTGATCATCCACTCTTCTATGCTTAGAAGCTCGATCCATCACCCACCCGCAACCGAGACATACTCGCCTTCTTCTGCGGGCCCCCTGGGGTGAGCGGACTCAGCATCATCATCGCACTCTCGCGTCGTTTCGTCTTCACGTCTCTCGGGGTCGGTGTTCCGTTTGCGGCCGTAGTGTAGACCGTCGGTGCACGAAGGGCGTCGTTCAAGCTGCCAAAGCCGCCGTCACCTTGTGGGGCCATTTGGTAGGTTGGGTAGTTGGGTTGCATGGGTATCATGCCGACGTCACCGGTATGTAGCGCGCCGTGTGGTTGGAATGTTGTCTGGTTGTAAGCCGGTGTTGGTAAGTCTGAGAACATCTGCTTGCGCGGAGACCGTAGGTCTGTTGCGAAGGATTGCGGTACCATTTCCGTGGCCGAAACAGGCGAGTCTGAGTCGTCAATGGGTGGGCCGAAGATGATCTCTTGCTCCTCGACGAAGGAAGAGATGAGTGGTCCAGGAACGTTCAAGGTAGGGGAGAAGACGATGCCAACTGATATCTTGTCAGTAGGGTTCAGACACAGCGGTTCCAGGGCACTCACCATTCCGGACATTCATCTTGTTGACCTCGGCGTTCTGCACAATCGACATTAAGAACATCGCCAAAGCGTGCAACAGCGCCCGATTCGGTTTCGGCAGCTTGTTAACCAACATGTTCAACGCCACAACCTTCTCCTGGCTGTGATAATCCATGCACTGCATAAAGTCGAGATGCAGTTCCCGTGTGAGTATGCTAACGGGCAGCTCACGGAAGTACAGCTTTAGCAAGCTTGCAACAGCGTGGATATCGTAGTACTGGTCCTCTGCCACCAGATTGACATCACCTTCCGAGTTGAAGCGATCCTTGAGTGCCTTAACTACCGTATTCGAGCCGGACATCCGGAAGATGCCTTCTTCAGCTATAGCGCCCTGCGCGGTGAGGTACTCAATGCAGCGGTAAACGACTGCCGGCAGTTCGGTAGCAACACCAATAGGCCTTGCAAACTCAACAGCTTCGGAAAGAGGTGCGCCGAAGACAGCACGTCCACCGCCCGCCTGCGTCCGATCCAGTGGTGGGAGGCCAGGTGAAGCCAGACCCGGAGCGGTGTCCGAAGATGAGCGCCCACGGATGTAGTCGAACATGCTTTTCTTCCGGTCCTTGTTAGCAGTCTGTGGCGTTGGCGGAGGCTTCATACCCCAGTCTCCAGCATTGGAAATGACGTGCAGGTTGGTCGGTGCAGAAATGTTCGGGTGCATTGATGTAGGTGTCGGCTCCGAGGCCGGGCTGAGGCCATCTTCACGAGGCGGAGATGAGGAGCCCATTTTGCGCGAAGGACCTATAATTGGTGCTTCGCCGGCTATAGTCTCGTGGTAGTTGACGACGCGCAAGTCCTTTGGAGCGAGGTGGGTGCGGTCAATGGGCTTCAACGGCAACTGTAAATCGTTCATAGACTTCTGCAAGCGAGGACTGCGCGCACCGCTGAGGTCCGGACGAATGAATTGTGTTCCCTTCGTGGATGAGACCTCTTCCTCTTCGTCCTTGAAGTCGACATACTGCAGCAGTGCATCTACCCAGTCATCTCTTTCCTCGTCACTCTCCGCGCACAGCACGTGCCTCACCAAGCTGTTCGAATCCTTCTTCTTCGGCTCGAGGATCAAGAAAGCATGCCTGAACTGGTTGTCTTCATCTTCCTGTGTAGCATTCGTTGGGCTGGCTGACTGCTTTCCGATCTGCGCATTCTGAAGCTTGATGGACCCAAGATGCGCACCACCTGGCGCCTCGAAGTACTTCAGATTAGGTCCGTCAAGGACGAAGTACCGCGCTTTCCATCCCCCGAAGTTCTTGCCACGCTTCGTAAGGTAGCCAGCTCGTTGCGAGCGATGTTTCGCGATAGGTGTGTCTGGCCGAGCATCGGAGCTTGCAGGAAAGTAGTCCATAGCCTCGGCGCCGTATGCGTCAATGGATAAGAATTTGCACAGGATCTTGGCGGCTGTATCGTTCTCCAGCGAATCAAGCATGCCTTCGAAGTAGGCGTCGGTGGCGACTCTGCGCGCGTCAATCTTCGCTGGTGCATGTCCGACAAACAGCGTTTTGTCCGGCAGACGGTCTCTGAACGCACAGACCGACTTGATCTGAGCATCGAGCAGGACAATTGAGGCCACGGTCTTCTCGACCCGCCACAACTGCCTGTTATCTGAGCGTTCATATACCGCAAGCGTCAACACTGGACTCTCGTCGGCTTGCTTCGGAGCAATGTAGCTTTGGCGGGAAGGCTTCAGCCTGGACGATGATGTCCTGATATAGATTGATGGCAGCGCGTTGGGGGGAAGTAGAAGATCCGGATACTGCTCCACCACAAGTCCTCGATACACCTCACCCGGCGTTTTCGGTATCGGACCGCTGAGCGTTGGCGGTTGCTCATGCTCTGGGCTCGGGTTTGGAGATGGTTTCAGCATCTCGCTAATTGAGCCTTGTTGAGCTTGCGCCTGCTGATGATACATCTCAGCACGTGCGAGGTGCGGTGAAGCGAAGGTAAGCGGAGTCTGCGGTACCATCGGAAGAGGCTGCCTTGGCGCTCTCGGTGACAGTGGGAGCCCCGCCACGTTTGCCAAACCGGCCTTTGGCGACATGGGCATCATTGGCGTGTTGGGCATGCGTGGCATAGGTGAATTCAGGGGCTTGTGGCCGGGTCGGGGACTCATTGGTAAGCCAGGAGTCATGGGCAAGCCTGGGCTCATCAGTGATGGCGCGGTGTTACTCTTCACAAGCCCAGCTCCATCCGACACCGCTCGTTGTCGCAAAATGGAGATCGGGTCCGCTGTCGCCTGGAACACCTGCTGTTGCTTTGGTCGTGCGTCAGGCGCCGACTCTGTAGCCAGCGTTGTTGAACTCGGCATCTCGGCAGGCTCAGGTTGGGCTGCAGTAGCTTTACTTTTGCTCTTGCTCTTCTTTTTCGACTGACTACGCTGCTCGAGCTCATGCATAGCCACCGCCTCACGCTCGCGGTCGTCCTCCTCACGTGTCTTTCTCCGACCGCGCAGCATCTGCTCGGCACGTGCGCTGTCCGGATCTTCCTCATAATCCGAGTCAGATGGATCAACAATCTTGCTCGCTGCCATCGTGTTTGCTATTGGGATGGGAGAAAGCTGCAGCGGTGCCGGCGGAGCTTTCCGGATCGCGCCTTCCTTGGATTTCGGGCTGGAAATTGACTTCGGCGAGCTTGGAAAGTTCGCCGTCGCTTGCTGCACAGAAGCGAATGTTGGCGTTTGCGCAACATTTGGTGAGTTTCGCAAAGACGAAGATTGAGACTGGCTAGGCACCGCATTTCGATTGGCTTTGGTGTACGACAGTGCCGGTAACATGGAGGGCTGGTCCATGGTGTTGCCGCTGCTCGCTGATTGTGGCGTATCAGGCACACTCCCTACACTGCTCGACGAGGGCGGCTTTGTCGCGGACTGAGGCGTGTCTGAACGCCCACGACCGACCGAGGCAAGCTCCGATGTATCACTGACCTTGCGGCTGTCCAAGCTTGTACCACGCAATTCCGCAGCCGTCATAGCTGCCGTTGCCACGTCTCTGCCACCGTCACTCGCCGTAACGGGAGACTGACTGCTCTCGCGTCCATCCACTTCGGCAACTTGCTGGGTGGTAAGGGTCGGCGCCGACTGCGACTGCACCAAATGATCTTTGAGCTTCTTCCTATAGCGCTCCTTCTCCTTGAGTGTCTTCTCTAGATCCTTGTTGAGCCCCAGAATCATGGCTCTCTGCTTCTCGACCAGTCTCCACAGCTGCGCATTGTGGGAGGCGGCTTGATTCTTCTCGTTCAGCAGCTTCTGTACTGCCGCTTCGGGTGACCCTGCGGCGGCGATGATGGTTGCTACATCCTGTGGCCCCGCGTTCTCTTGCGAGACACGGTAGGAACTACCAGTGCTGGGCTTCTGTGAGTGTCCATGTCCCGCAGAGTTTGAGGACACAGTTGAGTCGATGGAAGTGTTTCGTCCCATTATAGGCCTGCCGTCAACGGAGGCGAGCTCGGCGCGGTGCGACGGTTGAAACGCAGAAGAGTTCATGGTGGGGGAGGCAGGAGGCGAGACCTGAGATCCAGGTGTTACAGCGCCTACTAAGGGAGCAGAAGCGTTCCGGAGTTGGCTGTTTGGCGGTTGAGCAGCTGCAGCTTCTCTCAGCGCATCTCGTGTGACGACGCTACGAAACTCCTCAAGTGTCGGGCTTGTAGGAGCTTTTTTGCCAGGATTAGGTCCCCTCACGCGATCCACCAGTAGCGCATTCGCATTGGTCGAGGTTGTAGGTATGCGGCCCTGACTGTGCACCGTTCGCGCCGCTGATCCAGTCGGGGTGCCCGGACTTCTCGGCGAGCTCGCATCTGAAGCTGAGCGAGCAGTAATCGATTCCTGCAGCGGGCTCGGTACTGGGCGGGTGCGCCTGGGTTTGCTGCTGCTGCTCCCTGCCTGCGCCTGCGGTGTAATGGTGTACGAGCGCTCGTCGTGCACGCCTGTCACTTGCGCGGACGAGGGGCCCGGCAGGCCATACTGGCCAGGCTTCGACATGACCCCTCGCTTAGTGTGATGGACATGAGCAGCAGCAAATGGCCGCCGGTCGATGGGATGTGCGCATATGCTAGCTTTTCCTTGATCGTGTGTTCTCGATGCTTATTGGGCGCCGCACGTAGCCGGCGCTTATGGGATTGGGTCAGGTAGATGTTTCAGCGTGGCAAGACGGTCATCAATCATCATGAGAATTGGCAGAGATTGACAGAGCGTCAACAACAACAAGGTAATGCAACACCTCCTGGACGGTGACCACGTCTTTGCGCCTTGACCGCCGCCTCTCCAAGCTTTACCAGCTGCGTTCTATGCACCATGTCCGTTTAATTAGTGACTCGTAGCCAAATGCATGTCCCCGCCCTCCCGCTGCATGCACGGCCCTTCACATATGCTTTGTACAATCAGGATGTCCGGCTCGTTCGGCAGTCACCACACCCTACAAGAAGGCCGAAGAGGACGCATGACACTGTATGCTCACGAGTGTCCGCGTCACCTTGTTTAGCCTTTTTCTCGATCACACAATAGGTACCCCTGTGTCGAGCATACTTGGCTGCCGCAGACATCACAGCACTACTGTACGCAAGCGACAGCCACCAGGCCTTGGCAGGAACTGGTTCTTCCCAGATCATCCGGACTCCGGACCACCTTGCCAAAACGAGCCTCCTCCAAGGCCGCATCCGCAATCGTACTGGAGTGACATTTACAAGCCGAGGCGATCCTTTTGCCCTATCAAGAATCATGACCAACCTGATTGCTAACCATCGAACCACGTGACGAAAACAAGTGCTAGGATGATTGAGCAAACGTCTGATGACCTGACACAGCACTATCAAAGGCTAACAGATGTCAACCGTAACCCGTCGTTGCCGTCATGAAACCTTCGTTGACAACCTTGGTCATCCCTGCCCAGATGAAGGTCCCGGCCGAACAACGTCCGCCCAGATCTAGATCTCCCCGATCCATCCCCGAACGCCCTCCAACGTCCGCTGGCTTACTACTGCTTCAGCCTGTGCAAGTCTCTCACCCCTCAGATGCCCTAAATAGCAATCATGTCGACAGCAGGCTGGCTGAAACCGTTGTCTGGTGGATCTACAAAAAGGCACAGAAAGGCGCAAGTAGGTGCGTCTGCTCACTATAGACATGCATTATGGTGAATTGATCACGGTCCGTTCCACGAACTGTTTTCGAATGCTAAGCGGGGAGGGCACGCTTGTGGAGTGCATTCTGCAGGCTTTCCATGCGTGGACCAGGAGAACCTTGCCAGACTTCGTGCTTAACTGCAGGACGTTGTGTGAGCGTGTTTATGCAGGTCACAGCCACGTGAGACACGACCGGATCGAGTCACGAAGTCGGACTGTAGTGGGTTTGTGGCGTGCACAATACGTGGACATCCGCCTGCAACAGCTACTTACGACCAGTCTTCCGCCTCCGTCCATCATTGCCATTGACCGCCGCAGCAGGCACCCGATTGATCGAGTATCCACTACCGCTGGCGTCAGGCACAATGTTGACCTGCACTCCCTGATCGTCACTGCTGCTCGTATTGCTGCTGCTTCGCTCAAGCTCATGCCCTAGCGAGCTACCCTTTCGACTCGTCACCGCCGGGTCGGAATTAGCATGCTGCGTGCCAGGTCGTGGTGCTAGAGGCGAAGACGAAGGCGGCATACGCCTCAGGCTCGCGTACCGTACCTCGGCCGGGCCACTTACGTTTCGCCGCCCTTGCGCTGCAGGCAGGTACGGCGTTTCGTAGTCGTCTACTCCAGGACGATAAGCGGGATACTGAGCGTTCGAAGCTGAGCGATGTCGAGGTGCTGCTGGGTACCAGTCTGCGTCCTCTTGCGTTGACATGTTTGAGCTTGACGACGGTGGTCGCACACCAGGTTGCGGCACGTAGTATCGCGGCGAGTACTGCACGTAAGGGTCTGTACGTTCCGGCGGTGTCGATTCTCGTCGGCTGTTCTTCGATGTCGAGCGTGACCTTGGCCGTGTAGCACTGGAGCGAGTAGACTCTGGACTCGAAGGCGGATAGTTGATCAACGGCGCAAACATGGGCACGCCGTTTGGCCCTGGAATCATGATGCCAGGCGGTCCGTTGCCTGCAGGGTCCAACGGTGCTGGGACTGGCTTACGGTCGACTTTGGCTTTCGAATTCGACTTCGCTGGCGATGCCGACACGCCGTTCCCTCTCTTCTTGTTCTTCTGGCTAGCCAGGCTTGTGGAGCTGCTGGACCTACTTCCGGCAGCCTTGCCTTTCGGCACTTTCGCAGGTGTCGGTGTCGGTGGCGGTGATGCCAGTGCTGTCACAGCAGGGGGCGGGACAGGCTCTGGCGGCTGGCTTTGCCTGCGCTCAAGAGCCTCCATCTCCTCGGCTGACAAGCTAACGTTTGTTTTGCCCTTCGTCCTTGCTGTCGCAATCTTTGCCATAGCCGATTGCACCAACTCCTCATCCGATTCATTATCCTCCGCATAATCATACATCCTACGCCTTCGCTGTCTATACTGTCCCAGATCATAACCATCAAAATACAAATCGTCGCCAGCAAAACCTCGCTGGCGAGCATCCCGAGAAGCAAACGAATTCGGATCCAATCGTACACCCTGCCCATCGTCCTCACTCTCCAGCTCCTCAAAGCGCTCGTCATAGCGAGTGCCATCGCGAAGCTCCCAGTCCTCCAGCTTCCGCCTTCGTCTGCCTTCACTGGGAGCTGCGGGCGGTCTTCCCATTTCATAGGGCGAAGGATGCGCGGTCGACCGGTCCCTAAACCGCCTCCCTGTGATTGCTGCATTAGCAAGCGTACGCTGAGCCGAAGGAGAAGATACATACTCGGAGAAAGATGCCTCTATAGGTTTGTCCATCAAGCTCGCGTGGCCCAGAATGGTTACAGCACTTGCACCTACTAACCACAGTATTGTCGTAATAGGCCGCGCCCAAATACCCAAGGGCACGGCGACGATCAGCAGGCCTGTGTACAGCTGCGACGAGGTGAAGCGTGCAAAGCCTAGGTCCAGATCCGCGCCTTGGAGCTTGGAGATACCGAACATGCCACCAACGACTAGAAGCATCACAAAGAACAGGAGTAAGTTGGTGAGCAAGCTGTAGATGGCGAGCATCACAAAGACAACCGCATAGTTGCTGCTGAAGTAGCTCAGGTTGTAATTCACCCGACCCTGGATCTCCGCGAAGTCCCGGGGTCTACTGAGTCGCTTGACGTCGAAGAACTCGCCCACAGGTTTGAGGTTGGCGAAGCGATTCGCTAAGCTTTGGGAGCGCACCGAGTCGAAGCGGCCGGAGAAGTTGAGACGGCTGGTAAGCGCGTCTAGAGGGATATTGATGCGCGCCATGATCGCTGACCTGCCTGTCAATGGTGTGTCGAAGAGGACAGGTCTGGTGGTACGCGGAGTGCTCTTGTATCGAGTCTCTTGTCTCAGAAAGCTGGAAAGGAGGTTCCTGATTAGCGAAACTTTCACATGCCGCGGATGGAGTGCGGCGATGCTGACTGCTTGCTGTCGTGTGTCTTCTGCAGCGAAGCTGAGCGAAGGCAGCGGGAAGCGTGATATGGCTTACATTATGTAGTTGTCAAGCGAGCGACGAGAAGCGAAGATGGAGGGGCGTGAGGTCGTACAGTGCCTGAACGGAGCTGTCAACTCTCCCCTTCTCGTTTCGTCCTCCCCCAAATTCTTGAGGCGTTCCCTGGTTGGCAAGGGGGCCCGCTGATCCGTCCCGCGGCCGTTCACTTGGGTGGAGCAGTCGCCATGCCGAAAGCAGCTTGGAGCAAACCGCTTCGGCAGAGAAAATAGATCAAGCCTGTCGCACAACTCACGACAGAAAGCGCGCACCGCTACGACAAAACGTTGTGCGAGTAGAGGAGATACGTAGCAACGGGGGGGACAGCTGTCAACGCGATTATGATAAGCCACCAAGGTCCACTCAGCAGGAAATCCATCTGCAGCCAACAGCACCCCCATACGCAAGTAACCACGTTGAAGCAACGCGCTAGCTCGTGCATGCCTCCATTTGCGTCACTCCGCCTGGTTTTGTGTGAATTCGTGTTTGCTGTGAGTGGCGGCCCGATTTCTGCCACCACACCAGCACCCTTATCATGAGGCTCCACGGTCGGGCAGCAGTCCTGCTGTTGTTCTGTCTTGTGGTATGCGTCTCAGCCTGGACTAAGGAGGATTATGAGATCTTTCGTCTAAAAGACGAGGTCTCATCCCACGAGGGCAGCAATGTGACGTTCTACTCCTTCCTAGGCATACACCCAAGCGCCGAACAAGATGACATCAATAAGGCTTACCGCAAGCTTTCCCGCACATTGCACCCAGACAAGGCACGGAGCAACTGGATTGCGAACTACAACATCCCTACCAAGACAAAGACGAAGCCGGGAGCGAAGCCAACCGTTCACGTCCACAAGAACAAGCAACCTTCGCAAGGCGAGATCAACCGCTTCGACAAGGAAGCTTCCGCGCGGTTCGAGCGGTTAAGCTTGGTAACTAACATCCTGCGCGGACCCGAGCGAGAGCGTTACGATCACTTCTTACGGAATGGCTTCCCTAAGTGGAGAGGGACGGGCTACTACTATGAGCGCTTTAGGCCGGGCCTCGGCACGGTGCTCATCGGACTGTTCGTGGTAGTCGGCGGAGGCGCGCACTATGCGTTTCTGTATCTGAGCTGGAGACGGCAGAGAGAGTTCGTTGAGCGCTACATCAAGCAAGCTCGTCGCATGGCTTGGGGTGACGAGGGTGGCATTGGGGCTATACCAGGGCTCGGTGGCCCAGCCGCCAATGGCTCTGCGCAACCGCAGCAGTCCGCGGCAGACTCGGAAGGCAGCATGCAGTGGAACCGAAGGCAGAAGCGCGCAATGGAGAAAGACAAGCGGAAGGAGTCCAAAGCTCCTGTGAAGAGTGCGAGGGTAGCCAGGAAGGCCAAGGAAGAGGGTGTGAGCACGCCGGTCGAAGCTGAGATCACCTCTGGACCAGTGGGCGCGAAGAAGCGGACAAGGGCGCCGAATGGCAAGATCTTGATTGTGGATAGTGCTGGTAACGTGTTCTTGGAAGAGGAGACAGAAGAAGGCGACATTCACGAATTCTTGCTCGATGTAAGTGTCGTCTGCTTGATGGGCGACGCTCGCGTACAACTTGCTAATCTCATGTAGCCCAATGAGGTCCCTCGACCCTCGATCCAAGATACATTCCTGGTCCGCGGTCCCCTGTACCTCTACAACATGAGTCTCGGTCGCGTATTGAACAAGCAAACGCCGGACCACGTCGCCTGGGAGGTTACAGATGGCGCCGAGCAGGGACAGCCTGATGAAATCGAAGCCTCTCTCAATGCCGCGTTACCCGCCAATGCGAGTGGTGAGGCTCGGAAGCGGAAGACCAAGGCGAACTCATAAGCCTGACCCCGTTGATAGACTGTATAGACGCAGACAAAAGCATTGTTGGCCGCCACGCCTTGCTTAGATCGCTTTCTTGGTCTGATATATGCCTCCTGTGACGCCTCGCTAAGGCCTCAATCGTACCAGTCCTAAGCTAGAAGAAGCTTTGTGCGCCGCTGAAGACAATCCGCACTAGCTCGAAGATGATGCCACCACACACTACGAAGAGCAGTACATCTGTTTAAACTCAGCATGTACGACAATGAGCGTAGCAACCGCTTGAGGCACTTACATAGCCAAACTTTGCTGATGGGAGGCTTCTGCGGCTTCTCCTTCTTCTGCACTTCACTTTGTGGCTTGCCGCGTTTGGCCTCTTCTTTCCGTGCGTACTGTGCGTTCGCTCGTCTTTGCTGTGGTGTTTGCGCCTATGGAACCGTCAGCGGTCCGTACCTTTTCATGGAGTTGAATGCCACACCATTGCTTCGCTTGGTGTGTTCCCTGATGTGTGAAGTGGTGAGGCGTGGGCTCGGCCGGATGATGTTGCTATATAACTAGAGGTGCGTGTCGAGACTACGTGTCGACAGTTGCGCGCTGCGAAACATCCAAGTTCAATGTGGCCTCTTTGGAGCATGTGCTTTCTCCACACGGTGCGGGATCCTGCAGGGATGTCCGCGCGGACCGCGTCCGCCACAGACCCACAGCGAAACAAGCTGGAAATACCTCGCAGGTGCATCTACCGTATCAATAAAAACGGCTTTCCATATTCTGAGTTATACCATCTGGTCATCGGAGGTCCATTGTGCGATTGTCCGCCAGTGCGGATTCGGCTCGCTTGGTGAGTAGCGGTTCCCGCAGGCAGAGTATAACCGCAGATGTGAACATCCGCAACCCTTCGCGTATGGATGACTCAGGGTCATATAGCGAAGGACTTCTCCGTCGCCCAGGAGCATGCTAGACGGCAAGATGCAATCCGACCCTCGTTCGCCTGCTAATGCGGGTGGATCGAAAGGGTGTACGGATGAGTATCCCACGCTGTTCTATGTCTACCGCGGAGCGGACAGTCCATGGGGGATCATTCTTCATGAAGTTGGATTCTCCAGTCCCATGACACTTAAAGCCCATGTATGTAGAAAGCTATCGCAATTTGCTCCTTTCATACGCATCTACTTCACGTTCAACATGCAATCATGCTGTTTTCGTGGCTTCCAGTGGAATGGCACTCCCAAAGGCAAGACTGAGCCATTTCCGACGTCAACCAATCAAGCCTACGTGACAGGCGTCAACAAGGACACCGCGATCATGCTTGTGCATGACGCATTTGGCTGGAGCTTCGGCAATAACAGACTGCTTGCCGATCATCTAGCGGAGGAGGTCAATGCAACAGTATACCTTCCTGACCTGTCAGTGCGCCGGCGCAACGATGCTTGACCAACACTGATCAAATGCTGCAGCTTCGGCGGTGAAGTTCTACCTTCCGACTCGCTTTCAGATCGTTCGCGCTGGGGCGATTTCGACATGGACGGCTTTCAGAAGAGAAACAGTCGTGCTATTCGGGAGCCGGAGCTCTTCGAGTGCGCCAAACATCTTCGATCCCAGTATAAGAAGGTCGGGGCGATTGGGTACTGCTACGGTGGCTGGGCGGTCTTCCGCCTTGCTGCGAAAGGCCATAACTTGGTTGATTGCGTTGTTGCCGGCCATCCCTCCTGGGTGACCAGAAACGACATTGATGGGGTTGACGTCCCGACTCAAATTCTGGCGCCGGAGATTGACCATGCGTACACCGACGAGCTGAAAGAGCACACCTGGGAGACATTGCAGAAGCACAGTGTCCCGTTCGACTATCAACACTTTCCCGGTGTCGAGCACGCCTGCCTGGTCCGAGGAGATCCGAAACGGCCGGGTGAGCGGGATGCAATGATCCGCGGGAAGAACGCAGCGGTGGGCTGGTTCAAGCAGTATCTCCACCGGTACTGATCGTTGTCGCGAAGGAGCCGTGAACCAGTTGAAGCGAGCAGAGTTTGAGCTTATCATACCTTAGATCGTATGCTAAAACTATCGCTGCAGACAAAACGCTGTGCAGTCACGTTTTGCAGTCAAACAAGGTTGCCACACACGACAGGCTTATGCCAAAGCCGTCCAGAGCCCAGCGATGCCGCCGGCTCCCATCAGTACGGCCCTGACGTTGTTTAGCAGAGCGAAGTCTCCCAACAATTTTCGCACCCTCTCATCGTCTTCCGCAGAAGATGACTGCTTAGTCTTCCCTTGCGGAACGCTCAGGTCACTGAACTCATCAGCTTCACCCTTCCCATAGATCGAGTCCTCAGCGCTGCGCTGAGCGAGCTGGGGCCCGTTCTGCTCGGCGCTCTTAGCACTTCGAGCGCCTCCGAGCTCTGCATTCTTCTTGATAAGGGTGAAGTTGGTCTCCTTCATGAAGATGATGGTGAAAGGGGCAATGGCGAACGTCAGGGCTGAGGCGGCCAGGTAACCCGGCAGCTTGACGCCTGTCAAAGCGGCCTGGAAGGCTTGCGCGAGCGGTCCTGCCGGCAAAGCCTTATATGCAAGGTAGGCAAAGCCAGCGCTCGAAACCATAGCCGCTTGAGGGAACATGTGGGAGCCGCGGCTGAAGAGCCATCGTGTCATGGGCAAGGCTCGCGAGGCCGGCTGCGATTGAAATTCGGGGATGTCGAAGAGTGATAAAGTTGCAATGCCGCCGGATGCCAGGAGTGCCACGGAGACACTCACGACTTGCGCCGCCGTGGTTGCGGAAGCCATTGTTTTGTAGCCGTTATTGGAGGGAATATTGACTTGTGAGGCAGGTTTGTGTTTCACGGCGCACTAGAAACTTATCCTGCGAGCAACTAGCTCTATATATGTAGAGCCATTGGGCCACTCGAGCAATTGTTGTTGTGGTGACCATCTTGACGTCGGTGTCAAAGTAAAGCGGAAGCCCGGCAAGTCGTGATCCGAGCCGAACAACAACCAAGACGTTCGTTCGCCCATCACCATTCCCCCTTCGATCGCTGTCTGTATAACGAGCGATCACTAGATGCAGTATCTTGTCACGAGGGAACAAGGTCTTAAAAGCGACCGATATCCACCCGCGAACTGCAGGAACCCAGAGCTTTCAACTTGCAGAAGCACCCCTCTAGTCTGAGTAAGCTGAAACAGTAACGCAGCGCGTCGAAAGCGGCTGGTCAGAAGGCCGTATGTATAGTGGAAGGAGACACCCTTTCAATTTATCGGAGACATCTAATCGTGAAGTGCATAACCTCCAAGCAGGCTTTCCAAGCAGGCTTTCCAAGCAGGCTGTATTTGCAGCAAGATTCTCCGTGTGCAGTTCCCCGCACACTGTCCTTCCAACTCATTCCGATGATTGCATGTATCCCGCAAGTATTCGCACAAACTTTCCGTGAACTGCGTCCGGGGAAGCCATGCGCGTTCGGTCACCGGAGTAGTCACGATGTATCACACCTTTTCCGTTGTGGAGGCCAATGGCGGCCGTCACGATGAGCGCCATGCTTCAAGACCTGTCACCTCACGGCGTCTTTCCACTATCAATGCCTGCAATGAGTGTCGACGAAGAAAGATTCGATGCGGAGGGTCGCAGCCGTGCCAGCAGTGTCTGTGGTCGCAGCATCCGGAGCTCTGCGTGTTTGCAGGATCTGGCCGCAAGACGGTGCAAAACCGCATGCAAGTGAATCAGTCACCTGGTCTACTCAATTACTGACAACCAGGCAGGTACATGGAGCAACTGCACTCGAGAAGTGAATGTCTTTCTGCTGTGTGCTCTCGCTTGTTTCCTAATCAAGATCCATCCAAGTTACGGGATCTCCCACGTAACGAGCTCATCAACCTAGCGGTCACTTTGAGTCGGCCCAAAAGCGCTCAAACTCCACCGGCAAACGACATTATCCTGCCACCCTCGGTTCCTTCGGTCGACTCAAGCAGGCCTTCTGAGAGTGCGGACAGCCTGAACTCTCTCGAGCAGGCGCCCGAACGCAATCCTGTCGTTGACGAGGCGATCCGTCAGAAGCGCACCGTTCATGGCATATCGGACGACGTCAATTGCCTTTCCTTGTCGTTCACCTTCCAGTCTTCCTACGTAGGCATCTCGTCCATCAGCGCCGTCTTAAAGGTCATTTTCATGATCGCACCTGGAGCGCGTACACATGTTGCCCAGAATGCAGCAGACACCGCTCTGCCGAGTAGGGTCCCATCACCATCCGTTGAGCAGCAGCTGCCAATCGACGCTACTGCGATGCCACCCCCGGATATTGCGCACAACCATATCGAATCATACTTCAATCGAGTCCATGTTCTCATGCCTATGATCGACGAGGACGACTTCCGACATACGTACCTTTACCTAGACCGCAAAGATGGGCCTTGGCTAGCTTTGTTCAATACAGTCCTTGCTCTCGGCTCGTTAGCGTCTGGAACGTGTGCTGACGAGGAGCATCTTGTGTACTTCCGCCGGGCGAGCAAACACCTGGACTATGAGGCCTTCGGCAGTGCCAACATCTACGTACTGCAGGCTCTTGGCCTGCTCGCTGGGTACTATCTGCACTGGTTGAACCGACCTAACGAGGCGAATGCTTTGATGGGAGCTACTCTTCGCATGGCGACTGCTGTAGGCCTTCATCGCGAGTATTCGAATCCTAGCCGCAACGTGGAGGGTCAGATACCGGTCGGCATCCGTAGAAGCACATGGTGGAGTCTGGTATGCTTGGATACTTGGGCCGCTATGACTACAGGCCGGCCGTCGCTCGGTCGGACCGGACTGGGAGTTACGGTCGACGTTCCTAAAATACCGGAGCATAGCAACAATGCGCAGTATCTAGCTTCGCTGAAGCTACTCCCTTTAGTGCACAATGTTCCTTTCTGCAAACTGGCAACCCGCATACAGGACCGACTCGCAGCCCAGACACTCCTCAACCCTACAGAGATAGCTGCATTCGACGCAGAGCTCGTAAGGTGGCATGACGAGCTGCCACCGATCCTACGGATCTCAGGTCTCGAGCAGGACGCTGTGGCCGCTTTCACGAGCCCGAGATACGAAGACTTCGTTGCAAACACATCTCCAGCAAGTGCACCTACTGAAAAACGCCACGATAAGCGCGCTATACATGGACACAATCTCCCTGCATGCCCCGAGATACTCAAGACTCCGCGTTTGATCACACACTGGTGGTTCATGACACTACGAATACTGATGTACCGCCCATATCTACTGGCTACTAGCCTTCGACGAAGTCCGCGGAGGGCAAAGTCTGCCGACGAAACGACCGCCATAGAGAGGTGCCGCATCATTGCCGAGGAGTCTATTCGTTCCATCAACTTGCATTGTCCGAATGAGTTACTCGCTGGATGGAACGCTGTATGGCTGATGTACCAGGCAGTAATGATCCCTCTTGTGTCGCTCTTTGCAATGCATCCGGACCGGACCAAATCTACGAATAGCGCCGAAGCTTCAGCGCAAACAGCAGCGCAGTCAGGGAATGACAACGCTGACGACGTTCTGGCCTGGCGCATACAGGTAGAAACCGCCATTGTTTTCTTCCAAAGAATGACACCGTACTCTATGGCGGCGAAAAGGAGTACGATCATTGTAGAGAGACTGTACGCTGCAAGCAAGCATTCGACAATCTTCACAGCTCCACCGAACAGCACACAACCGAGCGAGGGCGACAACAGCAGGCTCACAAGCTGTGAGATCACTCAAATGTCTGGCACCGTTTTGCCGGATATGGTCCATGTGACCCCTGTGACCGGACAAGTACCGGATTGGCTGGATGCGGGCGACTGGGGCGTCAGTGACGGCGAATTGCTCGAATGGACTGCACTGTGGAGTAACGATGTGATGTGGGACAACGGCCAGGACTTCATCTTGCCATGACAATACCACTGGCATGGTCAAGATCGTAAGCACGGATATATCACACCCGCCGACGATGCAGGGCACCATGTCAATGCCACATAAACAGGTAGTCGTACGACAACGGTTGACTTCAAAAAAACGGAATCACTTCGATGGAGTGACAGCGGAAATCTGCAGGCCTTCACCGTTTGTACGCGTCAGATCAGCTCACCACAAGCATATCTCCCCGTAGCTCGCACTATCTTGATCCAAAACGAACGGTCGAAGCGAACTCAGCCATTGAAGAGCAACAGAACCATGTCAATGACACAACAACTGCTCCAGGTGATGTTCGTAAGTGGCGCACTCAGACCTTCGCCTCCAATGGCTCTGCCGCAATAATCGAACCTGCAGTGTCGACTTCCACCTTCCGAGGCACTAGGGATGTCTTCACCGGGCGCTTAGAGTTGAAGATCTCGTCCAGCTCTTCAAGTGTACGTCGGCGCGTCTCCGGCATGATGAAATAAAACACTAGCCATTGTATGGCGTCCCAAACGATGAAAATAATGTAAGTGTGCCATCCAATGCGAGCGAGAGAGATCGGCCAAGCAAACTGGTTGAGAAGACCACCCGCGTTGACTGCCAGACTGCTGAAGGCCATGCCCTTGGCACGCATCTCGAATGACAGGACCTCCACAGGGTACAGCGCCTGGAGAGGGGTAATGCCAATTGAGAAGCAGGCGCCGAAGATGAAGATCATAGCGACCGTTGCTTTTGCAGCGGAGGAGTTCGTCTGGTCAGATTGAGCAAACAGGCCGGAAGCCACCGTCATGCCGACCCAGACCAGACAACATGCTCCCATGCTGAACAGCATGAGCTTCCGTCGTCCCAGCCTCTCCACGAAGGCTGCACCGACCAGAGCGAAGAAGAATTGGAAGCAAGCATAGGCCAAGTTGATGTTGGCCTGGGTAATGCTGTCGGAATAACCAGCGACGGTGAGCACTGCCGGCAGGAAGTAAGTCAAAACACCATTGCCAGCCCACTGCGCGAAAATGGAGAAGATGACGTTGCATGCGATGCGGTAGCGGCTCGCACGGTTCCGGAAAAGCGCACGGTAGTCCCAGAAGCGTTTGTCCTGTTGTCAACCCATTAGCGGCTAGATGCGGTGGTGCGGTATCATCTCTGGTAAGTTGCCATACCGCGCCATCTGTGTTGAGAAACTCTTCGTACTCCGCAAGCTGCAACCTGACCCAGGCAGAGTCTACGTTGCCCTGTCCATGCCACTTAATCAAGGTATCCTTTGCGGCTTCCCGCTTGTTGTGGACAAAGAGCCATCTTGGACTTTCGGGAATGAGCCAAACGAACAGCGCAATGATACCGGGGAAGACCATCTGGTGTCGTACATCAGTCTCAATAGCAGGCTTCCAGCGCTCCGGGGCGATGGGGTTTGTGAGGCTTACCTGAAGCCAGACGGGGATCTGCCACGACATATTTCCAACCAGGTTTAAGCCACCGCGTACAGCACCACTGGCGAGGATGGAGCCGGTAAACCAGAACTGCGACGAACATCGTTAGCTGTTGATGGACCTGTTGAGGATTCTCTGCTGTTATGCTTACAGTATTGCAATAGGCTGTGAGCACACCGCGCCAAGCGGGATGGGCGGTCTCGACAACGTAGATAGGACCGGCCGCCGAGACGATCGATACGCCGAAGCCTAGAAGGAAGCGACCACCTTTGAGCTGACCGACATCGGCATCGTAGAGGGTCGTGCCGTTGATGATGGTGCCAAGGATGATCAACCAGGCGCCAATAGACATGCCCACCTTTCGACCCCAAGTGTCAACGAGCGGACCAACGAATGGCAGAGCACACACGCCACCGATTTGGTACATGGCGGAGTTGAACGCTGCCCATTCGCCGTTGTTGGTACCGTGGAAGAAGGAGAGGAAGGTCTTGTTCGACGTAAGGCCACCGAAGAGCGAGCCGTCGTAGCCGTTCATGGTCTGACAAAAGCATCCCAACAGGAGGCACAGCATCAGCTTGATAGTAGTTGCGTTGGCCAGACTGACGGGCTCTTTGATGAGAGCTTCATTGAAACCGGTGCTGCCGGTGATGGTTCTCAGCTCGACAGGCTCGCCATTCGTCTTGCTATCGTCAGTTGAAAATTCCAAGGGCTGGCAGCGTCAAAACCACGGCTTACATCGGAGATCTTCTCGATAGTGTTGGACGCCAACTTAGGATCTCCGAAAGACATATTTCCTTTGATGTTGGTTCGACTCGACGCAGGTGGAGTGGCCGGCCCTTGACCTGGCAAATGTGGATGAAGCAAGACAGCGAAAGGATGCTCAGCTTGGACTGTGTATTGCAAGGACTTGATATATGAAAACGGAGTGCACCAACGACTCATATAAGCGGACTCGACCTGGAGCCCCACGTGGATAACCCACTCATCCGCCACAAGACTGGATTAGTCTAGGCCGTCAAACCCTGAAGCTGCACTCCGCATTGACAAAAACATGCTGGACGGAGATCTGTGGACGTGAGGAGAGGTCTCTCCAATGTCCAGACCATGCCCGTTCGGGTATTCAAACTGTCGGCTCCACGGAGGCCTGTGCCTGCTTCCACATTCGGACGCTTCATATCCTGCTCTCACGAAGAATCGTTGTAATACTGACTGAGGCACTCATAGATCGAGAATCATAGAGCCGCCATCGGCACTTGCTAGTCACCTCATTCTTGACCTCATGACTGCGGACTGGCCTGCTCAAAAGTATGGCGTTTGGTGATGTGGCGTTTGGTGATGAGCACCGCGTGAAGCTCATTTCCAAAGATCAAAACACCTGACAAATTTACCTCCGACATCAGCTCGACCGTGTACATCGAACCGCGGAGTATCGAGCCGCGGACCCGAGGGTCAGCATTCACCTTCAGGTGTTGCGGCCTTGGCTTGATGAACAACGCCACAAAACCGGACATTAGGTAGGAGTAGATAAACTAGTCACGCGGTATACGGAGGTCGAAGACGTGGCGTCACTGGACAAAGCTCCGCCTCTACGGCAATCGTTAGATTTCCGGGGCTCACCTTGTAGTCTCATATCCTCTCAATGGACACTTGCAGTCGCAGGACGAGGGTTATTGCGCCAACAATTCTTGGGGTCTCCGCAAATGGAGATGAGTAGTGCCTCGGCATGCGCTTCCGAACTCTCATTCCATCAGCCTCCTCTATCCGAGACGGAAAATCTGTGGTATCGTGTTTAACGTCCTTCCACCCATCCTTCGCTGGAGTTTTCGGGATGGGAGGAACTCAGCTGATGTTGCTTCCTACCGGAAAATTACTGGCGAACTTCGTCGCAGGGATCAAGGCTCTCGACTCCGCCGTACTGTATCTGTCGAGCTCACAGCCCACAGCTCGCACCTTCGGGCTGGCAATAATCAAGACGGTTGATTCGAAATACGCAAGGTGCCCGGGTACCGCCAGTCTGTATTCTGCACTATCGAGCGTGTAAGGACTGAAGCACTCCGCTAAGTCGTTCAGTCACCTGCCTCCCATACGAACCTTGGCAATACTCGTGCTGGATTTGATTGACCGCTTGTCGAGCGAGGCCTTAACCTTTTCGGGAACGGAGCGCGCCTCCGTGACCCATCCACGATGGCAAAGTCCCATTGTTCACAGACATGCCAATGTGAGCACATCTAAGCTAGGTGCATGATCTGACCTACCGTAGAGGACGCAGCACACGATACCCTTCCGTAGGTCTCCATATCAGTCAAGCGACGAACAGCGCCATTGCGGCACGGTGGTCAACCACCGACCATGTTACAAAGGGAATAACGTGCTGTTCTATCCTGACGCACGTACTGTGTGCTTGTTTATAAACCAAAGTCTACTGTGGATTGCTGTTTGATCCTCCAGGTTTGGCCTCCTCTGACCGTCAACATGCTCAAGGCTGCCTGTGCAATCGTTACCCTGGCCCTCATCGGAGGCACCACAAGTCACCCATCAGGCCGACCTTCTGGCTTCGTTAGGTCATCGGGCACGAAGTTCGCATTGAACCGCCGAGACTTCTACTTTGCCGGCAGCAATGCGTACTATTTCCCCTTCGACAATGTGTGGAGCTGCTTGGTCTAGAAGTCTCTTCCGGTATTGCTGACACGCTTGACAGAATGAGACAGATGTCGAAATCGGCCTCCGCGCTGCTGCACAGGCTGGTCTGAAAGTCTTCCGCACTTGGGGTTTCAACGATAAGAATGTCACTTACGACCTCAATGGTCTTCCGCAGTACGGCGCGGAGGGTGCTGGTACCACTGAGGTCGTCTTTCAGCGATGGAACAACGGGACGTCTGCGATTGACATCACACCGTTCGACAAGGTCGTCCAAGCTGCAGCCAATACTGGCATCAAGCTCATAGTCACCTTGACCAATAACTGGGCGGACTACGGCGGCATGGACGTGTACACTGTCAACCTTGGTGGGCAGTATCATGACGATGTAGTGATCGCTCAAGGTCGCAATTAACATGGTATTATCCTGATTGCTGACAAGCGTACAGTTCTACCGACTACCAGCTATCAAGGCTGCATACAAGCGCTATGTCAAGGCGTTCGTCACCAGATACATGTGGTCACCAACGATCATGGCGTGGGAGCTGGCCAACGAGCCTCGATGTGGGGGAACAGCGGGTCGCAACCTGCCGCGCAGCAGTAACTGCACCCCAGCGACTCTGACAGCGTGGATTGATGAGATGAGCAGCTACATAAAGTCAATCGATCCACACCATATGGTCACCTTCGGAGGTGAAGGCCAGTACAACGATCCATCGAACCCGGACGGCTTCTACAACGGCTACGATGGTGGAGATTTCGACGCGGTGTTGGCATTGCCCAACGTCGACTTTGGCACCTTCCATACGTATCCGGATTGGTGGAGCAAGACGGTTGCCTGGGCTACTCAGTGGGTTAAAGACCATGCAGCCAGTGGCGTAAAGGCTGGAAAGCCTGTCTTGCACGAGGAATACGGTACGCTTGGTGTGCAGCATGGAAAGTACATATTGGCGCAAGCTGACACACACATGAAGGATGGCTCACTCCCGCAGCTCGCCTGGCTGACCTCAACGAGACCGCACCGGCCAATGAAACACGGGTCGCTGTCCTTGGGGAGTGGCAAGCCACCAGCCTCGCTTTAGAAATGTCGGACATGTACTGGCAATATGGCTTCTCCAATTACTCGTATGGGCGGAACAATGATGATGGTTTCACAATCTACCTCGATGAGTAAGCACCGCAACCCGCAGTTACGTGTACATCATGTGCTGACACACGAACGATAGTCCAGAAGCTCAGCCGCTAGTCTACCAGCATGCCGCGAAAGTGAACGCACTGGACACTTGGTCATGGCCATAAATGACGAGGTTGGTTCACCGTTACTCGAGAGGCATCCGGCAACGTAAAGGGTCCCCTTGTTAGATGAGCTTGGCCACGAAAGCCCAAAGGGCTACGATCTATGTCTATGCTTTGCTCATGTCGTTCTCGAGTTCTCAAGCTTTGTCACCAAGATGTCAGTAGCCCCCAGCGCCGCTAGATCATCCATGACCTCAGCAATCTTACTTCGCTCCACCATCGCTTGGACAGCAACCCAGTCGTCTTCCTCTAGACTGTTGACCGTCGGCGCCCGCTTACCGGGCGTGATCTGCGATGCTTGATGCAGTAGTCGCCGCTCTACATTGTATGTACAGAGTACGTAGCGCTGAGCGGTTATGACGCCCTTGATCCGAGCCGTGATGATATCAACCAGCTTTGGGTTTGAGGGGTGCTTGGACTTAATGAGGATGGCGGAGGATGAGACAACGGTTGCGATGGCTTTCAGACCAGCGGCTTTCATGGTCTCGCCGGATTCTTGCAGGTTGTGTCAAAGGCAAGACTAATGGATCGAGGGTGTGAGAGGTTGCACTTACCAACAAGATCTACGATACCATCTGCGACTCCCAGAGCGCACGCAGCCTCGACGCTGCCGCTTAACGTCGTGATCTGAGTCCGTAGGCCTCCGTGAGCTGCGTCACCGTTGGGTTGCGCATGCGAATTGCTACCCTGACTTTCCAGATTACGGAAGTAGCTCTGGGAAAGCGCAGTAAAGCTAGTGGCAATCTTCTTGCCGATCAGCTGCTCCGGCTTCTCGATGCTTCCCTTCTCTGGCACCTGTACCTGCAGCTTACACGCACCGAAGCCGAGATCCATAATCTCGACGGTGCCGCTAGTCTCCGTGGGTGGTACGGTGGCCTCATGTTCGGCAACTGTGTCCCGTCCGGTGATGCCCAAGTCGACGCTACCTTCGCCTACGAAGATTGGAATGTCGGCTGCGGGAAGGAAGACCAGGGCCAAGGGGAGATTCTGAACAAGTGCAATGTCTAGTCTGTTGTGCCGATGGAATTTGATGTCCGAGCCAGTGAGCAGATCAAGACATGCTTGCTGTAATCTGCCTTTCTTTGGTACTGCGAACAACAGGCGGTCGTTCAGACTGTTCACCTTGTCAGCCACGGGCCATCCTTGACCTTAATCTTGCAATGCTGTCGAAGCATTCTCTGGTCCCTTGCTGTTATCAATGGAATTGACATACTGATTGACCAGATCCATGGCGGCTTATAGGTGCGTCAACGGGGACTTTTTGATGTTTCTACACAATGCCGGCAAACACAAGATCACAGACCCCAACGGTGAACAAGCACTCGTTCTCCCAAATATCAGCTGGGAATTCTAGGTTATGTGTTCATTTGGTTACGAAGGCAAGGACTTGTACAAGTGTCGTAAGTACGTTCCCGCAACACACTGTGACGGACTGTGAAAGGAATGACTGGGTGAGTGTTGTGATCGCATTTACAGGCTCTGATTCGAGCGCAAGAGAATTGTCGTTGGCGTACAGCCTGAGGCAGTTGGACGGATGTCGCCGGCGCGCATTTGGAGAGATGTCGAGGTGATTTCATAGCGGAGGGCTTCCGCGACGCACGGACAGCAGAGGAACTATTTTCTTGAACTGCACTTTATACACTCGACCATGACAAGACACGTGCCCCCTGGTGCACCACCCATTGCTCCTTCACCTTCTCATACAGTGTCGTCGCTTGCTCGTCGCCAATCGGCAGTCACTCAACATGAAAGCCAAGCGTGAGGACCCTAACGCTGAGGTGCCATCGCACATATGGGCGGACCATACCTCCAAACCGCCGCGATACCGTGACTTTCTCAGTCAATTAGCTCACTTCGTCGACCAGCTAGGCTTTACCAACACCCTCAGTGCCCTTCTCGATGAGGCCCATACTAATGGCGTCTGGCCGGACATTGCGGAGTGGGAACGTGGGCTCGAAGACGGCACGAGTGCCACGATCATGGATCTGTGGGAAGCCTGGCGTGAGGATCAGGGCGACTACCCAACGTTGCCACCATCAAGCCCGGTGAAGGCTGATGGGCCGGCTGGGGTAGTTGAGAATGGTGTTGAGAACAGCAGCGACGATGAGGAAGCCAGTAGTGAAGAATCTAGCAGCGATGAGGATGAGGAAGGTGATAATGAAGAGCTTGCTTGCGCGGGTGCTCAGGCTGGTACGATTGACGACGAGGCCGAAAGTACCAGTGACGACGAGTCTGACGAGCAAGATGAGCACCTACTCAACGCGTCCAATGTGCAGGTTAGCGCTAAACGGAAGCGTGAGGTTACGCCCGAATCCTCAGATGAAGAGTCGTCGGAAGAAGAGAGCTCAGTGGAAGACAGCGAGTCTGAAGATTTGCACCAGGCGCCTCCCGCGAAGCGTGCCAAGACCGTGGCGAATAACGACACGCATACCAAAGAGGCAGCTAGAAAGACTGTCAAAGGCAAGGATTTGGCGGACGGAGAGGAGGAAGAAGGAGATGACAGTTCCGATAGTGAAGATGAAGATGACGATGCCACGAACGGAGATAGAGTCGCGAGTGCCGCCGGCATTGATGATGACAAGGATTCGAGCGAAGACACTTCGGATGGCACATCCAGCGACTCGGAGTCTGATTCTGACTCCAGCGAAGACGAGAGCGAGAGCGACAGCGCACGTCTGACGGCTGCTAAGAAGACTAACAGTATGCCGAAGAAGTCGAGCGAGGACTCTCAAGACTCCACTAGCTCATCATCCTCCGCAACACTCGTCGCCTCACCAGTCAGGGGCGGCCGCAGCCGTAAGACGAAGCCTGCAACCGCTGCAGGCGCCGCTAAGAAGACGCCGCAAGAGGACCTTCTCGTCCCTGCCATTCCTGACCCTTCCACGACTGACATGCATCCCGATCGCCTGAAGCGCATGCCAGCACCCGAGCGCACGATGCGCATGCCAGCGACGACAGAGAACGTCGAGCGCCTGAAGAAGGAGAACGTACCCTTCTCACGCATACCAAAGGACACTGTTGTCGACCCTCGCTTTGCGAGTAATGATTATGTGTCGTATGAGTATGCTGACCGCGCGTACCAAGACCTCAGTGTGACGAAGGGTAAAGGCTTTACGAAGGAGAAGAATAAGAAGAAGAGAGGTAAGACTCCCGTTCCTAATACTATCCGCCCATCCTTGCCCATCATTTATCCTCCTGCACCTGCGGAGGTTGATGAAATACATCCTGCCATGCCAATCACTCATTGCTCGTCGACCGGGTCTTCGGAGCCTAGGCACAAACGTAGAGCCCACAGAGCCTGTAAGCGACACTTGACCTCGACTCTTGGTGATTTGAATTCCTGGCACCTTGGAGATGAACGATCCGCCTCCAATTCTGTCCCTCGGTAACAGATGGAGAGGGCGGCCCAAACGCCAAGGCCAGCACCGTCTGAAGCCCGCACCGCGGAAGAAATCGACAAAGAGGGAACGTCGTCGCGCTCGTCTCTTGATGGCCGAAGCGGTGATGGTCGCGAACACGCTCCGCGATTCCGGAATCGACATGTTCGGCGACACTGACATGGATACATTCCACGACAACGACATGGATCTACTCGATGACAACCCTGGCTCCGCGAGGACACCTGGGATTTCATGATGAGCGACGGCTACAATCCCATGGGCGGCGGTTGATTCTAACCTGTAAGGACTTTGCTGACATGAGCTCGATATAGGTGCGTACCGCGGCGGCGCGATCGATATGACTCCCAAGGGTATCAAGTTCGATGACTAGAAGTTTTCAATGTCATTGTGAAGATTTGCTCAACGGTGATAGGCCGATCATTGGAAATGGGAAGATTTACCAGTAACGATCTGCCAAAGGCGGAAGTGTAAGTTTTGATTATAATGGTCGAAGGTGGAGGTCGAATGCAGGAGGGCCGCAAGGAGGACCATTAGAAGGGAGCCAAACCATGTTCCATGCAGTGGGATAGAAGCGGATTGCAGCAGCGAGCCGCCCAGTTGTTGCAGCCAGCGGTATATCCTGCAATGTCCAAGCCAGACAGGTCACGGCATGCTCTTAAGTACGAAGCTTACGTCCTTAGGTGGCGTGCCGCTGTTCACATGTCGCATGTATGCGGCTGGCGCTATGCTGCATATTTGAGGCTGATCTAGGGCGGACGTCTGCCTGTACGTAATCTGCTTGGCCACCCAGGGTGCGCTAGACATAGACTGCTTGCTGTATCGGTCACATTGAGGGCTACCGGCCACACGAATAGCTCATCAGGAAGGCTTGATATCGCTGGGTTCTCGCAGACACCGTGTCGACATACGTGGACGCGTTACTGGATCGGTCGTTCACTGCTTGACATTCGTCCGCTGTTTTTCGCAGGCAACGCTACACCAAATCACTCGCCACCGAAGCCGCTGTTCACTAATGGACGCTCGTGCATCATGCGACCGGCATCTTGCGGCCAACCTTCGATATTGCATAGTTGAGCCAGTCGTGCTTGACACCGACACAATACGGCCATAGAATTCAGAAAATCACCGTCCCCGTCCACACTCGTCCTCATGAGTGGCCATCATCCATACCCAGGTTACCAGCAGCCCTACCAGCAGCCCTATCAACAACCATATGGCCAAGTCCAGCAGTATGCGCCGCACGCACAGCCAATGACACCGTATCCGCGGACCATCGGCCAGGCACCGCCGCCGCCACCCATGGCAGCGATGCCTTTGCCGCAACCGGCATACGGGTATGGTCAACAACCACATGTGCAAGTTACCCAGCACCAGACGTCAACTTACTATGACAGCTCCCCGCAAACTCTGCCACCCCCAATGCCTGGATGGCAGCATCAACCAGCTCAGCAATACCATCAACCGGATCCTTACGAGCATACGCCACAGTACAGTCAGCCTCAGCAATTACCGCCGCCGCAGCATCACGCGCAGTTGCCGGCACCGCCCCAGTCTGCCTACCCGCAGCCGCGAGCGCCGCATTACCCGGACACAGACCCGCGATATCATGATGACCTGGATTACGAGGACCCGCTGCGCGATGCTCCAGTGCATGCTGACCTACTGTCTGTTGCTACACCACAAGACAGGGTGCCGCATCGACAGCGGGGCTACGGTCCAGCGCTTGCTCATCCGCGTGACTTGCCAGGCTATCGCCACTACCACACCAAGAATGACACCCTGGTGCAAGCTGGGTTCCTCACATGTACCGCCGGACAACCCTGGTTCGAAGTTCGATGTGGCGCACTGTGTGGCTGTGGCCTCCATTTCATTCCGGAAGGTTCTATAGAACGGGTGCGGGACGAGCTCGACCGCGAAAACCGCGGTGGGCAGAAAGCAGCACGGCCAGTTGTGCACAATGTAAACCGAATGAGGCGAGGTGTACAGTCCGACAATCCCTGGTTACCCTGCGCGATTCACCCCCCGAACATTGCGCATGAGCTACCTATGCATCAAGTGCACCGCCAGTATATGGAGCAAGTTGCGGCCGGCGGCCATTACGCCTTGCGTTACGAAGACAGCATCCCGTGTCAGTGTGTCAGAGAGCTAGGTATCAAAACCGTGACGGACATACGTTCGGTTGAGGCAACGCCGTCGTATTGTTCAAGCGAAGGGGAATGCAGGATTCGATTGAGAGGCTCACAATCCTGGTTGCCATGACGAGCCAAGTGTGAGAAGTAAGACTATGAATGTTTGCTAGGAGTTTGAGCATACACATCATCAAACTTTGCTCCAGACGAAGATACAAGCGCTTCGATACCATTGCATGACCGCAAGGAGGGTTCTGATAGCGCCCTGATTACCTCACTTCATGAGCTAGCCTTATTGACTGGCGTGCCAGCATGAGATCAGGGGCTTGTGGCAGACACTGGTGATATTAACGCCAGTCTACAGTGACTGCGCGGCGAACCACAGTTCCTTCCTTGGCCAGATTCGACTGCTTTTGACGTTGTTAACCACTAGCAATGAACACAAATACTACGTCCACTCATTACAAAAGCAACGAACTGAAGAAACTTTCTGTTGGGGCAGCACAATGTACCCTTACCATTGGGGTCAGGGATCTATACCTGGCGGCTTTCGGTGGCTTGCCCAAAGGACGAATGCGCAGCCTAGCCGGTCACAGTCGGGGAGCGACACCGCAGGTGTCCACCACCAGCTTTCGGCCGGCGACCTACACGGGACACAACAAGAAAACAGTGCGGCGTCGCCAGCGGGCAAACCTGAGAAGAAAAGACAGCAGAAGAAGGTCGTATCAAGCCACACAACGACCATAACAACGTCGAAGCGAACTGCAAAGACGTCCGGCTACTCACAGAGTCTGACCCAGCAAGCATCAGCATTTGTGGAAGCAACCGCAGCAGCTTCCGGCAGATCACAGCAATGGATTAGCCACTTTGCAACAAGACTTTTCCCGAACAATGCCTGCTATCCCACTGTCACCTGTGAATTATGATAATCCGAAGGCACGAACTCCAGTCGTCAAAAGTGCGGGATCCTCCTTGTACATGGAGATTGGGCAAGCGTCCTCGCAGAGCATGCCTGCCCCGTTCGTGCCTCCGGTTGAGTCTACTGGACCGAAAACGAAGGTGCCCAGAGCAGCGTTGAAGGCAGAGACTACGACAACACACGTATCAATAGTTACGCGCAAAGTGCCCGGCGAAGCACGTCGGCTGGCGGAAGCTCAAAGGTTACTCGAATTGCAGCAATACGAAGCTAGACTCCAGCAGTTACTTCTTGGGCTTCAAAACGCATGTCCAGCACGCTTCGAGTGGATCGCTATAGATCTAGGCTTTATTTGCGCCGGAGGTAATCACTTTGTTGCCTTGCAAGACATTGATGACATCCTTCTAGGCCGCACGTCGGGAGCGAACCTTCCGATCATCCGGGCGAACAAGTGTCTTCCGAGCTGGATTGACGATACCCCGGGAATTGCCGTTCATCCTCCAAGCGATGCCATTCATCTTACGAACGGTCATCTCATGGAGCAGCATCAAACGCACATGAAGGCACTGCAGGCAGATGGCCGTGCTGTGCTATCCAAGAAGGCCAGCCGCGCGGTAGGCTTTGAGACCGATGGTCCTTGTGAATGCGTTCGAAATTATGGAATTCCAGTCCTGGCAAACCCAGAGAGCGGACAGATCTCACCTGAACCAAGGTATGTCAGCCAAGGCATCATGGCGGTCGCTGAGCATGGGCACACCGTGGCCCAATCTCATCAATATGCTCTTGAACTTGCCAGGTAACGCCTGGTTGAGTAACGAGCACAACATCGGCAGCCTGTCGGGCTCGGAGAATCAGTCAAGGATAATTGCCGTCAATGGCGAACATAACGAAAAGGTTCTCCAGCTTGGCTGAGTAGTAGAGTGAAGGTACTTCGTGCTTCAGAAGCTCTGAGAATGACACGGTAGGCGTTATGCAAAACAGCCTTAACCGTAGTACTTATTTGCACACATTCTATCGACCCATTGATAAATCAAAACCTCGCTGAGCTTCAACGGGACCGAGCCTTGTACCTGCGTACAGGAGTCGGGCATGGCCGTGTCGATGACGCCTATAACAAGAAGAGGGCAAAAGTAGCAGTGTTTGCAAAGCAAGGAGCATTTCTACGTGAGCGGCAAGGAAGGTTCTGGCCTTCAGTACAAGACCTCGGTATTGTGCTATCATCGTTTTCGCAAGAGCGGTAGGCGATCTGAAGGCTGAATGCATCACTGAGCGCCGATACATGGCTTCACTCGAACACGCGCTGACGCTGCTGTGTGTGTGTCACACTAGTACAGCTTAGGTATATCCAATGACAGTCACTGATGAGCCTCATACCACATGCATTATGCTGGCCATGCGCAGTGATTGAGCTCCGGCGTATCGCATGCACTCAAAGTATAGAACGGCTTTTGCTCTGCATCCTCGTGCTTGTTTTCGCAACTCGAGGCTTTACGACAGCGGAGGGAGAAAGAAATGGAACGTCGCCAACGAGCAGGTCCCACAATGCCGAAGAAGAACAAGCACTCCGTAAAAGCATCAACAGCTTGTCCCGAAAGTGGCTTGCAAACCAACAGAGTGCCTCCAGCAATTCAGCCAACGCATCTCGTGGGCAATTACATGCATTCCGCTTCGTACGGAGCTGGCCAGAGCCCAGCCAGTGCCCGAGCAGGCCAACATCAGGACGCTGCAAACCGTCTTTCACAGCCCGGCCATTACTCACAACTCCAAGCTGGTTATGAAAAGGTTGCGCAGCATATAGCACAATCCCCAGCGCAACAAGTCGCAACCATAACACAGCAAAACTACGAACACCTAAAGGTTGCAATTTCTGCACCGCCAGTCAAGAAGCCGAAAAAGAAGAAGAACGAAACAACGACGACGATGACAACCACGAAGAAGACCCAGACGCTGGTGTACAAAGAATCCACGCTCGGTGGCAAGGCGCACAGAGAAGCAGCAAAGCGTGGCGAAAGCGAGAAGTTCGAGGACGAAGTGCAAACAATGATTGTTTCAATGGGAGTGTGTCCGAGCTTGTACAGATGGTACAAGAATACCGGTGGCGGCTATCTGTGTGCAGGTGGTGGGTCGTGAGACCATCGCAGCTGTAACACCCAGGACCTTACTGACAGTATATTTGACAGGTAACCACAGCATTACATTTGATGAGATCGACAAATGGGCTAACAGAAAAACTTACACGCCCGAGATAATGATAGTCAACACCTTCTTACCTAGCAGCGATGGGCTTGTCATCGGCACACACCCTCCTCAGGTCGACTTCTGGCAGGAAATGCATGCAGTGCACGCTTCCTTTGTGCAGGCTGCAGCTGCCGCAGGCTTCAGACCCGACTTCGAAAGTATAGAGGGCGATCCCAGGTTTAGAAGTAACGGCGAGTTATCTGATGAAGAAGTCTGCCGCTGTTTCGAGAAGTTGGGAATCCAACCACTGACAGATGCGGAGAGCGATATGAGAAGAGCACAAGCACGCTCGTTCGGACGGGCTGGCATCGGGGGCCAGCCAGGCTTCGGCGGCGGCGGCGGCTACAATTCGGGCCTTAATGGGGGCTTTGGCGGCGGCGGCGGCGGCGGCTTCGGCGGGTCGGGATGGGTTCACCCTTACGGCATACCGGATCCCGCATTCGGTAGCATGTTTGGCAGACCAGGCTTCGGAGGGTGGGTTGGGTGATCACCGTCATCGTGCACCTGGTGACCAAATCAGCAAGTTCCTGTTGTTAGGCGCGGCCGAGAGCATCGGCGAGCCCATAGTGATGATCCATATGGACTGTTAGTAGGCGCGAATGCTTACGGCTCGCTATGCGAGTTGAAGCATAATAAGTCGGCTCAGTCACTGAACTTTTGCGGCTTCCAAAAAACTGCACTGTCTCATACCTTCGTGGGGTGAACCCTCTCCTAGTCGTCAGAGATGAGCAGTATCCCAAACCAGCAACCATCGGCGAGGTCGGCGTAACACACTGCACATCAACAGAACGCTGTCAAACCTCGATCACAGACCCAAAATTGAACATGGGTTCAGCCAGCCCGCCTGTGATACCCGGGGTCGGTGATATGCTACGCAACAGGCGTCAGGCGCTGACCTACGGACGACAGTTAGTCCAGTCGCAATTGCAGCAACAGAAAGCATCCAAGTCGGCGTCAACTACCACGACCCATACGGAAACCATCGTTAGGACCAGCTACACCGCACAAGGTAGTCAGCACCAGGCGTTGGTGCCGCGAGTTACCTACGCTTTGCTGCAGAGTCCGCCATTGTTCACTGCAGGTTTCGTCCAGCAACAAGGGCAAGCTCGAACGCTGCCACTCGAACCATTGATCTCGGTGGCAAAGATGGCTAATGGACGTGTTTTGCCTTCGCCGTTTCATCAGCCACAACCACAGTACGTGCGTGATGATGCGGCGCAGCAGCTAAAAGACCTCTCCCATCAAATGACCATCGCCGGCCCGAGTCCAGTACAGCCACTGAATTATGATCATCTGAAGATTACCATGGCGGCAGAGGCTGTCAACAAGCCTCAGGATAGAAAGACCCAGACCACGCACGTAACCGAGGAGAAGCGAATGGTCAAGTCTAAGAAGTCCAAGAACGCTGGGACCGGTGAGGCGGCGGCCGTTCGCGGCGAGAGCGAGCAGTTCGAGCAGGAAGTACGAGCCATGATCGCCACGTCAGCAATGCGAGTTTGTCCAGCAAGATACCATTGGTACAAACGCAAGTCTGGCGTGTACATGTGCGGAGGAGGTAAGCCGTGGTGATGTTCGGCCTTCCTCACCAGACTGCTGACGAGCACTTGTTAGGCAATCACGCTCTTTTTCTGGACGAGCTCCAGAAGTGGATAGACAACCGTGCGTACGTTCCCAGATTCGATTCCGTGAATCATTGGGTCCCCACGGCATCAATTGCGGTAGAGGAAGGTTGGGAAGACAGAGGTCTCCTATGCCACCCTCCTTCAGTCGACTCCGGCCAGCTCATGCACATAAGGCATGCTATGTGGGTACGAGACGCTGCTTTGCTTGGGTTTCGGCTCGTGAATAGACGGACGAACACCGGCCACGACGAAGGTCGCTGTCAGTGCTTTGAGGACCTCGGTGAACGGGCGGCGATCAAGGCAGAGCTGGAAACTCTCATGGCACAGTCGAAGCGGGCTGATGTGGAGTGGAGGCACACGCATACGCCCCAGCAGCTTAGCACGGGAGATCACCCATGCTGGGGGCCCGCTCCACAGTCTGCGATAATTTGCCCGGAAGTTGACAACGGCCGTCGCCAACGTCGTGTCGCGGGTCGTTTCGATCGTTGGCTGGGCGATCCGTACGGCGGAAGGCATGGATATCACGGCCTGCAGGGTCCATAATTGCCCTTGAAACCAGACTGGGAAGCGTAGTACCTGGCTTAAGTAACTTGCATTTTCTATCAATAGTAAGTTGTTGCCAAGCACTCAAGCTAGACACTCCGTGTGTCATAGGCTGAGGTCTGTACGGCACGGGTCAGATATTCCCACGCAGTCAGTGTATGGACCTTCACTGTCTGAAGGAACTCTTCGACCAAGACTTTCTCGTCCTTTTCCGCCATGGTCGCCGGGCTTACACCATAAGTGTACGCCGGCACACCACGGTAGCGGAAATGCTTGCAGTCAGTCGCTCCCAGTGATGAGATGGGCAGCGGCTGGCTTCCTCGAACTGTCTTCACATTCTGCCGAATGTATTCGACCAGTTCATGATGGATGTGGCTGGCAGCAGCTGGGTTCGAGGCTGCTTCTTGAATACTGTAAGTCACTCCAGGTACGTCACACACTAGTTCGTCAACCTTGCTGAGCACGACGTCCGCCGCCATAGCGATGGGCAGACGGATGTCCGCCTCGAACGTGCATTCAGAGGGTATCATATTCACCTTCGCGCCTCCGTGGATAGTGCCTATGTTCACGGTCGGCTTCAGCATGCTGTCCGCAGCTCCTTCACCCATAATCTTGTCCGCGACACTGCGGACGTCATCACGTTCGAGGTATGACATGATCTCTTCGTCCATGCCCAGGCCGCGAAGGCTTTCCAACGCTTTGAGACGGTGGATAACACGAGCAGCAATCTCAATAGCGCCCTCACCACGATGCGTATAGGCACCATGTCCGCCTCGTGTTCTTATGTAGAAGGTCATGCGCAAGGTACCTTTCTCGCCAAATCGAATGCTGTCCAGACCGCACGGCTCGGCATTCAGCACGCAAGTTCCTTGCCACTGTGGATCCTGTTGAAGTAAGAATTTCGTCCCATACTTACCACCTGTCTCCTCGTCAGAGACCACTTCGAGGACGCATCGACCTCTAAGGGCAGAGCGAAACCTGTGCATGTAAGTAAAGGCAAGGATAGACGCGGCCGTTCCGGCTTTCATATCGACAACGCCTCGGCCATGAACATAGCCGTCAACTATGTCCCCGGAGTACGGGTGTCGCTGCCATTGATCTCCATCTGTGACCGGGAAATGGTCAATGTGGCCGTTAAGCACAAGACTACGAACCAAATCAAGGGGCTCGTGAGTGGGCGTCAGAACGCTCACTAGATTCGGGGCCTCACTTTTGGGCGCGAAGGTGCGCGTGTCGATGCCATGTTGTGTCAGGAATTTCCGCACAACCTCGATTGCTTGTCGCGTGTCTCCGGGCGGGTTTGGCGAGGGTGTCCTAATCAAGTCCTGGAGAAAGGCGAGATGGATGTCTCGATCGGCGTCTAGCTGCCGCATCAGGTCTACCTTTGTGTCCATGGTGAACAAGAGTGTTGGAGTGCTGAAGTGATCAATGACGAATATGCAGAATGAGTTGTAAGAGAAGCAACGGAGTACGCAGTGTGTGAGTCACAGAAGCAATGTAAGATCCCCTATCATTTGTGGAACGCGACTCCTTCGGAACCCTAAATCATTGAGCGGCAATATCCCGGAGAGATGAGGTTGTAATCGTCTATCCGATGCAGACTGTACAGTGAAGCGTGATGGCATGAGGACAGCAGTGACCTTGCCGGAGGTGCACTCCAAGAGTCTCTCTTGGCTCGTGGCAGTTGTTCGGGTCGGAAGCATTTCATCACCGAGCCAGGGTCTGCCAAGAGATAGACTTCTATATCGATGTCGAAGTTTCATGACTAAAGCATTAAGCCTTGACATGAATCCTGCATGGTCATCAAAAAGCAGAAACCCGGATTTGGCATGGTGCCAGTAACGGAGCAGAGACCGCCGAGACAAGCGGTAAGCAGGGAGGCGCTGAGGAACGACGTGAACTGGGAGAATGAGGCAGAGATGAAGGCGTTGATGGCGAGGAAAAGTGAGGCCGAGGATGCAGAACCGTACAACCAGCCGGCTTTGCGTAGCGCGCAAGCTAGACTGGTTGCGCGGGAGGTGGCCAAGCGGTCGATGGGGAAGGTTAACGTGAGAGGGTGAGCATCTCAATTGTAGGACACCCGCTGCAAACGCAGGCTGATGCTAGGTACTGCAGTGATGTCAATGACTTCGGCTTCATGTTGCCATCATCTGGAAGTCCGGCGGACGACGAAGCGAAGGCGACGAGCAAGCAAAAGCCCGTAGTAGAAGCTGCTCCGGCTGTTGTAGCAACCCCAGCTGAGCCCGTCCAACAGAAGGTGAAGAAGCCGAAGAAAGATCCTCTTTCGAAGAAGCACGTACCAGGAAACGAGAGATACGAGTCGAAGTCTCAGCGGGTAAAGAAACACTTGCGAGACGCACAGAAGCGGAAACTGCGGAAGGCGCAGGTAGCAGCGAAGACGAAAGCAGCGGAGTCCGGCGCGTAGAGCTACTGGTACTGATGGATGCAGGTTGATATGATAGAGAGCATGGAGTCCGGCGCAACAAGAGATACCCAATCATTTATACCGAAGCTAGTAACAGAACTAATTTTTAAGCAACTCTCAGTGCTATACCCGCGCCGTTAGAGCATGTGTCGGTTGACCCCGTCGCTTCCTCGTTGCCAAGGTAGCGTACATACTTCTCCTAGATCGCTACGGGACAGCCTTGTATTCGGAACATTCTATCTGGGAGAAGGAGCGGTTTAATGGAAATCTGCGCTGGTGAGGAATGTCACGCTGATCATATCGTTCTTGAGCAAGAAGCCAAAAGTTGCCCGGAGCAGAGTAACATCGCGATTCAGTGTCCACTACGGTGTTGCCGTGTAGCCCGACCTCCATCAGCCCGCGGCCTGGCAGCCAGCAGCGCTTTGCAGAGATGAGATTCGGCAGACCCATCTACGGACTTACCTCACTCGAGACGGAATTGTGTCATTGACACAAAGATGGCCAACCTGTATGGGGACTCTCCCACTCGGACGACGCTGCCTTGCGTTCCTGACCAAAGAGTTGCGTTGAAGCTATTGCGCTGAGAGCTTGATAAGGGCCTCGGGAGGAGATTCAGACTGGAAGTTGGTATCCAGGTCAAGTCCACATGCGAAGCCAGTCCAAGCCAGGGCTCCTTAGGCATTCCTCTTCTTCTCTCAGTCGGCTCCTATTGCATCAGCTGCAAGTTCGACGGTCCAAAATGAGCTCTAGCTGGATTTATGAGCTACTTCGCCCGCAACGCCGGTTTCTTGTCTTCGACCGACGTGCCGGATGGGAACCACATCATAATCGGGAACGTAGACCTTTCGCCGTCAAGCTCCATAGACACTTCCTCCATCGCCTCGAAGCCAAGCTTCTCGTATACTGGCGCGCCTTCGTCGCTCGCCTCGAGGTACGCAGGGATGTTTAGATGCTCACACTGTGCTAATCCCCACTTAACGCACATCGTTGAGACTCCCCGTCTCCTCCACACTGGATCCACGCACATGTACATGAGGACAGCGCATCTTCTCCCACCTAGCCATTCCACACGCTTGTCCAAGATGGGCTGCAGCGTACGCTTGGCCAAATCCTGCTGGCCCTGACTGTTCGGTACCCAGGATGCAGAAAGAAGATAATGCGGTCGGGTGTATTGCTCGGCAGTGCGAACCCTGTCGTATATGAGCCAATACGCGAAGCCCACAATAGTGCGCTGGTTGGTTTGCGGGTCAGTATGCACGCATTTGATCGCAGAAGGCCACAGTAACTCGTCTGCATGCTCACGCCACGCTCGCAAGTGCCGCTCGCCTGCTGCTCGTCGACCATCCGGGGTGTCTATGTTGCCGAGTAGAGCTTCGATTGGATATGGCGCAAACGCTGGTACCAGTATTGAAATTATATCCGAAATGTCTTCTTCACGCGCAGCTTCTATCGCGAACGGAGGCGCCATATTTGTTACACGGCGATTGTATTACTGGGAAACAAAGAGGCCATCAAATCCAAAGATGTAATGCTTGAAAGCTGGGACAGATCGGTACTTGGCCACATAGCTGCGTGGAGCCGCTAAAGGCTGAATACGGTGTAGCAGGGAGCTGGCAACTCACCTGGCATGACAGCGGCAAGGCGCGAGGCGAACCCAGATGCCGACAGCAATATCTGGATAGGGATTAGCGACATCGCGTGAAGTTAGCATGGCAGAACTCCCGACCTCGGCACGACGTTCGGCGGCTTCGGCTCCGACAGTCCTGAACCTTTCCCATTACATCGGACTTAAGCTCCGTATATGCCTTCAGCTTCCCTGCACGTATACGACAGCACCTAAGGTCCCAGAGTTAGTCACAATCGTAGTCATAGAAGCCAACAGTAAGTCCTCAGCAGCTTATCCGTCTATTTCAATTCCCAAACGTTCCATTGCCCTTCGATCATCCAAATCACAATTGCTCCATCCAAATCGGAAAAGATTCCAACCCAACAATGTCCCACCCAACCACCCACAACACCTACATGCCCGGCTACGCCGCTCCTCAAGTGCGGCACCACGAATGGCGCACCGCCGAAAATAGCTGCCAATTCCTTTTGCCTACCCTCACCTCCCTCGCCACCAACACCCCGACCCTCAAACTCCTGGACGTAGGCGCAGGCTCCGGCACCATCTCCGCCTCCCTCGCCCGCTACATCCCCCACGGCCACATCACGGCCACGGACCTGTCGGATGAGATCCTACAACGAGCCGCCGACTATGCAAAGGGGAAGGGTGTGAGCAATATCTCGTTCCGGGAAGCTAATGTCTACCACCTCCCCTTCGAGGATGAGAGTTTCGATGTCGTGCACGCGAGTATGGTGCTCAATCACCTTGACGATCCCGTGGCCGCTTACAGGGAGATGCTGCGGGTTTGCAAGCCAGGCGGCGTGGTGGCGAATCGCGAGTCCGATGGGCGGATGTACTCTTATTACCCCGAGCTACCGGGGATTCGGAAGTTCCTAGATCTTATGGTGTCGAGTTTGAAGGCGAGTGGAGGTGATGTCACGGCTGGACCGAAGCTGGTCAGCTGGGCGATGAAGGCAGGAGCGAGGAGGGAGCAGATAACGGCGAGTATGGGGACTTGGACGTATAGTACGCCTGAGGAGAGGCAGATGTGGGGTGAGTCTGGCATGCAATTTTCTATGTCTGAATACCATGCTGATGATGCATGTAGGTGGCACCATGCTGGAACGAATCAAGCACGGCGGGATGCGGACGATGGCTCTGCAGCACAATCTCGCCACGGAGTCGGACATGGACGAGATGGCGCGAGACTGGGAAGCCTGGATCGCTGCCGAAGACGGCGTGTTGGGGTTGATGCACGGTGAGATCTTAATTAGGAAGTAGACCAATGGTGCAGAACTGTTTGATACACGAAGAAAGCACGCTAAGGCGAAGCACTGCTGTACATGCCCACTTCAACCTCTTCTCACTCAGCCGCCTTGCGCCATGTTCACTTTCTTGCCCCTGTGGTTGCTCATCTCCGGAAGGTCGAGCCTGGCTGCTTGGCGGCTGGGGTTGACCCGATGCTTGGATCCTGATAAAGCATTCTGCGGGATTTAATGTTGGCCCACCGGTGCCTGCGAGTTGATGGTTAGCACGTCAAACACGGACTCAGTCTACGGGGGCTGTAGGATAGCTCACCTCTTGACCCACACACTCAAGGCAAACAGCACACCGCCAATCGCCATGACCTTCCAGCCCATACGCTTCCGCTGGTCCATCTCCGGCTCAGCGGACCAGTTCAAGAACTCCACCACATCCTTCGCCATCTGCGACGTGGTGGCGGTAGTACCGTCCTCATATTCAACCAGACCATCGTATAGCACACGCGCCATAGCGATACCGGTACCGGGGAAGTACGGATTAAAGTTCAACCCACTCTGCACAACCGCACCCGCCGGCGGCTCCTCCGGATAGCCCGTCAACAGCGAGAAGATGTAGTTGCAGCCACCGTGGCGCGCCTTGACCATCAAGCTGAGATCGGGCGGCAGTGCACCATTGTTGGCTGCACGCGCCGCTTCGTCGTTCTTGTACGGAGACGGGATGTAGTCGGAGAGCTTGCCGGGACGCTTCTCAATCTCGCCTTCGTCGTTGGGCTCGGTGTCGTATTCGTTCTCCTCCGCAAGCGTCTTGGCTTCGTTGACGGTCATCATGGTGCCGACGAGGGAGCGGTAGGGGATACGGCTGAGGGAGTGGCAGGAGGAGCAGACTTCGCGGTAGACCTGGAAGCCGCGGCGGAGGGCGGCATGGTCGAAGGTTTTGTAGAGCTTCTCGTGCTCCCAGGGGTATCGCGTGGCGTGAAGGCTGCAGTGAAGCGTGCGTTAGTCGGCTAGCTGTACAGCACCGAGGCAATCATGCAGGGCTCATTTATGCCGTCTCAGCTCACCCTTCTTCTTGTGGCGTCATGGCGTACGGCTGCCTGCCAAACTGGTAGTAGTACCAAGCGACTGAGCCGATGGCGAAGGCGGTAGATGATGCGAGGAGGGCGTTGTTCTTCCATGCCGCCGCGGCCTCGGAAGAGCTTGATGTGGAGGCATTGCGCTGTAGAGGTGCTGCCGTCAGCCACTATACCCATGACGTAGCTTTCAACGACTCGTAGAACCTCCGAACAGCTGCCAGATGCCTCTCGCAAGCTCGCAGTGGCGTGTTCGGGGTGGGGGGTGGTGGAGGTGCATACCTTCGCAAGCCCAGTGACACCCGTCTTCGCGGCGCCCGCAGCGCGCAGAGTCGCTCGTGCCAGCATCTTCACTCGAGCTCGCCTCAGCGCTTGAGGTGGCCCAAAGTCTGGTGGCGGCACAAATGAGTGTTTTGAAGAGTTAGCGAGTGTGTCGTCGCTCAATGCTCTTCAATGCGCTACGCTTTGCTCCTGGACTTTCGACGTCCGGAAACACCCGCTGACTTAGCACTACATCTGATTGGCTGGGAAGCTAGGCCTCGCTTGAACGGGCCAGGACTACTCGACACCTTCTCGATAGACGTCAAACAGTTCGCCACACAAACACACTGGCCATAACATCGACACCATGCAGTTGATGCCTGATAACAATGCTAAATGGCTCCCACATGCGAAGGTGAGCTGAACATTGTGAATGCTCGCAAGGCTTCGGTGCCTCCAGCCTACTTCGCACAGTATCGTAAAAGCTAAGTGGTACCCCTTCTGCCACCATCATACATCCGCACAGACAACCCTCAAGACTGCCCTGTTACCCTCTCCTCAGTCGTCCTTTTTTGCACTGTGATCCTGCAAATTTCAGATGAGCCTCCTTCTGTGACATTCCAACCACGCGTGCCCTGCATAATCCGACGCGAAGATGGCATGTAAATATGGGTTACGCATTGAGACCGTCCGTGTAAGTAGTAGCGTACGGGCACACGACCCGTTGTATCAGGCAGTATGGCATCCTGGGGCTCTTTAAGAACTTCTTCCTACCGAGATCTGTCGCCTACATCGCCGTTGACGCCACTCTCACCGAACTCACTACCGCAATGGCTACGACCAAGCCGAAGGAAAAGCAGTGTGATTCCAAGCGGGACGCTGAAGACTGTCGGAATCGTCGTGCTTTGCCTAGCTTTCGGCTGGTTCGCAACGAGCACTCTTGGACCCGCGGGAGAGGCTTCGTTCGAACTGGACGAAGAAGCGTACGATATCGCATCTGGCGGCGTGCTGAATGATCCTACCGGCTTCGGCAGTGAGTTGATCAACCGACCGAGGCCCGGCATTATCAGCGGCGAAGACGAGGCAGCCTCTCGCCAGAAGCATGTCGATGGCTGGACCTCGGAGAAGGAGCCGTCAGTGAGCGGTGCTCTGTCCGAGTTGCATCATGCTGTCACCGACAAGCTCCAGTCCTGGAACCCATACCGCCCAAAGCTCCAAGAGAAACCGGCGTCGAACAGGACGACCTCCACATCGAGTAAGAAAAAGACCGGAAACGAGACAGCCACGGGACCTATGGGCGAGGATGTACGTGACGGCGTCAGTGAGGAAGATCGTCTTGGCGCTCGAACTAGGGTTGGGAAATGTACCATTGTGTTCAACGGCAACAGCTGGTGGGAACGTGCACTCCGCACACATGAGGAGCACGACAAGATCCAGGGCTACCGGTTGTATGTGCTCAGGCAGAACCTGCTCGATGACGTGTGGTCGAAGCCGGCATACGTCCTCAGCCTGTTGTTACGGGAGATGGCGAAGCCCGAGAACGAGCGTTTGGAGTGGTTGCTATGGTTCGATGTCGACACTATTATCTTAAATCCATACATCCCGCTCGAGACATTCCTGCCCCCTGTAGGCACCGAGTTCGACGACATCCATCTCATGTACTCCAACGATTGGAACGGACTCAACAACGGCGTCTTCCCAGTCAGGGTCAACCAGTGGTCTGTGCAACTCTTCTCTGCCATCCTCTCATACCGGTACTACAGACCGGAAGCCTCACTCCAATTCCGAGACCAGTCGGCAATGGACGCGCTCATGCACGAGCCCAAGTTTTCGAAGCACATCGTCCAGGCACCGCAGAGATGGTTCAACGCGTACCAGGGTGAGCACAACGAGACCCTAGCGCCTTTCCAAATCCGCCGTGGCGATCTGCTGGTCCATTTCGCAGGCGTACCCGGTCGCGAAAGCCGCATGCAGTACTGGCTGGAACGAGCGGAGCAGCATCTGGACGATTGGGAGATCGCGGTGAAGTCAACCAGCTATCCGCAGGAAGCGCGGGATTTCTGGAACGAGCAGCGAGATGCACGACGGGCGAAGGAGGCTCATCAAGTTGGCATTCACACGAATGTTACGACCTTGCTGACGAAGACGGATGAGCGTCTCATTACTTACTCCGACCGCCTCGCCCCGGAGCAGAAGGACTCGATAGGTAACGCGAGGGATGCTCTTAAGGCCCTTGCCGACGATCCGGAGTGGCAGGACAAGGTTGACAAACTGCAAGAGGCCGCCAATCAACTCACGAAAGTCAACGAACCGCTGATGGATGTCATAACCAACGCCACTAAATTATTGCTGAAGGGCGCTCACGAGACCATCTTCGCCGCGGAGAGGGACTTGCTTGACACTTCTATCCAAGATGGCACCCTGAACCGAGAGCTGCAGCGCGTTATGGAGGCCGTGAAAAGTCTCAAGGACCTAGTCATGGCGCCGGACGATACCTGGGACCGCAACGATCTGATCGCGGCGGTCAATGCTGTGACGGAGGCGCGAGCGACATTGCAGGCTAGGAGGGATTCGATTACGTCTGCGGCGAAGGCGGAGGAGAAGCAGGCTAAGCTGCTGGAAGAAGCGAAGAAGCAGGCGCAACTTGAAGCTGACCAGGCCGCTGGTATCGTAGCTATGCCACCGAGCGCGGCGGCCGGGAACGAAATTAAGCCTACAGATCAACCCACCGGCCTTGATGGCAAGCCGACAGGCCAAGCTGTCGGAGGACCTGTCGTCAGCCAGGGGGTCTTACAAGGCGGCGGTCACGCAGTCGCTGACGGCGCGATGGAATTCATGTCGACGCAGCCTGCTGCTGTAAAAGACGCGGCTGCCACTTCTTTGCCCGGGGTTCTGTATCAGGTGATTACCGCCTACGAGGCGCCGGTTGTCGTGTGGGCCACATCAACACTTATCGTGGGTGCGGATGTTACGATCAGTCCAAAGGTGGATAGCGGAGCGGACTAGAGCAGTCGAGCAGGCGGGGAGGACCGTAGATTGGTATAATCAGCAAAGCACAACTGCTTGATCGCTGCGCCATGAGGTTCGTGCTCGTAAGAGCACAACACTACATTTATAATAGCAAGTCATTTGGCGCCCATCACGTTGTGACATCACTGCAATTTTAGCTTTCAACTGTGGCACTTCAAGTGGTGTCGGTAATTCACAAGTTAACGCCTGAGTTCGACAATCACGGCGACACTCCCAGAAGGGGTTCGCCATCTCCTCGTACTCCAGACGGCAACGCCATGGCCATCAACCTTCCTCCCTCGTACATGCAAGACTTCAGTCAAGGGCCAAATGTGTGCCAGAGAAGAGCGCCCCAAGCTGAGCCATGACAGTAACCGCCTGCGCACTCAGCGCAAGCTCCTCACGCTCCGCCTCCATGTACACTCGGACCATCATCAGCGCCTTTGCGCGGTCAGGCTTTCTATCACGACGTAAGCAATACTTCTCGAAGAAGCTACTCTGGCCCCCTTGCTTCTTGAGCCAGGCTCGCTCTTCGGCGGTGAAGCCAGGTAGCTCGCTGAAGGGCGCCGCCGGCGTTAATCCCATGCCGATCTTGGCTGCCTTGATCTCGGCTTGCTGTCTGATCGACCATTGCACGCTAGCATCGTACGATTGATTGGCTCGAAGACTCGTCTGACCTTGCACCTGGCCCTTCAGCCACAGCTTCGGCAGTGGTGTAGTCGTGTCGAGAAGTGCGTCCACCGAGCCTTTGGCTTTGAGTCGGATCTGCGCTTGGTCGACAGTGTACTTGTCCAGTAACGGCTTGCCGACGATATTGAAAGGGGCCGACGAACGAAGAGCACGTCGTCGAGTGGGATTAGGGCCGTATCGGGAGAATAGCACAGATCCGGAGCCCGAGGAAAACCTAAGTCTGCCACCAGTTGCTTGATCAAGCTGATCGGGATGTTGCCAGCAGCAGAAGTAGGGTTGTCCGGCGTAGCGGGTGCCGATGGACTGAATGGCTGATCGGTCGAGGTTCGCTTAATGGCAAGGTTGGCAGTCTGTTCGACTGCCGGGCCGGCGGGCTTACGGGCCACAAGTTGCACTCCACCAAAGCCGACCACCTTCATGGACTTGCCACCGATCTTGACAGTGGCAGCGACGTTAGTAGAGTCGATGGTGGCGAACTCTGCAACGCCGAGAATGCCCATGAACCAACCAAGGTTATTGGCAATATGGACAGGCGAGTCGCTGGAGAAGACCCAATCAGTATTGTACGCCGGATCTTGAGAAGATAAGCGCAGCGGCAGTAGGCGAGGCCGGGCTGAGGCCATGTTTGAGCAGGTGGTGCTGGCTTCGTTTGGTTTCGGGATGCTGTTTCGCTCGAAGGTGTCACGCTTGGATGGCTGTCGTCCACTGAGCGAAAGGTGGACTGTTTTATGCTTGACGATGGTACCTGACATCCGAGACTGCCCGTCAATTCACGTGTTAGCGTGCAGATTTTTCGCCAGAGCTTGAAGCTTTATGAATGGAAGGTGGACTTGACAGCTTCGTACCTGCCGATTCAGGAGTCAGGGTCTATCACCAATGCTTCGCAACTGGTCAGCTCAGGCAGCAAACCATGCGCAGCTGCGACTCGCCTTTCATGCAGAGGAAACACAGCGGCTTCACAATAAAGAACAATTCGACATGCCCTAGCTTGGTGCTTCCATCAACCCATACATACAGTCACTCGCTTCGGCTCGCTGCTCTGGTGCGGAATAGCAGTTGGCTTCTTATCCCCATCGACACAATCATCCTTAGCCATTAGCGCTTGATTGATCGCTCTCCCTTCCTCTCGTTGATCTTCCTTGCAGGAGCTGAGCTCGTTAACAACGAGGAACTTGAATCCGCTGCCGAACGTGTCGTTCATCCACCCCTTCTCCGCTTCGGTCAATGCATCTGAGCCAAGATACGTGTAAGTCTGGGAAGAGTCGGCCGTACTATTTGCGGGAGGCTGCGAAGTAATGTTACGCTTGTTCTACTGCCATCGAGCTTGCTCGGCGTTTAACCAGTCTGCGCGTACGAAGTAAAGGCGGCTCGGATCCAGACTCCACAAGCCGTGGCATTGCCCTCTCAACCAGAGCTTCCAAAGCTTTCGGTGATCGAGCAAGGCCACGACTTCGGATGTCGTCGAACGCGCAAGAAACCTGTTGCCTATGTCTGATGCAAGTCCCCAATTGTACTAGGTGGCAAATGGGTAGCCGACGACACTGCATTCACGGTTCGGGCAGTGAATGACTTCTTTCAGCACAAGCTAGTCGTAAGGGCCATTGGTATCGTCAGGCAATGCCGACGTACGAACGTCGAGTTTTACATCGTCTAGCCCGAGCATCTCATAGCGGTCGTAGAGTCAGCTTGGAACGCGGTGTAGGTGTTGAACCAGCTCCTGTGCTTAGCCAGATAGCTGGCGACTTGTTGGAGAACACCCGGTCAAGGTTGTAGTGTTACCATAGGTAGCCATTGCCTCGTGTGCGTTGTTGCGGTCACACTGGCCCGGCGACAGCGACGATCGTGCTTGAGGAAGGAGCTAAGCCCAGAGAAAGCACCGACCTCGTATGCGTGGGCTCCGCTTACCACGTGATGTCGTGCGTTAGCGCATTACTCCCTGCAGCCGTGGTGGTGAGTCACTGGAGGCTTGTCCCTTGCTCTTCCTGTGGTTTCCAATCCTCACTGCCTCTACAGTCCCCTCTTCGAACGTGCCGTCGACGATGAGCTGACCGAACAGCTGATAAGGCGACGCAGTGCACACGGACGGCGCTGGATTCTCGCAGGTATGCAATTGCTCTGTGAACACGGGCGTGGATGTTCAGCAAGCAAGCTCACAGAAGCCTGATTAGTGTATCCGTTCTTCGCACGTTGTCCTGGGCCATTGTGTGACTTCTGTGTACAATCACGATTTCGTCCCGGCCTTAAGACCTTCCAGCCGCCATGGGGTCCTATCCGGGTAACCGTCTTTTCGACTATTCGCCGTACTACTACCCGGAAGACGTCGAGTGTCAATGGGGAACGCAGTCGTGGACATTCCTGGGGGACCCTTACGCCAATATCCTCCGCACCGATAGCATTATCATTGCCGTAGATGGAGCTTGTCGTAACAACGGCAGACCTACAGCAAGAGTCGGCTATGGCATCTTCTTCCATAGGAACAACCATCAGTGGAACAAGGCCGTTCTTCTTACGCCGGAAGACAGCACAAACCAGCGCGCCGAGCTTCGCGCGGCACTGCAGGCTCTCAAGCTTGCTACAAAACTTCGGAGACTGAACCCGGAGCTTTATGGACAGGAGCCTCGACAGCGCGCGAAAGGCCCAGCGCGGCAGCTTGTGAAAGTGATCATCAAGACCGACTCGCAGTACGTCGTTCGTGGTATGACTGAATGAGTTGAGATATGAAAGGTGAACGGGTATCGTAATGCGAGAGGCTTGCCAGTGAAGAATGGCGACTTGTTTTGGGAGGTGGATCAGAAGGTTGAGGAGCTGGAGGACATAAACGTCGAAGTGTGTTTCTGGCACGTTCCAAGGGCGATGAACCGCCCAGCAGATTGCCTGGCGAATGCGGCGCTCGATGGCGTCTCACCGGAGGTGGCGCTGCAGGAGTATTTTGACAACCACAGATGAACTGGACTTGGCAGCATCCGCGAGCAATACACGCCATTGGTACGACAGAAGTAATGGACCAACACCCGATCGGACAGCAAAGTCTCTACCGCTACATCGCTACCAAGAATGCATGAACGCTGCACCATTCCGAAACACAAGCTGGCAGCGTTGCGTTTATACCTGCACCACTTTTCAGATGCTGTGTTATGGCATCGCACCATGCTGGCATCTCTGGTGGGCGTCTTTCCAGATATGGCTTCATCTAAGGGCCTCCACAGTAAATGCAAATCCAGTAATAGGCATCGCAAAATACGAGAGATGAAAGACCTCTACTAACAAGCTATTTGAATCTCGTCCGACAACTATCAGTCCTTGTGACATATCACACGGCCATTCTCACCAAATCACTCCAGACTGAGAAGGACATACCTGCTGTTTCATTCATCGGAGCCTCTTGCCCGCATTCTTCGCCGCGGTGGTTGACCTCCTGGCTGCGAAAGCACGCACGGCACAATGTACCGATCGGTCACTACTCGACGATCGATGCAGCGGGGATGCACAGTCGTCAGACATTTACGGCGAACGTAAAACGAGGCCACACTGGAACACATCTCATGCATACAAAGTGAGAACATAAATACACAATCACGGCTTCTGACGCAACGACTCCGACACTTTGAACGGCCCTAGCGCCGTCCACATCCTTTGAGACCACTGTCCATGAGATGACGTGCAAGCTGTAAAGCCTGCGTGACCGTCTCCAGAGCCGGTTCGCAGGTTTGGCATCTTAACCTGTAGACGAGACCGTAACGCGCATGTTCCTGAAAAGGCTTTCTTGTGGCTCGCTATCCAGTGTACGAGCATGGCCTTGAGCAATATGGCGGCATCGGCAAGCAGTTCTATGGCACTGCACCTTCCGATGACTCCGGAAATGTGGGCGACGTCACTCAACGATAAGTGGTGGCTTGTGTCAAAGTCAAGGTCGTCGCCAGTGAGCATTTCGGGCAGTGCGGTTCCGGTTAGTCCTAATCACCTGCTAATGTTGTGCGCTGGGTTACGAAAGCAGACACACAGAGATGGCAGTTCGCACGTCGGGAATGGTAGAACGATCGTTATGTCGTCATAAGTCTTCACACAAATGTACATCGCTAATCGTTACGAATAGTCACCTGTTCATACGTCAGCTCATGCATGGATGATTCTGTGAACAGTCTTAGACTACTTACATGTCAGACAGTATGTCATCGTATCAGGCGTCGCCGGATAATAGTCATGGTTGTAGGTCGAGTTCAGCGTTACGCTGCCAACCACATCGCCAGACTCGAGCCGTATCCAGGTATCGACTTCCTGGCTCTTGAGCATAGCCTCGGTGATGAATATCTGTCTCGAACCTCTTATCCAATTGCCGTATCCGCCGTACCCAGTATGCTGGCCGAAGCAAAGGTTGAGACCGTTGCCCTTGACGCTCATGCCCGGCAATTGCGTGTCCCACTTGTAGCACCAAGAGTCGCCGTGATCATGACCGGAGAAGACGGCCATCAGACCGGGCGTCGATACCAGCGCCTCCATGAATGGCACGTCTTGACCGCCGTAGGTACAGCTGGCGTCGTTACTTCCATCCGCGCACCAACCCTGAGCCTGTCCCGCAAGGATATAATCATCGTTGATGCCTGGCTGATAGTTTGGGTTAATGCCGGCTTCGGTCTGCGCCGCTTGTGAAGCGTTTGTCGGGATGTGTACGAAGGCCAGAGACGGGATGGCGTTACCGTATTGCTTCGTCAAGTTGGTGTTGGTAGCCTTGAACCAATCCACGACGCTTTGGTCAACCCAGTCTGGCTGACCAACTTCATTGCCGGAAGAGTCCAGCTTCTGGTAGAGAAATCCACCTCGGCTGTCAAAGAACCACAGGATGAGGCTAGGCGTGGTGCTACTGCCGGACGGGTAGACAGGGAGATAGTAGTTCGAGACGCCAGCATTAGTGTCGAACACCATTTGCTGTGTGCGAGCATTCGGCCACCGATGCTCACGCTCGAGAATGGCCGAGCGAGACAGGTTGTATGCGCTATCATGGTTGCCATACGTGGATGCCCATGTCAAGCCGCGGTTGACAAGGGGCGCTACAATCTCATCCACATAAACCGTGCTGTTCTCGAGGAAGCCGTTCTCGCCGGTGATCAGGTCGCCGTTCAAGACAACGAGCTGTTGCGCCTCCTTGTCCAGGATTTCATTAATGACTTTCACTGAGTTGATGTCCTGTTGCGGGCCCCAGGTATCCCAGGCCTATGCTACTGTCAGCGTCCCATCCAAGTGGTCGGATTAAAGCTTGGGCACCAGGACTGACATTCTCACCAAAATGCAGGTCCTCGAGAATCGATATCTGGAAAGTGCCATCGGCGGTGAACCGTAAAGGCGCCCTCACGCTGCTGTCATCCCTCGCAATAGGCGCGCTCAATGTAAGACGGGCGGCATAGAATGCCGCAAGCAGAAATGCAACCATCATGACAAGGAAACGATACTTTACTAGGAAGTCCGCCCACGCCTCCAAGCGCGAGTGCTGGCTTGCGAAAGCCATCCTTCATATACATCTAAGGCCGCAGTAAGAGCACCTTGCTGTCGCCAGCCGTCTGGCCGAAGTGGTGGGCCGCAATGTGGGTAACTTCAGCGTTGCATTGCGAAGTTTGAGCATGCGCAGCAGTAGTAGGACAATCCTGTCAGAGTGTAGGAGTGCCTGGGACGCAAGGTGCAGTCATCCGTAGCTTGCGCGAGCTTGTAAACTGCCGCTCTGAGCCAGTAGGTTCAGAGCGTGGAATGCAAGGTCGTGCCGGTCAATGCAGGTCTTATAGCTCGGCTGGCTTCGGCGCGCAACAGGCTTGAGATGGCAGAACGTGTATAGCAGTCGTGGTTTGCAGAGACATGAGTAGTATAGTGGATCATCATCAGGAAAAGGAACGTGCTGAAAGCACGCTCATCTGTGCAACAGATCTTCGACAGATCGGCGGCCTGCAGGAAGAGTGATCAACATGCTGCATAACTCCACATCTTCTTCCTAACTGCCTGAATCGCGGAAGAGATGAGCCAGAACGAACTTCCTCGAAGACACTCCTTGATGGAAGAGGTGCTGGTAAAAAGGATGGCAATGCGACAGTAACTGAACACTCAGTCGGACGATACGTCGGAAACTCTTTGCTGCCGCAACAGATTTGGTTCTTCCGTCATTTTGAACTCCACCCTCGTATATCAAACGACGCTCAGAAGGGCAATATGGTCGTGACGCACGAGGCGGAAAACTGCGAAGAAATAGAGCGACTGTACGATGTAAACAGAAGCTAAGTAGCGAGGAAGAGTCTGTCGTGGTCAAAGCTTGTATATTCGAGTCGCTATGCATGAACGCTCGAAATGAACGCTCGAGATGAACGCTTGAGGTGAACGCTATGCACAAAGCAACGTATTTACGGCGGCTGCAAACAAGCCATTCCTACCGTCGACCATCCCAAGACCAACCTCTCCCATCGTCCACATTGACCCACTTCCCATCCCGCACCGCCTCCCACCCCATCATAACGCCCAGCAAGCGACAAGTAGCACTGCTGACCGCGCAGACCACACCATCGCTTTTGCTCAGAACCGCGAGGTCCAGCAAGTAAGCCCTCCCTATGAACTCCCGCATACGCATGGCTTGGTCTGTGACTGGCCCAGAGCCATCCGCAAGCGCAAGTTCGCCATTGCGCAACTTTTTTCTCGGCTTGCCGATTGAGTAGAATAGATCGGGGTAGAAACCGCCTTCCCAGCCCGAGTTCTCGTCCACATGCTTGACGTAAGCTGAACCTTGCTGTCTGATGGGCTGGACGGGTGCGACTTGATCCAGGGCAGACTTCGAGGCCAGCTGTATGCGCTCCTGTGCGCGCAGGAGGCTCCATGGTGCAATGGCTTGTGACAGTTCGGTTGACGACACGATGTCCGGATCGTCAGAAGCGAGCAGCAAAGGAGAATGCTGATATCGCGGGTTTGCGGAGAAGTCGAGAGAATCGCCGCTGACGCTATCCGGATACAGCAAGAAGCGAAAGAGAGACTGAGCACCGACGGCATATCGTTCGAGTGGCAGGTAATCGCGAGTGTACTGATACTCGTGCGGGTGCAAGTCGCCGCGGCGGATGTGCATGGACACTACAGCCCCATGGTTCTGTAAGGCAGCCTTCCGAAGCTGCGCGGCCCGATCTCTTGCGTATAGAGCGTCGTCGCCTCTGAGCTCGAACAAGGCTTTGTAGCCCTTGTGAAGCAAAGCATAGATGTCTTTGTGTTGATCCGCGCCGTCTCTGTCATGCCGCATGAATGCACGCTCAAACAAAGCGCCGAACGTCCACGGAGCGGTTGCAGCAGAGACCACTAGATGCCGAGTTTGATGTGGACAAGGCAGGATCTCATGCCGAGGCGGTGGCGGGCAACGCTGAACTGGTGGTGGTGCAAAATAAGAGCTGTAATTCCCGTACGGCCAGTTCGTGTCGTCGACAAAGAAGGCTCTGCCCTCTTTCTTCGCAAGGCCATAACTCAGCCATAACAACAAGAGCGTCTTGCCGAAACCCGCATCTTCAGTGTCCATCACAAACGTCAAGCTCCTACTGCAGACGTTCTCCGCCAGCCCCTCTGACACAATCGGTAAGGCACCGCTCTGCTCTGCATCAGCGACATCGAGAAAGGTCCAATCGCGGGAGTAGTACGATGGCTTCCAGTGTGCTTCCGCTAATCGTCCGAAGCGAGATCCTTTTATAAGCTTGCTTCGGGCATCTTCACCTTGCCTACAGATGTCTGCGTATTGCTCAGCGCGCAGTGGGAAGCTCGCATTGTGTGGGATAGTGACGGTCCACTTCGATTGACCTGCGCCATCCGTGACGACCAGCGCGGTTGGGTTGTCTGGCAACGAAGGACTCACTGTAGGGTCGCCATCGGATGTTGAGCCGTAGAAGACACCCGGTAGAAAGCGGCCGCCTAGCAGATTGAATAGGTAGAGTAGGCCGCATAGTGTTGAGACCGCGGCCAGCGCTACCACTCGCCGTAAGCGACGCGTCGCCCAACCTCCTTTGAGAAGAGGTGATCTTGATCGTGTCGACGGCCAAAGCAAGTTAGCCGTATCCTTCTCGCCATAATCGTCCCATCTGGAGGACGATGAGCTTGCTGATGATGCCGAAGAGGTGGAAAGACTGGCGTTTCGACGGTCACGCATTGTCTACAGCTGGGCAGTATGTCTTGAACAGTTAATGGGCCAGCGTTCACGAGCCTTGGGTTCCTGCCGCCATTGCTGCGATGTAAGACGTACTGTACCAGAATAGTGCTCCGCGGGATCCAGCTCGTCTGTGACAGCCCGCTGTCCGAACGAGAGCTCATGCAGACCGGGCCAAATCACTCCAATACCGAACGGTCATGTTGCCAGTGGTACAGTAAAGCCAGCTTTGATTATACCTTCTAGCGAGGGGAGCTACAGGAAGGACATTTGGATACATTCAGTAGAACAGTAGCAAGGCTGCAAACATAGACCGCTCACCTGATGCCAATACGTCTTACGCAACGAGAAGCGCTCCGCAGGCGCAAGCCAAGGCATAAGTGATGCATTGCCAGTCATCATCCGATCCAGTCGGAGTATCATACGCTTCATCATTATACCTTTCCGTCCACTCAGCAGACGCAGACGCCGCTGCAGGGCACGGTGAGACAGTGCTGAAGTGGAGTTGGACGAGGATGTTTGCAGGCTCGGCCGACATCTGAAACGTGCCAAGGTTTGTCTCGTGTAAGTCGGCATTGCGCCGAGCTTCCGTTCTCCACCGTTGCGGCACACGGTCACGTGCGAGTACACGGACGTGAAGCTCAACTCAGGCGCCCAAGCTGCCATGCGGCCTTCATCACAGATACTCCCTTCAAGCAAGCATCGAGTATCATTAAAACTCCGCTCTTGAGTCTTACGCTTTTGAGATTCACTTCATGCTGGTCGCCCTTTCCTCTTACGCCAACCTCCGTGGGAGGCCGATCCACTACTTCCCCTCCACACCAACGCATCGTGTGATCTCGATACCGTCCTGCGTTGATCGTCAGCGTTGTCCTCAGTGTCGCAGACAGCATGGGCAACTTACAGGCTCGCCCGTTGGCTCAAAGCTGTTCACCAACCGGCTCTCGTATACCAAGTCGGGCCTCCCTTTGCTTGCGCCTAATGCCTCTGACTCGCCTCTTCTTGCGTACTGCTTGACCTGCTTGTCTTGAAACCTCGCGTCCGGCGCAGCACCATTTGCACCGTCAGCTCCCCGCTCGGCCTTTTGCCGTTTCTCGCTCACGCTGGCTCGCACATACTCCAGATAGGGAGGGTTTCCAGGCTGAATGACATTGTCTGCGGCCAACACTGAGCCTGGTCCGACTAGTCCAAGCTCCTCGCAAAGCTTCAGATCAGTGGTGTACGCCGGCTTGTAATGGTCCAGGAACATGAGGTCGATCTTCTTGACCTTGCCGGAGTCGTGGAGGCGCTTGAGTGAGGTTTCACTCGATCCAATCTCTACCTTCACAACGTCCGACAGGCCAGCAAGGTCGACCAAAGAGAGAATGACAGCACCGAAAACCGGGTTGCGCTCTAGGCTGTAATAGCGTTGGCCACCGGCTTGCTTCACGGCGGCGCCAAAGAGAAGGCAGGAGTAGCCGATGTAACCGCCGAGCTCGACCTACCTTCAACGTCAGCCATGCCCGGCTGACTTGCACCGCCCTTCTGACGGGCTATGCGAAGATTCCTACCATCGTTTGCGGCTTGACCTCTTTAATCAATTCGGTCACGATCTTGCCCTTGTCCTCGCCAACGTTCATAAGGTACTTGGTCCGGCCGAAATCATCAATGGCTTTCAGCACGAGCTCTGGGTTGCCGCGGATCTCCTCGATGTTCGGGCGGCTGTAGACAAAGTGGAGAAGGTCCGTCTCACGGCCATCGTCGAAGAAGACATCTTCCTCCTTTGCAGCATACGCTTTGCTATGGTCAAACTGTGGCTCTGCGGAAGGCATGTTGACTGTTGGCGTTCCTCTTACAAGACTCAGGATACTGCGACGAGCACTTTGCACAGCAGGGACAGCAGTGATTCACTTTTCCAGGCAGAGACTTTTCGGCGGAGTGATGGTGCTCGGAATGGTCAGAAAGCGCAAGAACTTCTGGCCGTCGGCGATCGAGCTGTCCACTCTACAAACCTGCCGCGTAGCACGCGCGTGAGCGGCAAAATAATCAACACAATAGCCCAAGAGGCACCCTGAAAAATCACGCCCGCAGCAACCCTCCACCTGCATTGGAAGGTACCTGCCTGCTACCGGGGACGCGGTGATCGCCCCCAAGTCGTCTGCCACGCCGAGATCGCACCATCTCTACTGGATAATACGCAAGCCTACACATCCACACCCATCATTCAGCCGTCATTTTACTGCATCTCCGTCCACCGTTGACAATGGCGTCTTGGAATAGTTCCGCTAACGTGCAGGTGTAGCGCTTCATTGAAGGAGGGGTAACCGCGTCTCGACCCCACGTTCCTTGCATGTGCACACTTAATCTACGTCACACAAGGCAAAGATTTTTCCTACGGAGCTATCTCCAATGCTTTCGACTCCCGCTTTTGCAGCTACGATGCAGGGTCGCAACCACGAGACGTTCCTGCAGACTTGCGCATGAGAAGTTTGCACCCAAGACCAGAGCTGGCCAGGCTGTGCTGCGAGAAGGCTCGGACAAACAGCGCGCTTTGTCCCCTGGTGGCTCTTGTCACGTTGATGCAAGATCCTAGCGCGCCTCGCTAATCTGGTTTCTGCGCCGATCCATTCGTCCCTGAATGGCCCTGACGCCATACAGGCGGAAAGCCTCGCCAACGGAACCTGCTACTTCTGCCTTAGCAGCGAGCAATTTACGGCCAAGCCAGCATTGGCGAGTTCTAGCGGTGCTAGTGTCGCTGCAAAGCTGTCATCGGCCTGTCTCTTGGCGAATGGCAGACCGAGGGCCGCCTCTATGCCCGTTACGAGCCGGAGTAGGTCATCTGCGCTTGTGGAACAGAAGCTCCACGTCGTTCCTGACGGCCCCGTGCTCCAATGCTTGCTCCGCAATCGATCGTACTGGCGGTACGTGCTTTGTGGCTAGTGGACGCCCTGGCGAGTGCCACGAAGGTCTTTCCCTGTGCAGTGGTTGACGTTACCTTCCTCGTCGGAAGAAGATGGCCAAGAGGGGTCCAGGTCTCTTGCCGATCTGAGAACAATCATTGGGATATTCACGGTAAGCGCCAATGTGGAGCGGGCAATAGTAAAGACCAGATTTCTCTTCAGAACTCTACTACTTTCTACCTTCCGCAAAATCTTCGCCATTCCCACACCTTTACTTCTAACCCACTGTTACCTTTGACAGCACACCTTCATCACTGTTATACCACTCTTTACGGTTCAACACTTTCTTCAGCCGCCAGGATGTCTGACATGAAGGCTTCCGTCCAGGAGACGCCCAAGGGCTTCCACGTTGAAGGCTACGAGAAGATCGAGTACGACTTCAGCTTCGTAGACGGCGTCTTCGAAAAGGAGCATGCCGACCTGGCCGAGTGCTTCTCCCGCTGGCGGCGCTGCCTGGCCATCATGGATCTGAACATCTTCAACCTGTATGGCAAGCAGATGCAGGAGTACTTCGAGCACCACGGCGTGGAGCTTAAGATCCACAAGACCATGATTGGAGAGAAGGCGAAGAGCATTGAGACGTTCTTGAGCATCGTTGATTCGATGAATGAGTTTGGTGAGTCTAAAGCTGCAGTGCACCGTCAGGATGCATGAGCTGACGTCGGAGTTTTGCAGGCATCATCAGGAAGGAACCAGTTCTAGTTGTCGGAGGCGGACTGGTTACCGACGTTGCTGGGTAAAGACACCAACAATCAGCCACCCGCCAAAGATGACTTCAAGGCACTCTGGCTAATTATACACTGGTAACCCTTCCTTACTCCGAACAGCACACTAACCGTTCGTCCAGTTTCGCTTGTGCTGCGTACCGCCGCAACACCAACTACATTCGCGTACCGACCACGGTCATCGGCCTGATCGACGCCTCCGTCAGCATCAAGGTCGCTGTCAACTATGGCAACTACAAGAACCGCCTGGGCGCCTACCACGCCCCGATGCACACATTCTTGGACTTCGGCTTCCTTCGCTCTCTGCCTGTGGCACAGGTCCGGAACGGCTTCGCAGAGCTCATCAAGATCTCCAGCTGCGCTCACCTGCCAACATTTGACCTGCTCGACAAGCATTGCGAGGACCTGATCAACACCGGCTTCGGTCGCACCGATGACGCGAAGAAGGAAGTCCGCGAGGCAGCGGACAAGATCAACCGCAGTGGAATTTACGAGATGTTGAAGCTCGAGACTCCCAACCTGCACGAGATCGGACTTGACCGCGTGATTGCATACGGCCACACGTGAGTCACACTTTCATCCAGAGCATGTAAACCTCACTGACGGTACTAGCTGGTCACCCCTCCACGAGCTCATCCCATCCATCCCTCTCCGCCACGGCCACGCCATCAGCATCGACATGGCCTACAGCGCCACCCTCGCCAACCAGCGCGGCCTCCTCTCCGACGAGGAACACCAGCGCCTGCTCAAGCTCTTCTCCCGCGCCGGCCTGTCAATCGACCACCCGGACTTCGACGAGCACGTCCTCGACAAGGGCACCGCCGCCATCCTCAAGACGCGCGACGGCAAGCTCCGCCTCGCCGTCCCGCACCCGCTCGGCAGCTGCGTCTTCATCAACGACGTCGAGAAGGAGGATCTCGAGAAGGCGCTGCGAAAGCACAAGGAGATCATGAAGAGCTTCCCGCGTGAGGGTGCGGGTATTGAGAGTTTCGTCGATGCTTCCGATACCGGGTACACGATGAATGAGGCTCCTACGGAGCAGAACGGCAAGCATGCCGAGGAGCACGGCGTTACGGCTGGACTGAAGAAGGCTGTTATTAACGACGACGCCTCGAATGGTCAGGCAAACGGTGGGCTCGGTGCTACGAATGTGGACGGGTTCACTGGCGACCCGAAGTCTGCGGTCAAGCATGCTGCTGGTGTTGATGCGGATAGTGCTATGACGAACGGCGGTGCGCAGGTGACGGATAAGACGAATGGAGTGTCGAATGGTGTTAACGGGAAGCACTAGATCATTCGCGCTGAGAGCGGCGAATGGAGGGTATAGTTACTAGCATCGGGTCAGGCTGCCAGAGCTAGCGTGGTTGGGCAGGTAAAAGCATTCCAGGCTTTGTTCATAATCGTGTCGCTTTTGCGGCGGTCACGCTTGCATATCTCCAGCAAAGTGTCACGCGTTTCACGAAATAGTTCGCATGTCCCAGTCACTCTGCTGTTGCCTCGATATGAGAAACGACTGTACTCCACGATGGACTGGATGTACTCCAGATTCGAAAGGACGTGTGGTGACAGACTCAGGAGATCCCGAGACCAAGAAAGCCAGGTTTGGAGTAGTAATTGTAGGTAGGACGAGTTACAGGACACGGTCAGCTCGTGAACCGCGTGCTTGTCGAGGGTCATGCACGTGAGGAAATGGCCTCCGTGACCGACGTCGCCGTCACCTGGAGCTGTCATGGCTGGTGGGCGCTACAAGGGTTCATGGACTGGGTCTCACGTTCTGGAGTTGGGGTACATTGGGTACAGTAGGTGGAGGAAGCCCTCATAATCAGCCTCTGACCCTGGCATCCAATGATCCGGTACAGCGCTCAGTCACCTGGTGGTTGATTTCCTCGGCGTCCAATCACTGTCAAGATGCTTCGGATACTGCAGTGATTGCTGGAGAGGTATATAGCATCAGTAAGTACAGCACGTCCCTGATCTACGCCGCTCGTGAAGATGTCTCGATTATGCAGAAGGATCGGCGGAGACATTGTCTCTTGCGAGTCGTAAGAGGTCAAGGCGTGGTTCGGGGCACGAGCCGGTGGGCCTGCCGGTGTACCCGTCCCAGGAACAAGGAGATGGGTTCGGTTTGCGGTGCGTGCTATCGCTGCCGGAATTTTCGAACAGCAGCACCCATACCTCACCTTACACACTCTGTGCATCGAGGCCACCATCTGCCATACAGTTGCTGCAGATTGGCGGTGCTGCCCCATGGCGTTGCCATGCTTCCATGCATCGAGTTAGGAGGGAAGCAAATTCTGCGTCTCCGTTGAACTCTATCCCATGGCAACGTTTGGGTTATCCTAAAGGGGGCAGGCGTCGTATCGTCCACCAACGCTAAGTAAGGCCCACAGATCTCCTCCGAGTCCTACTGCTACTTCTCCCGCGTAGGCTGTACTGTAGCAAGGGGATCCTGACGGGGCTCGCGTGCGTGCTCAAGCACGAGCACAGTTCGGTCAGAGTCAGTCTGTAACTCGTGCCCTCAATCACAAGTTGAATCGACCCCGGTGTGTATCACATTCTTACCACTCTCCGACGCGTAAACAGCGTCAACGGCCAATCACCTGCACCGTTACTCGTTCGCGTTTCGTCTCATCTCGTTTCACCTCATCTCCCTGACGATCCTCGGCGTCCACAGCCGCGAGCCTCGCTCCAAACCCGAGTGCGTCGAACGAGAACACCCTGGTCAGCCGCACAGACACTCACCTTTCCGCTTTGCATCGAGGGGACGCAGGTGGAAAGCCACTCGACCGGGATCCCGGAGTGTAGGCAATACACTGTGTATCGTCTGTTGCGTTAGCGAATACATTCACTTGCGGGCACAACGACTACTGAATGACGCGAGGTGAATGTGGTGGCGGAGACACAATGCTGCAGTGAACCCCGGACCTGTTCGCTTCCTGCATGATCCTGGTACATAAGCCAGCACTGTGCGACGCCCGAGGGCGGAGACGGGAGGATTGCTGCAGCACGAGCGAAGCATGTCCACGCTCACCATGACATCTTCCACCCCAACGGGCATTCGGAGACCCTTGGCCTTACCGCTGGCCGCACCGACCGGTCCGCTGCCTGCACTGCCCGTGTCGAAGACGAGGAGGTCGCTGCCGAGTCCGTCCGACGATAGCGAGGTTGCGACTTCAGGCGCACCCTGGCCTGCAGCGCAGCCTCCGGATGGCAGGACAGCGACACGATCAGTCACGATCTCGGGGCTACCCACACCGAGACCAACGAAGGCACGGTCGACGCCGGCGGTGCCTACACTCTACTCCACAGCCGTAGACACAGCCAATGGATCGACACCATCCTCAGCCATACCAACACCCGGCAAGGCCGTGCGCAAGACGACGAGCATCAGCGCCTTCCCACTGCCGCCCAAAGGCAACCCGCGAGTGTCCAGCTTCCCGCCGAGTCCGCTGTCAATGTCGACTTCGCTTGCCGACGCCAATGGGACGACCAAGCACCGCGATCCAACCAAGCACCGCAGCGCCGAGAGTGGCGTGCGCAAGTCCAAAACACGCAGCTCGGGCTACGGCGTGCGCTCGCGAGTCTCCACGCCAGGCGCATCCGGCTCCCCAAGTCTGCTGAACGGCACGGGCGACAGCAACCTCATCTCCAGCTCCCACAACTCAGACAGTCTCCTCAGCATACCCTCTCCACCGCAAAGTCGGAGTTCATCCGCAAACGAATCGTACATGACCGAAGGCACCGCCCTCGACGATCCCGATGACGATGGTGCAGAACGAGGCCGTCCGAAGAGCTCAGAGACCGTCACAGACAGCAAGCGCAGCTCCGGCGCAGGCAAGGACAACAAAGGCAACGTCATCGTCAGCGTGCGTGTGCGACCCTACGCAGGAGGCGGCGGCGGCGGCGGCGGCAATGCAGAAGGCGAGTGGATGGTCGATGGCAGGCGATCGTTAATCTCATACAAGGGCCGGGAGGGCGGCGATTACCGCTACGACAATGTCTTCTCGCCTCACGACAACAACGCACGAGTGTACGATAACGCGGCCAAACGGCTCGTCCGGCGGGTGATGGAGGGATACCACGGCACGGTGTTCGCGTACGGCATGACCGGCACGGGCAAGACGTTCTCGATGCAAGGGACGGCCAGCTCGCCCGGTGTGATTCCGCTGGCGATCACGGATATCTTCTCGTATATCCGTGAGAATCCGACGCGAGAGTTTCTGCTGCGGGTGAGCTACTTGGAGATCTACAACGAGAAGATATATGATTTGCTGTCGCAGAGCACGCCGGGACAGCAGCAAGAGGAGATTAAGTTGCGCGAGGATAGTAAGCGAGGCGTGTATGCTACGCCGTTGAAGGAGGAGATTGTGCAGAGCCCGAATCAGTTGTTGAGGGTGATTGCGAGGGGTGATGCGGCGAGGAGGACGAGCAGTACGCAATTCAATGCGCGGTCTTCGCGGAGTCATGCTGTGGTCCAGATTGTGGTTGAGTCGCGAGAGCGCACGCCGAGTCATGGGACGTATTTTGAGAAGGAGGCACGACGGGCTGATCGCATTCTGCCGGGAGGCGTGCTGGTGTCAACACTTTCACTCATCGATCTTGCCGGTTCGGAGAAGGCGGCGGACAGCAAAGAGCGCAGGACGGAGGGTTCGCATATCAACAAGTCCCTCCTCACTCTCGGCACGGTCATTGCGAGGTTATCTGGCGACGAGGAGAAAGAAGACGGCACCACACCACCGCCGAAGCCTCAAGCACAACCACCAGCACCAGCACCGGCACCAGCACCGGCAGAAAGAGACAAAGCCGGCCTCAAACACCTTCCCTATCGCGACAGCAAGCTCACCCGCCTCCTCCAACCAGCCCTAAGCGGCAACTCCCTCGTCTCCATCCTCTGCACCATCCAGCTCTCCCCCACCCTCTCCACCAATACCACCACCAACCCCAACAACTCCTCCTCCCACACAGGCGAGACACTGAATACACTCAAATTCGCCTCCCGCGCCAAGAACAACATCGTCAGCCACGCCAAACGCAACGAATCCAACCCCTCCCACCCCGGCGACGCTGGATCGCGGGCGTTGTTGGATAGGTATCGACTCGAGATTGCGGAGTTGAGGGGCCAGTTGGAGGCGCAGAATCGGGCTAAGGAGGAGGCGGAGGCGGAGGAGGAGGTTGAGCGGGATCGGCGCGTGGAGGAGGAGTTGGAGCGCGCGGAGAGGAGTCGGCATGAGGAGCAGATGCTTGAGATGCAGTTGGCGCGGACGGCGTTGAAGGAACGCATATCACACCTAAATCGGCTGATATTGAGTTCGAAGAGTCTGGGGGTGAACTCGGGACGGTTTTCCAGCGCCAGTATGCCTTTGGCGGGGAGAGCGAGCGTGTATAGTTCCGCTGGCGCTGGGGCGGAGTTTGGTCGCGCGGTCAGCGTGAGGAGTCGGGAGAGTGGGCACAGTTTGAGTCGGAGGGATAGTGAGGTCACGCTGGAGGTGCCGCAATTGCCTACGCCTGCGGAAAGGCCGGAGATGGCGAGGGCGCTGAGTAGTGGGTCCATTACTGTGGGCGTGCTGCCCGCGGCGCAGGTGTCGCAGATGATGGTCTCCGAGGATCTGATGGAGGTTGGGAGTCCGGGGCTGAACGACGGACTGGAAACGCCGGGCGTTTTGATGGGTATGGAGGAGGACGCCGATGGCAACGCTCCGCTGGCGCAGCAGAATCGGATGTTGCAGGCGGATCTGGCGGATAAGAACCGGTATATTGCTACGTTGGAGAAGCGGTTGTTGCAGGCGCGGCGGACGAGTCATAGTAGGGTTAGCATGCACTTCTCCAGTAGGGCGGTCCCGCCGGGGATGGAAGATGGTCCGGGTGGGTGGGAGGCGGTGGTCCGGGAGAAAGACCGCGAGATTGAGGAGTTGAGGGCGAAGTTGGATGACCAGATGAGGATGGTTACGGCGTTGAGGAGTGCGGCTAGGCAGCGGGACATGGTTGATGGGAGTTCTAGTAAAGGGGAGGCGCGGGAGAGGGAGGGGGAGAAAGAGAAGGGTGGCAGTGTGACGCGGCAGTCTTCGCGAGCCAGCACCCGCAGCGGCAAGCCGGGCGTGCACGCCGTCTCCGGCCATCGCAGTAACCCCTCCACCGCCTCCCGATCCAGCTCCGGCATCGTCAACTTTTCCAAAACGCCGTTGAGTCCCGTGGCGATACTGAGTCCGTCACACCGCTCGAGCGACGGCGACTCGGCGGCCGCCAAGGTGAATCGCAGGCGCAGTGTGGACGAGATGACGATGTTGCTCGATCAGATGATCCAGGAGAAGGTGGAGAGTGGGCAGGTGGTGCAGGGGGAGAGGGGCAGTCTGAGGGTGAAGCGGGATACGGTTATGGAGCGGTTGGCTGTTGTTGGGGTGGAGGAGGAGGAGGAGGAGGACGAGGGGGAGGACGAAAAGGTGAAGGAGGTGAAAGTGTGAGAGAGAGGAAGAGAAGGGTTTCTTGATGAGGATGAGGCGTGAGAGCTTAGGCTTGGAGACGGCGTGATTGCTCCATTCGGCCGTCTCCTTGTCTGTTGGTCGGAGGACATACCGTTCCACGCGGAGATGAAGATGGAGGTTTGCGCAAGCATGGCGTTGGGTTGCTTGCTTTCTCGAGGAGCTGGCGTGGGGGAAGGCTCTCATTACGGCGCGGTGTTGGGGTTGGGACTCTTGCGTCGGGGTGTACCACTTGGCGATACCCTTCTGCAGTTGCAACTCGAATGTGTAAAGTATGGCGATGAGGACGCTGGAACGAAGACGGGCAGTGTTCATGGACAGGTTACTGTGTATAGAGCGTAGTCTCTCGGTACTGGGAGTTACCATTATCTCGCCAGCATCGGGTGTGTTCAACAATTGATTACCCGTGAAGCTCTTCAAGTTGGCTTAACCTGCCCGTTGTTGGTGCCGTGTGTCAATCAATGAATCCGATTAGGAAAAAGGCGTGGTGATGTAATGGGGACAGCATTGGACCTTGCAGGAGATCGTCACCTCGCTTATTCATTTCCATGTGACAGCTCTCTTCTACTTCCCCCATTTCAGCCACGGTCCGCTGCGACTGACTGTCTCTACCGTAACACATTTCTTGTAGAGGACTTGACAAGATGCTCGACGCCAACTCCTCCATCCTCGCCCACGCCCTCCAAGACCTCTCCCTCCTCGCCCTCACCTTCGTCTTCCTCTACCTCGACACCACCCTCGCACTCCTCAGCTACACACTCACCACAGTCTACCCCCTCGGCGGCCTCCGACTCCGCCGCCATGTCCGCTCCTCCAACACCCCCTACTTCGAAGCCAAGACCATCCTCGTCACCGGCGTCGGCATGACCAAAGGCCTCGCCCTCGCCCGCCTCTTCTACGCCGCCGGCCACAACGTAATCGGCGCCGACTTCGAGCCCGCCTTCCTCCCCACCTGCTCAGGCCGCGTATCACGCTCCCTCACATCCTTCCACAAACTCTCCAAACCGGACGGAAGCAGGGAGAAGCAGGCCAAGTACACGCAGGAACTCCTCAACATCGTCCGCAAAGAAAACGTAGACATCTGGGTCTCCTGCTCCGGTGTCGCCTCCGCCCTCGAAGACGGCCAAGCGAAAGAAATGATCGAGCTCGTCACCGCGTGCAAATGCGTGCAATTCGACGTCCCCACCACCAAGCGCCTGCACGAGAAACACTCGTTCATCGAGTACACCAAATCCCTCGCCCTCCCCGTCCCGGAGACGCACACTGTCACTTCCAAAGCCGCCGCGCTGCAAGTCCTGGATGATGCGGCGGGGACGGGGAGGAAGTATATCATGAAGTACATCGGCACTGACGATGCGGTGAGAGGGGACATGACGCTTTTACCGCTAAGCTCACCCGCGAGGACGAAGGCGCATATCTCACGTCTTGACGTTTCCGAAGATCGGCCCTGGATCTTGCAACAGTACGTGCGTGGTCCGGAATTCTGCACGCATTCTTTGGTCGTCAAGGGGGAGGTGAAAGCTTTCGTCGCTTGCCCTTCTTCGGAACTGCTGATGCACTATGAAGCCTTACCCTCAGACGGCGCGTTGAGCATGAGCATGCTCCGCTTCACGCAGGAATACGCCGCCGCGGGCGGGAACGCGTTTACGGGACATCTGTCTTTCGACTTCTTGGTGGAGATGGACGATGCGGAGCGTGCGCTTCGCGATCCAAGTGCAAATGTGAGGCTATACCCTATCGAGTGCAACCCGCGCACGCATACGGCTGTATGCTTGTTCAACGACACCCCGGAGATGGTGGATGCCTACCTCACCCTCCTCTCCCCCAAAGCCGCCTCCATCTCCTCCTCCCCCTCCCCCACCGGAACGAACTCAACCACAGCAACGCCAAACGGTCTCGCACCCCTTCCCATCTTCCCCAACCCACCAACGAAGAAATACTACTGGCTCGGCCACGACCTCGTCACCTTCGTCCTCTTACTCTTACTCTCCCTCGCCTCGCTTTCACCCGACGGACCGAGTTTCAGGGAGGTGTTTGAGAGTGTGGCGACGTTTGGGGAGCATGTTTTGTGGTGGAAGGATGGGACGTGGGAGGTGTGGGACCCATGGCCCGCGTGGTGGTTGTATCATGTTTACTGGGTTGTACAGTTTGCGGGGGCGTTGGGAGGCTTGGTGGGGGAGGTGTTGGGCTTGGGTCGCGGGGGGAAATGGAGTCGGGTTAATGTTAGTACGACGAAGATGTTCATGTGCTGAAAGGATGGGTTGGAGATGGAGATGGATGAGATGAAGATAAGGAAGGTTGCGAGTAAGCACTCAAGCAGATAGTCACCAGCCTGCGGTAGACGACCGCGCGATTGACACCACGATGCGGAAGGAGCACGGCAGCGACATCAGCTAGCCTTGCCATATCACGAGCAGCACGTCAGCAACCCGACCATGCTGAGTGGCCGAAAGGCATCACTACACTAGGCATATCCCTTCCTTGCGACTTGCGCTACCGGGGTTTGATAGCTCCAGTTGGTGGTAGTCCGAGCAACACCGCGCGCCGAAGCAGAGGGCAGAAGCGCACGAGATTTGGGAGAGGACTCGCGATACAAGCATGCATCACATTCGGCACAATTCACCACGTCAACGACTTCTCCGAGCGCATTTACCCGATCAAGTCATCATTGGCGTCGCATCAGTATTTGAGCAGCTCGTTCGCAAGCAGCGGTGGATACTCGTACCTGTGCCACGGTGTTGTGCCGTGCATGGACTCAATGTCCCCCAACAACGTGCGTGCGTGCCTTGTGCGACGCACCGTTTTTTGTGCACGCGCCGGCTAAGAGAGAGGGATATGCGAACCGATGCAAGGGCTCCTTTCAACGCTACGCCCAATTTTGCAGAAGCACTGGGGGAGGATGTATGCTAGTCGGAAGATGTACATGTACCGCTCCGTAGGTGTGTTTGAACGAATGGGCTTCGATCAGTATCCTTACTATGTGTTGTTAGGAAGTGGTGATTGAAAGCTATCGGCCATCATGCACCTCCACTCCAGCACCCACACACAGCCCTTCGACTGCCTCTGCCACCTCGCCCGACTAATCGCGCTCCCACCGTGCAGCAAGAGCACGAGCAAGCCAAAGATACGATGCCGCACCGCCGTGGACGAACAACGGCGCGTCCTCCTTGAGCAACGCCTGAAAGCCAGCCACGAAGCTCTACTGAGCTCCCTTTCCGGGCCAAAGCCTGACGATAAGAAAAGTCCCACCGTCGCCGCCGTTCCCGCCGGGCAAGTTGGGAAGCGCAAAAGTCAGCACGATACCAAGCTCCGCCTCTACCCTCCCGCCAACCTGATCGTGCTGTGTGGGGATCTGCAAGCGGAAGTAGAACGGCGAGAGGCTTTGAGGCCGCCGGCGGGCGTGGCGGAGTTGGAGGCGGTGGAGGCGAGCACCTCCTCAGTCTCAGTCTCAGTTGTCGTCTCAGTCTCTGTAGACTTTAGCGCAACGTCGCAAGCTCTCCTCCGTGCAGCTCGGCCCCCACGCTACCTCATGAAGCGCCAGCGGCGACTGGAGCAAGGGAAGCGGCAGGGACTGCAAGCTGCGATGGCGTTGCTGGATGAGCGGCAACTGCGACAGTTGGCTAGGGAGGTGTTGGCGGAGGTTGAGAGACGGGTGCCGGAGGTCGCGGATGCGGCGGCTGCTGGTCGGAATGGGGGTGATGGACGCCGATCCCGGCTCAGCGGGATGGGCGAGGCTGTTTCGGAATCGGTGGAGTGTTTGCTGTGGCATAAGGATTTGGAGAGGGTTGTCGGGTCGGCGTGGTAGTCCGTAGTAGTAAATCGGCACCGCGTTCCCCATGGACTACATGACGCTGGTGGTGGGGATTATGGTGTACAGCGAGTTTGGCAGGCATGATTGCTCTTTAGCTCTACCTCGCGTTCTTCCTCTCAGCAATCCGTCTCTTGTACCTGACCTCCGCTTTCCGCCTCTCACCACCATCCACCTTGTGGCCCCGTCTTTCCTCCCACAATCCCTCTTTGACCTTCAATCTCGCCACTCCCTCGTACCCCTTGACCTGCTCCACCCCTGTGCCACCAATGATGCCTCCCTGCACCAATCTCACGCCAGCCACAGGCTGCACATTCCTCATCTCCGCCTTCTCCGGCACCACGAGGGCCCCTTTCTCCTCCCCTCCCTCCCTCTCCCCCACATTCGCCGGATCAACAGGCAGCACCACCGTTGGCCGCACATTGACAACCACTTTCCTCATTCCCGCACTCCGACTCAACGTCGCCTCCCTATCCACCTTCCGCTCACTCGGCACCTCCACCACCCTCAGTTCCGCAATACCATCCTTGACCTCCTTTAAATCGCCTCCGATCCCTGTGATGCCGTTCCTGAATCTATCTCTCCACCAGAGAAGATAGCGTCGCGCTCGAGGGGGTTCGACGCCAGACTCCCGGAGTTGGTCAGAGGTGAGGGTGAAGAGGGCTTCCCAGGAGGGGATCTTGGCGGCGTGGGCGGAGAGGTTACGGCCGATGAGAGTCAGGAAGGTGGGGACGTCTGGCACGAAGGGGGTAGGTTTCGGGATTGAGAGGGTGGGACGGGCGAGGCGGTGGAGAGGGCGGTGGTGGAGGGCGATGAGGCTTGTGCGGAGTGAAGAGGGGAGGGTGAGGATGGAGGGTGAAGTCTTTGGCGCCATGACGAACGAAGGTGATGTGTAAAGAGGTGTGAGTGAGTGCTTGTTTGCTGGTTTCGTTTCCATTGCAGATGCCAAGACTCTCTCCCGAGGCTCCGCGACTTCACTGCATGTCCATCCACTAGCAGTTGACAAGAGTCCAATATAAACCCAACAATCTCAACACCTTAAGGTGATACAAGCTATAAAAGTCGGTATTGTCACCATGTGAACGCAGCAAGGTTTCATTGACAGACTCTCTGTTTTGATCACCGCCACCATGCTCAAGTCTCCCGCTCTGGATGTGCCACCCGAACCACCAGCCAAGCGAAGAAAGACATCTCCCGAACCAGAGTCGGACGACAATACTCCAGCACCCATCATCAACTCCACAGTCAAGGACCTCGCCGCACAACTGGACGAGGCCGAACGCAAAAAGTACGTCAAAGGCCGCAAACTCGGCAGCGGCCAATACGCCGACGTCTTCTCCGCCCACCTGCTCTCCGACCCCAAACAAGTCTTCGCAATCAAGAAGATTAAGATCGGGCCCGAAGTGAAAGAATTCGGCATCTCCTACGACTCGCTGCGGGAAATCCGGTTCCTGCAGGAGCTCAACCATCCTAACATTATTAAGCTTCATGCCGTCTTCAGCACGAAGAGCCAGAATCTGAATCTCGTGCTGGAGTACTTACCGCAAGGCGATTTGCTGAGACTGATCCAGGATACCAAGGGGACGACTTATACCCCTGCCGATATCAAGGCGTGGATGCTTATGCTTATGCGTGCGGTGCATTTCTGTCATGTGAATGGGATTTTGCACCGGGATATCAAGCCTAATAATCTGCTGATTGCAGCAGACGGCTCGATCAAGCTTGCTGATTTCGGTTTGGCGAGGGCGATGGCCGATCCGTTTCAGCCGATGACCTATAATACCATTACCATTTGGTACCGCCCGCCGGAACTGTTCTTCCAGGCGCAGCACTACGGCGATGCGGTGGATGTCTGGTCTTGCGGTGCCGTCTTCGCCGAGCTCATCGGGAGAGAGGTCCTGTTTCGCGCGTGGCCGGAGACTGAAATCAACATGGTCCGTCTGATCTGTGAGAAGGTCGGCACGCCCACGGAAGACAACTGGCCGGGCGTGAGTAAGCTACGAGGCTATGTGACGCCGTCCGAGATCATCCCACTGCGACCGAAGGAGCAATGGTCGGCTTCTTTCCGTGCGATTGGCGAGGTGGGCGTGGACTTGTTGATGAAGACGTTGACGCTTGACCCGAGGCAGAGGTTGACGGCGGAGGGCGTGCTGAGGCATCCGTTCTGGACTAGCGAGCCACGGCCGAGCAAGCTGAGGGATCTGCCGAGGAGAGGCGGTGGGAAGGAGACGATGGGAGAGGATCTGACGCAGAGGGGTGGTGAGCTGCCGACGGCAAACGGAGAGGGTGGGAAGAAGAGAGGGGACAAGGTGGCGAAGAAGCTTGATTTTGGGATTATGACGAAGTGAAGTAGGAAGAGCTCGCAGCTGGAGAGCAATTATTCCATGCCGCTCTTGATGGTTCACGACAGCCGCGCTACATCCCATGAGTGTGGTCATCAAACGTACGCCCAATACTGCACGCTACAGGCATCCTCACGGTCACGAATAACCAACTCGGATTTCGGAGGCGAACCTGTGCAAGTAGCTCCGCTGCATCTGTTCAATACACGAGCGTCCGGATCCGAAAGCTAGCTCTGTTAGCTACAATGGCGTACATTTCGGTTCCGCAGCAGTCACAGCCGGAAGTTGTGCCCAAGGCCAGCCGGCCGAAGCCGGATACCTGGCCCGGCTTTGCTGGAGCTGACGTTTGCTGGATTGAAGGGAGGCAAGGGACCTGCGAATGAAGACTCGTCCGTACGATCAGGGCCGGGTATCTCTGGCATCGGTTATGCCATGGATAGATACCTTGGAAACGCAAAGCGATCGCCCAACGCAGACCTGCCAGGCGGTGGCCGTCTTCCACAGCAGCATCGGTAGTGGTCGTGATCCAGCTACTGGTTCACCAGACCCCAGCATTGGCCACGACGGGTTGACCATACCTCCTCCGCCCATTACCGATTGAGTAGAAAGACCGATAACTTTGGCGTGACGTGTCCGGTCGCCTCAGCTGGCTCTTGTCCCACTCTGGTGGTACTTCTTGCGATATTCATCGATTAAGCCCGCATAGTCCGCGGCCAAAGACGGCTGCGTCAAATCCTGCCACCATCCGGTCCACCTCTTTCTCGTCTCCGCCGGCAATCGATGACTGCTCAAACCGAGCTGGTCCAGCACAATATCGGTGAACGATAGCATCTCGAAGTTCAGTACATTTCCTGGATGGCCTATCAAAGGATACCGGATGCGGGACCAAGCGTTAACGAAGGCGATATCGTCGGCCATCTCCGCCTCCGTAGGAAGCTTGAGGTTACCGTCAAGGTGAGCAATAGCGAGCAGGGACTGGACCACTGCAGTGTGGTAAGCGTTCGGCACCGCTGCCGTCCCGAGGAAAGCGATGGAGTGATCGTGAAGTGGGATCGTGTATCGGTAGAGGCGGTATGGAGTAGCTCGGACCTCATTAGCCTTTACTTTTAGAACTTGAGCCAAATATGGCCATCTCGCCAGCACCCTCTTCTCTGCCTCGCTGTCTTCCGCACGCCACAACTGTCGCTCGTCGTCGACTAGCTTTGTCTCGTTAAGCGGTATGGGCAAGCCCAGTCTCGCGGCTTCTTTTGCCGAAAAGAACGGGAACTCTTGCTTCCAACCTGTTGCGCATATGAGTACGTCGGTGCTTACGACCCTTCCATCGTTCAACACGAGATGGTCCGGCTCTAGTCTGGCGATTTCTCCCCTGCAGACCTGAACCTTCCTTGCAATGACGTCCCACCAATCATCCCTTTGCAACAGGCCAATCGGACTAGTCAACCACCTCGCTGAGCCGGTCGGCTGCAGGCCTTCAAAGCCAGGCAACTTGCCTTCTCGACCAACAAAGTCGGCTGCGGACACGACCTTAGTCTCTGTTGACGTCCAGATCTTATTCAAAAGCCACTCTCCTACGGCGGAGTTCCATAGCCACTCGCGCCAGCTACTTTCTGGGAGGTATGGATTCGCAGAGCTCAGAGCGGCGATGGCTCGGGTACAGGCCAGCTCGGTGACATTGCGGTAGCCGGGGACGGGAGGCTTGGGATGACTGACGGATAAAGGCCCGGAGCCGGAGGAGCGAATGACCCAAGTGACCTTGCGATGGCGAAGGGTGTCGGTTGCCGCAGCGTAAGCGAGATCAGCGGCGGATTTCCCTCCACCGTAGATCGTCACATGCTCGTGCTTCTCTATATCCGGCTCCTCTGGGGTCAGGATGCGTGAGCGACCGATATCTTTCTGGTGGACAACCAAACCCTGGAAAGTCTCCCTGCCAGGTAGGTTGGGCATGTTAGGTAGACTTGTGAGCCCAGTAGCCACAATCACCTTCGTCGCCATGTACCTTAGTTCAGTACTATCTTGCTCAGCCGTAACCCTCCATAAGCCATCCTCAGCCTTCCTGACATCCTTAACGGTGGCGCGAAAAGCAAACCTTTCCCTCAACGACTGTCCGTCATACACCTTCATGTCAACATAATCGTGCAGGTACTGCCCGAGCGACCGTGCTTCTGGCAGGTCATAGAATCGCTCTGCATCCGCTGGCGGCCTGAACGGAACATCTGGGAAGCCGCTCACCCGCACGCCAGACTGCGACCAGAAGAGTGGGTAGTGTCTGCTCCGGCTCCAGACGCCTCCGACATCCTCATCCTCATCAAGTACGATGAGCTTAGATTCTGGATGTAGCGCGAGGTACGTGCTTGCTGCGCAGATGCCGTATACGCCTGCGCCAATGATGAGGAGATCAAGAACGCCGCTCTCTACGTTACCAGTCATCATTCCAACATGTTACGATATAAACGAGGCGTATGATACGGCAGCGTTGAGCTACGGTTGTGTATCTGCTGAAGTCAGCCAGGAAGCTCGCCAGTGCGGAGAGTCTGGGCAATCCCTCAGGCGAGACCGTGAGGCAGTCATCGGCCCAAAGACTGGCTGTACGAGGTACGGCTTATAAATGTCAAGTCGTCGGCTATGCAACGCTATCAGAGATATTGGGCACCAAATCCAGGCGACAGGTAGGGGAAAAAAGAGCACAGTCAGCACTTTAGGGATGTGTGGAGCTGAGTCAAAGGGTATGGCGCATACGGGCAAGATAAGACAATCTTAAGCTTATTGAATTGAAAACTATGTAGAAGGGTACTCGTCAATGAGTCACGACGTCGAGTGGTCGTCAGGGCCGTGGGCTGCATTGCGCCCACTTCAACAGCTGCAGCACACATGCCAGCCTGCTTAGCCTGCTCAGCCTGCTCAACCTAAAGGAAGATGCGCCGCTGACTGAAGCGATGACCGTCGTTTGTCTGTAAGAGCATATGACCAAGCGCCCCAACGTCTTTTGACGGCCGGCCTTTCCCAAGCCATCACCGACCTCTGTGCGAAGCCCGTCTTGAGACGGCCCGGCATGTCCTACGGCGTTATCTATACGCGTCTGTAGTCGGTGGCTTGCGGCATGTCTCTTTACTCGACCGTGTCCGTATTGTGCAGTGTGCAATACTTTGCGGGTGGCATGCGCATTCGACTGGCACCGGACGATGGCTATAGCCTACACTGGCGAAGAGCTGTGCAAAACCGGACTTCCTTCACGAAAGATAGGTGAGATGCTGAGCACTTGTTTCACTGGCTGTCAAATCATAATGCGTTCCACGCATGGGTCAAACGACTGTTCTGTGCAGGTACCGGAAGCCTTCATTTCGCAAGCTATTGACAGGTCGCAGATCATATGGCACCCTAGTTTGGAAGCATACACGTTGGTTAGCGTCAAGCACTCGCGAATAACTTAGCACGATAAACGGCTGTCGCAGTTGTGAGGCCGTGGTTCGCCACATAGCAGGCTGCTCAGCCGCATGCAAGGATGACAACCACACCACCACGTGCGACAACAATAGGGCTCGGTGGGCTGAGCTGACCAGAACCATGGTGCCACGCGCGTTCCACATATGTGGCTGCCACTACAACAGCCTTCTCCGTGCACTGCCAAATTCTCACTTGCTCGCAGCTTCCGCTCTAGAGTCGTTGTCCGCTGCGCAGTATCCCGGTGATCCTCCGCAATGGCCAGAACGCGAAAGTCGTCGACAGCGACCAAAAAGACACCCGCGAAGGCCGCGAAAGCACACACGAATGGTGTTTCGAAACCGAAAGCCGCAGCCCGTAAACCCACCAAGCATGCAAGCGAGAAGAAACCAAAGGCGAATGCGCCTACTATCACATCGCACCCTCTCACTCGCGCCACAAACACGGCTCCTGTAGACTTCATCATCCGCGGCGACGCCGACAATGCTGCCTTCACGCTTACCGCCTACCGCGGTGAAGGTATGTGTCTGCTCGCAATGAACTGGAAGAACGACACCCCTCCTCAAAACTTCGTCGGTTTCGCCATCGAATACATGCCGCCCAACGGCAAGCAATTCTACGCCTTGCAGAATCGCATTGCCTTTCCCAGTAAGGGCGAGCAGATCAACCCCAACACCCTCTCCAGCCGCTTGTCGCCCATCCAGAAGTTCCGTTGGATCCACTTCCCGCAAGACGCTGACACAGAGACCCCGGGCGACTTCACCTACCGCGTGACAGATGTGTATATGGATGGCCAGGGCAGGCTTAGCTACGGGCATTACCAGGAAGTAGCCATTTCGCTAATCGCCGAGACGTACCCTGGAGAGCTGAACATCTGCTTCACGCGCGGCTTCATCTCTTCGCAGGCTTTCATTGACAAATTCGGCACGAATGGCGGTGTCGGGACTATCTTGCCGACGAGCGCAAACACAAGCATTTCATTCGAATCCACCGATCCGCAAGAGGAAAAGGCGCTCGAGTGGATGGGCTTCGAAGCGAGGCGCGTAATCTTGAGTACGTTGGATGCCGCCATTGCCGACACTTCGGCGCAGGTCAAGGTCCTCGCCTACGACTTCAACGATCCCGAGATTGTTGACCAACTTGAGCAGCTTGGGAACCGGCTGAAGATCATCATCGATGACTCCGGATCCCATAAACCTGCTACTGCGTCAGAGACGGTAGCAGAGGCAACACTGGTCAAATCTGCCGGAGCCGACAACGTGCAACGCCAGCACATGGGCGGCCTGCAGCATAACAAAGTCATCATCGTTGACGGCGACGAGACAAAGATTGCCATCGGAGGCTCTACTAACCTCTCATGGCGTGGTCTGTATGTCCAGAACAACAACGCCGTCGTCTTGCAGGGCGCCAACAGCGTGAAGGTCTTCAGCGACGCTTTCGACGCTCTCTGGGCTAGTCCGAACAACGTGAGCGGCTCCGACAATACCCCTTCCGCGGACTGGGTCGATCTCGGCTTCAGCGAATTTGACGCTCGAGTAACCTTCTCACCTCACAGCAAATCCGACGCCAAACCGGCGGAGATAGGAACGGCTATAGATGGCGTGAACTCGAGCCTGTTTTACTCTCTTGCCTTTCTCTACGAGACTAAAGGGATCATCCGCGACTCCATTGAGAAAAGGACGGATGACAAGTCGAACGACATCTTCGTGTACGGCATCTCGGATAAGACTGTTGGTGGCCTAGACGTCCAGGAGCCTAATGGCAACCCGCCGGTAGCCTTTCTGGCCGCTCTGATGCAGGATATACCCCAGCCGTTCAAGGAAGAGGCGACTGGAGGTTGTGGCACTCGCCTGCATCATAAGTTCATCGTTCTGGATTTCAACACGGAGAACGCTTGTGTGTACACCGGCTCGTATAATTTCTCCGTGGCGGCGGATACCAAGAATGCGGAGAACCTGTTTGTGCTTAGAGACCAGCGGATTGCCACTAGCTATGCGGTCGAAGCCGTGTCGATGTTTGATCATTACTCGTTCCGTGATGCTGAGGCCAAGGCGAAGGATGATAAGCCGTTGGAGCTTCAGATGCCGCCTGGTGATGGCAGTCAGAGCAAGCCTTGGTGGGATAAGTACTGGACTAATCCGACGAAGAAGCGGGACCAGGAGCTGTTTGGGCAGTGAGAGTTTGCGTTCTGCCGGGTTGGGATGTCTGGGTGGTGATCTGTAACGATATGATGAGCTTCAAGAGGAGTATTCCGGATGCTGGCCGCAGCGCCGAGCACATGAATTTCCGTATTGTCGAGCTTTCTGAGTTTGAACGGCCACGACTCGCATAGTGAAGGCTCTCAGCGAGCTCTCACCCCAACCCCCACACTCCCCGTATCGAACAACTCCACCAACCCGCTCCCCACACACTCCGCAAGCACCCATTCAAACCTCAACCCATAAAACTCGCGCCACTTCTTCGTCTTTCCCGGCAACACCCCACTCCACTCCCCTCTAGCCCGCTTAGCCCTACTCGCCGCATCACCCAGCACATTGCCCTCCCATTTCTCCTTGAGCAAGTCCCGCGTAGCCTCTTTATAGCGAGGACTGAGTTGCTTCAGCAGGTTGAGTAAGTGCTGGCGGGCTTCGGTGAGGAGTTTGAGGTAGGCGCCTGTTGATGGGAGACTGAAGGCCATTTCTGGTGTGAGACGGTTACGAGTGGGTTGGGTGGCTAGGGAGGAGCCTCCGCCGCCGGATTCGTGGATGGCGTTTTGGCCGCCTATTGCTGCTATGGAGCCTGTGGGTGCGGTGTGGCCGGCTTGGGAGAGTGGGATGAGTGAGGAGGCGCCGGGGGGTGCGAAGAGGTTGCTTGCACTCGTGAGGGCGGCTGGGTTGGTAAGGAAGCCGGCTGAGACGAGTTGTTGGATTTCGGTTTGTGATAGAGATGTGGTGGAGGTCGTTGCAGAGTCTGGCCGAGCGTCCAGTAATAGTGCATACTTTTGCTTGAGGTCAGGCGGTAGGCCTGAGTCGTCTAAGGCACTCTTCCAGTCCTCCGTCAACGCAATACCGTCGCCTACAGCAGTGCCACCCTTGCCTCTCCCGGGAATCACCACCCTTCTCACCTTGCCTTCTGCGACCAACCGCGCCAGCTCCCGTTCCGTCTCCGTCGAGCTCACACTCAGCGCATGGAGGTGCGCCGTGCTCACAATTGGTGGCATGGCTTTCCGGAAACGCAGGATGTCGCTGATACGTTCGCTATTCATACCTGCCACCGCGGGAACGTCATCCCAGGCATCCTCAAGCGCAGATCTGGCCAAGCTGATCACGCCTTGCCTTACTCCGGAGGGTGACAGAGAAGGTATACCGCCTACATCGTCCAGTCGGTCCGTTGCATTCTCCTTGTCTGCGAGACTGGACTTCCTCGAGCCTGGCTTCTTGCGCGGCAGGCTGGAGAAAGGCGAGGGGGAGCTCTTGCGGCGAGCAAATGGGCTGATGGATTTTGGCATGATTTTGCCGATCCAACATACATACACCTCAATCTCAGCCTTGTCCTCTGCGCTGGACTCTGCTTCTCCTCCCGACAGAATATGAGTGACTCATGCTTGGATGGCCGTTGCAGGAGCTCATCCGGTGCATTCAGCGCATCGCCTGATGATACGCCTCTTCCTCACGCAGAAGTGAGAGAGACATCCACCGAAGCTGGTATGGGAGAAAACAGACCTCGCCGTCGTTGCCGCATCCGGTCAGAAGCCGCATGTTCCCGGAACCTACAGCACCAAAGCCTTGACCCGCCACGTCATTTTGCATGAAACTCTGTCTCTCCCTAATGCGTGCGCTGCACCAGCTGGTGCATGTGACTTGCCCAGCATAACCGTTCAGTGCGCCCCGTTGAGACTTAGTGAGGTGTAAGACAATATATCGCTATCCATCGTCGCAATGTTGACGCGCCCACTGCCCTCATGATCGCCAATGGCCACCGCTTCGTGCCCTCATCGCTAATCTCAGACGACAAGCCCATCTCCATCCGCCCCAAATCCGGCATCATGTCACTCGACCTGGGCGTGGCTGATCCGTTCACTCGGCATAGCCATCATAACGAGATACCCACGACATACGCCGACCCGGCGCTAGACGTTCTTGAGCGCATCGACGAGAATGACTTCGACGAGGACTCCATCAAAGAGACTCCCCCACGGCCCAACCATCAGAGGCAGACGAGCGAACCGCGACCTCTGGGCGAGGTGATGGATGAGGTTGAGCGGACCGGCAGTCCGAGCTTGCGGCATCCCAAGGGAAGGCTGGAGGGCAAGGCCGGCGGGTTCCTGCAGGGCATTCAAATGACTCCCCAGGAGAGCTTGTCCCTCGACGGCGTGGACGAGGCCAAGCAGAATGGAGTACCGCATTCACCCAGTCTCGCTGCATACACGAACGGCAACGGCGTAGCTGCGCGACATGCGTTGGGTACAGAGGCGCCAGACACTTACGAGGCGATAGGCGAGGACGAGAGCCCGCGGAGCCCGGTGCGGAAGGCGCACAAGCGCGTGTCTTCGCGGTCGCTGAACGGCACGGCGAAGAGGCAGCAGCTTGAGCAAGTCGATGAGCAACTCGAGTCTGATGGACAAACCCAGCACAACGAGCAAGTTGAGCAGAATGAAGAAGTTGAACGGAATCAGCTGGCCGAACGTAACGGGGAGCTGTCAGCAATAACAAAACCTGCAGCAACGTCGTCGGGTGGAGTTGACGAGCAAGATCAAAGACCTGCTGTCGACCAGGAGCATGCAGCGCCTGCACTGTCGTTGCCCAACGGTGCGGATGAGCATAACCAGGAACCATTCCTCGACGAGGAGCACGCAACGCCAGGGCAGCTCGTCTACGAGAACCTACGGAGCAGCAAGTCCGGCACGAATCTGGCCTCGATCAAACCTTCAGCCAACTATCAGATATCACTAGCGCAACGAGAAGACAAGCCACCCACAAGCGAAGCACCAGGCGAAGCCAGCAAAGCACAAGCGCACATGCGAAGAGACAGTGAGCTGGTCTCCGGTCGGCGAGCCGGTGCAGGCTGGTCAAGAAGCGCAATCCGATGGGCACCACTCAACGTACCTCTCCAAAGGCGACTACAAACCTGCATGGTGCTCGTCCACACCCTCAGCATAGCCGGAAGCCTAGCCATCTTCTTCCTACTATGCACCGTTCCTCTTCTCTGGCCAATCCTCCTACCATACCTCCTCTACGTCCTACTATCGCGAGCAGCGGTCGACGGCAAACTCTCCTTCCGCAACGACTACCTTCGCCGCTCAAGAATCTGGTCCCTCTTCGCCTCCTACTTCCCAGCCCGCCTCCACCGCAGCCAAGAGCTCGAACCGGGACGGAAATACATCTTCGGCTACCATCCGCACGGCATCATCTCGCACGGCGCCTTTGCCGCTTTCGCCACCGAAGCTCTGGGATTCAGCCAGCTGTTCCCGGGTATCACGAATACTCTCCTCACGCTCGACAGCAACTTCCGCGTCCCGCTGTATCGGGAGTACGCGCTCGGCATGGGTCTCGCGTCCGTGTCACGGGAGAGCTGTGAGAATATCCTTGCGCGTGGCGGGCCGAATGGCGAAGGTATGGGTCGGGCTATCACGATTGTGGTGGGAGGTGCCCGGGAGTCGCTGGACGCCAAGCCGTATACCTTACGACTGGTTCTGAAGCGGAGGAAGGGCTTCGTCAAACTCGCCATTCGCACTGGAGCTGATCTCGTACCTGTACTCGCCTTCGGCGAAAACGACATTTACGATCAATTCGACGCTAGCTCGCACCCGCACGTTCACCGAGCGCAGTTGTTTGTGAAGAAGATGATGGGTTTCACCATCCCACTCTTCCACGCGAGAGGTGAGCTTCATGTCCTTACCTTCCACACCCACACGAACCCCTACTGATATGGTAAGTTAGGCGTCTTCAACTACGACGTAGGCCTCATGCCCTACCGCCGCCCCATCAACATCGTCGTCGGCCGGCCCATCCCCATCGTGCAGAGCAAGACGCCCGACCCGGCGTACGTGGATCAGATCCATGAGCTGTACGTTGCCGAGTTGGTGCGGTTGTGGGATGAGTGGAAGGATACTTTTGCGCGGTATCGGCAGGGGGAGTTGGAGGTGGTGGAGTGAGGGGATGCAATGCAATGCAAATGTTCCCGCTTATAGGCGGTTTTCTTGGATGTCGTTCGTAGTGTAACATGATGATTTGGAGTGGGATGTACAGATCTTTAATGTCTGTCAAGATCTGTTGAAGACGGATTTATTCTGTTCTATTCCTTTTCTCGCAGAACTCGCGACTGCCAGCGCTTTGCTACTACATGTACCGTACGGTTAAGAGTAACCGATCGGGGTTAGCGCACGCTCAACCCGACATACCTCCAGGCTGCGCAGAACAAGTGTCAACTCAATCCTGGCGCAGCGTCTTCAGCTTGGAACATCCTAGGCACCCGAGTTACGTCCATCTTATAGCAGGTCGAGGACGAAAGGTGGGGATGTAAGTGTAATGTCCTGCGAAGACTACTCTCAGCCTACCGACCTTCGCACTCTCCTACATTCAAGACCAGGTCAACATGTCTTCTTCGAGCCCGAAAGCATCAGACCTGCAATTCATGTCACTCCCCTACGACGTGCGATATCAAATCTACAAGCACCTCTTTCCATCTGTAGATCAGATCTACATTTCAGTAACCAATGACGGTCTACAGGTCATCCGGCCTGAGCGAGACATCTCCGTCGACCTCCTCCTGACATGTCGTCCTCTCTACAAAGAAGTGGGCGCCTTTTTCTACGGCAGCTATCTCTTTAACCTGGTCGGCGTGAAGCAAGACTGTCTCACCCAGTACCGGCAGTTCCTACGGACGATGCGCCGGCATGCACGACAAGAGGTCCATATTAACGCTTTCAGCAATGGCGAGCACTCTTCCACTATGTGCATCTCTATGCAAGTTGGGGATGCGAAGATGGCCGTGCTAAACCGAAGGCGAAGGGGTGAGGCTAAGACGATCCGTGAGCTGGAACTGGAAGTTGCGCGGACGGCGAAACGACCTGCGGATGCCGTGGACGTTGGACTGTACGGTCGTGGTGGTATGACGCTGTTCGCTGTGCTTGCACTCGTCATGGCCTTATTCGTGGCTTTGATGTGCCCGTACCTGGTGCTCAGCATGAATGATTGTTCAGTCTCGTGGATCGGTGGAGTAAATGGCTGCTTGTCGAGGCCGCTCTCCCGGACGACGGCATACGTCGGCTGAAGTCTTGCTGCCGCCGATACCTGACTTGGTTGGATGCTGTGACCGCGAGGCATCCGTCAAGGTGCAATGACATGCTTTCGTGAGGCATGTGCCATTGCAGTCACGGACCGCTAGCTCCAGAGCCGAACAGGAAGTTTGCAACACCTTCAGCGCCAAACCGTTTCCCACATCGCGGTCCAGGTTTCAAAGCTATGGTCTCACATAAAGCTTTAACATCATTAGTAGCGATGGTGCTACTGTCTATCTGCAGTGCGATTACTACCGACATGGTGGTAACATTCACCACTATTGCCAACGCTCACAACATACGTGCGGCAGACGACCGGATCCGAGGGCTTGGTGCATATACAAGCCCAGTGTTTAGCTATGCATCTTCAATGAGCGCACCACCGCCACTGTATAGCGAGTCCAATGGGCACCTATCTTTACCAGCCGTGCAGAACACGGCGTCAGTGGGCGAGAGGTTGCCATTGCCGACCACAAAGGGCACCTGCTTCGTAGGGTAATAATCCTAATAACGGACTGCCGCCGGCTCCCAAGAATGTCTCTTTGAGCCCCTGGAGCATGACGCGCTTCCGCGGCGGCCTCGACCGGCAACGTCACGATACCGTACGGTACATCCCACATCGCAAGCTTTACCGGCAACATCAATAAGGCCACTTTCGTTAGCGCGGAGTCCATGCCGCACTCTACCGTCGGGAGTCAAGCCATCCGCTCCAGGTTCAACTCTACTGCAGTATTGCCGAAGTCGACGACTGTTGGTCCTGCATCCACACTGCCGCCATCTACGCTCTGCGCGGATTGCACGGCATCGGCATCCGTTAGCCATGCAGCAACAGGTGGAGAGTCTCCGAGTACCACGAATGTCGGCGAAGAGACTTTCGGTACTGCACTGGCGTTGGAGTCTGGACATTCCTCATCGAGCGCGCTCACAAGATCCTCCACATTCATCGGGCTATTTGCGAGCACGAGCGATTGCGCCAAAGCATATCCGTGAATCGACATCTGTTGAGGGTTGAAAGGATGTATCTCTTAAATGCGCGTGCTACGGAGCACAATCTGTAGCGGTGTAGGAAGAACGGCAACCACTATACCGCCTACTTCTTGCCCTGCAGCCACCCACTCACTGTACCGAACACTGACTGCGTTGATACTGAGTTGCCAATTTGAGGCTCCGACCCCGTTGGTGGTTTCGGCGGCTCCCAAGCCTTGACGTTGCGAGTGCCGGGGTCTTTCAGATCAAGTTCGAATCGATCTGGAAGCTTCAAACCCTGCTTCGTGTACAGTTCCATGACCGTGGCGGACACACCGTCTTTGTACAGCCATGGATCTTTGGTCTCGTACTGCCATGCCTCAACCATCTCCCGGCACCACTGCAACACCACCTCGTACTCTGGCTTCTCAGCAAGGTTCACAACTTCGTCCGCATCGGCCTCCACGTCGTACAGCTCCTCGATTCCGCGGAAGAGGTACTGCTGAAGCGGTCGCTTCCCGATCTTCACCGGGCCGTCTTTGTTGCGGACACCTTCCCAGGTAAGACTGCCGTATAGATCGGCCGCAAATGGGAAGTCGAGCTTGTAAGCTATGTTACGATGGTACTTGTATTTGTGCGTGCGAATGAACCGGGTCGGCCAGTAGTTCTGAACTTCATGGAAAGTGTGCGATCCAAAGACATGGTGCTTCCACTCCGTTCGTGGCAAGAGACTCGCTTCTTGCAGGATCGGGAGCAGGGAATTGCCGAGACGCTTGGGCGACTTGGTTCCATTGGGAGTCTTGACATCATCATCGCGCTTGCCCGCCCATGCGAGCGCGGTAGGCACGATGTCTAGCCACGATGCCATGTTGGGGTTGACAATGCCGGCGGTCTGTCCAGGTTGCTTTATGAGCAAAGGCAATTGCACGCCAGCATCGTACAACGTCGTCTTTGAGTTGATGAAGGGTGCACCGTTATCGCTGACGAACACTATGAAAGTGTTCTTGTCAAGGCCACGCTGCTTTAACTCGCTTAGAATCAGTCCAACTCCGAGGTCCATGCGACTGATACTCTTGTAATACTGCACCAGCTCCGTGCGGAGCTCTTCCACATCAGTCATGAAAGACTGGACCTCGACCGCGTTGGCATCGTAGTCTGGTACTTCTTTGTCGAGGTTAGCATCCAAGACTTCCTTGTTGTCGTTGGCAAAGCCTCCACGGGTCTCATCCCGGTGTGGATCATGGAAGCCCACGGTGAGGTGAAACGGTCGCTTCGAGTCTTGCGCCTTGTCGAAGAAAGAAGCCGCCCGCTCAGCGACCCACTTGACATTCCGGCTTTCTGAAGAGTCGAACACTTCCCAAGGATACACTCTCCGCGGCCCGACGTGCACTTTGCCAATGATGCCTGTCTGGTAGCCTAGAGAGTTGAAGATGACGGGTACAGTGTCGATGTGTTCATGGGTCATGAAGTGGTTCCATTGATGCTCAAGTCCATACTGACCGTTCTGGTGAGTATGCAAGCCGGTGTATATGGTTGATCGGCTCCCGCTGCAGGATGCGGTGCTTGCATAAGCGTTGGTAAAGCGTGTACCTTCTGCTGCTAATGTGTCCAGGTGGGGAGTTTGTATGGTATTACAGCCATAGCAATGGAGATAGTCACGTCCTAGATCATCCGCAATCAGGAGCAGGACATTTCTGTGCTCGCCACTTGTATGGGCTGCCATGCTGGCGATGTCACGAATTAACAAACCAGGCGGCTGAAGTAGCTCTTCGGGTGAGGCCGACTGCTACAAGACATTAAATCGCTGAGCAGAATCAAGCTTGCATGGGTGAAATTCATTCAGAAGCATTATCGAACTTCGTGACAAACCTATGTAAGTACTGCTCTTGTTGTCTTCCGAAGTCAGACTACGGAGCGCACGGATGTATGGTAGCGGGCTCTGAGTGGCTGAATTGTGATGGTACGATTACTCATTGTGGTACCCAAATCACGCCTTAAACGAGCTCTCAGGTCCCTCAGCCCTTCTCACGTCGCTCCACCACCTGCCAACATGGACGACTATTACCAAACGCGCCGCGCACCCACTAAGAGCGCGAATACAGCATGCATCTGTCTCGGAACAAATACCTTGCCACACAGGCATGACGTGTTCGGCAGCCGTTACGCTGCTATCTCACTTCCGAAACAAAGTACCCCGGACAACCTCAATAAGCCATCTTCACCTTGCTACCGCCACCGCCCCATGTTACTCCCCCCGCATGTCGTTCAAGCAAATCTAACCATACGGTTGCTGCGGCGTCCGGAATAAAACCCATCGTAGACATGCCGATTCCGACCGCCGAGCGTATGTCGACCATCGTTGTCCCGACTGTAGTCCCACCCGCCGAACCATCCATTACGTACTCCTATTCCGCGCGTGGGACTATACCTGAAGGTCTGACCTCTGGACGACCTGCTGGACTTTCGGCCGCGACCTCCAAACAAGCCACCAAAGCCGAAGCCAAAGTCCCCTACGGTCAGCATCAGCGAGTGGATACCGACGCAGCTAATGCTAGAGCACTCACTGTAATCACGATGTCCGCCTCCTCTCCCATCATAACCTCCTGACAACCGAGGATACATGCCACCCGCAGCTGCACCGCCCCAGGGAAGGCTTCCGCCATGGTAACCAGACCCCCACATTGCTATGTTCCGCTGTAGTATGTCCGTTGGTCTTTAGTGGACGATGAATGATGGACGCTGCAGGTTTGCTCGGTTGATAGATCCTGGAGCACATCATTGCTAACGGCGTAGGAAGCACCAAGGTTTATGCTTGGTGCTATAGCACAGTCACTGGCAGTAACGCCAGTGCCTGCCGCTTGTATAATGACAGATGGTGGCCTCAACGCCACGTATGTGAGTCCTATAGTGACCCTAGCCAAGAACCTCAAGGCCGAAACCAAGCGAAACTTCGAATGCGGTACTCATGCAGACGGTCGGCTTACGAGTGCTACGGTGAGTGCATTGGCGGCGGAACGAATGCACCTTACCGACCAAGCGTGGAGGTGCCAAATTGGCCATTGTAACCCTTCTCCTAGTGGCCTATCTCACTCTGCTAGTGCCCCGTGCAGCCGTAGTCTGCTGGCCAGCGTATCTGCCATGCGTCCCTAAGAGGTCGTCAATAGCAGGCTGCAGGCACTGGGTCGCTCTGGCTCGCGGGACTTGACGAGACCAGAAGGCTATTCGTGCCATTACGTGCTTGGCTACGAAAGTCCACAGACGCTCTCAGCCGCCACGACAACATCTGATCACTGCTATGGCGCTTCCGACTGATTCTTGCGACGGCATAAACTGAAGTGCCCACAGCACTTCCATTCCGGGCTAAGCGTGCAACATTCCGGTGCTAAACAATGGCACCTTCGCTGTTAAGAGTGTGTTCTCACCATATTTGCAAAGCTCCAGCGCCTTTCCGCCTCCCAAGAACAACAGACACCTCACAGCGCGAAAGCTCGTCTGAGCCACAGAGCCGGCCGCAAGAACAGCGCTTGCGTAAGGAGTTTCCAGGACTAAGTGGAAAGCTGCCTCCTCTCCGCCAACATTCCACATTGTTCAAGAAGTGTGCAGATAAAATGGTCGACGGCAAGCACAGCACACGTAGAGCCGTGAAAGAAGGCCGCGCTGCTCTTGTTAGCGAGGCACCAGCAGACCTCACAGCACACGTCAGGCCTCGGCCGCATCGTCCAGGAGGTGGGCGCAGGCAAACCACTACACCGAAGGGCGTGAAAAGCGGACGAGCCGGGAAAACAAAGCAGCCGCCGAAGTCGCGCGCTGTGAGTCTCGGTCAAGCATTTACTGGCAGTCATCATCAACAAGACGCTGTTCAGCATTCCCCTGTGCCTGCGATTCCGGACAATGCAGAGCAACAATCACACAGCCATACGCAGCCCACACTGAAAGTATCGCTATACCAGCCGACTGTCGAAGACGCCGAAGAGAGCCCGCTCAATGATACTGTGCCAGCAGTGGGTTTGTTCGGACAGCCAGACGCCCTTGCCGATAATAGCGCTGCAACAACAACCACTGTGGAAGATGAGCACGGTGCTGGAGGTTCGACGGCCATTACTCCGGCCCACAATACGAATGGCCAACCAGGAGCCGCCGCAAAGGCTGCATTTGACATCTTCCGCATACGGAAGAACGTGCTTGAAGGTCTTGCATCCATAGCTCAACCCGATCGAGCCGATGCAAACCAACCCGCGCAGTCTACTGCACCGACACCCTCCACTTCCCAGCCATCAGTTTCAACAGCGCTAACAAGCGTTCAGCCTGGAGCAGGGAGCGATGTTTTGAAGATGCCACCACCCGCGCTTATGCCAAGGCCGTCAAATCAAAAGGCGGCTGTACCGAGCAACACTGTGACGGAAGACAAGGCCAAACAGCCGAATGGAGCTGCAAACCTCACCAGCGAGCATCATGCGAAGCCGCACTCCAGGCCACGGATTGGTCCCGCAGAGGCGAGCTCTAGTATGAATGTCGATGATGCAGATGATGCTTCACTCTTTGGAGACGACCCACCGGCACAGCCAGAAGCACCTAGACCTTCCCTGGCACTCCCGAAGACATCAGTGGAACCGAGGGGTACGGTGCGTTTCCCCCACCAGCGAACAAGCTGCGAGCTATGAACGCGGGTTCGCTAAGGGACTGCGGCTACCTGGTCTTGGCCACCATGACCGGCTGCCATCGCAGCAATTCGGCCGTATACTCAACAGCTCGTCTATATTGCTACCACCGCGAGCACCAAGGCTGGAAGGCATCGAGAAGCCAGCTGAAGGCCACAAACGGCTGGAGGAGAATACACAACTCGCAAATGGCACGCATAATGTTGATACGATCGAGTCCCACTAAAGAAGTGGAACGGACGAGTGCGAAACGAAAATTGCCGGTGTCGATGCGTGACTCAGAAGACCTCGTTCTGACTGATAGCCTCGCATCAACACTGTTCACCAACTACCGCGTCGAGTATTCTCCTCCTCTGCCTAAGTCACGACGATATATGACGTGAGTTCCGCGAATTAGGTCAGTGTCCGTTTTAACTTGGCCTTGATACGCCGAACTCGGCTTCTGCTCACAGGAGCCCGTACCTGGCGGGCAGAAGCCGACACCCTGATGGCGGTGTTTGAACAAGGTGGTCGACTGCGATGACGCGAGTTGCTGGTTGTGTCATGGCAGCTTGTCGATAACAGCTATGATAGCTGGGAGGCTTCCAGGCCTGGAGCCGGAATACGAGTTCAATGGACGACTACCGGGAGCAGGAAGAGCAGCCAGCCCAGGTGTAGACCTGTAGCAGAGATAGGGCATACAGAGCGGAATACATCATGTCACCGAAAAACCACAGGAACGGCCCAGCTCGAAGTCAAACCACAGTAGGATGGGAGCATGCCTACCTAAAGGACTAGCGGAGAGCAACAGCAGGGATCAGCTGCAGAAAGTGAACATACTACGGCTTCACAATACCAAGCTGGAGCACCTGAACATGGGCATACTGACGCACAGCCTGGACGGCACGAGCAGAACCTGGGCAGTAGCGATTATGATGGCAATTATGATGTGGGACCAGATCTGAGCAACAGAATCATCACAGACAACGATCGACGACAAGCTGAGAGCTCTATGCGGTCCTGTTTCAGGCTAGCGGAGATGGCGATGCCTTTCTGGCAGACCTTGGCGATGGCAGCGACTATAACACATCAGTAATCGAGCAGCCAACGTGTACGCAGCGGGTCCGTGAACAATGCATTACGAGCCCAACCTCTACACGCCCGACTAGGAGTCCTCAAGGCATAGACATGGTAGCACTAGATCGTAGCAGATGTCTTGAGCCGTGCTCTGCAGACTCGATGCAGACTGCTTTGCAGACTCGATAGGGCAACCCTCTGCCATATTCGGATGAAACAGTACCAAATCTGTAGACCCTCGCGTAGGTAGCTGCCAATGAGTTAGAGTATGGTATTACCTTGGTGGAGCATAGCAGGCTGTCTTGTGACCATAAACATGCTCGAGTGCTCAATGCCGTCCACGCTCAAATAGGAAGGCAAGGCAGTCTGCATCGAGTCTGCAGACCACAACTCAAGACATCTTGTCACATTTGCATCGAACCAGGAACCGGGAACCCGAGTATCGCTTCGCGCTGCGCAGATAAGACAAGCGGGGATAACCATGCTGCGGGCAGATCTGCAGCGGTCCCGCCACCACTCACCCGCCCTGACCCTTCGCTCAATGTCTAAGACCAGAGCTGACTACTTGTTGCAGATCGCAGACCTGACTACTTGTTGCAAATGGCAGATCTGTGTGGTCGTGAGATATCCGAGTGCTTGAAACAGCATGGCAGATTTCCTGAGTAGCTGCCAATCACACCGCAGAGAAGTAGTGTCGAATGACATGCCTCATAGCTCCAGCTCCAGCTGTGGATGGTGAGCATGTCACTGGTAGCGACGATGACGAGGATGGAATGGAACGCGGAGTGGAGCGAATTGGAAGTTCGATACTCGGGGCAAGTTTTGGTTCGTCGTAGGCAGTAGGCTCCGCCTATTGCATCTGCTCTACATCGTAGGCCAGATACCGTAAGAGCTTCATATTAGCATGTTTCGCCGCTCTGGAGATGCATCACGTGTGCGCCTGCATTCTTCCTGGAACATAGGTGGGCAGTGGAGATGCTCCATTAAGATCCTCGTGCTGTCAGCGTCACGAAGCTTTTCCGAAAAGTAAAGCTTGTAGTGCTTGAGCGCCCCGGGGGCTGGTTTTCTTGAACTGGCAAAGGCAGGAAGACCCGTGAAGTGCATCTCGGAGCAGTACTGCGGTCGGCTGGGCTCAGAGCGATCTGAAGACCCACAAGATCTCGGCTGTGGCCGGATCACCGCTTAGAAGGTTGATCCCGGCCGGCATGCCCCAATGCAGATCGACTTCACGCCGGAGAATGCAAGAAAGTCCGGCGTTGAAGTCTACGCTGCGCAACCTTGCTAGAACATAGCCATCATGGTGACGATCTCTACTATGGGTGGTGGTGAAAGCTCAGCGGCAGGGTACTTCTCACCAATATACAACGACTCGTCGGTATACGCGGCTCGCTTCGGCCTCGTCATGTGTGCATTTGTCGCAGGCATATCGTGTGTTTACCCCTCAATCGATATAGCCGGTAGGAAGCGTCATGCCAGTGAAACCGCTGAGAAGCTGTTTGTACCATGTGGCGAGGTGATCGGCTTGAAACATTCAATAGTGACCATTGTTGTCACCGTAAACCTTCTATGCCCTTATCGGCGTCGGTCGCCCTGCAAACTCGGCTGGGAGTAGGTGTCATGACTTGAGGCTCTAACTGTTGATGACGTTGGCATCCGGGCGGCTGCAGAGCTGGCGCAGGGTTAACCACGTTGCATCGACCACTAAAGACGAGCTAAGACCGTGCGGAACCTGTGAGTCGGGTAGCTCATGCACATCACCTCTCCCCGCAAGCTTTTCGTTGGCTCTTCGAGCTGAGCATCGGAGAATATCTTGCGAAGCGAATGCCGTGCTTGCAAGCCTCACAGTCATCGCTCGCCCATGCAGAAAACGATTAACACGATGCTTCCGAACTTGTGAGACGCATGTACAAGTTCAGACTAGGCCTGTTCCGCATCGCCCGCGGATACCGTCAGGGTTGGTGCGCCAATGTGAGTCTGCGATCACCACTCCTCCCGTAGAGTGATGGTGATATCTATTACTGTTCTGCACCCCGGCTCTCAATCCTCCGTATATGTCCTTACTGCAGCATTCGATTCACCAAGTTATTGTACACTATTCCCCTGTGAACTGGTAGCGCCACTGCATATTCACCGCCCGTCTCCGATCATCCACTTGCCGTGCATATTCCGAACCGGCGGAAGATGCTGTATCTGAGATAGCCCTCGGTTGTCTAATATACTCCACCACTCACTGCACCTTCGTGCTTGGCTCTTCGCTGGAGACTCTTCGACATATAGCGTCGCAACAGAAGTCCCATGGTGGGAAGGACGGTGGAAGCTGTCGATCTTGGCTTAGACTGGACACCACGCATACATCATATAATGAGCGGAGTGCCGTCGAGCAGCGGATTGCCGTCGACGAAGATGACATCTCTGGCGCGTAGTGCAGTCCGTCAGTTTGACGGAAGGCAGGGCAACATCAATGAATGGCAGGGTTTCCACAGGGTGAGCATGAACGAGTCTTTGATATCTGAGAGAAGCGCGTCTACTAATCGGAACGCAGGATGCAGCACTTTGGGACGATGACGGCGACTGTCGGATATATCTTCACGCAGTTGGAGCTTCACAACGAGGACCCAGCTTCTGTCTGCAACATCAAGTGATTGAAGCCTTGCATAGCGAATACCTTACCGAATATTGCTACTACATCGACCCATCAAGCCCACTACTAGGAAGCGAAGACGGTTCGTCAGACAGTGGGTATGCCTCCTCGCACGCCAGCAAATTACCGCCTACCGAATACGTGACATACATCCCTGCGCCGGCGAGTCTCACCCGTGATCAAGCTTACAAGTATCATTTGACAACCCGCAATTTCTTCGCTTACGCCACCTCCCAACCGATTGTCGGAGAAACACTCGGAAGTGCTCTCGTGGACTTGCTGGACCGTGTTAGGTCATGGCAGCCACAAACTGCGGCGCTGGCCAACTTCACCAGCTATTGCCAGGGCCAGGGTTACCTAAACATGGCGGAGAACATTGATCACGCACTGGCTTGCTTGTCCTTGGCAGAGCATGCTCGACTTGCGGATTTGTGGACCGAAGCTTTTGTGCATAGCGTTGGCATGCATGAGCGGTTAGGCCTTAGTCAGGAGTACCACGGCTTGACCCGTACCACTAAGGCTCTACTCACTCGCTCCTCCTTGGAGATGGATCTGCATATCGCAAGAGTGACCAGAGCTCTCGGGACATTCTTGGAAGAGGAGCTAGGGCCGGAACATCTGGGACTTTCGAAACCGGCGAGAGATCATCTTGATCGGTTCCGCAGCTGCCTGCACCGTTACTATGTCGACAAATTAGGTTACTTTCCTCCGGACACTGATGGGCAGTGGAATAAGCGTCTTTGGACGAAGATGTATCACGCTTTCCAGACGTTGTACGAATACCTGGTGGATACTGACTCGACGAACGATCCCTCCGATGCACGTGGGATGACAGGTGGCATTTGTGTCGTTCAAAATGTCCGCGCGTTCGATCTGCGCCATGGCTATGCATCGCTGCCGCACCCTCTTCCCTTGCTACCAAACATTACGTCCAAAGCGCGTACGACGGAGCACCAGAGAGGTCTTAGGCACTTCCGCCTTGGCAAAGGCGAAGATGGATCTGCACTCCAGCCTTCTCTGAAACGGGTGCTAGCAAAGGCAACAAACTCTGACGTACAAGATACCATGAACTGTGAACTGGTTGCGGAGTACCAACGCTTCGAGCGAATGAAGTTGGAGGAGAAGCTCAGCATGACCGAAGCTCGCAAAGTCCGCTGGCTGCTCATCTATGGCGTGTTGCAGATGCTGATTAGTATCACCCGCGCACCCGGCGTAGTCCGAGACACTGATAAGCCAACATATCCGCTTTGTGTTCTCACGACCGGCTGCCCACCCTGGGCCGTAGAGCCAGTATCTGGCCGGACGTGTGCACCAGCCGCGTCTTTCGAGGTCAACGAGTCCTGTCAGCCAAGAGGGAAGACTCAAGAGGAGAAGTTCTCCGTGCGGCCGGACTGCGAGGCCGAGAACGCCGAGGAGTACTTCTCTGCATCGGCTCTTTCGAGCCGACCTTCTGTACACAGCTTCGATCTCACTCCGGCTCCGCTTCGTATCACCACCCAGCTTTCCAAGAATGCCTCACTGCGTTCCAGCGTGCATGCACTCCAGCGATCGATCGTTGGTAGCATTTCACGGCGTGGCAGTCAACGGCGGAGCACAGTGTCTCGCCCGCTGTCGAAAAAGGGCTCCTTTTCTGAGATCATCATCGACGGTTACGGCAATGGTGTTGATGCCGAGATAGAGCAGGCACGCCGAGAAAGCATCAATGCTATTGCTGAAGGCCGCGCATCCGACACAATCTCCCTGGCTGCTTTTGACTTCGGCCTGGAGGATCTCAACGAAGAGCCCATGCTCGAAGACTCTCAGGTCACTGCGATGTTCCAGGATGTAACGATGCGTCCGCTAGGTCGAGTGTTGTCCGATAGCTCAATCTCCGAAACGGCGAGTAACAACGGCAGTTCAACGAGATCATCGACCCAGCTCGAAGAGTACGACTCCCCTCTCACGGACTACTCTCCTTGGAACATGGACAACAGCAGGCGCAATAGCAACGTCAAACTGTCGGACCTAGTCACCGCATCACTGACATACGCAAGCCTGGGCTCTCCTCGCGAACGGCATAGTTGCTTGGCTAAGCAGATGTATAGTGCCCCACTGGGCATGAGTACTTCTTGTTACAGCGTCAATGCCGGCTGCTATTCGCCTTCTGGGCGCCCGAGCCTGTCGTTCTCGACAGTGGATATCCACAGAAAGGGCAGTTCGGACTCGGTGGCTTCGTCCGCAAGCTCAGTATATCCGGAGATGGCGCTTCAGGCCGCAGAGATAGAGGAAGAGGAAATGAGAGGTCGTCGCAGAGTGCGGGCACTTGACCGACTCTCCCAGCAGGACCTAGACGCTCAGGGCAGAAAACTGTGCTTTAGTACCTAATGTCTTTGAGTTCAAGCGTTCAGCGTGATCTAGCAAGGCGCTCGATGTAACGAAGAATGGCCGCAAGTTCGCCTAATTAAGTAATATAATGCAAGGAACACGTCCTTCAATGATGTTGTGTACGCTTGTTGTTCGCAAGTGCCCGCGTCCTCGTGGGGGGCTTCAGTACGTTACCTACCGCGGATATCAGGAAGCTATACACCCTTACAGCTTCAGCTGAAGCCTGATATTCGCGAAGGCCTCCGAGAAACGGCTGGTAAGGCCTTCATGTTCTTCGACCAAACCTTACACTCACACTCACACTATGTATACTCACATGACAGCAAATCGGACTGTGTACCATGTCCCAATCCTGGGGCTGCTGGGAGCATTTTCTACGACATTTTGCCTTCCGGATCCCGTATTTGTAAAGCTTCCCTTAGTCGCACTGAGCCTCCCATTTTGTCGCGTTTGTGGGACAAACGTCACCGTCCAGGCTCGGGAGGACGCTCTGGGTCACAACTTGCTGTAAGTCTTGGCTACTGCGGCGGACTCAAGGAGCTCGGCAAGTGATTAATCACCGTAGTACTGGTTGTGGTTGCAGTATGCTCGGTGGCTTGTACGACAGGATGATCTATGAACTCCACAGTCCGTATGCTGGACAGTCGACTCAATTTAGCCTCAAGTGCTGAGGACAGCGTCACAGTCCGCGATATGCCTTTGCTGGGGCGGCGTTTGCTGGGCAGCAACGGCGCGCTTTGCGTGCTCGCCGTAGTATTGCGGCTCGTGGAAAGCACCGCCAGTCGATGATCCATTGGTTTCGGTTTCGCGGCTGGCCACTGACTAGCATCGCTTGTGTCGCCAACGACTTGTATGCGCAGCACCTGTTCAAGCTTTTTCGCCGCCTTTTGAAAGATTGCTCCGTGTCCATGATCCTGCTTTGCGTGCTGAGGAGCCTCAGGTGCGTCCGGAGCCCATACACCGAAGTAAGCGTGCAGCATCTCGTGCACGAGCACACCGAGAGCCAGTCCTTGTGGAAGTCGACTCCAGTCTGTTGTCGCAGAGAGAAAGATGATGACGCGTGGCCTTGCATATGGAAGACCTGAGAAACTATAAAAGCTAGGCGTGGACATCATGTGCGTTACACCCAAAGCGCGACGCATATCAAGGTCACTCCATCGTAGGCGAACCCGGTGGTAAAGATCGCCCGCGAAAAGGCAGAGATCAAGGTCGTTGAAAATCTTCACCAACAAGTCCCAAGTCATCGCGATACCTTCTATTACTTTGAGTCTCTTTGCAGCGGCTAGCTGCTGCGGGCTTCTTTGCGCACTGTCAAGCCGTGACACAAGCTGCTGGAGGGCTGCATCCAGCCCGATACTTGTCGGAAACGGTCGCCAACCCAGACAGCCCCCTGGTCGAAGGACAGGTTTTGTAGGATGTGAAGCTCCTCTGCTGAGACAGGCTGTTTCACATGAGCGTCAGTGGATTGGGCGGTGACTCGACATGATTGACACTCTTACGTATGACGTTCCAGAATGTGCTTTCGCGCACTGATACGCCGAGTCCGACATACCAACAACCTGTGCCAAGTTATTGAGCGCTGAAACCGCCCTGCTACCATGACGACCGAGTAGAGATCGTAACGAGTTCGCGCCGTAGGCGCCCGCCACCAGTGCGTCCTCCGAACTTTGTGATGATCGCTTGGTGGAATACTCTCCATACAGACCTTTTGGAGGCCGCATAGCTGGCAATGGTAAGACTTGGCTTCGGATCGGATAGTCTTGGGAGGGGGCAGAATGTTATGGAGATGGGTATCGCCAGGGATTGAGATACTGTTTCGTACCGCAATCGTGGGCAAAATGGTCCCCTGGATATGTAGAAGTGTCAGAAGGGGGAGTATATCAGCTTGGTCGATCAGTGACCGCAGGACACACGGGTTCCGCAGTGCATACAGCTCCATCAGGCATTGATTAGGGCTAGCATCCAGGTTGACTTCACAAAGTCACTATGCACTCAGTACCAGCCGGCCTGCATGGCTAGCGACCTTGACCGTACATCAACGGACCCTGGCACGGCGGCCACATGCCCAACGACTGCCTGACTTGCAGCAGTGCCGTTTCGGGCCGGATTGTAATGTTCAGTAACTTCTCGATCTCTGCTGCTGCTGTGTGGAAGTACCGGCCATGACCAGTAGTGTCCCCTACATCAGCCTGGTTACCACACCAGACGAAATAGTAGGCATGTAACATCTCGTGGATCAGAACGCCAAGAATCTGAGCATGCGGATGTTGTGTAACGTCAGACCAGTCAGTATTGGTCGTAATGGACATATGGATGCGCTTTATGCCGGGGATGCCGCAGTTGCGGGTCACGCCTAGTGCACTAGAGGGCAACGGACATGCGTCTAGGCGGACGCGGTGATGTAAATCGCCGCCATAGACGCAAGTGTCGAGGTCGTTGAAGATCTTCACCATTAGATCCCACGTTATCCTGGTCCCTTTTGTGGAGTTGATACGGGCCGCTGCGGCACATCTTGCGGTCGAGGGCGGTGCGTTAAGGCGCTTGATCAGCTTTGCGCAGGCGACTGGCATCGGCACCGGAAAAGGCAGCGGGCGGAGATTGACGCCATACATGGGGTTTTGTAGGATGTCGAGTTCCTGGGCGGAGATTGGCTACTCGCTTGGTTAGCCTCCTGCACCGCAAGGTGTAAAGAAAGTGTGACTCACGTATGGCGTGCCCTTGTCCGCGTATGCTCGCTTATACCTCGAATCGGTCGAGGGACGGTCCTCTGCCGTCATGGAGAAGGCCATTTGTTCCAATACCTCAGTCGGTAACCCTTGCAGGATTTGTCGCGGATTCGGCATTGGCGGCCCAAAGGGACTGAGCGAAGGGTGAATCGGGCCATAACCAGGTCCGAACCCACCAAAGTATGGTGGGAACATGTTGTGGCTTGAACAAATGATTGATGGGGAGTTGCCAGAGACGTAGGGCGTGCGATGTGTGGTTGGTTAACAGTCTTCGAGTGCCCGCCAAGGTCGGCGATGCAGGCGATTTGAACTGCCTTTGAGTGAATGCGGATGTCCTGGGCTGTATACCCGTTGCATCGTGGTCTTTGTGCACTGCCTTCAGCCATAGTCAGTGAACTAGCTTCATGTGTAGTAAGTGCAGAACGCATCGTATCGCAAAACGCACAACAGCTGACCCTCTTATCACAGCAACCTCTTCCCCTCCTCCTGTCTCTCCATCTTCCACCGCTCGAAGCTGAACCCTACATCCTCGAGCGTCCTCTTGCTATGCCTCTCCTCGCCAAAGTCCTGAAAAGCTTTCTTGATGGCAGGAAAGCGCTCTCGAGTCCAATACTCTTTCTCGCCCCAGTATGGTGGAGGTCGACCCTGGTTCCCCTGCCCGTTCGTCTTGTTCTCGTTCAGCTCACCGTTCTGCGGTAGTTCCGCTCTAGGGAGGGTACGAGTTCCGCCCGCCGCACTGGTGGCCCACTCGAAGCACATATTGATATAGTCCGCATCTTTCGGAAACTTTAAGACATGGAACTGCCTCCCGTCACCCATCTCATTAATGGTGCGCTGTTCCCACTGCCTCATCTCCGGCTCTTCGGGGAGTGACAGTCGGCCGGAAAAGACCCGCGCAATCACTGCCGACTGTGCTTCAGCAAGCGGAAAAGGAATGACCTTTTGGTTCAGCACCGGAAGTGCGAGCGTGGGATGAGGCCGGTAAAAGATGTGTTGATATAGGTTCTCCACTCGCTCGCCCGTCGTTATTAAGGGCGGAGAAAGCGAGTCGAGGAAAGGGAACGAATAGAAGTAGCCGGTGCAATACAAAACGGCGTCGATGTGCGACTCGACGCTACCATCAGCGAAGCGGACGGTGCGGTCAGCGATGATGAACTCGGTGATCGGCGGCTTGTCTAGCTTAGTGGGCGAGGGCGCGTTGACCAGAAATGATTCCGACTTGGAGGAGAGAAGCAACGGTGGCTTGCACGTTTCCTGTATCTGTGCGCCGATGTCGATTCCCGATGCGCTGTTGCCGACTACGATGACCTTCTTGCCGGTGTACTCTTCAGGTCTACGATAGAACTTTGAATGCGAGATAGTGCCCGGATATGCCTTGTTCCACTCCTCGATGCCGGGCACTTCCGGTATGTACGGTACGTTGAAATGTCCGTTCGCCACTATCACAGCGTCATACTCCTCTTCCTCGATAGTACCTGTCTCGCCCTGAGTGATCCTTTGCGTCTTCACCACCCACCTCTCCTGCTTCGTCAATCGAATGTCGAGCACCTGGGTGCGAAATTGTATCAGATGACGCACGTCCTCCGCGTATCGATCGATATACTCCAATACCCGCTGATGTTGCGGGAAGAGCTGACAGTTCTCCGGCCATGGCAAGTCGGAGAAGCCCATCAGTCCACGTGGAATGTTGGTCTCCAACCGGTCATACAACGGCGACATGAACGCTGCCTCTTGCCGCGTTTCCTCGTCCAAAAGCTTGCCTGCATTGCTCTTCCGCCATATCGGCTCATCCCTGCCGGCGAATGGGTTCGTTTGCGGCACAGCGAAGTCTCGAGACGCAGTCGAGTCGAAAGGCACGTAGTTCCATATGCCGCCAACGGTTGCGCGCTGCTCGTATACGACGATTCGGGAGAAGGCGTGCTCGGCGAGGAGGTATCTAAGTAAATTAGTATACAAGTCATTTTGTGTTTGGTTTTCACACTACTTCGCCGCCGCAAGGCCACTTGGACCTGCTCCAATGATGCAGACAGTGCTGACGGATAAACGTCGTTCAGGTGGAAGGGAGCCCATCTCGCGCAACAGATGAAAAGGGTATGGAGGGAATTAAGACGATAGCGATGAGAAGAGGACAGACTTAGCCTTCTGCATTATGCTACAACGCACCATCTACCCTACGTTGATGCACGTCGATAGGGCGATGTTCGGCAAACACAGGTTCAACAATGGGTTTCAAGCTTCGGCGCGGAGCTCGGCCAGAAGGCTTGGACCCCTCAGTCTCGAAAACATGGGATATATCATCACATACGGCCATAGGTCGTAGAGAACAGAAGATCCCAAGATAGCTGTACGTGTTCACTTGCAAGCACCGTTTGTTCAGCCCTCAAAGCGTTCATCATGTACTTAAGGTAAGCTGCGAACCGGCGGGGACACCCGGTATTGTATATTTTGCGATCCTTTTGCAACTCCGTTCACTGTCGGGAGTTTGAAGATCGAAGGCAGCATTATTGCAGTCATTGCTGGTTGCGGGCATGCCGCTTCTGTGCCTGAAGACTGCGTACTTGCACGTTGCGAACCTCGCCGGCACCGTAAGGACAGGTGAGATACTATGGGCTGATAGGGTGCCGAGAAGATTTAAAAGTGTTTGTTTGCCTGGCCAGAGAAACAAAGCAATTACTAGAGTGGTTTGGGAATGTTATGTGGATTAAGAAAGCGTCGGTAAGGCGTTTCTGATGCATACATGAAGTCCGTAATCGTATGCTACACACATGTCTCTCCGTGGTATTCCATGAGCGAAAGGACTCAACCAATACCGCCGCCAGCAGCCCGTGGTGTCCAACGCCACATGCCGCCCGTCACCCACCTCATCATAAGTGTCAGTAGCGCCAAAAAACCCAGCCTTCCACTCCAATGCAGAGTCTTCGCCAACACTTTACAGTAGAACGCCACTAATGAGCCAGCATACTAGACAAATCCGACGAAGCACTCCGCGCCGTGCGTAAGAGTCCCTAAGCCCGCGCAGGACGCTTGTGCGCTTGTTGGACATTGGAAATGCTGTTCGCCCGCGAAGCCGAAGGGGTCCCTCTTGGCGTGCCACGAGGTGTGACGCGAGATTCGCCGAAGAAGCGTCCTGACTGGCTGTACGATCTCGAGCCTGGACTCGGTCGAGCACCGTCGGCTCCTTGCTGTGCTCCGGCTCCTGCTAAATGTTAGCGACTAGTTACACGCGGAGCTGATCCGATCAGACTTACCTTTTTCGTCCCCTTGCCAATCGCCAACGGTGCTGACGCGCCTGCCGCCGGTTTCTTCCCTAGCCCCGGCAAGCTTTTGAGCGAATGGCGAGCGCTTGCGAAGTACCGGACCCTTCCAGTAGATGATGTAAACCGCTATGACCAGTACGAAAGAAATGCAGAACAAGATGGTAGTGGCGTACTCCAGATTATTGCCGGAGGATGCACCAATGTTCGTGAAGAAGGGCGTGGCCGGCAGTGTCAGCACACCAGCGAGGAAGTCACGAGCCCAGCCGTTACCACCCGTAGCGGAAGCGGAGTAAGGGCCGTAAGCGCAGATCATGTAGTCGATGGTGGCCATGTAGATGGCGTAGTTGGCGATGCCGACGATGGCGGCGAAGACCATTGAGCCGATCCAGTGGATTGGCGGCCCCTCGATTGTCCATGCAAAGCCGATCAAGCCGATAGGGAGACACGGTGCGGTATACAGAAGGAACCACAGGCGAGATTCGTATTGAGCGCGCTCGTCTTCCGGATTCGCCTCGCGCTGTTTGATGTTGCGCTTGATGGCGGGGATGAAGAGGGCCCAAGCGATGAGATAACCGATGCCGATGGGAATGAAAGATAGGCCGAGCTCCCACGTGTTAAAGTTCCATTGTTTGTACACGAGCGAGAAGGCCTGGATGAACATGAAGATCAGGGCGTCGGAGAAGCCGGAGAGTAACGACAGGACCAGGACGATGGGTTCGGTCAAGAACATCTTGAAGGGGCGGATCCATGTGATGAGAACTTCTTTGGCGGAGAAGCGGTCTTTGAAGGGTACCAGCTCGTCCGGGCCCCAGACGTTGGGGTTGCCGGCCTTTCTGCGCTTCTTCGCGATCTTGTTCATCATGATGGTAGTGCGAGTCTCGGGGACGGTGAAGAAGTGGACTAGTTGGATGAAACCGCCGAAGATGAGTTGGATCCAGATGCACCATCTGAAGGAACTCCGTCAGCACCACCCGGACATGCGGAAGCGTTAGGTACTTACTGCCACGGAAGGAAAGCTTCAACGAAGCCACCAACAATGGGACCGAGAATGGAGCCACCGACTGAAGAGAAGACGACAAAGGCGACAGCGTACTGCTGCTTGTCCGCCTCCCACAAATCAGCGATCATGCCGAGAGTGACGGAGCCACCAGCGGACGACAAGCCACCAAGGCCACGGCAGACGATGATGGTGGCGAAGTTGGGTGCGAGTGCGACGGGAATCTGCCAGATGTTGACAAGACCGAGCGAGAGCTGGAGGATGGGCCAGCGACCAAACTCCTCCGACCTGCAGCACGCATTAGCGACGGCAATCATTTCGTTCTTTGGATTGCATACCATGGCGCCCAGAGCTCGCAACCGAACGCGTAGAGAACGAGGAAGATTGCCGCACCGACACGGGCAGCTTGTTCGCTGACATGGAACTGCTCGGAGATGCCGCCGAGAGCATTGGAGTAGAGGGAGGTGTTGAAGTTCATCGACACCTGGACGATGAAGATGATGGTGAGGATGTACCACTTCCTCCACGCCGGGAAGCTGTAGCCGAGCTCGTCGTAGCAGTCGTCTTCCGTCAACTCGTACTTGTCGTACGTGCCCAGCTTCTCCAGGTTGTTGCCGTTCGCAGGCGCAGCGCCATCGTCGACTTCGCGAGCAATGTCGTCGGAACCCGAGACATCCTCGCCGTCCTTCTCATTGTCGTTCTCTTCCAGCTTGGAGTTGGCAAGTTCGAGGTCGACGGTGCTGGTCACCTCGGCGGGCTCCTCGGCAAAATGCGCGCGTGCTTGAGACGCCATCGTCACGAGCGCGGCAGCAGGTGAATGTATTGTAGCGATGTAGTAGTCGTGTATTCTATCTATACCCGCTTGACGAGGCCATGCGATGTCAAGCCAAGACTATGCAGAAGAAGAGTGCGCTGCAGGCAGTCAAGACAAGGACCTAGGCGACGAACCAGAGAAAATGCTCGCACGTCTAAGCGCATCGTTTACATCTTGTCGACGCTTGAGTGGGGAGAAGGAGCGCTCCGCCGACGGCGCCAACGAGGTCATCGTGCATCGCATTCACGCGGAATCGGCCATCCACGCGCTTGGCGCCGAACTTTTTGGCGAGCACATGCTCGTCCGCTCCACAGGGGCCGAGATACCGATCAGCGGTCCGAGAGTCAAGCGCGTTTCAATGCTAAGGTACCTTATCTCTGCGTTATGACTTCGACGTCCACACCGCAATACACGGTGTGACAACAGTGTCTGTTCAGCCTCATGCGCCTCACGAATCCTGCCTCTTTCGACCCCGCGAAATCATGCATCAACCCTCCGCCCCCGCACCCGCAATGAGGAGGAGCTGCGCGATGACGGCCCATCCAACACGCATCCAGCGACGCTGAATGGTCAGCTTACCGTGTGAAACAAGCCGTGCCGTTGTTATCTTTGCTGACAGAGATCGTCAGGCTAGTGTCCCCGACTTGCCAGCTCAGTGCTGCGCCAAGCTTCACGTGATGACCGAGGCATCCGCGGCTCACTCATGTCTGCAGAGCCGCTGCCGTCTGCTGCCGAGACATGAGACCTCGAGACGGAAGCACTGCGCTCACCCTTTGCCGCAACACCTCCGTGTAGTCCGCCGCACGGTCCGCTTTCAACTTCACAAATTGCGACTGCTTCCACATACCAACCTTCAGCAGGCAGTGAATACCGACACAATGTTACCATGGGAGTGGCCATCGACCCCAGTGGATGTCTCTGAATTGATGTACAGCATGCCGCGCATACCAGAGTCACCTCCTTGCGTAGAGCGGCCAGGCACTGTAGGCCCGTTGAGAAGGTGAGCGTGGTAGGGCAACTATCCTTCACTGCCATTCACTCCCCTAGCTTTACTCTCGTCCAACAATGCATTCCCATCATGATCTTGCCAGCTAAGATGCCGTCTCGTCGACAAGATGCGTCTCTCGCCAACCACTGTTGCGGGGCTTTGCCTTGCCCTCTCCGTCCTGTTCTTCGCGTTCCTAAACTTCGACCGCCTTAGTGAGCCGGGGACATACTTGTTGCGAGGACACTCCCGCCAGATCGAAGTCGAAGCAGTCGAGGCGGCAATGGCCCACCAAGCCGAAAAGCATCGACTGGAGAATGCACTCAATGCCGCCGAAGCCAAAGCTGAAGCTGCAGCAGCCGCAGCAAAACACGCAGAGGACGAGAAGCAGCGAACCGCGCAACAGCAAAAAGAAAGCTTTGCGTATGTCTTCTACGCCACCAGCAATGAGTACGCTTGCTCTGCGCTCGTCAACATCCACCGCTTGCGCAACGTACTCGACAGCGAGATACCCATCCATCTCCTCGTCTCGGATGGTGTCACACAGTCATACAGACGTGCCGCGCAGACTCTTGGCGTAGGGGTTCACGCAGAGGAGGCGCCGCCGATTGCTGGTGGCATGTCCGGCAGCTACTACCAGGACTGCATGCTCAAGCTTTTAGCTTTCAAAATGCATACGCTCGACCCGAAGCTGAAACGAGTCCTCGCTTTTGACTCGGATCAGCTCATCATGCGCAACCTCGACCCTCTCTTCACCGGCCTGCCGCCGATCGACCTCGCGGCGCCTCGAGCGTACTGGCTCGCCAAGGACTTTCTGGCTAGTACATTCATGATGATCAGCCTTTCCGATCGTCTGTGGAAGACGGTCAAGCAGGCGTTGGACAAAGTGGAGTACGACAAATTCGACATGGATTTGGTGAATGACCTGCTCGGGGATTCGGTCATGATGCTGAGCGGCGAGTATGTGACGCTGAATAGTCATTGGGAGGATTGGAATTTGCCGAGATGGTATCATGCGGAGAGTGAGCTTAATATGACGACAATCGATCTGATTAATCAGCTCCATGCTGCGCCTGCGGCCGTTCCGCAAGATGTTGGTGTGCCTACTGTGGCATCCGCGCAAGAGGTTAAGAGCAGCATGACCGACGTCGACTTCATCCCGGTCAAGCGACAAGGCACCGCTACCAAGATCAAAGTCGAAGGCGTGACGAACACGGCGCACGCACCGGACCCTTCCCACACCACCGCCACATCGACATCACCAAAAGTTCAGGCCGCGAGTCAAACGCCAACACCACGCTTTCCAGAAACCCATCCTTTAACTGAGGAGCTTACTCGGCTGCAGAGTGCGGCCGCGGTCATCCACTTCACCGCCCAAGGCAAGCCTTGGATGAAACTTCCCGCCGACGTGAGAGCGGCAAGGCCGGATGCCCATCCGCTATTGGCGGAGCAGTTTCGCTTGTGGCGGGAGACGGCGGCGCTGGTTTGTCCCGGCGGGATACCGGAGGCTCAAAGGACGAAAGGCGAGACGAGTCGAAATGGAGTAGGACAGGTTTGAGCGTCTTTGCAGAGGGCGGCCGACACAACATGCCAGGCTGTAGACTGTTGAACGTCACGTGGCGAACTCGTTGTGATCGGCTCGTTCTGCCTCCGTGCATGATGCAACCAGTGGTACTGGAGCCACCGCGGTTGCTGGAGCCTCTGCTGTTGTCGGAGCCACTGCTCTCTAGCTCTATGCGACTTACGGCTCGCTGGGATGCCCTGGTACAATGAACTGCGACCAGCAGTTGTACGACTGTTGGGCGCCACTTTACATGCGTTGGTCTAGAAGCTGGTGCTACCCATCCGCAAGCTCATTGGTTTGGCGAAGGTGCAAGTTTACTGCGCAACAATTCGCTCGCTTGCCCACAGCCAATGTAGCGGCTTCCAACACTTCCATTGGATTGGGGTTGAACAGTATTGTTGCTGTAGACCTCGTGGGCAGACGACCGCAGCTTTCACATCGGCCTGCGTCAGTATTAGACGGCCAATTCGTCGCGGCGTCTTCGGCCATCGTTCATATTGCGCGCCAATGATGGTTTCTCTGGCCGAAATTTGATAACGAAGTGACTTGACGCCACCATCGAGCGCGACCTGCAGGTACACGAACCCTATCATGATGCTGACCTAGCCTTGCGTAGAAGCGGAGGTCGAGCATGAAGTGTATCAGAGATGAGTACGCGTTATCATTCCAGCTCTATCTACACCGGGCGAGGTATCAGAATTTTCAGCCTTCGGGAGGAGAGTTAGACGGCAAGGTCCCAGGCTGCAGATGGAATGCTGAAAGGCCACCACCAAGCGTCGAAAGTCGCCCCGTCCGTCTGCAGCGTACCGTCTACTGGATTGAGAGAAGAACGAACATAAGTACTGCCCAGATCGCAAGGCTGAACGCTGGACAGAAATCTGAGTGCTCATGCTCTGCGCAGCAGCTGCGACCGTTGCATATCTGCCATATATTTGGGTATCCAATCATCTATGTGTATCAGTGTCCTTCAAATTCCCGCCCCAATCGCGACGCTCATTCGCCCTTGATGTTGCCGCTCCGCTCTTTGAACCTCACGTCGCCATTCGTATGCCGCGCATCTTGCTCCGTGCCATTCACCACGCCGTACACCCATGTCAAAAATCCGGTGCTGAGCGTCATCAGTAATGCTGAGCCGGCAAACAAGCTAGATGCCTTTCGTTAGCGCCGCAGATCAGCCCGTTCATATATTATGTAGGACTCACCCAATCCGCTGCTGCGTATTCAACAAAGTGAAAATCGGGTACGGATAGAAGTTATTGTAGTGATAGCATTGCTCGATCCACAACCAGTAGCCGAACGCGATAATGCCGCTCAGGCCTAGCGCGGGTAGGAAGGCGATGGTGTAGGGTGGGGAGAAGAAGAGGAGGTCGGTGACGAGGGCTATGGAGGGGGCGGCGTGGAAGGAGAGGTCGGCGATTCGGCTGAGGGGTGGTGCCCAGTCGGGGAGGACGAGCTTGGGGTCGATCTGGAGTAGTGTTAGATTCAGGGCTGGGCGTGGTCGTGGTGGTATTTTCTGTGCTCTTACCGCTCGCAATCCCCAGTATAGCATCGTTATGAGGCATTCCATTGGCGCACTTGCTACGCTGAGCCAGTTTTTGAAGGCGAACAGGCGCCGGCTCAGGGTTATGTCAGCCAGCAGGGCGATGGCGAAGGTGATGGTGGCGAGCGAGAGGCCGATGATGGTGAGGTATTGGAGGTGCCATCCGTACGAGTCGTTGCTGTTCGTCCAGCGTCAGATGTTGCAGACATAATGGGGGAGGGAGAAGGTGTAGGGCATACACTGGGTTCGGGTTGGTGACGAGGTAGGAGAAGGAGTAAGTGAAGGAGCAGAGTCCAACCGTCTGTCCCGCCAAGTCATCAGCATGCGGCTCTCGGCAGGTGATGAGAAGCGGCTACACACATGCAGCAGTGCCGACGCTCCCCTCGAAGGGGCGGGCAGCCTCTGTAACGGATGTTGTCGCACCAGCATTCGAGCGTAGTCGTCGGCCGCCATTGGGTAAAGGAGGGGGGAGACTGTAGGAGATGTCCCTCCTCCGAACGTAAGTCTTATGTCAGCGGGCAGTATCTTTTCACGCACGCGATCACCGCCGGCAGATCCATGTTGAGCGTTGGAAAATCATGTGCCTTTGCCTGTTCCTGACAAAGACAATCACTATTGGGCCTTAGCGGCGTGGGAGAATGGCATCACTGCCGCCGCGCCGCCGCTTTCACTTCGGTCCGTCGGTCGATTGTCGGCGCGGACGCAGCCGTGCGCATCCGCCTGATTGGAACGAGACGCAACAGTGTATGGTTGACATAGACAATCTGCACGATGGAATGGACTTTGCTCGAGGTCAACGCTGGGGGAAGTACATCATTACCACGCTATCCTTCAGCGACACTATGATTGTTGCTGGCATGATTGGCGCAGTCGACCGATGTGCTGCGTTCAGCCCTACGCTATCGAAAGTGGGTCGTAGTCGGGCTTGGCGGGAAACAGAGACCCTCGATACCGAGCTCCCACCACGGATGTCACACGGTGAAGTTGGTTGCGCGAGGGTACGGGGCTTGATATCAGGTGTATCGCGTTGCGAATGGCGATGAGAATAGTCTCCATGTATTAGATGGACGTGACCTGGCGGGATCAGCTCCACGAACGCTGCACCCGTACTGCGCCTCCACCGCTCGGTCTCGACCGCCTCGAACACTGCACTTGATAAAGCTGCAAGGACATATTCAGACCTCAACAGGTAGCGCTGTCGTGCAGGTTAACTGCGATGCTAGCGCGGCAACGGTAGCTTTCGGCTGATGCGCTGCATATTAAAACAGTGTTGAAGCGCTACGGCTTCTTTTAGGGAAACACCAGACGGACTTGATAGGGAGCAATAGAGCGCACGAAAGCAACACCAGTGTTGCGCAATCGCATTGCAGCGATGCCACGAATCAAGAAAGAGACGTCGGGTGAGCCAAAGAAGCGCAGTCGGACCGGCTGCTGGCCGTGCAAGGCACGCAAGGTGAAATGCGGTAGGACTTCCTCACCCACATCGCTGCGCGCATGGGCTGAAGCTGACCACACTCGGACGATCCAGGAGAAGAGAAGCCACACTGCGCCAACTGCGAGAAGAGCGGAGAACAATGCGACTACAGCATACGTCTGAACTGGAGTGGCCGCAGCCGGAGAGACAAGGACGGCACGCCGATGGAAGCAGGAGGCTTCACATTCGTGACCGCGCCGTCTTCCGCGCCGCAAGCTGGAATTATGGGAGGTCATGAGCATGTCTTCTCGGCGCAGCACATTGCGACAGCACCGCAACAGCGACCACCGAGCAGACATCCACCCAACCTACCTACTCCCGAAGCAACCCCAGGCGGCGAAGGAGCGCCGTTGGATCCACAGCTTCGCAGGACTCACTTTCAGCCAACGTCGCATGCTACAGGCAAGCATGTACTGGGCGGCATGCCATATCCAGCGCCGGCGACGCCAACATTCGGCCAGTCTCCGGCCTCTGCCGAACGATCTCCACCACTGTCCACCTACCCCAGCGAGGAGTTCAGGTGGTCGCCACAGCATGGTAGCAAGCGGGTCAAGCTTAGTCCAGGTCGCGTAGCACTTCCCGGACACAGTGCTCCCACTTTCGCCGTCCCTCAGTATCCCGCCACATTCGAGCAGTCTCCAGGCTCATCTCACCTCGGCTTGCATAGCATCAGCAGCATCGTCAACACGCCAGCGACGCCGGGCTCGAGCATTGCGTCCGGCTCACCGTACCCTCTGCAAGCGTCAGCGCTCGGCGTACACGATCCACCAGACTTGCGCAGATTGTCCGTCAAGTCGCTACTCTCGGACCCTTCGGAGGAGGTCGAGAAGCCTCGCATTGTGAGAACCGAAAGCAATAGGTACACGACGTACGGGTATGACCATGGCTTACCTGATCTTGACGTGCCGAGAAACGAAGATCTGAACGCCTTGATGCCAAGGTCTCCCGATATGCGGCGGGCGAGCGCAGCTGTATCTGAGGTCAGCTCCTCAAGTGGTGAGCCTGATGCCAGGCTGATCGCCTTCGAGCCAGGTGGCTACTACGCTGAGCCTGTGGCCGTGAAGATCCCACGCTTCTTGGAACCCCTACCGGACGAGCTGCGAAACAACCCGATGAACCTGCTGTACTTCCACCACTTCATCAACCACACTGGCCGCATCATGGTACCGCACGACTGCCCGGAGAATCCATTTCGTGGCGTCTTACCGCTGATGGCCACCCGTAACCAACACCTTCTGCACCTCGTGCTGACCTATAGTGCAAGTCATCGCGCAGGTCTGCTTGGTCACCCTGAACCAGCAAACCGCATCGCCGCCTGGATGACCGATGTGCTGCCAGCGCTGAGACAGGCTCTCAGCGAGCCACAATCGCCATCTGCCGCTGATCCCCGAGATCCCTCATCTCTCGCCCCCCTAGCAACGGCCATCATGCTCGCTTCGCTGGAGATCGTCAGCCCGCACACTTTCGGCGTCTCAATACCGTGGCAGAACCATTTGCAAGTGGCGCGGCAAATGATCGTCGCCAAAGGCGGCCTCCACCACCTCGCACAAAAAGCAGACGGCGCTCGTGACAAGGCCATCTTTTTTCTCAGCCGGTGGTTCGCCTACCTGGACGTCCTCGGCTCGTTGAGCGGTAGCAAGCAAGACCAGCCACTCTACGGCGCTTACCTCGAGGACGGCGGTGGCTTGTGGCTCGTCAATCGCACCGATGAGGAGATCTACCAGATCGACTGCTTCTTCGGCTTCTCTGGGAGATGTATAGCACTGCTCGCTCAAGTTGCCGAGCTGGCGGCGGAGTGCGATAAGCAGCGCATTGATCCCATCACGAACCAGGTCAAGGTAGGCTGGCTGCCGTCGGGAAAGGTTCGCCTTCAGGCGGAGGAGCTCAAGAAGCGCCTCGTCGCCAGCGCGTCTACTGTTTTCCGCGGCTGCACGCACTCGGATCCGAATAGCAATCATATTGACGAGGAGAAGGACGAGCAAGATATCGCGGAGATCTTCGCCACGAACGAAGCCTATCACTGGGCTGGCCTCATTCACCTCGCCAGACGAGTCCTAGCTCTCCCCTCCGCGGACGCAGAGGTCCAGACGAATGTCCAACGCATTTTAGCTTCGCTGGAGAAAGTGCGGAGAGGAAGCACCGCAGAGTCGTGTCTGCTGTTTCCCATGTTCAGTGCGGGCTGTGAGGCGCTGACGGAGGGCGAGCGGCAGGTGTTTATGGATCGGCTGAAGGCGATTGAGGGGTGGGGGTTGCAGCATGTGGGTCGGGCGAGGAGTTTGATGCAGCAGGTGTGGGATACGGGCAAGCCTTGGGAGACGCTTGTTAATGGTGAGTTCTTTGGGTAGCGTGTACAGATTTTGATGGTGAGCTATGTTTGGTCCGCTTGGTGTCGTGTTTGATCCCTTCGCCGTGGAATGCGTTGTAAGTATGCGGGTTTTGGTCGGTGATCATTCGTGGTTTTTCGGATATCTTGGACGTGTGCTGCAGCGTGTTATGCTGCTCTTGACTGTTCCTGATAGGGTGCCTTCGGTCGTGGCTACACTTGTCGGTGGCTGTGGCCCTCAAGCTTGAGCTTATCGCCGGTTCCGATGGGAGGCTGGTATCATCGGCCGAACACATGACGGCGAGGGATCGTTCAGAGTAATTTGCGTCTTCAGAGTATCAACCACTAATCCAGTCCAAGTGGCGTTCCTGACTCTTTACTGTTCACTCATGTACACCACTCCTTGTCTTCTCAGCTCACCCTTCCAGTGTTTCCCCACGCGCATTGTGGGAAACCAACATCATTCCCCCTCGCATACCCCTCGAAGAAGGGACAGTGCAAGTGAAAGGAACGAGACAACAGTGCTAGCTCTTCAAGAAGCCATGCTGTCGCTCTCGTCGTCGGACTCTCCACCATCATGGGAGCTAGGGTTCGACTGCATGTTTCCAGACACAGGCTCCCCCATGTCTGCACAATTATTTTGGATACTGCCGTCGGGTGTACATCCACACGCAGCTGGACTGGGACGGCCATTGTTCCAGTCGGGATTGGAGCAGTTGCGGGAGGAGAGGGTCCGAGAATCCCAACGTCCTGGATGGAAGATGTAGGCTGATCAGCGAGCTTGCATCGAAGGGGCTAAAGGCGTGGAGCAGACGCGTGCGCGGTGCAGGGTGGCTTCAACGCTAGCGCCAGCAACAGACTCAGACAATGGAAGCCGGGCGCAAAGACCGTTTCGATCAGTCGGAATATGAGCGCCAGCGCCCTGAACATCGATACAAATCGTGAGGCACACGAAGCTGCAGCGGTGACTGACTACCACCAGACATCCCGGCGCACGGAGAAGATACAGCTTGTGCCTGCTTTCAAGTCGATGACGGCGACCCATACGCCACCGAAACTTGGAGAGCACCAGCTTTCCAATGATTGACGGAGAACTTCAGGCAACTCGAGACACTTGCGAACGCAGCGACTGACACAGTCGCCGGTGCACGAGCGAGGGCGTCGGAAGGACTCACTGCTGTCGGTGAAAAGCGTCGGCCAATGGGAGCTACACGCTTAACGGCAGCGGCTTTGGAGCAATGTTTGGCGGAGAATTTCGGGTCTGAATCAGATCTGGAGCGTTGGAGAACTTCAATGTCGAAGCGTTTATATATCTCACGTTGAACCGGAAACCCGATGATGAAGCAAACAACGAACAGGTTTGCGGACTCTTGTCGCTGCGAACCTGGACGTCTTTACTCTCTCGGTCACGGCACTGGCGGTAGCTGTTACGCTGATAATGCGGCCAGTATCGTGGCCGGGTGTCCTGATGCGGTTGGCGGCTAATCATCTGGCATGATAAGCCGTTATGAACCTAGCGACCGCGAGAGGGTTCCTGCTCACGTGGCTGGACGTCGAGACTTGCTGGAGCGACTAAGGAGTTCAGATGTCTTTTCGGAAGCCGGACTACCATCAGCGGCCCCCAGTGATCTCGACAATGCTGCCACTCATGTATCGACTTTCATCGCTGCGGGAGAGGGCATTAGCACAAGTCGTACTCACCTCCAGACTACGCGTACCTGAAGAGAAAGGCTACGACGTCTGCAACCTCTTCGGGCGTCCCAAAGCGGCCCATAGCAATCTTCTTCTCTGTTGCAGCGACTTCGTCCGGTCCAGCGACAACGCTAGCATTCGTAGGTGTGTCGATGTAGCCGGGCTGAGATCGGGCACAATGTCAGCAACTGCATCACCTACTCTTCGGTATAAGGTCGCTTACGGCAATTGCGTTCACCCGAATCTGCTTAGGCCCGAGCTCCATCGCCATGGCTTTCGTGAAACCAACGATAGCAAATTTGGAAGCGCAATATATTGCCATGTTGGCAGAGGCTGTTAGGCCCATGATTGAGCTAGTGTTCACGATCGAACCGCCGGCCTGCATGTGTGGGATCACTGCGCGCGTGATGTTGTACGTTCCACGCAGATTGGTATTCATGAGCTTGTCGTAGTATTCGTCGGTCGTATCCGTCAAAGCGTATGCCGTTGGATTGACTCCAGCGCAGTTGAAGACGTAATCGAGTCGTCCGAAGTGGCGCTTGGTAGCTGTCGCGAACTCGTCGCATGCGCCCGATGAACCCACATCGAATGCTCGCGAGGAAGTAGCCGTACCAGATGTGCACAACTTTGCTGTCTCTTCGAGACGGTGGGCATCAATGTCCTGCAGAGCGACTGCGGCACCGAGGGAACTCAGTCTCGCGGCGGTCGCCCGTCCAATGCCAGATGCCGCACCCGTGATGAGGCACACTTTGCCACTGAAACAGTGCTCCATGTTGGACTGATCAGGAGCGGAAGTCGCTACATGCTGTAAGACTGAAGCATAGAAGATTGAAGACTGCTCCGGCTTGGCCGAACATTCGAGGTCGGCTTGAGGCGCTTGGCCGAAAGCTAGCCGCCGAGCAAGGTCCGAGCTTGCTGGTGAAGACGAATGGATTCGCTCTCTGCTCTCTGCGCACCTCGCACGGTGACCCATTGTTGTGCAAATTCTTGGGCACACACAGCTAGTAGGAACAGCTGAGCTGGCTTGTTGCAACAGGACTTCGCAACATGCATTGGTCGATGCGTACGCGCTTTGGGCCACATATGCTCTTCGATTCCATATACTGCGTCCTCCCTTACGTCTGGTGCGGCATAGCAGGCGGTTGGGTATGGACGACATGGCTCGACCTTGAATAGTGTTGTTTTGTGGCGTCGTGATGGTGAGACCGACGCAACGATGAGGCTGCTCAACGCGCAGTTTACCGTGCTTGTAGGTTGTTGCTTGTTCTGCCTTGCACTCGTGAAGCACTTCTGGACAACATACTGAACGACTAACATTCGGACCACGGACCCTTGAGCAAGCCAAAGCATCCACAAACAACACTACTGGCAAGCCGTCCCCCGCTAGTTGCGCAGATATCGATGGCATTGACAGACATCCTTTTCGCCGTGAAGCTACCCAACAAAAACCTTTGAGTGGCTCCCGATCCACCTTGCTACCACGCTCGCCAGTGTGCCCTACTAGGTGGTATACTCCGACGTCGCACAGCAGTTTGGTTCCGTAGGTAGTCATCGACGACTCTAGCTCTTGGCTCAGAAGAGCTGCGATCAAGATATGCCAGTCTGCTGCAGTACCGCAAATTTAGCATATCCTTACGGGCAGAGATGCTAAGGAGCTAAATAGAGAGGAGAGCTGGGAGCTTAACAAGTGGAAGTTTTGCTGATGATTAGCGATGCGTCCTATCGCTTTGGCGAGAGAAAGAAGTGGCTAGTCTTCACCGAGGCCGACACTTATGTGTTTTTGCATAACCTTATCCTGGAGCTCCGCGTAATAGACAGCAACCAGCGTGTCTTCGCAGGCGCTTTAGGTCATGAAAGGCGATACGGAGTTTGCTTACGGCGACAGCGGCTCTGTGCTGTCTTCGCTCATAGCCGACGCACTCTCGCAGACCTACCTAGCATCACAGGCTCACTGAGAGGAGGACTCGGCTAAGCAGTGCTGTGGCCACAAGTTCTTGCCAATATGCTTAACGCCTCTCCCGTTCTCTGCGCCCGCATTGAGCTTTCCTAATTGTTACGTGCCGTCGTACTCACGTGATAGAACTCAGGTGATTCTGTCGTTACGAGTAGGGTTAGTACTCATTGGGTAGTCTGGTGGTCAATAGTGAAGTGTTAATTAGTTGAAGTATGATCGAGACAAGAGATCGGAACAAGGTAATAAGTTGATTCCAATCAGTCGGTTTGTAACATAAGTTGAACACGAACTCCTAAGTATGAAATCTATCGCTGTTATATACAAAGGAGATTCATGTCTGTCGCGACTATGTGCGACAGTCGCCGCTCGTCGTAGGCGTCGCCCTTGTCGCTCTTGTCGCGCATCGGAAGGTTCCTTATACGCGACGGTCTCAAGGCTTGGCGTAGCCAGCCTGTTGCTGTTACGCCGTAACAATATACAGAAGAGATTTGTGTCTCGCTATAGCTCGCATCGAGCTGTGCTCAACAGCGAGCAGTCGAGCTAATGCCTTAGGCACTACTGGCTCGACTTGCTAAGGATCGAGCACTAGAGCGCGGCTGCGTCCGTGCTAATCGTGTCGTAACACCCTGCCGCCAACCCCTCCGGGCGCCTGAGCACTTGGCCATCCACCTCGTCTACCGTCTGCCTGGCTGCTGTGTAGCCTCGCTCTTGCCGCTGCTACATGGCACTACCTTGACGACCCCGACGGCCCCAACAAACCCCGACGCTCAAGCCCGACGGTCACGTGACTGGCCCCGACGGACCCCGACGGCGCGCACCAGGCAGCCCGACGCTGCTTCTGGACCCCGACGCTCCTCAAAAAATCTTCTCGTGCTGCCGCCATGCCGCCATGCCGCCCGGTCTCTATGCGTAGGGTTTGCCTCAGGCCCTGGCGTATCCCGGCACGATGCCGCTCTGTGCTGTAGGGGTAGGGAAGGCGCCCAGCGGTCACACGGCGCCCCCACCAAACCCACGCGATGAGCCCGACGGAGCCGACGGCACGTGACCCGACCCTGACGGCGTGTGCGCCCTCAGG